ACCCTAACCCTAACCCTAACCCTAACCCATCGCGAGTATACTATCTGACGGCAGCGTCGCAGGCATCGTGGAAGGCCAGGTACCGGACGCACGACAACAAACCGCGGCAATCTTGGACATCATCGACAAGATCGTAGCTGGGGCTTCAGGAGGCAGAGGCGGCGTCGCAAATCTCATTGATGCTGTGGTCTATCTGACTGAAATGGAGCGAGACTACGCCGGCATGAACGAGGAGTGGAACAAAGTCTTCGCGAGCAGGGAGGCTGCGCCAGCGAGGGCGACTGTTGGGGTGAAGGCTTTGCCTGATACAAGGTTCGTGGTTGAGGTCAAGGCGGTGGCCGTTGTGCCGGAGTGAAGGTGTATGAGCAGTGATGGCAACAAGGTATACTAAAGCGATCATATGAATGTGGAAGCCGTCTTTGCAGCCACTCGATGTTTGACATCTTTTCAGGTGGCAACGAAGCTCGAGATGCAGGTGCACTTGCAGAGATCACTCATGCGAACTTGCCTTTCGATAGATTCGTAGAGACTGTGATTACCCATAGGTTCCAGAGCGGAGGTAATCAATGCTAATGCTAATGAAGTTAGCTATGTCCTATAAAATCTATGTAGTGTCCAACCATAGTATTGGATAGGTAAGTCATTTGTTACATACTCTAGCTTTTAAATTTTGGCGACATATTCTAGTCTAAGAACAAGGTATATCTCTATTACATCCAGTATCATTGCTGATTACATTGTACCCCTTAACGACTGCCGCCTGCCGCCCTCGCATCTTGGTCGCTGTAGTTAAACCCAGCAGGCGCGTGACCGACAGGACTTCAAAAGCCTCACCCTCAAGACAACGAATACAAATACCTAGGCTACTATTGGCGGCGGCTGCTTGGCCAACACCATGCTAGTAATGGATGCGACAACGGCATCTGTCGGAGTCATAGTCATCTCGGACACACACGGCGCTACGTTCCTGCCTAGGCAGGCTGGGCTTCCTAAGGTGGACATCCTCCTGCACTGCGGTGATCTTACTAGTAGAGGACGACTACCCGAGTACGAGAACACATTGTCCTTGCTTGGCAGCATCGATGCGGAGTTGAAACTTGTGATCGCTGGCAACCACGATATCGCTCTCGATGCCGATTATTGGAAGGCTCGCGGGCTCGAGATCGATGGATCGGATTACAGTAGTAGCACCGCAGTAGCGGCCACGAAGCTCATCAAGGGACGCAAAGCTCTGCAAACTGGCGTTGAGTTCGTACACGAGCGCGTACACAGCTTCAAGTTACGGTCCGGCGCCGAATTCGTTCTATACGTGTCGCCATACTATCCAGCATCCGGTGACGGCACCTTCCCACACATAGCGTATCGGTACGAGTCAAACCAAGATCGTTTCAATCCCCCGGAGAAGGCCACAAAGTGCGCCGAAGCGATTGTAATCAATCCCATACCAGACTATCCAAAGGTTGACATAGTTATGACACACACACCACCACTCGGTCATCTCGATCAAGTCAATAACGGTGGCTATCTTGGCTATCGCAGCTTACAACGGGCAATCGCACGTGCAAAACCAAGATTATACTGCTTTGGCCACGTCTATGAAGCGTATAGCGCCGAGCGGATCACATAGAGTGGCTTGTTACCGGACTATGACGATAAGAAGAGCGTACGTTGTCGACAGATCATCGAGCATTCGGTGTAGTCTTACCTTGATGTCAGCAATACTGCTTAGCATCCTCTGCAACATGGTACCGAGACGTTGATGGTCAATGCAGCAATAATGGACCACGACAATGAACCTGTCCAGGCACCATGGGTCATCGAACATGAGCTGCCAATAGCCAGATGAAGCAGGTAGCAGAAAACAGCAGATAGGTTGAATTCATGTACGCCCGATTACTTGACAACTTCGGCTACTCGAAGCCTCCGACTACTCGAAGACCTTGCCAACAATCTTGCCGAACACTCTTCCGCGCTCCCGTGGAACAAACGTCTCTTCGTACTTGTCGATCTCGTCTTTCAGCCCGCCCAAGCTCAGATCCGCTGTCCCAGGTTGAACATATGAGGTTCTGAATATCAACTTCCAGCCGACGAAGGCAACTATGAAGAACCCGATCATGCTGTAGTCCAGGAAGAACCACATGACGCTCCAGTTGCCTTTCAGAAAGACATCGTACCCTCCGGCGAAGATCATGAACAGAGGGCCACCCATCGCAACGTAGCTAGTGTACGGCTGGAACCGTCCTTTGTACGGTAGTGTGTCTCTGGAGATGCCCTGCTTTTGGAGATTAAGGTAGAAGTGTCGGTAGGCAAGGGCCGTAAAGCCGTAGTTCAGCATCTGGCAGCAGGTGATCAGGACGACCAGGTATCCCAGGACTGCCGCGGACGAGCTACTGGACTGAAGGAACGCCAGTAAGCAGAACGAGAGGGAGAAGAGGAGGGCCCAGACAGGAACACCACGCTTCGTGCACCGCGAGAAGATGCGTGGCGCGTGGCCTTCGAGCGACATGCCGTGTAAGGTGCGTGTTGCGGCATACAGAAGTGCATTACCAGCGCTGAATATCGACGTCAAGATCAGGGCGTTGACTATGTGAGGCAAGCCGGAGATCTTGAGCCGCTGCATTGCAATGACATAGGGCCTGTGTTGGTGTCAGTCAAGATGAACGATCTTCTAGGAGTAGCACTCACGATGCTGCGCCAGTACCACTGCCCGAAATCTCTCCGCTCAGGATGGCCAGCAGTGTGGGGCTGTCGGACGGGATGACGATCCCAATGCACAGTGCGGAGCCGACGAAGAAGACGAGGATGCGCCAGGCAAAAGATTTGAACGCCGGAGGCAGTATCTTGCGAGGGTTCTCGGTCTCAGCTGCTACCATGGAGATGTATTCCGGACCGGTGATTCTGTCCAAAATCAGCAGTTGTCCGACCGACGCGCGCAATATGTATGTGCATACGAGAAGCTGGCTTGATAGACACAGGAGAGTACGCCCAAGAAACGACCAGTGTCACCAGCAGCATTGTACTCGATGAAGGCTCCAGGCTTATTCCAGTATCGAAAGCCATAGGCGTCGTGCAAGGGGTTACCGCCCACCATGGTGATGAAAGTGAAGAAGAACAGGCCCACCATCAGGACTACCTTGCCAATTGACAAGTAGAACTCCGAGATTCCGAAGTATCGTACGGTGACCACATTCAGAAAAGCGTAGAGAAGTATCATCGCCACAATGATCGCTTCCACGGGTATCTTGTCGGTCCAGAAGTGTATCATGATATTGAGGGCCACGAGCTCGAAAGGTACCAGGATCGCCATATTCAGGAAGAAATTCCAGGCCATAGCGAATCCCAGAGCGCCGTCGACCCATTCGCTCCCGAACCGGATGAATGGCGAAGGAACTGGAGCGTATGTGACCATCTCGGCGAAACATTCATTGACAGCCCACATGACACCGCCCCAGATGAGGAATGCTATCAAGAGTCCTGCTGGACCTCCTTTTGGCAAGGCGGAACCCATTTGGACGTACAGAGCTGCGACTAGCGTCAGCATATGCTCGCTGATGTTGTCGTGTCACAATCGGACCATATTGGGACCACACGTACAGGTACCGATTGCGCCGCCAATGGCAAACAGCTGAACTTCTGGTCCTCGCAAACTTCGATGCAAGGCCTGCGATCCAGCAGTCACATCGGCAATAGACCCTTCCGTGACATCTTCATCGCTCCTCATGGAGGGATCGACGTTGACTTTGGGTTCGCCGTACTTCTCTCCTGGACCTTTGCTTGAGGACATGGTAGGTATGGCTCTATGGACAACGCCTGGTGGCTTGTCTTTCGTGAATCAGGAAGTACAGCAGGCGGTACGCGTTGCTATAAGGTAATGGCGGACGATACTGCTTCCTACAGCTGCATGTTATCGTGGATGCCATTCTGACTTCGCAAGTCTTGACTCGAGATCCATGAGCTCCGATAACACCCTTGGCTATTCGTGAGCTGGGTCCCGAACACGCCACAGATAGCGGGATCATGACTCTGACAGATGCCTCGAGGTCGTGGTTGTTATCGCGATACTGTACTGTGGTGTTGTGATGTCGGAAGAGCCGACAAGAATGACGTTCGGACCACCCGATGAGCACAGACTCCGGTTTGCGCAACGCGCTTCACGCGTACATGACAATCCACAATGGCAGCATAATGTTAGTCCGGCAGCAGATGAAGGTTTAGCAAGCCGGACGAAGTGACATCGTTCCGAATCCCAGTCAATATGGCCCAAGTACATGTCTGGGATCGTGGTCCCGGCGGAGGACGACTTCACCGGATTCAACCATGTCTTCACTCAGCATTGAGAGGCTCTTTGGTGTGAAAGGCTTCGTAGCAGTCGTGACCGGAGGAGACAGTGGGCTGGGTTTCATGATAAGCAAGGTATGATGATACTCCGCCAGACGAAAAGGCGCTCTGCCCGGCCAGCCCGCGAAGTTATTCTGACATGGGTCAACCAGGGACTCGTCACGAATGGTGCAAAGGTGTACGTCGTCGCACTACCGAGTGAGAGTATCAATCAGAGGCTAGCGGAACTCAACGAGCTTGGCAGTTCCAGTGGTGGTACCGTACATGGGTAGGGGAAGCACCAACACTCGACTCTGTCCCCATCTCCGAGCACTCATTGATGTTCATGCTCTCCAGCCTTCCTGGAAACGTCGCAAGCAAAGATGGCATTGCGGAGATTGCGGCCTATATCGGCAGCCGCGAAGCCCGCGTCGACATGCTCATATCCAATGCTGGGATCAGAAGAGACCCGCCGATACAGTGCGACGTTGTCTCTGCTTCGCTGTCAGATTTACAGACATCAATGTGGTCTTCACGCCATTCAGATTGGGCAGACACGTTCACCGTGAACACCACAGCACATTACTTTCTGTCCGTTGCACTGTTGCCATTATTAGCTGCAGCATCAGCTCTTGATCTGGGCGACGGTCGAGTTGGGAGCAGCGAGGGTCGCGGTGTGGTCGTCATCACGAGTTCTTGCGCCAGCATGCATAATGCCACGAACGTCGACCTGACCAGCTATGCGACGAGCAAGGCTGCGACCGATGTAAGTACCGACTTGGAGAAGGGTGCTCTAAGGCCGCACTCACCAAAGTGACAATCCGCGGCCCTCTGAGGCCTCTTCAAACAGGTTCTAGCTTTGAGACACCGCTGAGCCATGTACCCATCCCTTTCACAGCACCTGGTGAAGCTTCTAGCTGCCAAATTCCGCCGATTCTACGTCCGTGTGGTCGGCATCAACCCGGGGTGTAGGTTTCACTAGAGCAGATACAGCTGGCGAATACTGACCGATGCTTCAGTCGTCCCAAGCCAGATGAACCCTGTTGGAGAGGAGGGCAACATTTTCAGCTCTCTGTTCGATCGAGTCCCTGCGAAGCGCGCAGGGATTGCAGAAGACATTGCTGGAACGGTCATGTATCTCGTCAGTCGAGCGGGTGTAAGTGTCGCTTGTGCTGCTGAATGTCAGCGGACCACTAATGCATAGGCAGGCCTACGTCGACGGCGTCTCTTTATGTGTTGATGGAGGCCGTGTGCTAGTTGCCGATGGACAGGAATGACCGCAGGCCGGACCCTCCTCAGGAATATCGCACGATACGATCAATAATATTAGAGTCAGGAGTTGCGACTTTACATCACGTAAGAGCGGTCTCCATATTCCAAGGACTTAGTTGACAAGCATCATTTTTGTACTTCACAACTCCTTCTCGTTCGATGACAGTTCCACACTTGACGGCCGAACATCCACGCCCGCTGTGAGTCATCCACCACGTGCCTTTGGTTCTACTTGGTATCGCTGAAAGGCCAGCCCACAAGATCAAGGCGGAACTGCGGGCTCACTTCAAGCTCCGTGGCTCTCGCCTTGAGCTCCTCGATATCCTATGATAAAGCCAGTCAGCGTTATATGCCAACATGGTATATTTGTACGTTTACACTTACCCCAGTTGGCATACAGAAACTTCCCTTGCAAGAAGCGAGCCTCGGGAGACGCGAGCCACAGGTAGAAGCTCCCAGGCACCGACACTGCACCACGTAAGCTTCCACATATTGTATGAAACCAGTCAGGGGCTAACCATGGTCTTCAAAGCCGAGAGCCTCTACACCACCGGCGGCCCTATTCATGTCCGTGTCGACGACACCAGGCTGTACGTGGTAAACTGGAAGACCAGTCGCATTACGAATAGTCTCCCACAGCTTTTATACCGCGAATTTAGCCGTGCTATATGCAGCAAAGCCTAAGGGACTGTCAGCTGAGTCAACGAAAGACAGACTTTGTAAGACAAACCAGGCATCTCGGGCAATGTAAGGTGCGCCGCATTGGAGTTGGTCTCAATGGCGACTGCATTCACAGCGGCGTGTATGACGAACGCTTGCGCTACGTTCAAGGAGCCCTCCACATTCTGTGCAACAGTCTGAACGAAGGCTTTCACATCCACGTCTCTGCAGAGGGTCAGTCGTGTCCTTCGGCTCACAAATGAGTGCTTACCTCGCGGGATCCATTGGGCCGGTGACAGCGGCGTTACTGACGACGACATGAACCTTGTCCTCCCCGGGGAACTTCTGGAAGGCTCCGTCGACCTGCTCCTTGTTCGCCACATCCACTGAGGCTGTGAAGACGTTCGTGCCGTACTTTCGTTCGAGAGAGGCTTTGGTGTCGAGCAACGGCTGCTCTCGACGACCGAGCAGAGCGATACGAGCAGCGCCAGCTTCGGCGAAGTAGCGGGCTACCTCAGCACCAATGCCCGTCCCACCGCCTGTCACGATCACATTCTTGCCTTTGGCGGAGACTTCGGGTCTTGAGGGATCGCCAGATGGCTGTCCTTTCGTCTGCCACCACGTCTCCGTTGGTGAGGGAAAGGGAGGCATTATGGAGGAAGTGTAGGGCAACGCGGCTTGTATCGAGATGGCGAATTTGCTCGATGCTGTATCAAAGAATTGCGAAGCTGTTGATGCTGCTACATCGGTGAAGCACACTGATTCTTATATCACAAGTGATGCTCCGGCTGATTTACCTCTGAGTATTCTCTGTGCATTACAAATGATCCCTTGTCTGCGAATTGTTCCATGAGAGATCTTCGGCGAAACGCCATCTTGGGCGTCGATATCGTTTCGACACCGTGAGTTGTACAAAGTTGTCCGATGCAAAGGCTGCGGTACAAAATGCTCCGATGTTCTCGGCAGGATTGATCGACAGCTGATGACAAACTCGAATCTTGGATCTTTCATCTACACTATGCTCTATGAACTTCAATTTGACACAGGACTCTCACAGTCTTCTACTCGGCTGTGAAGATGCACGACGATAATACGTCTGTGCTCAGGTGCGAGCGATGCCAGAAGCCCTTTGACAAAGGTAGGTGGCCATCGCCCACGATGGATGTTACCACGGCTAGCTGATGCCATCTTGTCTGAAGAGACCACACTCAAGCGACATGGATACTATTGCCGCTCTCGAAGGACTGAGAAGCGCAGTCGAGTCAGATCGTGCGCCGCTTGCATCAAGCGAAAACAGCGCTGCACGCATCCTCGGGACAACAAGGACTCTCCGTCTGGCCTGCAGGAAGAGTCAGTTGATAACACTCCGTGGCCGGCGCCAACCAGTCAGCTGAACGAGCTCGACGGCTCACAGGATACTCCGCACGATCTCGCAGTCCTGGAGTGGTCGCCGGACTCCGGTAGGAACTTTGATGATACATTATCCTACGCTTAGAAGAGGGTGAGTCAGAGTACAACAACGTAGATGCTCTGCTCATCGTAACAGTCATGGTAACTATGCATGCCTGCCCACCACTCGAGCCTCATACTGACACCGCTTCAGGTGCTGCGGCGGCATCTATATCACACCTCGGTGACCAGCGTCGACCAAGCTGGGCTTTGGGACTACGATCTTGTCGCCAGCTGGAAGGACTGGATTTATGACGAGTCAATGCGAAGGTCTGATATTGACATGCTGTGTGCTGCAAAACCATGACTGACAGAAGCAAAGATTATGCGTCGTGTACCAAATCATCAACCTGATCGCCATTTTCGAGCCAGCGGCGTTGTGTACTTCGGTCCTTCTCTTGTCGCCGTTGCCAACCAAAAAGGCTTTATGGGAAGCGGCCGTTCAAAACATGTGGACGGCCACATGCGAGAACGACGTAAACGCTCAAACTCTCTATGGTCTGGCTGCCAACGGAGACCTGCTGAAGATCGAAGAGATGGGCTTGCCAACAAGAAGTAAAGCTGGCTGGGAAGACTGGAGCACGGGAATGGATGGAATGGGAGGGCTAATTATGCTTGCTGCTTGTCTAGTCGGCTGAGCTGCCAATTGCATCCAAGACTCATTTCCGCACTGGAACTTCTTGAAGTGCATCGATGGGTCATCGCCGTCAGCTCCGCCCGCTACTTTGCTCGACGGGTCTGCTTCGCGACCACGGGGTATCACCTTTGCGTTTTATGTGGAGATCAACTCCTTCGGATCAGATTTCAGTCAATGAGCTCAAACAAGCAGCATTGCTAAGTCACAGGCGTCCAAGAATCGGGTATTGGCACCTCCATTCAACAAATGGTATCGTGACGTGGGCTACCTGCAAGCTGAAGTAGATCGCATCGCCCAGCTCTTGCTTGCTTGCTTGCTTGTAGTCGGGATCTAGGTCTTCGTCTTCCAACCCTGCGCGCCACCATCGCTCTGTCGTACGTGAACGAACTTCAAATTATTTGCTTCCCTCGGCACTCTTCTCGCGTCGGCATTGTTGGCTTCCACAACTATGCTCCAACGTGTAGCCCTTGCCTAGTCTAGTCGAGATATGCTTCCACGTGTAGCCCCTAACCCTAACCCTGAGTCGGAAGCTTTGTAGGACTAAATTCGTATCGTCCGTCGTATTCTAACGCTATATTGATCGCTCGATTATACTTGTTATATTACGAGTAATATTATACCTAGTTATGTATTCTATAAGTACGTTCTCGCGATCCGCTAAGGGAAAGCCGGGCGTAATATACGGAGAACTTTAAAACTACAACCGGGCATTTTACGATAGATATATATTAAACGGGTAGGTTTCCGGGCTTCTACTATATATAAAAGATACTCCCCTAAACTCGACCTATCTCTTACTCGAATCTAGGACTATTCTAGCGGGTTTTAGGCTACCCTACCTAAGTAGAATATACCTTAGTAGAATATACCTACGTAACTAATTTCATATAGAGGTATAATAGATACTATAGAGGGCTCTAAGTAGAATATTATAACGTTCTACTAGAGTATCTTAGTTGGTAATAACTTCTATAATATATTTATAGCGCTATAAGTATTATATAAGCTTAATATTCTTACTCGTAATTTAGTAAACTATACGCTATTATTTAGCATCCTATTTACAAAATTTAAGCGACTTTAAAAATCCTAACCCTAGGCCAAAATCCTACTTATAAAATCTTATAGACTCTTATAACCTCTTATATAGACTATATTTAATTTATTATAATTATGTAATATTCTCTAATAAGAGTTTTATAACTTCTCTACTATATTTATAATAAATAGCTTTTATACTCTATACTATATAGATCTAATTCTATTACTTTTCTTATAAAGAGTCTACTTTTAGAATAGGCTAGTAAGATATCGAAGTAGCTAGTAAGTAAATATAGAGGCTTATGGACCCTTAGATAGTAGAGTAGGATAGTAATAATAATTCTACTATAATTACATAGATTCTAGAGTTAGTAAGTAGAGAATCTAGTAGATTCAATTAGAATTATATAGAAGTACTCTTCTAGTCCTAATTTCTACTCTCTAAGGAAATCCCCTTCGCTCTTTCTCTCCTTCGATTACTCCTCTTTGACCTCGCGCTTCCTTCTACTTTCTCTTCCTTCGAAGTACATCCCTAATCCTCCCGCCAACGTACGTACCAATCGCCTTTGCAAAAGCTCGGCTCTACGACCTGCAATTCTTGTAAGCGGTTACAAAGACATACGAAACAGGCGTGTAAAAGTACCGTGTTGTTTGCGCCCATCAATGCTTCGCATTTTCTCACTCGCGGCTCCTCGCCTTCGCTTCCCACCTCGTGTCGCTCACGACGTTTGCTCTTCCTCTTTGCGCTCCTACCTTCTTCGCGAGCAGAACCACCGGAGTGAGACGCAGGCAGCCCAAACACCACCGCCCTCCTCGCCATCTGCTTGACAGCCTCTTTTTCCTCTGCACGCCTCGTCCCTTCGACCCTCTTCTGCTGCATCTCTGGAGTCTCCTCGATCTTCTCCGCCCATCCTCTCTCCCCTCCCACGCTGAAATTGACATCACTCTTCACCTGAGGCGGCCGGATGCGTAGGCTTACACCACTCGTTTCGAAGCGCTCTTGGCCAGGTATGCTGCCATCGGACCCCTCGCTTCCGTCGTCCAGTAGAGAGTCCACCGCAAGCCCTTTCGATGGCCGCTCCGCAGTAGCGCCTTCATCCAGCATGTCTACTGACTTGAACTCCTTCTCGACGACACCTCTAAAAGCGCGGTTCTTCCTACGGCCGTACACCTTCCTCGGATCTGATCTGTCGCCGTAGAAAGCAGTCTCGACTTCGCTGAGTTGGACCATGATTCGTGGATCGCCTTTCTTGGGCTGATGTTTTGCTTTGACTTCGTTGACAATCCTGCCCTCCAAAAGCTCGACCAGTATGCTGGCAAGCTGGCTCTCCGTGCTGTCTCCCGCACTGCTCGGCTTGTGGCTGTACGGTTGCGTTAGTGACTGCTCCTGCTTGTGCTGGACGAGGAGAAGGGAATATGTACTGTCTGCATTTATCTGAACAATACCGAGCTTCCTTCTTTGCTCTTCGCGCTCCAATGACCCTGCCACAGGTGTGGCAGTACTGGGTATCAGGCTGGGTGACGTAGTATGGCGGTGGCACGGCGGTGTCCTTGCGTGGTCGGGAACTGTTGGGGCGTTGTTAGCTTGTGCTTGTCCCGACTGCTGTTCAAGGCTATAGATTACCAAGAGTCCATCCAGCTCATGATGGCGGCTTGACGAAAGAGAGATAGGCAGAATGGTGGCAAGTTTAGATCAACCAGTTGCGAAGACCGTTCTGCAGTGGTGGCAGACTCGCGGCGCCTGCACCACGTTCAAAGTGATTCGTGCGACCGTAAGAGGCCAGCAGAGATCACTTCGATCTCTCGTGAAGTGCACGCAGTGGCCACATAAATATATGCGAGATGGTGTTTGATGAAGAGACAAGACAGGGAGGCAGAAGCGCAGGTCTATCCGGCATCCCCACCGGGCGCAATCTATGCAGTTGACAGCGAGAAGGTGCTGGATCGAGCACATTTCGACATGGTCTGAAATGATGACGGCAGTATCTAGACATGACTGAGGACACCTACGTGCGGGAGCTAGAGTACAGCACACAGTGATCCCATCCATCGCATACCAGTACAGCTTCCTTCCGCCGTATTCCACACAACCCATCAAATCTCACACTCACAGCGTCATTTCCCCAAACCTCTCCTCGATGTCACGAGCTGATGTGACGCCAGCAGCTGGCCGATGACTCTGCCCTCCCACGGTTGGACACGACGCGAGAGCCATGGGCATCCCGCATTCGCAGTGAACGGGTGGCCGTTGACGCAGCGGTACCAATGCCCAGTCCCGCCAAACTCCTTCGACATCGTACCCTAACAAGAATGTCACTAGAGGGAAGGCATGCCCGATGGCGACCTACCACAATCATCCTCATCTCCGTGCTTGATACTCCTTCGTGAAGCATGCGCCGCACCTCCGCGGCTTTCGTTCGAATTGCCTCCATGCCGGCCGATGGCGTCTCCTGGACAAGGTCGGGACGCTCCCGGCGCAGACGCATCTGCCGTTGCTCACTCTTCTCCGCCTGCTGGGCGAAGATCTTCTCGACGTCTTTGAGCCGCTCGACCGCGCGCAGGTTGAGCTCGTCGATGTAATGCTGAGACCCAGATCCATCTCCATCGGCATCGATACTATGGATGCCACATTCCATCGCTGCGAGCTTGGCCCATAACACCAGCGCTTTGGCCTCTTGGCGGACGTATGCGCCGTCCTTTGCTTCGGTGGTGAGCTCGTCGCACAGCGCACGGTTGGCGGAGAAGTCGACCCGCAGAACACCACGCAAAACCGTCGGTGTCCCCACCTGTACATCGACAATGTCACTGAACAGGATGATGTGGCTGCGTATGAGCAGGTTGCTTGACAGCAAATGATCGCGGAGTTGCAGCTCTTCGCTTTCGAAATTGAATGCTGCGGGATGGTCGGAGGAACTGTTTCGACAACGAGCTATCTCGACCAGGTCGTGTACACGCTGTATCGCGCAAACGTTAGCTGCAATCGTTTCATAGCACCCACGGACTCGCTCCATACTTACCTGGTATGGTTGCTCGTCTTCAGTGAGTTGCTGCGAGAAATGCGCGATCTCCTGAACCAGCAGGAAAAGCTTGTTGTACCGCTTTGAAGTCTTCAACCTCCTGACGACTCCCATCTGAGCTATGACGTCTCCTTCGAGGAACACGGATTGGCTGGGCTTGCGCTTCGAGTCGAGTGAACCCAACAAATCGCCTTCGATCTTGCTCAAGCGCGCGGCCAGATCCTGATGCCTGCTGTTCGACCAAGCAGTAAGTTTCTCTTCGCCAACTCATCGAGTGCTGCCCGTCTAACGATGCGACCGTGGCGGGCCTCGTTGCGCAGCGAGCCTCTGCACTCCGGGCACGGCTTGGAGTCTTGAATGGAGAATGGTTCGGGTGAAGGCTTCAAGCCGGTCAACTTGCCAGAGAGTGGCTCAATGTCGTAGTACTTTTGCATCTCCGCGGTGCCATCGAGTGAGTCGACAGTGATGGCGTGGCCACATGGCGTAAAAATGCACGGGTCTTCGTCCATATCGATGTCTCCGTAAGAAGTGAACATCAGTAGATCTGCCTTCGTGGCCTTGACATCCTCCGACCCGTGCTTCTGGCAAAACTTGGCTTCAGGACACTCTTTCGAGCAGATTGAAGGGCACTTGCACCCACATGCGAGAGTCTTCGGGCACCTCTCAATGCAAGGAATGTTGTCGCAAGGACAAGCGCAAGGCATCCTGCATCGGTTGCCGCCGTGAGAGCATTGCGAGCCTGAGCTGCAGTATTCCTCAGATCCTCAGAGCACGGGACGCACGGCTCTGAACATTTCTTGTTGCAGCGTCCATGCGAGCACTCCGAATCGCAGCGAGCCTGACACAGCCGACAAGAACGGCCCTGATGGCAAGAGTCGGCACAGCGGTAAGACGCAAGGCTTGGTTGAGGGATCCTTTGACAGGCCGATTTGGGTCTGCTGCGGCTGTGGCAAGGCCACCATCACCTGGCTCTTCTCCTTTTTTCTCGAGATCGGCCGCGTCACGATCGTTCAGGATGATCAAATGCGTGCTGCTGAACCTTTGGCGAAGCTTGCGTAATTGACCGAGGTACGGAGTAAGCACCGCGATGTCAGCCGGTTTGTACACGCCTTGCAGAAATATGTGCTTGACAAGGGCTGCGACCATGTCGACCTCGTATGCGTTGGTGCGCGACGTGGACTGACCACTACTGTCGTTGTCGTCTTCAAGCTGATCATGATGCATCCAGAAAAGGCGTTTCCGCATGCCGACGACTTCAGGGTACTGAGCAACAGACGGGTCGTCTCGTAAACGTGGGTATTGCGTCGTGCGGACGAGCTGCGCGATGGAGGGATGCATGCGCCTTTGCACCTCGAGAGTGGACAGCGGGAGCAGCTAAGCGAAGAGGTCTTTTGGCCGAACGAGCCTCTCAAATAGCGACACATCGAGAGCATACTGCCCTCCATGGTGACTCTCGGTCGAGAGTTCGAAGTTCTGCACTTGGGGCCGCAACTGCTGATGATCTCCAACCAGTATCACGTGACAGACGGAGGGTAGGAGGGTCGTAAGCATCTGGGCTTCCAGAATTTCGCCGGCTTCCTCGCAGATTAGCAACTTGGGGTCCACTCCATGCAGGAGATCGAGATTGCGAGCCAGACCACTGGTAGTGATGCCGATGATGCTCGCCTGACGGAGAACGTGGAGGTTCACCTCTGCTCTGATCATGTCGAGGTTGTGCTTCGCCTCTTTGTAAGAAGACAGAGCGTGACGCAGCCTCTCTCCAAGCTCGTCCTGGATCTCTGACACCCACGACTTGAACATGACCCTCTTTTCAGCAACTGTCATCTCGGAGCAATGGACCTCTTGCAGCTCTTCGAAAGGGCGGGCGCGCCATCGACCCAGCGACCCGGTCCTCAGCCACAAGTCGAGGATGGTTTCCTGCTTGCGCCCTACAGTGATCCAGCCGTCCTCGTTGGGCGCAAAGATCTGGTCGTGGCGGTATGGATAGTGTTCACGGAGATGTGCCTTAACCATGGTCTCGCTTCCGAGGGAGTTGAGTGCGTCCAAGATCTTGTTGATTTCTTCGGTCTCCTTTTTCGTCTGTTGAAGGAGCTTCCAACGCTCGGCCTTCTCCGTCTTCGTCAAGTCAAGGCTTTGAGCAAGGACACGTAGGTTGACATCATCCAGCCGCTCAGACTTCGATCGGCCACCGATTCTCACGATTCCCAACACGCCATCGTCGACAGAACGCTCCAGTATTGCGTCCAGTGCATGATTGGTGTGAGTGCAGACGAGGATTGGTCCAATGCCGGTTGCCTTCTTATTCGCAAGCGACACCCGGATCAACTGTACGCCAGTGTAGGACTGGCCCGTACCAGGTGGCCCTTGAACGAGTGCAACACTCCGCGATAGACATGAGACCACCGCGGAAGCTTGTCCTGGGTCCAGCGACGAACTCCTAGCCAGCTCACTTGCAGCTTCTCCAGCTTCGTCCGTTACTGCAAGGAACAGAGGCCTGTTGCCTGTCGTGATGCTGGAAAGGTCGTAACGGAAGCCAGGCTGGGTTGCGTAGGTGGGCGGTGGGACAGACACCTCGCGGTCTGGGTTCTCGGGAGTCGATGTTGGCGCAAGAATGTCAGCGAACGGAATGTCTGGGTCTCCACTTATGCGCTGCATCGCTTTCGAGGTTGGTTCAAATGATGGTAGGAGCACGCCGGGAAACTCCACAAGTGATAGCGTTGCGTATGTGGTCTCGTTGATTGATCTGGACAGCAAGCCATGGACGTCGGACTGGTTGACCGGCTTGACGACCACATATGCGTCGTCGGGGTCGAAAGCAGGATTAAACTCCGCCTGCAGTAGTGTAGGCTTTGCGCCTTGCTGAGCGACCACAAAGAAGGTCACCGATCTTTCCGAGCTGATAAGGCTGATGAGTGCGTCAGGCCCAAGACGCTTGGTTTGCTCCCACCATTCCTGGCGAGCGGCTTGGAGCTTTGCCGATTCGCTTTGGGGCGAGCGAAACGAATGGCAAGCTGTGCGCCATGGTACTCGTCGAATGCGGCAGAAGCCAGGTACACGTCCTTATAGACGTAGGTTCGCGCGCCTTGCTGCTTCGACTGCGCCGCGTCCACGCCGTGTGGGTTCTGCAGCCTCTCGAGCTCGAATTTGGCCGCACCTCGAAGCTGACCGACAGTATCTTCACGCAGCAGGCGAAAGTGACGATCGACAAGGCCGGGCACGCCGCCGAAGTGCCATTCGCTTGGGTTGGCGACCGGGAGGTATTCGTTGCGCGAGCTCTGGATTTCCTGGAGAGTCGGCAAGATGGAGATGTCCTGTGCGTGCACGTGGTCGTTGTCATGCCTCCGGCCCTCCTCTGACAGCTCACCAGGACGGTCACGAGCCAGCTGGAACACTGCGCGGGAACCGGCGGGGCGCTGGATGCCTGCTGCGTCCGGCAATGCTTTCCCAAGACCTAGACGCTGCTGCAAGCGCTCCAGGTGCCTTCTTGCCGTGCTGGTTGCGAGACTTGCATTCTGTGGAAGGTTGTTGAGAAAATTGCCGAATGTCTCGGCAATGGGCGTCAAGCCTGGGTCCGCGTGAGCAGGCGTATTGACTTCGGCCATCTTGGTGAGCACGACGAGCGCGGTCTCGATGATGTCCAGTGCGTATTTGTCGACCTCCTCATGCCCCGGTTCCGTGTCCAGCAACTCCGTGAGTGCCGGAAATCCAGCAAGAGCACTGAACAAAGACACAGCTCGCTGACTGCTACCACTGCCCGTGTACAGGATGTTGTAGATGGTCATCAGCTTGGTCCGGAGCAAGACGGACGAGGTGACGTTGGCGTGCGTGATGGTCTTGAAGAACGGCATGAGCTGGGCTTCGGTGATCCGGGTGAGCTGGGCTGGGCTGAAGGTATCGAAAGACTGCTCGAGAAGCTCCTCGATGCGGAGCTGCCCGCCCTCGCTCGTCAGTAGGGTTATCACTTCTTGCATGGTCCCTGTCCCAATGCCGACGAGTTCGAGCGTCTGCTTGAAGAACTTCGACAGGCCATGTCCGAGTGGCTTGGCGCCAGCTGGGCCCTTTGGTATCTTCCATCGGAAGTCCTTGAGAAGTACTTCTGAGTTCTCCGGGGCGCTGTCGCCAGTGCCGGTTGCGCTGAGAGACACTTTGAGCTGGTCGATGTCTTCCTTATCGTGTGAGAAGGTGCACTGCGCGGCGCGTCGGCAAGTCCCCTTCATGAAATACTGGCATGCCTTCGGCTTGAAGGCTGGGTCTTTGACGTGTGCGTATGTACATTTGGAGCCTTTCTTGCACTGGCCCAGCTGGAAGAAGTGGCACGGCCTGCACACTGTATTAGTTGATACGTGATGCAAAGGGGGGGTTGGACACCCACTTCTTGCCTGGCACCATCTCTAACGTGTTCGGAGCAGACGCGCTCTTCGAGGGGTGGTAGCTATCACGTCGTACAGCAACGTCTTCGGGCGGTGAGGCGAACAGTGATGTGAGGTGCGCGAAGGTGCGCTGCTGCCGGTGGTGTCGATGGCTCCGAACGTCACCAAATCGGCGGTTGAGCGTCCGATGCGGACAGTGGTGGTGAATCTGCAAAAGTGGTGGTGCTGCCGTCTGACAGCGAGGTGGACTGGGAAGAAAGCTGGACAGCGGAAGAAGATTGAGCACCAGAAGTCGGCAATCAAGGCTTCCTCAACACGTGAATGAAGTGAAGTCGAAGAAACGTGAACCGGAGCGTCGTGTCTCACTGGACGATTCGTCACGTTACTTCACCTGGAACAAGACCTACAGCCTGGTCTCTTCTCCCTGAGACACGTGCATTCCATTTGTTGGCTCTCCTTCACTGCTATGGTCCGACTGAAATCCTACCACTGCTTCTCTGGATGCGAACATGCAGGAAACATCATCAGCTGGACTCTACCAGATGCTTTGTCGCTTACACAGAGGACCACAACTGAAGTCTCCGCCCGACCCTGACGAGGTTGAGACATACCGCGCTGCCACCACGTCCAGATCAAGCACCAGACCAAGTAGGTGCTCCAGCACGGTCACTGGTCTGCCACTCATTGCAACCCTCATCACCACTTCTGCCGAACCGCGAGACACGCTCAGAACCTACCGTCTGCTCTTATGCCTTGCAACGTTCTCCACCTGAAGCACACAACGCCTTCTCTCTCTCGATGACCAAAGACTTCACACATGCTCTTACGTTCGCCCTCACTCTCTCCCCTGCCATCGCGCGCTTGAAGGAGCAAGAGGAGTGCTCGGCCAGATTCCTCTCCGGCCAGTTGTGCCAAACTGGCAGGCTGGAGTCGAGATTGGCCTGATATCAGACATACCGTCTCATCTCGAGACACAGCAATGATCACCAGAGAAACGTGCAGGGCAAGACATTGGAAGGGTGAGAGAGGAAAGCAGCAGGTTCAGGCAGGTAGGGTCAAGAAAGACGGGGTGATTCAGCGATTCCTTGGTACGATCTAACTCTATCCGGCAGCTCGCCGCAGATATTGTCTATCGACTGTTGTTACATCTAGACTCCTACCACTTTCGACCGTCCTGTCTTGCTCTCATCTCGGCGCAGTACGCCGTAGGTTCCAGAAGCATCGCTTGGACGGTCGTGATAGGTACTGTCTGAGTAGTCAGCATTTTCCGATCTGCTTCACGAACTCCCTGCTCTGCTTACCACACTGTCGAAGTTCCACGCTCGTTCAAAACTGCGCGTGGAGCTCACGCTGTCCATCCATGGCCGTGTTCACACCTTCCCTCTTCCTGGATGGTCAGATCGCGCTTCCGTGACGATCAGTCCTTGTTCACATTCTTCCCGCCATTCCTCCTCCTCCCACCCTGGTCGGAAGTGGCCTTGGCCACTCTACCTCCACCATTCCTGGGCGCTGGGTCAGACTTCGCAGAGCCGTTGGGCCGGCCACCTCCATTCGCCATCCCTCCCCTACCTCCTCCTCGACCGCCACCACGGCCGCCCCTACTACCGCCACCGCCCCTTCCGCCACCTCCAGTCTCAACGAGTCCCACGTTCAGTCCTTTGACACCCTTCAACCCCATCTTACCGATGACACGCTTATCGATCATCGGCGGCTCCGGACAGCCCATAGTCGCAGCCATCTCGTTCGCTTGCTCGACGAGACCGTCGTTGGTCAGTTGCAGCTGCTTTGTGGATGTCTTGTTGAAGCCCAGCCAGGCTTGGTATGCCTTCGATTTGGTGGGCTCGTCTACGTTCTCGAAAGCCCGGTCGACTTCTGGTGCCAGCGCACTCGCCACGGGGCTGATGTCAGTGGGGTAAGGGTTGATTGTGAGACGTTTGTTTGCTCGAAGAAAGAAGCTCTCGCGCTGGGTGAGAAGGATGACGGCTCGACCTTCATTGCCTGCGCGAGCTGTTCGACCAACACGATGGATGTACTGATCGCCGTTAGCGGGCAAGCCAACCTGGATGACCAGACTGACGTTCGGGAAGTCCTGTACGTCATGTCAGCATCTCCCCAAGCACTCTGTCAGCTCCCACTTACCATGCCACGACCAATCACGTCACTGGCCAGCATCAAGCCGCTGGAGGCTGCTTTGAACTCGTTCGTCGTCCGGGTTCGCGCAGCCTGAGAGAGGCGGCTTTGCAATTGGAAGACTTCGATCGAGCTGTTCTTGCCAAGAAGGTTCGAGAACAACGCCGCCATGAGAGCCACACCGTTTGCTGTGGAACCAAATACGATGACCTTGAAGTTGTTTGGAGACAACTCGAATTCTTTTTGGAGCAGAGCGTGGAGCGTGGTGTAGACTTCACGGTTGCTGGGCACTGTCACGAAGAATTGTGGCACTCGGTCGATTGTGGGCGTCTCGTTCGGGTCGACGGTCGAGAGCCTCGTGTAGCCTGGCTTGAGGACTTTCGGCAGCACTGTGTCCATCTTGCTGGGGATCGTAGCGCTGAAGCACATGCCTTGCCAGCCTTGGGTCTTGGGAGGCAGCCGACTGAGGATCTGGATGATGGCGGGGAGGAAGCCGGTGTCAAGCATGGTGTCAGCCTCATCTAGCACGAGTGTACGCATGCGGTTGAGTTTCCTGGCGACTTTGTCGTCGCTCAGATAGTCATTAAGCCTTCCCGGGGTTGCGACGAGCACCTTGGGGTCGCCGGTCATGAATCGCTTCAGCTCCCGGTCTTTCGCAGTGCCGCCGTAGGCTGTGTGACATTCGACAGGCGGAGCGAACTGTGCTGTCACCGACTCGCATTCTTTCGCAATTTGCAGTGCAAGCTCGCGGGTAGGTGATAAGACCAGGATTGCGACTTCGCCTTTTGGAAGTGGTGGCGATGCCAGGAGCGAGTGGAGAGCAGGTAGGAGAAAAGCCAACGTCTTGCCGGTGCCAGTCTTCGCCTGCACGAGGCAGTCTGATCGGAAGTCGGGCAGCTTGGTCAAGGTCATCAGCTGGACCGGCGAGAGGAACCTGGGAGGGGTCAGTGGGTGTAAGCCGACTAGCAGATCACATGCTACTCACTCAAAGCCCATCTTCTCAATCCCCCGCAGCAAGCGCTTGTCCAGCTTCCCCTCCATGACACCCCATCGCTGCTGCGCTTCCTGTGAGCCTTCGTTTAGGCTCGCCATGTCGTTGCGCGTCGTGTTCTGTTTGTAGTGTCGAAGTCTCGAAAAGTTCGGGTTTGGCAGTTGCGGTTGAGAATTTCAGGAGCGCTAGACTAGGCTGCATGCGGCCATCACTGGAATGTCGATTTGTCCTTCGTCTACGACACCACACTGATATACTACCTGACACTGCGCATGCGTTACATGGGGCGGTGAGCCGTGCGCCCCAGCGAGCAGAGAGAATTCTTCGAGCAACCCAGCACAGGCACATCCTAGGAGATCTAAGGCTACCATCGTGAGTACAACACAAAGTCAAAAACATGCCGCACTTCGTATCCGAACAAGCGTTTTGTTGAGATGCCAGGCTCGCTCGAAGGGAGAGTGTGACGGATGTTGATGTTGACAATGCAGGCATAGATTTGAGGTTGCGGTATGGCTTACTCGTCAGACCCGGCGCCATTCCTCGACATTGATAATTATCTACAGTTTACGATCATGACGGGCATATTCAACATCACGCTCTCCCTTGACATTACACCGAGTGGTTATCCGCGATCGGACTGTGCGAGCTCTGCCCAGCCGGGTCAAACTCCTCCATCCACTCGCCCTCCTCACTTCTCGATCTCGAGTCCAATATCTTGCGATCGCTCGGGAAGGTATACAGCTCCCCTATTGATTCGGACCGTCCACTGGTGTGCCTCCGCGAGCTCTGCTCTGTCCGAATCTCCGAGACCCCGGTAGCCGTGCCCTCCCAGACCTTCCGGATCAGGCGCCCGAAGCTAGGCATACATGCGCAGATGACTCCAACGTTGGCTTCGGCATGGCTCCAGATGGCCAAGGGGACGACACTGGGACGTTGGCCTGTAGAGGTGGCGTAGGCGTGGAGCTGTTGAACGCGGACCCCGCTAATGGCAGTAGCGAAGAGGCCTACCAAGAAGTTCAAACACACGCCGAACTTCTTGCTCCTCGATGTTTGGAGTTGGATGATCTTCGGTATGGGCAGGAAGAAAACGACCAGATCCAAGGGGATGTTGAGAGCAGCCATTGCGACGAGTTGCACGTCCGAGTCGATGCAATGCACCTCGATCTCTTGATCCCACCGTTGCCACACCTATAGGAGGTACAGGTCAGTATGGAACAACAAACGTCCACCGCGATGAAATCAAGTACTCACGCCGGATAGAGGGTTGCACGCAAAGATGAGACTTGCCAGCCCACCAATTGTGTACGCCACACATATGCCAATGATGGCGTAGCATGCGGGACGGAACCATGTCATCATTGAGCTTGGGAAGAGACGAAGGTATAGGAGGACGATGGCGATTTTGATCAAGTTGACGCTGCAAAGCCACGTCATCTCGTCTATCCATGCCAGCTAGGGATGTGTAAGTCTTGGTGATCCCAGATCCGCATGTAGTGGTTTATGCGTACTTTTTGGATATGTGAAATATCGTGCCATCTGGGCGCAAGCATCCAGACATCTTTCCCCATCCCAATGTTGACCACTAATCGACGGCATTAGCAGAACCCAACATCATGCGAGCTTGGGTATACATACTGGCTTGGAGGACACCTGAATGGACGATGAGAAAGACAAGTACCATTAAGACGCACCTACAACCACAAGGGCGAAGGGGTCAGCCAACGTCCTAGACTAGAGGGCGGTGTCCATTGAGTCTTTACCAGTCGTCCCAGCCGTAGCCCGGCCCTCCACCCCAAGGAGATCGAGCCAGGAAGCGAAGTGCAACTGCGACGATGGAGATAGCAAACAAAGTCCAGCATACTCGTTCGACCAGAGGTCCTTGGTTCCGCACTGGTAGACCGCAAGCCACGCTAGCCGACTTCTTCGTTATCAATGCCTCTTTGGTGGTGCAATTTGCTACAACGCATCGAGCAACGCCCGCGTTGTGCTGGAGGCTGTTGCAGTCGCATGTTGGGTCGCCTAGTACACAGTCCAAGATTGGAGGGTGAATGGCCAGGCAATCGACCTGTGAAGAAGAACGGTTAGCATGAACGCCAATGTAGTTCAAGCGCTGAGAGAGTTACAGTGCACCGTGGGAGCGCATCTCCCCATGCTTCGACTTCCACTGAGGCATTCACCGCCAACACCGATCTGGCGGCTGCGAAGAGACACAACGTAGTAGCGAACAGAGCGCGACACTGCTTCATGGTGGAAGTCGCGAGAGCAACAGAGCCAGAGCTGCGTTGGCAGACCTGCTCCTACTTACATTGCATGACGTCCTGCATGGCTCCTCCAACGCACGCAACTGACATGTATCCACACGATCCTTTGGTTCACTTGTAGTGCCTCTTAAAAGTGCCTCGGCGCCGTCAAGCGCAGCCAATACCACACGTGGGTGGAGCAGAGCTACACTTGCGATACTACATGTTTATAGTGGCGGGAGGGAGGATCCTTCGACATTCATAAAAATCCTTCACGCAGATTAGCACGTGGGTGACAGGGTGGGGGTAGGAATCCTTCGACGATCATCAAATGATAACGTTCAGAAACGTTATTCTACTAAGTCTAGCCACTCTTCTTGCCGTGGGATTGGCACACCGTACCGATAGGGAACTACCGAGGAGGAGCTGATAAGATACGAAGTCGGGAGTGAGAGTAGAATTTAGCGAACAAGATAGACAATGTTCACGATTGTCGCGGATGACCACGGAGGTCATTGCGAAAACACCTCTCCAGGCTCTTGCTACACCTGCTCGATGGTTCATCCTGGGCACCGCAAAGGCCTGTCTGTAATGGGGAGCTCAACTGCCTGGACGTGCAAGTTCACATGGTTGCTCTTTAGAGGTCACCATGCAAGTGCGAAGATCTATGAGTGTCTCTCCTCGGTCCATCTGATCGACCGTGAAAGGACACTGTCCCTATAAACGGGATTCCGCATGCCTACAGTGAGAGTGCTTGCCTCACGTCTGCCGTGGTCATCTTTTCCTGTCCCAGGGTATTGGTCCATAGGCCTTGAGCACATCTTGAGCCGTCTTGAGGACTTCCGCATGAACGCTGCTGGGTGCGCAGACAAGCCCGTAATCTGGTATCGTCAGCAAGGATCTAGAACACATCTTGTAAAATGTTCAACCCACTGTCGGCCATTTTCCTTCCCCTACTGAAGTCAATCCTCTTGCCTTCAAGATCCGTCACCTTCCCACCAGCTTCTTCGAAGATGAGCACCCCTCCCGCATGATCCCACATATTACTCCTCCAGCTCGCAAACTTGAAGATTCGCATACAGACGCTGCACCTCCCAAGGCCCAGCGCAGCGTATTTCAGAATCGAGCTGTAGAGGTCAACACCTGGCCAAGAGAGGTTCAGCTTCGCAGCCACCTGCTGCTGCAAGATGGTGATCGTGGAGGTGTAGGTTGAACAGTCTGACCAGACCAGCTGGTCCAGCGTTTTGGTATCGCCGTGTCGGTCTATTCGTGTTGCCGGCAAGAGGACGCCACTCTGTTGCATAGGACGAACCCACGTGCCCTTCCCGCGGACGGCGAAGATCATGAGGCCAAAGCCGGCAGTGTCAATGTCATCCTCGTGAACAGTGCTGGAGTCGAATTTGAGGTTAGGGCAGCCAATGACGCCGATTTCTTCTCTGCCATGTCGAAGAAACGCACAGTTGATCGTGTATCTTGATTACCAATGTTTGGGTTAGTGCGCTGTGTTGCTCGATGTCGAGATTCGCTTACTGTTGTCCGCGAAGAAACGTTTGAGTACCGTCAATGGGATCAAATACCCACGTCCGCGGGCCGTCGCTCCGCTCGTTCTTCCCACCGAAATCAATGTATTCCATCGTTTCCGAGGAAGACGTTGGTGTTGCCAGGCTCGTTGGTCCATCTTCGAAAGAGGGTTTTGAGAAAGAGGGTTTTGCTTCCTTGATCAGCTCCCAGACTTTGTCGAGCAGTGGAGCATTCTGCCGCAGCTCATCCGCTGATTCTTCGGCCAGGAAGGTATCATCCTCGCAGTTTGGGTCACCATGAATGGCCGCTGTCAGGAGAGCTTGCACCGCAAAGTCGCCGACAGTCACTGGCGAGAAGTCTGCCTTCGAGATCGAGTTCTCCGGGCTGAGCGTGGCCTCCTGGACACGGCGGGTGAGAATGGAAGAAAGCTGTACGGCCGTGCAGGCCATTTCCAGCTCGTGCTGATAGTCGCTGTCCATAGCCCCGTCTTCACCTTCTGCGAACGTGGAGTATTATGGAGTTATCGTCCGTCTAGCAACATCATGAATCGATGATGATGAGCGGAACAAGAAGTCGAGTAAGACCAAGGTATCTCTAGACTTAGATGATGCAGCATGTCCTATTCATGGTCGAGAAAGTCGTGGGGCACAGGGCGGAAGAGATTGGCAGATTCGAACAGAACAGCAAGCACATGCGTTCAGTCGTGTGGAAGGATATCCATCACGAAGTACATACAAGCTATAACGCGAGTAACCACCGGGTATATAAGTCCACTTCAAACACTCAGTGGAACTTGTTCCTGTCCGCAAACTCATCGTTCTCTAAGAACACCTCAATCGTCTCGTTCATCTTCTCATCCACATCCTTGCAGCACAAGCACGCAATAATGCCAATAATACCGAAACCAAGACTCGTCAGTGCGATCAACTTGATGCCATGGGCGACAGCGAGCTGTTGAGCGTATCCAACGGCACCTGCAACGTTGGCACCAAAGTCCGCCGTGAGCGCCTCCACATCCGTAAGCTCACCCAAGAGAGTGGCAATCTGGCCTTGCGGCACACCGGCTTCGAGGGCAGCGCGTGTGACATAGACTGGCGTTTTCTGCGCGACATCGTTTTGGAAGACGGTGAGGTAGATGGCCTGACCAATGCTGCCGCCGGCAAAGCGGACGCAGCCGGAGAGACCGCCAGAGATACCCAGCTGCTCCTGAGGGACACCCATCTGAGTATAGGCAATGGTGAGGTAGATGGCCCAGCCGTAGCCAAGCATACTGATGACGAGCATGCCACACATCAGGCTGAAGTTGTCTGGAGTAGCGAGAGCTAGGAGGGAGCCGAAGAGGACCATGACGGTGACAGCGGTAGTCTGTTGCCATTGCCAATGCCGAATCTTCGAGCCGAAAAACGAGAGGCCCATAGCTCCAACTGTGATGGCCAGACCCTGCGGAAGGGAGAGATACGCAGCTCTCTGCCATGGCTGGCCACCTGCGGTGTAGAATGAGCTGATCATAGTCGGCCAAATGATGCTGCTGGAGTAGTAGAACATGTTGATGATGGCAAGTGCAATCGCAGGTGCCGTGAAGTCCCGACCTCGTGAGCGTGTGAACACAATTGGAGGCGTGAGAGGGTGTTTGGCGTTCCCGAAGGTCTCCCATAGCGCAAAGATGACCAGAAAGACGAAGCCTACGACCAAGGTCGCAACCACGCGAGGATCAGTAGCTGGTAGTGTGGCAGTATATACAATGCCAACGAGCACGGGAAGCGACCCAGCCATGAAGAGGAACATGCCGAGATAGTCCAGATGGCGGATGGCCTGGCCGAACGGAATGCCTAGAGGATGCGCAGGAGGATAGTAGAAGAACCACAAGCCCGCAGCGGAGATGCCTTGCAGGATGGCAGCTGCGTAGAAGTTCGCTCGCCAGCTTCCAGCGTAGTATCCGTACCGCGCAGTGACTGGGATGACTATGATACAGAGGTAGACAGCCAAATCTGCAAGCACAACACCTATGTGCCGCCACTTGTTTGGGAGCAATTCTGGGAGCGCAAACGCGGCCATCTGACACAGAGCAGCCCCAAGGCCACTAATGGTCATACCAGTGATGACTTGAGCGTTGGACTGTGCTGTCGAGACGATGATGTGGCCGACGGTGCAGATGAACTGTCCAGCGATGAGGAACCATCGCCTGCCTAGCACATCGGTATTCGCGCCAGCCAGCATGAAAGCGACGGTGATGGAGATGATCCAGGCGGCGACGAACCAGTTGGAGGCAGTAGCATCACCTAGATCAGTAGCAATGTCGGCGCCGACTGCTGCCATGACTGGGACGGGCTGCAATCATCGTTAGTCAATCATTCGAGATGAGGTAGCACAACGACTGACGATGAAGCTGAGGCCATAGCCGAAACTGAGGATCGCAACCACCACCCAGGTCTTCGGCGTAACGCGAACATCATCTTGCGGGGGGCGGTCGACGCCAGGGCGATCGTGTCCTTCAGTGGAGCTGTTGTGCCCGGACTCTATGTTGGTCACTTGCTGTTCCTTTTCGCTCGCCATTGCTGCTGTCCTTGAGCGTCGGACCGACAGATCAAACGCAAACCCAGGGACGCAGGGATACAGGTCAGTAAATAGCTGTTGTCAAAGGACGCGGCTCCGAATATAGTTTGGAGACCACATCCAGGAAGCTGGGACTACCCCACGGGGCAGCCGGATAACGATGTCCGGCACTATCATTGCCGAACTATTAGCGAGATAAAACGGTAGATCTGCTGCGGAAGCAGGGCAAACGAAAGCCGTGCAGAGCATATTTGCGCTATTCCCACCAACGGTAGCCGCCTGGCCGTGAGTCCAAGAACTTGACTTCCCGGATTTGGCGCTTGCAGAGCGAACTTCCCAAAACTCGGCCAGCTGTCTCACGTCGGATCGTAGAGCGAAGTTGGAAATGCCTGAAGACGATTCGCGCTTGGTCTGCCATCAAAGGACCGAGGGTGGTCGGAAGTGGCCGACTTGGTACACGCCCAGGAATCCCGCGGATTGGCGGTTCCATTCGACCAGAGCCTGATCAGCTCTGTCCAAAGTCTTCTCCATGCTCCGGGAATAGCGGTCAGGAAGTTGTGTAATCGTGTACACTTCTGTACGTCCGCTCTTCGAAGCCGACAATGCTAAAGTTCACCAGACGGCGCATTAATACATCACAACCAGTGCATCCGTTCGCGATTCATTTGCTGTTGTGGTTATTCATCTGTTGATTCGATCGCTGTGACGGCATTCGGAGACTGATGAGTAGAACAGCTGACGACTACCGCATCAGCCCACCAAGATCCCGTTCCATCCCTTCGACCCTCTCTTCAAGGGCCCTCTTCTTCCGCTCTAGGTCACGTACTTCTTGCTCCTCCCGCTCCAGGTCCTCCTTCGTCATGGGAATAGCCACGTCGTCAAGGCCGGCGGCACCTGCTTCAACATCCTCGGGCTCGCTGTATCCGCCACGGCTGGTCGGCCGATTCATAGCCTGCAATTGAGTCGACTGCTCAGCTACCAAACTCTCGTAATGGTTGATGTTGGCTGCAAGCTGTTGATGCCGCCGGCGGAGTCCAGCGATGCGGTCGTTTGCGCCGGGAATAGGGCTACAGCAACAGGTCAGCCAGCAAGTCGGTTGTTCGGACGACTCATACCCACTAGACTGCAGCAAGCTTCTCGGCACCCTTCAACAGCACCTCCACATCCAGCTCTCCCTTCTGCCTCCCGGTCTCGCCAGTCCTCGTCCGTTGGTACAGGTCGCCGCCCAAGACAGCCGCAACGGCCTTGTTTTTGGGCTGTCTGGGCGCGTAAGCGGTCTGTCGTCTTGTTGTGCCAGATGTAGCTAGTAGTGAGGTACCCGCAACCGATTCAGCAAAGTTGGAGGAGCCAAACTTTGGGAGTGGAGGTGGAGCAAGGTGGAAAAGGGCGCGTTCGTGCTGCTCCGTGTCTCTGATCAGCGTCGTGATGTCCTGATTATTGATTAAGGCGTTGGTGAACATCTTCGGGCTTTGGAAGGAGAGGTCGGCTATCGAGGTGGCGCACAAGGAGATTTGCTCCAGGTGGGAGGAGAGAAGGGCGGCCATGGTTCCGACTCTGGAAGCCTTTCCTGCAGACAGGGGTGTTTGGAGTTCTCCGACTTGGATTGTAGAAGCCTCAACTCATGAAGTCTTCTTCAGCTTCTCCCAATTGGTCTTGCTGTCCAATGTGGTTCGTTGCATGTGTCTTCCAAGTTGTGTTGACATGTTCCGCGCGCGTGGGAACCCGGATCGGCTTCGGCAGGGGCCGACCCTAGCGCAGAGCTCGCCCGGGGATTACGTTTGTAGGTTCCGCCTTGGAGCAACTTCAAGCCAACGTCAAGACAGCGACGCAGCTCCTTCCCATCCCTTCCATACCCCCTTCACCCTCGCGACGATGGCAGATAAGATGGACGTGGATGCGGTCAGCGGCGCGCGAGAGGAGGAGACGGTGGGTCCAGCGCCCGATCTGCCGCCCGAGAGAAGTCGGTTCACGCGAACAGCATATGGTCATGGAGGAGACTGACGAACCCGCGCAGTTATCATCAACAACTTCGACCTGATCCGGCAGGCCGTCGATGCCTTCGACTCGCGCTTCATCCTCCGCGCGCTCCGGTCCATCTCGACCCTGCGCAAGTCAGACAAGTTCGCGGAGGCGATTGTGCAAGGCGTGCGCACCGCCTTCCCCAAGCCGACCATGGGCGCGCGGAAGGTACTGGAGGACATGCTGCCCGAGAACGTGACGGCGATGCAGAATGGCACTTCTTCAAGTGGTGAGGACAAGAAGAGGGATGGCAGCACCGAGGAGCAGCAGCTGCCCGAGATCTGGGCTTATCTGGGCATCCTGGTCCAGGTATGGGCATATTCCATCCTTCAACGGGTGGTCCGGACGCTGACACATCCGCATAGGTGTATCTCTACGACTCGCAGCAATTCCAAGACGGCGCCGACTTCAGCACCAACTTCGTCGAGAAGATCCGCTCCTGGAACCGGCGCACACTCGACCAAATCGGCGCAAAGGCATACTTCTACTACTCTCTCTTCCACGAGTCGCTCGATCCCAAGCCACCGTCAAAACAGTCACCTGTCATCGAAGTCCGCCCGAAATTGCTTGCGGCTCTGCGCTCAGCTGTATTAAGAAAGGACAACGATACACAGGCCGCCGCCACAGTCCTGCTACTCCGGAACTACATCATCACAGCAGACATCACACAGGCAGACCTTCTTGTAGCACAGACGCAGTTCCCGTCTGCTGCTAGCAACAACCAGGTATGCCGTTACCTCTACTACCTTGGCCGCATCCGCGCCATCCAGCTCGCCTACACCGAAGCGCACGATCACCTCGAATCCGCCACTCGCAAGTCGCCTACCGCTGGTCCCGCGGTTGGTTTCTACCAGCAGTCCATGAAGCTCCTCATCGTCGTCGAGCTTCTCATGGGTGACATTCCTGAGCGTTCGGTCTTCCGCCAACCGGCCCTTGAGACCGCCCTTTACCCATACTTCAAGCTCGTGCAGGCCGTGCGAGTTGGCGACCTGCAAGCCTTCCTGCGATGCGTGACCAACAACGAGGGCCAGTTCCGGAAAGACGGTACATACACGCTCATCCTCCGACTTCGCCAGAACGTCATCAAGACTGGTGTTCGTATGCTTTCGCTGTCCTACTCCCGCATCTCCCTCCGCGACATCTGCACACGCCTGCACATCAGCAGCGAGGAATCTGCAGAGTACATCACCGCCAAAGCCATCCGCGACGGCGTCATCGAAGCAACGTTAGACCACCAGAATGGCCACATGGTTACCAACCCTCAACGCGACGCGTATTCCACCACCGAGCCGAGCGAAGCCTTCCATGCGCGAATCGAGGCGCTGCTGAACTTGCGTGACGAGTGTGTAATGGCGATGAGATACCCGATGAATAAGCACAGGCAAGAGCTGAGTGAGGCGGCAAAGGCAAGGGAACGCGAGAAAGAGCTGGCCAAGGAGATCATTGAGGGCGAAGGAGATGACGCCGATGGTGATGAAGGAGGGTTTGAGGGGATGTAGGGGTGTGCCAGTATCCAGCAGACTATGAGCATTTGGCGAGACGACACAAAACACGGCATAGCGTCGCGGGTGCGTGTATAATAGAGGCTACTAAAGCAAGGAATGATGTTGATCAGAGACATTTCCAAACCCTCCCACGCGGTCAGTGGCTTCCGTTTCGAGACTTGATAAGCTGTCTCGTGCCTTTCTCAGTCCGAAAATTGAGCCGCCTGAACAAACGAAACGTGTCGAGCAGACCGACATCGGTTGCTGCGGCAGCCATGTCTTACGAGCAGCAAGATCCTACCTTAGACGCTGACATTCAGAACACAGCTGCATGACCGCTGGACTCGATCAATCGCACAGCAAGCAAACATCACATGAACCCAACAGAAGCGATTGTTCATTAAAATTCCACCATCGACTTGTCATACCTCATGAACTTGACAACTTCTCATGAAGTCTGATAAGTCGCTTGGGCATCCTGCCAGATACCGAGCAGAGACTCCATCTTCCAAATCTCCAAATAAGCTGGAGACACATCACCTGGGCTTCTCTTCCAAAGTAGGACTCGTCCCCTTCTCTCAGCCCGACCAGCCTGGCCAGTTCGGACAGCTTGAACCTGTCAGGCTTCACCACCCCATCCCACGAAGGCCACAGCTACTTCCGCTGTGCAGTGCCTTCGAGTCGGAACGAGCAGCTGGTGAGCACACTGCACAGAACCGATAAAGATGTCGTTGCTGGGGTGGCGGGGTTGATCTTGCGTAAGTTAAGCTCAGATAGTTGTTGTCATCCGTGACACACATCATCATCTGGGCGCTGAAGTACCGCGGATAATGCTGAAGCCCGCTATCCTGCCCTACTGCTCGGCCAACAAGAGAAACACCGTGAGCAGAATGGCGACAAGCCGGGCTTCACCGTCCTCACGGCCGCCGAATCCTTCCCCGTCCCCTTCTACACCTTCGCCGCACCACCGAGCAGCCTCAACAGCACCCTCCAGTTCATCGGTTACTCCGCCATACTCTTCTGGCGCGAACCCGCTTTGCCCTCACCTTGCCTGAAAGCTCTGGCCAAAGCCGAGTCTCGTCATCGCACAACACCAAAGACAGCCCTCGAAGGCCTGCTCGACGTTATAGCAAATTTGGTCTGGAGCGTGCATCCTACCGGTACAAGGCGACCCCCTCCGCGCTTGGAAGTAGAGAGTAGGAGGTGGAGGACGGGAGGTTTCCCTTGATGTTCTCGTCGTCCTCGGTGTAAAGTTTATCCGGGATTTTCCCAAAATGGATGCTGCTTCGTACTCGTTTTCTCTGTTATTCATCCATCCGCAACATGAATGGCCACCATCGCTGCTCCTTAGAGCAGATCGATTGCATCGCTGCATCATGAACAAGCGCTGCGACCATTCCATTGCGAATAACCAGGTCCACGTTCTCTGCTTGTCCGCTTGTCCACTACGTGCGCTGTGCATTGGGGGCCAGCATACCGTGTGCCACTTCGGTCGATTGCTGCCATTAACAGATTGGCGTTACCGGCCTGGAGAGAGCGACTTGCTCTCTAAAGACTGGTGAAGTCCGCGCGAGGTGAGACGGCATCTGACAGACCCACAGTTCCGCCTATGTGAGCCACGTGCAGCCATGGTCTTGCACGAAGCTGACGTTGATGGCTCGTTGCTGATGTGGGAATTCTCTCGAAGTCGAATCTCTGCCTGACATGCCAGCATCACAAGCTGTAAACGCGTCCTGGAATGCGTCGAGCGGCCGATTCCACACAGCTTATTCCGCGAACCCTGCCGGATGCCATAGATCTGGTTTGCGAATAGGTAAGAGAGGTTCGCCAACACTTTTTCGTAACCCGAGCGACTTGACTCTTCGCTTTCTATTGTTACCAACAGGATGGCGCTTCATTTCATTTACAGTCTGTTGCCCCTCCTTATCCTCCGCGGTGCGGCCTCCAATCCAAGCAATGCACCACCACACGGTCGAGTCGATGGCCCAAAGCATCATGGTCCTCCCAAGTGTCATGGTCCAGACTTCGTGCCTGATCACATCTTGCGCTTGACGTACGAGGAGGTCAACATCGGCTGCCAGACTCGACCTTCTGTACTGGTCAATGGCAGCCTGCCGGGTCCTACGTTACGCCTGAAGCCGGGCAAGACCAGCTGGATTCGGGTGTACAATGATATGGAAGACTACAATACAACAATGGTATGCCAGGTCTACCGCTGCTCTTGAGTGCAGCTAATTGCTTCCAGCACTGGCACGGCCTAAGCCAGCGGACAGCGATCTTCTCGGATGGCACACCTTCCGCGAGCCAGTGGCCCATTCCGCCGCTCCACTTCTTCGACTACGAGGTTCGTCCCGAGAAGGACGATGTTGGCACATATTTCTACCATTCCCACGTTGGCTTCCAGATGGCGACTGCATCAGGACCACTGATCGTAGAAGATGGGGGCCAACCTCCCTATGATTACGACGAAGACATGATGGTGCATCTAAGCGATTACTTCAACAAGACAGACACAGCGATTGAACGCGGGCTTGTCGCCGATCCTTTCGTTTGGTCGGGCGAGACAAATGCAGTCTTGATAAACGGCGTCGGCGTTCCGATCGGTGAAGAAGCTGGTAAAGACGGCTGCTGTCGGTTGCCCGTGCTCCATGTTGAGGCAGGCAAGGCGTACCGTATGCGCTTCATTGGGGCAACCGCGTTGTCAATGGTACAACTCGCGTTCGAAGACCATGAGAATCTCACAATCATCAATGCAGACGGGCATTACACCAAGCCGCACTCCGAGCGCTTCATGCAGGTCTCTACCGGCCAACGTTTCGACGTGCTTTTCCAAGCTAAAACGCATGCCGAGCTGGCAGGCAAGAATGACTACCTCATACAGTTTGAGACCAAAGACCGTCCCAGTGTGTACACTGGTTATGGAGTTTTGCGATACGGAGGTGGCAAGAAGATTATTACTCGAGGACCGGACAAGCCGCCAATGTCGCTGCCTAGTGCCACCTACGCATGGCTGGAGTATGCCCTCGAGCCACTGGAACCAAACAACTTCCCCACCTCAGATGATGTGACGAGGCAACTCACCATCTACGACAGGCAGGTATTGACCCAAATTGACATTTGGAGGCTCAACGGCGATCAGTGGAACGACTCGACCATCTACAACACTCCTGGCGATCGTCCGTATCTGATTGATATCTACGAGCGAGGCCCCAAAGCGATCCCGAACTATGAAGCCGCCTTGGACAACAAAGGCTGGGATCCATAGACTTACACCTGGCCGGCCAAGATTGGCGAGGTACTCGAAATTATATGGGTGAACACCGGCAGCTTGGTTGAGGCGAATGGGGGTGTAGACTACCATCCGTTTCATGCCCATGGTGGCCATTACTATGACATTGGCAGTGAGTATCGTGCTGCAGCATGATGTTCGTACGCTAATGCACCTTCAGGCGGAAACGGTACTCACGACCCAGTCGTCAACGAGAAGAAGCTAAAAGGCTACAATCCCGTCCTGCGCGACACCACGAACCTCTATCGATACACCGCAGAGACCAAAGCGGGTATCAACGCTGGATGGAGAGGCTGGCGGCTCCGAGTTGAAGACGCGGGCGTATGGATGATCCACTGCCACATCCTCCAACACATGGCGATGGGAATGCAAAGCGTGTGGGTGATGGGTGATTATGAGCAGATTGCCAGGATACCTCACCCTGACGCTGCTGGCTACTTGCACTATGGCGGCAATGCCTACGGCAACGACACGTTTGCTCCAAGCTACGTGCATCAATTGGATGACTGAGGTTTTGAGGAACATACAACCAAAAGGACACAGGCACAGCGCGTCGGAGAATTGGAGGCTGAGCCACCACGCAGCTAAATCGATCGCCAGCAGGGATGAGCTGGGCGAAGCGCTCGCCAAGCATGTTGGTCCTCCCTGGATGGCGTTCTCAATGCTTCGCTCGTATATTGTGGTATTGCTTGGTCGCACAATCGACCACCCTTCAGATTTTGAGCGCAGCTGGTGCTATAATCCGCAGCTCGTAGTCCAGCAAGGAGCTTCTAATTCCGGGCTCTGCAACACGTCTTCTCATACCGTCTCGGCCGCAAACGTTCACGGGCCTCAGTGTGCACAGCATATCATGAAAGGCTACGCCGGTGAGTAGGTTTTGACATCACAACTAGCTCTGCCAGCTTCCACATCCACAGCATTAGTACTCCTCCGTCTCCAAATAACTCACTCGCAGCAACAACAGCCAGGTCATGGCATCTCTCACGCAACCGATCAAGCAATACGAGATCTTCCAACCCGGGCACTTCCAAACCTCCAAATTTGAGATTCGTCAAAATGGCCATACCATCCTTCACACGAAGCGCAAAGACCGTTTCCTCAAGTCACCAGACGTCCACATCATGTCGCCGGACGGGACCATCCTCGCCGCCTGCATACTTCTGAGTTGGTCGAGAAATCAGCACCTCTACTTGGGCAGTGATCCAGACAATGCCGACAAATCAAATTGCACGCTGCTGGATTGTGAAGGCTTCACGGCTGGGAAGTACAAGTTCTTCTGGCAAGGGCGGGAATATGTTTGGATCAGGACACATGCAAAGGAGCACGGTACGTTAATTCGAGCACTCTAGACTTACAGGTGGTATCTGACCTCCCATATAGGAGCGAGCAGATGGAACAACAAGAGCTTCAAGCTCGTCGGTCAAGCCACCGGGCAAGTGCTGTCCGTGTTCAAGTTCAACAGCGCCATGTTCAAGCACGGAAGACTGGCGGAGATCGATTATTTTGTCGAGTTGGGGCAGCAGCTCGAATTGATGTCAATGGCGGCCATCTTGGGTATCGAGCTGCATATTGTCCGATCCCAGCAGGCGGGCAATGATGTAGGAAGCATCGCCGGGAACGTTTCGGGTATAGTGACAGGTTAGGAAATTACAAGTCGATGGAGGAGTAAGTAGAGATACCCAGTGCGCATCATTCATATCATAGCAATACCAGCTTGCTGTCCTCGTTCGTAATCTTCTTATTCAAAGAGATCCAAGTCTGCTGCCAATGACCTTCATCATCTTTCAACTCAGCTTCCAACCGCTTCCCGTCATTTGCCAGGCGGATGTGCCTTGCACTGGCCACAAACCCACCATGACCTTTCCACCTCAGTCTGCCGTTCTGATTGCTCAGATGGTGGTCGAGATCTAATAATGACCTGCGATGGTGACCATGCGTGTCAGCGCAATCGCAGACCAACGTCGCCGTGCCCTCGAGATGTATGTCTCGAGAGCTGGCACGGAAGGTCCCAGGAGGAACCGTACCTTTCTTCTTGTGGTGGTCAGAGTCGGACGAGGAAGATGAAGAAGAGCTGCTGCTTGAGGAGCTGGAGCCACGGCGCTTGCCCTGCTTCTGCTTATGCTTCTTGCCTTGCTTGCCTCCCTTGCCCTTCTTCTTGTAGGCATCTTCGAGCATGGAGCCACCGATGGCGCCTCCGAGAGTACCGAGCACACCATGGCCCATTTGGTGGCCACCGAAGCCACCTGCCGCTCCGCCGGCCAATGCCCCCATGATCTGTAGCATTCTGTCAATACCAAACGCGCGCGATAAGATCAAATCCCTGATACTTACTCCTCGATCTCCTTCCTGAGGAGGGTTCATTCCTGGAGGACCAATTGGGCCGGCAGACTGGTTGGGATAACCCTGAGCTGGAGGGTAGCCACCATAGCTTTGCGGTGCCTTGTCCTGAGGATACTGTCCTCCGTAAGGCTGTTGCTGCTGTTGCTGATATTGGCCGTAAGCCGGGGGCTGTTGACCGTATGGCTGTTGGCCATACTGCTGTTGCTGCTGCTGAGGAGGATACTGTTGGTATTCTGGTTGGCCGCCGCCATAGTAGCCCGCAGCAGAGCCTGGAGCAGGATTCTGGTAGCCTTGGTTGTATCCTTGATTGTAGCTTTGGTCGTAGCCTTGCCCTGGACCTTGGGGTGGGTGACCTTGTTGTTGGTGGTAGTTGTAGCCTTGGCCTTGGTCGCCGTACTGTCCGTACTGATTGTACTGGTCGCCAGGCGGTGGACCGCCTTGATAACCGTAACCGCTCATGATCTGTTGATGGATGTCTTGTGGGTGTGTGAAACTGCTCAAAAGGATTGTAGGATCTTGGTAGGAAAGGTTTCGCTCTTATGATGGATGTCGTGAGACCACGTTCACGGACGAGCTGAAAGAGCTCCCTCAGCCACAAGCACAGCCACCGCAGTCCTTCGTAACTGCCCGATTTGGTAAGCGTGGTGCCGATGCTGGGACGGCATGTGTTGCGACTGTTCTCCCTTCTCCCTCATACTCGACACCGTATGGCCGAAAGAGATTGGAAGCGGAAGCGACTTCGTTGGCAACAAGAAGATCGGATCTTGAGATACTTCCACGCACAGACAGACTTGCCTCAGGGACCGTGAACAGGAGGCTCATACATCGGCTGTCCGCAAGCATTCCTGGTTGCAAAAAGGATGAAAGGCACAGTAGGCTACAGGCAACATTGACTGCTAGCGTACTCTATGGGCCGAAGCTGCCAGACAGCTGTCCGTTCCACAACACGCATCTTAGCTAGGATAATACAGGTTATCCTTGACAACGGCATCATCTCCAGCCACCGGGATGCCCTTGACTTTGAGTCTCTCCAGTTCCTGCATCTTCATCTCTTGCTGGACCTGTACAAATGGTTGTTAACGGACGTCTGACTCATGCTGGGAAGCTGTTGGAGGAGCCTACCTTCACCCGGTCGGGAACGATCCTCTCCCGTGGAGATGTGATTTTCCAATCTGGAATACCTTCTGGATGGCCGAGATCTGCGAGAGCAATCAGCATTGATCAACGCCTCTGCGAGTCCGGGCGCGACTGCGAGCTTACCACGCAGCGTCTTCTGCTCGACAAGATTTGGATTCTTTCCATCATAGTTGAACGGCTCCTTCAATGATACAGGTGGGTTGGTGATGATTCGAATCTCCCGGCGCAAGTTCTTCGAGGCAGAATGAAGCATGAACGGATGCAAGATGTAGACATCGCCAACCTCACCCGTGGCCTCGTGAAAGCTCTCATCACGAGTCTTGGACGGGTCTGCCACCCATTCACGCCATATCTTGCGACGAGCAGGGTCGCTCTTTGGGATATCGGGCGAGCCGCGCGGTGCCAGGAAAGGCGTGGTGCCGTCTGGATGGTTGTACAGAAGTTCCGCAACCAGCTTGATGCCATCAGTACAGATCACGGTTCCTCCTCCCTTCGGCTTGATGTCGGAGAACAGTGGGATCACTAGAAGCGCCTGTTCCGGGCTGTCCAAGAAGTGCACAAACCAGTCCCCGTCGTTGTGCCAGTTGTCCAGCGTCCTGTAGTCCAGCGGGTCATCTGCACTCGTGCCCGGCTTACCAAAGTTCGGGATCCAACCATCCTTCCTGCGGAAGAATGTAAGCATACGTCGATGGGCCGCGGTTGACTTCGCTGCATCTGCAATACTCACCACTCCTTACACCAGTCGGTCACTTTGTCTTCTCCGCCAACGAGCTCGCACATGGCCGCCCATGCCTTGGGGGCGAACTGTTTTGCGGGCACAACGGAGTGACCCGGCATATTGATCTTCTCGGTCGGCCTGCCATCGATACGTCAGCGGTTGCACATTACCATCACGTCCAGCATGCTTACCATGTTGACTTATCATTCGGCTCCGCACCAATGCGAGTCCAGAAGGAATTCGTCCACGCATCTGACTTCTCCCGTGAAAAGCACTTTGGGATCTTGATGAAGCCATTCTCCAGCCAGAATTGCTTCTGCTCCTCCGTGAGTGGCGGGATGTCGTTCTCGAGGTAAGGCATCTTGGCGGTCGTTGCAGTATTCTAGTACGGTCAGGAAGGATCTTTGCCTCTTCCCGCCTTAATAAAGGTGATGAGCGAGCTGACGTGCATATCATATGATCCGCGCCATCGTGGTGTATTGCCGCGATAGCCATTTAGCCGGTGACGAGTGGGCGGGACAGGTCAGCGGCCGGCGAGCTCCAAAGGAGTAGCTGTATCATCATTCTCCAGCTTCCGATCTTGACTTGTTGTGCCGACTTGCAAAACTCGGAGGCGCGGGAGAAGAGGAGGTTCCTCGAGCGTGCCACCCAGGAATATACCAAACAAAACCACCCACTGCTCAGAAAGAGCCGCGAGCTTTGCACCGCGGCTGGGCGCGTGAATTCCACCTACTTCATACCACACTCACGCCAATCTTTCGCACAGCCATCTCGTTGGCGGTGAGCTTTGCAAGTCTCTGCAAGAGGGCCACGAGGCATGGTGGACGCGACAGACATGAGACGATGGGCGAATGTCACAAGATGGCGGCCATGGCGTAGAGAGCTGCGAGACCAAAACTCTGTTTCCCGAGCTCGGGATCCCGAGCAACCTCATGTCTGCCACTTCTCGGCGAGACGAAACAGCATATAAGGTACATGTGGGAAGATGATCGATTTTGTCTTTCTCTTTTCGCGGACGTTTTGTCTCAACATCTGATTTAGTATGGCAACATCTCTTCTCCGTTTTCGCTCCAGAATTTCTACTGTCCCGCCTATCCACCCTTGGACACAAACAATGCGGCGAGCATCCAGCCTTCCAATGACAATCACGCCTACGGGGCAAGAATACATTGCCGGTCAGCTCAACTCTCGCAACCTCGAGCAAGCAGTTCGCGGCCTTCATGAAGACGGCCTCATCGTGGTGTCCGGCGTGGTCCCGCACGGCGACCTTGACCATTTGAACACGAAGATGGTCCAGGATGCCAGAGCCTTGCAAGCACGCGGGAAAGACATGCCGTTCAACTACAACGTCGGTAACATTCAGCAAGACCCGCCGCCCGTGAAATCTTTCTTTTCATCCTCAATCTTTCTCAATCCCATCGCCAGCCAGATCACAACCTGCATGCTTGGGCCGAAGCCGAAGTGGACTTTCTGCAGTGGCAATACCGCTTTGCCGCCTGTGGAGGGGACCGAGCCACAGCGCCAGCCTGTGCACACGGACGCCGATTACGCTCATCCAACGCATCCGTTCGCGCTCGTGGTCAATGTCCCACTGATCAGATTCACACCCGAAAATGGCAGCACTGAAGTCTGGCTTGGAACACATACCGGTGACCTGGCTGGTCTTCAGGTCCAAGATGGAGCGCATGGCGAACGAGCGAGTGGAAGGATCAAGAAGCACTTGCTCGAGCAGCGGATGACCGTCAGAGGACCTTCTCAGCCGGTCATTGAGAAGGGAAGTATCGTCATCCGAGACCTTCGCTTGTGGCACGCTGGAATGCCAAATCTCTCTCGAGATGAGCGGGTCATGCTTGCTATGAGTAAGTACTGCCTTCCACGAAACGATGTACGAGAGCTGACGGAAGAGTCCACTTTGCGCCGTGGTATCGCAACCAAATGAAGCTGGAGCTCAGTGAGAGCACCAAGCCGATAGTCGAAGGGCAGTCGCAGCTGGAAGTGCCGGTCCAGTGGGTCAGTGAAGAGATGGCAGAGGAACGATATCTGAACAGAGGCTTCGGGAACAGCTACGACTTTGGCCAGATAGCCTGAAGTGTCTAATAGCGTCCACAATTTATTGAGAACATCATGGCCCCACTGCTCGCCAGTGTGTCTGAAGGTCGTTAGCCAACCTTTCAATTGGCCAGCCGGTCTCCTGGCGATATCCGTATAGCCTCCTGACGAGCTCCATTTGCAGCTGTTTGTGCTTGAGATACCGGCAACAGAATGCAATAGGCCCGAATGAGTTCACCATGACCGCTGAACTTCCAGAGGTAAAGGCCAGTCCACAGACATTTACGGCGCACAGTTCGATGTCATCTTCGCATGGCGCGTGCATGCTCCACAGTGATTCTGCGACAATGCAGTACTGTAGAACAGAGACGTGGCAGTCTCGCAGCATCCTGATGATCGGAAAGGAAAGAGCAGTGGGAGACGCTTCGTTGTGGTGATAGGGCGTAAATTGACTGGGGAGAGACACTTTCCAGTCTTGAAACGATTGCTTCGTAGCTGCTCTGCTGTCAATCACGGTTGCTTCCTTTCCAAACATTTCGTTGATCACGTTGGCCAGATGAAGCGAAGCAATATTGAGCTGGTCTTCGTCGTCAAATGCGTCAGTAGGCGTCTGAATGTGGCTCAAATCTATCTTCAGCGGACAGCGATGGATTAGCCCAAAGGTGATCTCCTCTCGAAGGAAGTTAAAGAAGCCTGCCCTAAACAGAGACTGTTTGGTAATCGAGAAGTCCTGATTGCTGGCGAGAGCGAAAGCGCCGGTAAGGTGCCGGTTTGGATCAACGTCTTCAGCCAGGAGCTCATACGAGCGAAGGAGACAAACGGCAGCAAGGGTCTGTCCGTTACTGGAGGTAGTCTCATCGGGGCTGAGGGTAACCAAACGTTTGATGCACTTTTCGTGGAAGCGTGCAGCGGTCGTGGCGGCGAACGGGACGCGGGTCTTGCTGCGGTGCATGGCGGCAAAGGCGATTATGGAATCAAACAATAAAGGATCCTCCATTGCCAGCATCGGGACAACTTTGTGAAAGCTTGCGTGGCCATCAGAGAGGTCGTACCAACAAGCCAGATGGGTGATGTAGTGCTGAAAGAGCTGAGCGATCTCTGCATCATGGAGAGCCACGGCTGGCTCTTCAGGGGTGGACGATTCGTGCCATTCTCGCGTGGGTCTTTGAAGAGCCCTGTGTGCCGTGCGGTCACAGTAGCGCTTCGCACGAAAGCAGTTTGCGCAGATTGGCAGCTGCTCGTCGCCTGGCAGAAGTCAGAGGAGGCGGCTGCTCAGATTGAGTAGTGGATAGATGTACACTTCAGCTTCCGGAGCCTGCAAGTATTGCTGACGCTTGTCAATCAAGTCCCATCAAACTGCGGCACTTGCCCTACCATGCTACACGTCAGTCAGCTCGGTGAACTAAAATGCCGTCAAAGGCTTACAACACCATTTGCACTGAGTATGCGCGGCATGCTTTGATGCCCGCCCTAAACGCTTTCTCGCGCTCTCTCGTCCTGCCGCATACCACAAATGCTGTGGATTTGTAGAGTAAGGGAAGACAAGAGGGAATAGAGAAGAAGGCCAAACATGAAGTTCAGGAACCATGTTTAGTCAGCGACATCCTTCCACTTCATGGTGAATCCCTCGTCCCTTCTCGCGAGCGAAGAAGAACAAATTCATCAACATTGAAACACTGGACCTTGCTACATAGAGTGAAGAAGCCTTGCAAAAGCCTGGAGCCATCAGCAAGCCGCCTTCCTCTCCTTCTGCCAAAGGATGAAAGAGGCGAGCCAGAGAAACACAACAACCACTCCCTCTCTCCAGCCCATGCGCCACTGCTCACATCTCTTGCCGTGCAGCTCAACCCTAAGTTGCCTTACTGTCCGCCTGCAGAGCCTTCAGCTTCCCACAACTAGTCAAACAATCCTGAACCGCTTGATCAAACTCTGCAGACTCCCGCTTTTTCGAGCCCGGCTCTCGTCATGTCCACGCTCTTCTGTAGACGCGCGCAGCATCCTTCAGGCGGTACACCCAATCATCCGGCGGCGTCCCATCCCTCGAAAACTCTCTTTCCACGACGGGGCACTGTTTGAAACCTGCCTGCGGAAGGAGGAATTTGGTGTGTAGTTTGTTTAACAGAGTCGCCTCCTCACGGAGTTGATCGATGAGACGGAGCGCAGTGCGCAAGGATGCCATGTTGACGGCCACGAATCCAGTGAAAAGACGGCCCAAAGATTCGGTGGAGTGCTGAGTCTTTGCGGCGATCGCAACTGCTGGCGACAGCAGGCTGGCGAGGCCGCCATCGTTCACTGGATGTGGCAGTCCAGCTGATGCGGTGATGGTGAGGTCGACCATTCTGATCTTTGAGTCGGGCAAGATCTGGTAGACTTGATGCAAAGTATGATTCAGCGACGTCAAAAGTCTGTCGCAAAGGATGATGTCGCGAGGCCAGTTGTCGCCAACGCCAATGATCGCTTCGCCGTCTGATCGCAACGTCGGACCAAGGTTGACCGCCAGGACAAGCTTGCTGGTTCTGCGTAACAAGTACGGAAGATAATCGCCAATGTTTGTCGCCTGACGACCATTGAAAGTCGTGAGCAGGTCGTAGATCTTCCCTGCGTACGGTGGAACTGTAAGCCAGTGTGATCCGAGCGAGCACGCGAGAACGTACTCTCAACCGCGGTCTCCAGAATCTCGTGAGCTTCGCCGTGGATCTCTTTGCAGGTGCGCAAGATTTGCGGATGACAGGAAGTGCGCTGCAGCCACCTGTTCTGTGGAGATCCGTTGGGCTGTAATGTGAGGAGGTCCTCATAAACAACGTTGCGAAGCTCCGGTGGCAGGTCGAGGAATGATAAGTTGAGACGAACGGTAGATGCAAAGCTGGGCGTCTTGGTTTGGCTTGAGTTTGCAACGAAATCGTGCAACAAGGTATGGAAGTTCGCTGGCAGCTGCAGAGCAGGAGTGGCCACCTGCTGACTGGTATTGCCGCCATGTCGCAGCAATGCGTAGAGTCCCGCCTGGCTCTGTTGAGGGGCGACGGCGGGCTGCTTTAAAGTCAGTGTCAGGGAGCAACGGCAAACCTAGTACAAACATCTGCATCCCGATCGTCCTGGGTTCGGATCGCCATGGCAAGCAAGCAAACGCTGTCCTTTGATCCTCAAAGGGATATGGGGCACGCATTGATCTCCTGCCCCCAACATTATTTCCATTGAGAGCGAGACAGAGTGATTGTGTTGCATTCAGCTTGTCTTGTGCGGAGAATGGGTCTTGTCTTGGACTTATGGCCATCGTGCCTGGCTAAATCTGTGTTCACACCGTCTGTCACTTGTTCTGAAGTCAGCAGTAGTCTAATCCAAAGGAAAGACGGAGTGGAGGGGGCGGTGATGGAGAAGTGGTCTGATGCAGGGATATGGAGGAGTGTGGTGCTGGAATGGGAGAAAGCAAGCTGCCATGCCAGGCTCTCGAGACATCAACTGGTGATACAGTAAAGTGATCATTATCTTACCAATGTCGAGGCGCAGCCTGTACGAATCAGATCTCAGAACAGCATCCAGTCCCAACATTCCATGCTCAAGGTCAGACTTGCTGTTGCTCACCGTGCCTTGCCCTCCTCGCAGCCCGCAACCGCGCCAATCCCTTCACCTTGCCCTCAATCTCCCTAATAACCTTGTCAAAATCCTTCTCCTCTCGCTCCACAAGCCGGGCCGTCGCACGATCGACGCAGCGCTGCAGCGCCGCCGCGCTCTTCAGCCGAGCAACAGAATACCCAGCCGGACTCTCGAGCCATTGGGTGTTGAACACGCCCGCCACATGCGGAAGTTTCTTCAAATGGTGTTTGGGGTCGAGCATCGCCTGCACCTTGTTGAATAGCTTCGACTCCTTCTGGACTTCTTGACGGGCAGGGATGAGTCTGCGCATGGCCGCGGGATCGATGGGGTCGAATTGCCAGGAGGGCATGAACCTGGATTGCATGAGGTCGGGCCATGGCTCGGTGAGAGAAAAAGTGCTCTGCGGGACGCTCAAGGCAACTGCGATGGCGGGGGACAGGTACTCGCGCAGATGCTGGTGGCTGAAGGTCAGATCGGTAGCGGTATTGATTGTCAGCTCGACTCTCTGGACTTTACTGGTTCGCACATCATCAAAGGTCGAACGCAACACTTGATTCAGCCCGCGAAGTTGTTCCACCGCGGTCCTCGAGCCCTCCACATTGACGAGGAATTCCAGACATCGGATGTTGTCGAATTGCGGAAGACCTTCGTGGTGGACACCATCCAAGGTGATCTTCAAATTCCAGCCAGATGTGGTTGTGGTGACTGCCGGACCGAGAAAGTACAGCAGCGCACACCTGCCAGCACCCGCTCCTCATCCATGATCGACCGCCTCATCGCGAATCTGCTTGCACGTGGAGAGGATCTGCCAATGGAGGAACCTTCTGTGATCTGCCCACGCCCCGAGCTGAGCGTTGCCCGACGGCTCGGTGTCGACCAGATATTCGTAGATCTCATGCCGCATCTCTGGCGGAAGCTTGAGCAGCTCTGATGGTGCGTTGGGTTGAAGGCGGCGGATGTCTGGCGAGACGTGGATCGGGGCTTGAAAAGGGTTCTGCTTTCTCCAAAGGATGTACTGGCAAAGACTGGTATGGAAGCTCGGTGCAGCCTGGTTGTTGGTCGTCATCTTTGCCAGTGGACGATGATCGTTCTGACGGAGGCAGTGTGGGCAGGAGATGGAAGGGTTGGAACTTTATAAGTCCACCATCTCAACTCAGGCAGCAGTTGGAGACCTGTCTCTTCCAGCGGATTCTTCGCCGTCCCTCTTTGACAAGACAAGTTAAGGCTGGGAGCTGATGCGAGCTTCTGCGAAGCCAGGAGAATGTCTGGAACAAAGCGACAACGTCATAAGAGACTCCGTTCGTCGTTCGAAGAAGGCGAGACTGGATCCAGAGCCTGCCATCAGTTTCTACGCCTGCTTTTCTCCCCAAAACCCCTCTGCCAACCTAACTCTTGCTCTTCCTCCGCCTCTGGGCCTTCCTGGTCGCACGCAGTGTCAACAGTTGCTCCAGTTTGCTCGTCAGGTCTCCAACTGCGTTCTCCACAGCTCCACTCTTCCCAGCCTTATCAAGCCCACTTCTCGCACGATCGACGCCTCGCTGTAGGGTTGCGGCATCCTTGAGGCGGTAGAGCGTAAAGCCCTCCAAGGTGTTCGTGAAGATGCTCTCGACATCACGGCAGCTTTGCCTGTTACGCATGCAGCTTAGAGCCGAATGGAGTTGGTTGAACAGCTCTACTTCTTTGCGAAGCTCCTGCAACGTGTGGAGAAGCGGGCGGACGTTTTGAGGGTCGATGGGGATTCTCAGCCACAAAGGCCATACTGTCTCTCCGACGAGGTCGGGCCAAACTTCATGATCCAGGGCAAAGGTGGACTCTGGGACGCTGAGGGCAATGGCGACGGCGGGCGACAGCCATTCGCGAAGGCCCTCGTAATTCGCGACCGAGATTGCAGCAGCGTTGATGGTCAGCTCCACTTTGGGGATCCCGCTCTGTCTTATGGAGTGTTCAAAAGCGTCACGTAGAACACAGTTCAGAGGGTGCAAGTCGTGGATCGCTGCCGCGGACGCGTCGACATTGATTGTGAGAACGAGAGTGCGGATGTGTTGTAGCGCTGAGGTCAGCTCTTTGGAGCTGTAGTTCAAGGCCGTTGAAGACAATCTTGAGGTCACGTCGGTATGATGCGCAAACATAGGGTCCGAGTGAGAAGAAAAGAGTGAACCTGCCGTCGCTGATGATGTCCACCGCCTCGTCGTGGATCTGATGGCAAGTAGCGAGGATCTGCCAACGGCATGGCTTACGGCGACACCACGTTCCAAGCAGCGACTCCTCCGGCTCTTCACACTCCACAATCTCTGCGTAGATCCTGAGCCGAAATTCAGGAGGAAGCTTGAACAGCGACCAAGGGGCACCTGGGGGTAGAGGACCGACTGATGAGAGTGTGTTGTCGCTCTGGGTGTTGCGCAGTGGGAGTTCTGCTAGATACCGAATCAGTCTCACGTTGAAGCCTGCGGCAAACTGGGCGGTCGATGCCATCACTGCCAGCAGAAGACAGCTCTTTCCGTTGACCGCTGTCTTAGAGGCAAGCCCGCAGGTATCTTATACCCCAAACATCCATGGACAGCCAGGCACCAGCGAGCTTTGACAACGACGAAGCTTCAGTACTTGAACGAACCAGAGCTCAAGAAGCAGGACGAATCTTCCATATGCACATTCTGCCAGTGTCGTGCCTGCGGTGGCACAGCCATGGCCACCAGTAGATTTGTCGACAACGATGGAAAGCAGTTGTGATCCGGAAGCTGCGACGAGGCACCAAGTAGAGATAACAGTGGACTTCAGGGACTGTGAAAACCATCAACGAGAAATCCTCCCATCATGAATGTACACATACAGATCGTACCCGCTTTTGTCCGCTCGTCCATGCATGCATACCGAAAGCCCTCCATCAAAGTCCAGCCGACCATTACCCCTCCACTGGCCCACGTCAAGTCATCACCCTAACATGATTATCAAAAATCCCATTCCGCCACCCCCCAGCATCAAACTCTTGATCCTCAATCCTCTCCCCCGCCCTCGCGCCCTCCTGCTCCCAGACCTTCACCACACTACCAGGCGCATACACACCTTTAAACACGCCCTTACCCGGCTGGTCGACGCCGACGCGCGAGTACACCTCCGGATCCTCAGCGGGTTGCAAGCGCGCCGCGACTGCCTTAACGAAAGTCATCAGATCATCTGGGTTAGCGACGCGGGTGGCGCGAAGCCGCTCCCGAGCGTACAGGAGTTCGCGGTTGGCGGTGTGGAAGAAGTCGGAGAGGGCGGTGGCGAGTTGGTGTTCCATGGTTTTGCGAATGATGGGGCGGAGGAGGGGTTTGAGCAGGAAGCCGAACCAGCTGAACTTGCTCTTGCGGAGCTTATAGTTGAGCTTGTGGATGTGGACGCGGACGGCTTTGAGGGTTAGGATCTGCTCCATTCGCTCGCGGGCGATTTCCACGTCGATGTGGATGTCGACGCCGCGCTCGTCCAGCGCAAAGCCAGCAATGCCTTCGTCGGCGAGGCGGAGTATGCCGCTGTGCGCGCGAAGCCAGAACCCGACTTCGTCTGCGCGCATGCTGAGGCCGTCGAGCTTGATGGTGAGGAGATTGGTCATAGAAGTTGCGGTCCGAAGGGTGTGGGTGCGGTGGATGTCGACGTCGTTGTAGGTCTCGACCTTGAGGCGGTAAGGGAGGAAGGAGGTCTTGTTGACGGTGGTGCCGGGTTCGATGATGAGGTTTTCGAGCAGCAAGTCGATGACTGGAGTGCTGACTTCGAGACGTGGGATGGGAAGGTACTGAATGGCGGAGATCAGGAGCGGGACGAAGACATTGATGGAGTCCTGGAGGAGCTCAGGGTTGGTGTTGCGGTTGATGGGCGACAAGATGGTGAAGATGCGGGAAGTTGTGCGGATGAGGCCATGGATGTCTTCGTCTTGAACGACGCTCCTGAATGTCCGTTCCAGCTGTGCCACCAGAGCTTCTACGTCCTGTCGCAGATCGCTCTCGTTACCGACTTCCTTGCCCTTCTTCTTGAGCTCATCAAACTTGGCCGGCGCCTCGTCGAAGAATGATGGGTCGGTCAGAAGCTTCTGCAGCGAGTCACCGACCTCGCCCATCATCTCCTCGAATTGAGGATCACTGTCGCGATGGCTGACGACCTTCTGCAACAATTCTTCACTCCTCCGCCACTCTTTCTCATCGCCGAAGCTCGTGAACAATGCCCAAGCATTCTTGACTGCTCTATCCAAAGCTGCATTCTCATGGGTGTCCTCTTGTGCCACTTCTGAGACCTCTGCCGCTGCCCGGCTGTAGATGAACGCATATCGCTGTATGAGTAGTGAGATGGTAGAGACCGACTGCGAGTAGTCCTTCCTTTGCCGCAGACTCATCACAGCCTGCTTCAGCCGGTTGAGCATAGTCTTGCCCTCGTCACCCTCCAACTTCTCCTTGGCGCTCATTGCAGCGGTCGCCGCAACCTCTACGGAGCCATTGGCGACCACCTTGCTAACATCCGCCGCTTCATCGCCCAGCTCCTGGCTTGTAGGAACCGCGATCTGCTTGTCGTCGCCGGGCTGCATCACAAGCTGCTTGCTCTCGTCTGAAGGTTCCAACTTCTTTCCTGCCTCTTCTGCCGTCTGTGACAGCTTGAACGCCGAGTCACGGAAGATCTCCCTTCCGACTACATTCAAGTCCGCCAAAAATGTTCTGAAGTCATCGTTCAATAGCATAAGACTGCCGACCGTCCTGATGCTCTGATAAGCCGCCGCAGTATCCGCCTTGACCTTGCTCTTCTTCGCCCGGGCCGCGATGTCCTCGGTGTCAATGCTGATGCGGCTCTTGCTCAGAAACCAAATCAGATCCTGTATCTGATCTCGGTCGTTCTTGTGCCGAATCAAATCAATGAATTGCTGCAGCCATTGGCGGGTATACTTGACTAGGCGTCTTCCACTTTCCGAGAGATCAGGATTGTTTTCATTGAAAAGGTCGCTGGCGAGGAGGGTGCGGAGATTAATGATGAGCTGTTCGGTGTCGGGCATGAAGCCCTTGGAGAGCGCGCGGAACTGCTGGTAGGTGTGCAGCTTCTCGTGGAGCTGGCGTTGGAGGACGGTGTCATCGTTGTATTTTGGGAGGAGAGGCTCTGTGTCGGACTGGCGCTTACGGCTGCCGAAGCAGTACGCGATGATGGACATGTTGCCGTCTTGCGAAAGCTCTGCCTCCGCCAAGTTTGGTAGGTGTCGTTGCTCAAGTTGACATGAAGTCGGGTTGAAGAAGCGCGTGCTGTCTGGCGGTTGTTTCTGCTCTTGCTTCTGCTTGCAAGAGTAGACGGGTTGGTGTAGTCGAGGAGGTCCTGCCTATGAGGTATACAGAGATGGTGTAGAAGAAGAGTTGGAAGTGGAGTGTGGTCCAGACCTACATTCGAGCTGGAGAGCTCCTTCCACCTTGGCCACGGCATGACGTGTGGCAGGCGCGACCAGAAGCTTAAAACCAGCAAGGCAACAACCTCGATTGTACGTGACCTTACATGTCTGTCCGCAGTGCTATCTCGTGTTCTAAGTGAATGTCAAAACCTTCTCACGCAATACCCTCGCCGTTCTCGAAGGCATTGCAGACGTGCGCTCTATAGCCGAAAGAAGACTGCTGGTCCGGCGGCCAGGAACGAAGACACCAAGACGCGACTAACGCATGTGCTAAGAAGGGATCTGGGGAAGCACTAAAAAAAAGAGTTGCAGCTGTCCCGATACTGTTGACCTGCCGCTGAGCTCACCCAATCCCTCTCATGGGGCAGGCGGTGTAGTCGGCTGTCAATGGGGAGGTGTTGTCTTCAGCCTCACCACGGTAAGGTAGGAGAAGGGCTGACCGCTCCTCCCCTTCGGACGGCCCCAACGGCGACGGGGGAGGGGGAGCGACACCGGGTTGGTGATCCCTTCCGGTATCTCGCGACATCACGGACATCTTTCACCTTTCAAAGGACTTCACACGAGCACGGCCACCCGGTTTCTCCCTTCTCACCCTGTCTCTCCCATTTATACCTAGCACCAATAGCCCTGACGGTGGTCGAGGAATGAGACGATGCCCCCTCTGCCCTACACGCCCCTTCTCCGTCCCACAAAGCTCATGACCGCCTCCAGAAGACTCGCCCTGCTCACCGAAAACATGTCTTCCACCTCGAGAGCAGCGTCCAGTGCTGCACCGGCAGCCAATATCAAGCATACCCATCACCTGCCTCAGCGGCACAACCCTCTACCTTCTCCGTAAGCCTAGCATCTGTCAAAACTTGAGAGCATTGAGAAGGGTGCTGACGTGCTCTCTCGAAAGCTGGGAATACGACACCTCCAACTCCACCGAAGTCCGCAAGTACACCAAGACCTACGGGCTGACCCCTCCCGCGGTCGAGACGTTCGAGAAGCAGCTACAGCGATGTAAGACATGCTCATGAACTTTCACTTTCATGGAGGAACGGTCTGATAAGTTGATCGCATAGGTCTGGCACAACTCGCTGCACGAAAGACGCCCATTGAGAAGTACCAATACCTCTCCGTGCTCCGAAATACGAACGTCCACCTGTTCTACAGACTGCTGGCTGGGAATGTAAAGGACATATGTCCGTTGATCTATACGCCGACGGTGGGAGAAGCTTGTCAGAGGTGGTCGGAGATATATACACAGCCAGAGGGTGAGTCACCGCATTCTCCGTGACAGAAGTGAAGGAGCCGGCACTACAGCGGGCGTGGTGGCCCTTTGGGTGTGGTGAAGTCGTGGAGAAGAGGCTAACCTTTTCAGGCCTGTATCTGTCCTTCGAAGATCGTGGACACCTCCATCAAGTCATTCAGAATTGGCCACATGATGTCGAAATTACAGTTGTCACTGATGGGAGCCGCATTCTTGGGTTGGGCGACTTGGGGGTAAATGGCATGGGTATACCAGTGGGCAAGCTGAGCCTGTACACCGCATGCGCCGGCATTCACCCCATGCGGACCCTTCCCCTCTGTCTGGATCTCGGAACCAGCAACAAGGAGTTCAGAGAAGATCCTCTCTACCTTGGCAGCAGGCGGGACAAGGTCACAGCAGAAGAGGAGAAGGAATTCCTGGACGAGATGATGGCTGCGCTCACGGAAAGATGGCCCAGCATCGTCATCCAGTATGAGGACTTCAAGAACCCGTTCCCTTCGCTCGAGCGCTACCAGAACACATATGCGATGTTCAACGACGACATCCAAGGCACTGGCGCAGTCATTCTAGGAGGCTTCATCAACGCTGTCAAGCAATCCGGCGTGGCACCAAAAGACCAGCGAGCAGTCTTCCTCGGCGCGGGCTCAGCTGGCGTGGGTGTAGCAAAACAGCTGACAGAGTTCTTCATGAACGAAGGCTTGTCGGAGGAAGAGGCGAAAAAGCGCTTCTGGCTCGTCGACTCGCAAGGCCTCGTGGCGCACGACCGAGGCAAGCTCGCAGACCACAAGCTCTACTTCGCCCGCGACGACAACAACGGCCAGCAGTACAAGTCGCTGGAAGAAGTCGTTGAATACGTCAAGCCAACCATCCTAATGGGCCTCAGCACGATCGGCGGCGCCTTCACCCCCAAGATCCTACAACGCATGGCCGAGATGAACGAGCGACCCGTCATCTTCCCCCTCTCCAACCCTTCGTCAAAATCCGAATGCACGTTCGAAGAAGCGATCAAGCACACAAACGGCAAATGCCTCTTCGCCTCCGGCTCGCCGTTCCCAAGCTTAATGCACGAGGGCAAGGAGCTCACGCCCGGACAAGGCAACAACGTCTACGTTTTTCCAGGCATTGGTCTGGGAGCTATCCTCAGCAAATCCGTCTCTGTTACGCAGGGCATGATTTATGCTTCTGGTGCTGCGCTATCGAAGTCGTTGTTGCCGGAGGAGAGAGAGGAGAATTGGCTGTATCCCGATATTCGGCGGATCAGGGACGTGAGTGTTGTGGTCACGAAGGGGGTCATCAGGGCCGCGCAGAAGGACGGCGTGGACCGGGAGCTCGCTCTGAGGAACGTGAGTGATGAAGAGCTGGAAGAGTATATCCGACGGAGAATGTATGATCCATTCACGGAGCATGAGGCGGTCGAGGAGGAGATCCGGGGTTTGGCTGGGTTGGCCATCTCTGGAAAGCCGAAGGAGGCACAGGGGAATGGGGTAGGGCCTGATGGTTCGGGGCAGCTTGTTGGGAAGGAGAGGTAAAGCGAACGGGCTGGTTGAGTGTGAGTGCGTTCTGAGCGTTGGGTATACTGCGGATTGAGGCTCGAAGTTACTTGCGAGTTTGGTATAATTTGATACCTCACGGCGTTCTGCTAGGCATACCCTTTCCACGACATGGCTTCGACTCCCAGCTTCATCTCCTCCATCGATAACACATCCATTGACTCACCATGACAACTCTTCACTCGTGAAGAAGAACATTAAAGTGCTGCTCGGCCGGCCGAGAATAGCTGAGTCTGGCCTCCCAGTACCTTACGTCGCACAACATCTGCAGCACGATGGCCTGAGGCTGGGGAACATCAATCGGAACCATTGGGTAAGGCTGGACCTATCGATGAGACGACCGTCTCCAAGCAGTCGAGCAGGTGGCGATATCCGTCTTCTCAGCCTTTAGAGACCCCGAACCTCCCCGGGCGGGCTTGTTGGGAAGGAGAGGTGAATTGCATCCTAATTGACCGCGAGTGCGTTTTGAGCATGACTTCCGGGATCAGTGAAGACTCCACAGGTGCTCGAGACGCTGGAAAGAGCAGCTGTAGCCGCGTATCCAACATCCGCAGGAATTCCGACCTTTCTGCTCAGAGCCACGGCTATCCAGACGTAAAGCACAACGCTGGCGTACGCCATCATCTGATGGTAAAAACCTCATCCCCCGACCATCCTGCTCCGTGAGCCTTGACGGCCTCACCATACATGACACCATAGACGTACGCTTCGCCCACGAACCGGAAGCCGCGCTCCGCATGCGGACGCAGGACCAAAGGCCACGGGCTTCCGGGTACCGCGACTACGACGTCGCCTTTTCTCGTCAAGGCTGGGCCGAGTCCGAGAGAGCCAGTGTGAGTGCCGAAGACTAGTCTTTCAATTCCATAGAGCCAGATCTTGTCGTACATGCTCCTGGCTCTCGTTGCGACGGCGTCCTCTTCGTCAGGGGCTAGTGCAGGGGGAGGGATTCCCTTTTCCCTGAGGTGCTGCAGCAGACATTCTAGGCCCGTCTTTGGATCCTGGTTTGCTGTGCCGTTTTCAGAAGTCGCTGCTTCCAAGACGGCACTCAGCAGTCGCTTCCTGCTCGGCTCATTACGATGTCGGTCCCATTGGTCGATCCTCTCCTCGACGCTCTGTATCCAGGTGTCCAAGCCTTCCCAGCATTGGAACACACGATCAGATAAGGCGTCTGTAACGGTGTCTACCGTTCCCACAACGCAACCACGTACGACCAACTCCGCGGAGCTATCAGTGTCAGAAGCATCAGGCGCACGTGGTGAATGCGCGCCAGCACAGAACGATTCTGGAAACGTCCCCGGATCGTTATGATATTCGGTCCACGTCGGCACCCACGACGGCCACGCAGATAATTCCAGCTCCTGCTGGGACGCATGATGCACATGGTGCAGCACGCCCAGATCCAGGTTCCCATCCACGTCGATGAAGGCGCGTCTGGTCGCCTCGCACATGAGCTCAACCAGCGGCCTTCGGTAGTCTGGCAGCAGAGAGGGTGGCAGTGGACCTTGGAACAGCTTGTGCAACGCATAGACGCGGTCCCGCTCGTCCGAAGCGCCGCGCGAACTGGCGTAGGATAGCATCTGGGCGAACGTCTGGAACCCGCCACACTGTCCCGCGACCGGGTCCACCTGCTCGTCAAGCGCCACCCACCATGTCCAGAGGCGGTTATTGATGCTGTTCGGGACGTACTTCTGGATGTGGAAGGATTTGTAATGCAGCCAGGCCGAGACTCTCAGCAGCTCGACTAGGCTGAACGAATGCGTTCCGCACAGGGCCTGGTTGCTCGGAGCCACGAGTGTCTCGAGTGTGACCCAGAGTCGTCTATGATTGAGTCAGCAGCAGAATCGGCAGGAACACATTGGAGAGCTATCATGCCTGAACCACGGCAAACCAAAGAAGCTGTCCAATGCTTCGAAATCGAGCTCGTCACGATTACGGAACCCTACTTGCGATCGATTGGCGTTCCGCGTGTCTGGGTCGGCGACAGTCGAACCTAGCGCAACGAGGTTGTCGGTCTCATGCAGAATCTCATCGTAAAGCAGTCTGATCGTGCGCACCGCTGGGCCTGTGCTAGTGTCCTCTTCCCCTAGATAAATAAGGTTGCCAGCGGAGGAGCTGTAGATGTCGTTCATGATCGAGACCTGCTGCGCTCGCTCCTCGAGGTTGGTCTGGTCGATGCACAGGACGTCGAGGAACAGTAACCGGGTGCGGTCGGGAAGGCGAACCCGTCGGAGCGCCGCAACAGCGCTGGCCGGGATGATCAGTTCGTTGCCATCGAGCTCGAGTCTGGCCTCTGGGGCCAGGTCACCCCAGCAGTATGATATGGTCTCGTACTGGCATACCGGCTGTTCCGCAAGGCTGGTCGAGCGCATCGTACACGTGATCATGTCCTCGCCGCTACCCGGCTGGAGTTCGAGCAGTCTGAACTCACCATCCTCAACACACAGCGGCCCGTAGGTGTGCGCCATTCTGCCCTGCTCGATGGGCAGGCGTCGCCAGTGCCGCGAGACGGTAGGATGCGCCTGTGTCTAGATCATCAGTCTTGGTGTTGAGAAGACCGGGCAGCTGAGCCTCGCTGGCAGCGACTTGGCATCAGGCTACGACGTGCATGCCCGCTTGCTCGCACCAATGCAATGCTCCGCCGCTGGCATGGAAGATGAGGGTGTGTACGTACCATGGTATCACGAGCGTCGTTGCCAGAGACAGTGAGCGTCGCGCTCAGCCTTGCTTGAGCCGGAGGGTCCTCGTGAATACATGTAACATCTATCGCCATCTCCGGCCGGTGGACATCACTTTTGGATGACGGAGTTTGTTTGGCTGTGATGCTCGACGGACAGGATCTAAGGAGGTTTCTGCTCGCAACGACAGGTTTCCGAACGAGCTGCGATGGGTTTCATAGTAGCAGCCATGCCCGGCAGTGATGAGATGAAAAGCAGTAATGACCTTGCATACCTAGAAGAAGTGGAGGATTGTCGGTAGAACTGCAGTACCGCCTTACGATGCGTCCATGCTTGGCCGCGTTCGCGCTTGTCTGAGGGGTTCACTTCCTCTTCTCTTTTCCGCCACATCAACTTCATCGATCACTTCACCTGCCAACCTCATCCATCACATGGTCTGCCATTCTCCAGGCATGTCCACTGCCTGAGGTACTGAGGTATGAAAACATCACACCATGGCCTGATGAGAATCGAATCAAGCATCGCGGTTGGACCTGTCGATGAGAAGAAAAAAACCTAGGACATAAACATCCGCCATGCATAGCCTCGTGGAATTCTTCGTTGCACAGCGTTCAAACGTTATCTTTGGCTGCATCTCAAAAGATCATGCCATATCATGCCACGAACCTTCGGTAACTCGGGCGAGCCGAAAGAGCACTGCCAGCATAGCCTGGGTGAGACGAGCTGTCTTTGAGATTATGAAGGTAGGTATCGCCTCTCATCGTTCCATTCAGTCAATTGCAAAACTCGGCTTCGAAACAGAAGGACAACAGTCTGCCTACCCTACTTCCATTGCATCTCCAAGCTCTCACCATGGCTCCTCGCTGGGCCAGCTACTCGCGAGGTCTTTGTATTTTCCTGCTTGCCTTGTCCTGCCACGTTACTGCGCAAGCCTCCGGCAGCGCGGCAGGAGTCAGCTATCAACTCATCCACCACCCGAAATCATGCTACAGGTTCCCAAACCGGATCACCTCCCGTCCTCCTACCGTCGTCGATCTTTCGAATGACAGCAGCACGAGTAGCCTGATGTACATCTATGACGAGAAAAATGGAACCTCCACTCAGATTCAGCTACCTGGCAAGAGCGGTAACTTCACTTACGATATATCCGATCCCTCCCGGCTCGGTTTCCTGCTTGCCGACAACTCGACGGCGCTGCTGGAGGATGACGGCTTGAGCATCTATGCGGCCGACTGCTCCACAGTATGGCACCTGCAGCTGGAGAACCAAACGTCCGAGAGCCCCTGTCCGCAAGCACCATCCAGATACAGGCATCACGACAGCGCGAGACACTTCCGTCGATCTGAGCAGGAACCATTCAAATTCAACTTCCAACTCGTCGACGGATGTGGAAAGGAGGACGATACGTCACGTCCCACCGTCGAGTTCGGCAAGTCAGCATGCGGGTACAAACACACCGGCGGGTCCTACTTCGCTACCTGCGAGTATCCAGGAGAAGGCAGCCCGGAGGCTCTATGCGAGGACGATGTAGCGAGCGTGTTGAACCTCCTCACCAATGGAAACACAGGTCAAGTCACCAATTGGCCGAGTACTCTGGAAACATTGGCTGAACTGGGTATTGGAGCTCGACTACTCACCAAATTGGCAAAGAAATTAGGCACGGCGGCATTAGGTGCGGCGATGAGACGTCTTGCCGCTGCACAATTCTTCATCACGCTCATCGGTGCGGAAAACATTGCTTGGGCCAACTGTGAGCTCTTCTATGCTGTTATTGGCATTGCTGAACCCCTGGTGGTACACATTGGCCGCGAATCATACACGGTCACAAGCCTGGATGCTGCGCCGACCACGCCGATTGTTGACACATTTACTGTTTACCGACCATTTGGATGTACGACTTCCTCAGCACCTGCAACGCCGGCTGCATCTACGAGCACGACGACAGCTGCATCTGGCCCTTCTGCCACTGGTGTCTGCAAACCTAAGTCTGGTGGGCCTTCAACTAATCCATGTCTCAGTGCGCATGCCTGGCAACTCGACAATGACGCCATTGAAGCGGCTATCGCTCGCAGCCTCGAAAACAGCGGAGCCAGCATCACCATCAACGCGATCTCCGTCGCCGGCGCCGGAACGCTGGAGATCACCGGCGATGATGCAGACTTCATCTACAAAGATTTTACCGCCAGCGTCGACGTTTCTGCTAGCGGGATTGACATACCCACCGTGAGCACCGTCAATGGCGCTTTCGCCGCGAAGCTCCACCTCCAAGACGAAGGCAGCCTCTGCATGGTCGTGACCTCCGGCTCCGGCTCGGCGATTGAGACAGATCCATTCACAGGAGGCTTGACGGTGGATTTGGGACCAGAGGGTGGGTTTGTTGAGCAGCGGTATAACTTTGAGTATACGTGCTCTGCTGAGGAATTGACGATGACGGGGTTTCTGGACGGGAATCAGGTGGTTGGGCCTTGGGTCTATGGGAGGGCAGATTGAGTCCTCATGTCAGCTGAGGTGGTCTGAAGTGCATGCACCTTGATTGCAGAACTGTGATGTTGAGAATTGGGCTGGCATCGGGACTCGTCGTTGCAGTTAATTGGAGCTTGCAATGGTGGGTTGTGTGACAATACCGTCAATGGAAATGACCGATAATCCTCAGTAGTCGTCCCCCTCCTCTTCGTAATAGTCGTCTTCACTCTCACTCGCCGTCCCCGCGTCTCCACCGCCATCGCTGGCTGCATCGTTGCCCTCTGAACTGTAGTCGTCTTCCTCTTCCTGCGATTGACTTGAATAGTCGTAGTCCCAGTCCAGAGGGTTGCCGCGTCCCATGGTGTCGCTTTCGTCCCGGAATCTCCAACGCTCGTAAAGGACCATGGAGATAGCAAGGTCGACCTCCCTGGTGAAGCGGAGTCGCCTCGCGCCCTGTGGGGCGATCCGAAGCCACTCGAAGGCTGCAACGACTTCGCGAACGGGGTACCCACGCTCGGCATAGATGTTGATGTTGTCCATGTTATAGCCCTTGTAGGCCGCCGGTTTCGCTCGAAGAGTTTCAAAGAGCGCCGGACTCGCCAACGGGGCGTACTTCACAGCCCGTTCCACAATGTCGTTGTACATTAGCTGCCGCTGCTGGTACCTCTCCGGCGCCCTCTGGTACAGGAGCATGGCCACAGCTGCGAGACCTGTCACAGCTACGCCGGCCACTGTCGACTTTGGATGCTGCCGCAAGAAATCGCGAGTCCTCATTCCTCTCGCATCAGCCGCGTGGATGGCAGCTACGATTGGAGCCAGTGTCATTGTCGCAAGTCCTGTCTCCACTGCGGCGCCTTTGATATTGCTCGCCGGATTTGGCATCCTCTGCCATTCCGACAACCTCATGGCGCGGAGGTTGAACTCATCTGGTTCGGCACAGATCTCCTCGAAGAGCATGTGCGCGAAGTTCTGGCAGTTCCGGAATAGCTTCCACTCCTTGCGAAAGAACCCTCCATTACCCCATAACTTCCTCGCTGCACGTTGTCAGCATTATATTCGCTGTTAATCGATGTAATTGTAGGGATGGGATGTTACGTACCACGAGCTAGGATCTGATGATTGTTCAACTCTGTAGCGCCGACAGTGCGACCGACATATCGCAGGCCAAAATGCTCTCGAGCACTCCACCACTCACGCAAGGGAGGTGCTTCGAATGTGGCCTTGTCCTTGACCCTGCCTACGCGGCTATAGTCGATCTTGGTGACTTCGTAGCAGCTCCCGCGGACTTCGAGCGCCCAGTGTAAGATGAACGACGTAGAGAGGATTGCGGACGGCGCGATCACTCCTCGGGCACCAACCAGAGTATTGATCCCTCGTTCAGCGAGCGATTCAAGGTCAGCCAACCAGAGTGTTATCCGGGAGTAGTCTTCGCGGCCCATGTTAGCTAGCCTCAGGAGGCTGTTCTTGACCTACTTCGATGCAACGACGAGGAAGCGGTTGTACAGCGTCGCACAGTCCTCATATACCGCATGAGAACATGCTGACCTACCTCAAGTCACGCCATCAGGCCCATTGCAGCCTGTTCTCCCGCAAAGCGAGGTTCATCTATCTGAGGTGCAGACGTGCTGGCAATGCATAGCGGCCCAGCTGCAGGAGATCGCAAGCTTCTCAAGGCAAACGTGGGAGTTCGCCTGCTCGATTGGCCCTCCCATCTCGGTGCTCAGGGACTCAAGCATAGGCTCTACGGATAGGTGGAACGTGTTTGCGGTTCGGAGTGAGGCGAAAGGCCGAAAGGCGGGCGAGAACATCCTTGTCTGCGCTGCGAGGCAACGACGTTCTGCCGAGGTTGGAAGAGTGACATGATGATGTACCTCCTTTCATTTTGTTCATCACGACACAAGGACAACCAACAGCTCGATCATGTCCACGTCTGCTCTTCGATCCACGGGCCCGCGGGTGGGATATACTCGTCTTCGTCTGCCCATCTATCACAATGGGGGAAACCTCAGCTAGGCGCACGGCATCGACAGGTGCATGAACCATCGCTCCAGCCTCGCCGTCTTGGAGTCTGGGGACGTGATATAACTCACCTGCCTCGGGCGAGGACCAATATAGCTGCTCGGGATGCACGGTAGGAAGTAGCGTTGGGCCGCCTTGTCCTGAGGCTCAACCTGCATCGTCCTGTCGTGGCCTATCCTGCCCCTACATGACTGACTGCACATATGCGAGGCTCCTGGCGTGCAGAACGGGCATCGGATCTTTTTGGGCAATGTCGTTGCCTCGTCCATCGAGCAGGTAGGCGACGTCTCTTCTGGACTCATTTTCATTCTGCTCTGGCGAAATTTCTGCGTGCTATCTTCATACCACCAGCGACATCAGGGGATTAAACGATGAAGACCGCTCCGAGAGCGAAAGCTGTGTCGGCATTCCGGCGGATGGCTTCAATGTCCCATTCCTGCTTACTTTTCGCTGCAACCTTCTCGTACCATCTGCAGCTACAGCAATACACGATTAGGCCCATGAAGCGACTCATCTGGTGTGCTCATCATGATACGGATGCCACAATACAGCTGCAACGCTTCAAGGCGGGCAAGGTACAAGAACTTCACCATGTCAAGATAGCCGTAAGGAACAGTCCACCCAGCAATACACACTCGAACTGACAAGCCAGCAGGGTACTCTGACAGCCGCCGCCGTCATTGGAGTCTTCTCATGGCCAAGCACTCAGGAGACTTACTGGCTGGCTGTCGGACTATGGTATTCGAGTCTGATGTCGTCTTTCTTCTCGCTGGTCAGCTCGGTCCATCAGAGGCTGTTAGATGCTATTCCGGACGTGGACGACGTTTCGGATACGTCGGTCCTTCAGATGGGCCTGAAGGTAGCATTGTGGGAGTTGCCCCCGAAGCATTCTGCTTGCAAGAATCCGCCGGGGTGCCGCAAGCCTACGACCAAGGAACTGGGTGAGGTCAAGCTGACATGGAGAAATCTGTTCATGATCTTCCTCTGGCAGAGCTCGCTGATGCAGATGAGCTGGTCGTGTGTCACCTTCCTGGTCGGGCTGGCGTTGCATGTCTTGCAAGTCTTTCTTCCAGAGAGGCCTGCGCATGCCGACGAAAAGGTCGGTCTATTGCCGGGAGTTTTTCAGTGCACTAGCTAACTGCGTGGAAGGTCGCTGTGATGTTCATCGTGGTTGGGTCCTGCTCGGCTCTGAACTTCTTCGGATGCGCTGCTTTGACGAAGTTGGTGATCGAAAGCGCCAGCTCTCATCCAGGCGTGTCAATTGTTTAGGCTCTGGTGAAGCGGAGAGGGTGTTCTGCTTCCAGCAGTGGTGTTCTCTTCACCTTGACAGAACGAAGTGGCTCGAAATGTGATGGGCTCGAGGAGAGTGCTCCATCAGAATTGAGTGGTCGTGAAATTTCGATCACGTGTGGTTGCCTTGTGTCTTCGAAATCCGAATGAGGAAGGCACGCCCCATCGAACTCACTCCTGCTCGTCGTCCCCCGAACTTTTCGCAACCTGACTTACTGTTCCAACAAAGCAGTGGTACAAGTTATCGAGAATGACGACCCCTGGGAGCATTATCGAGCCATCTACAGCCAACTTCCACGACAGCTTATGTCGATTTCTGAGCACACAGCAGTGGCTCGCCGAACACTGCCTCCGCATTGCAGCCACCATCGCACAGCACAGCAGCCAAAGGGTCTGGAATCAGCCCTGCGACCCAACCGCGCCATCCCTGTTCTTCAAACTACCCACGGAGCTGAGAAGTCGTGTATACTGAGCTACTCGCCCTCAGAGTGCGCGACGCCGACGACATCAAGCTTGGCGGGTGGCGTCAGCGTAGCGTCTGCCATCCACAGATCCTGCCGACATGCAAGCAGATTCACGACGAAGCTGACGGCCTGCTCGACCGAAGCCGGACCTCTGTTCTGGTGTACTCACTTGGTACACACATGTCAAAGCTCGACGGCCATCCCGAGCCCGAGCTGAAGGTGGTGTTCAATGGCCGCGAATTGCATGAAGACGAACCGGACCTGGCGCAAATGCTTCGTGCAACCGGTGATCTTGGCCTCCGGCTCCAGATTGATGGATTACCTTGGGTGGGAGAGACACAAGATCATGCAGCCTTCTTCTTCGCCGCTGCCCGCTATGGGTGGTACAAGGGACTGGTCTCGATGAACTCGTCCCTGCATGCTCTCTACCAGCACTTGAGCAGTATTCAGCTCAAGAAAATCCAGCTAGTGGTCAATCACTATCGTTCAATCTGGGTCGGAGAGGAGAGAATGGACGACTTGATCTCCCCAGCAATCGCGCTGGCAGTCAGTGTCCCACAGACCGAGCTCTTCATAGGGGACTCGTGGTATCCACAGGACTCCGATGAAGCAGGGACGTGGCGCCGGCTCCTGGACCAGCTCAGGCAGCTTCGGAGGGAGATGGATCTGGTGAATAGCTTTCGCGCCACAGCCAACCCGACTGTGTTATCTAAGAGCCGACGCCTTACTTCTGGCAGCGAGTTCGAAAGCCAGTGGCCAGAGCACATCGGCTTCGAGCAGATCCACAGACTTAAGACCGCCGCAGCTCTGCAACGATCTGCATGTCGTATGCGGGCCTGGCTCGACGAACAGTGGTCGGAGGACTTCGACAGGTCACTGCAGCAGCCAAGGGAGGATTTGCAAGAGCTGCAGTTGTTGAAGGCGACTAGGGAAGGCTGTTCATGAGCGTCGATCACGTTATGGGAAGCGTGTGAGGCATGAGGGCTGGTTGAGAATCCCGTTGGGGCTTCCGAGACTGCTAGGCTCGCTTACTCTATTCACTACTGTGTTGTTGCTCATGATGCCGATCAATGTGTCGACAGCCCAAGCTGGAACGGAAGAAGACCACTGAAGGCGGCTTTGGTGAAGAGTGTAAGGCGGTAGATCTGACTGTATGCAATGATGTAACGGTACGCCAGTCAGTGTTTGTGCCCAACAATCAGATCTCCTCATGGTGATGCTGACGCGATGAACATCTATCTCCCACCATTCACTGAGGACAGCGCCACGATTTCTACAACAGGGCAAACTTCTTTGCCCAGCCGCTGCCGCGCCTTACAGCGGTCTTGACAGCATGTGAATCATTCTTAAGTTCCTTGACCAAGACATCAGCCCCAACATTATCACTTCCTAGATACTGCCTTACGAGATACAATCATGACAGTCACCGTCCAAAGGCACAAGCCGTGCCTTGTTTGCGATGATGCCAATCCAGACTCGCCTGCTGCCCGATGCTGCTGCGACGGTACGTACCTCTTGAAAGGTATCCATCATACGCTTTGCCAACGTCTGGCTAACTTCTCTCTTCTCTAGAAAGCTGCCTGGACAGGCTGGCGGAGCGTCGATGTGCCTCAGAATGCGGCGATACCAAATTCGATGCACCAGCCTCTACACCATCTCAAATCTCCCTGCCACTGTCACGAGCATCAACAGCATCTAGAGAGTCCAAGTCGCCACTCGCTCCTCCGCCCACGCCTCTATCGAGCCAACTGGGCAAGCGCAAGCGGAATGCCTGCACGAAACACTCCCGCAAGGCTCGACTGGACTTTGAGCACATCTTACGAAGGATGGGGTGCATCTGCAAAGAGCTACTATCCCGAAACCTTGAGCCGTGCTGCCAACAAGATAGGGCCGCACTTGTTGCTAGCACCACTTCATCTCCTGGAGACTTGAAGTCAAGCAAGACCGACAGCGAGAAGGACGGCCCACGAGCATTTGTCTCCGAGGAACCTGCCATCAACAAATCATGCAAAGGCCGAAACTGCTGTTTTAAACAGGAGGAGAAGTCTTGCAGTGGCTCTTGTACCGAGGGAAAACTATACGCCCATGCAGACGGTTCTATTTCGATTGATCGCGGTCAAAAGAACGCCGAATCTTCGTGCGGCGCCATCAAAGTATGCGGTACCACGACGGGATGCTGCTCTGGTGACAGCAAAATTACCACCGCCTGTGTCCGGAAGGAAGAAAAAACCAAAGCCTCTAGACCTTCGACTGACACTTGTTGCAAAACTTCCAAACGTTGCAATGACCGCAAAGCATCCCTGCCGGACAAGGAAGCTATGAATGAAAGTGCTGCGTTTGACGTCGAAAAGGGCGCCTTGACTCTCAACCATGTCTCCTTGTCTGTAGAGGGGATGACTTGCGTCGGCTGCGAGACGAAGCTGTCCAGAGCGTTGAACGACATCTCTGGGATCCGCAACCTCCAGACCAGCCTCGTCCTGTCCAAAGCAGAGTTTGACCTTGACGACAAGGCAGGTCCAGTCAATGAGATCATTCGAGCCGTCGAGACTTCGACAGGCTTTTCTTGCAAGCGACTGAACGCCTCCGGACAGGAGCTGGACGTTCTCGTGACTGGAGACGCGAAAGCATTCGCTGAGCGTAAATATCCAGACGGAGTCACCCAAATCACCGCCATCGACAAGCATACCGTTCGCATTGCATTCGACCCGATTGCCGTCGGTGCGAGAGACGTAATTAACGATGTGTTTGGGGAGTCATTGGAGCTCGCTCCTCGAAGGGCGCCTGCGGACCTGGACAGTGGGAGAAAGCACGTCCGATACACTGCATGGGTGACATTAGCCTCCGCTATCTTGACTATACCCGTCCTTGTAATAGCCTGGGCTCCGCTGCCATCTCATCCTCTCGCTTACGGGTCTGCGTCACTGACACTGGCGACAATGGTGCAATTTCTGATCGCAGGCCAATTTTATGTTAGTGCATTCAGAGCACTCATATTCACCCGGATCATTGAGATGGACGTCCTCATCGTGCTCAGCACATCAACTGCTTACATCTTCTCGGTAGTGGCATTTTCTTACCAGGTCATGGGACGGCCTTTGAAGATCGGCGAGTTCTTCGAGACGAGTACCTTACTTGTCACGTTGATTATGCTGGGGCGGCTAGTCAGCGCCTTTGCAAGACAAAAGGCGGTGGAATCTGTCTCCTTCCGGTCACTGCAGGACCACACGACTGTTTTATGCGACTCGGAGGGCCGCAACGACCAAGACATTGATGCCCGCCTGCTCCAGCACGGCGACATTTTCAAAGTGGCGCCCGACTCCCGAGTCACCACGGATGGCTTTGTTGTCATGGGTACGACGGAAATCGACGAGTCCATGATGACGGGAGAGCCGCTTCCCATCGAGAAACGCCCCGGCTCACAGGTCGTCGCAGGCTCTCTCAACGGCTCTGGAGTGATTGTCGCCCGTCTCACACAAGTCCCGGCGCAGAACACCATCAGCACGATCGCATCAATGGTGGATGAAGCCAAGTTTCAGAAGCCGAAGACGCAGGAGCTGGTCGATGTCGTGGCGAGCTATTTCGTGCCCGTAGTCCTCGCCCTTACCATCATAGCGTTCGCTGTCTGGATAGCCGTCGGTGTCGCTGTGCGGCAACAGGATGCCGGGACTGCTGCTGTGACTGCGATTACTTACGCGGTCTCCGTACTGATCGTATCGTGCCCTTGCGCGATCGGGCTGTGCATTCCCATGGTTGTGGTCATTGCTGGTGGTGTAGCAGCAAAGCATGGAGTCATTATCAAGTCGGCTCTCGCTCTCGAAAGCGCACCCAAAGTCTCCCATATCGTCTTCGACAAGACCGGCACGCTCACTGAAGGTCATCTCACTGTGGTCGAGGGAATCGTCCTGGCGAGAGACGAATCGGCACAGTCCGTCATGTTTGCTTTGACAGCGAACAGCAAGCATCCCGTATCGGCGGCGATATCGTCCTATCTGACTGCGAAGAGCGTCAAGGCCGCGTCACTGGAAGATGTGCGATCGGTAACGGCCAGCGGGATGGAGGGAACTCTCGATGGTAGCGCTGTCCGTTGCGGCAATACACGCTGGCTTTCGCTCGAAAGTCTGCCCGAGGCTCAAATGCTTCTCAACAAGGGATTGACGGTGGTCGGCCTTATTATTAACGGCGAGCCAGCGGCGGTCTACGGGCTTTCCGACAGCGTACGCTCTGAAACCGAATTCGTGCTGGCCGAGCTGAGAAAGCGTGGAATAGACATCTCAATCGTCAGTGGAGACGACGCTGGTGCTACGAATTCGTTGGCGGCCGAGCTGGAGATCCCGTCAAGCCACGTCAGGTCTCGATGCACACCCGCCGACAAACAGCAGTACCTCAAGAATCTTTCCGCGGAGCGACCCGGAACCATTGTCTTCTGCGGTGATGGCACCAATGATGCTGTCGCTTTAGCTCAAGCTGACATCGGCGTGCACGTGAGCAGCGGCAGCGAGGTAGCCCAGACCGCCGCGGATGTCATTCTCGTTCGCCCAGCTTTGACGGGCATCCTCGTGCTCCTGGACCTCTCCCATGCAGCAATGCGGCGAGTATACATCAACTTCGCATGGTCCTTCGTCTACAACCTCTTTGCCATCTTGTTGGCCGCCGGCGCCTTTGTACGCGCGCGCATCCCGCCGCAGTACGCTGGACTCGGGGAGATTGTTAGTGTGCTGCCGGTAATCTTGGTGGCGCTGCAGTTGCGGTGGTTCAAGCGCGAGTACGCCAGTCGGAGAGGGTGACCGCCAGCGGCGAGATGAGTATCGAAGATGCTCCTGAGCAGAACAGTTTCGGGTTATCGGCTTATTGTAGGGAGCGATCCTCGGAAGGGACCGAAGGGGATCGAGAAATGCCCTGGACAGACTGTCGCATTCGGTGGTGATGGTGGTGATTGCGGTAATTGTGGGCCTTGTGGTTATCACTGGCTCCGTCGGCATTGGCTGTGAAGGACTTTGCAAGCTAAACAAATTGTATCAACTTGAAATAGTGATGACCCAACATAAAGTTTTCGTGCTTCAGAGGAAAACTCACGTCGACTTGGGTCTCTGCGTCTTGGAAAGATGACAACAGCCTTGCGTCTTCTTTTGCTCAACAGATTTTAAGAAGAACAAGAACACACAGTCGCGAACTCAGCAGTAAAATCACGCCCCAGACTCACCTTCCACTGTCAAGAAGATGACGATCACAAAGTATGCCATGTGCTACCCACAGCACGACACAACGACACTTCGCAACTTCATCGAAGCACGAACAGGCGTCCTGCCGACAAGAGGTCGGAAGAAGATCGCATACGTCAAGCAGCTCCGAGAGATGGACCGCACCAGCACTTTCGATTTCATGGGCCTGCCGCCTGAGCTTCGCGTGGTCGTATACAGGCTCCTGTTCGCTTTTCGGCATGAATGTCACCTGGCAAGTTGTCGAAAGAACCACGTTTCGATTCTTCGAGCCTCCAAAGCCATCCATGAGGAGGCAAAACGCGTGCTGTATGCTGAACGAATCTTCCGAATGTACTTTGTTGGCAGACTCGCACCGAAGCCGACGAACCGAGCGCAAACATCACTGGCCGTTGGCGGGGACATACTGAAGAGAACTGAGTACTTTGTATCCGATGTCCCTCTCTCCAGCTACTCCGCGATATTGCCAGCGCATCTGTCTTCCATCCGACACCTGGAGCTCAGTATTGACGTGGCAAGGCCCCGCATCTCGGGACCCAAGCGCGTCAACTTCGTCTCGAACGGATGGACTGAGCAGATACTTATTAGAATCAACCGCGCATTGTACCGGCTGGCTTGTGAGCTCATGGACAGCCGGCGGCTCCGGACGCTGGTCGTGCAAGTCAGCATCCGCGCAAAACCCTTGCACATCAGTCGACTGGAGAAGGCCTTGTTTCCGCTGGCAATGCTACTGTCTCTGCGGCAGCGAGGGATTGTGGTGCGGATCGACGGACTGCGTCCTAGGGTGATGTCGTATCTGTCCCAGTTCCGCGCACTCGTCGTCCGTCAGAACACGTTCAACGAGCTGCACGAAACCATTGTGGAAGCGTCACAAATCTCCGGGCATCTGTGGTTCCATGCCTCGCGTGCCGTCGTACTTCGGAAGCTGGAGGTCGCAATAGATCATGGTATGGACATTTTGGAAACGGGCAGAGTCGTTGACAATGTCCTTGAGAGGAAGGCGGCATTGGCTCGAATCTGTCTCAGGCAGATGATCGACTCTCGTGCGCTCCAGTTGTTGATACGAAGGAGGGACAGCCAGAGTGCCATTGTGATTGAGGACTGTTGATGTGGTAGGAAGAGGATGGATGTGGGAGCAAGTCTGCGGCGGAAGTGGAGGGAATCTGAAGGACCAATCATCGTGCTTCAAGCTTTTCAACCACACGCAGTGACACGCCAGGACGCCTGAACCTTGCTGGCGCCGGGGGGAAAGATCCATGCCTTACCCCAACCACGCCGTCGCCATGCTGCATATCGATGGCAGCGGCAAGCATGTCAGTCTCGGCAGACACACAGTAGTGCTATCGGCAAGCGCATGGGTAACAAAACCATCACAACGTCTTTCGTTGATGTTCGTTCTGGCTTTCTCCTACCGCCACCATGGCATCCAGCAGTGTGGACCGGCAGTCCATGCAGCCATACCGAGATGACCCTATCGAGATGAAGAGCTCTGCGAAAGTGACTGAGCCCACTTCGCCAGGATCCGACAACGACATCCATCAGCATGGCTACAGCGACATCTGGAACGACACGTCCAACGACGTGCGGGATATGCAGCGGTTGGGAAAGCAGCAAGAGTTTAAACGAAACTTCCACACGCTCTCCGCCCTCGGTTTCGTGTCGGTGTACATGGCAACATGGGAGTTCGTGCTGGTATCGCTGTCGATCGGGTTCACGAACGGTGGCTTTGCCGGCCTCTTCTGGTGTTTCATTACGACCGTCTGCTGCTATGCCACGATCGTCGCAAGCCTGGCTGAAATGGAGTCCATGGCCCCGACCTCAGGTGGTGTAAGTGCTGTTGATATCTGTATCAGGGTTCTTCAAGTCAATAAGATTGCTGACTCTCTCATCCTTGCGCTCTGCAGCAATACCACTGGGTCTCCGAGTTCTCTCCTCCTGAATACCAGAAGATTTTCTCCTACGCCTCAGGCTGGATGAGCACGCTGGGCTGGCTTGCCTCCGTCGCTAGCAGTGTATACGTCTGCGCCACGCAGATCCAGGCCATCATCAACGTGACCAGACCCGACTATGCCTTCACCAACTGGCAAATCACTCTGATCATGCTCGCTCTCACGGCCGTCACAATCGGCTTCAATACCTGGGGCACGCCGTTCTTCCCGCAGCTCGAGATCGGGAGTTTGATCGGACATATTGCTGGCTTCTTCGTGGTGCTCATACCTTTGTGGGCATTGTGCGAGAAGAATACTGCCAGCGAGGTGTTCACCAGCTTCACGGACCAGTCTGGGTTCAACAATATGGGAGCGGCATATCTGACCTGCCAGGTTTACGTGATGTACTGCAATCTTGGCTCCGACAGTGTGGTGCATATTTCCGAAGAGGTCGGCAATGCCTCGCTTGTTGTTCCACGAGCGATGTGGTGGTCATATGTTGGCAATGTCCTGGCAGGAATCGTGATGCTGATCACCATGCTGTGAGTTTCGTCCTTTCAGCTTGTCTCGGTAGGAAATGCTGACTGTGTCGATTGCAGATTCTGCATTGGGCCTTTGGATCCCGTTGTACGTCCCCACGAGGCCCAATTGCAGATGTCGACTGACTTAATGGTGTCGCAGATCAAATCTGGCGTCCCATATCTGCTGCTCTTCGACAGGACCGGCTCAAAAGGCCTCTCCTTGGCGCTGAACATTATTCTCTTCCTGCTCATCTATCTAGGCAACATTACGGCCTTAGCAACTGCGGCACGCGAAATGTTCGCATTCGCCAGAGACAGAGGGTTGCCATTTTCAAAATGGGTTGGGAAGATGTACGTATCGTGCAGCGTCCCATGGGTCTTGGCAAGCTGACACGCCGCCAGGAACCGCAAATGGAGCATCCCCTTCAACGCGGTGTACACCGTTTCTGTGATCTGTGGTATCTTATGCCTCGTCCAGCTCGGGTCGACCATCGCTTTCAACATCATCGTCTCGCTGTCGGTCCTTGGGCTGCTGTCGACATACATGATCTCGATCGGCTGCGTCCTACTACGACGTATCAAAGGCCAGCCACTTCCGCACGCACGATGGAGTCTCGGACGGTATGGAATTTACATTAACGCTTTCGGATTTCTGTACTCGGCTTTCATCGTCGTCATGGCGTGCTTTCCAACATTCCTACCAGTGGATTTGGCCAGCGCGAATTGGGCTCCCTTGGTCTGGGTCGGCGTCATGATCTTATCGGGTGTTGTGTATTTGGTGCATGGCAAGTGGCATTACACTCCTCCTGTGGAATTTGTCGAAGGTCGGAAATTGGAAGGCGTTGGCTTGCAGACATCATGACTACATGGTCCACCATCAGCCCTTGACTCTGGAGCCGAAGAGGAGATAGAGTTGCTCCAGCGAGCGGAGAATACTTGATTAAAGGGGCATACATACAAGGTAGACCACATGCACATATCCCTTCCTCATCAGCCAGCGTTCAGCTCATGCTTGGAGCTCTTCATGATTCCGCACCTCCAGCCCACGCACCCAGTGCTCGCTGAAGATAGATAGTGTCGATCCACCTCCCATGCTTCCAGCCAACGTCCTTGAGCCGCCCCTGCTCCTCGAATCCCATCTGCAAGTACCAGTCTCTCAACTTCATGCCGTTTCCCGGTCCTTGAGTGTCGACGGCCATCACTGCAATAAGCTGCCGCGGAGGGAAGTCGATCAGTCCTCTCCCTTCGTACCAGTCCTGCCATTGATCTGGCCGGTCTAGAATCTCCAGCATCCTTGAAAGGAGCAGTCTGCCGATGCCTCGCCTGACATGCGCGGGATGGAGGAACAAACTCAGCTCGAAGGTATGCTGGTAACCTGTCCGGCCGCTGCGGAAGCGCGAAACACCGCAGTATCCAAGAATTGCTTTGTTGGCTCCAACTGCGACAATGTATGGTAATCCGCCACTTTGGGTGGATTTAAGATGAGAACTGGCTTCAGCATTCGTACTCGCTCGTGTAGCAAAAGTGATGACGGTGTTCTCGACGTAGTACTTGTGTATTGCGTTGATAGGCGGTATGTCGTCGGCCGTTGCCTTTCTGATCGTGATGTTCGTCGAGGACGACATGTCCACGGAGTGTGATGGTGATGCCTGCATCGAGGAACGAAATGGCCAACTCAGTACCATGAGGGTGATGTACGCCTTCCTTCAACCAGGACAATAGCATATGATATATGCTCGAGAAGGGAAAAGGCCCCTGATATACCAACAGATATTCATCGTGGCTGTGGTGGTGTCCAAAAAAAGCTGAGGGAGATGAAGTCCATGTCCATGTCGAAGGATGAAAGCTTAAATTGTTGATCTCTCGAGAGCAACAACACCATCCATCATCACTTCAACACAGCCACCAAAACACATCCACAATGTCATCGCCTATGGCTCTCCGGACACTCCTTCGCACTCCGCCAGCTCTACGACCGCTTCTGCTCCAGACTTCACGAGCCGCATACCACTCATACGACCATGCAGAACAGCCAGTCTATCGCGAGGCAGAGCGAACTATCCTCTCCTCTGCGCTTGCTCACGTCCCAACACATGGCTTCACACAGGAGGCGCTCACACTAGGCGCGAAGGATTCTGGATACCTCGATGTCTCCACGAACCTCTTTCGCAAGGGCACGTTCGATCTGGTCAAGTACTATCTAGTATCGCAACGAATGGGCTTGAAGGATCGCATCCAGTTCCCAGATGAAAATATCGGAGTCGGCAGAAAGGTCAGGGGTCTGATACTTGAACGGCTACGCGCGAACGTGGACACAGGCATTGTGACGAGATGGCAGGAAGCACTCGCGATCATGTCACTGGCGGACAACATACCGGCGTCATTACGGGAGCTGGGTGCGTTGGCAGATGAGATGTGGTTTCTGGCTGGAGACACATCTGTTGATTCCTCGTGGTACACGAAGAGGGCATCATTGTCGGGGGTGTATGCTGCGACGGAGATCTTCCAGACTACGGATCAGTCTACGGAGTTCAGGGACACGGAGCAGTTTCTCGATAGACGGCTGGAGGAGCTGAGGACTGTTGGAGGGACGGTCAGTGGTACGCTGCAATGGGCGGGCTTCCAGGGGGGTGCACTGGTGAATCTACTGCGGAGTAAAGGCGTGAGGATATGATGCGGCTTCGGTATGGATTGATGGCAGGTGGAGGAGAGGATGGAAGGTGATTGTGTTGTACGGAGGGAGAAGTACACCTGCTGTCAAGTCTCGAGTCATTCAGACATACCAACAGTCTGCCTCCATGTGCTTCCAAGACCCGGGCATTTCTGGCCCCCATATGCCGTAAGAGCAGAGCCGAACAAATGCAGCTTTATGCAACCAGATCCCTCGTTTCACACGCACTGTAGATCGATCTTAGAATGCAGGTGCTTTCAAACTTTTAAGTCCTGCAGAACACTGCATAAGTTTGCATGTTGAATCCGTGAAAATGCAGCAGCGCACGTGGCCACCGCATTAGGTAAGGTCGCACTGTGAATCCAGCAGACTTCGCCTCGCCCCTCTTCTTCCTTCTTTCATCCACCACCGCGACAGACACCGATATCTACACCAAGCGACAGCCTGCGATAGCCTACTACAGCGCTCCACCTCCAGCCCCAACACCTTCACACCACCCGAACGACCGATTCGACACCGTGGCAGATTTACGAAATGGCAATGTTAATGGACAATAACAGTACGAGTAGTAGTAATTACTACCGCAAGACGTCCGCCGAGTCGGTGCGGCGCTCCAACACCCAGGCATCCGCCTACGTCGTGAACGCCGCCACCATGGCCCTCACCGGCTTCCACTTCTCGACTTGCGGGGCAGGAGGGGCGGAGTGTACGTTTCACAAACACCAAGGCACACAAATACGCCATGCTGATACAATCTAGGGTGGGTTTGAGGTCGGCTCGCGACCCTCCCCCTCACCCCCTCCGTCTCCCGACTCCGCGCCAACGCAGCACGCCGCCCGGCCGGCGATGCAGGCGCGCAAGCGGAGCGGAGACGCCGCGCATCACATCACGGAGCATTGTGAGAGAATGTTCTGCGAGACGCTGAAGGCCGTGTTCTTGGTTGAGAAGGACTCTGGTTTTGAGAACTCGCTGGTGATGGATGCGCAACACAATACTGCAACAGCTGGTGGATACAAAAGCGGTACTGTGCAGATACCGCTGCGACAACAGCAGCAGAAAGCCACGATCATGAAGCATGATCTCCCGACGCCGTCGCCGTCGCCGGATGCGAGGAAACCGTATCTGGAGATAGGAGGGATGTTGAGGGATCACGTGGAGATGTGGGATTATGCCTGCGATGCGCGCTTCACCGGCTTTGTGGCGGACAAGGAGGACGAGCGAGCGCTGTTCGTCTTCTTCGACAAGGATGTCATGGGCAAGGACTTGAAGCCTGGGTATGTCCTTCCTTCACTTCAATATACGAGCGCATTTACTGACGTTTCTCAGATTGATGGCACTCCTCGAACTCGCCAGCAGCAAGGACTTCGACTGCACCCAGCTCGTCATTTGCCTCGATAGGACTGCGGATGGCGAGAGCGCAGAAGAAGTCAGCCGCGGGCTGTCATGGGCTGGCTTCGAATTGATAATGCTCGATCACTGGGCCGGCGAAAAGAACTGCATCAGCGACCGGTGGCTGTTCATGGGTATGGATGTTTAGCTTGAGCTCTGCTCCGTACCTGAAAGCAACGGAGTCGGCTGTCTTTGGTAGCATGGGTCAGGCAATTTAGCACTTGGAGTCGATCATGTCAAAATGCGTTCACATCAAATCAAACCTTCATCCCTTGCATTGAGAGCCGATGGTCCAAGGAAGTGAGAAATCGTTGACAGGGGAAACTTTTATAGCGCACTTATCAACTCTCATACCATCTCGTCACACATCAGGAGTCGTTCGTTTAAAGCGCATCGTCGTCAATCGCATCACATGTATGCCCGAGGTCGAACAGCGCCACCGAAATCTACCATTCAAGCAGCAGCAGCAGCAGATGTACGGCTTTTCGAGCGCCTTACTCCGGGAACGGCACTTCCTCCTCTCGTTCTCTTTACACGCCGCAGCGCCAGTTAGAGGACCCATTACCTCCCCTCCTCCTTCTATCCTTCACTCTCCCTCTCACCATCCCTTCCTCCTCTTCCTCCCCTTCATCCTCTTCCTCCCCTTCCTCCCCTCCTCGAAGTGAACAGACAATAAAGAAACAAGTCAAGTGATGCCTGCGCGCTGCAACGACTCAAACATCGAAGTCGCGCCTGCAGCGGCAAACACGAAAGCAAATTCCACCCTGCTGCTGCTGTCGTGTCGCTGTTTGGCGGTCGTGATAGTAGGTTTCGCTGAGGGTCGTCGTTATCGTCAATGGGTCTCGGTAGAAGTCGTGGTCGTGATTCGTCATCAGAGTCGGCGACAAAAGAGTACAGAAAAAAGGAGATTGGAGATTGTGTTTCGGTCGACAAAGGAGATTTGGCGCCCCTTCGTGTTCGTTCGCAGATCCAGCCGCAGAGGGCCGTAACAGGCTCATCGCCTCATGGGGCCGGCTTTGACGGAGTGAGGTTGCGCGATCGGACGAGAGCCCGGGTCGGTGCGCTGACGCTTGAGCCCGTTGTCGCCGGAGCTCATTGGGCGGCCGTAGGGTTCTTGCCCATCATCCTCAATCTCGCGCATGCGCTTGTTAGACGTCGGTGCGCCGTTCATGGACGGGTATTGAGGCGCCTGGTAAGCACCTTGGTGGGGGTATGGTTCCGCGCCATTGGGTGCGCCACCCCTGGTGTCATTGCTCATGCCGTATGACAGGTTGCTTGAAGGCAGCTGCGCAGCTCTCTGAGGTGTCGAGCTGTACGGGCCATACGGATTAGCGGTCCTTGGAGTCGCCCTGCCAGACCCGTTTTGGTGCGGCGAGTGCGTCATCTCAGGCGAGACATGAGACGGGTCCGAGTGGATTGGTCCTGGCGCAGAGTTAGGCTTGTAGCTGTAGGAAGGTCGTCTTGCGTCGTATGACGCACTGGTGTGGGTATATTCACCCTCGTGTTCGCCCTCTGCATCTGGCTGGCCAACGTATCCAGGGTGACCTTTGCTGTCGGGGTGCTCATTCTCTGCTCCGGCACGGGCGGGCGGACCCATCTTGCCGTTCTCCGGACTGGAATGCATTCCACCGTACCGCGCCATGTGCTGCTGAGGTGGATAACCGCCGTACGTGGAAGGCGCGGAGTACATCTGCCGCGAGTCGTAGGGCTGGCTTGTCTGGTACTGCGGGCCATGCGAGTTGGCAGGCGGCGTGGAAGCTGGGGTTGTTGGCACAGATCTCGCATTTAAGCCAGTGTCAATGGGAAGAGGCTGACCTGGATGCATTGCGGTGGCCTGAGCGCCGCTGTACTCGTACGAGCTTCCTGCATGTCCCATGCCCATGGTCAGACTAGATGCGCTTGTAGGTGGAGTAGGAAAGGTGTGCGCACGATCGAGACCTGGCCTCCCGGAAGCCGGATGAGGTGCGATCGAGTGCGGTGGTTGAGGGACGCTGGCACCGATTGGGTTGCTCATGGAGTGGTGGTGGGTGAGGGTAGAAGGTGGCTGAGTACCTTGTGGTGTTCGCATGTAGTCTTGTCCTTGCTCAGGGCGGCGCGCAGCCATTGCGGCGTTGCCGATGCTTTGGCGAGCGTTGGTTGCTTGATTGGTGGGGTGGTAGAGCAGAGCTCCGATATTATGAACGAAAAGAGGGTATAGGAGCTCGGTGATCTTCTCCTTGTTCGCGAATTCCAGCGCGCGGTCGAAGGGTATCCTGTGATTGTCAGTTTGCAGCTATGCGAAGGGAGAAGGCAAAACACATACCAGACACCCTTGAGGTGCATGGGTCCAATCTTGACCACGTGACGGGTCTTTTCACTCTTGAGAATGCCGTCGCGACGACCACGCGTCATACCGGCGACATTCAAGAGCTTGGTTCCGTTGATCATATGGTTGTCCTCGCGCCTCGCGACACACACCCCGTTTGCTTCGACCTGAAAGCAGAGACTTCCCTCGTCCTCCCAGAGGGTCGCAGTTACCCGCGGCTTCATCCCATGCGGCGCGACTTGCCCAGAAGTATCAATGCTTTGGTAGGGCTGACCGCCGCCCTGCGGTGGAGGTGGTCCGTTGGAGGCCATCGCTGGTAAAGGCAACGATTGTGGAACCATCTGTCCGCCCATTGAGGACGTCACGGGAAGAGAGCTCTGCATCGGCGCCATGGTGTGCGCGTATTGATAGTTGCCATAGCTGGCTGGACCGTGGCTGTACGATGCTGGCTGGAGTGCTTGCGGCTGACCATATCCAGAGTACTGACCCATACTGGACGCAGGCCCAGACGGCGGCGCGTGTGATTGGCTCACATCCATGTATGGTTGTTGTTGTTGTTGCATGCTGCTGTAGGGCTGCGGCGCGTAATGATAAGGCGTCGAGGTGGGGTGTATCGCCTGCTCTGGAGACGTCGCGTAATGGCCGACTTTTGCGCCGTCAACAGATGGAGCGTAGGAGGTGTGCGAGTCGTAGGACTGGTTTGCGACTGAATCACTGGAAGACCCAGCCCGAGGCGACGAGCCGACAGATGATGTGCTGCTGTTGTGCTGATGCGCGTACGAAGGTGCAGACCACTGAGTCTCGTCACCTCGGGCGAAGGGTTGGGTCGGTGGCAGCGCCAGCTTTTCGGCGAGTCAACAGCAAACGAATGCTGTCGAGTGGTAACAGCTTCTGCAGGGGCGCAAAAGCTAGGGATGTTTCTTTTGCTGCTGTTGAGCTCCGCCAGAAGTGCACTGGATCGCGGGCAGAGGGTGGAGACGGTCGTCAATAGTGTTTCGATGCTGCCGTGACGCCGGGCCGGGATCAAACGCTTCGCAATCGTTGACAGACGCCGTAAAGTTCGTGAATGCAAGGAGGTCGTAAAGGGTCGTTAATCGTGACAGGTCGTGGGTCGTAAATCAATGGCTCAAAACCACCGATACTCACGAATCTAGGTGAGGTCGTTGATGTTAGCAGATGTTGTGTTTCAAGATGTCATGCGCGCAGCGGGAAATGCTGCTGCACGACAGCGACTACCAACGCACCCTGTCGTCTAAGGAAATGCTATGCATGAGGGAAAAGCGGTTGCAGATGGAGCTGGGGAATAGAATAGAGGTGCTGGGAATGGCTGGGAGGTCTAGCTCTAGCGCAAGGTCCACGCTGTGCACGCTAGGGCCATGGAGGGTGGAGTGGAGAACTCACCAGGGTGCCAGCTCTCGCGAACGGTGGAAGAACGCTTTGACAAGACTTCGCGGGCTACCACCTGGCACCGCGGGCACGTTCTCCAGCGGGCGCAGAAGGCGTGGGCGGTGGGCGCGTTTGCACTGCGTGCTGTCGTCAGTCCGGCACGCCGGTGGGCGCAGTGTAGCAGTGTAGCGGCGCGAAACAAAGAGAACCAAGAACCAACCCGGCGGCGGGCGGTCGAGTGCGTCTGCGTCTGCTGCTGCGAGGACGGGCCGTGGCGCGCGAGCAAGGGCGAGATGCACTTCCTCGTGGAGATGTGCAGCAGGTTTGCAGGTGCAGGGCAGAGTACAGGACGACGCCTAAATGTAGCGTGCAGCTTTCGTCCTCGGGTGCGCGCAACAGAACACGACGGCGGCTCGGGCGGATCCTCTGGAGAGAGAGATAGCGGGTAGAATGCCGCCAGTCGCCCAGCCACAACTGCCCGCTTCGAATCCTAGTCGCTGGCGCCCACTTCTTCCAGACCAGTGAGACGCCTGTGGAATGCTATCGGACGCGGCACTGAGGAGATCGTCGCTTTCTGTCGGCCTCTGTACCAATGCCTCCGCTCTCACCCGCGCGCTGATAAATTGAATATCTGAGATGTTTTTCGCCAATGGTATCGCCACTCCGCCGATCTGCGATGGCCGTTTCGAACACGCTCCGGCGGCGAATTGATGACGGTTGGAGCGAGGAAAACAGCCGAAAGTCACAGTAGTCCACGTCGAAGTCTAGCAAGGTGAGGTGTCAAGGTGTACCGTGTGCTGGCCCATTGACTTTTCAAGCGCGGTGGAGATCTGCCAAGCCAAGCTACCTCCCAGCGGCTCGATTTCCCATTGAACAATGGAACAAGTCCAACGGGACAACACGCGAACATCTAGATCTCCACTGATACTGACGAGATCAACGACGAGATACAAACACACCTCCTGCACGGCGCTTCTCCAACCATTTGAAGACAGCCGCTGCGATCTGAACGTCAGAAGCGTTGCGCAGGCGAGGCGGAAGCGCTGATGTTGTTAGCGCCTTGAGCCACCTTGAACGTGCAATGTCACCGAGCAGGATCGCAAGAAGTCGAGGGCCCGGGACGGCGAGCAGTTCGCAAGCTTCTTCGTAGCCTCTGACGATGCCATTGACTCGAGGTTCAATCGACATGTGGCGGTGGTCTCAGGCTCACACGAAAGGGTGCCTCTGGCAGCCACTCGGGCACAGATAAGGCTTCTCAATCGATACAGACGCAACGTGCGCAACGCGGGAAGTCAGAAGTGCGCTGGGCCCGTACAACCCTAGTCACACCGCCGCCGCGACAAGCGACGGCCATTGTCCCAATTCAGAGGGCCCGAATGGTATGCTCTTGATCCGGCAGTTGCAACGTGAGCTTGTGGTCCCGCCAACCGGCCCAGCAAGGTGTTCGCAATGAGCCATCTTTGTACGCAGCACGTATTCGTGTCCTCGCAAATGCACAATCCAAGTCTGCGATTCCCCAGATATCCCGACGTTGATCTCGACATGCACACAGCGCACAAGGTTAAGATAGCTCGACTAGCTCCCGCTGCATGTGATGCGCCTCCAGAAAGCCTGGGCCAGCTCTTCGATAACGGCATCCGAGGTCAAGAAGTAATCGTGTCAGCTTGTCAATCAATTGGCGATGCCTATCTACAATCAAAACCGCCTCGAACGGCCCCATGATCGATCCATCCAAGCTCCTCCATCGGAAAACCCAACCCAAATCGAAGCGATGTCCGGCCCCTCGCCAACAACACTCGAAAACGCCAGCTCGAATGGCAAGCGAACACGTCGCCGGCCTAACCAACCTTAACACCGCCACTTTCCGCGTTCGAGCTCTCTGGTCGCACGAAGCACTCCTTCACGAGCCCCTCCACTTCCAACCAGCGTGCATGATTGTTCCGAGAGGCACGCCTCGATCCAGCTGTGTGAAACACGTCTGCACCACCACGACCACCTCAACGGATCGCGCACAATCGCAGAGCAGCACTCACGAGGCTTGAAAGCTGTCCTTCTGGCTTCTTGGAGCCTCTCATCGATTGGGGCGATCAAGCGGGGTTGTGGGAATGGCGGTGAAGAGCCAGCTCCGGCGCAATCGATTGGATGGCAGGCCAAACGCTGTTCATTCGTTGACGACGTCCCGTTGCACGGGCTCCGGTGGGCTCTCTCTTCTCGCCAGCTCAAGCAAGGTCGAGCGGCAATGCCATTGTTTTCGCACTTCAGAATGTGCCTTCGTCGTGAGGTTTTCTGATCACCGACTGCTTACACACACACACAGATCTGCCCAAATGCACAACTACTGCATGCAAGCGTGGGCCGCCGCGTACGAGATGCGGCGGGAAAGCAGTCTGCAAGATCCCCCTCACCATGCTTTGCAGTGTGCAGTACGCAGGCGGCCGGTCCCCAAGCTTGCGTAGCTTTATGCCAGGCACTGAAACTTTGTGCCGTAGGGCTGCAGGAGGCATGTTCGTGCTGATGTATGCAGCCGTGAAGGATGTGTTTGCTTCTAACTTCAGATGGCGAGATCAGCGCTACAAGGCTGGTAGAGGTGCAACGTTATACTCGTGGGCTACGAAGGCTCCAGTTGAAGGCGATGAGTTGAGTGAAGGTTGGTTGACTTCTCATTTCACTACTATCATTGCAATATCGCTGCCGTTTACGTCTCGTTTTGAACAGGATCAGATGTTCAAAGAGCCATTCCATCTGCAACTACCATGTGAAGCGGAGCACGAATAACACCTTCCCGTCTCGTTCGTCGTGCAAGGCATATTCCTCTCGATCCCACAAGTATGAACCCTCGAGGTCACTCGTACGCTTCACTCGATAACCCTCACAATCAACTCCATCAATCCATCAGGATCAATCCAAAACGGCGAGTGCCCAACATCCAGCTCCTCCACCTTCAAATCCACACCACCCTCTCGCAGCCTCGCAATGTACTTATCGCACATCTCGACCGGCACAGCATTATCCTTGAGACATTTGATATACGTACAAGGAATGCCGTAGTCCCTCCACCCAGCATAAGTCGTCGGGGTGGTGAAAGCGGAATATGCCATCGGCACCGTCAGATCCAGCGGTGCTTGCGCTTCTTGTTCTGAGATATCGGCGTAGTAGCGCTCGTACGGTTTCTGGTGGACCATCATGCCTTTCTGCGAAGCGTCAGTGATCCGGTTGAACAATGTATACTTATTTGAAGGAAAGACTGACCTCATTAACATCCAAATGATTAATCACCCTCCCCGTCCCCAACATCGGCTCCCCCTTCTCCAACACATGCGCCGCCAAATACACCATCCTCCGCACCCTTCCATGGTCCGGCTGGCCATAAGTCCCCAGCCATTCACACAGCATAGCAGCGGCATCAGAACCAGACACGCCACCGTAGCTGTGCATAATGATCACAACATCCTTAGTCTCGTCGTTGACGAGTTTCTTCATCACGTCGCAGGTCACCATGGCGTCTTTGCGCAGCATGTTTCCCGGGTCGCGCGAGACGCTGACGGATGGGTTGCGGACGATGACGGTTTCGTAGCCTGCTGTGCGAAGGCGTTTGGCGAAGGGTTCGTAGTGGTCTGGGACGTGCCTGGGCGAGAGTTGAGCAAGTCATGTCATTCATGTGCTATTGACGGTGATACTCACCATGCTCCTGGGACGATTACTACTGCCGGCTTCGTGGCCATCTTGATAGCTCGTGGTGGGCGAGTTGATCTTTGTCTGACAAGGTGTTTTATGGAGCTCACAATATGCCCCGCAGTCCGCGTTGATAGAGTGGATTCCAAGTTTGTTGGAAGGTAGCTGTTGTAGAATCTACAGAAGATTAGGTTTACGAAGAAGAGCAGTTGACAAGGACGAGATGTGAGCCAGAAGGAAACACTCTATTCCTGCAGGAACAACTTGGGCTTACCTCAAGCTCGAACACAGATGGTCAATCGAAGCCAAACTCTACATGGGAAGATCAGGTTGCTGGTCGCTTTGATTCATGATAAAACGACACCTAGTCTGGGGTGTACTTGACAGTGTTAAGCTCCTAGTCTACCGCTTCAGCTGTATATGTAGTCCTCTCGAAATTGCGCACTGCTCACAGCACGTGCTCGCAGCAGCTTCTAAAGCATCGAGGACACTTGATCTTCCCCATCCGAGTGAGTCCAGTCATTCAAAGAGAATGTAACCATGCTAGACGCAAAGAAGACGGGGATTCATGCACCATCACCCTGACCGCACCTCACGATGCTGGCTTGGGCTCCGAGCCCTTCACGAACTTGGTGTGTGTGCCTGTTGCAACGACCTTGCCTCTCTGTCCTTCCTCAACTTTGTAGATGTTGATCTTCGTGAACGCAAGACTGCCACCAACACGCTCTGCAATGCCTTCGATCTCAATCTCTTCTCCAAGCTTGGCCCCTGATTGGTACGTAACATGAATGTCTACGCTGACGCCAGACTTGTCCCGCAGATCGTGACTTGATATCGACATGCCACCCATCCAGTCCACGATGGCTGCTGAGACGGCGCCGTGCAGGCTGCCAGCGGAATTCATATGGTTTTTCTCCAGCGGTAGGCGTGCGATGACATGGCCTTTGCTGGCACTCTTGATCTTAACGTCGGAGAGTAGGAAGGCATAGATGGGGCTTGTTGGAAGCCTCTTCTGCACCAAACCCTCGATGTGCTGGTGCTCTGCAGACTTTGAGTCATCTGAAGCCATGGTCGTGGAATGCGGGTAAGGTATGGTCTGCCACTTGTCAGTAAACCATGCCTACTCTGCTTGTTCTACTAAGATTAAAGATGTGTTCGTCAATGCATGGGAGTAGCACGATGCTGAAGTGGACTAACCTGGCGTGAGAAGGAGAGACTTGAAAAAGCGATGAAGATTGGCAGGCACATGCTTCAGGCAAGCTCTCGGCATCTTCCGAAGAGGTCCACGTCAGATCAACATCAAACCTGGCCTTGATCAACATTTGTCAAGGAGGACACTGAACCACTTCTCAGGCTTCTACCTTAGCCCTTCTGGATCCGTCAGAGGAAAGTATCCTGACAAAACCGATTGTAAAGCCGCAAAGTTGGCTCGCCTTTCCTCTTGGACCCAATACATCAAGCGGAATTTCCCCTTGCTACTGTCGGAGACTGGCTTCATCCACCGTCCCGCAGTCTGGCTGAGCAAGAGTGAGTCTGCCCCATGGAGGGGCAGAGAAAGCAAAATGTCTGGACCTGAGAGCCAGTCTTACCTGAGCAAGCTCTCGCCCTTCACCAGGAGCCCAACTGTCCAACCCAGCAAGGGGAAGGATGGCGAACCGGAGCCACTAGTACAGCAGCAACCCGGAACGGATCACAGAGTCAGGCATAGGCATCGCTTGAGTCTTAGGAACTACCCTCGCGATTGTCCGCCTCTCCGGCCGCAATGGTTTCACGCTGTGGACTCGCCGAAACGGCGACCGAATCCTGCTGGGAAGACAGATGAGAAGCTCTTGCCTGCTCCTAAGAAGTATGCTGCCTTCTCAGTACGGGATTCGAAAGCCATCGAGGTCGCATACCGGAAGCTTGGGGAGGAATTAGAAGCGGCTGAACGCCAGCCTGAACATGGTGATCTGGGGTCTAGAAAGGCAGAAGACCAGCAGTCAAAGGAGAAGCCCAATGTCAACCTCAAAGACGATCTTAGCCCCGGAAAGGTCAGGGTACCCGTCAACGAAGACTACCTGTTTGATGTGGATATCGAACGAAGGGAACTTGGGCCGGCTTACTGGCTGGGTCCGGTGTACGATGTCCGGCGAGGCACCTGGTTCTATCAGGATGGCAGTGTACAGAGACCGTGTGATGAGAACCTGGCAACACAACTGGAAGACGGCTATCTGAAGGTTGAGGCATGGAAGCTAGCTTCTCAGCAGGCGAAGCAGCGATCAGCTTCACAGCCTCGCAAGCGACCGACATCTTGGGGCCCAGACCAGCTTCAAGTGTCTGATGAGCCAAAGCCTGCTGCTTCTGCGCCCATGACACCGAAGCTTTCGAGCACAGATCTGCGGAAGCAGGCCGCTGATAATCAACTGCCAGTCCCGCCTGGAGACACCGAAGCTCGGGAAGGCCAACGGACTGATCAACCGCAGAACACATACCGCCTCTTTGGTGCCCACATGAACTCCGTCGTGACATATCAAGACGCTAACACAGCCTGGCTCCTGACCGACGACTTTATGAGCCGGATGAACTACACAATGTACCAACGCTTCGCCGGCGGCGGCCACTACGGCGGCATCAAACTCGTTCGCGGCTATGCTCCCGAGACCAAGAAACCTGAAAGCAAAGACAACAAAGCCACCACCACCGAAAAGGATACCGCCAGCAAAGACTCTGCCCCAGCTTCCGAAGAAGACCCACCGGAAGATGCGCCAGAACGACCAAGTGTCTCTGAAACCCACCGCCAAAAGCTCGAGCGCCACATGTCCTCCCTTCTCGAAGAAGCAACATCACCTGAAGACCAAGCGAAGCAAGAAGAAGAACTGCGCAAACGTGACGAGCGCGAGATGGAAGAGGACTACCAGCTCAACTCCTCCGAGGACCAAGGTCGTGAAGTCGAACATCTCATCCTCGTCACGCACGGCATAGGCCAACGGCTCGGATTACGCATCGAAAGCGTCAACTTCGTGCACGATGTCAACACGTTCCGCAAAACGATCAAAGCCGTCTACGCCGACTCGCCAGACCTCAAAGCGCTCAATGCCGAGCTAGACAATGCAGAAGTGGTGAATAGTCGTGTCCAAGTTCTGCCGATTTGCTGGCGCCACTTGCTGGACTTCCCAAAACAGAGTCTCAAGCACAACCGCAAAGAAGCAGATATAGCCGACACAGACCAAGAAGACGAAGACTATCCCAGCCTCGAAGACATCTCCGTCGAGGGAGTACCTGCAGTCCGGAACCTGATTACGGATCTCGCGCTGGATATCCTGCTCTACCAGTCGCCGGCGTACAAGGACCATATTTCACGGATCGTGCTGGAGGAGTGCAATCGCATCTACCACCTTTTCATGGAACGGAACCCGAACTTCAAGGGGAAGATAAGCATGATTGGGCATTCGCTCGGTTCGGCGATTATGTTTGATATCCTGTGCCGGCAGGACCAGCAGTTGCATCCTTCGAAGCAGCATCGGAAGCATCAACATCATCTGAAACTTGATTTTGAGGTGGAAGATTTCTACGCTCTCGGCTCACCCATCGGTCTGTTCCAGATGCTCACCGGTCGTACCATCGCTGCACGAGAAGGTCCAGACGGACGGAAAAGAGCAATGACTACAAGTATGGACGACCCAATGCTCTCCGACATAGCCTCCGCCTCCACCACCAGCAGCAGTAAAACCACCCGCACCCCCCTCGACCGCACCACAAGCACCTCCGACCTCGCCACCTCGAACCCCAAATGCGCCCAGCTGTTCAACATCTTCCACCCCACGGACCCCATCTCCTACCGCATCGAGCCACTCATCTCGCCCACGATGGCGACGCTGAAACCGCAGCCCCTGCCGTACACGAAGCGTGGAATCTTCGGCGCGCCGATGGGCCAAGGGTTGACGGGCATAGGGGCCCGCGTGAGCCAGAGCGTGTCGAGCATGTGGACGTCTATGGCGTCGAATTTGCTGACGAGGGGGTTGGGGTATAGTGGGGGCGAAGCTGCGCAGGTTCCTTCCGCGCAGCAGAATGCTTCGATTCGTCCGAATGCTCCGCCGCCTTCGAGTGGTGCAGGCACGAATGTGAGCGCGGGGGTGATTCCGACTGCGCCGCCGCCTCCGCCGGAGGGGAGTGAGATTGCTGCGATCCCGGAGAAGATTGCTTCGGGGGCTGTGACGCCAACGAGGAGCGGGCAGCAGCACCCGCCGACGCTTATTGATAGCGAGATCGAGACGTTATATGCTGGGTATCAGAAGCATCGCGGGTCTGTGCAGGGGGATGCCGGACAGCGCGACCTCGGCGCCGGAGCGGTCGGGAGTCCGGAGTGGCAGGAGTCGGAAGAGCGGGCAAAGCGGTTGAAGCGGGAGGAGGAGAAGGTGAGGCGGCTGAATAGTAATGGGCGGGTGGATTACGCGATCCAGGAGGGCGCGTTCGATATCAATTTGATCGCGGCGATAGCGAGTCATTTGAGTTACTGGAGCGATGAGGATGTGAGCCACTTCATCATCTCGCAGTTGCTTAGCAGGCATCGCGTGGTGAGGCCGAGGAGGACGAGTGGTGGGAGTCAGGCGGCGGGGAGGGATTCGTGATTGTTTGGCAGCAGAATCTCATCTTTCGAAATGATCAGGGCATAGCCAGTCTGCCATTCCCAATCCACCCCGTCCAAATCGCGCCCGCCTCCCTCGCGACATCTTCCGCCGTACGGCCGTGAGAGTCTTTCAAGCTTCGAATATCCACCTTTCCATCCTGCTCCGTCCGCATGACACCCAGCACAGCAGCCTCCTGGTACACCTCCGCAGGAATCTCGAGCTCAGGGAAACTACTCGCCAGCAGCAGCAGCAACCACGCCACTTCGCGATGTCCGTTCGCCACCGCCGCGTGCAATCCAGAAGACATATCACCAATCGGGTCCTGATACCGCAGAATCTCATGTGGGGTCTTGTTCTCGCCACCAGCAGAAGGAGCGTCGGTCATCTCGGACTCATCGAACTGCTCGTCGAACCGCTGTTCGTCGCAGGAATTTAGCAGCTCGGCGATGGCTTTGTAGTCGCCTTCTCGCGCGAACTCCAGGAAAGCTCGACATTTACGCTCCTCGGGATAGGCGCGGAGGTACGACTCCTCTTTGAGAATCGGGAAGATGTCGATCTGTTGCTGCAGGCCGCCTTCGTTGTTCAGGTCGACGATGATGGCTTGTTGCGCTGACGCCGAAGCTGAAGAGCCTGTGGCCGGGGAAGAGACGATGGAGCGGGAGCAATTGGGACACTTCTCCAGCTCGTAGGAATCCAGGAGGCATTCCCAGTGGAAATGGCATCCACAGGAAAGCGTTACGTCGTCAGGGATGGTGTCGGGTGAGTTGTCAAGTTCCGGTGCTTCACCTTCGGAGTCTGAGTCGGGAGTGATCTCCACTATGAGCGGTTTGTCGCATTGCGCGCAGGTTGTCATGTTGGCTGTATGTGGCTTGAGGTATGGTTCTTACATGTAAGGTAGTGAAAAGGCCCGACGTGAAGTTCACGAAGACTTGCGCCGGGCGCACAGACCATATGGTTGTCGCCTAAAGCTAAAAGGTAAAGTATGTTTATCTCGGCAACAACGAGCGTTCCGTTTGCGACAACGACACCTTTCCTCTCTTCCTCATCTTTCCACATCTTCTGTACACACCATCCACCAACCTCCTACTCCGCGCCCTCCGCTGACCATCGTTGCACTCGTACCTCTTGGTGACGTCGACCGCGATGGAGGAACAGGCCTATCTGGAGCCCGGATTTGATCCAGCTACCCTCACTGTCCCGCAACTGCGCTCAGTCTTGGTCGCGCAGAGCATAAACTACCCAAGTTCGGCAAAGAAGTCGCAGCTCATCGATCTGTTCAACGAGCATGTCGCGCCGCAAGCAAAGCAGCTGCGCAACGCCAGTCTGAGAGTGAAGCGCAGCAGCAGAGGCATTCTTGACGTGGCTAGCCAAAGTACGGACAACAACGAGGACGAACTGCCTCCAGCGCCATCAACGGGCAGAAGAAGCGGCGGAAGGACAACGAGAGCGCGAACGGAGGAGGCGGAGGAAGTGCCACCGCCAACTACGCGATCGACGAGACACAGCACCGCGCCGCCAGAAGCCACCCCAAGACGAGCATCGAGCAAGCATGCGCGGACTATTGACAGGACTGTACCTGAAGAGGAGCCTGGGCCGAAGCGGCCAACGTCTAGGAGATCGCGGCCCAGTGCGCAGACTCCCAGAGTGAAGGAGGAGGAAGCACGCGATGAAGGCAGTCCGTTCTCAATGGAGAACGTCTTTCAGTCTGGTAGCTCCCCACCTCCACCAACAACAGACCGGAGGCGAACAACCATGAACGCGCCCCAGGACACAGATCGACGCCGAAGCGACAAGGTGCGTAGACGGACGCACGATGTCAAACCGGCACGACAGCAAGCGGATGGTACTGTCGTGCCTACGAGGCGTACATTCGAGATGCCGGTCTCAGCTATGAGGAAGGAGCGCGTGGAGCCAACGGAGGAGTTCACGCCAGAAGAAGAGCAAGATCTTGCACTGGCGCAGCAGTCCGGAGAGTTGGTGCAGGTCCGGCCGAAAAGCACAGCGCCAGCGGCTAAAGCAGCACGGAACGGTTTTAGTGCAATCTTCGTCGCTGTGCTGGCTGCTTCGGCGTATCTGTATGGCGATGAGAAGTTCAAGGTCGGTTACTGTGGGCGCGGAGAGCCGAGCAGGGAGATCGCTGGTGTTCAGGTACCGGAGTGGGCGGATGCGTACCGTCCATCGTGCGAGCCATGCCCGCAGCACGCGATCTGCTACGACAACCTGAAGACGGCGTGCGAGCCAGGATTCGTCCTGACACCGCATCCTCTCTCGATGATTGGACTCATACCGATCCCACCCACCTGCCAACCCGACACGGCGATGACGAAGAAGGTGAACTCAGTCAAGGAGCGCGTGGTCGAGGAGCTGAGAGAGCAGAACGCGAGATACGAGTGCGGCGACGCTCCAACACCAGAAGTAAAAGAGACAGTACTCAAGCGCGGGATGAGCGAGAAGAGGCGCAAGGGCATGTCCAACCAAGAATGGGAGGAGCTGTGGGACTCTGCAATCGGCGAGGTCCGCAACGTGGACGAAGTCACTCAAGGCACTGACGGGTAAGTCTCTTCATCTTTATCGCGGTCCTTATTAGCACTCGACTCTTGCTTACGGAACTCCATACTAAGATTCATCCTCTCCCCCACAGATCCAGCGGCGACCCAATCCTCCGCTCCACGTCACTCAGCAACCTCAGCCTCGCTTGCTCAGTCCGCCGATCCCTCCGCCAAACTCTTAGACAGCATCTTTGGCAGCTTATAGCTTTCACCATGGCCGTTAGCTCTGCCGCATATGGCCGTCAACGCTACATCTCATCTCGGACGGTGGAGAGCGTCGCAAAGCAGCTTACTGGGCGCGTCTACGAGGTTCTGAGCGAGCAAGCAGCCCTGCACGCCGCAGACCCCAACTCTTACCGCGACAACCACGTCAGCGTCGCCCAACTCCGCGACGACATTCTCCGCGACGAGTATTCCACCTGGCGCCGCAAGAAAGTCTGGGACGCCGTACAGAAGAAAGTCGAGCGCAACTCCAACGTACGGCCTATGGTGCGCGAGGGCAGGAGTGGCGATGTGGGGAGGGTGTGGGAGTGGGTCGGCGCGGTGGGGAGGTTGGAGAGTTCGCCGCAGAGTGGGGGGCATGAGAGGAGGAAGAGTGGGAGGGTAAGCTTTGGCGGGGATACGTTTATTGAGCCGCGAAGGGAGGAGGAGGTGGGGGAGGTTACGCGGTGGAAGGAGCAGGGGGGGTATTATTGAGTGGTTCTAAGTTGCGTTGGTCTTGCGGGTTGGGGATGTGTGTACGATGTGTGTACGATGCCGGCGGGTTTAAGGTGAACGGGCTTTCATTGGCAGCAGATTGTATGAGGTATGATCAGCAGCCTTGAGGAATATCGCCTTCGCTCGTGATAGTTTTTCACATCTCGTTCATCCTCCTCTGGCAATACAGCGATGATTGTTAACGACAACCTCCAAATTCCTCTGCTTGTGCTGAGGCGGATCAAATTGTCCGACAACTCGATTGGTGGAAGAACGGCTAGCCATATGACCAGCGTGGTGCCTGACACTATACCTTTTATCACCGATCCGACAAGTCTGATCGACCTAGGTGTGCAGTACTTCATAATCCACACCAGGTCATGTACAGGGAAGCGGCTGGGGAGGCAGAAGCTGATGCGGTTTTGACCTTCCCATCGCTCCGCCTATGGAAGAGGTCGAGGGATCCGTCAACGAGCCCGTCGCATCAACGTAAACGAGAGGAGCTGAAGGCATACTACATTAACACATTGGCACAGGTGACAAAGAAGTGGAACAAGAAGAAATTCATACGATAGACTCACTGCCACCTTCTCCATTACTCCCAAACTGTCGACGGTAAAAGCAGCCCGCCATGTCAGCGTGAATCGTGCAACGGACCTTCTCACAGACAATGACAGCCCTCTGATAAGAGTGATATGGTCTTTTTGACCACGATCTGGTCTTGGCGAAGAATGCCAGATGCGCCCGGGTTGCCCCATTCACTGTCTCTTGCTTGACTCCATATCCTCCTGCGCCTCGTGCGACAGCTGCAACGCTGCTCGCCACATGTCCCCCAGGAATGCTGCTGCTGTTCGGTGATGCCCTTCCTCAGGTCTTGGAGAATCATTACTAGCCGCTCAGTAGTCGCCGTCGTTGCCTCTTCTCCGCTGAACAATATCCTACTGGGAGGTTTTTGAGCATATCGTTGCGTTGTTTGGATTATCGAGACTGCTACTTCTTCCTGGACGTCGTCGGACGGATGTTCTGCTTAGGAGACATTACAACACCTTTCTCGAACCGCCCTTTTCCTTATGGTTCTGCTCAGCGAGGGACAGTGAAAGCGGCCTACCGCAAACCTGGAAGTCTCCTCCTTGGTCCAGATGTTCCTGAAAAGGGCAACGTCATTGCTGTCGGCAGGCTCGCGGTCTGCGAGAAGATCCACTTCACATACGGAAGCTCACTCTGGCCTTGTTGGCTCCTTGTACTGTCGACGGCTTGAGCGAAGGGCAGTGAAGCCAGTCCACTAGGTCAGAGCGAAGTTATGAGGGATCTTCTCACAGACCGGAAGGCCTGCCCACGAGGGTGATGTGGCCTTTTCGGTTGCATTTGGATCTCGGAGAAGACTGATTCCTGGGTTGCTTCCACTGTCGCTCGCTTGTCTGCGCACGATGCCTATTACTTGAGGATGCGTTGAATCCAACGGCTTCCCAGACATGCCGGATCATCTCTGATCTGATCATCGTTGCGTGTGATGGCCGTACGATGTGGTGACGATGTCGACGATTGGTATTGATGCTGTATATTTATGTTTGGCGATCTGTGAGCCGAATGTCAGTCACTGCGTACCACAGAGCGGCGGAAGCATCAACTCACAGGAATACCAGTCATCAATGGGATATCAATGTTGGAGAAAGGAAGAGGAAAGCTGTCGGAAAGGATGAAAGTACTTGTCGCTGAGCCACATCGTGATGGCACCTACCTCGACCTCAGTATTGGCATGACATGGCGCGACGCAAGCCCAACGTCAGCGACGAGATGGTGAAAGGCAGGAGCAAAGGTATGAAGCAGTCGCGGCGTGCAGAACGTTCAGCGGGCTTCGAGATACGCATAGGGGATGTGCAGACAGACGGGGAGTTGCAACACATTTCTTGAATCGCCCTTCCAATTGCTCTGCCCACAATGTCCACGACTTGATCGTTTCCCGAATACAACAGCTTCTCAGACTTGCCAGAGTATTTCTAATCCAGATCCTGACCATGTCGCCTGTCACAGTCGCAGACGTAGATAGGCCAACGCCATTGGCATCCCTAGAAGGAGTCTGGTGCTCTGCCGCCCCTGTCCGCTCTAATCGTACTGTACAACTTGAATACCATCCTGGCGTCTTTCATGATCACATCCCTCTTCGACTGAACATTCCCGTCAGGGATTTCCTATCTTCGTCGTAGCCTTCCGAGTACCCAAAAAAGATCACGACTTCCTGCAGCACCGCCGGGCCCCACCGAGTCTTGACCTTATGCCCCAAAGCTGCCATATTAGTTTTCAGGCGTCCAGGACGATTTTCCTTCGCTGATGGCCCCGCCGTCTGTGGCTGTGGTTTCACCGGCTTCTTTCTGACCTGCTGTCTATCCGCAGATCTCGCAGGGCAATTGCATCGACTGTGTATCCCCTTCCTCAGGGGTTTCCCATCCTCACCTAAGCCCGCCAAAGCTGCCAGAAAGGAAATAAGCCCCTCCAGCGCCGCCGGGCCCCATCGAGTCTTGACTTGGTGCCCGAAAGCTGCGATCCTAGTTTTCAGCCGTCTAAGCCGCCTTTCCTTAGCTGATTCCGCCGCCATCTGTGGTGGTGGTATCGCCGTCTCCGTTCTGACCTGCTGCTCATCTGCAGGTCTGGTAGGGGGTAGTTCTGTGTATGGTGGTGGCGGAGGAGGTGGTGGTAGTGGTACGTATCGCGAATAGCGCGGCGGCCCTTCGTTCGGTGACGGTTGGTTTGGCCGTCGCGTGCCCTCGTCATCGCGGACTTGTGCAGGAAGTCTGAGAGGCGCTCTAGTGGACCAGGTGTCTAGAGTATGTTGGGGCCATAGGCCGTGGTATGCACCGTAAACGCTCTCCACGTCGAGGTCGGCTGGTCTGATGTAGGTTGCGGCGGCTGGCAAGAGCATCTCGTTGGCTAAGCCTGAGGTAGTTTTTGGAGATGTCTAGATCAAGTCAAATTGGTGGGAGGTTCATTCGCATAGCAAAAAGCAGGACGTCGTCTTTTGTGTAGTTCGCAAAGTGGAAAAGAGGCTGAGGAGAACTGTACAAATCATTCTCGAGGAAATGGTCACGGTGGGAAGGCAGTCGAACTTTGGTACTCTTACCAACTTACTGCAGAAGTCAGCTTTGCGGACCAATCGCGCCACCGATTACTACGGTTTGCACGGTGGGGCTTGGGTGGCTTTCTTGCTGTTGTGAACATGAACTTGAGTCTTTTTTCTCGGGCTGTGGCGTAAGTGGATGAATGAGGGTGCTGGCATGCTGTTGTAGCCAGTGCGCAGGAGACTGGAGAGTTGATCAGGCGGTGTGCGGCAGAATAACGTGAGGCGGCTGTTTGGGCTTCTTGGAAGTGCGTGAGGCACTGCTGGGATTGATCGTGAGAGGTCGCTGAGCTGTTGTTCCTGACACTCGTTGTGTGCTCATCGTTCTGTTGTACTCCTATATCCCATCAACGTCATTCAAAGCGTATAAATGAACTCCGGGTTCTCGCGATCCGTCAGGTCCAAGAACTCCTGATTCTCCAACTTGACGTATCCCGGCTGCGCACGAATGGCGGCCTTCTTTTTGTTCTGGCGCTTGCAGTACCAGTAGATGAACGCGAGGTCCAGCAAGCAGATACCCTGGAGGATGTGGTCAGCAGGGGGAGTGAGGCGGTACAAGCGGACGAGGGAACGATATACCCAGCACACAAGGATAGTGATTTCTGCTGGCACGTAGCGAGGTGCGTCTTTGGGACGGAATCTGCGTATGTAAAGGATTAGTACAAGCAAGGTGGTCAAGGAGTTCGAGGCGGGGCGTACGTCTGCGGCCCAATGATGTCTGTGCAGTGATCAGTATCAGTACGCGCAGCGAGAAGGATACGTAAACTCACTGCCAACGCAATATGCGATCAAGTACATCGCAGCAACCGTTGTCTTCTTGGTGTATCCAGCCTATCACCCCATAGTTGTCAGCAAGGCCTGCACCTCGACAACCGAAACTCTAGCAAGACTCACCACATTGGTCGAGATCAGCGACAAGAACGCCACGAAAGGCGTGGCAGAAGCCTGGGTCAAATAATACCCTCCCAGTCTTCCCCCGTTGTTATCCAGCGGCAACCCGACGATCAGCGCCACCCCAAGCATAGCCAATATCAGCCCAGAAGACGAGACGAGAATTCTGTTGTGGAACTTGTCGCCCAGATAGCCGCAGCCGACAAGGGTGATGATCTCTACGGCTCCGCCTGGAGTGCCGTACAGGAGGGATTGCTCGGCTGTGTAGCCGAAGGATGTGATGAGCTGGGAGAAGAAGTTGGTGATGCCGCCGTTGGGTATGTCGGCGACGAGTGCGTAGAAGGTGATGCCCCAGGTGAGAGGATCTTTGAGGGCCTCGAGGAGTTGGTACATTTTGAAGTGCTGGAAGCGGAATGTCAGATGGAGACGCTAAAACTTAACACTCATGGTATACTCACTTTGTTGCCGACGCCTTGGTTGTTGACACGGATACGCTCGATGGCCAGTATGCGGTCTTCTTTCTTCAGCCACCTGCGATTAGGAAGAGGGGCATTAGCATTGTGATCAATACTCCTGCGGCGTTTCAGAGACTGCCTGGTCCTTACCTAGCATTGAGCTGATTGTCCGGCACGACAAACAGGAATATTACTCCCATAGCCATAGTCAACAGCCCAGTAACCAAGAACACAATCTTCCAAGGCGCAATCGCCGATCCAGTGCTCGCCGCACCCCTGGCAATCCCGTACGCCAGACATCCACCAACAATCTGCGCCACACCATTGAACGAGAACCAAATGCCCGTCCGCAGGCCTTGCTCGCGCTTGGTGTACCACTGCGAAGTGATGAGCGCAAAGCCCGGCGTGACGGCCGACTCGCAGAGACCGAGCAAGAAGCGAATCGCTACTGCGCCGCCAAAGTTCTCGACGGCGGCGAAGCAGGAGAGAACCAAGCCCCAGGCGATTACGCAGGCGGCGGAGTATTTACCGATGGGCAGGATTTGGAGGAGTCGGCTGGTTGGGTATTCCCAGGCGATGTAGCCGAAGTAGAACCTGTGAGACCTTGATGAGCTGTCTGAACCATGTGGGTGCTTGCTATTGTGGCATCGACGCACATGCTGCCTAGCCATTGGTAATCTGTAATCTCGTCAGCATTGAAGTTTCTTTGGGAAACGGTTGATGAGAAACGTACCGTCATTTACCAGATTAATATCCTCGATCAGACCCATGATAGAAGCATATGAGAGGGTCGTCTTGTCCAAGAAGTTGAGGCCATACACGATACACATGATCTAGCACGACCTTAGCCACTACTTCTTCAACATTTGATGCGTAGTGTTGCAACTCACCGGTATCAAATTCCAGTCAATGATTCTGAGGATCCTCTTATTATCCGCCTCGCTCAATTCAATCACCTGGCCCTCATTCCCAGCGAAAGCCTTCATCGCCTCATCGGCATCGTGAGAGTGCTTCAAGACATCCGCCGGGACTTTGCCTTCCTTGATAGCATTGGCGAGAGGCGCGGGGAGGTTCTTTTCGACTTCTGGATCCAGCTCGACGGGGTGTTTCTCGTTGTCCGCCATGATTATATAGATTTTGCTGACGAAGAATATGAGGAAAGTAAAGGAGAAATATATGGAAAGGTAGGAAGAGATGAGATGGAAAGAGACGTTGAACTTAAGGTAGGTCTTGCATCTGCGCCTATCAAAGTGGTATCTCCTCGCCTCCGGGTGGATGATAAGCGTGACAACCTCGACGTTTCAATGGCACATCACCGCCGCGATCGACAGCGTTCGCGTGGCAGATGGGCATGCGGATGGACGAGCAGACTGCCGAAAGCGGAAGGTGTACTTCGAGAGTTTCTGTTGTGAACGTCACAAGCGGGCAAGCAAGGGAAGCTTTGCCAAGCAGAAGCTTCCTGATCCATGCACGTGATTGATGAAATGGATGTGTGATTGACTAACGGCTGTTGTGCTATTCTGTCTATTGCATGGAAGCAGCAGTGTGAATGTTGTCAATATCGCTTCAAGACGTCCTCCCTGAGCCTCCCCGGCGTCCTCGGTGTCGTGGGCGAATGATCCTCTACCAAGTACGGAAGCCGAGGGTAGCCATGCCCGTCATACTCCTGAATAAGCACATACCGATCCAACTTAGCCTTCCTCTTCGGCCCCGGCTTCACCACTCTCCCCGTGTTGAAGTGGACCGTGATCCTGCCAGCACAGTGTGGGCAGTTTCGCTGCACGGAAGCTTTCTTGCCCGAGTCCCTTGGGCGGAGTGGGATGTGCGCTTGAGTGGGCGTGGTGATGAGGCGGCGGGGTCTCGCTAGGACGTCGCGGGCACGAAAGAAAGGGAGAGTTGGTGTTGCTGCGTCTTCGATGTCAAGTACGAGGTCGCCACCAGCGTCAGAGAGGTCGTCATCATTGATTGGGACGAACCAGAGGGCTTTGAAGAATTCGAAGACCGCATTTGCCATGGCGTGCTATCCTCTCCCGCACTATTTGTGTTTTGCAGAGCGGAGAACATTGGTAGCTGTCGATATAGCACCATCGCCCATGAACAAAGAAGCCAGCTGCGAAGCCGCATGAGGAAAGAAGTTTGGCTATCATCTTACGAAGGCGAACAAAGAAGCTGCTTCGTGGTTGCCGAGCGTCAGAATCCTGTATCTGGTCTTTGCGCACTTTTGACAGTGAAAGCGGCCCAGGAGGGTGTGAAAGATATCGTGGACCTTCTCACAGACAACAAGCCCCGTCGATGAGAGATAGGTGATCATTTCAGGCGCACTAAAGTCCGGGACAACGGTATGAACCGCATCTCGCTCTAGGAGTGTCCGAGTCGCTGCTTCGACTGCCTGCTGTTTAGCGTCGGTGGATCTTAGGCAATCACTCGGCACTATCGCTTTCCTGTGAACGGCTCCATGCGCCCAGGCTGGCTGCTGGTCGATGGTAGATCCAGACTTCCGAGTCATGTACGCTCGCATGCTGACGATGCTTCTGGCGGCAGCGAGACATCGTCGGTAGGTCAGCTCTCAGAATTAAGCACTGTCTCGTTGTTGGTGAGCAGTCCATCCGCATCCTCTCCGAAGTCACTCCCAGGCGCTCCACGAATGCCTCTGTGGCGAACAAGATACCATGAGCCTTGAAGTCGCTCCCAGTCCATGGCGCTGACGCTCTCCCGTCGGAGACCATCTGGAAAGCCGCTCAGCGTTCGAAGAACCTGTAGACGAAACTCATCAGTGGTGGTTCATAGCGGGACTCTGGATCCTTCACTATCATACCCAAACAGTGCCCTTGCCAGCTCGTTCATTCACCTCTGCCGCAACGTCAACGAAGGTCGAATGATAACTCGGAACAGCTTCAAGCAACCGCTGAAGTTGTCCGATTAACTCTTCCGTCCCGGTTGCACGAATGGTCTCATTGGCCGCATCGAAGTTGGTGTTGAAGTCGAGGGCTAGGTAGCGGAGGCATGGATCGTCCCAGCTCTTCGTGTTGATGCAGTTCAACATGGTCACTGACAACTCCTTCAGTTGCTTTTCAATGGCTGTTTCAGGGCGTCGATCATGATATGGTTGTATGTTGAGAAGTGCCAGGGAAGGATGAGTGCCGAAGAGTGCGTGACCTGAAGCGGAAGCAGGAGGAACGTGGGATGTGTCTGACATGTCTAGCAGTGGATCGGTGGTCTCCATGTCGGCAACGAAGTTCATATACACGTCAATTGCTGCCAATGCTTTGACGGCATCCGGATAGAGCACGTCTTCAAGGAGAGTGAGCAGTGAAGGGAAGGAATTGCCGTGCTTACAGACACCTCATGTTGTCAGATACATACCTGTAAATAGGGAGTCCTAGCTTGCTAGCAAAGGACGGACGACAGCAATGAAGTTCAAGTTGTCGGAGGATCAACTGTTGATCATGACTTACCGTTGTGAGCAGTCTTGCCAAGTCGACAAAGTTCTCGCATCACGTGAAAGTCACATGCCTCACCGGAGAAAAGAAACGGTCCTTCCCCGACTCCGAGCAAGCACTCGACACATTTCGTTCGGCGCGTGCTTGTCGCAGATTGATGGCGTGTGAATCTCGTGAGAGCGGAAGCACATCTCCTATCAACCCTGCTGCCGATCTTTCAGCCTTCTTTCGCCGTCGGCTCAGACCAGAGCAGACTCGTTGTTGTGGTCATACAGCGTTCGCCACGGAACGGTAGATCTTAAGCTGCAGGCGATCAAGATGGACATGTGCCAAACATGCGGCCTGAGGTCATCTTTGACGGAGCGTTCGCAAGTGCACAAATTTCACTGCTCGGAGGGCTCGGCAGTGCCAGAGGTGGCCTTCATTCCTGTTGCTGGCCAATGAGCAGTCGACGCTGGCTCGGAGATTGAAGTCAAGTCCTCCGTTCTGCGGCGAGTCTGCGCCTCTGACTGTAGTGTGGAGTGTGTCAGCGGGATTGGGGCTTGGGCGGCCTTGGGCGGATTGATGCGTGCGAGAGCATCCGTGGGCTGCCGGCGATGACAGGCGGTAGTATAGAGTAGCTGAACGTCTTCCGCTGTCTTGACCAAACTTTGCCCATCACGTCGAACGAATAAGAACAAAACAAAAGTGGTTACCTGGTGCAGTGCAGTGCAGGAGCGACAGGCTGAGTTAAGCGTGGCTGACGCCGACCGAGCGGACATTACATCGCGTGGGACCTAATTAAACGGATCTTCACCAATCTCTGTTGCTGCGGCCTACCCCCATTCCACCAACACCTCAGCAGTCTTCCACCCACCACCCACCACCCCGAACACATACACCGACAGCAGCGACTTCAAGCGCATCGCCACCAAACAATCGCCCCGCATCACGACAGCAACGGCTTGTGCTACCTGACGCAGAGCAACACGGCTCTGCAGTAGGGCCAAAACTGCTGCCTCCTTCCGCTCCTCGACATCCTACCCAGCGCCATGAGGACACGCTACTTCTCCTTCGCCGGCGACGACTCGACCACCCAGCGCTTCTTCTCCGTCTCCAAACTCCCGCTGTCATGGCCCTCCCTCCCCGTCCTGGTCCCCCACCGCATACGGCGGCGCTTCCGCTCGACACGATCCAAGATACGCTCCATGCAGACGCCCACCTCCTCGATAGCCTCGCTCAACACCTCCCTCAACCCCGCCGACACCCTCCGCGCCCTCCGAACACACCACTGGAGCTATTATGACGCCCAGTACATCTTCTTAGCGATCGTGGCAACATTCGCGCTCTGCGTGATACAGAGCCCCGGGCCGTTCACCAAGACATTAATAGTGGCGGGGATGTTGACCCTACAGATAATACCGCTCACACGACAATTCTTCCTCCCATTCCTCCCGATCGCGGTATACCTACTGCTGTTCTACTCCTGCCAATTCCTGTCAGGGGAGTTTCGACCACCGATTTGGGTGCGAGTGCTGCCCACCCTCGAGAACATTCTCTACGGCGCCAACCTCAGCAACATCCTCTCCGCGCATCAGAGCACATTTCTCAGCGTCCTGGCATGGATACCTTACGGACTGTGCCACTTTGGCGCTCCCTTCGTCTGCGCCGGGCTGATGTTCCTCTTCGGACCTCCCGGAACAACGCCAGTGTTTGCAAGAGCTTTTGGCTACATGAATATCGTCGGCGTGATGACACAGATCTTGGTCCCATGCTCTCCGCCATGGTATGAGAACATGTATGGCTTGGCACAAGCAGATTACTCGATGAAGGGGTCTCCAGCGGGTCTGGCAGCCATCGATAAGCTGCTCGGCATCGACCTATACACCTCCACCTTCACCGCATCACCAGTCGTCTTCGGCGCCTTCCCGTCCCTCCACTCCGGCAGCGGCACCATGGAGGTGCTCTTCATGGCCCACACCTTCCCCGCCCTCCAACCACTCTTCGTTTTCTATCTCCTCTGGCTGTGGTGGTCGACAATGTACCTCTCGCATCACTACGCGATCGATCTCGTTGCCGGCAGCCTCATCTCGAGCATCGTCTACTTCATGTACCGAGGCCAATCCTTGCCTCGGTTGCAGCCCGGCAAGCTCTTCCGTTGGGACTACGACTACGTGGAGTACGGCGATGTCCCAGATCACTACGCATACGGCCTTGCGGACCTGGACGACTACCATCCCAAGGGCCTGCACGGCGACTCCGACGAATGGACGATCGGCTCCAGCAGCAGCTTCTCGAGTAGCAGCAGAGACCCTTCCGCGGGCATGCGATCTCCCGTCACCGATGAGTCTTCATGGGAGGGTGACACCATAGCCTCTTCGTCCGATACCGAGTACCAAAAAGCATAGGAGCGGGCTCGCACAATCGGAACGCAGTACCTTCCGCTTAATGCGTTGGTCTACGGACGGAGGATGACGACTTGACGATATTTGGACTGCATAGCACGGCGTCTTCGGGATACAATCATCAGCATCAGCGCGAGCTTTGGCGCGGGGCGGGCGGTATATCTAGGATCCTTCTTCGATTTAGCCTAGGGATTGGCGACGGGACTGTTCGATTCTGGAGCCTTGGCGGATGGCTTCTTTTACATTCTTCGAGATACCCGACATTCGCTACTATCGACTTTGGCTTGGCTTGTATTAAACAATGTACAGCATTACATTCGCTTGGGATGCTCTCCCTGCGATGGAACGGGCAGGGGCAGGGGCAGGGCGGAAGTGTGTATGGATAGATCTATGCTGGGATAGAGCATCACACGCATACGAGGGGTTAGGGGTTGGATATGGGACGGGGGTATTGATGAGGGATATGCATGGGCGGTGCATTAGTGGATGGGCAGAGATGGGAGTGTGGATAGTGATAATGCTAATTGATCAATTGAGATGCGGATCTGATGGTCTGCTGTTAATTCATGTTGATCCATCTTCCTCTCGTCGTGAGCCGGTGTCCGAGTATAGGACTTGGTTAATGAAGTAGTGTACAATGCCATTCACTGAGCTACTCATACACTTCGGGTATCTTGACACAGTATACTTCCCATATTTCTACAGCCATGCCTCGCTATGCATTCAACTTTTGACACCCCAGCCTTCGACATGCTACGGCACAACCACCACCCCCATACTCCCCGCCTGCGCAATTACACTCTTCACCAACCCCTCCAACCCCACCCCTGCCAGCCTTGTCTCCCCCTGCTTGATCCTCGCAATCTCATACACATGCTTCAGACTCACACTCCCCACACTCCCCATCCCAGCATTCCCCGGCACCGCGCTGGCAAAACTCGCTTTCCCCCTCCCCTCTAGCCCAAGCTTGCTGTGTGGTCCTGGCGTGTTGCCCGCGCCTTTGAGTTTGTTCTTCGTCGGGTTCACGCCGGCTGCGGCGAGCAAGAGGGATGCGGTGGGAGGCGTGCGCAGTTCGAAGGTGAAGCTGCGGTCGGGGCGGACGGTGACGCGGGCGGGAACGGGCGTGCCGGGGGTATAGTTTGTTGTGCGCGCGTTGAACTCCTGTGTCACACTGTTAGCTTTGCTGTGCGGGTAGTGGGAAGGTGGATGGGAGGTGGTTACTTTGCAAAAGTCCATCGATTTGACGCCTTTGCTTCCCAGCGCCGGGCCGACGGGGGGTGAGGGCGAGGCTTGCCCGGCGCCGACGATGAGTTTGACTATTTGGTCATTTTGGAGGGTTCGGCGCGCCATTGGGGAGGTCGGTGGAGACGACGTAGATGCGACTGAACTTCTGTACAGTAGAGTGCCAAGCTTACGCCCAAAGTGGAAGTTGTGCTTCACGTGACTCAAGCTAAAAATGTCTCGAGATCAAACATCCCTGCTCCCCCGAACATCCCCTGACAGCCACCACGCCCAAACCCCGGTCTCATCTCGAAACTTGGGTCATCCCACCTCGCGCCGCATCCTCTGGAATGTGGCCCTCCATGACTCCAGGAGAATGGGCATCGAAGCAACCACGTTGACCGTTATACCATCCGAACGACCAATAATGCAACGCTACCCGGCTGCATGCAATACGTGCATCCGTATGCGTCGTGTGTTGGCGCCGCTCAACTCCCAATCTCCCTACTCGCAAAAAAACGTCCAAAGGTTTCACCCTGTTTCTTATACATGCACACTCGCTACCCCCCTACTGTACCTCCCCCCTGAACGAGCCTATCTCACGCCGTCTGGGGGTGACACAACACACAAGCCCAACGGGCGCTGCTGCTGTGAGACACTCCGTCTGTCGCTTTCCTTTGCATCCTGCTTGTTGCATGCTTCCCTTCCTATTGTCATATGCACGCATTCGCTTGATCCATCCCACAGCAGCGAATCCTGGATCTTGCTGGTCGGGTACTTGCAGGAAGGAGGATGTACGGCGATCGCCCTACTTGCGATCCTACCCTACGCTCGTTGTTGTTCATATAAGCAGTCACAGGTGACGCCCCGCTTGTTGGGCGGCGAGCACAATGGTAAGTGGTCAGCGGTTCTTATGCAGTTCCTGCTTTGGGTTTGAGATGCATTACTGGTCGGACTGATACGCCTTTCGAACGTTTGCAGCCCGATACTCGTGGTTCGTCGCTGAGAGGGAGGACGCCGACGTTGGTTGTGTCGAGACCTGCGGATGAGAGAGAGAGTCCTCCTGGACGGAAGAGTGAGAGAAGACATCGACGGCGGGCCGACAGGTCTAGGGAAAGAGACAGGTCGCCGCAGTGGGAGGACATAGACAACTACGAGCCACCACGGAGGAGGAGAAAGTCGAGGAGGGTGTCGCCGGCGCGCTCGACCACGTCGACTGGGTCTGGTCGTTCACAGCGAAGACAACACTCGGCACAGCACAAGTCTACTGGATTCTTTCCGAGCTTATCACGCATCCGCGAAGCGACTGGCTCTACCACCAGCTCGCGGCCGAGCACGAGAACTTCTGAAACAGACTACTATCCTGAGTACCAACCCAGCAGACACGCCCGCCATATGGACAGAGGGAACTCCAGGTATGGCAAGAGCATGAAGCGGACGTCGAAGACGAAGCAGCGCCATGACGAGAGCTTGCCAAAACTCAATCCTTCATCGTTGTCGATCCTGTCTGGGACGACAGGGACGTCGGACAGGTCCAGCAACAGCAGCTCGACGGTCACTCCGGAGTCCTATCTTCGAAAAACGAGTCGGCAGGCTCTGACTGCCGTGAAGCCACCCAAGGAGTCCGAGCCTCGTGAAAGTGTGACAAGCCAGCTGCCGAACGTGTTTGACTTTCTGGAAACGGATGCAGAGGACGATGACCACGATGGGAAGTCCGTAGCCTCCGCCTCGACATCTTCACAATACGAACCATCAGACGCTGGGTCCAGCATAGCTCCGGACACGCCTTCTTCGCGATCGACGTTTCCTTCTGCTTCTTCGCCCACATCGACACGGAGTCAGAGTGTCGCGGACCTCAGAAAGAAGTACGACCCGCAATTCAGTGCGTCGGTCTTTTCAGGACGGAGCGACAGCAGCAGTCCTGCTCCATCGTTGCGTAGCCTGAGGAAGCAGCCAACCGTTAGTGACGTCGAGGAAGAAGATGAGGAAGACGTTGGAATACCACCAGCGCCATCGGACATCAGCTATCAATCGCAGAGATCGTCATCACGCTCATCTAGACGCTCAGCTGGGTCTTACGACTCCTATTACCCCGGCGACGAAGCTATTCCACACGGCCTACCCTACGACCACCCCTCCCACTACATCCACCCCCTCCCGGGCCAACACCGCTCCTTCTCCCATTCCTCCACCCATTCCTCCCCCACCCAAAACCCCTACACCACAGCCCTCCAACACTACCACTGGCCTTCTCCCCCACCACTCCCACCCCAACCCCTCACGCACCAACCCTCCCCTCTCCACCCACCAGCCGCCCCCGAACCCCCCGACCTTTCGCACGCCCCACCAACCGGCTACGCCCACCTCGCCCTCGCCCTCTCTACCCCCAACACTTCCGGCGTTACCCCGGTATACCGTAAATTCGAATACCTCAATACCCGCCTCCTCCTGCACCTGCAAGACGAACTCGCTGAGTTGGAGGAGCAGCTGCGCCACTTGGACGACATCATCTCCTCGTTAGACGGACATCAGCACCCGGCTTCCCGACGGCGGGAGAAATGGGAGGGCAACGAGTTGCACATGCGCAGGACGCACTTGCTCGGCACGGTGTACGTGAAGATGGAGCAGTACCGCAAGGTCCTGGCCGGGATGAAGGAGGTGGAGTCGTCTACGACAAAAGCAGGGCAGGAGGAAGTAGAGGGTTTGAGAGCGTGGATGGAGCGGGAGAGGCCGATTTCTGAACACGAGGCGGGTTTCTTGATGCACGGGGGGGATTTGGTTAAGGTCTCTCGCGGCGCCGGGGCAGCAACGGGGTCGCAGGGTGGAGTGGGCGTGTATGCGCCGTTGGGCGTGGTGGCGCCGGTGGTGCTGTTTGCCGTTGTGCCGACGCTTGCCGGCAGGTTGTTGGTTCTGGCGGTGTTGGGGTTGGGGGGCTGGGTTGTTGTGGGGAGGACTGCGGTTGGGGGGTTGATGGCGAGGAGGGATTGGATGATCTGCGGATTGGTGTATGGGATACTCATGGTTGTTTTGGCGATGTGCATGCCTGGGCGGTGTAGCTGACGGTTGAGCGAGGGCGGAGGAGGGAGAGAGATGATTGTGCATTTACGGCGTCACGATTGGACTTGGAGACGATACCCACAGGACATTCGAATGGAACGAATAACGGCGCCAACGGCGAACGATTACAAGGCAGAAAGCTAGCAATAGCCCCCTTCAACCTCAAGACCCATTCCCATTCCCGTTCTCCTCCACCAACCCCCTCAACACCCCCACCTGCAACGGCAACGCCTGCCCCATCCACGTCGCGCGCTGCGTATGATCCCTCACATCATCGCCCGTATTCGGATGGATCAACGCGCTGAGGGGGCCACGGTTAATCACCAACCACGGGATGAAAGCGCCGAATTGCGCGGGGGAGAAGACGTTGACTTCGAACATTGCTAGGGGGTGCGGGCCGATGGGGCGGTCGAAGAGCTTATATATTCGTAGCTCGGGGACTAGAATACCACATGAGTAGGGGTTATGGGAATTGTAGGGGGAGAAGGGGATGTACACTCCCGCCTTATCCTCTCATGCAACTCAGCAGCGAATTTCGTCTCAGAGGGGGAGGTTTGCAGGTAGTAGATATGCACATCAAACCCCCCTCGTCTCCCATTATCGATCGGTTCCACGAAGTGTTCGTACGCTTGACTCCGAGTTTTTGATACAGGGTTGACGAGGCTCTTCCCGTCTTCGGAGATGTCGCTGGTGTTGAGGTGAGCGAGGGCGGCGCTGCAGCCGCTGGCGGGGACGGTGAACATACTGGGGGAGTTTGGGGAGGTTGGAGTAGGGTCCTTGGAGGGGGGAGGGGTATTTGTAGAGGGAGGGGTCGCTCATCTTTGCTCGGTTTGAGATGGAGAGGGTGGTGTAGAAGGGCGTGGTTATTCAGCTTTCGATGCGTACCAAGGGAATTGACGAGGAACATCTTGGAGTACTTGTTAACAAGGCTTGGGGTACATGTACATACCCTTATCAATCCATACCGTCGATCAATGTACAGTGACTGGAAGGTTTGGGTGACGTGATTTCTAACAACGACGGAGGTGTTACGACGTCGTCGGAGGTTTTTGACGGCTATGTACATCAGCGGTCTTCTCCTAGCGAGGGCGACAGTGGCAGTGGCAGTTTGACCGGCAAGGCAGTATGCGGCCGCTTTCCCGCTCTTGCTATGTCGAAATATCAACGTTAAGAAGTGAGGTCGGAAAGGAGAGTGAGGAAGAAGAGATGATTAATTGAAGCCCCACTTCACGTGCTGGACGCGCCATTCACGTGTCAAGCTTCTCGACTTTGGACCAACACCAACACCAACATCTTTACTTTGATTATACAAGTCAACGATGAGCGCAGATTCACTCGCAGATGCGCAAGAGAGACTTGCGCAAGTCAAGCGCGAGATCAAGACATACGAACGCGCCTTTCAAGCGGAGCATGGCCGACCAGCGGAGCGTGAGGAGATCAAGAGGGACGCGACGATATGTACGTACATATGCTGGGGCGGTGTGGATGTGATCTGACAGTGTACAGGGAAGAAGTACGTCGAATACAAGGAGCTACAACGCCAGCTGTCGAAGACGCGATCGCCGAGACGAGAGAAGCCAGAGCCCAAGCCGATGAGCGACCATGGTAGGATATTGAAGGAGAGGCGCGCGAACAACGTGTCCGCCACACCCCAGAGACGAAGTAGAGTAGAGGATAAGCTGGAGAAGCCCGCGCCTGTCGTACAAGAGGTAGAGCAGACGCCCGCATGTATCAGGTTCGCACTCGGGCCTACACCACAGAAAGATGGAGAAGTGCTAGGCATATTCGACATGCTGCCCTCGGCGACTCCCTCGAAAGGCAAGGACGTATCCGCGCAAGAGACGGCTCAGGTCGTGGGCGCAACACCTAGCAAACCTTCAGCATCGGCTTCATCTGATCCACTACTATCACGAACGCCCCAATCCTCCAGCAAGCGCTACTATCTCGGCGCATTCGCCGGCACACCCCTGAAACGAAAATGCGAAGACCACCTCTACACCCCCAACACCGCAAAACGCCAATACGCCACCCCATCCTTCCTACGCCGAGACACCTCCCTCATCAGCATCCCCGAAGACGACAACGACACCGCCATGTTCCCACCGCCATTCAAGAAGCGCGGCCTCGTCCGCAGTCTCAGCACCATCATCCAAGGCCTCAAGAAGCAGGAAGAGAAGCGCATGGACGACGACTGGGACATCATGGACGAGATCGAGGCCGAGGAGCGGGGGGAAGCTCCGAAGCCTGCCGCGCCGAAAGTTCTGGTTGAAGATAGTCAAGTTGAGATGCCATTAGGTCCGGACCAGGGTGCAGAGTCGAGCGAGGATGAAGGGAAGGGCGATCGAGGGGCGTTGGATGCGGATGGGAGGCCGAGGAAGGTGTGGAAGAAGAAGGGGTTGAAGCGGCAGACGAGACGGGTGGTTATGCGGCCGGTGGTGCATAAGCCGGGGAAGGCTGTACCGGTGGAGGAGGATGCGGAGGAGAGTGCGGATGAGGTTGTGGGAGAGACGCAGCCCGCTGAGTTTGCAAAGGACGACGCTCGTGATGGTGATGGTGATGCGGAGTGGGCGGAGGAGGCTGGTGAGGAGGCTTTGACCGAGAAGATTCGGAAGGACGTAAAGAGTCGACAGGCAGCGAAGAAGAAAGCCGCCTTGAAACCTATGGAAGACGACCGTGGAAAGAAAGCGAAAAAAGGCAAGCCGGACGCTCATACCAATTACCGGAGGCTGAACATCAAAAATAAGAATTCGAAGGCCAAGGGGCGGGGAGGGAGGTTTGGGAGACGATGAGATGCTAGACCACATGTACATGGCTCTTTTGACACACGCAGACACGGCTTCTGACGCACACGACACTTCTGAAAGTCAAAAATATTATCCCTCGAGGCATTCTTCTTACCGTACAATCCATCCCGGTCCTTTCTCCAAATGCTCTCACGGCGTGCACAAATGAGCAGCAGGGCCGAGACGAAAACGACCATCTACCACCGCTTCCTCCCCACCCCCACCCCCCTCGCAGACCTCACAGCCCCACCCCTCCACATCATCCTCCTCGTTTCTATCTCCATCCCCTTCACGACTTCGTTTAGGTCGCGCATCTTCACCAGTCCGCCAGTCGTTCTCCGCTTTCTTGCCCACGGAGTCCGGGTCGACGTCCATTGGGATCGGGAGGTCTGGCATGAAAGTCTCGGGGGCGGTGCGGCGGTTCTTTGGGGTACTCCTTTCCTGTCCAGCGTGGGCATCGTCGTCGGGCCCGCGGCGGCGTTTGCCAATGGTAGACGGAGGCGTGACAGGGTTGGGGTCCGGAGGGGAGGGAGCATCTTCAACGAACACGCGTTTCGCACTCCCCTGCTGTTCTTCGGGAGGTGACGAAGGGCTTTTGCGCTTCCCTCCTGCGATCGATGGGTGGGTGGAGAGACCGGCTGCGCTTTGTCTGGATTTGAACTTGGACTTCTTCGCTGCTGGGGAGGCGAGGATCTCGACGTCGTCGTTGTCCTCGTCGTCGTCGGGGGAGGGGGAGGAGGGGCGAGGACGCTTGCCGAGTTTGCTTTTGGTCGTTGAGGGGTCTGGTGGGGTGGCGGTGGAGTAGTCGGTGGGTGATGGCGTGGGGATGGTAGAGGCGGTTGTTGCGAATTGGACTTGTTTTTTCCGCTTCTCTGGCATGGTGGCGCTTTTGTCTGGTCGTATGCTGGTTGGAGATGATGAGGCCGGCTCTTCTTCCTCGTCGTAGGAGAAGATGGAGATGGCTTCTTGAACTGTCGTCCCCGACTTTGTCTTACCCGCAGTTGAGACAGGCCTGCGTGTCTCAGACACCCGCCTCGCTGCAGTCTCAGACACCACCTTCCCTCGATCATCCGTCTCAGGAGTCCAGTCGAAAGTGTCCGGCACAGCGATGGGAGGGGCTTGTAGAGCCCGACGATGCGCAGCGTTCCTCCTCGCCAACTTCTCAGCATCCTTCGCCTCTTTCGCGAGTCGCGCTTCAGATTTGGTAGAAGGTGCTGTAGTGTACGCCGGCTTCTTCTTCTTCTTCTTCGAGTCCTGTTTGAGCCTCACCTCTGAGTCGTCGTCCCAGACTACGAAGGTTGTGGTGTGTGTAGACTGCTTTGCGTGTCTGCTGAAAAGCATATCGTCGATGCTTGCGCGTTCTTCCTTCACCGTCTAGAACCTGCTGCAACGTCACCTCCCCAAGCAGATTCCCCGCCGCATCCTCGCCAAAGAGCGACCAGTGCTGCTCAGCTGTCCACTCGGCATCGAGGTTTTCGGAGTCCGGATCGGCTCTCCGCTTCTTCGGCAAACAGTGGTGTTTGGAGGCGTGTTGGAGTCGTCGCTGACTTCGTACAAGCCGGTTTTGTCTTGTAGACCTTGTCGCTGGGCCCAAGCAGCGGTGGGCTCGAAGTCTGCGTTGGCGACGGGGGGAAGGGCGAGAGGCATGAATGATGTTTTGCACTGCTTGGTTTTGGAAAGGAATGTCCGGCGAAAGGATGCTGGTGAATAGAGTAGGGGATGGGAAATTCTGTAGATATGAAGGTACTGAATGCAGCAAAGAGGAAGAACTGGACGGAAGAGAAAGTGGTGGAAATACTCTCAAAGGGGTCGTACACATTCGTGAGCGAACTGTCAAGCGTGCGTGGCTTCTCGGAGTGTCGTTGGTAATGACACTTGGATTGACTGAGCTGGACTGTATGTAGTAGCGGTCGAATTGTCTGCAAAAGCAAAGCCCGCATTGTAGCGGAACTGGAGTGTTACAATGCATGGTCTTGTCTTCCAAGGCACCAGACATGTCTCTTTCGCGACATTCGAGCGAGAAAATGGTCCTGTCCCGACGACAATGCACTCTGGTGTCGCGGAGTTTCCTTCTGCCTGCGTTCCTCCGCAGAAAGGTCTGCCCATGACCACGAATGTCCAAATGTCGGATCAGTTCTTGAATGCCTATTCTTGCGGGCGGTTTCCAGCAGCCGCGGTCTCGGTTGAAAGTTCCCCATGGGACCTTTGACCGAAGCTGATCTCTTCTGCATGCTGCTGTGTGGGGCCAGCTAGGCTGTGATGGTATGTCTTCATTCATCTCGTCGTTGTCGAAGTTGTTCTGCCGTAGCCTGGAACAGCGGCCTTTTGAAGAGCTTCCACACTCCTACGCCTTCTTCTCCCCCTCACCCGCACCCCCCTTCTTCTTCCTCCCCTTATCCTTCTTCCGCTTACTCCGATCCCGCTTCTTCAACCCCTGCATGCCCGCCTTACACACATCCGCATACCGTGCAAAAAACCCTTCAATCTCGTCCGGCTGCACAACAGTACTCAATTTGACTTTATCCGGGTTCTTAGTCTTCTTGTCGTTTTTTGTGCTTTTGCCGTCGGTGGCGCGGACGATGATGGGGAGCGGTTCGGGGGGGTGGAGGTCCCAGAGGGGATCGTCTGGGACTTTGGCGGCGGGGGATGTGGGGGCGGAGGTGGTGTCGTGGGTCACTGGGGAGGGGTTAGCTTGTGGTGGTGAGCTGGTGGGTGGAGATGAGGTACTTCGTTTTTGGTTGAGGTGGACGGAGCCATGGCCTGCTTTCTGGGTATTTTCGAGGAGGGTGGCGAGTTGGGTGAAGAACTAAGAGGGTGTTAGTGTGTACTCGTGGTCCATGTGAATATCGGATACCTCGTCGTGGCTTAGATGTGCCTTGGCCATGTTCAAGTACCACCACTGTTTTCGTCCAACCTGCACGTGTCCGAGCAGTCTTGTGTACAACGAACGGTTCAACAAGTCTTCAGCAGCGCCAATAGTCTGGTATGCTGTGACGGCGGTGTCGATGTATGAAGATGAGGTCAAAACTCAGTGGGGTCAAGAAGGTGGGATGAATTTCCAGACCTCAGAATTTCTTGACAACCGACCTCCTTTGCGACAATGAGCCGCGACGCCTACAGAGGGCCCAAATTGCCCCAGAGTCTTTTGGACCGAGTCGGAAACAGCAATGACTCGAGGTTCCAGCAGCATGGCGGCGCGCGCAAGGCTCGGCGGAAGGCTGAGAGGCTGCAGAAGAAGACCGCTCGAAGTCAGCCAGCAGCAAGGCGGCCGGTGGTGAAGAAGAGGCAGGACGTTGAGTCGGACGATGAAGACGGGGTAGGAGAATACGAAGAGCAAGATGCTGCACCAACGCCTCCAGCCCGAAGGAAGGGCCGGGATAGCGATGTCAAACCGCTGAAGTCCATCTTGAAGAAGAGACAGCCGGAGCCTGTGCCTGAGTCTGAGAGTAGCGCCGAGGAATATGGAGACGAAGATGAAGCACCAGCAGCTCCTGTCGTGTCCCGAGCTGTCAAGTCTCGGTTGGAGGAGGACGATGCTGAGATTGCTGCTTTGGAGAAGAAACTCGGCATGAGAGGCAAGAAGTCAAAAGCAAAGGACGACGATGGGCTGGACTGGCTGGTTGAGGGATCTGAGAGTGAGGATGAGGGTAGCGGTTTGAAGCGTAAAAGACCGGAGGACAAGAAGTGGTTGCGTGATAAGCGGATGAAGGCTTCTGGTGGCGACGACCAACGTGATCTGGCTGATGAAGAGGAGTCCGACGACGAGCTTGCCGAGCTGGATGGCCATGGTACGGACGAGGACAAACTCGAGAACCCCTTCTCCGAAGACGAGGTTGGCAGTGAGGACTTTGGCGGCTTCGAGTCAGAAGAGGATGAAGTGGCACCGCCGCCGAAGAAGAAGCAGAAGGAGAACCCATACGTCGCACCGGTCACACAGGACGCTGCACCAGTCGCCAAATACATACCACCGTCGTTACGGAAGCCGGCTGCATCAGACGAGGAAACGCTACGCCAGCTTCGAAGACAGCTTCAAGGTCTGCTCAACCGGCTGTCGGAAGCCAATATGCTATCAATCTTGCAATCGCTGGAAGACCTCTACACGAGGAACGCACGACAGCATGTCACTTCGACTCTCGTGGATTTGCTTGTTGGCCTCGTCTCCGACTCGGCAGTGCTAAATGACACCTTCCTCATCCTGCATGCTGGCTTCGCTGAAGCGGTATACAAGGTGATTGGCACAGACTTTGGCGCGCAGATGCTGGAAAAGATTGTCGAGAACATCGACCACTTCCGCAGCAGACAGGCTTATGAGGGCAAGCAAGCCCTGAATCTGCTTGCCTTTCTCTCCTTCCTCTACAATCTCCAGCTTGTAGGAGGTGCAATCCTCTTCGACTACATCCGCCTTCTCCTCGACGAGCTATCCGAGAACAACACCGAGCTCCTCCTCCGCATCATCCGCACCTCCGGCCGCCAACTCCGAGGCGACGACCCTTCCGCACTGAAAGACATCGTCCTCCTCCTCCAACGCTCCATCGGCCAACTCGGCGAAGCCAACCTCTCCGTCCGCACCAAATTCATGATCGAAACCATCCACAACCTCAAGAACAACCGCCTGAAAACCGGCATCGCCTCTTCCGCTCTCACCGCCGAACACCTCACCACCATGAAACGCACCCTCAGCACCCTCTCCTCATCCCGCCAGCTCAAAACCACCGAACCCCTCCGCATCTCCCTCGCCGATATCCGCGATAGCGAGAAGAAAGGCAAATGGTGGCTCATCGGCGCCTCCTACGCCGATCCTGCCAAACACACTTCCACCCTCTCCTCAAAACCCACGGGCGGCCCGGACCCCGACGCAGGCTACGACTCCGAAACCCCCGGGACCGTCAACCTCGCCCGCCTCGCGCGCGCCCAAGGCATGAACACCGACGTGCGCCGCGCCATCTTCATCGCCCTGCTCTCTTCTTCAAACTACGCGGAAGCGCATATGAAGATCTTGAAACTGCATCTGAAGAATAAACAACAGCTCGAGATCCCCCGCGTCCTCGTCCACTGCGCTGGGGCGGAGGAGGGGTGGAACCCTTTCTACGCGCTTGTGGCGCGCAAATTTTGTGTGGGACGGGGGGTGCGGAAGGCTTTTACTTTTACTTTCTGGGACGTACTGAGGAGGTTAGAGGGGGCTGGAGAGGAGGAGGAGGAGGCAGAGGCGTGGGGGGTAAGGAGAACGGTGAACGTGGGCAAGTTTTTCGGGTGGTTGGTTAGTGGTGGGGGCATGAGTTTGGCTGTGCTGCGGAAGTTGGGGCCGGATTTCGCGTGGGGTGAGGGGGGGACGGGGATGTTGGTGGAAGTCCTTCTCACGACTGTGTTATTGCAGGTGCGGAGGCAGGCGTCGAAAGGCCGTCGGGGAGATTTTCCCGCGGCGTCCGCGTCTGCTGCTGATGGCGAGCATGTCACTCCCAGCAGTGCTGGTGAGGGGACGCAGTCGTTCGAGCAGTCTGTTAAGTCCCTCTTCGCTTCGATGGCTGGGGCGCAGGAGATTATTCCGGGTTTGAGGTATCTACTAGAGAATAGAGTGGCGAAGGCGGAGCTGGCGAGGACGAAGAAGGAGAAGAGGGATGTGGAGACGGGGTGTGGGATTGCGGTTGAGGCGCTGGAGGAGGCGGGACGTGCTGGGCCGGTGCTGGGACAAGGGGAAGATGAGGATGATAGTGAGTAGGAATCCTGTAGACATTCAGCTGAGAGCAGTTCATACCGAAGCCAGATCTTCAACTCTCTCCCACTGAACCATTTCGAACGTACGATCGCGGCACAGAACAGTTTGCGTGTCTTGTGCTGAGAGAGGATGAAGAGGTGAAGCACGAATCGGCACGAACACTATTTTGTATACACCCGCAAAGCTACTCAAACGCGTCGGTAAAGACCGGTGTCTAGGCCGCGTGCTCTCAAAGCCGCGCCCTCATGTTCGAAGTAAGTAAAAAAGGTCAAAGGCAAGAACGCTCACAAACGCCAAAACGCCTCGCCATGTCGCTTCCTATCCCGACTCAGCGTTATTCCTTGTCAAGTCGTCACTCATCACCAGCATGTATCCAGAACCCATTCCCGACCCAAACCCCCTATTCCCCCTTTCGCTCGCAGAAAAGGATGACGGCACTACTGCTCAGCAATCCACCGATCCAACATCATCGCCATGACCCCCTCGCCCATCCCCGCGTTTTCTCCCCACCCCATTCCCTCCAGCATCCCGTCCATCCCGCCGCCGAAATCCAGTTCCTCCCCGCAGGAAGGCGGACTACTGCCTGGAATCGAGTCGTAGCCGGGGGAGAAAGGGTTCTCGGAGTACTTTTCAAACAAGCTTTGCCCACCCGCGACGTCGGGCTCCGCGGCCACGGCGCCGAAGTTGAAGGATGCGGTATCGTAGTCTCCGCCGGTGGAGGGGGAGGAGACCCCGGTGAAAGCGTCGTAGTGCTGGCTATTCACGTTCAGCTGGCGGGTGTTGTTCAGTGCGGCAGGGGAGATGCAGGCCGATTTCTGCGGGCTGGGAGGGGAAGTAGGCGGAGTTTCAACGAGGTTGATGAAGGCGGTCGGGTCGATGAAGTCGGAGGAGTCCGGGGGCGTCATGGGCAGGCTGTTGTTGTCTGTCATGCGGGAGCTGCTGCTGCTGGCGTAGGAGGCTGCGGTTGCGGTTTGGCCGTGCGCGCGGTCGAGTTTGCGGGCTTTCTTCGCTTTCGACGTGCGGGAGTCCATGTCTGGACGTTCCTTCTTCGGTCGGCCGCGCTTGGGCTTGTCTTCTTCGTTCTTCTCGAAGCCCGGGAGGGCGCCTTTGCACATGCCTCGTTGGCGGTGGCGGGTCAGGGCGTCGTGGCGCGCGAAGCCGCTGCCGCAGGGACATACATGGGGTCGGTCGTCCTTGTGGATTGCCGCATGTCGTTTCATGTCGTGCTGACGGACGAAGGTCTTGCCACAGTCGTTGCAGCAGAATTGGCGGTCGCCGAGATGGTTCTGGACGTGTGACCGGGCATTCTCTTTCCGCTTGAAGAATTTGCCGCACGGCTTGTGGTTGTCTTCCATGAATTGGCAGGTCCAGCCTTTCGTGTTTGGGTCCTGGTGCGAGATGTAGGCGTCCACTTGCTCTGGCGGAACGCCAGTCTCGACGATCGACGCGTTGACGTCCTCGCCTAAGTTGTGAAGCATGGCGGTTCGTGGTGACATGCCGCCCATCGATCCGCCGACCATGAAGCTGGGACTGTTGAAGTCGTCTGATGCGCCGGCGGTTGCGTGAAGGAGATTGTCGCCGTCGAACCCGTCACCAAGTGGTGGCGTTGGTTCTTCGAACACGGTCGGCATGGCACCAATGTTGTTGCACCTGGGTGACATTGGATCGATGGCGGACGATGAGTATGCTGATGAAGCGTATCCATCGTTGCAATTGACCGAGAAGGACTCCTGCGAGAAGCCAGTCTGTTGAGGAGCGTATGGCGAGGAAGGTATCTGCATGGTATGACCGTCGTAGCCCATGGGCATGGGAGCGACATCATACTGGAAGCTCTGACTTCTCGCGTGCTTGACGTCCGTTGGAGGTGGGCTGGGCCAGCTTTGAACGTAATGCTGTGGTGTGTTTGGTACTGTCCGAGCGTGACCTTGAGAGACTGGCGTGACAGTGCGCGGTAGATTGATCATCGGCTGCTGTGGCATGTGACCTTCAAGCGACATATCGCTAGGCAGTGGCTGATTGAGGTTGACGAAATTGTCAGGCTGCGGTTGATGAACAGGGGAATGGCCAAACTTCTGCTGGTACCATTCCAGATGATGTTGAAGTTCTTGAAGCGCCTGCTCTTGGTTGGGATGAGTTGGTGTGGGAGCGACAATGGCTGGAGTGCCGTTGCCATTTTGTTGTTGTTGTTGTTGTGGATTGAATCGAAAGTCCTGCGCCAGGTGGCCCGGCTGGTCCAGGCTATGCTGCTGCGTTTCTTGCACAAAATGCTGTTGGATTGGTCCTTGGTGTCCTGTGTTAGTATTCTCTAGTTGTATCCTTACTGGCGGTGTTGTTCCGGTGGGAAGTCCATGGTCCTGTGGCAATAGTTGTCGGAAACCAGCCGGCGAGTTGAGGTCACTCAGGCTCTGGTCGAGACTGAGCCCTCGCCTGTGTGCTTGTACTGGTCTGTTCCGTCGGGCGTTTCCAGGAAGTGGTGTTGCTAGTATGGGTACCTCGAGCGATTGTTGTCGTCGGTGTTGTTGTCGTCGCTTTTGGATGCTCGAGGTTGAGTTAGTGGACAGCATTTTTGAATTTGCAAGTCGAGTCCGGATGGTCGTTGGTTAGTCGCGAAGAGCAAGTGAATGCCTCCGTATTGTCCGGTATCTTCATATCGTCAGTACATGTCTGACCCATCTCATGTCTATAGATTAATTCTTACCTCACGCAGTGCACGCCGCAGCCGCCGGGCGCGGTGTCGTTCTTAGATCAACTCAGTCGCAATGGATGTTGACTGTGCGATTGACTGATCACAAGATGGCCTCTCGGCCGGTGGAGGTGTAGTTTGTAGTAGGTTGTGGTCGCGAAGCTCGCTGTTGGTTCGAGAGTATGTACAGGTACTGGTAGGTAGGGGTAGTGGGTGGTTTGGGTAGCGGTGTGGTAGAGGTGTGGTCGCAGAAGTTGACCGTTCAAATGCAGAGAGTGAAGTGTTGTCGTCGTTGCTAGGTCGCGCCTTCCGAGCAACGAGAAGCGAGGACTAGCGGCGAAGCTTAAATCTTCACTTCGACTTCTGGCCTCGGGAGTGCTTTTGGATTCGCCGATGCTCTTGGCACGCACGCAGATTCGAAAGTCGTTCTTCCACCAGCCTCTACCTCTCCCACGACATCCGCTTCTTATTGAGGAAGGCAGTAACACCAACACTGCTGAGACAAGATGCAGATCTTCGTCAAGACCCGTAAGTATACATCTGCTTCTAACCAGATAACAGCCTACTGACCACGCGCGCGCAGTAACGGGCAAGACTATCACCCTCGAGGTGGAGTCCTCCGATACCATCGACAATGTCAAGTCCAAGATCCAGGGTATGCATGCCTTCATCATACAGCGCAACGCATTGCATACTAATGATGTGCAGACAAGGAGGGCATCCCACCAGACCAGCAGCGCCTAATCTTCGCCGGCAAGCAACTCGAAGACGGGCGCACCCTCTCCGACTACAACATCCAGAAGGAGTCCACCCTCCACCTCGTCCTGCGTCTGCGCGGAGGCGCCAAGAAGAGGAAGAAGAAGGTCTACACCACGCCCAAGAAGATCAAGCACAAGCGCAAGAAGACCAAGTTGGCCGTGCTCAAGTACTACAAGGTCGACGGCGATGGCAAGATCGAACGTCTGCGGAGGGAGTGCCCGACGGAGACCTGCGGTGCTGGTATCTTCATGGCTGCGATGCACAACCGCCAGTACTGCGGACGCTGCCACCTGACGTACGTCTTCGACGACCCGAAGTAGAGGGATGGTGGTGATGCGCATGGAGCGAGGAGCAGATGAATAGCGGCGAGGTGGTCGCAACACATCTTTCAGCCGTCACATTTCACGATCTTTCTTCCCATTTTCTCCCAGTATCGCAGAATTATGAAAATCACGTGCACCATCTACACTAACCCGAGCTCCGATGCACTTCGGCGTTTGATGAACGCGGGCCGATATCGTCCACCACATTGCACCCCACCTAGGTCATCCAGTGTTCGTCTTCTCGGTCTTCTCGAGCTTCACTCACGCGACAAGATACTTTCTTGGTGCGCTCGACCTCTCATCACGTATCTTGCTACCACGTCGCACTCGAGACCGATCTCGGGATGGCCACGACGAACGGCAACCATGCTTCCGAAGACATGATCAAGGGCCTTGCTCACGTCAACATCTTGGTAAAGCTTCAACTCCGCCATACTTACTTCGGGGTGTTATCGATCACCATTGCTAACAGTCGCCAGGTCCCGCCAGGCACACTCGACCAAGCGAATGAGTTCTATGGAAATACACTCGGCTTGCATTCTCGCCAGGTGCCCAAGCTGCAGGCCGGGACGTTGGCGTGGTTCGATATCTCAGATTCCGGGCAACAGGGTAGGTGATCCAGTGTCCAATCGAGCGTCAACCTTCAATCAACCGATCTGACAGCATACCGCAGTGCATGTAGCGTTTGGACAGAACGAGACCAAGTCTTCTCGCCACCCGTGCTTCAAGATCGGTTCTCCGGATGCGTTGATGCAGTTGAGGCAGCGGATATGGGAGCACCATGAGCGCGGTGGTGAAGCGGCGCCTCAGGTAAGACCTCATCATGACGTTGGGATGGAAGCATGTCCTGCTTAAGGGCCTTTGCTGATCAGGAGCAGGAGGCCGACAAGCCGGGTACGCAGAACAGTGGTTCTCAAGGGGTGGAATTCCCGTCCAGATTCTTTGCAAGGGATTATGCTGGGAATAGGTTGGAGTTCAGCCTTTGAGGGGGCAAAGACCATCCGGTAGAGAGCGGTGCAGCGTCCTTGGGCTTGTCTTCTGTTTGGATATGTGTCAACCGGCAGAGGTCTAGAGTACCAACGTACGCCGAGGTATCATCACCCGGTCACCACCCGGACCGTGAACTGAGTTGCTAGCCGGTCGTGAGTGTGGCTCACACCCGGCGTGAAGCTTCAATAGTACTCTTAGCCATTTTCTTGCTGCAACACCAGGCCAAAGCAGTTTCCAGCGTACACCACCGTCGTGCTTGTCACCCGGCGGGCTACAATGTCGTCAACCGGGTTGCTAGCCGGTCGTGAGGCATACATGTATTTGTTGAACAAGTGTCTCGCACACCCGGAGTTCAGCGCTGTCGCATTCCGATCCAATGCATCACCATCATCCCGCGGCCACTTCTGCCAACCCAAGTTCCCAGCCTTCCCGCTTTCATGGCCTTTCATTCCTATTCTCCTTGATAACCATCCTTGAGGAGCTCTCGTACATCGCATTGGCAGCTATGCCGAAACGCTTGAAGATTAAACGAGCATTCGATCGCATCGCAAATCCAGGCAAGAAAAGGTCGTCCGATCAAGACACCGAAGCTTTGCCTAGTGGCTCGCATCGAGCGCATCGAGACGACAGACTCTCCTTCCTCTCTCTTCCACCTGAACTGCGGAACCAAATATACCACGAGCTCGCAACCGACTCGTCCCTGACGCTCAGTCCCTTCAAGGCCAAAAAGCCCGCCAACATCAACGGACTCCTGCTGGCTTGCCACCAAACCCGCTCCGAGTATAAGAAAGTCCTTCTGGCCAACGCCCACATCAGCTTCAACTGTCAGGAATACAAGTTTGCCAACCTGGTCCGCGTTCTGGAAAACCTCTCACCCTCCGACCTGGACACGCTCAAACTCAACCCAAACCTCTGGATCATCTTCTTCCTCTCCCACGTCCCTACCCGCGACGACAGGAAGAACTTACGGGGCTGGATCGACTACCGCAGCTCCGACTTCAATGTCCCGTACTACGGCTCCGCGCAGGCCCAACTCGCTGCTCGAGAGCTGGTGTTTGAATATGACTTGAGATTTCTGGCGCAGTTTCGCCCGCCGAAGTCGACGATCAGGTACGCGAATGGGCATGATATGAAGCTCGATCTGCTGAGGAGTCATCTAAGGATGTATCAGTTTCTAGAGAGGGAGGCGGGAGAAGAGGGACCGAAGGAGGAGTTGGTCAGGCTCCGGAGGAACATAGAGGAGTGTGTGGAATTATTTGAGGCGTTGCAAATGGAAAGGTCGACGCCGGCGAGGGGGATGAGTGTGGTTACTACGGGAAGTGGGCGTGGGTTTTGAAGTGCATTGGGGTGTCTCGAGCGACCGATCGAAACCAGAATGCCACAGCGGGCCTCATGGTGCTTGATTGTGTTCCCGGAGAACCCTTCCATCCTTGATGGAAGCCGGAATGTCGTCGACACAAATATGTCAACGCTCCGCTACATCGGTTCTCCAGCAAGCCAGCGGCCCTCACGACCCGAGGCGACAAATCTCCAGAGACGAAGAAGATCTTCGTGAGGACTTTCTATGGGAAGGCCTTTCCGCCGACGAAGGTGACTTCAGGGACCTCGACTACATCAACTGCTCCAACCGGTGCTGAACCCAGCAGCAACAATCTTCTCCGACACAACTAGTAATATCAGCCCTCCAGCGTCTTGCGCAGAACCCTTACGGCTATGAGAAACTCGCGAGAAGCCCAATGTGCTCGCAGTCGTCGTTCGGCAAATTGTATTCATCAGCATTCGTCCCACCATAGAACAGCACGAAGTTCGGGTTGATGAGGGTGCCCTTCACGTTGACCGGGCACGCATACCAAACATTCGCGTTGTTGTCGCCATGGGCCCGGAGTTTGTTGTTCAGACCGAGACCAAATCGTGCGCTACCCTGGCCCTTTACGAGCGCGACCTTGGAGACTTCGCCTGGGGCGCTTTTGAAGATGACCATTCCTGTGTGCGTCAGCAGACTGTTCGGAGGAGACAATGGACCATATGAACGCACCGTACGAAGCGCCCTTGATCATGAAACGCAACTGCGCCCTTCCTTCGTTGATCTGCTTCTTCGAGCCCAGCAGGTAGGAGTCGATGCTCACGTACGAAGCTGGGCGTTGGAGCTCAACAAGAGCCTGTTTCGGAAAGCCTTTGGATGGCTTCGAATTGATGAGGGCCCTGTGCGGCGGAAGCGTCAGCTGATGTTCATCGTCTCAGACCAAAGCAGTCCTGGAAGATGGTATAAGGTGCTCCGCTCTCCGTACGGCGAGACGACGTAAACCACGAACGTAATCCTGATCACGATCAAGCTTACCAGCGTAATAGATCGCTGTTATCAGTGACGTGGAGCTTGAAGACATCTGACTTCACAACAGCGTTGCTGACGGGGATGGCGACGGCCGTTGAGAGGAGTGTCGAGAGCAGCAGGAGTGGGAAGTACATCTTGATGCGAAGTTGAGCGCAAGGCACCGCGAGCACGAACGCTTTGGAATATCGACCTGCAGGAACTCCATGGAGTCTTTGTATCGTGCCTCAACGACCCTGGATCTTGGCCTCTGCCCACGATGTATCAGGATGTTGGACCAAGTGGCCACGTACTACAAGGCGTTTCGCACACCCCTCTTCCAGATCACGTTCTGTCGTGCCCAGCAGGAGTGGACGGTTGTGTCCGATCTTTCCCTGCCTACTGAACACTGGCACTCTCGAGGGCGATAAGAGACAGCACTGGTGGCTTCTGCCTGCGTACCGTGCCAGTCCTTCTTGGAGAACACAGCGTCAACAAGCAGAGCGAGCTCCATGATCTGGATTTGAGAAGGTATGATGCCATGTTTGAAGGCTCCGTTTTTCGCTATGCAATAATCACAAAACAACGCTGATGCAAAAACCCACAGAATGCCACAAGAAGGACTGTATGCTCGCACCGTTCCACCGCCGCCCATTACACCTTCGCTCTATTCCCCATGCAAACGCCATCCGCTATGCCATCCACTATGCGACCGACACGCCGCCCGTTTACCACTTCTTGTGGGTCTGGAGAGTGATGCTCTCGCACTTGTGCTCCTTCAGGTATTTCTTGGTTGGGCCGGCGCCGTACCACAGCGTGAACACCTCCTCGCCTTGCACCTCAGTCTCGCAAGCCCAGAAAATATTAAATTCCCTGCAACGTCGGCGTGTCAGCAGACGTCCCCGTACCTTTCCATGGTGCTGCTTACCCGTTGGAGGCGACGTCAAGGTAGCCACCCCTTGTCTGGTCGATAGAGAAGACCTTAGACCCCTCACCACCGGCCTGGGTGTACACTTGGGTAAGTTCGCCAACCTCTGGGGTTTCAATGACGGTCGTGTAGACGTCCCCACCGAGTTCTGTGGTCCAAGTCAGCACTCTGTTCGGTCACCAATCGAGGTACCATGGACATACGGTACTGGAGACGACCGGTGCCCTTGTTGAAGTCCTTGGGGGTGCCAAAGATGTACGACTTGTTGGACGTGTAGGCCGTAGGGCGCTGGATCTCTAGAACATTGCGACCGGCTTCGACATGGGCGTTGACCACAGCCTGGGAGGGTGTCTGTTAGCTTTGCGCTTGTCGTTGATGGAGGTGCATGCTTACCCAATGCTCGAGGTTCTCGCCAGAGGCCCACAACTTGAAGTTGGGGGTCACGCCAACAGGGGCTGGAGGTACGGTGTCAGCAGGTGGAAGGTGAAGGGAGGGTTTTGGTTTACGTACGGCCATCCTTGGAGATGGGAGCGGGAGCGGCAGAGACGGCGACGGAGCTGGCGAGGGCCAGGGCGATGGATGCGATTGCGTGCATTTTGAAGGTTGGGTGGAAGTGGTAAGGTCGGTTTGGTGAGATTGGTTTGATGGGATGAGTTTGGTGAGATGAAATTGGTGGTGGTGGAGGCTTTGAAGCTGTTGTGAAGTGGATGATGTTGTGATGAGGATGTTGTATGAAGGCAGCGTTCTACTATCCGTTATATACCTTCTGCTCTTCGTGATTGTCAGACTAAAGATGGCATTTCCAATGCTCACGGCCAACGCCGCGATGCATCCTATGTTGATTACTTGAACAATACGAATGTGTAGCAAGCACTCAATTGGGACAGACACCATTTCCCATTCCAAGACTCAGCTTGCGATGAGTGGCCGAGTCAGCATCGTCGGCGGCGGAGGCTCTGCTACAGTTCTGGTATCTCTCGTCAGCTTGCGAAAATGTGGCGTCTCGTGTTGCCAGCAATAGAATTGGCGTTTTGTAAGCGCTCCCAACGATGCATTCTCGCAAAGGTGGCGGATCCATCGGGCCTCTGGCTTAATTATTTTCTTGGTCCCGCAATCGAACCGCTTCAGTTGAACAGTGTTCGTGACCAGCGGTCGCGGACAGTATCTGGGTGGACTGAACAGTTCCGTCGAGACCCGCCTGCGATGCGAACATCAGTCCAGTCGAACAGAGCGGAGTGTCATCATGGCCGACGAGACTCCCCAGCTTCCCGGTGAGCGAAGATCACGATATAGCAACATGACGCAGAGAGTGATGATGCCTTCAGAGGGAGTTGGAGCTCCGGCAAGAAGCAAAGCGTCGAACCGAACCCCGCCCAACGAACGAATTGTCGAAATGATCCTTCAACGAGCATCACTGTGAAATGTTACAAGTGACGAGACAGCAGTCTTGGACACAATGGAGGCACCAGCACCTACAGTCGACATTGCAAAGCTCTTCACCCTTCATGGCAAGACTGCGATTGTAACGGGAGGGTATCGATCAGATGCATCTATAACCATCCGAGCGTTGACTGACGACTTCAATGTAGAACAGGTGGTTTAGGCACGGCGATGACTGTTTGTCGACTAAGACGATCTTGAGAGGATGCGTGTACTGACGTATAATCACTCGAAAGACCGCCCTCGCCTCAGCAGGTGCCGACATCATCAGTATCGAACTACCCGACGACCCCGGCAGCGAGAGGACGAAGGCCATAGTTAAAGGCTGCGGTAGAAAATACAGCCGCTACAATGCCGATGTTAGCGACATGAAATCGATCCGCTCGACCTACCAACAGATCTGGAAAGATGGTCTATCCGCTGACATTCTTCTTAACTGTGCTGGAGTCCAGCGGCGAGCCGAAGCCGTTGACTTTACCGACGAGGACATCGATGTCGTCTTGGATGTCAATGTGAAGGGATTGATAGCGTCGTGCCAGGAGTTCGCGAAGAAGCTGATCGCTGACAAGAGACCCGGGAAGTATGGTGATCCCTTTCTACCTCTTGTCGGCTACGACAGCTGATCGACCGAATAATAGAGTCATCAATGTAGCCAGTATTATTAGCTTCATCGGCGGGAAGAACATCACTCCCTACGCCGCGTCGAAAGGTGGCGTGATGCAGGTAACGAAGGCTTTCAGCAACGAATGGGCGGAGCACGGAATCCAGTGTAACAACATTCACCCAGGTACTTGTCGATGCTGCCGGATCGTCCTAGTTCAACCACTGATGGGAGCAGGCTACTTCCGGACACCCATGACTGAGCAATATAGCACTGGTATGGTGACCAATCCGTCCAGAGGCGTTGTCTTCTTTGCTGACCAGAGCACGTAACAGACCCCAAATACAAGAAGTTCAACGATGGGCTCATGGACAAAATTCCGGCGAAGCGATGGGGTGAGATATCTGAAGAGAGCAATCATGGCATTCGTTGACAAAGCTCCAGGCAACCCCGTCGATCTGTCCGGAGCCATTATATTTTTGTCAAGTCCAGCTTCTGACTATGTGTCAGGTACAGGCATCGTTGTACGTACCTGAGTGTCTGATAGTGTTCCTGGTGGATGCTGATTCTGTGTCCAGGTCGACGGTGGCTGCATGGGCAACTGAAGTGATGGGCAGCGGGAGGAAGCGGGAGACTTCTGGATCTGGTTTCCTGTCTGGCACAACAGCGATAGCCGTTGCAGGCAGTGCACTTCATGCCGAGGAAGATCCGGACGTCGGGACGATCAAACATTCATCCCCTCTTCGTAGCGATAACCTTCTTCTCCAATTCCTGCTCGACGGCTCCGACGTCCAACGTTGCTTTGCCGGTACGGATCTGTTCGATGTCCGGAACGTTGCTGTGTTTCTCTTCGAAGATGGCGTCAATCTCCTCCAAAGTAAGGTTTTTAGTCTCAACCTGGACGAATAAATGTCACGACTTAGCAGTGCTCCAAGCATTGACCAGATTTCCTCAACTGGGGGCACATACCCAATAGTACCAGATCAACCCGATGATGGCAATGTCCCAGATCGCATTAGCGAAGTACGTCCGGTAGCCGATGTTGTTCAAAGCAATCGGCATAATGAAGACGAAGACGACGCTGGAATGGTGTCAGCTTGCTTCGTCCACATCTCGAAAAGATGGACCACATACCCAAACGCGTTAAGCATGAATTGACTGAAAGCCAGCCCATTTGCTCGGATGGAGTAGTTAAAGACTTCCGGTGGGTATAAGTAGAGCAACGGAGTCCTTTGACAATCGTCAATTACTGGTCAAATTTGTGTGGGAATGCCGGAGGCAGCTTACCATGGATCACAACAGCTTTTTGCAGAAGTCGAAGACTCCGTCCCCAAAGACATGCCTCCACTGGAAGTGACGGGACACCTCGCAGACCGTGACGTTCCCCCAGAAGGCGTCGTCTACGAGACGGAGGGAGACACGATCAAAGCACTGCGGAAGTTCGGTCCAGAGCATGGTGATAATGTAATTCGCTGCAACCGTCAGAAGCTACGGGAATGGTTCCTCACCAACGTCAACATCCACTGGGGCAAGCACTTCTCCCACTACGAGGGCGGCGCCGAAGGCGAAGGAGTCGTCGTCACCTTCAGAGACGGCTCTTCGTACCATGGCGACATCCTCGTGGCCGGCGATGGCACTCACAGCAAAGTCCGAAACCAGTTGTTGCCGGATCCAACTTTCAGGCCACAGCCCATTCCCAGGGGAGTGATCGTCGGCGGTCTGACAGCGACCAGGGAGCAATACATGAGATGGATGAAATATGGAAAGTCTTACTACACCTTGGCCGACCCCAATATCCGCCTGACAGTGTCGATGAAGTGGATTTCCGAGGACCAAGAGAGTGCGGAGTACGTCTGGCTATACGGATGGGCCGACAAGGGTGCCATCCATGAAAAGTTCTGGACTTCCACCGCATCGAGAGAGGAGCTGAGCCAGTACGTCCTCAGCAACCTGAACGGGGTAGGTAATTGTGGGCGAAACATGTCGCTGCTATCTCTTCGACCTGCATGTCTCCGAGAGCTTGCCGGGTCAAATGACCTTCCAGGGGCGTTTCACCGACTGAAGCCTTAGGTTTAGTGGATGAGATAGCAGCCGGCAGCGCACCCTCCTCTCTCGATATAGCAAGGATATCAAGCTGACGAACGTTGTAGGTCCATCCGGCGTTTGCAGAAGTGATGCAGGCTAGTTCTCCGCAGAACTATTTGCATCCTCCCTTGAGGATGCGCGACATGCTTCCTCCACAAATCCCACGCGGCAGAGTGACGTTGATGGGAGATTCGAGTCATCCGATGACTTCATGCAAGCATTTTCCGTGGGCGATGACAGTACATATGCTGACTCTGAGATAGTCCGAGGCCAAGGCGGCAACATGGCCATGCTCGACGGTCTCCGCCTAGCGACAGTCATCAGCAGATCAGCCGGTGCGCCAATTGAGGATGTTTTGAAAGAGTACGAAATTGAGATGAACGAGCGCGGTACCAAGGCTGTGCTGGCTTCGCGAGCTGCAATTCCAACAGGAGACCCATCGTGGACTGCCACGAAATCGGGACAGGTCTGGCAAAATCCGAAGGAGCGCAAGAACATTGCTGGCGAGCAGGTGCCTACCGGTTGATCAGTAGAGGCGAGAAAGAAAGCATTCGTAGTTCGCAGTGGGATGCTGGCGTCGATCTGCTTGGTGAGGCGGCCTGTCGAATGACAGAGATCAGCACAAGCAGCAGCATAGAAGTTCTTGTCGACCATAATCAATGGGCCGTGAGAGCTGTGGGAGAGATGCCTTTCATTGCCAACCCACGATATTACAACGTTGGTCACCATGCGTCTCCACAGCCGACCGCTTATTTCGTGCCTCGAAAACTTAGCTGCAGCCATTTGGGTCACCTGAAGCACCGTACAGCAATGCCCCAGAATGCTTTGGCCAGACCTGGGAGTCTCGACGACTAAGCCGTAGACTTGCTGATCCAGACCAACGACTTGAGCTCCAGTGCGTTGTGGTCCCTCCCGTTACCATTGTGCTTGCGAAGAATTGGCGAACGCACAACAATCGAGCCTCGCGGTGCCATCGCCCAGAGCCTTCCTTGTCCTCACAAGCTTTGAGATGTCCGACTGAAAGATGAACTGTACTTCATCAGTTCATGCCAAGGTTCAAAGTTGTCTGAAGATTCGACTTACTGGCCGCATGATCTCTAGCACATTAATGTATGAGCAACGAAACTTCAGCTTGTTTCATTATAGAACGTTTCGGCTTGTCATACCGGCGCCTGAGTGGTCGTTTAGAACAGCCTAGGACACGTTGGACTCATTGTCGTTACCTCGTTCTGCCGTGCTTACCCAATTGACCAGGATGAGTCCTAGAAAACGGTAGGGTCCCAGCTATCATACGTCATCCACTGATCAATGCCATTAGCATCTCCTGGAAAGGTCAAGTCCATCATGAGCGACCAGTCGATCTGGTCAGTAGCCGATGCGAAGCCTGAAGCGCTGAAATCCGTCGCCTGACTCGCGCCGGGTATGGCTTGCCCAGAAAATGGTACAGATGTCGGTCGCGGTGCCTGGACATACCGTGTCCCGCTTGCGGAAGGCTGTGCCGCTTTGGCGTGTCTGCTGACGTTGATCTTTCCGAGCATTGGAATCTGCAGCGTCAGGCCTGCAGAGTCCGCGTTTTCAGATTTGCTCAGAAGCTCATTGAGGGCACGAAGAGCGGGCGCAGCTTGCCGACTGAAAACTCCAGTAGGGTGGCTTGACACTGATTCCATCGTCTGAATGATGCCCTGAACAAGATGTGAGGATGGTGGCTCGCTTTCATCTGGGGCGCTGGACCGTTGGCTGGTGAAAAGGAGTACAACAGCGCCGGTAAGCGCCTGGAGATCGAGGACTCTCCCAGCAAAGAACGCCGGGGGTAGCAGACCCCTAAGATTGACATAGCGCTGCGCCAACTCTCTGGAAGCCTGGAAGCATGCCATGGAGCTGTAAGTGTGTTGTGAATCGGATCCACCACTCAGTGCTAACCGCAGGTGTGCTCGTATGGTGAAGTAGTACGTCCAGTATTGTAACACATGGTCAACAAGGCGTTCGGGCTTCGAAGTCCACCAGCCGGACGGCGTCATGCTGATGAGCGTCTTGAGCTCGCTTTCCACGTTCCACACCTTTTGGTCGAGTTCGTTCTGCGAACGACCAGAGACGTGGCTCTCGTCAATGTCCTGAACCTTGCCAGCGATGACAGCGATGTATCGGAAGAGTTCCTGGGGGCTGACTGTGCCGTCTACCATAACACTCTGAGGTGGTGCAAACGAATGGGCGGCGGTGCCGAACGGGAGGCCGAAAATGGTTCCTACGCAGTGTCAGTTAAACAGAATGTTTTAGCATAGTGGAAAGAGAAGACCGAAACGCACCGACAAGTCGATCGATCGAGCAGATCGATCTCCAGAGCGCCGCAGGACGCGACATGGGCGTTCTTGCGGAGCCTCCGTCATGATTCGACGGAAGTCCAACCAGCTCTGCTAGGGAAATGACCCGCCGGAGCGTCAGCCAAAGCTTCCGCGTGTGCACCCTTGCGAGCTGCCTAGACTGTCGTCAGTTCGATGATTCTGCGTGAGCGGAGTGGGCTTCTCCTACAGTCGCGCGAAGAGGAGCGTCGTTTCGATGCCTTCAACGGAGCAGACAAGATCGTCTTCTTTGATTACCACTTGCTCTACCGCATCATTGACATGTTTTATCCATGATGTGGGATTTTCAATGCCTGGAACGGGAGCAGCATCTGCAGGTCTGTGAAGCAAGATGATCGCAGTAGTCGACAGCAGGCCTGCGATTGTGATGGGATCGGCTCCGGCAGTTGAAAGCTCATCGTGCTGAGTGATCATGTCCTCTGCCGTGTTGAACATATTTATCGTCGGAAAAAGAGCAGCATATATGCTGATCCATTCCAGCGATGGGGACAGCGATGGGGCGCAGAGCGCAGTTATATCCGCCTTGCTGGGAATGAGGTGCTGAAGCCGCGATCTTGCTTTCACTACAAGCGCGCTCGACGCTCGCTCATAGTTTGAGCCTGTGGCTGCCGACCCACCATTGGCGCGAGTGTCGACATATTCATTGTCAAACAGCTGCTGCAGATGTGTCGGCGGGGCGATTGGAGTCGTGTCTGAGTCCTCCGACTCAGTATCGTGTCTGGCAGTCGAAGCGATGTCGTCCAGTGTTGAATCTTGAACATGACCAAGCTCGCTTTGGATCCGGCTGACCGCCCGCCAGAGACTGGACGTCGTGGACTCTAATTGCGCGATACGCTCCCTCGAAGTGATGGTGTTGGTCTCGGCGCGACCGACTTCAGCTTGATATTGACATTCCCGCTTTCGAGCAGAGCAGTTCTGACTGCAGAGGGATTACTACGCTTCCATCCGAAACTCGTCCACGTATGCTCGGTCCGGGGCAGACTTACCACGGTCCATCCGCAGGTATACATTTTAGCTTTCTCCGTCGACAGGAAAAGCATGATCTTGTGCCTTTCCGGAATTGCTTGGTGTGCTCCTCCTTAGGCATAATGTCGTGGGCATGTCGTGGAGGAGGTCGAAGGAGACCGGAGGCTCTTGAAGTCGGAGGACGGTCTCGCCGAAAACCCGAGAATCCGGCCCTCGCGATTGATCCTTCCGTCTTTCCTGATCACAGTGAAACATTCATGTGTCACCATAAGTCCGCAATGTATCGATGAATTATTCAGAACTCGAAGTTAAAAGAAAATAGCTTTTTACGCAGTCTATGCATACGATGTACTCCATGTTCCCGGATAAGTCTCACGCCCCAACTCCTCGCTAACATTCTATCTTCAATTCATCACAATGCGTCTTTCACACCTCCGAACCGCGCTTCTCAATATCATTCTCTGGCCTCTCATCACCACTTTCGCTTCCCAGCCGCTCAGGCACAGCATAGCTCCTCCGCTTCGACGACCCGTTCGGAACGTGGAAATGCTTGTCCGGCCTCGTAGCGTAGGTGTACAAGCTGAGCACCAGGATCTCGATCGTGAAGTTGAAACCATAGAATGCTGCCTTGGAATGGTACCACGCTGGGTTTGAGATCGGTCGAGCTGGCTCCCATGTCGTTCCGGCGCGGAAGCCTGCCAGTATCGTACACAGGGCTGCGCTTGTCATGACGATTGCAGCTTTCAGGTTCATGCTTCCCTCACCAAAGTGCTCTGCGTTGTTGGGTCGAGGTAAGAGGATAGCAAGAGGCACGATTACCAAGGGTAGTGCCACGAATATGAGCAGGTACAGGGTGATGGCCCGCAGTACCCAGAGCTGAGCGTTGTGGAACGACGGACCGAGGGTGTAGGAGCCGTACACGATGAAGACGATTATGAGAAGCAGCGATATAGCAATCAGGCCGTATAGGATCTTGAAGGCGATACTCAGGGCGCGACTCCAGCCGATCTTGGGTTGCAGGGCGCGTAGTATGCGTTGGGCGAAGAGGACTGCAGTAGGAAGGGTAATAGTCAGTCACCTTTCGTTGGTGTATAGCCATCTGAGCAGCTTACGGTTGATGATATAGACAATCAGGATGCCCGCATTTACGAAGATGGAAGCTGCCAACGCAGTCGATGCTGCGTGAGGCATTGTGGCCCACACGATCCGCAGGATACATGTCAAAATTCGTGCCATGGAGAAGCCGAAAAGGAGGACCGAAGGCAGGAAGAGCTTTCCGTTGATGCGGTTACGCTGGAATCGGTACCTAAAAGCATGGGAAGAAGGGTCAGTAGATGTGTCGACGGCCAAAACAAAGATGGAAAGGTTTCAGAGTGGCTCGCAGTCCTTAAACGTTGACTGTGCTGTAGAGAACCCTTCCACCGATCCGTTTGACGTACATGTTCAAAGCGGCGAATGACACGTAGAATAGCATCCTGCAATGGGTCAGCAACATTACTCTTCGGACCAGTAGAGTTGGAAATTGACTCACAGGATCGCAAGAACCGGCACATCGACGGACACCGTGGGTATACCGCCTACTGTGGCCGTCGTTCTGGTAGGACAATCAGTAGTTTGCTTAACCAAGTAGTCAGAGGTAGTACGAACGATGGATAAGGAGGCCCTTGAGCAATCGCTTCTTTCATCGCCGGCGACATATCGTGCTGTGACATCGTTGCAATGTGCGCGGTAGCTTCCCAATCGAATGTGGTCGTTGTAGATGTGGGAGGACGATCGCTGTGTTGTGTGAGGAATGTACAACGGAACGCATGGCAGCTTTATCGACAGCGTCCATCGGGAATAGCATGTCCAAAGCCCGTGCCATGGACACGGACAGATCTTTGAGACGTGAACAGCCCGTTGTTGCGAGGTACATTCGTAGAGGTTTGGAGCATTGCGGACCAAATTTCGGACGAGGAGAGCTCGAAGTCGAACAATAAGATCTCTTCTCTGATTGGATGGACGCCCCAGCGCCCGGGAAACCGGGGAAAAAAGGATGTTTTTGGTGCAATGACCACCACGTCGCAATCGCAACATGAGTAGCACTTCGAGACTACAGCAACGTGGAATCTGTGTATTCCGTATGCCTGCTGACCGATCTGCTTACAGAGCGGAAGAACGTGATCGTTTCTCAATCCCGAACCGCTTGTTGTGAGAATAGTATGAGAAGCCCTGCGGAACATTCGAATGTCAGTTTGACTATTGGAATCGTAGACATACACTCATAAGCATTCGCATCGCATCGCATAACAAAAGGTCGTTCTGTTGACATTAAACCGGACCTCTCCTATCAAGTCGAGCTCGGCGCCACCACTGCCTCCTCCCTACCCTCCTCCTGCGCCCGTTCCCGCTCTTCGATCCTCTTTTGGGCCGTCACCATGGTGGTCGAGCTTGGAGACTCAAGACTTTCCGTAGTCGACGCCGGCATAGCATTCGTACCTAGGCCAGTTGAGTGCATCTGCACCCCTTCGAGCGACGGGGACCATCCGCGTAGAGCAGTCTCAGCATCGTTCAAGATGTTCTGCGCCTGGGACGAGCCGGCGAAAAGCTGACGTTCCTCTCCCGGCACGATTGGCGTGTCGTCGAGCAAGTTGAGAACACGTCGAGCTTGGGTGGCGAGGATGATTTGCTTCTCTGCGCGCTCGATGATAGCTGCGGTGCGGAGGTCGTAGGCTTCCTTGAACTTCTGCCGCGTGATGTTCGTCAATTGTGCCTCCGCTACCAGTGATTGAGCTTCTGCTCGAACGAGCTCCTGTTCGAGGATTGGTAGTTTTGTGGACTCCGGCTCCTTGTACTTGAGCTTTTGGATCTCGTCTTGGATCTACGCATGGATTGTTAGCTAAGCAGTCGTTTTGCAAGTCGGGAAATAGTTTTACCTTCGCCTTCTGATTTCGGCTGGGCTGCACACTCGACTCGGTGTTTCTGATCTGCTTGAGAACACCCCTCGAGTCCTCCAAGTTCTGCGCAAACATGTCCTCCTGATCCGCAATCTCCGCCAGGAGCACAGCGAGCTTGTCGCTAACCTCGCTAACAGCGTCGTCTTCGGTGCTCTCGCCCCATTCGCTGAGCTGGTTGGCAATGCTCTGGGTCTCACGCCCAGCAGACTCGAAGGCTCCGATTGCGTGGTTCTCCGTCTTGATCAGCTTGTACAGCTTCTTTGAGAGCTCAGGCTGCTGCATGCCTCTCAGACTGCTCATAGTGAAGCGATGTTTTGGCGCCGACTTCTCGCCGCTCTCGCTCTTCTTCGAGCGGACGGACGCGGAGCGATGCCTTTCGTCTGTAAGTATACTGCATCGCGAGGCTCGATCCAAATTGGAGCCTACGGCTTGGAACCTGGATGAGCAGATGGCATTCACTTACATCTTGGCTGGTCTTGCTTCAAAGGTGGTGTTTGTATAGAAGCGTTAGGATGGACCTCGTGTATTGGAACACTCTGGTCACTTCAGGAGGAATTCGTGTGTTCAAGAAAGGGCTCACAGTTGCGTCGAATCCAACCTTGTGGTTCGGTCCAGAGGCGTGGGAGGAACGCCGCGGAGAGCTGATTCTGGTGACGTAGGTGCCACCCTGCTGGAACCACAACATGAGCTGTACTCTACTGAAATGGTCAGTTGTGTTTACCACTGCGAGGCAACCAGGAATGTGTGGTTGCGCTAAGGGCAAGATATCCTTCATCCGGGCGCTGAAGGGCGAGGCGTGTTGACTTCAAAGCGACAAACTCGTCAACAGCACCAGAACAGCATTGTCTCTACTTTGGACCGAGAGGATATACAGCGATCAGGTATGATAGCACAAGATGCTTGCGGTTTGCGCGTGCGAACGTTCGTACAACCATATTGCCACGTGAGATCCAACATCAACCATCCACACCAACAACAACACAAGATCCAGCTAGCAGATCTCGTCCGCCCATCGTTCAAGAACATGCTGCAAACGCCAATATACCCAATACTCATAGCATCGTTGTACGAGTCATGCCACCGTACCTTCGTGCAGCCAACCTTGCCGCTCCATGTGCCTGCCCAATGTCCCCATCATCGCACATACGTCTTACTCGTCCTCACATAGGTCTGGCTTGCCCTCGGTGGCGGTACATATCCCCCACGACTGTAGCTGCTGCGATGGCTCACGCGAGAGCTGCGAGGCCCGCTGTGGTAGGCACTGACCGGTCGGGGGGCGTAGTAGTCGTCGCGGGACTGGACGACTTCGCGCTTCGGGGGTGAGGTACTGTTTGTGGCTGTCAGCCTCTGTCATTCGTGCCGCTGAATCTCAGGCAGAACGTCTGCACTCACATGAGACACATCGCTGTTGACCGGTCGGCCGGCGTGCGCTGCTGGTACTGGCTGCCGTCTGTTGACTGTTCCCCAGACCCGGCGGTTTGGATGCGCTTGCGAGATCGAAACTGCGGTATTGCAGTATACTAAATGTCAAATTCTGACCACAGACAATCTCGAAGAAGAGTACTCCGTAACACGATCGCAATCCTGCTTCACCTACCGTAACCTCAGGTGTACGGGAGTTGGAGGGCACTGCTGATGCCAGCCACTTCCGCTGTCGTCATCTTTGCCAAGCTCCAAGATTCAGTTTCAACGTTCTCGGCCTGTCTGGTCTCAATTCAGATGAACTTGCAAGACTGTGGTTGGTGTTGTGACTATGGTGCAAAGCGTCAGTGACACAGAGATGGAGCGAATGCACGCTGCAAGCAATAACCTACGGTTGAATCACGGATTCACGGTAATTGGATGGTCTTCTCATTGGCCATTCTATGCTGAGTAAATCGTAGCGCGTGTAATCGTGCATCCTTCACCGCGTCTCTTCCGGCTCTCCGGCGACTTCACCCACTCTCCGCTACCAACGGTCAACACCATATCGCTTTGAACCACCGGACACCGCTGCAATAGACAGCATCCAACGACCTGCTCCAATGTCCGCCAAAGTCCACGCCACACCCGAACTCGTAGCAGTCTCCTCCGTTCCGGTACAGAGGTACGCTCCCCCAGCCTTCATCAAGAACGGCCACTTCTCCCTGGTGATGCGGTAAAGATTCGACCTATCGTTCTTGTCGACGAGAAGATGACGCTTGGAGATCTCAACGACGTCGAAGCCGAACATCCCTTCTGTCAACCCAAACACACTATCCGGAATTGTCAATGTCTCGAGGACGTTGAAATGAAGCTGTTCGACGGTATATCGCCACAGCAAGTATACTACTTCCATGTTCTACTCGAACGCAGCCTCGAAACGGAGTGGCGTGAAGACCGCGCTTCGGGGAGGCGTGTCGCTAATGGTATCGCGTGAGCGAAGGTACACGACCGCCCAACCGACTGAACTAACGGTGGTCTTTTCTACAAAGCGGTAGACCGTCGTCTTGATCGTACCAGGCGGTGGCTTCTTGGTCACGGCCACAAAGGTCGACGCCGAGGTAGGTCGTTCTTTGTAAGTTTGCTCGAACAAATCCAGATTCTCGTCGTTGTTGTTCATGCAGCTCGACTAGATTTTCTGTTTCAGCGTCCGAAAACAGGTGTAGACGCAACGTGCGGCCTTGAGCATAGCCCCGAGTCTCGATGGGTGCAACCATGACAGAGGGAAGTGATTTTGATACTGAGTTGCCTCGCTTGCGGGTGAGCTGTCTGCGGCTAGTTGAGTTGTCCAGACTACGAGATCTGACGGTGTATATATCGAATCCTCTCGCAACTCACAAGACGCTAGCCTCTTGTTCAAAGACGGCTTATGGCATCGATGGCATGCTTACGCCAGCGATGCGGCACGGTTGACCAATTGATCAAAACCTGACTCGGTCTTCACTTCTTGGTCTTTTGCCGATTCAGTGTCCTTTGGGTTGGTCTGTAGTAACTGGGTACATGTAACCTGTAAAGGGCTGACAAAGAAGGCGGTCCGCTGTCCAAGTAATGATGCTGATCGTTACACAGCGTGGGCGTCGCTTGCAATGTGCGGACTCGCCCTCGTCGATGGCGGCGCCGGGAAGAGGAGCAAGTTATCACAGCCAGTCTATACATGGTCATATTCGGGTGCGAATCTACATGTACATTGCCCTCGCATTGAAGAGCTGGCAGCTGCCATTGCCTTCAGTTGCCGGTGGTCCAATTAAAGATAGACTTCCCGAGCGAAAGCTTGGCGGTCTTTTCTTCAGCTTCACATCGCTGCCTGCCTGGCGGGAACATCGGACAAACTTATGCCCCGTGTAAAATCACATTCACCCGTCACTTCGGCCCTTAGCTCAGTCGCAGGCCAGTTCGATACGCCGGACGACATGTACATTCTTGCGGAACCTATGACCTGGTGTGCGACAATGATGCCGTAACACACATGTCAGACACGCGCTGAAAGCAGGCCGAAGATGCCTCGCCTCAACCACAAGAAAGCGAAGACTGGATGTTCAAGGTAGCCGACCTGTCTAGCAACACGTCTTTCGAAGGAAACACTGCTGACAACATGAGAAGATGCAAGGCTCGCAAGGTGAAATGCGATGAGATTAGACCAAAGTGCTCGGCATGCGCGCGACACGGTGTCACCTGCGAGTACCCCGCCGCAGACGGAAGACTGGGTGCTACGCTCGCACCGGCAACACCTTCGACAGATACTTCAGCGTCGGAGCGACGGGATCAGGATAGCAGTCTGGACCATCTGCTCGAGCTACGGCTAATGCATGAATGGGTATTGACCTTCGACAACGTTACCCTCATGCGCTGACAGCTAACAGCCCACCAGACAGCATATACATGCAAGACCTTCTCTTTCACGTGGGAATTCTGGCAGTATCAAGCTCCTCTCATCGCACTTGAATTCAGACATGTCCTGGATGCGATCTTAGCAATGGCTGCTCTCCATGCTTCAAGGCAGCCGCCGATGCAATGGATCCCGCTGGACAGACGCAGTGAGTATGTGGTTCTTGGCTGGTTACGATTTTAGCTGACGGAAGGCAGTGGTACCAATCCGAAACCTGGAGTACAATCCAGCTCACCCTGACCAAGGAGGAACCAATATCCCCGAAGACATTTCGGAAAGGATCACGAATGCCGGCAACAATGCTTACCTCAATGCGAAGCGGCGCTCCGAGATGCTGGCAGTGTCAAGATTCTACTTCGATCGAGCTATCGACGGCCACCTCCGGTCTCTTGCGGAACTGACTGTCGAGAACATCGAGGCGGTCTATGTTGCAGCAACTCTAGCGATGTTCCATGCGGTTTTTGTGCTGAGCGAAAGCGACGAAGACTCCACACTTCCCTCAGTTGACGCTTTACAGTGGATGCGGCTTGGCAAAGGCGCTCGATGGATCTGCGAACGATGGGCTGCGCTGGTTGGTCCTGATTGGATCACATCTTCAGGAGTCTTCTACGAGAAGCCAGGGATGATAGACGAGACAGCACTCTTCAATACTGAGCACGGCAGGCCTTTCCTAAAACTTCTTACCTACGCCCAGGACTTTGAGACCATTACAGCAGAAGACCGCAAAGTGTACCGCGAAGCGATCAGCTACGCCGGATCGATCTACACGGGCATCATGGAGCACACCGAAGACGAGATGATAGCTTCCCGGCGGCTGATGGGCACGCCTGCGAGCAACGACCCTCGCTTTGCGGATTTTGTCGAAGCAAAGCAGCCCCGGGCTATGGCCATCCTCGCGCATGTCTACGCCTGCATGAAACTCATTGCTGAGAAGATACCTTGGTTCAACGGGATTGCGGAGAGGCAAATACCGAAGATCTATGAAGAGTTGCCGGTTGGATGGAAACCGATGCTGGCCTGGCCTCTTGCCATCATGAATGGCGAGATCGATAGAGAGCCGACGGAGACGCAAATCGACGATGTCTTGGCATTCTGATAGAGCACATTGTCGCAGACACCGATTATGACAAACGAGGCTTGCATCTTTGAGGGGTCTTCCGCTGGACCGAGATGAAACATCTTAGATTATAAGACCTTTCTTCTTGCTCCCTTCAGCGCAAGAACAGATGGCACACGGCAATGGAGTGCACAAAGTGATCAAGCGAGTGCTGATCCTGGGTGTAAGTCACTATGATACTTCAGCAAGCCGGTGCCAATACTGACCTTAAGCAGGACAACTACGCAGGCTCCTCAATCATCAAAGCCTTGAGCCAGACAGACCTAGAGATCCATGTAGCACATCAATATGCACCAGCAAGTTTGACCGACGGTTTCACCCACCACATCAGCGACATCACGACATCTCTCACCTCACTTTTCCAACAGCTTCACCCCGACCTCATCATCAGCACAGCATCCGGCGGCTCCTTCTCCACCCAACAAAACATCATCGACTCGGCCATCGAAGCTCAAGTTCCACGTTTCGTACCTGCTGAGTTCAGCCATGACAGTTTGAACAAGAATATTCAGGGCCGGCTCCCACCAAGCCGGGAAAGAGCACGCACTATTGAGTATCTCCAACAGCAAGCAAAAGCTGGTCGCATCGAATGGGTCGGAGTAGCAACAGGCACAACACTCGACCATGGTATTCTGAGCGGTAATCTGGGCTTTGACCTGAAATGGCAGAGCGCAACGCTGCACGGGCAAGGGCATGAGCGATTCGCAGCTAGCTCTTCGGCTTGGATCGGTCGTGCGATGCTCGCGATCATCGAGCACTGGGAGGACGTGAAGAACCAGTACCTCTACGCTTCTGGCCTACCAACCAGCGGCAACGAAGTCGTCTCAGCATTGGAAAAGGAGACAGGCAAGACCTTCACAGTCGGCCGCGCAGACGTGGAAGAATGCATTCACGAAGCGGAACGGAGATTACAGCAAGGCTTCCCTGACGCGGGCATGTTTCTCATGGAGCGGAGTGTGCTGTACGATGAATCTTTGGACGCTGTGCGAGCGTTTGAGGAGGCAGATGCGAAGGAGAAGCTTGGGCTTGAAGCAGAGAGCTTGCATGATATTGTGCATGGGGTCCTGCATGACGAGAGGGAGCACGGTGGGAAGCCTGGGTGTGGTTGTGATTGAGAAGTGGCTACTGTATCTGGTGGGAACATCGCACCACCGCCTGGCCAACACGTAGTCCTATTCAAGCACGTTCCTCAGAGCAACGCTGGCAACGTCTTGACCTGTGTCACGGCCATGTCGTATCTGCGTTGTGTCAAACAAATTTCCGCTGTCAGACTAAAAGTGTGTCGGTACCATCTGGCTCACACTGCATGTTTGAATGGAGCGGCTGTCACATGTTCACTCCACTCCCAACCCACTCCACTAGTGCAGCGGCAACGGGCCGAAGAAGCAAGGATTCCTCGGAAGCGTTGCCCTCGTGGAGCTTGTTGTCGATCGCTTGTGACCTGGTCCAGAAGCCTAATCACCGCCTGATATCGCCTGGAAACCTAGTCATCACCTCGTCGGTCATTCACTTGACTCATCCATACACCACATCCAACTGTTTGCCTTCCCAGCCGTCTCGATGTGATGGACGCGAATCTGGGGAAGCACCATGTGAAACCGAACCGTCGGTAGCGAACCACCGACGAGGCGATAAGTGTCGGACCTTTGAGTTACGAGCCACTGGACGACAGGTAGCAGGCAACGCAACGCCTGTGTCTTGTGTTGCCACAATAGCTGTGCCACTATGACTTCCCGACAGCAAACCCAGAGCTTAAGTCTGGGGACTGCCTCGCTCAAGAGAAACAGCAGCAGCAAGCGGCCAATTGACACTCGACGAAGAGTCAGCATGGATCTCCCCGAACGCTTTAAAGAGGACGATGGGGAAGAGGAGGATGCTTCGAAGTTGGATGAGAACCATCCTGAGGGTTTCGTGCAGCAGTCCATGTACGGCATCATCGCCGCAGCGCATGGGAAGGGGAATTTCAAGAGCTCGTTGCAACGGCTTAGTGGGAGTGAGAGTGAGAGTGAGAGCGAGGATGTCGAGTTAGGGAGTAAGGCAAAAGACAAGAGCAGGGTTGAGAGAAGGACATCGAGTGAAGGCAGCGATGGCAAAGCAACCCCTCGGCCCGGTCACCGCAAGAACAAGATGTCGGAGAGTATACGCTCGCTGTTGAAGCCGATCCGGGAACGCAGCGATTCTACGGCCCAGGACCCGATGTCTCAGTCTCAGCTCCTGCCGCCGAAAGGCACTGCTTCCGAGGAGGCCGATCGTCCTGCAACAGCCATCCGGCATGATGCCCCGATCATGGACCAGAAATTACAAGCCGCTGCCCGAGCACGAGCGGACTTTGATTCCTCGGCGCCGTCATCGGCAAAGACGAGCAGAGAAGGTACACCTACGGCCTCGATGATCAGGAAGAAAGCTCCCGTCGCCCTTCCCGAAGCTCTGGCCGACATATTCCAGTTCGACGTCCCCGAGGAGGTCATAGCCGAGTACTCGTGCTGGTACCTCCAAAGCGTACTACTGCAGGGCTACATGTACATCACGCAACAGCACGTCTGCTTCTACGCCTACCTACAGAAGAAAGGGAATGTCGTCAAATCTGGCCATCTATCGAAACAAGGGAAACGCAATCCAAGGTTTCGACGATACTGGTTCACGTTGAAAGGAGATGTATTGAGTTATTATGCCAGCGCCGCCGAGCCTTACTTTCCGAGCGGCACGATCGATCTACGTTTCGCCATCAGCGCTGAAGTTGTGCCGGAGAAGGAGACACCACAGCAAGGCAAGGAGAAAGAAAATGCGCGCTTCGTCATCACCACCGACGGACGAACATACTACTTCCGCGCTGACAGCGCTGCCAGCGCAAAGGAATGGGTGCGGCAGCTGCAGAAAGTCATCTTCCGGACCCGCAACGAAGGCGACAGCGTCAAGATCTCGATCCCGCTGGAGAACATTGTCGACGTTGAGGCGAATCCGATTGTGGAGTCGGCGGATACGGTCAAGTTGAGGGTCATTGCTGATGATGATACGTATGCGATTGAGGAGTATTTCTTCACGTTCTTTACTAATGGGAGGGATGCGTTGAATGTGCTAGGTTTGATGACTGCGGATAACGAGGCGAAGAAGGCTGCGACCGAGGAGGGCCTGGCAGAAGACGAAGGTAAAAGATCAAAGGGCAGAATGTCTTCGACGTTCAAGCGTGATCAGTCTGAAGAACGCTCACCCCGGATGTCAACGGGTGCTGCGCTTCCGGTCGCTGAGCCTGTGCGCTCGACGCTTTCGCCTTTAGCTGCTGCGGATCGTTCGAGTCCTAGGATCAGCAGCGATAGAGGGCGGTCGAGTGGTGAGGTGTCAAGAACAAGCTTCGACCGAGGACGTTCGAGCTTTGACAGAAGCAGGCGAAGTCTTAGTAAGACGCGACAGACCAGCTACCAGTGGCGGCGAACGTCGAAGTCGCCTCTTTCGCCTTCAGCGCACGAATCTTCGGAGTCTTTTGTGACTAGCTCGGAGACTGCGCTGGATAGTCCAACTGGTGAGGGGCTAGATCTCATGTCTGCGAGCCAGGTTCTGGGTGGCGACAGTGTATTTCGTGGTCCTACAATGCGGAAGCCGCAGCCCAAGAGGACTGTGTCTGGATCGACTGTGGGCAGACTACGGCAGGAGTCGAGAGAGCAGAGCCCACTTTCGCCGGCCACAGCGCCCATACGTGTGCAACCACCGAGCAGAGCGCAGACAGAGCAGTTTCTCACTGCGAGCCCAACAGAAGTGACACAACAACGCGGAGAATACTTTTCCAAGCAAAAGCCAGACAACACCACAGCACAGTCGTCCACCGTGCAAATCCCCGTAACCCGCCCCAAACGCGCCCTTGCCACCCCCCTCCAACACGCCTACACCCTCGCCGGCGTCGTCCGCGACCACGGCAAACGCATGTCCTCCTACCTCAGCAGCAGCCCCAAAGACTACTACAACCGCTTCTCCGGCGCCATCGCAGGCGGCAAACGGCACTACGCCGACTCCGACGGCCTGGCCCCGGACGACCGTATCGATGACATCGAAGACGACCTCGACACTTCGGAGCACGAACAGCGGTTCCAGCAGCATTTCGCGCTGCCCGAGACGGAACGTTTGCGTGCGGTGTATTATTGCTGGCTGCATCGCGTGCTTCCGCTGTATGGGAAGGTGTATCTCAGCGATCGGAGGTTCTGCTTTCGGAGTCTGTTGTATGGGACGCGGACGAAGCTTGTGATTCCGTTCAGGGATATTCAGAATGTGGGCAAGGAGAAGGGGTTTAGGTGGGGGTATCCGGGGATGGTACTGGTGATTCGCGGGCATGAGGAGTTGTTCTTTGATTTCAGCGCGGCGGAGCTGAGGGATGATTGTGCTGTCACGGTGCTGAGGGCGCTGGATGTTACGAAGTCGGCACTGGAGTCTGTTATGCTGACCGAGGAGGAGCAGGATGAGGCTGCGGAGGCGGCGATGGAGAATGAGCTGTTGCAGGATGCGAGGAGGGATAGCTACGAGGAAGATCATCGGAAGGCGCTGGATGCGGTTGGAGGAGGTGGAATTGGTGAGATGCCTATCATGTTCGACGATCCCAACGCTTCGGTGCTGGACTTCCGGCCGAAGACTTCTATGCGGATCACTTGCCTCACCATCGGCTCGCGAGGAGATGTCCAGCCCTACATTGCCCTTTGCAAGGGTCTCATCGCTCAAGGCCACCAAGCCAAAATCGCAACGCATGCACAGTTTGAGGGGTGGGTGAGGAAGCACGGCGTCGACTTCTCCCCCGTTAACGGTGATCCTGCCGAACTCATGCGCATCTGCGTCGAGCACGGCATGTTCACCCCATCCTTCGTCTTCGAAACCAGCACCTACGCTCGCGGTTGGCTTAACGAGCTCCTGCAGACCTCTTGGACGGCGTGCCAAAACACTGACCTCCTGATCGAATCGCCCTCCGCAATGGGCGGCATCCACATTGCTGAAGCGCTAGGCGTGCCCTACTTCCGCGCCTTCGGCATGCCCTGGACCAAGACGCGAGCATACCCACACGCCTTCGCTGTTCCGACTAGTAAAATGGGCGGACAGTTCAACTACATGACCTACGTCATCTTCGAGAACTTGTTCTGGGGCATGACAAGCAAACAGATCAACCGCTGGCGACGCAAGACCCTGAGCCTGCCACCCACGGATCTGGGCAAGATGCAGCTCAACAAAGTCCCCTTCCTCTACAACTTCTCTCCAAGCGTCGTCGTTCCCCCACTCGACTTTAGCGACTGGATCCGCATCACAGGCTACTGGTGGCTCGACGAAGCCGACAACTGGACTCCAGACAAGGAGCTTGTAGAGTTTCTTGGAAAGGCGAGATCTGACGGCGCCAAAATCGTCTACATCGGCTTCGGCTCCATCCCCGTCAACGACACCAAGCAACTCACGCAGCAAATCGTCGATGCCGTCCTCAAGGCCGACGTCCGATGTGTCTTCTCGAAAGGCTGGAGCGACCACTTCGACGCCCAACCTTCCTCCGCCTCCACCGCTGCTCCCGCGGCAGCAGCGTTGCCCGACTCGATCTTCCAAATCCGCTCCGCCCCGCACGACTGGCTCTTCCGCCAAGTCGACGCAGCCGTCCACCACGGCGGCGCCGGCACCACAGGCGCTTCGCTCCGCGCCGGCTTACCAACCGTTATCAAACCCTTCTTCGGCGACCAGTTCTTCTTCGCCACCCGCGTCGAAGACCTGGGCGTCGGCGTCAATTTGAAGAAAATCACAGCCAATTCATTGGGCAAAGCCATCTGGCGCGTCTGCCACGACGAACGCATGCGCGGGGCAGCTCGCCACCTGGGTGAGCAGATACGACGGGAAGACGGGGTGGGAAATGCGATTAAAGCCCTCTATCGCGATCTCGAGTACGCTCGTACATTAGTCAAACGGCACGGACGGGCCTTAGAAGGGCAAGAAGGGCAGGAGGGGGAAGAAGAGGAGGAAAGCTGGACTTTTGTGGACGATGAAGGGGATGTGGAGGTGATTCGTGGGACGGGGGAGCTTAATTCCTACGCTTCTCCGAGCAGGAGCACGAGTCGGCATACGAGTTTGGGGAGTCTGGTTATGCGGAAGGGCGTTTAGGGGTCGTCGCTTGCGAGAGGCGGGCGGGGATGAGTGTGTTTGTGTTGCGGAGCGAGCGCGAGAGAGTGGCCTTTGTTTACGAGCGTTCTGAGCGCGGCGTATTTGGATTGGACAACAGATTGCATGCATGGCGACCCTGGGAATTGGGAGCAGGAGGAATGGGACAGGGCGCGATAGATTGAATGGGAACCTCAGCTCCGAACCTACGAGTAGGAAAGGCTACGAAGTGTGCGAGCATAGCAGTGAGCGGTATTGTGTAATAGAACAAGCTCAGTGAACTTCCTCGTTAGCTTTGGTCCCGCGCGTGGACCGGACTTGTGACAGCGGCGCAAATGCTCTGTGGAGCAGGATGTGCATATGTTGATGGAGTGATCGTATCCTGGCGAAGATAAGAGGAGGAGCCACCACCACCGCCGTGCATGTTACCGTCCTTTTCCTTCTCGTGTTCTGTTTCTATGGGGCTCGCACAAAGGTGCCGTAGACTCCACACCGTCAGCGCATGCGACCCTTAGGCTTCCCTTCTTTTGAATGCTGCCGGGCTTTCGACAGTTCTTCCAGCAGTCCTAGTCCTTCCCACCAGCCTGCTTCAAGATGGTGAGCACCCCTTTATAATCTTTCACACCACTTTCCTCGTTGCCACTCCCCTCACTCTTCTTCCCCGGCCCATCGCCATCCCCGCTCCAGGCCGTGTGCACACGAGCAAAGTCCACTTGGGCCCTGTTGCGGAGGTCTTCCACCATGGCATCAGCACCCGCTCCCTCCACCTCCACCTTCCCATCTTTCACATCCTTCAAGATCTTTGCATGGATCTCCTTGCCATACCTCTCGAGCCCCGTCTTCATCATGTCCAAGCCCTTCCTGACACCCCGGAACAAGACTTTCACCTCTTCGTCCGCGTCGGTGAGACGTCCGGCGGCCTCTGCGTAGACTAATTCGGCGGCCTTGCGAGCTTCTCGGTGTGCGCGTGAGCGTCAGCATGAAAGCCAGTACCTACCTAAGAGCAGGGTGGCCTGTCCTCCAGAAACGCCTCGGTGGAAACATACCTCTGCCTTCCACCAGTTCTTCTCAGCGTCCATGACCAGGATGAGGTTGCGCAGCAGGAAGAAGTGACTCCCGCCGCACTCGACGAGATGCCTCACGTTCTTGTTGGCGGCGAGGATGCACTCCGGGAGTTTCTGTTGGTTGCGGAGGGCGGCGGCGGCGTAGTAGTCGGTGGCGTGTTCGGCGCACTTGTTCTTGAGGCCGTCGGTTTCTGCGCTCGGGTTGGGCCTGGCGGGCTTGGATTGCGCGGCCATGATCCAGAGTTGTTGGGGGTTTGGAGAGGCCGTGAGGATGGAAGATGAAATGTGAACTAGGGAATAAGGTAGATCTACCTTGTTGATTTTGAATTCACATGCTCCGAGTGAATGTAGAAGAGAATGGGCCTCAGTATCTGACATTCACTCGCAGCTTTGGACCTCACATTCACTTGAAGCACATCCACCATATTGAAAATCAGGCAGGGGGCTCATATACCTTGTACCTATACCACAGAAGTCCGGACTCCTCCGGGTCCAGGGAATAGGGGATGGTGATAACATTGTCCAGCCATGAATGTACTTGGCCGCCAGAGCCTCGATCGTCCAGGCTTCTGAGCACATTTCACTCGGCCAACTCAGGCTGGATGGTAAGGCAAGGTGGCGTCTCACCGGAAGGAGGTCTCGTTAGCAAGCGTCTCATGATTCTTGCCCTCAAGCGTGAAGCCAGTACGTCATCGAGCGGGTGGTGTTGGCAGTGGTGGGAGCCAGCCTCGTCGCCGCCCATCATCCCCCCCATCTTCGTCCATCTTGATATACTCCCCTCTTGTCACTCGCACGCACCTTCCCATCTGAATCAGAGTTAAAGTTGCCCTCCGCATCGCTTCTTCCCGGCGCGGACGGGTGGAAAGCTCAGACGCCTTCAACATCTGCCCCACCACTCAAGCGCAACGTCAGTCACTGGCAGTCAGCGGGCGGCTCGCTTGTCAGCCCAACCAGCCTCCCGCCCACTCTCGCTCCCACTTCACCTGCGCACACCACCACCCATTACTACTGGCCACATACCACTCCCACCACCGCCGCCATGTCCCGCTCCGTGTACCGCGACACCGACTCGCGGGGCTGGCAGCAGGAGGAGCCCCGGAGGACCTACACCACCGTCAAGCGCTATCAGGTCCCCGAGTCCTCCAGCCGCTCAGCGCTCAACCTAGGCGGCGACGAGAGAGCCGACGAGAAGATCATCATCAGGCGCGAGAAGTCGGCGCAACCACTGCGCAACGACAATTACGACTATCACGGCAGTGACCGGTCGTCGCACCACCACCACGACTCCAAGGCGAGGGATGACATTGACATTCGTATTACGGAGAGATCCGGCCAAGCCGAACCGCGGTACAACAACGACGACTATCAGTACAGCCAGCGGTATGCCGAGCGCGAGGCGCCAAAACGAGACGTCACCTACCGCGTGATCGAGAGGGATAACATCGACTACGATGACCGCCGATCAGTGGCTCGAGGAGGCGACTATCGCAGCGATTACAGGAGCAGCTATCGACTCGAAGATGACCAGCGGACTATACGCGCACCTTCACCACAACAAGATCGTGTTCGCGAGTTCCGCTTTGAGCGCGAGCGAGACTTTTCTCCAGCCCGCTCGCATCATTCACATCACCACCACCACGATGACTCGTACGAGGTGGAGAGATATAGCAAGGACACCGAATACTACACAACACCTGCGCCTGCTCCAGCACCGCAACCCATCATCATCCGCGAATCCCGACCGCAAGCACCAATCATCATTCGCGAGCGCGAACCGGCGCCAATGCCTATTATCATCCGCGAAGAGCGCCGTGAGCCTCAGTACGAGTTCATCGAGCGCCGAGAGGTGGATGATTCGAAGTCACTCGTAAGGCGCGAGGAGCCACCACCGCCCGCTCCAGTTCCACAACCACCGCCACAGGAAGAAGACTATTTCTACGAGCGTCGCGTGCGCGAGATCGAGAGGCCACGTTACCGCGAAGACAGCCGCGAGCGGAGATCAGAGGTCAGACCGAGAGATAGCGCTTCGAACTATAGCAGCGACGACAGCTACGAGTACATCCGCCGAGAACGGACGGTCGAAGAAGAAGAGCCTCATCACAAGCGCCATTTGGCCGAAGGCGCGCTTGCCGGCGCTGCTGCTGGTGCTATCATCAACCACCACCGTAAATCTGAAGGCAAAGCTGAAGGCGGCGGGATTAAGTCCGCTGCTGGTGGTGCTGCGTTGGGTGCGATTGGTACCGAAATCTACAGCCGGTACAGAAGTCGTAGTAGACGTGGCGGGTCGAGAAGCAGTTCGAGAAGTGATTGGGACAGACGCGACCGACGCAGAAGGGGTCGAGATCGAGATCGCTCCCGGTCCCGGTCCGGCTCCCGGTCGCGTTCGAAGTCTATCTCGAAGAAACAGCTGGCCGGGCTGGCCGGTGTTGCTGCTGTGGGTGCTCTGGCGGGTTACGCTCTCAACAAGCGCAACAAGGGAAACGGAGAGACGGTTATTGTGAACGAAGGCCGATCAGGCCGTAGCAGATCAAGGAGACGACGCGGTAGTTCCGGAAGTTCTGTTAGCAGTAGTGAGATGAGAGAGGACGATAAGCACCGCGATCCGGACCACCGTAACCGCCGCATCGCCCAAGCAGGGTTGGCTTCGGCAGCAGCTGCTGGCATTTGGGAACGAGTCCGCTCCAAGAGTCGAGGAGGCAAAGGCAAGGAGCGTGAACGTAGTAAGTCACGAGTCAAGCAAGGCGTCCCCATCGCGGCTGCAGGACTCGGAGGAGCTGCTTTGGCAGGCCTGTACGAGAAGAACAAGGCGAGCAAGGAAGCAAAGCGGGATGCAGTCATCGCAGATGAGACCAGTCGGCACAGAAGGGGGCGGAGCCGCTCCAGAAGTAGGTCCGTTCCTGCTTCCCATGCTGACGGCAGACGGCATATTGACGATCGGGATATGGTAGCCTACGGCGATGAGCCCGTCCACCCATCCGACCGCGGCTACTACAGCGATGAAGAGCCGGGTGTCTATCACCGCAGGCATCGGAGTGGTAGTAGTAGTCGCGGCAGCAGTCCCGACAATCGCAAGCGCAGCCGGTCGAGAGGAAAGAAGCTTGCTGGGGCTGGTGCGGCGGCGGGGGCTGCGGGCCTTGCGGCGCATGAGATTGGCAAGAGGAGAGAGCGGAAGAAGAATGACAATGGTTCAAGCGAGCGTTCACAGTCGCGGAACAGTGAGTGATCAGCAGCACTCATCGACCAGAGCACAGTATACTGACACTGTGCTCAGGGCATGACGACGACCGCTCCGACAACCGCTACGACGACCGCTACGACGACCGCTACGATGACCGCTACGACGACGACAGCAGATACGGCCCCTCGCCCGGCCCCTACGACGAGCCACCATCAGGCTACCTCCCACCCCAACAACAAAACTCCGGCTATGGCCCCCAGCAAAACTACCCCGGAAGCACTTACTTCCCACCCCCACCCACCGCCGCCGAGAACGCCTACGCCTCGAACCCCGGCTACCAAGACCAACAACAGCAAGCCTACCCGGCCTACAACCCCGCCGACTACGGCACCCCCGGCGCCGCACCGCAACAACACTACCCCTACGAGCAAACCCGCGGCGCCTACGGCGACAGCGACGCCACGCTCGGCGCCCCCTACGGCCACGAGACCTACGCCGGTGACACGCGGGGTGGCTATCCGCCCGATGAGCCCCCGACGCCGCACGACGAGCGGAGGCGGGGGAGGGAGCATAATAATGTGAGTGCAGCGCCTGTTACCGATGTTGCCCGCGGCGAGCAAGAAGAGCAGCGCGAGCGTGAAGGGCGAAGTGGCGGTACGTCTTGGAGGTCTTTTGTGCTCTGACGCCGCTTTTTCCTTTTTTTTTTTTTCAAAAAAAGAAAAGTGTTGGGAGAGTTCATGCTGACGTTTGTTGTTTGTGAGCAAGCAGAATCCGTAAACACCTCCACCACACCGCGCGCGAGGTCGAGTAGTCGGGTGCGCTTCGATTTGGGCGCGAACGAGGCGCATTCGCCTGAGGATCCGCGGAAGGTTCAGCAGCAGCAGCAGGAGGGGGGTGGCGGGAGTCGAGGGGCGGAAGAGGGAGGTGGTGAAAGGAAGCATAGACGGAAACGCAGGAGTGGGCATGGTGACGATGGCGGTGGGGGGCACCGACGTCATCGCGACAGGGGAGAAAGGGAGAGGGAGGACGAGGGGCTAATGCGGGATCCGTACGAGCGGCCGCCGTCGTCTGTGCAGCAGCGGGACCGCTCGCGTTCGCGGGATCGTGATAGAGACCGAGACCGAGACCGCGACCGTAGTAGATCCCGCGACCGCCCACGCGACAGCAGGGGGCACGGTCGGTCTCATCGAGACCACGAAGCAGACGACGAAGAGAGGGAAAGAGAAAGCGACGGCACCATCGACCTCCCCGAACGTTTTGATCACGAGGGGAATCGAAAGGATGGGGATGGTGGTGGGGGTGGGGATGCGCTGCAGAATTTTTTGGGGGGGTTGGCGGAGAAGTTTATGGGCGGTGGTGGTGAGGAGGAGGGGGGAGGGCATGGCGGGCATAGGAGTGGGAGGCGGCGGCGGCGGCATTGAGTGGGACGGTCGGGTTGCCGGTATTGGTGACTCCTTTCGTGACTGCGAGAGCTCAGGGTTTACGAGTTATGGTTATGGGTTTTCTTGCTGAGGATTCTTGGGGTTTATTAGAGGGGACGGGAGTTTTTGATGACGATGATGATATCCTGAGATGATTGTTGCTATGAGTTGCTATGCAATGCCATGCCATGCCAATACCACTGTCCTCCGTCACCCATATCCTACCGTATTCCTGTATCTCGTGGAGGACGTGGCTAAGGTTGGAAGTCTGAGGTGAGATGTCTCATGAGGACCATCCTAACTTTCGACTCTTCTCCTCGTCAAACACCTCAGCGTATAAATGCCAGTATGCCGTGTCTCCCACGGAAGGTATCTCCCTGCATCTCCGTAACTCTCTCGTGGAGAGGGGCACTGCCAAGTCCGGAAGTCCTGAGGACCATCCTGACCTTACACCCTTCTCGTCGTCTCCCCGTCACTGAGCGTCTGCTCAGCAACCACGTCTCTTGCTCCAGCACGTGCCGGCACTCATATCAGAGGCACATGGATCGTTGGCCTATCGCTCGCAAGCACCTGCCTCTTCCAGCGCCTCCTTCGCCTGATGAGAGTTTTGCTGGCATCGTGCTCCACATCTGCACACCTCCCCTCTCACGAGAGCCTTTCGAGGCAGAGTGATGAGGGGTCGTCGCTTTGGTGTCGTAAGCGTTGTGGTACCAATGCCTTTCACGGCCTGGGTGGCCCGATAAGGTAGCTGGAGACTCGTACATCGCGGCTTAGAAGGAGAACTGTATGCAGCCTCACGGCACTTCTACGCCCGAGGGGTTGGTTGGTCTTATCTCATTGTGCATATCGGCCTGTGTCTTCTACTTTCTGCCTTCTACTTTCCTTTGAGCCTCTTGAGATCTATCCACCTTTCCAAGAAATTTTGTTCAATTAGATCCATCATGGCCACCGAAAACATCACAACTTCCCTGCCGACACGGCCAGCCAAGCAGAGCAATACCCACCCACTCGCCCCCATCAGCGCAGACGAGATCAAGAATGCTGTGTCCATTATCAAAAGCCAATGGCCGGCCGACACGGACTTGCACTTCAAAGCCCTGACGCTGCATGAACCGGCGAAGGCTGAGGCTGTTCCTTATATCGAGGCGGAATTCCATGGTGGGGAGTTGCCGCGGATTGAGCGGAGGGTGTTTGTTACTTATTACCTGCGGCAGACGGTACGGTCTCAAACTTCCATTGAGGTGGTAATGCTGACGACCCGAGTAGGACAAGTTCCACGAAGCGGTCGTCAATCTCACGAACCAGAGCATCGAGTACAACGTCCGGCTTGGACCGAACGTCCACGCTCCGCTGGATGGAGAGGAGATTATGGAATTTGAGCGGATAGCGATTGAGGATCCGAAGGTGCAGACGGAGTTGGAGAAGCTGCAGTTGCCGGAGGGGAGTAGGGTTGTTTGTGATCCGTGGATTTATGGTATGTCTATCATCCTTCGACTGCGTAGACATTGCTGACCAGATATAGGTTCCGACGGGATCGACGACGACAAACGCATGCTGCAAGCCTTCCTCTACATGCGCGATCCTCAGAATGCTGGAGAGGCTGACTCGAACCATTACGCGCTGCCTTTGAGCGTTTCTCCTGTCATCAGCACGGAGACTAAGGAAGTGATTCGGATCGATTACTTGCCGACTGGGAAAGACAGCAATAGATCCGGACCCCAGCCGTGGCAACCGAAGCCATCGAACGAGTATTTACCAGAATACCAGGAGCTGCGCAAAGACCTGAAGCCCCTCAACGTCATGCAACCCGAAGGCGCCAGCTTCTCCATCACCGAGCAAGGCACATCAAACATCGTCAACTGGCAAAAATGGCAGTTCCGACTCGGCTTCAACCAACGCGAAGGCATGGTCCTATACGACGTTCGCTACGAAGGCCGCAACCTCTTCTACCGCATGGCCCTCTCCGACATGAACATCCCGTACGCCGACCCTCGCCAACCGTTCTTGAGGAAGTCTGCGTTCGATCTTGGGGATGCTGGGGCGGGGATCATGGCTAATGATCTCAAACTCGGATGTGACTGCTTGGGATCGATCCATTATCTTTCCGCGACGCTGGCAGACGACAAAGGCAACCCCCTCGACATGCCCAACGTCGTCTGCATCCACGAACAAGACTCCGGTATCGGATGGAAGCACACCAACTTCCGCACCGGCCGCGCCGCCGTCGTCCGCAACCGCGAACTCGTGCTCCAATCCATCATCACCGTTGCCAACTACGAGTACATCCTCGCCTTCACATTCAACCAAGCAGGCGAAGTCAGCTACGAAGTCCGCGCCACCGGCATTCTCTCCACGCAACCCATCGACGAAGGCGTTGAGGTACCATGGGGAACCGTCGTCCACCCGGGGGTCCTGGCGACGCACCATCAACACATCTTCTCCCTGCGCGTGGACCCGAGCATCGACGGGCACTCCAACCGGCTGGTCTACGACGAAGCGCTGCCGATGCCGCGGAGCGACTTCAATCCGCACGGTACGGGGTACTACGTGCAAGAAACCGTTGTGGAGAAATCAGGCGGCTACGACCTCAACCCCGACGCGAACCGCACGTTCAAGATCCAAAACGCGGGCGTGCCAAACCCGATCAACGGCAAACCCGTCGCATACAAAATCCACGCCCCGCCTTTCCAGAAGATGCTCGCGGACAAGGAGAGTTTCAACTACAAGCGTGCGGAATTTGCGGATCGGAATGTGTATGCTGTGAAATATCGGGATGGGGAGTTGTATGCTGGGGGACAGTATACGAACCAGTCGCGCGGAGGGACGGGGGTGAGGAGTTGGGCGGAGAGGGGGGAGGGGATTGTGGATGAGGATTTGGTGGTGTTTGTGCAGTTTGGGATCAATCATGTAAGTCGTCGCTCTCCCTCTGGTCTGGCCCGCAGAAGATGCAGCATGAATTTGCATCTACTGCTTGTCTCCAGATTCCGGACAAGGCTGATATGTTTACAGATCCCTCGCATCGAGGACTTCCCCGTCATGCCCTGCGAGATTGTGAAAGTGGCAATGAAGCCGGTCAACTTCTTCGATCGCAACCCTGCTATTGACGTCCCGCCGTCGACGCAGGAGTTTAATAAGAGCACGTTGCTTTCGGAGAGACACCAGCAAGGCGGTGTGGAAGGCAAGGTTGATGGGAACGGTGATGTTTGCTGTACTACTACGAGCAGTAAGCTGTGAGGACTCTTGGCCAGTCGACGACAACGATGATGCGTGTTCCAACAACGAGCCACAAGTTCCAAGATTTGATTGTCGAGCGGGAGGAAAGCGGAAATAACGAGGTTGTACCTCCTATGAGGAAGCAATTGTTGTCTGCAGATAGATGGTGTCATACCGATCTTTCGCCTTTACCGTGTTGGGCGGGAACGTGGAGGAAGGCGTGGGGTGCTGCATTCACCTCTTACGCACCGTCACTTTATCTCCAACCATTGGTATAATGCAGAGTGTGTTTTAGGTAAGAGGCCTTGTGCTCGATCAATCGAGAGGTACTGTACCTCAGCACACATACCGTTGATTCCGGAGAGGTCTCGAAGGTGTCGTTGTTGTTGTTGGTCTGGTCTTCTCGGGTCCGGACTCGACGCCGCGCAGCAAGCACTGACTACGCACACGCCTTTCAGGGCCGCTTAGTTCGGCGCACCGCTCTTCCGCTGCTGTGGAACATCGAAAGGATGTCGTGCAGGAACCTCTTGAGTGTGGAGATGGGTCCGCATGCCTTCAGGCGCGCCAGTGCATGAACGCGTCAGGGAGACATGAATAACGGGGCCAGGCGCTCACCACTGCAGGTCTGGTCGGTCCACACGCAGGTCAAACCGGTCACGCTGCACTCCCCTTCGTGGTGCCAGCCCAACAGTTTCCGTGATCAACCGAAGTAGCACCAACGAAAGTTTACGGTCAACCAACAGCGACGGGCCAGGGCGTCAACCTTCGTCCGCTAGAGATGCGGAGGGGCGTGGGAGCAATCCTGGGCGACATCCCACCACCTCACCGTGCCCTGCGTGTGCCCACCCCTCGGCCTTGGGAGACCAAGGCTATTTTGGAGCGTGCAGATTGGAGTTGGTCGCCGAGCAGCCACCGGCCAGGCGATCCGAGATTTCATGCTTAATTGGAGTTTGTTTGATTTGCGAATCAGATGGGCCAAGGCAGACACGATGGGGAAGGTCTTTCATCCCGTCGTCCATGTTGCTGTCTTCGTACCATCTGGTCTCCTTCTGCCGCAATTATCCGCTGCATTGGACAGGCTTTTCGCCCCAGGATGCAGTACAGGATCATACGAGCATTCGATGGACGTCTTCAGCATCTCAATCCGGGCTTGACTCGTGGCCATAGCACACCCTGCTCCTCGACCTAGATCTCGCCCCACTCACTCGCACAACTAGTCTCTGCTGATCACATCAAAGTGGACTTCACATCCGACCTGACGTGGAGTTCTCTTCTGCTTCTTCCTCTCGCAGTTGATCTGATTCCCTGTGACACCTTCCGGCACAATCTCACGAGAACGACTTCATGCTGGAACTCTGCTTCAAGACACCGTGCAGATGAACTCGCCATATGGGAGCTGGGACTTAGTTGGCACGAACCCACAGAATTTGGAAAGCATCAACACGAATTGCGCGAGGCACATGATGGTCGTCAAATGAAGCACAGCGTTTGAGCCTGGTATCACGTCGTCTCCGCATTGTTGTGCAATGGACACCGAGTCTTCTACCACCCAGACGAGCAACTCGCCCGAATCCGACTTACTAGCGCAACGAAGAGGGACACTCTCCAGCATTTACACATCGGGAACGAGTTCTTCGCCCGAGTTTGGAACAGATGTTGTCATTACGCCTGAAAGCGACGAGGAGCAGCGGACGTCGTCTGTACATGTACCATTGAAGATTGAGGAGCTTGATGAGCGAGCACTGGGTGATATTGATGAAGTCAAGCCGCCGATTGCGGATGTCACGCTACCAGGGCCGCGGAAACGTGGGCGGCCGCGAAAGCATCCCATTGTCGATCAGAAGAAAGCGGCGCATGCAAGGTCGAAGACGGGGTGCGGGACTTGTAGTACGTTTGACTTGCTGAGAGCCATCGGTCGACTTAGCTGACAGTCCTTGAACAGGAAGACGCAAGAAGAAATGTGACGAGGCCAAGCCGACATGCCTGAATTGCGAGAAGAACAACGTCGTCTGCGATGGCTACGAGCCGAAACAGCAATGGCGGAGCGGCAAGCAGAAGACTGTTACTGTTCGAACCTCTCCTCCAACCGAGCTGCCTCTGCTCGTTGAAGGCATCGAGGGCACCGTCGATCAGATGTTCTTCCAGCATTTCACTTGCCAAGTAGGCAGAGTCCTGTCGTTGACCGATCATCAAAACCCATTCCTCGAGATCATCGTACCCATGGCGATGGCACACACCGGTCTCATGCACAGTCTACTCTACCTCTCCGGCAGCTGCCTCATCGCCAACGAGAACAACAAGCACTTCGACTGGGAACAACGCTCCGACCATCACAGCAGCAAAGCCATTGGCCTGCTCCAAGAAGACCTCGCCACCTCCACCAACCCCGAAACCGGCGCGGTCATCCCCATCGCCGACCCCTCTGTCGCCCAAACCCTCATCCTCTGCCTCCAGACCGTCGCCTCGGGCGACCTCACCGGCAGCTACCGGTTCCACCTCAACGCCATGAAAGAAATGCTCACCCGGCAAAAGCAAGCCATGCCCAACGAACAGCTCCGCCAATTCATCCTCGAGTTCCTCATCTACCACGACTACTCCTCTTCCATCACCTCCCTCACTAACCCGCTCGACCAGCGCTCTATCGACTTGATGGAAGACTTCCACCTCCCCGCCTACATGATGCAGCCCCAAGTCGGCACCCTCCTCGGCGTCCTCGACGGCCTTTTCGGCTTCATCTCCCGTATCCGCCGCCTGCGCGACCACATCCGCGCCCACAGATCCGAGGGCAACGCGCACTGGTGGGATGAACCCATCGTCAACGAGGCCTTCGCCATCGACTCGGCGCTGCGGCACTGGCAGTGCGTCCACCCGCCTAACTCGCCGCGCTACGCCGCGTCCCTGCTGTATAGGCAATGCACCTGGATATACCTGCACCGCACGATCCAGCTCTCGCGCCCCTCGCCCACGTTCAAACAAGCCGTCGACGAAGGCCTCACCTATTTACGGATGCTCTCCTGGGACCGCGAAGCCGACGTCTCCGCCGGCTCGATCCTGCTCATGCCGTTGTTCTTACTGGGCTGCGCGGCTTTCGAACCTGAGCAGCGGCCAGAGATCCAGCAGGCTTTGGAGCGGTTGCAGGAGTGGAGTACGCTGGGGAATATCAAGTATGCGCGGGCGATTGTGGAGCAGGTTTGGGGGATGATGGACGAGGGGCGGGAGGAGGAGACGTGGGATTGGGAGGGTATTATTGCAGGGAGGGGGTGGGATTTTTTGGTGACTTGATATGGTCACTCTTGCGGGGAAGGCTGAGGTGTTCTGGTGTTGCAACGGACGGCATCATGATGAGATGGCTGTAGCGCGTGGGCATATTGTGTTGTCGACGACACTCGAAATGGGAGGCGTACTTTGGGCGGACGGGATCGGTTGCATAGAATGGGGGGTGGTGGGCATCAAAACATTCTGGAATGGGATTGGTATTGTGGGAGGCTGTGGCGGACGGGCTGCTTGTGGATGAAGGTTATACGGGATGGAATGGGGTCACGACTGCACGACTGACGGCTGCGGTGATGAAGCTGACGGCCGAGATGTACTCTATTCTTTCATACTGCACATGAGGCTCGCATGGGTCAATGTACCTTGAAACGTTTGAGAAAATTCGTTTTGATGACGGCAAGCTAGGGATCGAGGATACAAGACAGAGCGCCTTGATAACTAACATAAACTCCCCTCCTGAGGAATAATCCAAGCACCCCAGACCTCAAACCTGCCACCAACACACCCCCTCAAACCTCAGAATCCCTATCATTCACCTCCGCCTCCCCATCATCACCACTCCTATCCCGACACACCTGCGCCATTACCCCCTCCCCACTCAACCCCACCCCCTCCAACCCCGCCACATCCACACTCCGACACAAAAACCCCTTCCACCCCTCCGCATTACTCACATTCTCCAGCACCGTAACGAAATACCTCGTCATCCAACTCTTCACCATCGCCTTCGCCTGCTGCACCGACAGCGGCTGATTGATCCTGCAGAGCGTCGACTCCACAAGGGTGCCGTTGATCTGCTCCGCGTCGAGCAAGTCCATGAACTGTGGTGCGAAGTCGCATAGTGCGCTTAGCTCCGCAGGGGTTTGGAAGCCGACGGCGGTGAGGATGGCGAAGAGCACGCTCTGGGTGTTCTTCGCTGCTTGCACGGCGGCAGGGTTGGGTTTGAGGTTGTTCTTGAATCCCTGTGGAGCCCGCACGGTGCCGGCGGCGGAGCAGACGCCGTCTTTGACCTGCTCGCCGATGAGGGGGAAGAAGTCGATCAAGTCGAGACGGAGCGAGGAGCACATGGTGTTGAGGGCGGAGGTGGTGTTGACCATGTTGATGAGCTGGGTGGTGAAGATTTTGGCGTTGTAGTAGATGGAGTTGACGACGCCGTATTCGGAGGGTTTGGTGGTGGTGTTGAGGCCGCATATGGGTGCTGAGAAAGTATTAGTGAGGGTTTCAAGGCGTGAGGCTGTAGGCATCTAACGAACCAAAGATGGCGGTCGTATTCAACCCAATGGCATCGTAACGGTCGGAGAAGGCGGCAGTGGTACCCGCACAAACATCCATAAGTTGGGTGCTGTCGAGCTTGTCCAAGCCGAGACCGTGCAGGACGTTGCCACCGGCAGAAAGGTATCCGAAGAGAGACGACAGGTCTCCAAGGACTTGTTCCTTCGCCTCATACACTGACTCTCCGATTGAAGTTGGCTGAGCATCCTGAACTTGAGAGATCCTCAGCCGGAAAGCAAACCTACGCCTTCCTTGTGTGGTACTCACCTGAGGTAGACGATGCACTTTGGGCAGTGGCCTTTGTCAGAACTGAGGTATATGCGGCCGCCCGAGGACCCAGCTCTCCCGCAACGCTGGATTCAGCAGTCTTCTGCATCTGCTTCGGCGGGATGACTGTATCCCACAGTCAGCAGGTTCACGAGCAGATCGCCAGCAGGATGTTACTCACTTGGAGGGAACGGCGGCAGTGGTCCAATGGTCATGCCAGAGACCAAGCTCGTGGTCGCCGACAGCGCGGTAAGAGTGGCGATGCTGAGCTTCATCTTGAAGGCTTTGTTTCTCCGAATTCTGCGTCCTGATGAATGCTGTGCAAGAGATGCTCTGAAAAGTGATGAAGCTCAAGTCCAAGTCCAAGGTACAAGAAGAAGAAAACCAGGCGGCAGGTGTCTCAACCCTACCACACCAGTGGGAATGAGCGACTCCAGGGATGCGGTTACAAGTCCAGATGGATGGGAAGGACCCAATGCCAACTTTTAAAGAAAGCAGCGCGACGAACCTACCCATCAAAGTCTCGAGCTTGCTTCCTTTTTATCCCCCCCCTCCATCGTCGCTCCCGCACGAGTGCCGACCTGCTCCAAGCCGTGGTTCCAAAGCGGTAGCACAAGGCGCTGTCACAATAGATGAAGACGGAGATTTGGTGTTGCACGAGACGGGTGCGGAGGAGGCCGACGTAAGCAAACTAACCTGCCACAAGGTTCCACAACTTCTTCTCTTTGTTGTATTGTTAAGAGTACATATATACAATGTCGATGCGTTCTAGAGCTCGCCGTCCTGCCTAAACACCTGCTCTGGACTTGGTGGCTCGTTCATTAATGTGGTCTGGCCTTTGGAGTTCTCGCATGACACACGGCTGCTCAACGGGCCGGGTGCGGGTATGTTTGCGCCTTGTGCCGAGTAGCCTTCACCACCGAGTTTGAGAGCGTTGGGCTGCTTTTGACCGGTCGGCTTGCCGCTGACCTCGTCCTTGCCCATCTCGCCTGCTAGACCGGGCGCGTTTCCGCCAGCGCCAGTCTTCTCCGCTGCCTCTTTGAGCGCTGTCAACAGGTCCTTCGTCTTTTCGGGTGTGAGGTCCTCGTAGTAGTCGTCGTTGATCTGGACCATGGGTGCGTTGACGCAGGCGCCCAGACACTCCACCTCGGTGAGCGTGAACATGTTGTCGGGTGTCGTCTCGCCGTGGTGGATGCCGAGCTTCTCCTCGATCGCCTTCATGATGCCGTCGCTGCCGTTGAGCTGGCATGGTGTCTGTCATATATCAGTACAAGCAGATCATCCACAATTTAAGTTGAACATACCGTTGTGCAGCACTGCACATGATACCTCCCCACCGGATTGCGGTTGTACATCGTGTAAAACGTCGCCACCTCATACACCCGCATCGGCGGCATCTCCAGTATCCGCGCCACCTCGTTCATGACACTGATGCTGGTGAACCCATGCTGCCTTTGCCCCAGATCCAGCAACGGCATCACCGCCGCCTTCTTGTACTGGCTCGGGTACCTGCTGAGTACCTCTTCGATAAGGCTCAAATTCTGCTTGTTGAACTGGAAGGGGATGGAGGGGTTGTTGTCGGGGGTGTCGCGGTGGACATTGAGGCCCTCGCTTCGTGCGGCGGCAGAGACCTGGAACGCTCGTCGTTGCTGTCGTGCGCAGCTGCGGAGGGCACTTCCGCCGCTTCGGAGAGCCCAGGGTGCGAACTTCGACGCCATGGTGGTATGGTGGTGGGAGGAGGTTTTGGGCGGCGAGCTTGGGGAGCATTGGAAGGACGGCGATGACCGTCATATGAGCTGGACGCTGATTGGCCCACAACAAAAAGTGTCTGTGCTCGCCTCCTACTTGACTTCATCTGGAACATTGAAATATCAATTGACGATGCCTTGCTACACTATACTGAACAAGCCTTGTGCGAAGGGACTCCGCCGACGCATACATAAGGATAATAGCCTTGAGTCCGTCCTCCCACATGCCACAATCTTCTGCAACAACAGCCCGCAACACCCGACGCTGTCATGTCCAGTACATCTCCATCAGCCTTGCTTCAACGATGGAGAGCACCTCGACTGCGGTGGCCTCTCTGCTGCTGCGCCCTAGCCTCCCTGCCCGTGAGCGGCACACAGGAGCACTCGCGGTCGTGCGCATCCTCACTGATCACCCTGCCGTCCAGCATGTCAATCGCCATCCTGCCTCCGTTATCCTCGAGGTCGTAGCCGTAGCCCCAGCAAAGGTCATCCACATCCACGTTCTCGTCTTCAGAGCTCGACGGTCCGCTGGCAGACGAGGAATAGGACGCCAAGGAATCGGATGTCGAAGAATCAGACGCATCATCCTCTATAACTTCAAAGAGCGGGCGTGCGAACCACACAGTCTTGTTCGAACGCCTACTTCGCATGATAAAGAAAGGCGGCGAAAGCTTCTGACGTGCTCTCCGACGGTCAACTCGTGGACTTGCGATGCGCGAGTACGTAAGGTTCCTGCTGGACTGGTAGGCGCGCGTGTCGATGGGTGAACGTAGCAGAGCTTTCGATGTACGCTCGACGGCTCCAGTGCGTGGCCTTGCGATGCGACTGTTCCTTTTCGAGTGCATCGCCAGCTTGTAGCTCGGGATTGGTAGGTCACTCTGACGCACTCCTGCACTTCTACTCTGCATGTCTGAAGAGCGATCGGTGACGGTTGACTCCACGGTGCGCACGTTACCAGATGGCGGCAATGAGCTGGAGGGTCTTTGTATTGGTGACGCAGAGCTCCCAAAGAATGTCCGAAAAGCATCGATGAAGGCATTGCTGTAAATGCCTGCTCTTGATTAGCCCACTACTTTGTAAAAGATCTAGGTATATGTTTCATACCTTTCCAGGTTCCTGAGCTGTTGGTTGCGTTGCTGCCATTTAGGCCGACCTTCTCAAGTTCCGCCAAATGAGCCAACAAGATATCATGAGCTTCGTTGACCTGCGACATGTTAGCGTCACTGACTGCTGGAAAAGCTCAATGGCTTGCCTCGTCCAAACGCCGCTTGTGTCTCTCCTTCACGGGCGAGTAGCTTAAGAAGAGTCGACTAGCATGGCCGCGGGCATTCTCGATTTGCTGCCTAGTCGCCCCAAACGTCACACCAAGCACAGATGTGTAGTGCGCCCTGTCATCGCGCGAGAGCAACGCCATGCTGTTACCTGTACTGGGGCCCAGCACGTACGGAAACACCGACAGACTGGCGATTCAGTTGAAGTGATGTCGAAGGTAGCAGTGTGCTGCGGTCGAGCTTGGCTTGAAGATCTTGCTGAAGTGAAGTCGCAGTTGGACGCAGCGCACTGTCACATGCATGGCCTCGCGATATCTCTCGAGTTACCCAGGTGTGGCGGCTTGATCCGGAGCATGTCAGCATGGTCCTCCAGTTTGGTAACAGGCATTCATGAGAACACAGCTTTGGCGGAGTGTGCATCCATCAGGAGGCCGGCCTGTCGCAGAGAGAGACGTAGGTACTTGAACTCTTTCGATTCCATCTATCCTGTAAGTTGCCATTTTGCTTCGCCACCTCCGACTGCCATGGTATATTGAACAGGGCCTAGCAGCCTCCGAAACCGTGACGACCATATCCTAGAGTGGATTATAACCCAAACATCCATTCGATCCCGCTTGAACGTCACCTAGAACACATTTCTTGCCCCTTCCAGCCTTTGATCTTAAATCACCTCATCCCTCTCCCACCCCATCGGCCGCTGATGCGAAAGATCCTTCGTCGGATGCGGCCCATCCTTCGCATCCTTATAAACACTCACATACGGATTCGGATCATTCTTCTGATCCAAGTTCCCCAGCGTATGATTCACCTCCCGATGCTTACTCTCATCCGCCCTCACATACAGCAACAGATCCCGCATCGTGCGATGTCCCTCGGGCATATTCCAGTACTGGACCGCGATATCCGGCGCCTGCATGTTCTCCCACATGGGTAGCTTGCCGGCGTCGATGTCTTCAATTTCGCGGGTGTAGGTGAGCACGGCTTCTTCTTCGAGATAGCCGACGAAGCGGTGGCAGGTGCGGGGCGAAATGAGGTAGGAGAAGAAGAAGGCGTTGAAGAAGACGCCTTGGGCGCCGAGGACCATGATGCGCATGAACCAGCCGGGCTCGGCCATTTTGAGGAAGGTGAGGAGGTCTGTGGGAGGTTAGCGAGGGATCAGAGGTGAGATAAAGGGTACGTACGCATTCGCTCGTTGAACGACTCTTCCAACAGCGTCTCCATCCAGCCATTGTCACGCCTCATGCGTCGCATCGAATGCAGATGTCTGAGCATTCCCGCAACCATCCCAGGTACGCCTGCCACCGACTCCAAGAAGATATTCCTGATTAGGTACTTCCTCTCGGTCATCGCGAACTTTTGCTGAGCAGCCCCAGGATCCTGCTTGTTCAACTTCACAGCTTTGTCATGCTTGTAGCCACTTGCGAGGTCCAGGCCGCCTCGCAGTAACCTCACCATGAACAGGGCAACCCTATCCGACCAGTTCCTCGTCTCGCGGTGTGACGGGCCGACCTCGTTCATCTGATCTTCGCTGTAGATCGGATGATGCCATGCTGGGGGTGTCTTTTTGATGTGCTCGGACTCTTTAAGAGGGAAGAACTCCTTGATCAGGACGTTCTTCGAGGCCTCGAACCGGCGTTGTGGTTTGAGGCTGAACTGCCGTCGTGGTTCCGTTTGTTGGTGTTGGAGGAGGGTGAACGTGGGTCTCGAGGCCGCAGAGGAGGTTATGCTGCCATTGAGGGATTTGAGAGCGGAAGCAGCGGACTGCTTCGTGAGGATGTGGTGTGCTGCTGTCCTTCGTGTGCACTGCATTGGGTGTCGATCTCGTCAGGTGTTCTTGATGGTGTATCTTCGATTGCTCTCGGTGTCGATGTGTGTGTAGGTCCAGTCCACAGTCTCTGCTTTGTCAGGTGTTCGACTGGTGATATGAGTCAATAGATTGTTCTTGTCTGATCGCATGTAATTGTATTGATGAGAAGGAATGCAAGGCAAGGAAAGAGCTGAGGCAAACTTATCCTTTATCTGGGCTCTACATCGCCGACTAGGCGACCTTTGTCAGCCTGTACCTACTCAATGCTACAGCCCCATTCCCTCGCCATCGCCATCGGCCGGAATATTTTGTGGTATCAGCTGATAGTCGCAAGGCGTGTAGTCGGGAAGAACGCCCGCGTCGTCCAATGAGAAGTATAGCGCAACCTTACCTAATTCGGCGAGTTGTTTATTTTCGGGAGTCTTGTGAGTCCGAGAGCTGCCGATGCTTTCTCAGGGACGAGTTCCTGATGACAAGTCTGCAGCTCGATTACATCCTTGACAGCGATCGCAGCACGCCGCCGCATGGTATGATCCAGGAGATGTCGGCTAGCAATGCTGGTATGCGATTGTCTGCAAGCGAGATGGAGCCCGTGGAGGTGAAACGCTTCGAGAAAAGACAGTGCTCTGCACGTGATGCTCGGGCGAATTAGGAATCTGAGCATGAATCTTGAGCATGAGCCACGACAACAACTCTCTTGATGACAGCGAGATGCTTGTTGGGGCGGCGTGTATTACCGCTGCACTTCCATGGCGGCGACACGTGCGTAGGATGGAGGTCGCCGAAATATGCCTGATGCTGCTGGTATCGTCCTCGCGGTTCGTACTACGTCCGTATGTTTCTCGTTGGCTCCGAGCTGATGAAGAGGACAAGCCCCTAATGCCAGACTGATGGCGGACATCTTCTCTGATATGGCCTCTCAAGGCGACCTGACCTCAGTCAGCGGTACGAGACTCATGAAATATCTGTTCGCAGTGAGCCGTGGAAGGGCCCTTCTCACAGACAATGACTGCCCGCCAAGAACCTGAAGAGTGACAAGACCTTTTATCCACAATCCCGTGTCGGAGAAGACTGCTAACTATCCAGCGTGCAGCCCTCCGACCTGTTGGATACTAGCCTCGCTTGGGGCAGGCGTGTTCTGTTGCACACCGTATGAATGAGGCCGAGGGTGTCACGTGGGATCCTGCGCTTCAACAGCCCATGATGTCTGTTTATCAGCAAGACCACCAACAAGAAGGCTCTTACCATCGCAACCTGGCTGTTGACCCATGCTATGGCGTCAAAGAGAACGTCCGGTCGGCATATACCAGTCGCGCCAAGACGTGAGGTCGGAATAGAGATGGGAGCCTACGACGCGTCTTCAATCGCAAACGACCTCACTACAACCCAAGGAACAGATTGCGACGACTCGGAACATCGCCATCATGGAAGCTGATTACCCAGGGACGGATAAGCAAAAGAACGCCTACGATGAAGCGCGAGCTGCCTTCGACAAACGCGACTTTGCGACTGCAGCGAAAAAAGCATATGCACTCCTCGACAAGTACACCGGCTTTATGCCCACTTCCACCCATACAAAGCTTCTCGCCCTGCTTGGTGCCTCCTCCACCAACGGAGAAGTCGTGCTTGGGCAAATGCTCAGTTCGATTCAGACGGCGTACGAAGGACATCTGGGAGAACTTGGGCTACCTCCAGCGGTATACCACCATCCCATTATTCCAAAGCTTCGTTTCTTGAAGAAGCCTACCGAAGTCAGTTACATAGCGGAAGAACTTGTGCGAAAGAGTCTGGACAGGTTCACAGAGATGTATGAAATCAAGCAAATGACGCCTGCGCAACTACTTCAAAGGCTGGCCAGAGCGGTCGAAGACGTCGAACGCGGTTCGGCAGCAGATGAACCATCGACAAAGGGGGACGAGGACGTCTACACAAGGGTACGAAGGTCTTCGAAGCCAAAGCGGGTCGCGCTCAAACTGACGTGAATGCAGGTCATGGATGTTGGACACAACCAAGAGCTTGAGCCGATTCGGTTGACCTCCGCTCTTCGCTTGGCAGGTATAAACGCTGTTCTCATTGATAGAATGATGAACGGACCGTTTCAAGGCGTTGGATCGATGAAATGAGTGGTCTCTTCGAAAATGAGAGGTCTTTTCGCTCCGAGTGTTTGCTTACAACCACCGCCATGCGCGATTGTCAAAGTATGGAAACAGCTGGTGCCCATCGTGGGGCACATTTTGTGCAGATTGCTCAAGTCAGGTCATTCACCCGAGCATGCTATGTCAGAAGCAAGCACACCTTGGCTGGACGTTGATATTGGTGAGGGAAAGATGGTATAGTCATAGAATGGAACGGCTCATCATGGTTGCCCAGAGCCTCCGCTCGCTCCATGCAAGGCCGTTTCTGCACCCCACACTTCACCCGCAAAACCATCCCAAGCCACCTTGACTAAACCTCACTCAGACGGGCAGTGCATGTACATGTGCAATCCTTCGTGGGCGCCTCGTACGTCTACCACTCCTTCGTTATGACAGTACGTTCTCTTCCGTGCTCTGTCGTTCTCTGGTGAAATGTAACGATGCCTGGTCCTTCGTTCGTTCTTGGTCTCCTCCTGTTCCTGATTTCATCCGCTTCCGCCGCACACCGCCAACTCGTCCTCCAGCCTACTTCAGCGACGCCTTCAGCAACTGCGCTTCCGAGTGCATTGGGATACGAACATGTAGGATGTTGGAGCGGTACAATAGAGCATAGTCGCAGATTCGTTAACCGCAATGGTGTTGTTCGGGTATTCGCCTGGGAAGACAAGATTGTACGCTGAGACCAGTTCTAACGTACGTCGCTGTAACCGGAGCTCACGCATAAACACAGAGGGTCAGGGATACGTTGACGGTCGAGAATTGTCTTGAATACTGCTCAAGCGCGACAAAGACCGGAAGACCATTGCAGTATGCTGGTCTCTTAAAGGGTATGTCTATCTCTCCATCATGGCTAGCCCGCCCTTTCTGACCGTACTGTCCACTACAGGTCGCGAGTGCTACTGTAGCCCGTATCTTGAAGAACACCCCTCGAACCTCAACAAAAGTGCACACTGCACCTACGCCTGTCCCGGAAACTCCTCGCAGATATGCGGCGGGCTGAAGGCGTTGACGTTATATAACTTTACGGCGCAGGAGAAGGACGCTCAGACGGGCATTGCATGGTCGCGGTTCTCCGGCGCAGCAGGATATGGGACGTTGGCTGTCATCACGTTTGTGATTGCTGCATTGGTGTAAAGACGGAGTATGGAGGAAGGGATACTCAGAGGGATGGAGCAATGCCAACAGAGAATGAGAAGGCATAGGAATTTACGGATGGACATGACCGCGATGATACGATGGATGAGGTTTTATAATATTCAAGAATGATGAAGACAAGGTCTCGCAATATCATGTACCGCCTCCGCACCAGACGTTGTGCCTCACTGACAGAGGAGAGCGATCACAACCTCTCGGATATTGCTAATCGCAGGTATCGGAAAAGGATGCTCAGAGGTATGCTGTCGCAACACCTTTCCTTCTCGCGGCTGACACCACCAATGATCAAGGCGAGAAGAGAAGGATAATAGAAAGGACAAGAGAATTCACCCTCATATCGACTGACTAGATTTACCAACCACACACTGCAATAGCATACAAGACCTCGAAAAACGCAAAAGACAACACCCAACTCATCAAACACCTTTGGGAAAGGCAGGACAAGCTAGTAGAAGAGAAACTCGACCTCAAGAGAAGTCTGGTTATCTTATTCATTCAAAGAGGCTCGAGTCACCCCTGAATTCGACTTACTACACGGGAAGTACGCCATTGATCCAAACCCCTCGAGGTGCACGCCAAGCATATCTGTTGTTGGATGTTGGTTAGAGGAGGAGGAGGTTTTCGTCGATTTGATTGAGATTTCGGGGGTCCACGGGGAAGGGTATACCATTGACCAGAAGCTAGTGGATAGCGACGCCCGGCCTTTACCCTATTGAGGGGATTCAAGAACTTCGAAAATGATAATTGTAGGGACATTGCGGTTAGCCGGGCTTTGGCCGGTTGTCACATGCTGGTGATGTCACTTCATTTGCGGCAAGGAGCAGGAAAACTAGAGCTGGGCTGGAGAGGGACTATTCAAGGCATGCCATCAAGCTGCGCGTCTTCACGAATTGCACATATCATCGATTACGGTGCTTAGCTGGAGGAGGAGAAGCAGGAGGAGCAAGAGGGAGAGGAGAAGAAAGGGGCTGGTCATCTACTGGCACCAGTGGCAACTTTCTCCTGGCTGCTAGCATGACTTCGACGGCGGTCTTATCCTTGCTACTCCCGAAGACAAATGTTACAACGATCAATGGTCGTGATGAGCCTGGGGAATGGGCAAGGCGCTAACGTAGCGCGGTTCCATGGTTCAGGGCTCAGTTGGCAAGATGTTTTCGCCGTCATATGCTGCATGTAAAACAATGGCTTTCGCGACACAGACACTCCCATAGGTACTTTCACACCTCCCAATACGCCGAGCTAACAATACTCCCTCCCAGGTCCCCTCCCAAAACAAACATCTACTCTCCAACCAACGGCAAAATACTCGGCCTCCCACCCCTCCGCCTCCCCATCGGATCCAACACCACCGCCTTCGGCCTTCGATACGTATACCCAAAGAAAGCGTTCTTCTTCCGCAACTCCATCACCTTCCTCCCCACCTCCGGATCCCTCAACAGCCGGTCCCTCGGCCGGCGCTTCTCCTTCTTCGCACCTCCCCTCCCAGTGGCGTCTTTCCCGTTCGCGACAGTCTCTAGCGTCTCACCGCGCTGCGCCCGCTCTTCGCACACTTGCAAGATGCGCTCCGCTTTCCACGTCTCATACCCCGGGCCGAAGTGCTCCTTGATCCGCACAAGCTCCACGTCATCGCAGTCTTCGAGACCGAGCTCGTGTTTCTCCGCCTCGGTGCGCAAGGCGATGTAGCGGTCGTAGTGCTCACCGAGCTGGTTGCGGAGGTCGGTCTCAGTGGCGGAGGGGTTGATGCGTTCCTTGAGGCTGTCGAAGCTGGAGCTTTGGTCGGAGAGGATATCTTTCTCGTCCTCGAAGTACTTTGTGATGCTCTGGTTCTCCTTGACTCGAGGTACGAAGGGTGGTCGTTGCATGTGCAGCTGGTTCCATGTGATGCCGTGGAAGAAGCGGTGGCCTTTGATCTCCTCGGCGCTGTTGGAGTAGGCGTGCTTGGATGTGCCGGCGGAGTTACCGGTCGCTGCGGCGAGGCGGCGGCCGATTGGGCGGTATTGGCGGGAGCTGAGACGCTGTTCTTTTTCTGTCAAGATTCCGCGGAGCAAGTCCACCACGGTTTCAGAGGCAGGGGCGAGCCATTGCCGTGACGAGGACGTCGGTCTCGCCCAGCGCTCTCCGTCTGGAAAGCTCAGTGTCGAGCGGAACTGGACGATGCACTCTTTCGTCTTCTGCCGGTTCTGGCAGTAAAACGGCGTGCGGCCGTAGAGGCACTCGTAGAGGATGATGCCAATGCTCCACCAGTCGCAGCGGCCGTCGTAGGGTTGACCGAGGATGACTTCTGGCGCCATGTACTGGCTTGTACCAACAACGGAGCGGGCGAGCTTGCGGCGCTGTGTGCGGTTGCGGTAGGCGAGGAGGCCCTCGCGGCGGGCATGCTCTTCGGAGCCGAGCTTTGGGTGTAGATGGATTCTGGTGGGCGATTCCTCTTCATCCTCTTCTGCCTGTTCATTGGCAAAGTCCTCGATCGTGTCTTGCTCATCGCCACGGATCTTGATGCCCAGCTTGTCCAGCAGCCCTTGTCGCTGACTGGTGTGATAGGACTGGCTGTGCGCCCAGTGTCCATCAAATGACAGGCCGAAGTCGGAAATCTTGAGGTGACCGGAAGCACTGATGAGGAAGTTGTCCGGTTTGATGTCTCGGTGGATCCACTTCATCTTGTGTGCTTCCTCCACGCACAGGATCATCTCAGCCACGTACTACTTGGCCACTTCTTCATCCAGCACATCCTCCCGCAACAGCAAGCCAAGAAAGTCACCGCCGATCATGTACTCCATGACGAGGTAGAGGTTTGTGTTGTCCTGGAAGCTGGCTATGAGCGGGACCACCCAGTTGGAGTCCTCGGCACCAACGAGAAAGTCTCGCTCGGCTCGCAGATGGCCTTCCTGGCATGCACGAAGCATATCAGACTTGCGGATGACCTTCATGGCGAAGACGTCTGAAAGAGGCTTGCCAGCTGGAAGGTTGCGCTTGGCGGTGCCGTCAACGTTGCTGACTGCAATGCCGCCAGCACCACGTCGTGGGTAGGCCTGTTTGCTGTCTTGCCCTTCAGCTGCGTGGCTACTCTTCCTTTCTGTCACCAGCCGGACAACGCCGAAGCTGCCTTTGCCCAGCACACGAATGACATCGAAGCCGGCAATCGAGACACCCTTCGCTTTGTGCCGGGCAACGGAGCTCGAGTGCAAGATCCGCATCTGCCGGAGATGGTCACTCTCGGCACGCTGCCAGCGCTCACGTGATTCCACTCGCTCGTCGTGGGAGAACCCAAGGTCGGACATCTTGTTCTCAAACTTCCGGCGGCGCATCGAGCGAGGTGATGAAGGCTCCAGGAGAATCTTTTGGTACTGAGTCTCGACGAAAACCTTTGCAGCGACGACGTTCTCGACGGTGGCGATAGAAGGCTGAGTCTCTATTGGTGATTCCTGGACAGGTATCATGAGGAAGCGGCCGCTGTCTTCCTGAATGGGTGGCAAGATCCCTTCGTCCAGCGTGTTGGAGATGCTCTTGCTCCCGGTCTGACAGTCTTCCGGAGACTGCCGGTTCCTGAACTTTGGTCCTGACGACCTCGGAGATGCCCACGAGGTGGCAGCCGTAGAGGCTGTGCTGGCGGGCGACCATGTCTGGTTGTGTGCTGATGGTGTCAACGATGATACAGTGCTCGGTGAGCTGGCGCCAGCTTCTCCATTTTCTGCGAAGTCCTCGAACCGGGTGTTGGCGAACGGCACTGTCGGCTTCTGCTTCCTGTTGGAGCGATGAACAATCGTTTGCGTTCCAGCGGTGCCGTTCAGCTTTGCGGCAAGGCTGTCCATCTGATTCGACAGCCGCTGTGACGAGCTGCTTCTGGCGGAGTCTCTAGCTCTGGGTGTTGGTGATCCCTCCGATGTTGCTTCCTTGTGGCCATCTAGTTGATCGTCGCCATAGCCTTCAAAGCGCACGGAACGCTTTCGCTGAGGTACTTCGGCCTCTACACGGTCGTTGCTGGAGGATGTGTGAAGAGGTCGGGCTGGACTGGATCTCGTCGGTGCGATCAATGCCGGCGCAGGCGGTGTCAAGACACGGTAATGGGGTTTGGAGGTGCCGTCCATGGTGCTCTCTATTGGTGTAACTGGGCTGGTCAGCAGATATATCACCTCTTGCAACGGCTACGAATCGTACCTGGAAGTAGATGCAGTCTCGTGAGAAGCTGAGATCCTCTCCTTCGAAGTCTCGACAGTGGCGAAGGCTGCGACTTGTGCTCCGAGTCGTCGCGAGAAGAGTCACCAAGGGCAATGCCGGTGGTGTTGCGGCTGAAGATGTTCGACTTTCTCTTCTCCAAAGGCCTTCCTGGCGTCTTGATAATGGGGCCTTTCCATTTGAAGTTCAGCAGGGGCATTTTACATGCCAGATGACGATGCTGGGGAAGAGTGAAGAAGAAGAATACGGTGTAAGGCGAGTTTGCCAGTCGAGTTACAGAGAAGGAATCGATCATGACGAGATGCGGCCTGCTCGGAGGCTTGGGCTTGTCGCTCTTACCTGACGTTGTTGGGATAGATACCGGTGGAAGGAGCGATACAAGAGTTCCGAGAGGGTGTGAGTCAAATGTGGACGGTTCCTTCTCACTCTGATCAAATGCTTTCAGCAATCACGCCGCACGACTCCGTGGTTTGAATGTGGCATGCCTCATACATTTACCGCATCGGTCAATCGCAGGTCTGCTGTAAGCACATATGTTACACGGTACGCATTGGGGGAGTTTCGTCAGCGCCCGTCTGTATAGCTGAGTATTGGTCGTCGATGTGCAGAAGACCCCATCAGATTCAGTCCCATAACGCTGAATCCTGTTGCTCGACCGTCATGTACGAAATAGGAGGTACTCAACGAGACACTCATCGCCCGCCTCCCAAAAGGCTCCCCCTGAGCTATCAGCTTAAAGCAGAGGTGAAACCTCCGAAGAAGACTGGTGCCATACCAAGCGCCTCTCATGTGATCGGACCCGTTGCACTCATCGTCCTCTTCAGTGTCCGAGCGTTTGTCCAGCTATACTGGGGCGCTGCCTTCATCGTGCGCGGTCACAGGAGAGGCCGACAGAGGCGGAGGGGAACTGCATGCAAGCCCGCAGTAATACTCACCAGTCGATAGAAGGAGGTATGAATGGCGATATAGGTATGCTTGGCAAGGTGTAGTCGAGAGTGTCACAGAGTGGGTCGGAGACCGCTTTCCGAGGGTGAGCAGGCGAGATGTCGTCAGCGAGGGGTCGTCCTTCAATTCTTCGGCTCTCTTCACTCTGACATCCAGCTACTCATACCACTCATACCAATCCAATTGCACTCTTCATCAACCAAACCACCACTCAAACAACCAATACAATGTCTTCCTTCTCCAACGCCGACACGGGCAGCAAGCCCGCCGACCCCTACACCGAGAAGAACTACCAAGAGCCCAGCCTGAAGGAGAAGGTGGACGACCTTGCCGCCTTCGTCGACAAGTGCAAGTTCTGCATGATGACCACCAAGACCCAAGACGGCCTGCTCGCCAGCAGGTGCATGGCGCTTGCCGCAAAGGTAACCCCCTCCCCCCTCTCTTCCTCCAACACCACCCCACCACGACCCCGCAATGCTGATACCGATATAGGAGGGCCACGGCATCGACTACATCTTCCACACCAACACCGAGTCGGGCAAGACCGACGACCTCGCGGCCAACTCCTCCATCAACCTCGGCTTCCTCAACAGCTCCGGCGAATGGGCCAGCATTTCGGGCACCGCGAGCGTGGAAACCGACCGCGAGAAGGTCAAGACCTACTACTCGCCTGCGCTCAAAGCGTGGCTCGGCGATCTGGGCGATGGTACCCACGACGGCGGACCAGAGGACCCCAGGATCGGGCTCATCAAGATCACGAGCGAGACGGCGCAGTATGCTGTCTCGGGCAAGACGATGATCGGGAGCGCGATTGAGGTCGCCAAGGGCGTGATGACGGGCGAGGCGCCGGCGGTGAATAAGCTGAGGCATTTGAGTGAGAGCGAGCTGAAGCAGGCGCGCGAGGGTGGGGCTGAGTAGAGAGACAGTTCTTCGAGGTGGTGGCTTCCTTGGGCAGTGAGTGTCCGCGATAGATGAGATATGAGGTATGAGGTAGTCTTTATCAACTATCAAACAGGCTACAGAAGCCGTCTATCCAAACAAAAGGGTATCATGTCGCTTCAATCTTCGCGAGAAATGCAGTCAGTCTCAATTCGCTCCAATAGCCTCTGGCCTTCCAATGCCCGTGTCGGCTGCTGTCGTCTGAGCGATTGTGCTCATTGCGTCCTCAAAACGTGCCTCCACCGCATCAGCATCCGTCTCGACTCTCAATAGCGGCGCTCTCCTCTTCTCTAACGCCGCCTCCTGCCTCCACTCCTCCGTCAACTCCTCCCTGACCCCCTGACACCACTTCAGCACCGCAGCGTCAAACTTCTTCCACGCCTCCTCGCCTTTGTTGTTCACCACATCCGCCACCGGCACATCAAGCTTAATCTCCCACCTCAACTCACTTGCTTTCACCCAAAACCTCAAATTCTCCGCTCTCCGATAAGGCTTCCCAACATCGCTGTGCCACGTCTTGATCGCGCCAAAAGTCCTCTTACTCCTCGCCACAAGCGCATTATGCAGCTTGACCAACCTCTGTCCATCCGCTAACGCCTCCAAGAAAGCCGTCGGCATCGCCTCTCCCTCCACCGGCTGCGTCCACTCCGGCAACACCACCTCTTCATTATCAAACGACTTCAGAAACAACCACTCCCTCTCCCTCTCCCTACCCTCCCACTCCCCTTCCCGCCAAACCATCGCCTCCCTCTCCCTCGCCTCGTTTTGCTCCGCTTGCTCCTCGCGCTTGATCAACGTGTCAATACTCTCGATCCACAGAATGATCTCCGTCAACTCCATCATCCGCATCCCGCCCCGGAAATTCCTACTCGCCATCCGCTTCAGCACGTCCAGCACGTTGTACAGATCCGCGCGGATACTGCGCTCGCTGCGCATAGCGTAGAGTTTCTGCGGCGAGGTGTGCGCGGTGTAGTAGTTTTTCGCGGCGCGGATGGCGAGGGTGATGATGTCGAGGAGGTGGAGGCCTTGGAGTTCGTGGAAGCCGGCGTTGTCGTCGGTCATGCTGCCATCTTCTGGGTTTGGGGATGGTTGTGGCGGGGAGGGCGTTTGTTTCTGCGTCTCTTCGAGGACTTTGCAGGCGTCTTGGAGTGCTTCTTTGAGCTCGCGGCGGAGGACAGGCATGTCGGGAAGGGGTTCGGTGTAGGAGGGTTTCTGCTTGTAGGTGCTGACGGTCGGTGGGAGCATGGGTGGTTCAGGGGCAGTGCTGCGGAAGTAGTCGGTGGCTTCTGTGAGTTCGGTTGGCGACTCAACGACGCTGACGTCCTGGCCGCAGTCTGAGGGAGCGTAGGCGGAGCTGGTGTCGTTCAGGGAGAGCGAGCTGATGGCGAAGTCGTCGATGGCTGATCCAGACATGCTCGAAGGGTCCAGGTTCTCCTTGTTGTAGGTAGAGCTCTTCTTCCTTTCCTTGTCTTTGGCTAGCTGTGCTCCTTTGCCGTCTAGCAACCCTGTCCTGGCAAAGTAGTATTGCATATGTGCTATACTGCCCAAGCTCATGACGCTGTCTCTATTGCGTGCTGAGTCGGCGAATGCAGTCCCTTGAGGACGCATGTAGCCTCGTCGTTTGACGACTGTGGTCCCGCCATCTGAGGAGAGTCTTGACAATCGTCGTGATCTGGTGGACAGTTCCGAGACGGACGAGCTTGAGGGGGTCGAGACAGATCGGTCGAGGCGTGGTACAGCATCGAGGGCGAGGGATGGAGAGACGCTGGGTGATGGCGAGTCCGGTCGTAGTAGAGGCGAGGTCACACTGCTCGCTGGTGGACTTGCGGTGGTGCTGGCCATGGTCTGCGAGTGGGCGTCTTCCATGGTTGCACAAACGGTTCCCTGCTTGTTGTACAACGTCGAGCACAAGCTGTTACCAGTTCGTCGGATACTCAAGCACAGCTGACGACGAGAGGAAGCAGTTGCCGTCTACAGCGAGATCCAACATGTGTTGAAAGGTGGCCATATCAGGGGGATTGACGGTGGTTGCTAGGCGAGAAAGCTAATCAAATTATTTATTAACATTCGAGACACGCGATCCCACGCGTTGCAGACCCCTGAAGCAGATCCGATCTATGGCCTGTGCTCATCAAAATGTCTTCAATGTTTCTTTACAGCTCACAGCATCAACACTCGACATGGACAGCAATGTGGTCAGGCAGTGTCATACTTGATACAATGATCTATTGAACAGCATCCCCAACTCATTTGAGCTGCGAACGCTCAGAGCTTCGACCCCTTGAACGGCTTGCTCGCCTCCTTAAAGTTCTCGATCGTATACAACAGCTTCGGATCCAGCTTTGGCATACCCTCCACCTCGTTGTCCTCAACGGGATCCTCTTTGTCCAGCGACTCACGATACCGCCCCATCTCCTCAGCGATAAAAGTTCCAGCCGCGCAGGCGACTTCACCTAGATGCATGTCCAGCGGTATAGTATGTTGCCCTCCCTTGACAAAGTGATGCTTGATTGTCCCAGCCCTTAGGCCACCAGACCCACCTTGACCCGTCCCAGTCGTCTCGAGTCTACTTTGGATGTTCTCTGGAGTCGCTCGCGGTGAGCTCTCCCCATCAATGTACAGCACCCAAGGCCTCAGAGTCGGCAGCAGGAAGAACATCTGCCGCGTGAAGGGGTTGTATAGCGGTGCGCTAGGGCACGTCGGATCCATGTCAGGAATAATCCTCCGGTCTTCGTGGGTGATGGCTTCGTTGCCCTGCATCCCCACCCCTCGATCGTTCAGACGGATGATATGTGCTACCTCCAGCTCTTTGCTGGCCACCGTTCGTACCGGTGTGCCTTCCGGCCCTTTCCGAATATCACCGGCTTTGGGACTCTGTCGTTCGCGCAGGCCATGCCTTACAATTCTATCCAGCACGCGAGGGTCCCAGCTCCCGTAGTACGGACTCTTGCGAATGGCCTTCTCAGCCGCTGCTCGGCTAGGCCACTGCTCGGGTCGCCGCAGCATGTATCGCATCTGCGTGAGTGTCGTTTCCACCTGCCCTTCTGGATAGATCACCGGCTCGATGAGGACGAGTGAGGTAAACAGCGACGGATGCAGTGTTGACAGGTATGCCATCTGGGCAGCACCCATTGAGTGGCCCAGACCAACTAGCGGGCGAGGCATCTCCGCGTGGAAGGTGTTGATCAGGTGTAGCAGATCGCGAGAGTGGTCCCACCAGGAGACTTCGCTGCCCAGGTGTCCAGAATTGAGGACGGTGCTGAATCCCATGCTCGCTGAGTCTGCGATCCAGAAGCCGCGGACGTTGAGATTTCGGCTGTTGCAGCGTGTAAGGATCTCGGCGAAGAGTGGTTCATAGCACTCCTTCGGGAAGCCTATTCCTCCTGCTGCGACGACAGTCACATCGTCTTCTCCTGGATTTAGGTTGTTGCGAGGGATGTATTGCTTGACATCGAGTGTGAAGGGCTTGTTCTCGTTGCGAGAACTCTTGCGGTATGAACGAAGGTGAGAGGCTTGCGTCTGGTGGCTTTTGATCTGGAAAAGTGCTTGAGGGTCCGCCATGGTGGTTGTGATGTATCTTCATCGAAGAGAAGCGAATACATGATCAAGAAAAAGACAACACCTACCGCTGAGCTTCGTCACCGACACGTTGCTTGCATTCACTCGTCGTGGCTTAGTGTCTGGGTCGACCGTTAGAGAGTGGATGTTCGGAAGCGAAAATAAAAAGAATGAAGGACGACTGCACCAAAGATATGGAAGCTCTTCGCGTTGAGTGGAGGGTCTGCGCTCATAACCGTTGGACCAGCGAAACTCAATCTGTCATGGAACATCCTTTTCCAGAAGAGCAGATCAGATTGACGAGAGGATATACTCCTCGATTGGTCGAAGGAACTCGTCAAAGTTGTTTCACTGAGAGCACTTCAACAAGATCTGGCTGCCTACGCTGTGCTTTTGTCCTTCTGAAGTCACCTTCGATAGCATTTCCGAGCACTGAACAGCAGCATTGAAGTCATGGGTTTTCGCCGGTATTCCTGTAGACACTTCAACGTCTCTAGCGGAAGGAGTTCGCCGCGAATCTTGCGCCCTTAAGGTGCGATATCGTACAGGCTCACTGTCGACGTGAGCTGGTATCCAGTAGTCGGCGGGTTGGTCGTCGTCACGATGCGCCTCATGCCGAGCTCTGTTATTGAGTTATCCATCGTTATATCAGTGGCAGTATGTGAGACCGACTGTCTTGGAGAACAAGTAACGACCGGGAAGAGACTGTGGCTTCTATCGTTGTACAGCAAAGGTCGAGTGTAGAAGATCGGACGCCCTCCGATCAACATCGGACCCTGAATCTGACGCAACGTTGATGCAGAGCAATAACACTCTCTCGAGACTCTTGGACAACACACCAAGTGAATCTCATCTCATTGTCCAGCAGATAAGCACAACAACCTCCAAACCAATTGATGAGACGATTCACCACGACCGCCATCAAAATGTCCAAACGCGTACGTCCAGCACCTCAATCCTTCCATTCACTCCTCTGACATATACCACAGATCTCCTTCCAAGTCACTGGCAAAGTCCAAGGCGTCAACTTTCGGTACCCCTAACCACCTCTCCCTCCCCCCTCCCAAATTCCCACTAACCACCCCTCCAGCTCCTTCACAGTAGACAAAGCCCAAAGCCTCAAACTCACCGGCTACGTGCAGAACGCCAGCGACGGCACCGTGACCGGCGAGGCGCAGGGGGACCAGGGCTCGCTCGACAAGTTCGTGCAGCACTTGAACACGGGTCCCGGCGCGGCGGATGTGAATAAGGTGGAGCAGAAGGAGATTGGCGCGAAGGAGGGGGAGAGCGGGTTTAGTCAGTGAGGTGATGATGGAGATGGGGTAGTTGGGGTTGGGGGAGTGGCGAAGTCTTTCAGAGTCGAGAGGATGCAGTGTAAGGCACGTCGATGTTGCAATATTATCGACTGATCTGATCTGAAAGGGCCTACTCTGGCTTGATCACTACTCATCTCCCTGAGCCTAACTCTCCTTTCTTCGACTTGGGGACCCAATTGAGTCCTGCATTCTGCCAAAATGTTCCCATCGCACGCCAGCTACCTCAATCATCATCTCCAGCCAGCAGCCAGTACGCCAGCAAACTCCATGCTTCTCATCCCAGCCGTGTCTCAGCAACCCCCTAACGCCAGCCCTTCCAGTCCACACGACCTAAGAATTCATCTTCGGCTTAGCCTTAGCATCCTTCTTCGCCTTCGCATCTGCCTTCTGCTTCTTCTTCCTCTCCTCCACCTTCTCCTCATTCTTGCGCTTCAAACTCGCCTTCTCCTCCTCGGTCTTCGGCTTGACCTGGAAGAAGCCCTCCAGCCGACTCTGCTGCGAAGACTTGAGATTCTTCTGTAGTTTCGCCGCAGCATTCCGCACCCTGTCCTCGCTGAAGCCCTTCTCCTCCACCAGAAACTTCACCAGACCTTCGATGTCGGGAGCTTCCCACTTGAAGTCACACTCTGGGTCGTCGGCGCTGCGGACGTCGGGTTCGAGGAAGAGTAAGCGGGCGTCTTGGTAGGGCCAGTCTTCTGGGAAGGTGTATTTGCCGGTCTTCTGGACGTCTGCGACGACGTTCTCGAGGGTCTTGTGCTTGCGAATGAGTTCCAGGGCGACCTTTGGGCCGATGCCTTTCACTGGGTCCACGTAGTCGCAGCCGAGCAAAATGCACAGGTCGATGAACTGAGGTAGCTCCATCTCTAAGCCCTCCAGCACACGGTCGAGGTGGATCTCCTGAATAGGCTCCTTGCGTTGCTCAGAGAAGGTGAGGTGGCGGAGCAGCACAGGCGCGTTGAAGGTCAAGGTGTCCATGTCTTCCGATGCAGCGCCGTAGACTTTGCCAGCGCGTGCAAGGATCGCGCATTGTGCTTCTGCTTCTGTCGGTGCGATGATGTACGGCACACCCATGAGTTTGAGCAAGCGCTGCGCTTCGGCATTGTGCTCGCGAGTTACACGAACCGTGCGGCGGGAGAACTTCTCGACTTCCTCCGCGGTACCAGTCTCCTTCGCCTCTTCTTGGGCTTCAGCGGCTTCAGACTTACGCTGGAAACGTTTCGCCAGTTCGCCAGATTTGAGCTTGGGTGGTGCGCCGTCGAAGACGTAGACCGGCTTGATCCCGTTGTCGACGATGCGGAGTGTGCGGTAGAACATGCCCATTAAGTGTGAAGTCGTTTCTCCTGTGTCCGACATGAGCTGCTGGCCTTCGCTGCGCACAGCGACCATGAAGGAGTAGAGTGACATGGAGGCATCGATGGCTACTTTGCGTCCGAATTGGTTCTTGATCTCGCCCTCCTTGATAGCGTCTGGGCAGTTGTCCTTGATGACTTGGGCCAGATCTACGGTATGTCAGTCTGGCTGATAGATCTATGCGTTCTGCGTGGTTCATACGCTTGATGCCCATCCTGGCGGTGTTTGCGTTTGGTTTGTGTGCGGGAGAAGATGTTTTGTGCCGTTCGACGTGAAGTTCACAAGGTTCTCCAGAACTGGAAGGAACATTGAAGCCTGACGCGAGCTCACGCGTCGAGCGTGATGTCAAGAAAGTTGCACCTCACTTCTTGACTTTGAGCCATCTCCAACCTCTAGTGGACTTCTACGATACCAGACAACACTTCATTACAACTACGCACGTTATACCGGCACGATTACACCTTTATCATGAATATGTACAACTTTCTGATGAGGAAACGATCCTTGCCAGCAGTCGCCTCTTCTCTTCTCCAGCCCGACCTCGGACGCCGAGGCAAAACCACCGATGATCCATTGAAAGGTCAAGTACATTCCTCTACGTACTCTTTTCAACAACACTCCACCTCTCACCGTATCCTGTTCCATTTCCTCTCCCTTCTGCTTGCGAGCCTAGCGTCAACATGTTCAAGTCGGTCACATCTCGAGCCGCGAGGCAGTTCGTTCCAACCTGCCGCACATCAACAGCACGAAGATGCGCCTCTTCGAACGCCGTCTTCGATTGGAAAGATCCCTTGGGAAGCAACAACAATTTCACAGAAGAGGAGCTCGCCATAGCAGAAACAGCAGAGTCATACTCGCAAGAACAACTGCTACCGCGTGTACTTGGTGCGTTATAGCCGCCCTCAAACTACCTTTCCCCAGCACGACTGACATCTCGCGACAGAGGCATACCGCACCGAATCCTACGACCGTAAGATCCTCAACGAGATGGGCTCGCTCGGGCTCCTCGGCGCCACCATCGATGGCTACGGCTGTGCTGGCGTCTCAAATATCGCATCCGGCCTCATCACTCGCGCCGTCGAAAGAGTGGACTCAGGGTATCGCTCCGGCTTCAGTGTACAGTCTAGTCTGGTAATGGGAGGCATCGACGAGTTTGGCTCGGCAGAACAGAAGGACAAGTTCCTGCCAGCCATGGCGAAGGGAGACCTAGTCGGCTGCTTTGGCTTGACCGAGCCAAACCACGGCAGTGACCCTGGGAGCATGGAAAGCACGGCGAAGCCACATCCAAGCAAGGAGGGCTACTACAGCTTAAGTGGCAGCAAGACGTGGATCACGAACAGCCCGATTGCGGATGTCATGCTGGTGTGGGCAAAGCTGCAGGAGACAGGCAAGATTCGTGGGTTCCTCGTTGAGAGGAGTCAGTGTCCTCCTGGCACGCTGGAGACACCCAAGCTGGAGCACAAGAACGGTCTGCGCGCGAGTGTGACTGGGATGATACAGATGGATGGTGTGCCGGTGGCGAAGGAGATGATGTTCCCTGAGGTTGAAGGGCTGAAGGGACCATTCTCGTGTCTGAACAACGCACGGTACGGGATTGCATGGGGTGTCATTGGCGCACTAGAAGACTGCTTGTCACGGGCGAGAGAGTACGCATTGGAGAGGAGGCAATTCAAGAACAACCCTATCGCCAAGTACCAGCTGGTGCAGAAGAAGCTGGCCGATGCGACTACCGATGCCGCATTTGGCATTCAGGCGGCTTATCAAGTTGGAAGACTGAAGGATGAGGGAAAGCATGCACCAGAGATGATCTCCATGATCAAGAGGCAGAACTGTGATCGGGCACTGATTGGAGCAAGAGCGTGAGTATGCTGTGCACGTTCTGGTCGACACGCCACTGATGAGTGAATGCAGGTTGCAAGAGGTCTTTGGCGGCAATGCTGCGAGCGACGAGTACCATATTGGGCGACATGTGGCGAATTTGTTCGTCACCCAGACGTATGAGGGACAGAGCGATATACATGGTGAGTCGATGAGAAGCTTGCTACGAGGAAAGGAAAGGCTCCTGCTAACCATTTCGCCAGCTCTGATTCTAGGACGAGCCATCACTGGGATGCAGGCATTTGTATAAGCATGAGCACAAAAGCGTATATGACATTTCTGTATATAGAAGCGCTGTACCATCATTCACCCGTCTGTCGGGCACCACCGATGTGACACGCAATTCTAGGGCAGCATTTGGCGGTTTGCACTGCCTGGCGGCTACAGTCGCGGGAGGCTGCAGCTGACCGGAGTGTCTTACGGCTGTACTACTGTGCCTCTTCTGTGGCCTTCTTCCTCTTCCAAACATCCTTCCAGAAGCCGTCCGTCGTCGTCTTCACATTACAAAGCGTGAAGTCAGAAGTTTGGAGTGTCGTGCCTTCACAAGACAAATCTCGAACACTAGCGCACGGCACGGCCCGCACTGCATCATCCTCTTCCACAGCCGCCTCTTGCCCTCTTCTTTGACTAACCACACCACGTCCGCCGAAACAAACAACCCCAGAGTACCAGAACGCCACACCGTGACACAACATCACTGCCATACCGCAGAAGTCAGCGCACTCACCTACACTCCACCTACTCATCACACAATACCAGCGACATGGCGTTGAAGCGCATCAACAAGGTCAGTGAAGGAGTTACGCGGGGTGAGGAAACAAGGCTGACATGATGCTGCGATACAGGAACTCACAGATCTCGGCCGGTATGCTCGACTGGCACATTGCTTGCGGTGAGAAGAGCGAAGGACTGACATCTTCCCAGCGACCCACCGTCTTCATGCAGCGCAGGTCCGATAGGCGATGATCTGGTATGTGCTTGCCCCTCCACCCCACCATCCTACTACTCTGCCAGCAAGGCTGTGATGAGATAGCCAAAGGAGACGAAAGGCTGACTTTGTCGCAGTTCCACTGGCAGGCAACCATCATGGGCCCCGGCGACTCACCATACTCCGGCGGCGTCTTCTTCCTCGCCATCCACTTCCCCACCGACTACCCCTTCAAGCCGCCGAAAGTCAACTTCACCACCCGCATCTACCACCCCAACATCAACAGCAACGGCAGCATCTGTCTCGACATCCTCAGGGACCAGTGGAGCCCGGCGTTGACGATCTCGAAAGGTAGGACATTCCTTTTTCATATCTAAATGTTTGGGCATGCTGGACTGGTGTGATGGAGATTGCTGACTTGTGTCGTGATGTAGTGCTGCTCTCGATCTGCTCGATGCTCACAGACCCGAACCCCGACGACCCGCTCGTGCCCGAGATCGCCCACGTCTACAAGACCGACCGCTCGCGCTACGAGTCCACGGCGCGGGAGTGGACTAGGAAGTACGCCATCTGATCAGGAGTTCGGGTGGAGGAGGATAGAAGGCAGAACATGACGACAAGAGCAACGGCTGTTAGCACGGAATGTGGAAGAGAGGTATGATTCAGCAGACACTATGGCTCGTTATCATCGACGGAAAGCGGGCAGAGCTTTCTTTGTGGAATGGATCACACAGTCTTGTGCATTTTCTCACGACGGGATGGAATGGGCGATGATGCTCGGGCTTTTCTTTGACGGATAGATGCATAATCTTCCATATACGACATGGCACTGTGTGCTTAAGGCGTCTGGCCCCGCTGTCCCTCAATTGTTCTTTTGATCCTGTTTGCCGGACGTCTTGTATCCGATCATATGCTGTAGACTTCGGTGAAGTGCGCTGGAAGAAGTGTGTATGGTCGAAGTGGAATCGGCGACGGCCTGGTGGCGGCGGTGACCACACATGCTCCGGCCAAGATCCTTCCTTTCCACCTCTGCCCTTCAGTGAATCCTGCTTAACAAGCCATTGCACGACATACCGTGCTTGACGCTCGCAAAGCCCGCGCCTCGCTGCTGTCTGTTCTACGTTACACACTCGGATGTATGTACCCTCGTACCGCCGATCGAAGTGGCAGGTCGGCCTCTGTGGGTTGGCAAACCTTCGACTCGCCGGCACTTCGAGGGACCGTAAGGTAAGTGGGAACATCTCCAAGGTATTCTTACCACAGCGCCGGAATTGCGATAGTAGCCATGCTTGACTGACAAACAGCCGCCGTCGTCATTGCTGCATCCATCTCCTACTTCAAAAGCCGTCGAAGTCCTCCCACCCAATACCGGTACCAACCACTCCCAGTACGTATCTCGGAGACAGCGGAGCCCAGCAAAACAGCCAAGCCACCCAAGACCTCACTTTTACTTGAGCGTCATACAACCTTCCGCTCCTGGCTCTCGAAGCACCCCTCCCGGAACCTTCTCAAACCCCAAGCCTGCTATCACTTGGCCGCCACCGCGTACCAGCGGTACCTCGCGGTCTAAACCCCTCCCTTTGCTTAAGGAGGCAAGCATTGCCGTTACGCTCATGTAACCTCAGACTTTTCGAATGTTGCTTCGCTGCGCTGCACCCTCTTGTCGACCCCGACGGTTGGCGGGCATTGGCTCCACACATGCTTCTCCGAAGGTTCTATGGACGGCGGAGAAGTCTTTGCCAACCTCGTTGATATCTCCATTATCTTTGTAGCAGCCGCGGAGCGTACCCTGAGATGATCTGCCAAGGGACATGATAGTACCCATGGAGCCGTTCGTATCAGTAGAGGCGTTCGACGGAGCATATTTAGGGCAGACCATGCCCGCGTGGATGTCGCGTGCCTCGTAAGTGCAAGTGGAGTCGTTCCCTCCTCTTCTCATTGCTTCGCCTTGCTTTATTCCTGCATATCTCTCTCGCAAACAAACACCGCCACGATGCAGGCCATGGATGCAGATTTCGACGTTGCGGCAATGCGCAGTGGCAGCGTCGCTTCTGTCCACGACCAGACGTATGGCACCGCACACGAGAAACGCCACGAGTCGCGGGCTTCTACAGAGCTCGGCTCAGACACGAGCCACCCGGATGAGCCAACGATGGAAGAGATGAAGACGCTTCGCCGTATCGGCGGGAGCATAAACTGGCAGGTGATGACGATCACTTTCGTCGAGTTCTGCGAGCGCTTCTCCTACTACGGAACTACCGCGGTGTTCGTCAACTTCATCCAACAGCCTCGACCTTATGGATCCCGGACCGGAGCCATCAACCCAACCGCGGAGTGCATTGCAGCTATGGGATCGAGGGATGCTTGCGTTCAACCCGGCGGTCTCGGACAGGATCAGAGGGCATCGACAGGACTTGTTATGTTCAACCAGTTTTGGGCGTATTTGATGCCCTTGCTGGGTGGCTACATCGCCGACTCCTACCTTGGGCGTTTCATGACTATCCAATTTTCCATACTCGCCGCTATCATCGGCCACATCATCCTCATCACCTCCTCTATCCCTGCCGTCATGGACAATCCGAGCGGTGCGCTGGGCTGTTTCGCCGTCGGACTCGTCATCATGGGTGTGGGCACGGGTGGCTTCAAGTCCAACGTCTCGCCTCTCCTCGCGGAACAAATCAAACAGAAGCGGCCGGAGATCGTCGTACTCCCCTCTGGCGAGCGCGTTATTCGAGATCCCCAAGTTACCATATCGAGAGTCTACCTCTACTTCTACATGATGATCAACCTGGGCTCACTCTCTGGCGGCATCGGGATGGTCTACGCGGAACGCTTCATCGGCTTCTGGCTGGCTTACGCTCTGCCAACGTTCATGTTCTTTCTTGCACCGCTCGTCCTTATGGTCTGCAAGAAGTGGTACGTCCTGGCGCCGCCAACCGGATCGGTTGCTTCCCGTGCTTTCGCGCTTCTCAGCCTCGCGAGCAAAGGAAAATGGTCACCGAACCCCGTTCGTACCTACAAGAACTTCCGTCGAGAAGGGTTCTGGGATGATGTGAAGCCTTCTCATCTTGGGTCCAGCAAACCAGCTTGGATGAACGAGATTGATGATGCATGGGTGGACCAAGTCGCGCGTGGTTTCAACGCTTGTAAGGTGTTCTGCTGGTTGCCGCTGTACTGGTGTAAGCACTCCTTTCCTCTCCATGTCATCACAATCAAGCTAATCGACGAAATCAACAGTGGCATACAACCAAATGACCAACAACCTCACCTCGCAATCCGCCACCATGACCCTCAACGGCGTCCCCAACGACCTGATCAACAACCTCAACCCTATCACCCTCGTCCTCTTCATCCCCGTCATGGACTTCGCCATCTACCCTGCCCTCCGCAAATTCCGCATCAACTTCACCCCGCTCAAGCGTATCACGGCAGGTTTCGGCATTGCTTCGCTTGCTATGGTGAGCAGTGCGGTCATTCAAGCCTACATCTACCGCACCTCGGACTGCCCGGACAGGTTCGTCAACGAGGGCGTGCATAATGATGTCAGCTGTACTTCGCCACTTAACGTCTGGATCCAAGCCGTGCCGTATTGCTTGATTGCATTCTCGGAGATCTTTGCGAGCATTACTGGGCTGGAGTATGCGTTTAGCAAAGCGTGAGTCTTCTCCTATTCGAGAACAACCCAAGTTCTCTACATTGTTCAGCAGAACCCTGCTAACATCTCTCCAGACCCGAGAACATGCGCGGCCTAGTAATGGGCGTAAACCTCCTGCAAACCGCCTTCTCCGCCGCGCTCGGCCAGGCACTGCTGCCTTTGGCGGAAGATCCGCTGTTGACGTGGAACTACACCATGGTAGCTATCCTGGCGGCTTTGGGCGGAGTGGCGTTCTGGCTTACGTGGAGAAATTACGATAAGAGGGAGGATGAGCTGAACATGTTGCAGAAGACGGAATATTTGGGGCGGGATGGGGTGAGGGATGATGAGAAGATGTGAGGAGGGATAGGTAGTAGGGAAAACCAAAAGCTGTCAATAGAGTTGTACGACTTAAGTGAAGTCAAACTTCAACATCTATCCTTTCTTCAACTATTTTTTCAAGTCAGGTTCTAGTCAGGTTCTAGTCAGGTTCTCCAGCGGCGCTGTTGGCTTCGTGACGAGTTGGTAATCGTGATGCGGTTTGGCTGCAGAGCTTTGCGGTGAGAACAATCGAAATACTCCGTCAAGCCCCGAGTCAATCAAGAGGACATTTCTTCGTGCCTCACTAACACGTGCAATACACGGAATCACTCAAGGAATCAATTGCAGCTGGCCTGCTTCTGGCCTAATGGTTTTGCCTCTAAGAATCGTCTCTATTGCTCTACGACCAGATGCGTCCTACCATGGACGCAAATGCAATCTTGCTCTACTCTACTATACTGATGTAAGTTCCTTACGCCTATTGCGACTTGTCCGAGCTCACAGGAGACGCATCCTCCCTCTTCTCCTGGTACCCGTTGGCGCCAGCGCTCCCAACGCTCTGCCGTCGAACGGCATCCTCGAGGTACTCTGGCTTGAGTTGACCGCTAATAGCAATGTCAGCATATTGCCAATAGGCATGTATGGTGATGGAAGGACGTACTGCTTGTCGTAGCGGTATGGCTCCTTGAGCGAAATCGAGACGACGTTGAAGACATTTGACGACTTCTTGAAGATGCCGTCCATCTCCTCGAGCGATCGGTATCTGGTCTCGGGGTAGAAGACTGGTGGATGTCAGCGGTGCTCTCAAATGTAACAGAGGTTTCACATACAATAGACTGTCGGGAAGATGGCGGCGTTGATGACAGCAAAGATGATGTAGGTCTGGTAGCCGATGCTGTCAAAGGCCACGGGCGTGATCATGACCACCATGAAGTTGAAAATCCAGTTGCCGCTGGTAGACAAGGCATTCGTTGGTGCTCGGATGCGCAGAGGCACAATCTCCGCAGGGTATAGCCACGTCATTCCGAGCCAGCCGATGGCGAAGAAGGTGTTGAAGATGAACAAGAAGGCGGCTTGCGTGTAGCCAGCGTTTGCATTGTCGTAGGTCGTCACGGCGTAATTGGTCCCGGCCAGAACGGCCATGGAAGCCGACATACCAGCAGCCTATCGCGAACGTTAGCATTTGGATGGTTCAACGAAGCGAGGTGTGCATGAACATACTCCAATCAGCATGAGAGGTCGTCGTCCGGCTTTCTCAACAATGAATATGGGGATGAATGCCGCCAGGAGATATTCGGTGCCGTTGCATGCTGCGAGCAGCTTGGGAAGATTGTTTCCGTTAAGACCCACTTGTCCGTAAAGAATTGGTGCATAGTACGTGATCAGATTGATACCTGCTCAAGTCAGCAAACGCGCCAAAGCTGCTGTGTGGAACGGACGGCGTACCAGAGATCTGCTGGAACATCTGATTGACGTATGCCAGGACGACTCGATGGAATTCTCTATACTCGCTCATGTCGAAGAGAGATCGAAACGAGCCCTTCTTCATCTCTTCAACCGTGGCCTTGACCTCTTCGAACTCGTTGATGATCATCGGATCATCACTCGGCTTGTCGTTCAGGTATGTAAGCACTTCCAATGCCTCTTCGTTCCGGCCCTGGAGGACGAGCCATCGCGGACTTTCAGGAAGGTTCATGATGGTACAGAAGATGATCAAGGTGAAGAAGATCTGGAAAGCAAGAGGAAATCTCTGGTCGGATGTTAGCGTGACGTTTGGTCTGGTGACGGAGAAGATGGTCTTACCCAGGCAACTTCATGCTCACCGTACCATGCAAAGCCATAGTTGATCCAGTAAGACAAGCAGATACCAGCCGTGATCAACATTCCCTCAATCATAACCAGCTTTCCGCGCTGATGCGACTGCGCAGTCTCACTTTGCCATGTTGGTACAGTCGAGGTGTTCATGCCGTTACCGATACCAGTAACGAGACGACCAACAATCCATTGCGGCAGATCGAAGGAGGTGCATTGTAGGATCGCGCCAACAGTCATGACAATGGAGCCAAAGAAGATCGTTTTCCGTCGACCCAGCGGGTTACCGATGAAAATTGTCAAGACCGCGCCACAGAAGCAGCCCAAGTTGTACGAAGCAACCGCGATTCCTTGGTATGTGGATGCATTTGGATTGTTGCCGGTGTTGGTGTTGATGGATGGGAAGTACTTGATGAAGGATGGAAGGTCCAACAGTCCACCGGTCACACCTTGGTCGTATCCGAAGAGTCTGTTGCCACTCGGTCAGCACCATCACCGGCAGATTGTACTCGAAAAGGCTTACAAAAAGTCCAAGCCGGCGATGAAGCTGACAGCCAAGTTGAGCTTGTCGCCTCGAAGGCCGTAATACTTCTTAACGCCAAACATCGCTGATGATAGGAAATGGGGAGGGAGCGAATATGGAGAAGTACACAGACTTGAAAAGTGAGTGCGGACACGCCTTTTTAAAGGAAGTTTCAGACCTGGAGAAATGAAGGCGAACTAATCATACCTCCGAGCGGACAAGATCGCCGTGTCCGCCAGGATGTGGAGCGTGGGTCTCTCGCATGGCTGTGGGTTGCCTTCGTGCGTGATGGCCCGCGATTAGGCCGTCTGAACCAGTGCTTCTGTCCATCGACTGGGACGCTCTTTGTCGGGTCGACGACTGCAACCATACGTGTTTGCAACTTCTCTGCCTCCGGAACACGCTTCGAAGATTGATGGGCATCCCATCAGTGTCCGTTATCGAGCATCGCTTCGGAGACGATTCCATGCATCATCAGTCCAGGGCGAAGATTAAGCTCTGGAGGAGCAGAGGATTTTCGGATTGACCTTAACAGGAAAACCGGAGATCGTGTCTAAAATTTGGCGCCGTGGTTCCGACGGCACCACGAGAGCCAAGCTTCGGGCCTTGGATGATCTCACAGTGGACCTTCCCCAGAGCCAACGGAACCGAAATCACCGAATCGTCGGGCAAAGCGAACGGCAGCGCCAACGGCCTTGAACTTTCCAGACTTGTAAAACAGTCGACGTAGCCCCCAACACATCCAATCTACTGCAGCAGCCCTCTCGCCCGCTTCCTCTCCCCATCATCCAGCTTCCAAACAACCCCAGTAACCCGCTCCAGCTCCCTCCCATCCAACCGACTGATCTCCTCCCACTCGTCCTCCTCCATGTTGACCACCAGCACGATCTGCGTACACCGGGCGAACAAGTCCCTCAACTCATACCTCCCTCCCTTCACCGCCGCAGCGACAATGCCCGCCAAATCCCGCTCTAGCCGCACGGCGCCGAGAGCGTTGACACGGCCGTAGAAGCCCCATATCCTCTTCTCCAGCGTTCGTGCTAGATATGATACCGTGGAACTGAGCAGTTTGTCGTAGTTGGCCGGGCTGAGGATGCGTTTGATTGGGAGTGTGAAGGCGCTCCAGCCTCGGTCGAAGCGCTTTGGCACGATGTCGGCGTCGGGAGAATCCTGTTCTTCCTGGCCTTGTGCGTCCTCCTCCGACGACGCAAGGTAGTCGGCATCGCGGAAGGTCTCGATCATAACTGGCCGAAGGCGAGGCCGCATGACTTGCTTGAGCATGACCTCGACAGCTTCGCCGATGAGCTCCCCAGTCTTGGCCTCGAAGCCAGATTCCACGTTCCTCAATGCCTTAGCAACAAAGGAAGCTTCGTGGCCGAATGGAAACTTGTCCGCTAGAGCATCTGCTGCTGCCTCCGTACCAGAGACCCCGACCGAAGAGCGGATGATGCGCTTGAGGTAGTCCGTCGCTACATCCAGGCTGTTCATCAGCACCAAGAAAGCGATGATAACGTTCTCCGGTGGTAAAGCGCCCTGAATCGCAGCTTTCGGGTAGCACTCGTCCCGCATTCGCCTTTGAACCATGCCGAAGAAGTCGCTGCCTAGCACTCTGCCGATGCTGGGGATGACGCTGCCAACCACAGTCTTCTGGCCAGTACCCAAGGTCCGCTGCAGCACTTGGTTGACAATGTACATCACATCATCGACCGCGCTGGTGATGAATGGTGGTTGCGCCGACGCAGGTAGCGCCTTTCCCGGATTCAACGTAAGATTGGAGGGCGACTCATCAAGCTGAAAGGACTTTTCGACGCTGCGGCGGAAGAAGAAGGTCGACATGACGTTGAAAGGATCTATGAGATTAGAGGTAATCCGTCTGTTGAGATTGCTGTTCATGATGAAAGCTGGTATGTGAAGTGATTCGTCGCTTCCAGTCTCCGAGGGCGCGGTTTTAGACGCTATAAAGCGGTTGTAGAGCGTCCATCGACCGAGCATGACGGCGCTTTCGTTGAGTAGTGCATCGACTTCCTTCATGTCCACGGCATCGTCTTCACTTCGTCGGCCACCAGGCGCCGGAGACCCTGAGCGAGGCGTGTTTCCCAGGGCTGACGGTTTTGACGATGGCAAGAAGCTTTGAACGAGAAAGTTGAAGGGGTAGCTCTTCACATCCGTCAGCTTTCGAGCCACCCGTCCCTCTTCAGCCCACGTGTCCAGGATGATGCCGCCTTGCACGTCCGCCTCCGCTTGGATCCGCTCGATAACTCTAGTCATACTGCCAGCACCGTAGTGTCGTTCAACTAAAGGCTCGTGGCCATCCACTATCTGAGCGATGTGCTCGAAGAGCTTTGTCAGAGCATTGGCGTAGAACATGCCTCCCTGCCCTTGTCGAGCAGAATTGTTCATGTTCGTGCGCGCTCTGCTTGATACACCACCGCAGACATAGCGACCGTAGGCGTCAAGACCAACCTCGCTACGGCCAAGTAGTGGGAAGAGCTTGAAGAAGCGGGTCACTCGTGCTCCGTCGCCTTCTTGAGCTGCTTTCTCAAACTCTCGCAGGAACAACCCGCAGAGACTCTCACTGGCCGCATCGAGAGTTTGCCGCGGTGGATCGGGTACTTCAGATGTAGGAACAATCTCCTCTGCAAAAGCACCATCAATCACAGCATCCGGGATTTGTCGTGCACGCTGGAGGTAGTTGGCCGCAGTCTCCCAGTCCTGAGGGGCACCCATAGAGCCACTGACGCCAAGCACGCATGCCTTCAGCTCAGCAACTTGCTCCACGACCTCGAGGGTGGACTTCACGGCGGCCTGCTCGCGGTCCAGGTTCCTAACAGCGGAGGATATTCGAGTGGCGGTGCGGGAAGCCGAAGAGAGCATGCCATGGCTAATGTTCCGCGTGGCAACTGCTTGAGATCCCAGGTGGGCTCGAGCAAGGTCCAGACGAGAGAGCGTACGGTTGAGATCCTTCTGACTAGCCAGTAAATTGTCCAGACGTGCGGTCACCTTGCTCTCACGCTGGGCCAGCTCGTCGAGTGACGCTCGTATTTCGGCCACTGAAGACGCTGTGTATATGCCGTCCGAAGGTCTGCCATTCTGGAGCGGTTCATGGGTGCCATTGGTCAGTGCTGACATGTTGCCATACACCACTGGTGTTGTGGTACAGAGGACGTAGATTTTATAGTTGTAGGGTTCGGCTAGAGCCGCCCGATGGTGGCTCGTGCTTAATGAGGCTCAAGGACGAGATCTTTGGGTTGTGCAGATCTCCGCAAGTACAACCACCGCTACGTCTGGCAGTGTGTGTCAGTTGCGAGCACACGATACCCTTGTGTTGTGTTTGCTGCGCCTTCGATTCTTGTCGCTCTTTCGCAGGAGCGTCTTCTGTTTCTTCATGCGTCGATAGCTGGGAAGAGGGCGCGCCGTTGTCGAGTGATCAGGGGAAGAAGAAGCAACATCTATTGCAATTGCATATACCGGAGGCCGCGACGTCATGGCGGACAGCAAGCGAAACAGTGTCGCTGGAAAGATTGCGGTTCCCAAGGCCGCTGGGACGCCTACCCCGTCGTCCGCTCCGCCTATGATGGACCAACTGGAGGCGTTAGGAAAGAGCATTGGCGCAAGGTGAGTTGAAAGTGGTGCGGCCGTGCAGCGCGCAGTTCATCACAGATTTGCTGGGCAGCAGGCTGACGCATACTCCAAAACACAGAATCAAGATCACGACAGCTGCACCGCACTCGCAGACCTACGAAGGCACTCTATTCACTGCTTGTCCCACCCTGAACATCGTTGCGATCGACACGCGCAGCAACTCGGCGCAAGGCTCGACCGCCCAGCCTGGAGACTACCATATGTTCACTTTATCAAAGATTCAATCATTCCAGGTGCTTTCAACGGCAGACACTGGCAATGCGGGGAACAGCATTGTGACTGCTCCGATCGCGCCAGTCGATACGAAGCGCTTGCAGCAGAAAGCACAAGCGCGAATCGACAAGCTGAAAGAAGCAGAACGCGACCAGGGGAAAGGTGTCAGCAAGGAAGCGCAGGCCATCTTCGACTCGCTTAAGCGAATGTATGCTCCATCCACATTGCACGAGTTCTATGTTTATCCATGCTAACGCCTCTCAGTAATATGCCCGTCCGGTGGCACATGGACCAGATGATAGTTCACGATGCCATCATCATCACTCCGCCCTATCGTGTCGAGGACTGCAAGGCTCCCAAGGAGAAGCAAGAGGTCCTGATCAGGGTCAAAAGGGTGCTTGAAGGCGAGCGGAAGAAGCTCAAGGAGAAGGAGGATCGGGAAAGGAAGGCTGCCACCCCGGTAGGACCGAGGAAGGGAGGCTGAAGGGAGGTCTTGAGCATCTCACCACAGTTCCAAGTACCGACAGGGAGTCTTGGCAAGGCTTGCGGCGGTTGCGACAAGACTCTCATCAGGCCAGCTGGTCAGCCAGGCCAGTCCACGTGGTTAGGAGGCGTTCTTGAAGAGAGCTATATGTATGCACAATGAATGCACCGCCAGAACATTAAAAGTTTGACTGTATTTCAAGAAGCCTCCAATTCATGCGCTAAGGCGGAAGCAGTCGCGCTCATGAAAGATGAATGCATCTCGCAAGGAATTGTACAGTAGGAGTTTCTGCATGCCATCTCCGAGTAACGCTCTTCGTCATCATAGCACGTCAACTGAAAGCGAGCACAGAAACCAATAAAACTGCGGCCCGCGTCCAATGTTCTACCCGTTAGACGTCCGCAACCCAGGCACAAGCTTCCTTGGAATCGTCTGCGTTCTGCTATCAAGCGGCCAAACAGTATTCGTACCCCCTGCCGTGCCCGCGTTCCCAGACGGCGATCTGTGCGTGACCGAAGGCGCAGACGACAACGGCGACACAACCTCTCCCGTCGCAGGATCCCGTGCCATCTCTCGTCTTTCCCCCTCGAGCTCTGCCGTGGCAGGAACCCAGCCCGCCACTGTCCCTTCTCCTTCCATCTCCGCTGGCGTCGGAGCACTTAGCTCGTGGACTAGCCTGTAGGCAGTATATATCTGAGCTAGTCTAGTGTTCTTTGGAATTCCATGGCCGGCTTCGACAGCCTCGGGTGACTTCCGGGTATCGTACAGCTCGGCCGGCCCGTCGTTCTTAAGAAGTTCGGATTGTAGGTCCACGTCTCCAGGCGGTCCTTTCTCGCCCGCAGAGCTTCTTCCGTCAGTGGTGTTACCGCCCAAGGTGCTGATGCTGGATCGTTCTTGCTTTGATCTCCGTCGGAAGCGGCGGCGGAAGCACCAGAATAAACCTCCAATGATTAGAAGGATTGGAGTGATAGTGCCGATCGCGACACCGGCCGTCTCCCCTTCAGAAAGGCCGCTCGAATCGCCGTTGGTCCCGTTGGATGGACTGGGTCGTTGAAGGACCACAGGAGTAGTTGTTATGGTAACAGTGTCTCCTTGGTTGTTTGTTGTAGCGTAGGTAGTCAGATCCGATAGCGTTCCATCGATGTCGCCGGCATCTGTGGTCGTTACAGTCAATGGGCCTTCATTGTTTGTCGTGGTGTAGGTAGTCAAGCCTGACGGCGTATTGCCACTAGCAGCAGCCGGACTGTCATCTGCGCTCACTGCAGTCGCAGAAGCCGCCGAAACCACTGAGCGCGATGGCGTCGCTGCTGCTGGTGTGGACGCTGGTACAACGAGGGTCGTAGTAGTCGGATCAACAGGCGTTGGAGTAGATGAAGCTGGTGCTGGCACCGGCGCAACTGTAGACACCACGGTGACTGCACCGCCTTCATCCTCATCGGGTTCTTCTTCGTCTGGTTCGTTGTCGTCTTCGTCTGGCTCCTCCTCATCCGGTTCATTCTCGTCTTCATCCGGCTCATTGCCTGGAAGTATGCTTGACATCTTTAGCCGATAGTACGCTTCCCACGGTATGGCTGTAACAGAGACGACCACAGTGGAAGTTGGACTGCCTTATTGAGATGGAAGACAAACGCAAGACGAACCCATAATGGCGCTGCCAGTCCTATGTCCTACCTACCGAGCATCTAAGAGCCATCCTGAGGCGGTGCAGAATCGTGAAGTCAGCGGCCGCCATGCATCTGTATTTTTGGAAGACCCTGGCAAAACTGCGAGGTGCATGTTCAAGCGATCTGACCGTATGCTCCACGTACCCGATTTTTAAGGCTAAGTCAACTTCACGCAGAGTCGACTGGCGGTTTCAGAGAGGGTCTTGGACGACCATATCTCGACACCGCGTGGAGCATGTCGCATGGCAAGCCTGGAGGTTGTTGATATGTTAACAAAGTCGTAGGACCACTGTCAGGTAAACGGGGCACATGAGTGGTCCTAGAGTTCATTTAATGGCGACGACTGAAGAGGAGAGCCATCTGTCAGGCAGCCGGACATCCTAGGGACCCAGGTTGCCAGAGATCTCACTCCTAGACTTTGGAACGGATATCGGACAGCCAAGGTTGATAGTCGTGAAGTCTTATCGTCAAGACTGGAGACAAAAAGCTGCGCCTCGCGCTTGGCTCCAGAAACTTGAATGATGCCGAAGCGCGGGTACAGGCGTGACTGCTGCCAGACGGACAGTCAATGGAAGCAGAAACTGGTTCTGAAACAACGCGGCAGTGGAGGTGGGAAGTAGCAAGAGAGGTCAAGAGGTGGTATTCAGCTGGATAGCTGCAAAGAGGACTAGTCCCAGACAGGAAGGCACGTGGTGCGAAGTGAAGGCAACTGATCCTACAAGCCTGCTCGAATGAACGGTATAGTAGTACATCTTCGCATTGGTAATATTTGGCACTCGAGAGCGATTGGTTTGTAACTTCCATTTCTCGACAGCAGTTGTGAAGTAAGTACAGCAGCAATCTAACCGTTCCTGTACTCATCACCTCGTTGCATCATCAGCTTCTCATGCCATTTCAACCTCATCAAACCACATCTATCCTACGTAACCGCATCGATCCCGACTTAAGCAGTGTAAGTCGAAGCGCTCACATTGCCACCACGCCCGGTCCAGTTGACGTGGATGTCCTTACCCTCGGGGTACGCATCGCTGGCATGCTCCGGCTTGATCCTGAAGGTGTGGGCGCCGAAGTAGTCGCGCTGAGCCTGGAGCATGTTGGCTGGCAGATCCTTGGTCCTGATTCCATCGTAGAACGACAGAGCGGTCGAGAAGGCGGGAGTCGGGATGCCCCAGAGCGCGCACTTCGAGACTGTGTCGCGCCAGCCGGGCTGCGCCTTGTGGATGGCCTTGTTGAAGAAGTCGTTAAAGAGCAAGTTCTCGAGGTCAGGCTCGGCGCGGTAGGCCTTGGTGATGTCCTTGAGGAAGACGGAGCGGATGATGCAGCCACCGCGCCACATCAGGGCGATCTCTGGCTTATGGAGGTTCCAGCCGTACTCCTTGGCAGCCTACAGGATACTGTCAGTACAATCAAAACACAGGGTAGAGCTAAAAGACTTACAGATTGCATCAGCATGAAGCCCTGGGTGTAGGAGATGATCTTCGATGCGTAAAGGGCCTGCTCAAGGTTGTCGAGCACCTCCTTGCGGTTGCCGGAGAAGCTTGGCTTTGGTCCCTCAAGCTTCTTGCTGGCGCGGGTACGCTCGCCCTTCAAAGAGGACAAGCAACGGGCGAAGACGGCCTCACCGATCAGAGTCACGGGTTGGCCCATGTCGAGCGCGTTGATGGCTGTCCACTTGCCGGTACCCTTTTGACCAGCGGAATCCAGAATCTTCTCGACGAGCGCGGTTCCATCATCGTCGTTATAGTAGAGGATGTCGCGGGTAATCTCGATGAGGAAGGAGTCGAGCACGCCCTTGTTCCACTCTGCGAAGGTGTCTCCCATCTCCTTGCCGGTCATGCCAAGGCCGCGCTTCATCACGTCGTAGGCCTGAATTCAGTCAGCACGTGAATATCAGCACCTCCTTGCCATGCGCACGGGGTAAACTCACCTCCGAGATCAGCTGCATGTCACCGTACTCAATGCCGTTGTGCACCATCTTGACGTAGTGACCAGCGCCCTCGTCACCAACCCACTGGCAGCAGGGCTCGCCATCAGACTTGGCCGAGATACTCTGCAGCACATCCTTGATGTAAGGCCATGCCTCCTCGTTGCCGCCAGGCATGATGGAGGGTCCGTACCTCGCACCCTCCTCACCACCAGAGACACCGCTGCCGACAAAGCGGATGCCCTTGGAAGACAGGTACTTTGTACGGCGGTTGGTGTCTGGGAAATGCGAGTTTCCGCCATCGATGATGATGTCTCCCTGCTCAGCGCCAGCCTTGAGAAGAGTCTCGATGAAGGCATCCACAGCCGGGCCAGCCTGCACCAAGATCATCATCTTCCTGGGCTTCTTGAGCTTGGCGATGAATTCTTCTGCGCTCCATGCTCCCACAATGCTCTTGCCCTTGGCCTCGTTCTCGAGGAAGCGGTCGACCTTGGCAACTGTGCGGTTGAAGGCCACGACGGTGAAGCCGTGGTCGGCAGCGTTGAGGATTAGATTCTGGCCCATGACCGCGAGGCCAATGAGACCGAAGTCGCCGCTATAGGAGCCATTGTTAGCATTGCTGGCCTGCTGTCGTGTTGAGGAAGTACTGATAAGTCATCAATGCCACCGATCAATGCGGGTAAATGCTGGTGGTGGTCGTGATGCTGTTCAAACCTCACAGCGCTCTCATACCAGAGAGCGTGCTCCTCCTCCCATTGCCATAGTCTGCCACCGCCTGCCGCCATCACCGCCTCCAGAACCCGCTCCCTCACCAGCTCACAAAAATTTCTCCCACCCACCCCACCAATTCAGCCGGAAGTGAAAGAAAACTCGCAAAGGACTTACACAGGATCTTGACCGGACATGGTGGCGGTCTTGTCAGTATTCAAGTGTTGTGATAGAGTGTCGAGTCGTTGTCGTGAAGTGGAGGAAGCAATGTTGTGTGGTTGCTGGCGCAAAGAAGTGGTTGAGAGCATGAGCAGAGAGGACCCGCGAGAGTCGACGAGGGCGAGTGGTGGGGCAGAGCGAAACGCCGATGCTTCCGAGACAGGTGACTTAACGCTTACACATCTCACCAATGCTGCTGCTGCTGCTGCCCTTGCGTTCGATCTTGGTCCGATGATGTTCCGGCGGTGATGGGGAGGCAGAGACAAACCCTTCATCGACAAGATGTAGAAACCTTCATGCTCATCGTAATCACCACCACCACCACCCGCTATCGCACCATGACTCGCTCATTCCGTTGCCGACGGCACACCGAGGCATAGCCGGCGGATTATGTGAGCGCGGAAGATGATGCTTATTATATACCAGCTAGACGCGGTTGTATGAGATTCGTATGAGATTCGTATAACCCCATGAGGGGCACGTTCTTGTGAAGTGAGGTTTACCTGTGAAAAAGAAACGACGGCAGCTGACGGCATGTGATAGGCAGGTTGTATATGCAGCTGTTATATATGTCTTGATGTTCAGGTGAACGATTCCAAAAACTTCCATCCCGTGATCAATGCCTGTGCCCTTGTTCTCCCCGGAGATGCTTCCATACCGTTCGACCATTGTCTGATTCAGGAACAAAGTGTGCTCTGAAATCGCAGATCAGACACAATGAGCCAAGACAGATGAAACGACTTTCTAGCCCTGCCTCCCTCCCCAGTTGGCGGGACGCCGGTGAGAAGGTGACCTTGTCCGATTGTTGACATCTTATGCGGTCCTCAATACCCCAAGTGAACCTGGCCTGCCATATCCTTCGCCGGAGACCGCTCGACAGGTCTGTCGGGAGCAAGGCCCATCTTGACGAAAGCTCTTGTGGCCTTTCGATCCAGACGCTGGATGGCGTGGGCGGCGCGTGTCGAGATCGGCTCTTTGTAGGTGTTGTCGTGGTGGTGAGGCTTCTCTAGCAGAGCCTGGTAGGTGGACATGCTGGATGATCGCGTGGTGCTCATTTTGGGCAGACGGTTGAAGGCTGCCGGGTGTTAGAGCTGATCGAGCTTCGGCCGCTGGACTTGAAGCGCCAGTGGATGCTGTAGTGCTGCTGACGCCCTGTTGTTGGCTTGCCTGTGTCGTTCCGGCAGTCTGGCTCCTGAAACCGGTGAGGTTCATGGCATCTTTATACTACCACTTGAGTCTGAATACCGAGAAATCCTTACCTTTCTCATCTCATTCCGACCGCCAGGTCATGTCTGTTGGTTCTACAGCCAAAGCATATCTTTTGTGCTGCTGGCGGCAGTCCCAACTAGGAAGGAGCGGCGTGCTAAAGTGGGCGATGCCGCTTTCTCAAGGGTAACGACTGAGCGAAAGCACAGCCCGAACGAATCATCGTGCCATCGTTCTTTTGAGTGGGCCAACATGGAAGTTATGGTAATGTCCAACTCCATGTTTCTGGTCTGCTCCTGCCGGCAACGGCGTCGGCCTGCGGTGTGATGTGTTGTTCCAACCACACGGAGAGTGTGCATTCAGGATCAGGCCCTGGAGCAGCTCATAACACTTGGTACACTCGTTTCGAGGCGGGCATTCTTTCTTTATTCGCAGCTCACTGGCGCCCCAGGTCGTCCGGACTCCGCCTCGTAAAGCTCCATCAGCTCACCTGTACTCATGTCGTGTCATGGTGCGCAACCAGCAAACCGTCCACCTCGCGTTACTCCCAGCCAGCGATAAAGGTATCTCGATGAACTGGGCCGTGAGGCTTGATGGTGTTCCCATGGCTGCAGTAGAGACAAGAAACGCGTCAAAGAAAAGGCGAAGTTGTCTCCCAAGAAACCCACTCCTGCGTTGCAACGTCTGGCGATCTGATTGGTCCAAACCAGGCGTCTCAAGATGAGACCAGTCCACGGAGACGCACGACTCCGACAACATCATTCGATGTGCAACCTCACTCTGACTGTGATGCCGAGAAACGCATAGCCGACACCATGGGCTGGTGTGGGTGGAAGCAAGTATGCCTTTTCCTCCTTTCTACACCTGCAGTTTCGTCGCGGTCCGCTCTTCTCGAGGAACAGTTGCCACCGAATATGCATCTTCCTACGTCGCTCTTCCTGATGCCGCTGGCGGCCCAAGCTGTCAATGTTTTGCAGTCGAACGATGATGGATGGGCTGAGAAGAACGTAAGTGCAGCAATACCGTTGACAACTGATGCTCCATGCTGAAAAAACTGTACGACAGCTCCGCGTCTTCTACTACTCCCTAGTAGACGCAGGCTTCGACTCGATCATCTCCGCACCAGCAGAGAACCAGTCTGGACGGTCTTCACTCGATGCGCCGCCGACTGAGGTCGATGACGGTTGTGAGTTTAACTCATGTCCACCTGGGAGTCCACCGACGGGGCGGAATGAGAGTATGCCTAGGTTCAATGTAAGTAGACGGTTACCGCAGGCGCAGAAGGGCGAGGAAGAGCTAATCGATCCGCAGTACGTGAACTCTTACCCGGTCACCGCGATGAAGTATGGGATCAACACGCTGTCGGAGGAGTTCTTTGGTGGCGAGCCAGATATCGCTGTGGCGGGACCGTAAGTCGAAGTCTGCACCCAAGCGGCTACAATCATCCCTAATAAGACGTACAGCAACGTCGGGTCCAACCTAGGCATCATAACCCAGTTCTCCGGCACCGTAGGCGCAGCCGTCGAAGCTGTCAAACAAGGCATTCCAGCAATCGCCTTCTCTGGCTCTTCTGGCTCTCAGACTGCTTGGAATGCGCCCCTCGAAACCTACATGTCAACATACGCGGACCTTTCCACCACACTCACACAAGCAGTGGTCAACTCCGGTACCCCCTACCTACCAGGCGATGTCTTCCTCAACGTCAACTACCCCGAGATCGGCGACAACTGCCGCAAGCCGTCAGACTTCAAGTTTGTGCTGTCGAGGGTCAACATCGCGGTTCCGTTTGTCACGCCGGATGATGTAGAGACTTGTGGGAATGATGGCAGGCTGCCGAATGAGAGGGATGTGATTGGGACGGATGGCTGTTATGCTTCTGTCAGCGTGGGAGATGCCAATGACAAGACGACGGCGGGGATCAAGGCGCAGAGGGTTGTGCTTGGGAAGTTGCAGAGCATTTTGTCTTGCCTACCAGAGTAGCATTCTTGTATCAAGGCAATGAGCTATAAATTTGATTCTTGAAGCGATTATGGTCAATCACGTGCAAGCATGTGAAAGTGAGACACGCTACGATCGCGTGGTGCACCCGCTCGATCGGTAAACCCTGTTCCGGGCGCTCGACCCACACCAACGGGGAAACGATGTTTACTCGGTCAGGTCAGCGTCAATCACTCCTCGATACCTTCTGGAACAATACTCGAACGATCAAACCACCGTTACGACGACGACACGACGGAGGAGAAGCCATTGCCGCCACTGTATGCGCTGCGCCACAGGAGCTTAACACGCACTTCGTAACACGAGCTGACCCTGCGTCTGGATCTGGACTGATCGAAGCAGGCATTCGACGCCGTACAACCTGAGATACTGCGAGCTGCCGAGACCAAAACAAATAAGCAACCTGCGGCCTTCCTACGACCTACAATCCGCATTGTATTGAGCGTTGCGATTGTAAGAGAATTGGATCTTGGGAGAGAGCCTCGTCCCATCCTGCTGCAGGCGAGCTCGCTTAAAGAGATACGGACCCAACTCAGCGGCTGGCCTTAACTGCCCTATATCACAGTAGCGAGAACCGCAGTCCAAGCAGTTGGATCGGAAGACTTGGATATACGAGAGGCGACATATCTGTACAGCTCCTAACCAGCAGCACCACCCACATGCAGCCTCCTCTGCCACAGCGATAACACCCCCCTTCCAAACATACCCGCCGACTCCCTACCGCCCCCATGGACGAGGCTGCGGCGCACATCCTCTACGCCTCCACCGCCCTCCTCGCCCGCGCCGACAACGACAACAACAATGGCTCCTCTTCCGGCAACTCCACCTCCTCCGACTCCACCTCAGACTCCGGCAAGCGCCCCGCGACCTACAAAATCGTCGGGATATGCCTCGCGATCGCCTCCGGCCTCTTCATCGGCGTCTCCTTCGTGATCAAAAAGATGGGCCTGCTAAAAGCCAACGCGAAATACCACGAAGAAGCCGGCGAAGGCTACGGATACCTGAAGAACGCTTGGTGGTGGACGGGCATGACTCTCATGATTCTCGGCGAGATATGCAATTTCGTCGCATACGCTTTTACGGACGCTATACTTGTTACTCCACTCGGCGCGCTGAGCGTGGTGGTGACGACGGTTCTGAGCGCGATCTTCCTGAAAGAGCGCCTGAGCTTTGTGGGCAAGGTGTCGTGTTTCCAGTGTATACTGGGCTCGGTGATTATCGTGCTCAATGCGCCGGAGCAGGCTGCTGTGGCGGATATACAGGAGATGCAGCATTTTGTCATATCGCCGGGCTTTCTGTCGTATTCCGGGGTGATCATTCTTGGCTCGGCGGCTGTAGCATGGTTTGTGGCGCCCAAATACGGGAAGAAAAGTATGCTGGTGTATCTGTCGATTTGCAGCCTGATTGGGGGCTTGTCGGTGGTTGCGACTCAAGGCCTTGGTTCGGCGGTGTTGGCGCAAATTAATGGGAAGCCGCAATTCAATCAGTGGTTTTTGTATGTGCTGCTGGTGTTTGTGATTGCGACGCTGTTGACGGAGATTATCTATCTAAACGTATGTCGAGACGTGCTGGAGGCGAAGAACATGTGCTAACGAGTTGAACAGAAAGCGCTCAACATCTTCAATGCCGCGCTGGTTACTCCAACCTACTACGTCTACTTTACGAGCTCGACAATCGTGGCCTCCGCGGTCCTCTTTCAAGGCTTCCACGGCACCGGGATACAGATCGCCGACGTTGTTATGGGCTTCTTGGTCATCTGTTCTGGTGTGGTGCTGCTGCAGCTCGCGAAGAGCAGCAAAGACGTACCCGACACTGCTGTCTTCAAAGGCGACCTTGACCAAGTGCGCACAGTCGCCGAACAGGAAGAACCAGAGTACGAGCCACGAGCAGACACTATCCGAGGTGGTGCTGGAATCGTGCGCGCAATGTCTCGTGTGCGGGGGAAAAGGGAGGCAGACGAGATGCGACGAATCCACGAAGAGCACATGGAGCCTATCCGTGAAGACGAGCACGTTGAATGGGATGGTCTTAGAAGACGGAAGACAAGCAGCACGGCACATACTATGTCTGTGAAGCGGACGAAGACCGTCCATCCTCCCCTGGGCATGTCACATTTCCCGAACGACGACGACAACGTGAGCGAGCCAGATTCAGAAGTACATCCAGGCTTCTTCGGCCGAATAGGCAGAAAGAGTCGATCAGGTACGGTCGATTCACAAACGAACAGGAGCCGCAAAGGTCACAGCCCCGTTCCACTCCGCGACGTCGATCCTGAAACCGTGGAAGGCGGCGGCGTCCACACCTACGGCCTCCCACCCGGCCTCCAACCCTCCCACGACGGTGCATCAGACACCGAATACAAAGGCGCCTCATCCACCCACATCCACTTCGCCGGCGGCCTCCCCGACCCCCGCGACCGCGCCCCCTCTCACAGCAGCTCCCTCGCTCCACCTCGCCCACCACCCCACGCCTCCGGCACAGGCGGCGGTACCCGCCGCCAATTCAGCTTCCAAAACGTCTTCCACCGCAAACGATCCGACGCCGCTTCCGACGGCCGACCGACTAGCCGCGGCGCCCTCTCCTTCATCTCTAGGCACAGCCCAGGCAATACCCCCGACAACTCCTACCCCGGCACCTCCGGCAACGGCGCCACCGAAGAAGAACGTCTCGGGCTCGTGCACGGCGATTCCTCGAACCCCCTTCCCAAATACGCGGAAGTCGTCTCCGAAGAACCTCGCGAGGAAGAAAGGGATAGCGACGAGTGGCAGGTCACTTCGGGCACGAGCAGTATTCCGCACGACGTCGAGGTGGATTTGGGACGGCAGAGGAGGAATCGCGATCCGCATGATGATTATTATGATGATGATGATGACGATGAGCTTTATGATGAGCCGTTGAGTCCGCCGGTGGCGCCCAGGCAGGGTGGAGGTGGGAGAGGGGGTGGTGGGAGTCCGGGGGCGTTTGTCTGAGGGGCGTGTTTGAGGGGGTTTTGATTGAGCGTTCTGAGCGTGTGTTTTGGGTGGCATTGGGCATTGTAGTGGTGTACATGTATGACGCTGTTTATACTTTGAGATGGCCGAGGAAGCACGACAAATAGTTCTGTAAGCGTCTTCGCCGTGCCATGATACATCGTCTGCAGAGCTTCGTGAGTTACCCTTCGCCATGGAAGAAGCGCAAACGAGCCCGGCCAATACAAGGTCAACGACATCGAGGCGGCACGAAACCAATATGGAGAGACTCGAAGTAAACGTGGGTTGCTTGCTGCTCGATTACGATGTATGTGATGTGTACTTCGAAATCCCCTCCTATACCAATCACTCTCCTTTTGATCCCGATCAACCCTGAGTCTCTCTCAGGCGGTATGGCACCCTATCACCATCGTAAGACCCCTCATCCCCATCCGAATTCTCGCCTGCTTCCTTCTTCTTCAAGTCCCTAACCCCAGAAAACGAAGCACCCTCATCCAGCAATGGCACCTCCTTGGAGAAACAGTGCCGATCCTCCGCCCTCAGCGCATCCCACCACTCCTCTGGCAACATCTCCGCCGTCTCCATCCCCGCCGCCCTCGCCGCCTCAAAGGTAGGACAGCTCCGCCCAAACCAATCCGCGTCGTAGCCATCGTGCCGGCCGAACGTGTCCTCGAGCTTGGTCACCATGTCCCAGTCCAGCACCTCGTCGCGACTGCGTCTGCACGCCTCCTCGAGGATCTCCACGATCTTGTCCGGGGCGAAAAGGGCCTTCAGCCCGCCACGAGCCACCATGTCGTAGACGTCGACCCAACCTTCGTTCCGGTAGACGTCGATCTGGTACGCGCGACGACGGAAGTGGACTTCCAGCGTGAATCCGAGCGGGACGCCGTGCTTGGTGATCGGGTTGTAGATGATGTGGCGAAACATGACCAGCTCGCGCTCGTTGCTGAAGGCGCCGCCGATGCTGGACAGCCACGCTCTGGCGACCTTTTCGCTCGGCGTGGACTGATGTCCTCCCGCGACATAGTTGAGCGGAGCGGCGAAGGCGAAGGGGTTCCGTGGGCCGTTCGGGTCGTCTTCTGTGAACACGTTGTTGATGACACAGTCGACATCCGCGTTCATGCGGAAGGTCGTTGTGGCGAAGAAGAGTTGCAAGTACTCATTGCGCAGCACCCGACTGACGCGGACGAGTACCGGAGGTCGGACGGTTTGGAGCTCACGACACCAGAGGTTGTTTGGATCGTGGCCGCCGAAAGCGTCGACCTCTTCGGGAAGGTAGTCGAAAATCTTCAGGCGGAGCTCGCTGGGGATAGTGGCTAAACCCTGGCACGGCCCTTTGGAGTGGATTTTATCGCAAAGCAGTGCGGAATGGTTGGGGATGATCGTGTAGTAGTCATCCCTGAGCGACACCAACGGATCGTTGCGGTCGTCGAGGGCGAAGAGTGGGTACATTGCGACGAGTGCGGTAGAATATACGGAGCTGATGAAGTCGTATAGCCCGGATGTGCCGATGTAGTATCGAGCACAGGGGCCGCAGACCTGTCTCAGTAAGCAGCTAGATGCTCGAGAAGTAGCTCGTGCTTCTCTTCTGTCGGGCGTGGCAAGCTTTGCTGACCGAAGCAAACGCCTAGGATTTGCCTTGGTCCTGCGAGGTCGTCGTTGTTGCTGGCAAACGCTCGGAGTGGAAGCAAGCGGTGGCGACAAAGGTGAACGCAAAGTGCCCTGCAGCGTAGTCGAAGCGTGTGTGCTGTTGTCTCAGCGAAGGTTGCGAATGCAGCGATGGTTAGCAAACGATGGCGAGATGTGCGTTGGTGCTGCTCGAGTAGGCTTGCTCGTCGACGTTGTGTCGAAAGAGAAGGCAGGCGAAGGTGGACGAGGTTTGAGAGGTGAATGCAAAGTGCACCGCAGCTTCGATGCGTTGTGCCGTTGTCTCAGCGCAAGATCGCGAGCGCAGCAGAGTCAGCAAACGATATCAAGACGAGCCTCAATGCTGCTCGTAGATGCGTGCTCGTCGATAGCCCTTCTTGAGATGAGCTGAGCGGAGCGATGGTCGCTGAGATTGGAAGGATGTATGTGAGGTGAAGTGCAAGCAAAAGGTGTGCGTGGACGTTTTCACCCAAGGTGGGATATGCTGTAGAGGGGTGAAAAAGGGCCTCGAAATCTGGTTGAGCAGGTGTCCAAGATCCTCTCGGCGTCGACCAGTAGTCGATAGAGCAGAGGTCAGCGAAGGGGAGGTAAGCGGAAGTGTGGTAAGCAACGCTCGAAGAACGGCTGTCGAGTATGCTGCGAATAGTAGTCGATGTTGTGTAGCAATATCAGGACGAGAGTGTGTTAGCGATGGTATTGTTATGCAGCAGGATGCAATGTGGATGATGCGAAGTCGAAGCTGTTCTTCGTGGTGAATGGCAAAGTCAAATTCTGAAACTCCGTATTGGGGCAGATGACCTTCCAGCCATCTTTGGTTGGCTTGCACTCCACGCGTTGTCTGAATCTTTGAGGTAGCGTCCCAAAGGGGCCAGCTGGTTGAGAATACGACCCTAGTTGGGTGAAAAAATTGCCTGATGGCCGGATGCGGTATGCAAGCTGGGAGCAGGACGTAGGCGTCGTCCCGACGCGTACCCACCGAGCAGATACCGTCCCCAGGGTAGGGTAGAACTCGTCCATTGCAGCGATGGTTTGGCGGTCGAGGTCAACAAAGTCGTACGACCGGAAGCTGTATTTGTTACTGGACACCGAAGGCCAAGTCAACTCACTCCCCTTTGATCCAGCAATCACCACGTCCCCCAGCAGCAGCGCCTCACTGATGCTTCTCCCCCTCCTCCTTCATCCCCTGCATCACCCACCTCGAATGATACCGCGCATACTCCTCCTCCCCCTCCTTCGTCTTCATCTTCTCCTTCATCTCAAACTTCTCCGGCACATCTACGCCTCTCCCCACCGCCGCCCTCTGCTGAATCACCTCCAACCACTTCTGCAGCTGCGGAAAAGGTTTCGTCTCGATGCCGGCCCATTCGGCCCAGTTGACCCAGGCGAAGCAGCAGAGGTCCGCGATCGTGTACTTGCCTCCTACCAGCCAGAGGCCTTGCTTAGCGGATTGCTGCGCGGCGAGACGGTCGTTGAGGACGGTGTAGAGGCGTTTGGTTTCGGTCTGGTACCTATTAATCGCGTAATCGATTTTGGTCGGGGCGTAGCGGTAGAAGTGGTTTGCTTTTTCATCTCATCAGTTTCCTCTTGCATTGGAATGCTAGGGCGAAAGGGTGCTGACCTTGCCCTTGCATCGGGCCTATACCCGACTGCATCCAGACGAGCCATTCGACCATCCCCCAGTACTCGTCGCTGTCGTACGGGAAGCTGATGGCATGGTCTTTGTCGTATTTCTCGCAGAGGTAGAGCTGGATGGCTGCGCCTTCGAAGACTCGCTTGGGCTTCCCAGAGGTCTTGTCTACGATGGCTGGGATGCGGCCGTTTGCTGGGGTGGGGCGTTAGCATGTAGTGTTCCAGTAGAGAATGCCTTGGAAGGACGGGCAGAAGCTAACGGTTGATCTCCAGGAACCACGGCTCCTTCTGGATGTTCTTCGAGATCTCGACATTGTGCACTGTATACTTCAAGCCGAGTTCCTCGAGCGTACAGCTGATCTTCTGGCCATTGGGCGTTCCGCTCGTGTATCTGTCTATCGAGTTAGCCCGTTGGCGATCTCTTCTTGTATCCAGACGCTCCACTGGCGCCCTAAAGTCCATATGTGGTCGACGGGGACCCTCCTCCAAGGCTGGACTTACAGATCGATGTCCGTCTGCTGAGGCGCCATACTGAGTCTAGCCGTACGAAATTGGCGCTGTCTGCTTATTCTGTATGTCTCTCAACGTTTCCTCAGGAGTCGATAAATCTGAGTCTTCTCACTCCCGATCACCCGAAGAGTAGAGTGCAGTGCATGTGATGCCATCCTGCGGTGCGGTAAAGGCGACGTCATGCCCGAGGAGGAGCAGCCGCATTGTCGAACCTTGAGAGGCATACACATACCCTGCCTTCCAAGAGCCATAGTAAGTGCATACCGATACACAGTACTGCTCCGCTCGTACGAAGCGGAGATGTGTGCGGATCCCGTGCGTACGACAGGTTGTGTAGTCTGTGGGCATGAATTTCGGCCGGAGGGGCTTTGGAGGCACAAATAGGAAGTGTGAAGAAGCTGGGAGATATTTACAAATGCTCCTCGTACATGTCGGTGCATTCCATTTGGCTTGCGAGCAAGCAAGCATCTTTAATTGGTAACTCGATGTCTCACATGCCTACTCTCACAAGACTACCATAAAATGCACATGAGACACTCGCTCCACGAACCACATACGCAACGACTTCAACCACCCTCCCTACTCATCCTACTGCACCACCCTATCTAACCTCCCAACACCTAACCCGCCCCTGCTCATTCCCCACCGCCAAAACCGAATGCACGTCCCCCCCGACCACCTCCCCGCCCGCAATCGCCACCCCGGAAATCCGCCCCAAAGGCGTCGAGCCCGTGGGCCAGTTCCGAAAAACAGCACAACTAGGCAAATGCACCAGTCTCAGCGCGTTGGCTTTCCACTTCGACGATATCGCTAACAGCTGTCCGTCTGGGGAGAACGTCAGATGCGAGGTAGGCGTGGTGAGTTGGTCGAGGACCTTGGTAGGTTTAGGCTGGGAAGGAACTGGCTGATCCTGTTTAGAGGCGGAGGCGAGCCAGACGCGGCGGTCGTAGATGTTGACTATGCCTGACGAGCTGCCCACGACGATCCAGCGATCGGTGCCGATGGTTGATTTGACGAATTCGTGCTGGCCTCCTAAAGCGATGGTCGTGATGCCCACGGCGCCTTCGTCCTGCCAGCGCGCGGTGATGCGGCGGTCGAGGACGGACCACTCTGTAATTTCGCCATTTTTGCCCGCGATGCTCATACCTTTGCTATCGCGCCACCAGGCAAAGTCGGCGATGCCGTTGCGGCTTTCGACACGGACTTGGCAGATCCATTGGAGGCTGTTAGCGTTGAGGATATTGATGATGCCCCCGCCTTTGCGGGCGGAGCCGAGGAGGGCCATGAATTTGCCGTTGGGGCTGAGTTTGAAGGTCTCCATGCTGCGTTGTTCGTGCTGTTGACCGTAGATGCGGGTGATCTTTTCGACGCGGCCGGTGTCGAGGTTCCAAATGTGGAAGTAGCGGCGGCGGGCGGAAAGGAAGATGCGGCCGTCGGTAGGGTGGAAGGCGGTTGTTGAGAGGGGGGTGCCGCGGATGTGCATGCTGGTTAGCAGTGGATTGGGTGTTGGTGCGGGTGGTGATGAGGCTAGGTGGTGGAGGTAGAGGGTTGAGGATGGTCCGGAGGTGAGGAGTAGTGGTATTTGAGGGTGGAATGATATTGATGTGACCGCGGATGGCTGAGTCCCTGGTATGTCCTTCGCACGCTGGATGTCGATTGCTTCTGGCCGCAGCTTTCGCTTCTTGCCCGCTCCAGAACGTGATGACCGCACAAGGCCCTCTGCATCTCGAAGTAACTTCGACAGAGGGGCGGCGGAGGGCACATCGTCGTCGGTATCCATGTCGACATCCGAGTCCTCCTCATCCGAGGTCGCCTTCCCAGATAGCCTCCGCTTCTTCAACGCCGGTTGCTGCAGAGCATGCCTCGCCCACTCTGGTGCTGGGTTGAGGAGCTCAAACTGCTGCCGCAGTCTTCTGGCATACTCCTTCCCGTTGACAACATCTTCGGCCTCTGTTCTGCGCAACTTGCGTAGTCGAGGTACGGAAGCCAGGGAGACCATCATGCGCTCGTCGTCGCTGTCCTCCCATGCTGCTGGGTACCTCGATCTCAGCGTCTTCTCATCGTCTGCTGAGGTCTCAGCCACCTCTCCAGCCTGACCAGCTTGTCCTACATCCGTAAAGAAGAGCTTCAACGTGTCAGTAGCTGTATTGGCATCGTGTATACTCGAGAGCCTGACCTACATCCGCATCGTCTAGCCCAGCAAAGCCAGTGTCTGCTGCATCTTCCTCATCTTCTCCGTCCCGCTCGTCCGCAAAAGCTGCCAGACCTCTTCTGAAGCCCGCGCTGTCCCCAAAGACCAGCTGCTCGAGCTCTTCTTCGCTCTCATCTTTCTCTGGCTCGTCTATTTCGATCTCAACATCGGACTCGTCGCTCGCACTTCTCTCTTCCGCCTCGCTCTCCTCGCGCTCGGGGTCATCCACCACATCTCTCCTTTGCGACCGACTCATGTTTGCTGAACAAGCGGTTTGCTAGGCGCTTCCAGCGACTCGAAAAGCCGGACAAATTTCTAGAAGTGATGTCACAAGCTTCACATCCCAAAGCGGTTAGCTCAGCCCTACCCGCGCCTCCTCTGCTTCAGTCAGTCACTGTGAACAAACATTCGCAATTACTCCCCTCTTCCCTCTTCCACACAACCCTCTATCGCTCATATACACAAACACCACGCACCGCGCATATACCCAAGGCGACTCACGAAGACATCCACTCACAACACGTCGCACCCCGACAACACCATGGCCGGCGTCCCCGTCGAGGCCGGCAGCGAGCTGGCGCAGGCGATCCAGAGCGCCGTGCAGCCCAAGCTCATCGAGAACGGATGGGTGGCGGAGGAGACCGACACGACTCTCTCAGAGTACGTGACGATGATGATGGTGAACGGTAAGGACCTCCAAGGCGTCGCGTCAGAGTTGGGAGGAGACTTGCTGGGCGTGGGCGAGGACGATGCGGCGGTTATGGCATTCGCGCAGTGGCTGTTCGAGCAGGTGCAGATTATGGCGGGGCCGCAGATGAAGCAGGAGATGGGCGGGATGCCGGAAGTGAAGCAGGAGCAGATGGAGGCACAGTCTTTCCCCGTAGCGCAAGACGACGCGCAGATGGACGATGCTGCTGCTTCGAGTGAGCCTATCCCGAGCGGGCCAAAAGCGATGCGCAATGGCGGTGGTCCGGGTCGAGGACGAGGCGGACGTATGCTCGGTCAGCTTAATAGCCACATGAACCGCGAGCAGAACCAAGCAGATCCTTTACGGCGGATAAAGGGGGCAGCAGGAGGTCAGGCGGGCAGGATCGACTCACACGGAGGGAGAGGTGCGCCTCGAGGACCCAGAGGAGGACGGGGTGCGGCGAACGGTATACAGCGCATGATGAACGGCAGAGGAGGCGCACAAGCCGCGATGGGACAAATGAACCCGATGGTGCAGCAAGGCGCGATGAACTCGCTAGATCCATCACAACAGATGGCCTTCATGCAGATGATGGAGATGCAGGCGACGATGATGCAGCAAATGCTCCAACAAAACGGCGGCCAAGCACCCAACTTCGCCCAGCAAAACAGCAACAAATCCCTCTTCGACCGCGTCGACAACAAGCGCCCCAACGGCAACTTCAAATCCCGCCAATACCAAAAACCCACCCCCGGCCAAAACGGCGACACCAATTCGATGGAAATCGACGGCGAAGGCAACCCCAAAGCCCCCTTCGACACCGTCTGCCGCTTCAACGCCGCCTGCACCAACCCCTCGTGCCCCTACGCCCACCAATCCCCTGCCGCCCCACCAAACCAAACCCTCGACCTCACCGACACCTGCTCCTTCGGCCCGGCGTGCGAGAACCGCAAATGCGTCGGCCGCCACCCCTCCCCCGCGCAGCGCACCCAACATCTCAAGCAAGAAGTCGACTGCAAATTCTTCCCCAACTGCAACAACCCCAACTGTCCCTTCCGACACCCCGACATGCCTCCGTGCAGGAACGGAGCGGATTGCAACGTCCCCGGGTGCAGATTCACGCACAGCAAGATCGCATGTCGATATAACCCGTGCACGAAGCCGCATTGTCCTTTCAAGCATTCGGAAGGGCAGAAGGGGGTGTTTAAGGATAAAGTGTGGACGCCGGGGGCGGATGGGGTGCCGAGCCTGGAAGGCGAGGGGGGTGAGGGGCAGGGAGGAGAGGGGACGGCGATGAGGTTCGCGGGGTTTAGTACGGGTGGAGAGGGGTCCGAGGAGTTGATTTTGCCTGGACAGCAGAACGGGCAACAGCAGGGGGAGGTGAAGCAGGAGAATGGAGAGGCCATTAAGACTGAGGCGGTGTCTACCTAGGTGGAGACGCCGGGAGGTCTGAGGAGGAGGCATTCGTCCGCTTGAGAAGCAAGCTGGACGTGATGGCTGAGGACAGGGCGATGAGGCTTGATTATGTGTGCAGAAGGGAATGAGATGAGCCGAGATGAATGGGACTGTGAGCTGATGAGGTATACAGCCAGCTTTTCTGTACCAACATTTACCTTCTTCGGCGCTCGCTTTTGGCGCTCTACATATACCAAGTCCTCACATCCGTGCACTGTGCCGTCTTGACGTCGCATCTTCTTCGAGGCCTCTCGGTCCTTCCAGTCGTCGACAGCATTCACCAGCACCAAAACATAGGATAGGTACTACAGCAGCGACTCGGAAAAGCTGCTGAAGCAGATGGATGAGCAGGTGCACCATTCATCCTTTATCTTAAAGTCTCGACTCGACTCTACTGGTCCTGACCATGTGCAGCCGCTCCCACGGAGCAGCGCTGTAGTCTTTCGTATTTCCCATGCCATTCATGCCTTCCATTTCAAACATGAACAACCATCCATCCATGCAAATGCCATCCGCGTCATCGACGCCATCACGCCGTCAACTAAAGCCCCCCTCCATCCTACGGCCGACACCCTCACCCTCACCCTCAAACCCCCTCCCGCCGAAAAAAATAAACATAAGCAAACCTCCCCATCTCCTCCGCCTCCCCTCCCAACGCCACCTTCTCATCATTAAACAACACCCACCCCTCCCCACCGCCTTCACTCTGCGGTAACTGCTTCTTGACAAAAGCCACGTAGTGCCCGGCGTGGATACTACTACCCTTATGGCAGACGATGCTGTTGAGCGCGAATTTCGCCGGGCGGGTATCCTTCACGCCCGCTGGCGGGACGGCTTCAGAGGTCGAGGGGGCTGCAGGTTCGTCGTCGCCGAAATCGCCAGTAGCATCTGGGTGCGAGAAGAGCCAGTCCACAGCGCGTTCCATGTCGCCGCCGGTTTCCTTGAGAGCTTGCCGGGCCTGCGGGGCGGAGAAGCCCATGTTGCCCAGGTTCTCAATCTTCTCGGGGTCGGCTGCACTGCCGCCTCCGGCTCCGCCGTCGCCAGCTCCCGGGAGGTCCATAGGGACGTCGATGTCTGGGTCCTCCATGTGCTCGAAGAGCCAGGAAGCGGCCATGTCGGCGTTGGCGTTGCCGGTGGCGTGGAGGGCTTTGGTGCAGCGGACTTCGGGGAAGCCCATGGCTGTTAGTTGGTCGAGCATGCCTTGGTCTGGGACGAAGGCGTTCTTTGCAGGTGCTGAGGCGGCAGCATCTTCTGGTAGCTCGACTTCGTCTGGTTGCTTGCCTGTGCTGCGGTAGGGCTCGAAGTCGATGAGCTCGTCGCCGACGATCACAGGAACATCTTGTTTGGTGGGGACCCAATTGATGAGTTCGAAGCGGCGAGCGTTGACTGCCAAGATAGTAGGGAAGGTCTTGAACTTTGTCTGTTTGCTGAACTCTGGGCCGCCACATTCACCACACTTCAGCTCGACATACTCCTGCTTTGTGTAGTCGTCGAGGCATTGCTTGAACGTCACTGGCTCGAACTCTTCCTTCACCTCGCCCTTGTCGCCATCGGTCATCTGTACTTCTGGCTGCGGAAGCTTCTTGACAGGCACAGCGACCGACAGATTCTCCATCTCCTCCAGGCTGTAGCGAACTTTGGAGCAGGTGAGACATTGCAGCCTCTGCTCCATGACAAAGCGGAAGGCGTCGACCGGGTCGTTAGCGTCGGGGTATTGGACACGAGCAGATTGTTGCGAGCGAGAGATGAGTTTGAGGAGATGGAGTAGCAGTTCGAACGCATCTTGCTGACGCATTGTGCTGAACTCAGAGTGGCCTTTGCCGATGAGGTGCTTTAGCATGGCAGGAGCCAGGCCGCGTTGCCAGGATTGCTCTTGTTCCTCATTGGTGTTTTCCGGCACACTGTACCGACCAGACAGCAGGCCATCCGCCATCTTGCGTAATTGCACTTCGAGATCCTCTGCAGGCTTAAGGGCAGGCGCGGGCGGTTGGTCTGGCTGGCAATAGCGCTTCTGGAATTCAGGCATGGAGAAGAGGGATTGTAGAATGGAGGCGAGGTAGCAGCTGTTGCCCAGATTCTTCAGGCCTGTCAGACCTGGTCCATACAGTGCCTTGAGCTCCTTTCCTTCTGCCGTCGTCATGCTGAAGTCGTAGGTGAGGTTGTGCTCCAGCTGCATCTCCGTCACACTCTTCTCCGTCTTTGTCCTCCCTTGCACGTCAACCTTCCAGTGGAGTAGATGCTTCACCAGATCAGGGTCGATGACCTCCTCGTCGCAGGCGTAGCAGTGAACATCTGCGTGACCATCTGCTGTCAGAGACCCCAGCTTCACCGCCACAGGATGACCCGTCGATGCGTTGTGGTCTACTTGGTGGTTGTTCCCGGGAGGCCCCATGTTCATGAACATCTTCCGTCCGCAACCAATGTTACCACAGGTCAAACAGAGCCAGAGGTTCTCTTTCAGTTCGCAGCTCTTGCATTTGCTTAGATCGCCGGTGAAGTATTCGCTGTCGCTTAACTGCTTCAGAGTCTGAGTATGCTGGCACGGCTTCAGCTCTTGTTCCCATGCTTGCACCTCCGCTTCCCTCGCGAACGTGTTGGCCTGTAACACCGCGTCAACGATCCCGTTGTCCATGGCGAGGTCGTGGGTGCCACATGCCAGGCAGTGCACGTCAGTCTTGGTGTCGTATCTATCCTGCTCCGTCTCGGCCTGGATGGAGAGCTTGGTGATCTTCTCGGGAGGCTGGCCATCCTTCCGCTCCTTCTTCTTGCGAGTGCGTTTGATGTTGAGGGCGAGCGGGTGGGAGAATTGTACGGCGTGGAGGTTTGAGTGGGTTCTGTCACCTGCGCAGCCACCGTTGAAGCAGTGCAGGCAGACGTCTAGGCCGGCTGGGTCATCGATGCTGTCGAAGCAGAGGGTGCAGTCTTCGCGGTAGACGGCGTCGGTGGGCTTTGGAGGGGCGAGGTCTTTGATGTGTGGGCAGGTCGCCATGTTCTCCAGCTGCCTCGTTGGTTTTGTGGTAGTAGGCAGTGGCAAGGATCTTGACTAAAGGAAGGGCAGTATCGAGAAGGCAGACGTTTGTTAATTTACGGCGCGTTTCGCCTTCACGTCTAATAATCTAAGGAGATGACGTTTGGCGGGGCTCGGATCGGATAAATGAGCCTCCGACCTCACCCACCTTTTCCAGCCTTTCAGGCGCGACTCGAGCAGCATCACATCTGACCGCGGTATCGTCGGTGCACACGATGGCGAAAGCTAGACCGATGGCAAGAACTCTCGAAGCGAAGAACTCCCAGCTGCGGCTGCAATGATTACAGAAACCAATGGACCATGTGCCGAGGACGGAGAGAGCGTGCCAAAGGCAACCTGTCAGAGCTCAAGAGGACCTGCGTTTGAGGTCATTAGTGGGGTCATGGAAGAGAAGGAGGGCTCGTCATGTTTTGTTGATGATTAGGTATGCAAAGTTTTGAAGCACCTACTTCCTTTCATCTTGCCTTTAGCTACACTTTCCGTACTTCTTCCATATCCCAGATTCGTAAGCAAAGAAGAACAAGTAAAGAAAAATGGCATCCAACCCACCAGGACAGTGCTGCACCATCGGTGTCAAGCACGAAGGAAAAGCCCAGGGTGAAATCAAGGAGGTCGGCGGCAGTGAATATACAACTACACCTTTCTCGCGGACAGTATTATTGACATGAGAATAGTCTCCTCGTACATGGTCTATCCCAAGGACAAGCAGACCGCCAACGCCATCCTCGTAGGCTCTTCCAATGCCCTTTCCCGAAGAGTATTAACTGACACGAAACAGATCCTCCCCGACGTGATCGGCCACGAATTCATCAACGCCCAACTGTAACCTCCCCCCTTCCCCCTCCATCCGCGAAGCCAGCCTAACCTCCCCCCAGCATCGCCGACCAATTCGCCGCCAACGGCTACTTCGTCGTGATGCCCGACCTCTTCGAAGGCGACCCCATCCCGCTCAACCGCCCCGCCGACTTCGACATCATGGCCTGGCTGCAAAAGTCCGGCCCCCAGGGCAAAGGCCACGGCCCGGGGCAAGTCGACCCCATCGTCTCCGCCGTCATTAAAGCCATGAAATCCGACCTCGGCGTGAAAACTCTGGGATCAGTGGGCTACTGCTTCGGTGCCAAATACGTCGCGCGCTTCTCCGCTCAAGGCCAGGGGATCGACGTAGGATGCATGGCACATCCATCTTTCGTAGACGCAGACGAAGTTCGGAAGATGCGTGCGCCCCTGAGTATCGCGGCCGCGGAAACGGATCAGATCTTCCCAGCCGAGAAGAGACGTGAAACGGAGGATATCCTGAAAGAGCACGATATCCCGTACCAGATGTCTTTGTACTCCGACGTGGAGCACGGGTTCGCCGTCAAAGCGGATCTGAGCAACCAGCGGGCTAAATTCGCAAAGGAGGCGGCGTTTTTGCAGCATGTGCAGTGGTTTGACGAGTTTGTCAAGGGCAAGAGGGATAGTGCTGCGTAGGAGTGTTCTGTATAAGTGGTGCTGGGGAGGAGGGGCGAGGTCGATAGATGGGACTTGTCTGGAGCTGGAGAGAAGATGTATAGAACCAATGTTAAATTTCTCAGCCAGACCTTTGCTTCCATTGTGTCTACCGTGCGTATCATTACTTCGAGGCGCTGACAATACATGTAGTGAGTGGTAGGTGTACTTGAAAGGTGAAACAATGCTTCTTCAACTTGCAGAACTCTCGCGCAGCTAGGTGTCGTTCCTCACAACCTGATAACCCTAACAGCATGGCGGGTTTTAGAGGGTAGTCGACTCGACAGACTGAACTAACGTGCCCAAGTGAACGACTTTTCCTTCCTGGACTACAAGACTTATTACCCAGCCACCCCTTTCCCCTCCACCACGCCCAGCACCTTACCCAAGTTCCTTACCACCTATTCCTCCCCAAAAACCCCTTAATCAACTGCGCAACCTCCCACCCCTTCGTCTCCAACACAAAATGCCCCGCCTCCAACGCATGCACCTCCGCCTCAGGCAAATCCTTCCTAAAAGCCTCCGCCCCCTCCCACACAAAAATGGGATCAGCCTTACCCCAAACCGCCAACATCGGAACCTGGCTCTCGCGAAACCACTTCTGAATCTTCGAGTACAGGGGGAGATTGGTGCGGTAATCGTAGAAGAGATCTAACTGCCGTTCTTGATTCTCTCGCCCGTGGAGGTTCATCCAGAAATCCGTCGTCGGTTGCACGGGATCCACGAGCTCGTGGTCGGAGGCCGGGAAGCCAGTGTAGTACTGCCCCTTCGTAGCGGGGATAGTGAGGTAGTTCTCCCGCAACCACTCGCGGTCAGCGACGCTGTTGGGCTTCGTCTCATTCCACAGCGCTTCGATGGGTGTCCAGAAGGGATGTCCAAACCCGGCGTCGTAGGCGTTGCCGTTCTGCGAGATGATAGCTTTGATACTCGCGGGCTTTTCGAGGGCGAGGCGCCAGGCGACGGGGGCGCCGTAGTCGAATACATACACAGCGTAAGACGAGATCTCGAGCGCGAGCAGCCAGGCGGCGATGGCGGCGGTGAGGTTGGCAAAGGTGTATTTCATTTCCGCGGGCGAGGTGGTGAGGCCGTAGCCGGGGAGGTCCGGGGCGAGGACGTGGTAGGAGTCGCTGAGCAGGGGGATGACGTTGCGGTATTGGGTTGAGGAGGAGGGGAAGCCGTGGAGGAGGAGGAGGGTGGGGTCGGTGGGGGCGCCGGCGGAGATGTAGTGGATGGTGAAGTTGCCGAGGCCGGGGGCGGTGACCGGGAGGTCGTGGTAGGTTGGGACGGAGAGTGAGGTTGCCATGGTTGCTCCTCGAGATGGAGAGTTGATTTGATGGATCTGATGGCAACGTAAGGGTGCAGGCTTTTAATTCTTGCTTGAGACTTGTGATAGAGAGAAGAGTCCTGGAAGCTTGCACTGCTCCTACCTCTATACTGCAGCCCGGCCTTTCAATCCATCTGCTTCTCCTGGCGTTTGATCATCTAAGGAGACAAGATCTGTGACATCTTCGTAAGGTTGAATGATTACAGGCGGTGATAACAAAGCGGAGACCGACTGCTTGCATGCTCGACGGCTTCTGTGCTGTCAGTGTCGTTCCCGACGAAGCAACGAGGAGCACTTAGTCATGAACGTGAAGTCGAGAATGATGAGTGAATTTCCAAAAGAAGCGAACCATCACCGAGCATCTGCAGAGCGGAAAGAAAGCTCACCACTCATATCGAACTGCTGCTGACAGACCAGCGCCGCGCCAGTCCGAATAGGGAAGTTGGTGTTAAAAGCTTAGCCAGTACCTATATCGCTCGCTCTATCAGCATCAACTCCCTCCAATGCTTGGGTATCATGCCATCTGTCCCGATCACACCACGCTCAAACGCCAGATGATGCAACTACCACCCTCGTCTCTTCCCTCTCGCTTCCGAAGCTCTCGCTTTGAGCGTGACCTTCCGTGCATCATGCTTCTTCCTCTTGTCCTTCGCCCACCGCTCCGGCGCACTGACCGCTTCGATCTTCCTTTTCTGTCGCCTTTCTTCTCTCCTTGCCTTAGCTTCGCCGCGCACGTTGCCGAGAGCTGACAGATACGTCGTGGAGCCGACCTTCTTCTGCAGTAGCTCTAGGAGCTCAGATGCCTTCTCAACAAGCCTACCGTGCGCTTCTCCGAGTTGTTGAGGGATGGTGTTGTCTGTCAGCAGGTACGCTGGCCGAATTGTTCCGGCGAGATCCGGGAGTGTCGATACGTGGTTGACGAGTGAGATCTGGCACTCAATGGCTGCCAGCCGACACGAGATGGCAATCCTCTCCTGGCGTATGATGTACGACAGGCGATTGAGAAGGTAGGCAATCGCGGACGGATCCTTGCCAGTGTCCGGTGTCTCCACTTCTTCGTCGTCTGAGTTTGTGCCTTCATCTGCACGCCATGTCATGTTATTGGCGGCGAAGCACCTCCCCAGGAATGCGAGGTTTCTTGCAGTCTGTGTCGGCAGCACTCCCTCGGTGTCGTCCGAATGAGACAGCAAGACTCTGATGTTGACAGCACAGAACCATCGCAAATCGTCCCCATGAAGCTCGAGGCCTTGCGAGCCACGAAGTGGCACTGCTGAAAGTCCAGATGAGAGTTTGGAGGAAGTGCTGGCAACGTCGGAGAACAGTCGCTCGAGCATCCGCGCGGCAATGATCTTGATCTCGCTCTTCGAAAACCTGAGCGCGGACCGCAACTTCTCCCAGATGCTGGCGGACTTCTTCGAGAACGCTACCACGGGCGCGGCATCAAGCAAGATATCAAATGTCTGCAAAGCATTGTTTGCCACTTCGTCTGTCGCCTCAGCTTCCCCATCTTTCAGCTGATCCAGCATCGAGTCGATCTCATTCCGCAAAGTCTCCAGTCGTCGTGTCGCCGGCAGTCGAGTTCGCAAGCACACCTGCCAGCACTGTAGCGCTGCATTCTGCACAGTTGGATTTCCTTGCAATCGCAACCACTTCTCTAGCAAACCCACATATGTGCTGTAGTGCTCATCATCCGCTCGCTCAAACAGCTTCGCGATCAAGATCCCCGCCATGTGCCGACAGTCAAAGTTGGTGTCGCTCACCTGCACCGGTACGAGCGCCACGAAAAGCGTAAATGCAAGCTGCGCTAAAACATCATCCTGCACCTTGAGCAGCAACTGATGCAGCAGCTCCATCGTACTCTGCCTCCCCGCGGGATGTTCGTACTTGAGGTTTTCCACGAAGAAGGCCGCCTGCTTGTTCCACCTGTCCTTGCCCTGCGGATACTCCATGATGAAGTGGATATAAGCGCTTCTGGCGCCATCTCGAACGTTGCGATCAGCGTTGGTAACGACGACCTTCGAGACCTCATCCATAATCTCGTAGACTTCCGTGATCATGATCTTCCTGCCTACCACTGCTCGGAGGAACTTGTAGACGACGCCTTGCTTGTCCGGCTCATCGATGTCGACTTTGATGGTCTTCAGCACGTCCCCGATATCCTTGCCTTTGACGGGGACTGAGCGCTTCTCACGAAGCACGGCAGTGAGCAGTTCCAGAGCGCCTCTCGCAGCGTCCGTGTTGATGCTTGTGGTTGCCTTGAGTGTCCGCACCGCTTCTTTTGCGTAGACAGGGGCGTCTGTCTCAAGCTCCGGAATAGGCACGCGCATGATGGTGCTCAAGAGGCGCATCGCGGACACCTGAACCTCTTCCTGGGACTGCACGAGCGCATCACCAGCCATTGGTAGGAAGCCAGCAAGGTTACCCGGCGTCTGGAGATCCTCATGTCGTCTCAGAACTTTGCGAAGTAGGTTCAGTGCAAAGCTCACAAGCTTAAAGATGTGAGAAGTAGTCGCCGTCTTGCTCCCTTTTGTATCGCGTCGTTCCGGTTTGATCAGGTACCTGTTCCTTCTAGGGTCCGCCTCCTTCGTTCGTGGTCCACCATCGGACTGCTCAGCATACACATGGCGGACGATCTCATGGCAGAACGTTAGCATGTCTCTGCTCTCGGCAGCCGGGTTCTGGTCAAGGCCTTTCCGTAGCCGGGCGAGCAGGCTATCGATCTTCTCCGCAGATTTGAAGTCCAGCCTTTCCATCAGCAGAGTCCGCACCGGTTGGATTAGTCGGCCGAGCCGCTGCACAGGCGTGACTCTCGCAAGCAACTCCATCGTATCGTAGCTCTTACTGCTCTTAATCTCTTTCATGCCAGTCTTGTACTCTTCAGCCTCTTTCTCTTGGCCAGTAACGCCAAAGATGTCGTCCATGATGACCATGGCAAGCTGGCTGAGACAGTGGTCGAGGTCTCCCGGCTGGTACTGATCGATGGCGTGGACAAGGAGCGAGTGTACTGTGAACGACAGCACATGCAGTTGGTAACCTCTCTGCAATGCCACTCGTAGCTCTTTGAGAAGGAAGCCAAAGTAGGCTGGTCCCACCAGACCCAGGATCGCCGCAAGTGCTTTCCGCGTCTGATCACGAGCTTCGATGCTACGACTGCGCAGTACGTGGCAAACGTCCGTCAAGACTGGCGCAAGACGAATTGACATCTCTTCCTCTGGCAGTAATTGCAAAAGCTTGACGATGGTGACAGCCACTGGCATGCGACGGTCCACGGTCGATTCGTCCTTGAGGTGGAGATAAGCCATAAGAGGCGGTAGGAAGTCCCGCACAATGATATCGGCTCTGGTCTTGATAGTAGCCTCGTCCCAGCCTGAGCGAGACTGACTGTGCAACGCATCCACAAGAACACCAAGCAGTCGCAAAACGACTTTCTCGTGATCCGGCTGAGACTTGAGGAGACCAGTGTAGCGCTTGAACGTAAAGCGGAAGCTAGACCACTTCATCACATTAGCAAGCGCACCGAGAGTGCTGACAGTTTGATCTGCCAAGGTCCGTCCAGCATCGCCCTCGGCTGGGTTGAACACGAAGTGCTCGAGCAACGGAATGAGGTATTTCGTGGCATTGGATGAACTCAATCCATTTGCTTCGTCGGCCAGCCGTCGCAGAGCACGTAGACGACGATGCTGCTGGATATGCAGAACGTTCGTAAAGAAGGAAGCCTCATCATCGCCGCCAACAGTCAGGACCTGAAGATCGGAGACCGAAGCCATGTCTGTAACCTTCTCTACGACATGCCCGAGCAGTCGGACATATTCTGCACGTACGAGCTCCGATGACTCTGCCATGCCGTGCTCGATGCTGGGAAGAATCGTGGTGGTGATCATCTGGCCATACCCCGTCGGTTTCGTAGCTGAAACGGCAACGAAGCGCTCCAGAGCTCGCGCGGCATTCGCCCGATTGACCATGTCCTCGGCGTCCCTGATGAAGTACAAGCAGTTGTGCACGATCGGCTGCCACATCTGAAGAGAGAAATCCTCATACCCCTCGAAGATCTTGACAAAGCCTCTTTCCCGGCGTTCATCGTCGGCTTGGTCCAGTCTGCTGCCGGTTGCATTGAGGTCAGCACAGATCGACGCTGCTTCTGCCAGGTCTTCATCTTTCTTGCACAGCTGGCCAAACACTGCGGAGAGAACATGACGGCCGTCGTCGCTCCGCATCCGAGAGAAAAGACCAGACAGAGCGATGTACAGCGGCGACTCTGCAGGAACGTCAAAGCCTTTCAAAAGTGGTTCAAGAGTCGAGAGTAGACCGATTTTGGTCCTCGGAGACACAAGCTTGCTAGGTTTCGTCAAGAGGCTGGTGCAGACGTTCATCACCGCTTCAGCCTCGGTTTGGTTCTTGATACATTCGGCCAGCTTGGAAAACGAAGTGACACAGGCGCCCAGGACCTCGCTGGATGGGTTGCGGTTAATGACGGATCCAATAGATTGTACGAAAGCCGTGACGTGCGCCTCAGCAAGTATGCCACCTTTGTCCGCCAGGTTATCCAAGATCCCTTGAAGGACGAACAGTCGTACATCGTCTTTGGCAGTCTCTTGAACTAGCAGTTCTGCAACACCGTCGAGAACATACCCTAGGCGAGTTGTCATGTAGCTTGCCGTCTTCATTAGCATGGACCATGCAGACAGCAATCGCAGCGAACCGGAAATCGACTGCGTGTTCTCGGTTGCGAACTTGTCCTTGCGAGGCATCAGGAGCTCTGAGGCTACGAGTTTCATCTGGCCTGAGAAGTCGTTGTTCTCCATACCAAGGTAGACCTTCGCAAGGCATTGCATACCGACCTGGCGCACTGAGCGCAGGAGCGAACCATCTTTCAGATCACCCTCATCCTCGCTCGCGTTGAGCTTCCGAGATGCAGCAATCGTGCAGAGCAGGATGGCATTGAGTAGCTTTTCTCCCGAAGACTCGAGCTCTAATCCCAGTGTGCTCAAGAGGTCGTCGAACATATTGAGCATGCCAAACTGCTGCCGTGCTGGCGACTTCAACTGTGCCAAAGCTTGGTCAAGCGACTCCCAAGCATCAGCCTGGGGGATGCCGGCAGAGGCCAATGCGATGTCAACGAACGCTTCCACTATCTCCTGTCCAAACCTGGAGATCGCCATGAAGATCGTTCGCCGGCGTGCTCGTTGTCCTTCCTTGCCACCAGCCACAGCTCTACCGTACAGCAGACGCAACAGAACCGGCATCAAGGTTGGCTTGTGCTCGGGTCTGATGGCCGCCTCGTCGTCATGCTCACTCTGCAAGAAAACGGCCACCTCGTCTCGAAACCGTGCTTCATCAAGAAGATTCGTCAGCTGCTCGGCGTATCGAGTGACAGCAGGGTCTTTCCAAGCCAGAATCGCCTTGAGAGCGGAGCGCTGGATCTCGACGTCGCCATTCGCGCAAAGATTGAGTAGCGCATCGTAGACCTCACCGGATCTGAAGAGTACCTTAGGGTTTGTGAACTGGGCGAACAGCGCTAGCATTGCTTTCTGGTCCTTCCTCGACCATCCATGCGACCATGCTGCGTCGTCCGATTCGGTCGTGGTAGAAGATGCCCATGACAGCAACACCGGAACAAGCATGCGCGACTTCTTCTCAGCAATGTTGGGCATCTTATTGAGTACTCTCAGAGCCTGCTGGCGGGCATTTGTCGAAACCATCGGGATGACCTCATGATTCTGATTGAACTGCTCTTCGATCGAAGGATACCCGTGGTTGGCAGCCTCAAAAACTTGGTCGCAGATCGCCATCATCTTAACCATATTTGAGCATTCAAAATCCGAGAACACTCTGAAACCACTCGTCTCCACGTTCAAGACCTGGTCATGCTCTTCACTGGCCAATGGAGAAGTGTTTGTGGTCTGGCCTTCCAGCCACGCCTGCGACAGACTTGTAATGATGCCTTCGGCAACAGGATCCTTCGACATTTCCGCAAGGGCGTCGATTGCATCGTTCCAAGCCGGGGTAAGCTGGATGTGCAGCAGACCGAAGCAGTATCGCGGTATCGCTTTCTGCACGAGCGAATCATGCTGGGCATTGCTGTAACCCAGGCCGAGCCGTCTGATATTCATCGAGATGCCGCGGCTCGCCTCTAGGCTGATTGGTGTCGACTCGATCGTGACGGCGGCTGACAATACCTCCGGTACGGGCTGCTGCTGGAGCTTGTAAATTTGTTGAAGTATATTCAGTGCCGCATCTCGGATATCGTGGGAAGACATTGAGAGGCACTGGATGAGTGACTCTTCGAGCAATGCCGTTTCTGATCCGTCCATAAGCTCCGGGCCTGGTGGATAGAGCTGAACATAACGGAGCATGTTTCCCCAGAATTGTGACAAGTTGATAACTTGTCTGCTGATCTGACATAGTAAAGGCCACAGCGAGCCTATGCGCTCTGAGGCATCGCCGCCGTTAAGCACTGTCTGGAAGCAAGCACCTAAGCCAAAGTTTCGAAGCTCTGTTGAATCATCACCTTCAGCTCCCAGTGCAGCCTCAACGTAGCCGAGAAGGTCGACTTTGATAGCCTCTCTTCTGCTATCGTCGATCTTCAGATGTGGAAGGGCCACCAACAGTGTGTTCAGCGAATGCAGGCTGCTGGTGTCCTGAGGATGACTTCGTAGCTGTATCTTGATGTTTTGTTGCATACCAACTGGACAGGTTATCTGCTGGTTCGGGGCAAGGACCCTTGGAAGCAGAAGCAGGATGTCGCTGGTGTACCGCTGCCATTGCTCGACAACGAATCGCTGAAGCTCCGGTAAGAGAAAGCTTTGGAATCTTTCCTGTCCCAGACGGGCGTATAGATCACAGAAGTGGAGGAAGTGCGAAGCCCAAGGTTCCGTTCGAAGCGTGGGAAGCAAATTCAAAGCAGGAAGGACCGCGTCGATAGGAGCTGACTGCAGCGCAACAGCAAGAGCACTCAAGATCGAGTAACGAGTTTTGAGGTCGTCGTCAGGAACCTTCGTAGCCAATCGCATCATTTCGCGCAACGTCGAAATGGTGGAAGACCAATCGCTGACTCTTGCACCTTTGCGCACCGAGACCATGGTGTAGACCAGTCGACTGTGTAGAGGCAGATGCGTGTCATTCTCAGCAGTCAGGGATGCGTCAACATGCTGCAAGATTGTGTGAAGCAAGGGCTGGAAGGTCTCGGGAGTGGTGTGGTGTATCAGACTGGTAACGATCCCAGTCAGCATGTTTGCATGCTGGCTTTGTGACTGCGATGCCGACTGTTCGGCCTCTTTGAGTAGACTCTGGATGGTAGCTGGTCCGCTCGAGTGTACGCCATTCTGTACACCTTTGATCGCCTCTGTTAGCAAGGTCATCACACCTTGCCGATAGAAATCTGCTGACGGGTGGTCTGAAGACGCCTGACAGTCTTCAAGAGCGTGTCCAATGATCAGATCGAGAGGTACAGGATCGCGTTCGTAAGTTGCAGCAGCCTTGCGTATCAGAAAGCTCTGACTTTCTGCAGCGAATCGGATAATGAAAGGCTTCTGTCGTGTCTTGCCCATGTACGGCGACATCAGGTCGTAGACTGGTCGCAAGTCCGGTGTCAATACCCTTGACAGATACTTGAAGAGCCATGCCAAACTGTTGAAGCACCATTCCACCGCAGCAGGATCCTCGTTGCTCGCTGCGACTGATGTGATCGTGGCTACTGCTCGCTGAAAGTGCTTCTCGAATCGTACATCCAGATCGTGGGCGAAGTGCGACAGCAGGCTGAGTATAGGCTCCATCGCGAGAGGGTCTCCGACTCGAATGTATTCGTCCAGAATGTCCATGATCTTCTCTTCGTGATACAAGATCATGGCGAGACTGTCGCATAGCGGCGCGACTTCTTTCGCAAACGCTGTGAACGTCTTGGACATATTGAGATCGCGCCATTCTTCGAACGCCCTTCCGAAGTATGTTTCAGTAGCTTGCGACAGCTCCTCTTGTTCCTCTGCTTTTCTCTTCCGACGTATGGGATCGATTTTCAATTTCGAGATGCGCTCGGAGAAGGACTGGAAGCGGTGGTTCTTCGTTGATGCTGTGGACCGGCGGGTGTTCTTGCTCGGCTTGACGACCTTCGAAGGCTTGGTCGCCTTCTTCCTCCCCGGTGCTGCCATGCTCACATTCTAGGTGATGTTGTAGAATCGGTCTGTCCATTTTGGAAAAGTTCAGATGCGATCGACGTCACACTAGCGCCGGGGAAGCGGAAACGCTAGAGCGCCGAGCCTTATATCATTTAAGGTTTGTCTACTCAAGCCGATTCAAGACTTCGGTCCTCGACGAGCATCCACTCGTTCAGACCCATTGCCACAGAAAGCCATCGCAACAGTGCTGCAGCCGCCGAATCTGGACTATGAACGACTGGAGACAACAGCGATAGCTACGTACTGACGCTACTCTCAGGACTGAGTCGCCAGAAGCTTCACAGAACAGGGAACTACGCGAAGGACTGCTGAGACCGTTGCGAAAATGCCTCACAAAATGTAAGTCTACGATATACACCTAAACGATTGTGTTCAATCGGCTTGTCAAAGACAATGCAAGTTTTCCGAAGCAATGCTGATGAATTACACAGCGTGGTGACTGGCGATGTCAACGGGCGTATTGACGAAGTGTTCGGCAAGATCAAGACCCTTCACGCCAAGCAAGGATTCGCCTTTGCGATCATAGCGGGCGACCTTTTCTCGAGCCCGGAAGCAGAGTTGGCAGACCAAGGAGCCCAAGTGACGAAGTTGATCAGTGGCGAGATTGAGGTTCCCCTACCGACGTACTTCTCCCTAGGAACGCATGCTCTTCCCAGCAACGTGGTCGAGAAGCTGGAGAAGGATGACGGAGAGCTCTGCTCCAACCTCTACGTCCTGGGTCGTAAAGGCTCGTTGAAAACGGCGGACGGTTTCAGGGTTGTGGCTGTGGGAGGCAAGCATTCTTCCAGTGAGGACGCATCGATCAGACCATACGACGCGGTCTACAAAGACGCCGACGCCAAGAGCCTTGCTGAGAGCCAAAGCGATGCTGAACTTCTGATCACGAACGATTGGCCAGCAGCTATCCGCGATGGCGCAAAGGCATTCTACAACGGGACCGAAGATCCACCGCAAGGCATACAGAGCATTGCCGAGCTGTGCGCAGCCGTGAAGCCTCGCTACCACTTCTCGGCCTCCTCCGCTTTCTACGAGCGCGATCCATTCTTCCACCCTGACGAAGGCCCCAAACCCATCACCCGCTTCATCAGCCTGGCACCTTTTGGCAACCCTGAGAAGTCAAAATGGATCTACGCCTTCTCCCTTGAACCCTCCTCAGAGCCGCCATCTACGCTACCAGCTGGAACCACCGCATCGCCCTTCCTTCCCAAGAAGCGCAAATTGGACTCGCAGCAAGACAGCTTCAACAGCTTCCGCTACGCCAACGGCCACGGCGGAGACCATCGCCAACAGAACTACCGCGGCAACAAACGCCACAAACAACAACAACGAGCCCCACCACCAGGTCCCGAAGACTGCTTCTTCTGCCTCGCAAGCAAGAACGTAGAAGACCACATGATCGGATCATTAGGCGACGAGAGCTATGTAGCCATCGCCAAGGGCCCCCTTTCCACACGCTCAACATACCCAGAACTCGGCTTCCCAGGCCACCTGATCATCATCCCGCACGTGCACCAATCGACCTTCGCCGCAATCGAGACAGCAGACACCAAAGACCCAACCCCACACGGCGAACGCGAAGCCGCCAAAGCAGCAGCAAAAGAATCCCGCACCAAAGTCGAAAGCGAAATGTCCCGCTACCGCAGTGCCCTGCACCAACTCCTGACCACCAAATCCACGGAACCCAAACTCGGCGCCGTGACCTGGTGCATCTCCCGCGCAGCAAACATACACCTGCACTACCAATTCCTGCCCGTCCCTGCCACCACCATCACGCGAGGTCTCGTGCAAGCAGCTTTCAACGTCGAGGCCGAAAACAACAATTACCCGAAATTCGCCAAATCGCCTTCTGATATCGCGGAAGCAGAGCGGGGAGATCATTTGAAGGTTATGGTTTGGAGTGAGGTGGGGGAGAAGACGATGGTGCTGCCGGTCGACGGGAGTTTTAGGTTCGATCTGCAGTATCCGCGGAAAGTAATGGCAAAGCTGTTGGGGCTGGAGGGGCGGATGGATTGGAGGGCGTGTGCGCAGAGTAAGGAGGAGGAGACGGCGGATGCGGAGGCATTTAAGGAGGCGTTCAAGGATTTCGACTTCACGATGTGAGAGTTAATGCAGTCTGCGTGAGCGAACGAAGACGCGAGGAGGGTTGCGTGCTCCGGTAAGTAGATATGGCTCATACGGCGCTGTGATGTGGGCCAGAACCCTTGTAAGAGCAAGACGCAGGACCCAGCAGAAGCTGAGTTCTGCCATACAATCCGGCTGTGGCTCGACGTCAATTCGGCTGGGAAGGACAGGCAGATGTTGTGTAGATACCGCAAACACCATACTACAAACGGCCCGAACTGTCTACGCAGCCTTCTTTCCCCCAATGCTGACATCAAGATTTCCGATCACCCAGCTCACGACAAAAACCGCCATAAGCCCAGCAAAGATCGTCAAAGGCTTCGTAAACTGCGCCGAGAAAGGATAGTCGTATGTGACGATTAGCTCACGATCCCTCAACTCGTCGACGACATTGATCGCAGTAAGTTCAAGCGTGGTACGTCCGAGCGTGTCCATAAACGTGCGGTGGAGGCTGGTGGTATTGGAGATTAGAGGGACGGAGGTCTCGAAGCGGACATTGCTGTTCAACAAACTCAGCTCAAGACTCAGATCCATGGGCGATGGAGTAGGATAGAACTCACGCAGCGCCCTCAGGCAGAATGACCCTCGTCACAACCCTCTCATACTCCACCCCCTCAATCTGCTTCGGCCCATCCAAAAACGGCACCTTAAGCACATACGCCTCGCTCTCACCCTTCAAATGCCGCACATACCCGTCCAGCTTGCCGTTCCAGCCGACTTTGAAACTGTAGTTCCAGCCGCCGAAAACAGGGTATCGCGGCTTCAGTTCAAGATTCGCCTCCCTCAGATTCGTCCTGAAGCGCGACGTTGACACGTTCCCGATATCGTCGATGAAGTAGGCGTCTGCGCTGCCGACGGTGAGAGGGAAGCGTAATTCCTTTAACGCGGCCATGGGCGGGTTGTAGTATGCTGCTTGCTGGTACGCTACGCGGCTGAAATGGTTCTTGAGCGTCGCAGCGCGGTTGGTTATCCAATGGCGTTCTTCGAACGCGACGTTGCCGCCCCAGTGCGATACCTCGACATCGCGCTCCAACAGCTTACTATGCGTAAGCGGCTTGGTGAACTCGTAGCGCACGCTGGCTTCCTGGATGCTGCCAGCTGGTATATCGCTGTACGGGCCGTAGGTGAAGGAGGTGCCTTGTTTCTGCGGGTCTTCCTTGCCCTCTGCGTTCAATGACTTGGGCAGGGTGACGGAGTCAGGAACGTCGGTTGTGGGGAGTTTGAGCTTGGTCTTTTGCTTTTGGGTGTCGTAGGCGGCAGGGGCGTATGCGGAGAAGGCGTAGAGAACGTACTGTTTCTCTGTTTGGCCAATTTGGGCGGGAAGTGGTTGGAGGGAAGCGAGGGTCCAGTAGGTGATTGAGAGGGTGAGTTGGGCTTTGGGTTCTAAGGGCGCTGGGAGGATGATCTTGTAAAACTCTGTAGGGCTTTCTCGTTGGTCAGCGCTCGTGCCCATTTCAACTGCAGCACTCTAGAAAGTTGACCATACCTCTGCGCATCTGTCGCAGCAATCTCAGCAACAAACCCTCCCTTCTCTGGCTCCTTCTTGTCCCTCACTTCCAGCCCTCCCACATTCGCTATACTGCCTGGCTCGAACGGCAGAAAGTATTCCTGCTGCGCCGCCTTGTCCACGTTCTCAATGACAACATTGACCGTCTCGCGCACATAGTTCTTCTCCAAGTTGATATTCCTCACGAGGTTGACGTTGCGGAAGTGCTGCTGTGGCTTGAAGTTGGAAGGTAGGATGTTGCGAGACTCGTGGGTGAGGTTGGAGTCGGCGGTGGCGAGGGAGAGGAGGCCTACGAAGGCCCATTGTAGTATCCTCATCTTTGCTGCATCGTTTGGCTGTCAATGGATTCGTCTTGAATGTTTTGAGATGTCAGGTGGCATCAAGTACCTGAGGCAGGAACGCCCGAATAGGAAGTAGGGCTCAAGCAGTTCGACTTCAGGGAAACTCTGGTTTGCCTTGACAATTATGCACAGGATAACTTACACAATCTTGCAATCAGTGATACACCAACTGGAACAAGCAAGAATACTGGACCAGTCCTAAGCTTCAACAGCCCTAGAAGACCCGGTAGCGACTGTGCACGAAGAATGCTGCGGTCAACCTTCGGTGACTGGACTGATAAGGATATACCACCACGATAATGCTCAGAACAACATGGCTACCGAGTTCTCGCTGTCTTAGACTGACCGGACGAACACGAAATTGCCTTGGAAATGTCGACGCGCGAGGTATAACAACCAATTCCCGCGTCTTCCAAGTCTCGGACGAAGTCCGGCAGGCCGTATCTGACCGCCGCCCCATCGTCGCCCTCGAGACCACAATCTACACCCACGGCTTTCCCTACCCGGACAATCTCGCCCTATCCTCTCATCTGGAATCACTCGTTCGTAAGCATGGCGGCGTCCCGGCAACGATCGGCATTCTCAACGGAGTCGCTCGCGTTGGAATGTCTGAGCGCGAGATAGACCAACTCGTGGCGTCCGCTCATGACCCGAACATGCTCAAGATCAGTCGTCGGGACTTTGGCTTCGCTCTTGGCTCCAAGGACCCTTACGGCAAAGCGTTCAACGGCGGGACCACAATCGCTGGCACGATGGTGCTGGCGCATATGGCTGGAATCAAAGTCTTCGCTACCGGTGGGCTGGGAGGCGTGCATCGTGGAGGGGAGACGACGATGGACATCTCTGCCGACTTGACTGAACTGGGACGGACGCCGGTGGCGGTCATCAGTAGTGGGTGTAAAGCATTTCTCGACCTGCCCCGGACGCTGGAGTACCTCGAAACTCAAGGCGTTGCAGTCGGGACATTTGCTGATGGACGAGAGGGCGATGTCGACTTCCCAGCGTTCTGGACGAGGGAGAGTGGTGTGCCGAGTCCGAAGGTGATCCGGGATGAGCAGGAGGCAGCCGAGATCCTTCATGCACATGGGCTGTTAGGATTGCAGAGTGGGTTGCACTTTGCGAATCCAATACCGGAGAAGCACTCGTTGTCGAAGGACGTTATGGAGGCGGCGATACATGAGGCTCTTGATTCTGCGAAACTAGCGGGCTCAGTCGGAGCTGCTGCTACGCCTTACATCTTGAACAAGATCAAAGAAGTCACGGGAGAGAACAGCGTCACGGCGAATAAGGCTCTAGTCGAAGGCAATGTTATCAGAGGAACTAAAGTTGCAGCAGCGCTAACGAAGCTGGAGGCGGATGAGGAGACGAGACCCAAGTGAGCTTCCCACCCACTACTTGAAGATGCCAGTCTTACGTGTGAAGAGGCAGCAACCAGGTTGAAGATGCCTCTCGAGTGGTAGTTGGACCAGGCGCCACCAACTTCACATCGAGTGGTGTGTCAAAGGGCGTATCGCCTGCGACAGCGAACGCCCAGCCATCGACACCGCATAAGACATCGAACAGCACCGCGAATGTGACCCCGGACAGCCAACCAAACGTGTTCGTGGCCGGCAGTCTCGCGATCGACCTCTCCTGCGACTACGCCATCAAGCCCGGCGGCCTGGCAACAGGCGATTCTACGCTCCGCCCAGCAGCACATACCTCGAATCCCGCCGAAATCACACAATCACTCGGCGGCGTAGGCGGCAATGTCGCTAGAGCGGCCCAGCTGATGGGCGCCGGGGTCCAGCTTTGTAGTGCCGTGGGTGACGACTTAGCTGGCAAAGCCGCCCTCCAAGGCCTCTCTGAAACCGGCATGTCCACGCAATGCGTTCAAACCCTTCCTGCCGAAAGCGGAACGCGAACGGCGCAATACGTTGCCGTGAACGACAGCAACCGCGATCTCGTGATCGGCATGGCGGATATGTCCATCCTGGACTCCGCCGACTCTGCCTCGACCATCGACAACACTTTGGAGCATCACTGGCTACCCGAGCTCAAGCGTAACAAACCCGGCCACCTCGTCCTCGATGCTAACTGGTCCCCTCCCCATCTATACCGCTGGCTCGAAGCCGGCAGAGAAATCGGCGCACACATCTCCCACGAACCCGTCAGCACAGCCAAAAGCACACGCTTGTTCTCCATTCCCAAACCTACCAACTCCCAGGACCAACCTCTCCCCGTCTTCCCCTCCCCACTAGTCGACCTCGCAACCCCCAACACCCACGAACTAACCTCCCTCTACAACCACGCCCGCTCAGCCGGCCTCTTCGACCGCGCCGACTGGTGGACCATTGTCGACAGCATGGGCCTCCCCTCCACCGGCTCCCGCGTCCAACTCTCCCTCCTCACCACCCCGGCACTCGTAGACGAGGGGATCCCGCAACAAACCCTCCAACTCCTCCCCTTCATCCCATCTATCTGCACCAAACTCGGCTCCCAAGGCGTGCTGCTCACGCAACTCCTGCCCGCCGACGACGAGAGGCTGACGAGTGGGGAGTATAACCCCTTCATCCTCTCGCGCTGCGCGAACGGGACGGAGGAGAGTGTCGGGGTGGGAGGCGTGTACATGCGCTTGTTCCCAGCTGCTGAAGAGGTGAAGGCGGAGGACGTGGTGAGCGTGAACGGGGTGGGGGATACGTTTTTGGGAGCGCTGGTGGCGGGGATGGCGAGGAAGGGGAAGGAGGCGAGGGTGGAGGAGTTTGTGGAGGTGGCGCAGAGGGCGGCGGTGGAGACGTTGAGGAGTGGGGAGAGTGTTAGTCCCGGGTTGAGGGGGCTGGTGTAGATAGTATCTGGTGTAGATAGTATCTGGTGTAAACAGTGTATTCAGAGTGTTGAGATCATTAGCTTGCTATGTATAGGAGGCCGTCGATGTAGGCGTCCTCGCCAAGGGTATCATTGTTCACCACCATATACCAAACTCCTTCCAGCCATTCGTATCATCATTAATGCATTAATTAACAGCCTCTCCGCGGCCACCCCGATCACTTCCTCACTCCTCCCTCCTCAGCCCCCTCTCCCTCCTCCGCTTCTTCGCCAACTCCGGCGTCCAAACCCCCATAAACAAATCCTCACACTCCTCCTCATCCTGACTATCAAACTCCACCTCATCCTCCTCCCTTCCTCGCCCACCCTTCTCCAAACTAACCGGCGGCATCTCCCTCCCCCCAGCCCCATCCTCCCAAACAGCACACCTCACCACCCGCCTCGTCTCCAAAATAAACTTGCCCACCTTATACCTCTGCCCCTCCTCCTCAGCCGCGACGTACTTCCACCCCAACACGCTCCCGCAGACCGCGCAGCTGATATCGCCCACTGTATGCGCGCCAGTCACTAGTTGCCGCGGCACGGGGCGGTGCGTGTACGTGTTCGGTAGGTTCGGCAATGTGTCTCTGAACCTGCTGCTGCCCCTTGCAGCGCTCGGAGAGGTGGTGGAAGCGGACGGCGGCGGAGCGACGAGGTAGGCGCGTCCGTGACGGCCGGTGAAGCCTTTACTGATTATCTGGCTCGAAGAGGCCAGATCGGACGCGCAACGGGCGCAGCGGAGGTGCGAGGAAGAGCCGGTTAAGTAGGCGTCGTCGTTGTTCAGGTAAGAAGGGTTCGGTGGGGAGCTGGAAGCGGCAGTGGAGGTTGAAGAAACAGTTCCGGTGCTGTCAGCGCTGGATTTGCGGCGGCGGAAGGGGAGCGAGGGGATGAGGTAGGTTGGGAAGAGGGTTGGTGGGGAGGGGGCGTGGTGTGGTAGGGGAGGCATATCTCCAGGGTGTGGGTGGTCTCTCTGGTGGTGGTTAAGGACGGGAGATGGTGCTATGGTGGTATGAGATAGGTCTAGGACAGTAGGAATGCGTTCATGCGCTCTGCATTCCTTACATGCCCCAGTACATGATAGCAGACGAGAAGGAAAGCATTCGAATCACCGTTATCGTGTCCACCACCCTATCGCACCTGACCCTCACACCAGCCAGAGGCGGAGATAGAGCACATGAGCTGGCTCTCGGAGCTGCGCCGGAAGGAACTGGCCTTCATTGGACGTGGGCATGCTGTAGCTCGACGGGAAGAGTCAGGTGAGGTCAGCTCGGTCAGAAGCACAGCGACCGCGGCGGGGTCGATCAAGTCAATGCGGGTGATCGGCTGCAAGGACGGATGTGGCGGCAACCGCCCGATTGGGAAGAAGGATCACGTGTTAGCGACTGAGAGGAAAAAGTTGAAGTTTGAAGTTTTCATGTGTTTCATTCGCATCTGCCGGTAGTGGAATGCTATGCTCTACAATAAAGTTGAGCATTTCGCCAACTCCAGCATGCCATCGAGTCCTAACCCAAAGCACAGTGCAGCAGGTATTGTGCCCTCCCAGCGCCGTCGCTAAATCCACAAGACTCTCCCAGACCGTCTCTCGCTCAATCGAAGGTCGACCATATTTGCAACACGCTCTGCCAACCCGTCCCCAAGCTCTCTCCTCTCCGCCTCGTCCTTGAGTCTTCACCCCTTCTCAAAGCTGCCGATAATCCCCCCTCCCCCTCTGAAACCCCCCTCTCCCCCTGCCTCGCTGATTCACCGGCTGCCGCATATACGGTCCGTTATTGGCATTCCCACCCCCCTGCATCCCACCTCTCCCACCATTGTTCTGCCATCCACCATTCCCGCCACCGTTCTGCCATCCGCCGTTGCCCATCATCTGGTTGTTCCCGCCCCAGCCGTTCATATTCCCCATCCCATTCATGTTCATCCCGCCCATCCCGCCCATCGGCCCATAACCCCCCATCCCCCCCATCCCCATCATCCCCGGCCCAAACCCGCCCATCCCCATTCCCATCATCGCCGGATTGAACCCATTCATCATCGGATTCATCATCGCCGGCATCCCGCCCTGCATCCCCGACATACTGGCCGCCATCGCGCTCATCTGCTTCTGGAACTCGGCCATATCCTTTGCGGGCGCCATGGGCGGCTGAGCGTTGGGCTTCGGGGTGTTGCTCGAGGATGCAGGACCGGTGGGCGGGGCGGGCGTGCCCTGTTTAGACTTGTTGGCTTCAGCTGGGTTGGCGGGCTTACGATCATTGGGTAGCTCGTCTTCTGCAGCGCGCTTCTTGGAGTTGGGAGTGGAAGCGGCGGACTCGGCGCCGTCGACTTTGATATCAGGTACAGCAGAAGGCGACTTAGCACCCTCTTTCGGCGTGCCAGCAGCCTCAGCAGCAGGACTCTTGCTAGCCTCCTTACTCTTCTCCGCCCTCTCTGCTTTCTTCTCCTCCTCAAACTCCTTCATCTTGCCCGCAACCTCGTCGTCCGGCTCCAGACCATCGAGCAACACCTGCTCTCCGCAATTCGGACACAGCAGATCCGCATCCAGCAGCGCGTTCTCGATGCAGTCCTTGCAGTACGTCTTCCCACAACAGGGCGTCTTGACCGGCTCGTTGAAGGCGCCCTTGTGGATCGGACATTCCAGCCCTCGCTCCCGCAACTCTGCGTCTCCGCTTGCAGCCTCTTTGGCCTTCTCAGCAGCTGCGCTGGTCTTCTCTTGGATCTTGTCCCAGGTCGCTTTGTCCGGTTCTGCGATGACCCACTCGCCGTTGGCGGTGTACATGACGCCTTGTGGTAGCTTGGAGACGTCAAGCTTCCCGTCTTCACCCATTTCCGTCGGCTTCTCGACGACTTTCAAGAACGACCGCGGAATGCCTGTGGTGCGGCGGAACTTAGGCCGGTTGTCGAAGTTGGGATCATTGTTGGTCGGACAGGCTTGGATCCAGTGACCCTTCTCGCCGCAGCGATGGCAGATGTAGCCTGGTGGGAGCGGCTTGTCGGGCACAGGGGTGGACTTGTTGTAGCTCTGACGCACAACAGGCTTGTGGGAGGCGGCTTCTTGCTCTGCCTTCCAGGACTGTGTGTTGGCAGTCAAGATGGCTTGAAGCTTCTCTTCCTCCGTCATCTCCTTGCCCGCGCCGATCGGTCCGCCAGTCTGCATGGTTGGGGTGTTCCGGTTTGGATTGTTGTTGTGGGAGGACTCGATGCGATGGGCATTCTTTGCGTTCACGGGCATCTTGCCGGTGACATAGCGGGCGGCTTTGCCTGCGCCAGGTCTGGAGGCGGGTAGTCTGCGTGCGATGACCGTGCTCGAGCGCGGGATCTGCGTAGTGTCGTCGTCATATTCTACACCTGTCAGTGCATGTCCTGGGTTAGTGGAAGAGGAAGGAGACCTACTCTCATTGCTGTCCGCGGCGTAGATCTCGAGGTCGAAGTCTGTCCCGTCACCGAGCTTCGACAAGGTGATGATATCGCGCTTCACTTCAAACACAGATAGAGAGGTGCCGTCAAATGTTATTTGCAGGGGCTCCTTCTGCGACTTGAAGCGAAAGAAGATAGAGGAAGACATGGTGACGGATTGGAGCGGTCCGCTTCACCAGAGATAAGGAGGTCGTGAGTATGTGAGTACCAGTGGAGACTCCTGGTCTCTGCTATGCGTTGTCGGGTCGTAGTAAAGTCCTTGGTCGCGACCTGAAGGGCTATAGTACAACACAAGGGGTAGTAAGGGAGCAGAAGGTAGTGTACGCTGATCAGCTGTTGACCCGAAGTTCAGTGGCACGACCTTGAAAAGGACTTTGTATTTCAATAGCACTGCCTGCAACAATAGCGGCTCAAGTGGCCTTTCTTATTGTCTCGTTTCTTCCTCGTGTGTTTCAGATCTCATATGAGTCTCATGTGATGTTCTCGCGAAGTGAGGTCTGTGAAGCCTGCGAAGGGCGCGCACTCGTTTCTGGGTTGCAGGTACACGACAGTGAGTATGAAGTCGTCCTTCAGTCGCCGTCGCAGTCTCATCTCCTACGCCACCCAGCTCGTGCCTGCCCGCCGTGTCGCTGGATCTTACCTGAGCCGCAGTCGCTGCGCATGCGCTGTCCGGTCGATTTCGTGATGTGGAGTCGCTCAGTACGAGATTCGCTGTGTCGGTAGAGATCTGATTGTGGGAGGTAGGTGATGAAGAGGTTGAAGTTGGTGAAGGAGGAAGGAGTCATCAGACAAAGCAGGCTGTGATTTGAAAGCCGAATGCGCTAGGGAGTTCTTGGCGCTTCAACATCACGTGCCGATATCTGAACCTCCTTCCCTTCTTGGCCGACCAGGATCAGGACAGGACCAGGATCTCAAGATCAACATTCCCCGCAACTCCATCACGTCAACATCACCACTTCTATCGACGACGGCGATCGACTTCACGGACAGGGGACCGCCCCGTGGTTGATTGCCGGTGTTCCTGGCTAGCAGGAGCCTCCGTTGACCGATGATGCTGCTCATAACATCATGCTCGGGAACAAGGATAAGTTTGTAGGTCAAGTAGGCGTCCTTTCTTTCTGTCCTTTTCTTGTTGTCTCCTGTCTCGTCTCACAGCTTTTCCTTCATCAAGATGTTCGGACGTAGCACCCTAGCATTGGCTGCTCTAGCATCGAGCGTGTCAGCAGCGCGACCAAAGACACAGGATGCGTCTCAAGTCACACTCCGAGACCCATTGACCTACGGGCCAGAGCTGGAGCTCGTCCATCTGTACTACGATGAGTTTCCAACGGGAATCGCGGTATCATCGCAGGGGAGGATGTTCTCCAACTACCCGGGCGGTCTCGACAGCAACGACACCAACAATGGCCAGAACGGCAAGTACACGATCGCGGAATTGTTCGACGACAACACAGGTAAGCTCTACAGACAAATAACCTCCCAATCCAGCTAACAATTTCCAAGAACGACCCTACCCCTCGCGAGAGATCAACTCACCTCCTGGCGGCGCGATCAATTACACCACCTATCCGCCCAGCGGGGCCAACTACCAAAACTACCTCATCGGCTCGCAATCCTGCGTAATCGACCCGGCCGACCGGCTCTGGATCCTCGACACCGGCCGCGTGCTCACCCCCAACGGCACCCTCGTCCCGGCCTCCTACGGCGGGCCCAAACTCATCGGCGTCAACCTCTCCAACGACACAGTCTTCCAGACCATCGTCTTCCCCACCACCGTCGCCTACGCCGACTCCTACCTCAACGACGTGCGCTTCGACCTGCGCTCCTCCCTCACCTCTTCAGGCAAAGGCGTGGCCTACATCACCGACTCCTCGGTCGAAGGCCGCAACGGCATCATCGTCGTCGACCTCGGCACAGGCGAAAGCTGGCGCCATCTCGACGGCAACCCTACCGTCCACCCTGCACGCCAATGGTCCGCATACCTCTGGGGCACGCCCTTGTACCAAGTCATGCCCGGCAAACCCTTCACCTACGGCCAATTCGGCAGCGACGGGATCGCCTTGTCCGCAGACGGCGCAACACTCTTCTACAAAAACGTCGCGGGGCGCCAACTCTACTCCATCCCGACCTCGTACCTCCGCGCCAACGGCCCTACTTCCGAAGTGTTAGCGCAAGGCGCGGTAAACACACTCGGCGAAACAGGCGTAACCGATGGCATGGAGACGGATACCAACAACTACATCTACCACGGCAACATGGAGCAGGACGCCGTGTCCTTCTTCAACCCGGCGAACGGGACGGATACGGTTTTTGTCAGGGATCCGCGCCTGAATTGGATCGATACCTTTTCGACGGCGACGGATGGGTATCTGTACTTTACGAGCAATCAGTTGGTGTTGGGGAGTGGATTCTACCCGGGGACGGACAGGAGGCAGAGGCCGTTTGCGCTTTGGAGGGTGCAGTTGCCTGGGAATGGTACGAAGACTAATTTGAGGTGAAGAGGACAATGTATAGTCAGTGAAGGAAGAAAGTAAAGTAACATAGCTACAAAATCAAGCCAGTCACAGATGTACACCTACACATATTCATCCTACATTACGCGATCAACTGTTGACTGCGAGCAAACCTGGACTTCACGGCAAAACAACACAGTATGAAACTATACGCACTGGAGTGGCATTCCCGCATTTGCTCGCGCAATATCATAAATCTGAGCTAGCCTCCCGTGCAAAGACCGACGCACAGAACACCAAGAGCAGGCCCGCCGGTTATACTAAGAGCCCGTGGACGCCTACACGTGGACGCCACAGCATAGTCCCGACGCAAAGTCGCACATGCAATCGTCAAGTACCTGGCATCGTTCCCTCCAACGCTTCCAAGCTCGCTGGTATCGGATGAATGAGCTGGCTAAGCCAATGCTGCCGATCGATGGTGTTGATGGTATCGTAGTGGAGTCGATGTGGCCGCCGAAACATGACGGCGTCGTTTTCGCCGCGTGACAAAAGAAAAGGTCGTCTCAGCTCATTCCCACATCACCGCATGATCTCCTCGTAAATCAGGCCTAAAAAAACCGCGCGTCAGCGTCCAAACCCAAACCCCTCTCGAAATGGTTTGTACTCACGCCTCAACTGCTCCTTACTCAAATTGTCTTTATTCTTATCGAAATCGAAAAACTCCTCGGGAATCGGCTCCGCCGTCGGCTCGTCCTCCGGATCATGATACGGCTCCAGATACGGATGCTTCAGCGCATCCTCCACGCTAATTCTCTTCACGGGGTTGAACGCCAGCAGCCGCTCCAGCAGATCCAGCGCCAGGTCTGAGGTTTTCGGGAACATGACCTTCCACGGGATCTTCTTCTTGAAGGGTAGGCTGCGGATGTACTCACGCGCGCGCCGGGACTTGATGCCGTAGTAGTCTTCCATTGTGGGCGTGCCGAGGACGTCGAGGATGAGGGTGAGTTGGTGGTGGTAGTCTTTCCCGGGGAAGAGGGGTTTGCCCGACAGCATCTCGGCGAGGATGCAGCCGACGGACCACACGTCGATGGCTTTGGTGTATTCTTTGAAGGTGAGCATGATCTCGGGGGCGCGGTACCAGCGCGTGGCGACGTATTCGGTCATGAAGCCCTGGTTGTCTTCCGTGCTGGCGGCGGAGCGGGCGAGGCCGAAGTCGCAGACTTTGAGGTCGCAGTTGGCGTTGAGGAGGAGGTTGGAGGGCTTGAGGTCGCGGTGGAGGACGTTGGCGGAGTGCATGGCTTTGAGGGCGCGGAGGGTTTGGTAAATGAAGTATTGGCAGTGGTCGTCGGAGAGCTCTTGAGTGCGGATGACGCGGTGCATGTCTGTCTCCATGAGCTCTTGGATGAGGTAGACTTCGGAGAAGCTCTCGAAGTTGCGCGGCTTTTGAATGTCGAGGATGGAGATGATGTTCTCGTGATTGAAGTAGCGGAGGAGCTTCATCTCGCGGAGAGTTCGAAGGCAGAACATGCCTACACGCAGAAAGAAGGGTTAGCAATCATTCACGACGCAGGAGAACGGAATTTAATACTGTGGTCGAAGGGAGTCTGAGAGGACGTCAGCAGTGTCCAAAACATGATCTCAAATGGACCTTACAATCTTCTTAATCGCAACCTTCTGCCCCGAAGGCTTATGCAGCGCCGAACACACCACGCCATATGCCCCCTCGCCCACCACATCCTGAATATCATACTGCTCCGACACGTTGAAGGAGATCTTCCTAGAGCCGCCCGAAGGCGGTGCGCGAGACATGTTGGTCGACTGTCTGCGCTGTCACTCCAATGCTGTCTTTCTTCTCTTCTCAGAGGTGGTGTCTTTGGCGGTGTGTGTTCTCTTTCAGGGTTATAGCTCTCGTGCTCGTTTGCTGAGTCCCGCGCTTATCGCCGGCCGGTCGTATGCTTGAGAAAGCGTGTCAGGAGGCTCTCAGCAGCTGATCAGTCGGTGGTCGCTGTCGCACAAGTTAGCACGCTGCCTTCCCAATGCGTCCACGTTCCCGACAGCGGTATTCTATGTAGGTCGCCTGAACGTGCTCCGGTCGCACGAACCGCACCTGAAATCCTGCTCGTCCACACGCAGAGCCACCGCGCCCTCGAGCCTGCCGCTGCACGTGGAATGTACTGAAGGACCACCGTACCTACTGATCCCGCTGTCCCTCCTCAGCGTCTCGAAGTGCCGATTCCAGGGTCCAAGTCAAAGTGCCGTCGAGCTCCAAGCCGCAAACAGACCGGTATCGTCAAAGTCCAAGGTGGAAGTCTGTTCAGAGTCAGAGGTCGCTCCGCAAGCGAACAATGAGTCCAGAAGCCGTGTCGTGTCCGTATGCAGCAAAGCCCAATCCGATGCGCAGTCACAAAGGGCTGCACTGCAGGTTATCACTCACCAGCGAAACGTCTGGCCTGGTGGGGTATTCTCTTTAGCTTCAGTCAGGCACACTCCAGGGTCCGGTCGTCTTCGAAGCAAACAACTCTTTCGTACTTTTCTCGTGACGAAGTGAGGTCAATCGTGGTATATGCAAGTCAAGCTTGTTTCCAAAGATAACCCACGGTCGACAAAGCGGCCACTCCAACCTTCCTGTTCTTGTTTCGAAAGCAAAAAGTCCAACAATAGCAGAAACAGAGCGAAACCAACGAACGAATGGAGGGGTTCAAACGCGCCGCCGGAACTGGCTCGGGCCTCCTTCTGTGAGCCGATTCGCTTCGTCGCGCATCACATTCATTTCACCAACGGAAGCGTGATGTTGGGTTTGACCGACGTGGATCGATGTTTGAGACGGCGGCCTGAAGCAGAGGGAGACGAATCGGTCTGGGAAGGGAGAGGGAGGTGAAACAGCCGCTTGAAGCGCCCGGGAAGGTGTTTGAGTTGCGGCGGCTACAGATGGGTGGCACGTGGGAGGCTGTGAAGGTGGGTTTGGTAGCCTTGTGCCGTTGTGTCGGGACTCACGTGGTATTGATATTGATGAGAGAACGCGAGAAATGCTCAAATCAGGCAGAGGTGCGCCGTGAGGCTTGCTTCTTGCTATTGACCTATTGATACATGGATTCATGAGCTATGAATGCCTTCTCACAGCCAGTATGAGCCGTGAAGCATAATCGATGATGGCGAGGTATGACAGACAAGCGATGCTTTCGGGAGACTGGGTCTTAGGATCGCTGCTTCACGCGGTAGGTATGTCTTGCTGTTGCTCAATCGATAGATCGCTTTCAGATGTGCTGGAAGCCAAATCGAGCCGACAGATACTTCGAACCCGAGATCGGGTATGGTAGATGGCTGAAGACCACGGGAAGTATGAAGGTGTCTCTACCACGTGGTCTTGACCTGCGGGTACTCCTTGCTGGAGATGCCGAGATCTGCGAAGACCGTGTCGTCGCCTGCAAAACACGTTAGTGGTGTACACCACATGAAGGGGACAGACGCGCATGACTCACCAGAAATGTGCTGAACACGCAAATCATCCTCATGCTCCAGCTTCTCCAGCTCCTCCTGCGGCGTCTCCTTCGAATCGTCCTTCTGGTCCTTGTTGGTCGGCTCGAGGTTGCCGCTGTTCTCAAAGTCCTCTCCGATCAACAGCATCTGCGCGTTGGCGTAGTTGATGTACTTGGGCTGCACCGGCATCCACCCACGACCACCGAACTCCTCGACGAACTCCTTTGGCCAATCTGGGCCTTGCGGGAGCTGAGCGTTGGCGGGACCGGAAGACTCTGGGTTCTTGGCACTGAGGATGAAGCTACCCTTCGCTGCGAGGCCGACATCTTTCTGCACTTCACCCATCTCGGTCGGGATCGTGAGGTTGTAGGCGAGATGCGTGGTGCTTGGGCTGCCTGACGTGGAGACCAGCGCATACACACCTTCGCCAATCGGCGTCACTTCAGGTGTTTGACGAGTTCCGGTGGTCTTCGTGCTGTACTCGCTGCCGGAGAAGAACTCCTCTTTGAGTTGGTCCATAGACACACCCGCCTTGTCAACGAACACCATGAAGCGGTCCTTGCCAGACTTCGGCCAGACCTTCTTCGGTAGAGCGCACAAGCGGTTGTTGCCGACGTCCTGGATCGCGCCGTCTGTGATCTTAGCACCCTCCGGGAGTGGTCTCATGACCATGAAGCTGCGCTGGAGTTCCTGCACGCTCTCTGGCTCTGTGATGCCGACCCGGCCCCGAGTGAAGAAGTAGATGATGCCCTTCTCGAGCACATTGGAAGGCTGGGCCTGCTCGCGCGTCTTGTCCTCTTCGACCGCATCTGCGCTGACGTCCATGTTGGTGTCGTCAACCTTGCTCTCCTCCGTCTACGCATGGCGGTCAGCAGAGGGCGTGGGTGGCCGGATTTAAGGGATTGAGCTCACCTTGCTGGTGACACCCTCGTCCTTGTCGTCAGCCTTCACCTTGTCGAATGCGTTCGGTGCGCCAGAGGAGGTGTCTTCAGTCTTCTCGGCCTTGCTCTCGCCAGCGCCGTTGGTTGCACCCTCATCAGCCTCGGCCTTGGGCTCAGCGACCTCCTCGGTCTTGCTCTCCTCAGCACTATCGGTAGCCTCTTCACCGTTGGTTGCCTTTGCTTCCTCGCCACCTGCAGCAAGTTAGAGCCATTACATGGGTAGTTTAAAAAGTGGAACTCACCCTCAGCTTCAGCATCAGCGCCCTCCCCGGCATCCTTAATCATAGCATCCTCAGACTCAGGCTCCTCGCCAGCGTCCGGCATCGTCTCCTCGAGCGTCTTCTGCTCTTTGGAGGCTTTGGACGGCCGACCACGCTTGGCCTTCTGGCTGGTTGGTGGACTGGCCTCATCGGCCTTGCGCTTCGTGCCGCTGCTCGTCTTCTCAGCAGACTGCGGGCTGGAGTTCAGGCGGTTGGAGGAGCGTGTTCCGGCCATTGCTGTTTGCCTGCGGTCTGATTAGTTGGCAATTGATAAAGTGTGGGCGGAGAATGCTTACGCTGCGGATCTTGGTGGTTTTACTGCGGAGGTGATGTATGGAATGGAAGTAAACGTGATAGAAGTGGTAGAAGAGGTTTGTGAGTTGTAATGTTTGGACAAGTGAGGTTTAATGAAGGTTCACATTGGAAGCCGTGACCTTGACGCGTTGACGTCATGATTGCCTACTACGACGCGTGCCTTCCCGATTGGGAATCAGACTTTCGCGAACTGATGAGCCAGTGAAGTAAAGGAACACCCTGAATATCTACGCCTCTGCATGAAGAGGCAACATGGCTCAAGATGAAGATGAAAGGCTCCAAAATGAGGTTTCCCTCCTGGAGGCCATGTATCCTGACCAAGTAGCATTCAACACCAAGACGAGAGAGCTAAAGTACGCCCTGGACAGCAGCAACTCCTTCACTTTGCGTCTTCCCGCTGGCTACCTCACAGACAGCCTGCCGGACATTGTCTCAGCCAGCATAGACAAAGCGGATCGCAGGGAGCAACTAAGGCAGCATGCGAAGACTCTCAATACTGGAGAAGAGGTACTGGACTCTATCATTGCTGCATTCTCCGACCTTTTACAAGCAGCGGCCATAGACAGTGAGAGAGCTTTGGACCAGAACTCGCAGGCCAGTATCTCAAATGATATTGCACAGGCCACAGTGGTCGTATGGCTTCACCACCTCCTCAACACCAATAAGCGGAAGCAAGCTCTCTCGCCTCCGTCGCCAGGAGTATCTGGTCTCACGAAGCCTGGCTACCCTGGCGTACTCATCTTTTCCGGTCCCAGCCAAGCGGTTCACGAGCATGTCAATGAGTTGAAGGGCTTGAATTGGGCAGCCTTCCAAGTCCGGCTGGAAGAAGACGAAGCGTGGACATTCGCCCACGGCTCAGGAGTCAAAGAAGTCGAATCGATGAAGGAGGTCGTTGCTGAAGTGGGTGAGGCGAAGAAGGAGCTGTTCATGGAGGCTATGAGGATGAAGTGAAGACCAAGGATTATCTATCCAAAGAATCTGGACTAATGCTGAGGTACCTCACCGATGCAGTCGTGCCCTTCTTGAACCTCGAATCCTGCCGTCGATACCGCAAAAGCTCCTGGTCATCCTCCTTAATAGCCACCATATCGAACCGCACCCGCGCTTCTGCAAGATACTTCGGCAGCGGATCCTGGCCCTTCAGGTCCTCCTCCCGGACCTCATGATCGATTTCCGCACCACGGGCAGCTCGGAAGATGGTGGAGAAGTTGTTGCTATAGCAGGCGCCATTCAGAAACATCGTCACGCAGCCGATCGCGGCGGCTAAAGCAGCGAGGCCGACTGCTGCGCCGTATGCGATCCACAGCTTCAGGGCTGAGTAGACGTAGATGTTTTGGAAGGCTGGCAGGGTTACTTTGACTGGCGACGGTGCGTATGCGGATGAGTAGTTCGGCCTGGACTCGGTATCAGCACCACGTGGATTATCTCCTCCAGGCTGGCAGACAGTATACTTACTGCAGCGCCCCGGAACTCATCAGGCTAATCGTCAAGTTCTCAAACATCTGCTCAATCGCCACCGCCAGCGGCTGCGACGAAACATCATCCTCATCTTTCAGCAGACCCTGTGTCTTCGGTTGCGACGAGTCCGCAATTTGCGCCTGAAGAGTCTCGTTCCCGAACACCATCACCTCGGCTGTGGCTCGCAGAAAATCCAACTCTTTTGTCCGCAAGAGCGAAGTGCTGAGGACGCTGGAATTGCGCTGCAATACGCTGTGTCCGTCGATAGACACCGCGCCGATCAGGTTCGAGGTGAAAGCGTCCATAACCGCCTGGTAGGAAAACGTCGACAGCACTTTTGGCTTGGTGTAGCAACCCTCCTCCATCGATGCGGAGACATTTCCAGTCGCGCAGCCGTCGGGTTCCTGTGTGTCTGCGTTCGGACCAAGCAGTGTTGACATGACCTTCACCACCTCATCTTCTCCCGACGATGGATGCTCAATCGCCACCTCCTGCCCGCCATCGGTATACTGGAACGCTACCTGGTACTCTGAGCTATATAGCGTGCACTCAATCATTGTGCCATCAATCCAGCTTGGATACGGGGAGCCGGGGCTCTGTAAACTGTGTACCGCCGACTGACTAGCGCCGAAGACATCCGGCATGGCGACCATATAAAAGGTGATATTGCCGTCGAGCGTCGAGCCAGGAAACTGACCAGGCGCAAAAGCTATCCTGTCATGCTCCGATTCAGCGAGAAAGGGCGGTCCAACAAGCGACTCGTCTCTGAACCATCCCATATGAGCGTTCCAGGCGAGGTAGCCGTACAGCATCGTGTTGGTTGCGACGTTGCCATTCAGCGTGCCCGCAACAATGTTCCGCTGAAAAAGCTTATGCGCTGTCTCGTTCAGCTCACTGCACTTCAAAGCCGGCCCGGTGAAGTCCACCGTCCAACTCGCATTCGGAGCCGGTGAGTCGATCCGCAAGATCTTACCGCCGGACATCACGGCGTTCGCGATTTCCAGGACGTCCTGGCTGGGCCCGTTGTACAGGTACGTCCCAACGTTTGTCGGAGCAACTGGGCTGAACGTATGCATATACGGCAACGAAGCCACGAAGTTCAGACTCCTAAAATCCAGGTTCGGCACTCGCATCAGCTTCGAGGGCTCCGGAGTGACGGCAGCGGTCTGGATCGAAAGCGTAGCTGGGGTTATGATCGAGGCGATGGGAATAAGCCTGCCCTATGCCTTCAGCACTTCATGTTCCTTACAACCCCAAGCACGTGTGCAGAAGATCTTACCACGCACACCAAGCCACCCCAACAAGCGCCGGCACCCGCCACCACAACCTCACATCCCCGACCCCCAACACGCTGTTAAAGACCGAGTGCATCGCGTCCAACCTCTCCAACTTCACCCCTCCACCAAACCCACCCTCCTCATCTTTCCCACCTTCCTTTCTGTCTCTTCTGCTCGACACAGGCATCCCAACCTCCCGCCAGAAAACCTGACACCCACCCACCCCGACCGCGTACACCAGACACGCTTTCACCAGGAAAGCGAGCGCGGTGCCGAGGGCTATATTCGCTTCTTGTTTCGAGATCGGGGAGGAGGGGGAGAAGAAAGGTCCGCTGGAGGTGGGGCGGGAGGCGAGGTGGGTGTAGAAGAGGTGGTGGGTTGTTATGAAGAGGAGGGCGAGGATGAAGGAGAGGGCCATTGAGATGGGGGCGAGGTAGGGGAGGGTTGATAGGGATGGGAGGGCCATTTTGGAGAGGCTGATAAAGAGATATTTGGAGAAGAAGGATGGGATGCGAGAGGAGACTGTGGGATGAGTTGAGCGGAGGGGGAGCGGAACTTATGTTGTGCAACTTATGCTGCTGTAGACGTTGTGTATTACCTGGAGTTGGTACCTTGAGAGCCGCGCCGCAATGCTGCAGCTGCGATAGCACGGTAAATATGCGCAAAACCGCTGGGGCAAGCGCTTCTAGGCCTTCTATCTGTTTTTATAGAGTAGAGATACATCTGGTCGAGTAATGTTGACCCGTTTGGCGACGTGAGGTGGTTTGTTAAGCGCCGCGGCCGGATCCGCTGGGGTGGTAGAGCGCTGAGCGCTTGGGATGAAACGCCAACAACTCCTGCGATTCTGGCCGACGAGATTATCTCCACCGTCGATTGTCGTTTGGTATGAGTTTACCTTTGCATCGACATTCGATGGCCGGTGGCCTTTCTTGCGAAAGTCCGCGAGCTTGTGGTGGATTCGAGCAGCCGGTGTTGGTTGGATGTGCTCCATGCCCAACGCGCAGCACTTGGGCTAGACATTTGACCGGTCGGACGAACTTCCTGCGCCCTTCCGTTGAGTATTATCGTTTACAACAGCCTCATTCGTTCAACGACCATCATGACCCTGCTCCTGCGCTTGCGCCTCCGCCTGCCCAATCTCATTACTCCCCTCATCATAGAACTCAATATCCCCATCCTCCCCCAACCGTCCCTTCCGCAAATACTGCCCCTTCTCCTTCAGAATATCCTCGAGCGTGATGCCCTTGTCGGAGAAGATCTTCATGTGGTCGCTGATCAAGTGGCGGTTCTTGCAGCCGGAGCAGGTGATGAGGGTGGTGCCGAAGTGGTAGGCTTGCTTGGTGACGCGGTGGGAGGAGCGGTTCATGCATTTGCGGCAGGTGAAGGTCTGTGGTTATCATTAGTTATTGCGTGACCTGGGGCGAGAGTGGTTGCAGGGCGCATACCAGCTCGTAGGCGGGCTCCAGGGCTTTGCGCGCCGCGACGTCGTCACCCTCTGCATCTGTATTCTCCGCCGACTCGGCTGGTCGATCTGTAAGAGGCTTTGCTTCCGACGATTCGCGCCGGATCTGGGTTGCGATGCTGCTCGACGGGACGTGTTTGCACTGTCGCAACGCCGCGGGAGTGGTCGATACTAGGTGCCTTCGTGGCACCGCCGCCGACTGGGCTATCCGGAAGGGCGCATTATAGTTTCTATAGGCTTGTCGCGAGGATCTCGCGATCTGGCGTAGCGCTGTATTGGCATTCATCGTGGTCGGTGGTGGAAGGTCTGCAAACAGTCGAGAGGGAGCTCTGGAATGCGACTTTGACCTCATCCGGTGACGACTTTTACGCTTTTGCCCTGCAGATCTCAGGCACCAAGGCTGCATCCGCCCAAACCACGAACTCGAGATATGCGTCCTACCCAAAACATCTCCTCTACTCTTCGCTGCCTACATTCACTCTACATCCACTGGACTCACTCCTTGTTCTACACCTGACTTCATCGTCGAACCCGATCGCACCGCAACAGTCCGCCCGCGACACACACCCACCGCGACCAGCACCTACCCCGCCAAGCGCATGTGCATACAACAACTTTTTGAGCACGACTAGAGCGCAAGGAGAACGACCATACAGCAAAGCCCACGATGGCATCGTCGGCGGTGAGAGGAAGGGCAAAGATCAGGCCACCGAGAAAGGTTAGTCTTTACTGCTTTGTTCGCTTTCACATGCCTCCCACCTTCACGCAACCTCACTACATTCACGGCTTCTCTCATGTCGCGAGGCCTCGCTTTCACTACCCACCACTGTGCTCGACCAAACCTGCAACATGGCTAATCAACGTCAGGGTCTCAACGTACCAGACATCGACTTCGAAACCACCTGGGGCGTGCTCGAGAAGGCCTTCCTAGAGATCCACACAAAGAACGCCTCGGCGCTATCCTTTGAGGAGCTCTACCGCAATGCCTACAAGATCGTGCTCAAGAAGAAGGGCGAGGAGCTCTACAACAAGGTGGCAGAGTTTGAGGCACGGTGGCTGAGCAGTGAAGTGCGGATGAAGATCGTTGCGACCATAACACCACCTCTACAGCTGCTTACAGAAGGGAGTGGCGGGAGGGCGTTGTCTTCGACGGCGGAGAGGAGAACCGCCGGCGAGAACTTCCTACGGACGCTGAAGGAGTCGTGGGAGGATCATGGGGTGTGTATGGGCATGCTTACGGATGTGTTGATGTACATGGTGAGTACTCAGGCACAGCAACATGCTGCGAACGATGGCACTGACTTGGAGAAGGACCGAGTATATTGCACCGACCACAGACAACCATCAATCTTCGCGAAAGCAATGGGCCTATTCCGCGACCAAATCCTGGGCTCACTCGATCGACCGAACGGCACACAACTGGCTGAGAGCTTGACAAAAGTCATACTCGACCAGATACAGATGGACCGAGACGGCGAGAAGATCGACCAGCACCTCATCAAAGCCAACGTCTACATGCTCGAAGGCCTCTACCATTCAGATCAAGAGGTGGAGGAGGAGAAGCTATACCTCCAGCTGTTCGAGCCACACTTCCTCAGCACTTCCGCCGCGTTCTATAGGGAAGAAGGTGAGAGGCTGCTGAAAGAGTCGGACGCAGGCACATACTGCAAGGAGGCAAAGAGACGGATAGATGAGGAGAGCGATCGATGTCGATCAACAATCTCTGAGTCAACTACTCCGAAAATCCAAAAAGTGGTGGAGGATGAGCTGATACGGCACAAGATGAAGGGCCTGATTGAGATGGATAGTGGTGTGCAGTACATGATCGACAACGACAAGTTCCACGAGCTTGGCCTTGTGTTTGAGCTCGAATCGCGGGTGGACGCTAGGAAACCCGAGCTCACCAAGGCGATCGTCAGCATTGTCCAGGACATGGGTGCTGCGATCAACAAGGCTGCCGAGACGACATCGGTTGCACCCCCTGCGCCTGCAGGCCAAGATGACGCTGGGGAGGACAAGCCGAAAGCTGGTAGTACGAGGCAAATCAACCAGCAGACGGCTGCGGCGCTGAAGTGGGTGGAGGATGTCCTGGCATTGAAAGAGCGCTTCGATGTCTTCTGGAAGACGTCCTTCAACTCGGATCAAACAATTTCGACAGCATTAACGCGCAGCATCTCCGAAGTCATAAACGCATTCAACCGCAGCAGCGAGTACATCTCCCTCTTCATCGACGAGAACATGAAGAAGGGCATCCGCGACAAGAGCGAAGCTGAGATCGACGCCACGCTCGAGCAGGCCATTGTCACTCTTCGCTATTTACAGGACAAGGACATCTTCGAGACGTACTACAAGAAGCATCTCTGCAAGCGTTTGCTGCTGAAGAAGAGCCAGAGCATCGACGTGGAGAAGCAGATGATTTCACGGATGAAGATCGAGCTCGGCAACTCCTTCACGCTCAAGCTGGAAGCCATGTTCAAGGACATGACACTGTCGGAAGAGCTGACAGGCGGCTACCGCTCACACATCGCCCGCCTTGGCCAAGCCGACACGAAGCGCGTCGACCTCAGCATCAACGTCCTCACCTCCATGACCTGGCCGCTCGAAGCCTTCCGCGGCGCCGGCGAAGACGAGCGTGAATCCCGCAACAACCTCCTCTTCCCCGGCTCCATCGAGCGCATCAAGACCGGCTTCGAGCGCTTCTACGCCGAGAGGTATTCCGGTCGGAAGCTGACCTGGCAGACCAACATGGGCGACGCGGATATGAAAGCCACTTTCCCACGCTCCCGCAACGGCAAGCCCATGACCCACGACATCAACTGCTCGACGTACGGCATGCTGATCCTGCTCCTCTTCAACGACCTCCCCACTACCCAGTCCCTCACGCTCGAGGAGATCCAGGCGAAGACCAACATCCCCTTGAACGACCTGAAGCGCAACCTGCAATCCCTGGCTGTAGCGCCGAAGACGCGCTTCCTGGTGAAGGAGCCGATGAGCCGCGAGATAAACCCCGGCGACCGCTTCAGGTATAACGAAGACTTCAGCAGCAAGATCATCAAGATCAAAGTCGGCGTTGTTTCGGCGGGAAATAAAGTGGAAGGCGAGAAGGAGCGCAAGGAGACGGAGAAGAAGAACAACGATTCCCGCGGCTTCGCCATCGAGGCGGCTGTTGTAAGGATCATGAAGTACGTGTCCCAACCCACCCTTCTACACTTACAATATACCGTGGAATTGGTATGCTGACTTTTACCAACAGACAGAGGAAGGAGTTATCGCACGCCCAGCTTCTTACGGAGACGCTGACGGTGCTGTCCGGGCAGTTCAGGCCGGATGTGAATATGATCAAGAAGCGGATTGAGAGTTTGATTGAGCGGGAGTACTTGGAGCGGTTGGAGGAGGCGGCTGTGCCGAGTTATCGGTATTTGGCGTAGAGGTTTCGTCTACTCTCTACCGGGTGTGATGGGAGGGTTAGTATTTGCTTGCATGGGACGGCGCTGCTGGGGAGGGGAAATGGGATATACCATGGAGACCGCATCAGAAGGGCTTTTCTGCATGGAGGCCATGAGGATTAAGATGGGAATGGGCATATGGTCGGAGTATGATGAGGAACAGCGAGGCGCTCTGGCGAACTTGCTTGCTTGGAGAAAAATGCAGTGTTTCTCCTCGGTAGGTATGTAGCTGTCTTTCGCAGCAGAGTACACCTTTCAAACGTTCCAGAGTGCGATCACGACCAGATTCCATCCAGTCCTCTAAATGACGGCTCGGGTCAGCGTGCATGGTGCAACCTTGGGTTGTCGTCGATGCAGCTATATATGGATGTTATGTGAGTTTTGATTCATCGTCAGGATCGGGGTTGAGATGCTTATGTTGGCTGAAGCGTTCGGTGGAGGTTTCATGTTGATGGATCGTGGTTGGGAGGCAATGTACATTGTTCCCCATTTGCCCTGGTTACCACGTGAGAGCAATGCAAGGGAAGGCTCGACCGTCGCTGTGGGTTTGACCTCACCCTATACCAGCGTCCCAACTTCCATATTACCGCCGCCGACGATTCCGAAGTACATCTCCGCGAAGGAGCATCAACCTCGAATGTCGAATTAACACACGGGCGCTTACCCCAGAACAGCGACGTCGTCTGGTTCCTGCGTCGTTGGCTGCAGGCTTCCCGGGAGATTGGCGCTAGCGACGCCACGCGAAGGCGAATCTCCAATTGTGGGACCGCGCTCTGCCGTTTAATCAAACCTCCTGAACCCTCCACGATCCTTTGGGAGGGCTGTTGGGGATTCTGCTGGTCGCTGGGCGGCGCAGAAGGGCGGGTGTGGGACGCCACCGTCACGGTGTTGACGTTGTCGCCTCTTCTCGTGCATGTGTTGGCTGTATCTGATGCTGCTGGCTTCGGTTCGTCAGAATATCCTCGCCGAAGCGTTCGGAAGAGAGATGTCGCACAGACACGAATAGTCTCCACGCGCAGTGAAACACACGATCCCTCGGCGTAGCATGGGCTCCGGCGCAATCTTGAAGTTGACGGTTTGGCAGGGCCGCCCCTTACGGTCGTCGGGCACACCCCTGCTCGCATCAAAAGCAGCTCTTCCCCAAATCCACCTTTCCTTCCCCTTCTTCTCTTCCTGCTGTACAGACTTCCCTTTGCGCACCGCTGCTGTCTCTCGCCGATTGAGCATTCTTTGCTCGTTACGCTCGTTGTCCGCAAGGACTCAACCACACTCTTTTGCCGTCTACTTCACGCTCATTCAGCAGCAGCAACCTCCCGCCCGGCGCGTCGATAAAGCAACCAACAACATCGCAACTATACCCAGGAGTTTCTGTGAACTCTAAATTCGAAAGACATACCTCGCAATGGCTCCGATCAGCCAGCTTTCCGTGCTGGCGTTTGCGTCTGCTGCGCTCGCCGTCCCGCACGCCGCGCACAACCACAAGCGTCACGCCCACCCTGGCGCGCCGCCTGCGTATGGTGGTGAGGCGCCCCCGGCTTATGGCGCGTCGTCTTCGGCTGGTGCTGTGAGCAGCTCTGCCGGCGCCTATGGCTCTTCCTCCATGCCAGCAGGCTGGGGATCTTCGTCCTCTGCGGCTGCCTACGGGTCGTCTTCCTCCGGTGCGGCTGTGTCCAGCTCTGCTGGTGCATATGGATCTTCTTCCATGCCCGCTGGGTACGGATCGTCTTCGTCTGGCGCGGCCGTGAGCAGCTCCGCCGTCCCAAGCTACAGCTACTCTTTCTCCGGATCTGCATCTTCTGGGTACGCTGGCCCGACTGGCGGGTACGCGCACCCATCTGGATCCAGCGCATGGGGCAGCACTGGCTACGCGCACCCCACTGGATCGTACTCCGGCCCGGCTTCGTACAGCACCTGCACTGAGACCTCGACTCTCATCTACCGCAGCACGACCGAGTACTCGACTTACTACGTCACCCACACCCTCTACCCCAGCGCCCCAGCTTCCTCGGCTGGTGCTGGATCCAGCTCTGCCTCTGCTCCTGGTGGCTACCAATCTGGTGGTTCGCCATCCGGTGGCATGCCGTCTGGCGGTGCTCCTTCCGGATACGCTCCTTCGGGATCCGCTGTTTCGCCCGCCAACTCCGGCTCTCCAGACTCCCCTGAGGGCACTTGCGTTCCCGACGTGACCGTCACCACCACCGAGAAGTCGACCATCTACGTGACCGTTGGCCCCAGCTCTTCTTCTGCTGCCGCCCCATCGCCATCCGGAGGCTACCCAGGATCGTGGGAGCCTGCGCCATCCGCCTCTTCCGCCGAGGCTGGATCGTCGTCCGCTCTTGTTTACTCTTCGGCTGCACCAAGCTCGTCCGCCGCTCCTTCGCCATCTGGCGGGTACCCAGGCTCGTGGGAGCCAGCGCCGACCAAGTCTTCTTCCGCTGCCCCCAGCGGTGGATACTCTGCCCCCGCTAGCAGCGCCCCAGTCGCACCAAGCAGCTACGCACCAGCACCGAGCAGCGCCCCTGCTGCCCCGTCCTCGTACGCCTCGCCTAGCTCCCCAGCTTCTTCCTCTTCCTCTGCCGCCCCATCTCCCTCCGCCCCGTCCTACGGCGGCGCATCCGGCTACAGCGGCAAGCGTGGTCTCAACTACAACGACGCCGGCCTGACCAACATGTTCGCCAAGTCCGGCCACGTCGGCTGGGCCATGAACTGGGAGTCCGACAACAAGGGCCTCGACTCCGGCGTCCCGTACATCCCAACTCTCTGGGGCACTGACAGCATGTGGACCGACATCTGGGCCGACAACGCCCAGTCGGCCATCGACAACGGCGCGCTCTGGCTCTTCGGCTTCAACGAGCCCGACATGCCATCCCAGGCCAACCTCTCCCCGCAAGCCGCCGCGGACGCGTGGAAGCAGTACATGGAGCCCTTCGCCGGCAAGGCCAAGCTCGTCGCCCCGGCCGTGACCAGCGGTGTGGGTGAGGGTCTCGGCGTCTCGTGGTTGAAGGACTTCTTGACCGCGTGCTCGGACTGCACGATCGACGCCGTCGCGCAGCATTGGTACAACAGCAACGGCAACGACGCGCAGAACTTCAAGGACACCGTCACCGGCGCGGCCGAGGCGTCAGGCAAGCCGGTGTGGGTGAATGAGTTTGGCGCGATTGGCTCGGACGAGGAGAAGAGCGAGTTCTTGCAGGAGGTGATGCCCTGGATGGACAGCAACGACAGCGTTCTGTAAGTTATCTCCCCTTCCCATCGACATGTGATGATGAATCGTTACTGACCTTGTGACTGCAGCGGCTACGGCTACTTCATGGTCTCGGACGGCATGCTCTGCTCCGGCGACGCACCCTCCACCTACGGCTCGACTTACATGGACTACTCTGGTTAGAGAGTGAAGGGGGTTGATTTTCGTAACGATCTTGGAACAAAGCAGCTGCGGAGTTGGATGGTCGCACCACGCAAGGGAGCAAGCAAGGCAAGATCTGTTGCATGTGATTAGGGATATGTACGTCGTCTTTTTTTAAAACTATCTTCGTGTAAATGTGTATTTTGAGAAAAAGACAAATCTTCTGCGGGATCAGGCGTAAGAGGGACTGTTGGTGAGTGATGAAGGGAGAGAAGGTGAGTGAGCGAGTGAATTCATATACTGTGGTATGGGCGATGCTGTGCCGCCTTGCAGCATGGGTTGTAGGCGCTGGGTAATTTACATTCCTCCTACGCGAGGTGTTGGTTCGGCGCTTCGACTTCCACAGCGTGAGGAAGACTGGCACCGCTGCTGAGAAGGAGACGTTCGCAGACGATGTTTATTAGCAGAAGGTCGAGCATGTTGCGCAATGTGTTGACATCTGATGCCGTGAACGTGAAGTCAGCTTCTCGTCCGCCACCAAGGACGGCACGCTTGACTTCTGCCGACAGACGACAGATGCAGGTACAGAATTTCTACGTCGGCTATCTCGAATTTTGTGGACTCGTTGCATCCTTCATTGGGTCATGGATCTTTGTGGTCGCACGTTTTCCGTGTCAAGGTCCGGTCATTGAGGCGTCCGGGATGCTGCTTAGGTCCGGGCCTCGACTATGGGAGGAAAAGTATAAAAGTGGCGAATGTTGCTCGAGGAAGAATATCAACAACAAGCTTAACATTCGAACCACGACATAGATTCACCATTGACAGACTGTAACAAATTTCAAGATGTCTCAAGACCCCAAGTCGAAACTCTCCAGCTCTGGCCAGGACTTTACGAAGACTATTCATCATGATACATACGACTTCATCAAGCCAGAGCAGTGGGATCTGAAGGGCAAGGCGGTGTTGGTCACTGGTGCTTCCAAAGGCGTGAGTCTTGTCATCCGCTCATTGAGAGAAGCACATGCTGATTCTATCTCAGGTCGGTCGTGCCGCTGCCATCAGCTTCGCAAAGGCTGGAGCCTCGTACATCGCCCTGGGCGCTCGCTCATCACTTTCAGAAACCGAGCGAGCAGTCCAAGATGAAGCAAAGCAAGCAGGCCGCCAACCACCCACGGTCCTGTCTTTGACCCTCGACGTCGCCTCCGAGTCCAGCGTCGCTCAAGCAGCCAAAGACCTCGAAGCCTCCTTCGGCCGCCTCGACATCCTCTGCAACAACGCCGGCTATCTCGAGAACTTCGCCAAAGTCGCCGAAAGTGACCCTACGGATTGGTGGCGCGTCTACGAAATCAACGTCAAGGGCGTCTACCTCTGCGCTCGCGCTTTCATCCCACTCCTGCTGAAAAGCAAAGACGGGCTGAAGACGGTGCTGAACACCTCCTCCGTCGGCGCGCACGTCGTCATGCCTGGCGCTTCGGGCTACCAGACGGGTAAACTAGCCGTCGTACGCTTCGGCGAGTTCTTGATGGCGGAGTACGGGGAGCAAGGACTGTTGTCATATGCGATTCATCCTGGTGGTGTTGCTACGGAACTCGCGCTGGGGATGCCGAAGGATTACCACGCGTTGTTGGGGGATAAGCCGGAGTTGGCGGGGGATGCGATGGTGTGGTTGACGGGAGAGCGGAGGGAGTGGTTGGGGGGGCGGTTTGTGGATGTTACGTGGGATATGGAGGAGTTTTTGGGGAAGAAGGGAAGGGTGGTGGAGGGGGGTTTGTTGAAGGTTAGGTTGGACGTTGGGTTGGAGTAGATATCAACTGTGTAGGAAGTAATATGTCCTGGTGGATATAGTTATCCTTACGAGTACAACGCCGTATTGTCGTGGACATGTGAATGCGCGGGAGCAGCCGTCCTCGTGCGCAGTTCGTGTAACTTCATTCGCCCGATTCGCCAATGGCTGCCGCTATCGAGAAATCGCAGACTGGGCTGGGGAGCTCTGCGGCGCCTCAATGCTTGAATAGTTGCGTGAAAAGCGTCGTAGTTGGTTCTGACTTTCTCCATCGCAGTTCACTTGCTCGGCATTGCTGCACTTGAGGTAGGCGCTGCTCGAGCCTTTTCCTTCATCCTCTGCGTTCAAGCGTCTTCTATCGCACATTGCATACAGAGCTTCCGCCGGCCGCCGCGCAAAGATGAGGTAGGTAAATATCTTGGGACTTTGTTGTTGAAATGCTTCCTAACATTATCCTATAGGTTCGGCCAGCAGCTCCGGAGCTCTCTGATCAAGGACTGGTATTACTACTACATCTCATACGACGAGCTCAAGAAGAGCCTACAAACCGACTTCGAGCATGTCCCCGCCATACAGCAATCCAACAAGCCTCAGCGGAAGCCCTGGAGTGAAGAGGATGAGCAGCGCTTCGTCAATAAGCTTGAGGAGGAGCTGGACAAGGTCTTCACCTTCCAGAAGGTTAAGAGTCAAGAGATCATTCGCCGTATAAAGGCCAGTGAGAAGGAGGTCAGCGAGGCTATTGAGAGGACAGAGGCTGCGCAGACTGATGAGCGGGCGAAAGCAAATGAGCCGTCGGAGGATGAGTTCATGCTGCTGGAGGAGGACTTGTCGGATATCATCGCGGATGTGCACGATCTGGCCAAGTTCACACAATTGAACTATACTGGGTTTCAGAAGATCATCAAGAAGCATGACAAGATGACAAAGTGGCATCTGAGGCCTGTATTTGCCGCGCGACTCAATGCCCGGCCTTTCTTCAAGGATGACTACGACGAGACGGTGATCAATCTTTCGAAGCTGTACGATCAAGTACGGACGCGAGGTAGCCCGATCCAGGGTGATTCTTCTGCTGGAGGCAAACAGCAGAACTTCGTGAGGCAGACTACGAAGTACTGGGTGCATCCGGACAACATCACCGAGCTGAAGCTCATCATCTTGAAGCATCTGCCTGTTTTGGTGTTCAATCCCAGCAAGGAGTTTGAAAGGAAAGACTCCGCGATCACGTCGATATACTACGACAATACCGATACCTGGGAACTGTACGAGGGTCGTCTGAAGAAGTCTGAGGGAGCAGAGGCTATTCGTCTACGATGGTATGGTGGGATGGACACCGACACTATCTTTGTGGAGCGCAAGACACATCGAGAAGACTGGACGGGAGAGAAGTCGGTCAAGGCGCGGTTTTCGCTGAAGGAGAAGAATGTCAATGCTTTTCTCCAAGGGCAGATGACAACTGCACAGGCTTTTGAGAAGATGCGGAGAGACGGCAAGAAGGGTGAGAAGGAGATTAATGATCTTGAGCAGCTCGCGAAGGAGATACAGTTCCGTGTTCTGGATCGGAGTCTTGTACCTGTGTGTCGATCCTTCTACAATCGAACGGCTTTCCAGCTACCTGGAGACGCACGCGTGCGGATATCACTGGACACAGAGCTATCGATGGTGCGAGAAGATAATTTGGGTGGCCGGAAAAGGGCAGGAAACAACTGGCGACGGATGGATATTGGCATCGATCATCCGTTCGATCAGCTGCCCGCAGAAGACATCGAGCGGTTCCCGTACGGTGTGCTAGAAGTCAAGATCCAGACTGCCGCCGGACAGGAACCGCCAGAATGGATTCGCGAACTGACCGCATCTCACCTGGTGGAGGCCGTGCCAAAGTTCTCGAAGTTCATCCATGGCTGCGCTACCCTCTTCCCTGACCGCATTGACCTTCTACCTTTCTGGTTCCCACAAATGGACGCCGATATCCGCAAACCCGTCACGCACAAGTTCGGGATCGAGCGACCTGGACACAGCACCGAAGCCAGCACGAGCGTCGGTATGGAGGACGACACTGATGACGAAATGGATGGAGAGGAAGACGGCGATGAAAGGACGCTACGGGGCGAAGAGGACAGCAACGACTCGAACATGCAGCGTCTCCGCGCAGCTAGGGACGCATTGGAGCAGCACGAGCAGGAAAGGCGAATGGAGTTGGTCAATGGCGGCGACCCCAATGTTATGGACGAGGAGGAACGCATGGCCCAGAAACCTATCGCTTCGATTGATGACGACTATCCCCTGTATGACTCCGAAGATGACGAGGATGCTCTGGAAGAGGCGAAGCGGGTTGGCGGCTGGACGTACCGATGGAAGCTTGTCAAGAGCTACGCGAGTGTGGCAGGCGATAAAGTGCTGTACACGCTCAAGATGGCCACGCCGTTCCCGAAGCCGACTCAAATACCGCCTCGAGAAGGCAAGTTTGGTCTGCCCAGTGCGGATAAAGTGCAACAGAGACGCTTCCGCGCGCCAAGGGGCAAGAAGATTCATGTACCTGTGCGAGTAGAGCCGAAGGTCTCTTTCGCCGCTGAGCGAACCTTCCTGGCCTGGGTACGCATTCCCTCCCCCTCACTAATACATCTACTAACCCAACGACCCAGCTCGAGTTCTCAATCATCCTCGGCTCCATCGCCGCCACCCTGCTCAACTTCGGCGACACGGGCTCCATGGCCTCCGCATGGGCTTTCACGATCCTCGCCGCGGTGGCGTTGTTCTACAGCATGGGCATTTTTCTCTGGCGGGTGGATAAGATCAAGAAGAAGAGGGCGGTGGATTATCATGATAAGTGGGGGCCGAGCGTGCTGTGTTTTGGGCTGGTGGTGGCGGTAGGGATTAGTTTTGGATATCGGCTGGGGCATGGGGGGGAGGGGGGTTTGAGAGGGTAAGTCGTGAGTGTGTACTTATGGAGAGCTACTGTTGCATAGGCACATAAAGCCGCCAGAACACGCTTTATCCGACGGCTCCTTCTCCGCTGGCTTTGTGCCTATAGGCTAACGGGCTCATGTACTGGCTACTGCAGTGACAGGAACAAGTCTGAGCTCTTGACCTTGCCGCTCCTCCCGCAGTCAATCGCATATGGCTGTGCATTTCAACGTGTCCACTTACCACTCGTGCCTGGGAGAACGCTGGAACGAAGCTTCAGATGCCGCTTCTACAACTAACGATGAGCTCACGATGCCAATGATAGTGACTGCACTGGCGGCACCCCCGCTCCTCTGGTAGAGAAGAGGCTCGGCAGGCTGCAATGAGGTATAAATTTGAAGCTCACACTCTGCTACGAACACACTATCCACGCAAACAGCATGAGCAAGCTCGGCGCGGCGTTTTTTAGTCGTCGTATCGAGGAGCGCAAGGATGCCATGGTGTGCTGAGTGGCGGTACCTGAGCGTAAGTTTTCGAGCGAATAAATGCATGTGACTGACGCCCTTTGACGACGATGTTCATGCTGACTGACGGGGTTTGGCCGACGATGACGTTCACTGCTGGTCAGTTATAAGCAAAGATCGTTGTCACAATTTCTGCTGGTCGAAACGTTGTTGGTTCAGCCGATGGGAATAAGGTAGAAGGCGACCTGCGGGTTTGCGTGCTATCTTGAGCCCGCAGCACCCAGCAAGATACGACCAATGCTATGGATCAACCAGAGATCCATCAATACTTCAACAGCTCACCGAGTGACATCTCGTGTTCCCGGCTGATGTGGTTCGACCTGCTCACGCTCATCTACGACTTTCCGAGCACGCAGCAGAAGCGAATACGATGTGGATTCCAATATCCAGGAAAGTCGAGCCGTTAAGGGCGCACATTGTGTGGCTATTGCAAATCCCCTGAAATCGTTGCGCCGTTTGGAACGTTTTACCTACACTCTAACCAAATTGATATACGGGAGGAACATGCTTCAGAAGCATCTCGACCCAAGGCCCCCCAATCAAAACATTCAACTCCACACCGACACTCCGCTTCATCAGTATGCAACACTGGCAGCCTCTGGGTCGAAAATATCTTGGCACTTCGACCGTGTCAGCGCCACGCCCGCCGAGTAGCCTTGAGCAGAGTACAGATCTTCCGGGATCAAGGCACAAACGCTTGGTCCGTCCACCCTAAGAATAGGAAGACTCCAAAAGCACTTCGGGAGTCCTTCCCCGAATATCACGCTTGTGTCGAGCTGGTTGCTATTGCAGTCGACCGCATTCTGGTACATCTCCACAGGGTCGATGTTGTACCCAGCGTTCGGGTCATCCAACTTGAGCAAAATCTCAGCAGCGACAGGTTTGGTGCCGCCTGGGCTGTCCACCCGCTTGGAAATGATCATACACTCGTTGTTGATGAAGCGACTGCCAGTGTCCGTGCAATCTGCCTCTGCGAGCTGGGTGTTGATGAAGACGTAGAAGTTTTGCGCCCGCATAAGTCCGGCGACAAGGTTCTGCTTGATCCTAGCATAGCCAGCTGCCAGGGCATCGTCCAAGGGTGACTCGTCCAGGTCTTCGAGAAAAGCTCCACTCGAGAAAATCTGAGCGATCGGATCAAGGCCGTCAGAGGTAGTGCCTGTGGACTGGAGGACCGCGCTGAGATCGAGGTCGGCGTCCCCACCGAACAACTTGCTGTTGAGCTTTTCGATCAAGTCGGCAGCTTTGGTGAAGGTTCCGCCCAGCTGGTCGCTGACGACTGTCCGCCATTCATCTGTCATATCGACCGGCTGCGACAAGGGATCAAGGGAGGTCTCCAAGAACAAGGCACCCCCTATAAGACCCAAGATGGCACCAATGGGTCCCGCAGCAGCCCCGATTGCGGCGGCTCCTGCAGCCGTGCCTGCCGCCGCGGCTGCAACGCCAGCCACGCCTGCGATTCCCGAGGCGACGAAGACTCCAGCTGAGACGACGCCAACAGGGTTGATTGAGCTGCCGGCTGCTTGATCGGGAGCGAAGTCGGCAATGATTTGATCGATTGAAAGAATGTCGCTGATCGTGACGTCTTGCAGCTTCTCGTGTGCCATGGTGAAGAAGTCGTGTGCGTTGGTTGCGGCAAGGCGTATAAGACGCAGGACGGGTGGTGTAAAGTTCTGGATTGGTAACGTAAAGGTCAGCCTCTCGAATATCTCCGACTCTCGCTTGAAACATGAAGGACTGAGCTCTCAAACATGTTGACAGAGAACCCCTCAAGCCATCGATGCGACTTACTTCGCAGACTACATCTGGCACAACACAGGTGCTGCCGCCAAGGGCCTTGCAGTTAAGGGGCGAGTTGAACCCGTCAGTCGTCGTCGTACCATCATCCATGGCTGTCAGCCAGTCTGTGGTTCCATTCGTGGAGAACCAGTTCTGCATGAAGTCGGTGGCCCCAGAGGGACCCCATGATGCTGGGTCGTGAGGGTCCAGTGAACAGACGCCAGCCCCGGCGGCAGGTTCTGTTGCTGGATCTTGAGCAATTGGGAAGGCGAGCGTCTGCGCCGTCAAAGCAACGAGCACGATGAGGAGTTTGGCAGCCATTGATGAGTCTGTTTGCTGTGTCGATGATAGAGTTTGTCTGTGAGATAGGAGGACATTGTGCTTCCATGTCCACGACCTTATACCTGCTTCTGTCGTCCTCTCGACATACTGCTGCGGTCAGAGGATCGTAGAGGTAACATTGCCAACGAGTTCTAAGACCTGATGTTCACTGCTATTTCATACTGCACAGTGGAAATTGAATCAACTAATTCATACCGTACAGTGGCAATATATCCAACAATGCTATCTTCAGACAGCCTTGCCAAGAGGTTGATCCTTCGCGGAGTATCAACTGTGGCCATTGGTCAACACATTTAGCTGGCCTGACTAGTCATGCAGGCAGACCATTCGTGCGTTGCCCAGCATCACTTCGCCTGGATGTACTTTCTCCATGTTGATATGTTCATGATTCTTGAGGCTTGATGGATTGCGCGAGGGATTGGAATGGCGGACACAGCCTCGTTGGCACGATGTAACCACGAGAAGATGTTGTCTTCGGCGCATCAGTGCAAGAAAGTCAGGGATAGGAGGTTATATATCTCCAGCGAGCTCACCTCATCGACAGCATCCAATTCAGTCAATTGCTACCCCAGCGTCCTCCACAAGTACAATCACCCCACGAAGAGACACCATAGCACCTCGCCCAACCCCAGCCGTTGCGATGCTCACCACCCTTTTGCTTTTCATCGGTCTCACTTCCGCTTACAAGTCGACCGTCAACCTTTACCACGGTCCTGGTTGCAACTTTCCAGCGACGTACTTTGTCGGGACCTGCGAGGGCAAGTAAGTGCTATGAATCTGTTGACCCGACGTCTTGCGAGCATCACTAATCCTTCTGTGTTACAGCTGTTACCAATACGACTCCTTCGACTCCATCTGGACGGTCGGAAATGGAGCACCTTCTGGCACCTTGCGCTGTCATGCATACTCCGACGCCAACTGCAAGGATGAGATCACGGATACTGGTGACACCGGTGGGGATGGTAAATGTTCGGAGGCGAAGGGTGCTAAGTCTGTGATCTGTTACTCGGGGTGCTGATATAGTGGGAGGGGCAATCATAGGACCGTGCGTGCTCGTTGTGGCTGGCCCAGATGTTTGAGGTGATGGGGAACTCGCCTAGAGCATGGGGGCGTAGGGTTGCGTCTCAAATATCGGTTTGGAAATAGCTTGCAAGTAGGTAGAGCCGTCGGAAAGGGTGTCTGGTTTGGAACGATGCATGTGTGTAGCGCAGCCTGTATCAACCGTTTTACGGACAGGAGCTCCTCTCGGTGAAGTGTCCACTTGTGGAAGATGAGAATGCCATGAGATCTAGGATAGAAGTCCGTACACTGCTGATCGAGGGCATAACCCGGCAAGGTGTAAGCTTCATCAGATATGCAGAATATTATGTGAGGACAGGCGTGGGAAATTGTGGGTGCGGTGCAGCGAAAGTCAGGTCTCCTATCGACGCAGGACCGTTTTCTGAAGCAAGACTAGTGGAGGAGTGTGCTCCCATGGTCGACAGCAAGCGAATATCCAGTGGAGGAACGCCTCGTTGTTGGATGAGCGATCGCAGGGTGGAGGCTAGCATTGTTCGAAAAACCAAGAGGTTATCATGTTCTCCTTCTCGTAAAAATAAATCGTGCGGGAGGCGTACTCACACGCTCGACAGTGGGCGATTACTTACAGGAGAAGCGCGGCACGCCTTCGCTTCATCCAGCAAGCTGAATCTCCGAAAATTGAGCCTGCAAAGGTCCACGACTAACAATTCGTGGCATTCTCCTTCGTCAGGGCTCTGAATAAGTGCCTCCAACGTACACAAGACTCTTGGCTTTTGCATGATCGTACTGAGAGAGATCGCGAGGCTAGTGCTCTATCAAAGTCTGGTGATTCACTCTTCAAGATGCTCAATAGTGTTGCTCGCGAGGAGCAGCTGGCGAAGTCTTTCTTCCTGGAGGTCGGCCGTTGTGGGCGATTTCACTGCATAACTGAGCCCGATCGTCCTTGTGCGGTGTTCTCGGTGCTTGAGATTAGTGGCGAGAGGCTATTCTCGAGCGTGAGAGCTTGCCAAATGTCACGCTGCTGAAGGGCGGACTTCCCAGTAACGGCATCCACTTCTGTCGGCAGTGAAATTTCTCTGAGACCTTCAATCTGAGTGGTCGTCATGTTCGTTGGCTTTCTCGGGACATGTGTCACTGATTCCAGTCCAGCCGAAGCCAAGACGTAGTCCTGGTATGACGTCGATGGTGAGCTCTTGCACCCGAAAGCCGTCTCAAAGCTTTCGAATGCGGTCCAATATAAGTTTGGTATGTCCTGAAGGGCCGCTTCCCCATGTCAAGGAGTATTGTCTGTAAAATGAACGCCTGACGTCACCGCGGAGAGGCTGCCTCCATGACTCCAGCAGGTAACGCAAGGTGTAACATACCCCATCATCGTAATTCCAATGGTGGATCAAATGCTGTATGACCAAGCCGTTGGTGTATCAGCCTACGTTCAAGGGCCTGCTCCGGTAGTTTTCGTAAGGTCGAGAAGTGCAGGTGAGGTTGGTAAAGCTGTGAGTAGCGCTAGCAGCCCGAAGTAGAATTTCCCGACTCCACCCACAAATTGAGTAATTATATACAATTTTCCCAACATCCATTCCCATCAATTGGATCAACTGATCCTTCCATTGATCACGGGCTTGTGGTCTAGCGGTATGAGTAAGCAGCTCTCTCTGCCCTTAGATATCTTCCCATGCATGGTTCTAATAACATCGCAGCATCTTCTTAGCACCGCTGGCATCACCAGCTGCTTCGATTGGAGAAGGTTCGGCGTTCGACTCGCCGCTAGTCCAGTTTATTTTGCCCTTTAGGGATACCACAATTGAGGTACGGAGCGATATTGAGTTCTTTTCATGATGGTATACACCACGTGACATTGTTTTTGTATACACGACAGTGAGGAGCAAAGGTAAGACAAAAGCAACCGTATGTAATTTCGCTGCACTTAACTGGACTCAGAGACGCCTGCTGATATGAAGGAAATGAAGAGATTCATGGACAACTTTTGAGGGAGAGAAAGTATATGGTAGAGCGGTTTGCACACACGGGGGAGCATAAGAGGAGAGACAAGACATCCAGCGATCGACCGGAGGTTCACAGCATTCCCGACGTATGTATCCGCAGAAACAGGTGTCCATGAATCCAGGTAGCATGCTCTTCGAGAACCAAAACCATTCTTTGCCGGGCAGCCGGGCATGTGCAGAGGTGTTTGGATGGCGTACGCAATGTTCGCTCGTTCGCCAGCAGGTGAGGCCATTGTGGCAGGACAACGTGTCGACAAAACCATTTCCAAGTGATCCGAAGAGTTGCAAACAGCCGGGGAGAACCTCGAGGTCGGTGGCGGCCGTTGTATGCTCGAGAGGTGGATTTTTGGATTGGGGGTGGAAGAGTTGAGGTTGGATTGCGGTGCCGCAGTTGCCCTCAGTGACCTGTAGGGCAATCACGCTCTTGCCTCGATCTCACTACATCTTGAAATAGCACCGACCAATGGCAGGTATCCAACCTGGATTCAAACAATTCGTGGATGAAACACAAGGACTGAGACGTCGCTATAAGCTTCTCTTGACTTGTGATATTTGGGAGAAGATCTAGGGGTAACCTATACTACAATCATCGCTTCGCCAAATGCAGCACAGACCTGGCCTGGCCTGCTTCGCAGCTCACCTCCATCCTGCGTCCTTCGACTAGAACGGCGGCAGGAAGAACGGATAGCCGCCGTTCTTGATCCGGAAGACACTAAGCAGGAAGCTGTACATGCCCAGGATCACGCCTCCCCAGATGAAGACAGCGATCTGCTGTGCTCGTGGGTCGGCCATGCGGGGCACTTTGAGGGCCATCGAAATGGTCGCGAAGGCCAGTACGCCATCTGGAGGAATCAGTAAGAGGAGTGACCTCAGCAGGGACAGGTACTCACACATAGCCGCCACGATCTGCGACTCAAGACCAAACTGGTTCTGGAACCCTGCAGCAAAGTACGACACTCCGCCCTTGCCATCTCCCGCGACATAGGGAACCTTCCGGATGTGGTTGAACATGTGTCCGCTGGTGAAGAGCAGAATCGCGATCAAGCTGACCGCCGCCCAGAGGTTGCGATTCTGGATGACGGGCAGAATGTACGGCCACGCGACGCTGAAGAAGGTCACCAAGCCAAGTGCAGCAGTGGTCGTGACTGCAATCTTAACATAGTTGATTGGGCGAACGAGCGGTGGGTGTCGAGATTCGGGGAGATGGCGGGCGATCCAGGCGTGGATTGGGTCGGCTTTGTCAGTGCTGTGAGAAGCCGTCAGCATAGCTTACTGGTTTTGGGAGTCAAGCAGCTTACCCAGTGATGAAGTCGTATCGTTGGGGTGCTCCGTCCGGCTTCGCATTGGGTCCAACGGTGGGTTGGAAGAGAAGCAAGACCGGAGCAGTTTGCAGCATTAACTGTTCGAGGTCAATACTTCTTTTCTGTCCCCATGTCTTGATAGTGTACCGTACCGATTGAAACGTCTGTTTTCCATCCGTGAAGTCCAATGTCCCATACACCAACCGCGACTCTCCCTGCTTGTCCCCCTTGGTCCAACTCTTTGCAAGCAGATCCCATTCCGGCTGGAATTCGTGGCACAGCGAGCAGCCGAATCTTGGATCCAATGCAGTCAGCAGCACTGCTACAGCATAGTCCCGAGGCGCCTTGGTCATCTCATTGTAGGTGACATCGTCGAGCTTGATGGGTGCTAAGCTGGACACCTGTTTCGAGTGGTAGTCATTGAAGCGGTCGCCGGTCGATTTTCTTGCCGCGAAAGCTGTCAATGGCAGTATCGCCGCTGTCAGAGTCTGTAGCAGCCTCATCTTGGAGCTTCAGTGCGTTCAATGGGTATTTCGAAAGTCCTGATGTCTCGAAGCTCCATCTGTCATGTTCAAAGTCGGCTTTATGGTTTCGCCGCGTTCCGCTGAAAATAGCCGTTGCCTGTTCTCAGCCGCCATCTATGTTTACTCACAGAAAGCGCGACTCCATCCCACTTCATCAAGCAATCGGACATTGCTCTTAGTCCTGCATGCACTCATATACACACTTCCACCAGCAGCAGTCATGGTTCCAGCACCGACAATGCACGCATCCTACACCCAGCAGTCGCTCACCAGCGCTGCGCTGGAGCTCAAACACACCAAGAACAGCCACTTAGTGGACATCATAAGCAAAGATGAAGATATGCGCCGATTGCGGTTCGACGTACATGTGTTGGAGGACGACAATGACGAACTGCGCGACCAATTGATGCAAGAGCAGGACCGGAGTGATGCATTCGAGAAGCTGGTCAAGGAGAATCTACTGCGCGCGGAAGATGCTGAGGCCCAGGCACAAGAGTTGGAGGCAGATCTGCGACAACGCGAACAGGAGCTTCAGACGATGCAGGCCGAGAAGAGCGCGCTGCAGCACTCTAGTGAAGACGCGACGGCGGCCTTGACAGAGAAGCTGGCGCTCACAAGGGAACTTTCTGTGCTGAAGCCGGAGCTGGAACACCTGAAAGCGCAAGCTGCGTCGACCGAGGCCTTGATGACCGAGAAGCTTGCACTCCAGAGACAACTCACGGAGATTCAGTGCGAAGTCGAGAACGCAAAGCGGGAGGCGAAGCGTGCGCTGGCCAAGCGGAGGAATACTGGAGTTGAGATTGCACAGGAGGAGCAGTTAGAAGAACTCAAGCGTCAGGTCGCGAAGGAGAAGCGCGCACGTCAACGAGCAGAAGAGGCTGCTCAGTCTGCTGAAGGCGACGGGCAGAGCGATGACATCCGCAAACAACTCGCCAAGGAGCGCAAAGCCCGACTGCGAGCAGAAGAGCAACTTGCGTCAGCTCAGGACACTACGCAAGTTGAAGATGTGCGGAAAGACTTACTGAATGAGAAGAAGGAGAAGTCGAAGCTGGAGGAGGCTCTGGAGAACGCCCAAGCAGAACTGGAGCGCGAAAAGAAGGCTGCTGCACGGGCGGCGAAGCGTGCAGATGGCAATGCGCAAGCCGATGATGAAGCCGAGGAGCTGCGAACGGAGCTTGCGAAGGAGAAGAAGGAGCGGACCAAAGCTCAGCGAGCAGCACAGCAAGCAGCAGACGAATTTGCAGCGCAGAAAGCCACCCTCGACGATAAGCTTGACCAATTCCGCACCAAACTCAGATCGACCAAGGAGAAGCTCAAAGAGACCGAAGCTGAGCTGATCACCGCAAAAGCCTCTGCAGCAGCAGCGCCTGCTAAGAAAGCAGCGGCCGCACCGAAAGCAGCCGCATCAAAGGCGAATACGAAGAAGCGAGCTGCAGCGCAAATGGACCTAGATGCAACCACCCTCGGCACCCCAGGCGACGGTCCAGTTGCAAAGCGTGGCCGCAAAGCAGCTCCCGGCGTTGGCGACAAGTCCACGTTCTCGATTACCCCGTTCCTTAACAAGACAACGAGCGTCATTCAGGACGAGGACGACGAAGAAGCCGGCAGCGACGGCGCAGCCTCCCCTGCAGCTACCAAGAAGAAGCAACCTCTCGCTCAACAGCCCGCCAGCAAAGCTAATGTGCCGCCCAAGAAGGCTCCGGCGCAGCGCAAGCCGAAGATGCCAGCGCTCGAGATGGTCACCGAGGAGAACGAGCCAGCCGAAGGCCAGGAGAACGCGAAGCCGCAGACGTTGAAGATCAAGACGAAGACTGACGATGGCCCTGAAAAGCCTGGCGATCCGACGAAGAAGAAGGCCAAGCAGCGCAAGTCGCTTGCCGACTTTGCCTCTTTCAACCCGCAGCCGGATGTCGAGAAGAGGCAGAAGAAGCGGAAGCTGGGTGGGTTGGGCAAGACGTTATTCGATGAGGAGGAAGCGGAGGCCGGTGGACCGATGAAGCGTGGGCTGTTCGGTACAAAAGGCTTCGGGCTATTGGGAGCGAAGAAGGGCGGTGGGGTTGGGAGCAGCTTCTTGGGTGGCAGCAAGGCAGGTACGACGATGCTTACTGCGGGCGATGGGAGTGGATTCCAGTTCTCGCCATTGAAGAAGGCGAGGCGGAATCTGGACGACACGCTTAGGATGTGAGTCATGGGGTCTGGGCTTGATTGCGTTGTTCTTTAGCCATTGGCGTTGCGTTTGTGCTTGATGATACCTGAGTTGTTCTGTTGGCATGGTCTTGGTACGCTAGTTCGAGCTGATGTCGTCTCGTATACGAATATCTGAATGTGCTCCTTGCCGTGTCTCTCACTGCTGTACTCGCTTCCCCACCGCGTGATGAATTGGCACAGCCTCCTGCAGCGAGCATGTGACAGTCCCCCAGCCCAGACTCTGCCACCTGCTGAGATACCTATATATTCCATCGCCTTCCCTCGTGAAGCTGGGAGATGATCTGTTAATCGACGCGCGTGGAGTCATGAGTCCCCGGCTTTACACCGTAGTCGACTATCGTCCTAGTACCTCTGGTGCTCAACCAATGCTGGGCTGCAATCAAGTCTTGCATCTTTAGTCTGCTCGAAAATGGTCCAGCTTCAGCCTGGCTGGTCGAACACGTCCTCTCTCGCCACGTCCGGACGTCGGCGCAGACACACAAAATAAGACTCCTTGCTCTCCTTCCGCGAAGACTCCGGCTTGATACGATGGACCTTCTCGAACAGTCGTTTGAGTCTCATCTCTAGGGCGTGATCTTCCTTGCCTTGGTAGAACTTGCAGAGGAAGTGACCACCAGTCACCAGAGTGTCGTAGCAGAATGTGAGGGCAGCGTTGCAAAGGTCCTGGAGGAAGTTACTATGGCGTCGTCCCCATGCTGCTCCAATATACATACCATAGAACCAGCGTGATCTCGAAAAGGCATGCCACTGGCGTTCATCATCCTGTAATAGGGGTTAGAAACACTCCTGGACCAAGACGACTGAGGCCAGGGTTCTGACATGTCGCTCAGCACCACATCCACCACTCTCCCTTCCGCTGCATCTCTCTGCTTCTGACTGCCTCCGACGGTCAAGCTTCCAAACGCATCAATCACCGAATCAGCCTTCCCAGCCCCTTCCTCGTTTCCAACTTGCCTGGTCCGCTCAATCACCCCCACCACCTCCTCCGTCCCTCCGTTCTCGTCCTCCTCCGCCATCTTTCCTCTCCCTCCCTTCATCTCCCGAACAAACCTCCTCACCTCCCCCTGAATCCCCTCACTCAAAAAGTCCCCCTGCAACGTACTAACCCCCCTCGGCGGCTGGGCCGGTATAACATCAATCCCCACCACCCTACCCCCCGGCTTCGTCCGATTCACCGCAACTTGACTCCAACTACCAGGAGCATATCCTAAGTCGACCACCGTGTCCCCGCGCGAGAAGAGGTGGTGTTTGGCGTCGATTTCGAGCAGTTTGTAGGCGGCGCGGGATTTGAGTCCCGCGAGTTTGGAGGCGCGGGTGTGTGGGTCGCGGGACTGGCGGGATTGCCAGCGGGTTGAGGAGCTGGAGGTGGAGGGGCGGGTGGTAATGAGGCTGATGAGCGGTGGATGGACTGGGGAAGTCCAGACGGATTGGGTTGAAGTTGGCCAGCAGAGCCGGCGCAGTGGTGAGATCTCACATCTTTGGTATTGTGAGGATGCTCTCGGTAGTCTTGCGACTACTCTTGAGAGCATTTACTGTTGCGAGGTATTGAGGTGTGGTTGGTGGTGGTGGAGTTGCGCTGGCACGAAAACGCCATACGGCCAAAAATAGCCGCGTTGTCTTTGCCTCGGAAAGACAGGAGAGCCTTGTAACACATTACCCACCTCGTTCCTTTCTTGACGTGCTGAAAGAGTTCACGGGACTGAGACTGGACCACGGTCGAACGTGTGAGCAGACGTTCGTTGAACATAAGAAGAACGAGAGTTCGAGGTGTGATAGGAAGGTAATCTGCCAATGGTATCTGACCAGGGCAATCGTGATTCGAAGACAATATCTGCCACTACCCACCCGCTAGAACGCTACACAAGATCCAGAACACTTCAGAGGCCGTAGTCTTCGAGACAAACCCTCCTCGCTCGACCAGATGCAAGAGCAAGTCTGTACAAAGCACAATTAACCACACCGCCCTCCGCCAGCGCTACCCAGGCCGCTCAGACTTGTGGTCCTGCTGTGCCTCCGTCGACGACCTCCCACCCCTCTCTTCAGCCGCCGGAGCAGAAGACTCATTCTGCGGTCGCTCTCCCGCAGACGAATGGCTCGAATCAGCTTGCAACGACCGCCGGGGCTCTTGGTCCCGCCGGCTGTCTGGTCTGCTGTCACCTTCTCTTGCGGAAACGTTGCTGTTCGATCGATGGCGGCTGGCCTTCTTCCTCGAAGTTGACGAGGCGTTGCTGAAAGAGGGCGAGGTATACTGCGGTCCAGCTGAAGGCGGAGGAGCAGGTTGGTGTGGTCCTTGCGCTTTCCGCTTGCGAGGAGACTCTTTGTAGTCGCCTTCGGACAGGTGGGAGCCGGGATGAGATGAGTATGACTCTCCTTTGCTGGCTGGCGTTTGTGGTTGCGTCCCTTTTGACTCGTTCGGAGGAACCCAATGATGGAAGTATATCGAAGGTGAAGAGGTGGTTTGCTCTTGTGAGATGGTCTGGCTCTGCTGCAGAGGATGCGCGCTGCCGGGGTTCTGGTGTTGCTGGGGCTGATTGTTGTAGATGTCGGCTGTCGTCAGCCTAGGAAGAGAGGTATGTGTCGCGGATCGAGGAGCAGATGTCGGTGGAGCTCGAGCAGGAGCTGGTTGATATGCTGAGAAAGTGGCATGCTGTGGATGTGGAGGCTGCTGTGGTTGCTCAGAGTGCTGGCTCGGGACGACTTGGATTGGCTGCTGGACTGGATACGATGGCGGCGCCTGGCCGATGAGTCTGGTCTCTCTTCGAAGCTCCGGTGAAGACTGCTGTTGCTGGATGACGTGCTGCTGGTTTGCCTGCAATTGTCCAGCATACTGTTGTAACCATTCCCCGCTAATTTGCGCCAGATGCGATCCACCTATGCCAGCATAGATCATCGGAACCGCCGCAGGAGGCACGCCTGACTGTAACGCTTCTCGCAGCATCGACTGCTCGAGGCGTCGTTGCTCGAGTCGACAATTCTCTTGCCTCGTCCTCTCTTCTTCCTGCTTCCGCTTCTCCTCCTCAGCTTTGGCGGACATCCACAGTCTGTACGACTCGCCGTGATTGTCGAAAGTACTCGGAGCACTTGGCATATGACCGAACGATTGCTGGGGTTGGTAGGATGGTCTTCCAGAATCTGGAGGTAGGGTCATGGCTGATGGCGGCGGTAGGCCACGATGAGGCGTCGACATCTTGTGATCCTGTGTGCCGCTGACCCGCAGCGAGCTCACTGGTGAATCGACCTTTGGCTGAGGAGACAATCGAGACTTCGCAAATGGAATCCTTGGAGAGAAGTCATGGGAGACTTTGCCGCCAAACTCCGTTCTGGACGGCTGTGAGAGGGTGAGTGAGATGGACATTGGATGGAAGGTAGAGCGTGTGACAGGGTAAAGGCAGGAAAAAAGAAGGTGTCCTGTGCGAGGGGTAGCCGGGCAGCGAGGTGTGAAGTTACATACTTTGAGGTGCTGCAGATCACATGCGCTGGGCAACGTGACACTCTCCAGGTCGTGAGCCAAATCTGTGGAACACCGTTGCTGCTAAGCTGCAAGTGGGACGAGGAAGGCGGTTGATCGCCGGAGTCGTCTGTTGATTCGTCAAACGGCAACGGCTTCCAAACGTCGATCTTATTCAAGTCGGCAGCATAATGCTTCCGCTGAAAATTAATGCAGTTGTAAGGCGGTCGAATCAGTTCTCGCAGGCGTGCACACCAAGCCAGGTCTAGACTTGCTCAGGTATGCGGCTGCTGAGAAGGGAAATGCGTGAGCCTCTCTGACCGGACTTGAGCGACGATTACGGCGGCACGACTCAGCGGCACCAGAACCGGTAGGCGGGAACGCTTGGTTACGTCGAAGGTTTGTTGGAAGATGGTCAGCTGTGCGTCTGCCGTGCGAGATGCGTAGATGTGATATGTAGAGGCGGAAATGACATTTCCTGGACGTGAAATAACCTCGACCCCTTCGAGTCTCGTGGCGGATTGCTTGTGGGCATCCGGTCAGCCACCACGAGATGCAGATCTTCGACCCTGCAGCAATACAGTTTTTCAGTTTGCTGTGCTAAAGGATGGAGAAAGTTCTACCGGTTCCAACGCATGTTTGACGATCTGGCTAGGATTGAGCAAGGCCCAAACGGTAGCAGGAATGCGGCTTCGGAGATTATGTTAGCTGTAGCTGTCTGGAAACGGCCAGCTGTGACAGCGGGTAGGACTCGTGTTGTAGAACACTGCACAAAGCTCCTGTCGTGAGCTCACATGAAGGTCGATTGATGGTGTGGTATGGATTGCAAGCCCCTGCAGTCCGAACCGTTGTGCATCCAGGATCAAGCAACCTTGCGTAGAGCTGTTGTATCGCGACCAAAGGCTATGACCGCGCAAGTACGTAAAGCCGTTCTAGGTAATCGAGCAACATCGCAACGATATGCCCCGAGCCCATTTCATCGACGGCGTTTGCATTTGATGCGTCTCCCCGGCCGACGCATGTCTGGTGTGCCCATCACGAGTCCCGCGGTCGGTGAAGGTCCTGGTCCAATCTCCATCGATCGATCAGGAAGTCGGAATGCAGCATGCCTCTTCATCCGGAATGGCGCGTATAACCAAAGCAATCGAAGTGGTGGAGGAGACATCTCGACTCCACTCTGCTTTGATTGTGTCGATCTCAAAGTGAAACACCAGATGCTCGGTTCCAGAAGCCTCGCACAGCCTCTCGAACGCCTCAGCATCACACCTTGCCTGCAGGGCCCGCACGCCGGCAGAGCTCTCCTAGCCGCATTTGCCAGGTTGCCGGTCGGAAAGTTTTGCGCCGCGTTCTGCAGTGAGCCACACACGCACGACAGCGGCGTTCAAAACCTGGTTGACCGTTGCTGCGAAACTGGGTCCACGGGGCACGCTGCATCCTTCTAGGTTGGCAGCGACGGCTCTTCCGAGCGCTGGGAGGCGAAAGAGTGTTTGTAGCTGTCGAGTGGGTTGCCGAAGTAAGACGACATCTCTCCACTCCGCCAATGAAGTGCGCAAGCAGGCCGGCATCCGAAGGCCAGTAATTGGCCTCCCGCAGAGCTCTCCGAACCAGATCTGCAAAATCGCAGTTGCCCTTTTGAGAAGCCGGCTCCAGCGTCCGCCAACGACGTTGCATGCCGCACCTCCAGCTGCCAGACTGTCAACGTCGATCGCAGTACTTTGCACTTCGTACCCGGCACGCATTCGGCGCGAGCTCTAGAAGGGTAAATGCTCGGCATTCGTCGCCCACGTGTCCTATCCTGGCGAGGTCGCGTGCGGAGCACGCAAAGGCGTTGCTGATCTCTGCCCATCGCTGCTCTTTCGGGGCCTTGCGAGGCGAGCAGCGACGTGACATTGCAGGGTGTGTCGGCCAGAAGAAGTAGGATCGTCAGCTGAAAAATTTTCACCCTGCAAGCCTCACTTCCAAGTAGCAATGGACGGATGAGGAAGGTGTTGTAGCGAGATGACCGCGTGGAAGTGGAAGCGAGCCGCCGTCGTCTTGAGCCTGGATTGATCTGAGACATGCAGCAGTGGCATGTTACCGGATCATGTTGTCAGGTGCGTCTAGGCGGGCTCTCGTCGTATCCCTCGTGCGCATTGGCAAAGCCGTCTTGCGGCTATCTGGTGACCTGGTAATAATGATGAGGTAAATGTAACAGAGCAGATCAGGAGAACGTCCACGCACAGCACGGTCGACGGTAGTGTAGCCACAAATCAATGATAACAAGGCCAGTGAGCGAGTGAGCGAAGCAACGGCGGTGTCGTAGCTCGTAGTCGACAAGATGGCGCCTTTACTGGCGGCTGCAGCAACCAAAAGGCGAACGTCGAGCAGGTCAAAGGCGTCCATGCCGTTGCGTGGCCAATGATTCGTACGGGCTTGGAAGAGGATGTATTGTGTGTCAGCAAGAGGTGAGGTGCGTCGATGGACGGCCACAGGAAGGAGCGATCGCACACCACCATCGTGCCTTCCTCTTCTGCAGACTTTGATATGGCTGGCGGACAAGCTCGACATTGACGGAAAGCTCTTGGACGACAGCATCCGGCAAGATATCTACACATTACACAATTATCTACACACTCTGCTTTTCGCATACTGGGGTATCATGATCACTGATATTCTTCCTCCCAAAAAAAATCCCATCCCGAACTTTCCCAAACCCCATCTAATGCTCGCGCAGCCGTAGTATCCCAATGACCCAACGAAAGTTCCTCGCAAGGAGTGCTGCACCATATCATCTTCCCTGGCCCCCTTTTTTTTTAGCGCCAGGAGAGTTAACTTTTGGTCCTCGCCAATCACCCCCTCTTCTTCCTCAACTTCCACTCCGTCCGCGCGACCCGCATCAACAAGTCCTCATCCTTGACCGGCACAAACGACGTGAGCACCTTCATCGCGTTCTCAAAGTCGCTGTCCAGGATGATTTCGCGCGTGGCATCGATCAGCGCCGCGCTCGTCGCATGGAGGACGTCCAGATCCGCTCCACCGAACTTGGCCTCGCCACCCCCGGGAGCACCCCCCGCCGCGTCTCCCAACAGCATGAAGACATCCCAAACCCGCAACTGCGCCGGGAAAGGAATACTCATATTAAACAACGTAAGGTACCATCTGGTCCCATACGCCGTACTCCCGATCCCCAGCTCCTCCAACCGCCTCGCCACGTCCCCGCCTTGCAACCACTGGTGCTCAAACTCCGCCAGCGCCTGCATCAGCCCTTCGAAGCCATGTTGGAAAAGCTGCTCCAGCCCGCGCAGCTGCCAGAGCCGGACGAGCATCACGAACGCGCGTTCTTCGTCGTAGTAGCATAATAAGGTGGCAGCGAGTGAGGCCATTCCCTGCACGTACCCTGTTTCGGGGAATTGGAGGGAAATCGCGTGTAAGACGCGGAAGAGCAGGCGCTGTCCTCCGCGGTAACGACGGCGGAACATGATGTGCATGTTGATCGTCCGGGGGACGTCGACGTCGATCTGAACATCGTCGGCGGAACTCTCGTCTTGCAGCGCGAAGAAGCGCTCGATCAACTCGTCTTCGGAGACGGTGATGCCGCGGTTCCGCGCGCTGGTGGCGAGGAAGCTGTACCAAGCCGTCGCGCGCCAGCGGTCGGGGATGCCTTTCCACGTCCTGCTGACGAGTTTCTGGTCCGAAGTGTCGAAGTCGAAGCGCATGCCGCCGCCTTTGTCACTAGAGCGCTGGTGGTCCGGGATCGGGCGGGCCATGCTTTGCCATTTGTTTTCGCGCTGCCATTCGCGGCGTTTCATGATCGAGGCGGTGCGGCCGGAGTCCTCTTGCTCGGCTATGTCGGCGAGGCCCGGTGGGAGGGTGAGCATGTCGCCGGCTTCGTCGAGGGTTTTGCGGGTGCGCGAGCGGAAGGGGTTGCCGGAGTGGAGCTTGCCGGTCGATCTGTTAGATGAGACGCTGTGCAGGGAGCCATTCCGGATGGTGTTATCTTGGCTTGGGCGTGGAGGGACAGATCTTGACGCTCTTGTTGCTGTGGAAGGGCCTCGCCGTAGACCGCGTGCTTTCCTCGGCTGGTCTGATTCCATTCGTAGAGATGTAGCGACACGCTGCATACCCATGGACGGAGAGGTAGGAGTGCCTGCCCGTGCTTGGTGGATAAATCCATACCGATCAACATCAGCTCCTTCAACATCTTCCCAGTCCTCAATGCCACCAGCCAGCTCGTTCGGCTCCTTGTAGTAGCTCACTCGCGGCTCTGGCGAAGGCGCCCTCAACGCCGGGTGAACGTTTTGGTTCTTCTTTCGTTGCTTGCCCACGACAATCCCGTCAATGCTGGCATCAGGCGTACTGCTCCCACTCGCCTCGCCTTGCGCGTTCTCACCACTCCGCACCGGGGCCACCCATTCCGCTGCCCGCTCGTCGCCAGCGTCATACATGCTACGCACTTTCATCGAGAATGTTATTTCTTCGGCTGAAAGCACGCGACCACCCTGTATAGCTGCATGGAGCATCTGTATACTTGGCTTCCTCCGACCTGAAAGCAGTCCTGAGGCTGGTGATCCATCTCTTGACTCCTGATCCTCCGGTGAATTGTCTCGGACTTTTGGAACAGGTGGGCTCACTGCCCGCTCGCTCTGCACCTGCTTGGTCTGCTCTATCGCACTCTCCACTGGGGCTTCCCTCGCCTTCGCAGAAGGCTGGCTAACAATCCCCTTCGCTCCCTTCCGTCTGGCTTCCTGCGACGCAAGCAATCCATTCATCTTCTTCCCACCTAGCAGCAGACTCCCTCTCTTCGAAAACCCCACTTTATCCGACGCTAGATCCTCTAGATCGATATCATCTAGACTTCCACTCGGGATATTCGACTGTATGCCCTTGAAGCTCGCGATGCGCGCAATACCCCTTGGTGCCGAGTGCGATCTCCTTTCCGCCATCGTCTTGCGCGATTTCGGTCTTGCGAACGGTGATTTGCTTCTCCTGACTGGAGCTGCCGGCTCCTCATCCTGCACAACGATTGTGGGTAGATTTGGCTCCTTTGCTGCGCCCGCAACCGAGGGGCTGTTGTTGCTTTCGGCGTAGGAGGCGCGGCCCGCGGTTGAGACAGAAGGCGCAATGCCTGAGTCGCGCTTGACCTCTTCAAACGCCGCTGTAGAGGGTACGCGTGGGCTCGGCGAGGGCGAGGTTCGTGGGCGTCGCGCACTCATCTGTTCTCGTAACGAAGCTGCCACCGTCGACGTTGCCGGGGATTTGGGCGGGTTTATGGAGGAGACAGGCACGGGCGGCACGCCATCTTCAGCGTCTTCATAGCGGATGGCCTTGAGGCTGTTGTCGTGTGCGGTCGTTGGTCGCTTTCGAGCTCTCAAGGAGCGCTTGTCGTCGTCGTCGGCCATTTTGCTGGTAGCTCCTGGCTTCGCGGATGCGTTAGGCCCGTGTCGGCGCGCTCAAGCTCCTCCTTCCTCGAAGCGAATGTGTGGGACTCCCAACCATTGCCGTCCGGTATGGCGGAAGTAGGGAGCAGAGATGGGGATGTCGCAGTGTTTGCTCGGCCTGCATGAAGAGTGCAGAAGGCCGGGAAAGGGGCCCGGTGCGTTTCAATTCACTTCTCTCGATCCGCTACTTCCTGTCCGGTGATTGATATTGCTCCCAAGCTTTCGTCTCGTGCCCTAGCGCGTCGATCCTCGAACAACTCCTGCGGCACTTCCACACTTCAGCCTGAGATGGGCCGTACGATGCCCACTGCGTCGTTGCACCGCTCCGGCCCTGTCTTCCGCCCCGAGAATGGGATGGGCCGAGGACGTTGTGCGAGCGGTTAGCTTTGGCTAATGAAGTCTACAGCAGCCCTCACTTCCTACCACTCCACCAGCAAAGAATTGAGACGGGCTTGAGAGCAAGGCAGGACACCATATGCGACGCTGACGAAGCAGGTCTGGTTCCAGCACAGTACGTCGATCTACACCGCCTGAATCATGCAGTCCAAGTGAGACAGTGCAGAGACATACGGCAAGCTCCAGAGTTCCGCTACCGGTTTGAGATCTCGACATTGTGACAACAACAATCTCGAACGCTGCGGTATATCGAAGCAGCGGATGCTGTAGAGGACATGGCATGAGCCGGGAGGGTGTGTTAAGAGATGTATCCAACCGAAGAGCATAGACCATTCTGTACATTGTCCCTGTCATTCAACGCCTGGCACTCATGCCGCAAGCTATGCCGATATGTCCGAGCAGATTCCAGTCTTCAACTCAACCTCTCCACGCTGCCGTATCTCGCAAGTCACACAGCCACCCTCGACATCTCTCCTCCCACTCTCTTGCAGCTCCTCCCTCCTCACCACATCCTACTTCCCAGCCATCCACCCAAACTTACTCAACCGCACCCTCGGCAGCACCCCGACCAGCACAACCACACACGCCACCACCACCGCCCACAACTGCATCTGCAGGATGTTCTCATTAAACGCTGTCTGCGTCGCCGCACACACCGTCGCCAGCATCACCACCAACGTCACATACCCGCCCACCCGGTGGTATTTGTACAGCGCCTTCGCCTTCTCCTCCCCTCCATACAGGCCCGGGGTGAAGTACTGCGTCACGCCGACAAAGGCTTGGAGGAAGATGAGGATGTAGGTGATTATTCCGAGGATGGCGTGAGGAGACTCGAAGTGTGGGTTGCCGTCCTTGATCTTGTTGTATTCGATGATGACCAACCCGGCAACGGCGGAGCCCACGGCGAGGTCGTTGAAGGCGGCGTGGGTGTAGGTGCCTTGTTTCTTTTGTTTGGCAGTGTGGGTTGGTTGGAGGATGAGGATGCCTTGGATGAAGAAGAGGACGGCGGCTGAGTTGAGGAGCTGGGATGTTGTCAGTATTCGGACTGACGGGAGAGGCTTGGAGGGAAACGTACAGGGTGCGCAGAAAACAGCATCAAGTCATGGCTGAAGACGCTGCCCCAGACGATTGCTGCGAGCTGGGTTGTGTTAGTCGTTGAAGAGCTGCATTTGGAGCGTGGTGGTACTCACGATCCATGCTCCTGCTTGAGCAACGGTGCCAGTCCCTATCAAAGCCATGAGTATACCGCGTATGGAGCGCATGGTGTTAGTATCTCACCAAGAATGAAGTTGTAATACAACGGCTTGCCCTCCTCTTGACTTGCATCACCCGCGGATCCAAGCAACGGGTCTTCTTCTGAGGTGCCCAAGGGCCTTCGTTCGTTGTCTGCCATTATTGTGTTGATTTTCAGCTCCTTCCAATGAAGTATCCTATTGCGATAGATTGTTGAAGACACGGCAAGAGACAGACAACCATCGTCGCCGTCATAGAGAACCCCGCTGGCGCAAGAGCTGCACGATGGCCGTGTGCCAAAACAGACAGGGATGTCTTGAACTTTGGCCTATCAGATGCCGAGGATTACCATACTGCTATACCGCGATCAGTAAAGACTCAAAGATGAGCTCGATAGTATTGGAACGGTGCACAAGTGTGTAGGAGGAAGTCGCCTGTCTATTGGGCGTCGTATGCTCGTGTGAGAAATGCCGATGGCCTCTAGACGCACAGGCTGTACAATGCTGCTCGACCCGAAGACAAGTGCTGCCGATGAAGAGTCTCTCCAACTAGCAACGCATATACATGCTTCCTTCCCTTCATGCTCTCCTCCCCTCAAACACCCGCCCAACAAGCTCCATCCACCTTCTTTGCCTCACCCCCAACTCCCGTCCCGGATGCTTAAACAACCTCCCCATCGCCTCCCGCACCCTCGCCCGCATAATCTTCAACGCAACCATAGTCTTCCAATCCCTCACCTTGAATCTTAGTCTATTCCCATCAATCACAATCACCCCGGCGTACATATGGAAGACCGCGTCTCCTGCAAGCAGTATCAGCGCGAAATCTGATACGGGCGAGGTTTCTTGCGCATTGGTGTATTTGGAGCTGCTCTGCATGATGCTGTAGAAGGAGAGGTATCTGATGTCGGCTGAGTGGGTGCCTTTGTTGACGGAGGTCGGGTGGAGGCCCAGCGAGGCGTTGTTCGCGATGTTGCGCCAGCCTTTGCCTTCTGCTTTGACGATCTTCGGGTAGAAGGACCAGGCGACTACCGACGAAGCGAGGGCGTCGTCGTCGTCACATTTGGTGTATTGCGGTGGGAGGGAGACAAAGTTCCGTTGGCGCTGGCCCGGACGGATGCGGTTGAGGGCTTGTCGCTCGCTGGGTCCGAGGTCAACGAAGCCCGTGTCGGCGAGGGAGGTGAGGAGTTGGGCTTTGAGGTCTTCGATGTTGGCGAGATTCTGCGGGCTGAGGAAGTTCTTGTTGCAGAAGTGGCGCTCGGAGAGCCCGGAGGTGGTGCAGACTTTGCGCCAGGCGTTGTAGGCGTTGTAGAGGGTGAGGAGGTCGGAGTCGCCTCGCTTGAAACCTAGGCGGACTGTGTCGGCCTGCTTCTTTGCATGGAGGGGTGATAAGAATGGCGTCTTCGAGGTAAGGGTCGCAGCAACGGTGAGAGCAAAATCCAGACAGCCAAACGCCGCTCCGTACAGTATCAGCTTGCCGAGTTGAGCATCCAACGGCAGCTTCGCCAGTTGATTTCCAAGAGGTGTTAGCTGTTCGCCATCCGTGAGTGCGCCAACGTCAATGAGTGCGTCAATCGCTCGTCGCACATTCTTGCTCGATGGCGGGTCCAGAGCTTCAGCGAGAGCGTCCTCAATGTTGCCGAGTCGGCAGATCTTGACCCTCATCACAAGATCTTGCAGCGACAGCCTCAGCATCTCCGGACTCTGTTGCTCGGCCATAAGATTCTCGAAGCGGTAGCGAGTGAACAAGTGGAAGCACATGCCCTCCTGTACACGTCCAGCACGACCTCGTCGCTGCTTTGCGTTTGCACGAGCAACGAACGACTGCGTGAGCCGAGACATCTGGCGGCGCTCGTCAAACCGCATCTCACGGTGCTTGCCGGTGTCTATCACGCATGTAACGTCCGGAATCGTGATGCCGGTCTCTGCGATGTTCGTGGCGATGACAACCTTCCTGACTCCTGGTGGCGGTATATCGAACGCTGCTTGCTGGTCCTCGCTCGAGAAGGTCGAATGCAGTGCATGTACGCGCCAGTCTCGTGAGAAGGATTGATGGCCAAGTAGCATGTCGTTGAGCTGCCGGATCTCTGCGAGGCCTGGAAGAAAGACCAGAATGGCTTTGCTGAACTTCTGGTAATCAGGTCGATGCGCTATTTGTTCCAGCAGCTTCACAATCAGGTTTGTGTCGATCCGATACTCATCGTATTGGGCCAAAGTCGAAAGGGTGCGTGAGCTGTATCCCTTCAGCTTCTGCGATCCCGACTTGCCTTCCTCCTCGTTGTTGTCCGATTCTTCCTCCACAACCTTCTCCACAGCAGCATCCTCGTTCGTATACCCTGTCAGCTCGATTGCGTCCTCCAGGAACTTCGCTTGCACGGGATGGGTGCGTCCAGGTACAGAAACGATGGGTGCATTATCCAAGTACCTCGAGAACTTTTGAGCGTCCACAGTGGCAGACATTAGGACGACCTTGAGATCGGGTCGCTTCTCCATGAGAGTCTTGAGGACAATCAATAAGAAGTCGGTGTCGATGCTGCGTTCGTGCACCTCATCAAGCACAAGGTGGGTGATTTCATTGAGACCGTTGGCGCTCTCAAGCATCCGGAGGACAATGCCGATCGTTGCGTATACCAGCTTCGTAGACGCTGTTGTCTGTGATTCGAGGCGGATGGCATAGCCGACAAGCGACCGGTGCGTCCCAAGGTCGCCCTTGTTCTCACCAAGCTCCTCGCTGACCCTTTGAGCCAGTGACAAGGCTGAGATACGACGAGGCTCGGTGCAGTAGATCTTGCACTGCCGGCCTTGCGAAAGCTCATCCTCGAGAAGGAACTGTGGCAGTTGCGTTGACTTACCACTGCCTGTGTCGCCGACAACTATAGTCACCTGATTCTTTGCGATGACGTCCAGCGCCTCACCTTTCGAATGGAACATCGGTAAATTCATACGGCCGAGCAACATCCGCTGGTAAGAGGGCGCCTCGACTTTTCGTGTCCACATCTCTTGCAATTGCTGTGAGTTGTTATCCGGTCCTCGTTGCGTTGGCGTCTGCGGGCGAGTGACCGGAGTTGAAGCACCGCTTGTTGCGCCGTTTAAACGTTTGTTGCTGGCTTTGAAGACCACTTCGTCTTCCTCAACTTCATCTGCTGCAGACATATGCTGCTCGACCAATGTACGAAGGTCTTTCACTGTCTCGCGGTCTTTCGCATCCGAGTGCTCGTGTTTGAGGCTCGCAAACTCATCCCACAGGCTACGGAACGCAGGTGGCAGCCTCAACAACGCTTTCTCTTCCTTCGGTCGGCCTGAGAAAATGACAAATAACGCTGCCGTCGAGACGTACGCCTCACTCTGTGCTGTGTCCGGAGTCGCTTCTTGTATCATAGCCACCATGGTTTGAAGCGGCTTGCTCCGGACAGATACAGACGGCAGATAAGATGCGTCAATCGGGTCCTGTTCTTTCGACCATTGCACGACGACGGAGTGCCGGCAAGAGTATGTCGTGGGCGAGATTTGCTTGTATACGGCCTTGCATTTTGAGTCTCTTGCACGACACGCCTCTTCGAAGATGCGACGTGGCGCCATGCCGGTCAAGCGACCAAAGTCGCGGATCGTGACGCTCTGTGGGCTATCACCGCCCACGTCTTCGCTTCCTGCCGGTTGAGCAACCCCAGGTAATGAGTCAAACATGCCGCCCAGTAGGGCGTCGTTGTCAGATTCGTTGCCGTCATCCATGAGGCCTTCGGCTTCGCGCTCGGCTTGACGGGTGACATCCATCGACTCGTCCTGATTCTGATTTTGGGCTGCAGAAGGTTTCTTCATTGGCTCTTGGTCCAGCTGCCACTTCCTCCTATCCGCAGCCTCCTTTGCCAGTTCAACCCTCTTGTCCGCCCATTGCGCCTCTGCCTCCCTGCGGTCAAAGAGTGTATCACGTTCGATGGTCTCCAGTTTCTGTCGTATTTTCCGCGTGCCTTTTGCAGCATTGGCACCAGAAGTATTGGGTCCATTGGGCCGAGAGCCTTTCTTCTTTTTGTACTTTGTATCATCGATCGACGGATCGACCTCGTAAAGCTTGGCTTTAGTTCTCAAATACACGGACAGAAGTTCGTCGGGCTCCAGATCGCTGTCAATGTCGCTGACTTCAACGTCTTCCTCTGCTGGAGCTGCGTTACCATCCGCGCCCTCACCATGGGCCGACTGCGGCGAATCGTGCTTGACGGGCGACTTTACAGCTGCATTCTCGTTCTCCAACTCGGATGACTCGTCTATGGCGGCGACGTTCGTCTTTGTCTGCTCGACATCGTATTCCGAAAGCTCAGAAGGCTCACAATGAATCGCCAACCAGTTCAAAGCCCCATCGAGCCCCCATATCTGGCCCGCGCTGTTCTCTGGAGGGGAATTGTTGAGAAGGAAACCAATGACTTCGTTGACCCGTTCTGTAGAAACTAAGTCAAGGAGAACATCCCGGAGTGTCCATACCTTTGCGACCAGATCATCATTGGACAGAAGTAAATTCGGCTTGCCAGACGACGATGACTGATCCTCAGCGGCTGAAGCATAGTCAAATATGAGTTGCATCAACTCTTCAGGTAGCCAGTTCTTGACCGAAACAAAATCACTGTGCCCCCGGATTAGACGTCGATCGGTCTGAAGTCTCGTTGCTTGCCTCGAGGCTTCCTTCCGAACTTTGGCGGCATATTTCTCAACGAACTGTTGCAGCTCGGCGGATTCCAGTTGCGCCTCGAGTTCGTCCGGGCTAAGCTCGTGGGCTTCACGCTCTGAGGACTTGTCGGTAGCGTCCACATGCTTGTCGTCAGCGGCCTTCGCTTCCGTCTTGCTGGGTGTCGCGGTCTTGGACGGTCCTGTGCTTTCTGACTCTGTAGTCGGTTCTGCTTTGGCCTTTGATTGGATCGAGGTTGTGGCAACTCCACGTGCAGGATTCGCTGCCGGCTTCTTTTTCTTCTTATTGCCCGAAGGCATGGCGGCGCATATCTTTCCAGAGATTGGGAGATTTCCAATAAGATCGGTGTATGAAGAAAGAAGGATGAGGTGAACAAAATCAAAGAGTCCCTGCCTTAACTTTTCGAGATCACCCGGCTTCCTTCCCAATTGGGCACCGCCAAACGGCATGGCTCAAAATTACTCACGAGACGTCCAAGGAACACCTTTGTTTGCTCGTGAAACACTTGCTGTCGAGCGACATGCTGAGCAGAAGATGGCGGGGGTAACAACGAATGGCGACATAGGCCTTGACCTCGAGGAGTCGCGAAAGGCTCTCTTGACCAACTCGACCAAGCAGAGGACATCCGAACTGGTCGGTTTGCAGCAGAGGATTGAAGGTAGGTAAGGCTGTCCAGCTTTTCACATGCTCGACAAGGGAACGAGTCTAATACGAAGACAGGTGTTTCTGATTCTCAAATATCGATTCTTCTAGATCTTCTCTTCCAAACGTATCCCCTCTACGTCGACGGACCCTCCCGGAGAGCAGTCGAAGAATGCATATCCACCATCGCAGAGCGTGATGGGGCAGAGAAGGTGCTGTCAGCCTTCGTCGAGGATGTAGGCCGGGAGTCTGTGAAGGTCGCGATAGCGCCGGCGAATGCTTTTGTCTTGGTGAGGTGGAGCGCCCTGCTATTACAACATGCCACGACCAAAAAGACGCTGTGGGACAGTCTAGGCAAGAAGACGCTTTCTGCGTTGACGCATGCACTGTATACACTCCTAGGATCGCAGCCTAAACAAGCCACGAGGGCGACAGCGCTAAGGGTATCAAGAAGAGCGTTCCGGACAGTTGCGAAAACCGATCAAGGCCCGCATCTTCTGGGTGAGAGTGTTGATTCGCTATCGGCCAAAGCAGCAACACCATCAGCTAGGAATGCCATAACGCTGGGCATTATTGCTGGAGTGTGCAAGCGCGTGCCAGGACGGGAGTCTGTCGTGGATGCGAAGAAGCATGACTACATCGCGTTCTACCTACGAGAGCTCCTCGGATCCCGTGTGCAGCTCCCTGAATTCGTGGGTCATGCTCTACACGAATTCTTCTCCACTTTCGTCACGCTGCAAGATGTGAAGAAGGAGGTTATCCCGGCGGTAGAGAAGGCCCTATTGCGAGCACCGGAAGTGGTACTCAACGACCTCGTGTCGCCTATGCTTGCATCACTGCCGAAAGCCTTCGACCTCTCCGAGATCATGGTTTCGAATCTGCTGAAACCTCTACTTTCAAACATCAAGTCAAGCAATGCCGCCGTCAGGGATGGCGCAACGCACACGTTTGATGTGCTGGCGAAGCGATGCACGGACGATGGGCTTGTCGAAAAGGCTGCGGATGAGATTCTCACACCACTCAAGACGAACAAAGTCACCTCAGCCGACCAGAGGATCATACACGCTCACATGCTGTCCTCGCTCCAGCCCAACCCTGCGCTTGCCTCTAAGATCCCGCAAGGTCTTGTTCCAGTCGCAAGCAAAGAGACCAATGAATCTGCCGCTTCTGCTGAGATGCACACCATCAGCTGCTTCGTCCGTTTTGCTTTGGAGAACAAGGTGAAGGTGGACAGTGCAACTGCCGATGCTTTTGCGAAAGGCCTTGCTGAGAAGCGCCTGCCCATGCGCCGCCTTTGGGCGCTTCGTTTAGCAGAAATCATTTGGCCACTCTCCGGAGAAGATTTGAAAGACGAAGCAACCTCCGGCTTCCTCGACCCCTGCATTGAGAAGCTTGTCGATGTTTTCAATGAGGTTACGGCTAATCCGTTGCCCGCGGTGCAAAGTGGACAAGTGCCTGTTGCTTGCATAGCGGCCTCCATCTGCCTGGAGAAGATTTCAGAGATGCCAGCTCTGAAGAACACGTCTATCGTCAGAAAAGCAAGCGTGCAAGACCGCGTGCTTACCCTTGAACCGAAGCCGTCCTTCCTACTCAACCCTCGAGTCTACACTAAGCTCAGCGCTGAAGACGACCTGCGATGCTACATGCGATGCTTGTTGTCTGCTTTCCCGCATCTCCCGGCAGACGCTAACTCTCCGGTCTCTGTTGCGTGGGCACAAGGTCTGATCTATACCATCGTGGCCACTGCTGTGCCAGCTACAGTCCGCAACGAAGCCACAAAAGCGTTGACGAGTCTCTACCTTGGCAATCCGGAACGGGTATCCAAGGTCATCGTGAGCGGGTTATGGCAATGGTGCGAGCATTCAGTGCTTAGTACGAAAGACACTGCGGCGGCGGCTTCGGGCACAGGCCGAGACGAGCTTTACAAGGTCATCCGATCAATATGTCTTGACCCTGAAGTGACTGCCAGGCGCGAGGCAGCTGTTGACAGCGAGGTTCTTCGGTCTCAGATGACATCTCTCCTGGTTCTCTGCAAGCCGCAGCTCATCCCTCGAGCTGCTTGGATCGAGCTCTGTCTGCATACTGGCGTTGATCCAGGTACTCTCGCGTCTGGATCGTCAACAGAGCTTCTGGCTCAAATCATGAGCGTCACTGAGAATCCAACTTGGAAACCACTGCCGCCCTTCCAGATGGCTGCGTTCAACGCCGCCGCGGAGCTGGCGTTCATTGCACCCGAGGAGCTGACACCTCGCATCGTCGAGCAAATTAGCAAAGACCTCGATCCTGACCAGCTCGACAACGTCGGACCGACAGAGGCGGCAATATACAGGACGCCAGAAGGTGTTCCATTCGTCGACGTACTCTCGAAACAAACACAGACCCAGGCAATTAGCAAGAATGCAAAGGACTACGAGACGCTCAAATGGGAAGAGGAGCTACGATCGCAGCTTGCTCAGAAGAAAGGTCAGACGAAGAAGCTTACCGCGGACGAGCAGTCCAAAGTCAATGCGCAGCTGTCGAAGGAAGCAGCCATCAGGAAAGACATTGGGCAGATCGATGCTCGCCTGAGGCGCGGCATCGGCATCATTAGTGCACTTGCGACTGGCCCTCCTACAGAAGCCGAATCGTGGTTTGGACCATGCGTCAAACTGCTCTTTGGCGCCATACAAGCTGGTGCTGGTCTGATCTTGGGCGATACTGCTGCGCTTGGCTACTTGCAATGCGCGGACAAGACATCTTCACGTCTCGGACCTATGCGACCATTCATCGGCGTCGCTAGTCTTCGAGGTGCCGGCATCACCATATTGCCTGAGAACTTGCTTGCCGAACCACTCGGCGATCTTGTGACAAGACTTCTGCACAGGATTCGTTTTCTGGCAGAGCAAAGGCCATTTGACACCGTGACGCTCAGCTACATCCTTGCTCTAATCTTTCTGGTACTCGATAATGGCGGCATCGACCGCCCAGCCATGTCCGAGGACGCCGACGAGCAGATACTACTAGCCATCGAGTTCCTTTCCTTTCACACGGAGACTTGCACCGACAGTCGCCTGCCTCGAGAAAGGTTCCTCAGCACCTGTATCATGGCTATGCAGCAATACACGCAACACTTCAGACCACTTCGTGATTGCTTCACGGACCTGTGTCGATGCATTGCGCCGAACATCGTGGAAGTGGAGACAGACACCGCTGTCAAAGGCGCAATCGTGCCAGACCCATCAGTGCGCGGTGCTGTTCTGCAAGCAATCAGTGCAGAGCTTGAGCTCACCGATCGCCAGTTCTACGAGGAGATCTGGCTTGCCTGTCACGACGATGTAGAAGAACACGTCGAGACTGCGCGCGAGATATGGGAGGAGAACGAGCTCAAAGTCACCGTTGAATCCGCGGCGCAGTGCCTCCCTTACCTCAGCTCAAAGGACTCGCAGCTTCGACGGGCAGCAGCCCGTGCGATCACCGAATCTGTTCACAACCATCCGGATGTCCTCGGGGACGTCATGTCGCAACTGCAAAGCTCCTACGCTGAGTTCGCGAAGCCGCGGAAACAAGAACTGGATCGATACGGTATGCCAATCAAGAAAGATTTGTCAGATCCCTGGGAGTCAAGACATGGCATCGCGCTGGCGTTCAAAGAGCTTGCTGCTATCTTCCCGACCGAGCAACTGGTGCCGTTTATGACCTTCATGATCGAACGAGGTCCTTTGGGTGACGCGAACCACACTGTCCGCGATGCTATGGTCGATGCTGCGACTTCGCTCGCCACATTGCAAGGACAAAATAAAGTCGAGGCGCTGATGGAGCTGTGTGAGAACACTCTCGCAGCCTCCGCCACGTCTCAGTCGCAGGATCTAGTTCACGAAGCCGTGGTCATCGTTTACGGTGCGCTCGCACAGCATCTTCCCGCCGGTGACGAGCGTGTGCCAAAGGTTGTCCAACGGTTGCTTTCGACGCTGAGCACGCCATCCGAATCGGTGCAGTACGCTGTTGCTCAATGCTTGCCACCCTTGGTCAGAGCGTCGGCCAGTCAAGCATCTCAGTACCTGAACCAGATGGCCGACGAGACTCTGCATGCGAAGAAGTATGCTGCCCGACGAGGAGCCGCCTATGGCCTTGCCGGTATCGTCAAGGGCAAGGGCATTTCAATCATGAAGGACAGCCGAGTGCTGTCGACTTTAAGAGCGGCGACGGAGAACAAGAAAGATACCAACGAGCGACAAGGAGCCTACTTGGCATACGAGCTGCTGTCATCACTGCTCAGTCGCGTCTTCGAACCATACATCATTCAGATTGTCCCGCAGCTATTGGCCGGCTTTGGTGACAGCAGCGCCGATGTTCGCGAAGCATGTCTGGACGCTTCGAAGACCTGCTTCTCCTCCTTGAGCTCCTTTGGCGTGAAGCAAATCTTACCGACACTGCTTGAAGGACTTGGAGAGCAGCAATGGCGAAGCAAGAAGGGTGCCTCGGACTCCTTGGGTGCTATGGCGTACCTCGACCCTCAACAGCTCGCCGTCAGTCTGCCGGAGATCATCCCACCGCTCACTGACGTGCTCAACGATAGCCACAAGGAAGTGCGAGCTTCGGCAAACCGCAGCCTACAAAGATTCGGCGATGTCATCACGAACCCCGAAGTCAAGAGTCAGGTCAACATCCTCCTGAAAGCCCTCAGCGACCCAACGAAGTACACGGACGATGCTTTGGACGCTCTCATCAAAGTCAACTTCATCCATTACCTTGACGCACCATCGCTGGCGCTCGTCGTCAGGATTCTTGAGCGTGGCCTCGGTGACAGGTCTGCTACGAAGCGCAAAGCTGCCCAGATCATTGGCAGTCTCGCTCATCTCACAGAGAGGCGAGATCTCGTCACGCATCTGCCACCTCTGGTCGCCGGCCTGCGTACCGCCATTGTCGATCCTGTGCCGGCGACACGAGCGACTGCTTCAAAAGCCTTGGGCTCGACCATCGAGAAGCTCGGCGAAGATGCTCTACCTGATCTCATTCCAAGCTTGATGCAGACACTCAAGTCAGACACTGGTGCTGGTGATCGACTCGGTTCAGCGCAAGCGCTCAGTGAAGTGCTTGCTGGGCTCGGAACCTCACGTCTGGAGGAGACTCTGCCGACGATCCTTCAGAACGCCTCGAGCGCCAAAGCAAGTGTCCGTGAAGGCTTCATGTCGCTCTTCATTTTCTTGCCAGCTTGCTTCGGGCAGAGCTTTGCGAACTACCTGGCCAGGATCATCCCGCCAATCCTTGGAGGACTTGCTGATGATGTCGAGTCGATCCGTGAGACTGCGCTGCGAGCCGGGCGATTGCTTGTCAAGAACTTCGCAGCACGATCTGTCGACCTACTTCTGCCGGAGCTGGAGCGTGGTCTTGCCGACGACAGCTACCGCATCCGTCTCAGCTCCGTGGAGTTGGTTGGTGATCTACTGTTCAATCTCACTGGTATCAGTGGCAAGGCCGAAGAGGACGAAGTTGAGGAGAACGCTGGTGAGGCCGGTCAATCTCTGCTCGAAGTGCTTGGGGAAGAGAAGAGAAACAAAGTCCTCTCAGCCTTGTACATCTGTCGCTGCGACACTTCTGGCTTGGTGCGCTCGACTGCTATTGGCGTCTGGAAGGCACTTGTGTCGACGCCTCGGACGCTTCGTGAGCTTACTCCGACGCTGACCCAGCTTCTCATCCGGAGGCTGGCAAGCTCGAATATGGAGCAGAAGGTCATCGCAGGCAATGCGCTCGGCGAGCTCATCCGCAAGGCTGGCGAAGGCATCTTGTCCACTCTGCTGCCTACGCTTGAAGAAGGGCTACATACCTCAACAGACACAGACGCTCGCCAGGGTATCTGCATTGCGCTGCGCGAGCTCGTCTCCTCTGCATCGCCTGACTCGCTTGGCGAGCACGAGAAGACGCTCATCTCAGTCGTACGAACCGCTATCGTCGATCCCGACGAGGATGTCAGAGAGGCAGCAGCCGAAGCTTTCGACTCGCTGCAGAAGGTCTTTGGCAGACGCGCAATCGACCAGGTTTTGCCACACTTGCTCAGCCTGCTGCGCTCAGAAGAACAAGCAGAGAATGCTCTTGCAGCGTTACTGACACTGTTGACCGAGACCTCGCGATCGAATGCCATCTTGCCGAACCTCCTACCGAACCTGCTCACATCGCCAATCACAGCATTCAACGCTCGAGCACTGGCGTCTCTGGCGGATGTCGCAAGCTCGTCGATGACAAGAAGCATACCGAAGATCCTGAACGCTTTGATGGACAATCTCGTGGCCTGCAAAGATGAGGAGCTGAAGGCAGAACTTGACGGTGCCTTCGACACCGTCTTGCTTTCCGTCGACGAGTTCGATGGCCTCAACACCATGATGAGTGTTATGCTCACGCTGGTCAAGAACGATGACCACAGAAAACGGGCATCAGCCGATCTACACATGGCCAAGTTCTTCGAAGGCGCAGATGTCGACTACTCACGCTACTACCCAGACCTTATCCGAGCACTGCTTATTGCGTTCGACGACAGCGACAAGGAGGTAGTCAAGGCTGCATGGACGGCTCTCACTGCCATGGTTTCGCGCTTACGGAAGGAGGAGATGGAATCGCTCGTTGTATCCACAAGAGGAACGCTCAATCAAGTCGGCGTCGCTGGACATGCTCTGCCTGGCTTCTCGTTGCCGAAGGGCATCAATGCGATCTTGCCGATCTTCTTGCAAGGTCTCATGAACGGCTCAGCCGAGCAGAGGACACAAGCAGCACTCGCCATCTCGGATCTTGTGGACAGGACGAGCCCCGAAGGCCTCAAGCCTTTCGTCACGCAGATCACTGGTCCATTGATCCGTGTGGTTTCCGAACGGTCAACCGACCTCAAGTGTGCCATCTTATTGACCTTGAACAATCTCCTGGACAGGATACCGACGTTCTTGAAGCCATTCTTGCCACAGCTGCAGCGTACTTTCGCGAAGTCGCTAGCAGATCCATCAAGCGAGACGCTTCGCTCGAGAGCTGCGAGAGCACTGGGTACATTGATCACCATGACACCGCGCATCGACCCACTGATCACAGAGCTTGTGACCGGATCGAAAACAACAGACGCGGGTGTGCGCAACGCCATGCTCAAGGCACTCTATGAAGTCGTCAGCAAGGCCGGCTCAAACATGAATGGCACCTCCAAGAGCTCGATCCTCAGCCTCATCGACTCCGCAGCAGGTGAACACGACGACTCGCTCAACATCACCTACGCCAAACTCCTCGGCGCTTTGATCAAAGTCTTGCCCTCCGACGCAGCGGCACCGTTGATTAAAGCCCGCGTCCTCACAACAAGCTTCACCCATCAATCCATCCTCGCCCTCAACGCCGTCTTGGTCGAAACCCCCGACACCCTCACAACCTCCTACGCCGGCCAGACCCAATCCGTCATTGTCCAAGGCATCACCACGCCCCAACCCTTCATAGCCGACAACGCCGTCCTCGCAGCCGGCAAATACCTCCTGGCCCCTTCTGCGCCCAGATCACCCGACACGGCCGAACCCCTCATCTCCGCTTTGGCGCAAGTAGCACCACCCGGCAACCCTATCGACACCCGCCGCCTCTCCCTCGTCGTCCTCCGCACCCTGGCGCGGGAACACAACGACCTGCTCCGCCCACACCTCAGCACCGTCGTCCCGCCCATCTTCGCTTCAGTACGGGATACCGTGATCCCCGTCAAGCTCGCTGCCGAAGCCGCCTTCTTAGCCGTCTTCTCGGTAGTAGACGAAGAAGGCGCGGTCTTCGAGGAGTACATGGCGAATGAAGGGGCGCAGATGGCTGCAGGCCCGAAGAGGAGTCTGCAGGAGTATTTCAAGCGGATTGCGTTAAGGTTGAGTGGGCAGGCGAAAGATCGACGGGAGGCGGAAGGAGGGGCAAGGGGGTTCTTGAGCACGGATGAGGTGGATGATGTGAGGGAGATTATGAGCGTGGGGAAGATCGATTTGGGGGAGGGGGGGTTCGGGGAGTGAGAGTAGATCAGAGAGGAGCTGAATGGAGGTAGACATGTGGGTAGAGTTGTGGAAGCTACTGGTAGTGATGGTAGCTGGCAGATAGATAGAGATGAACACGAACGCATATGACTGAACAAAACACTCATCGCGAGCACAACTTTTTGAATTGGTTTTTTCAGGTGCGCTAGCCTTCGAAGGATATCTTAGGTATCATTCCCAGCTCTACTTCCCCTTCATAGGTGCGCAGCCCTCCAACATACCATCGACATCCTTCACGCCAACGGTATTGCCCGCCTGCACTCGCTTGATCGTCAACGCAGCGATCAGCGCCGCTCCCACACCTGAACCATCCTCGGCAGGCAAGATCTCGACCGGATCCCGTCCGCGGCCCAGGCGCTTGCCATCGCGGTCCTTCTCCCAGTCGAGGATCTCTTTGAGTGCTTGTGCGCCGCGTGCCTGCATACAATGTCAGAATAACACAACGAAATCGTAGACGAGGAATGGTGTTGGCCAACCTTAAAATGAGGATACTTATTAAACACACTCCCATCCGCGCCCACATGCGCCGTCTTATACCCCTTCTTCTTACATATCGCCGCGACGCCACACGCGCTAAGTCTGGCGGCGCGCGTGCCGATGAGCTCCGTCAGCCTTCTAATCAGTTCGAGCTCCGGCTTCGTCGTCTTGATGCCCAGCTTGTGCTCGAAGCTATCGTGCGTCTCCTGCAGATTCTCGAACGGGTCATTTTCGATATCTGACAGGAAAGAGGCGTCCAGCGAGTATGGCTTTTCGAGTTTGGAGATGTCCCGGTTCTCGAAGATCTGGACGTGGGGTTGGCTGTGCAGGTCCACGAGGACGAGGCGGAAGATCTCGCCTAGGTAGAGACCCGCGATCATTTTCTCAAAGGTCTGTTGGCCGGGTCGAGGAGAGTCTTTGTCGATGATGACGTCGTAGGGGGTGCGAGGGAGGATCTTGTGCTCGTTGTCGAAGGCGCCCCATTCGCAGTTGATGGCGATTTCTTGGTCGGGAGGGAGGTTCATGTGCTCAAGCTTGGGGCACTCGCCAGCGTGTTCCATGTAGGCGGCGTTGCAGCCGGTGCCGAAGATGCAGCCGACTTTCATCTCGTCGTCGGTGTAGTTGCTAGCTATGAGGGTGCCGGTGGTGTCGTTGATGAGGGCCGTGAGTTTGATGGGAACGCCGCGTTCTTTGAGCGCGGCTTCAAAGGGTGGGACGACGTCCTTGCCTTCGACGCCTTCGATGTCGAAGCCTTTGGTCCAGCGTTGGAGGACACCGTGGTCGATGTACTCTTGCGTTGCTGGGTAGGAGAAGGTAAAGCCGAGGGGCAGCTTGTCCAGCTTCTCGCCCTCGTGGTGGTATTCAATGAACTGTTGTAGGCAGTCCGCGACATATCCCCACAGCTCGTCTGCGGTGCCCGTCTTCAGATCCTCAGGCATGCGATACTTCGATTGTATTATGTCGAACTCGCCCTTCTCTTCTGGAAGAATAATCTCGCAGACTCGCAGGTTTGTGCCGCCCATGTCCAATGCCAGGAATGTGCCCTGCTCGTGGCCGGTTGGAAAGCTCATACACCATGTTGCGTTCATGGGTATACTTCCGCCCTCCTTTGACAGCCCCTTTGCCAGCTCTGAGATGAAGTGGTCGGTGATGGCCTTCAGCTTTGCCGTGTCGACCGTAAACAGATCCTCCAGTCTCTTGATCTCGCCGAGCAGGTCGTGTGGCACGTCGGCCATGGAGCCCTTACGGCTGGGCTGCCGCTTTGGTCCTGTTCCCACCATCTTGACGGCGCGTTGTATTCACGTTCCAGGAAAGCAGGTTGTTGTAGGAGATAAGGATGGAAAGGCTGCCCGCGCCGGTAAAGGTTGAAGATGTAGAGCGAGCGGCAGTTCCGATCTGTGCCAACAGGCAAATCGACAGAGACCTCTTTCGTGTCTGGCGCTGCCCTTATAACTGTGTCAGTTCTTTCCCAATGCAGCGCGAGCTAGAAGCTGAGTGAACAGTAAGCATTACCCAAGCTGGTGCTACCGGCGAGTCGAGGGGGTGGAGAAGGAGTCTAGGAAGAGTCCTGTGAAGTCTGAGGAAGTGTTGGAAGATAGTCTATTACTCGAAGAAGCATTGAAACAACAAGCAATGCGAGGTACATGTAGATTCAACAGAAAATGTTCCTGAACGACGTCGACGCCCCACCAGAGATGCCCCTCGTCCATGGAACTCTGCGGAAGCCACGCCCAACCTACCTCAGATACGGAGATATCGCTCTGGACCTGGAGCAAGCGTTGTGGTATTATGATGAGCGCTGTATGTTTGCAGTCTTCGCTAATGGAATGAAGTGCTGTTGCGGTTGAGTTGGATGCATTGAGATTGATTGACCAAGCCATTGACGTCGATCTGTTATTACTGCTCGGATCTTGCTTGTCCTGCACGTGATCGTGACTTGGCATATCGACTCCGGCTTCAACTGCTTCTTGAGACATCGAAGCTATACGCAGGACACACTTACACCACTATACGAGAAACATTTTCGAGACCGACAAATAGCAGGATCAACTCCGGTACTATCCAAACACTTGTGGGTGCAGCATCCAATTCCCCCCACCATACCTCGTAGCCTATAGCTCAGCTAAACTCCTCCCAGAACCCAAGAACAATGTCCGCCCTCCGCCTAACCCGCGCCTTCCCCCGCTCCACCGCAACCCCAGTCTCCATCCGCACCTTCAGCACCACCCTCCGCACCATGGCCGAAGGCGACGCCGGCGCCCCCCGCTCCGGCGGTGCCGCACAAGGAGACGCCTTCACCAAGCGCGAGCAGGCCTCCGAAGACTACTACGTCAAGCAGCAGGAGAAGGCGAAGCTCGACCAGCTGAAGAAGAAGATTGCGGATCAGGAGGCCAACTTGGCGAAGGATCGGGAGGAGATGGAGGCAATGAATAAGAAGGGGGGGTCTTCTTGAGCTGATTATCCGCGGAAGGATGAATGAAGGGCTCGTGGAAAGGGTTGTCTGATGTGGTGGATGACGGGGAGCGGGCGGATGACCTGCGAGGGGAGGGACCGTGTTGTATATATAGCAAAGTTACCCACGAGAATGAGCTCTCCTCTTTACGCTAAATCATGTGTCCGCAACAGCTTATCACGGAAGACTTGAGGCGATGCACCGGAAGGTAGATGTTGATTTGAGACTTCTCGTGTTATCATCTCGAAGCTACACACACGATGCATGCATGAACACGTCAACGCCATAAACCCAGCACCACGCCCAGAAGGCGACGTCCGCCACCATCCGAAGCTCTCTACGACCTTCAAGTCGACGGCGGAAGATATCTGCATCAGTGCAGAATCTAAGTCTACTGTGGCTGAGCATCGTCGTCGTCGCCCAACATCGCGTTCTTCTTCTGCTCCTTGCGCTCCACCCGCCTCTCGCGCGCCGCCTTGTTCTTCGCACGCTTGGCGTCCATCTCCTCGCGGATCTGGCGCTCGCGCTGCTTCTCGGCCTTGGCCTTGTGGATCTGTAGCGATGCAGTGTCAGTGTGTGCTCGACGTCTGCTGATGAGTCATGATATCATGATACTTACGTGCTCGACGAGGGCACGCTTGTGCTTGAAGGTGTTACCCTTGCTCAGATGGTAGAGCTCGTGGTAGAGGTGCTTGTCGATCTTGCCAGCGGCGCGGTACTTGACGAGCAGGCGGCGGAGGACACGCAGACGACGCATCCACATCACTTGGCTGTAAAAATGTTGTCAGCGTCTTGCTTCACCCCAGCTGCGCCTCTGTATTCCTCCATCCTGACACAACCCTCCCTTGCACAGTCCATCGGTGTATATGATAGTTCTTACCTCGGCATCCTAGCATCAGCCGTACCCTTCCTCTTACCAAAACCCCTGTGTCGTCCAATCCGCCTCGCAGCCGTCAACTCCCTGGCACGCGAGCGGGAGTGCATTGTCACGGGCTTCTGGATGATGAGGCCATCGCTGAGGAGCTTGCGGATCGTCTGGCGCGAGTTGGCGTTGGAGATCTCGTTGCTTTCGTTGGGATCGAGCCAGATCTTGCGCTTGCCGCAGTTGGCCACGGACGCCGCCAGGCGCTTCTGCGTGCGGAGGTTCACCCTGGAGAAGTATTGCGGTTAGTCTTGTGATGCTTGTGGTGGGTGTGGTGATGCATTGGTGGTGGATGAGGGCTTTTTCGAGGTGGGTGCGGTCAGGCGGTTCCAGGGTGTAGCGATGCTCGGCGTTGCCTTCTCCTGCGCTGTATGGTGGTATGGTGCATGTGTCTGGCCGTACTTACATCTTGACTGCGGTCGTCGATGGTGGTCGATGGTGTGGTTGAGAGTCGTCGCTTTCTGCTCGTTCTTCGATGTTGTGGGAATGGATTTAGCGCTGCCAAGACTAATTAGCCCCTCACAGCGAGTCACGTGCGCTCAATATCACGATGAGTCGAGGTGATGGAAGAGAGTTGGAATGGGAAGGCAATAATTCATGTTCAAATTTGATCAAATATATCCTGCTGACATGCCACACTCACTGCCCTGACTCACAAGTCCAGCATGAACGGCAGATTCACGCTCGACCTGCTAATTCCAATCGCCCAAGCACTGCTGTCATCAGCCTTGCCATCCTGGCTGTAGACGCTGCTTGCTCGTTCCGACAATGGTGAGAGGACGGGAGACGATGCTGGTCCCAACACCTCGACCCAGGCAGATGAGTCAATCGCCTTCACCGAAGAGTCCCTCCTTGTGTTGCGTAGAATCTTGACCGCTGTGTCCGGCCGTGCGTGCTCCTTCGCAAGCGTGATAGTCTGGTTTGGCAGTCTTATGTTGCCGACGAACAACTCTCGAAGCTGCGGCCATCGGAGAGCATGCCTGCCCTGAAGGCCGGGCTCATGATGCAGCGCCAGCGGGCTTGGACCTTCTCCACCCAACCAGACCAAGCGCAGACAGCGTAGCGATGGTGCAAAGCTGCGAAGGTACTCGTATAGGATCTTCTTGAACATCAGCTGCTGTGCATCGGTCAACTTGCCTGTGGCGGAGGGGTCCTTTACGCGAAGGTCCAGCGTTTCAATCCGCATCCAAGCATATGCCCCAGAAGCTTGTGCTTGGCTGAAAGCTCCGATGCCGTGCCAGCGTAGGTGAATGATGCCCATCGCATGGACCGGCATGAGCGAGAACTCCCGCAAATGCTCCAGATTGGCTGACTCGATGGCCACTCGCAGAGAGACGAGCGTGTCCTCGACTGCTGTACGCCCTGGCCATGCTGGATCACCGTTGATGCGTAGAGTCAATGATCGAAGTTGGCGAAAGTGTGAGAGAAGACGTGCCCAGAGCTGGCGTTCTTCGATCTGCTCTTGCCGGTCGGTGAACAGAAGTTGAGCGGGTGAGGCCGATGGACGAGTCTCAGTGCTGCCTCGAATGGAGAGATTCTCCAGGCTATGTATCGATGATGCAGGCTTGTGAGCTTCACCATCCGGTACCGCGATCTTCCTCCTTCTCCACAGAGACGGTCGCCTCTTCAGGTCGCTGCGCCTTGGCTCGCCATCAACAACCGCTCTTGATGGTCTCGCTTCGGGTGAAGACGGCCCAACTTTGATGGTCAAAGCATAGCACATCGGCGCAACAAGCTCAAGGCGCCTGATATCAGAGCCACCTGGAAGCGGCGCCGGGACGTAGAGCTGCCGGTAGAGGCGGCCTGGCTGGCTGTCGACAAGGTCACGCAGGATTCGAGATACTCTCCGCAGACGTTGGAGCGTGAAGCCATTATCGAGGTACTGGATTAGCTGCTTGCAGAAGTTGCACTTCGCTTTGCCGTTCTTATTGCGAAGCAGGGCTCGTTCGAAAAAGCTGAGAGTAGACATGGATGAATGGAATGGTGGCTGTGGTGTGGTACGAAATGTTGAGCCCTCGAACTGGTCGCACGACGGCCTAAAATATGGCCCTCCATGTGGTCACGAGAGAAAGGCAGTCCCATGAACCTGTCACGAGGGGGTCGGCCTAGGCTTGCATCGGTCCTCTATTCAATGCGCTGGTAGGCCGTGTCACTTGTGTAATTTTTGTCAGGACCTTTGACCTTATACCGCACACCGAAGACCTCCATGTCTTCGTCCTCGTCGGAATCATCATTCGAAGTCGGCAGGCGAAATTCATAGTACGCCCAGTACATATCTAAATTGCAAAGATGCTCGCCCCTTCCACTCCAGACATTCTTGCCTTGCTCGATTTCGAGGTCGTGGAAGAGGTAGTCGACTTCTTCGGCCCCGTGATTGTCCTTGGTTGCTTCTTTCACAAACCAGGCGGAGATTTTGTCCTCGTCGGCATTGTAACGGTAGATGTACTTCCGGTTGGCTGAGAACGTAAGGCCGGTGTCCGTCTTCAACTGGCCTTTTTCGAAGTACAGTAGCTCCGCCTTGACGCTGGCGGCAGCCGACTTGCGAGGCGTGAATGTGGCCGTGCCTTCGAATACTCCTGACAGTCCTGGCGGAGCGCTATTCAGTGTCCGCTTGAGCTTCCATGAGCCTCTGAGGCTTCTGAATAATTCGGCTACCGGTCTTTCGCGGCTCATGCTGATCAAGCGGATTCCTGAGAACGGAGTCGAAGAAGTGCGTTGTGCGGTATGCGTGAATGAAGTCGGAGGTGAGGAAGGGGCGATGGGGCCGAAAGTGCGAGGGCTCCACTCACTCCATTGCCGGTGGAACACAACCATTCTCTTTTGAGGCAACACGTCTCATCACAGTTGCGTCTACTAAAGAGTATTCAAGATCTCGAGTCTCCTGTTTGCCCCGTGAGTCGACAAAGGCGAACTGGTGGGAACGACTCCTTAGAAAATCTGAGACTCGATAAGCAACAACATGGCAGCTCCAGGAGGGAAGTTCTTCATCCAAGACAAGCTGAAAGATGTCGCGCCTCATCATGAGAGCTTCGAGGTACGTGCCAAACAATCCCGCTGATGCGATCTGGCCGACACAGTCCTAAGCGAATCGTAATAACTTGTGCAGCAACTATGGGAGACGAAATGGAAGATGCCTGTAAGAAACATAAGACTTCATCATCGGTTAGACTTATGCTGACGGACCTTTAAGTGCACATTGGGGCTCTATCCCTTCATGTTCGGGGCTTTGAAAGACTTCGAGCCTGTCGTCGAACGGCTTATCAAGGTACTGTGTGATACTTCCTTTCAAATTCAGCGATTAATTGACCCATCTCTACAGGAAGGACAGAAGGAGCCGTACGACTGGGATGCATACGCTCAAGCCTTCTTTCCGAAAGCAGAGGAGCTTGTTGCAGAGGCGGAGAAGGCTGAGCAAGAAGGCAACCAAGAGAAAGCATCTGAGTTCCACTTGTACGTCGTCCGCCTTCATCTGAGAACAAGGATTATAGCTAATGCAGACAAGACGAGCGTCCGCAATCTACAGGATATCACGGTTTCCAGCACCTCGATCTGAGAAACAGCGGTATGCCTGGATAGAAGGCAAGAAAGCTGCGAACAAAGGTCTTGCACTCCGGGAGAGGCCGACGAAAGCAATGACTATCCCGCACAAGCACGGCCTTGAGAACGAAGGCAAAGACGTACAGTTCTACTACCATTTACCACCCGGTACTACGAAAGATAAGCCAGTGCCCCTAGTGATTATCCTAAGTGGTCTGGACGGATATCGGACAGAGCTCGCCGTCTGGATCGAAGGCTGGTCGCAGAAGGGTGTCGGAGTGATCGTGCTCGAGATCCCTGGGACTGGAGACTCGCCAGCTGCACCAAATGACCCTACATCTCCCGAACGCGAATGGTCGAGCCTGTTCGATTGGATCGATCAGCAGCCCGAGATCGACCACAGCAGGCGAGCATTATGGGGCTTCAGCACTGGCGGCTATTACGCCATCCGGCTGGCCCACACTCACCACGACAGACTTGCCGGTGTCGTTGCTCTTGGAGGTGGCTGCCACCACATGTTCGCTCCGGAATGGCTGTCAAATGTGAATCATCTGGAGTATCCGTTTGACCTTGCGCACACGCTGGCGTACAAATGGGGCTATGGGGATGACCTGGAGAAGTTCAAGCAGGAAGGTATGAAGTTCTCGCTTGTCGAGGATGGCACGCTGGACAAGCCGGACTGCACAAGGCTCCTGCTTGTGAACGGCGTGGGGGATGAGTGAGTTGCTCAGTTGGTCGGTTCGTTCTTCGGTTTGCTGACAACGCGCAGGATATTCCCTATCGACGATTACTACGAGTGCATACAACGTGGCACGCCCAAGGAAACTCGGTTTATCCAGTCGAGGAAGCACATGGGCGAGCCTGAGTCCTTCATTGTCATCTTGAGTTGGCTGTACAAGCTTTTCGGGCTGGCGGGTCATCCTGGGGAGCAGATGCGGACCATTCCTTCTAGACCGAAGTATTAGAGCGTGGGAGACGCATGTAACATTTAATAGATGCTATACCGTAATCCAGCGATATGTTGTTCTTCAGCTGCGCGGCACTTTCACTCGTCCTTTCCAACTTCGTGTGACGTCGGGTCCACTCCTTCACCGACCTCGACTTCATGAGCTTCTTTCTTTTACGCGCACACTCTGCATTCCCGACTTCAGATACCTCTTTAACACCACTCGGTAGTTGAAGAGGAACACGAACACCGCCATCATGAGCGCTCACAAAGTCGAAGATGTCGAGGCAGAAGAGTCGCTGGACATCGCTTCCGCAATGGGATTTTCCGGCTTCGGAGCACAGGGCAAGAAGCGAAAATTCGGTGGCGACGACAACACCTTCATCGACGTGGGAGAAAACGGACCACAGGACAAGAACGTCACACCCACATCATCGATCGCATCAGGAAGCAATGCGATAGCCGCAGGAACCAAGAGGTCGATGAAAGCAGAGGCGTCCTCGGGTTCCACTGATGCGCCGCCGAGCCAAGCCAACAACTCGCAAGCACCATCAGAGTCATCAAAGACGACTGACATGCCGGTGGTAGACATCGACAAGGCTACTCCTCAGCAGTTGCGGAATGGCGTACGCAACAAGAACGGCGACACGGTCATTTTCATGCCGAGCTTCATTGAGGACCCCTGGGGGGACGATGACGAAGACGAAGACACTGCGGGAGCGCGCGGAGGAGTTGAACAAGCTCCTCCGAGTTGAGGACGCGAGTGGCCAAGAGGACTCGACAGCAGTCGTGGAAGACGCCCCCAGCAGCACCCAGTCCGTCGCTCTCGAGTCAGGTGAAGCGACATACTTGGTCCCGCCTACAGAAGCTCCACAGACGCGCAAGGCAGATGAGAGCCTGGCCCATGTTCATGACAACGGCGAAGTACTGTCGCCAGGGGCATTTCAACGCGCCGCAGTTCGGGCGATAGTAGCGGAGCGTTTGCGTACTGAGCAGCGGGCGCAGTCGTTGCCCCAGATCGATACCACAGACTTCCCGCAAGCTCGCGACGCTGTCGAAAAATTACTGGGCTATCGTTTCAAGCAAGAATCAGGACTGGAAGAGGCTCTGTATTGCGGACCGCAAGCAGCTTTGGGGAGCAGTATACTATTTGAAGCAAATCTTCGCTTAGCTCAGCTTGGGGATTCAGTTCTTGACCTCATACTGAACGAGAGCGGCTATGATGCCGGGAAACGCAAAGGTGCGTGATGTCTTCGGTGCGCAGACGCAAGTGGATCAAGCACATGCCTTTTCTGCCCGTTAGCAGCCTCCGATGGTGCAAAGTCATGAAAAGCTTATTTACTAATCCTTGAAACAGGCGATATCGATCACCGGCGCGCAGCCATAGCATCGAATGATAATCTAACAGCAATGGGCTACAAGAAAGGCATTCCAAAACTTCTGCTTAGTCCACGCGGCCACAATCCTCCAAAATTTGCCGTTGCGGCATGCGTGGAAGCGATCCTGGGAGCGGTATACAAAGGCTCTCAAGGCGATTTGGGCGCTGTGAAGCGGTCCATGGCTATGTTCGGGTTGTTGTGAGGTATATTGCTCGCTCTCGCACGCACGGTGGGCTATGCAACGACACTAAGGCCTACGACTGTGTCTCGCGAACCCAATAAATTAGTATTGAGCTCTCGTGCATCGGCTGCAAGTGATGGCGGTCACCCTTACCACGGCAGGTGTCGCCGAGCGATATTCAACAAAGCTCTTCAAAGCGGTGTCTTCCAATCGCGACATCTGATACTCGGCAGCTGCTCATGAGCACGTGAGGGTTTCCCAAACTCTTTCAACCCATTGGAGCCTACCCTCGACTGCCGTTCATCTGAAGATGGTGTGTGGGTCGAATACCAAGGTTCCAGTACCATGGAAGACACCTTAGACCGGAACCTTGTTGCCAGGTTGCTCATCCTTGTTGCCAGGTTGCTCATATGGCCCCACTGTAGCTTCCAGCAAGGCTCCGGTGCATTGGATGAACAAGAGCTGACTTCTTCGAGAAGCACATAAAACGCATCACATCAAACTCCACACTCAAGACATACAAACAGCCCCCAGAACGAATTGGCGTATACACTTCGCAAACATCTTCATCGTCACATACTCACTTCGACCAACAACGGAAGCGAGTAAGCACAGAGCCTCATCTCCATCCTTTCAACATGATGACAGAGCATCGAGACTGACAATACCAGCCCAGCACCTATCCATACAATGGATTCTTCTACTTTCAACATCACACGATTGGCCGTCGAGCAGATCATCGACTACCCCTTTCGCAACCCACTCCTACTACAAGAAGCCCTCTACGCCGGCGGTCCGATCCCCTTAGGACACGGCCCATTCACCAAACCCATCACAGAAGCCAACAAGCGCCTCGCCCTGATGGGCGACTCCTTCTTCAAAGCCATCCTCAACGACAGGTGCGACGAGATGGGCATGAGCAGGGCCCTCACGAACGCGGAGCTGCAACGAGCGGCTTCGAACAAACATCTCGATGTGGTCGGCAGGAAGTTGGGACTGGACAAGTATTTGGTGCTGCAGAATGGGTGTCCGGGTGTGAGCAAGGACTTGATGGCGACGGGCGTACAGGCGATTCTGGGCGCGGTGTGGCGAGACTCGGGGAAAGACTTGAAGGCGGTGGAGGGCGTGGCGGAGAGGATAGGTCTGCTTTGAGGTGTCACATTAGCGGGAGTTTCGTTGGTTTGGCAGAAGGTTCGGGACAGCGTTCATTTGATACATGTCGAACAGCCACTCATTGGCCTTTGGAAAGTTTCGAGCATGTCTTGAGGTTTTCGAAAGAAGCTTGCTTCTACATCGCACCAAATCAAAGATACTCATGTACAGACATTTTTTACCAGTCCGTATCAAATCAACCACATAAACATGCTATTCTCCAAAGGGTATCTCAATATTCTCATAGTCAGTCTCTGCTCCTTTTCATCTCCTTGCGTGCCAAACAACCCGACGAACCGCCAACTGCCACACGGCGTCGCTCATTCCTCCGGCCCCTTTGAGATCGCAGCCCCTACACCCTCCGGTGACGGCGTCTCTGCAGTCACGTCCGCCTCGAACCCAAACTCCTGCACCAAGAACTCTCTCGTCGTTGGACCGATCGTGACGATGCTCGTCTTCATCGGCCCACTCATTACCTCCCTCAATCCGTCATTGACATTTCCAGACTGCGGATCCAGCCACCCAAGCGCACTCAGCATTGCCTCACAACCCTGTGGCGAGAACACAACAACGCATTGCTCCTTGACCCGCTGCTTCTTCGCCGCGCGGATCAGGCCGGTGAAGGTCTCCTCGAAACTCGCCAGCTCGCCTGTCTCGTACACTACGACTTCTGTAACTTGGATCCGTTCGAGTGGCGGCAGCTCGTCCGACTGCAAAGCTTTGGGAATGGTATCCCTTCTCTGTTCGCCGACCAAGAACAAAAGTGGGAGCTTGCGGCCATCAAGAGTCGTGACTTCTCGCGGCAACGTAGCGTGCCATTGTAGAATGAAGTCGGCCAATGCTTCGCCGTTGCCTGTCTGCTCTCCGACAACAGGGCAGGGGAGGTTGAGTGCTCGCACGCCGTTCGCTGTTGCTGGACCGACCACATAGAGTGGCATATCCTTGTCGAAGAGAGCATTGAGCTTTGCAGGATCCAGCTTCGCTATGACGGTGGCGAAGGCATCTACGGCTCGCTGGGAGGTGAAGATGATTCCGCCATATTTCTTAGCTGGGTTGTTGGTCGCTTTCCGTAGACCTGAGGCGTCGCTTCCAGAGGCAAAAGCGAAACGCTCAGCTGAGCGGCGGAGAGTCCGTAGGGCATCGTCTCGGAAGATGTGGTCTAATACCGGGACGAAGATGGGTCTGTATTTTCCATTGGAGAGCTGGGATATGTGTTCCTCGTAGGAGTCCGTTGGGGATGACTTCGTTTTGAGCAGGTAGACGGGCACTTGATCGATGGTGAGATCCTTCAATGCATCCGTAAGATCGTCCATTGTGCCTCTTCGGCTGTCACATATCTTCGAGGATATGAGATGTGTGTTTGAACCTCACCGTTGGCGCTTTCCTCATCGAGCGATTTGCCTCGGCGCCTCCCGCGCTCACAAGTGACCTCAGGCTTTCACAAGCACAGGGCATTATACATTTATGTCTAATTAGTAAGTCGAGTATACAAGATGTTATGCCTGTCACACAGATCGACTTTCCTATCCTCCAGTCCTTCTTCTGCGTCGTCGAGAATACCACCGGGATGCCGCCACAACCGTTAGATGCAACGCCCCAACAGGTCGAGAGACAGCAGCAGAGGGAAGCACAGGATGGAGAGGACAAGAGGCCGAAGCAACTGCCCAAAGGTGTTGTGCTTGGGCCTGATGGGAAGCCGTACGTCCAGTATACCACCCATTCAGGATTGGACAAAGCTAACGAACAACAGCTGCCGCTCCTGCACATCCTTCGCCTCATGGGCTTCAATGACCAAAGGCCAAACCTCCCCAACCAACACCACCGACCCGCCCTCGACCGCCATAGCAGCCGCCTCCCCACCCTCCGACTGCCCACCCGACGTCGACCGCCTGGGAAACCACACTTGGACCTTCCTCCACACCCTTACAGCCAACTACCCCTCCAACCCCTCCCCGGCCCAACAATCCGACACACGCTCCTTCATCTCGCTGTTCGGAAAGATGTACCCTTGCTGGGTCTGCGCGGACGATTTTCGGGCGTGGATGAAAGAGGGGAACGAGCCGCGGGTTAGCAGCCGGGAGGATTTTGGGCGGTGGATGTGTGAGGCGCATAATGCGGTTAATGTGAAGTTGGGGAAGGAGGAGTTTGATTGTGGGCGCTGGGAGGAGAGGTGGAGGACTGGGTGGAAGGATGGGCGGTGCGATTGAGGTACTTGTTTGGAGGTATGGGTTGGTTGATTGCGAGCATAGCGACGGCGTTGGTGGGAATGCCCAATCTCAGCTCAAGCGTAGTTGAGCTAAGTGCATATGTACGATACATGTAAAGGGTGTACATTACAAGATACCATCGGAAAACAGCCGACGAGCAGTCCTGCGGCAAGATGTGATGCATAATCTCGAAGTATGGCATCGTTCATGCGTATCATAGGTAGCGTATCAACATTTCAGCTACGACTCTGCCGTCGACTTCCCGACCCCTTGTGATCATCCTCGCTCTCATAGTCAGGTATAGGGGTAGGATTCACCTCCTCCAACGGCGGCGGCCTTACATCCTCCCCCGATCCCTTTCCCTGCACACTCTCCTCCGTGACCGTATCCTCACTATCCACCCCTCCACCACCTTCCTCGTCATCTCCACTCTGAATCGGCTGATAACCTTGCCCATCGTTCTTGACTCTCGACCGATCCATAATGAAACTGTCAATAATCCAGTACTGCACCGCGTTCATCGCTAATGGGAAGATGAACATCGCAAATGCGAGTTGTAGTGCTTCGTTGCCTTCGGTCCAGCGTAGCGCCCAGTCGCCGACCCAAGGGAGCCAGGGGAGGATGCGGAAGAGCAGGAAGACGAAGGCCTTCATGCCGACGAGGCCAATGAAGTAGATTAGGGATTGTTTGAGCCACCACTGTGATACAAATTAGCTGAGTTGCAAGGCAGCACGGAGGGAAAGGGAGCTTACAGTTGTTCGAGGAGATTCGCCGGGTTCATTGTAATGGCCGGACTTGATGCTTTGGGGCGGTCTCGCCAGGGGTGTGTAGCGGAAGGCGACATGGAGGACTTTGAGGAAAAGGTAAAGGACTGGGATACCGACGGTTGTCTGTATGACGGATCAGCCGTGGGTCCCTCGTTGGAGTGTATTTCGCGGTGGGTACTTACGTCTATGCCCAAGTTCAGAATGTAGAATGAACAAGGGTTCGGTGTCGCCCTCCCCCCCTGATTCGTGTTGTCGCTCGCGGTACTACTGTCACTCGACTTCGAGGCAGCATGCTTCGCATTATCAATGAGCTCCCCACTTCCCGTCATGCTCATTAGTATGTTCAGGACGTGTAAAAGCATCGAGCCCACGACCTGCTTGGAAACATCAAAGAACCAAATTTTCCACGGTCGCTTGTTCACCTCCCGCCATCGTTTGTACACAAGTCCCAACAGTGCCAATCCGCCCAACGCAGCCTGCACTATCAACGCGAAGGGTCCAAGTAGGTGGCATTCTCCCTCCTTCACCAACGGGCTTGCCGGCACAGACGTCAAAGGTGTTCCCTCCAACGTCGGCGTCTTATCTTTCTCCGTTTCCTCCTTCTCCCCCTTCCCGCTCCACCCAGGCGGCGGCACAGGTGGCGATGTCTCTATCGAAATTGCACCCTCTGTCTTCGTCTCTGCCGCTTGCGTAACACTCTCCTGCTCCACCCCAATAATCTCCACTAGCTTCGTCTCAAACACCAGCGTCGCCCCGCCAGGAATCGCAGGCGGTGCCCCCCGGTCTCCATAAGCCATCTCCGGCGGTATCGTCAAGTTCCTCGCCTCCCCAGGGCACATGTCTAGTAGTCCTTCATCCCATCCTGATATCACTTGACCCGCGCCGAGAGTGAATGAAAAAGGCGCGCCGCGTCTATAGCTCTCATCGAACTCGACGCCTGTAGACTGGAGGGTGCCTTTGTAGTGGATGGAGAGCTTGTCGCCGTTGCGCGAAGGGCGGGAGCAGGTTGTCAGGGTGGTGGCTTCGATCTTGAGGTCCGAGGGAGAGGCGAGGGTAGGTGGTAGGTAGATGGTTGAGAGGAGGGCGAGGAGAGATGCCGGGAGATTGCTCAAAGAGCGCATGGTAACCGCTATATCTTGCTATCACTGGTCGTGCTGTCGATACATATGCGCGAAGGTACGGTTGTTCGAAGGTGGGGGTTGTTGGGCGTTGCCGCTTGATATGTGGTACTACGTTCGTGGCCGACGTTCTCTAGTTGATTTGCGAAAGCGACGGTGAATAGTCCACGGTGTCCGCGGAGTGGTATATGCGTCGTAGAGATGGATGAGGTGTCTGGGCAGGGAAGACGATTGCCTTGCATTTACTTGGCGTGGTCGGAGCCAACATCAGCTTTCCGAGGTGGCTGTGTCCCGATGCGGAAGGTCTGAACCATGTGACTGCTCTGAGGTCTAACGACTCTATGATACACATGCACGCATATTTACTGCTTGAAGAGACTCAAGACTCAAGAAGAGTGCATTGAGATGGCTGTGGAAGGGTGATGTCTTGACAAGATTCGAGATACATCCACTCTTCTCCAAGACACATGGCCAGATGACCTCGTCAGGCATATGAATGTTGTCGACAGCAGAGTAAGATCATTCGAAGGGATGCCGAGACCTTCAAACCTCGATCGTTCCCTCCATGACCTCCACAGCACTCCCACTCATCTCCACTCCTTCCACGGCATCCATCGCCTCGTTCAGCGTCAATACCACACCAATGTCGCTCTGCCTGCCCATCTCAACCCCCTGCGTGAGCTCGAACGTCGTCGTCCTCCCTAACTTCAGCCTTATCGCCAAGTAGGCACAAAGGCCGCAGGACCCGCTACCAGTCGCAGCGTCTTCCAAAGAACCCATTAGCATGCGTGTACGCACTTTAACCACGCCCTGCTCGCTGCTAGGCTGTTCTGTAATCACGTAGGGGAAAAGGCCGAAAAAGCCCAAATTCCATTCGTTGTCGAGCGGCGCTGTGGGCTCTGTTCCTGGGAGGCCGACTTGGCCTAGTGTCTCCAGGTCTGCTAGCTCGATACAGATGAAGTTCATCCCTTTCACAGGGCTGAGCACATCGATCGACAATGGTTTCTTGCCCGCTGTCTGAAGGCTGGGGAGCAGAGCGTAGATGTCGGAATCCCCTAGAATATTTTGAGTGTGTCGATGGTAGTTGTGCGGTATGCTCGCTTTGGCTGCTCCATCCGCATAGTCGACGTCGATGGGCCCGGCATTGCATATTAGTCTGCCTTTTCGGGCGCCCTGAGCGAGAGTTCCCAGAGCAAAGCATGACGCTCCTATGGTAGGATGGCCTGCAAAGGGTACCTCAGCGTTCGTTAAGAAGATGCGGACTCGCCATTCCGGCGTTTCGTCGTCTCCAGACGATCGTTCGTGGAGGAAGATTGTCTCAGAGAGATTGAATTCCCGAGCGACAGTCTGCATTTGTTCGGTAGAGACATCTTGCCTAGCAGGTATTTGCACGACGGCCAACGGATTGCCGAGGTATCGAGTTGTCGTGAATACATCGAGCGTTGTAAAAGAGAGTCGAGGCATCTTAAAGGACTGAGGGATGGGGAAGGCTGTGTGCGAAGGAAGAGTGTGGGGATGAGGACGGTGGAGTTTGGGGAGCTTCCAGGTCTCTCTCTTCTTCATTTTTCGTCGTTCTGACTCAGCTCTTGCGCCCTATCTCGCCATGTGTCGTGCAAAAAGCCTGGCTGCCCTCATGCAGTATGGCCCTCATGCAGTATGGCCGCTATCATAATGGACTGCTTCGAGGCCAGATGCCAGGAGGGCGGAAAGGGTGTAGGCAAGAGAACCTCCAACATCTCGAGATGGCACACAACACCGATCTCATGGCAGCATCGCACCGACCGCGCCTCTATACCACCGACGGGCGGGCGCAGTCTTTCTAAACGCGCTGGTATGCTGTGACTGGAAGAGGTGTTGGTGTTCACCAAAAGTCTGGTCGACTCGTAAAAACACTTCTTGGCAGTCGAACCGCATCCGGCTCGCTGGACGCGTTGGTTCAGCTCGCTTTCTGGACCTTATGGTTTCGCACTGCATCGCTCGGAACATCTCCACTACCACACCGAGAACAGACGGCTAATCCGAGTCGGTGGAAAGGTCTGGCTCGATTATCTCCAGGGTCCAATTTGCGAGTTGCCAAAGCGAAACCGAGGACGACCGTAAAGACATCGAAGCTGGACGAGCACTGCAGTAACGGCTGGTCGAATGCCTAATTACAATATGTTTGCGGAAGCGCTGCGGTTGCTCAGGCAGGGGAAGTGCTCACATCACCTCCTCGCCCTACCTAACAATCTGCCTGGGTCTGGAGTCATCTTGGAGGCTGGAGTCCTGAACTGAGTCTCTCATTCAGCTGGTACCATATGGACAGAGTTTCCGCACATCTGAAGAGTCTGCACTGCACTTCTTGCTGTTTGGAGTAGGAGCTCTCGTCAGCTCCCGGAGGCCGAAGCGCGACGGCACAATCCTACTCCAAGTTATGCATAAGGCTTCAGTTCAGTGGCGCCACGAAGCTCGCAGGCGGCTACCAACCATTTCGTTGGTAGCACCACTGACTTGGCCGTCAACAAAGCTTGTCCTTGCTATACATGCTTGTGCGCTCAGCCCTATCAGCCACGCGAGCGTTACAGGCAGTGGCAGAGGCTTGGGATTCGTCCGCACCACACTACTTTGCGGTGTGTTGGCTGCTTGGCATATTCGTGTAGACTTGCGTTCGTTGCTGAGATTGTCGCTCGGGTCTGCGACCGGGACCGAGTACTGACGAGATTGCACAGGGCTTAGCACCGCCTTCCAACATGTCAGTGTAAGTACGAAGACGTCTGGATCCTGCTCGAAATAGTCTCTGGGTGCTCCACATCGAGAAGGAGACGGCGGTAGGTATATAAAGGTCTAGGCCTGGACAGCTCTCATCACACCGCAACTCGTCCTCGCAACACCTCACATACCACATATTTCAATCGCTCACGCACCGATTGCACTCCAATCACCACTTCACCGTCCACAACCCTTCGAGCAAATCTCGAGCAGACCAATATCAAAACACTCTTCCTCATCATGCTCTCCATCACCAAGACGCTCGCCCTTTTCGGCCTCGTCAGCAATCTGGCGCTCGCAAATACCTTCGCCGAATTCTGCAACGATGACAACTGCTCCGAAGGCTGCGGCGTAGGTCCAAAGCATGATCTGGAGTCCCTGCGCAACACAAGCTAATTACGTTATCTTGTAGCTTGCGGTCGACACCAACAACCCCGGCTGCCTGACCCAGTATGGCCGCCGCTCGGTCAGATTCCACGGCATCAACTCGCAGGATGTGAGCTTGATCGCTTCTCCCGGCGACACTTGCGATTGCCAAAACTACTGCGAGGACAACATCGTGTCATCCGTGCTTCATGTCTTTGGTGAGAATGATGGGTGCTTCAAGTTGAGGGACGAAGAGGTCCGTTGCTTCGGAATCGAGGGACTTGGAGATGGTCTTGTGCTGACTTTGAACTGTAGGCTCAATCGTTCCGCTTCATCTTTGGCGGCTGCCCAGCTGATCAGTGTTAAGTAACTGGCGCTGGTATACCGAAAGCGACGCTTGTACGGTGTAGGGAGGAGGATCAATCCGGGAGTTCCGAGCTAAGGAGAAGACTGCAAACGGGTACACGCATGAAGCATTGGGGGGAATGGCTTATCGTCCCGCAACGGGCCGAACAAAGATGTGTTACGATAGCATTTAGAGAACTATGAGTCTTGGGAGAAGAGGACGGAGCATTTGAGTAGGCCGCCTAGAATGATTCTGCTGGAGGCCACGACATGAGTATCTTGAGAGCCTTACCTACTGCCATGGATCGTATGCTCCTCGTCAATGATAGTCTGAATGACAACAGCGATTCTGCAGTATCGTATCTTAGGAGAAGCAGCACGCCGATCGCTCTGGGCTTGTCAGACGCAGTCAGACGAAGCTCTTTCCAAGGAACTCTGCGTGACGGGAGGCTTCATTCTTCCCTCCTTCTTCTTCTTCCTCCCATATGACCTTTCTATCGCGGACGAGAGTCAATTGTAAGGCTGATGACTGAGACGTTGATGATCGATGACTGCCATCTCACTTCGCTTCTCGAGACTCGCGGTATCTTTGAGACGAAGGATGGATGGCCCGAGCCACGTCACTTGAGCGACGCCGAGGAGAGTCTATCCAACTTCTCGCGACAGCAAGGTAGGGAAGACAACAAGACTACGCTCATAACCAAGCGAGTACAGGCCATCCTCTTCTTCGCACATACTTCTCCAACATCTCTTTTGGCAGTCTGGCTCTCCGGTCTTGACATTGGCGGCGCGGTCGCCCTCCTCCCCAACATGCCCTCTCTAAACACACGAAGCCTGCTTCTCCCAGCAGCACTACTATCAGTACTCGCAGCAGCTACGCCAGCACCGAGTCCCTACCCAGATCCGAATCCGGACCCAATCTCTCCGCGCCATCCCGAGATCACACCCAGCGCCGTCGAATACCACCCCACGCGAACCTACCGACACCGACGCGACCTCGGCGACGTCTTCTCCGACGTCGAGTCCGGCGTCAACAGCGTATTGAGCGACTTGGGCAATCTACCCAGTTATGTTGCCTCTGGGATCGCGCCGTTCTTCCAGGACTATCCAGACAGCAGTGCAGTGCAGAGCTCGCTAAGCCTCTCGGACTCTGAGGTGGCTGCGCTTCCAACACAAGTACTGAACATCGATCCATACGCGAACTACACGAGCCAGGGCTGGAATGTGAGATTCCATGGCAATGTTTACAAGCAGCCGGACATCTCGAACGATACCTTGAATGACCTGGCGAACGTGTTTCTGCCAGACGTGGATATTGAGGACCTCCCGCAGTCGCAGGCAGATCAGGCGAGGAATCTGACGGCTAGCATATTCGTGCTTCAGCAGGGAGATGTGAATGTGTCTACAATAAACTTGGAGCCGGCGCCCATGCAAGGTTCCAGCGGCGAAGATGGGGGTGGTGGAGCTGTGACACCAAGTGGAGGATCGCAGCAGGTCACCCTGCCGTATCCCACGACTGACCAAGGAGACTTTGACGTCTTCGTGCCAATCGACGGAGCTGGACTCATGAACGGCAACGAAACTCAGCAGATCCAACGCCTGAACACCCACGTAGAAGGTGCCTCAATCGGCAACAGCACGGCCTACCTCGTCCCCAACGAAGGTATAACCATCGTCTCCGACATTGACGATATCCTGCGCGTCACCAAGATCTACGAGCCCGAGAAAGGTCTGCTAAACTCCTTCGCGCGAGCCTTCCGGCCGTGGATGAACATGCCGGAAATTTACGCCAACTGGTCCAGCTCCCTGCCAGACATGCACTTCCACTACCTGACCACCACACCCGAGCAGGTCACCAGAACGTACATGCAGTTCATCTACTCGACCTATCCAGGCGGGAGCTTCGACACCCGACCACTGAACTTCAGTAATTGGCAAGAGACACTGCACGTCCGCAAATTCCTACTCGAGAAAGTGCTGCAGACTTTCCCGAACCGCAAATTTATCCTCGTAGCCGACACGTCGAACTCAGACGTGATGAGTGCCTATCCGGAGATGGCCGTCAAGTATCCCGACCAAGTCCAATGCATCTGGCTCCGCAACACCTCCGCTACTGATCCCGGCGACCGTTTTCCATACGACACGTCTGGATTCGAGAATTTGAAGCAGGAGAAGTACATGTTCTTCACTGTGCCGAATGACCTTACGAATCTGGACGTGGAGAATGGTGAATGCTACAATAAATCGATTAAACAGAACGTCACCTTCTCGTATCAAGGGCTACCGTTTGGACTCGGAGATGATAGTGCCGCGGCGTTGGTGAAGGCGCAGACGGGGTTGATGTTTGCCGTGTTTTTGGGAACTTTGGTGTGGAATTTGATGTAGACGGACGATGGCTCATGATACGATTGTAGATGTTTTGATCATAGCGAGGCGTTGGCAAGCAAGGTTACGGGACGGGAGGTCTACTGCAGCACAAGCTCACGCTAGGAGAGTGGTGATATCAACACCTTGACTTCCAACTTCAACAACACACAACTATACCAAGTCACAGAGGTAGGGAGAACTGTTCATCGCGAAACGTAATTTCGTAACTACTTTCTCAATACATCCTTTTTGAAGTCCTGTCTTACCATCATAGCGCAGCCAACTACAAGCGCGCAAAGCCAACAAACTCGCCAGGGACCTACAGAATGGTTAGCAGATGTCCCAGACACGGTAGGACTTCTAGGATACTCACCTGGTAGTCCGGCACCTTCATGTCGAGCGCACGGCCGCTGTATCCAAGGTCCTCACCAGTCAACATGGCGCACTTCTCGCCGATGAGCAGGGCGGTGGAGTAAGTGTTGCACCCAACATTGTCCGGGCAGACCGACAGATCCGCGACCTTGAGGCCCTTGACACCGTGGACGTTGAGGCGCTCATCCAGCACACCATGCTTGACGACGCTGTTGCCCTCCTTGGGACCCATGGAGCAAGTGCCGAGCGAGTGCCAGGTGGTCTCGACGTGGCGCTTGACCCACTCCTCGACGGCGAGGAGGTCCTCCTTGGAGTACGGCAGCTCGTCGCGAATGCTGACCTGGTTGCTGTTCAACCAGCTCGTCTGCACGGGCTTGCCGCCCGTCTGCTTGACAGACCAGGAGCCGTGCTGGATGTTGGCCGTGATGTGGTTGGGTCCGGCGTAGGCGTTCGTCGTCTGCAAATCCATGTCCTCGGCGCGCGCCTTGGAGTCGAAGGCGTAGAAGGGGTGCATGCCCGTGACCTCGCCGGCGTAGGCGTCCATGCGCCGGGCCGTCTCGCGCGACTTGATGTAGCCCCAGACCATGGGGACCATGTCGCGCTTGTCGTTCATGAAGCCCGCGTCGAAGTCGGGGGCGTCGTAGCACGAGGGGCTGGTGATGTGGGTGAAGCCGCGGGAGAAGGGGTATTCGAGGAAGTGGAACATGGTGAAGAATTTGCCCGGGGGCATGAGCATGTGGTCGCTTCCAAGAGTGTTAGCTAATGATCGTGACAGGATTTGTGATGGCGAAACTCACCCGAACCAGCCGGCAATGACTGAGTAGTGCATGACTGGCTTGTCGGCTGGAGGCAGAAGCGTTAGCGATGTCTTGGAATTGGGAAAGGAGTGGCGATGTGAGCTTACGCTTGTCCTTGAAGTACTGGTCCCATCCGTTCTCCACGAACTGCGGGAATGGCCAGTTCTTGAACTCCTTGAGCTCCTGCTCGGTTGGTCGGACCTTGACACCAGCCTCGATGCCATTGGTGGCAAGCGGGCCAGTGCCGTTCAAGTTCCACTGAGCGAATACCTGCGTGGCAGGGTCAGCAACATTTTGAAACCGGGAAGGCTGGCTATATGGCAACGCACCTTGTCCTGGGTCTCCTTGTCGCCGCGGACGAAGTCGTCGAACGACTCGACGTGCGGCTTGGCACGGTAGGTGGAGAAGGTAAGGTAGTGGTCCTGGAAGTTGAGACCGACACCTGGAAGGTCGATCAAAGGCTTGACGCCGGCCTGAGATTATGCTGTCAGCTGCTGCGAGGTAAGACGAGTCAAATGAGAGGACATACCTTGCGGAGCTTCTCTGGGTCACCGATACCAGATCGCTGGAGGATGAGCGGTGAGCTCAGAGTACCACCGCTAACGATGGTGAACTTCCTGGACCTGTACTCCTTCGCCTTGTTCTCGGTGGGAGACAACGGCTTCGTTGGGCAGGTGCGGACACCGACACACTTATCACCCTCCAGCAGCACCTTCTCGACTTTGGTGTTGCACACCAAGTGCAGGTTCTGGTAAGACTGCCTGGTGCTGTGGATGTAGGCATGGGCAGAGTCGGAACGACGGCCAGAGTCGCGGTTGATCCACTTGAGCCAGTGCTCGGCGCCGTGGCCAGTGACCAAGTCCTGGAGGTCGTCCGTGACAGGAATGTCCTGGGACTCGACGGCACGCAGGAAGTCCTGCATGATGGGGTAGGTGTAGTTGCCGAAGCTGACCTTGATAGGGCCCTCGAAGCCGTGGAGGTCACGGTTCTGGCAGGCACGCTGGTAGGTCTCGTGCTTCCTCATGAGTGGGAGCAGCTCCTTGGTGGTCCAGCCCTTCATCTTGAAGTCGTCGTAGTCGGACGCCGAGGCACGGGTGTACATCATGAAGTTGATGGAAGACCCACCACCGAGGATGTTGGCGCATGGGACGATGGCGCGGCGGCCGGAGAGCCATTCGGATGGCCTGGAGTAGTAGAAGGTGGCAGTCTTGCTGTCCAGCTTCATGTTACGCGGGTAGATACCTGGTCGGTACACCCATGGGTTGTTGAGGTTGCTCTCGCCGGCCTCGATGAGCATCACCTGGAGGTTGTGGTCCAAGTTGGCCAGGCGGCCTGCCACCACACACCTGGTATACAGTCAGTTCCGGCTCCCTTCTGAAGACAGCCAGACAACAACATACCCGCATGATCCACCACCGCACACAATAACGTCAACCTCGTCGGGGATAGTCATCTTGTCGTCAGGACTGGTATGCTTTGGAAGATTGGTTCAGTCACTCTCACCACAAGGGTCAAGATGAGGAAAACGTGTCAAGTCCCAGCAGAACGGCGACATATGTATAAGGATACAGCAGTCCCCGCACCGATCACGAGCTCTCTCGGAGAACAGGAACCCCACATCCCATCTGGTGGTCTACACGATCCTTGGAACCATGCCTCCCTTCTTGGGAACGAGTAGAAGGCTTCGCTGCAGGCGATCGACGTGAGAGACGGCCGTGTTACCTTGCTGGGCCACGCAATACCACTCGGCGGCTCGATAGACCGAAGGTGGCCATACAGAAGCCTGCCTCCGCGCTTCCACGTATAGGATACATGTTGGTTTGGCCGAATCAATTCACAGAGAGCTTGGAGAGCTACCCTGGCCGCATGAGTTTGAGGAGTAGGTGCCGGGATGCTGGAGATCGAGGTGTCCCTCATCTTTGCCATTTACTCTTCTGGAACGGATGCTTTATTTCAAATCTGCCTTGCTCGCGGACCGAGATGCTCTCTCCTACAAGGACTGGACTCATGCTGAGCACTCATGGCTCACCTACATAGTACCATTGACCACTGCGCATGGCTGAAGAAGGTTTAATGGCCGGAGGTTGGCACCGAAAAACGACCATCAAGGCATGCAAGTGGTCGCTGGCCAAGAGGGGAAGTGGGTCATGATGTGCCAGCGGCGCGGCAGCGGGAATGCCCTGCAGTAGGACTCGCCCTCTCGTCTGCTCTACAGCAAGGGCAGAAGTTGTAGACACTGCAGAGCTTGAGGTAGGCTTCCTCGCCATGCTACCCTTCTCCCTCCATAGCGAGTCTGCTCCTCGTACCGTTCTCATACGCTGAGCATCTCCTTCGGCACTGCCTCTTCCCTGCACTGCCGATCCAGCCTTAGACGCCGCAGTCTTGCATACCCCGAGCTCCAGCTGCTTCGCAAGGAAAGACGCCATGTGGTTCCTTGGCCCGCGCGGGTCCACTCCAGACCCCAGACCCGCGCTGCAGCTAAACGATAGCTCTTTGCGGGGAAAGGACTGCGGAGTCGCGGGAGTACGCAAGCTGGCCGGCTTCCGGGTATAGCTCGCTGCTGTTCAGCCTGAAGTGGGAGATATGGCGTCTATTCCTGGGTGAAAAGATAGCGAGCAGTGTTGGCGAGAAGGAATTGTTGCAGGCGGACATGCCGCGAGCGGGTTAGTTACTGCTGGAGAGGATGGGGACGGAGGAAAAAGCCTCAAAAGCGAGGTGGAGGTGGATCCTAACTATAACGCCTAGTTCTAGTTCTACGGCGAACCGTGCCGTCTCCGTTGTCGACTGCTAAACGGTTTCCGAGAAAAGCAAGTTCAAACTTCAGTGCAGACACCACCCCCGCCACGAGGCTATCAGCTCTGCTAAGGGAGCGTATGCCACTGCCCGTAAACAACCCCAGCGGCCGCCCAAGCACGAGTCAACCCAGAGGTAGGAGGCCATGTCCGCGTGCGCTGCACATGCAGTCAGCAACTGACGGAGCAAAGCTGCACCGAGCCCTTGCGCCCTCGTGCGTGCGTAGGATTTGCCCGGCAAGTGTTCCAAAACATGAACCGAAATGCACATTGCACTCTATAAGGTCCAGACTAGCATTTCTTCGCGAGTCCGAGCCGCTGGGTTCCTGATCAGCTCGCTCAGAAGCACGAGGTGTCAACACCTTGGGCCACCGCTTCTCTGACCCCGAGCAAGGTATCATGGAACTCAAACCAAACAACGCAGCGGCAATACGCATTCCAGCCTGAGACATTCAGTCGTCCAGTAAGTATGCAACAGTACAGACGCCTATTCGTCAGCAGAAGCAGGGCAAGCAGCAGCACATCTTCGAAAAGTGATACGTGTCCAGTAACGAACAAGTTATTTCCCATTTATCCAAACGACATTTCATATTACACAAACACGCCAGCTCGCTCAGTCTCGGTTCGTCACCCGTAAACTTCTTCGCGGGTGCAACATCACTCCGACAAACGTCGGCTCTCTCCCACCAAGCAAATCACTCTCAGTACTGCTCTCGTCACTACTCCTCCTCACCGAGCTATATCCGCCCGCTGCTGTATTCGAGCTCGTCTGCCCACCGCTGCCGGCCTGTGATGCGCCGTGGCTGCCGACGTGACTCGAGCCCTCCCCATTCGAACTCGCAAACAGCCCTGCGGGTGGCTTGGGGCGCTCTGATGAAGTCTTCGCGCTATCGCTCGTCCAGAGACCGGGTATCGCAGGTGGTTTCTCCCCTGCGGCCTGGCGTTGCGTCATTTCGACGTGCCGTTTGTAGAGGGCGAGTTGCTTGCGGTAGAGGAAGAGGCAGAAGAGGAGGTAGCAGATGAGGAGGAAGAGCAGGCCGCAGATGACGCCGACGACGATGGCGGCGATGTTGGGGCCGCCGCTTCCGTCATCATCGCTGGAGGTGGAGCCGCCCTTGCTGCCGCCAATGGCAGTTTCTGTGATCGTGGCTCCGTTGGAACCGGTGATGGTATAGGTGACTGGTGAGCCGGTCTTGAGAGGTCCGGCGGTAGCTGTTTGGATTGGTGTCGTGATGGTCGCGTGGCCGTCTTTGTCGCCGCCGATGACTGAAATTACTGCGTCTGGGACTTGGTAGCCGTACGACCCTTCCAGTCCACCAGGGTCTCCGCCCGAGGCCTTCTGGTTGCCTTGTTGGTTCAACGGGTTGTCGCTTGCGTCTTTGGCATTTGCGCTGAGCGCGGTGAATTGCTGGACCCATTGTAGGTTGCTCAGGTCGAAGACGTAAGTCGCTGGGTATTCGCAAGAGAGCTGGCCGCCGGTGTAGCCGCCCACCATGACCATTTGTGCATCCCAGACGTTGCAAGTGTGCCCACTTCTTCCGTCAGGTAGCGACTGTCCGCCTTGGTCTACCTGGATCCAGGTGAAGGTGGGGAGACTGAGGATCCACATGTCGTTGAATTGCGTTTGGTTGCCCGCCGGGATGAGGTTTTGGCCGCCTACAGATTATGGAGAGTCAGTGGAGTCCGAGTTCAAGTTGACAATCACGAGCTCACCAAACATGTAGATATTGTAGCTGCTACCATCTGCAGCCGCAGCGACGACTGCGCAAGGGTTCACGCGGATCTTGGGCGTTGGTCCAGAAGTGGACTGCAGGTACCACGAGCTCTTCGCGATATCATACACGTTCAGCACATTCATTTGTGTCTGGAGGCTCGTTAGCATTCGACCTACAACGCAGGGGTGTTGGGATCACGTACAAACGTTGTATTAGTCCCGCCAGCCAAAGCCAACAAGATCCCTTGGTCGCCAAATCCTGGCACGTAGATGAGTAGTCCATCGGCACGCCGGGTGAAGCCAGCAGTGTCTTGCAGACCAGCATTGGTGATGTTGCGGTATACGCCGTCAGAGCCCGCGGTATCATCGCCGGACAGAGAACTGACCTGGGGATTGGCGTACCCTGGGAAGGTGTACTCCAACAATGACTGCAGGTAGAGTCGCCAGACACTCACGTCCCAGCCAGGCGTAGTGTACGCATCGAGATGGCCGCCAAAGTAGAACCCTCTACCAAGGGACGGTACGCTGACACCAGCACCTTCTGCCGATCTCTGCACAGGCTCGCCTTCATCGGTGGCACTCTTGCCACTAGAAGTCTCTGGGTTGCTATGTTCGGTCCACGAAGAGTCTGCGATGTCGTATTCCCAGAGTGAGAACGGCTCAGGTTCGACTGGTGGCTTCCAGGAGAATTGGCCACCATAAAGGTACAGCGAATCGTACGAGTTCCACAAGTATCCCAACGCGACATCCGGTGGACCTGACGGCCTGGGTAGACCTGTCAAGGAGGGCGTGCTGATCTGCCAGTCTTTCGTAAGGTCAATGGTAAGGAAGTCGTTGTTCCAAGTATTTGATGTCTGTCCATCCTCGGTGGTAGCTTCACCGCCGTACAGATAGAGGGTACCGTTCACGATCGCAGCTGGGGTCTCGTCAGTATAGAGTTTGGCCGGACCATGAGCGTGCCGACCTACATTGTTGCGCCCATTTGAAACACCAGTCTGTCGGCGTGTCTGCTCTTTTGTCCAAATCGAACACTTTTGGCGACACCGCCTTTTCTGGTATGGGCCCTCCACTGACACCTTGAATCGGCAGAGCCGACCTGTGCCCTTCTATGAATCCTCGTGGCAGCAAGGGTACCGCCGCCGCTATCAACAGCACGCAGACCCCGATGCGATACATAGTGGTGTTCGCGAAGCTGGGGAGAGGCGACTGGCTGACTCTTGCAGGTGGAACCGTCGACGTGTGTTCTGCCCTTTGAAAATGGTCGCGCTCTGCTACCGGCGCATGATCGTCGTCGTGGTATTGCTCGAACACGTGTATCTCGTCCTTGCTCCTGAACCGCACGCTCTGCGGGCGCTCCTTTCTAACCGAGCCGGGTTGCGGTGAAGGCAGGCTATCGTCGCTCTCCAGACCTACTTCGCGGAAGATGGAGGCTCGTCGGCGGGAATCGTTTGCCATCAGCAACAGGAAATGAGACCATTAGTCTATAATAATGCCAGCGCATGCCAAAGTGATATGGGGGTAAACTAATCGAATGGAGACAAACGAGAGGACGTCGCGTTACGTCAAGATGTCCAAGCGCGGGTGAATGGTCAGACGAGAGTGATAGACAAGCGAGTTATAGGACAGGGTTAGGAAGTTGCTGCCGTGGGAGCGAGGGTGGCAGTGGCACATCGATGCAGGAACGAGGTCGTGTGTCCAATGCTGTGATCCTTTTCGGAGGTGAGCGCGCTGCCAGGGCGGTTGTCTTGTGAAACTGTTGTATACCATTTTCATATACTTTCGACGGCGTTCTCGTTCTCCAGACACTCTATTTCGACGGCTCGTACGCTGCTCGATGGTGACGTTGCCCCGTTGCACAAGCGTTGCGACAAGGAGAACGAGCCATTCCCTCTTCGGAGCGACGAACGCCACCGAGTCTGTCGCCCGCATGATGATCGCCAACGGGATGTCACTCTGCCGATGCAGCTTTTTGGAGATCGACCAGTGGAAACAATCTGGGCGGCAGACCGACCATATTGGACGGAGTATCTTCCGAGTCTATAGATACGCAGCTATTGCATATCATCCTTATCACGCGTATCGCACATGGCTTGAATCGACAGATAGTTCTTGACAGCACCCGACTGCCTTTATTCTGGCCTCTTCAATGTCTCCGGCTCGTTCTGCAACAACTGAACAACTCTCCTCCCATCTTCCCAGGTCAACCTCACGCCAACCTTCAACCCGTCAATAACCAGAAACAGTTCCTTCCTACCGTCCTCAAACACCTCTACAGGCGCAGCAGCAGGCTTCAACTTCATCGGCTGCATTTGACGGTACTGCCAGGCTGGTCCATCTTTACCAACGAGATGCCAGTCACTACCCCAGTCTCCAACCCAGTCCTTCCACGCCTCATCTACCGGAGTGCCTTCAGGAGCAGCGTACGGAGCGTAATCATCCTTCCCGTAACCCGAAGGCAGCATCTTGAACCGCTCCCAACCCTTGAGGTAGTAGATCGCGCTCACAATCTTTTTGATGGCGACATCGTGACCAAGGACAGAGTTCACCATGACAGCCACTCCGTTGCGCGGCTGTACAGAACCGCCTGGATGGTTGATCCCACCGTGAGAGGCAAATACGTAGGCAGTGTATCCAGGCCAGTTGTCTCCGGCATGGGCGAAGGCCTGATCCCCAACAGGCCAGCCGAGTCCCATTCCACCCAGCATCGACGACTCGTAGACCGACGTGAGCATCTTCTTAGCCGTTTCTTGCGACACAAATCCGGTATCAGTGTAGATCGAGTCCTGTACAGCTGATACCGCCCTGAGCAGGTCCGATGGTGTGCACCACAGCCCCGCAGCCGCATGCTCGATGAAGCGGTGGTACTTTGCGTCGCCTGGGAAGGAGACCTCGGCAGTCCACCGCGCTGACGCATAGTTCGTCTCTCCAGCTGCGATGTCTCCATACCAGGAGCGAGTCATGCCCAGAGGCTTCAGGACGATTTTGTCCATGATTTCGGGAAAGGACTTCTCCAGCAAGGCTTCGAGGAAGAGTTGCAGGACTGTGTAACCTCCCCCGGAGTACTTGAACTGAGCGCCTGGGAAGGTGATGAAGTGCATCTTGGGGGTGTTGGAGGGTGGCTGGCCGACTAGTACGTCTTCCGCAGACGGCGGCTCGCTGAGGTATCCTGGGAAGCCGTGTTGGGAGAGGCCTGCTGTGTGGGAGAGGAGCATGCTGACGGTGACGTGCTGCATCAGGTGTGATGTTTTGGAATCGACTATGCAGTCTATGCTGGATTGCGGAAGGTGGTCGACGACTGGGGTGTCGTACGAGATTCGACCTTCGTCGACAAGCTTTGCTACTGCGAGGGCGGTGATGGCTTTCGAGATGCTGCATGCTTGGTACACGGTCTCTGTGTTCTCCTGACCATTGGTGATGACGTGTGCGGAGATCTTGCCATCCTCGAGTATGGCCACAGAGGCCGAAGGAACACCAGCTGTATTGAGCTGGTTGGGGGAGACGATAGACTTTTCAAGTTGTTGAAGGATGTTCATTTTGCAACTCAGGTCGGAGGGATAATGAGAAAAGGGTAGATGGACGAGATAGCAGACACCTACCGTAGCTTTTATACACGTCCACCTACACTTACCTGTTGTCTTCGGTGTGCATACAGCATACGTGGTTATTAGGACCGAAGGTCGACGGCTGAACTCCGATTGTCTTCGGAGCTCGGTCGAGCTGGACAACAACGTAGGTCGATCCATTCGGACCACATTGAACAATGCGAACGTGAGGTGTTGATGAGAGGACTGAGAGAGAGGTGATGAGGAAGAAGTCTCGAGGAAGTACGTCGTTCGCTAGGAGAGAATCGTCTCACCTCAACCTGCGACACTCGGCCCTGAGACTTATTGGCAGTTGGCGTTTCTCACGTTTCTGGAAGGACGTTGGCGGCCAATGCACGCGTCGATCGCATCTGTGACACCATCCTGCATGACAATTGTTTGTGGATTACGCTCACGAGATTGAGACGTGTCGAGGGGTTGTTCGTTAAAGTGCCATTCAAGCTGGAGAAGCATCCTGAAGACAACACAGCGTTGTACATGGTATTTGAGACTCTGAGCAGCAGTACGGGAGGATCATCATCAGAGTCAACTTGGTGGACTCGTGGAGGCAGCAACCTGTAGGAGCCGGTTGTTTACCTACTTTGGCTGACTCGAAGACTGCCAGTCGTGTCCATATACGCTGAGCCAATCTTCGCCCTTCCTCGCGATCAAGAATACCAGAGCTCGAAGGTTGATCCTACTACAGCTATTGCCGCGAACGACGCTCTCACCGGTCACTCAGCCTTATTGTCTTGTCAGGAGCACGAGTACCAGGAAGTTTGTGAGAACGGTACAGAAATCGCCGGCAAGGCCGTTGGAACAACTGCATGAAAGAAGAAGGGGCATTGGTCGGCAAGGCTGGGTAGACTGTCATGCCCTCAGGCGGCGTGCGGCTCTCTGGGGGACCAGTCTTGTCAGAAGCAGAAGTGTCGTTCCCAGAGAGCGACGCTTCCTCCATCATCAGCATATCCGATCGCTTCGCACCATCAGACACTGAAGAAGAGAATGGACTACACGACAAGCAGAAATACCGCCTATTGGAGCCTGGCAACAAAACGAGATTAAATCTGCGAACAAAGGAGCCATTGCCCCCGAACCCGAGATCTGTACCGCCTTCACCACCGCGAAAGCAGACAAACACATCGGCTCCATCCACGCCACGCACGATGCGTTCGAGCACACAACAGCAGAGCCCATTGCGCGCTTCGCACAGACCTACAAACGGCAGCAGCGAGAACGTTAGCGACAGTGACTTCGCCAGCTCCGGCCTGTCTCGTGCAGGATCTATCTACACCCTTGGTAGGGCCAGCTTGCAGGGCCAACTAGCTCATCTCACCTCTCTGCGACTGCCAGACGCCAGCTCTCTCGCGAAGAAGATCTCCGATATACCTTCTTCAACGGACGCAGCGAAGGCACTGTCTGATGCCTCGGACCAGATACGGTTGTGGATCGCGAAGGCGACAGACGTGCTGAATGGGCTCAACGCTGAGGATGACGTAGAGTGGGCAGCGGCAGGCGGAAGAGAAGGCATTGAGGATGTGGACGCAGCGATTACGCGGTTTCAAAGATTGATCGATGTCTACCTGATATCGATCGAGGAGCTGCAGACCCGGAAAGATGTCTCAGAGCTACCAGCTGACGAGTTGAGAGCAACGGTCAAGCAGATGGAGGGCATACTCTCAAGCTGGCAAAAAGTCAAATCAACACTGGGTGGCGTGAAAGGGCAAGTGGAGGTCGCGTTGGAATGGGAAGAGCTGTGGAATACCGTGCTGGGCGAGATCGGTCAGGAGATGGATGGCTTGAACCGGCTTGTCTTCGAGATGGAGGAGAAGAGACATGAAGGCACTGGGAGTCTGTTGAGCTCAAGAGACAGCATTGATCTGCACGAGCTTGAGACGATCATAGAGGAGAGGCCTGGGAAGGGCGCACCTCTGAACAACCACCGCCTAAGCTTGCCGACGTTTTCGCCAAGTTCACCGAATGAGTCGAGAGAAGATTCGAGCTTGCTAGCTCTCTTCGCAAGGATGCAGCCTCTGAGAGCATCTCTGGACTTCCTGCCTATGCGGCTTGCGACATTCCAGATACGTGGCCATCCTATCTTTCCTTCAGCATGCGAGGACCTACACCAGCGAAGAGAGCATCTCGAGGAAGAGTGGAAGAGGCTGGAATCGGATGCGGAGTCCCTACGGCGAGAGCTTGGTGAGGACCGGTGGATTTTGGTCTTCAGAAACGCAGGACGGCAAGCGCTCAAGATGGAGGAGTCGATCACGCGGAGTTTCAACAAACTCAAGGATGCTGTCGCCGAGGGCGAGCAGCAGAACGATGGGCCGTCTTTCACCAAGAAGGCCGAGAACTACGAAGCGAAGAAGACGCATTATGGTCCTGCCATCGAGCGAGTACTGGCGATCATAGATCGTGGTGTGCAGGACAGACTCACTGTTAATGGCGAGATCTTGAGATTGCAGATTGACATGAAGGCGCGCTGGACCGCTCTACAAGCTGAGATGCAAGACATGGACTCGGTACTGGAGGAGATCTGCTCTGAGACCCGTGACAAGCAGCTCCGAGACTCGGTCTCAACTGTCATGTCGAGCGAGCGGTCTTTGGCAAGCAGTCTTATGGAGACTCCTGGCAGCTCACCGGCGAGCAGTGTTGCCGGTACAAGTCGAAAGAGCAGCTTCCACGGCTCGAGGACACCGACACCTCTCAACGTCCCGAAAGCACGCAAGCCTTCCAGCGGCCGAGCAGGACCTTCGTCCATCCCCAGGCGGATCCCGCTCACGCAATCTCGAGACTCGACGCCTAGCCCTTACTCATCTCCTTTGGCTGCCCGCTCGATCGGCAACATCTCTATCTCCACGACCAAGACCGATCTTCCTGTGTCCAACCGACCTCGTTGGCATCAAGCGATGAAGGCGGAGAGCCGTGACTTCCGCCCTCTGTCCGCGTTCGAGCCTTCGCCGTATGCGAAGGGACCGGTTGTTAAGCAGACGAACTTCCTACGTGCGTCGTCTGCGCAGACGCCGGCGCCGTCTTCTTCTCGCCTACCGCAATCTCGAATGACGCCCAGCCGAAACTTCTCCACTCCGAATCCACCTCGGACACAATCTCGACTGCCGGCAACTGTGCCCAGGGTTACCAGCGTAAACGACACCGGCCGAAAGTCATGCCTACCCGTTCCCGTGAGCACGCTGCCCCAACCACGGCCCTCTGCAACCAGGGCTGCTAGTGCATTGGCCAGCTGCACTCCTCCCAGCCGCCTCAAGACGCCTTCGTCTGTCCCGCATTCGCGGCGGCGTAGCCTGCTCTCGCAACCGCCTCTGCCACTTAATGATGGCAATGAGGCCGACAACGAGAGCCCGCTGCATCACAAGGTCAGGCCGCCAAGTGCGTTGTCTTCGGGGAGGCGGAGTAGTATGCTGCCGATGCGAGGCAAAGGCACGGCGACGGCTGCTGGGGCTCAGGATGAGAGGCCAAAGTGGAGGTAGATGTTGAGGGGAAAGGCTGCTGCTGGGTGGTGGCTTGTATTAAGAGCATGTTTAGCGTTGCACATTCGGCACTGTGCACTGTAGACATCACGTAGCTAAGAATGCATGATTATGAAAGCACACTCACGGAACCTGAAGACACGATGTCGAGCATGTTGGTCACGTGCTTACGTTCGGCCACTCCCGCGCACTAGTGTTTGTCCGACTTCAAGCCAGACATCTCAATCAAACAAATCTTTTTGACACCAGTTCCATCAACACATCTTTGTCGAAGAAGCAAAGATGTCTCGCGGAGGAAGCTCGACGCTCTACGTCACCGGCTTTGGCCAAGGTACGCGTGCTCGCGACCTCGCGTATGAGTTTGAGAGGTACGTTTGATCTTTGTTTCTTGTCCCTGAGACCTATGCCATTGCATGAAGACAAGGGCATGGGCAGCCTATGTGACCGAGCGGAGCGTGACAGCCAACTCCGCAAGGTCTTACTCGGCGCAGTCGTACAGATCGATTTGGAGAGGGCTAAGCAGAAGGTCAAATCGTGAAGCTAACATGATGTTGCAGATACGGACGTCTGGTTCGCTGCGACATCCCAGCACCACGCACTGCTAGTAGCAGACTGTACGTATACACTCCTTCCGATCACGCTGCTGTTGTATACTGACGCTTTGTAGCTTCGCATTCGTCGAGTACGAGAGCCGCCGTGATGCCGATGACGCCTACCACGAGATGCATAACAAGCGTATCGGGCGTGACGACTTGCTGAAGATCGAAGTGAGACAGCCCATCTACATACTTGAGAGAAGGAACGCAGGCTAACACGTTCATAGTGGGCTCGTACTCCACCATCCGCGAGCTGGCGCTTCGATGCCGGTGCCGGCCGCCCACCGCGCGGTGGTCGGGACCGCTCTCCGCGTCGCCGCTCCGCCACTCCACCACGTCGCCGTGACGATGATCGTGACCCACCAAGAGAGAGGGACTACGACAGGGAATACGAGCGTGACCGTGGAGACCGCCGCGACCGTCGGGAGAGGGACCGCACCCGCAGCCCGGAAGACCGTGACATGAAGGATAGGGACCGCGATGACGATCGTGTGCGCGAGCGTGAGCGCGGTGCCGACTACGAGCGCGAGAATGGCGCGAACGGCGACGACCGCAAAGGTGAGCAACACGACTTCTACGACCTTCCCTACCGGCAGCACTGATTCTCGTCCTCAGAGCGCGACGAAGCTCCACCGGTTCACGACGACCTTGACACTGTCGAGTAAGGGCAAGCAGAGTCAAGAGCATCGTCTGATGGGCTGGAGTCACAGGCAAGCAAATCGACATGTGTTGTGTCAGCTAACATGTATAACACTACGTGTGCGGGAAGAAGATGATGTGCGGGCAAACTTCAGAATGTGAACAGAGAGGCTACTGATATTGAAGGCGGATATGGCAGACTCGAGCGGCACGGTCGAAGCGAACGAAGCGGACGAAGCGACCGATCGATAGCACGTACCTGTCACTACCCCCACCCCCTCGATTCTACTCCCCAGCGATCGTCGTTCGAACGGATCGGACACCTCCCCCCACGCCGTCGTCGTCCCCCTCACACCCTCCCCGAACGTCGCCGCCGGTGCCTAATCTGTGATTACCCAGTGATGCTAGCTCAGGCTTTGAGCCTACGGTGAGGCGGTTTCATTTCCTAGTCTCAAGTTTATTTGCGTCTCCGCGTGTCGGGTTATTTCGTTCAATACCGTGGGTCACAGGACGATTACCCGGTCTATTGTGGTATGTAGCAGTGCGAAGAAGACTAAATTGTCAATATTCTATATCATCTCACCGGACCCGTTCTATCCAATTTGTCCGGCCCAAGTACTGCATTCGTAGGTCCCCTATCTCCGAAATCATGGTCATCGTCATCTCCTGCTATCGCAAACTGCTCGCTGTCTCTTCGTAACAGTGCACTCGTGCTGTCTACCACTCCAGCGCTTTCTGCACCCCTCTCAGCCTTTATCTGCTCTGTCCGAGCTGAAGATCCGTCCTGTACGCCGTGCGCTTCTTTTCCGGCATCGCTCCTCATCTTTGTATACTTGAGCACGTTGTACGCTGCAATGCTCAAGATCGTTACTATCAATCCCGAAACATTGATCGGACTCAGCTCGTCCCCGAAAGCGATGCCAGCTGCGCTGATGGTCAGGACTTCTTTGAAGATGCCGCAAACGCTCAGTGTGACGACTGACGTTCGCTTGAGTAGTGCGAACTCGGCGCTGACCATCAGGAATGCCAGGAACCCGGGGAATAGAAGGAGGCAGAAGGAGTAGAAACCTCCGGAACTGGCGGCTAGCTCTTTGATGCCTTCGATGACGTTCGCCGGGCCTTCGATCGGTATCGCGAGGATGAAGAGAGCGAAGAACATCACTGGCGTAAGGAAGAAGATGCTGCTGAACGGGTTACTCGTCGCCGGGTTCCTCAGCAGCATGATTTGCGTCAAACTCCAACGGAATCCGGAGCAAAGGCTCGCCGTCATGACCAGCACGAATCCCAACGCGCTGAACGCTGTCTCGCCAGCTACCATCATGACAACGCCCAGGGTCATGAAGAGGATGATCGTGCAGAGCCTCCAGGTTGGCGACTCGAGCCGGAAGACGAAGGCGAACGCCAACACGAATATGAGCACGCTGGACTTGCACATTGTGAAGAAGGTCAGGCTAATGAAGCGGAGACTGAAGTTACCGAGGCCGATGTCGAGCGCGGTCGCGGTGCCGCATGGTCCGATGCGGGTCGCGTAGAAGGTCTTGGTCATGAGGGGTTTGTTAGAAGGTGGTTTTGAGTCGTGGTCGGCGGAAGCCTCGGCATAATCCGTGTCGTCAAGTTGGCGGTACGATGGGTTGTGGGGGTTTACTGTTGGGTCGGCGCCAGGTCGGAAGCGAGGGACGAAGTAGAGGACGGCGGAGGAAAGGGTGAATTGGACGAGCATGTGCATGCTGGTTACGAAGAGCGGGTAGTGGAAGTCCAGGTTCTCGGAGGAGAACATCCATTTGTTGTAGACACTGATTGATATGCTGAAGCTGTACCAGAGAGCGATGAGGAAGGCGTTTATCATGAGGTTCCTCAGGACGATTGGCGAGAGTACCTTTTTTGCGGTTGCTGTTGGATCCGCATGCCCTGTACTGCCGGCGCCTGCGGGTGTACTGTCTGAATGTTCTTGCTGCCTCCAACTCTTCTGCGCGCCATTTGTTAAAGATGTGTTGGCTTCGTCGTTGGGGCGCATGTAGTCTTCCATCTCGAGGGTGTCGTCGCTCGTAAGCCGTTCCATTTCCTCGCCATGACTGCTATCCGAGCTCTGTCGTGGTGTGCTTTCTCTGCCATGGCTTATAGCGCTGCCCTCCATCGTGAAGTTCACCGCTCCCTTTGGGCTTTCCTCATATATGTCCGTGGTCGACAACCGTTCGAGGCCGATTGGGTCCCTTTGCCGTCAGCTGAGATCCTGCGGTTACCCCTGGCGCCCCTGGCGAGGCTGGCGATGGTACGTAGGCGTCCAGCTTCTTGTACCGGCCAAAAAGAACGATGAGTGCTTGGCAAGCTGGTAAATCAAGGTCGTCTCGTCTGTCAGAGGGACCTTCGGAGGAGGTGGTTGTATCTTAGTGCTCCCTTAGTGCCCGCCGGCTCGGCGAGAGGAATTAAGCTTAAATTTGGACCCTGGAACATCTCGAAAACTTCTTGACCGGGCACGACACGCTACAATCGCTACAATCATTACAATCATGGCGAAGAACAAGCGGCCTCGGGAGGAGCCGGCAGATCAGGAGATTGATGGGAATGACGTGCACCCAGCGCGCCAGAAACGGCTCAAGCGCACCAAGGACGATGCAGAACTGGCCACCATCTACGAGGAACTTTCAAACGAAGTCCAGGAAGTACGGAACAGAGCAGCCGCCAGGCTACTCAAATCAATCACCAAGGACTCGAATGCTTTAGATGAGCGGCTTGATGCAGCTGAGAAACGGCTTATACGAGGTCTCTGCTCTGGTCGCCGAGCTGCGAGATTAGGCTTCTCTGTCACGCTCGCGGAAGTCTTTCGGCTCAGGTTGCGGCATACTGCAGAAGCCGCCGAAGGCATATCGCTCTCCTCGACACTCTCAAACATTGCCAAGTTCACTCAGGCCGAGGGTAACGTCGGTGGCCAGGAGAGGAGAGATCATCTGCTGGGTCGCCGCTTCGCATACCAAGCAGTGCTGCAGAGCGACGTTGCCCTGGAGGAGAACCTGAAGGCACCTCAGTGGAGTGCTTTGCTGAACGCCATCTTTGACTTCGCGAACGAGAAAGCATGGCTGCGAAGGGAGGTCGGGAGCATGCTTCACGATTACCTTTCGAGCCCAAGCGGATCGAAATTGTCACCTGCCTCTGTGTCCATGTTGATGGAAACAGCTGGTCGCAAGAAGCTTCTGAGGACGCCGGAAGGGGTCGGGCTATGGCTCGTAGTCCGACAGCAATTCCCTGCCGCCGAAACGCCCTCGAAGATTTGGCACCGTAACGATCCCCTCTCCAGCAAAGAGCACCAAAATCTTGCGAAGATCATGCTGGAACACTCTGCTGATGATGAACCTACGCACAAGCGGCCTGGATCACGCCAATCGATTCCTTCTTTCGCCTGGACGATGGTTCTGCAGCAGCTGAGTGACAAGCGTAATGCATCTCGGGTTCAGCAGTTTTGGGAATACTTCGTCTCGATGGTTTTCTCAGCGTCTTCTTCCACAGAGCGGAAAGCACTCGGTCTACAGATCTTCTCACTGGCCGTCTCAGACGTGTCTGCCGCGAAGCTATCGGCTGTCTTCGACACTAGGGTCTTACGATGCGTTCTGGATCAACGCGCAAAAGCTGATAATCACCTGTTCGAAGCGGCGAAGCTTTCGCTGGATGCTATGGTCGCCCGTGCGAAGCAAGAGCCGACTTGCGCTGGCGTTCTCGTTTCTGAGATCATCGACAAAGCAGCAATCAATTTCGACCAACTCAGCAAGACGAAGACCGTCGAGTCAATCGTTGCCTTTGCCGATAATATCTCTCTGAAGGCATTGATCGAGAAGACACGAAAAACATGCTTGAGCAGTGTACGACGCGAAGAATCCGAAGTCGACTTCCAGCTTCGAGGCTATGCAGACTTGCTTCTCACAATGGTCCGCACGCACAAGGATGCCGGAGCTGATTTGACCATGGGTACTCAAGAGATAAAACTCAAGGAGGATTGGACATGGCTTGAGGAGTTGCTCCGGTTCTTGTCCTTCTATGCTTTTCACGACAAGGATGTGGGACCGATCTTCCAGCCCAGACTAATGTCGATTCTCAGCCTTCTCATGCATGGTCCTCTTCAACAAGCACTGCAAGCGCCAGTCATTGTCGTGCAACCAATACGACTTGACGGAAATGCCTTGAACCAGTTGAAAGGCCCGGCCGCAGATGCGGTAGAGAAGGCGTGGAAATGCTTCGACAAGATGTACCGCTACGAGCCTGGCACCAGAAAAGTGCTGCAGCCAGGCAACGAAGCTTTTGCTTTACTCTTCGCCCTGTCTATCTTGCAATGCTTCAGACACGAGCCTGACGCAGCTGCCGCTCTCGAAGACTTGATCAACTGCTATCAGGTGAAAGATTCGACGACGAACGTCACCGCGATGATCATTGAGCTGCTACTGAGCTTCATCTCAAAGCCTTCAGCACTCTTCCGAAAGCTTGCGGAGCAGGTCTTCACTGTGTTTGCACCGGAGCTTACGGCAGACAGCCTACAGTCTCTTATTGACATTCTAGGTCAGAAAGAGAGCTTGAGTGGTCAGCAGGAGCTGTTTGACGCACACGGAGACGATGACGAGGATGGAGCGGATGGAGAGGAGGAGTCCGAATCTGGTGACCATGACTTCGAGGCAATCGATGTAGAGGACGCATCTGATGTCGAACTTGTCAACGGCGAAGAAGCTTCCGCCTCTGGCTCAAACAACGATGATGACAGCGAGGACGATGAGTCCGCATCGGACGCCGCAGATGGCGCCACCAACGGGGTCGAAGACGAAGAAGCTGCTTTCGACAGAAAGCTAGCCGAAGCACTTGGTACTGGCCGAGCAGAAGATGAAGACTCCGACGAAGATGGCTCTGACATGGACGACGAGCAGATGATGGCGCTGGAACCACATCTGACCACCATCTTCAAGGAGCGCCAGAAGAACACCAGCAAGAAGCAAGAGAAGAAAGATGCCAAAGAGAACATTGTCAACTTCAAGAATCGTGTTCTCGATCTCCTGGCCATCTTCGTGAAGACGCAGTACGCTGAAGTGCTGACGCTAGACCTTATCTTGCCTCTGACGAATCTTGTCCGCACGACGACCAACAAGCAGACGGCTGAGAAGGCTTTTGCGGTGCTGAAGCAGTACTTCGATGCTTGCAGCAAGAACAAGAAGCTGCCGCAGCCTGAGGATGATGATGCTGTCTTCATGGTTTTGGAGGCGGTTCATGACGAGATGAAGTTGGGTGGCTCGAAATTACATGCCAATGCTTGCAGTCGTTCGAGTCTCTTCTTGGCGAAGGTGCTGGTGGCAGAAGATCCGGGCCACTATGAGCGGGTGGCTTCGATGTATGCGAAGTTGATGTCGGAGTGGTGGCAAGATCCGACAAGCAAGGTGCAGCCGAGTGTGTTCACGGAGTGGACGAGCTGGTCGATCACGACGAGGAAGCGAGGTTGATGAATAAGAGACTGGTGGTGACAAGTGCTGTGATGGCCTTCAGGGTATATACATCCTGCTATGTGCTCAATCTTAGGCTCATAACGCCAACTTCAAGGAAACGCTAAATCCACATGAAACGATCAGACCACTTTCCAACACTGTCTTACGCAGTCGCCGCGGTCGGCGCATCAGCCGGCAGCTTCTCGATCTCAATCTTTGGCATGGCTGCGCCAGTACCGCCCAAATCGGTCGCCTTGGCTTTGGGGTTCTTGGTGTAGTAGTTCGTGATGGCGGACTTGATAGCGTCCTCCGCAAGCATCGAGCAGTGCACTGTGTCATCGATTAGCATCTACTCATCATATCAAATCTCTCTGTTGCAGGACTTACACTTGACCGGCGGCAGCGACAACTCCTTGGCAATCTCCGTATTCCTGATCCGCCCCGCCTGCTCCAATGTCATCCCCCTCACCAGTTCAGTCAAATACGAACTACTCGCAATCGCCGACCCGCACCCGAACGTCTTGAACTTGACGTCCGTGATGGTGTCGTTGTCCGGGTCGACCTTGATCTGCAGCTTCATCACGTCGCCACATGCCGGAGCGCCGACGAGCCCCGTGCCGACGTCGGCTTCGTTCTTGCCCATGCTGCCGACGTTGCGCGGGTTGTTGTAGTGGTCGAGGACTTTTTCGTGGTAGGCGCGGCGTTGCGGGAGGCCATGCTGGATGGTTGGTGTGGTTGCGCGGGCGAAGGAGGGGGCGGTGGTGCGGGAGGCGGTGGTGAGAGCGCGGGCGGCTTGGGTTGGGAGAGTGGCGGCGGCTCGTTTGAACATTGTGGCGGTTTTCTGGTGTCGTGTGGTGGGTATCGTTGATGGTTTGGGTTGTGGTTGATGGTAGTTGTGGGTGTGAGAGTGTTTCGTAGGAATCTGAAGTCTGATGAACATTCGAGCAAGCTATGACGCTGAAGGAGGGTCCGGACTTTCCTTTGTCCGTGGACATCATCACGTGCAGTACCTTGGCGATCTTATCACGTGCATTCGTAATCTGACTTCTCCTAGCGCGTCTCATGGCGCGTCTCAGAGCTCTGCAACACGTCGTCGGAGTAAACAATCCCAGCACAACATCAACCCACTCCATTCGCTACAACCAGGGCGCACAGACGGGTTGCGCAAGACAAGGTTAACCTTGATCTGCTCCACTAGCGACTGCGCCATTGTCGTCAATTTGCCTTGCGGCGGTTAGGACGGCGACTACGGATTCTTGCTTGTCCTTCTTGGGCGTGGGAGCGTGGGCTGCCGAGGGGCCAGATGCTCTCTCAGCTGTCTATCTGCGAGCAGGCGCTGAGGGTAAGCTGAGTGAAGGAGATGTACTGTAATCATGGGATTGGAGAGGGGTTGTTCGGGTTGTTTGTTGATGGCAGTCAGCAAAAGGAAAGAGAACTTGACTGTGGCTGTTCGAGCTGTCCCACGCCTCCTACTCGAAGCCCGGTTTGGAGGATTGCTAGCTGCTTGTTTGGTGCATTGCTCTGGGTCCAACCGTACGATATGACGTAGAAGCGGCTCTCATCGACGATGTGGTAGCAGCAGCCACGCGAGTCTTGACTCGAGTGCCGTTACTGAGACAGAGAAGGATTTGGGGCACGAGGATAAGCTGCCGCAGAAGCCTCACAGACCAGCTGTTGCGAAGGACAGTCCGAGGCTCCACCTTCTCCAGCGCCTACTCTGGCCAATAGAGGAGCGTAAAGTGAACTCTTGCTGTCTGCGGACAAGACCCCGAGGCTCTCCGGCAGTCGAAAAGGTAAGTGGGAGGTGGAGAGGACGGGATGGAGGCGCTGAGCAGGATTTGATTAGACTTTGATGACAACGGCGTGGGAGTGCTGAATCGGGGCAGTCCAGCACCCGTCCCACGATAAGGCTGAACGGGCGGTGGCGAGTGCTCGTGGGAGACGTGTTTGATGAGAAAAGGGCAAACCTATTGCTAGAAGAAGAACAGCTCCTTGTGCTCCTGTGTCAGGATAGTGGCACGAAAGCACGTGAGAAGGGCGGACCTTGCAGCGATCAGAAGCAATTCTCCGGCCAGGCCTCTCGTTGGTCGAGCAGCTTCGCACCGGTGCAAGCAAGGAATGTGCACTTGTTCTGAGCGCCGTCCGCAGTTGATGCTCCGCCAAATCGTCGATGCGCGATGCCCACATCCTGCTTCGACGGGAAGGGATCGTCATCGCGAGTTTCTACCGCTGCTGTTATTAACTGGTCAAACATTGGTTTGTCGAGGCGTGAGAAGGCGTGATTCGTCGCATTTGTCGCTGTAGAAGCGCGCAATTAGAAGTTGTGCCTTGTTCATCCGACTCTCGCTTGGCCCGTCTGGTCGGAGTGCAGTGCAGCGCGTCCTCCCGCCGTTGCACGCTCAGCAGCCAAAGCGGGGATTGCACCTTCCCGGGCAACGAAGCTAGAGGTATCCTGCCATACCACCAAACTCGTCCCTCTTCACCTGCTCTGCTCTCCTCCTTCCCTACTCCTTCTCTCCACCAGAAGGCAGTCGTCCTCCTGCCCTATCCCTCCCGCCGTGCGTCCTGGAGCTTGCCATCCCAACATCGCCCCTCGACAGTCGCTCGCTAGCCCCCAATCGAGACCACAGCGATGTCCAGCACCAGACAGTAGCACCAGCAACGCTCCTTGACGACACCCCCTCTTGGACTTGAACGGGCATATACCCCGGCATCACATCGCAGCAGGAGCCATTGGACCCGTGGTATCCTCAGCCAAGCCGTATCTAGCTCTCCAGGGTCATCGCCATTGTTTCACACACCACGACAGCACACAGCACCACCCAGGATATTCGAACACAAGGAGATCATAATTCTACAACATCTCGATATCGTACAACATGGAATACTCCTCCCCACTGGCTGCCATGCGGCCTCAGCCTCACGTCGGATGGGGTCATGGAAAAGACCTCCCGATCCCGCGGTCATCCTACCACGGCTTCCAGACCTACGGCCCCAACAGCTTCAACTTCAAGGACCTCAGCATGCAGCAGAGGCCGGCGAAGCAAGACTACTTCACCCTCAAGCCTGTGCGAGGCTCATCTCCCACCTCGAGCCTGACTGCGGATCTAGATGCGAACTTCCATATCGACAAAAGGTGATCCGCATTCCTCGCTTGGCAGATCCCGTGAACTGTGCTCACAATTGTTCTAGTCCGCAAGCACCCACACCTAGAAGATCGCTCTTCACGGCGGACCTGTTCAAGCCTCGAGATGACGCTGGTGAGTGGTGTCGTGTCGTGACTTGGGTGAAGGTGTTCGTACTGACGTACAGCAAGGACGACTGATGACTCCGCCGATCGAGGTGGACGAGGTAACCACTCCTGACATCCCTTCGTCCTCGCCTTGTCTCGACGCCATGGACATCTCGCCGCTGCCACACAAGGCGCCTCACTTTGTCGCTCAGGTGTCACTTCCTTCCCCAACGCCGGAACCCACGCCAGGGCTCGACGCTCTTATCTCACCAGATCTGCTTTCACCAAACGACCAGCCAATCCCACAGGCGTTTCCACAGGCGTTTCCGAGTGTGCCAGAACCCTTGTCATTCACTCAGATCTCAGAGTAAGTCTGCAATTCACCCGTCTCTTGCTACACCCGCTAATCATTCACCAGACGCAGACGTCCAGCCACGCGACCCTCGCTGTCCAAACAAAAAGCGTACTCTTCCAACTACGTGCCACAACAAATATCCACCACCGAGACGCAACTGCCACCTTTTCGCTTCGGTAATGTGGCCAACAATGGCCTATCATGCTCATCGACGCCCAGCCTGCTAGGGAGCTTCACGGAGTCGCCAGTCGACGATCTGAGGTCGGATTCTGCACAAAAGATGCCGCCTCCACCACCACGGAGACCCTCGCTCAGTTCCGTCGTCCGGAGTAATGGGTCGCCGTCGACCGGTCATGTCAGGAAGCCGTCGGGTGGGAGGCAGGCACCGGTGCGGCCGCCGAGGAAGTCGATAAGGAGGTCGTTGAGCATGTTTCAACATCCTGATGAAGTCATGAAAGAGGAGCAAGACATGTTCGAGCCACAGGCGTGCCTAGCGTCGGCCATGGATGTGGATCAGGAGCAGAAACAACATCAGCCCAAGCTGCCGTGCTTTGTTCCAGACGACGAGCCGGACAGCTTACCGCGCATTTCGCAATCCACCATGGTCGACGTCCTCAACGCCAAATACAGCAGCGAATACGAACGGATTGTGGTCGTCGACTGCCGGTTCGAGTATGAGTATAACGGTGGCCACATCGAGAACGCGGTCAACTTCAACGACAAACAGCAGCTCGCCCATGAACTCTTCTCGTCGCCCAGTCCAGCTTCCACGCTCCTCATCTTACACTGCGAGTACTCCGTCCACCGTGCACCACTCACAGCGAAGTTCATTCGCGCCCACGATCGGAGCGTCAACTTCGAGAACTATCCCAACCTGACCTATCCGGACATGTACATCCTGGACGGCGGGTACAGCAAATTCTTCGCCGAGCATCGATCGAAGTGCTTTCCGCAGAACTACGTCGAGATGAACGATCACCGCCACGAGCAAGCCTGCGAACGCGGCATGGCGAAGGTCAAGCAACGGCAGAAGCTGTTCCGACACCAGACGTTCGCCTTCGGCACCAGCCCGCACGACGAAATGGACGATTCTCCCACCGCCCCCCAAGGACGGACGATGGGGAGTAGGAGTCGTTCGACTTTCAACGTCGGCGATAATATCGCATCAGGCATTGGCGAGTCCTTTGCCAGGCGCATGGCGTCCTACTGATGCATCATCATCAGCATCTCGTATCTTGTTCTCGCACTGGCGCGGCGTCTTGGGAGAATGTCACCAAAGTGTCTCGCGTTCGGCATAGCAGGGACTATTGCGGCGTTTACAGCGTGCCATCTTCGCGGCATTTCACCGCCGGCCATCTACTTGCGTGGCGTTGGAACTGGCAGGAACATCAACAACCATCGGGATTCCCTTTTTCGTTCGAAGCATGTGTTTTTATGAGCCCGGCATGGCATTGAAACGTTTCCAGGATTTCCCTATCGAAGGATCGCGACAGCCCGCGACATCATCACCACCACCATTCGACTGCCTTTGAAGGCTCTACGCCTCGGGCACGATCGCAATACCACCATCATCATGAGCTCCATCGACGAGCCTTTCATCACGGCGCACCAGCCACGTTTCATCAATCACGATCACCCTTTTCGACACACACATGAGCACATCACCGACTATCTGAAGGACTACTATTCGTCGCCGCTTGACGCAAGCGAGCTGCTGCTGCATTACTCCTCTTCGGTACACTTTTTGTTTTGCGTAAGCAATTGGGCAGGAAGAATGTATGCAGGAAGAGACAAGGGAGCATCAGCAGTATGGCAGTGCCAGAGGGGACGGTGTACGTTAGTGGTAGTGTGTTGCCGTGTAATGTGTTCTACATCACCCCCTGTCCTTTCTTTGATTTATTCCGTTGTTTGTTTTTCCAGATGACATCGCCTGAGACTCCGCAGCAAAAGAAAGGTTGTAATATGGATGGTATCTATGATCGACCTCCGCAGATCTGCCTCGTGAAGCTTCCGCCAATGGCCGCATTGCAACACCGAGTCTACGTGAGCCTTATGCATGTTCCGAGACTGCTGATGCTCGATATGGGCTCTACAGACGCAGCCAGCAGAATACTGAAGTCATGATCCTTGCAAGGGCGAATCATCGCTCGTGTGCGATCCTCGATGCTTCTGGAAGATGTTGTTACACGGAGTGCTACTGCTGACTGCAAACATATGCAATACCGGCAGAGGTCGCAGAGGGCGGTGCAATTGCTGGATCTGGAGACACAGATAGTTCGTGACAAATGTCGCTCCGATGGGAGTTTGATGACTCCGGATGGATGGGAGGGAGGCTGCAGTAGTGTGTCGCGCAGGTAGGTCTTGAGCAAACAATGCGGACAATGCTGCGCGCCTGGCAGTCGCTTGTATCGACCACACCTGGACCACGAGAGAGTGATACAAGACCGCGCAAAGGAACAGGAGCAGCAGATAGGAAGTTTGACTCAGATCGCCGGACAGCGAGGCCCAGCGATGAGAAGGCGGAGCATCGCAGCACTGGTTTTGTGATATCGCCGGAGAAGCTAGAGCGTTTGCTGGTCACCTCGAGCACCGCGAGTATTCAGCGACTGGAGGTTGTGGATAATCGCAGTCGATCGATATCCCATATCGTCGAGACTCTACGAACCACCTTGAGGACAACGCAGCAGCTCGCACAAGTCGCTGTAACGATCAAGACGGCCAACTTCACTCTCGCAGAGCTGGCCAAACTCGCAGCGTCCTCACCACCTGGCGCCTGTGTCCGCAGCGTGGGCGTGGGCGTCTGGCACATCTCAGTCAACAACGGCCAGCACATCACACTCGTCCAACCTCAGCTACGGAAGGCCTGGAGAAGACTCAAACTGGATCCAACGATTGATCGGAACTCAGGACGGCTGCGATATGTGCGCAGAGTGGCAAGCTGAAGCCGGACGCCGTGAGCTTGACGGAGCTGTATCTTCAGCGGGCGATGTTGGCGCTTGCAGTAGGTGTCTCGAGCGGTGTGAAGAGCAATTGGCAGGAGATAGCGGGTGTGGAATTTGTAGCGCCGTATCTTTCGACGAGAGCTTTAAAGGCGATGCCGGTAGATGTTCGAGCTCTGCGACATGGGCGGGATGACCCTGGGTTCGAGGTGGTCATTAGGGTGTTACTGCAGGTTGTGCAGCCGTTGTGCTGACATCGATTGCCTTCTTTCCACAACAATATCCGGCATGCTTCGAAAACACTGCTGGTGAACAGGTCAAAGTATACTGGTAGAGTGTATATACGCATTGTACGGACATCAAATTACTCTATTCCGTGAAGGGCCAATCAGCCATAGTTGAACGCAGTCCTGCACAACGGACAAGTGCTCGCATTGCTCGTCTTGAACCACTTGAACAGACAGCTCGAATGGAACATATTCTTGCACGTCTGGCAGCGCTTTGTCGGGAGCTGCTTGTCGGCGCTGATGATAGAGTAACAGATTGCGCACTCAGTCTGGCCCTTCAGCGTGCCGGTGACGTTCTTGCGCCAGGCGGAGAGGCCGTCGGCGATGCTGCCGTTCTGCGAAGCAGTCAGTCTACGGTCTCAAACTATAGCAAGAAGGTGCTGGACTTACAGAGAACGTGATCACTCCTGAACAGTTCCGCAACCAGCTCTGCCATTTCTCCTCCTTCACGGCAACCCTGTTCACGCCTCGCACCTGCGCGGATGCAAGAGGATAAGCATCCGGCAGAATGACCTTCATCGCCATGGTCTGCTCATCAACCAGATAGCTAGCATTGATCTCCTTGCTGCGCATTCCAACCTTCACAGTCATGTTCTCGTACTCTGGTTCCTCCTTCACGCTCTTCTCGGACCACTCCGCGACCTCCTCGAGCGAGGCGGTGATGATGAGAGGGCTGATGTGTTTGGCTGTCCAGCTTTCGACTGCGAGAGAAGTCTGTCTTGAGCGGATGTCGAGGTAGTAGCTCTTGACAAGCGTCGGCATGTGCATGAGTGCGAGGTAGAAGAGGTGGGAGAGCAGCCATTGTACGTCCTTCTCCGGACTCGGTTCTGTGTCAGCAACGTAGTGCTGGACGTCGAACTTCGATGCATCCACCGGCTTGCCGCGGCTGTGGCCTAAGAAGTCGAACGTGAAGCTCAGTAGATCCGGCAGGTAAGTCCCGTCTTTCAGCTGCTCAATATAGTCGGTCTTGACTCTGTAGCTGGAGCCGTTGAAGTGGTCAAAGAGCAATCGCCAGCTGAACAGGTAGCCTTGCAGTGGCAGCGGCATGGTTCGGTCAAAGGAGGCGTCAACCAGCGAATCTAGGGTTGGCGCCTCGAGGATCAAAGACAGAAGCTCATCCGGCAGGTGTGCGGTTTTGTTGTTCAGCGCAGCATCAAACGAGATCTGCTCTTGAGCGGCCGGTATCTGCGGATGGAGAAGGTCGAAAGCACCGTGCTGAATGGCCCGTGACGGAGCATACATCAGCGGGAACAGGTCGCCAAGGTCTTCAAAGGGAGTTGAAGGCAACGCCGCGAGCTGGCGGGCAAGGAGCTCGTTCGTGACCATGAGCGGCTGGTGCATCTCGTCGTTGGCATCGCCGGCAGACCTGAGAACGTTGATCAGGCCATCGCGGATGTTCTCACGCCTGTCCTTCAAAGCGTCTGCGAGGTCGTCATTCGGCTCGTCTGACTTCGCAAGTTTGTTGAGTGTTGCTAGGAGCTTGAGGGACGAATGCTGCAAGAGGATGCTGTGCTCTTGAACCTCACCCGTGGTTGCTTCATCCGTGACCGAGCTCCAGTAGTTGCACACGAACTCCAGTGATTGCTCCCAATGCTCACCGTACATGTCAGCCATGCCCGGAAGCAACTCGACCAGCGCTCTGCAAACTTCGGCTTTGGAACGTGTGGTGATGTCCAGTTCGAGCCATGGAATGAGCTTCTTGACGAGGAAGATCAGTCGCTGCTTCGCTATGCTGGAGACCGCATCTTCCTGGGTCCGGAGGATGGTATTCAAAGTCACGAGCTTCTCTAGGCCGGCTTGCTCGTTGCTTGCAGCATCCAAGTCCATCAGATCGGCAACAAGCTCATTGCAGAACCTGGTCAATGTCTGGGTGCCGGACAGAGGAAGCTGAAGGCCCACAATACCAGAGAGCAGAGGCAATGTCCGTTTGGAAGACCGTTGACTTCTCAAGTGCTGTTCCGCTTCAACTGAGCTCTTGCTCGAGGAGCCGTGCACTTCGAAGAGGTTCTCTCGGACCTTTGCGGAAGACAGAGCGGTGTAGTAGGCCAACGGAGACTGGTCGCTATGATCCTTAGCTATGGCGTCGAAAGCTGCGAGGAACGAAGAGCTTTCCTGCCCTTCTGCGCTTTCGACCGGAGCAGTTAGAGACTTGAAGTATTTTTCGAACATCTGATTGCAGCTTCCAACAAAGTCGAGCAATGTAAGTTCCGAGTCTGATGAGCCAGAGTACTTTATCAAGCCATTTGCTCCAGCGATGCTCAGATTGTCCTCGGCCACCTGTACGGTCAAGTGCATACATGCCAGCACGTCCTGTTTATGACTGCCCAGCTTGTCCACGAGATGAAACTCCTGGGAGAGCATGCTGATGAACATTGCGATTCTCAAAGCTTGAGAGAAGCCATCGGAATCGTAAGCCGGCCGCGTCGAGCTGACGCCAGCTTCAGGCTGGACCAGATGTACTGCGCCTCCAAGCGGACTCAAGATGGCCAGTGAAGGTCTCGGTGGCTGTATGATATCACACAAAGCTGCCTTCCAGGTGTCAAGATTTGGAAGCAGGTCTGCCACATTCTCGATATTGCCTTGAGGGCCGAGCATGCGGCGTGTCAGATCAAGAACAGCATCGATGGTCAAAGATGCGTCTGACACTCGCTCGAGGTTCTGTATGATAATGCCGAACTTCGCCTGAGGAGCGGAATCCACCATGGCTGAAGAGAGCCGGGAGGCCAGACTTGTTGCTCGTTCGGCAATGGTGTCATCCGGCGACTGTTCGAGTCGTAAAAGACTCGGTAGCAAGTTGTCTCCGGTCTCGCCCGAGCGCGAGATGAGGCCTTTGATAGCATTCTCATCGGCCTTGGAAAGCTTATCCAGCGTTGACAAGCTGGTTTCACTCTTGTCAGCGATGCTCAGCGACGACACCAATGTTGAGAGTACAGAGTCCATGGTCTCGGACTGTAGCGCTTTGACTTGCATCAGATCTGCTAAGAGCGCGGTGCCGGCATCAGACTGTGCGAGCTCCTGGTTGTTCTTGACAAAGTCCTGGAATTGGCTCATGTCCTTAGCAGCGGGGATTACTTCGGTCGGCGCAGATAGAACAAAGATCGAGCGCAAAGCACCAATTCTCGTCTCCATCGGCTCGCTGCTCTGGATTAAGCTGTTGAGGAGCTTCTCAAAAATGGGCGGGAACTGCGAATCGGACGAAGCAGCGTACAATGCCTGGATCAAGTGTCTTTGAGATGGTCCGAAGATGAATCCTGGCAAGTCGTCCTCAGCGAACTCGAAATAGGACTTCCTAAACGCCTCGTCAGAAAGTAAATGAGCCGCACACTGGCGAAGTAGTTGCTCGACAATCGCCGCTGATCCATAAGGCTTTCCGTTGCGAGATCGCATCAAGCCTATGCTCTCGTCCAGAACCTTTATGCTGGTAGTAACGAAGGTTGTTTCCATATGCTTAGGCAGCTCGTTCGGGTAAGCCCACAGCTCTCGCTGCAGGTCAGCCCAACGCTCGCCTGATGTAGCCACTTGCGTCTGCGACTTTTCGAACTCCTTAGACTGCTCTGGTTGCGAGAGCCCGGCAAGCTCGATCAGCTCATCGCCCAATCGTGGCCACTCTTGTTGAAGGACTGAAGACAGTTCCTTGACATCCGCAGCTTTGGCAACGATTGAAGCAGGCTTGGGTCCTGCGATGCTGTACCCTGCTGTCTCTGAGGATGGGAAAAGGAACTGCTTGATGACTGGCAGAAGGTGCTCGCGGAGCAAGTCCTCAGTGCTATTGGGTGGTCCCTTTGATGCGATAATACCGACCAGCGTGAAGTAGGTGGGCCACGCCTCGGACGCATTGAATCGTTCCTCTCGGCGTACGATACCGCTGCGAGCTGCTTCCAGTAGGTCTTTCGAGTCTTCCGTCGAGCTCGGAAAGACTTCACGTGGTATGGCACCAAATAGCGCGTTTAGTGCTCTCCAGTACTCAGCAGGCGAAGATTGAGCGCCCTGTTTCAGAAAGTAGCGCAATCGCGACATGGCCGGCTTCTTCCCGGTGTATGCTTCGGCCCAGATCTTAGGGAATGCAGCAGTCATAACATTCAACGTGTGCAGATAGTCGACAGCTGATCCGGAATGGTCTGTGTGGAGTGCCTTGTACAGAAAAGCTGTACTGATGGATTCCAAGCTGTTGCGAACGAAATGTGGCTCCTGCTGGATAACGACCCGGACCACTCTGTACACGGCACGTCTGACAGCAGGGTCTGAATGGCTTGCGAACGCCCATATCTGCGTGTTGCCAAAGATCTCCTCGTACACATCATGTTCCTTCTGGCGCTCTTCTAATTGCAGCTCAGCCATCAGGCTTCCTATGACCGACAGGCTAGTCGCAACAACCCTTGCGTAGGTAGCATTTGCATCGTCGGCGCCCACCGTACGCTCATCGCTAAGCGTGCCAACTGTTTCCTTCAGCGTCGCATCACGACAATACTCAAGGATCGATCTTTGGAAAGCTTTCCATACGCCTTGCACCTTCTCCGTTGTCGGGAAGACCAACGTCAAGGCTTCACTCGCGGCTCTCGCCACTGTCCGATCGTTATCGAACGTGCCAGCGAGCCATGGACCCGCTATTCGTGGCATGTGCTTGACAGTACGCTTGCCGGCCTTTGAACATATCAATCCGTTCAGAGAGTGAGAGAGTTGCCGTACACGCCGAGTATTGTCGATCGACAAGCGCGGAAAGAGTTTGGCCTTGGGCATCGTCAGTCTCGAGCAAGGTCCACAACCAAAAAGCCTAGTATCATACCCATAAATCCAGGGAAGTGTCTGGTATCAAGGCATCCGCAGGACTAACGGAGGATTGTAGGTCTTCCAGAGCCTTCGCCTTCGTTGTCCCATCTCGCTTCGAGAGGTTCTTGAAAGCAACAACCACATTCGGGTCATCGATCGTTGAGTAGTCGGGGGGCTCCTGGACATATGACAGTGCTGAAGACTGTCCCGACCCGAAGCCTGCTGTCCCGAAGCCTCCAAATGTACCACCTGCTCGCCCGCTGCTGGCCTGAGATTTGAATTGTCGTTTGCTCATTCTGAGAGATTTCTGGCGTGTGAATCGCTTGAGCCTGTCATGGGAGGCACATCAGACCAGGGGAGAATATTATGAGAGTCTTGAAGTGCTAAAATCGAGCCAGTCGAGTGAAAAGAAAGCGCCTCAAGTTGAATGCAGTTTCCGCCTCTTCAGAATTTCATGTTCTTCGATGACCGCAGCTTGCCCCAGATGATTTAAGGGTTGACGCTAGCGCTGCGGTTGGACTAGCTCATCGTGGCAACTCATATGACAGAGACCTCACCTCTTCAATTAAGGCAGCCAGCAAATCTTGATACTATCAACCGGCGAGACCCTCAGCAAGCGACAGCAAAAGGGCTGCACCTGAGGTCGCGGCGGCGGTGGAGGCGGTGAGGGGCTCGGGCGGAAGACATTACTGAAGAACGACCAACTTGAACGACTCGTGGAAACAACTCCTAGCCACAGCCATGAAGTTCTGGATCGAGGACCTCCCGGTCCTCTTCCCATACCCCAGGATATATCCGGAGCAGTATGCCTACATGTGCGATCTCAAGCGCACACTGGATGCCGGCGGACACTGCGTTCTGGAGATGCCTTCAGGTACTGGAAAGACAGTGTCCCTGCTTTCTCTTATCGTCGCGTACCAGCAGCATTACCCGGAACACCGAAAGCTGATATACTGCTCGCGAACAATGTCAGAGATTGAAAAGGCGCTTGCGGAACTCAAGGCGTTGATGAAGTATCGGACGGACCAGCTGGGCCAGGAGGAAGAGTTCAGAGGGCTGGGGCTCACGTCGCGGAAGAACCTCTGCTTACATCCGTCGGTGAAGCGGGAGAAGAGTGGCTCGGTTGTTGATGCACGATGTCGAAGTCTGACGGCGGGCTTCGTCAAAGAGAAAAAAGAGCGTGGCGAAGACGTTGACCTGTGCATCTACCACGACAATCTGGACCTACTTGAACCTCACAATCTCATTCCACCTGGCGTCTGGACTCTCGATGGCATGCTTCGGTATGGTGAACAGCAGAAGCAGTGTCCCTACTTCACAGCACGAAGGATGATGCCGTTCTGCAACGTGATCATCTACTCATACCACTATCTGCTGGACCCGAAGATCGCTGAACGAGTGTCCAAAGAGCTGTCGAAAGATTGCATTGTTGTCTTCGACGAAGCGCATAATATTGACAACGTATGCATCGAGTCTCTGAGCATTGACCTAACGGAAGACAGCTTACGGAAGGCCGCGAGAGGTGCAAACAATCTGGAAAAGAAGATCAGTGAGATGAAGTCTACTGACGCCGACAAGCTGCAGAGTGAATATGCCAAACTCGTCGAAGGACTGCGCGAAGCAGACACGGCTCGAGACGAGGAAGCCTTCGTGTCGAATCCTGCATTGCCAGACGACCTGCTGAAAGAGGCAGTTCCGGGCAACATCAGGAGAGCAGAACACTTCACCGCATTCCTTAAGCGCTTCATAGAATACCTCAAGACTCGCATGAAAGTGCTGCATGTCATCTCGGAAACACCGCCCTCCTTCCTCCAGCATCTGAAAGAGCTTACATTCATCGAAAAGAAGCCTCTTCGATTTTGTGCAGAGCGACTCACATCACTGGTAAGAACACTGGAGCTCACCAATATCGAAGATTTCCAGCCGTTGCAGGAAGTTGCCTCGTTTGCCACGCTGGTCGCTACCTACGACACCGGCTTCCTTCTCATCCTGGAGCCCTTCGAATCCGACACGGCCACCGTACCTAACCCGATCATGCACTTCACCTGCCTCGACGCAGCCATAGCTATCAAGCCGGTCTTCGATCGCTTCAGCTCCGTCATCATCACATCCGGTACCATCTCGCCTCTTGAGATGTATCCGAACCTGCTCGGTTTCACGACTGTCGTCGAAGAGTCATACGCCATGACCCTCGCAAGACGATCCTTCCTCCCTATGATCGTCACCCGCGGCTCAGACCAAGGCCAGATCTCCTCCGGCTTCCAGACCCGAAACGACCCCGCGAACGTTCGCAACTACGGAAACCTTCTCATTGAGTTCTCTAAATTGACACCAGACGGCATCGTCGTCTTCTTCCCCTCGTACCTCTACATGGAAAGCGTCATCTCAATGTGGCAAGGCATGGGCATCCTCGACCAAGTCTGGAAAAGCAAGCTCATCCTGGTCGAAACGCCGGATAGTCAGGAGACGTCTCTTGCGCTCGAGACCTACCGCACCGCATGCAGTAACGGCCGGGGCGCCATGCTGCTGTGTGTCGCTCGTGGCAAGGTCTCAGAAGGAATAGACTTCGACCACCACTACGGCCGCACGGTGCTGTGCATCGGCGTGCCCTTCCAGTACACCGAATCGCGTATCCTCAAAGCCCGCTTGGAGTTCCTGGAAGACAAGTACAAGATCCGCCCAAACGACTTCCTCTCCTTTGACGCTATGCGACATTCCGCACAATGCCTGGGACGAGTGCTGCGAGGCAAAGACGACTACGGAATCATGGTGATGGCGGATAAGCGGTTCGGCAAGAAGCGCAACCAACTGCCTAAATGGATCTCGTCGGCGCTTATGGAGAGCGATGCGAACATGTCGGTCGACCAGGCTGTCGCGTCAGCGAAAAGGTTCTTGAAGACGATGAGCAAGCCTTTTCCCGCGAATTTGCAGGAAGGGGTTAGTACGTGGAGTTACGAAGACTTGATGGAGCATAAGAGAAAGTTAGAGGCTGAACAGATAAGGGAAGAGAAGAACGGGGAGGTAAATGGGAATATGAATGGGCATGTGCATGGCGATCAGGTTATGGCTGAAGCTCAGGCTGCTGAGGAGGATATGGAGGACTCGGATCTTGATGCTGCGATGATGGAGATTGATGCTTGAGCTTGGGTAACAAGATGTAGTGCACGAAAGTCGAGGAAGACTTTCTTGCCTCTCCGCTGGCAGAGTGTCTCTGAGAAAGGCCCGTGCGACGCAGTGTGACGACCAGAAAGCTTCGAATGAAGTTGAGAGAAGAGCTTCGCTCGTCAGCGCATGGCCACAAAGGAGTCGAGGCGACCTTGGTATACATGAGCGGGGGAGTCTTAGGACACAAGTAAGCGGATGGCACCGGGGTCAGCCGAGAGAGGAGCTCCAACGGATCGTCCGGCGGACAGCAAATTGCTGAAGGTGTCACCATCGTCCCAACGTATCCAGCCGGGAGGACGACTTTCCCAATGGTCATCGCACTCATCCCTACAAACTACTCTCTTTCTTCCTGCCCAGCTTCTCCATAGTCACCGTACTTGACAGCTTACTCTCAACCCCTTCCTTCGCCTCCCCTCCACGCTGTGTGCGAGACAGTGACATTCTCGAGGTTTTGAAATGGCTTCGAGATAGCGACGACTGGATAAGTCCAGGCGGCTAGGGTACTGCCGATCTGTCGACACTGCGAATTCTCTGAGCCGCCAGATTGGCATTTCATGATCCTCTTGTGCTTTTGAATTTGCACGCCGTAATGTTTGAAAACAACGACAGATACTTCGTTGTACCTGCTTGCGGCAAGGCTCAGCGCAGGCGTCTCTATGCACACACAGAATACACACATCATCACAATTTGCGTGCTGACGTCCTAGCTTGGCCGATAGCTCGAGAACAAAAGCTGCTTCAAGACACCGCAGCTCACCTACAATAACCATCGCAAAATTGATTACAACTGTCCTGACGGTTGATCCACTGGCAGCATATGTAGGACACCGCCATTCTATAACCACTGAAAGATAAGTAGAGCAGCCTCCATTCTTAGCCATCTCCTTTCGTATCTTCGAAGACAATATTTCAGCACATGATGCACATCTCTCTACCTTGCTCTCACGCCAATCACACCAAGTAACCAGCACAATGTCCCTCCCCCAGCCCCGCCCCTACAACCCCTCCACCGACTCCCCCCACCTCCCTCCCTCGCCACCATCCACGCCGCCTGCATAACCCACGACCACCAACTCGCCACCTTCCTCCCTCCCCTCTCCCACGACCGCATGCTCACCTACTGGACCTCCATCCACTCGGACGTCGAAGCCGGAAATACCGCGATATTCTTGCAGTTCGTTGACGCAGAGGAGACCGAGTTGGCAGGATATGTGTGCCTCATGATGCCGGAGTCGGAGACGGGACCATTCAGGGGGACAGTGAACAAGTTGATGGTCTCGCCGGAGTATCGGAGGAAGGGTGTGGCGAGACGGGTGATGGGGTGTTTGGAGGTGTACGCAAAGGGGAAGGGGAGGGAGTTGTTGGCGAGTTTATGCTTCGAAGTGTATTGGTGGAATAGATTGCTAATGCGGTTGGTAGATGCTTGATACGACGATTGGGTTGCCGGCGGAGCAGGTCTACCCACGATTGGGGTACATTGAGATGGGTGTGATACCGAAGTATGGCGTTAGTCCGGCGAATGGGAGATTGGTGGATGAGAAGTTCTTTTACAAGGACTTGAGAGACGTGGAGCCTTTGAAGTGTTGATGCCTCTTCAAGAAGTGTGATTCGATTCTGGTAGTACAGGGTATATGATACACAACTCAGGTGAATCGAGAAGCCAGTCGTAGGTTGCTGTCAAGGTCTTGCCAAGTGCCACTACTGCTTCTCCTTGTCGAAATTCACAGTGCCTTCTCTGTTGACGCTGGCATAGCTCATGCTTGCTGGCTGGGCGGTTGATGCTGATTGCGTGGAAATGCCAGCTTCGGCCGGCGACTGAACTGTCGATGATTTTGGAAGGGAGCCAGCGGGACTGTCGGCGATCTCGTTTACGTCCCTGCTGGTAAGCACGTCACTCAAACCAGCTCCTCGAGACTGTACCAGGATTGTCGCTGGACCTCGGAAGTGAAGAAATAACTAAGAGTCTAGGTCAGCTGAAATGGATTGAGTGAAGTGAGCAAGAACCGTACCCTGTCACCCCATATAGTACGTCTCGCCCATGTTCTTACAACAAACGCAGCATTGCGAGTGAACGTCCAGATCGCGCTCTCCCTCATCGTCCGCCAGAACCTCGTATCTGGCAGCCAGCCTGTCAAGCTTGGGATTTGCAATCTGAAGCTGCTAGCCTTGAAGCGGTACGGCTGCGGCGCATTCTGCATCATGCTGTACGCAATGACATTGCCGGGATGCACCACGTACTCATCGCCAGTCTTGAGGTGGATTTGGTGAATGAGACCGCGACCGGACAGAGCCAACAGGCCACGGCCGGAGACGAGCGTGTTACCCCAATGGGCGAGGCTCTGTCGGAGTTAGCAGACGATCACTGACGTTGCTGAATGAAGTCATACCATTTTCGTGTTCAGGCGAGGAGCCAGGCTAAGGGTATGCCCTGTCCACGCCAGCAAAGCATTGCGCTGAGCTATCATCCAGTCTAGCCGCCCGTCGAGATGGACAACGACCATAGACGTGCATTTTGACTTTGTAGATATGAGAGCTGTGTAGGGCGTAGTGGAGCTTATTCGCTGGTAGACGAAGGGTATGCCAAAGAACGCTCGTCTGAAGGGCTCGAGGAGGGAGAGTGTAGAGACAGCCTGCATCATGTGTTAGTGATCGATGAATATCGAAGGGCTAGGGTGGAGTGCCATACGTTCTCGGGGTTGCCATTGAAGCCCACAAGCGTTCCTTTGCGCGAGTAGAGGTTCTGCGAGGCGGATATGGAGGCGGAGAGGAGGGAGAAGGGACTGCCTAGGACTTCGAAGCGTGCATCTACAGCACCTGATCAGCCTGTTGTGTTCATGTACTCTTCTTGTGCTATTCCGTACCAACACTTGGGCTCGCATCTTTCGTTGCCAGGTTCTGTGAAGGCTCGGTCGAGGTGGGTGTTGCGCTGATCTGGACATATCGTCTACTCGTCCTGCTGATGCCGATACGCGCTTGAGACTGCGAGCAATGGCGACATGACGCGCAGACAAAGTCCAACGCTCGACGGCGCATTGCAATGCCTCTTTAGAGTCGAATGGTTGGACGTGTGGTTGGTCTCTCTGTTTGGGTCGCGAGCTCAAGCTTGACCTCACTTCGGACGTTTCGCCGTCATCCGCCGATCACATGCGCTCTTCATCCGACCTGATTGTCGAGACCCAACCTGGAATATACCTACCCATTGCTACTGTCGCCGAGTTGATTCAAGGAAGTCATAAGAAGAGAAGGAATTCTTGGGTGCTCGGTGCCCGGCCACCGCGGTAGTAAGCTCGCTTGGAGCCCTCAGACCTGGAAGACGAGATGAGTGGACGATAAGGACCAGAAGAGCAGGTAGCCCTCCAGCAGGATGCTCGCGAGCCGGCTGTGTCTCAAAGCCGCGACGAGGCCTAGTCTTGCAAGCTCGCTGAGTATCAGGCCCGTCGCGGCGACATCATGGCGAACGAAGCGCGTCTTCGCGACTACACCACAACACAGAAAAGAAGATGTCGCGAGGGTACAGACGATACAAAAGGAGAGCCATGCGAGGCAGCCTGCGGAGGAGAGCGTCAAGCCAGAGACTGTCAAGAAGGAACAGAATGCTGAGCCTGCGCCGGCCAAAACTGACCCTCTGCTGGCCGAGCAGACTGTCTCAAACAAGGAACAGAGGAAGGCGGATTGGGCCATCATTAAGGATATGTCACAGTACTTGTGGCCCAAAAACGACTTTGGGACGAAGTTCAGAGTGGGCTTGAGTGTCGGTCTGCTTATAGGTGCAAAGGTCGGTAAGCCCTACGAAACTCAGCGTAGCGATCATATATTGATATACTATGTAGGTCCTCAATGTGCAAGTACCTTTTTACTTCAAGTCAATAGTCGACAGCATGAACATCGATTTCGCAGCCGTGGGCGGAACAGCAGCTACGGTAGCGGGCGTCTCCATCTTCGCCTACGGTGCTACTCGAATAGGCGCCGCTATCTTTCAAGAAATCCGAAACGCAGTCTTCGCATCGGTTGCACAGAACGCCATTAGGAGGGTGGCTGGCAACGTGTTTGAGCATCTGCTGAAGCTTGATCTGAACTTCCACCTCTCCCGCCAGACTGGTGGTCTGACCAGAGCCATCGACCGGGGCACGAAGGGTATCAGCTTTCTGCTCACGAGCATGGTGTTCCATATCATTCCTACAGCCCTGGAGATCAGCTTGGTGTGCGGCATATTGACGTGGCAATACGGGTGGCAGTTCGCTGCCATCACAGTCGGAACCATGGCAGCCTACAGCTGGTTCACCATTGCAACCACAGCATGGCGTACCCAGTTCCGAAAGCAAGCGAACGCGGCAGACAACAAGGGCGCCACAGTCGCCGTGGACAGTCTAATCAATTACGAGGCCGTTAAGTACTTCAACAATGAGAAGTACGAGAGTCGAAGATACGACTCGGCCTTGAAGAACTATCAAGACGCCAGCATCAAGGTCGCGACCTCCCTCACATACCTCAATTCCGGACAGAGCTTGATCTTCAGCACTGCTTTAACTGGCATGATGTACATGGCCGCACAAGGTGTCGCCGCTGGAACGTTGACCGTTGGAGACCTGGTCATGGTGAACCAGCTCGTTTTCCAGCTCTCCGTGCCTCTCAACTTTCTAGGCAGTGTCTACCGCGAGCTGCGCCAGAGCTTGCTGGACATGGAGACCCTCTTCAACCTTCAGAAGGTCAACGTCGCTATCAAAGAGAAGCCAAATGCCCAACCACTGCTTCTCAACCAAGGCGGCGAGATCAAGTTCGAGAACGTAACCTTCGGCTACCGCCCTGATCGCCCCATCTTGCAAGGCCTCAACCTCACCATCCCAGCCGGGAAGAAAGTCGCCATCGTCGGCCCCTCAGGCTGCGGCAAGAGCACAATCCTACGACTTCTCTTCCGCTTCTACGACGTCCAAGACGGCAGAATCACAGTCGATGGCCAAGACATCCGGGACGTACAAGTTGAATCCCTCCGCAAATCTATCGGTGTCGTGCCTCAAGACACACCCCTCTTCAACGACACAATCGAGCACAACATCCGTTACGGCGACATCAATGCCTCCACCGAAGAAGTCGAAGCCGCAGCCCGCCGCGCTAGGATCCACAGCATCATCGAAGGCCTGCCAGATGGGTATAAGACCATGGTCGGCGAACGAGGAATGATGATTTCAGGTGGCGAGAAGCAACGACTGGCAGTCTCGCGTCTGATACTTAAAGACCCGCCACTGCTGTTCTTCGACGAGGCGACGAGTGCTTTGGACACCCACACGGAGCAGACGCTGCTGCAGAACATCAACAGCATCATCCGTGAGAAGGCGCGGACGAGTGTGTTCGTCGCGCACCGGCTGCGGACGATTTACGATTCGGACGTGATCATCGTGCTCAAAGAGGGCAAGGTCGCAGAGCAAGGAACGCACGAGAGCTTGGTAGATAGCGACGGCATTTACTCTGAGCTCTGGAGCGCGCAAGAGATGCTGTTCACGGAGGAGGATGGTGTAGGAGACGAGGCGAAGGAGAAAACCAAAGAGGTATAAGCTGTGGCCAAGACCGTAATATAGAGGGAGGGTGGCACTCTGCTCCTACGATAGAAACGAGGATTGTACACCTAGAACAGCTGTCGGGCTAGACTAAATCGCCATTCTAAACGACTTTGAGAACAATCTTGCCTTTCGTGTGCCCACTAGCCAGCATCTCAAACGCCTTTGCCCCATCCTCCAATGGCAGTACTTGCTGCAACACCGGCTTGATCTCGCCTTGATCGCACATCTCTGCCACAAGCGCCAACTCCTCGCCGTCCGGATCGACGATGAACCACGAAGCATCGACGTCCGGTCTGGATGCCTTCTCGTCCAGTGTCGGCGGTCGTGCTACGCTGATGAGCTGGCCACCGCCTTTGAGCAGCTTGAAAGAACTTGTGAGGATGTCCCCGCCCACACAGTCGATTACGAGGTCGTAGTCGTGGGACAGGTAATCGATCGTCGTCTTGTTGTAGTCGAATACCTGCAGAGCGCCGAGCGACTTGACGAGCTCGATCTTGTCTGCTGAGCAAGTGGCCGAGACGAGGAGTTGTGCTGATCGAGCGAGCTGGACGGCCATTACGCCTACGCCGCCTGTCGCACTTGTTAGTCGGTTGACTTGACGATAGCTCACTGTTGCGGCTGCCCACCTCCAGCACCAGTAATAAGCACCTTCTGCCCCGACCGAGCATGCACATGATCCATTAACGCCTGGTACACCCACAGCGCTGACAAAGGGATCGCCGCCGCCGCCTCAAACGACATCTGCGGCATATGCGCGATCTCCCTGTAGTTCGCGACCATGTACTCCGCTGCTCCACCATCTCGAGTAAAGCAAGTCACTCCAAAGACCTTGTCGCCTTCCTTGAAATGGCCTTCAGCTTCGGAGCCGAGCGAGGCGATGGTACCGGCTACATCGTGTCCTGGGATCGGAGTCTCGCGTTCAAGCGTCGGCGGCCATGTGAGCTCGTCGGCTGTAATCGCTGCGGCGTGGACTTTGACCAGGACGTCCTTGGGATCAGGAGTAGGAATCGGAACATCATCGATTTTCAGCCCGTCCTTATGGTATCGGAGCGCTTTCATGGTAGGCATATCGGTCAGCTGTTAGAGGATGAACTTTGTTTCTGTCTTTTACAAGCATCGCGGCACGAGAGCATGCCGTCCGTCGTAGGCCGGGAGAGATCATGTGTTACACATAATGCATGACATGGCCAAGCGGCTTGACACATCCATGGGCTGCGGAGCTGTGGTTGCTCTGTCAGCGACGTGCGTGTCGAAGGAAGCGTGATCTCGGCCGAGTACTGTAGACAGAAGAGCAGTTGAAGAGCCGCGAGGAATGCGAAGTTACATTGAGTAGCATTTCGCGCTCCAGGAGGTCCGGACAAATCTTCCAGAGTATGGCATATACCTCACCAGTAGATTGATAGATCTTGCTTGCTTCTCGGCGACAACCAGTACTCATCCGGGTGCTTCATGCCAGCCAAATAGTACCTCCTATCGGACCCAGACCGAGAGAACGCATGGAGCCAAGATGTATCTGCAGCACGCCGTACGCTTCTGCGATGCTTGGAGAGGTTGCTCTGGCTCCCTGGTCAAGATGGCCAGGACGTTCGATTCTTTCACATGTGAGACATGCATCTCAAATCTGGACCCTGTTTCAAAAAAACCCCACCATCACCGTCTGAACAAGCCAACGTCTCACATTGGGACGCCTGACGTTGAGCAGGAGGACGTGAAGTGTGACCGTCTCTCTCTCTCTTACCTCAATAACTGTGAGAGTCAATTGTCGCGCCCATAACTCCCCAGCAGCCGCTACCCCTCTTGCGAACGAGAACAGCGACAAGCTTCCTTCAACAGAACCTGGAAACATCCAATCGACGAGGATAACATCGCGATGGCCGGCCTAGCAAACCTCATACCTCTACTTGTCCTCTTCATCGTAATCGGCGGCGGCGGTTACGTCGGCTACCAAATCTACCTCTGGTCGAACGAAATGACAGATCGGGGCAAGAAGCACATGGAGAAGAAGCACATGTCGTTCACGAAAGACGGCGGGCTCAAAGTCGGCGTCAAAGAGAGGACAGATGAGGCGTATACGGATAAGACGCAGAAGTGAGTGAACACAATGCGCGGACTACCATTATGGTAGGGTGATGCTGACAGCGCTGCAGTGTCCTCGTGAACGTATGGAACAACGCGCAACCAGGAAGCGCAAAACGAACAAACTCCTCGCAAGCACGACCGAGCACGTCGCGCACGGCATCTTCAGCGTCTGCGAGCGGGAAGTCGAACCTGTCGCCGCCGGTGTCGAGGAGTAATACGCAGCGACCTGCCAGTCCAGTGCCTGGGTCTTTCTAGTGGCGAGACCTGGGATACTGACTGCGAGGGATATGGCGTATGGGCGAGACGGTGCAAACAGGACGTTGTCTTAAGTCGTTTGATGCATGAGGGAGCTGGTTGGCGTGCAGGAACCTGTTGGGTGTTCCGGGTGCTTAGAATGATACCACGGTACGGCGAGGGAAGCGTTTCAATGACTTAGGACATAGGGTGTCATGGCATGAGAGATGATGCGCATGCAAAGCTGTCTTGTACATGTGTGCGGGTAGCACAGGATTAGGTACTCACGGCGTCCTCTCCAAGCAGGAGACGAGGTGACGATAAGGTTTACCTTTAAGCTTACACTCACTTCACGACCACGTGGGAGTAGTCTAACCAAAACCACGAGGCGAATGTCTGAAAACGATTTCGTCGATTCCATCGCGAAAGCTATTGCGCAGAGACACACGTCGCAGCCATGCCGAAAGTCCACACTGCTTCCTGCTTCCCATCCAAGCCTAGCGCCATGCTAATCCCCAGAGTACCCATCAGCCATCATGTCGCCCATACACCGCATATTGTCGTCAGATTAAGCGCATCAGCCACCCAGAACACCTCGCTGCGGCCGCTTGAGACCGTTCGTTAGCCACCAGTCCATACCATCCACCCAGACCCATCATGAGCAATTTTCGAACAACCCATCTTATCATCATCACCACCACTCATCATTTAACAACCATCAAATCAAACTTTCGAGACCCGCTTAGTACTTGAACGTAGACTTGTCCAGGTTGCGCAACGTCTGAATGTCACGCGTCCCCTCGAACCCGAGCTTGTGGCTGGGAATGTCCTGCAGTGGCTTGGCTGCAGTACGGGTCGGGCTTTTGCTGCTCGTCCGCTGTGGAGGCTGGCCATTCTCGCCCGCGTTGAGCATGGCAGAGATGCTTGGGATGGTCTGTCCTGCTGTGCCTGTAGGCTGCTGCGCGCCGGCGGCAGCTTGAGCGTTTGGCTGTGTCTGCTCGGTGGGGCTGGCGGCGGTCGGTGAGTCGTCGCCGCCGTTTGAGCTCCGATGAGAGTCTTGCCGGCCGTCCTGTTTCGGAATGCTGTCGTCTTGTGGTGTCGACTGTGCCGGCGCCGACGCCTGCGGTGGAGCTTGGGATGGAGCTTGAGCTTGCACTGGGGCCGGAGCCGGAGCTGGTTGTGCCTGCTGTGCCTGTTGGGCTTGTTGTACCTGTTGTGCTTGCTGAGCCTGCTGCTGTGCATTGTTGCCGTACGGCGGTGGTGCACTCTGGTGTGGTGGCGGGTACTGTCCATTCTGGATTGGCGGTGGCTGATAACCATAGCCGCCCTGATAGCCGTGGTACCCTTGGTAGCCAGGCGGAGGCATGTGCCCACCGTATTGATGCGGCGGCGGTGGTGGCAGACCGTTGTTGGACATTGGTGGTGGCGGGCGGTCGAAGGGAGTCATCTGAGCAGGCGCACCGTATCCGGGAGGTGGAGGCGGGTAGTGCATGTGCTGCAGTGGCGACTGACCAGGATAAGGGTTGTGAGATGGATGGTGGTAGTAGGGAGAATACTGATGAGGGTGTGGAGGTGGGGTGTGCATAGGACTTGGAGGGTAGCCGGGTGGGCCGTAACCATACGGTGGACGGTGATACTGCTGCGGCTGGTTCGGCGCATGTGTGTAGCCAGGGGATGTCATGGGTCCTTGGGTCACAGCTGGGATAGTGCTTTGTTCGTGAACCGTCGACTCCGGGTACATGCCCTTCTCCGGACGAATGTGTCGCAACTGTGGGTCGTTGCTCGGCTGCACGAGCCCAGACGCCGTAGCAGCAGATCGCGAGAAGTAGCTGATCAGGTGCAGATGTTGTCCGTTATTCGTCGTGATGGAGAAGGACTGCTTCATGAGCCCGTCCGGCTTGTATCGATACCCGTCAGGTCCGCCGTCGGAGTCGTTCTCGCCGCTTCCCGGCACACCATCCCGATTCGCATTCTTGTCGTAGTTGTTGCCGCCCCGCTTGCCCTCCATCTCACGGTAGGTGAGAAAGCTGCCCGACACTCGACTGGCGCTCCATGATTTTCCGTCCGTCCATCTTCGCATGCCAGCTTCCCTTTCGTCCCACACGAAGACTGAGCCCGACTTGATCGATTGTCGCTCCTTCTCCGACAGTCTACGTTGCACACGCGGCAGGAGTCCGATCCGGCATGCTTCGAACAGAATGATAGCGTCCGTAGGAGTCCGTACGTGCCCGTGGTAGGTCTCCATCGCGTTCATCTAGTGGGAATCGCGCGTGGAGCAATCGCGTTCGATTTATCGTATGTTGTGCTGCGCCGGAATATGTCAGACGCTTCTACGAACAGGCTGCAGCCGTGAGAACTCACATTCGCAACCTTACCCTGCGCTTGTGCACAGAATACAGTGTCGAGACAGATGCTGTTGACGAAAGCGCGAACGGAGTCACAATATCCGGTCGTGGCGTGGACAGTGGTGATATGTGTGTGAATGTGGAGAGAGGATGAGTGAAGAGCAGCGCGGTGGAAGAGAGCGGGTGATGTGGGAATCGCAAGTGACATGGGAGGTGAGGGCTCCAAGAGGAATGGATCCCCGCTAACTTTTAGAGTATGAATTATGCTTGACCTTCTCGCTTAGCTCGCACCATCCAACACGTCCATCCCTCCTCCCGAGCATACAACCAATGAATGGGCTGTCAGAAGTATCACGTTTTACCACTTTCGAATGTCTCTTTGGCTGAGAGGCTGTACGAAGCTCTATTACGGTACACGACCGCCCGTCAGCGCGGACCCAGCAACCCGAGCACGAATTCGAGGCTTCCCGAGGCGGCGCTGATCTCTGCACGCCTAGGGCCAACCGGCGCGGCTCAGATGGTTCCAAGTCGACACAAGCACACAAGAGTCAAGTTCCATGGGCGCCATGCATGTGCCGCTCCTCTCTTGACACCCCTCTCGCCCGCTTCACTGGCATGTACCAAGCCTTTCTCCAATCATGAGGAGTGGGTATCCTCGCCAAGTGTCCGCGGGGCGCACCTCGTGGAAGCCACTGTTTGGCGACCCACTCGAGATGGATCTCTATCCCGGCAGCGCTCAATCTGCATCCGGATTTTGCTCAGTCTTGGTGCAGATAAAGATAGAAGGCAGACAGAGGTGGCTTTTCTAACGGGAACCTCTCTTCCAGCACTCTTTGTTCTTCGACGAACACCGCCAATCGACGGGTTACGGAAGGGAAAGCACGTCACGAATTGGCAATAAGCATAATACCTTATCGGGACCAAGAAGCGGTTTGGCGCCCAGACGTTCGAGCTTTTTCGAACCGCCATGCCGCTCCTTTACCAAGCATCTTAGCTGGCGTGATCCTTGGCTGGCGCTCGTGAGACGAGCGAGACAAGTCGGTTGGCGGGAAGGACGGAGGTTATGGCAGCACGACGGAAACTCCTCGCCGCGTAAGCGTATCCACTGTTGCCTCGAGCAGCTTGCTGTGGTCAGACAACAGCTGTGACATGGAGGTTGGAGAAGTACGAAGAACGAGTAGTGATCCGGGCTGTGCCGCTTTGTCAGGCCCTATCTTCTCGCGCAAATGGCACCTTTCCGCGGAACGTCAAACCAGCAAAAGCACGTCGCAAAACCAGCTTCCTCTCTTCCTACCCACACTATCACCCGGCAAAGCGCTCCCTTGCCATGACCTCGCAAGCCTGCACGACGCGAGAGAGGAGGTCCAGGCTGGGCCGTCGCATAAATTGACTCAATCCCGCACGCGGTGGCGTCCGTTAACCTTCTAAGCTTGTAATTAGACTGGCTGAGCTGCGAAGCTTGAAGACCACCAAGCAGCCAAGCGCAGCCAAGGCTGTAATGGCGTCCACTAGCTGTTCGTGTGGTGCCGTCGGCATCTCCTGACCGATTGCTAGCACTTGGCCAGATTGGCAGCTCCTCGTGGCAGACGCAGGTGGTGCTGGGGGCAGAGAAGTGCTTCCGCTGATCCGGTCAAGTATCGAGAGGTGGTACGGAAGGACGGTGAAGACCGCCCCATGACTGCATGGCGGAGGAGATCGTGCATCCTTCGCGATTTCTCTTATCGTCGCAGCATCCTGCTAATATACAGATCGCAGAATCTATCTACAAAGGTTAAAAAAGAACGGGAAGCATGCTGATCCTGCAATCCGTCTTGTTCGGGACAGAGTTGCTCTAGCGAAAGCGATGGATTACGGCCAAGAATAGCTTGCTGCGATCGAGTAAGCACACTGTTGCGACGTAGTGCGAGGATCGAATCATGTGTATAAGCGAGGGTAGGGTAAACAACTGCGAGGCTGCGATTGCTTCCACGTAGACATCTGTGGACTGCAATTATGCAGGCGTTACTTGTCCACTCCGGGCTGAGATACATCAGACGAGGTGGAGCTATGGATGAGGATTCAACTTTTCAGGCACATGCATGCGTAATCGTCTGCCTACTTCTACCCTACCACTCCTCTCAATCAATGCTCTTCCTCCCATTGACTCCCATCGCAATGCATCCTCTTACGAAAGCACCTTCTCCCTCAGCATGCCCAAGAACTGCGGTCCACTCACGCCCTGATCCGCCCGATCCTCGACCAACAGCGTCTGCGCCCACAATCTCAGACTAGGCTCCCCGTCCTCCCGAATAAGGTAGAGCGGAGGCAAGACAATGCTGCCGCAGCCTTTACCCCTGTGATCGCGGCTCTTCTCCACGACCGCGCGGACACGCTCGTTCATCTCGGACTCGAGGACCGGGAGGCTAGTCTTGCCCTGCTTGAGCGCGTTCTTGTCGTCGATACCGAAGACGTCGTTGATGAGGGCCGGGACAGCGTCGCGGCCGAGCCAGAGGAACTGTGTCTGGCCGTCGTCGATGAGGTAGAGGCCGTACGGGACGAGGTTGCCGGAGGTGAGATTGAGGGCTGGTGGCATTGTGATGGCTCCAGTCTCGGCGTTGGGGAGGCCGGCGTCGTCTGGCATGTCGTGCAATGAGTACAGTCGAGGGTAGATGTACTGGATGAGTAGGGGCAGCGGCAGCGTCGAGAGCAGGCAGAGGGCTGCCGAGCGAAGATCGGTAGGTATTTGTGCGGACTTTCTCAAGCCGAGCTGTGATAATGTCAGTTGATCAGTCGTGCTTGGAGACCTTGTGCGGCGCAGCTTACGTTCTTCATCAGACCCAAGAACAACATCGGCAGTGCTCTCAAGTTCGCAGGGAATTGCAAGCCTCCACCGCCCATGTTGCCGCCTCCCAACTCCTTCTTGTACGTCTGGAGCAGCTCGATCATCTTGGCTTGCACAGCATCTCTCGCTGCATCCAAACCACTTCCCAGTGCCCGCTCGACGGCCTTGTGCGAGAAGTACGCGGTGATGGCCTGCGGGTCCGCCGACGAATAGACTTCCGCGAGATTCTGCGTGGTCGGAATGCTGAGCGTGAGTACACGGATCCGTCGCTCGCCGTTGCACGTGGTATGCAGGACGCCGGCTTGCAAGCAGGCAAACGCCTTGGTAACAGTCTCGTCGATCGCGATCTCGACCACGTACGCTTGGTCTCGTGGCATGGATGGGAAAGCGCACAGGTCGCTGGATCGGTTGAAGAAGTTGCCGTAGAAAGCGCTTGGCCGTAGGCCGGTCGTGGTTCGCACTCGAAGGACAGCCTCCAGGCCGATCTCTGACGAGAGGTAGTCGCTGAACTCGGTCGCGAACTTGATCGCGTCTTCTGTCCGCGCCGCGTTCCAAGCCGGGTAGAAGTACGTTTGCCCACCAGTGTAACGTGGTAGGTTGCTCAGACTCGCAACATCCTGGTACTGCGCGCTGAACAAGAACATGTCGATGCTGACCTGTGTCTTACTGCACTCGACTGCGAAACTCTTGTAGAACGACGACTGTGTCTGCAACAAGCCATTCTCCTTGCTGGTGCCCAACAGCTTCTTGTCCTCTCGCATCTCGAGCTTGCCGTATCCCACGTTCGGGATGGAAGCAGACAGGACGCACATCTTGCCTCCAACGTGGCTGATGAGCTTGTGTCCAGCACGGAGCGCGCTGCCCATTGCAGAGCTATTGTCCTGGGTCTGCGCGAACATGCTTTGGAGCTTCTCCAGGAAGGACTCAATGTTGGCTCTGCATTCGCTCAAGTTGACAAGAAGGTCTTCTGGTGTCGGCAGGAATGGCTCGTCCAAGTCACTGACCACAAGCATCCTCGCGTCGTTGTTCTCGCCACCATCACGAGGGATGCTGAAGTAGTGAAGCGAGCCGTCTACCGCCATAAACCCCAGTCGCGTCCGCCTGTCTGCATTTGGTATCCGGTCAAGACTTTCCAGGATGCATCGTGCTGCGGTCGCCAGAAGTCCGCTAGTGACACCAGCGTAGCTCACGTCCAGCAAGAAGAGGTATATTAATGGCTGCGGCGCCCGGACCATGTACTCTTGTGGTGCGACAAACTCAGTGACAGAGTAATTGAGTTCTGGTCGCTGCCATCGGTCCACCGGCTGCTGCTTCACACTGTCCCAGTCGAAACTCTGCGGCACGTCGTTCGTGAGGTTGCACATATTACACCTCCACCTGTGGCTGTGGTCCAAAAAGCTGGCGAAAGGATTTATGTATGTCCTGCACCTTCTGCAGCGGGCTATCACTTGGTCGTATTGAACTGGGACGTCGTCTTCGGAGTCGTGGAGGGTAGCGTATGGCTGGATGATGAGCGCGAACGGAAGCTTGCTCTTCTTGAGTAGCGAGGAGGTCGTAGGCATCGCATTGAGCGTTGAGCGAATGTATTTGGGAGGGCAATTGGCGTGTGGTGATGGAGTCACGGACGCCTGTAGAATATGTCAACTACGCTCGGCCTTCTGGAATCCTTCTCATACTCACGTTCGGCGGAAGTACGATTGGCGGTGGAGGCTGGTCAAGGTCTGTAACGTGAAATGGCTGCCCCTGAGGACCAATATCAACGGGCTGCAGAGGATTGAGTCGCATCTGTCCTGCAGCTGCAGCTGGAGCCGGGCCACCACCGACGCTCATCTGCTGGAATTGCTGTGTCACCGGTGCCATGCCGGGCTGCTGTCCAGGCGGCTGGTAACTGTCCTGCGGAGGTTGGTAGCCGCCTTGCGGTGCACCATACTGAGGCTGCCCGTACTGCGGTTGAGCCTGAGCCATGCTCGGGTCGGGATACCCAGGCTGCGCTGGCTGTTGAGGTTGCGGCATTCCGTACGATGGCTGTTGTTGCATAGGCTGCTGACCAGGAAAGCCATATCCTCCACCTGGAGCAGGTGGCGACCCGGGATACTGCTGTCCACCGGGTTGCTGTCCGCCTAACGCAGCGTTTGCTCCAGCGCCGAACTCGTAGGCCTGTCCTGCGTATCTGTCCCTCTTCTTCTTGCCTCCAGCGGCTGGAGGACCGCCGGCTTGCTGCCCATCCTGCTGGTATCCTCCATCTTGACCCTCCGGATCAGGAGGCCCATCGCTGTACGGTTGTTGCGGAGCAGACATGGCTGGGTTGTTTTGCTGCGACTGTCAGAGCCTTGTTCGCCAACGTCTGTGCAAAATGGTTCGAATGGACGTCGGTAGAAGGCGACAACCGGGACCGAGGGACAGTGGAGTAATTGAGAAGAATCGGATCCCGTGGTTACCGTACAGCTGCCCTTGGTGGTCGATAATGATGTTGGAGCTTGAACAATTTCACATGAACCGCATTGGTTCGGACCGTCCCTAGTAGCACCAAACGCCAATCGATGGAGTGGTGAGCTGGGTGTTTGCGGTTGTCGTGTGGTGGGTAAGTGGTCTCAATGCTTGTGGTAGTTGCGTCGTTGCCTTATGTTGTGCTGTCATCTTCTATGAAGGTGCATGTGCGCTTGCGATGTGGCTCGTGCGCGACTCTTTAGGGAAATAATAAAGGTGTCAGAAACAAGACTACAACAGACGCTTAACGTCTCCATCTCCGGCAGGCGAGCGAAATTGAGCTCAGGTTCCGTGCATAGCAGCTTTCTCCGACTCCCAAGGACTGTGAGAACACTTACTATACAACTCTTCGACCGTTGTGGGTGTTCAAACCGTCGTGATGGGAGAAGTGCTTGAGCCGCGAGCAGTTCGACCGAGCCTAGGCGGCCAGGAGTACATCTACAACAACACACACAAAATGTACAACGCAGGGCAGAACATGATTAAAGAGTATTTACAGCTGTATACGCGATCAGTCCTTCTTGTGCCCAACCTTGCCAGCTTTTCTCAATCCAAAAAACGCAATAACAACCGTCGCCAGAATCTGGGCAAAACAGAACCAGAACGTGGCATTGTAGCCCGCCAGCAATGCCGCCGGACTTTTCTTGTTCTCGTAGTCTGAGTTCTCCGTCACAGCAGAAGCGATGACGGCGACCAGAGCTATGCCGACACTCTTGCCCACTTGAGCAACGGTGTTGAAAACTCCGCCGGCCAAGCCGTGAGTCCTCGGCGGAAAGACGCTGGTGATCAGCAGGTTGGCGACGACGTAGAGTGAGTCGGCTCCAACCGGGTTGAAAGCGTTTGAGAGGAAGGCGTGCGACCAGTATGAGCTGTTGACCTTGGCGAAGGTCATGACGAATGGGCCGAAGGCAGATATCGTACACCCTCCCAGGACCAGCCAGTTGGCCGAGATGCGGTGGACGATGAAGCCTATTACTATGTTGCTCAACGCACCCGACACCGGCGCTGGTAGGAAGTAGAGCGAGGACTTCGTTGCCGAAAGTTCCTGGACGTCTTGGAAGAAGAATGTGAGCATGGTTTCGATGGCCTGAGAAAAGGTCAGTATTGCATCAATGTACATCACTTGGAGGACTAGTCTCACGTTGAAAGATCCCCAGGTTAGGAACACTGCAACACACATCGCTGTGAAGGCAGTGTTTTTCCATAGAGAATTCTTTCACGGTCAGCACGGCTTGCGATACCTTCACCCGAGCTGACTTACAGGTATGATGGCAGGTTTGTTCAGCTTTTCCCTTCGGCCAACCCACCATATGAAGACAGGAATGAGTCCAAACGCAACAACAAGCAGCACAATGCTTTCTGGCTGCGCTATAGACGCGTTGGTACCCGTTATGGTACTGTTACAAGTCAGCCTTCGTTACCGATGTAGCATCCGAAGTACCCACACAAAGACGTAGGACAAGGCAGCCAGAGAGACACTGGCGATGAGAGCTCCCACCCAATCAATGTCATGCTTGATCAGCATCCACTTCTGGCGCCACGTGAGATCCGCTGCACCCTGGCCCTCCAGCGGAGAGTCGATAGACTTTGGCAGTCCGAACAGCGCAACAGCGAAGATGGCGGCATCGAAAACGGCAGCCAAATAGAAGCCCCATTGCCATCCAATGCCGTCAGTCAGAAAGCCACCGACCGTGAGTCCAACAGCAAACCCAATAGGTTGGCCGCCGCCCATCGCGGCGAAGGCAAAGTCCCGTCTCTTGCCCACAAAGGAGCGGGTTATTATCGCCACCGCGCTCGGCAGGCAGAAAGACAGAGCGACTCCGCTGAGACCGCGGAACAGGATGATCTGTGTGCTCGTCTTGCTGAGCCCGCATCCAAGCACGAAACCTGCCTGGAGCACACAGCCGACCAGATACATGAACCTCGACCCGAGAGCGTCCGACACGGACCCGGCGATGAGAAGAGTACAGCCATTCGTAAGGGCTTGTATCGAAGAAGGCCAGAGCTGAAGTGGCTTTGGTATGTCGAGTTCCTTTGCCATGGCAGGGAGCGCAACAGTCGTCAAGCCATTGAGGAGTGTCGAGATAGCCGTGATGAGCGTAACGCACGCAATGATGACCGTGGTTCGCGACTTCGACGTGACGGTGTCTGTCCGCTCGAGGATGTGCAAAGACTGTACGTCTGCGGTGCCGTCATATGATGGTCTGTTGGTGGAAGCTCGACTTGATCGCCGTAAAGAATTCGTTGTTTTGGCTATTGCTTCTGGTGGCTGCAGTGCCGTGAGCTCTATTTGCGTATGAGACATGTTGTAACGGACGATTTTAGTCCTTCGGATAAGGTGGAAGGCCGAATGAAGAATGACTGAGTGAATGAAAACTCTTGGAGTGAGTTCAATGAGTGAAAGGTTCAAGAAGTTCTGAAGTTGTCGAAACCGTGCCGCCTTCCCCACTTCAGGACTCACTTGCCTTCAGCCTTATGACCTGCCCTAGGGTTGACAAGTGGAAACGGAGACCTTGGACGCGTTGCTGCGGATGGTCTCAACAGATTGCTGCCGACGTAAGTGCGGAGGCACTCGAGCACAATAATCCGGTTGGCCCATGATTGACACTGTGACCCAACGTGAGCATCCAGAATCCAAGCTCTATGGCATCTACACGCTCAACACGAAATCAAACGCTACGCCACCACATCATACATCATCAAACGCAGGCGGCTCTCCAGGATCATCCGGCACAACCAACTGCATGATATCCTGCGTCCTCGGCCCAGTATACTTCTTCCTCGCTCCCGCCCACCACCAACTCAACGAGAACAGCCCAACAAAAGCCGCCACGACAATGGCATAGTTCATGTTCGTCGCTGTGATCGGTCTGGTCGTCGGGAAGAACAACACCACGCTGATGAAGAGAACCCAGCTGATCGCGAGGATGTTGAGAGGTTTGCTGAGTCTGCCGAGCGTAAATGGACCTTCGATGAAGTGGACTCTGCCTGAGTAGACCAGATGAGCGAAGAGGACGGCGATGTAGCTGAGGTCTAGACAGGGAGCGCAGAGGTTGAAGATGGCGTAGATGGTTTCGGTCGAGCCCAAGCCAATGAGGTTCAGGCACCCACAGAAGGTGGTGACGAGCCAGACGGCGTTCACTGGTGTTCCGGTCACCGCGTTAATCTTGCTCCAGACGTTCGAGAAAGGTAGAGCTTCGTCTCGCGCAAAAGCGTAAGTCATGCGTGCGTTGGCCAGCAGCGCGGAAGCACCGGTGAAGAACTGCACGAGGATGACGAAGAAGAGCATCGCCGTGCCGCCGCTTCGACCGCCAGCATTTAAGAATATCTGCGCGATTGGCAGACCGGTGGGTGAGCCAATAATGTCCTCGACGTAGTTCTCCGTCAAGCAGAAGCCGAAGGTAATGTTCAGCAAGAATCCAAGCACGCCAGATACGAAGACCGCAAGCCGGATGGCAAGTGGGCCACGAATGGCGGCGTCGTGCGTCTCTTCCGACATGTGCGTTGTGCCGTCATAGTCTGTCATGACCCAAGCGACGTTCAGAAAGCCCAGCAAGAATGAGAAGCCTTTGCTGTCCCAACCTGAGCCATCTGTGATCTCTGTGAAGACGAATGTGGCACTTCGCTTGTCCGGTGTCAACACGAGAAGAGCGATGCAGATGCTGATGGTAGCCAGCACGTTGATCGGCGCAAAGACGAGAATGATGCGGTGCAGTGCTCGTGTTGTGAGGGAGCATACGGTCCCAAATATCACCAGGGTAAGCAGTGCGACCAACACCGTTTGGTAAGGCTTCCTGTGACCTGTCAGTGCCTACCCTACCAATTGGAGAGTGGAATGACTTACGGAGCATAAGCATAACTTCCATCCGCATATCGCGAGTTCATGCTCGCGCCAGCCAGAATCATCTGGCCGATCGTGTACGCGAGCGAGGCAACCCCAGTAGCTTGGCCAAGGAAGTTACACCACCCAATCACCCAGGCCCAGATGGCAACATGCTCCTTGGGCACAACATGCTTCGTGACAAAGTACATTCCGCCAGCGGTAGGGTATGCAGAGACCAGCTCTGCCACGCAGCTCGCTATGACATACGCCATGATGCTGCCGACGAACCATGCCCATACTGCCGTAGCCGGACCCCCTAGGCTTATCGGTATACCATATGTTGCTGGTTGCGATCCAAGCACTCCGAGGATCGAGATGGCATAGGAGACTGTTGACCACTTCGTGAACTCTCGCCGAAGCTCCTGTATTCCGTCAGATCGTTCACTGAGGGGGTCTTCAGAAAGTGCTGGCGCCTACCTGCCGATATCCAATGCGCGCAAGCAGTCGTTCGTCGTCATCTTGTATAGTCGCCATTGGGCGTGTCAATATATTGGCGCTTTTGTTCCCTTCATTGACCTGCCGCCGTTCAGAAGCCTTCTTGTCAGTGCTTCGTCTCTCATCAATCGCATTCGGATCATCCATTGTCGGCCACAAGCTCCAGCGCGCAGAAACGGACAACGCACAGAAAAAGCAACGAGCGTCGAGCTTGAACCACAGACATCAGAAACAATGGGAGACAGAGATATGAGTAAAGAAACAAGCGGTCAGAAACACCCACTGATTCGTCAAGTCAAAGGTCCATCGCTCCGTGCGGTGGACATGACAATGGACCCCAGCAAGCAAGCAAGCAAGCATGCCCAAGTATCCAACAACTGGCGCAGGCAGGCCCGGGATGCCGTCTGCGTTCGAGGACCAACAGCGCTCGCTCGCGAACATGGCCTTGCTCTTATCGACTGCTGGACACCCCAGACCGTGCCGCAGAAGGCTCACAACGCGATAGCAAGCCAGCAACTCCGAGAGGTCAGAGAGATCTGGACTCGCGCCAGCAGCAGCCTTCGCAGGGGACCCTCGCAGATAATTATCCCGACGCCATGAGTCCACGAGCCGGGCGGGCTCACGGCAAAGTGTCAAGGGCAGTTTCAAGTGCCGCGAGCTAAAGCAAGATGATGTCCCTGCGGCGGAAAATTTGCAACGGTCAGGGAGGAAGATGGTGTCAAGATCCGGGGTGTTGGTGTTTCGGCCGACAACTTGGCCCACGAGGCGAGCATGGCGGTGAGGAGGCTGCCACGTCGATGCTGGACTATCTCGAAGGTGCCGACATGTATGCACGTTGTTGGTGGGAAGATAAGCGTGCAGAGGTAATGGTGTTCGGTAGGTGGAGGGTAATTGAGAAGCGCACGTGGATGTGGATCGCTTGAGCAGCATGCATCCACACGGTACGTACAACCGGCTGCACACCTGACATTCGTGTTGTTGGTATGTACCGACGGACACCAATAGTCACGAAAGCAGAAGGACAAAGAGACAAGATGCAATGTGAGTGGTCGCAACTGCACATCGACAGGCTCCTAGCATTAGATACCGGCAAATAGCAAAGTCTTAGTAGGTACAATCTGCATTGCAGTCTCTCTTCGCCCAAGCTCTCCAACAGATCATACTCTACACACACGCGAGATGCTGCTCGGCATCCTCTCCGCCTTGTGAACGCCTTGATGTTTATAGATCAGGCTCCACTCCATTACTCTACTTCGCCTTGGCCAGACCGACGGCGTTGTTGCCGACGTCGTAGACGGAGTACCACCTCCTCAAGAACGCGTCACCGAGGATGACAAGAGGACCCGCCGGCGCAGGGATGTCCATGCCGAAGAAAGCACTGATGCAGCTGCCTGAGACCTCGAGGATGTAGTCGTACGGACCGATGGTGAAGTTGTGGCCGGTGAGAGTGAAGGTCATGTCGGGAAGCGAGTCGCGCTTGTCGCACTCGACGGTGTACTGGCCGCTGAAGGACTTCTTCGCCCCAATCTCACGGTTGAGCAGCTCGGCAAAGGTGGTTGGCATGGCGATGAGCGAAGTACCAGTGTCGAGAATCACACCAGTGTCGTCAATCTCAGCGGTCTCCTTGCCGAAGGTGATAGCGTCGAGGTCGACCTCCCAGTATGCCTTCCTGCGCAGCGGAATCTTAACCATCTCGCCGGTGTAGTGGTCCTTGTTAACACCACCGAACATGGCCTCGGACTCAGCACCCTCATCGTTGGTGTCGCTGAGGTAGAAAGAGAAGACCGGCTCGTCAAGCAGGTCTTGGTCGAGCATGTTGTAGAATGGAGGCACGATGCCGTTGACAGAGATGGTGTCGTACCCAAGACCCATGATACCGTCGAAGCGGCCGAACGCAAAAGCGAGACCTGGCTCGGACGTCGCCTCCGCGAAGTCTTGATGCTCGATCTCCAAGTCACCAATGCGGAAGGTGTCCTGGCTGACGTAGCCCGACAACGAGCCGGAGCCATATCGGATCTCGAACTCGGAGCCGTTTTTCTTGTACGTGCTCGAGTCGCTGTGGTCGTACTTGGAGTGCAGGTAGCAGGCAATGGAGCCGCAGTCCTGGCTGGGCACCCACAGGTTGGAGCTGCCGGTGTCGAGCACAACCTTGAAGTCCTGTGGTGGCGTTCCAATGGAGATCTCGGAGAAGTACTGCGCGTTCAGGTAGTTGCTCACGGCAACTGGATGGCCGCTGCTCTTCTCCGGCTGGATAGAGTACTCTCCCTCCTTGTTGCCAAACAGCTCTTCAAGGTGCTTCTGCGGCCTCACGCCCATGTACTTCTGGCCGAGCGCCTGCATGTGGTCGCCGAGATTGGCATGCTTGAGCTGCTCTGATAGCGGGACCTTCTTGAGAGGCATCTAATGATGGTCAGCTCATCTGTTTCCTGTCAGGCAACAACGTTCAAACACACCTTGTGGACGCCGGCGCTGGCGGAACCAGCCGCCATAGCGGTAGCGAAAAGCGCGGTGCCCTTCATGATTGCGGTGATGGGTGGTGTTGATGGGTGATGGGGTGGGTGATGGGAGGGTGGAGGTAGAGTCGAGAGAGAGCTTCCAACACGAGGCGTCAGCGAGCTGGCTGGGAAACGGCGATGACGCTTGGGGGTGGCGCCTGCTCGCCTTGGCTGAGGTCTGTCCAATCAGTGCCCTCGGCGTATCGGCGCGCGGTTCCTCCGGTAAGGTGCCTATTCCCTCAAGCCAAAGACAGAAACAGGTGCGATATAAGGCCACCTTGGGATGAATACATGCACGATGGACGGCCTGCTTCTTCAATATTCACATTCCCGTTTGAATGATAGGACCACCAACAGCATCCTCACCTGCTATGGACAGTCGCAACGGCTATAAGCTACCGGCCTATCTTTTTCCAGCACGCTCCATGGTCCTGTATACATCTCCTTCGAGTCTCCGCCTCTCGAGCTTGGATACAGTGTCTTCAGAGTCCACCACGAGAGACAATAGTGCAGATGTACCGGGAGCAAAATAATAAGGTAGCAATACGATCGAAAGAGCCCTAACCCCGCTTGCTCTTGCTTGCTCGTCTCCAACGCCGAAAGGGGCAGGTACCGGGACCACGTGAAAAGCTCGCTGCTTGCATTGGTCGTGGAGATGGTCCAAAGCCTTTGCCAATCTTATAAGAATCTACATGTAAGGCAAAAGAACCCCTGTAGAGTCTCCAATTTGTAAGTCGTTCTTACGAGCATGATGCTGTTTCCACGCTTCTTAATCCTGTCAACCCTCGCTTTCTCCCAATTCACAGCAAGTCTCAACATCACAAGATCTAAACCTCATGCCGCTCTTGCTCCCTCGCCTCTTCCTCCCTCCCACGCCCACAGCGATGGCGAGGCCATAATCACCGCCTTCCAGACACTTGGCCGCACCACGCCTTGGACCTGGGTACAAAACATCACATTCGAAGGCGACACCTACGAACCAGAAGGCATCGTCCGTCTCGGCGCGGACCGCTACATTGTCAGTGCAGGCGAGTATACTGCTCCCACAGTCCCGTACAACAAGACGATCAACGGCACGGACAGGACTGCTGGAGCCGGTTTCGCGCATCTGATTGTTTTCGGTGGCGATGGCAGTAGGATCGCGGACGCTACTGTGACTCGCGAAGGCGATATCGAGTACCATAATGGTGGACTCGATTGGGATGGTGAGAATTTGTGGGGTGCGATCGCGCAGTACAGACCAAATAGTACTGCGTACGTCTACAAGGCTGATCCAACGACCTTGGAACCAAAGACCGTGGTACACTACGACGACCACCTGGGCGGCGTCGTCCATGTAAGTAGTCGCACCCAACACTCACCCTTCTCATCTTCAATCCGCTAACACCTCACAACTAGGACAAAACCTTAAACTCCATCACCGCCCTAAACTGGGGCTCCCGCAACGCAACAACCTGGCACCTCCACCCCCACAGCCCTCCCAGCGCCCCGGCCACTCCTGTTCGCAACCCCTCCTTCTACATCGACTACCAAGACTGCAAGTTCCTCGGCCACTCACCCACCTACTCCGGCCGACCCATCATGCTCTGTGGCGGCGTCTCAACCCTCGTCTCCAACGGGAACGTTTTCTACCTAGGCGGCATCGCTCTGGTGGATGTCGAGATGATGGTGCCTGTGAGCGAGGTGCCGATTACGCTGACGAGTGCGAGGGGGGTACCTTTGACGCAGAACCCGATTGATGCGTCTGTGAGCAAGGAGGGGAGCTTGAGGTTGTATTTGTTGCCGGATCAGAGGGAGAGCACTCTTTATGTTATTGAAGCGTCGGGGTAGTCCGCGTGTATCTCTGTTGGAGGTTGGCGGGCTGGTGTTGACGGTTCTTGAAAGCTGTAGAGAAAACATTTACGAAAGACACAAGCTTCAGTACTCTAGCCGACAATTGCTCCTGATCCACCAAACAATCCCACCTCGTGTGAGCCATGTCAAGAACAAGTGACTTCGATTTCGTCCCACCCAGATTCCATCCTCGGCCAACTCAATCAGCGAAACGCTAGAACGTCATACCAGCAACTTGCATTTTTTTGATTGTTAGTCCAGAGCCCCAGATACTGGAAGTATAAAGACTTCTCAGCTTAGTCTCGAGGACATTGGCGATCAATACTATCGTTCAGAAGCGACAGAAATGGCTCCTAAACTCTTCATGTGAGCGACCACCTAGCAGATCTACCGTTGACTTCACAAGCTAACCCAGAGCCAGTACTGGAGGCACGGGCTACATCGGAGGCACAGTGCTCGACACCATCGTCAAGACGCATCCAGAATACGACGTAACGGCCCTGCTTCGCAACGTTCCATCCAACTTCTCCACCCGCTACCCGAATGTACATATTGTTAAAGGTGACTATGACAGCACCGACATCATCTCAGATGCTGCTTCGAAGGCAGAGATTGTCGTTCGTGAGCATTTCTATACCGATGCCATCCAAGCTAAGCATGACTGACGGTTCTCCCAGACAACGGCAACTCCGACCACCAACCCTCCCTCCAAGCCCTCATCACCGGCCTCCTCCGCCGCCCCACCCCCTCCTACCTCATCCACCTCTCCGGCACAGGCATAGTCGCCGACTGGCGCACCCCGACCTACCTCACCACCTTGAACCCAAGAATCTGGTCCGACATCCACGACCTCGCCGAAATCACCTCCCGTCCCCAAGGCGAGCTCCACCGCCACACCGACGCCCTGATCCAATCTTACGTCTGCTCTCACCGCGATAAGCTGAAGACCGCTATTGTCTGCCCGCCAGATATCTACGGACCGGGTCGCGGGCCGGGGAGGACGCAGAGTGTGTATTTCCCGCTTTTCTGGAATGAGATTCAGAAGGTTGGGGCGGCGTTTTATGCGGGCGAGGGGACGAATAGGCGGAGCTGGGTGCACGTGGAGGATTTGATGGGGGTTTATTTGAAGTTGGTTGAGGCTGCGGTGGCGGGGGGTGAGGGGGCAGAGTGGGGTGTTGAGGTAAGCGGCAACCAAGACTTGTGATGGGTTTTGTGAGGCTAATGGTTGTAGGGTTACTACTTCGCTTCCTCGCAAGAAGCGTCGCAGATCGAGATCGCGAGAGCCGCCGGCAGGATTCTGAAGGATCAGGGCCGCATCGAGAGCGAGGAGCCAATGCAGGTCTCCCTTGATCAGGTCAACACGATGCTGGGTGATCGCATGCCGGGCTTGGGGACGTACATGTTTGCTGCGAATTCGCGGACGCGCGCTGATCGAGCGAAGAAGCTGTTTGGGTACGAGCCGAGTCATCCGAGTCTGTGGGATACCATGGAGGCAGATCTGCTGGCTTGCTTGAAGTAGATGTCTTGTAGTGATTCTCGTATGGATGCTGGCCATGAATGCTGAATTTGGCTTGCTCTCCGTGGTGGCTTTCACGGTGGTTCCGCATCGGACTCATCCTCCTCGTTCGGTGGTGCCGGGTTCTCTTGAACAGTTTCTGCGGTCTGCGAGCTGGGAGGACGTGGACCATTAGCGGCTGGGCGAGTGTTCACAGCATCCGTTGATACAGGCGCAGCAGGGCTTGCACCGGGTACTGTAGATCCGCCAGGAGTGTCGCAGGTAAGATGCACAGTTGCCATTTGGTTCACACCGCCAGAACCATTCATAACAATACCCTTCGGCACAACATACCCCTCAGGAATTTTCCGCTTGTAAGGCCTCTTCGGGCGCGGGTCCTCAAACGCTGGTTCAGCCTCCAACGCTCGCTTGCGGATCTCGTCTTTGTCGTCGGGTGCTGCGTACTTCTTGATGCCGTAATACGGGACGCGATCTGTCTCCCCTTTCTTTTGCTTGACGGCAGAGAAACGTTCAAGAAAGGCGGCTTGTGATCTCTCTTCTTCGTTCTTTGCATTTGCCTTGGCGGCGGCGAAGCGCGCGGTCTGCTGTTCTGTGAAGCGATCGCTTTCAGTCAGAGGAGTTCTAGATGTGCTAGCCATAGTAGAGCTCCCAGGTATGGTGATAGCATTGATGGCTGAAGAGCCCAGCGCCGTAGGGGCAGCAACTTGCTGTCGTGGTCGCGGAGCTGCCGGTCTGCCAACCAGTCTCGCTCGTGACAGCCCGACCACGTCGAGTATTTTGCCAGCTCGCCGAGGGTTGTGGGCTAGTCCAGGCTCCGTGATGTATACCTGACTGCCAAGATCCGTGGTCCAATTACAGCTGTAGTATGCATTATCGAGCCTGACGAAAGGGTTACTGCTGTGTAAATCCGACACTTCGAGCTGGCCGAGTGAACCCGAGTCTCTATCCGAGTGGCCCAATGCACTTCTGTTGGATGGCCCTGGGGCTCCCTCGTTCACACCGTCGTCATCAGCACCCTCCTCCAGGAGCGTCTGTGCTGCAGCGGTTGCCTTGGCATCGTTTGTGGTCAAGTCCAAGGTGAAGTAGAATTCCTCAGTCTCAAACGGATGGTACTCATACTCGTACTCGTCCTCGTCGTTCACACCAAGCCCGTTCTTGTTTTGGATGCTGTAGGCGCTCTTGGTGATGCCGTTCGGAGATCCTGACTCGGGTGCACCCATCGCTGTAGCAGGTCGGGTTTCATCTGCCGGCTATTTGCGCTTCGTCCTCATCTTAGCTCGCGTCGACGTATCACTGCGACTCCCCGAAGCACGTCCTCCGACTGCAGGCTGCAGATATTGTGTTGGTGTTCCGAGGCCGTGCAAAAGGATGAAGTCCAATTCGCTGTCTGTCTATTTTCGGCACCGCATCGGCTGCAGCCGACGGGACCCTGCTTTTGGCGACGACGACGACATCTCGAGCTCTTCCATCGTCCTCGACATCCATCAGGCAGCGACTTACCAGAGATCGCCAAGTATACAATATCGGCGGCTCATGCACTCGACCGGCACGTCCACAGTCGACAGGACTCATTAGCCCGTACCAGGACGGTGTATTGTGCCACGTTCCTCACCGCATGCCACCTCGGCGGGGTCGAATTATCGTTCGATGTCAAGGGTTTAAGCTTACTCAAGCTTCGGGACATATCAAAGAGTAACCGCCACGACAGTCTACGCTCTCGGATCTCCATTCACCGCGAGAAGCTGGATCCGTCGGCGCATACGCAGTGAAGGCTGGCCACCTTCGCACACTCGCTCGTCGATTACAACTCGACCACAACGCTTATCGATAGCCCGCATATGCTTTAGCGCATTCGCGTGTCAGGTCAGATCGTCGCCGCCGGCTTCCGGCTGATCCAGCCTCGCAGGCACCCAGATTCCAACTCCACGGCAGTCCTCAAGTCACGCGGCTCCGCCTCTCGGGTGTCCGTCGTTACCGCTCGCTCGTTGCTTTACAATCATCAGTTCTCCTGACTGCCTCTCGACCTATTCCTTGCGCAGTCGCGTACCGCCCGAATCCGTATTCATCCCGGCCATATCCGCCCATCTGCACTCGATCTTACGACGCTTAGAGCATTCTCACCTCCGCAGCTCTACCTAAGGCATCTCTGACACTCTCGACTCTTCAACAGATCATTCGTCAGCTTCTGGAGCAGTGACACAACTTTAACACCATTAGCGACAGAGTCCTAGGCATATCTATCACCAGATGAACATACTATAGGGTCGACTTCCCGGACCACAGCCGGGAGTGTTGCGACCGCCATTCACTACCGCCAACCCGCCAGGTAATGCCACGCCCTGGCCGCAAATGCTTCGCCGGCTTCATTGCACTCGCTTTGGGCTATGTCGCTATCAATGGGCTTGTCGAGCACATCACGAAGCACTCCAACCCGTCCGAGAAGCTAGAGGAGGCGGAGTTCATCGCAAGCAGTAAGCATTGGATAGACAAGCAGTTATGTCGCTGGATCGGTGCCTGCGGAACCTTCCACTTGAACAGCAACGGCTGGACGTGGAACAGCGAGGACGATGACGTTCCTCCTAACATCCCGGACTTCAGCCACTTTTGGGATACCGATGAAGATCCAGACTCGTGGTCAGATGAAGAGAAGGAGAAGCGGGAGATACCGCAATACGTCTACGACCATGCGCCGTATGTTCATTTGTTCTCCGATGAACACTTCTGGCCGTGCGATCTTGCCGAACATCTAGCGCATGTTGCGCCACGCATGAATTATACAGATATCCCGCATTGGAACCGTGGACACGGCCTTAACCTTACGAATTTGAAAGACTTGAACGATTATGAAGGAGGAATTCACGGCAGGTTCGTTTACTTACAGAGTGAAGACAACGTCGAAGAACGCCCGGAGTGGCTCGGCGGAGCGCAACACATACCTAAGCTGCCCGATCTTCGCTTCAACAACGACGATGATGACGCGCAATGGCCCGAACCAGAAGACGAATACGATCATGGTCATGCAGCAAAGCAGCAAGCGGCTATTCATTCAGAGTATCAGGACGATGAGGCAAAGCAAGCCGACTTCAGCTTTTGGCCGACCGCACCCACACCTAGTGAGAATGGTAGGTGCGGAGGCAACACTGGCTTCACTTGCAAGGGCAGCAGGTTTGGCAAATGCTGCTCCATCTACGGCTGGTGTGGCAGAGGTGAGGAACACTGCGGCCAAGCGTGCAACATCATGGCTGGAGCTTGCAACGATCCATTCGAACCCATTCCGAAGCCGCGGTCTGACCTTAAAAGACGTAACATACAACAGCAGTCCGAGAAGTATCGACCGGATCAAGCTGGTCGTTCCTCAGCTCCAGCCTTTCTGATAGTTGTGCCGAAGAAGGATGGCGTCGTGGACGCTTTCTGGTTCTTCTTCTACTCCTTTAACCTTGGCCAGAAAGTCTTCAACATCCGCTTCGGTAACCATGTTGGAGATTGGGAGCACACCATGATCCGCTTCAAGCATGGCAAGCCGACCGCAGTCTTCATGTCCGAGCACGACTTCGGCAGTGCCTACCGCTGGCACGCGCTGGAGAAGTACACTGTCAATCCTGATGGTAGCGGAACCATGATCGGCACTTGGAGCAACAACACCGCTGCCAAAGTCGCACAGCGTCCCGTTGTCTACTCTGCTGTCGGCACGCACGCAATGTACCCTACTCCTGGCCTGCATCCGTACATTCTGCCCTACGGTCTTTTGCACGATCAAACTGATCGCGGACCTCTGTGGGACCCGACGTTGAATCTGAACTCATACACCTGGGACATGGAGGAGAAGAAAGTCCGCGCCGCTACCAGCAACCCCAAGCTCGCTACCAGATGGTTCGACTTCGCCGGCCACTGGGGCGACAAGTATTACCCTCTCTCCGACCCACGGCAGTATCGCTTCGCCGGTCAATATCACTACGTCAACGGTCCGACTGGTCCCAGGTTCAAGAACCTTGCTCGAGAGAGCGTATGTCTGACCAAGAAATGCCATGTCCGGTACTGGGTCGGCGACAGCAGGATCAAGCACCTCCCGCTGGAGGAAGGGGAGGAGGAAGGTGGTTTGCCGGGCGGCAACTCGACGGATGGCGAACATTGAATGTTTTATCTGGCATGCACATAGAATCTGGAGTTGCTTTGCGAGTTGGATGACGGGCTTGGATTATGATACCCTTCTGTGTTCGGCGCCTAGCGTGGCATGGTTGGATGATGCTGTATGTAGAAATGATAGAATGGAGTTTGGTAGATGATTGATGAGAATTGTATCTTGAGTCAGTCCATCGATTCACTGTTCTCTGCAGCTCGTGTGAACGTAAGGCGGTGATGGTGCCTTGGTGGCGGTTTTATATCCAGACCCCACCAGCTGTTGGTCTGACGTTCAAGGGTCTCGTTTGGAGTCTGGAAAGTCGAAGGCAACAAGACAACCTGGGACACTTGTTCTCGACTTACCCATACTTCGTGACAACTGGCCTTCCTTGCCGACCTCTTCTCCGTTTTTATACGATACTCACGTTTGGCAACCCCGACGAGGATATACCGTATTTGAAAGGCCATCCCCACCGCTTCTTCAGAGCCATATAAGCCCAACAACCTCTGCTTCGCACCGACACAGCTTGACTTCCTTCTTCAACTCGAGAACGACTCGCGGCGGCCATGTTCAACCGCGACAACCTCTTCGGCGGTCGGCAACAACAGCCGCCGCAGCAATCACAACCACCGATGCGACAGCCAGATCCTCGCTACGGCCAGCAACCTCCCCCTTCTCAGTCATACGGTCAAGAGCAGAGAGGATCGTCGAGGAATATGGCGGCAGCACCACCCGCCGGCGGGCGGAGAATGCAGCTCCGTCCAGCGAAGAGCCCAGATAACAGCTTCACCTTTGGCAACATAAGCGCGGTCAGCTCGCAAGACGTCCCGCCCAACCAGGACGGCACCGATGTCTACCTCCTCATTAACGGGCAATGTGTCGTGTCCGCGCGCCCGATCGGTCAGTTCCCGAGGGGACAGATAAGTCTCAGTGACCCGCAGAGGACATGGATGCAGGTCGCTCTCACGGATGTCGTGGAGGTCGAGCGCTACGACCCCTTCAGCGCGACCTCGCAGAGCTACTTGGGCAGTTTGGATATCGAGGTTGGCTTCGCGGGGAAGAAAAGCACAGAGACGCCATATGACCAGGATGAGCTGGCGCAGGCGTTTGTACACACCTTTCGCAACCAGATCTTCTCACCGGGCCAGCAGCTCCTCATGGACTATCGGAGTATACCGTTACGATTGACTGTGAGAACAGTCGAGCTGGTGGATCTACGGTCTATGCGATCGACGGGCGATACGAAACAACACACCAACCCCCAAGCGCGCGGGATCCTCACGCAGGAAAGTGCAGTAAACTGGTTCAAAGACGCCAAATCACCCATCGCACTCAAAGGCTCTACAAGAAGACCCGCCGCGAACTCAGTCATCAGACCAGACTTCAAGTTCGAAGACATGGGCATCGGCGGTCTCGACAAAGAATTCAGCGACATCTTCCGCCGAGCCTTCGCATCGCGCGTCTTCCCGCCTGGTCTCGCGGAGAAAGTCGGTATCCAGCACGTTCGCGGGATCTTGCTCTTCGGACCTCCTGGCACGGGAAAGACGCTTATCGCGAGACAAATCGGCAAAATGCTCAACGCACGGGAGCCGAAAGTCATCAACGGGCCGGAAGTGCTGAACAAGTACGTCGGACAGTCGGAGGAGAACATCCGGAAGCTCTTCGCGGACGCAGAGAAGGAGCAGAAGGAAAAGGGCGACGAGTCCGGCTTGCACATCATCATCTTCGATGAGCTGGACGCGGTGTGCAAACAGCGTGGTTCCGGGGCGGGAGGAGGCACTGGTGTTGGCGACAGTGTGGTCAATCAGCTGCTTTCGAAGCTGGATGGTGTGGATCAGCTGAACAATATTTTGTTGATCGGAATGACGAATCGGAAGGACATGATTGATGAAGCGTTGTTGAGGCCGGGGCGGTTGGAGGTGCATATGGAGATTAGTTTGCCGGATGAGTTTGGCCGGCAGCAGATTCTGAAGATTCATACGGCGAAGGCGAGGGAAAACGGGAGGTTGGCGGCGGATGTGAGTTTGGAGGAGCTGGCTAGGGAGACGAGGAACTTCTCTGGCGCAGAGATTCAGGGCCTGATCAGATCAGCTACCAGCTTTGCACTACAACGGCATGTGAAGGGCGGTACTGTCGCGGCGCTCTCGGATGACGTCGTTGACATGCAGATTCGCATGGAAGACTTCCTGCGAGCTTTGGAGGAGGTGCACCCGCTCTTCGGTGTCAGCGAAGAAGATCTCGATCGCTGTGTGGAGGGTGGTATCTTCCACTTCAGCTCGCACATCGAGAGGATACTTAAGAACGGTCACGACTTCATCGAGCAGGTTCGATCCGGCGATACACCGCTTCTTTCGGTCCTACTGCATGGTCCAACAGGCTCTGGGAAGACTGCTCTCGCGGCGCGGATCGCTATGGACTCGGAGTTCCCCTTCATCCGACTCGTGCGCCCGGTTGACATGGTCGGCATGAACGAGATCCAGAAGATCCAGCATCTCCAAAAAGCCTTCACAGACGCCTACAAGTCCCCTCTCAACGTCCTCGTGCTGGACAACATCGAACTCATCGTCGACTGGGTCCCCGTCGGCCCCCGATTCAGCTCCGCCGTCCTCGCCGCAATCAAAGGCCTTATGACCAACAAACCACCCAAAGGCCGTCCCTTGCTCATCCTAGCAACGACATCCGAACGGACAGTCATGAACCAGCTCCAGCTAGTCTTCAAAGCTCAAATCGCGGTGCCTAATGTACGCACACAACAAGAGCTCGCGCATATCATGCAGGAATCTGGTGCTTTTGATCAGGAGGGCATATCGAGGGCTATTGGGGATATTGAAAACACGCTTGAGAGCCGGGAGATTGGGGTGGGAGTGGCGCAGGTGCTGTTGAGTATACAGACTGCTATGCAGGATCAGGATCGGGCTGGACGGTTTGCTGAGGTGAGTTCTTGCCCTTTTCGCAATCACTTTCGATGCTGGAGGACCTTGCTAACAACATATGTCACAGGTCATGTGCGAGGCCGTCGCGAATGCCCAGTCTGTGTAAGCTGAATAGATAAGTGGCATAGATGACTGCCACGTCTCTGGATGCGCATTGCTGCCCGATGGAAGTATGGTAGCAAGGCATCATCCTCGGGAGGATTGACAGCTGCTATGACTTGTGGCACATCTTCGTAACACAGTAGAGGCATCAGATCAGCGTTAGGTGACGTTGAAAATGTTACTGACGGCGAGAAGCCGTAACGGCCTCTGTACATCTGTCTTCCTACACGTCTGGATCTTGACAGTTCAAGGTCGCTGAGAACACTCGTCGGCAAAAGTCGCCGTCTCGCCAAGCTCAAAACCCACCTCACCTCTTGCATCGCTGGGTTACACCACAGAATCGTTTGGTCGCTGCCGACGTCCGCGCACATGGCGAATGCTTTTGACAGCTGCATGGCGTTTGATGCCAACATGTCGTGACGCAGTCGTTCATCCTTCCACTGTCCAGCCATTACCGACTGCTCGCAAACGTCCCAATCTCTCCCAACCCCGGCTCCGTTGGACAGCTCACAACTGCCTTCCCGACTCCCAGCTCACGCCCAGCATGAACAAGGCTAACCCTGCCCAACCCACCGCACCCTCGTCCCGTGTGCCCTCTTCGGGTCAAGGCCGTACGGGTAGCGTTGCAGCATGCAGCTGTCCGGCCGCGAGCCCTGCAGTATCAAAATCCTCTCTCCCGGCGAGCAGAGAATCCTCCTCGCGGTTCCAGACCCACCAGTGCCGCACAAAAGGCCGCTCACCTGCTGATACGGGCTATGCAGCTAAGTGTCTAGCTTTGGGTGGAGACCAATGGCGAGCTTGGTTGTGAGGTCTGGGTTTTGCCGTGCCGGAGGGAATCGGCGATATTGAGGTTGTGGTTATGGAGCGGCATTGCTGTCAGTGGCCGTCTACCGTGGTTCCTTCAAGCTACCCTTGCGTATCCATTGGGGCTAACAGAAGCTCGTAAGTTGATGGTGTGCTCCCCATCGCGGCATCCGCAAGCAGGGCTCGCCAGCGTGGGTATAAAAGGTAGTACAGCAGAGCCAGCTCTCCTTCGTCCTTTTCCTAACATCACAATCCCGAAGACGACCTTCTACTGCCCGAGTACCTCCACTTCTCACCCAACTTCATCGTCCCTTCAAGCTTCCTTCAACCTTCATCATGTCTACTTCCTACTACCAATACCAGCCTACGGGCTCTCTACCGGTCAATGTTCCATCAAAGCAACCGCAACCACAGATGCCAGCACGTCACAATCGGTCCTCGTCTGGCTACAGCCAGTACTCGGTGTCGCCGCCTGAACGACCAGAGAGCGTTTCGACTTCCGGCGCTGGTCTGTACTCGAGTGCTTCGAGCCAGTACGCTGGCAGCGATTACGACTCGTCGTCGGGAGGAGTTACCAGCGTGGATCTGCTGGAATACATGAACGATCGGCTTTCGCAGGCGTACAACCCCATGCCACTGGATCGAAATATGGTCAAGCAGGCACAAATGTGAGTATCTTCGACGAGAGAGATTCTGCGCAAATGGATGAGCAAACGCTGACATGCTGCAGGTCCGGGGAGCTCAATGCAAAGAACCGAGAACTGCTCGCTCTGCAGGCGCAGGCCAGAGCGCGACTGGCGAAGACGAGGGCGAACTTCTCCGAGGGCATGAAGGCGGCGAAAGATGTCCAGCGAGATTTGGAGTGGACGCAAAAGAAGGTTCAGTGAGTGAAAATATGAATACGCCCGGTAATGGTTCTTGCTAACCTTCGCCAGGGCACTGAACGCTCGTGCAGCGCAAAAGTACCCAGAGCAATACAGAGCTGCAAGAGAGCGGTATCCCGCAGCGGACGACTACTGAGCGTTGTGACTGATTTGCGGCGTTTTCAAATCGGCGTTCGAGCGTATCACGGACTCAACATTTCAACTTCGCAACAACGACCAGCATCGCCATCACCTGCCTTGAACAGGTCTATATTGTCGCCAAAAACAACAGCCGACGTTGAAACAAGCAGCGTATTCGACCTGGCCTGTGCTCGGGTACATTGCAGGAACGGCGCCAACGCGGCCACCCGCATGCAGCGACTGCAGTAGTCCACACCGTTCGCAGTTCGACTACCGGCAGGACGGCAGCATACGCGCAGGTGGAAGCGGAAGGTTATCTCGTTTGGCTTCTTCACCGGGGTGGGTCTCGGGCGAATCAGGGTTGTAGTGGTATTTGCGAGGTTACGGCCAATGAGAGAAAGTATGCATGCATGTCTCGCTGTTTCTGCTTCTGCATTCTTGTGCTAGGCCCTTCTCAGCAGGCCCACGGTATGAGATCTGATTGGAAAGAATCCAGTTCCGGCAAGAGCGACTGCTGGTTTGGAGTAGTCTCTGCGCTGAGAGGTGCACTGTCGGTCGACCATTGAAGCCAAACTTTAAGCAGTTCACACGATTTTCACGGGATCGGCATGATTTAGGCCCGCCGACTCAGTTTACAGAGGTCTGGATGACTCTCGAATCGTGAGATGAGAGTTGGATCGCAAAGCAAGTATGTTATCACGTGATATGTCTCTTGGCACATCCCAATTGGGTAATGTCGCTCGCAGGTTCCTTCCTCTTCGAGAACCATACCGAACATTCTACGCTTACGATACAGCCACTGTCTGTAGCATTAGGCAGCGTGTATTCGTAACAATCAGAAGGCGCCATGATTAGCTAGAACATACTCGTGATGGCAAAGAAGCTGCCAGCACCTGCTGGCGCCACCGCAAGACTGTATATAAGGCCTCCGCTGGCCATAATTTGAGCCTCATCATCAGACAAAAGAACACCAGCAACCAGCAGCCAACAACAACTCTTCTATGCAAGTCTACCACATCAACAACTGCCAGCCACAAACCTACCGAGTTTACAAGACACCAGCAGCACCAAAGCAATCCAACATGTCTCTCTTCACCTTCCCCCGCCTTGTCCAAAACGAGTTCGCAGGCGCCTTCCGTCTGCTCGACGAGCTCTCGGCAGTATCACGACACACCGCATACACGCAAGCGCCTCGCACCTTCGCACCTCGCTTCTCCTACCGCGAGAACAAGGACAACTATGAGCTGAAGGGCGAGCTTCCCGGCGTCGAATCGAAGAACGTCGAGATCGAATTCACCGACAACTCTACCCTGAGCATCCGCGGCCGGACCGAAAGCCAGCGCGAAGAGGGCGAGCGACCGGCGGCAGAGTCCAGCAAGTCTGTTGAAGCTCAGCCCGAACAATCGAAGAGCGCCGACAGCGAGACCAGCAGTTACCACAAGGCCAGCGTAGAAGACGAGTCCGACGCCACCATGTCCGGCGCCAACACCGAAGCCGCACCGACGCCAGCTGAGAGCGTCGCAACCACCGCCGGGGCGCCGCAGGAAGTCGCTCAGGCGCCGAAGAAGGAGCCTGGGTACTTCTACTCTGAGCGGTTAGTTGGACAGTTCGCACGTACATTCAATTTCCCTCGCGGAACCGTCGACTCCGAGAACGTCAAGGCCAGCTTGAAGGATGGCATTCTTTCGATCGTTGTGCCTAAGTTGGCGGCACCGGGCAGCAAGCGCATCAGCATTGAGTAAACAACTCGACAACATTCATTTCAGCCAAGCATAGCGGAGGAGTTGGACGGCTATCATGATGCTACGAGTCAAGATACCTAATCATGTAAATTAGCTCCTGTACCCAATACAATCAACAGTCAAACCAATCTTACACATCTTCTCATTCCCTTCTCACAACCTCGCCTTCCCCTCCTTCTCCCTAATCTTAATATCATCGAACGGCACACCCAAATACCTCAACATAAACGGAAACCTATCGCTCCCGAAAAACGGCTCCTCCACCCCATCCTGTCTCGTAACACAAAACCACGGCGCCCCAAACGCCCCCTTGCCCACCAACCTCGCCGTCTCATCCGTCAGCATCTTCTTGTACTCCGCTGACGTGCCACCGGCAAGAATCGCCTTCACCTCGTCCTCACTGAAGTGCCGTGCAAGACATTTAGCCATGATGTCCGGCTTCGAGATGTCCATGGCTTCGCGCCAGTAGCATTGCCAGAGCTCTCCGAATTGGTCCTCGTAGCGTGCGGCGGGAAAGTGGGCTTTGATGTAGAGCATGCAGCGCATGGGGAGGAGACTCATGATTGGGAAGAAGGGAGGGGGCTTGAGGGGTTCGAGGCCGAAGTACTGCGCTGCGCGAGGGCCGTCAAATGAGCTGTATTTGGCTTTGGCTTCTAGGGTCCAGGGGGGCTTGTTGCCTTTTGTTTGTTAGTTGGAAGGTGTTGGGATTGGGCGGTGGGGATGTTGATACCGCTGCCGACGTTTATGCCACCAAGGAATATCGGGTGGATGCTGGGTTCGTTAGCCAATAATCACAATATGCAGATGCATGTGGGTGTAGTCGTACTCGATGTCGACATCGTGGTCCAGCAATAAATGCTTGTTCTTTCTCAGCCAAGTAAAAGCGTAAAGTGAGTACGGCGAGTTGCAGTCAAGGTAACAGTCGATCTTGCCGCGTCCGCCCATGACTGTGACGTCGTCTGTGCAATCGAGATCTGAATATCGAAATTTGATATAAGTTAGGAAAGAGATGGTAAAGATGTTGAAGTGAACGCTTCCCGGAGATCGACCCCAGAGTTTCAAGCAGCCTCGGTCCGTTTCCGCATGTGTTTACTCATCCGCCGACCGATCTCCTACCTTGATTGAACTTCGCTCTGATTGCATGATGATTGAAAATGATAAAATCAACAGGGGGTGAAGAATGTCGCAATGTGATGGGAGCATTATCATCAGAGTGTCGAAGGAACAGGTTCAATTAGCATTGAGCATTCCCCAAGCGCACTCATTAGCTGCGGTATCCGTTGCAATCGACAGCGGCAAGATATGCCAGACATACCTGAATGACGGCTGAACTATGTCATGCCAACGTAGAGCTCAGTGAGGATGCCCGCCATGCTCTGGCGCGCTGTCTCTGAACCTTGAATCTTCCCCAGAATCAGCCGCGCTCTCTTTGAATAACGCCGCAGGCTTCCTCCAGTCGTAAGCAATTCGTCAACCCCTAAACACGCCACCCTCCTCAACCCAGCATCTTCATCCCGGTATTCCGCATCACAGGCTTCTTCTCAATATGTGACCCCGTATTCGCCCTCAGCACATCCTCGCCCTTCTTGTTACCACCCCTATCCCTTCCCTTCCCATGCTTCCCCTTCCTGTTATCCTTCTGCACACTCGCATTCACATCCGTCTTCGCTTTCTGAATCGTAATCGGATGACTGCCCACATACTTGCCCACCATCTCCCTCGCCGCCTTGAACCCGAGCTCATGGTCTTCGAACTGCACGAACCCGAACCCTTTCGATTTCGTCGTGCGCTTGTCCCGCACCACGCGCGCTTTGTTGACGTCGTAGACGGCGAAGGCTTTGGCGAGCGAGTCGTCGGTCACTTCACCAGCGAGATTGCCAACGTAGATGCGGAATTTGCTGGGGTCCCACTCGAGCAGGGTTTCATCTTCCCAGGTTTCGCCCCCGCCGTGTCTGACGACTGTCTTCTTCTTGTCGCCGTCGGTCTTGGTCTTGCTGTCCGTGGTGTCTTGGGCTGTTGGCCGCGAGCCGAGGGTTGTGAGGTTGGCGTTGCCGCCTTTACTGTCTTTGTTTTTCTTGTCGTTCGGATCTTGCGGGGCGTAGGCTGACGCCCACTGCGCTAGCTCTTGCTCATGGACGGGGTCGAATTGCTGGTTTGAATTGTACTGTGATCGCGCGGGTGGTGGTGGCGCGAAAGGGTTGCGGATTTGAGGTGGCGTGGGTTGGTACTGTTGCGGTTGAGCTTGCTGGCCTGGGTATTGGTAGTTGTACTGTGGGTTGGCATACTGAGCGTTGCCATACTGTGTGTAGTCCATTGGGTACGGTTGCTGCTGTTGCTGGATTGGTGGGTTCGGGAGCCCAGCGTAGGCGTACTGGTCGACGGCGGGTTGCGGTGGGTAGGTGTTGTTCGTCGCTTGCTTCTGTTGGTTGTGTAACTGTGTGGCGAGCTGGCATAACTCAGTCGCTGTCGGAAATGCTTTCTTGCTCTTGCGCTTGGTGGGCATGACTGCTAATGAGAACGTGCGAAGACGTACCTTTGCTCCTATTTCTTGTGTTAGTGTGATATCGTGTCCTCCAGACGAGACTTCAGTGAAGTTAGATGTGTGTTCGCAAGATCAAGTTTGCGATGTGCGATGTGAAAGTAGATTCGACGTGGGACACAAGTCGTGGTATCGGGAACATTAAAGTCACAGAGCGTGCAAAGACCATTTTCCTGGGCTACACTACCTCTCCGTACACTAATACTGCCTTGCACTGCGAACGATGTAGATGTCCTATAACTTCGCCTTCCCACAACAGCCCTTCGCATCTGCCCCATCCGCCCTCTTCTCAGCTCCCGGCCACGGATCCTGTACCAGCACAGACTTGTTCCTCTTCTGCTCGCTCTGAGGAACGTCCAGCGCAGGGTTCTTCCTAAAAAAGTCCGCCGGCTTCAAGCTGATCGTCGTAATCTCCGAGGGCATTATCGGAAAATCTTCGACACGAGGGTTGTGCGTCATCCCGAACGTTAGCCAGACCACCAGGTCTTCGTTCCTGACGTTCTCGTTTCTGGCAGCCATATCGGCCACCCCGTTCACTTCACAGAGGGATTGGTTCGTCCACTTCCCTCCAGCCCAAAGATCGCCGTCTCGGTATTTCGTAACCCAAAGGTGGTGCTTTGCGAACTGAGCGCGGGCATGGGCGACAGACGTGGGGGAGGCGAGGATGAGTTGGCAGGGTTGAGGGACGAGTTTGTAGCCGACTGGATTCCCGGAGACGGGGTTTTTCTTGCCTTCATTGACGATCTTGAAGGCTCTGTTTGCAAAAGGTGCCGCATCCGCGGGTCCAGACGTAGCGAGGGGTGTCTTGACGACCCGCCAGGCATTGCCGTGCGGATTCTCATCTTCCGTATGCGGGACGGCGATGCTCTCTTCTTGAATTACAGTGTTGGATGGGCCATCGATCATGGGATCGATACGTAAACTGAAAAGATGTTGATGGTTGGCTGCCAGAACGCCGCGAGAGACCACTGTACCCCAAGGCGAGGTCTTGCCGTCGTCAATCAGCTGTGTGGACAGGATGCCTGTAGCTCTGGTCTCGAGTTCGATGTTGCCGTTCTGCATGAAGACCCAGGCGAAGATATACTCGTAGTTGCCGACTGTAATTATGCTCTGTACGACCAGATTCCGCGCTCGAGTGATTGCCGGGTTGCCGGTACGGTGGTTCGTATGTTTAAAATTGATGCCTCCATCTTGCTCGTGCAAGCAGATGACATTCTCAGCAGGCACCGGTTCGCCTTTATCGTCACTCAGCCAGCCACCGAAGTACTTGATCGCGCCTAGACAGTCACAGCCAAGTGCTAGATTATTAGCACAGCTACCGGCTCCTGCATCTCCCAGATCAAAGGCCTGCTTCCTGTGGTATGGACTTCTCGGGTCACCATATGGTACTGTCATCTCCGAGACGCTGAGTCGGTAGAACAGTGGTCGACCGTCATAGCGAACATCGTGGATCGTAGTCCCTTCTCGGTAGTTGAAGCCTATTCGGAACTTGTACTTTTGCCAGCACACCTGGTTGCCCTCCTTCACCTCAAAGCTAGGTCCTTCCGGCTGTACCACGTGCAGTGGCTTCACATCCTGCCTCAATTCCTCATCCAGCAAGTCGGGATAGTACTCGTTGGGTTGCAGGTGAGCCATTGGGGTATCCGCGGGAGCCGTGTGATAAGCTAGTCCATTCTCTTCGCCACCTGTTGCCAGAGGATCGATGGCGACGACCTGATCCGTGTGGATGTTGTAACGTGGACTGAATGGTAAAGGGTAGGCATATTGATTAGAGTCAGGGTGATTGTGGGGAGCTCGAGCGTAGAGTAGAGCTTGAATGTACTTTGGTGTATCCTCTGTAGAGTCTTTGTCTGCTCCATACATCCAGGGGTCACAAGCAATGACTACATCCGAGGGCAGCTTCAGCGCTTTGATCGCTTCCAAAACCTTCGGGTCCGATAGTATGACTTGGGATGCCTGGCGGACTTCGTATCTGGCTGCTGTTAAGGAGAGATAACACGATGCCTTAAGATCGACATACCTGTCATTAGGGCCATGCTGGCCCCGACCCATATGGTCCTCGGCAATCACTGTCTTTGCATCTAGACTGACTACACTTTCGGTGACATAGCGGCCATTCTCCGTAGACCAGATAACGTCCACACATCGCGGGACGTATCCTCGTTTTTCGTGTGGAAGGCCAGCCGCTTCGGCGTCCAGATAGGGGAGTAAGAGTGCCTTGGGCGGGTCATGGAGACTGATGTTCTTGAAGTGTACCTTTGCCTGCTGCTTGCCGGAGTCTGAGACGTATCTCAGTAGGGTTGCGCTTGCGGCTCGAATTTCTTGGTCTGTCAGGAGCTGGAGAGGGTGTCGGATGTTATTGGAAGACTGAGACGAGGCGGCCATCATGGAAAGGGAGAGAGGAGGATACATATGAAGTGTAACAATACCTTGATAGATACAGACGAGACAGCTGTAAGCTCCGTTACCTCTTGGCCGCCTTCGGGCAACGGCTGGTCGACGCCAGATACAGTCGCTATCGCTGCAGTGCCGTGATATCTCGAGCAGATCTGGATGGCATCTTTGGAAGTTCGATGCGAAGAGGTGGTGCCATTGGCTCTCCCGCACATTCACCTCCCCACTTTCACGTTCCAGGGTCCACAGCGCGCTGAGGATTCCACACCTTCCCATCTCGGACGCGTCGAGTGAGCCTCGAACATCAACACCCGACCAACATACAGTATGAGCAACGACTTCTCCCCAGCAGGGACACCCCATCGCGACCGGTCCCCCAAACGCAAGCGCTTCTCTCCCACCCCTACCGACCCCTCCGCCAAACTCCAATATGCCTACGACGAAGACCAAGACGTCCCTAGCGACGCTGATGAAGCCTTCCACACCCCTGCCTCCGCCTTGAGCCCGAATGGCACAACAGTTACGCCAAAACGACGCAAGACCTCTCCCACGCGACCGCGCAGCCTGAACTACCGCCCACACTTTACCCTTCACGGCCACAAGCGCGGTATCTCCTGCGTCAAAATCTCTCCCCGCGGCCACCTCATCGCATCCGCCTCCGCCGACTCTACGATCAAACTCTGGGATGCGCGAACAGGAGCGCTACAACATACGCTTGAAGGCCACTTGGCGGGGATCAACACGATAACATGGTCGCCTGACTCAAGGGTTCTCGCGTCTGGCAGCGATGACAAGCTGATCAGATTTTGGGAAGTGGAATCAGGAAAATGTTTGGAGACGGTGTTGGTCGGCCATCATAACTACGTCTACTCGCTTGCGTTCGCGCCGAAGGGGAACATGCTAGTCTCTGGATCTTACGATGAGGCGGTATTCTTGTGGGATATCCGGACGGCAAGGCTCATGCGTAGCTTACCAGCGCACTCGGATCCAGTGAGCGGAGTGGACTTTGTTAGAGACGGGACACTGATCGCGAGCTGTTCGAGTGACGGGTTGATCAGGATCTGGGACACGGGGACAGGGCAGTGCTTGAAGACGCTGGTTCATGAGGACAACGCTGCGGTGACGAGCGTGAAGTTTAGTCCCAACGGACGGTATGTGCTGGCTGCGACGTTGGATAGTAATGTGAGGCTGTGGAATTATGTGGATGGGAGGGTGGTGAAGACGTACCAGGGTCATAAGAATGTGAAGTACAGCATCAATGCTTGCTTTGGGACTTATAGCTCTATGGCTGCGATGCTGGAAGAGGCGGGAAGTCCAGATGGAGAAGATGAGGGGGAAGACGGTGAGCGAGACTCGCGAGCGAAGAAGCAGTGGGCTTTCGCAGCCATTGGGTCCGAAGATGGCTCAATCGTACTCTGGGACGTTTCGTCAAAGGAGATGCTGCAGCGCATACCCGGCAATGGAACTCCTGTGTTAGCCGTGGACGTTGGGATGGAGGACCAGACCATTGTTTCGGGAGGGCTGGACTGCTGTGTCAGGGTATGGAAGCGTGGGCTCGGAGACGCATCGGAGACGACGAACGGTGACGGAGCTATAGAAGAGAATGGAACTGCGCACGTGAACGGACAGACGGATGCGCAGGAGAACGGTGGGGACGTTGTCGTTCCGATCGCTAATGGCAATGAAGAGTCGACCACGGAAGCTGTTGACGGAGATGGCGCGGGCGATGAGATGGAGAAGGCTATGGCGATGGTCTTGGAATGAGCATGTTTCCGTTCATACCTCACCAATGCAAATTTCGACATATTCAAGAGCTATATTGCCAGTATCTACACGTCTAACCCGATTAATGCCCCTCTATCAAATCCTTACTCGCCACCTTCTGTGCCTCCGCAAGTACCCTCGCCTGCCTCGCCACCTCCCCCAACCTGCCAATCACCTTCCCATTCCCCTCCTGAAACCCGTAAATCGCATACGGAATTTCAACCTCCTCACAAAATTGCCTAACCAGCTTTTGACACTCGCGCAGATTATGCCTCGGCATCCTTGGGAACAGATGATGCACCGCTTGGAACTGTAGACCTCCGTGAAACCAGTCCAGCCACGCCGGGCAGTCCACGTCCATGGTCGTGCGGAGCATGCGTTGCGGAAACGATTCGGCGACACCGAGGTCAGCGGTGGACATTGCGAAGTGCGAGAGCGTGATTTGGACGTGCACGGGCATGGTGATTGCGTGGCTGATGAAGAGGTAGGCTAGGCGAGTGGAGGTATCGGGGAGAGAGAGGTAGAGCAGTCGGTACCCAAACCAGTACCAGAAGAAGACTTGGCCCGCGAGCTCGAGGTAGCGATGCCACCAAGCAGGTCCTTTGCGGGGGCCTTGGCCGAGCAAGATGTATTGCCAGCTGAGGAGGTAGAGGTTGAAGCGACCGAGGGTGAGGATGGGGTAGTAGAGGTAGTGTTGGTATCGCAAGGCGAGTTTGGCGAACGGGTCGTAGGTCATGATGCGGTCGTAATACGTGCTTCGTAAAGAGTCGAAGAAGGCGGTGGAGATGGCGAAGAATGGCATGTGTTGGATGTCTGGGTCGTGCTCGGGAGAGTTCGTTACGATGTGATGGACGTTGTGGTTTCGCTTCCACCAGCAAACGGAGAGCCCACCGGCGAAGTTGGCGATGAGGATGCCGATTATGGTGTCGGCGTGGAACCCGTGGGTGATGCCCATATGGCCTGCATCGTGGACTGTGAAGACGAGCTGGTGCCAGAGGGCGCCGAGGCAGAGGGCGGAAAGGATGTAGTACTCATGGCGGAGAGTGTAGTTGCAGAGAAGGGCAAGGGAGACGTAGCGGACGCATTCAATGGCGTAGGCGGCGTAATTGCAGTTGTAGAGGCCGGCGGCGTGGACGCGGGCGTCCAGTGCGCGGTATTTGGTTATGATGTTGGATTGAGTCGATGGGTCGAGGCTGGGGAAGATTTCGAGGTCGTGGTCGATGTCCTTCTGGGCTTGTCTGTCGGCATCCCAGGAGCCATCTTTGTCTCCTTTGGGCAGAGCCGGCTCATGCAGGTCAAGACTGTCCAGGGAGGTGGCAGAGGACCCGCTCGCAGCTCCAGCACTTCCTCGTCGCCGCCTAAATGAGGAAGTGCGATGTTCTGACGCATCAAAAATAGGCGAGGGTTCTGCGGACCGCTCTTCTTCCGACGAGTCCTCTCTACCCATCTCTTCTACGGTCGGATTCTTTGTGGCGGTCTCTATCTCATCCTTCCTTCTGAATGTTCCACCCTGTATCGGAGGCACAAAATCCACCCATGGCTCCACGATACGTCCAATCTGGTATTTCTGCATGGATTGCTGTGTCTCCAAAGAGTGGAAGGCTCTGACTTCACTCGTAGCATCCCTTCCAACCATGTGCAGTATGGCCTTGTCACCCCCAGGGTGGAATGGCAGCCAGGCATCCGTTTTGAATACTCGGTTGTGGACAATGACCACCTTCCTGCCGTCGGCGATCAAAGCCTCGATATGCTCTCGCGAGAGAGCAGCCTCTCTGTAGCGGCTCGTCTGGGTCATCGCTGTCATGGTGTTGTGTGCTGTAGAGGAAGTGTCGTGTTGCTGTTGCAGTCGTGAGGTTCTCACCGACCTCGATCCTGCTGCTCCTTCTGATATCCAGGGTCCAGTGACCCCACGCCAAGTCCGGCTACCATCGCGCGCTTGTCTAAATCACTAGTGCGACTAGTCGTAGCTAGCCCAAAAGACGATTAGAATGGGCTTATATATAGGAATTGGACTTTGTATTTTGTTTCTTTTATATAGATAGAATTACTTCTCTAGATACCTTTAGATCAAGTTTTCTTAGACTAAATAGTAGTATAGAAAACTAGTAGGAAGATTATATACCATACTATAACATTAAGATCTTGCTATCTACTAAAAGTTAGTAAAAGTAATTAGTTCTTGAGATATAGGCTCTAAAAACTTATTGTAGCATCTAATGTATATTATTAGAGTATATGTCATATGTGTATGGCCCGCCATTATGAGATGTTCGAAAAATTCTCGTCTACGGGAGACTTCATCTGAGCAACAAGATCTAATGTGTTGATCACTCCGACATTTCGCTACGTCTACCAGTCACACAACTGCTGTCCTCGCACCCCTGTAATTTGCCCTCACTACGGCTCAGTCGAGCGCCTGACTGCGGGCTAGCAACATGAGCTTGCCTGTTCCTGCTCTCAGGCGCTTCAAATGTCCAGAAGCGATCCATGAGTCGAGACCTGCCCTCGCTGATATCCTCATGTTCTCGTTCTTCCTCAGTGAGTCTCATGAACCTTATGTCGATATGCTCATCCTTGGTACCTCTCATGCTAAAAGCTATCTTCGTGTGACCTTTCTCTTTCTCATCTTGTTCTTCGTTTTCAGATACTATCTTGCCTCCGAGAAGACTCCGGCGAGCCTACCGTCTTCGCTGAATGCGACTCTTGGTTTCGGGGCACTCTATGTACTGACCGAGGACACTTCTACATGGCGCGTTCAAGGACTTCTATCAGCTGCCAAACTCACTGGACTTCGCTTTACTATTCCCGTCCAGCAACGGCCCACTGATAGCGACATTTCCGTCCACCTGAACGGAGACGAGGTGGCGACGGTCCTGGATGAGATCCGAGCAGTACTGAACTACATCTCTCTTCTTGAAACCTTCCTCAGGTCCGGCCGCGAAACAGCTCTCTTCGTAGAGGATGACGTGGATTTCGGAATCCATATCAAGGCGCAGATGGGGAACATCTCCAGCACCATCTTGGCCCAGACCGCCACAGCCGAAGATATTTCAGCAGAAGGCGATGACCAACCTCCCTTGTTTTCTCAGTATCCCTACGGCAAAGATGCGTGGGACGTCTTATGGATTGGGCACTTTGGCCTCGAATACACCACCAAAACAAAAGTCTGGGACTACCGGGACCCGCAAGCTCTGCCCTGGGATCGATTGACCTCCAAATTCAACAACTACTACCAACAACAAGCTGGCGCAAGCAAGGACCAGCAAATCCTACAGAACGTAGCTCCAATGGCAACCTACGCCTTCGCCCTGACTCGACCCGCAGCAGAGCGACTTCTCCGGATCTTACGAGAAGGCAAGGCACAGAAATTCGACCTTGCGCTGCACATCCAATGCAAAGGTCTGGATATGCTGTGCCTCGCGCCTGCGCCCGGAGTGATGCATCACCACAAGGTTGAAGGCCAGAGATCACTATTAAGCGAGGGGACGAAGGGTGATGGGAAGCACGATCTTGGGTGGTGGCGATACAGGCACAAGTACACGTACAACGTGGAATGGAGTGCGAGATGCAATGCGGAACATGTTGGGGAGAGGGTCGGGGACAGGTGGCAGTGTATGCCTGGGCTGTATGATGCAAACCTCTGAAATATCTGCACTGCTTTTCTACATAGTGTTCGACGTCAATAGTGTACATTCTGTTTCCGCCAAATATCCGAAGTACCGACTCGCTCACCCCTTCTACTCCAGTTCACGCTAGCTCTCTCGGCGACCCTACTCCTCGAACACTACGCCAATGTCTTGATTCCATCTCGTTCTCTGCAGATAGCTCCAATGGTTCGTCTTTACCATCCAGTTCTCCCGGATCAGCCATGCCTGCCATTTCTTGCAAAGTTGACTGTCTTGCTTCGTAAAAAGCTGCCGAATGTTCTGGAGAATCTGCCGGATCTTCTTTGGACAGGTGCTCGCTCGCTTGTCCATTACTTCTCTTGCGTCGGCGGACGCACCACACTGCCGCAACAGCAACGAGAGCTATTGTGACCACGCTCGCTATCGCCACTCCTGCTATAGCACCAGGTGATAATGTGGGATCAGAACGGTTCAACGAAGACTCAGCGCTGTCCGGTGGAGGCTCGTCGTTCTTCGAGGAAGGCTCAGGATTGTTGGACGAGATCGAATTCGAGCTTTCGTCAGGCGACAGGCATGACCTGTCTAAGGAGACCAGGGCAGCATCGGTCGTTGCTTTAGCTTGCGAGATTGTGAACACCCCCGAGTCGTAATCGACAGTAAGGTATGCAGCTTGGAAAAAATGTCGGCCTAAGATTGCGAGATCGTTGGAATTGCTTCCCACATTCGGCGCGAGCAGTATTTCGCTGGCTGATTGGTTAGTGAACAGTGATCCATCCTGTGTGACGCTCGTAGGAGGTACGGCGAGAAGATAGTTCGGTATCGTGATGTGGAAGTTGTTGTCCAAAGTGATCATGAGATCGCCCTGGAATCTGAGCGAGGTATCAGTATTGGTCAACAGTCTTGGTTGGCAATCTTACACTTCGTCAGGCTCATATAACATGCCACCAAACGTGATGCCATCACCACCACCACGACCAGTTGCCCTCGTGCCTGTGTACGCCTCAAAGTTATCGTAGTAAGGTGTCTGCGGGAAGTATGCAATTAAGGGATAGTGTGGTAGCAGACATGCCGTAAGCGACGTTGGGACCGTGATACTGGACGTTGTGCCGTTTGGAAACCCAAGAGAGATGTCTGAAATGGTCACGACCATGCCAGAGTGGCAGGCCTGAGAAGGCGGTGCAAGCTCTTGAGTGTAGTTCACCCCATGGACTTTCGCTGCATCATAGCCCCCCAGGACGATCTGGCCGTCCATTTGGTTCGAAGTAGTCGCACCAGTCTCACCCCACCACCACGAGAAAGAGCGAGAGGCGATCGTGCCGGCGTCAATGAGAAAATTTAGCAGGGTCGAGTTCGGTCCAAGGCCCATCGCCGCTTGGTTGTTGAGGTACTGATTGAGGCTCAACCCGGGCATGCCAATGGGGTATGGATCAAACGCAGTCTGTCCAACCGACAATGCGTCCGTGACGAAAGTGTTGTATGGCACGTTTTGCCCAATGACATTCTTGAGGTCCGTTGGATCTCCACCGGCATCGTGTACGCTCATCGTTGAGGAGCTCGTCGAGGAGGAAGATGCATCGTACAAGCCTCCACGTTGCGTAAGGCATCCAGTCATCAATGGGAAGCGGTCGAGATCGTTGCAAAATGCGGCGCTGGAGTTGTATATCCAGGTGTCGTTGTAGAAGCTGCTAGGTGTGAGTAGTAGATATTGTACCGTGAGATCTGACGTACGGTTGTGCCATCATCGAGAAGGCCTGAGCGGGTGTGCCCACGAAGATGGGAACCCCTCGCATGATTTGGCTGTTGGACAGCTCGACATCTTGAACTGGCAAGGAGACGACAGCCGAGTGGATACAGGCCGCGTGGCTCTCGTGTAGAATGAGGAGTACGGGAAGCAGGAAGTGATACGACAAGTGTACCGCCATAGGCATTGTAGTAAGCTTTCCACTACCTGTAAGTTGCGTCTCATTCAACAAAGGACGCCGGTGATGGGATATGCTTGAAAGACATACAAGGCTGGGCGGCCAACTTACATTCTAGACCGTATGCAGCACCACGCCGCAATCTCTCATGTTCTTACCCTGCATCCAAGCGAGAAGGCTGTGACATCTTGCCGCGCGCTATCATACGGCATGTAGTGACAGCGGAGTAGAGCTTTTGCGCAACCAGTACCTCGTTGGGTTTCCACATACATTGTTTTACCCTCGCAATAGACGATGCTATGGGAGACGTCGAGTCCATATCCAAAATCAGTAGGTTGCAGGTTGGCGAAAGACGAACATCGCATCGTTCAATTGCGGCACAGTATCCATGTTTGCTGTGTGTCCGAGAACAACGTCGGAGTTTTGGGCAAAGTCCTGTGGTGCTGCCGCTACGCTGTACGGCACCATATTTCTCGTCTGTGCCACGCTACATGTACTGTCCCGATCCCGTTCATAATTTGCATAGGTAGCAAGGTCTGACTTGGAGCATACCATCGAAGCTCCTGGACCAGACCCTATAGTTCTGAGAAATTGGTCGTGCTCGTTCTAGAGGTTGGCAGGGTGCGACATCGGTAACGAGTGTCGGCCCTGGCGTGAGCGTACGTATCGTCAAGAGCTGCCGCGTCAAGATTGGTCCGGGGCTCAGGTCGCGAACCGTAAGCAGATTACAACAAGGCGATTGTGTATCCACGTTTGGTGTTCGATATTGGCTTCGGGGAAGCTCGGAAGGACGTGACGCCCCGCGGGGACAAGCCGAAACGCTTCGTGCCGCTTTTCAGCCGGCAGGCTATATCTCGAAAGAGTGACTAACGGGTGTGTACTTCCATAAGACAGTAAAAGTATGCTCTAGCCGTAGGAGGTAATCGATCGAGTAAGTCTAACGCTACAGTACATTATAGTCTTCTAAACAGAGTCGATTTGTGTTATAAAACAAATTGATACTAGAAATATATAGGTGTATTAGTACTAGATATAATACAAGTGTAGTAGATAGCTGTTGTTGTCTAAAGCGGCCTTTAAGTAGTTTGTTAGTTACACGAAAGGGATCGAAGTAGTCAGCTAAGTGTTGTGACTAAACGGGCGAAGACAGCACAGCCCACAGCCGGAAAATCCTATCTCCTAGCGCCCAACGAAACTGCTCTGACGCGAAGCCTTCCTAGGGCGTTTGCCTGATCCACACTTTATCGATTGACCACACCACTTCGACGTCTCGTTGTCGCCTTGTGAACCTAGAGCACAGCAACGCGAACAAAAGTCGACAAGCCATATCGATGAAGAGATAATCCCCTTCACCACTCTCTTCCACCACCTCCACCGACAACGACACAATGTCACAAGACTTCATAGCGAGCTTGCTGGAGTTCCCGCCAGAGAAGAAGCTGTCAAACAAAGAGTACGACAAGCGGGCGAACGATTTGATAAAACACCTGAACAAGCAGTCGGATTCAGCATGGGTGAAGCATCTCAACAAGGGTAGCATCCTCGACCTGCTCAACCCATCAACCAACAGCCTGCCATACCTCTACGCCCTCGTAGCCCAAGCGAACAACGCAGGCAAGGACCGCGCGCGGCGTGACGAGGTGCTCAATCGCAGTGCCGTCTTCTTCGCCACGTTCGACCCCATCCAGGTCCGCTATGCTGGGTCTGTATTCTATGATCTCCTCACTTGGGCCTTCGACGCATACCCCAGCCTGGAGATCACCGACTGCAGCCCTCTCACCACCGCTCTGCTCCGCCTCGATCCCACCGGAGCCACCTTCACGTCTTCACATCTGCGCCTGGTCCGACTGTGTCTACACCAGGGCGTACCCAGTCAAGCGCTACCCATCCTCGACAAGAACATCACCGCCTACCCGCAGACACCACCCAAGAACCTCCCCGAGGACTACATCTGCGACGACCACGCCCACAGCAACGCCTTCCTCACCCTCAAATCTGGCTTCACTCTCCACCCACTCAAACCGGAATGGCTGCTCGAGTACTACCTCCTCGGCGCCCATGTCTACCTCGGGCAGCGCAACTTCCCCCGCGCCCGTCTCTTCCTCGAATACCTCCTCCTCCACCCCACCTCCGGAGCCGCAGCGAGCGGTCTTCAAACAGAAGCATACAAGAAGTGGCTCCTTCTCGGCCTCCTCGCACAGGGCAAAGCCTACCCGCTCCCGCACACACACAGCCAGCAAGTCATGAAGAGCGTGAAAGCAGTGAGCAGACCCTACGAAGCTCTGGTGGAGGACTTCGAGAAGCGCGCGTGGCGAAAATTCCAGGCCGAAGCAGATGTCGGACAAGGTATCTGGCAAGAAGACGGGAACACGAGCCTGGTCCGCGAAGCAATGGACGCCCTGTTGCGCTATCGCGTGCTGGATCTACAGAACACCTACGCCGCGCTGCCCGTGTCTCGCGTAGCCGCGCACCTCGAGCTCCCACCCGACTACGTCCTAAATCTGCTCGGCAGCATGCTCAACCAGAACTACCTATCCGCACACCTCACGACCACCACTTCCGACCCGGTCTTGCACTTCCATGGCTCGTCTACCTCCACCTCCCCCGAAGTCAATGACTCCGACTCCCTCGAAGCCCGCTCAAATCGCATCACCTCCCTCATCGCTGCGATCCGCGATGCCGACCGTCGGCTCCAGCTCACGAAAGAGTACATGGACGTGCAAAAGCGCGGGAAGCGAGGCGGGGCGGGGCCGGATGGAGATCTAGCGGATCAGATGGATCTGACTTACGATCCGCCTATCGGTGGATTAGGAGAGGACGAGGAAGGAGAGGGTGTGTTTGGAGTAGGAGGGAGTGGCGGGTGGCAAGGGACTGGGGAGGAGGATATTATGGAGAGGTGAACACGACTGTGAAGACTACTTGAGCAATGAGCGGCAGATTCTAAAGGATGACGAGTGATGGCTTAGCGACGGAGTTTTACTTGCTGCAGCATGTGCATAAATTAGCATTGCGGATGACGACGATCGAAATGAAGAAATGGGTGAAGCTGCAGCCGCTGAGGCAGCAATGGTCTCCAGCAGGACATCTGCTACATAGCATGAAGCAGATCAAACCACACGAGACGCTTGAAGATTAAGTTCGATCCAGGACCGACGTAAAGCTTTTCGTTGTTGAATCATCTATGCCTTGATCGTTGCTAAAGCTCGCTCACTCGCTTCCGTCATCCCCCATCACTCTTTGAAGCCGGAGGACTACGCGCCCATTCTCTCAGCGGCAGCCATCAAACTCCCCACAAACGTCACCATCAACCTGGCTCTCGCCTGCGTAATGTCCTCCGGCACCAACCAGATCGTCGCCCCCATCTTCCTCGCAATACTGATCGCCAACTTGGCATTCGCATACCCCTCTCCTTCTCCCTTCCCGGAAGCCACGAGGTCATAGTCCACATAACTCGACTTCATCCCGTTCAGCACATCGAGGAAGAAAACGCCCGTAGCCAGATTCTGATCTTTGAAACTGCGGATCTGCGTCCCCTTCCCGCCGGGTCGCGACGCCATGCTGTTGGACCACTGAATCATATCGGAGTCCGAGATCTCGCGCTTGCCCATGCGTTGCGCGAGGTTGGTGAGAGTGTTCGTGATATCCCGCCTCATCAACTGCCAGACCATCCCCAGCGTCAATGTGCGCACGCCATCCGTGATGTCAGCCCCCTGGATCCCGACGAGAGAAAAGCGGTTCTGCTTCCCGATTTCCACGGCATAGTTCGTGTTCTCCATGGCTTTGAAGCGGCCCATGCCGGATTTGATCGTGAGGTACGCTTCGTCTTCGTCCTGGCTTGCGGGCGTGACGGCGTTGGCGGGGGGTTTGTTGACGTGGCGCCAGTTTACGGAGCCGGGGATGACTTTGTCGTAGGCCTGCAGGAGCACGGTCCCGTCTTTCAGGTCGTCGAAGAAGCTGACGACGCTTGGCTGGACGTCGAGGGAGTTGAGCCAGAGCGTGAACACGCGCGCTTCGCGCTCGCCTTCGGCGTCGAAGTCTTCGATCTCCGCTTTTTCTTCTTCGGTGATGGGGTCCAGGCAAGGGTGGTTGTTGAAGAGGTTGGCGACGAAGGCGAGATTGAGCTTTGGATTGCCGGCGACGAGGGAGGTGGGGGTGAGGAACTTGCGGCAGGGTGGATCAAGGCGGTCGGAGTTCTGCAGGACTTGCTCGGCGCGTTGGTGGAGGTCGGAGGTTTTGAGAGGGTCGCGGGAGCAGGTGTTTGGTGCGAGTTGGTTGAGAAGAACGGTGTAGTTTTCGCCGTCCTTGACGTCGGTGGAGAAATTTTGGACACTGGAAAGTCTGTTAGAGGAATGTTGAGAGTTGTGCTATGAGTGAAGACGTACCGCCTCTGCCAGTTCGCATTCTTCAAGTGGTAGTTGAACCATCTCAGCAAGATCTGTTCCGGCGGCAACCGTAAGAACTGCTCCAGCGTCTCGCCATCCTCCAATAGGCGGTACAGCTCCGGGTGCAGCTTGATATCAATCTTGCCCAACAGCCCTCTCCGGATGATCTGCCAGATCAACCCCAGTATCAAATGCTCCTTCCCTTCAATGATATCTCCAGACCCAATGTTCACCACGGAGCACCCGATACCTTTCGCCGACTCAATCACGATATTGTTGTTCTCCGTCATGTGAAACGCATTCAACTTCTTAATCTTCTTCCCTTCCCTGTTCAATACTCGCTCGTCAATCGTATCCGGCACGCTGTCGTTGATGAGCTTCGCGAGCACCAGTCCATCCTTGCACGAATCGAACATCTCGAACGTGTCCAGCGGGAAAGGCAGCAGGTGTCCGATATCCGTATCACCAGCCAGCACAGCGTTGATGTGCGAGGTGAACGCCGTCCGCTCATCTTCATTGATCGTATGCTGCGAGCTCCCCGTGGCGCCCGCAACTGTGATCCTTCCACCTCCTGCTTGTCCTCCTGTACTTCCCTGACTCCTATGCTGAGGTCCAGTAGGCGTCGGCGCAGCCCCGGCATTGCCGGCATTGGCGTTGCTGAAACCTCTGCTTCTCTGCGGGCCAGTGCTCATGCGCTGCTGGGCTTCGCTCGGTTGTCGTAGCTTCGCGATCAAGTCGACGTAGTCATCCAGCTCCACTCGCCGCGACGAGTCCAGCTCGACCTCCTTGAGCGCTTGACGCACGACATCGTAGGGCTGGCGCTCGGTGTTCTGCGCGGACTTGATGGCGGTTGCTTCGTCTACGTAGCCCTTGTCGTCGGTGTCGAGCTTGCGGAAGGCGTCTGTGAGGCCGAATATGTCGGCTTGTTGGAATTGAGGGTACTTTCTGTTGTCATATGTCAGCGATGTGTAGCTGAGGTCAATGGTCGAAGGCGTACTTCTGTAGCTTGAGGACGTTCATGGTGGGCGAGTCGTGGTATGTAAGAGGAAGAAAGACGCACTGCTAAGAACAGAAAGTGTCTCTCAGCGCATAATGTCGATGCCTGATGTCTCGTCGTGTGCACAGCCGCGTAAAAAGTTTGGGTGACGTTGCCTTCGTCAATCAGCGGAGCGGCAGAAGGCGGGCGCTGGCGGGGCAAGAAGTGGCGCAGCCCTGCTTGGCGGAGGCGTCGGAGCATGTGACTGAAGTGAATGCGAAGAATGCGACGAAAGACGAGGGTAATAACTCCCGTTCATTGATACACGAAGGGCGACAGCGATGGCGAAGGTCCTACTCGAAAAGGTCTTCATGCCCGCTATGCTACCCATGCCTCAATACCACCAGCGCCGGCGCTAGAATCAAATCTCCTTCGCATGCGTCAACTGCATTCAACCTCAAATGTTCAGACCAGCGCCCTTCTCCGTCTGCGCTTTGCTAAATTGATATATCATGCCTAATACACCCGCGTTCTTCCCAGCGACATCGTCGCCCTCGTCGTTGTCTGTGTCGCTCTCAAGCACGTCCTTCGAGTCCCCACCACCAATGATGGCGTCTTGGAGATCGCTGTCCTGCGCCATAAGTCTGCTCTCCGTCATGCCGGGCTCTGCCTTACTAGGAGTTGCTTGAGAGGACGGAGGTCTGCGCTGCATGGCAGCATGAGATCGACTGGCTTGCTGCAGCGGCGAGCGTGCCGATCGCGAGGGCTTCACCGCTTTCTGGCCCCTTCCAGCCGGTGGACTCAAAGCCGATTTCACGACAGCCGTCCCCTCCTCGCCATCACCCTCCCCCATCATCGGCGGCCAAGCAGGCGGCGGCTGCCACCCCCTCTGTCCCCTCCTCTTCCCCTCCCTCGCATGATGAGCATGACTATAGTACTGCATGAAGTTCTGCACACTCGCCTCCATCTTATCATCCTTGCACCCAAAATACTCATCCCGCAACCCATCCGGCTCGCGCCGTTGCAGCGTCTTCGTCGGATCCTCCACATTCAGATCCTTCTTGAACCCAAATACCGCGAAATTACATTGGTGCCCGATCCCGTCGACATGCACCGTCTGCTCGCGGAAGAAGTCGACGATGCGTTCGCAACGGCTGTTAGCGTTGCGGAGGAGGATCCAGGGGGCGACGATCAGGGAGAGGATTTCTTCGACGAAGATGAGAATTTTCATCTGGTACATTGCGGAGAATTCGGAGAGGACTTCGTTGCTGTGCAGGCGGCCTTTCCAGTGAGCGGGCATGTAGTGTGTATACAGTAGCACTTCTCTGAGATGCAGCACGGGGTCGTGGACTTCGTTTTCATCTGGTAGAGCACCGTGCGCTATGCCGAAGATGCCGACGAAGACTGTGAGCCAGAAGAGCGCAGTGCGGCCGGGCGTGACTTCGAAGCCGAGGAAGAGCTCGGAGTCCCAGACGGAGAACATACCCAACACCGCTGCTACCGCCCCGCTGACGAGCGCGACAAAGCGGCAGAACTGGTCCTGTTTATCCTTTGGAAACTGCTTGAGGTAGTCGTTTGCGAACGGCATGGCTTGCCGGAGGCGGCGCTGGAAGAGATGTTCCAGCTCGTTGAACTCGCGGATCTTCCACTCGGCGAAAGGAGTAAAAGAGCGCGCGCTGAGGCGGGAGGGGTTGCGGGTGAACTCTGTATAGTAGCGGAAAAAGTACATCATGCAGAAGCGGAGGATGTTGAAGGGAGCGATGAGGACGCTAGTCAAAGCGGCAAATTGGAGACGTCGACTCAGAGCGGTGACAAGAGCGCGTCGGTTCCTGACGTCCAAGCAGAAAGGCCGAATGCTACCGCGCTCGTCGAAGATGAAGTTGGTGAGGCAGAAGTCGATGCACCATTCGAGGCTCTTGGAGTAGAACTGGCGGCTACCGACGAAGGGGAGCGGCAGGGTGAAATCGAGAATTTCCTTGTTGTAGAGCGCGACGTAATAGTTGTCCTGGCGCATGAGGCGGTTGGCAACGGTCTCAGCGTTAAGTCGTTCCTGAGGTCGTTTGTATCCGACAATGTTTTTGGTTGCTGCAGTCAAATTTGCGGTGGCAATGTTCGAGCTCTGCACTTTCACCAGGCCCTCAACTACCTTAATCCAGGAGACCGTCTGAATGTCCGTGTCGGTGATGCCGAGGACGTGTAAGTAGAAGCGCTGCATCTGGAACAGTCGCCGTATGCCACGAACGTGCGTTGCTACTCTCGACAACCAGTAGACAATGAATACGAACAGTGCTGCATTCTTGAACCAAGAAGCGTTCTTCATGCATTTCGGTATCACAATATCCGAGGTCATTCTGCTTCCTGGCACCTTCGAGTAATCTATGCAGGTCGTGAGGAACATGGCAAAGCTGAAGATGAAGAGCTCGGTCATCAGACTGATCGCTCTGGACAGTAGGATCGACCAGACGCCATGCTCGACGTAGTACTGGTAGACCTCGAGCAAGAAGGCGTCAAGATTTGATGCATTGGCGTAGAGCCACATTGCATCCACTTCAGGATCAGCCTGAGGAGCTGGAGCAGTGTTAGACCTGGTCTGATATTGCCGTGATACAGGCCTGGGTCGGTCCGCATGCAGTCCATGTGTCTCTTGCGCTGCCTTCCACTGTGCTTCTGCTCTTGTTCTCGGATCTTGATCTGTGGGTCGGGATGATGCCCTGTTCGCAGGTCCCTCGCCCTTGTCGTCCAGTATCAAAGACTCCGGCACATCATCGTCCTCATCAATCCGTCTGTTTCTCCGGCTATCGAGCCATTTTGGACGTATGCGCTCAAGAACTGGTGATTGCTGTGCTGAAGGCTGGGTTTCAGGGCTTTGTTGTGTCTGATCTGACTCCTCATCGTTCGCACCTTCGAGGAAGATGCGGTCTGGATAGTCATCTTCGTCGTGGAATGTATCCTCGTGTCGGCCGTGTGATTCGATGTCTGTTCGTCGGTGAGGAGCGCTTCGCATACCCTCGAAGACGGATACATCTCCTTCGGCCACAGGTAGTAGCCTGGAGAGTACCCTTGAGGTCATCATCTTGACGAGGTCGACGAGCTGCTACCGGTGCCGGTGTTGTGGAGTCCCAAGGGCTCACTGTTCAACTGATGTCGTCGTAGTATTTAAGGGATGGGGATCTCATCGTGTTCGGTTCCGGCCTACGTTATTGAGTTGGTTAGTATGCCATATTAATACTGCTCGTGAGTCTTCCAGATGAAGGCAGCATCGCGTGTTGATACTGTCACATGTCAAAGTAGCGTGACTAACGACGGCTGCGGGGGCGGAAGAGCGGTCGAACCCGTGCGCTGAGCTCGAAGGGGGCGGAAGTGAATGCAACTCTCGCCTTGCGCCTTCTCTTCAAACCGATGCAACTATGCTGCAGTGCCATATAGGGAAGCCTTTCATATTTGAGCCTCTCCGCACACGAGGACAACTTTGTGCCGGCTCATTCTCACAACTTGACGAGAGCTTCTGAAGACTCATGCGTTTGCTCAGCTGGCCCTCGATGAAAGAGGCACGATGGTTGATCATCACTGCAAGGTCCTCAGGAGCCTCTCAAGCTGGCAGGACATCTTCCAGCAGCTTCTGCCCAGTCCCTTAGAACGGAGGTGGCCTTCAGGTGGAGCCCACAGACTCCGCCCGCGTTCGCAAGCATGATCACTATCAGATTTCATCAAGGCTATCTTCAAGGGCTCCAAAGACACCTGTTCCGGTGTCGTAATCGCAAGCTCAGCTGCGTTTTCAATATCAGCCCAAATCTGCAGCAAGCGATGATCCACACTCGCTGTGCTGCGCGCTGCCGCGAGGGCCGCGAAGGATTCCTTCCTTTTATTACCGTCACAAAACTAGGACCAGAAGTCAAGCTCAGCTGAAGCCGTGCCAATAACCTTGTCTTCGAGCTTGTCGATCCCAGATATGCTCCTACTGGTCAGAATGCGACCAAGCTGCACCTTGAGCGTGGCTTGGGCTGAGCCGAGCGACATCGCAACTACTCTACAAGGCAAGCGTTGCGCTCTGCATCTGCACACAGAGCGGCGCACTCCGCCAGCTCCAGTCATATCGGAATAACTGCTCGGCCGATGCGATGAAGTACCCAATCAGACGTCCGTCCTCTCCCAGCTGGTGGCTTTGGACATTGCGTTTTCCACATGGTGTCCCTGTAGGCCCATCTCTTCCGTTCAGCCCTGCGGCACACTGCAAACAGCGCGCACTGCCAGCATGGATAGCTTGATACAATCAACAAGGTAGGTCCAAGAATAACGCATGTAGGTAGCAGGCTCTATACATATGTACCCGGCACCAGCTCGTTGCGGTGTCCATCAATACCGACATCTCCACCTCAGTTCACTCTGCTGGCCTTCTCTTGCTGCTCTAGCTCCAACAGCTTGTCCTTTCGATGGCCAAACACGACTGCCCCGTCCCCAAAGGCGCAGAAAACTATGGCAAGCGCGGCACATCATGGCATCCAATGCTCTACTTGTCCTTGGCTTGTCTTGGAGCGACTACAGCCATCTCGATTTCTCTCATCTTCCAACATCTACGACGGTATCGGGCTCCTAAGGAACAACGACAGATCATTCGGATCATCTTCAGCGTGGTCGCGTACTCTCTGGTAGCCTTCTTCGAGCTATTTCAATACGAAGATGCAGAGTATCTCGATCCACTGGGCGATGTGTATGAAGCATTTGGGCTGTGGTAGGTCTTTCGCACCAAGACAGACAGACAAGAACAAAACTGACCACACAAAGCGCGCTCTTCCTCCTCTTCATCCAATACGCCTCACCAAACGGCACCTTCGACGAAGCCACCTTTGACGCTGTCAAATCTGGCGAAGATATCGCGACGACTTTCAACTGGCCGAAGATTGCATGGATCTTTGTCTTCCAATACGTAATTGTCGAAGTCCTGTGTGTTGGAGTGCAAGAAGCCACCCAGGCCGCTGGAGTCTTCTGCATGAATTCACTGAGCCCACAATTTACTCACCTCTGGATCGAGATCATTGAGAGCATCTCCATTGGTGCTTGTGTCCTCGCCATCGTCAAGTTCTATCAACGCATGAAGACAACGATGAAGGCTAAGCGTGGCCTTTCCAAGATTGCGATGTTCAAGGGTATCGTGTTTATTCGATTTGTTCAGCAGTGGGTGTTCTCGTTGCTGTTGCAACACGATGTCATCAAACCTGGTCCGGCGTTCAGCTATAACGATATCCTCTACGGTATTCCGGCGACAGCGACGTGTGCCGAGATGGTGCTGTTTTCGTTGGGATTTTGGTAGGCGACATCGAGTATTCACGACGTCGTAACTTTGCTAACAACGTCGACAGGTACTCTTTCAGCTCCTCCGAATACAGCAGCACCGCAAAACCTCACGTCCGCCCCTTGCCAATGTGGAAAGCCGTCCTCGACGCCCTCAACCCGACCGACTTTGTCCTAGGCGTTGTTAGGATTTTCCCTCTCTGCATGCAAGTGCGGAAGACAGGCGACTGGAGTGCGTACCGTGCATCGACAAAGAAGCAAGGTCTAGCTGGCGCCATACGCAAAGGCAGAAATCGGTACAAGAACCGCGGCCAGGACCGGTATCAGGAACTCGATCAGGGTACGCAGAATCTGACACGGCCTACGGAGAGTCACCAAAGCCAGGACTTCGGGCGGCCGTCTATGAGTGGTGGGCTTGGAGGCCAATGTGTGTACCAGCCGCCTGGTGCTTCGCCTCCTGGAGACGAAGGTAGTTACCTGACAGGAGGGCTGGACGGGAGCGGACATCGGAGAGCAGCGTCGCAACAGTATTTGATGGCTGATCATGCGTCTCCTGGACGGCCTCGGGCTTCCTCGCAAAGCTCGTTGATGGCGGAGTCGCAGCCACCGCCCGGCTACTTTAAACCTGGGCAGAGGTATGATCGATCACGTTCTCCATCGCCAAGTCCGTTTGCAGGAGCGCCAATGGGGGGAAGAGAGATGATATGAACAGAGTGCATTTCGCAGGCACTGCTCGCTGTTAATAGTATGTACAGAAATGAACACGTGTCTACATCATCGTCCTCCTACCAATCCCACCCAGCAGCGTTCTAACGCCGCGAGACGCGATCGACAAGCACGGCCAGCTTTGGAGCGTCTTTACCTTGTCAAGTCACGGGTTGTACGCGAGCGTAATCTTCGTCACCTTCATCACGGCATCCGTCTTAGGGGGCCCAAGCGTCCAGTAAGGGTCTCCGTTGACCCAGTTGTTGATGAGGAACGCAGACGGCTCGGTTGGGACGTTGGTCGTGAATTCGTACTGCAGTTCGCCGTCGAGGTAGTATTTGGTCGAGCCGGGGGACCAGTCGATGCCGTATTCGTGGATGGCGGAGGTGATGTCGGATGGAGCGGAGCCGTACTTCATGGTGTCTTCTTGGCCTTGGGTGGCTTGGTTGGTGTATCTGGGAAGGTTAGTATGAAGCCTTCCGGGTTTGGTGTTAGGACGATCTTACTGCAGCTCTCGGCCACCGCTTGGGGAATCCTTGTTGGAGAACGACTCTGGGTCGGTGACGAACTCGATGTCCTGCTCCTGGCTGTCGCTCTCGTAGAAGAAGAATCCTATTGGACCGTTAGCGCAGTGCACTACAACGTCAGACGGAACGTTGTCCATACCATTGACCACACCAGCCACTTCCGTCAACTGTGCCTCAACACGAACGCTCCCGTACAACACTGAGAACGTAGCGACTTCAGCAGACGAGATGGTCTGTTGTCCTTGCTGTCCACCAGGGACAGTCAACAACATCGCTCCATCCTGCACGACGACATTCTCCGCGTCGAACCTGTGGTTCAGCAGCCCTGGTTTGTCCGCGTCCACTTGCCAGGTGGAGGCAGTCAGACCGGTAGGCAAAGTGTTGCCCGTGAACTCCCAAGTCGTAGTCGCGGCGTAGCCAGCCTGTCGCTGTTCCATCGCAGGAGCAGCAGCCGCGAGGCCCACGCAGAGGGCCGGAAGGATGGTGGAGGAATACATGTAGAGATAGCGATACGAAGGTACCGGAAACAAAGATACACCAAAAACAATAGAGCTGAAAGACTGACCAACAACATGCAAGAGACAGCACTGTACTTAACACTACTCCCAAGCCCTCCAGCCCAACATCGTCAATGGAGCTTGTTGGAGTCTGAAGCGAAGTCGAAACGGATTTTCGCTAATTACCTGAGCAAAACCCGGATCGACGTGTCGTGGCGGCGTAGAAGACACCGTGGAGTCGTATGGACACGCCCCATTGCCGGCTCGTACAGATGCTGCGTCGTGCTGTTGAAGCGGAGATGCCACGCGATTTAGCAGAGGTGTATCATCGCTCTCCTGGCCTGCCAAACGAAGCAAGATGAACGAGGAACAAGCGTTTTCGTCTCACGACCCGAGGGTCTGAAGGAAGAGATGAGTGCTCGAAATAGTGCTGAAACCCTGGCAAGTCTGGTCGGGGCTTCAGGGGGCCAATCCTTCGTTTCGGCGGGGAGACGATGTGACTGCAACGCGATAAAACAACTAGGATTGTGGTTCTTGTATGTAGCATTGGTCTTTTCAGTTTTGCGAAAGTGATGAATGTTGCAATGTCTTCACGTGAAGAAGTGTTGCGGCACGTGAAGGCGTCTCGGAGACGTGTTGTTGGTCGCCGGGCTAACGACTTCAAAATAGCGGGAGTCTCATCATCGACTTTGACAACACGGTAGGAGGTAGGTCGGCGTGAAGGAGTCCATCTTTTGGCTGTCATATTGTTCTTGCAGGCCACACCTGTCCCGGCATCGCGAACACAGACGATGCTGTGATCTGCCATCAGGCGTCTCCTTACGAAGCAGTTGACTGTATCTCACCAAGCAGCAAGCAAGCATCAAGAGGCTCAAGTCCAGAATGCCTACATCTGCGCCCAAACCCGCCAAACCGAAGATCTCGCCGTCCTGGGATGCCTTCAACTCCAGCGCGACTGGCCACCAACGAGCAGACAACAGGCTGGGCGGCAGCACTTCGTGGCGCAAATCGCGAACGCTGAAGCTACACCAGCAGTTCTATGGAGGCGCTGGAGGCGGGAAGCGGGTATCGGATACTGTGGGAGCGGGCAGTCTTGACTTTGGAAAAGATGGGAGGACGGAGAATGGTGGATGGGTGAAAGGGGCGTCTGGGCTACGGAAAGGTGGGCAGCAAAGCATCCTGGACGCTGGAGGTGTGAAGGTGGAGAAGGACGTCGAAAGACCCGCGAAGAGAGTGAAGACCGGGCAAGTAGATGACGAGGCTACAAAGGTTACGAATCCATTTACGCCGTTCAAGAGGGAGGATGGAAGTATCCGCGAGGCCAGCTGGACATCGCATGAGACTTCACCATCTCATCTGTTATCGCCCATCAACTCTAGCAACACGAGCCAGACACCTACGGTAGAGGAAACCGCAGAGGATACTGGCGAGAATGAACTACCACCACCACAGATCTTCGCAGGCCTCGTTCTCTACGTCAACGGCAACTGCGGTGAGGATATATCAGATCACAAACTCAAGCGCATCTGGTACGAGCACGGCGGGCAGACGTCAATTCACCTAGCAAGACGTACGGTCTCTCACGTCGTCATTGGCCGGCCGAACAGCAACGGCGGCTCAGGTGGTGGACTGGCAGGGAGCAAGATTCAGAAAGAGGTGGCTAAGAAAGGTGGACCAGTGGTGAAGTTTGTGACTGCTGAATGGGTTACTGAGAGCATCAAGGCTGGCAGAAGACTACCTGAGTCGCGGTTCGCGGCTCTGAGCTTCGCGCCACAGGGCGTGACGAGTGTTGCCAGCATGTTTGGGCAGAAGACGAATAGTCCTGCGCAAGCTTCGAAGGGGAAGGGATGACGTTGGTCTTGGCCTGTTTTTCAACCCTCTTCCTCGCAAGGCTCGACTGGAATCTCCGCGCTCTACGCACTTCCTCATACCCTGCCGCATGTTCCAATGCACTGCGATATTGATGAGCATTCTGGAAAAGCTTTGCCAAAAGTCGCCATCCACCTGTCCTCCACGTCTAGGGCTCAGAAGCATCCCGCGCGACAAATCAAATTTCCATCCGCTCAATGCCAAGTTTTTCGTTGGGGATGGCATCGGTACGATCTGATCGTGGTGGTCGAGCTTGAGACCATCGCGCAGAATCCAGGGTTGCTTTCGTCGTCAAGACCGGATCCAAAAGGTTGCCAGCGCAGCAGACAATCTTCAGACCACCGCAGCAGTGTACGTGGCCACGCTGACAGACTTGATCTTGTTCTTCCACTGACACGATTGTTAGTTAAATAGCTTTCAGAATCCTAATCGAACACACTCACGCCTTGAAACTGTGCCCATGCTCGAACCGCGATCCGATCTCCGTTCTGCAAGCTCGCCACCCACTCACGCTCGTTCTCGTCTTCTGAGTCCACAGTCCATTCGATGATGGTGGTTCTCATTTCGCGGCTCGCAGCAATATTCCTCATTATCTGCCGCTCAGCATCAAGAAACTTGTCACTGTCAGACTGGTCCTCGAGCGCGAGCTCCACGACTCGTTCATCGATCAGTGTCTCCTCACTCCGTTCACAGTGATGGACCACGCCGGCGGTGAACCATGTCCAACTGGCGGAACGATCGTCCGCCCACCCTTGATCGCAGCTCTGGATGGCGAAAACTACCTTGCGCACAGGGTGCTTTAGTCGTGCTGAGCTGTTGATTGGCGGTGTCAAAAGGCACAAATACGGTGCATTGCGCTGTGTTATGGAGACCGGATGGTCGTTCTTGATGCTAGACGCATGTCGTTGGAAAAGCCCGGCATGGTGGAGAATCGCAGGAACGACATCTGGCACCAGCTTCTGTCGGAGCAAGAACGTGATGTGGTAGATGTTCCGGAGTTGATCCGCCGGAGGCATGGGTTGCTGGTCGTCTGCTGCTGCTGTCGTGCTCGGTGGCGCCCCTTCTCTCGCTTCGAGACCGCTGGTGCGCGCGCTACGGTTTAGCCAAGCAAAGAACCAGGCGAGGCCAAGGAGGCCTATTAGTAAGGTAATCATGCTTTGGTGCCTGCGGTGGATCTCACTCCGCTGGGAGTATTAGATCTTGTTTTGTTGATCAGGCTTCAGGTTTGGGGAGCACCAAGGAAGGCCTTCCGTGGACCGTGGAGTCGAAGCTGCTCGGATTCAATGATACCTTGCTCGGAGGCAACAGTCCGCGGCTCGACCTTGCCAACTCTGACTGCCTTGCTCGTACTGATCCTGTGAGGTAAGTGGCGATGGAGAAAACAGCCCAACTCGAGCTGTCGCGAGTTCTGTCCACACCGCTTGCGTCAGGTCTGCTGACGGATGCAGCTCTTATTAGCTTACTGTAGCTCTCCAAGCCACCCCACTCGCATTTCGAACCGTCCAAAGGCGTGTCTTTTGACAGCCAAGGCAAAGCAACCATGTTCTGGAGGCGAGAAATGATGCGAGCTTTTGCAGCATGTAAGCCAGATGCAGCTTTCTAGTCGGCGGTGGTTTTCTACGTTGTCTGCTGGACTACTGTCATCCGAGTAAACATGGACGACCTTTCAGCTCCTGCGGCGCGCTTGACCTGCGAAGCAAAGCCACGAGAAGATAAAGAGGAGTGTCCTGCGCATGTCGAAATGCAGCACGAGCTGTCCGAAATCGTTGATTTTGAAGAAACTCAGAATGGCACCTCACGAAGATCAGATCGCCCCACCCGACCTTGGCGAATACAAGATAGACACCAACGTCTCGCCAGCAGCTGGATCACATGAAAATGCAATCGCGTCTGCTTGCTCTGAAGATGCCACTATCGTTGGGTCGCCAGCCGAGGGGAAGAAGGAGGACACGTTACATTCGCCAGAGAAGCCAGCGACTGTCCAGGTGGCCGAGCTCAATCAACCTCTTACACACCAGATAATTAAGCCGACGTCGTGGAGACCTTCATTACTCCGTGCGGGCCCTATCAGTGGGCTGTTAGCCCTCGCCTTTGGGGTGCTCCAGGTCATTGCCGCGCACCTCATTCTAGCACTATCAGATGGCAAGCCTGTTGATTCCTGGCGCTACCAGCCCAGTGTGTATTTGGCCATCCTCACAGCAATCTCAAATAAAGCGCTGGCATTTGCAGTCGTCCAAGCTACTGTAGTCAGGTTCTGGCTTGATGCACTCAATGGCACAACCATTGGACAGCTTCATCGGGACTGGCTTGTGGATTGCATGTTTACCAAGCAATATGCTCTGGTCGCCACTTTAACCTCCTCGCGCTCGCATGCATTTGCACAAACCTCGTCGGTGAGTTCTTCACAGCATCCTTACCTTCCCAGTTTTAGCCTCGGGGTTGATTCTGGTTCAAGACCGTGCTGAAAGTGCTACAGCGATTGACGGCCCCTTACTTCAACGAGCCTCTACTTTGACGTCGGCAATTACCAGTGGCCGAGTTAATCTGGTCATCGACCTCGCACCCGAACTGCCCTCGTACATGACTGGCGCTACTCATTACCCTGGCAACACCAACTATTTGGACCTGGACGACAGCTTGAAACCTGTCGTAAAAGACTATGGAGCTGGCGCGCCGATCAAATTGAGCAACTCAGCAGGCTGTAGCGGAAAGTGCAGTACCACGGTGCTCGCTCCAGCCTTCGCTGAGTTGTCCTGTCCTTCCAAGCAAAGCTTGTACGACTTTTCCACTCCCATGACAGTGAAACAAATGCAGTCGTTCAACCAGACGGGCTTGCCTCCTTCTGACCGCGCGATTTTCCAGGTCTACCACTCGCTCTTACCAGGATCGCGCGAGAGCATTACATTCCACACAAAAGTCGTGCAGCAGCCAAAAGATGGCAGCTGTGCGACATATGTGAATACAACTTCTTGCTCTCTTCGCTCGGCGATCGGACGGTACCCTGTCGAAATTCAAGATGGATACATCAGCATAAAGGGCCCTCCTGTTATCATAGCAGAAGCAAACAATACTGCTCTAGACAACAGCACCATTGACAGACTACATCTCTACAACGAAAATACGCAGATGCTCAAGACTACTCTTTCCGGCGTAGCTATCATTGCCAACACCCGGTTCTATTCGGATGTGTATCTGGTTCAGTGGCCAACAGCCCTGCTACCTCAATTGGTCACTGTGGGATCGGGATGGTTTACCTGGCTGCAAGGTTGGTTTAATACTGGCAACGGCTGCATACCCGACCTTGGAGACCCAAGAGACGAGATAATACATCAGCTCAATGAGCTGATATTCAGGTTCGGCGTACACTATGGATCGACTATGGAAGCACGGGAGCTGGGCTCTTTAATGGACAATGGTTTGGAAGTAAGGCAAGCCGTCACTGGTACTATTGACGAGCGCACGGAAGTCTTTCAAACAGAGTTGAAGTTCTTCGCCGCCGCTGCAGCCGTCGAGCTCTTCACCATCGCGGTGATATTGTGCACGTTTCGGGGCTACTGGAAGCTTGGACGAGCTACCAGTTTGAGTCCTCTCGAGACCGGGAAGGTACGATGTTACGTACTTACGAATGTATCTCGCGATAGCTGACTACTTCTCCTCAGGCTTTCGATGCTGCTGCGCTCCGTGATGCTGGATCCAATGACAATACGCGGGAGATCGAACTACTTCTCGGAGATCATCACATCCAGTACGGGATCCTCGAGAATGAGATGGAGTACACTGCCGCATCCCGCTATCTTCCTGCGGAAAAGCTGGGTATGACGACTGGTGCGAATGTCCATAGGCCAGTCCCGCAGCATTCGGCTGAGAGTAATGGCGTCCAACTCTGGAGGACGAGACTAAACGCCCGGAGACGGCGAGCTGCAAGCCATGGACCTGTGGTGGACTCGAGGGCCCGACAGAGTGTCTAAATGCATGCAGGGAAGCGGATGCTCATGGCAAGGTCGCGCGGAATTGCAAAGCGGCCGTCAAGCTGGTTTCACGTGCTCACGTTTTTGTGCTTTGACTCATCTTGGCATGTCACACAACACCCACTTTGCGGCTTCCCGCTGTTGAGCAAGGTGAAATTCCCCTCCAACATCTCCAAGCCCACCACGAAGTCGTGACACCAACCATGGCGACGCTCGCCCACTTGCCAGACTCGCCATAGCGGAACTTACATTCTACGTTCTCGCCCTGTTCTTCACCCTTCGCATAGGCTTCCGCCACCACCATGTCGTCTGGCCTCAATTCGGCCTGCTTCTCATCACTCTCATCAGCAGCCTACGGATCGCTAGCGCCTCGATGCTGCTCTACGCCGAGACACACTCCGATTCCGCAGACGACATTGCCACCTCTGTTGTGGTCATCGGAGTCTGCATCTCATCGTTGCTCCTGAGTCTGCTTTTCGGGGTACAGCATCTCGTCAATCTGAGCATGAAAAGAGCACACCAGACTGCCGGCACATGGCATATCATACTTCTCCGCTGGACTGCCGCTGTCGCGCTAATCGTCTCGATCGTGGGCGCCGTCAAGATCTCCACATCAGTATACGAACCTTCAGGATATGAGTCCCTGGCATACAAGTCCTCAACATACGAGTCCTCAGTGTGCGACTCGATCGCAGCCGGTCGCCGCGAACTCGAAGCTGCGAGTGTATTGTACCTGGCCGTATATCTCGCTCTCGCCACTTTGATAGTACTGCAGTATCTGAACAAGGCAAGCGCGCCAACGGAGGAGCGGAAGTACCTAGCAGCTGGCGTCGCCGCCTTGCCTTTCATCCTGGTGCGCATGATCTACTACATCATCGGGGCCTTCTCCAGTGCAGGCAGCATGTACATGTCAGCGTTCATGGAGTTTGCAATGGAAGCAATCGTGGTAGTGATCTTCATGGCGGCTAGCTGGATGGCACTGAAGAAACCAAGATATGCAGGTGCAGAAGGTCCGTCATTTACTGCGGCAACCGGTCAGGAAGAGATGGAGAGCGGGCATAAGCCAGAGAGCTCAGGACCGCTACCGCAAGAGCAGTGCCAAAATCAAACATCGCGCGGCATTGGTGAGGACGGCAAGTGAGCAGGGGGCTTGAAGAGCTCATGAAGCGGCGGCGTTCGTGATACGAGTCCATCTGCACCAGCGCGCAAGATGAGACGCTATCATCCGGCAAGGCAGGGAGCAGGATGGTTGTCGCAAATCGTGAGGTACGAGTGCTTCATCACAAACGGTCAGCGTACACCCAATTACAGCACAAGAAACATCCAGACTTCACTTGTTTCAACGTTTTACGAGCATGCAGCTTCTTCTTACGTGCAGGCGGTCCTTTTTCTTCTTTCTCATGGCAATGAATCCGCCGATATCGAGGGATGTCATTGGATTGTATTGGGTTTTGCTGCTCTTGCCCGATAATGGATTGTCGGACTTTCAGCTGGTCAACAAGACTCAGCCTTGTCGTGCGACATGCCGCTTTTGGAAACCACTGCGCTGTCTCAACAACTTCTCTTCAACTAGAGGTAACCACGTCTACAGAGGTTCACAATCACTTGCGTCCTTTTGTTTGGCTGCGCATTCAAGAATGAGCCTCTTGTCCAAAGGCAGGCCCCATTGCGCTCTCTCGCACAGCCACTCGACCCTACTAACAGCCAGACTTTTCTCATCCTATTTGGGACACCAGGATGTCAATGCAACCGCAGCAGACAGACATTACACTGGCATGCTGGTCCTTCGAGATGTCGTATAAATAAAGGCCAGTGGTCTCCAGATGTAGGCTCATACACTTCAGTCACTCTCACAACACAAGCATTCACAAGACAACCATCACCCACCTTTCTACCTTGTCCTCTACTCCTATTAGGACATCAAGCACATCTCGGCGAAGCTTGTCTTTCTAGACTTTCCACGCAACGCTTTCCCATGTCTCCTCTCCAACCAAAAGGCGGCCTGGCCGCCGCTCAAGTCGCCTTTTTCGCACCCGCCCTCCTCATCTCAACCTACATCGTCTTCCGTCACGGCCTCCGTCGCCAACTCGGCTGGCTCTACCTCGTCTTGCTCAGCATCCTGCGCCTAGTCGGTGCCTCAGCGACTCTATGGTCGGAAACACAGAACGATTACTCGAAAAGCATCCTACAAACGGCCTTTATCACCTCTGCAGTCGGGACGGCGCCACTGTTGTTGGTACTGCTCGGGTTCATGCAACTAGTCAACAAGGATATGAAGACCGCTGGATCGGCTGTTGGCATATGGGTCTTCCGTGGCATCCATCTGCTTTCGCTTGCCGCGCTGGTACTCGCCATTCTCGGCGGCACAGACATCTCATCCACAATATCCAGCACCGTCTCACTGGGTCACACGCTCTTGAAAGCCGGCAGCATCGTCTTTCTGGTCATATACCTAGCTCTCGCCGCTATTACGTTCCTGACCTTCTCCCGGAAATATGCTGTCTTGACAGAAGAGCGCAAACTCGTCGACGCCGGACTAGCAGCTCTGCCCTTCCTCCTGGTCCGGATCATCTACACCGTCGTCGTCTCGTTTGCTGGCAAAGGCAGCATCTTCTACCTCTGGAACGTCAACGTCTACGTCTCGGCGTTCATGCAGTTTCTAATGGAAGCCTTTGTGGTGGTCATCTTTATGACTGCGGGCTTGCTTACCCCGAAGAGGGCAAAGACGGTTGGGCAGAGGGGTCCTGAGTACGCCAGCGTGGGCTCAGAGTACGACATGGAGAATGGCGGCCACCAAATGGGTCCGCAGAGGGTACGGCAGCACGAGCAGCAGAACATTGGTGGCTATCGACCAAGCAGATTGATTAGGAATGCGATGAGAGGGTCTTGAAGTCTGTGTACATAGAACAGACTGTCGATAGTGCTTCTGAAGTGTGCGTTAGATTGCAATTAATGAGTAAAACCGTTTCCAACACCTACGCTCGTCTGGTCTGATCTTACACTAACCAAGTGGACCCTTGTTCTGCCTTTACGATGATCACATCCAAAGACACAACTTCCCACTCGCCGTCCCCGCCCCTACCCACTCCTTAGTCGGATGCAACATCGCCACCGAAGGCACTGCCGTAATGTTGTCCCCACCCAGTTGCGCCACTTGTTTCCCAGACCCGGTATAGATATCGACGAATCTATTCATATTCCCAATCGCGAGTTTCTGAATCCCATCTTGTGGCTGTAACTGCCATTGCGCTCGCAGGATAGTGACCCATCGTCCAGTCTGGTTGTTATGCGGTATCCTGGTCGTCGGCTCCAGATCCATCGAAGTCGTAGGGTTGGAAGGCATGTTGTGGATCTTGACTGTGTCGTCGTACGACGCTGTGGCGATCTGTCCGGCAGAGTTGAAGGCGGCGTGGGAGACCGATAGCCGGCTTTCGTGCTCAGCTAGAAGCGTTGGGTGACGGTTCGCGCTCTTGCCGGTGATCTTGCGGAGGTCCCAGAGTTTGAGCGTCCGGTCTAGAGAGGCGGTGGCGAGGAGGTGAGGCGACGCTGGGTGGAGAGAGAAGCCGCCGATCTTCTTCTCGGAGAGTTGGAACAGTTCGACGGTTTCCGTTGATGGAGTGCGTAGGTCGTGCATGCCGAATGAGCCGGAAAGTGTGCTGAAGTGGAGGAGGTTGGGATCATTGCGGGAGAGTTCGACACCGGAAATGGGTTCGTCGGCGCCTGTGTCGGCGGGAGCGTAAATTTCGATAGCAGTACCTTTCTGAAGATCCAGCTTGCGGATGGAGGAGTCGTAGGATGCTGAGAGAAGGGCGTTAGGGTCATTGGGCGAGAACTGGAAAGCAGAGATCGTCCTGGTGTGGATCTTGAACGTTGATATTGCGGGCTGCATCTCATCTCCCTCCTCTTCGCCACCTTCCTCATCTTCGTCGGCGGGCTCAGCTTTGATCTTCTGGCTTGCATCAAACAAGCCCAAGTTGCCTAGCTTGTCGCCAGCGAACACCAAGACCTTTTCTTCTGTTGGGTGGAAACCTAGAGAGTATATCCGCTCGGGCGTGATCTTGATTCTGTTCGGCTCTGCCCCTTCCCACAACTCGAGCCCGCTCATACGCTCCCTCAACTGCTTCAGCTCATCGTTGCTCGTTTCTTTGATGTCCTGCGCGGTGAAAGTCCGCTCGCCTGGCTGTGCAGGTCCAACTGCAGACAGCCAGTTCCCACTTCGGTTCCATGTCTTGCCGTTGACCACGGCATCAACGAGATTGATGTCCTCGCTCACCCGTTGCCGCTTAATCCTTTGCTCCTCCCGGATTATTTCAGCATCTTTCTCTTCCTTCTCCCGGGCAACCTCAGAGTCCGCGACTATGCCTTGGAGGCGAGCTGATGTGCGTCGCGGCGCATTGGCCTCCTCCTTGATCTTCTTCTCTACGGTCTTCTTGCGCTTCTGTCCAGCAGCGGTGTTGGTAGACGAACCTTTGGGTTTCGATTTGGGCGCGATGCCAGTCTGCGCGGCGTCGAGTTGAAGTTGTTGTAGCAGTGCCTGGTTCTTTGCGATTTTCTCCTGTCGTGCGGCTTCGTAGTCGCTGATCCCCTCCTTCTTGATCGCCATTTTCGATCTATTGGTACAATTACAAAGCAAAGTTCTGGTAGTGTTGCGACCGAGTTACATGTACTCTAAATCGATGCGATCGATGATGTCGACGCGTTAATTTCGCGTCAACGTTCGGCATAAGTTCGGCTTCTGGGAAGTGCCTGCAGGAAGGCGAAGTGTGAACTTCAAGCGAAATCAATCACATGTCCCCGGATCCCAAATGACAGGTGCTACAACAATTCAAACGTGAAGATGTGCCCGACACTCCTGCCCGAGTACGATGAAGAGAATTTCCAGAGTGCGAGTCGTCCCGGTCTCTTCCAGCGTCGATTCGATCAGAATATGTGGCAACCATGGGAGTCTCGTACCTTTTCTATATCACAACGGAACCATCCTCAGGTACTACGCCCATCAGGCCGGACACCAAAGCATCGAAAACGATGACAAGAATGGATCAGGACTTGGACAAGACTCCACTCGCTCCTCAAGCCCCAGTGGCGATTCTAAAAGCCGTGATGAGGCACGCTCTGGCTACACTTCACTTGTGCCCTCCTCCATGCGGACGACAAAGGCTCGCAAGTCGAAAAGGCGGCAGGAAGAGAATCAAAAGAACACGCCTCAGAGGAGACTCGCAAACGCCAATTTTGGTGCCACCTCCTTAGATTCTCTTCTTGACTCTGCTTTGTCCAAACCCGCTCTCGATTCGCACAAATCCGCCTCCGACTCGGGTCAACCTGCTGCCGACACTACTAAACTGACTCTCGACTCGACGGACGCGGGAAACCCCATGATTCGACGAGTAGACAAGTCTGTCGGTAGTGGACACACCATAGCTGAGCGCAGAAGGCACGCACATCTCATGAACAACCAACGGCGCTTACAAGTCGTTCAAAGGATCGATCAATCTGTGCAGGCTCAAAGAGCTGTAAAGGCTGAATCAAACAAGGTCAGGCAGATCATGGAGTCGGCTGCTAGCGACCTTGAAGTTTGGTTTGTCTTCGAGCAGAGGGTCCTAAAGGTACTGAGAAATTTGGATTTGCATAGCAAAGAGGAGGCTGTGGATGAGGGGAACGTTGACTATGGCACATCAGTATCAGATGGAGGGGAGTTCGTTGTCCCAGACACGGGCGTTGCGGACGCCTTCTCTGTGCCTGCTGAGAGTCCGACCGGTGGCCATACTTTACCAACGGCACCCGCAGCAACAAAGGGCCAAACTCCTTCGATGAACGTCTCGGCCGCCCAAGCTCGAAAACTTCTCTCCAATCACATTGTCGACACCCAGAGGACAATTGCCACGAAATTTCCTTCCTCGCCTCTGAGCCTCTCGGTACTTCCCACTATTCGTGCTCTTGGAGCTGCTCCTGCAGCTTTCGTCCTATCGGCCCGTCACTGGAACGGTCATCTCAAATTTCACTTCCTTCAATATCAGGATGTAGGAGCGATGCTCGCGCTGCTTCAGCAGATGGAAGAGGAATTCATAGAGTTCGACACGACTACATTGAATCGCCTGTTGTACGCTCTAACATTTGGCAAGCGAGCACGGGAAGGTCGGATGGGTCAAGTGGCGCAGAAGATATGGACGAGCGAAGCCAGGAAGAAAGACCTCGAACAACTGCAGGAGCGGACGGACAGGCTTATTGCCGGACTGGAATCACGCGACACCGGTGAAAATGCGAACAGGGGACCGAGAATCCGTCTACAGGCTCGCGTTAATCCTGAGAACAAGAGCACCCGGGCATCTAAAAGACTGCTTGCAGAAGAAGAAACTCGCACTTCTGATTAGAGAAGAACATTCGGCATCCTTCAACGCCTCCTCCACCGTCAATCCCCAGCACTTACATCCCACAGAACCTCAAGACAACTTGGCCGGCTCCCTCGTCGCCCGATTCTCCTCCAACCGCCTCCACCTGACCAACGGAATCCTCCCCACATCACCCATCTTGATCGGATCCGCCGTGCTCAAGATCAGGAACCGTCCGCCTTCCTCATCTTTGATCTGGACCAAACGACGTTGGCGATCTCCGACGATATATGGCAGGTTCGAATTCCGCATGTGGTGCACGAGCAGTGGTCCGTGAGAGTCGCCCTCTTCATCGAGCCAGAAGTGCCCGGTGTAGGCGATGTAGTTCTTGCCGACATCCTCCCAACTGGCTCCTTTGGTGAGGCCGGGAGTTTGGAGCTGTGCGGACCTGGTGGAGATGTCAGTGCTCTGCCGGCTGGGAATGATTGAAGGAGGGTTGGGTACATGTAGCCATCAGGTGTGTACATGATGATGCCTTGGGCTTTGGGGCCCATAGGGTGGATGAAATCGGACTTGTCGTCGGGCCTGTACGCCGTGTAGGATATGAGCTCCCAGGCGCCGACAAGTTGGTCACGGAGGGAGGCCATGGTGAAGGTTTTGTGAGTTATGCTGCGGCAAGTAGCGTGAGGTTGCTTGGTTTGAGATCGATTCTCTTTTGGCGAACACAAGACAGAGATAAGGTCGTTGCTGTTGACGGAAGCGGACCTTTTGTAACTGTTCAAACGTACGTTGCAGCTTACTCCATCTGACGACTGTTGGTCTTACGGCTTCCCCGCGCAACGGCAAGACGGCAAGCGTCCGAGGATGTGTATACCTTACAGCGTTACTTTGTGATGTTGGAGGTCTCCAATCCTCCTTGCTGCTTCTTTTGATGGCTACAGGCTGCCGAGGCCGGCAAAGCTCACGAGAAGCTCGGTATACATGAGGTACACCATTATAGCAGCCGCGGGAAGGACTCTCGTGCTGACTCTAACTTTTGATCGATAGCAGTGTCTTGGGAGCGACCAAGAGGGTCTTACAATAGCGCAGCGTTTTCGATAGGATTTATCGCTTTGGAAAGATGACGGCGGTCAATATAACGGACGCTGATGTCGGTACGTATATCTCTCTCTCTCTGATCAGTCTGATAATGGACCAACAATCGAACAACGCTGACCAATATGCAACAGGCGACAAGCTCCGTGGCAAGAGTGCCATAGTGACCGGAGGTTCATCTGGCATCGGCCAGGGCATCGTGCACTACTTGACAACAGCCGGCGTCAAGGTGCTCATCGGTGACCTCCAGGAGCCATCCGAACCCATCGACGGACCGATTTTCCAAAAGACAGATGCAGGCGAATGGGATGACCTCCTCGCACTCTTCAAGCGTGCTGAGAAGGAGTTTGGTCGGATCGATATCGTTGTTCCGAATGCTGGGTTTGGTGATAGGGGTACGGTTAACACACACAAGTCTGACTGTCTTCCTGTGTTGATGTGAGCACCAGGCGACTATTTCGACCACAAAGACGACCAGGGCGACCCCGTCAAGCCAGAGTTTGCTTGTATGAAGGTGACGCTGATCGGTCAGATGTACACCGTCAAGCTAGCAATGCACTTCATGCGCAAGCAGCAGCCGCAGGGAGGCGTCATCGTGTCGACCGTCAGTCGGTCCGGTTATGACTGCCAGTCTATACCGGTGTACGCAGTCTCGAAGCACGGCATGATCGGCCTCATGCGTGGACTGAGGAACCACACACCGCACTGGAACATCCGGGTTAATTCGATCGCGCCTCATGTTACCGATACGGCGGCGGTAAGGAAGCTACCGAGTCTGGTGCCTGATCTGCAGCGGATTGGGATACCTGTGAGTACGGTAGAGGAGACTGCGAGAGCTGCGGCGTTCCTTGCGGCGGATGAAAGCTACAACGGCTGTACGATTAGTATAATGGGGAGTGAATATCGAGAGTTGGAAAGTGGTGTTGAGAAACATAAGAGAGATGTGATGGGTAATGATCCGAGGTTCGATATGAATGCTGAGCAGCAGGAGGTGATGGGTAGGTCTTGCATGGTTGCTTTGCAAGGAAGACACCGGTTCGCTGACAAGGAGCAGACAACATCTTCCCGCCGGCATCGAAGTGGTAGGCGGTCGAAGTTGGGCGGCATTATCACCATGAGTAAGGCTCGCCGTTTCGCCAGTGGCGAATAGCGGGAGCTGTATGGGTCGGAGAATTATCTTGCATGTGGCTTGAAATGTGTAGCCAGTCGTAACGATTCCAGCGTGGGGTGCAGTAAAGTATAGATACATGTACCTGATGGGGGCACAAGGCCCGCGACTTCAAGCTGTCATCAGAAACTGGTTGTGTGAAACATCCTTGCCGTAGCTCCGCCCATAATAATGAATACTTGACGGCAGATTGGTGGGAGCGCCCATAGAAAGTCACTTCTTTGCCGAGAGTCACTGCTCACTTGCCCCAGTGTCTACACCTCCTCGAACTGGACCAACTGCTCTTCCCGCCCACCGGTGCTTGAGCGACCGCAACCACTCGGCAGGGCTCACAACAAGACGGACAGCGACTTTACCACCGAGTCCCACTACTCTCGGTCGCACTCCATCCCTGTGAGACCATGTGTGTCAACGCAACGATCCGTACGTGTTTCTGCAAGTCGAGCATCAATAGTCCATGTGGAGGCGCTACGAAGTCTGCGCAGCTCAGAGGTCCAGCTCCCGAGGCGCCTCGTCCGCTTCGAGGCTCCATTCTGGCGCGTGGAAACTGATGTCGATAAGACGAGAACCTTCCTATTATGTCCCGGGCATCACATGATGAACCTCGTACATTTCCAGCGAACGGCTCTCGCGTCGCCGTTATCACGCGCAAACGCCACTGCCGTCAGGACCGCGATTACTGGGGTAGTCATAAATTACACGGATATCGAATAGATAAAGGATAGTGTTTGATCGGTCCCAGCCGATTCGCCAACAGCTTGAGATTGTGGAGGATCAAGGACGATTAGGACACCATCAAGAGCACTTGGCGCAGGAAGCAACGACCCGTGGGGCCCTTGCCCTGCGACACCTGCCTCATCTGGAATGGCAAGGTACCTGAAGCACGACCAAGCTCCAGGACAAAGAGCCGCCTTGGCCTCATCGCTCAGACACAAAATGGACGCTCCCGCCGTGTCAAGGCGAGCGCCCCAGTGCTTGTCCCTCGTCTGCCAACGTCGACGATGTATTTCTACAAGCTATCCCTCTCTCTCTGCGCCATTGGCATCGCTGGGACGACCGCCTTGCCGCCTCGCGTTCGCTCTGATTATGCCGTAAAGGAGCGTCACCCGGTACCCTTCAACTGGGTTGAATCTGGCCCGGCACCAAGGGAGCAGAACATCCACTTGCAAATTGGCCTGAAGCAGAGCAATGAAGGCCAGATCGAGAAACACTTAGTGGAGACCTCTGACCCCAAGCATGAACGCTATGGACAGCACCTCAGTCTCGCCGATGTGCACAACATGGTCAAGCCGTCCGAAGAGACGTTGGAGCTTGTCAGTGCTTGGCTCGAGGATCATGGCATCCGCGAATACGTGCACAACCCGTCGAAGGACTGGGTATCGGTTATGATGCCCATCGAGAAGGCCGAAGAGCTTCTGCAGACCAAGTATTCGACCTACAAGAACTGGAACGGAGCTGAAGTGTCTCGTGCACCGGAATGGTCACTGCCCCAGCATCTGCACGAGCACATCGATGTTGTGCAGCCGACGACATCCTTCTTCCGTGCATCGCCTCAGACCTACCAGCCTCTGATGGACGATGCGAATGCTGTCCACCAATGGTGGGAACAGTCTGGAGCGGCTCGGTATACAGAGACTGATGACGAGGCCTCTGGTGCATCGATCTCGAAGATCTGCAACATTTCTTTCACCACGCCAAAGTGTATTCGCACTCTGTACGGGACGATTGATGTTAGTGTCCAACAATAGTTGATGTCATGGTGCTCACTGACGCTGATGTCCTTGCAGTACAAACCTCAAGTCCCAGGCAAGAACAAGATTGGAATTACCAACTATCTGGTATGACTGCCTTGCTCGCCAGATCTTGATTTGATCGTAGATTTGAAATTACATGCTGACACTTACAAAGAACGAGACGAGTAAGCGCTCAGATGTTGCAAAATTCCTGCGCAACTTCCGCCCTGCTGCCGCAAAAGCCGCTCATGAGTTTGAAATTATCCAGATTGCCAACGGCAACAACGACCAGGGACCGTACACTGCTGAGCAGATCGAGGACGGGAAGAACATTGAAGGCAACTTGGATGCCGAGCAGGCGTTGAGCATTGGCTGGCCCACTCCGCGTACGTTTGACGTGACTCCGCGTGTCGATACCACTCGCTGACCCGCACTAAGTGATCGCTTGGAACACCGGTGGCAGCCCGCCTTTCAAGCCTGATGCCAACACGCCTACTGACACCAACGAGCCTTACAATGTCTGGCTTAACTACGTGCTCGGCCAGGACGATCTTCCACAAGTAATCAGCACATCTTACGGCGACGACGAGCAGACTGTTCCAGAGTCCTACGCCAGAAGAGCCTGCCACGGCTTCGCCCAGCTCGGAGCTCGCGGTACCAAACCATGGGCAAAATCCTACCGCGTCTGAGACACTCGCTAACCCTTTTGCCCTTCTGTTTGCAGGCATCTCCGTCTTCTTCTCCTCCGGCGACTCTGGTGTCGGCGCGAATGGCACGTGCTTCAGCAACGACGGAAAGCACACTCACCAATTCATCCCGTCCTTCCCTGCTGGTTGCCCATGGGTGACCGCCGTCGGCGGCACGAAAGGTTTCGAGCCTGAGGTTGCTGTGTAAGGATTTTCCATCGCTACCTCTACGACCATTCCATTAACAACCCAACAGATCCCGCTACGGCTCTGGTGGCGGCTTCTCCAACTACTTCAGGACCCCTCATTACCAGAAATCCACCGTGCAGGCATATATCGAGAGCCTCAACGGCGAGTACAATGGCCTCTACAACAAGCAGGGTCGCGGATACCCCGACGTCGCCGCGCAAGGCAACCACGACGTTATTGTCTGGGCCGGCAACATTACGACCGTCGGTGGTACTTCCGCATCTAGCCCATCTTTCGCGGCGGTTATCGCACTCGTCAACGATGCTCTGATCGCCGCTGGAAAGCCAACCCTTGGTTTCCTCAACCCGTGGCTGTACAGCGGCGCGTACGAGGCGCTTACGGATGTTGTTAGTGGGAGTGCTATTGGTTGCAACACTGCTGGCTTTCCAGCGCAGGGAGGTTGGGATGCTGGTAAGTCACAATTCTTTCTATCATGTGGATGTTGCTAACGTTCCGCAGTGACTGGTTGGGGCACACCAAACTTTGGCAAGCTGGTTGATGTCGCGATGTCCAAGTGAACCGTCCTTTGTTTGCATCGAAAGACATTTCCGTCCCACACGACCCACCCAGTGACAACACTGTATCTAGCTTCACGTAGCATGGACATTGCATAGTTATGCGACATTAGCTACGTAAATCAACTCGATGATCAAATGCATACCTCGGTCTGTGGTCGTTTCGCCCGCCGAGGCAGTCTCCTCCAGATTCTTGACTACACATCCAGGTGCAGCAGTGCTCTTGAAGATGAAAGCATGTTAGCCAGTACACCCTAGTCTTACAGCTCGAAGGCTTTACGAAGGCTCTGCTAGCAGTGCCTCGTCTGTTTTATTGTAACAGCAGGTTGACAGTCAACAGCTCTCCATCCATCCATCCGTCAACAACACCTCTACCCCATCTACAAACACCATGTCTAACAAACCAACAACGATAGACCTCACCAAAATCAAACCTCTCACCTGGACCGTCCAAACTAAATACAACGCCTCCTCCATAATAACCTACAACCTCGCCCTCGGCGCCTCAGGAACAGACCTCTCACTATGTTTCGAAGGGCACCCATCATTCCACGCTCTCCCAACTTTCGGCACTCTCCCCGTAATCAGCGCCATGGGAGCCGTCACAAAGTCAATGCCAGACTTCCTCCCCAGCTTCCAATCGCATAACCATGTCCACGGGGAACACTACCTCGAACTTAAACGACCGTTCCCCATCCCCAAGCCAGGCGAGGAAGTCACGCTCGAAACCACAGCTAAAGTCCTCGAAGTCGTCGACCGGCGGTCCGGAGTAACAGTCTGCGTAGCCATCACCACCTCTGACGCCGCCACCGGCTCCGAAATCTGCTACAACGAATGGACGTCCTTCATCCTGCGCGTCCCCGGCGCCGGCGCAGCGACCCACTCGCTCGACCGCGGCGCCATGTCGAAGATCTATCCCTCTCCCGATCGGAAACCAAATGCTGTGCGTGAGTTCCGGACGTCCCCGGAGCAGGGGGCTTTGTACAGAGCTGCGAGTGGAGATCTCAACGCCCTCCATATAGATCCTGAGGTAGCGAAGAAAGGCGGGTTTCCAGGTCCGATATTGACGGGGACGGCGACGTTGGGGGTAGGGGTGAGGCATGTGTTGGAGGCTTTTGCGGACGGGGATGCGGGGAGGTTTAAGGGCATGAAGGTGCGGTTGAGCAAGCCGGTGTTTCCGGGGGATGTTGTGAGGACGGAGATGTGGAGGGAGGAGGGCGGGAGGGTGGTGAGGTATCGGCAGTGTGTTGGGGACGAGAGGGTGGTGATGAAGGATGCGGCGGTGTTTTTGCATGAGGGGAAGGCGAACCTCTGACCGTTGTATTGATGCTACGAAATCAGTATGGATGGGTATCTACCAGCGCAACCTTTACCAACGCCATCCGGTATGTCGAGGCTATGCGGCGGCTTCAACGGCCTTACAGCCCTCTCCAACCATCTTCGTAATCTCTTCGTTCTTGTGCGGTAGCAGACCCAACGCAAAAGCAACATCGTTCCACTGCCGCTCGTTCCCGGCTCTGGCAAGTCTGGGAGCCAGCTTGCTCGCCAGCTGTTTGGCATGCTTGTCCTGTTCATGGGAGTTAGTAGAGTACAGGAAGCGTTGGTATGGTGCAGCGGCGAACGTACCTTCTCAATAAACCCAGCCAAGAACTTTACAATCCTTCTGAAGCTATCCTCCTCCAACGCCTGGTCCGCTGACAACAAGCTGAACATATCCACGAAGTGGTTGTACACAGCATTGTCCTTGCCGGCCAACTCGCCGAAGAACATCCTGCTCATCTCACGTATTCGATCGTCTGAATCTTCAACGCACTTCGCCATCTCGCCTAGCTGACCCTTGACCTTCACTTGGCCAGCCAGGATGAGGAAGGTAAGGGTCATCAAACACGTACGCTTGACCTGTAAGCTCGAGTCGGAAAGTCGTCGGTACAAGAAGTCTGTGTTCTCGTCGATGAGATGGTTGAAGCACACCGCCATATCACCAAGAGCAACGACCAGATTGCTCCGCGTGATGGCAGATGGGCTTCGCTCGAGAATCGTGATGAGGAGGCCCAGATTTGCATCGCAGTATGCCGAACTCACGCACATCAGCTTCGCCATGCACAATGCAGCCTGTGCTTGCAGCTCGGAATTGGCGTAAGAGGTGTTATTGCTGCAAATCTCCTTGACGAGGGGGCCGAAGTTGGTGAGCAATGAGTTCTTGCCGTACTGCAGCTCCCTTTCGCGGATGTGGGTGATAGCATCTGTAAAGTCGTCCTCGCTCGTGCCGCCGATGAGGTCGAGCTCCTCTTCTGCTGTGGGCTCGTCCTTCTTGCCGTCGTTCTTTTTGGCGGCTGGAGTCTTGCCACCAGGTATCTTCTTGACCGGCGGAGGGTTTGGATTCGTCTTCTCCTTTTCGACCTTCCGTCGTTTGAAGTCCTGCTCGCATAGCTCGAGGTGAACAATCTGCTTGAGCGCGATGTGCCCAACGACGAAGAGTAGCTGCGATAGACCGATTGCAGACTTGCTGCTATCTTCGGTTGCGGGTTGCTCTGCTTCTGGTTCTGGTTCTAGTGCAGGGCCGTCGCTCATCTCGATGTCACCATCATCGTCTATCTGGCCCGTCTCGGCTGCCTCTGGCTTTGGAGAGCTTTTTGGTGCAAACACGGCCTTGGTCTTCCTCCTCAAAACTTCGGAGCACAACACATCAGGATGCTTTGACAGTGCGTAGATAGCGCCAATAGCTTGCTCAGCCAAACCGTACCAGTCCTTGCTCTCGCTCTCGATGTCCATCACATTCGCCAGGCAAAGCAGGACAGCGTGATCGTTCGGTAACCTTGTGTTAGCTTTACCCTCCACACCCTTCGATGGCTTGCTGTTAGTCATGCGCATAAGGGCAATGCAAGTGTATCTCGCCAATACAAGATCTCGTCGACCAAGCGTCCCAAGGCCGATTCGTAGACAAGTCTCCATCTCCCTGACGATGATATCCGGGTCTGCGAGTGCGAGCATGCCCAGAATGATGATGGCACCACGTCGCTGCTGCTTGCTGATCTCCTTCTTCTGGACGCCATAGACTTGCCAGAGCTTCTGGATGACGAGCTCACCGATCGCTTTTTCCTTCATCATGGTGGCCAGTAGCTGCTCGAGACTCGTCAACTCGGCTGGAGAAGCACCAAAGGTCAAGCTGATCATGTTCCGGGCGACGTAGTTGGCGGAGTCGTTGGCCGAGAAGTTGCCAGGAGCATCGAAGAACAGGCCCTTGTAGCATTCTATCAGATGGGACTGCACACCCTTCCCTTCATCGCTGTTGCCCTTGGTCCAGATGAGTCTCAACATCTTCCTGATGCCAGACTTGGCGGTCTCGATACGATAGGCGTCTGCTACAACGAAGAAGTCCATAGCTTCGATAACCTCGCTCTTGTTCTTCGATCCTAGCAGCTGCGAAATGTGAGGAGACGCTTCATGGAGAGTCTCAATGAATCTGAGAGCCTCGATGTAGTACCGGCGAGTGAGTTGGAGCTTGTTCATGGCTTCGGCTGTCGCAGCGTCCTCCTGTGCTTTTTGGAAAGCGGCCATCTGCTGTTCTTCGGTCATCGGTGCTTTCTCTTCTACTTGAGTGGCATCATCCAGCAAGCTTTCGTCGACTGTCTGCTCAGCTTGGGCCTGCTCGCCGAGGCCAGGAGTGCCGGCCGGGGGTTTGAGGGCATTCAGCTCCGTCTCGCACGCTTCCAGACGTTCGTTCCACTCCCTGTGGTTCAGCAGCCCACCGTGCAGCGCTGCAAATGGATGTGTAGCGATGAGCTTCCCGAGCAGCTTGATGGCGTTGCGTCGGACATTGCTGCTCTTGTCTTCCAGGCTTCTGGCGGTTAGCTCTGCTGCCTTCTGTCGTCGTTTCGGGAACTTCGTCTCCAGGTCACCGAACAGCTTGCCGTAGACCTGCAGCGCCCTGCATCTGCAATATGGGTTGACATCGAGGAAGCGCTCCTCCAACACGTCGAAGAATGCATTGATCTGGCCCTTGGTGTTTTCGTTACGCTCTCCTTCCTCGGCTTTGCTCAGCATAGCAATCAGATTTCCGCAGACCTCGATGATGGCACATCTCAGAGTGTAGTTTTCGCTCTCAAGCAATTTGGCGAGATAGGTGACCTGCCTCTGCACAACTCTGGGTGCCAGCTCGGAGAGCCGGGCCACGAATGTCGAGACAGACTTTGGACCTCTGGTGTCGTTTGCCGAGAATTCTTTGTTCGACAGCTCCTTCATCACCTCTTCTGCCAGCTGTGGATAGTCGTATTGCTCCGAAAGAATGTTGAGAAACTCAGCCATTGGCTCGGCCAAATGCTCAAAGTAGGTTAGATTCTGGATGATGCTGGTCTGAGCTCCGTAGGCATGACCGTGGTGTTTGATCGCAACGCAGAGCACTTTGAACGCGTGCATTCGAATTGCTGTGCTCTTGACCCGCTGCTCGCTCTCCAGAATCATGTAGGTCGGCCGTGTGAACATGCCGATGAATGTGTCCCTTTCGCTGGTTGTCACAAACACCTTTGCCAGCTTCAACTTCATGACCTTGGTCATCGTGTCCAGTGCGGTCTGCAACTGCGCTGAAGGATCCCAATTGCCATCTTTTTGTACACCGGCTTTGCCCTTTGCGCCCTTTGCACCCTTACTTCTTGCTGCTGGAGCAGATGACTTCTCTGCATTCTTCGTTTCGACAGCCGCTACGCACCATTGCAACAGAAAGCCGAAGATCTCAAGGATCTGCTTGTGCTGCGCCGTGTCCGTCTCGCCTTCTTGCTCTTCATGGTGCACGATCTCGGCTTCGGCACCAAGACCACTGATGATCAAGTCGAAGATTTTTCCGAGTGATGTCGGAGGGATGAAGGATGCTTGCCTAGAACGTGCGAGGAGTTCATTGTCAGATCTGGGATACTTGATACTCTGTTGGTGTAAGGGAACTGTGGGAGCGCACTTTAGTAGAAAGAGCAGACTGTCGAGATTGCTCGCCTGTGTTATTGACTCCGGGTTCTCGCCGATAGCATCAGATATGGGATTGACCACGCTGTTGATGAGGCCCGCGGTAAAGGCATCCGGATCGTTCTCGCAGTCGATGAGCGCTGCGTCCGCTTCGGGGCTGAGGATGCCTTGAGGGTCGTCGAGGTATGACTGCAGCGCCGTGTTGACGTCGAAGTCCGCCATGTTGCTGAGCGTGTGCGCACGCTGGCGCAAATATCATGCGCAATAAGTAGACAGCCGTAGAGATGAGGTTGTTGTTCGCTCTGGCGCTTGTTTACTTGGGCTTGGCGCTGTGTTTACGACGCGGGGAAAAGACGCGATCCGCTCTTGCCCTACACGTGCCTGCAAGGTACCCGCTGCTTCTTCCGCCCTATCTCACGTGAACGTTGCTCTCACAGCTGGTGAGCTACTCGACATGGCGACGGTGATGAGGAGAACGCGAGACCGCGAGATGGAGGTGGAGAACATCGCTCCTCAAGGCGGTGAGAGCACCGAAGGCGACACAGAGGAAATGGACGAGAGCAAGGACCCAATGGAGGAGAGTGGCGGTACAGTGTCCGACGAAGAAGACGGGATCGACCACGAGGTACTCGACGACATGGAGCGCTTCGAGCAGAGCTTCAAGAACATCAGCCAGCGTTATCGACTCATTAACCGCATCGGCGAAGGCACCTTCTCGACTGTATACAAAGCCGAGGACCTCTTATACGAGCACTACGATAACAGATGGGACGTGGACGCCGACAAGGAGAATGCGAACAGCAGCTCTTCGTTGCAGAAGCAAGCTTTGAACCGCCAGCAGAGACCGAAGTATGTCGCCATTAAGAAGATCTACGTCACCTCATCGCCGCTTCGCATTCTGAACGAACTGGAGCTGCTGAAAGACCTTCGCAATGCTCCGAACGTCTGCCCTCTCATCACAGCTTTCCGTCATCAGGATCAAGTCATCGCTATCCTGCCATACTTCCAACACAAGGACTTCCGCGAGTACTATCGCGACTTCACCATCTCCGAGATGAAGGTGTACTTCCAGAGTCTCTTCTTGGCTCTGGAAGCCGTCCACCACTGCGACATCGTGCACCGAGACATCAAGCCCACCAACTTCCTCTACTCACCAGCTCAGCAGCGTGGAGTGCTTGTCGACTTCGGGTTAGCAGAGCGAGAAGGTACGGACTACCACCACTGTGCCTGCTGCATGGAGACGCCCGACCGGACCCGTAAGATTCAATCGTCGGTGTACGCTGCTACTGTCTCCGCCGCACGCGCAGCTGGCCAGCCCGTGCCCCCACCCAGCTACCCGAACAATGACCAGCGCTCGTCTCGTCGGGCCAACAGAGCCGGCACACGTGGCTTCCGCGCACCAGAAGTTTTACTCAAGTGCACGGCACAGACCACCCGCATCGACGTCTGGTCATGCGGCATCATCCTACTCACTTTCCTGAGCAAGCGCTTCCCCTTCTTCCACTCCGCCGACGACATAGACGCCTTCCTCGAACTCTGCTGTATCTTCGGCAAGAAACGGATGAAGGACTGCGCTCTGCTGCACGGCCAGATCATGCAGACGAATCTACCCACACTCAGTGAGAACGGGCATGGTTGGGAGAAGATCCTGCTGTGGTGCACGAATCGCAACAGGAGGGAGACTGGTAGCGACGGAAGGCTCACTTTAGAGGAGCGAGAGGCTATCGACTTCATGGACCGCTGTCTTGCGCTGGATCCTGCTAAGAGGATGGATGCTTCGCAGGCGCTGGACCATCCGTTCCTGGCTGGTGTGGGTGGAAGTCCGATGACTTACCAGTAAGGTGGGCCGGTCCCTCGACCAGGCACGACGTATGAATGAATGGGCATAAGGTGGCTCCAAGAGCGTTTCAGGCGAGATACCGGCATGAATCGGCGCAAGAGTGCTTTCGATCACAGGAGGAGATACCCTTAGATGCATGTTTTTAACGCTGACCAATTTTACACTTGATTTTGCAATCGTCGACTTGCACGAGCGCGGTCTCTCAGCAACGATTAGATCCCCTGCCTATGAGAGTGTGGACATCTCTAGCATGTGATGAAGTGAGTGGCAGTGCCTTCTTTCATGCCGATCGTTTCCCGATGAAGCGCGATCGCGTTCCGACTTGCCACGCGAGCCCGTCCAGCCCGTCCTTCCACAATGGATCTTCAGCACTGCCTCCACACAACCTGGACGTCAAGACAACACAAGAAACTCCGCTGTAATTCCTTAACCCTTCGACAGTCGAACCTTGTGTCATAACTCACCATTCAATGCCAAAACAATGGAAGCCGCCCCACCCTCCTACGAGAAAGCCACCATAGTCGACTACTGGGACCTCGTAGCCCGCTACATCCCCTCCAGCGACCTCTGTTCCGCCGCCCTGGTCTGCAGCAGATGGCACTCGACCTTCGCGCCCCATCTCTGGGGCAATCCGGCCTCTCACTTCGGTATCGAGAATGACCGCGTCTACGTCGCTTTGACGAAGTTCAAGCGGACTCTTCAAACTGCTCGACTGCTTGTTCGTGCTATGACGCATACGCTCCATCTACCACCGGCGCACGCGGAGATTTATAATGGACCGCATGCGGATTGGCTCAGGGATATCCTGGAGCGGCTGCCGAATTTGCAGTCGTTGATTGTGAGAGGGTTGCCGTTCTTCGACCACTCGGCGCTATGGGCGCTGAAGTATAATCCTCCTAAGCCGGAGGCTAACGATGGACTGCCTGCTGGTGTGTTTGAGATGCCAGGCTCCATCGGACGGAGTTTTCAGCGTCCTAGCGATTTTGTGCCATCTTTTGGTCTGCGGCTGCTGGACGCCTCTCGGTGCCCGAACGTTACTTCAAGCAGTTTTGCCCAGGCTTTGGCACGGTTTGAGAACCTGTTGTACGTGGACCTGTCGTACACGCCTCCGGCGCGGGACCCAGCTGTGCTGAAGACTTTGAGGAAGTTCACCGGGCTTCAGGTGCTTAAACTTCGAGGCATTGGCCTGACTGATGACGGCCTGAGCATCGTGAGCGACGCCATCGGTCGGAGAGTGAGGTCATTGGACGTCAGAGACAACCACATTACGGACAGAGGAGTACGACTGCTTCTCGATGACTGCTTCATCGTGGCTGGTGTCGGTAATAGCGATCCAGGATCCGGACAACGATCACCATCTCTTCTGCCTTACATGGGTGCTGAGATGCTTGAGATCTACCAAGGCGAAGAGCTTGAGAGCTTCCTTCGCAACGCTTTCACGGGGAGGTTCGTTGGTCGACTTGCCATTGAAGATGCCCCAGAGGGTGGTATCACGCACCTTTACGTGACAGGCAATCAGCTGAGTGTGGAAGGCGTCTCTGGACTGGTGAGGTCGGGCCGGCTGCATGTGCTTGATGTGGAGTCAGTCACATGCGGCATGACAAGGCATCTCTCCAACGCCGGCCGGGATCTGGACGAGTCGAGCACTGCCATGCCAGGGGTAGAGAAGCTTACGCCGATGCTCTCTAAGCATGCGACAGACGCCATGACCTTTCTCCGGATCGACCATGGCCTCATCACAAAGGATGCTCCCAACCTGGATCCTGATGGAGTCGTACAAGGCCGTGCTGAGCTGGGTGACACGCCCTTACCAGACCTTCCAAGGTATGCTGCTGAGCTTGATTCGAGACCAGTGCATCCCGAAGTATTTGAGATGCCGGACGCACAGACTCCGACGTATGAGCTGCCGGGCGATCCTCTGCGGTTCGTTGTTTCTCCCGCAGTGAACGACCCACAGCATGGGAACGAGCAAGACGATGTGCCTGCACCCGGTCCTAGGAGAGGAAGTGTCTTCGCGCCAGAAGTGGTGGACACCTTGACCGCCGAGACCGAAAGGATGGAGCTTCTGAGTCCTGTGTCTACGTTGGGAGAGGGCACGCTAATGGCAAACGATGGTTCCATGTCTCCAATGTCTCCTGTCCGGTCTCCTTCATCAGCATCGCCTGGGATGATGCACGCCTCAGAACCCTCGCTGCGGCCTAGAACGTACTCCTCGGTGGTCGACGAACGCAAAGCCCGCCTCAATGCTCACAAAGCCAATCGGCGTAACCTGCATCCAGCCATGCTCCCGCATGTGCGCACGCTTGTCCTGACGGATGTACCACCATTTGCGCCAAGCAAGGAGCTCGCTGACCGTCTGATATGCTTCATCCGCCAATGTGCTGCAGAAGCGTGGCTGGCCAAAAGACAGGCGGATCTCGATTACTCTCTCCCCCCAGGTCGTCGCGGACATGCTACAGCACTGAAGCAGTCTGCCGAAAAGGTCTTTGCGCTGAAGCGCCTCGTACTCGAGCTGGCACCTGAAAGAGGCACAAGGCGAAGCAGCAAGGCAAGCCCTTGGGCGCACAACTCCACCAAATCTATGACTGAGGACCGCGACAGCGAGGCGCTGTGGTCGGCAGCTGAGACCGACTTCAGTTTCTTTGGCGACGAGGACTACAGCTTCCCGAGTTTGGAGTCTGGACGCTTTGCTCATGCTCGATCGAACGAGAAGGAAGTGAGCTTTGGAGGCGCTGGTCCACAGCAGGCGTACAATGTCAGGCAGAGAGCGCCTGTGGTGCCGAGATTCGACACTGTCGCTCTTCTGTCTGCTTTCCGCAAAGAGAGAAAGCTCGCACACCAGCGCAGCCTTGCTGCTGGCTTGGTCGACCCACAGACGGAAGGCTATTGGGAAGGCTTGGTGCAGGTTGTTCGGCCCGGAAGCGGTTTACGACAAGACGAACAGGAGGACTACTACGGCAATCGCTTTGAGAATGGATATCTGTACAGATGATAAATGCTGATGCTATCAGCGACTGATGAATACAGCCACCGGCACTTCGTACTCAGAACCGGCCATCATCCGCCTTCACCAAGTCCGCGCCCTTCTCCGCCACAGCATACGTACTAGCCATGATGTTCCCAGAAACATGCCCAGGGAAGACCGAGGCATCGATTACACGCAACTTGTTCACTCCTTTCACCTTCAGCTTATCATCCGTCACTTCTCCCATCGTACACGTGCCGATCAAATGATACTGCGTCGAGATATGGTTCTTCACGAACTCCACCCGCTCCTCCTCGGTTTCAATACTGGCGTCCTTTGGCGGCTGAATCCTGTCGCCTAAGCTCTTTGCCAGGATTGGCCGGTTGGCGACCTTGTCCATCCACTTGATGCCAGCAGCCAGTATCTTCGCGTCGGCGTTATTACGGAAATATCCTGGATCGATGCGAGGTGCCTGCATAGGGTCTGAAGACGTAATGTGCACCGTCCCCCGAGACAGTGGGTGCTCCAGACACACCAGCAAAGATACCCTGTTCTTCCCATCCGGCGGCACGGAGAAGAACTTCACCTGGCTCTCGCCGGCCGTCATATCGAGCTGGCATGGAATACAGAAGGTCTGGATATTCGCGAATGTCGGATCGGACAGTTGTTTCACAATGATATCCTCCTGCCGCTTCTCGAAATCTGTCTTCGCAAGCGAGTTCTTCCGGACTTCTTTGATGGTGGCATTCAATTGCTCCGGCGACACAAGACTAGCGTACGACACGAATCCCATGAGCATGCCGGGACTGCCGTAAGGGCCATTGTTGTCCTTGTCGTATTGCTCCTGTGCGGCTTTGGCGTACTCGGCGCCGTGCATTGAGTCCATGGATATGACACCATCAGCCAGGTCATACAGCATGCCGCCTAGAATGTGGTCCTGGAAGTTCGCGCCTACACGGTCGTTCTCGACTTTACATTCGACGCCTGCTTCTTTCAGTACTTTGGGGTCGCCGATGCCTGAGAGCTCGAGGATCTGAGGGCTGTTGATCACTCCGCCGGATAGGATGACTTCCCGAGAGGCTTTGATGGTGTAAGTTTGGCCGTTGTGGATGAAGTCTACGCCTGTGGCGGTACTTCCGTCCAGGTTGACTTTGGTGACCATGGCTTCGGTTAGGACTTTGAGGTTCGGACGGCCTAGGTTGGGTCGGAGGTAGCCCGTGGCTGAGTAACTACGGCGACCTTTGTCGGAGGTTCGATCGACTGCCGCAAGGGAGGAGTAGAACTGGTGGAAGTCGTCAGCATGGCGCTCGGATCCGGATCCAATGGAAGGTCACTTACACCCATATGGTCGCCTGACCAAGCGTCGACGAGCGTACTTGGCTTGCCACCGACTTCGTAAGCGGCGGTACAGAAACTAGGACTATTAGCGCGAGACACAGAACACCAAATCGATCAACATACTCTTTTTCATATGGCTAGACAAGTCATCAGCACCGAACTCCTCGTTGACCAGTCAAGCAGGACCGCTCACCTGATAGAAGTCGTTGAACGACGTATGGATCGGACCATCACTACCATGATACTTCGTCTTCATCCCAGTTGGCATGAACTTCTCATCGACCCGGTCGTCTTCGAGAGGATCAAGACACTGGTGCTTTCGAAAGTACGGAGCCATACCATCGAAGCCCCAACCCTTGTTACCGAGCGACTCCCAGCCGTCATAGTCGCCCTATCATTCGACTGTCAACCCTCTTTTCAAGGCACAAATGCTGAAGAAGGACTCACTTTGCTTCCACGGACGTACCTGAAGGACAACCGATCAGTTAAACTACTCGTCAACAAAATGACAGGCACTCACATCAAGTAATTGATACCGGACGAACCACCAAGTAGTTTGCCCCTGGGCATGGAGTACGACTTGTTCGCTGCTGTTGGTTGAGGGACGCTGTGGAAACACCAATCATACTTCTCTCGACCGATCAATGTTGGATACAAGCTAGGCGTGTAGACTTGAGGGTCCTATTGAGCAAGGCGACAGTATCAGCTACCAGTTGGGGGTGTTGGCTGGCGATACTTACATCCATCCGATCAGAGCCGGCTTCAATCACTCCGACCTTAACATCAGGGTTCTCGGTCAATCGAGCAGCAACGCAGAGCCCGGCTGTTCCGCCTCCAACAACAACATAGTCGAAATCCTGTGCGGTGAACTCCTTGACGCTACAAAGAGCAGACCCGGCGTGGCCATTCGTGTTTCCGTTTGTTGCCATGATTGCTGGCTGACTGCTGTTTGGAACGATTGTTGATTGACGTTAAAAGTACGAAGTGACGAGGAACGATACGACTTCGAGACGGAGAGGGAGAAAATATATACTTCCAATCGATCTGGATCACTTCGGTGCAATGGAGCCTATCATGTCTCTCTGTAATCCTCCTTTGTGAGTAGAACGAGTAGCCGTCACAGAACTGCTGCTGCGTATAGCTTCCCCTCCTGCGAGGTTGCTCGGAGTCCCCCAGTGCTCAAACCCCCATCGTCAACCGCCTCCACATCAGGCGGGGATAGAGTTTAGTTGCAGCTGTTATTTCCGGCAGAGCAACACTTGGACCAAAAAGTCGTGCTGACGAGACTGACTTGTGTCTCGCGAAGTCTCGAGGAGAACCTCGGTTCGTGGACCTCACTTGTTCCGTCTCAACCTTGGCTGTGGTTGGTGGTCTTCGTGGCCATGTAAACGATCGAAAAGAGCGCATCTCGCGCTGCTCCATCGACTAAACATGCCAGAAGACTCAGCGAAGAAGGCTCCATCTGGAGACCATTCAAGCTCTCAGTCTCAAACAGACAAGGCAACATCTAGAGCAGCCCAAGTCTCAGACCACCTCTCGCCTCCCCAAGACAACAAACCCAACAAAGGCCGCCGGCGACGAAAAGTCAAAGACGATGAACTTCCCGCCGACTACAGCGACCTCCTGGGTCAAATGCGCACAATGCGTCGCATGGCCAACACACCGGATACCACCAAAACGGGCTACATCCGTCAGAAGGAATCCGGCAAACTCTGGGTCCGCGAACGCATAACTCTTCTCCTGGACAAAGGCTCTTTCAAAGAAGTTGGCAGCGTCGCTGGCCACGTCAAGTGGAAACCGCTCGGTGGGATCAAGGAGGAACCTGAGGAGTTTACTGCATTCAACAATCTCCAAGGATTTGGCAAGTTGCGTGGGAGGCAGATTGTGTTTACGGCTGATGACTTTTCGATTCGAGCGGGACATCAGGATGGGAACTTGATGGCCAAGACGCTGTATATGGAGAAGATGGCTATTGCGTTGAAGTTGCCTATGATTAAGTTGGTGGATGGGAGTTCGGGTGGCGGGTCGGTGTCGTCGATTGCGAAGCAGCAGTTTTCGTATGTGCCGCCGATGCAGGGTTTTGATACTGTGATCGCGCAGCTGAATATGGGGATTCCTAACCTTGGGGCTGTGCTGGGTCCGGCTATTGGTTTGGGTGCGGCCAGAGTGGTGTGCTGTCACTTCTCAGTCATGGCGGCTGATGTTGGATCGTTGTTTAACGCTGGCCCGAAGGTCGTCGCCGGTGCTACGTTCGAAGAAGGGCTGTCGTTCACAGAGCTGGGTGGTCCAGCGATGCATTGTACCAACGGGACGATCGATAACTACGCCGCCACTGAAGCAGAAGCATTCGAGCAGATACGGACAGTGTTGGGGTACCTACCCAACTGTGGAACACAAATGCCTCCTGTGGTCGCCTGCGAAGACCCCTTCGACCGGGTGGCAGAGAACCTCCGATCAATCATCCCCCGAAGACGAGAACGAATGTACGACCCGCGCAAGATCATCTCAACCGTAGCAGACGAAAGCTCTTGGTTCGAAATCGGAGCGCTCTGGGGCCGAACCGCGATCATCGGTCTTGCAAGACTTTCAGGCCGCCCGATCGGTATCGTGGCGAACAACCCTGAAGTTGGCTCCGGTGCGCTTGATACTTTCGGCTCGCAGAAGATCACCCGCCATCTCAAGTTTTGCGATGTCTTCAATCTACCTGTGCTACAGTTCGTCGACTGTCCGGGCTACGCCATTGGAACGGTGGCGGAGCGGACCGCGACGATGCGGTGGGGTGTTGAGCTGGCTAAGGCGTACTACTCTACCACGATGCCAATGTTCCACGTCATTGTACGAAAGGCGTACGGCGTGGCAGGCGGAATAATGGTCGACTGCCGAGAACCTCATGCGCGTGTTGGCTGGCCGTCTGGTGAATGGGGTAGTCTGCCGCTGGAAGGAGGAGTTGAGGTTGGCCATTCCGCTGAGCTGAGGCAGATCGAAAAGGACAGTGGTCCAGAAGCGAGGAAGGCACGACTGGAGGAGCTCGATACCATGTACAAGCGACTCATGAACCCTGTGCGGACTGCGAACCACTTCAGCATCGAGGAGCTCATCGACCCGGCACGAACGAGGGAGGTGGTTTCAGAGTGGGCCAGGATGCAGTACGAAAGTGTGCTTCCTGAACGAGTGATCAAAAGGATACACGGGGCAGTACAGCCATCATATGCGTGATCATACCAAACCGACCTACATAGACCCGACTAAAGCTTCGCCTTCCCTTCCCCCATCAACTCCCCATCCAACTCACTAGTGCACAAAATACACGTATCCCTCAACGCCGGCAGCCTATCTTTATGATTAACCTCCTGATAATCCTCCCCGGCAAGCATATCAACAAAATGCCCAATACTCGGATAATGCGCCAGCGCAATCTCATCCCACCCGGCGCGATCCTCATCCGCACTCCCAAACTCCGGCACAACTTTGCCGACAATCTTCGCTGTACCTCCGCGCTTGGAACCGATGGATTTAGCAAACGCGGCGCCGTAGCGGAGGTAGCTGTCGTGCGCTTCTTTGCCCGGTTTGAAGGCGAGGAGGTTGAGCATGCTCATTGCCCCGCCGCCAAGGGAGAAGGACTTGCTCCATTCCAGGAGGTCCGGGGCGAGCTCGAGGCCTTGGGAGGAGTTGGACATTTTAGGCTTGTTCATTGAGCCGGTTAGGGCGGGGACGGAGGATGGGTTTGGGTGGAGGAGGTTTTGGTTGCGGGCGTGGAAGTCCTTGGTAAGGCTGGAGGGGACGCCGGCGGTGATGCTCCAGTGGGCGGAGATGGAGGTTTTGTCAAGGCATTGGGAGGGCATTTTCTCGGAGGCTGGCAAGATGATGAGGAGATCCCATTTTGTGTCCAGGAGTTCTGGAACGGAGAGTTTTTCTGGTTTGATGATCCATCGGACTGCTCGTGAGACGACGTATGGCTTCACGGAAGATGAGTGAAGCGCTTTGACATAGTTGGAGATGGTGTTGTCTTTCGCAAGAGCGACCAAGTGGACGGTGGCGAGAGGCATCTTGATGGTTGTGAGATGAGATGATGCAGTCGTCGAAGTGAAGTGAGGGAAGCAGTGTCGTGGACCTTGACTGGGTGTCGTTCGATGAGCCTCGGCATTTTGTCAGAGGTGGTGCAAGGTGATGTTCTCTTGACGATGAACTCCGTACCGCACATCCGACCCCTCGAAAGCACATTCTGTAGGAAGTATCGGGAACAAGGAATGAGACTTAACTGGTGAACTTGGGGTGTCTTTTGCATTACTTCATACCTATCGTGACACTGCGGTGCCAGACCACATCTCATCCATCTCACACTCTACTCATGTCCACCCGATATGCTGCTAGCATTACCTAGCCGCTACTCATACAAGCAAATGCATCAGATCGATCTTCCTCAGCCTCTCCATATCACTACTGAGTGTGTGCGACTCTTTCTCGTCACTGCGAATTCTGCCTCTGCAGCCCAGCAGCACAGCTATTGTTCGACCAGCGGAGCGCCAGATCGTCCATGAAGAACATCCTCTGCTCATCGCCAACGAACGCTTGCATCTGCAGCCCAGTCAAACCACGGAACGAGGTCGGTAAGTCCACCTTCTGTAGCTGGCAGTCTTCGGAACGGCGGCATGCCGGCACAGTCGCATTGTGCTGGAAGGTGAGAGCTTCGATCTTGGTAGCCAGACCCCACGTGTATGCAGAGAATACCAGGACGCAAGGCTGAGGGCCTCGATTGTCACAGCCGAACCAGGCGTTGAACGCATCGAACCAGTATGCAGACATGCTCTCACGCGGACCGTCTCCAATCTCGCCAGGCTTGATGTAGTCGCCGTTGTCTGGGTGCTTGGACCTGATGCCGCTCGCGTTGCCCAGGAAGACTGCCAGATGCGGTGATGACTTCGGCGTATACGGCTCCGAGGGCTCGGGAGCGTACACGTAGCCGTCGCTGAAAGCCAGGTGGTGGTAAGGGCTCAGGATCGGCGGCGCCTGCGTGATGTCTGTGTTGTTCTCGTCCGATGGCGTAAAGTTGGGCAGATCATCGAAGTCCATCATGAAACGACCATGCTCGCCGCAGCCTGCGCTTGGTGTGGCGGTGGCAGAGGGTGCTGGGAAGGGGTTCGATGAGGTTATGTTGGCACTCGAGCTGTGAGCTGAGGTATGGCTCGAGCTGGTAACGGACCTGGTCGTTGTCATGGTCTGCGGTTGCCGGGTGAGAGACTCGTTCTTGCTTCCAGAGCTCGCAGTGGATGTAGAAGACGTTGTCCCCGCGGAGGACTTAGTGGAAGACCTTGGTTGAGCAGTCGTACGCTTCGTGGTCGAAGAGTTCAATGTACTGGAGCTTGACTGGCCCGAGGAGCGTCCGGAGCGCGAAGGCGAGGCTCCTCTGGTCGACGAAGAAGTGGTGACGGCCAAGCTTGTCATGTCAGAGGAGGACGGTGCTGTTGCTCCAGATTTGGTCGGTAGAGCCGACGAAACGGTCGGGTCATACTGCGAGACAGGATTCGTGTGGGAAGAAGTTGTTGACGCACTTGACACACCACCGGGTGGCGTCTCTGCAGGCGACAAAGATGCGCGAGTCTTCGAGATTGACGTCGCTCTCGTTGAGCTGTTCGTGCTGTAGCTGATCGTGAGAGACGCAGTGCCTTTGCTGCCCGTAGACAAAGTAGAGGCCTTCCCAGTGCTGCCCGCCTGCACAGAGACCGAAGTGCAATTCGACGAGACCACGGAGCTTGCTGATGATGCAGAAACTCCACGCGCGACGCTTGAGCTGTTCGAAGGAGCAATAGTCGAACTCGACACTGGCGAGCTGATTGGACTCATCGTGTACGGGACGAGGCTCGGAGCGCTGGATGTTGTGGCCATCGGTGGCACGGTACCGGTCGTATTGACCTGGACTTGCGATGAGCAACTGGACAGACTGCTTAGCGGCGCTGTACCAATCGCAGAGGTTACGTTCTGGCTCGACGCCGACACACCAGAAGGTTGCATGCTTGATGCGAATGTCAATGTTGTGTTCAGGGTCGAAGTTGAGATCGAAGATTGGGCCGAACTTAAGCTTGACGAGGTGCTCATCGAGGATAGCGGGTTAGCAGTTGACATAGGCGAGCTGATTGTTGCGGTGATTGCGCCAACTGCACTGCTGGTTGGCGTCGATGAGGCCGAGCTCAATGGAGATGGTGAAGTTGGTGCCTCCGATTCAGCCGGGCTTAGCGATGGCGAACTTGTGTAACCTCCGATCGTGACAGGAAGGGCGGTGATGGTCGTGACGTAGCCACTGCCAACCTCAGATGGACCAGAGGGAAAGATGGTCGTGGTGTAGCGCACGGCGATTGTACTTGTGAGGTACGTTGTGGTGGTGGACGTCGACTGCTCACTACTGGCGGGCGTGAAATACACCGACGTCAAAGTCGACATCTCAGGCTCGACGGAAGAGGCTGCTGCTGGCATGAGGATAGCAGTCGTAGAAGTCGAGGCGTTCCAGCCGCCACTTGCCATGCCTGGGAAGGAGCTGCGAGCGGAGGATCCGATCGGGGCAGATTGAGCCTCCGTGAGAGTGTAGGTCACGAAGTGGGTGCTCGTTGAAGTCGAGGTCGTCGTGATGTCCGGGCTGACAAAGCTGTACTCCGTGGAAGTGTAGGTCGGCACGGTGATCGACACAGCCTCGTTGTCCGGGACAGCAGTGAGAGTCGTCGAGATCGACGGAGTGCTATCGGTAGCTTCGAGAGATGGTGTGATGAAGACCGAGGTGGTAGCGGTGACGAGGGACACGCCAGAAGTGGGAGACACTCCATTGACCCAAACCGTGCTTCCAGAAGGATCGACGGTGTAGACAAATGGCAACGTAGACCCGCTGGTGCTTGGACCGACGGTGACGAACGACGTCACGGTTTGAGTCGACGTGGATGTATAAGGCAGCGCCGACGCCACGCTGGTGTTGTTGCCGCTCGCCGGTGAGACCAGGGCGCTCGATGAAAGACTGGTCATGCCAGCAGTGATCGTTTCAGTGATTGGGATGAAGACAGTGCTGATGCTGGTGGTGTTGCATGCAGATGCTCTGGTAACCAAAAGTAAGTATTCAACCAAACTGTAGAGCGAGCCAAAAACAGTCAAGACAAGTATTGACATGAGTAGCAGTGCCCGGAGAGACCTCCACGCTTTCCTGTCGTCGCGGAGCCGGTCGAGGGTAGCCACGCAGACCTCAGGAGCATAGTGTTCGTCGATTTGGCGACACCATCTCCTGAGCCAAGGGAGCGTGTCTGTCAATGACTGGAAGAACAAATGATGAAGCCATTCCACGATTCTGTGTCCAAGGGTTCCTAGAGCGCGATCGTGTGCTTCCCACTCCTCCCAAGCGGCATCAAGCTCTTTGTCGGTCGGGCCATCGAGAGAGGATATAGCCGAGTCATTTCTTGAAGACTGCCGGCTTGATCGTTCGGCCTTGGATATCACTCTGCCAGGAGAGACAGTTCCAGCCGATTCTTGACGTTGTATGCGCCTCGACCTGGGCGAAAGTCTGAGTTTGGGAGGTCGTGGCCACCAGTTGTTGAATGTGTTGTTGATTTTTGCCATGGCGAGATGCGTTGCGAGGTATGCTGAGTTTTGCTGATTGTGCTGCGCAATGTTCGCTTGCTTGGATGCTGGAAAAGAGCTGTACATGTATGAGGGGTGGCAAGGTGAATCCATCTTCTGAGGAAAACTCCAGCCCAGTAGGCCGTGGTTCCGTGGACAACCATTTAGGGCTAGAAGGCGAGTCCAACGCGAGTCCAGGTGGTATCCAGGGCACTGCAAACGACATGCATCGCGAGAAAGGAAGGGTCGAACTTACCGATGAGCAGGCGCAGTGAGCGCCACTGCTGCGAGGGTGTTCCGCATGATGGCGGTGCGATGGAAGTAATGAACGACTGTGGTGGGTGATGATAACGAAGGTGGTGGTGAGTGTAGAAGGGACTAAGGATGAGGTTGGAAGTGTCGAGCGAGAGGAAGATCTTTCGGTGGGGAATGAACTGACGTCGAGGAAGCTGTGACGACCTAGTGCCCTTGGCAGTTGTATGAGGAAGGAGCGACTGACGCTGGCTTCATGTGTTTGACCTCACCTCATCTCCTCGACATCAGCCACATACCTATCACACACGCAGCCGCTGTGGATTTGCGAGGATGGAACAACACCGAAGCGGTCGCGTCCCTTCAATCATACAGTGAAATTGAGGAGTGATACCTACCGGTCTCGAATTACGACACGAAGTGGTACAAACACCGCAACGCAAACACGAACACAACGCAGGTCCTTCCGAGATTTGTCCTCTCTGCTGAGTCCTGTGAACGATCTCGAAGGCTCAGTCGTGCGTCCTCCCGTCATACTCATCATGGCAACTGCAGCAACCCGAGCGGTCGGCCTTTCGTACGGTGCTCCAAATCACAGCAGTTTCCGAGATATTTGCACGCATTGGAAGCAGGCTGGCGGTACCTGATCACACAATACCGCTGCACAGCCGGAGAAAAGAACTGGCAACACTTGAGCAAAGGATTTTTCATATTTCAGGCAGGATTGTACTCACTCCTGAGTGTGGCGTTTATCGTTGCCCGAGCGAAGCAGGTGCAACGTCTGCGGGCCGTAGCGGTATTTGTTACACTGTGTCTCAGGGGCGGACTCATCTCACTCGTACTGCCACGCTCGTGTAGCGGATGCGATGTCCTCCTGCCGCGTTCTCTTGCACTCTCTGAAGTTTGAACATCTCGGTGGCGCTATATCGGTACATGCTTTGCAAGAGAAGATGGTACTTCATAAGCATGAGCCGCATGCGACACGGCCTGAGGACGGATGCCTGCCTAAGCTCCACGGACTGATATTCATGGGTCCTCGTGGTCCGCATGAGCCTCCCTATCTGAGACCTCTCTCCTCATGACCTTGGTCTCCAGACCACCGCCGCAAGAGTGCATCTCGATGAATCATCCATTGTTCTCCGTCGTGGTAGTAAACAAAAGAATCTACCATCTCGACCACGACGTAGTCTATCAACGAAAGTGAGGTGCAGAAGGACAAACAAGGTCTGTCTCGAGTGCCGTGCTGTCTCCTTCCTGCCAAGGCAATCGTCGACAAGGGTCCAACTCTCTTCTCCACACCAGCCTGGACTTGAAGATTACCTCTCGACTCGACCACATCCATTCTCTGAAGGCGCACCGGCTCAGAAATTCCTCTCCGACGTCTACGTGAGCACAGCCATACTCCCAATTCTCGAAAACACCTCCTACCCTCTCGGCGACAGCAAGACTCATACATCCCAAGCCAACCCGTGCGACTCCAGATCCCCGCGACCCCACATCACGGATGTCGAGGTTCTCGAGCACACGATAACAATGAACGGCTATCCACCCTTCGCTGGGGCCAACAACTCAGCTCACAATCAGTCGAGAAGTTCAGTGGACATGAGCCAAGGCGGATCAAGGATGCAGCACCGTGGGTCAGTCGATATGGGCCAGAACGGCTCACGAGGGCCTGAGAGGAACGGCATGCCGATGCCAGTTGGAGGACCTCAGCGGGGGCCTATCGGAGGTCTACCAAATTCGAAGAGTATGTGAGCGAAGCTTAGGCTGTGAAGACATACTGACAATCAAGCAGACACACAGCTGGTGCCATGCAAATTCTTCCTACAAGGCACATGCCAGGCTGGCCGAACCTGTCCCTTCTCCCACGACGTTGAGGCAGCAGCGCGGCCTGCACCTTGCAAATATTTTTCAAAAGGAGGGTGCAAGTTCGGACGGAAGTGTGCGCTCCTACATATCACATCGGACGGCACAGTCCTGAACAGAGCGCCGCCTTTCCCGCCTGCACATGCTGGTCCACCATTTCCTGGCGCTCCACCTCCTCAAGCTTTCCAGCAGCCTCCGCCGCCTGGTTTACTCTCGTTACAAGCTCAGGGATTGGAGCCGAGACCGCATGGCGATGTGCCAGCCGACTACGATGGTCACCAGTATGGGCACATGCGCAATGGGTACGATAGACCACAGATCGACATGACCTACACGTCAGCCTCACCCACATATGGCTCTCCACCACACGACAGCCGGTTCGCACACTCGCCACCAGGCAAGGGTTTGTCAGTACTGGATGCGCCTCTACCGAACTCCTTTGACAGCAATGGCATATCCATGGCAGCTCGGAACGGTCCATTTGCGGCGTCAGTACCCTCGAGATTCGGCGTAGAGTCACCACCTTCATCCCTACCTCGCAAGTCGCAACTTGGCAACACCGCGCTAAGAGACCTGCACAATTCAGCATTCGGCGACAGAGGCATGGACGGCGTACTGGCGGGCTCTTCACCACCCAGCGGACCAGACGAGCCACTCACTTTTCCAAAGCGCTCACTACACGCCGACAGATTACGCGAACCAAGACAGCAAATGATCTCTGCCTCACTCGGCACCAAACTCCCCACCCAATCCTTCGAATACTCGGACGATGAAGAAGATCCAGACACTGACCGCGAAGAAGACCTCCTCCCCGCCAGCCTCCGCGACCTCATCCCCGAAGGCCGCTCGCGCAAGGAATCCCGCTCCTACATCGAAGACGAAAACACACCCGCCTCCTTCCTCGCCTCCCAACGCCGCACCATCTCCGGCCAGCGTATTCCACAAGACACGAGCACGAAATACGGCAGCCCGCACTCTTCCAGCCCTTCCCGCTTCAACGGGCACGGGCTCATGCGCAGCTACAGCGGCCGAGACAGCGAGGGCTTAGTAGGCTCTCCGCTCCGCAACTCGAGCTCCTACTTTATCACCTCCCATCCGCGAACGAACGGCGATCTGAGCCCGACGGTCAGCAGTCCGCCGCGACAAGCGAGCATGAGCATGTTGACGAAAGAACTACAACGGACCAAGCTCGACGTTGCGAACTCGCAAGCCGCTTCAGTGGGTATGACGCGCACAACGTCCAGCGGCTCTACCGGCGGCCGCAGCAGCTTAGATCGCGCCATGAGCGGCACAAGCGTCGGAAGGGAGCGAATCGACGAAGAGCAGGATCTATTCGATATGGATGAAGTGGGCGGTGATTCTTCACGAACGGCTCCCAGAGCAATCAACAACGACCGCGGGAGTGGGAATGGGAATGTATGGGGTGTTGGGAGGAGTTACGGGTCTTCGCCCGCTAGGGAGGCTACTTTTGGTGCGATTGGGGGACATCGGACTGCGAAGTAGAGGGAAGGGGAGATAGATTTTTATGAGGACATGAGTTGAGACACGACTTTGACGAAGCGTGGCGTTGGGATGTGATGGGAAATGATCAGTGCAGTCTTTTGAGCGGGTTGCTGATTGCATTGGACGGCCCCGGCACATGGATGGGATTGAGGCATGGCTTGCACATGGTTGGACACTGGCTCTTCACGATGGCTTACGATCACTCAAAGCTGGATCATCAACATCCGGCAGCATCAACTTAAGTAATAGAACAGAAAGACTAATGGTCGAACTTATTGAAAGCTTGCTCATCTCGCTACCTACCTAGCTATCTACCGCACACCAATCTCGTTCCAATCTTCACATCATGGTATCATAAAAGCACACGCCCAAACGCACTCCAACCGCACCACCTCTCCCCCTTTCCTTCAGTACGGACTATTCACAACCTCATTCCGACTCAAATAACTCCCCCTCCCCTTCCTGGCCGGCGTCCTCGGCGCCGCCGGCACAGCCGAAATACTCTCCCTCGTCACCCTTTGCAACGCCGCCCGCTTCACCATCTCCAAATCATGCGGCAGCGCGACGACGATATTCTTATCACTCCCGAACCGGAAATTATCCGCCTTGACCTCCTCCCCGTACCTGCGGATCCGGTACGCGTCCTTCCGGCCCTGGAGCGTCTTTTCCAGGTTCCAGATGACGACGAACGGGCCGGTGGACGTGATGATGGTGGTTTCGTCTTTGCTCTCGCCGGTGTTGAAGTGCGCCGTGGTGAAGGATAAGGGCGCGCCGGTCTCGTGCTGGAACTGCGCGACGTGCGCGGGTGTGAGGGCGAGGCGGCGGGGTTGGGGTTTGGAGTCTTTGGGGAAGGCTTTTTCGAAGCCGAGTTTGCCTTCGTTCTTGCCGTCTTTTTGCAGGTTGTCGATGAGTAGGAGGTACGTGCGGGTCGTGGCGAGGAGCCAGCGGCCGTCGGCGGAGACGTCGAGGCCGACGATCGGGTCGCCGAGGGCTGGGAGGGCGGTTTTGGCGTTGATGCCCAGGCGGTCGAACATGCGGATGTCGCCTTTGTTGGAGGCAACGGCGATGTAGCCTTGTTCCGTCGTGGCGGCGGCGGAGAAGTCGTTTTTGCTGGCGTATTGTTTGAGTTCGCTGTCGACGAGTTTGTTGCCGCTGAGGCGGGGGTCGATGCGGTAGAGGGCGTTGTTGCTGAGGCCGAGGAAGGTCTGCTCGCCGGTCGTTTGGGCGAATTTGGATTGTGGGGCGTAGACGTTGACGGGGATGTCTTCGTGCACTTTCCACTCGTCGACGACCTTGCCGGTTTCGAGATCGAGGCGGTAGAGGCTGTTGGGGTCGTTGTCGCGTTGGAGAACCATGTCGCGGTCACCGGCGTGCAGCATCATCTTCTTGGGGGCAAAGTTCTTGCCGCCGGGTGTGGCGACGTTGTTGATGCTTGTGCTGAACTCGAGCTGGTTGTCGGGAGTGTGCTTGAAGACGCCAATCTTGTCGCCGCGCACCACGAAGGACCTGTCCACTTTGGCACCGACGGCCAGCTGACTATTGACCTTGCCGTCCTTATCCAGTATCTTCACCTCATCCTCATCTTCGTCTTCGTCGTATTCTTCAGCGCTCTGACCGTCATTCGCATCCTCATAGTCTTCCACCTCTTCATCCTCCTCTGCAGCCTCTGCCTCCCGCCTGTCATCAGCGTTGTCTTCCAGCACCAAATCATTGAATGCGTCCAGCACATAGTCTTGATCCACAGCCTTCTGCCACTTCATCTCATTCGCATGCTCCCACATCGCCTGCATGAAACCCTGCTGGAACTCCTCCAACTCTTCCCTCTCCTTGAACCTCAGAAGCCATGAGTATGCCGCGCCCTCGTCAGAGTAGTGATTGAAGATCAGACACTGCTCTTCGAAGTTGAAGACCGGATTCATGTCTGATCCCACTTCCTGTCCCAGCCATTGCTGCTTGCTACCTGTGATCTGTAGCCAGTACTTCCAGTTGCCTATCTCTGAGACCACAGCCTGAACCGCGTCATCTTGCCGTAAGAAAGTGGTGGTGTTGAAGTCGAAGAGATGAAGCTCAGCACGTTGGTTGGCAAGGACGGAACGGCTTTCAGGAGCTTTGCGCGAAAGGGGTGCTTTGGTGGGTGTGTTCTCGATCTGCTTCTGTAGTGTTGGCGCTGCCAGCTTCTTAGAAGAGTCACGCACCATCTCGCGGTCGTCACGGATGTTATTCAGAGATTGCGTGAGCGGTGATGAGTTGGCGAAAGAAGGCGATCGGTGGGTGGGGCTGCTGAGCGGGCTGGCTTGTGGTATGGCTGGTTCCTCTTCGAAGTTGAACTCTTGCAGATCCGACTCTGTCGCTTCCTGGTGGCTTCGATGGTACTTGCGCTCGAACTGGCACTGCGCCGCAACGATCTCAAACGAAGTCACCGCCTCTGGTCTCGTTGAAGGATCGCAAACGAACTCAACCAGATCACCTGGGTCACCACTCAGATCGCGCCAGGCCAGCACCGACTCTCCCGTATCCTTGAGATCTGTTCGGAAATGTAGCTCTTCGTCAAGCACAAACGTCTTTTCGTCTCTGTCAGTGACACCTTCACCTGCTCCCTCCCCTCCTTCCTCTTCCTCTAGAAGTTCCGCCTCGCCTTCCTCGTAGGCGCGTTGAATAACAAGCTGATATTGGAACTCCTGTCCAGTACGTCGGATGAAGGCCGCTGCGTCCTTGAAGATGAGTTCGGAGTAGCCTTTGGGTGAAAGCGGTCGAACAATGTAGAGTTGGCCTTGAGGAAGCTCGACGATGTTCTCTTTGCTGCTGTCGCCGAACAGGTACTTGGAGAGGCTTTTAAGAGCAAACATGCTGTGTTCCTGCCAGATGGTATGTCGTGCTCTGCATCATGTAGGAAGAAGGTAGATGCAGAAGAGGGTCGTACAGGAAGCAAGTATTTGTTTTCGGTGTGTTTGTCTCCAACGGCCAGACGTCACTTTCGTAGCGGAGACGGCGACATCCGCCGCCACCGTGGCTGCCTCCATTTCGTCCCACCTCCAGTGCTCCCATCATTCCACACTCCAACATGCGACTTGTTCCATTCACACGCATTCTTCGGGAATGCATTGGACATCAGGATACATTTACCAACAAGCAGTGACAATGCTACGGGGCGAAGGCCGACAATCATCGACAAGTCACGCTCAAATCCGGATTTCACTGGGGAATGCGATGCAGCAAAGGATTCAAACCACGAGACGACTGCACGCGATTTCTTGTATCGTGACTCGCTCTTGAACGACCGATAGTCAGTCAGTGCAGCTTCAACGCAGACAGCACATCCCGTCTACCCCAAGACGGAAGCAGCAAACAGGCAAGGCAAAGCAGAGAACTCAGCCTCTCCCGCTGCCGCCACGGCGCGTCTTGAGATCGCGCCAGGCCTCCCACGCCATCAGAGCTGAGCTGCAGCTCCAGAATGGACAAACCTTTCACCGGACCTGTACCTTGTCCACCTGTACATGCATATGCCATGCAGACGGCTTTCCCCTTTCCCGTTTAGTTTCCTACTTTTCCTCTTCCACACTGTCATTGCAGCCTTGCGAGTCACAGATGTGAAAGAGTCGAAAGCGGCCGAGTACTTTCACAGGCGACCTGCCGGCGGCGTGCATTCAGTAGGTGTGCGCGTGTGTCACGCTTTACCAATACTCACACGGTGCCAGCCTTGCCTGCGCCTGCGCCGCTTTGCGCCATCTATGATAGCGCGCGCTCAGACGAACTTTTAGAGGTCTCGTGAATCTTTCTTAATCCTCCATCCTTACCTCTCTCTTTTCCTTACACAAGAAGAAGCAGCGGCGTGGCCTGGACCACGTCTAAGACTGCATTCACACCTTATTCCTACCGACACCATCCAACACCACCAATCATCACACCATGAAATCAGGCTTCATTACCGTCAGAGAGGCAACGGCCGACCCAGACCCGGACACCCCTCAGCCCACACCTTTCCCCATCCGCATCGTCCAAGATCCGCCCCCGCCGCCGCCCTCGGACATGGACGTGAACGTCCCTCCCCCACCTGGCTCCATCAAGTTCCGCAATGACAACTTCTATGAGTCTTGGGACAAGTTCCTAGCGCTCGAGCCGAATCGCGGTCAGCGGCTTTCGAGGGCCCAGCGCGCTGTGAATGTCGAGCAAGCGGAAGTCGAGGGCGCGGAAGGAAAGAAAGTGCAGGAGAATGCCGCCACGAGCTGGGAGCAGGCGGCGGAGAGTTGTCGGAAGAAGGTCGCGGCCATCGTGGAGGAATGCACGAGGCTGAACCAGAAGTATCGAGATGCGATATTTGACTTGGAAGCGAGTGTATGGTGCCTGCAGAGTCTGTCAGGACTGTGTCCAAAGGTATGAGACGGAGCAACTCTTGAGAGTCGCGAGGTGTTTTCCATGGCAAGAGCTAACTCGATATTTGTTTCACAGGCTGTGCAGCGAATAGAAGCGCCACCGTGGATCAAGCGGGTGGAAGACATCTTCGACGATCCTCAATTCTTCATCGATGGAGCGACACCGCAAGATGTGCATCAAGGGAGCGGAGGTGACTGCTGGTTCCTAGCTGCGCTGATGGCAGTGAGCGCCAAGAAGGAGCTTATCGATCAGCTCTGCGTGGCAAGAGATGAGAATGCTGGTGTATACGGATTTGTGTTTTACAGAGGTCAGTCTCCAGGCTCATTCAACGAGGCATCTTATGGGCACAGCTGATGTGAGACTGCTTTGATACAGACGGCGAATGGATCTACGAAGTGATCGATGACAAGCTCTTTCTCCGCGTCGGCGACGATGACAACGTCACGGTTGTCCGCGACTGGCAGAAGGAAAAGAAGGAGGGCATGGCTTTATTCCATCCGGATGAAGAGAAGCTGATGTCCCAACTCCAGCGTGGCGGTGAAGCCCTGTACTTCTCCCACTGCAAGAGCTCCGAGACCTGGCTTCCGCTGATCGAGAAGGCGTATGCGAAAGGTACGTTCATACAACAGATACTTACCCAGAAGTGGGCTAACAGATCCCAGCGCATGGCGACTACTACGCCATCGAAGGCGGCTACGCGTCCGAAGCGATCGAGGACTTGACCGGCGGCGTCGGAGCCCACATCAACCCTGAAGACATCATGGACAAGGACCGTTTCTGGCGCGAGCAGCTGTCTCGAGTCAATGAGAAATATCTCTTCGGCGGCGGAAGCAAGCCAAACGCAACTAAGGGTTTCGTTGGCGGTCATGCTTACGCTGTACTGAAGACGTACGAGGAAGGAGACCTGAAGCTGCTCAAGCTGAGGAACCCTTGGGGTGAGACTGAATGGAATGGCGACTGGTCTGACGGCAGCAAGCTCTGGACGCCGGAGATGATGACCAAGCTCAACCATACATTCGGCGACGATGGGATTTTCTGGATCAGCTACAAGGATTTTCTCAAGCACTTCCCCAGCATCAACCGCGTGCGGCTCTTCAACAAGGACTGGCAGGTCGCCCAGCAATGGACGTCGGTCAATGTACCCTGGACTGTCGATTATCTGGACACGAAGTTCCAATTCACCATCAGCGACAAGTGTCCTGTGGTTATCGTGCTGTCCCAGCCAGACGACCGCTACTTCTACGGACTCAGCGGCCGCTTCTGTTTTTCCCTGCACTTCCGCGTATACAAAGAAGGCGAGGAAGATGACCGGTATATCGTACGCAGCATGCACAACAGTGGCAACGAGACAGTCTTTACTCGTTCTGTATCCGCTGAAATCGAGGACCTGGAGCCAGGGACATACAACGTCGTCTTCAAAGTCACAGCTGTACGGACCGCCGCAGCCATGACCGCCGAGGAGTCGATCATGAAGTTCGCTGTGGAGCGGAAAGAGAAGCTGCTGCACGTTGGTCGTAGATTCGACTACGCGCAGACGAAGGGCAACTTGCGAGCCATGGAAGAGGCGAACAAGAAGCAAAAGGTGTCGGGTCATCGGCAGTCGAGCATCAGGAGAGCGAAGAAGAGTAGGACGTTGAAGCAAAAGCAAAAAGAACAGGCGAGAGGGCGGAAGAAGAGGATTGATGATGCTATGCGGGAGAAGAGGATAGCTTATCATGAGAAGAGAAGGCAAAAGGAGAAGGAGAGGCAGGAGAGGAGGAGAGCGCAGAGAAGCGAGGGTAGTGATGGTAAGACGGAAAGTGTAACGCCGCTGACCGAGGAATCGCCGGTGAAGAATGACGAGGAGGCAGATGCGAAGGCCGGAGCGGAAGCTAAGAGGCCTGAAGCAGAGACAGATGGGAAGTCAGGTCAGGAAGCGAGCAAGGCCAAAGACGAAAACGAGAAGAGCGACGAGCCTGCCACCGCGGAAGCCGAGACTACTCTCGCAGAAGACATCTCCCGCCTCAAACTCCAGCAATCCCGCTCAAGCAGCAGCCGCACCGACCCAGTCTCCCCTCTCGACAACGGAGAAGACGACGGGTACGAATCTCCTGTTGAGCCCCCCGAAGAGATGGAAGATGATGACTTTGACTGGGATTCTGAGTTGTAAGTACCTCTTTCCCGAACAAACTCCATCTGGGTATTTTGCTGATAGTGGAGTAGAGATGGACCAGTCGACATGGGCAATGATGACGAAGATCATTCCCGCAGAAATTCAGCTCAGAGCACGAAGAACGAGATCTTTGCTGATGATCCGTGGGATGCGGTTTGTGTGCTTGGGGTGAGGGTTTATTCGCAGGGGGCTGTGGCAAAGGTCAGGGTTGTCAAAGGGGAGGGGAGTTCGTGAGGGGGATGACGTGGTGTGTTTGGTATAGGGATGGCATTGTGCACAATCTCGGCTCAGTGTTGTAAAGCAGAGTGTTATATATGGCTTGAGGAGGATTGATGATACCCAACTCATGTTATTCGGTTTCGGAGGAGGATGCTTAGATAATCTCCAACTCCTGTCTCGTGACTGACTTCACTTTCTCATCTTCCATCTTCCAAAAATATTTAGTGCAAACCTGCAGACGATGAAATTGCGAACATCGCTTTCGGTTCGATGATAGGCGATCATGGCCTTGCTATCTTCGACATCTCGTCTTACGCTGGACTTACCACCAAGCTGCATCGCTTTCTGTCCCTCAGATCAGAATCTTCTTGTTGTTGGGACGTACTTCCTGCATCCACTCGAGAACAGACAGGAGAAAAACTCACACGACGACAATAGCGGAGATGCAGGAGCAGAGGGGAGGTTGCAGAAGCGGAGTGGAAGTCTGATCTTGTACCGGCTCGAAGAGGGTAGCGATGTGATGTAGGTAAGGAGAAGCCTTGACTTGATCCTCCTGTGTCGTCGTCAGCCTATGTCACCACGCAGTTGCTGACCACATCAGAACTCAACTCGCCACGAAGCCCGTTGACTATGCGGTTTTAGACATCCAATGGAGCCGTTATGCGACAGGGGAAGGCCAACTTCTCGCGGTCGCGACTTCCACTGGACAGATCGCAATCTACCGCCTTCCTACTTCAGAAGGCAATGCCATCGGGAATCTGGAGCTCTGCAGTGCCCACGCGGTGGCAGACCCGTCCATCTTGGTCCTCTACCTTGCCTGGCATCCTAAAGACCGCGGAACCATAGGGTACACCCTCTCGGATGGCACCGTAGGCTTGTGCTCGTGTGGGAGCGGCAATGACTGGAGGGATCCGAACTGCAGCGTAACGCTGGCTGAGGTCCACAGTCACTCCCTCGAAGCCTGGACGCTCACCTTCAACCTACCAGATGCCTCCGCCATCCTGTCCGGCGGCGATGACGCTATACTGAAATCTTCAACCCGCATTCCGGATGGTGAGGAGTATGCCCTCTCGTGGCAAGATAGGAAAATCCACCAAGCCGGCGTAACAGCCATCCTACCCCTAACACCTACTCTCACGCTCACGGGAAGCTACGATGACCACATCCGCCTCATAGCTTCACCAGCAACAGGTACAGGACGCCGAAAAGTCCTCGCCGAAGCAAACCTAGGCGGTGGAGTCTGGCGACTGAAAATGCTCGATTCGCAAAGACTACTCGATACGAATGATGTACAAGCCGATCAAGGCATGAGGTACATTCTTCTCCATCTATCCACCACGGTACCAGCCTTAACACTACCAACATGCACGATATGATGCCCACGTCCCCCACAGGGGACTGTTTGCCCCATCCTAACCACGTCCCTCGTACCTGCCCCAAATGACGCAAGCTGACAACCCCAATCTTACTCAGCCCTCCACCCGCCCACGCTCTCATCCTAGCCAGTTGCATGCACGCCGGCACGCGCATGGTGCGGCTCTCCAGGTCTCACTTAGCCTCCGTGGAGAACGAGGATGACGTCTGGCAGTTCGAGGTCCTGGCACGGTTCGAGGAGCATGAGAGCATGAACTATGCAAGCGATGCTGTAGTTCAGGAAGGGAAAGAGGGGAAGGAGTGGAGGGTGGTAAGTACGAGTTTTTACGATCGGTTGATGTGTTCGTGGCGGTTTGAGTTAGAAGGAAGGGATGAGGTGAAGCCGGAAGGTGAAAGTTGAACAAGGTGTACCACTCCATACATGAAGTGCTTCAGGTCTCGCATCTCGAACTTTGTACATCCCATCCCTCCCCTAGGCCCTCGCGCTCCTCTCCACGCTTGAGATCCAGGCCAGACTAAACAATAAAGATAGATCAACACAATTCGTCCATCCCACCCGCACGAAAACAAGACAGCAAACAAGCTGTTGGTATATCCCCGCCAAAAGATCAATCCCCTCCCAAAACCGCCTGTCGGTAAACTCCTGTTCGCTGTGGTCGCTATCGAATGCAAAATCTCTTGCTGAAATGACTGCTGTGCGCCGTTCCTTTCCTGGTATCTGCCCCCCCTCCCCCCTGAACCGGATGTTACGGTTCGCTCCATGATGTGGTGTCGTAGCATGCAGGAATACTGGCTGCTGCTTGCTTCTCGGTCGTTGTTGCTGACTGTATAAGGATGTGGTGGGTACGGGTGTGGGCGGTGTAGCTAGTGTGGTGTAAGAAGATGGCTTGGGCATCGCCTGCCAAACATTCGGTCGCTCGTATCGAGGGTATGGTAGTGTTCTAAGTCTCGCCTGGGCCGCTGATCTTGATCTGAGGTGTTGGTGGGGGCGGATCCGCGTCGATGTTATTTCTTGCTCGTCTCCATTTAAGTACAGGCACTCGTTTATCACCCTGGGTCAGCTCGTTAGCCAAACATTCGTTTTGAGGACGTATCAGGTCATCCAAAAGCGTACCTTAATCTCGCTCGGCTCCTCACTCCCCAACACAAGCACCTGGCCATCTTCCTCAAATCGATGCGTCCGTATTTGGATATCTCCCACCCAGCCCGGTAGATTGCAGACCTGGAACGTATGCCTGAGAATCTCTTCTCTCCCAGGCCCATCGTTACTGATGTAGTATGGCCCCGAGTACGCGAAGAATCGTTTCCCTGCCTCCGCCCATTGGGCTTCGTCCCCAGTCCCACGCTGGAATGCCTGCTGTCCCGGGATGAAGAATTGAGCGGACATGTAACCATCCGGAGTGTACATTATAAATCCCGTGACGTTCTTAGTCATTGGAAATGTCGGTCGTTGTATGGTGGAGTTGACGGTGGGGTATGCGATGTACGACTCCAGTCGCCATGTGCCGACGAGCTTCTGCCGTAGTGGGATGTCTGGAGGCGGTGTCATGCATTGCTCGAGTGTGTACATGCCGCCGTTTAGGTCACCGTTCAGATCGTCGTAATTCGTTCCTTCTTGTTCCGTGCTTTGTTTGACAGCCGTGGTGTAGTGATTGTTGTAAGGGGTGGTTGTCACGCTGACAGGTGATTTCGGTATACTATCGATGCTTCTCCGGGGCTTCACTTCTGGACTCGAGAAGCCGTTCAAGCTCGGCTTCCGGGACAGCTCGACAGGCGAAGGCATGGGCGGCGATTGCGGACGCGATTTGACGGGTGAGGTGGGCGAGGTGATCACCTCTGCTCGAGGCACGACCTCCCGGGGTCGTGAGCGTGACCGAGAGCGGGATTTGCGATATGGGAGGACTTTGGGGACCTGCAGGTACTGCGAGTTGGTGCCGGCCATGGCTTAGGAGTGGGCGGCGGTAGATGCGCGGAGTGGGGTGTGGAGAGAGGAAGAGGGAGAAAGCATGATCAGGCGGGTGCGGCGTATGAACGATAATATGCTTCTCTCACGCACGGAGGATAGCGGGAAACATGGCGGAAGAGTGGTACACCGGGCGGGTCTGGTTTGCGAGCTGAGACTTGAGATTCCTCCGCACAAGCAGCAGCAAAGCATGGGCCGCCCAGGCGCAGGTGTCGTGAGGTCGACGAGAGATGCAAGACTGCGCCATGACCACTCTACCAGCGCCCCATTGGGAGCCGTCGACCGTCGACACATCTTCTCATCATGCATCTTCGGACTCTCCTCCAAGCCAGCCGGTGCTTGTCAGATGTCACCAACTATCGATTTCCTGCAGCACATCCACTCTTGCTCCATCCGCACTCCGCTTTCTCGTGCATTCTCCTTCGACCCGGTGCAGCACGTGCGGCGGATTGGGAAGGCTGCCAACCTGTCCACCCGCAAAGACATCATAGCGCCTGGTCGGTGCGCTCAAAATAGCACGCGCAGAAGAGCTTAGCAGAGTTAGCACCCGAAAGCGTGCTTAGGCTCGCCTACCGCTCTATTGAACCATGGCGCCAAGCAAGCCCTCGCCGACTTGCCCTTACCTTCCCTGGGCATTCGAGAATGCCTTTGCGCTGTGGGATGGCTGCGTGAAGGGCGGTGTAGGAAGGAAAAGCAATTACTGCGATGGAGATCCTTGATCGTCGCTATCACACACGGCTGGGTACCGAATGCTGCAGGCCACCGAGGCGCATGCGTGCGGCCACAGGTTCGGAAGCGCGATGAACGCTGGTTGTTGATCTTCCGAATTGCGATCTCCGCCTTGCGCTGCAAACAAAACACCCCTCGAACTGCATGATTCGGCCCGCGCGATCTCTCCGATCAATGCTTCGTTTCATCTTGAGCCGTTGCTCGCCTGTGAGCTCGTCAGTTTCTGATTGACTGATATTTTGGAATTGCCTGTTCGCGCAAGAGGTTCGTCGTTCGGTCGAGCACGGCAACCGGCAGACCCGCATATCGCGGCGTTCACGCCCTCATGCAAGCCCATGTCATTGCTTCCAGAAGCGTGCGACCCCGACGTTCTCGTATACCAATTCGGCAAGCGACTTCTCCAATCGCGAGGCTGACCATCGGGCGTTGCGGTGTGCGGGGATCGTTATCGTGTGCAGTGTTCAAGCAAGAAGCTATGATGTGACGTTGGAATTGGATTTGGAGCAATGCGGAGGGAGGGCAAGACGAGGAAGGTGCGATTGCGATGCAGTTGCTCAAAGTGCCCGAAGCTAAAACCAACCGCATCTGTATAGGGCGGTCTCAACCCGGCGTTCGACTCGGTCTCGACTCATGACCAACAACTGAATAACGCTGTGCATGCGGTGCTATACCAATTTCTATCTCGCACTTCATTCTATCGGCAGCTGTGTTCACACTTGCGGCTGTGCAGGCAAGGCTACTGCTGACATTGCTCATGTGCAGCCTCGCACGCCTGACAAATCCGCAGCGGTATGTGCCTCGTTGGAGAATTCTTCCGCTGTTCGTGGGTTCCGTGTTTCACGAACACACATCTGAATGACTCGCACTTGAGGAAGATCTCGTAATCTGTAACCTCAACCCTTCTGCCACGCGACGAGATCTTCCCCACACTCAATATCTCTGGTACTGTTGCCGAGTCGAGCTGTCGGACCATGGTTATGAGACTCTTGGTTCTAACCTTCTGTTCTGGTCCATTCGGTGGTGACTACAGCGCGGCGCCGGCGAGCTCTAGTGGTGAGCTCTAAAGCTTTCTACCGCGAAGACTGGTTGAGATGTCTGTGCTGAAAGCATGGCGTCCTGTACCTACAGGCGACGAATCTTGCGATACCGATAACGAAAGTCTGGAATCGCAGTCTTTATTGCTTACCTACGCCTGGGGCCAACCTTGCGGTGAGGACAAGAGATAGGGGCTTGCGGTGGACGTCCTGACCCTGCAGATAGAGGAGGGGAGGGGCCAAGAAACGTAGACACTGTAGCAGCATTGCGCAACGAACATGTATCCTACTCTCACGTATGGACAACAGCAAGTAGGTGCTTATTGAACATACCCCAGCAGCTACCAATGACACCTACGTCTCAAGGCCAAGAATGAGCGGATAAATGTATTCCGAGGACGTCCCACGTGGAACTACAATCTCCTGTATAGACTTCAATAGTTGCCGTTGAAGCCTTCATGATACTCCACCTGGCAGCCAACGCGGTCTAAGTTCTGTAATAAAACGCGGGGACGAGTACAGGCTATATCCACCCCTCCGCGGAGTATCGACAGCACCAACGGCCCTTCGGCGCTGAGCGGATGATGTTGTCAATGGGGAAGAAGCGATTCCTGGATGGACTGTCGGTCGTCACGCTTGCTTGCTACACAGTATCTTCCTCCTACTTCTTCACGCCACCCCCGCCCTTGGCCTCCTCCAGCGCCTTCATCCGCTCCCTCTGCGCCCGACTACCACCCAGCTTCGGTCCTGTCGGCGCTTTCGCATCCTTCGCGACTGTCTTGGGTGGTCGTCTCTTGTGAGCCTCCATCTCGGCGAGGAGTTGAGCCTTGTATGCCTCAGCTGCTGCAGCATCGTTGTCCATCTCGTCCATATCGGCGGCGGTAGCAGCGGCATTTGGCCGGTCGTATAGAGGCACTGAGGACTCTTGCATGATTTGGTCGATCATGGAATCGCGAGCAATGTCTGCTTGATCGCGGGATGGCTTGGGCCGTCGCCTCGTCGGTCGTTGATAGACTCGGTAGCTTCGTGCGGCGGCTGGCTCGAGTGTGCGATCTCCATCGGCTTGGACAGGGCTTGTTGCAGAGCCAGTTGCTCCTGGTGCAAACCCCGCAGTCCCCTCAGTCGCGACTGATCCCAGCGACGATGCGCCATGTATACCATTAACAGGCGGAGTCGGCGAGCGTGCGTCAGCCAGCTTGGAGTCTATGTATGCCATCCTACGCCGTTAGTGCCGTTCCTGCTCCGTCCAACATGTACTTCGGGGCGCAACGTACATATGCTTGTCCTCTGCCACAGCAACTTTTCCAGTCGGTTTGACGAATCTGTCACTTCCAGGCACATCCTGCGCTTCAGGCGCATTCGCTAGCACCACTGCCATCTCTTCATTGCCATCCTTTCGTGATCCGTTTCGGCCCTTGGTGCTCGTGAAACCGATTCCATGTTTCCTGTTGATGGGTCTTCGCTGGGATCTGATAGCTCCGGTAGAGGGCTCTTCGACCTCTGGGGTCTGATTACTGATAGTAACAGCTGCTGCTTCATCATTGGCGGCGCCTTCGCTGTCGTCCTGCGGATCTGCTCGCTTTCGGAAGACCTTGCGTCGTTTGTTGGCGCGGAAGAGAGGCTCGCCCGATACCTCGTCCTCCATGTTATGATCCATCGAAAAGACTCATTGACCGAGTTAGGCGGAGAATTGCATGATCGCGGTTGTCAAAGGAAGATAAGTTATGCAAGTGGGCTGTTGCAGCGGGTGAATGTTTTTGAGCATGGGCCACATTCACTGCCTGGACTTCACTTGATCACTTATTCCTCCTTGCCTTCTAAAATCTACTCCAACGCCGCAACGGCCGTGTGCCCAACAATCTATACTCTCCGCAGAAGTGCCGTTGTGCGACCTCTGTATTTTGTGCAAAGGAGCGCCCACAATTCCGAATGTCAGACCTTTTTTGCTGCAATTACTAATCACGTTCGTGGAATACCGAAGCATCGCCACCAGCGAGCTCTTTGTGGGTATGTAAGTGCTCCGGCATTTAGTGGTATAACATACAAGTATCTCTATCTCCAGTACACTAGTGTTCAAACTTTCACTTCCAGCACCAGAGCAACAGACATTCGTTGTGGCTTTCCGAACAACTCTCCGCAGGATGACCAAGTACCAAATCGACGTGGTGTCCGACACAGTGTGCCCGTGGTGCTACGTTGGGAAGAATAGACTGGACAAGGCTATCGAGCAGCACAAGAAGACTAACCCGGACGACACTTTCGAAACGACATGGTATCCTTTCTATCTTAACCCGGATGCTCCGAAATCGGTCGACAAGCATGAGTACTACGAGCGCAAGTTTGGTCCGCAGAGGACGCAGTATGCCAGCCCATCCCGGTGGACTATCGAAGTGGAAGCTTACATGTCTCCAGAATGATGCAAGGTCACCTCTTCCGTCTAGGGAAACAAGTCGGCATCGACTTCAATTTCGGCGGCAAGACTGGCAACACCCGCGACAGCCATCGCCTCATCCAGCTCGCCAAGACGAAGGGAGAGGGTATGCAGACGAAGGTTGTTGAGCAGTTGTTCAACTCCTATTTCGAGGTCAACGAAGACATCACGGACCGCGAGGTACTAGTTAAGCGCGGTGTTGCTGCCGGACTTGATGAAGCGGAAGTTCGGGAGTGGATGGATGGTGACAATGGCGGTCCGGAAGTTGATAAGGAGGTCATAGGAGCGCAAAAGAAGTCTATTAGTGGAGTGCCGAACTTTACGTGGGTCAAGCAACGTTTACACACTGTGAAGTGCATAGATGCTGACATGGTTGGCCAGATTAAATGGAAAGTACGAGGTTCAGGGCGCGGAGGAACCGCAGGCATTCCTTCAGGTCTTCGACGAGATCAAGTCCGATGCCAGGGTCGGTGGAGTGACCGGGGGCGACAACACCTGCTAAATTGGAACGAGGTCTTCCTTGCCGCTGGTATGATGCTGGCTGCTGGTGCGGCAAGGACGAGTGCTTTTGAGCATTTGACTGTTGGGGGATTTCAACGTTCACGAACGAGATGCGATTTGCTGTTCTGAAGCTTTCTTAGATACTAAGATATCATATCGAAGCATTGCAAAGGCCGCCTGTTTCCGGCTCTGCTGTGCGCCGAAATCCTTCAGTCGATGTTCCAAAAAATATGGACTCTTCGTCATCATTCCATCATAGCAGTGGTTGCCACCAAGCTGCCATTCCGCTCTGTATTTGTTCGTTCAATCCAGTGAACCAGCATGAGTAGGTACAGTATTGCGATCCGTGGCTACCACGCTATCTGCAAAAGATCGGCATCGTTCTAGAACTACCCGCTCTGGTCCAAGATCAGCTCTCCGCGCGGGGACGGCGAGGGCGGCAACCTGCGGAGAAGTCGTGTCGTCGCTTCCTCATTCTCCACCATTCCTCTAACGATTGCCGTCAGTCGCCACGAGACGATTCGATCATAGTCATCAGCAATCTAGGCGATGCAGAACAATCAAAGTCCTGAGTCACCTGATCCTGAGGATAGCTCTCCGAAGACAGCGACAGGCAGCGGCAGGAAGGAAACGAAGAGCGAACGCGAGTGAGTGGAGACCAACCACCAGCATCCGGTCGCATACTAAAGACTGTGTAGGAAACGCACTTATCGAGCCTGCCTTCATTGCAGGCAGCGCAAGTCAAGATGCGACCTGTAAGTTAGTCCTTCTTGGTCGGAGATTTGCAACGAGACATTGACAGCCCGCCTAGCTACACCAGCGGAGAGCCCGGCCGGCCTCCATGCGAGCGTTGCATAAGGGAGCAGCATGAGTGTATTCTGGGCGGCTCACGGAGAGGTGGAAGAAGGGTCAAGCGAACCCACTCGGAACTCTCCTCAGCCCATGGAACCGCAACGCCAGATGGGGACAATATCGCGAGGCCAATGCCAGTTCCTCCACCGCGGTCCGACTGGCAAGGTACACCGACGCATACGCAGCAGATGCCAGCATGGATAGACCGTGAGTCTCGGGTTCTGCCTCCTCTGCCTCAGGAACGGCCGGATCACACTTTGACCCCGACTGCGAAGATGACTGTCGACGATCAAGTAGCTTCGACCGACCTTCAGAACCCGGCCGATGCTCTTGAGTTTTTGGCACACGTCGCGGAGCGCAATGGTACCAACCAACTACCACCAATACGGATGCAAGGCTTTCCAGCAGCTCCCAGTGCTGGCGACACGCGACGAAGTAGTGATCAAGGTCCTGGCAACAGCAGCAACATCCATTATCCGCCACTGGCAAAGGGGCAGCTGTCACTTGAGATGATTGAAATACTCCTGGCGAGGTGAGAAAGCGCAACTGTTTGTTCTGTGCACAGAATGTTATTGACAACACCTGTAGGTACGAGAATAAGTACCATCAGTACTTCCCTCTCGCCAATCCTGCAGCTATGGATACTCACAATCTACGGGAGATCGCGAAGAAAGAGCCTCACCTGCTGGCTGCCATTCTGACCGTCGCTTCAAAGGACGAAAAGGAATGGTGGCAGATACATGAAGCATGCAGCTCGCATATGCAGCAGCTCATCGCTGAACTGGTATATGGTGGCCATGGATCCGTCGAAGCCGTGGAAGCAATGCTCATCCTCGCTGAATGGGTTCCTCGAAGGCCTCATGCGACCCCAAGTGTAGGTAGAGGAGAGGAGGACATGCGAGCTTGGATGTTCGTGGGAACAGCTATTCGTCTGGGTTACTTACTCGGTATCGATCGCACTGGTTTCAGGACTGAGAACGAAGGCGAAACGACGGCGGACCTGAATCGAAAACGCCTGGCGTGGGCGGCTTGTTATATGAGCGACCGACAAGTTTCCGTTCGGATTGGCAAGGCTTTCTGGTCTCGAGGTAATACACGCCAACGCCATGCATGCTGTCACGAGCAAGAACTAACACCTCACAGGTCCTGGTCCCATGACAGCGCTTCGAGCGCAGGACTTTCCGAGCCTTCAACCACGCTTCAATCGCAACGACGATTTTGCAGCGATCTTCCAGGCCAACTTGGAGCTTACACAGCTATTCTCGAATGCTCACGATGTGCTATATGCTACGAAGTCTCGCTCGAATCAACTCAACTACGGCGGCGAGTACGTCAAGTACATCGACGACTTCCGCGTTGCTCTTCGATCATGGCATTCAACATGGGGTGCATTCACCTGCTCTCCCCCGCTCAAAGCCAGCCTCATACTGTCTTACGAGTATCTTCGCCTTTACGTCAACGCCTTCGCATATCAAGCGACCATCAACCGCCTGGCGTCTCAAGTCGAGGCTGCTGCAAACGGACAGCAGACAAGAGCACCGAGCCATCCATTTGGCGCCGATATTGCGGCAACACCTGACGCTCGCTTCATCTACGACTCTATTGACGCTGCCAAGTCACTGCTGAGCACATTCAACAGCTTCGTCGATCCTTGCGAAACGTTCCGCTTCATGCCTCTGCGGTACTACCTCTACGTTATCTACTCGGCATGCTTCCTCTACAAAGCACGCTCGACAGGCGTCATGGCTGGCGACTCGCGAGGGACCGTCCGCCGCATGATCACAGACACTGTCGACAGACTCCAACGGGCAAGTGCCTGTTCGAACGACGTTGGCGATCGATACTCGCGTCTCATCAAGCTGCTGTGGAGAAGGCCGCCAGGACCGGCAGGACGCCAGTCAATCGCTGAAGGCGCAGATATGACACGAGTCGCAAGCACGCAGCCGAGAGCAGGTCCAGCGATGAACGCTGTCGACGGTCAGCAGCAGGACCAGATGCTGTACGAGCCGGCACCTATTAATTCGTTCTCCTGGCTGGATTTGCCTGCCGTGGGAGATTTTGCGATTACGAATAATGAGAGTATTGGAAGCGGGAGTTTTGATGGACTCGATCGCTTCGACGATAACTCGACAGATGGGTTTGCTGGCTTCGACCAGAATATGCTGATGCCGCAGTTCGCTTGGAACGGGATGTCGCCGTCGGGTGTGATATTTTGATGTGTACATTATGCAGATACGATTTAGATGTCCAGATCTCACGAAGTCATGGCTGTACGTGATGTATGAAAGCGACTTAGTGCTTCATGTATTTTCGACTGGATGCCTTCAAACCACCCCCTCCACCTTCCACACCTTCACGGCAGCATCGGCACCGCAGGAGATGACTTTACTATCCTCCGCCCACACAACGCCACCAACACCCTCCTTATGCGCATTCAGAGCTTTCACTCTCTTCCCAGGATCCGCCAGGCTCCACACAAACACATTCGTGTCCAGTGCACCGCTCACAGCTTTCCTTCCATCCTGGCTCCACGCTATGCAAGTCACGCGAGCAGTATGTGCGGACCAACGGTTCGTTTCTAGCGCCCATGAGCCGGATGAGTTGGAGTAGACGAAGATCTTGCCGTTTGACAGGCCGACAGCCAAGTGAGAGCCGTCGTCCGAGAAAGCGAGGGCTGAAGGAGGATGCGTGATGTCTTTCAGCTCTGTCATGGAGTCGAAGGAGGCGGGTGATCCGGCTTTGAAAAGACGGACTTTCTTGTCATCTGATCCTACAGCTACAGTCTCCCCAGAAGCTGCTATGCAGGTTGGCGGGGATGGAGTCTTCTGCTTGCTGACTTCGGAGCCTTCGGCGTATGTTGCGATGCCATTGTTGGTTATGACCAGCGTATGAGGCTTGCCGCCTAACGTTGCGATAGCGACTCCTTTTGGTTGGCCATCCATCTTCAGTGCATTGCCAGTGAAGGACTTTTGAGCCGCATCGACGGTGCGAAGGGTGTCGTCCCAGCCGACGCTGTACACTCGGCCGTCTTTAGGTGACGTCGCTATTCCCGAGACGTAGTTGGAGTGCTGCTCGCCGTCTATCAGGCTGGCGGCGCCAGAGCTCAGATCCCACGAGCGTGCCCTGCCGTCGGAGCTACCAGTCCACAGCGTCTTGCTCTCCGCCAGACCTCCAGCCGCAGTAATCGCCTTCTGGTGGCCTCTGACCACCTTGACGGGCTTGTCGCTACCTTCTTGAAAGTAGTTGAGGTTGCCTTCGAGATCCACAGATATCACAAGGCCGTCACTTCTGCCACCAGGCCATGTAACGCCCACCTGCTGATCAGGGATGCTCACACTACCCTCCTCACCCATTCGCCAGCTTTGTACACACTTGTCGGCCTCAGCATCCCATATCTTAACTGTCTGGTCTCCGGAGCATGTGACCAGCTTCTTGCTGTCCTTCGCCCAGCTCACCCCAAAGATACTGCCCTTGTGTTGCCCCTCACCGATCTGCTTCTGAGCCTCACCAGTTTTGCCATCGTAAAGCCATATCCGTCGATCACTCCCTACGCTGACTATGCTGTTCCCATCAGGGCTGAACTGTGTGCCGTATATGAACTTGTCGTGCTTCCCTCGTATGCTGGTGTTGTACTTGAACGGCGCACCATGAAAGAAGCCCAAACTCGTATCGTCACTCCCAGTCGCCGCTCGTAGAGGTCGTTGCTGTCGTATGCTCACGCTGTTGATCTGGCTTGAGTGTCCACTGATCTCGCCAACGCTGTTGCCTGAGTCTGCCGTAATGCAGTGGCCGAACCGCTCCTTGCCGTCGCCGACAGCAATGATCCGCTGGCTGTCTCCATCCCATGCTATATCGTTGATCCTGCCGGCTATGATGTGGTATTCGCCCTTGGTGTTTTCTGCTCCCAGCGAGTCCCAGACCCTCACGCTGCCGCTAACATCGCCTGATGCTACGTAGAAGCCGGAAGGAGAGAAGCGAGCAACTGTGGCCTGCGCAGTGTGCTGTGTGTATTGCTTCGAGATCTCGGGCTGGTCAATTGAGCGGACGAAAATCGATTTGTTGCTGGCGTAGGCGATTCGCTCGCCTTTGGAGTCTGAGGAGAGTGGTGTGGGAGAACCTCGAGTTGTCGTCGGCGCTGCCGCGAGGATGAGGTCTTGTTACTGTTAGTATGTTTCTTCTGCGCCCTTGAGAGCACTTTGTATATACTCACCTGATTTTATAGACATGGTCGTTGCGACATGAAAGGATGTTGATTGCGGCTGTTGATTTTGGAACTTTCCTAGTCCTGAAAGCTTACGACACACCACTTCTCAAAGACACCTACATTCACAGCACGCGGCCTTACTGATACGAGTTCATTGGATCTCATGACCTGGCCCGGAGACGCAAGCATGGCTCGCCATCTTGACTGCTGGATCAGACGCTGCATACCTCTTCAAGGATATCTAGACCCAACCTCCGAGGCGTGCCAGTGACCAGTGTGCTCCATTCGTGGAGTGGTCGATGTAACATGTACATGCAGGCAGCAACCTCATATGACTCAATGGACGAAAGGATGAATATATACATGCTCGCATTTGAAGACGCTCGAATGAACAGACCAACAGCTGATAGAAATACGCATATCTATTACCATGGCCGACAACGAACAACAACGACCAATCGAAGACAGACGAACCGTCGACAGTCCAGCCCAGGATGATGAAAACGAAGACGACGATGCACCCATGGTCCACACAACACCATCCGACCATGCAACCTGGGCGCCTAAAGAAGTCGAACGCCTCCGCAGCGAAGGCAAAGAAGCCATGCTCATGAGGGAGATCCCTAGCCAGATCCCACGAGAAGAAGGCGAGTCAGGCGCCGACTATGCGAAGCGATTCTCCGAATACATGAACAATTTGATCCGCCGCGGCGTCTCAATCATGGATGACCAGATCACGCACAACGCAGCGCCGAATCAGTTCACAATCGGGGAGCATGAGTTCGATGTAGGCCCTCATTCAGGCATTACGAAAAGAGAGTATCGAGAGTTTGGCGACTATTTGTTCAGCGAAGGTGCAACCTACGACGGCATACCTGAGCGGTTCCTGAAGTTTGAGGTGCCGAAGGGGACGGAGGTGATCTATTAGTGTTGGGAGGAGAGTGACCAGACTGAGGAGATTTGGACTATTTAGAGTGCAATGTGTCGAGCTTTAAACAATTCGCAGGCTATGCTATGCTATGCTATGCTATGCTGCAGTCAGACCGCTATGATCCCAACACAGAGGGCCAACAAACCAAGCCGGCTCCATCTTCAATCGCTCGGTGACTTCGTGGTCAAGGTCACCATCGACTTCAGTTTCTAAAACTGCACCAATCTGCACGCAAATGAACATTGACATCCAACTCTCACACAACAAGTATTGCCACCGCCTCCAAGATGCCACATAACAAGCCCCCTCTTCCGGTACCCAACCGCGTTCCAAACATGACTATTGATACTCATCGTCCTCTGTGAACGCTCTCGACCACCTCGCCAGCGAGCTGAAATCCTCATACCCCTGAATCCGATGCTTCCTACCACCAAAATGCGCATCCGGCGCTGCCTGCGCATGGGGCCCATTCCCTGCACACGCAAGCCATGTCATCGGCTGCAGGCTGAATCGTCCATCTTCGCCGCGCACGAGCTGCGTCTTCTCTGGCTTGGGCTCGTTGCTCATCTGCAGCGATCTCGCTCGTGCCGGCATTCTGATCGGTGGCGCACCTTGCTCAGTCAAAGCACTTGAGCGACGCTCGCGGTGTTCCAGGACGTCGACGTCGATGGTGTCTTTAGCGACGATGTAGTAGATATGCACCGTCTTCTCCTGGAGATGTCGGCGCGCCCGGCCGATAGCCTGGAGCATCGTGTCCTGATAGGCATTTTGCTGGTCGCGCAATAGCGGGCTGAGAAAGATGACATGGTTCGTGTTCTGTAGATTGATGCCGGCGGCTGTCTCGCTGGAGGCATTGACGACTATCACAGTCTTCTTCTGCTTTTCACTGGCGGTTTCTTTGAAGTCCTTCAACTGGCTCGTAGCCTCTGACGGGTCAAGATAAGTAGCAGAGATGCTCGCGTCCTCCAGAGCAAGCCTGACCTCCCCGAGCTGGTTTTCGAACTGCACGAAAAGGATGGCTTGGTCTCCCAGCTTCCGGATCTCCTTCAGAACGTTGACCGCTGCAGCGAGTTTCGCGCCATACGGCGTGGTGGTAGTCGTCTGTGCGGGCATCTTCGATTTCCAGAAGGCGTGGTCACTTACATCGACTTGACAGCCGGTCGTCGGACACTGGGAGTCGTCTCCAAGGTGGTCGTCGTAACATTCCCGACAAAACACATGGCCGCACTCAATTGCCACAGCCACATCTACGTCTTTCGAAGTGCATTTCGATCGGCTGCATAACTTCTTGTGCGAAATTGAGGTCGCCTGCACCATCTTCACATTGTTGAAGTACCGTAAAGTGCGTTTCGCAATCAGGAGCCTGTCAACCTTCTCTCCGACCTGGCTCGTAAGATCACGCTTCCCGTGAGTGGCTTCTTCAGGCTCGGAATCCCAGGTATCCAGGTCTGCCATCGCTCTGGCGCTCGATGCTTTCAAAGCACACGCTTCCTGTACCAGCGATCTTACGTCTGGATCACCGATGGTGTCCATGTCCACCCTGCCTTCCTTCCATTTGGCAAAAACCTCCGGCTCCTTTGCCTTGGCCGTAGGTACAGCTTTGGTGAGCCACTCGGACAGCTTCTGTACTTCAAGCTGGCCTTGTTGAATGAACGTGTCAAGGTCCGTAGCATTTTCTGATCGGTGATCAAAGAAAGCCGCTCGCTTCGAAAGTGCTGCTTCCGCGGTGCTGGTGTCCTCCACAGCTGTGTCAAAGCGCTGCTCACGCGCTGTTGTCTTATGCCTGCTCCCCTTCCTGATCTGCATGCCCTGGGAATCCGCTTGCATGAACAGCTCGTTGTACAGAGTCTGGTGGCCCAGACTGTTCTGAACGACGAGGAGATGGTCTTTACTGGGTATCCAGTCAAATAGCTCGATGTTCTGGCTCGCGAAGATGTCCAGGAATGACTGACAAACTTCGTATTGACGGGCGTAACCTCCTTCTGACGGGACGTTCATGTTGGCCTCGAACTTCTCAAATTGGGTCATGTCCTTGTAATACTCTCGAGCGTTCTTGGTCTTCATGATGCCCTTTTGCGTTGAGCCAACAGGGAGCGGACATCCCAATACTCGACCAAGCTGCGCAACGTCCCACAGATCTGCTTTAGGAGGAGTGGCAGACAGGCCCCACGCCTTGTCCGCACTCAGGCCGTATATAGCAACTCTCTGCGTCGGGTCGTTTTCCTGGCACTCGTCGACAACAATACGGTTCCAGAAGAACATCTCGAAGAGAGGTGTTGCCATCGTTGTTGTGTCAAGATCGCGAGCTGCTGGCTTGACAGCATTTGATGTCGACTTCTTGTTCACAGCAGAGACGTAGTCTTTGCCGCGGGTGCGGCGCGAAGGAACGATCGACTTGAAAGTATCGCTGTTCATGTCGGCATGGTATCTGGCCTTTGCGTGTTGACGTCGAGCCGCTAGCCCGTGGTTTTCAAGTTCTTGGACGTGCTCCGGCATTCGTGACCTGGCTACCTCTAGCCAATCCCACATAGCACGACCCTGCAGACTCATCGGCTCTGGCAGCGCAGCGGCAGTAGCCAATCGTGCGACGTACGGAATAGAGGTCAGAACGTTGCGGCTGACAATGACATGCTTAGCGCGCTTGATGTTGTCGATCTTGAACTTGTCGAGCTGGCTGGCCGTCGTTATGGTGACAATTTCGTCGCCACCGAAACCACCCTTTTCGCGCGCTTCGCCCTTCCACTGTCCGACCAATGTCTGGGGTACGATGTACAAGGTAGCAGCGGTCGGAATGAGTCCAGCGGCTTCTGGGCGTCTCTGCTGCCGGAGGCGAAGGTCGTCCACAATCTGCGAAGCAGTGCGAGACTTGAACTGCGCATGTACCAGAGCCAGGCAGAGAATGGTCTTACCGTAGCCTGGCGATTCCGCCAAAATCCCACCGCGGAACTCTTGCTTTCTTGAGGCACGCATCTCTAGTCGTACATCTAGCTCAGGCACTGCTACGTCTTCAGTCACTTCGAGCGTGAACAGCTTGCCCTCCTCCTGCTGCAACATCCAAGCAAGGGATCCGCGCTGTTTGGGAGAGAGTGAGACATCCACATCAAGATTGTCGGCGTATGGCCGAATATGGTTCGTCTCTCTGAGCTTGAAAGGCTTCAAGGAGAACGTGCTGCCGCCTAAAAGGCCACGCGTGAGCCGCCACTGCGTCTGCAGATGGACGTCGTTTGCCGCGCCTTGGAGCAGACGGGCTATAGCTCGATGAGCTAGAGCACGCAGGTTGACGAGAAAGTGGACCGTGGCCATTGAGATGTCGTTTGACATGGCATTTGTGACCTGCACAGAGGTAGGGCGTGGTCGGACTTTCATGGACTTTTCGTACCCGTTCGCGGTCCTGGGATCTTCGTATCGTTCGATGGTCACACCGTCAGTGGCAAGCTTCCATCGTGGCGCAGGTCGGGCAGGCGCGCAGCGAGTGCACGAACATGATGCTTCGGGGACCTCGATTGATCGCCAATCATTGAGTTGCAGCTTACTTCTCATGGCTTCACCTATCCAGACGTGTGAGGTCCCAAGCTGGCTTGGCTCCCGCAAGTCTGCCGCAGTAGAGAGACTCAGCATCTCAGAGTATTCCTCGCAGGAAGATGCCGGGCCGGAGACTGAGTCGCCGGTGCCTAACTCAACGCTCGTAGGTAAAGGCTGGGCCAACTCAGCCGCAGCCAGTGTCACCCGCTCGTACGACAGCACTGTCGTCTGCTGAGCCTGTTGTTTCCACGGTGACCACGACGGAGGCAACCATGCTTCCAAGACACGAGTTTCGTCGTCCTCGAACCGCTCCATGGTCGTAGAGAACACGAAGCAATCCGTTTCGTCAGCGCCAACGGGGTCTGGATCCTGGAAGAGGTACATCGGTAGCTCGCCACTCCTTCTTGGCTCACGTTTGTACGAGCATTCCAGCGAGGTGCCACAACGGGGAAGGTAGTGGTATGTGCCATCGACATCACAGCTCAGCCAAGAATTGCCATTCTTTTCCACCCGTATGGACAAGGACTTTGGCTGGGTAGAACGCGCGTGGTCCGGCAGGCGTTCGCGAGCTAAGATGGTGGGAGCTTGCTCACTGCTTGCTTTCACAATAGTACGCAGCTCTGTTGGCTCCGGCTTTCGCCAGGACCACGCAAGATCGAAGAGAGAATCAGAAATCTCGGCCGTGGCTATCGGTTGCTGCAGCATCCTCCTGAGTGGGTCGTTGGCAGCGGTATCGGCAGGAGGTGCGACAAAGAATTGCCATTGCATGCGACCATCGTCTATAACCAGTTCGATCCTGCTGCCGCTGGTTTCCGACGCGAATGGCACACGCCAGCAGGACGTACGTTGTGGCTGTTGACGACCAAAGTCCTCTGTTGCTGCCTTGCCGAGCAAGGCCAAGTACGTCGCGTGCGTCTTCGGGCTGTTGAAGGCGAAGTCTCTGTAGGTTGGAGCCTGCGGCGCTCTGATGCGCAGAGGCAGGCTTAATTCTACCTTCTCATGGAACACTTGTGGTGATGCCCGGAGCTTCGTAAGAAGCTGCTCCTGCCTGTACTCGTGAATAGGGTTGCCACCACATGTGACACAGGTCGTGTGCCCACAGCGGCGGCATCGCTGGATGGCCCTTCTGGCGACACGGGAAGCACCCTCGCAGTAACACCGTCGCGTTGTCTTCTCTGCTTCAGCAAGGATAGACGGCAAGTCCACGGTCCCGATGCCCAACACTTCAGACACTCTATCCCTCGTTCTAGAAGTATTGCTCAGCAGAAGTGATTGCTGTCCCGGTCGGCCAGCAAGAGGAACGTCAGATGGAGCTGACGGCGTGATCAGCTTATGGCCGGCGATCAAAGCCGCAATCATCGCAGAGCCCACGACTGTGGTCGTCATGGCGTTGCCAGCAAGGTCGGCCTTCTCGGCCGGCGTCTCGATGGTGAACGAGATCATGTCCAACGGAATTCCTTGCAGGGACAGCTTTTCTTCGGCTGTGAGTGGCCTCGCAAGATCGGAAACAAACGGCATCCCAGTTGGCGTGATGCAGCCAATTATTCCACGCTGCGCTGTGTCCAACGATATATCAATATTCTGCGATACATCCCAAAGTCGCCGCTTGTAGCGTACATCGACCGGCACCTGACCCTTCTTCAATGGTTGCAGCTTCTGGAGCATGGCAATGTCAGTGTAGTCTTTGACCCGTTCCACTTGGTCCTCCAGATGGTGCCTATCGCCATGCTCCGGTACTCTGGACGAGCCGTTCTCGTGCCAATGTGAATATGGACGCGCATTGCCGATCTTGAACGCTGCCCTCGTTTCCCAATGCCGTGACTTGCATTTCCGCCAGTCGATCTCCCGCTTGAGGTCTTCCTCGAAGTAGCTGTTGTCTCTCGCCGATCGATCTCGATTCGACTGCAGGAATGCCGAGAATGGGCTGCTCGCAGGACGCTTGAGTCCTTCCATTGTAGTGAGGTAGGATTCGGTCAAAGCTTCTGGGTCTACGTTGCGCATGCGGCTGCGGTCGAAAGAAGCGAGGTACCCTCTCTGGCGAGTCTGGGGAATGTAGAAGTCTTTCGTATCGACCTTGACACCGATCGCGAGATACCCAGTGGCTTCGTAGTCCGCAATCATCTCATCCCAAGGCGCTCCAAAGACATTCTCCAGCAGGACGATTGCCGGCCGTGACCGCTTGACAAATGCCAGGACAGCGTTGAAAGTAGAGCCCGACTCTCCGCCTTCATTCTTGCCCTTCTTCAGCTTATTGAGATTTGAAAAGTCAACGCAAGAAGTTCCAGCTATGAGGAAGTCGATGTGCTCAGGGATTGGGACCTCTGCGCCGTAAGCGGTTGTCGCCACCTCAGGGTTCCGAATCAGTTCCGTGATGTCTCTGAAGATGATGGGCGGGCTGAAGTTTTTCTCGATGTAGGCTTGTTTGAACGGCACGATCTCCGCAGAGAAGAGATGTACCATGTTGAGGTCCAGGTCATAGGGCTTCAAGGCTTCTTGCATCATCTTGAACGCCAGAACGGGAGCTTCTGTACCCGAACACATGGTTGCGATGCGAAGGGGGCGGCCCTGGCGGTGCTTGATAGCTTCGGCGAGGCCCAGACCCAGAGCTTTCGAGGTCATGTCCTGGAAGATATGGCCGATCTGGTGGATGGGTGGAAGACTGTAATCCAGGCCTTTCAGCTTGGACCCATCTGTGGTGACGCTTCCTGTCAGGTTGTGCATCTGCGCAGATGTCCCCTTTGCCTGTTTCGAGTTCTTGCCTTTGGAAGATGCTTTGGTATTTGAAGCTTTGGCCTTGCTCGTGGCTTTTGTGGCCGGCTTCTTGGTCATCCTCTTAGCGGCCTTCTCATCTTCCTCAGAGACTGACATTGCTGGAGTATCCGACATGGCCTCGTCAGATACTTCTAAGTCAGAAGCAGCGTCTTCAGAGGAGGGAACGGCAGAGTCCTGAAAGTCAGAGTCGTGCGATACCAGTTGCGTCTTTGCAAGCTTCCGTGGTTTGGCAGACAGCTTTGGTGCAGTACTTGGCAACTCATCCTCAGAGGACTCCTCAAATACGACTTTCGATACATATGACGGCCTGCTGGCGGCGCGTCGTGGCCGTTGTGTCGTACCTCTGGAAGATTCCGGCTGTGTCGCATAGTCCGAAGAATCCGACTCTGTTTTGTCTGGCGTGGAAGAGAACGCCCTGATCTGAGCCCTGTGGTGTGATTGCAGACTACGTGACTGAGAACACTTTGGAACGGGTATCAAAACGTAGTCCAGGACTCTTCGCCGCTTATTCTGTTCATGTTTTGGGGACAAATCTGTCAGAACCTGTCGCTTACGAGGAGGTGCGACCTTCGATATTGGTTTGACTTCGATTTCTTCAGAATCATACTGGATCTCATCATCCGGATCGACAGCCTTTCTTTTGCGGCTTCTGATGGGTGAACGCATGTTCGCGGGTGATCGCAGCTCTTCTGTCTCACCAGCGCCGCGATATGTTGCCAATTGTCTTACACGGCCATGCTTGATACTCCAAGATGGTCGTACAAGGCCAAGAATGTTCAGTCGCTGCGCCGCATGTTGTCCAAAAGTGTCGTTAAGTCGGTTGTGCAGCCAAACGCGTGAACCGAAGAGCGACGCGTTGTCAAATGAGCCACATGGCCAAACCACGCTAGCGACTCATGTGGAAGTGGCGCACAAAGAGCAGGTGAACTCAATTCACAACACCCTCTGAAAAGCTGGTCGGTCTGAGCCATAGACGCTCATGAGTATCCAGGACCATGTTTCTTGACCTGATATGGAGCGTATGCAGGTTTCTACACAGCGTTCCATCGGTGGCGTCAGTCGAAGAGCAAGCGAGCGGCGAAGCTCCAATCAACCGACAGGCTCCTGGTGATAGAAGCGACCTGGCGGCTGCAAGCCATCGATAACCACCATATCGCCCTGTAGTGAGACCATGGTATGGCCACAGGGTAGGGAATGTAGGCGCTGAGGTGAAGGCGATGGATGAGCAGAAGATAGATTCAGCTGTTCATGAAATACTGACTTGGCAGGTGCAGAGGACGAACAGACCATGTGACACCAACAGGTGAGCACGAGACTGCAGGTGGTGCTTGGTGTAAACGAGAGGCTCCAGTAGTGAGGAGATGACAAGGGTGGTGGTGAACGTGAAGACGAGATGAAAGCCGACCTATGGTATGCGGCAGTGAAGTCTCAGCCACGGACTCCACCTCCAGCTGCAATACCGCACTCTAAATCTGGAGGAGAAAGTGGATCAGGAACATGGAAATGGTTTCAACAGTGGGCGAATTGTCATTATTACCATGAGACAGCGTGCAATAAGCCGTACTCCAGCACACCAGAAAGACCAGATGAGCAGAACATCCTAAAATTTGGAACCAATATCATTTCAAGATGGCGGCCTACTACACTTTCGAAGACTACTCCGGCACCTCCACGCCCGTAACCGGCGACAATCCATACCAAGACCTCATAGCAGCCTGCAACGATGATCCCGTAAGTCTCACCCACCAACCCACCTCCCACACATCTCCCAACTAACCACACCCACAGTCCCAAATCCAGTCCCGCTACAACACCCACCGTACCAACCGCAACACCCAACAACGCGCCAAACTCCTTACCCCGGACTTCTCTGGCGTCACAATCGACGAGATCCTAGCGAAACTCGAACACTCCTCTGACTCCTTTGTCGACCCGCGGCACTGCCTCGTCTTTTGGGCACGGCCGCCTACTCACCTCAAAACCCTGATCTCAAATATTCAGCAACGGCTCCGAGATGTTGCGCCAAATCTCTGGATCATGCCGCCGGAGAACCTGCACATGACTGCGATGGAAGTCACGCACTCTCTTGCTGCGCCGGAGATCGAGGGGCTGGTTGAGACGCTTCGGCCGAACATCCAGTCGATCGCAGACTACGCTTTCACCCGTCGAGCGCGGCTGGTGAAACCACTCCTCAGCTTCGACGCTCAAGCCCTGGCGCTTTCTTTCCTCCCCGCAGCAGGCGAAGCTAGTCGCTCGACGGAGGAGGATCAGTATACATACCACCACCTCCGCCGCGACCTCCACAACCTCATAACCACCTCCGGCGTCAAAGTCGCGAGCCGGTACGTCGTACCCTCCGCCCATCTAACCATCGCACGTTTCATCACCAAAAAGGACTTCCAGACGGGGGAAGGGGAGGTTGATCTGGAGAAGGTGGCGAAGCTCGTGGATGTAATTGAGGAGCTCAACGCATGGCTGCGTACCGAGTACTGGCCTGAAGGGCGGCGATTTAAGGATGGTGGGGAGTGGATTGTGGGCGAGGAGAAGGGGCTGGAGTGTCGGAAGGGTACTTTGTGGTATGGCGGTGGGGAGAGGATATATCTGGGCAAAGGGTTTTGATGTGGTTGCGTTTCTCGATGACTGTTTATGACCTAGAGTGCAATGAATAGAAGCACGTGGAGAACCGGATGCTTTTCGAGGGTGGCGTTGAGCTCGTTGGGTCTTCTTACGTTTGCAACCACATGAACGGGACTCGGAGAGCAGATGGGGCCTGCAATGCTTCAAAGTTGATGTATTGCATGGCTGCCGCTCACAGCGACGCAGGTTGTCTATGTTTACACGCTTCGCAACAACAGCACGTTGCTATCGTGCAGCTTGCTCTGCCCGGGGCCTCAGCACTGCTCTCCTCACCACCAGACCCTTTCACTCCAGCAAGCTCGCCTGATTAGTATAAAGCACATCCACCACCGTGTTCAACTTCTCAATCGTCTCCAGCGCCGCATCATACCCCTTATCCTTCTCCGTCTCCTCAAACACCACCAGCACGCCCGCCCCTTGATCCAGCACCCCAATAATCACCCGATCCAGAATCATCTGGCTCAGCTTCCGCTCCACCTGCGCGACGTCCAGCCCGACCATCTGCGCCACGTGGCTGATCTCGACGCGCGAAAAGGGCTCGATGACTTTGATCAGGTTCTGCTCTAGCATGCTGTCGTACAGCCGGCGGAGATGCGAGGCGATGAAGCGGTCGCTGCCGAGTTCGCGGCGGTAGTTGTGCAGGGCTTGTTCGTACTCTTCTAGACTGCGATTGCTGTGCGCGCGTGCGACGGCTTTCATGGCGTCGAGGTTCTTGCCGGCGTATTTGAGGGCGTTCTTCGAGGTCATGAGAGCGTCGACGTCGTCTTTGAGGTTCAGCATGATCTTGCAGAGGAGCATGTACTGTAGTGCGGAAGTGGCTTTGGCGGCTTCGTCTTGGCTGTGGTAGCCTTCCATTGCTTCGATGAAGTAGGAGAAGGCGGTGTTGAAGTCGTTGTCTTCGGCGTGGAGTTGGCCGGATTGCATGTCCAGTCCTGCTTGGAGGAGGGGTGGGCAGTATACGCTGGCCGCGGAGGTACGGGCGGAGGTGAGGGCGGCGCGGCCTTTGGGGACGTTGCCGAGAGCATGATAGACGCGCGATTCGAGGAGTTGGACTTCGACTAGGACGAGCTTGTCGTCGAGGCGTTTGAGCTCTTTTAGCAGGCTGTTGATGAGCGTGAGGGAGTCGTAGTAGGATTGCTTCTGCATGTAGAGGCCAACAAGGCGGACCTCGAGGTTCTGTCGGAGGAAACCCTGGCGTTGTTTGACGGCCCAATCGATGGAGGATTTGACGGTGTCGATCTGGATCTCGAGGGTGTTGGGGATGGCGGCGAAGAGGTCGAGGAGTTGGCGGACTGCATGAGGTCAGCACAGCACATGTATCAATACAATGGAAGGTTTGCATACCCAGCTTGGCCGTCTTCGCTCGTGCGAAGCTGGTGAGGACATCTCTTGTCTGCTGGATGAGGTTCTGAAGGTCCTGAGGTCGCTTGTGATCCCGGTACAACTCTCCTAGTCCCTGCAACGCCTTCTCAAAGTCGCGCACAGCCTTGTCATTCGAGCCAGGTGGTTTTGATAATACGTCCTTGTATATCTGCTCCGCCTTTGCTGGTTGGTCCTTCGCCTGGCTCTTCGCCTCTTCTAATCTCTTCGCGTTGTCCTCTGCTGCCATCTTGTAAATCGACAACACCCGATCGTGGGGTGATGGCGTATCGTATGGTTGTGGAGAGGGGAGGCGGGGAGGTTGTTGTGATGGTATTGTGAAGGTCAATTGTGTCGTTGATCGCTCGTGGAAACGCGCAGGCGAAGCTGCCTCACAATTAAGCTTTCTTGCGGCTCTGCGGGGCGACCCTCGCGCTGCAGGGATCTACTATTAGTGGCGGGGCCGAGATCGACGTCAAGAAAAAGTGCGAGCGATTTGAAGAAAGACAACACAAACATGTCTCTTCCACGACGATGAAGATCAAGGCACTGTCGAGGTCGTCGGCCTCGCACCAAGCTCCCGGAAGCGATGTAGCCCGCCAACCTCGCAACCTCGACCCGTCGCAACACCCGTTCGAAAGGGCGCGGGAATACACTCGAGCATTAAATGCCACCAAGCTGGAGCGCATGTTCGCGCAGCCATTCGTTGGACAGCTGGGAAGAGGGCATGTCGATGGGGTCTACAAATTGGCAAAAGACCCCAAAGCACTAGACCGCTTCGCAAGCGGCAGCGGAGACGGCGTGGTCAAAGTCTGGGACCTGCCCAGTCGAGACGAAGTATGGCAGACGCAAGCCCACGAGAACATGGTCAAAGGCATGTGCTGGACGAACAACCAACAACTCCTCTCCTGCGGCAGCGACAAAACCGTCAAGCTCTTCGACCCCTACAATACCCCCTCCAAATCCGCCCCGACCGCGACCTGGCTCGGCAACAACGCCTTCACATCGATAACCCGCCACCGCACCGACCCCACCTTCGCCGTCTCCTCCTCCTCCATCTCCCTCTACGACCTCACCCGCCCCTCCTCCACCCCAACCCAAACCCTCGCCTGGCCCACCAGCGCCGACACCATCACCGCCCTCTCCCTCAACCAAACCGAAACCTCCATCCTCGCCTCCACCGCCACCGACCGCTCCCTCGTCCTCTACGACCTCCGCACCTCCTCGCCCCTCCACCGCTCCGTCCTCACCCTCGCCAGCAACGCCATCAGCTGGAACCCCATGGAAGCCTTCAACCTCGCCGTCGCCAATGAAGACCACAACATCTACCTCTTCGACACGCGCAACCTCTCGCGCGCGCTCAACGTGCTGAAAGACCACGTCAGCGCGGTAATGGACGTCGAGTTCTCGCCCACGGGCGAGGATCTCGTCTCCGCGAGCTACGACCGCAGCGTGCGGCTGTGGAAACGCAATCAAGGCCATTCGAGAGACATTTACCACACGAAGCGCATGCAGCGCGTCTTCTCCGCCTGCTGGACGCCGGATAACGCCTACATCCTCTCCGGGTCCGACGACGGCAACATTCGACTCTGGCGCAGCAACGCTTCATCCCGTTCCGCGATCAAGAGCGCAGGCGAGAGGCAGAAACTCGAGTACGACGATGCGCTCAAGGAGCGGTATAAGCACATGCCGGAGATCAGACGGATAGGACGGCATCGACATGTGCCGAAGCAGGTGAAGAAGGCGGGGGAAATTAAGAACGAGGAGGTGCGGGCGATCAAGCGGAGGGAGGAGAATGAGCGGAGGCATTCGCGGAAGGGGGAGAGGAGGAGGCGGAGTGAGAGGGAGAAGATGGTGCTTGCTACTGAGAAGTGACGGTCTGTAAAGTGGGGGATATTTGATGGGGTTAGGGGATGCATAGCGAGGTGTCTTGGGGGTTTTGGGCGGGCATTTGCAGGCGTTGAGTGCAGGATGTCCTCGTGATCATGTAGGAAGTCGAGGAAAGATGAGACGAAGAGGTTCTGACTTTGGTAAAGCTTCCAGATCCTATCGTACATGCTTTGGTGAACAGCCATCCAACTCCCCTTGACTCTCGCTCAACATGTTCGCCTCCCCAATGCATGCAGCAAAGAATTTCAGTGGTATCATCTCGCAGCCCCCAATCGAACGACCGTCTCGCGCTTCCAAGCAACCCCTCCCTCCTTGCTTGCCAATGCCCCCTTCACCTCTGGCAACAACCTCCTTCCTCCTCACTGCCCCGTCTTCCCAAAACTTCCCAGCGCCTTCCACAACCACCCATGTACCACCCTCCCGGGATCATACCTTTCCGGCACCGCGCCCGTCCCACTCACCACGGCCAACATCATAATAACCACCACCACTCCAAACGCAAGACTCGTCAACCGCCTCGCCACCGGCCTCCGCTGGCCGAAATCCGCCCAGCTGCGTAGTCCAGCTGAGATGTATTCTTTGAGCGATTCGGCGCCGAGTTTGTAGTACACGAGGCCGAAGAGCGCGATCGAGTAGCCGAAGGCCTGCAGACCCGAGACGGGGTCGCGGAAGATGAGCATGCTGGCGCAGACGAGGAGGATGTCCTTGAGGACGCCGGAGAGGGTCATTACTAGAGAGGAAGTCTTGCCGATCTAACATTAAAGTAAAAGTGTTAGTGGGGTGGGTGAAGGGAGGGGGAGGGGGAGGGGGAGGGGAGGGCTTACCAAGAAGACCACGCTGACGTTCAGCAGGAAGGCGATCACAGCGTTCAAGATCAGGACGGAGAAGCCGACGTTCTGGACTTCGACGAACGTCATCCGCGGTACTTCGACGACGAGCGCGATGACGCCGTTCATCAGCGCGCAGACGGGGGCGAAGTAGTACAGCGACACGAGCGGATCCATCTTAAACTCCGCCCCGCTCAGCAGCCGCTGCACCATCACCAAGCGCATGGCCTCGAAGACGATCCCGCCACACTGATACAAGAACCCGATGAGGACGAATTGGATCTCGCCATAACTCGCCACCACCACCCCGAGCACGATAAAACTCACATTCCCTAGCTTCTTCAGACTAACAGGCTCCACGGCCATCGCCCAGGACGTGAGGAGCGTGACGACAGGCATCGTGGCCTTGAGCATCTGGATGAAGGAGACGGAGAGGTAGAGGTAGGTTAAGTTGCCGCAGATGAGGGAGAGGGAGAACATGAGGCCGATGGGCAGGATGGTGCGGAGGTAGACGCGGCCGGTCATGGGGACGCGTTTGCGGGAGTCCAGGAGGGTGGTGGTGCGGGAGAGGAGTTGGGTCATGAGGGTCGCGAAGCCGAGGTGCCAGGAGGTGAGGAGGATGGCTATACAATCACTAGATTAGCGGGGTGTACCTGTGGTTAGGGAGGGGGGAGGGAGGGGTGGTTACGGTAGTGGAAGCCGGCGGTGGAGAGGATCCATTTGTTGAAGAGGATGGTGGTGGAGGAGAGGGAGATCCATGTTCTGTCCGCTCTATTAGCATTGGCTCGGGTAGAGGTGTGGTGCCGTCGACGTACGCGATGTAGAAGGCAGGGTGTATCGAGCCCTTGGCTGGTTCAGGCTTCTCCGTTATTGCTGAGACAGCTGGGTTGACTGTCGGCAGCATGGGCTCTTGAGGACCGTCCCTGGGCTGCTCGTCCGATATTCTTTCCTTCTCGTTCTCCATCTTGTGCTGATTTTCTTCCTCTCCGACCTGCGGCTGTTGGAGGCTGTGAAGTCGTTGTCGAGGGTCGGGTCGTGGCTGTTGGGCGGCTTGCGCGCGATAAGACCAGTCACTAGGAGGCGGATCCCGTGCGACCAGCGGCAGCTCACAGTCTGAAAGTCAAGGAGAGTCGTTGTGGTCGTCGAAGAAGAAGTCAAAGAACAATCTACGAAAGTGGGTGCCTGAGAAAGACGCAAAGACACGCCTACGCAATCCTCGTTTCGCGACCATCAATCCTCATTGGCCCGCTCGTCCTCTATGCAAGGAACATCACATTTTCTCACACGAGTACAACGTGTTGCAAAGACACGAAAGGCTTCTTCGAGACTCCAACTGTCCTTCTACTACGTCGCGCAACGTCTTGTATACCATAGCGATTTCATGAACGTTAGAAGTCTGTTGCCCGCTGCTGTGGCACTCCCGGAAGGATGTATGTATGTATGCATGTGACCAGGGTCTGCCTCCCCTGTAGATCGTAGGAATGCCCTCCGCCGGAATCGTTGATGGGACGTGTGTTGGACCGGCTGTCCTGGAGAAGCAGCGTTGTCCACGACAGCGGCATCTAGGAATCTATATCATCCACGCCGTCGTCTGTTTGCTTCATCTCGGAGGTTTGAGTTGGGACGGTAGAACAAAAGCTTGAAGTGAGACGTGTGGCTGAAAGAAGACTGGACCCTGGACTCGACCTGCAGCTGCATTGCGTGGGGCGGCAGCGGCGACGACGCGGCGGTCTGGCACTGAAAGATTTCGGGAGGCAAGCAGTGTACGACGACAACACTTCTTCTGTTCATACCACTCCCTCTTATACCTCCTCACTCATTGCGTCTTCGTCTTCCACCACAACCGCAAGCATGGCCCAACACAAGCGCCAGATCAGCAAGGCGAACGGGCAGGAAATGTAAGGCAACCAGAACCAAACGTTGCGTACCACTGTTGACATATCCAACAGCGACGTCGATGTCTTGATCATTGGCGCTGGCCCGACTGGATTGGGCGCCGCGAAACGCATGAATCAGATTGTATGGACATCCTCTAAAATACGGCGAGGAAGCAGGGCAATGGCTGATTGAACGTAGAACGGCCCGTCATGGATGATTGTCGACTCCAACGAGACACCTGGCGGATTGGCCTCAACAGACTGCACACCAGAGGGCTTTGTAAGTCTATACCTTTCATATACATCTCATGTAATGAGTACTAATGTATGAAACAGCTCTACGACGTCGGCGGCCACGTCATCTTCTCTCACTACAAGTACTTCGACGACTGCATCGACGAAGCCCTCCCCAACGACGACGACTGGTACCACCACCAGCGCATCTCCTACGTCCGCTACAAGGGCGAATGGGTACCCTACCCCTTCCAGAACAACATCTCCATGCTGCCGAAGGAAGATCAGATTACATGTTTGGAGGGCATGATCGATGCGACGCTGGAGGCGAGAGTGGCCAACACAAAGCCGAAAGATTTTGACGAGTGGATCCTGAGGACACAGGGAGAGGGGTTGGCGAACTGCTTCATGCGGCCGTACAACTACAAGGTGTGGGCCGTGCCGACGACGAAGGTGAGCAACATCCACAGGATACTGAGGTCGGGACTGATATGGATGAACAGATGCAATGTGCATGGCTCGGCGAGCGAGTTGCAGCACCCAACCTCAAGCTCGTCACTCGCAACACAATCCTGAACAAGACGGCCGGCAACTGGGGTCCCAATGCCACCTTCCGCTTCCCAGCCCACGGCGGCACGGGCAACATCTGGATCCAAGTCGCCAAAACCATCCCCCAAAAGAAGACCCGCTTCGGCGAAAACGGCCGCGTCCAGCTCGTCGACGCCGACGGCCACCGCGTCCTCCTCGGCGACGGCACCACCGTCAACTACAAGAAACTCATCAACACAATGGCCGTCGACTCCCTCGTCGAGCACATGCGCGACCCCGAGCTCGTGAACCTCAGCAAAGGCCTCTTCTACAGCACCACGCACGTCATCGGCGTCGGCGTGCGCGGCTCCCGCCCCGAGCGCATCGGCGACAAATGCTGGCTCTACTTCCCCGAAGACAACTGCCCCTTCTACCGCGCCACCATCTTCTCCAACTACTCGCCCTACAACCAACCCGACACCTCCAAGAAACTCCCCACCCTCCAGCTCGCCGATGGCAGCCAGCCTTCATCCTCCGAAGCCAAAGAAGGTCCCTACTGGAGCATCATGCTCGAAGTCTCCGAGTCCAGCATGAAGCCCGTCGACAACGCCAACATGCTCCGCGACTGCATCGCCGGGCTCATCAACACGGACATGCTCCGCCCGGGCGACGAAATCGTCTCCACCTACCACCGCGCCTTCGACCACGGCTACCCCACCCCTTCCCTCGAGCGCGAAGGCGTGCTCACGCAACTCCTGCCCAAACTCCAAGCGAAAGATATTCTCTCCCGCGGCCGCTTCGGCAGCTGGAGGTACGAAGTCGGGAACCAGGACCACAGTTTCATGCTCGGCGTCGAAGCGGCGGATCATCTGGTCAATGGCGCCGCGGAGCTGACGTTGAATTATCCTGATTTCGTCAACACGCGCGCGAATACGGAGAGGAGGCTGGTGGATGGGGCGCAGATGTTTGTCGGGGCGAAGATGAATGGGTTTGAGGAGGAAGAGCAGGCGAGTGGAGGGGCGAATGGGAGTTTGGCGTTTAGGCCGGAGGCGGTGAAGAACAACCAGGATAGCGAGAAAGTCGCGGGGGTGCCGAGTATGAAGGCTGCGAGGGATGCCGCGCCGGTGTGAGGTGGTGAGGGGAGATCGGGGGGAGAGAGATGGGGTGGGAAGGGAAGGGAAGGATGGAGAGGGGGTAGATGTGGAGGAGAGGCGGGGAAGTGAGATCGGTACTGGTACCCTTATGAAATATAGATGTAGTCAGCAGGCGTAGTTGGGATGAAAGCTAGGGGCATTGACTGCTGGCGTATATGATAGAACGGTAGAGAGTAGACACCGCAGAAACAATGCATCCGGTACATCTCACAAGTACCCGACTGCCTCCAGCTCCCCTTGGCATATGCGTCTGTATCAGCCAAACACTCCCACGAGCCGTGCGTGTGATAAGTCCTTCTTGAGTACATTACCTGCCTCTTCCGGTCCCTCATCGTCGATGCCAACATGTCAAAGGGAAAGGGAAAGCCTCCTGCCGTTTCTGGCCGTCCCACGTATCCAGTGCAGTGCGTTCGCAGACAAGCACCTCGCATTCGTGGATAATTGGAAGGAAAGGGTATTGGCAGGGGTGGATGTCGCCGTTGAGGACGAGGCTGCAGCAGTAAATGGACGGGGAAGACGTGGGTTGTGGAGATTGTACATACATAGCGAGTACGGATGGAGGGGGTGGAGAGTTACTTGTGGATGTACCGGTACCTGCTGGGAACTTGGCTGGCGATTGAACTTCTTCGCCATAATTCGAAAGATCTCATCTCAAACCGTATCGCCATCAGACGAAAGTCAAAACGTGCAGCCTCTCCCGTCGATAAACTCAAGCAGTGCAAGTAGCTTGTCAACAAGCCAGAAAGCCGACACCTCCGAAGCAACCAACCCAGCGCGCACGTGCAATCACATGCTCCGCCAACAGGTTTCCGCCTTGTCCAAAGTACAGGTACACAGTACATGTTCACAAGCCCATCGTCCCGCGGAAGCGCGTTATCTCCCACACATCGCACAGAGTCTGCAGGCAAGGCCGCGAGGCAGATCATTGGCGGCGCGACAGGCGTTGGGACGTTGCTGCCCCACTTCTTTGCGCGATTGACGTCGCTTCCTGCTTCGCGGCCGAGAGCATGTGATTGTCACATGAAAGCGACTTGACGCTGGAAGTTGGAGATAACCGTGCGAGGCTCAACGGATTCTTCTCTTATACCTCTCTCTGCCTGCGATCTTTTGCGGGTTTTCTTCGTTTCTGATTCTCTGTAGCAACTGCACAACACAGCTAGGAATGTAAGTGAGGAAAGCGCTGCTGCGTGACGACGAGGCTGTGTGTTGTTGCCGCGCGATAATACGAGTACTGACTGCCTCTCCAGTTTCTCTCACAAACCAACTTCCTACCAACCCTCCGAAAACACCACCAACAACACCACCCTCCATGCCCCACGCAACCGCCGACATGCCCACCACCAACGGCACCTCCTCCCCCAACAACTCCAAATTCCTCTCCCACCTCACCACCTACCCCGTCGTCTCCGACGGCGTCGAGACCTTCAAATCCAACCCCTACGGCAAGAAATCCCTCGACCTCGCCGACAGCGCCTACCAACGCTTCGCTAAGCCCGTGGAGCCGTACCTCGAGACGCCGTACAGCTACGCGAAGCCGTACGTTGCTAAGGCGGATGAGTTGGCCGACGAGGGGTTGGGGAAGGTGGAGAGTCGGTTCCCGATCGTGAAGGAGGAGACGGGGGCGATTGTGGAGAAGGGAAGGAGTGTGGCCGGGTGGCCGCTCCAACTCGCTGGTGAAGGGAGGGACTATGTCGTCAACACCTGGAACGGTGAGTCTTGCTCTACCCTTCCCTCAACTCATCCAGAACCCATTCTAATCGATGACAACAGACGAGTACAACAAAACCGCCTCCCACAAGTCCCGCTCCCCCGCCACCCTCCCCACCCTCTTGCTCGCCATGATCTCCTTCCAACTCCGCCTCGCCTCCGACTTCTTCCAGCTCGTCGCCGACTTCCTCGGCCCCAAGTACGAGGAGGGCAAGTCGAAAGCCTCCGACTACGCTCAACAAGCCCAAGAGACCGCAGACGAGTACACCAAGTTCGGCAAGGAGAAGGCCAACGACCTCCAGAAGAAAGGCGACGAGTACACCAAACAAGCGCAGGATAAGGCGGGCGAGGTGAAGAAGGAAGGCGAGAAGCAGGCGGATGGGATGAAGAAGGAAGGCGAGAAGAAAGTCGACGGCGCAAAGCAGGAGGCTGGGCAGAAGAAGGAGGAGGTGAAAGGGAAGGCGCAGAAGTAGGGTCCTGTGTCGCAGATCCAGCTGTTGGTGAGGAAGGGCGGGGAGTCGTCTTCTTCCTCCCTGGGGGAGGGCAGGGCGAAGCAGTCGAGGAGGAGACGGTCGAGGGAGGAGGGGGTTATGCGGTTTAACGATGATGCGTAGACGTATTCTATCCTACTTCACAGGACGTTTTGCGGGCAGAGTACGACGGCACAGATGATGCGGCAGGGATGGGTGATAGACGGGTCATTAGCGGCGCGTATGGATAGATGGATGACATGGGGGTTTCTTTGGTGCGAAGCGCTTCAGATACCACTTCGGGTTTGTATCGTTAGATAGAGATGGAATTGTCCTTCTTCAGACTTCTGCTGCTGGTGCTATCTTTCCTCGTCTGTGTTGAGGAGTAGACGCCGCTATCCTGTCCCTTGCTCAGCCCGCCTGTGCTCGCAAAAGAGCCGCTCTCCGCTCGTCCCGTGCATCGTCAAACGCCCAGGCTCCCAGGCAAACCAGCCGTATGTCGAGCCGCCAATGCCGTCTTCCGTCCGCCACTCGGTACCGTTCAGTCGTCGTCGATTTCGATGACAACCGCCTCGCTCTTCTTCTCCCCCCTCTCCTTCCCCTTCCCTCCCTCTCTTACGTCCTTCGCCCTCGGCAACGGAATGTCCCCAGCAAACATCTTCGTCCCATCTTTCAGGACCTGCCCCAGCTCCTCCTTCTGTGAAACCCGTTAGCAAAACATCCCACCCCACGAATCCAAGACGAACTCACCAGAACCGCCCTAAAAACCACCACCTTCCCCCCCTCCTCCCTCGAACAATAATCCACCTCCTCCATCCTCACTCCCGGTAGTGGCCTCTCCGTCCCTCCCCCCACCAACAGCACAAACTCCTCCTCCGCCGTCGCCTGCGCGTAAACATGCCACACCGTCTCCACCGTCGTCTTGCGATTCCCGCGCATCCACACGAACTGTTTTTCCGAGGTGAATTTTTTGGCCGGGTTTTCTGTGGGGTTGAGGACGCCGATCCAGTAGCGGTGGGCGGGGAGGGGGAGGCGGGGGAGGTGGTGCAGGGCGCGGGAGTGGAATTTAAGGGTGTGTTGAAGGTGGGGGGAGAGGTGTTTGGTGGGGTCGATGGGGGGAATGGTTGGGGGTGGGGGGCAGGTTGGGGTGGGGATGCGGGGGGCGCTGGGGGGGCAGGAGGGGTGGTGGTCGGCGGGGTCGAAGTTCGTGGTGGGTTCGGAGGTGAGGTCGATGGTGCGGCTTTTGATGTGTTTGGTGTTTCGGCAGGCTGGTGGCGGGCTGGAGCCTTTGGTCTTCTTGATGGCTTCCGTCTGCTCGGCGTCTTCTTCTTCATCTTCATCTTCGTCCTCGCTGTCAACGTCCTCGGAAGCCTTCTTCCCGAACGTAGAGCTGAAGAGATCCGCCTCTGTATCGTCCTCGGCGTCAGTGCCATGTCCCGCCTCATCGTTCTCCTCGCTGCCGTTCTCATCATCATCAAGCTCCACGACCTCCCTCTCGTCTTCCGCAAGCTCTGCATGCTCTCCACTCGGTGAGGCGGAATAGTCTCGGTCTTCACCTCCGTTCACACCTTCGTCCGCCTCGGCCAGCTCTTCCTCAGCATCGACGAATGCATCTTCTTCGTCCGACTCATAGCCCTCACCTGTTGGCATTCCCGTCATGTTAGGTCCAGAGACCGTGCGTCTGATGAGTGCGCCGCGGGCGGATGTTTCGTGGTAGGGAGCAGGGTCCGCCTCCACATTTGGCAGGAAGCCTAACGTATTGTTAGGGGCGAGATCTTTCGGCAGCATCACACGCTTTGCGTCGACTTCCTCGTCAAAGTGCGAATCTGGCACCTTGCGCTTCAGGCTCGAAGGTGGCGACGTGAAGGAGTTGCCCGCCATGCCGTTGAAGCCTTGCTCGTGGGTCGGTGTGTCGTTGGTGTAGTATCCTTGAGTCGGCATGCCGTTGTTGTAGTAGTCTTGAGACCCCAGGAAATTGCGAGGGTCGACCGTCATGCTGGCTCTGTTGTACTGGTCGCACTCTCGGCAGAGGCCAGAGGTGTTTGTCGGGTCGTAAGGTACCACTCGGCCGCAGGGCTGGCAGACCATGCTCATGTTGCTTGGTTTCGCTCTTCCGAACCCGAAAGAGGTGAAGTTGTTCATCGTGGATGAGCTGCTGTTGTTGTTCGAACGAAGAAGGTTGCGAAAGGAAAAGGATTTTAGAGGGTAGAAGAGCAAAAGTAGTGAAGGTTTCAGGTTGCGCTAGTCGCGGATGAAGTGACTTTGAATAAGTATGTACTGAGATGTGAGCGAGAAGTGAAGGCGTGTGACAGAGCTGGAGCCTGCAGCGATGAGAAGTGATATATCACAAAAGCAACCCTGAAACACTAGCGTCTGTGAGAAGTCACGCAGACGGCAGTGAGGTCGACGAAAATCACATGTTTGCTATGAAGTGAGCTCCGACCTACCTCGATCGTAACATCACATGCACGACACCTCCCGTAGCCTTCCACACTACCTGCACTCTCACTTCCTCACCTTGTCTCCCCAAATCTCTCCAACATTCCACTACTTGCTAACCACTCCGACCACCAACAACAAACACACCCCACTCAAGAACCAACACTCACAATGTCCGAGAAAGCAGAGAAGGCCAAGCCGTGGACCGACACTGAGAAGGTGACCTCACTCCAATCCTGAAGGCGACGAACCCCAACAGCTAACACGCCCACAAGATGGGTCTCGTCTTCCAGATCCTCGAGAAGTTCGGCACGATCCCATGGGACGACATCACGTTGCCCGAGGGTCGTACCAAGAAGGCCTGCGTCGTCATGATCGACAAGGAGAAGCAGAAGGTCAAGAAGGCTCGTGGTGAAGGGTCTGAGGCTGGGGCGACGCCGAAGAAGGTACGTTCTTTTTTAATTTCCTCTTCCTCAATTGTTTGAGGCATGGTCTAAGGCATGGCGCAGCGCAAGGCGGAGGGCGAGGCTACCCCCAAGAAGGCTTCCCCGAAGAAGAAGGCTACCAAGTGGGACCAGAAGGCTGTCTCTGCTGATGACGATGAGGCTGGGTCCGAGGTCAAGGCCACGCCGGAGGTCAAGGCGGAGGAGGAGGGCGATGATGTGGCCTAGATGGCATGTGGTCCGCTACATGAACGCTGGCTGGATGTCAGTTTCTGATGGATGGAAGGCGGAGATGAGGCGAGAAGGTTGATCGGAGGTCAATGCAGAGCCGCATGCTTGGCAGTATCGGACATCGAGGAAGTGTCCATCAGAAGCAGAAGCAATGAATAGCAGCTTGCTACCATCCCACCCCATAGTCGTGTCTCGACCTCTATTTCATGTTTGCGTAGATGCGTGTTGGAGTCCTGCGAGGCCTGCCGTCATTTGCGCAAGGTTTCGGGCACCAGACATCATTTCTTGGATCCTCCTCTAAGGCACTCTTGCGTTGTTCCTCTCTGATCAAGACACCTCGCGATTTCCCTACTGTCTCGCGGCTGGCACCTTCGACCGTTGGCTATTCAAATACATCCCGCGCCTTCACAATGTCTTCCACCGCGAACGGATCTACTTCGAAACGGAAGCAGCCTCCCTCCGAGACATCGGACCGACCATCAAAGCGAAGACCTTCCCAAGGCGCCGACACGATGCGATTACAACCTTATGAAAATGGCATCTCAGCCTCGAAGCATGAGACTCTCAACGGCGACAGCGCAATGGAAGAGGACGAGGGCTCAGAGATCGTGTACGATGGAGCAGCCGCCGCAGACACAGCAGAATGGCAGGCGACGATCGAGAAGGTGGTGCGGAATGTCGTCAGCATCCACTTCTGCCAGACCTGCGCCTTCGACACAGATTCGGCCATTGCGAGCGAGGCGACGGGGTTCGTGGTGGATGCTGAGAAGGGTTACATCTTGACGAACAGACATGTGGTTGGCGCTGGACCGTTCTGGGGTTATTGCATCTTCGACAACCACGAAGAGTGCGATGTTCATCCTGTCTACCGCGATCCTGTGCACGATTTTGGTATCCTCAGATTCGACCCCAAGGCTATCAAGTACATGCCTCTGGCAGCGCTCACACTACGACCGGACCTCGCGAAAGTGGGCGTAGAGATCAGAGTGGTGGGTAATGATGCTGGGGAAAAGCTGAGTATTCTGTCCGGTGTGATCTCGAGACTGGACCGCAACGCACCTGAGTATGGCGAGGGGTACAGCGACTTCAACACCAACTACATACAAGCTGCGGCTGCCGCTTCTGGAGGCTCGTCAGGATCTCCAGTAGTCAACATCGATGGCTTTGCGGTTGCACTACAGGCGGGTGGACGTGCGGACGGGGCTGCAACCGATTACTTCCTACCGCTCGACCGACCTCTGCGAGCGCTGAATCGGATAAGAGAGGGCAAGGAGGTGGAACGAGGCACGATCCAGACACAGTGGGTCATCAAGGCATTTGATGAGTGTCGGCGGCTTGGTCTGACACCTGAGTGGGAGAGCAAAGTGCGGGCAGCGTTTCCGAAAGAGACGGGCATGCTGGTGGCAGAGGTTGTGCTACCGGATGGTCCTGGGCATAAGCACCTCGAAGAAGGTGATGTACTGGTTAGGGTGAATGGCAAGCTCCTCACGAAGTTCGCTGAGCTCGACGATATCCTGGACAGGGGCGTGGGCGGCAAGGTGAAGTTGCTGGTCCAGAGAGGTGGCGAGAATGTCCAAGTCGAGCTGAATGTGGGAGATCTGCACGCCATCACACCAGATCGCTTCGTTTCCGTCGCGGGAGCTGCTTTCCACAACCTCTCCTACCAACAAGCCCGTCTATATGCAGTCTCGCTCAAGGACCCAGGAGTCTACTGCTGTGAAGCGTCTGGATCTTTCCGCTTTGAAGGCTCTGAGTCTGGATGGCTCGTTCAGACAATCGACCACAAGCCGACACCCGACCTCGACACTTTCGTCGAAGTGATGAAGGGCATCCCCGATCGGAGTAGGGTCGTTGTCACCTACAAGAACATTCGCGACATGCATACTGTGGCCACTACCATCATACTTGTGGACCGACACTGGCACAAGCACATTAGGCTGGCTGTCCGTAATGATGTGACCGGCGTCTGGGACTTTACGGATCTTGCAGAGCCACTTCCACCTGTCGCGCCAGTGGCACGGAGAGCCAACTTCATCCAGATGACGAGCACGAAGCATCCCGCTGCGGTGGACATTGTACGCTCGTTCGTGCGGGTTGGCGCTAACATCCCGATCAAGCTCGACGGCTATCCACGAGCTCGCAAGGTTGGTTTTGGTCTGGTCATTGACGCTGAAAAGGGTCTTGTTGTCGTCTCGAGAGCCATCGTGCCATACGACATGTGCGACATCTCCATCACCATCGCCGACTCGATCATTATCGACGGTAAGGTCGTTTTCATGCATCCGCTGCAGAACTACACCATCATCCAGTACGACCCGAGCTTGGTGCAAGCGCCTGTCAAGAGCGCGAAGCTGGCATCGAGACCGATCAAGCAGGGCGAGGACACCATCTTCTTTGGCTTCAACCAGAACTATCGCCCGGTTGTGGCAAAGACAGCGGTCACAGACATTACCACTGTTACAATTCCTACCAGCGCGTCATCTCCACGGTACCGTGCAGTCAACCTCGACGCCATCACAGTCGATACCAGTCTCAGCTCCCAGTGCGGTAGCGGCGTACTCGTTTCCGAAGACGGCACGGTAGAAGCGCTGTGGCTCAGCTATCTCGGCGAGCGGAGCGTACACAGTGGTAAGGACATTGAGTACCACCTCGGCCTCGCCACCCCAGCCCTCCTCCCCATCATCGACGAAGTCAAGAGCGGCGGCAAGCCCGACCTCCGCATCCTCAATCTCGAAATGCAAACCATCCAGATGAGCCAAGCGCGCATCATGGGCGTCTCCGAGAAATGGATCGAGCGCGTGGAGAAGCAGGACCCCGAGCGCCACCAACTCTTCATGATCCGCAAAGTCGACGCCGGCAACGTCGGCGGCCTGGCCGAGAGCGACATCATCCTCACCATCAACGACGAGCTCGTCACGCGGGTGAATGACTTGGATGTAATGTACAACCACGACGTGCTCAACGTCCGCGTCGTGCGCAAGAACCAGGAGATCGAAATGGAAGTCCCCACCGTCCCGACCTCGGAGCTCGAAACCGACCGGGTCGTCGTCTTCTGCGGCGCTGTCCTGCACCGTCCCCACCACGCTGTGCGTCAGCAGATCAGCAAAGTGCACTCCGACATCTACGTCTCGGCCCGCATGCGCGGCTCACCGGTCTACATGTACGGTCTCGCGCCTACAAACTTCATCTTGGCCGTCAACGCGGTCCCGACACCAGATCTCGCGAGTTTCATTCGCGAAACGGCGAAGATCCCGGATAACACGTACTTCCGGCTGAAGGTGATGACGTTTGACAATATCCCCTGGGTGGCGACGATGAAGAAGAACGAGCATTATTTCCCCACGGTGGAGTTTGTCAAGGACGCCGGGGTGCGGGAGGGGTGGAGGCGGGTGACGTATGAGGGCGGGGAGGTGAAGAGGGGGGAGGGGGAGTTGATGCCCGAGGGGGCGGATGCGGAGTTGGAGAATGTGGAGGGGTGAGCGTGTGCTGCATCTGCATCGGCATCTGCGTCTGCAAGGGGGGGTTTTGCATAGGTGTGGAGGATGCGTGATACCCTGGTGTGCATGCCCTTTTTCGGTAGGCTATGTAGATCTAGTGCATACAACATCGAAGTCTGCATCTGCATCGAGCACTGGTCCTCCCTAACTATTCCTCGTGCTTGCAGTATTGTGTTTCACACGCCCCGTCTCTGCCGATTGAACAGCTTCACCTCCTCACTGTTGCCCTCAGGCCCGCGAGGGAACGTGCTCGGACACATCTTCCACATCCTCTCGGCCTCTGCGTCGCCCTCGATGACTTTCATCAGCTTCCCGGTGAGCAGATGGCGGTCCTCATCTGAACCTTCTTCATCGACCTCCGGACGACTGTCTTTCCATATCGACGAGAAGCTCGGCTGGCTCCTGTCGGTCTTGTTGCTGCTATATCTCTCAGGTTCAGCCCACCGTTGCAATCGTAGTCGTATCCTCATAGCTGTGCGCATAGCCTCGCAGGTATTCACTCAAGCTTATCCAAATGCTCCAACCGCGTAAGCACCACCTGCTTACTCGTCTCCTGTATCTCGCCCGCCAAAAACACCTCGTCCAGAATCGCATACACCTAGTCCTCCTCATCAGCCCTCAACCCTCCCCCAACAACCATAGACCCTCCCACTCACCTTGTAAAAATTAAACACCAAATCCAACTCACAAACATTCCCGAAGAACTGATCCAGCACCTCGACGAAAAAATGTATCGCCTCCAAATACGCCAGCTCGTTATCATTCGCGTCCACGCACGCGCAGAAGAACAGCCCCGCGTAGCGCCGGTAGACGACTTTCGAGGACCCCCGGAACTCGACGAAGTTGGATTGGTGTTTTTGGTCGCGGGGCGCGACGAGTCGGTGGACTTCGCCTTTGAGCCGGATTTTCTCGTCGTCGGTGTAGGGATTGTACCATTTTGCTAGGCGGGTTTTGCCTCTGGAGAACAGTGGTTAGTCGCTGGGGGTGAAGGGGAGGAGGTGGGGAAGAGGTACTGGCGGTTTTGGATTAGGATGAAGGAGAGGACCATTGTTGCGGGGTTGGAGGACGTTCGGAGGTGGGTGTTGGTGGGGTTGGCGAGGTGCCGCACCGTTTGTCGGTGGAGGTGGACGTGGTTGTTGAGAGCAGGTGGGAGGTGCGGTCGTTGGTGGTTTGGATATGGCCGGGGTTAGCTCGGAGTTAAGGATGCACTTCAAGCAGACTTCCAGACCTCTCTACTTCTTCTTGAACACTTCCAAGAAGCTGCCACGGCCCTCACGTATAGGAAGCCACTGAGAAAGTTCTACTAACCATAGACGCGTAGGTAGTCGCGCGCAACATTTTCATTTCTGTTGTCCCTCACGCGGTTGACGTTCTCAAACCGCAAACTCCCCTCTCCCTCCTTGACCGCATATCAGATGGTGATCAAGACGGCGACTACGGTGCTTTAAAAATGACCGGTCGGTTTGAGCTGAAGTTCTGGCCAGCGACCACGAACTGTATCAGCTGGTCCAAAGACAATCTGATCGCTGTGGCTGGCAGCGACTCGATAGCGATCCTCACACCCCGGCCCAAGGACGCTGGAATCAACGGCACGCACTGGGACAAGACCATCATCACAGTCAATGCCTTCACGGTAGAAGAGGTGCCACTTTCGGATTTTGCTCTGCTGCTCAGCTTCAAGAACTTCTCAGTCGCAGAGGAGCAATCACACCGCACTGTGCAAGCGCTCGCATGGTCGGATCCTGGGATTGGCAAGTATGGAAGATCTGTACTAGCAGTACTCAGCTCTAATCATATCCTATCGCTGTGGGAGTGCAGCGGTAGGCTTAGCAATGATGCAGACTGGAAGCGATCGGTGATTGTGAACCACGCGTTGCGGAAGCACTACGCATCCTTGCCCAATCGTAAGAATGAAACCGACAAGCAGTACAGTGAGCGACAGCAGGTCTCGCAGCGTGTGCGAGCGTTTACATGGGCCGCGCCACCGGACAAGGGGCAGCCTTCCGACAAGACTGCTTCATTCCTTGCCGTCTCAACAGAAGCAGAGGAGATTGTGGTTCTCAAGGTCACATCACCCTACAACATCCTGAACCCCGACGTGAGAGAATGGCGAGTAGACGTTACTGGCTCTTTCAGCTCCGCAAGTTCTGCTGTGGATCAACTCAGAGCTCACGTATACAACACGGATGGGGTGGACGACAGCACACGCGCGCTGGCGGAAGCTACTCGAATCGCTGATCACATTGCATGGGGCTTGGGCAAGGGTGATGAGCAGTCCGCCACGCAATCTAAACTGGCCTTCATCAGCAACGGTCGATTATATTGTGTCACACCCGGAAAAAGGACCCGTGATGGTGCTACTGATCGGCACCGTCTACTACCAAACCGCTCAGATCTGACTGGTCCGTTGAAATTTCTTCCCCATACAGAATACCTGATCGTCTTTGGCGCAGACACGGTGTTCTGTGTCGACACAGCTGCAGACCCGACGAGTCCGGCAAGCAGCACATCACATCATCTGGACGGCCGATGGGACGGAATTTCGGGCATGGCTCTCTCTGCAGTGGGATCAGATGCACCTCGGATTCATCTAGCATCTATGCTGTCTAGCTCAAGCGCCCCGACTACAGTCCTCCACCTGCCTCTGAACGCCAGCGAGACGTCTTCCAAACCAGCATGGCAGACTGCACTCGTCAAGCTTAAGAAGGCATTTGGGAAGCAACACAAGCTCGGCAACAATGTGCTTGACCGAGTCTGGGGCCTGGCAGCCTCACCAATGGGCGACCTTGTCGTTACGGCGACAGTGCTTTTGCCGTCGAACGCGATCTCTTATCTTGTGCCATCTGAGCACCGGTCGAAAATCAGCATGACCAGAGAACAGCAAGCTGATTCTGTCCTGCCAGCCTGTGGAGAGCAGACTCGACGGCACATCACATCTGCAACGCTGCTGTCCAGCCTCCATGCGTATGTAAAGCAAGCGACCGAGGCGACTGAAAGCGATACTTTGATTAAAGCGATGCTTGAAGTCATCGCTGCTCCAGCTGAGGTGAATGGCACCGCCGCTGACAACGACACGACTAGCCCACGAAGCAGCCCAGCAGAATGCGTCCGATTTCTTCGCTTGCCGCTCACGAACACGCCTGAGGTCAGGGAGGCGAGGTGCAGGTTGCTTGCTGATATAGCCCTGAAGCAGCCGTACAACATCAATCACATAGTCCAGCTGGTTGTCAAGCACCTCGTGGCGGAAGTCCTCAAGATACCTGCTGTGTACGGTCAAGCCGGCGAGCTCAGCAGGAAGATCCACTTCCTATACAACTTGCTGAGCTTCCGACTACGACTCCACTCCAATGAATCGTCAGATGGCGACGATGTCCCGGCTTTCCGGGAAGAGTGCGTCATCTGCAACGAAGCCATCCCTTTCGAGAGTATCAAGTGGGCTCGATGTGATGGTGGTCACCGGTTCGACCGATGTGGTCTGACGTTTCTTGCTATTCACGCACCTGGTATATCGAAGAGCTGCAGCATCTGCGCGACGGCATTTTTCGACGAGTGGTCGTTGCTTGCGATTGCTCAAAAGGCTGACGAAGATGTTGTCGTGACTGAGGTGGAAGGGGAACAGTCGCTGCTTGGGAACCAAGAGGGTACGCAGAACGACGAAGCTCGATCAACACAGCAGAGCAGCGGAACTGAACCAGGAGACCAGAGTTGGGTCGAGGTATCACAGCCGTCCACAGAGCCAGCAGAATCGCTCGCACGCATTTTGTTCGCTGCTTTTGACAAGTGCGTCTACTGTGGCGGCGACTTCTAGGTGACGATACCTCTGGCGACTCTTCTTTCAAGACATCGAAGGATTGAGAAGAGGCAACAGTATCAGAAATTGGAAGTTTATATGACAAGCCAACTCAACCCAAGCCACCCAGCTATGCTGCTGGCACCGAACAGCAGCACGCATATGCCAACCAGGACGCCTGCTCCGACGCGATCCCCAGCATCTCTGAACCCTCCCCTAGGCGGCCAGTCGGCTGATGTGCTGCGCCCCAGGAAGATCCATAGCAGCGCCGCAGCAGTACTGAGCGCAAACACCAGCAGCATCGCCACCAGTATGCGTAGCACCGACCACGAAACGACGAACTCAAGACCTTCCGGATGCTCGCTCGAAATTGGAGTCTCCTTGCTCTCACCTTCTGGTGTTCCGCCCTCAGATCTCTCGAATCGACTGGATGTCGCAGATGCCAGACGATGCGCCCAGTGCACAAATGCGTACCTCGACTGGCCTAGCGCGGGTTTGCGATAGTGTCGCAATATCTGCTCCTCGCTGAACGTATTAGTGAGACCTCGGTGCGCCAGCAGGCGTGGGCTCCGCCATCCATACCCAACATCTGCCGCCTTCGTAGCCGCACCGCTGACAGCGATTCGCCTCAACGACCGAGCACTGAGGAAGCGAAGTGGCCCGCTCAACTCTTTGTAGTACCGTCGCAGCTCCAGGAAGAACTGCGAATCATCAAAGTCCAGAGCTTTGAAGTGCCTTTCCTTCGCACCAACGCTGTGTGATCGAACAGCCGTGAAGTCGTTCGTCGCCGGGATGGTCAAGCTGGTGACGCGGGCCTTGCTGTTCGCGTTCCTTCGCCGGATGCTCACTGTGAGCGTGCTCTCCGTACTCGACGCACATCCCACACCAGCTGACGCAGGACTGTTCTGGCCAAAGTCTTTCCGTTTCGGATGATCCGGAGAGAATGGGTACGGCGTACGCACTATATCTGCCGGTATCGATCGCTTCGGCACAGTCGTATCGATGGGTGGCGGCACTACGTGGACTGACTTCTTCGCAGTCGCTGGCGAAGAGAAGTCGGGCCGACGCGGACTACGTGGATCAAAGGCAGTTGTGAGGATGGACTGGCGTCCTTCGGCGGACAACGGAGCGAAGGACTGCAGACTTCGATCCAATGCTGCTTCGTCTCTCATCAGGGCGTTGAGAGTTATCTCGTGCGCGATAGCGTATGCGCCGAGTGTCGGGTCGACTTTTGGGGTTGGCATCAAGCTATGATGAAGCTCCTGCCGATCGAGGAGCGCGGAGCTTCGCGGCGTGTATCCCGTTACGTTGCGGGATCTGCGCAGCTCAGGAGGACTGCTTGGATGTTCTTGCGGAAGCAGCTCGTCGACCGAGCCATTGAAAGAGCTGCTTGCCGTGTTCATGCGGCGAGGACGGGGCGGGGCCTCCTGCGCTGCCAAACGCTGATAGCCCTGCCGGTCCTGTCCAGCCCTTCCAGGACGACTTTCCGATTGTGGCGCGAACGGTTCGCTTGAGGGAAACGTCTGTCGCCTCTTCTCCGCCGTCTCGTTCCGGTCGATAAGATTGGCGTCTGGGGCTACGACGCCGTGGTCTTCGCTGTGCAGAGAGGGTTCGGAGGAGTCCTCGAAGAAGTCTGTCGTTCGCATGCCGACGTCGGCTTGGGAGTGGAGTGATTCCATCTGCAGGGCTTGGACGGAGCGGATGGGAGACGTGAGGGATTCGGTGATCTGGGGTGAGCGTCTGGGCGACTTGGAGATTCGCACGTTTTCGGTGTCTGCTTGGAGGAAGCCGTCCATTTGGGGAGAGATCCGTTGTCGGTGTGGTGAAGTGGTGGTTTGTGAAGTCAAGGGAAGATATGGACGAGCATGGTCTGAACAATCATAGACTGCTTTCTCTCGACGCACTGTGGTCTATTGCTTTGCATCGAAGCCTTCGCTTGGCCGTGTGAAGGGAGTGATGTGAGCATCAATGCGCGCATCGTGAAGTCGAGCTGCAGCGTCGCCATAACAATCAGGATCGGAATGCAGAAGGAAATGAAAGCAAGCTGTCAGCCGCCATACATACCTCAGCACCTCTAAGCTTGCCATAGAGAAGAAGCATTGCACACAGATGGCACGAGATGTAGTTGGTGGAGTATGTTTAGAAGTTGATCATGATCGTGAAATACATGTATGTGTGTCCAACTAACTCGACCGCGGCGACACACCACCGCACCAACACTGACTATCCGCCTCCCTTTCAACCTGAATCACAAGATCCATGTTCCGCTCCGCAGTATACTCTTCCACCCTCTTCCTCACGTCTTCCAAATCTGCAGTCGGTGCAGCTATGACGTGAATGACTCCTTGTACTCTCTGCTTCCCGCTCGGCGCCCCATGGTCATGGCCGTGATGATGGTGACCATGTGCGTCCCCGCCCTCCTCCTTATCGTCGAGCCAGAAGCGAGGAGCGGCGTAGCCAATAACCCCTCGAAGGTCGCCCAGACCTTGTAAAGTGTTCTTGATGCTGTACTCGAGGCTTTCTGGCACGACGAGGAGGAGCTTCTGCCCGGACGAGACGACTAGTGGTACAGCAGCGGCGAAGATGAGGACCGCGATTATGATGGTCGCGAGTGGGTCCCAGCCGTACCAGGGTTTCCAGAGAGTTAGAGCGGTGCTGATGATGACTGCTAGCGAGCCGCCGGCGTCTGCTGCGACGTGCAGGAAGATGCCGTGCATGTTATCGTTGTGGTCGTGGTGAGCATGGTCGTGCGCGGGTGCGTGTGCATGTGCGTGATCGTGTGAATGATCATGATGATGGTCATGCGCGTGTCCGTGGGAATGGTCATGGCCGTGGCCGTGGCCATGATCGTGATTGTGCTCCTTCTCATGATGCCCGTGAGAATGCGAATGGCCATGATCATGTCCAGCATGTGCGTGCCCAAACGCGAAAAGTCCCACCATATTGACGAGAAGACCAAGCGTGCTGACGACGAGCAGTTCCTGGACATGCCGTAGTTCATGCTTCTCCATGATGCCCTCGATGGCCTCCCACACAAATTCCACGCTTACCAGCATGAGGAAAACGCCGTTGCCGAAGCCCGCAAGAGTGTTCAGCTTGCCCCAGCCATACGGCTTCTCCGGGCTGGTGGGCCATTTCGATGCCACTGCTGCGCCCAAGCCCACAACCAAACCCAAGCAGTCGAAGAACATATGTACAGTATCGCTCAGCAATCCAAGGGAGCCGCTGATGTACCCATATGCGCCTTGTACCAACATGAAACCAAAATTCAGCCTGAGAAACATTAGTCCAGACACAGACGCAGTGCTAGAAGAGACTCACGTCGTGAAGTATGCAATCCTCCTGGAGTCCTTCTCACTCAAAATGCTATAAACAAGCGAGCCCGGCTCGCATCTCGACATTATGTACTTCGTGAGCGTCGAATAGCTCTCCTCCGTGCGTTCGTGATGGTGATGCGTATGAACATGATGCCCGTCCTGTTCGTGGTGATCATGATGATCGTGGTGATTGTGATGATGATGTTTTTTCTCATCAGTGTTGGTATCGTACAGGACGCTGAGAAATGAAAGTGCGCAAATGCCACCATTGCAAATGGTACCAGGCCACAAGGATGGTGAGTACAGGAAAGAGCAGCTGGCGGTCGTGAAGCAGCCCAGGGCTAGACCTGCTTTACTCGGGCTGCGAAGGCTTGAAGGTGTGGATAGAAAGATGGCTGATGCCATTGAAGCAATAGTGAGTACAGCAAGCACCAGCGAAGATGCCGATAGCACCATATGTGCTCCGCTGATCAGCGAAGCGATCCCTGTGAATACTGCCAACACGCCGCCGGCAGCGAGTGTGATGTTGACGTCTCCTACTGATCTCTGTAGCGGCGACGAGGCACTCAGAGACCGGTGGTGCGCCGTCGAACTCGAGCTGGCGTTTTGCGCACCACTTCCGCTTGGCAACGGTGGAGGAAGGATCATGACGGAGACGATCAGCGTGAGATAACCAAGCACAATCCCGGAAAGCGAGTTGCTGATCGTCACACCAGCCTCATCACATATGTATGCGATGACCATCACCACACTTGTGGCGACTTGGGATGACCAGGCAGCGCTGAGGCTTTTGAGAGAAGGCATCATCGGAGTGTTTGTGTTCGCGAGGCCGACAGTAAGTGCGATAAGCAGTACCAATCCAACCCTGGCGCCTCCCAGCTGCATGGAGGCGTAGTATGGAAGAGCAACGCTTGCTATCCGCAGTGCCATGCTTTGGAGGGCCGCATGAGAAAAGAGACTGCTCAGGCTAGCATTCGAGCTCGGTGCCTGTTTCCTCCTGTCCAGCATTCGCTCAGCACAGAGTACCTTTGCCGCGATGCCTACAGCCAACAGTGTGCCAGATGTGAGCATGCCTGTTTCGAAGATGCCGGTGGAAGTAGACGAGACTGCAGCATCGCCTTCCAATGCCAGACCTGCATCCTCATACACCGCCAGTGGAGGGAACTCCTTAGCCGAACGACCAGACATGGATGAGAATGTTGCTGATGCCAGGATGTATGGTAGCGGCACGAGAAGACTGGTCAAGGCTTCTGGCAGCGAGAGCCACGAAGACAGCGTAGTCAGCGCTGTTGCAGATGTGACTCCCGCCGTCCTGTAACTGGCGTTCCCCAGATCTGACTCCCCACGAGGCCTGCTCGCCATGGGAGACCATGATTGTGTATGCTTGTGTGCGTGCGAGTGGTGATTGTGCGCCACTGCAGCCGTGTTGTGCTCGTACGCTGGGTATTCGTCTCCCGGCGACGGCATAGGACTAGTTTCCCGACTCGTCTCCTCGTGCGTGTAGAGGGTGCTGTTCGATGCAGTCTTTCTAGCAGAGTGTCCATTGCTGGTCGCGAAGCCGTTCGATAGTGTCTTTCCTGGTGACAGGTGAACGCCGGAAAGCGATCGGGTATGTCCATGGTGACTTCCTGCCGCTGGTGCGTGAGGAAGAGCATACCCCGAGGCCATCAACGTTCATGTAAGGGGTGTATGTTGGTCGAACGTCGTGTTACGGCGACATTTGGTTGGTTGGGAAGCGCGACGTCAACTGCTGTTATGTCACACGTCGATATTTGTCTCAATCAAGCGAGGTGGAGGAAGAACTTGCACAGTCCACCGAGATATCTTTGCTGAGGTCGAGAACCCCCTAAACAATGATGGCCTAGACGCCAGTGAAACGCGATCTACGGCCCGGACGCCACGATCTGCTGTAGATCTGCACGTGCGACTTCGTCTCGTTCAAGATCACACACAATATGCTTTCCAATAACTCTTCCTCCTTGCGAAGTTGATGGAGGAAGGGCGCAGACATGGCAGTGCTTTGGATGGAGTCGTGGTGGGAGGTGCTGCTAACCACTGCTGTCATCCTCTCGACAGCACTCACATTCGTTCTGGTCACATTGCCTTCTAGATACAGTTCATTCGACCACCTTGAAAAAGCCACCGGAGACGTCAGCAAGGATGCAAACTCGCGCGCGGAGTCCGCTGTCACAGTCCAAGTCGTCGTATTGGGAGACATCGGAAGAAGCCCACGAATGCAATACCACGCCCTCAGCATTGCCAACCACGGCGGCAAAGTCAACCTGATCGGCTTTGTGGAGTCTGAAGTCCATCCTGACGTGCAGGCCAGCCGCTCTATCAAAGTCAAACCGCTCCATCCATTTTCCAAACGATGGCAGACGAACAACAAGGCACTCTTCCTCCTGATCGCGCCGCTCAAAGTGCTCTGGCAGGTCTGGACTTTATACCAGGCTTTGGGCTACCGCACCAGGCCGAGCAAGTGGATGCTGGTGCAGAATCCGCCGTCAATCCCTACGCTTGCGGTCGCGCAACTCATTTGTTTTCTCCGCAACACCAGGCTTATCATCGACTGGCACAATTTCGGATACTCTCTATTGGCACTACGATTGGGACCTCAACATCCGCTGGTGAGAGTGTCGGAATGGTATGAGGGTTTCTTCGCTCAACGGGCTACTGCACACTTCGCTGTCACGGACGCTATGACCAAATTATTGAAGCAGAAATGGGACGTTGATGCATCTCCCTTGCATGACCGGCCAGCAGAGCAGTTCCAGCCGTTGACTACACAGCAACGGACAAGCTTCTTGAGTAAGCTTGCGGAGACAGCCCAATACGCAGACGGGCTTGAGACAGGAAAGTGGAAGTTGCTGGTAAGCTCTACCTCATGGACAGCAGATGAAGACTTCGCTCTGCTCCTTGATGCTCTCGTCGGCTACTCGGCCGCAGTCGCAGAGGACAGCAATCTACCGCGCGCTCTGGTGATCATCACTGGGAAAGGCCCTCTCAAGGAGTACTACCTAAAACGTATCCGAGAGCTCAATCAAGAAAACAAGTTGTCCAGTGTCGTCGTCACGACTGCCTGGCTCAGCACCGAAGACTACGCCTCCCTGCTCGGCTCAGCAGATGTGGGCATAAGCCTCCACACTTCTTCGTCTGGCGTGGACTTGCCTATGAAGGTTGTTGATATGCTTGGCACAGGCCTACCGGTACTAGGCTGGAGCAAGTTTGAGGCCTGGCCGGAGCTCATCCATGAAGGAGACAATGGCTGCGGCTTCGAGAGCGCAGAGGGTATGACAATCCTTCTGAAGGATTTGTTCGGCGATGGTGGACAGCGACTACAGCGTTTAAGACAAGGTGCTCTGAAGGACTGCGAAAGACGTTGGGACGACGAGTGGATGCCCGTGGCTGGACAGCTCCTACAGCTTAAACCTTGAGATCGAGGCTCACAGTCCACTGGCATACCACGTGGTCTTTCCTGCGACAGTCTTGGTCATGTGAGGAATATCTCACATGTCTCATGACGTGAGGTGGCCGCGTGACATTGGTTTCACTGAGATGTCACCAAAGCGGCCAACTGGCTCCAGCCTCGACATCACTACATATTGAAGGCACCTCCCACCTAGGCTGTCGACTACAACCGGCTATACCACTCCGAGCCATGCTACTTGGGTTCTCACCCATCACTATGTGCCTTAGCACCCCAAACGATGAAATCGAGACTGGAGCAATACGAACCGCGACAATGGCCGAAAGCGCAATAGAAGACTCACCGGCGACAACACCAACCGACGAGCTCCCGGAGGCTCAAGTCTTCATCGGAGTAGGCAGTCTCCCGCTACAACGCTTTGCACGACCAGCCGGACCACGAAGCCCGGAAGCAAAAGGAAACACCATCGAAACGCTCTACGCAGAAGTGGACGAGTGGATGTCTCGTTTCGGATACAAGCCCGGAGGCGACCTTCACATTGAAGATACTAAGCTAGACTACTGGCACAGCCGTGAATGGTGGGAGCGGAAGCGGCGCTTCAGTTCTCACTGACTGGAACATCCGACTTCGACTTCGATTGTACCTCTGGCCCAGTCTCCCGTGTGAGATAACTCATGATGCTCCATAAGCCGCGGAACAATTCCAGCCTGTCGTCCTTCGAGAAGAGGTCGTACCATTTCGATCGCTGGAGGTTGGGTCTGCACCATCCGGGATCTTCAGGAAGCGGGCAGGGAAGGGTGGGTGCATCGAGGTAGTCGAGGTATGCGGAGTGGACGGTCAACTTGACGATGGAGATGTGGTGGTTGATGGAGGAGACGAGGAAGAGCTGGGTTCCAATCAGCATTTCTTCATGAACTGACGCGGGTGGGATATAAGATACTCACCTCATCGCACAACGAGCCAGGCTCCTTGCCAATAGCCTTGTACTCAGTCTTCGCGTCCCAAAACCCCTTTCCACACTTCAATTCCTTCCACAACATCGCTGGCGTCTTCCGCATGCGCCCCGTGTTGACCCCAGCGCCTGCTCTGTCTTTGAACGAGCCAAGGAGGTCCTCCGCGGCTTGTAGGACGTCAGTGTTCCCAACCTCAATCTGAGCTTCGCCGCCCAGTCCGCCTCCCCAGCGAGGTTTGGTCGTCCACCATTGGCCCTCGCCGGGCTTGACTTCGGTCTTGCCTTCTCGATAGCGTTCTTGTGCGAGCTGGAGCAGTGCGCCGATCTCACGTAGTAGGTCCAGTCGGCTAGTTAGACGCTGTTCTTCTTCGCTGGTCTTGACGAAATCGGTCTCTGGACGGGTCTGGATACTAATGATTGGACCTTCTGTGAACCCTCTTCTTGCTCTGGTCCTGTCCTGAGGTATGCGGTGCACTACAGCAGTCTGCCGGATTGGAAGAATGAGCTTATTGAAGTGGACGCGCGGCATGACCCGAGGAGCTAAGACTGTCATCTGGAAGGGCCAGACAACACCTTCGACGAATGCTTTGACGGTGTCTGCGCGGAAGTTGTCGGGCATGTCGTTGCCGGTCGCAGTGCGGCGGCCTTTGTATCTTTTTCGGGGACGGGCGTCGGGGATGGGCTTGGTGGAGACGCTTTGGAGGAAGTTGTCTATTACCACTCCGAGTTCGCGCTTTGTCGCGGTCTCAGGGGCTTTCACTTGATCTTCGTTCCCAGCGGCATCATTTGCACCTTCATCATCAGCCTTGCCCTTCTGTGGGGTTATTACCGCAGGAGGGCTTGTCCCGGGCGTGGCGGCCATGCTGTCAGGGGTAGGAGGATGGCTGTCCACTTTCTGACGTTTCGGACTCTTCTGCTCGTCATCTTCGTAGTTTGCCGTGTAATAGTTGTCCAGACTGCAGTCCCAGTATCTAGACATATTTTCCAGTCCTTCCCAGAACTTCCGCATGTATGCTAGGCGAGGAGGAGGCCTACCAAGTCCGGTCACCGTCCGGTTTATAATGCGGAAAGCGAGATCGTTGTCGAGCTCCAGCTCACGGATTCTGTCCTTGTAATCCGATGGCTTGGGCGAGGTACCTGTGTTCGACTTCACCGCATCTGAGTACGACCCATTTGTTGTCGGTGGATCCGGCTCTACAGAGGGTGCGTACGAGGTGCCATCTGCTTTCGAAGGAACCAGATCTTCGATAGGGCAAGGTGGATGGGTGCTGATGTTGAGCGCCTCGACGTGGGCATCAGAGAGGTGCATCGGCCTGACTACCCTGGAGAAAATAGTGTCGATGGCTGGTGGCGGCGCTGTGTCGGTCCATTGGGGAGGGTGGCGCTGCTCATACTCATGATGACGGGGGAAGCTGAGCTTCGTAGGCTCAGATGGTGGATTTCTCTCCTGGTCCGGGTCGATACCATCGAGGCCAGTGTCTATGTGAATGTTGTCAGTCCCGCACGCATCTGTTCTTCAAGCAAGTCATCTTGCCTGCCGAGTGGCGCCTCTTCTTCTTTTGGTTTGCCTCGTCAGCTGAGTTGGCGAGCCATGCCAGTCTGCCCATGTTGTGTGAGCATTCGGCGGGAGTAGGAGATCATGCAAAATTGGTAGGGATGACTTGAGATGAGGTGGGTTTAAGGTTGGATGAGTTTTGATGGTACGCAAGGGGAATGGGAACGAGGAAGGCGCGAAGGTGCCCATATCGTCTTCCACGACTACAGTCACTTCGTGCTCGATCTCTCGTCACACAGCAAATTGATGTATATTCGCACATACCTCGAAGAACACCTGAGAACATCGTGCCACTCGTGCTTTCAGCTTCGCATGGCTCTTCGTGTTTCCTGTGATGGCGGCGCAACCTCACTGCTCCTCACGCCGGACCTGTGACCATCCCCCGGTACTAAGATGGCATTGAAGGCTTGGAAGATCAGTGCGAAGACCTCTACAAAGATAAAATTAAGGTATGGCGAGCGGAGAGGGAGGAAAGGCTCGCATCCTTCCGCGCGCCTCCAAGCACACACCAGAACGAACTCTGTCTCCGACGAGCTCCACCCGTTCGCAGCAGGTTCGTCAACCTTGTCATCAAAACGTAATAAGCTTTTGCTGAACTTCAAGTACGAAGATCTCCAAGACGTAGGCGGGCCTTTTTCCATTGTGTTCAATCAGAGGTATCTTTGACAAGCTATTCACATCCCCACTGACATTATGCCCGTCACCTACGGCACCATCGGCTCAGGCTGGATCACAGACTCATGGATCAGCGCCGCAAGCAAGAGCAAGAAGTGGGAGCTGGTCGCCGTCTACTCGCGAGACCAGGAAAAGGGCAATGAGTTCGGGAACAAACACGGCTGCTCTACGGTGTTCAGCTCTCTCGATCAATTCGCTGCCAACAAAAACATGCAAGCAGTCTACATCGCCTCGCCCAACTCCCTCCACTACGAGCAAGCGAAACAGATGCTGTTAGCACACAAGCATGTGATCCTCGAGAAACCTGCAACCTCCACAACCGCAGAGCTCAATGACCTCTTCAAGATAGCCAAGCAGAACCGCGTGCTCATGATTGAGGCGTATCGACACATCCAAGAGGCGAACTTCAAGCTGCTGGAGAAGGTAGTGAATCAGGAGAAGAGATTAGGACCGATCTATGGAGCGAGCTTTCAATACGCCTCGTACAGCTCCCGGTACAATAATGTCTTGAACGGCGAGACACCGAACATCTTCTCGCTTGACTTTGGCGGTGGCAGTCTTGTGGACATTGGTGTCTATCCTGTGACTTTTGCGGTAGCACTGTTTGGGGCGCCGAAGAGCCAGACATACGTACCTTATATCTGCAGGACAGGGGTGGACGGTGGTGGTGTGATTGTTCTGCAGTACGACAACTTTGGCGTCCAGATCAATCACGCAAAAGCATACACCAGCTCCGCGCCATGCGAAGTCTACGGCGAGCATGGCACATTGACCATGAACGCCACGACAGACATCTCGACGATCAAGCACTTAAATTCGCAGACCAAGGAGACGGAGGAGCTCGCTGGTTCGTACAAAACAGCCGAAAAACCTTTCGTGAATATGGAAGAGGAGGCCACCGAGTTTGCACGAATCGTTGAGGAAGATGACATTGCTGCAGCAGGGAAGCTGGAAGAGGTCTCGAAGATTGTCCTCAATATTACGCAGGATCTGAGGAGGCAGAATGGGATCCTGTATCCGGCAGACAAGGATGAGAAGGAGTCGACGGGTGAGACGATTGCGCGGGTGATACAGCCAGTATGAGGGAGTGGGATGTCGAGGGTTACAGACAAAGCCAATAATGTACTCATTGAAAGGAAGACTTGAAACTGTTTCGGACTGACCTTGGGATTAGGCCCAATTTGGACAGAGTCGTTCCCTGTCTGTATGTGCTGTCTTACGAGTTCGACAGAGAATGGCCAACTTCCAGTCGTAGGCTAGAAGGATTCTCGATGTCGACTTCCTCCCCGATCGAGGGGCTGTTCGGGGTTGTTGGCAGTTCATATAAACATGTAGATCTCTTGCTGACTTGGTCGAGTGTACGTCACAAAGTCGCATTGTTGATACTGTAAACATTCTCCTGAATCGATATCTGAAGTCGCTTTGAACGTATGTTTCTGTAATTTGATTCTGTAATTTGATACGAGCTCCCCAAGACCAATGTTATTGCCAATAGGTTGGACAACTGGCCAGATCTTTATTGTCAGATCTCGACCGGCTGCTGCGGCTTGTCGAGAACCGTTGCTCGGCGGGAAGCACGTGCTCTTCGTGGTTCTAGCGCGAAAAGCTCAGACCAGGTCCCTGGCGCGCCTTCCCTCACATCTCCAAAATACTGGCCGCGCTGTCATCGCTTCCCACCCTTCAACCTCACCTCATTCTTCGTCCCTCACATACTGTGCAGACGCGCTGTACATATCAACATCGCCGCAACACCGACACATTGCTGACACCCGCGCCCTCGGCATACTCGGACCCGGAGCGGATGACGCGAACCTTGTTTTGATGTCGCATTCCACCAACTTCACCTCGACCTAATCGTCCCACACACACTGCCGCATCCTTATCGCCCACATCCTCGCATCCGCCCCGCGACGCACGTACACGAATGCGCCATACTCCTCGATAGCGACGTCCCGTACCGGTTACTCGACGCCAGTTGCGACGCTCACACCGCGCCCACCACCCACACCGACTCAACCTGCTGCCTGACCCGCTTTGCCACTCACTCACTTCTCACATATCAACAAACACCCAGTGGCCGAGGCAACGACCGCGCGCAAACACTGCCGCTCTCATCATCCACATCGATGAGCGCGCAATGATGGAATTCGAGTATTCGCCGCGCCACTCCCCTGGCAACGCAGCGCATCTTCTTTCACCAACCCACGCGCATGGCCGCTCCATAGACGGGTACGCCTCGATACAGCAGATCCGGCGCTCACTCTCGCGATCACCTTCCAAGCCGGCGCGCTACTCGATGCAAATTCCGAAGACCTCAAGTACCTCACCTACCGCGCCATCTTCTCCTTCCGCGCTCTCCCGCGCCTGCAGCGCCGACGCTGCGACTGAGGCACCGATAAAGCCTAGAGTATCGGCGAAACGCACAGGACCGCTTCGCACTACATCACGCAAGACCTCACCAAACAGCCCACTGCGACGCGCGCTCAGCGACAACACGAACCAAGCGAATGTTAGCCCGCGCATTGTTCGGCGACCACAGGCAGCGCAAGACCAGGAGAACATGGACTGTGACACAAACGCGCCTACGACTGATGCGGACATGCGCAAGGAGGGGACCAAGAAGACAGACTTCTTGAAGCCAGACAAGCTGTTCCAGTCGGTCAAGAACGAGTCTGTCTCGCCTATGAAGTCGAGCCCGCTGAAGAGGAGCGATGGGGTGATGAATCTTGATGCGGCAAGCTTCGGCAGCCCGCGAATCAAGCGCAGGAGCATTCATGGCAGCACTTTCGGCCAGGACTTCAACATCTTCGACTACGGCCCAGATGGAGCTAACAGTGACTCGGCCGACTCATCAGAAGAGAAGGACGGTCAGCATGCGCCGCCAACAACATCGACACCTGCGCCAAACTCTCCACAGCGCCGTCCATTCAGCCTACGCAAGTCGACCCTACAGCAGCGCGCTGGACCTGGCCGCTCAAGGCTGTTTGCAGACATTCCTCGAGATTCTGCAGCCAATCCTGCGCTGACCCGTGCTCGCTCTCGGATGTCGCTAGATGGCGCCTTGCCCCTTCGATCGTCCGAAGTCGAATCTCCATTCCGGCGAAGCACGCCCAGCGAACCACCAGTGCTTTTCCAGCAGCCGGCGCAGAAGCTGTACCAGTCGGCGCCAAAGCCACATCCTCTGTCGCATGCGCTGACGCCCTCTTCATCGAATTCCAGCGTGGCCAGCGACCACCAAAAGGCGGCTCCAAGCACAGCATCTGTCTTTCCAAAGCCAGCAATGCCTAAGCCTCAACCCAGCTTCTCGAAATCACTACCGATTGGGGCCATGCGTCCCGCAGAGCGCACCAGTGGGCAGTCAAGCCAGTCGTCACAAGAGTCGCACGCAACGCCGGATGCTTTTAAGATGGCCCGGCCGTTTCCTAAAGCTTTCATGTCGACTGGCCTGATCTCGAAGAAGCACCGTAACATGGACGGCCCTTCGAACTCGGCATTCGGATCCAGCATCATGCCTGATACCCCGTCGAAGAAGGCGCATGTCCTCATCCCTTCTTCGCCGGCGCCACCGTCTGCGCTCGGCAAGGTTCAGCGCGCCTCGCATGAGTTCGGAAGTCCAAGCACGCCTTTCAGTGGTAGGACCACGAAGTTCTCGCCAGAGTCTTTCGGCAAGGGTGTAAACATCTTCGGTTCGAGAGTGGGAGCACCACAGCTTACACGCCGAGGAAGCTTCATCAGCCTGGAATACGAGGACCTCAATGTGTCGCCAACACAGAACACCGATTCTCAACCAAGCCCAGACGACCTGCCACCGACACCAACGAAGTCAACTTCCACCACTGTAAGACCACAATCGAAGGGCAAGAGCAACAGTCTTCGGAGCAGCCTGTTCGGAAGGAGATCGTCACTTGGGCCGGACACGTTCGCGGCACCAGAGAACGCGGAGGAGCACAGCACTGACACATTCAGTAAGTTGCCGTTATCATTGCAATCACCCTTTGCGACGCCGGAGAAAGCCCAGGACGAGTCGATGGATGATGCGGCGATGCCATTCATCACCTTGACCGCCTGTGCGACTCCGACGCCGACGCACAACCGGACGCGCTCCTTGGAGCACCGTCCGGTTGCCACTTCGCCCTCGCCACTCGCGCGGAGGTCGAGAGGTTCTGCGCCAGTCCTTCAAACGCCTAGGAATCTTCATGCTAAGCCTCCACTCTTTGCAGCTCCGAGCCCGACCGCACCGAAGGACAAGCGGTCACCTCATACTCCGAGCGACTCCTACGCACCTCCCGACCCAAGCAACCTGTCGATTTCTGTCGACCATCGCCAGAACAACGCTTTCGGAAGCAGTGGCATCAGCTTCCCACCCGCGACACCAACTGGGCCAAGAGAGCATGCCTTCAACAGCAGTCTTGGTCAAGGCAACCAGTCTTCCGGATACTTCGCCAACGATGTTGACACCTCACTAACCGCACGCTTCGGCTCGGTCACCACTCTCGGCATTGGAGAGTTCTCCCAGGTATACCGCGTGGAGAAGACCCCGGCCTCTGGACTCAACGCATCACGCTCAAGTCTAACTCCTGCAGGCAAGGTGTGGGCCGTGAAGAAGTCCCGGAAGCCGTACATTGGCAACAAGGATCGCCAGCGTAAGATGCATGAGGTCCAGATCCTCAAGATGCTTGGCGGTCACGAGCACCTGATCCAGTTTGTCGACCATTGGGAGGCTAAGCACCATCTCTACATTCAGACAGAGTTCTGCGAGAACGGCAACCTTAAGGACTTCCTCTTGCAGACTGGCTTCAAGGGCCGGCTCGACGACTTCCGGATCTGGAAGATATTGCTGGAGCTGTCTCAGGGTGTCAAGTCGATCCACGATGCCAGCATCATCCACCTTGATTTAAAGCCGGCAAACGTGTTCATCGACTGGGAAGGCGGGCTGAAGATTGGTGATTTCGGGATGGCGAGCACATGGCCGGCACCTCCAGGCTTGGATGGTGAAGGCGACCGCGAGTACATTGGTCCTGAGGTTCTCTCCGGACGCTTCGACAAGCCAGCAGACATCTTCGCGCTTGGTATGATCATGCTGGAGATAGCTGGCAACATCGTCCTTCCGGACAACGGAATGCCATGGCAGCGTCTTCGTGCTGGCGATATGAGCGACCTACCCAGCCTCACCTGGAGCTCGGAGAGCAGTCTCGTGCGCGACGAATCTGGCGATCCAGTGGAGATGATGGCCGGGACTTCCAACGACTCACTCTGTGTCTCGCATAACGGCGACGACGACCTCAGCTTCCTCAAGCCCGCTGTGCCAAAGCTCGACCGTATCGGCTACCTCGCCACTCCACCGCGCTTCATGATCGACTCCAATGACTCGGATGCGCTGGAGCGGCTGGTGCAGTACATGATCTTCCCGGACCCAGACCAGCGTCCCACAGTCGATCAGCTACTGGCGGCGGGTGGAGTGCAGTGGGTTGAGCATCGGCGTCGAGCGGGAGCGACCGTGTTTGAAGGCAGCTGGGGCCCAGCAGACCATGTCCTGGATCATCAGCAGGATGTTGAGATGCTGGACATTTGAGGAATTGTTCGCCACAGCATCAGTCGTGAGCACGATATGCCGTCTGGATTTGTTTTGCGCAACGCCAGTGCATCCGATTCCTGGCACACCGCGCGCGACTTTGAAATTTACAAAATTAACGACTATAACGAATGCATTGCTTTTGGGTGTGGGTGTGGTGTGTTTAAGCGTTTTCTTGGGAACCCCGGCACCAGCACCAGCGAAACGGCGGATACAGCAGCGAGAGCATGGGGAGTTTGCGGGGTTTTGCAGTTTTGTCTTTTTGCTTGCATTGCAGGATGCATGTACATGGGAGGAGTATGGCTACGGCAGGGAGGACAATGGAATCATCTCGGTCTCGGGTTTCGCATGCATCACAGCTCACGAGATCATGGAAAGGGAAGGAAGAAGAAGAAGAATTCATGGAATTTTGGCTTTCTAGCGCACCGTCGCCGCCGAGCGAGAGACACGCGGCTGCTTTGCCGGCCGTTTGTGGGTACAGTGCTTTGTACGGCAGTCGGCAGGCTTGGAGGAAGGCAGGATGTGGAGAGACGAGGTGTGGTTGTGGAGATACCCTAGAGCAGTATTCATCATGAAGAAGAAGAGGAGACATTTACTACACCCTTCGTATCTGTGTGCATATGCATGTGCCTGTGAGAGTGCCGACGTGTTCAACGCTTGCATGTGCAACGCTCGCAGCACATGCACGCAAGATGTGTGGTGTGTCCAATGAGCCACAATGCTGAGATTGAGATGCAGCTAGCCGGGAGGATGGTGGTGAGGTACCTTTGGCCCGGATCGTTGACAACGGCTTTGGGCTGGTGCGGGAACCCCGCTGCTGCTCTCATCACGGCTCGCGGCTCTGGGGGAAGTGTTGACGTTATTGTATTGTTGTATGGTGGTGGAGGTGGGAGAAGGGCGGTGAGAAGATTGTCTCGTGTAGTATATTTCATTCGCACGGTAATGCTGTTCATTCAATCAAATCACCATCATCCAGCCAGTGTCTCCTCGGACAGTGAATGAAATCGTGCCACGTGACAGCACTGGAGTCGTCAGCCTCCCGTGTTCCTGGCAAGCCACTCGGTCACCTCAGTCTGACGCTGTCTCTGGGCTCAAGCTTTCTTCCTACTCGCCGATCTGTTGGCTTCTGTGGCATCTACCGCGACACCTTTCTTTTTCCTGCCACGCTGACCCTCTGTCTCACTGCCTCCTGCTCCCCACCTACCCTCCACATTCTTCTCCGAGACCGCTGAAGAGAACCACAGCATCGGGCGAGTTTCGGGGGATTTCGTGTGGTTGGAATGCTGGAGGCGTTGAATCGTTGAAGCGCAAGGAAGGACAGGCAAGGCAGGCGTTCACGGAAACTTGCAGGGCTCGTGAGACCGGACACGCAAACACGACAACACAACACACCCACCTTACACGTTTTGGAGGCTGCGAATGGACGGCCGGTGTGCCTTGGGATTTACTACGACTGCGATGAGAAGACTTGGACGGGATGGCGAACAATAACCCGGACGCCGAAGCTCAGGGCAACGGCCAGGCTGAGTCGACGCCTGGGAATTCTGCTGCGAAGCAGAGTGTGAATACTGCTCCTCCTCCGCCGTTGCAGAAGCAGGCGTCGAATACGCTTGTGCCGACGACGACTTCGTCGGCGGGTGCAAGTCCGCGGACCTCACGTAATACGTCGCCGGTGAGGAAGGACAGTCGACAACAACCACTGTCTAATACACCTTCGACGCAACCTTCTGCGGCTGCCATTCAAAGAGCGCTGTCTGCGGCAAGCGTGCCACAATTACCAGCAGGAGGAGTGTCGGATGCGATGTCGAAACTGCCCAAACCACCACAGAAAAACGGAGGCGCATCTGGAGACACAACGCCTCGATGGCCTACTTCACCACGACTGAAGTCTCCTCCACCTTCTGCGACAAACTCGAGGAGGAATTCAAGTACCGCACAGAAGAAGACGGAAACTACGGCAGCGCCGAGTATAAATGTCCAGAGTGCGACACCCAACAGCCCTACACCTCCTCCCTCCACGAAGCAAGGAGTCGATGAGACAGCAAAGGCACAACAGCAACTTCAAACACCAGTAAAGGGGCCTTCACGTGGCGCGAGTGGGAAGTCGACGCTGGAGACTGTGCAGGAGAATAGTGCGGATGATGTGAAGGAGCCGAGTCCGGCGGCTGTAAGGGCGGCTGCTGATTTGAAGCCGCTTACGAGACTTGACCAGGAGGAGAAGGCTGAAGCTGCTAATGGCGAGACGGAGACTACCTCGTTGCATGCTGAGAGTGGTAGTGAGAGTGCAGGTGCGAAGACAGAGAAGAAGAAGGATCAGGAGAGCATTGCGCAAAGGCCGAAGAACGGCACGACGAAGAGCTACGCATCCCTAGCTTCGTCCAAATCACGGCAGCCGGAGGGCAAGCAGAACATGACTGTCGAGACGGAGACTGTGCCTTCGATACCGCAATCCGCTATTGCGGCCGGAGATCGATCTGGTGGTACACGCAACGAGAACAGCGGCAGTGTCAGGCTGAAACCGAGCAATGAAACGATTCGACCGAAGAAGGAGCGCAAGAAGCCGACGCAGAAAGCAAGGAGTATCAATCAGGGTACTGGTAAGTATTTCTATCTTACTTCTCCCACACCTAAGCGGCAGGCAAAGAAGGACGGCAGCAGTTGTGAGGACTCTTCGTCTTCAACAGCGCGAGAAGACGACTCGACTACCGCGCCGAACAGCCCAGCAGCCAGGTCGTACTCACACCACCTTAGACACACCTTTACCCATCGCACCTCAACTTCGTACTCAGTCTTCAGAACATTCTCTAACAAATTCGGGCGAAAAGCTTCTTCCAAAGCAGATATCTTCGAAGCGCGCGTGGCGAACGCGGTCGACGAGGCGAACTCTTCCGACTCTGAAGAGACGTTCGTCTACGAATCGAATCCTCCTGAACCTCAGCGGCGAGCACGACATCATTCCAGAACGCCGAGCGTGACTTCTTCGCACAGCGTAGCAGACGGCCAGCGAAGTGCTGGCATGCGGAGTTTCGGCGACGTGATGGATGAGCGGCGGGTGGCTGGGAAGCGCAGCATGAAGTTCTCTAACAACGCCTACAACGACATCGACAGCCCGGACGCCAAAGATGGATCAGTGCGATCGCATACGCCGCGGCATTTCGGTCGGTTTGGTAGGGGAGGCAGCCATGCGTCGATGTTCGATCCGGACTCGCCATTTACGCAGGCATCGAAGTTGAGGTCGCAGCAAATGAATCTGAGGCATTCGCGGCCGGGGTCGCCGAGGAGTCCGCAGAGTGTGCAGCAGCAGAGGATGTCGGGACTGTTTGGGAAGAAGCAGGAACCGTCGTCCTTTGACTTCGATGCTGAGGGTGGGGATGACGAGAGGACGCCGCTGGTTGGTACTGTGCGGACTCCGAGAAACGGCAGGCTGCCTAGGCGCATCAGCAGTCATGGCGCTATCGACCCTTACTATGGCGTCCGGCGGCACTCACGTTTTGGTCGGTTCGGAGGCTGCATGCTCGGGTTCGTGGTCTTTGCGGCTGCTATTCTGAGTGCGATTGCGTTCTTGGTCATGTCGAATCGGCCGATGTACGAGGTCGAGATCCGCAAGATCCAGAACGTGCTGGCGAGCGAGCAGGAGTTGATGCTGGATTTGCTGGTGGGAGCGGTCAATCCGAATGCGTTGGGCATTGCGGTGACGGATATGGATGTGAATATTTTTGCGAAGAGTAAGCATGTCGGGACTGGGGAGATGTGGAGGGAGCGGAGGGCGGCGCAGCTCACGACGAGCGAGAGTGTGGTAAGGGAGAGGCGGAAGCGGCAGGCGTTGCCACCTGTCGACAGACCTACACTGGAAGACTCGAACGGCTGGAAGGACCTCTCGAACCACTGGCACGCACCCCCCGGCCCCCACGGCGGCGTCGACGAAGGCACCGACCCCCCCGACGACGATGATCTCGGCGGCGACACCGCAACCATGCTCCTCGGCCGCATCGTCCACTTCGACCAAGGACTCGAATTCGAAGGCTCGCCCCTCAAACGCCACCTGCACTACTCGGTCGGCGAGCTTCGCCTCGAGAAACCCGGAAATAAGACCGAGACGGGCGGTAGTGCGAGATGGGAGAAGGTGCTGCAGTATCCGTTTGAGCTGATCATACGCGGGGTGCTGAAGTATCAGCTGCCGATTTCGAGTCGGGTGGAGACGGCGGCTGTGGGGGCGAGCGTGCTTGTGCATCCGGAAGATGGAGTGGATCCCACTGGCGCCATGAGGGTTGAGGAGGTTGATCATACGGAGTATTGGCAGTGGATTGATTGGGAAGATGTTGTGGAGGAGGATAAGCGAGAAGGGAGGGGGAGGGTGTGAAGGGGGGCTACAACTTTGGCGCAATATGCGATGGTTTTTTCATTTGTGATCGATACTGAGCGTTTTAGCGACACGACTACCCAGAAAGGGAGTTGGGAATCGGAGGGAAAGAATGGCTGGTCGGCCGCAAGGGCCTCGCTGGCGTACATTGAGATGACTATCAACGGACAGAATGGTTTGGGTCTGCTGGCCTTTAGGGGAGGGAGACTTCGTAGACGAGGGAGAGAGTGAGATCGGAGAGCAATGTACTCCAGACAACACACATCAGCTGTCCTCTATGTCCTTGTAGTCATCGGCGCAAGTATTGTCTTCAGTCCAATAGACAAGTCGACATTGGTCATATCGGTCTTGGCGCGCATCCGCGACCTTTAAACTTCACCTTCATCACCAGATATATCACTTCGCCGGATCCTCACTTATATCTCTTCCACAAACACCCACTAGGACTCCCGACTCACCCTAACTATTCATACCAATCCCCCGAGCATCAAACACTCCCGACAACGTCACCACCCACCGCGCCCGCATTGCAAGCGCATGCCATCCCAGCCCTCCATGCTCCCCCGCCGATAGCGCGCGACGCATGCAGCCATGAATCCCGCCGACCTCACCCTCAATATCTCCCCTTCCCTTTCGAACCGCCCTTTGGCGGCGCCGGCAGTTGCGAAAAATGGCAAGGCGCCGGTGCCGCGCGTGGACTTGGAGCCGATTTATACGCAGTTGAAGAGTGCGTTGGGGGAGGGGTGGGGGGAGTATAAGGCTGCTGTTGGGGCTTTTGTGCTAGGTAGGTACAGGATATGATGTTGGGAGAGGCAAGAGGCGGTGGTGGATATATGGCTAATGATGGATGAACAGGCAGCCTAAACCAAGCGGAGCTGAGCTGGGTACTCCAACCTCTCCTCCCCCTCGCCCCCGCGCCGACCACATCGACGAGCACGACGACATCGCCTCCCTCGATCCTCCAACTCCACAACACCCTCCTCGCCTCCATCTACGCCAACACCCTCCGCGACCCTCCCCCCACCGAAGTAGCACCATGGGTCGTCGCAACCGACAAACCCACCAGCGCCTCCAAAACGTCCGGTGCCGGCGGCGTCAACGACAAAGCCGAGGAGCGCCTGAAGAAAGAAGTCATGGCCATCCACCCGCGCGACCGGCGGCGCATCAAGACGCTCAAGGACAACAGCAAAGTTACCAACGATGGACTGGCGGATATGCAAGATTATCGCCACGAACTTGCGGTCAAGCCGCCGGATGTTACGCCGGCGAGCGCGGGGGGGTTGCAGCGGACGAATTGGGATATTGAGATTAGACGGCGGTATGCGCAGACGCTTGCCGAGGAGACGTTGGAGTTTCCTACGCAGGGGGATGTGCAGAATCGGATTGAGCCGATTTGTTATGAGGAGGGGTTGGTCGGGGGTGTAGCGCAGGGGTCGCTACAACAGTGTGCGGAGATCGTGGAGCAGGCTACAGAAGTCTTTCTAAAGGAAATGCTGTCCGGTTTCTACGCGCACTCGCGCTCGAACGGGGAAGGTTGCATCCAAACCGGCAAATTCAAACGCCAACTACGGAAGGAAGAAGAGGACGCCGAACGCGGCGCGCTGCAGCGCAACCCAGCTGGTTTCCTGCCAGCGGAGCTGGAGATGCAGACGCGGCGCCAGCCGCTGGAGATGGAGGATCTGAGGTTGTCGGTGCAGCTGAGCGATACGTATATGAAGCGAGAGCCTTTCCTGTCGCAGCGGGTGGTAGGGAATCGGTTTGAGAGGGCGCAGCAGGCTGGGGGAAGGGTTAATGGGGTCGGTGCGAGGGGTATGGTTAATGGGACGGGGAAGAAGGACGATGAGGATGCGATGGTTGTTGATGATGATATGAGCTGGCGGGGGGCCACGAGGGCTGAGGGTCTGGAATTACGAAATGTTCTGGATGGATGCTTGAGTGTTGGTTAGCAACCGGAGGAGTCGATGATGGAGACGGCGAGATGTGCAGAGCATTCTCTGGTCTGGACGGCAATATGTCCGGCGGAATCACTGGAAGCGCTTGAGTCACTCGGAGGATCGAGACCACCAGGATCGCTGCAGTCGCTGGTACCGCCAATCAGACTGGAATGTCTAAAGTCACTGGCACCCTTGCAGTCACGGGAAGCGCCAAAGCCACTGGAGTCTTCGACGTCGCGCAAGAGGAAGAGAGAAGACTCCTCGGTGCCGTCCGGGCACACTTCACAAGCCGAATATCGCCGGTGAAGAGGCAGGCCGCGGACCAAACACCTCGTGAAGCTTCCTGTCGCCTGGGACAGATTCTTCGATCGCCACCCGTTTGTTTGGCTGGAGTTGTATGTACAGGCCACCCACCGTGGGCTTTGAGATGGCGGAGGCGTGGGCGGTGGGGATCATTCTTTCATGCACATTTGCGTTTGGGCAAGGCGCCGAGAGGGGTTTATGCATGCATGCGTGATGAAGGCGAGGTTACGAGATACCCCATTTGGAATTGGTTTTGATTCTTTTGAGCTGGGCGTTAAGGGTGGTGAGGGTGTGTGCAAATATTCATACGAGAACGAGCTGATTCTTCAAACTCCCCCTATCTACCAAGAGAGTTCAACTGTGAATCGAATGCGTATGTCCAGCCTTTAACAACCATTTTATTGATCACGAATATGGCGGGCGAGAGGAACCCCGCAGAGGTTGGTCGAGCTGACAACGTCTACACCATCAACTCAAATGACAATGAAGACGAAATCCAAGCTTCCGGAACACGTAAATCTCAGTCAGCTGAGCAGAAGCGAAGGAGAATCTCATAAGGATGTCCCGCTGGCTACCTAAAGTCAGAATTGCTGGCAAGTCCGCCTTCTTCAACCACATAGTCAGCGATCTGTTAATCATCAAACAGCCTGCAACGTCGCCCCCGTATTTCTGGACGCGGCCAAAACAGTTCAAAAGACCACATCATTAATCCGGGAGGCTGCCACCAACCGCGCCGACCTCGTCGTCTTCCCGGAATCCTATATCCCCGCTTATCCACTATGGGTACCTATTCCACCCTTTCATCGACAGACAGACAAGACAGGACCCCAGTACTGACCGACGATTGCAAAGACCGCTCTCGCACCCCCAATAATCAACCACACCCTCTTCCACCGCCTGGCCAGCCAAAGCCTCCTGATTTCCGGCCCGGAGATCCGGACGCTGCGGCAGACTTGCGCAGAGAGCAAAATCTTCGCGCATATAGGTTTCAACGAACGCTCCGCAGCTAGTGTAGGGTGCATCTACAACTCCGCCATCCTCGTCTCCGATACGGGGGAGATTCTTAACCACCACCGCAAACTCGTTCCAACTTTCTACGAGAAACTTGTCTGGGCACCAGGGGATGGCGCGGGTTTGAAGGTGGTGGACACGGGCAGGTGTGGACGGGTGGGGGGGTTGATTTGTGGAGAGGGCACGAATCCGTTGGCGCGGTGGGCGTTGATGGCGCAGGGGGAGATGGTGCATGTGAGTACTTGGCCGGCTGTGTGGCCGACGAGGATGGTAGGGGCGAAAGTTGAGGATGAGGGTGAGGGGAAGGGGAAGGGTGAGGCGGGGACGCAGTACGATAATGTCGCGGCGAATCGGACGAGAGCGGCGGCGCATTGTTTCGAGGCGAAGTGTTTTGGGGTCATGTGTTCGGGTTTCATGGACAAATCCATGCTCGGTTCGTCGGCCTCCCGGCCCTCACCCACTTCGTCGAGAGCTCACACTAAATGTACTTGCCAGACGAAATGATCAAGCACGCCCCCTCCATGCAGTCAACCCTCCACAGCCTAACCCAAGGCGCGTCCCTCTTCCTCGACCCCACCGGCGCGCAAATCGGAGACAGTATCCAAGGGGACGAGGGGATCGTGTACGCGGATTTGGATCTCGAGGAGTGCGTGGAGCCGAAGCAGTTCCATGATGTGGTGGGGGGGTATCAGCGGTTTGATGTTTTTGATCTGAAAGTTGATCGGAGGCGGATGGGGGTGGAGGGGAGTTTTGGGGCGGAGGGCGAGACTGGGGGGCAGGGGAGGGGCGCTGAGGTGGGTTCTTCTGGAGATGGTGGTGGGGGAACTGCTGGGCTGTGAAGGCGGGAGGGGTTGGGAGGGTGTTGTAGAATGTAGGAAACTACCTTACACTTGCAATTCTGGCGTAGGGCTTATGGGTCGTGCCATCGTGATCAGAGTGCTAGGCCCTCCCGTTCATACAGGTCAGCAAGGACATATTGAAGCGTGAAAGCATGAATTGACGTTCAGCCACGTTCTTGACAGATTCATTCGGATTCCTCACGGCCCTACCCATCAAGCCATAAATACAGATGGTGTATCACATCCCTCTCATCCATGTCAAACTCTCATCCGCTCAGCCGCGATCAGCGCACTGTCCCGTCAACGCCCAGCTGAACCAAAGAGAAACCCAAATCGTACATCACTCTATCTTCATCCCAAGAACATCATCTATTGCGCCGCACTGCCGTTCGTCGGTGCATGGGGATGATGATGTCCCTGATAATCGTGCTCGCGCTCCGTCTTCTCGTACGCCGCACCATGACGATCACCCGCGATACCAGTGTGTTCCGCTCCAGAATCCTCGCTCGGCTCCTTGCCCTCGAGCATCTCGCTGTGCTCCTGGATGCCGTGGCGCTCGCCCTGCGGGATCTCGTAGTCCTTCTTCTCCGGGTCCGATTTGGCGGGTGTCCAGGCGAGGTAGTCACGGCGGACTTCGACGTAGTCGTAGGCGAATTCGCCGAGCTGGTCGTCGTCCATGCCCAGCAGCTCCGCTTCTTCGGAGGCGCGGAGGTGCAGGCCGGGGATGAAGTTGATGGCGTACGCGATGAGGGCGCTGATGCAGAAGGCCCAGGCGCTGCAGGCGACGATGTAGGCGATTTGGATGTACATCTGTTTCCAGTTGTGCTGGATCCAGCCGCCGGGGATGGAGCCGGTGTTGACGCCGTCGAGGCCGATGATGTAGTCTGCGCCGAAGATGGCGTTGAAGAAGAGGCCGACGATGCCGGCGATACCGTGCTCGGCGAAGACGTCCATGGCGTCGTCGATCTTGATCCAGTACTTGATTTTGGTGCTGAAGTTGGCAATGATGCCGGTGGCGATGCCGAGAGCTACGGAGGCCCAGGGCGCGAGGTATCCCGAAGCTGGAGTTGCTGCAACGAGACCAGAGATGGCGCCAGAACACCACCCGACCATCGACCACTTCCTCGCCAACCTCCAGTCGAGAATGCACCAGGTAGCGGCAGCGAAGTTCGCGGTCAAGGTCGTGTTCCAGCACGCCATGGTGGCGCGCAGGTTCGAGCCGAAGGAGGAGCCTCCGTTGAACCCCAGCCATCCAAACCACAGGAAGACTGTGCCGAGTGTGATCAACGATACGTTGTGTGGCCGGAAGTTCAACATCATCTTCTCTTGACGTCTGCCGAGCACCATCGAATATGCCAGCGCAGACAGACCCGATCCAATCTCGACAGGGCCGCCGCCTGCGTAGTCCATCACACCCCATACGAAGCCCCAGCCGTTTGCGCCCCATGCCCACATTGCTAGAGGACAGTAGACGAGCGTAGCCCAGAAGAAGATGAAGACCATGGCGGGGACCAAGCGGCCTCGTTCGGCGACAGCTCCCATGATAATGGCTGCTGTGACGGCGCAGAATTGCATCTACTGTACGTTAGAAAGTCATCCTCACACTTCTTCAATCCATCCCGCATACCTGATAAAACGCATACAACAAGTCCGGAATGAGCGGGCTACCCGGACTCGGCGCCGCCAATGTATTCATGAGCCCAAACTTCTTCAGATCCCCGATAAACCCATTCGTCGCATAGTCGCTGAACCCCAGCGAATATCCCCAGAAGTACCACTGGAACGAGATGACCGAGTACGAAGCCATGCAAGCCCATATCATGCTCAGAGCCGATTTTCGCCGCGCAAGTCCGGAGTAGAGGAAGCCGAGACCCGGTACCATGACGAAGACCATGGCAGAGGATACGATGATGTAGGCTGTGTCACCGGACTGGTACCATTGGTTCAGGTTTTCGCTGCCTGTAGTGCGGTTTCGTTAGTGATAATTGTTCACCACCGAGTGCTCGAAGAAGGACATACTCGAGTCGCCGCCGAGATCTGATCTGGTGCCATTGAAAGGCGTCGGGGCGCCGATCCAGGCGTAAGACATGCTGTGCTGTCGACTGCCTCAGGGCAGAGTGGTGCTAGATCCAGATATACTATCACTGCCGCTGGTGAGGAAGGTACGCTGGTGAGGCAAGGGAGGAAGGAACAACCAAGAGAAGACAGAGAAGATGAAAGAGAGAGGTCAACAGATCCACCACGAATGCAGACAGCACGAGCGAGGCTATATGAAAGAGCCGCGCTATCTGGCCGTCCAAGCTTGGGATGATTGATGGTGTTGGGTCAAACTAGCAGACGAGAGACGCGTGCCGAGAAAGGGCCAGCTACCAATCTGTCTGCGATCAGAACAAATGCGCAGCTTGGCTCTCGTGGGTTGCGGACGGGCTACTGCACGGCGATCGTGAGCTTAACGACTTGCTTTTGCCCCAGGATCGATAGGATAAACAACAAGGGAGTGGGTGGGTGGGTGCCGGTGCGGTGGGACGCTGACGTGAATCTACCGCTTTCCTACGCCCATATTCTCTATTCACCACCGTTCTTCGTCTGTATATCTTTCCACTGCTCCCTCGGGTTGAATATACCACCCACAATACAGACTCGCTTGATGATGCACACTCGCATCCAGCAGCAGCAATTGCGCGAATGTTTGACCAATGCACACGACCTTATCTATCGCAACAGTCAAAGTGAGGTTCGTCGCTCGTGCCAAGACGCCTCTCATTCGTCCGTCGCGGCCTCCCTTATCTCGCGCTAAACCCAGATCGCTCGCACGTTCGGGTGGTGAGACGGGTTCGAAGATAACAACATGCCGTGCCCTCTGATGATCGCAAGGGAGGTCAAAAGCATACAAATACCCGCTTGGCGCCCAGCAGGTGGGATTCACATCATCGACACGGCTCGTTGTTTGAGGCCGATAAGAAAGGAGCCAAGCTCGGGAGGCGATCCGGGATGGCGACTACACAACCATGATCAGAACAACAGCGACACCTTAACAGACAGGACAGCGCCAGAGTCTTGAGTCTCGAATAGCTGACTCGGGTGGGCAGCGCTCAACTGTGGATCTGGACCACCGACTTCGCTCTCGAAGCACGGCGGCTCGCGGCGAATGCGGCATTTGTCGGGTGGTGTGAGGTCCATGGGCCAATCGGGGCAGGGGCAATTGCCATCCGGCAGATCTGGAGACCCTTGAAAGACCACAAGAGCATCGACAGCACGCGGGTGTTGAAGCAGACCTGCAGCAACACTCGAGAGATCAGGCAAAGCAACGCAAAGCAACACTGAGGCAAATTACTGGGAGGATCACATGCACTGCTTGACCGAGCATCTCCGTCCGTCCGTTCAGGAGATTTTCCAACACTCGGGCAGCTCATGAGAGGACGATTAAACGAGGCATCCGCTCTGTGAACAACAGACGACCTATGGGCCCTTGTTCTGTTGGGTTCTTCTGCCCTCAGGAAGGCAGACGAGCCAGAGCATACGAAGTTTCAAGAGTATGGGGTTCCAAGGCAAGTCGAAGCAGCAGCTGCGTGTCTCATTCTGCCTTTCATTCTCAGCTTTCATTCAAGGTATATTCAGCGCCGCTTCTATTCTGCCTGGCCTTACATGAAAACCTCATATCCCATAGACATCATACTCGATGAAGAACGTCGCATCCGTAAAACCCGCAAACTCCGAACTCTTCGCCCCCCTGGACGGCTTCATCGTCTTCTCTGAACATCCCTTCTGCGCAGGCTTTCCGGCGAACCGGTCGTGGATCCAGTCGAGGAACATGTGCTGTCCTGCGAAGAGCACCGGCACATGCGTGATATTCTCCTACAACAGACACATCAGCATCCTCACCTCCTCCGAACGGGTTTTCGCCACTTACCCATGTAGAATATTCCAGCTGGCTGTCAGGGTACAAACGGCACGTCTCCCTGACGGACTTCGAGACGACCGGCTCGTTAGCATTTGGATCATCCATCCCCTGAATCACCATCATCGGCCCAGCAAACGGTTTACCACCATTGTTGCTCACGTTCGCATACCACTTCGCCGAATCCGTCAAGTTCCATCCCTCCTTCAAAATCTTGACCTCACCGCCTTCAGCACTAAACAACTGAGCCCCCGTGAGCCCACACCCCTGAATCTCCTTCAACAACTCCCACCTCGCCATCCCCGCCTCCGTAACCCATTCCCCCATCTCGAACCCAGGCAACACCGACCCCAAACCCTGCGCGATCCCCACCACCCGTCCATTATTCTGCGCCTCCGCATCCGCGGCCACGATCCCCAGCACATCCGTGAACGGCGAACCCGCCATGGTCCCCAAGTACCCAGAAACGGGTTTCTCCACCTGCCGCTGCGCGAAAGACCACGCCACGCCCCCGCCCTGACTCTGTCCCGCCACTACAAACTCCCTCGCCAGCGCCTCCGGCCACGCTTGCCTCGCGGCCTCGACAGCGAACCCGAGATCGTTCGCTTGAGAGGGCAAGACGAAATACGGATTCGGCGTTCCCTCAACCCCAAGACCCAGATAATCTGGCGCGACGACTGCGTAGCCCGCGAGCGCTAGGGGGAAAGGCTCGTGGAAGTCGTCCCAGAGCCCTCTTAGCCCCGACGGCGCGCAAGCCTGTGTTTGGCCCGAGGTGCCGTGCGCGAAGGCTATGACGGGGAACAACGGGTCCTCTTCCTCCCGCTTGTCGGCGGAGGAGGAGCAGGGGGTGAGGTCGGGGAAGCTCCGCGGTAAGTACGGCCAGAGCACGTACGCGGACGCGGGCATGATGGTTCCGTTGAGCGTTTCGGTGGTGTAGAGGAAGCGCGACATAGAGAGGGACATTGGGGTGGTGTAGTGCGATACATTGGTGTATTGTTCCACTTTCAGGACTGTACCTGCTGGCGGAGGGTTTTCCGGGTTGTATGAGGAGGGGAGGTGGTAGAAGGGGTCGTGTTGGGTGAGTTTGGGGTAGGCGTTGTTGGTTCTCTCGAACCGCAGGGCGATCTCGACGTTGTTGGCTGTCGATTTCGAGAGGTTGGCGGCGGCGATTTGGGTGCGCGTGAGTTTAAAGTTCGAGTTCCAGACGTTGGTTTGGGGATGGAGTTGTTGGTACGAGAACTGACAGAGCGCGAGAAGGAGAAGTGCGCTGTTCAATGCCATGATGGATTGCATGCTGCGACTGGCTTTGGAAACGACGGAACTTTTCCTACTTACTTGCTTGCATACGTACCTACATTTATTACTGTTACTGTGTTCTCCGCACTGGATAGAGTTGTATAGAGCGTCATTGTTTGCCGAGGCTGCCGTCGAGCTGTCGATGGATTGAGTACCTTCCTCAACGGGTAATGCATGTCCGAAGGCCTTTCTTGAATCGTGGACTTGGACATCCGACACTGGAGGTACTGTGTCAAGCAGTTCAGAAGCGTGGGAAGCTTCTGTTGTGACTTTGTGGGTAGTTGGTCGATGTGGAGACCCCACGAGCTTCTCCAGAAGCTTGTCGTGAGAGATTTCGGGGTCCATCTCGTTCTCTCGTCCTCGTTTGTAATGGTTGTCTGACCGCTTGCTGACGAAGTAGTTGACCGTAATGTCGGTAGGCATCTTCGCCCTAGTTGCAGAGGACATGTATGGAAGCTGTCCAGAGATGAGTTGGCAGGGTTAGAACCGGCTTCAAGAGCGGCTGAAACGTTCCTTCGTGTGCGTGCTGCAGATGCAGCAGCTGAGCATGTCGTCCTCTGCCAGAGTGGTTGAAGCAGGAGAGCCGTACGACTGTGGGGCTTCTTGACGCGTATCTTACATGATCTACTGCTGGTTCCTTGTCGACTGTTGGAGTCCTAAACGAGAGCCTGGAGCGAACAGCCGCCGACCAAAGCACAATAAAGCTGACTGATACCTTAGCTGAATGATGAGAGTTGAAGGACCTACCTTACTTAAGAGTGCACCACTGTGACCGTGGTGCATCCCACATCAATCCTCAGTGTTCTTTCCACCAAGGACTCGTTTTTCTCAACGGCTGACCACAAACATGAAGCTCGCCGACCCACAGTACCGTATCCGCCCAGCCAACAAGGAGGACATACCAGGCCTAACAGAAGTCTTCTTCAGGAGTGAGTTTGGCCTCATGAACATGCCCATCTCAGACCACTGACGTGCAATCCCGAAGGCTTCAATGCTCCTTTCTGGCAAGTGAGAGTGCCCATGCTCCTGAGCGGCCTGAACAGCGGTTGATTCATGAGGGCCCCCTCCAGTACCTCTTCCCAGACACAGCGCTGATGCGCCAATGGTGGCACCAAGCCTGGCAGATCAGCCTCGACAACCCGACCGATCGCACGTTTGTCGTCGAAGACACGTCTAGCAACGACCAAATCGTAGCCTTCAGCCGCTGGATGGTGCCACAGCCCGATGGCAACTTGGAACGGAAATGGCCCGTCGTCGACGAGACCTATTTCCCAGACATGGAACTGGTGGGAGCGTTTTTTGGCGGGATGGAGGAGAGTAGACACTCCCTCATGGGCAAGGAGCCACATTGGAGTGAGCCGGTTTCCAGTATTGTAGTCGGCAGGATAAGCTGACGTGATGCACAGTGCTCGAGCTGCTCGGTGTGCATGAAAAGCACCAGAGGCGCGGTATAGGAGCGTCGTTGATTAAACGGGGGACTGATCATGCGGATCGGGAGGGTTTGTCTACTTATCTTGATGCATCGGAGATTGGGCAGCCTTACTACTTGAAGACGCATGGGTTCAAGTTTGGTTCGAATATTGAGGTGCCGGATAGGTGAGTACTGAGTAGAAGTGGAAAGTGAATGGTAGCTGACCTCCAGCAGACCTGAGTATGGCTCGTTCATGTACAAGGGGTTGGTGCGGCCGCCACAGACGACGCAATAGATGGTGTTTAATGCCACGCGCGAAGACTTGAATACATGACGAGTAAGAGGAATGATGAAGAACGATGATAGTATGATGGGCCAAAAGGCAATCTCCATTTCGGCGTCAAGTGTATTCAAAGCCGCAGCAGAGTTACGTACATTCGCTAAGCTACAGCACGTCGACGCCGACCATCCTTGACTGGAGTTTGCAAAAACACCCAACGCAAGGACGGTGTCTTGTCGTGTTCCTCAGCGTGCATTAGCAGCCCGTGTACAAAGGCCGTATTAGAAGTACAGAAAAGGTATGGGACATAAAATCGCAGCCTCTCGTTATATTGACCAAGCCTTTTGCCAAAGACCAACGCCGAATGGAAGAAGAAACCAGCCCGTCATGCTTTTCTCTAAGCAATTTAGAGAGCGGCGACGAGGCCGAAGATGGCGAGGATCGCACCCATGCCGGCGGAGAGCTGGGCGGCAGCACCGGTCGCTGGGACTGGGCTGGATGGGTAGGACGAAGCAGTCGTGGCGGTGGACGCAACTATAAATTGTTAGTATGCAATTTGGGAGAAAGGGCTTGGATGTTGGGAACTCACCTGGCGCAGCAGTGGAAGCTGGGACAGTGGTGTTGCCGACTGGGTAAGGCGCCGGGGGGGCAGAGGTTGCTGGGGGCGCAGCGCTGGTCTCCCAGGTGGTGGCCTTCTCGCTGGTCACTGGAGCCGGGGTGCTCTCAACTGGCGCAGGGGTCGAGTAGGTGGCTGGGTAGGAGATGGTGCATCCGCCAGGGCAGTCGGTGATGACGAGGGTGGTGGCCTCGGTGGCGGTGTAGGTCTGGCCGGCGTGTGTGATCTCAGTCGCCTTGGGGCAGTAGGTGGTCCACGCGGTCACGACCTCGGTGGTCCAGACGTCAGACGGGGCGGCGGAAGTCTCGTTGGAAGGAGCAGCTGGTGGGCCCCACGAGCCTTTGATTGATCGTTAGTTATTGTTTCCGTCGAAATAATGTGTCGACGGTCAACTTACCACCTGGCATGCCATGTTCCTGAGGACCCCACGAGGCGGCAGCAAGGCCAGCAAAGGCGACAACAGCAGCGGAACGCATTTTGAGTGATTGAGTGTTGGTGGTTGGTTTGAGAGGATGCGTAGTCGGCTTAAAGCGAGTGAATGCGGTGTTGACCGGTGTGTTGATTGCGGCTCGAAAGAAAGTGCTGTGGAATGGAAAGAGGAACGTGACAGCAGTGCGACGGGTCAGCCTTTATGGGAGCGCCAGAGCCCCCTTCGCGCATTGATGAGAAACAAGGCTTTGAACCAATCACTCGCGGCCCCTGAGCGTTGTTCCTGCGTCCACCCTGGTTCCGACTCCCTTGCATCTAGCGTTCGAGGCTTGATGAGTCCAGCCATTCGCGAGTGGAGGAGAGCCCGAGCCGCTCCACTGCTGATCCTACGGAGATAATTTGCCCTCGCCAATCCTCTCTGCCTTTTGCTGGGCAGCGGCGCGTCATCTCCCTTGTCTGTGTCTGCCGTCAGTCCAGACTGGCTGTTCCGAGACTGTCGCTGGACCTCCTACCTCAACAGGTGAGAATCTCATCGGCTAGCCGGGCCATGCGAATCCTTCCCGCATCATTACAATCAGCCTTTCACACGGTCAGCGCCTTTATCCGCGTTGGTGAGAACCTTCAACTCGCGGAACCAGCTTCCCAGAAAGGCGAACAAGGCGACATCATCGCAGCCACCGGCTTGGGGTGTCGTCCTGAAACGACCACTACGTGAGCCTTGCGTTCCATCGCCGTTGTTCGCTAAGGAGCGCCGAGGTGCCACTCCATCCCTACCCAGATATCGTTGATCGGGTGAGCGAGCAGCGGTGGCGATCAAAGTTGAGATTTGTGTGTGGAGTTGCTTTGCTTTCTCTCAACCACTCTCCTCGAATTTCTACCGAAATAGCCTGCAGCTGCACGTCTTTAGCGCCCGAAGCTGCTGCAAGGTACACCCGCGCAGCCATGTTCCTGGGTTGAAGCCGTTGTCGTCCGTCTGCAAGCTGCAAGACTACTGCAGAGGAACAAGTCGTTGTTGTCAACGTTGCTCTGCTGTCATATTGTGCATTGTGTGAGCAGTCATCGAAGCGATGTCACGCCACGATAAGATAATTTCCAGGATCGATCGGTACCGTATGTTATCGCGCTCACATGAAACCGGCCAAGGTAGGAGCCACGCGTTGATGGCTTGAAGCTAAAGCTATTGGACAGGGCTAGTGGAGGCTCTAAAGGGTAATTGCGAACGACACTCGAAGGTCTACACGTGATATTGGTGTCGGAGATGCGTTGAAGGCTCCGATGGAACAATTCGGGAGCAGAAAGTATAGGTATTGCTGGATCTGTCAACCCTGACTGTAAGCAAAGCAAAGCTCACGTCGGTATGAGAGAGCTGTCCAGCCAATCCCACTCCAACTGATCGAGAGGGAAATTATCTGGATGCAGACTACTGCCGTCTATGGCCCAGTCGTAACGCATCGGGTTGTCAGACCATTGTGTGTCAGGCAGGTCCAGCGCGTCGAGCGGTGCTTGGGTTTGAGCCGCAACGTCTTTGGCACTCTTCTCTGCCAATGCATCTTTCACACAGCTCAACATCCAGGTCCGCATGTCAAGAAGAAACTGTTTCTTCCGGAGGAGATCAGCCCGTTCGCTCGTGGACGCCAGAACGTCGATGACTGAGATCCATTCGTCGATCCGCCGAAAGTCCTCGCTCAAGCCTTCGCCAAGAGGTCGCACGATGCCATTCACCAGCAACGTCAACACAGCGGAAACAGAGTGCTCGAAATACAACCTGCGTCTCAGTTAGCCTCTCCTATAGGCGAGTGAGATCACTGTCCACTCACCAGACATGCTGAAAATTGCCCATCGGTATCAAAGAAGCCAGGTCGAAAGCCTCTCGCGCAGCGCTGACGACAAAGGACTCTGTGGAGAAGGTATAAGATTTGAGCGCTGTTGCCGTCGGGCAGTTGCTGTATAGAGGAGCGGTGCAGGCTTCTGCGAGTGCTGGTTTCTTGTTCACCGCCACCAAAGTCTGGAAATACTGGAAGTGCAGCACGACTATCGAGATGATGCAGTACTTCGGCCACTGTCCCACCAGGTCCTTCGGCTTGAAGCTGAACGGCAGAGAAGTCCTCCAGGACAAGAGAAGGGCGTTTACTTCGTTCTGGGCTGCAATCAGGGCGCTGGGGGCTGGACTTGCTGTTGCAGATTGCAGTCGATTCCAGAGCTGGCCTTGGATCGCCTAGATCGTGGTGTACATGTTGTCAGTAAATGCTTCACATCACTCCGCCACACCGGCGGGTGCTTGACTGCACCACACAATGCCCCTTGAGAAAGGGGACAATACACAGCTCATGGAGGTACTCACGGCTAGACGATGCAAAGCCACCAAGAAATTCACTTCACGCAACCCGTCCAGAGATTGGATCAACGCGAATCCTTCGACATTCGCGTTTGAAAGCGGGAGCCGACTGATGTCTTGCTCGTGGAACAGGGGCGGTTTGCCGGACACAAGACTAAAGTTCTTGTCGAGCACGTATGCAATCGAGAAAACACGAGCGCGGTCATCCCGGTCACTGTAATGCGGGCTGTCCGCGCTCTCTTCCATGTGCGCATCGAGGTTCTGGAGGATATGAGCGGCTGAGCTGACAAACATGCGAGCAGACTCGGCCATTGGCGTGCCACGCATAACGGTTGCGATCGCTAAGAGGACCTGCGCGGCGTCTAAGGACGGTTTTCCGTAAGGTAGGGAGGGTGCAACCGTCAGGGCCTCGGTGAGATAACGGCACGCTTCTCTGTTGTCGGCTTCTGCGCCAGAGGGCTCGGACATGGCCCGCAAGCGATGAGCGTGACATAACACCACCAGCCCGTTAGTCCACCAGACAAGATCAGAACGCTTATCAGGCGGCCAGTCCGTTTCCATCCTCTTCAACACACGGGTAGCGTTCCATACAGGAAACGCGCGGTTGCAAGCAGCCATCGTGCCCTGCGTCAGACGGATTGCCCGGTCCTTGGGTTCGAAGTTGAAGGGGCCGTCATTTGACACCAATGCGCAGGCATCAAAGGGACTGTGTGACTGCTTGCTGCTTGACGGTGTGGGCGGTATCTGTGGCGCCTGAGGTTGCGCTTCGGTCTCCAGAGCGATTCCATTCTGCCGCCGTAACAGAGCCTCCATATCCTTCAAGCGGTCCTCCAGAGCCAGTAACCCATCCCCGCTGCACAGTAGAGTATTTAGCGGTATCCGACACATGTCTTGATCAAGACTTACCGGCGCGGCTTCTTACGACTGGTCTTCTCTATCTTAGTAAATGTGCAGTCTTGACCTGTCTTCTGACAGAGTGTACAGCTTGAGCCATTGACTTCGCAGCGTATCTTCTTTCTATGGCAGGCATCGCACGCTTTGGCATATCTCCTCGGGGCTGTCATGTTGGATACGGTCTTGATTGATCTCCTTGCAGGAAGGAGTGTAATGAAGCACCAGTCGGATCATGGATGAGCGTGTGTCTCCAAGATAGACTCATAGCAATCGGACAGTAGCAACTTCCCGGTATATTGTTGTTCCAAGAGGAATGGCTGCTTAGAAATACATGCTCTGCATGGGACCAACGACGCACAAGCGGCAACGGCTTCAAAACACAAACGCCTGGCCGCTATATACTTATCGGCGGGACATGTTCAGAGTGTCACGTCTCACAAGACCTTTGACCTACCTATAGGTGATGTCGTTAGCAGCGAAGTAGTCCTTGTCCATGAGGTGAGGTGCTCAGGCAATCCTGACTAAGCTTTCTGATCTCACCTTCGATCGAACGCACTCATCTGCTGGGTATTCGTAAATGACATTGAACTCCTGCGACTAGTGTCCATCTGGCTGGAACAAGGCACTCCAGGCCAACATGCCATCGTCAGAAGATCAAAAAGCAGAGCGGGACGACCGCTTCCGAGCCAACAAGCTGTGCCAGATCGAAATCGCTGAGGCTTCACTTCGAGATCTCAAGAAAGAGCTCGAAGACTTCGACTCGGCAGTCAGCGCTTCTGGTCCAGACGAGACGGCAGACCACACCGATGCCTTTCCTCTCGTGCCAGACGCTGAAGCAAAAACCGATTCTCAGTCTTCTGAATGGCCGCTATCATCCACAGAGTACCAGCGGTACGGACGACAGATGATCATGCCCGAGATCGGTCTTCGCGGACAACTGCAGCTTAAAAAGGCCAAAGTGCTCATCGTAGGAGTCGGCGGCTTGGGGTGTCCCGCTGCAGCGTATCTTGCTGGAGCTGGAGTCGGCACGTTGGGACTGATGGACGGTGATACTGTGGAAGTCTCTAATCTGCACCGACAAGTCGCTCATGCCACGGGTAGAGTGGGAATGAGCAAGGTCGATAGTGCTTATGAGTATTTATATGCGTATGTAGAAGGCTCAATTCACGTGTGTCTAAGCATTTATCTGACCATGCGTTGCAGTCTCAACCCAGAAGTAAACTACATCCGCCACTCCTTCCACTTGTCCCCCGAGCACGCCATATCCGTCTTCGAGCAATACGACATCGTCCTCGACTGCACCGATCATCCAACATCACGCTATCTCATCTCCGATACGTCAGTCCTCACAAGCAAGCCATTAGTCTCCGCATCGGCCCTCAAGACCGAAGGCCAACTGATCGTTCTCAACGACCCACCCAAACCGCCTGGAGATCTGTTCGGAGGGCCCTGCTACCGATGCATCTTCCCCAAACCACCGCCAGCCGAGAGCGTGCTGAGCTGTGGCGAAGGTGGGATTCTTGGGCCCGTGGTGGGCGTGATGGGGGTGTTGCAGGCGCTTGAAGCGATTAAGGTGCTTACGAGACGGTCGGAAGCTCAAGGCAGGATGACAGACGCTGAGCCGGCTACCGCGCAGCCTGTGAAAGCGAGTCTGCTCATCTTCTCGGCATTCAGCTCTCCCCAATTCCGCACCATTAAAATGCGCTCCCGCCGCGCAGATTGTGCGGCATGCTCTGCAAAGCGAGTTGTTACGGCGGACTCTTTGTCGAGTGGCTCGCTGGACTACATCGCCTTCTGTGGTCGTACAACGCCTGTGGATGTGCTTGATGCGCAGTCTCGCCTCTCGGCAAAGGACTTTGCTCAGCTGCCTCGAGACGATCAAAGAGTCCTGGTCGACGTGCGTGATGAGGTACAGTATTCAATTTGTGCGTTGCCTGGATCCATCAATGTTCCTTGGACCGGTAACGCAGACTCCTGGTTGTCGAAAGCCCAAGACAAGGGTGTGATGGAAGACGATCAGAAGGAAAAGTACATCGTCTGCCGGTTCGGCAATGACAGCCAACTCGCGGCCAAAGCTATGCAGCAGCAGCACAAGGACTTCCCAGGCATTACAAAAGACATCAGAAACGGGTTTCAGGCCTGGCGTAAAGACGTCGACCCTTCATGGCCAGACTATTGAAAGAAATCCTAGGCCGACGCTTCCGCCTCAGCCTGCCTAGAAGCAATACTACCCCCTCGCCAACTATGCTTCGGATCCTCACGCTCATGCTGCTTGCTCTGGCTCTCCTTCCCGACCTGTCCCCAGCCGCCACCACCCGGCGTCATCACAATGATGCGTTCGCCCGGCTTCATCGACGCAGTATTCTTGGCGCCCATGTTGATGAACCTCTCTTCCTCTTCGGCATCGTCCTGCGAAGCATGGTCACCGTTCGGCTGGTTCCCCTGGGCTTCCGCATCGGCATCACTACCCTTTACTTTCTCCACCTTGCGCACCCAGTAGTTGACGCCACACTCAGCGTCCTCGCCACCGGCCAGGCCGTAGGGATGATACACCCGCCGCTCGCTCAGGATACTCACTTGCACTGGGATGCGGAACTCGATGTCTCTGACAACGCCATCGCCGCCCTTATGCTGTCCAGCACCATGACTTCCAGCTCTTAAGCTGAACTCTCGAAGAATGACAGGATATCTGCGCTCGAAGACCTCCGAGTCCGTGATCCTGGTATTAGTCATGTGCGTGTGGACGCCGTTCGTGCCGTCCCAGTCCGGACCAGCACCTGAGCCGCCAGCGATGGTCTCGTAGTAGCCGAAGCCCTTGACTTCCTCCTCGCCCTCGACATTGCCGCCGAAGCCGAACGTCAGGTTGTTCGTGTCGCCTTGGCTCGCCGCGCAGGCCTGGAAAGCTTTCAACACCACGTCCGTTACCCGTTGGGAGGTCAAGACGTTGCCGCCAACGACTGCCGCTGTGCCTGAGGGAGACAAGAAGCATTTCTTCGGAATGATGACGTTGATCGGCTGTAGACAACCTTGGTTGAGCGGGATGTCCTCTTTGATGAGACAGCGCAGGCAGTAGATGATAGCACTGTATGTCACCGCCTCCGGGGCGTTCGTGTTGCCGTACACCTCTGGCCCGGTGCCCGTGAAATCGAACACTGCTTCGCCTTTCTCTCCGTCGATAGTGATCTTGAGCTTGATCGGGCTGCCGTCGTCCATGAAGTCCACCGCCGATAGATCCCGGCCTTCGAACCGTTTTGACACATCTTTGAGAAGATTCCTGACGCTCAAATTGGCATTGTCCTGGATATTGTGCATGTAGAACTGCACGACGTCTTCACCGTAGTCCTCGATGAGCGTGCTGATGAGGTTGATTCCCTTCTGATTCGCCGCAATCTGTGCTTTCAGGTCATTGAGGTTGTCGGCCAGACATCTCGTTCCACTGCATCCGGGGTACTTCGCTGGCTCGTTGAGCAGGAGACTCGTGATGCGCGCTTCGTTGAAATGGCCCTCGGAGACCAGCTTCTCCGACTTGATGTGCGCGCCTTCTTGGAACAGTTCTCTCGAATGCGGTGGCATGGAGCCGGGGAGGATGCCTCCAATGTCTGCATGATGTGCTCGTGAAGCGACGTAGAAGACTATGTTCTCGCCACTGAAGGCTGGCGTGATGACGGTAATGTCTGGTAGATGCGTGCCGCCGAACATCGGGTGGTTCGAAACCAACACATCGCCTTTCTTTAGCTTTCCCTTCCAGATCTCTGCCTGCTTCTTCACGCAAGTCGACATGCTGCCGAGATGAACTGGGAGATGCGGTGCATTCGCGACCAGACCGCCGTCGGAGTCGAACAGAGCGCAAGAGTAGTCAAGCCGCTCTTTCACGTTCGTGCTGACGCTCGTCTTCTGCAGTGCTCGGCCCATCTGTTCTGCGATCGCCATGAACCTGTGCGCGAATATGGAGAGCATGATCGGGTCGACCTCCGTTGTATTGACCTTCTTCTCCATGGCGCCGCTGTCGCCAATGTTGATCACAATGTGCGTATTGATCAACAGTGCGGTAGCTTCGGGCGTGACCACGATCGTCTGTGTGCCGTCGGCGATAATAGCAGGACCTTTGATCCGATCTCCGACTGCCAGGTCCTCCAGCTTGTAGATGGCAGTGTCTTGTCTGCCGCCTTCGAAGTATACGCTCCTCTTGCCATACTGCTTCTCATCCTTGCCTAGGTCTTTGGGCTGGATCTCTTTCAGTTGCTGATCGACTGTCTTCTCGAGACCTTCGAACGTTTTGCCAATGCCGCGCGCTCGCACGTCATCTACAATGATGTCTCGGTCTGGCAAGGTGAAGCCGAATTCCTGCTCGTGCTGTCGAACGAAAGCCTTGCCGAACCCCATCTCGTCTCCATCGTAGAGACTCTGGGCTTCTTCCTTGGTCGGCTTGACGATCATGAGCGCCGACTCTGTACCACGATACCTCATGTTTAGGTACTCTTCAAAGTGGATGTTGCTTTCCTCGAATCCTTGGTCCTTGAGCGTGGCTGTGGACTTTCGCTTCAGCTCGTCCATCTTGCTTTTCAGATAACTTCGAGTATCTTCTTCGTCAGACCAGACTCTTGAGTCGGGCTCCTGTCTTTCGTCCACGACATCAGCAAGCGCCATGCCGTATGCCGAAAGAACTGAGGAGTAGCGATGCACGAGAATCTGGGAGATACCGAGAGCTTCGGCGATAGCAACAGCATGCTGGCCTCCAGCGCCACCGAAAGTCGCCAGTCGGTGCTTGCTCGTGTCATGCCCTCGTGCTTCTGTAAGTGATCGTATGGGACGGGTCATGGTCTCATTGGCAATTTTGACGAAGCCGTAGGCCACTTCATCCATGCTCATCTCCTTCTCCTTACTCGAGCCGGCGATCTCGCCGTTAATCTGCTCAGTGAGCTCCTTGAACAGCTTCTCGCTCGCCTGCTCATCGATGCCCTCATCCTCGTTCTTGCCGAAGATCTTTGGAAAGAAGTCGGGTAGCAGTCGGCCGAGATATGTATTTGCATCCGTGATGGTAAGTGGTCCGCCTTTCCGATAGCACGCAGGTCCAGGGTGAGCGCCGGCACTCTCTGGACCGACCACGAACAGGCCATTCCGCCAGAACAGCCGTGAGCCACCGCCTGCAGCTACGGTATTGATGTCCAGCTGTGGACTCTGTATGGTGACGCCGGCTGTTGTGGTCTCAAAGACGTGGTCGTACCTCCCGTTCCCGTAGCGGCTCACATCTGTGCTGGTGCCTCCCATATCGAAGCCGATGACAGGAGTCTTCGTTTCTGGGTCATAGCTTGTCAACGCATAGCCGACAACACCCCCAGCTGGACCAGAGAGGATAGCTCGTAGCCCTGAAAAGATGTCCACATCCACAAGCCCACCGTCAGACTGCATGAACTCGCACCTGGCGCCCTTGGAACCTTGTTCCTTCTTTACGCTCTCACTTCCTAGGCCACCCTCAAATCCAGCTGAGAAGCCATCAATATACTTCCGTATTGCCGGTGTCAGATAAGCATCCGCACACGCTGACGTCGCGCGAGGAACAATCTTGATCATGGGCATGAGTTCGTGAGATAAGGAAACGTGTGTAAATCCAATCTCGCGTGCGATTTTGCCAACAAGAGCTTCGTGCTTGGGGTATGTGTAGCCATGCATCAGGCATACTGCTATGCTCTTTAGGCCGGAGTCGAAGACTTCTTGTAACTGCTTCCTGATGCGCTCCTCTTGCGGTCTTCGCAGTATCCTTACAGTCTCGCCACTCAGGCCTTTGACAAGCTCAGCATCAGTGCTCGCATCGTCGATGGAAGAGGCGTCGGTGTTGGTCCGCTGCGGGTCCTCTGCGTAGTCTTCCAAGGTCACTCGCTCGTCTATCTCCACCACCTTCTTATATAGTACTTCAGGCTTCCTGATAGCCAGATCGAAGATGTTCGGTCGACTTTGGTTGCCAATCTCCAGGCAATCTTTGAATCCCTTTGTCACTACCATGGCAATATCTTCACCTTTCCGTTCAAGCAACGCATTCGTAGCTACTGTGGTACCCATCCGTATACTCTCGATCTTGCTCGTGTCCAGAGGCTGACCTCGTGGAATCTCTTTACCGTCGAACTTGGACAGCAGCCGCCTGATGCCTTCGAGTGGGGCGTCATCGTAGTTTTCTGGGTCGACCGATAACAGCTTGATCAAGATGTCGTCCTCCATCTTGCCCGTGCCCGGGTTGCCTACGCAGTCCGTGAAGGTGCCACCGCGGTCTATGGCGATACGCACACCGCGCTCGCTCTTCTGGTCGATTGAGCCCATGTTGGCCGGCCAGTCACCACGGAAGTCCCGGACTGGGTGCAAGCAGAATTGTATCGCTCAAGATAAGTGAGGTGGGTTTGGAGGTTGATACGCTACCTACACGCAGGTACGCTCGACGTTGCAGGAAGAACGAGACGTCTGTCATTCCTACGCCATGCTCGCAGAAGACCCATTCGATACCTATCACAAGCTCCACCACAAAAACGCAACATCTCCATTGCTTCAAGGTGACGTAGAAAAGAGCTTACAGATCCAACCAGCGACATCGGCAATGCCTCCTTCGAGTCTAGTTCACGCACGCGCCCTATACCACAACACGAAGCGCGTCCTGCTGTTCACCTATCAGTCCATGGTCAATTCGACATACCGCGCTGCACGTCCATGTCATCAGCAGACAGGTCTTTCCCTTGGAGGCTCAGAGCAGCGAGCAGAGTGGATGAAAGCCGACGACTACTCCGCAACTGCTTAAGCCTTTGGAAAACGAACAATACTTAATTCAACTTAAGTCGCATCCCTTTCCTTCTCATACCTGATCAACGCATCGAACAGAGGGACCTCCTGTCCATCACCTGTCCGTCGCTTGTTGTCGACACATTCCTTTAGACGCAAAGCCATACAGAGCAGCTTTCGTCTCGTCTCTTTTGGCTAAACACATTTTAGCTACCATGTCCTACAAAGTCAAACACTTGGACCCGGATGCTTCTTTCGAGAGGCCTAGCATTCTGGTGAATAACCTGCATACGGATCGTGAATGGAAGCAGGAGATTGATCCAGCCGTGGAGGAGTTTCACAAGACTCTCCCGTACTATGGCGAGACCAAACTCCATAGTCTGCCAACCGTTGCAGAGGAACTCGGGTGGGTCTATATTATTCAGGTGGGCAGGCTGCTCAAGCCGACGTCCTCGAGGGACAAGCCCACAAGTCTAGGTTACTTGCTGACCTCCATCCAGCTTCAGCCATGTCTTCGTCAAGGACGAGTCAACGAGGTTCGGACTGCCCTCGTTCAAGATCTTAGGAGCTTCATGGGCCATCTGTCAAGCGCTCTGCCGTCGCCTTGATCTGCCGAAGACAGCAAAGCTCAGCGAGGTGACTGAAGCACTGAAGGCGAGGGACGACATACGCCTTGTCACTTGTACAGAGGGCAACTGGGGCCGAGCATGCTCTCGCATGGCCAAGTACCTGAACATACCATGCATGGTGTACGTCCCTTGGTTCATGAATGATTACACTCAAGGACTGCTACGCAGCGAGGGAGCCGAAGTCACACTGCTTCCCAACGGTTCCTATGACGACACCATCGCGGCAGTGAAGCAGGACTCCGAGACGAATGGTGCTCTGATGGTGATGGACACTTCATGGGAGGGCTACACCGAGTTTCCGCAATGGGTCACGGATGGCTATGGAACAATGCTGACCGAAACGGATCGACAAGTCGCAGCGCAGACGGGTAGCAAGACCGCAGATCTGGCCTTCGTCTCCGTGGGTGTGGGATCGTGGGCACACTCAGTAGTCTCCCATTTCAAGGCCAGAGATAAGAATACCAAGATTGTCACCGTGGAACCAATCGCCGCGCCTAGCTTCAAGGAATCCCTCCATTGCGGCCAGATCACGCCTATAGAGACTGGCGAGACGATCATGAACGGCATGAACTGTGGAACTACGTCTACTATTGCTTGGCCAATCTTGAGGGACGGGAGCTACGCTGCAGTTATTGTTGCTGACATCGAGTCACACGAAAGCGTCCAACACCTCCAGAGCGAAGGGGCGAACGCAGGACCTTGTGGTGCGGCGACTCTGGCTGCATTGAGGAAGCTTTGCGCTGAGACCGACTTGCCGGATCGAAAGGACAAGGTCGTTGTTTTGTTCAGCACCGAAGGCATCCGCGAATACGAGGTTCCGAATTGAGCTGGAGGTACACAATCTAATTCTTGGTTTCCCCAACGGTATCATACGCCTTCCCGCCAGCTTTCCTGTCAATCTCCATGCACTCCTCCATCCCACACAGCTTGAACCCTCTAACCACGCCCTCATTAGCATTCAGCTGCGTCGGGGTCCCCTGGTTCTTCAAATGCTCCATCTCCTCCGTCACACTCCGAATCACCGGCGCAATGCACAAACCCGGCACAATCATAATCCTGAACCCGACCTCCTTCGCCTCCTGCGCGCTCATGGCTGGAGTCACACCTCCAGGAACCATATTCAACAACACGGGCGTGTTTGTCTTCTTGAATACCTCACACACTTTCCGCGCTTCCTCCTTCGACTCCAACGCCTCGAAAAACACCACATCCACCCCGATCTCTACCGCCTTCTGTAACCTTTCCAGCGCCTCGTCGAAACCGTACGTCTGCCTCGCATCCGTCCTCGCAATAATCACAATATCACTCTCCGTCGCATCCCTCGCCTGACACGCAGCGCTCAACCTTGCAAAATACTCCTCCCGATCCACAATCACCTTACCAAGCAAATGCCCGCACCGTTTCTGCTGTGCCTGGTCCTCGATATGCAGCGCCGCGACCCCGGAACGAGCGTACTGCGTCACGGTCCGAGACACCATGATCGGGCCACCGTAGCCCGTGTCTGCGTCGGCGATGACGGGGACGGCGGGGTCGAGGGACGCGATCATCTCGGCGTTGGAGCGCATGTTGTCTAGGGTGGCGAGGCCGAGGTCTGCCCATCCTAGGCGGGACATTGAGGTGCCGGCGCCTGTCTGGTGGTGGGTTAGTGGGAGGGGGTGGGATGTGTTTGAGGGGGGAGATACCATGTATATTGCGTCGAAGCCAATTGATAGCGCGAGACGAGCTGTGAGGCCATCGTATACGCCTGGGCAGAGAACGAGGTTGTTGGGGTCTTTGAGGAGTTGTCGTAGTTTCTTCGCTCCAGTCAATGGTTGGAGAGACATCTTGAGCGATTGCTGGTACTTGTCTGTTTGGAATGATTCTTTTTTTGGTCGGGGTCTTTTCTTCTCGATCACCTATGGCCTACATAAACGCCTCCGTTATAAACATCGAGACGACAAACGAGAGCTCCGATCAAGGAAAGTTCATCGGAACCACCGTCGGATGCACCATCCGATAAGGCAATTCCGAAGGATATCAACACAATGAGGCCCGAGGTATTTGCGAGCTACAGCATCAAAATCGTAGCTTAAGAACTGGGGAACCTGCCACTATAAGGGCTGGTTAGTAGATCTGACATTTGGACTGACCACGCTGTTGACGTGTGACAGAACACCGTCTTTACCAAGCACATGGACTGTAAATCAACAGACTGAGACAACAAAGCAACCATGAGCACAACAACACCCCAAGAAACAGCGGCAGACCTGCAAAAATTCACAATAGACCTCCTCTCCAACACACGAGGCATCGATCTCCAGCCAAACCAGGATGCAAAACCAACCTCAATCCCCGACCTCCTCACAACCCTCTCATCCCAGCTCCGGGAAGCCAACAAGAAACCCGAAGCAAACGCCCTCGATCAACTCCACGACAAACTAACCAAACCCCCCTCCCACGGCGGTCTCGGCCTCACCCCTTCCACCCCTCCATCGCCCTCCCATCTCTCCGAAGCGAAATTCCTCACAGAAGCATGGCTGCACTCCGTAACCACCTCCGCCACCGCACGCTCCTACCTCCTCACCCTCCCCTCCAAACCCCCGGACCGCAAACCCATGACCCTCGCCCAGAAAATCTTCACCCAACACGCGCTCTCCAGCCGCTCCGCCCAACACGGTCTGGCGGTCGGGGACGTGGTGCGGGTGGGCGCGGACTGGATCATCGCCTCGGAGCTCTCGTGGGCGCAGATGGAGGATACGTACCACGCGCTCGGGTCCCCGGGGATATGGCGCAACGACCGGTTCTGGATCGCTGGGGATCATGTGGTGCATCCGTCCATCACGGAGACGCCGAAGGTGAAGGCGTTTGTGGAGAGCGCGGAGAGGGCGAAGCGGGAGTTTCGCATGACGGAGTTTCAGGGGATGAATTATACGATTATGCACACGGAGTTTGTGAGGGAGAGGGCGGAGCCGGGGATGTTGGTGTTTGGGTCGGACTCGCATACGTGCTCCGCCGGGGCCGTCGGGTGTTTGAGTATTGGGTTAGGGGCAGCGGATGTGATGATGACGTTGTCAGTGGGGGAGACGTGGTTTAAGGTGCCGGAGTCGGTGATGATTTGGTTGGAAGGGAGGCCTGGGTTTGGGATCAGTGGGAAGGATGTGATTTTGTATATTCTGAAGGAGTTGAAGCGGAATACGGTGGCGGCGGAGCGGATTGTGGAGTTTGCGGGACCGGGGGCGAAGTGGTTGAGTGTGGATGCGAGGTTTGCGGTTTGTAATATGGCGACGGAGTTTGGCGCGATTACTGGGGTGTTTGTGCCGGATGAGGTGACGATGGAGTATGTGGGGAGGAGGAAGAGGAGGGTGAATAGGGAGAACTCGACGTACTTCAGGCCGGATGAGGATGCGGAGTACGCTGGGACTTACAAGATTGATTTGGAGAAGGTGGAGCCGTCGATTGCTGTATATCCGGATCCGGACCATGTTGTGCCCGTGTCGGAGATGGCTGGGAAGAAGCTCGATGGGGTCTTTATTGGAGCTTGCACGACGACCGAGGAGGAGCTCGTGCTGGCTGCGCTCGTGCTCAAGGTCGGATTGGCAAAGGGTTTCCCACTCGAGAAAGGCAAGAGGCATTATGTGCCCGGCAGCCTCCCAATCGTGCAAAGACTTCAGGAGCTCGGCCTGCTCGAGATATACGAGGAGGCCGGCTTCACTCGTGGTCCGCCCGGGTGCAGCTTGTGCGTTGGCTTGTCTGCAGAGAAGGCCAACGAAGGCGAGACGTGGTTGAGCTCGCAGAACCGCAACTTCCAGAATCGCATGGGCAAGGGATCATTTGGCCATCTGTCGTCTGCTATGGTATGCGCGGCGTCCTCTTTCTCGATGGAGATGACGGATGTTGCTCCCTTCTTGAAGGATATCGATACCGAGTTTTTCAAGTATTACAAAGGAGAGATCGACGGACAGTCTTTGCCGGAAGTGCAGTACGTTGAGCCCAAACCGCAGGAAGTGGCCTCCGAGGAGCTCGAATCGCTGCCTCAAGCTTCCGAAAACTCCTCAACTGGGACATTAGAGAGCGGCATCATCAACAGCAAGATCGTCACCTTAGAAGATTTCATCGACACCGACGCCCTCTCCCCCGGATTCACGCTCACCTCCTGCAAAACAGACGACGAGTTCGGCCAATACGTCCTCATGCACACCCACCCCGACTTCCGCAGCAAAGTTGCCAATGGCCAACGCGTCGTCGTAGCCGGCAAAGCCTTCGGCGTCGGCTCCAGTCGCGAGAGCGCAGTCTCCGCTCTCAAAGGCGCAGGCGTACAAGCCGTGATCGCGCGCTCCTTTGCTTTCATCTACTCGCGCAACCAACCGTCCCTCGGACTGTTGGGGATTGTGATGGAAGATGAGGACTTCTACGCCGCTGCGACGGAAGGAGAGGAGATTGAGATAGATATTGAAGCAAGGAAGATCGAGGTTGGAGGGAAGGTGTGGGAGTTTCGGTTGTCGAATATGGAGTATAAGCTGACGGTGAACAACGGGATTGCGAAGACTTACGGGCGGTTTGGGAAGAAGATCTGGGAGCGGTTGATGCAGGAGGATCCGGGGAAGGGGGTGAAGCCGACGATGGAGGTGGAGGCTGCGTGGGCGGCGCCGGAGGAGAGGGGGGACAGTCGGTTAAATTGGTGATATTTTATGTGCATGTCGAGACGCGTCGTCAAGTCCCTTATCATACTGTTTTCTCAGTGTTCCTCTGTGTCTCAGGGTCTCCATTAGCTGTGTGCTGTGGTGTGTGAAAACATGACTCGAGATGAGACGAAAATCGTATTCTGCCGCCGGATCATCAAAGCGTAAACGCATGGGGAAGGACCGAAGCAGTCGTCCGGTGAATGCAACAACGCTATGGCCACGTGACGGTGTATATCGACATGTGAAAAGCACAATATGGGTCCTGACGATGGCCTTCCGATATTCCGATATGGAATCAATGGAAGCCATCGGGAAGAGATAGAGGTAAAAGAACGAAAGAGCGGACGCTTTTTGGGAAGCGCGGCTCACAGTCCCAGATCCGTTCACAATCCAGACTTGCTTGGCTAGATGCCGCTCTCCACATTCACCTCGAGCCTGCACCACATCCCGCACCTCCATCGTCTGCAGAGAGCTACACCTCCACCACCCAGCATCCTGCGGAGAGACGACGCCACAGCACCTTGTCGCTGTCGTCCTTACTAACCCTATCCTTATTCTTACCGGTCGTCGAGCCTTTGTCTCGGCCAAGCGGTACTTCCACACCACCCGGCGCGCTTTGTGTCCCGGATCGACACCTCGCCCAAGCATCCGGAGCTCGGCCATCCCGACGTTCATGCACCACCGTCATCGCGAAACAGACGCCGCGCAACCACCCGTGACGCCTGCCGACCGCACCTCGGACGCAGCACACCATCCCGGACGAGCGTCGACGGCGATACAGCACCTACTCCAGCCCACCGCACGCGCGCTGTCGAAGCGAATGAGCTCAACGTGAGCGTGCGGGGCGCCAGTCCACCACGGTCTATGGGACCTGTACGATAGGGTGAGCATGACTCTGCGTGGCAGCCACGCGAAGCAGAACGATTCCGGCAACAACAACACCTCCGGCAGCAACGGCGCGAGCGGTAGCAGTCAGAATGAGGCGCCCTCGGGACGACATGAGAGCTCGAGCTCGGTCAAGTCGACGGATACCGTCAAGGGTCCCTTTTCGAGTGCCAGAGGGACGCCGATGAAAGTCAATACGAACAAGAACTTGCAGTGAGTCGTCCTGTTTCCTTGTTCTAGGTGGTGGTGGTGGTAGAGAGCTTGTTGCGAGCTGTATGAGTTCGAGTGGTGGTGTTGTTGGTGGAGTGAAGCTGCGCGTGTGAAGAGCCCGGTGGCCACCAGAGCCTCAATGGTCCGCTCTATGCGCGAGCATAGGTCTTTCCTAGCTGTTCTACGGGTTCCATGAGGTCGTTAGTAGTGAGGCCGCCACGCTGACAAAAGCAAATACAGACTCGATCGCAAAGACTCAGAGGTCTCACCTTTTAGCAAACCAGCTCCTGCCAATGCGCGCTCAACGATTGCACCATGGGATGTCGAGGGGTCGCCCAAGGAGCAGTCCAACAGTTACTCCGGGAGCATCCCCGCTATCAACAGACAGCCCCCCTCAGCCTCTCCATGGTCCGGCAACACCAACAACTCTACGCAGATGCCAAGTTCAGTCTTCGGCGGCACATTCTACAACGACTCGACCGACAACCTCGGACAGGTCTCACCAGGCTTCGCACCGAAGAATGGTATGGGCTTCCCAGACGGTGACGATCGACGACCTTCAATCGCAAGCGCAACAACTGTGTCCTCGACCGGCTCCAAGTCCAGCGCGAGCGCGAAGGTGCACAAGAAGCTGCAGGGGTTCTTTGGCGAAGAGTATACCGGTCTGAAGGAGGCGAGTCGTCAGGGCTCAGAGACGAGTTCGATGCAGAGCAGCAACCTACCGGCCTTTGCGCCTGGCGCAGGCTCGCAGAGAAACAGGAACAACTCGGTCAATGATATGCGCAGTGGTCCACCTTCGCCGTCGAGCTCAAGACCGCGCACGCCCGGTGCTTCTGCAGCTCCAGACAGTGAGGTGACGCCGTGGGTGTTCCAAGACAACCAGGTAAGAAGCTCATGGTTGCTAGGCGCGACTTCTTACCATGCTGACCCGCAGCTGCAGGACATGCCCAGCACGTCTGGCTCCTTCTTCCCAGACCACAGTCGGACTCGCAACCAGAAATCTTCGACCCACCACCGCCTCCACCTCCCCGGCCACCGACACAACCGCAGCAATGAAGAGAAGCATAGCATAAGCCATGGCGCATTCCCACTGCGCCCCACGACGAGCAGAGAACAATCGTTCAGCCTGCGGCGCGAGGGTCCCCCCTCAGCAATGGCATCTGCGCTTAACTTGAAAGGACGTGACCGCAGTCCCACACCAAGCACGCGCAGCAACAACAGCGGGCAGACGACACAGAGCCAGAAATCGCCAGCCAACCAGCAAGGGAAAGAGAAGCGCTCACTGTTCGACCGAGTGACCGGTCGACACAAGAACGACAAGGAGGATGGTGACAAGCTACAGTCGGCCTCTACCACGTCGCTTTCGAACCCTATCTCACGCCCGCAGTCGAAGACTCGCAATGACACCAAGTCCATCGCGAAACCCACCAAGACCAAGACCGCTGACGCGAACGGTAACCTCGGCGGTAAGAAAGAGCACAGCAGATTGCCCTTCAAGGGTCGCAAAGACACTGTCGCAGACACCAAGCAGGCCAAAGACCCCAACGCGAAGGCGTCTGAAGATGGCGCGGCGCTATGGCACCTTGATACTGACATGAAGAACATGGAGGGGATAGTAGACCACAAGCAGCCCATGACGCCGCCGGCAGGAGGAACAGACGAGATATACACTGGCTGGCCTGGTGAGCAAGCCGGGAAGAAAGAGGTGCGCAATGAAGAGACTGGAGCGTGGGAAGTGCCCGACAGCTGGGCCGTAAAGCGCGTCAAAGATGAGAACGCACAGAGACTCAAGGAGATTGACGAAGATGGAAATGCGCCTGGTGCTGAGGATCCTGGTCCGATGTACTTTATGCGTATCTTCCGGGCGGATCAGACGTTTGCGGTCATCTCTGCGAGTCTGAATACCACGGCGGCGGAGCTGATCAGCATGATGGCGAAGAAGACTTTCCTACAGGATGAGCTGGATAACTACCAGATCGTTATGCGGAAGCAGGATGCCAGCCGCCAGCTCCAGCCTAGTGAGCGACCACTCGTGATGCAGAAGCGTCTCCTGGAGATGGCCGGCTACAAGTCCAACGACCGACTCGAAGACCTCGGACGGGAAGACCACGGATACCTTTGTCGCTTCACTTTCTTACCTGCGAAGATGAGTGGCTACTCAAGTCTCGAGCGTGATCCTGGCTTCAACAAGGTCCAGCGCTTCAACCACATCGACCTAGCCGGACGCAATCTCATCACCATCCCCATCGCGCTGTACCAGAAGGCCACCGAGATCATAACATTGAATCTTTCGCGCAATCTGAAGCTCGATATCCCGAAGGACTTCATCCAGGCTTGCACCCAGCTGAGGGAGATCAAGTATACTTCGAATGAAGCCTGGAAGCTGCCGCAGAGTTTGTCTCTGGCCGCTAAGCTGACGATGTTAGATATTTCCAACAATCGGCTGGAGCAGCTGGAGCATACCGAGATGGACAAGCTTCCTGGCCTAGTGAGCATCAGGCTGTCGAACAATCTTCTCACCAGTGTCCCGCAATATTTCTCAAAGTACCACGCTCTGCGCAGCCTCAATCTGTCGTCGAACTCTCTCACCGAGTTCCCGAATGCGCTGCGCGAACTTACCGCTCTGGTCGACCTGGACGTGAGCTTCAACTCGATCTCAGATCTGGGCGACATGGGCAACCTGGTGAACCTCGAGCGACTGTGGGCGACAAACAACAAGCTATCCGGCGCCTTCGACGAGACCTTCAGCAAGCTCACGAACCTCAAGGAGATCGATGCACGCTTCAACGCCATCACCAACATCGACGTGGTGTCGCAGCTGCCGAAACTGGAGGCGCTGATGCTGGGCCACAATTCGATCTCGCAGTTCGAGGGCTCGTTCCCGAAGCTCAAGGTGCTGTTCCTCAACCACAACCCAGTGACGAACTTCGATCTCAGCGCGCCGGTGCCATCCCTGGCGGTCCTGAACCTTGCCTCCGCGAAGTTGTCCCGGCTCCCGGATGCGCTGTTCATGAAGATGTCGGGCCTCACCAAGCTGATCATCAGTAAGAACCACTTCGTCTCGCTCTCCTCGCACTTCGGCCTGCTGTCGAAGCTGGAGTATCTGAGTATTGCGAAGAACGAGCTGAGTCGCTTGCCCGCGGAGATCGGACGGCTGCAAGAGTTGAGGTATCTCGATGTCCGGGAGAATAACCTTGGCATGCTACCCTCGGAGCTTTGGTATGCGAAGCGCTTGGAGACACTCAATGTGTCTTCGAATGTGCTCTCGGACTTCCCCAAGCCTGGTGCACCGTTGCCGCCATTGCCCGATACTGCCGCGACGCCGAGCCAACCGCAGGCGAGCAGCCCGGACTTCGAGGAGCTAGGGAAGCTGGAGGACTTCCAGATGCGTCGCCCGAGTGCTGCGTCTGGCATGTTGAGCGTGTCGAGCTCGCCAGGCACGGCATCGCGAAAGGGCTCAGTCGTGTCTTACAGCTCCCAGAAGCCCTCTCTCATCGGCCGCACGAACACCAGTGGTAGCACAGCAGGCACCATCACGCCCTCAGGCACGAGGAAGGATTCCACGCTGAGCAGTAGACTGGCTTCGACGTTTTCGGGATCTCTGCGGCACTTATTCTTGGCTGACAACCGGCTCGAGGACGATGTGTTCAATGAGCTGGTCTTGCTGCCGGAGTTGAGGATTTTAAATCTGTCGTACAACCAGCTTTACGATATCCCACCGAGGACGATCAAGAGGTGGCAGCATCTGAATGAGCTGTATCTATCCGGCAACGACTTGACTTCGTTGCCTTCGGAGGACCTAGAGGACGGGTCGTCGCTTAAGGTTTTGCATCTCAATAACAACAAGTTCCAGGTGCTACCTGCGGAATTGGGCAAGGTGCAGAAGCTGGCGATCCTGGATGTGGGCAGCAATATGCTCAAATACAACGTCTCGAACTGGCCGTACGACTGGAATTGGAACTGGAACCACCAACTCCGGTATTTGAACCTGTCGGGCAACAAGCGTCTGGAGATCAAGCCGAGCCAGCAGTCGTTGAGCGGTAGGGACACTCGCGACCTGACGGACTTTTCTTCGCTCGTGAACCTACGAATTTTGGGTCTGATGGATGTCACATTGACCATCCCGTCGGTACCGGACCAAGGCCCCGATAGACGTGTGCGGACGGCAGGATCCATCATCGGCACGACGATGCCGTACGGTATGGCCGATACGCTCGGTAGAAACGAGCACCTGTCGATCCTGGACATGGTCGTCCCTCGCTTCCGCGGACACGAAGACGAGACGCTCATCGGGTTGTTCGACGGGCAGTCGTTGTCTTCTGGTGGAAGTAGAGTCGCCAAGTATCTGCACGAGAAGTTCAAGCATCACTTCATCGAAGAGCTGGACAAGATCAAGAGCGGTGAGACGCCTGCTGATGCCATGCGCCGCACCTACCTGGGTTTGAACAAGGAGCTGGCGACGGTGGCTACGCAGATGATTGACGCGAAGGAGCATCCTAGTCTTGCTCTGGCGCACAGGAAGAGCGTTTCCGGCCCGGATCTGTCTGAGGACGATCTGACGTCTGGAAGTGTGGCGACGGTCATGTATCTGCATGGCATGGAGCTTTACATGTCCAACGTCGGCGATGCGCAGGCTCTTCTCATCCAGTCGGAGGGCGGACACAAGATGATTACTCGCAAGCACGATCCGGCGGAGAATAGCGAACGTGCTCGCATTAGAGAGGCGGGTGGTTATGTTTCTCGACAGGGCAAGCTCAATGATCAGCTGGAGGTGTCGCGGGCGTTTGGGTTCGTGCAGTTGACGCCTTGTGTGATTGCTGCGCCGCACGTTGTGAGGGTGGACATCAAGGAGTCGGATGAGATGATCTTGCTGGCTTCAAGGGAGCTGTGGGACTATCTGAGCCCGGAGTTTGCGGTGGATGTGGCAAGACAGGAGCGTGGTGATCTGATGCGTGCGGCGCAGAAGCTGAGGGATCTTGCGATTGCCTTCGGCGCTACAGGCAAGATCATGGTGATGATGGTCGGCGTGAGCGATCTCCGCAAGCGCGAGAAGGCGAGGTTCAGGACGCACAGTATGAGTATGGGCCCGTCTGGCGCCGCTGACGACTACTTCAACACTGTCCGCACCAAGGGCAGGCGTGGTCGGGAAACCGTTGGAGACTCCAAGCTTGCTCGCCTGGACCAGGAGGTCGATGCGCCGACGGGAGAGGTGACGTTGGTGTTTACCGATATCAAGAACAGCACCATCCTGTGGGAGACGTACCCCATCGCCATGCAGTCCGGCATCAAGATGCACAACGAGGTCATGCGGCGACACCTGCGTATCATCGGTGGCTACGAGGTCAAGACCGAAGGCGACGCCTTCATGGTCGCCTTCCCGACGGTGACGAGCGCGTTGCTCTGGGCCTTCACGATCCAGAGCCAGCTCCTCGAAGTCCAATGGCCACAGGAGATCCTCAGCAGCGTCCACGGCGCCGAGATGCAAGACGCCGACGGCAATGTCATCTTCCGCGGTTTGAGCGTACGGATGGGCATCCACTGGGGTCGGCCAGTGTGCGAGATCGACCCCGTGACCAAGCGCATGGACTATTTCGGACCAATGGTGAACCGGGCCGCGCGAATCGAGGGCGTGGCCGACGGCGGCCAGATCTGCGTCTCCTCCGACTTCATCTCCGAAGTGCAGCGCATGCTGGAAAGCCACATCGAAGGCGACCGCACTGGATCTACTGGCTCCGAGGACACGCTCTCCGACGATCTGCTGACGCAAGCCATCCGCCGCGAACTGCGCAGCCTCAGCAGCCAGGGCTTCGAAGTCAAGGACCTGGGCCAGCGCAATTTGAAGGGGCTGGAAAACCCAGAGTACATCTACCTCATGTACCCGCACTCGCTGGCCTCGCGGCTGGTGGTGCAGCAGCAGAAGGTCGAGGCGGAGACGCGCGCGAACCAACAGGCGGAGCAGGAGGGGCGCAAGGCGAGGGATTCGTCGCTGACGATCGATACCGATACTGTGTGGGCGCTCTGGAACGTTAGTCTGCGCCTGGAGATGCTCTGCAGCACGCTCGAGAACAAGGAGAGCACGAGCCTGAAGCCGCCGGAGACGGCGCTGCTGGAGATGATCAAGCAGAAGGGTGGCGAGGTGACGGATCGGTTCTTGGTCAATTTCGTCGAGCATCAGATCTCGCGGATTGAGGTGAGTTTGACCTTTGCAATGCGCGACGCTTTGTCTGTGATGGAAGGCTAACGTTTGTGTGCTCCTCTACAGACCTGCGTCTCCACCCTCGCGATCCGCAACATGATCAAGCCGTTCAAGGACGGGATGCTCAACCAGGCGTGCCCGATCGGGGACATTCTGGGCGAGCTCACGTCGTCGCTGGAGGAGCTCAGGAAGTACAAGGAGCAGGAGGAAGAGGAGTTTTCTATGGCGCCTTCGTAGGGAGGTTGATTGCTTTCAAAAGGTGCATCGGGAGTTCATTGCTGCTGGATTTCTTCTACACATGGCGTTGCAGAGCGGAAGCGAGCGGATGTATCACCAGAGCGTTTGCGGGCATGGGAAATGGGACTTGCTTTGAATGGAATGGGAAGGGATGGGCTTGGACGAGTTACGCTGTCATGATGAAGATTCGAGGGTCTTGCTTGGGAAAGCGTGGAAGCGTGGGTTCAGGACAGATGGCGATGCGAGAGTTGAGTTCGTATCGTTGCTACTTTCAAAGTCTGTCGAAAAGTCTTTGACACGCCCGTGCCCTCTAACCCTTGACATACATATGTGAACGCCTTCGCTGTATAACGCCGGGTATCATATTGTGCGAATCATATTGTGCGAACAGTCTTGTATCTAAGTCACACCATCTCCGCATCCGTCGACTCAATCCAGCTCTCCACCATCGCCTCTATCAGCGCCAACGCCACCTCTTTACCTTTGTAGAGCATCCGCGGGTCACTCTCGGCCGGTACATGCAAGAACATAACCGGGCGCTCATTCGCCGCCCCATCAGCACGCGGAGTCGGATTCCGCGCGAGCCACGCCAGACTGTTGAAGTAGATGTAGTCGCACAGATAATGCCCCGCATCATCGCTTCCCCTGCAATCCGCCCCGTACGCCGCCGACGACTCCGGGACATTCTGGAGATTCCATTTCCAGCGCTGCAGCACCCGTTCGTAGTCCAGCGATGTCCGGAGGATGGGGTCGCAGTCGCCGAAGAACGTCTGACCGTGGTCGGCAGCCAACGTCTGACCGTCGACGTCTTTGTTCTTCTCGTACCCGTCGCGATGGGCGGAGCGCTCCGCGGTGTAGAAGGTCCGGCCGGACGCCATGCCGATGTGCAGGATCAGGTCGACGCCTTGAGGATACGACGCGTGGATGACCGGGACGAGCCGGCGGACTTCCTCGTAGCTGACGCGGATGGGGTGGTGGTAGGCGATGATTTGGATCTCCTTTTCGCCGGACAGGCAGGTGAAGGTTGAGGGGAGGAGTTTGAGGATCTCGTAGGAGGGGTTGACGGGGAAGCGGTCTTGGAAGGGGCCGAAGCCTGTGACGAGGACTGTGAGGGGGCGCTCGCCGTCGTTGCTGGGGACCAGTGGTTCCGTCGCCATGCCGTTTGCTGCAGGCTGGAAGCCCATTTTGAGGGATGGGCTTCGATGGGGTTGTCGATGGCGTGACGGTAGTTCACAGTCTTTTGGTATATAGCTCGCTCATGCCCGAGTTGGTCAACTGGTCGCTGGCTGGAAGTTTCGGTAGAAGGTGGCGATTCAGTCGTGAAGAGCTAGCGGCGAGCAATTGCCAGGTTCAGTGTGCCCTCGCCTCCAAAGTGGTTGCACAATTATGCCAAAAATGCTTGGTAGTTGTCCACTTCAAGTGGTGAGGTGGGCGATGATGCATCGCTGACAAGGATTTGCCTTCACCCCACCGAAGCTCGGCAAGCGGAGCATTTATCAGGAGATACCTCCGGCGGTTGTAAGCAACTGTCCAACCACATCTCAATAGAGGTGAACTGGGGATGTAGAGACACAAGTGGTGGTGAAGCAGAAACTCCTTCAAGGCGATATCTTGATCTCCGCCGCTTTCCGCAGCCTGTTCATAACTGCAGCCGCCGTCTCACCTTCGTTCTCATCAATGCCCTCGACAAAGATGGCATCGACGTCTTCGCGATCCAGCTCTCGGAGGGCTGCGAAGATGCCTCTAGCGATTTTGGCTGTACTCGGACCAAGCGAGATCTCCAGTAGTTGTAGTGGTGAGCCTCCTAACTGCAGAGAGTGCGACTTCATCGCTGCTCGTGGGGTTGGCGTACTGTGCAGTGCTTTGAGCATGCCCCTAAACCCTGGTGTGTCCTCTTCAGTATGGACACCATTGGGGTTCTCCGTTGAATGGCCACGATCCGCTCTCATGGATCCAGTAGACTCATCAACGACCCAGCTTTTCGTTGTAATGACACCAATGCGCCTGCTCGACGCCACGTAAGTCTCCAGAGCCTCAAGCGTAGGCGGCGCCTTTCCAGCTTCGTACAGCACCACTGTAGCTTTAGGAGAGTAATGCCTATACTTCATCCCCGGAGCCTTGGGTTGACTCCCACCCTCCGCCGAGTTCTTGTAGCCAATCTGCACATTCTCCCAGCCGGCGCACGACCGTAGCTGTTCAATGCTGATACCACCCGGTCTCAGAATCAAAGGCGGATCTGACAACCCATCGACGACAGTGCTCTCGACTCCCACATCGCACGGTCCGCCGTCGATGATCGTCTCGATTCTTCCATCGAGGTCGTGTGCTACGTGCTCTGCTGCTGTTGGTGAAGGTTTCGTAGACGCGTTTGCAGAAGGCGCGGCCACTGGCACGCCGGCCTTCTGTATGAGTGCCAAAGCTAGGACATGCCGTGGCATCCGCGCGCCAAATGTACTGAGCCCGGCAGTGACTTCAGGCGCCAGGGGCGAGTTGGGTGGGTTCGGCAGAATGATCGTCAGAGGTCCGGGCCAGAAGCGCGAGATAAGTGGATGGTATATCCTAGGAATCGAATCTGCATCGCTGGTAGTTGAGCTTATGCCATTCCTCTGAGTACCACCCTCCGATCTAAGCAGATCCCGCAGTTGCTGCAACGATGAGAAGTGAACAATAAGCGGATTATCCACCGGCCGCTGCTTCGCCTTATAAATCCCCCTAACAGCAGCCGACCTCGTCGCATCTGCCCCAAGCCCATACACCGTCTCGGTAGGAAAAGCCACGGGAATATCAGAATGCTTCAGCTGGCTAGCCGCGTAAAGCAAGTTCGCAGCAGATTGAGTGCTGGTGCTCCAGTCAATGTCCAGTGAGTCCAGTAAGTCGCCGGGGTTTGCTGTGGCCTTGACACTGCCGATCTTCTGCGCATCGACTGGCGAGACAGCCGTCTTGACGCCGCTTTCTGCGCTCATCGTGGCAATATTTCTGGTTGAGATTCCCTCTGCTGAGTTTTGTGCTGGTGTGATAGCATGCTTCCAATGCGGCGACCGTCTCTGCGAACCTTTGTATAATCTCCGAGCGGCGTTGGCGCGAAAATGTAGCCTAAGCATGAAGGAGAGGGATGTGCCAAAAGTGAGCAATCACAGAATATCTCAAAATTCCACTAGCGCGAATTCAAGGTTCACGCCATCACGTGAAGCGAAACAGAGGTGACGGCGAAGCACTGTCTGTACATTAAAGACAATGGATGCAAAGTTTAGCTCAAAGATGATTGATGGCTATGGAAGCTACGCAGCAATGCCAATCACTCATGATGTCGTCTTGGTGGTCCATGCTCGGCCACACCCAGGCCTTGAAGACTCTCCCTTGAATGGTCACGTTATAGACCCCATGCCCATCATGCCGCCCAACTCCACGCTAAAGATGAAGAAACCTCAACCCGGCACGCAAACTCATCATGTTGTATGCATGATCCACCTCGGCTTTGCACCGTTGCTCCTCCCCGCATGGCCATCTTCCTCGGTGCTCAATAACGTACTTCCAGGTATCGGCTGAATGCCATGCCTTAAACACCGGCGCGTTCTTTCTCCTGCCCGCCTAGGACACTGGAGCTCCCATCTGACTCCGCAGCGCAATGATCTGGTCGCGCACCTGTGGCTCAAGGCGGAAGATATCGTCACGCGACATGCCGAGGACTTGCTTGATCAGCGCAGCGTTCTGGTCGCCACCGGGTAGTCCTTGTTGCTGTGGCTGCGGTGGTGGCTGGTAGGCTGGCTGCGCGGCAGGAGGTGTCGGGGCGTAGCCGGGTGGAGGTTGCGCGTGTTGTTGGTAGGGGTTGTACTGCGGTTGTTGCTGGGCGTAAGGGTTTGGTGGGGGTTGCTGCGGGAATTGAGGTGGTTGTTGGTATTGTTGAGGTGGCATCTGTGGTGGAGGTGCTTGTTGCTGAGATTGTTGTTGTGCGTGTTGCCCTAGGAGGGTGCTGATGACAGAGGGGTCCACCAGTCCGAGTGAGAGGAGAGCTTGGAAGATGGCATAGCTGAGTTGCGGTGCGGAGGTGAGAAGTTGGGTGGCTTTTGCAGGGTCGGACATGCTAAGATTCTTCATCTGGCTGAGAATGTCGAGGAGCTGTGGTGGTGGGATGGCGTTGAGAGTCTTGCTGATCGCGTCTGGAGCAGTCATGCCCGGCTCTAGCGGCGCTCCAGGAGGTAGCTGTGGTAATGCGCTCGCCCCATCATTTTGCTGCTGCAGCATGGGCGGCATTCCGGGCATCCCCCCGCCTCCACTCATGTTCATCGCAAAGTGTGCAGGCGGAGGCGCCCTTCCACTGCCTCCATCACCACCATGTCCTCCACCATCCCTCTTCCCACCAGAATTGTCGTTGCTGTAGTCGACCTTCAACTCCCGACCCATAATCTCGAAACCGTTCAAATTTCGTACAGCAGAGGCCGCGGCATCCACATCGCCATACTCCAGGAAGCCGAAGCCTTTGGGCTTTCCGGTTTCTTTGTCGTAGACGAGGCGGAAGTTCTGGACTGCGCCAATGCGGCCGAAGATGTCGCAGATTTGCTCTTCACTGACGCCGTAGGGGATGTTGCCGATGAAGACCACGCGGCCGCCCTTTTCACGGTTTGCCATGGTGATTCGGTAGCGCGAGGTGCGCTGGGGAGTGATTTGAAGGTCTCGGCGTCCTAGAGATGCGGTCTGCTTTTTTGTTGATGATCGCGCACACTGCTGCTGTCGTTCTTCAGGGATGATATCGTCGGAGGTTGTCTTTGGTGCGCGTCGTGAGGTTGTAGTTGTGAGGACCTCGAAGAGAGACAAGCTTTGGATAGCTGGCTGATTGGTCAAAAGCCTGCGGCGGAGCTTGCTCACCCCCGAGATGCATTCACTTCACGTATGAGGACGACCTCACAAAAACCATACATCAGCGTCATCACCATGAGCCAACGCGCCCTCCGACTACCTATACGCAGTCTCACATCACGCAATGGCGGCCAATGGACATGCCGGCGATGCCTCGCGACCGAAGCTGTCTCCTCACAAGGCTCAATGCCTCCTCCACCACAACAAAAGAAAGACGCAGACGAAGCATCCGAATACGACCCAACCCTCCTTTCCTCTCAGAGAGACTACCGTCTGACGACCACCGACTTCTATCTAAAAAGAGGCCTCCCACAGCGTATCCCAGACCAATACCTGGCACACTCTACCAGTCCTATCCTTGCTGCGGAAGAGAGGAAGCAGCGCGAGACTGTTCAGGGACATAAGCGTCTCGTGGGTGTTGTGGTAAGCTCTGGAAAGATGGATAAGACGGTCAAGGTGCGGCTGCCCAAACAAAGGTGGAATAAGCGAATCCATAAGGTATGTGCTAGTTGAGAATTTCCCCTTGACACAGCTAATGATGTCTCCAGTACTTCGCTACTCACGAGTCGCATCTCGTCCACGACCCGAACAACTCCCTTCGCACCGGTGATGTGGTTCAATTGCACCGTCTCCGCGTCAGCACCATTGTCCATCATGTGGTAGCCTCGATCCTCAGTCCCTTTGGCTCTCCCATCTCCGAGCGTCCACCTGTACCCACAGCGGACGACCGTCTTGCAATGTACAAGAAGAAGCGATTCGCAAAACTGCACCGCCGCGGCCTGCGCCGAGAGGCGGCGAAGGGCAACGCAGATGCGATTCAAGAACTTCGCAAGATGGGCTTAGAGCCCGGCAAAGGTGTCGAGGCCGGGAAAGGAGAGACAGCGAATCTGCAACGAGGAATCGGCAAGAAGCGAACGCCTACACCAAAAGATGGGGCAATCTTAGGTGCCAAGGGGCAGAAATTGCCAGAGGGTGTGCTGCCTGGAGGGAAGCATGAGGTTGGGAAGATCAATGAGCGCGCGCAAGCCAACAAGGACAAGACGGCGAAACGGCAAGCGCAGACCGAGGAGAATCTAGCTGAAGCGGACCGGAAGGGAGAGGAATTGGCGGAGCAGGGTTTGGAGGCGGAGAGCGTGGTCGAGCAGGAGAGGCAAGGGCCAGTGTCAAGGAGAGAAGGCGTGAGAGAAAACGTCTATGGGAGTCGGCCGTAGTTCGTACGGCTGTGCTATAGGGAATATTGTGTAGAACTATTGCGAGCCTATCGCACATTCAAGTACGTTATTGGGGCTTGCCGACGTTTGATACTCACGTGATGAACCCAAAATTGCCCAGCCTCGCGCCTCACCTCGCTCTCGCTGATTGCTTGCTCATCACAATCAAGCACCACATCGTTATACCAAGACATTCTTTTGCACATCCCCAGGTGTCATGCTGCGGTATCACAGATCAAACATAGCACCTTCGCGATTCCGGGCGGCTGGATCATCCGTACATCTGCAGCAATGCCACTTTCAAGGACGACACCTGGGCTGGGGCAAGGATGTTCTGCCGCCGCCGATGCAGTACGAGGCTGTCCACTCTGGTTGAACAGCCGGCAAGGCTGTGAAGACGCAGTTCTATTACGAGGATGCTTGGCCATGATTCGCTATAACAGACATGTCCCAGATGTGACGGTACAACCAGATGCACGGCCCTCTGTCTCGAACAGCCGCAACCAGGCAGACACATTCTCATCTCGGATCCTCACCAGAGAGCTCCGCTTCGCATTCTGTACCCACAAGCCAAGTGCTTTACGCGCGAGATGTTGATGTAAGCAGTATGCCTTGCTTATGCTGTACTTCGGATGTGTCCAAGACAACGCTCGATATAACTTCACCAAGCCCCCTCCCCTCCAGTCCCATGCTGCGCAGAGGTACGTACCAGCTCCTCATCAAGTACTGCGGCTCGTTCTCATTATGAGGACGCCCTGACCAATGGGCGATTCACAGCCCGGTGCACCTCACCGATCCTTCAGCAGGCACGGCAATTGTTTTGTTTGTGGCAATGCACGCACGCCCATCACCGACCGTTTCGACGGTGTAGGCGCCAGAATTCGAGAGATGATCACAGGACGCATTGTCCATGTCCATCCGTAAGTATCGTTGCCGTGTGCCTAAGTGAGTATTGTGTACGAGTTGGGTCCACTTCGTCTCTCCTTCTTGAGAATGTTATGTCTGTTCGTTGCTGTCTTCTCGTGTATTGTGACTTTTGACCAAACGGCCAATTGATCGATTGGAACAACTCCAATCAATGTTGGCATCTTCTGCAACCTCCAGCATGGCCTCCCAACAGCGTTCCGTTTCGTTGCATCCGGTATTATGGCTACTTGCAGCAACAGTCAGCCTTCTCACAACCAAACGACTATGCAACAACGACTTCCACTTCCCAATGCACCTCCTTGCCCTACATCTGCTCGGTGCGATCGTCCTGAGGCTTCTCCAATGGACCTACCATCAAACATGTCGGAATTCCTTTCAAAAAGACGCCTCAGCAATCGGTGCACCTATCAACTTCAAGACACGACTTGTCTTCGGGGTCTGTGTCTCAGGGGCGCTGTTGTGTGGCTACCAATCGATCATGCACTGGTACAACCTGCCGGCCGTCCTCATGGCTCTCAGCGTGAGTTCATCGACGACACTCTCCATCAGCGGTCTCCTTGAGAACAACTTGTCGATCGGGCAAGCAACGAAACGTCTCACAGCACATCTCCTGGTTATCGTCGGCATTGCTTTGTTGGTCCTTGGAGACTTCCGTCTGACCAACGTGTCGGTGATCATGCTTCTGCTTTGCGTGGCACTCTCCAAGCTGACGCATGTCCTTTATGTTCGCCTCGAGAAGAACGAAAGACAAACGCGCCTCACCGAGTGGCCGAACCGAGCATGGTCTGCTTGGCTGGCAAGGTTCGATTTGTCAACGCTGGTCCTGCTGTGCGCTCTTCCATCAGCTCTCTTCTGGTGCCATTTCCGCGAACAGCAGTTCTCAAGCCCGCAGGTCAAGACGTACAGTTACTGGACATCCGACATCGCGACGTTGGTCCTGAATATTGTTTCATCCAGCTTCGCCCTGAACAGCGCAGGACCGATTTTCGCATGGGATCTCAACACGAAAGAAAACGCAGATACAGAGCGCTCGGTTGCAGATGTCGGGGGCCGAAACATCATGTCAAAGGCTCTCGTATGGCTCGTCTTTGCGGGAAGCATGTACGGGCCATTGACGACGCCCGTACTCTCTTCGTGGCAATGGCTCGGTTTCTGCCTTGAATCTACAGCGTACCTGTTGCTCCAAGATTGGAGAAAGGTCCCTGCCGCTCCGTCCGACAACCGCTTGCACAGAATGGTCGGGCCGTTCAGGACGAAAGCTGCGCAGCTTGACGAAGAGCGTCTTGACTACGAGCCTTTGGTCGAAGACAGCAACGTTGGCGATGAGAGGTCACATGGCAACTCTCTCCTTCGACTCGCGATACTTGTTGGAATTCCAGCTGCAATGTGTGGCCTCGTCTACCACAGCCTTGTCCTACCTTCACCGCCGCAGCAATCGCCCCGGTCGACTCTAGACTTCCAATACCATGGAAAGGCTGCGCTCGATATTGTCGTTGCTCGGTACGACGAAACTGCTTCAGATGTCGCTGCGCACATTCAGCTACTCATGGGCGTACCCACCATAAAAGGACTACAGCCTACCATCCAGATCTACGACAAAGGCGAAGCCTCATCAGCATTCGAGCAAGAGCTGGAGGACATCCTATCCTTAGGACCGCAGCAACCAGACGTCATCGCGAACACCCTCCCAAACGTCGGCCGCGAAACCGACACCTACCTCCACCACATCAAAACCAACTGGGACACCCTTGCCAACTACACAATGTTCATGCAAGCGGACGCGCACTACTGGGCCTCAGAATACACCCGCCGTATCCAAGACTACTTCGTCCCGCAAACCGGTTTCCTCTCGCTAGGCAAAGTCGGCGGCTTCTGCTCATCCTGCGACCGCTGTCACGACAGAGACTGGACCGAGGAGGCCTATATGCTCAAAGACCTCTACGGCGACTTCAACAACGCCAACGAGTGCAAAGACATCCTCCTCACCTACCGGGGCCAATTCATCGCCTCTGCCGCTCGACTGCGAGGGAACGAGAAGGAGACGTACGAGAAATGGCTGAACATGCTGCGAGATGAGCAGAGTATCGTGCATACAGCTCCGTATACCGAAAGTGACACGAGTCGGAAGGAAGATGAGATGTCTGCGCCGCAGATCGGTTTTACGCTCGAGAGGAGCTGGGGCATGATGTTGCAGTGTAGTGAGAAGAGGATTGCGGAGCGGTGTCCGTCTTTGTTGAGTGGGTTGGTCGGGCCAGGGGTTTTGGGGGAGGGGGTGAGGGTTGGGGATTGTCAGTGTTTGGACGACTTGCCTTGAATGTGAAAGAATCGTTCGAGGCCAGCGCACACGGTGTGGGCAGTTCTTCGAGCCCGGATGCTGCATTGCTAGCCGGAGAGGATGTAGCTGTGACTGATACAGCGAGCTACAACGCCTCCGCCGCGAAAATGACCAGACGATCGGACAACGCACAGTCCCGTGCTGGTCGTCGCTCGCAAGCGCGGGATCGCACTGCACCACAAGGCATGAGGACAGTGTTCCATCAGTTGTCGGATCTATCGATATCCAACGACTGACACACCTGGCGTCCAATTTGCTAATGACTACCATTCTTCGATGGTGATTGCGAACGCGCATAGGCAGACACCCGACCTCTGCATCTTTCATGCTCGACAAGCGAAATCTAAGCCGGCCTTTGCAGATTGCCAGCTACAACCTCGACCTCTCGCCCACAACCCAACGAGCGAACTGGACTTATCCCGTTCCGGGAACCCGTCAAACCCAATACACTAGACTTTGATGTACATTAGCTGCGATGCAAGCGTGGTGATCGACGTCTTTCGGGAGAGTGTCGTCGCTGTCATCTCAAAGGAAGAAAGACTGTAGAAGACTATATTCAACTACGAAGTCAAAGACTTTGTGTCCATGTCATTGGAACGATGGACGTCCGACCATCGACTGAGGTCGGGCCATCAGGCTATACAGGCGGATGGCTGGTGTGCAAAATCTTGAGCAGTTCAGCTCAACGGCTCGAAGATGCAGATCACGACCTGTACCGCAACGAGCTCCGCAGCTGAAACGAACCCGGCAGAGGTAGCCCCCAAAGGATGTGCTCTAACGCAATGCGAATGTGGTGGCCACGGGACGTTGCTTGGCTTGCAGCTTTATATATTGATGTGAACACCTCCAAAGATCTCGTTCCAGCTCCAACAATCACTGCTCCATACACCCTCGTTAGATCCTCGTCTACAGTGTAGAGTGCTGCTCGAGCGACCTGCGACAACCTCAAGATGTTGTTCCCAGCCCTGTTGACTGCGGCGACCCTCACCGGCCTCGCCTCAGCAGCATGTTCAGCAGAAACCCGTCTCGCTGGCGCCAAACAAGTCGTCTACTCCTATAACCTCAGTGGGCTTGGCCAATCTGCCGCCGGCTTCAAAGAAGTACCATTCGGAGCGCCCGGCGCAGGTGGCGGTTGCGTCACGACGCTGTAAGCTGTCTTGCCTTTCGTGTCGAAATTTGTCGCTGATCCGGTCTTGAACAGCATCGCCGACGGCACGTGCCCGATTCCTGTGGCCACGACGGGCTCGGGGACATACGACTTCGCAGTCGAGACTCGTCAAGTCTTCTCCGATGTCACCGGCGAGTACATCGACTTCGCGGACAACGGGACGACCTTGATCAACACCAACGTGGTGAGTCGTTGATTCCAGCTCTCTGCTTCATCGGAGACTCGTCCTCATTCTGATCTTACAGACCCTCGGCGTCCGCGACATCGTCGGTATCCCCATCACCTTCGCCGGCCATGTGTACATCGACCATAACGACGACTGCCGGATCTACCAGGTGCGTGCGTATGCGGAGGTTCCGATCAGTGTGCTGGGTTTGGCGTTCTCGACTGCTGGAGTCCCGCCGCTACCGAAACCGGTGTGTGACAGTCTGCCGGTGAAGAGAGGCGATGAGAAGGAAGTGGAGGAGCCGTTCCGGGCGATTGAGTATGAGGTGTAGCCGTGGTCGAGGATCACAAGGATCCGATCGTAGCTGTTTCTCCGTGGTGTCAAGAGGCGGCGTTGGCGAACGCTATACCGTGAGGACCAATTCGCGAGGCACAATGATAGCCCTGCTACGTTGTTAAGTCAAGCTCTCTCCGTCCATAGTGATTGCTCTGACCGTTTGCTCCTTGTACCTCAGCATCTACAATGCAACAGGGTTTCCAGGACGTCGTCAATCACCGAACACTTGGTAGTTTTCGAGATGAATGAGTCCACAGCCCGTGATAGTCAACATCTGCCAAAGATCCCCAGTGGCCCATCACAGCCCCGAGCAGGCCAGAAATCAACCCATAGCCCCAGAAGCGTGAGCGAGAGACTTGCCGATAGGGTCTTGAGGACGTACGAGCTGTCCATGTTGACACAGCAGGAGCAGCTTCTCCTTCCCATCGGGACATGTATCGTGCTGTATGCTTTCGAGGAGTTCCCCCAGGTCTTTGAGCTTTGACCCTGCTCCGAGAAGCAGTTTGACCGTGCCAACTGATGCGTAGCGCAAGGCAGTGTTGAATGCTTCTTCCAGCCCATGGCACTCTCCGCTTGCGAGAAGCGCTTTGACGAGAGCAGCATTGCCGTACTTGCAGGTGAGTTGCAGGGGCGAGCGCAATTTGTAGTATCTCTGGCAGGCGTGGTGGAGAAGCTCGATGGCAACGTCGAGATGGTCGCGATCCACCGCTACGTCGAGAGGTCGCCGGCCTGTATCGTCTCTTCGTTTGAGGAAATCTGGGCTGGACATGAACAGAAGTTTTGCTGCAGACGCTTTTCCGAAAGAGCAAGCCCAGTGAAGGGGATGCTGATAATGTTCGTCAGTTGTGTCGACGTTCAGCCTAGAGTCCATTAGATATCGGACAATGGCAGAATACTCGGGAGTCGGGGCTAGAGGGAACAACCGGTATTTCACTGTCGCAAAATGGATCTCATCAAGTATATTGGAGCAGTAAGGAGTCCACGAGATGGGTAATTCATTCCGGAGTCTGTCCCGGGCCGCTCGAAGCTTTGCAAGCTCTGCAACATCATCAGCAAAGATGAAATTTGGGAATTCTTCGATAAGGCACCAGTGTTCGTCCCACCATTGCTCGAGTCTATCCAGAGCTCTATCCCAGTGGTTTGCCGTAGCGAAATGAGCTTCGAGGCCGGCCTTCAGGCGGCCTTGCTGGGTGTCGATACGGCTGTCTGGACAGCACGATGGTGTGATACGAGGATAGTACTGACTGACTGAGGATTCAGCTGGCAGAAATGATAGAGCGGGGCGTTGGGCGCAGGATGCTGCATCAATGTCACCAAGCAAGTAGACAGTATGTCGAACCATCTCTGCTTCGATGTGCAATTGCGGCCAATGAGATTGCAAAGATTCGATCTCATTTAAGAGGTACAGTGGAGGAGGAGGCTATAGCAGTCAGTGAATGGCTTCAACCGTATTATGCCATGCACTTACCGTCAGAGGAGTGCATGAGGTAGTGTCCACGTTGAACCGGCCGAGTGTATCGTATTCGAACCCCGGTGTGCTGGTCAGATCCACAACGTCTCTTTGCTCTGGCGTAACCGGGTCGTTATCTTCGACGATAACAACAGGTGGCGGTACGTAGCAGGACTCCAGTCTAGGCTCACCCAAAACACCATCATTCCTGGTCAAGGTTGATTCCTCGGTCGTACTGCTGCGCTGGCCGTCCACTCGAGAATGCGGACTTTTTGTGAGCGCCACAGCGTCAATGCTGTTCTGGCCGAAGTCGAGCTCGAGAGCGGAGAAATCAACACCAGGATCCAATTGCCATGGCGCCTCAATTGCACTTGTCCAGTCCGATGCGGCCTCGTCGAGCAGGCTGACATCCGGAGCCACCATGCCACGCAGAACGAGCCGAGCGAGCCCACCAGATGAGGGCTTCTCCGCTTGGCAATGGACCGAATGCTGTTTGAGATAGTCCTTTCGAAAGGATTGGAGGCATACCTCGCAGCGGATCATGCCAGCACCATGAAAGTTCTGCTCATGCCTTTTCAATATGTCGAGGCGGGCGAAGTGCTTTGAGCAGGTTGAGCATTGGTGAGAACCTCTGGATTGACCGTGCTTAGATCGAATGTGTCGATTGAGAGTGGACTGCCTGCCGAAAGGCTCTGAGCAATGAGGGCAATGGACCGCCATCGCGTGACGGTTTGCGCAGCTGGAAAGCCGAAGGCGGTTGTGATGATCGTAACAAAAGCAGACCGTGACCGAAGTGTCCTGGGAAGCCCATATTTAAGTCTTGCACTCAGTGTTCCTACCGCTGATACAAAGTCAAGATCATAGGCGAGCAGTTGGCGGTACCTCTGGACGGTCAGTAGAGGTGTCCATCTCAATGCGAGCGCACCGCCAGCTCATTATCCAGATTCAGAGACGAAGAAGTAACATCGGCACAGCGGAGCCTCTGAATCTCTGCGCTGCCAGCTTGCTGCCCGGACGGACGATAGAGAAGTGCTTTTGCAGCTTGCTCTGCTCACAGGACCCAGAGCTAGCACAGAGCTAGCGCACGAGGCGCCGAGCTGTGTCGCACCGCCCAAGTCTTTTCCTAATTGGGCCGTAGTGAAGGCACCTGGGTCAGGCCGGTCGCAAACGGGTCAGGCCGTCCTGTGCGCCACACCCTGGTAGAGCGGGTGCGCGAACGTTATCTGGGTAGATGCAGGACGAAGTGGAGCTTCCAATGCCGAGAAGCTTGTTGAGCGGGCTCGATCCAACTGGCTCGTGGACATGAACCGAGATGCGGCGGAGATGGTTGTGATGGAACCCAGAGGATCGGAGTGGCAGGCTGCGTATCAGATGATGCTGTAGTGTTCAAGGCCCGGATGAGATAGACAAGTAAAATACTCCGTCGTATGCGCCGGAAGGTTTGGGCGGGCGATCTTCGGCCTGAAAGCGATAAGAAAGTCGTGTAGTTCTTCGAGTCAACAGGTGTATCTGGGATCAGACGATCTTGTTATGAAGAAGACAGCAGAAGCCGATTTCCACTCATTCAACACCCAGCGGGGTGGATCAAGTAACGCCCAATATTAATTGAGGCCCACGAAAAAGAAGCCCATCTTTCATTGAAAACGACATGAGTGAAGACAAGACTGCCATAGGTATATAAGCACTAACAGCCAAAGCAATCGGGTATCACACAACCTGCTGATCGCAAAGCCATCATCCCCAAGGTCCTTTAACGATCGTTCATTACTCATTACGTCCTCGGCCGTTCAACCTCACATGTTCTCGACGACGCGGGCGTTGACGGCTTCTTGGAACCCTCCGCCTCCGATCTTCTGCTGAGAGTTGCCAAACTCGCTGGTGTTCGGGTCGTATTGCGCGTAGCTTGATGGGCCTTCGCCGTGCTTGTCTGCTTCGTTCAATGCAGATCGAACTATGGTGGAGTTAGCAACATGCTCGGCGACTCGCGTTATCCTTAGTGTGAATGAAACTCACCACCATCGCCTCCCGACGCCGGGAGGAAGATGACCTTGCTGTTCGCCGTCTTCGCCATCGCCTGCATAGCCTCGAGGTACCGGATCTGCATGGCTGGCGCGCTGGACAGAATATCGGCCGCCTGGCGCATCAATTTGGCGCTCTCGACCTCCGCGCGCGCGCTGATGACCTTGGCCTCACCAGTCCTCTTGCTCTGTGCGGCCATCGACAAGCTATCCTGTAGCTCCTGGCTGAAGATAATGTCCTTGATGAGCATGCTCTCAACGTCCGCGCCCCAGCCTGTCGCCGTCTCCTCTATGATTTCGCGGATGGACTGGGCGATCTCCTCGCGGCGCTCAATGACATCTTGCAGGACGCGAGCACCGATAACGTGGCGGAGAGTGGTCTGCGTGCGCTCGACGAGGGCTTGGCGGAGGTTGGAGATGCCGAAGGCGGCTTTGTGGGGCGAGGTGATGCGGTAGTAGATGACGGAGGTGAGGTGGACGTTAACGTTGTCCTTGGTCATGCAGACTTGCTTCGGCACCTCTGTTTTCTATCAGTCAGACACTGCCATTCGGAAGGTGAGGTCTGGTGTAGTCGGGTGTACTTACCGACAATCTGAATCTTGACATCCACCTGGATCAGGCTCTCAGACAGCGGGTTGATCTTGACGAGACCTGGGTCCACGGCCTTTGCGAAACGACCAAACTTCGTGACGAGGCCGACGTTGCCTTGCGCGACTGGCTTGTAGGGGTTCGGGCAGACTATGCAGCACGGAATAGCTCCAAGCGTTCCGACGAAGCTCCCAAGACCACTAATCATGCCTGTGTGATGTGTCAGACCATGCGCGACGACGCCTGTTTGGTATCATATTAATACTCACTCCCATACCACCCATGTTGCGACTCGTCCTCTTGGTCCGCCTTGATGACCTGCGCATACGATGTCTGGAGATCTTCGCGACGAGGAGGCTGCACCTTGACGATTGGGTCGGAGGCGCGAGAGTGTCCGCCATTGGCATTGCCGACGGGCGCCTTGCCATTGGTGTCTTGAGCGCCGTTCATGTCGATGGTTGGAATGTAGAAGTGGCGGTGTTGATGTTGTCGATTGACCAATTGCTTCTCTTGCAGCGGTGATTAGTGCTCCTCGATGAATTTCTTGTCAATGTCAAGGATGAAGTACAGTGTAAAGAGGCGAAAGGACGAAGCAATATAAACAACGTCAGAGACTCAGCAGCGATCGGAGCTTGGGGCAGTAGGAGGAGGCGATGTCGCGCTAGCGACTTCGCCTTCAAAGGCTTGACAGTCGCGTGCCGCTGCAAGAACGAATCTCCAGACGCGGGGTCTGCGTGCTTTTGCTGCTCGATACCGCATTTGGTGCCATTCGATCTTTGCACCACACCTTTTCCTCTGCCGAGATGCATGGCGACTCGGACCTCTTCCACCTGACGACTTGCTCCTCCGCGGCGCCGGACACTTTGGCGATTCGACCTCCATATCGAAGCCGCAGATGCACAGCACTGCGGCCAGGGAGATGAGGCTTATACCGAGCCCCCATCCTTTGCCGTACCGCCCAGCAGTCAGCAGCTCACGGGCCCTTCTGCGGAAGCGATATGGCCACCTTGCAATGTCCGGCACACGGCACGTCTTCACTGGTGATCCAGCGCAGTCCTCCAGTCCAAGCCGACAAGCCACATGAGAATGACGCCGTGACAAACCCCAAGATCTGACTTCTCGGATGTGGTGCCGATCGATGACCACCGGCCCGCCGTGGGGTGGCACGGGGTGGAAAGTGGTGGTCGGGATCTACGGGATTGCTTCTTGAACGGCCTACAACACCTTCTCCTGCGAATTCAGGCCTTGTGAACTGTTTACACACACTCCATATCGCTGTGCGGGTGAATGTTTTAACTCCAATTTCGATGCCAACCCACGATATCGCCCTACGAGCGGTATATCTCGAGTACCTCAGGCAAACACCTTGTCGAAAAGGGAGAATTATCCGCGAGGCGCAGCAACAACCACATCCGCAGCAATCCCCTCCCTCAATCACAAGGTCTGCGCACAGCGCCGTGATACGGTCCCGCATCTCCTGACAACGGCGCTCAGCTACCGTGTCGTCTAAGCGACAGCCATTGGGGGCATAGATGAGGCATTTTTCTAGAAGCATTGTGCCTCAAACTTGTACATTGTACATGTCGGTTGCTGTATGGACGTTTGATGGGTCACTTCGATGCAAGGCGCCGGCATACTGTAATCAGAGGCAGGTTCGTTCTATTCTTGTGTTCATTTTCTATGTCAGCAACTGTACAGGACGGTTTTGGTAATTTGTTCGAGCTACTGTACCCCCACGCAAGGCCCCAAGCGTTCAGCGTTATCGAGGCTATATGGCCAGCTCTGACTGTAGGGCTGAAGGCTGAGCCATCCAATGCTTTTGGAGATCTGAGTCCGCATCCCATCCTCCCTGATTTGTTGCTTATTCATCGTTGCTCAGGCACATCAAGAGCCATCGTTCTGCCCACAGGGCAGCAAGTCAAGCAGCCTGGCACGTGCCTCCCTTGATGTTCTCCTAGCGGCCAAGGATATGAAGCACGCCAAGACAGCCTCATCTCAACATAGCCACAAACCCCTCCCCTCCCCGTTCAGCACGTAACCACCAACCCGCGAAGCCGAGACAGCGCAGCGGCCAGCTCAAACCGCCGCACTGCCACCAGCTCGCCATCCCCGAGCGCAGCAGGCAAGCACATCTCAGTGCCGACGGCTCCGTCGAGCGCTTTCAGCAAGGCGGAGAGGTCGAGATGGCTCATCGCCGTCTGCTCAGCAACCTTCGACAGCAGCGTTGCTATCATCCGCGCCTGTCCGACTTCGACTACTTGATCGAGCGCTGAGAGGTCGATTCCCGACTCCGCCTCTGCTGGGTTTGAGACGGGGTCTTTCGCTTGTGGGCGCAGATTGATGAAGTCTTTTCGGGGTGCGAACGGCGATCGTAGACCGGACAAGTTGACTTGGAACTTGCGGAGCGGTAGTGAGCCATACTTTTCATCCTGATGAACAACGCTTGGGTACTGCGAGACGATTGCGGCAGCGTTGGTGGTGATGTTGTGTGGAGTGTAAGCATCCATTGCGATCACGTTGTCCGCCACGGTGAGCCAGTCTCCGAGTCCACCAACGACGATAATGGTGCTGACTCCGTGTTGGGTATGCAGTGCTTTCGCCTTGCTGATGAGCGGCATGATGGGTTCCTTCTTGATCAGAGCCTGCATGCGCTGGTCGCGAACGAGCAGATTCGTTGCGGAAGAATCTTCGTCGATGAGGAGGGTGGTACAGCCGGCTTCGAGAGCTTCCTGGATACTGGACGCCATAGACGTCGATCCACTGGCATCGTCGGTGGAGAAGCTTCTGGTGTCCTTGCCTCCGGGCAGGTTTGAGATGAAAGGGCTGATGTCGGTCTTGGTCACACTGCGTCCATCCTCGGCGCGGATCTTGACTGCAGTTGGATCGGTGACAATGAGCTCTCGTCCATCGCCGGGCACGTGGTCGTAGACGCCCAACTCAAGAGCCTCGAGCACAGTCGACTTGCCATGAAAACCACCACCGGTGAGCAACGTGATGCCTTTGGGTATACCCATTCCTTGGACAGTCGAGCCGTTGGGGAGTTTCAGAGTGACCTCGGACTCTTTTGGTGACTGGAAAGGCACAGCATTATCCATCGGCCTTGACGAAGCACCAGATGACCGGGGCAAGATCGATCCATTGGCGACAAAGGCAATCAGACCATGTGACGCCAACTGCTCCCTCAGACCACGTTGGCGCTCGACAGAAAGGACATGCTGCTGGAGCTTCTGCTGGTCCAAATTCGCATGCAATAACGCTTTCTGGACGAGCTCTACCAGGTTTACCCCAAGAATCTGCCAGGCCTGCTCACCCAAGATCGTCCTGCCTGCTGCTGGCAAAGTGGTGGTGAACCTCAGCTCGATCGTGTCATTGTTGCTGATCAAGGCGCTGGTGCGTGGGAGCACCTCTTGCCCACAGGCGTTGATGTTAAACGCGCCCCCTGCAATCTCGGGTCAGATTCAAAGCTTGAGTGGAACGCATCAGAAACGTACCCTTGGGACCGGACCAGCCGCCACCCGAACCTCCCAGGCTTTGATCAAGGTGCTTTGTCCTGATGAAATCGGCTGCTACTCTCGTCACGAAATCGCAGACCGCAATCTTGCGGGCGTCTGATTGGAAATACTCGTCTGGAAGATTGGTTTCGCTCCATGGCATGACGGCCCGGACACGTGATGGCGAGGCATAGGGATCGCCTTGGACATAGTCGATGCTGAGTGTGAACTTCGGTTGGATGTGGTTGTACGATCCCAAAAGCTGTTTGTAGGCGCCTGAGCTTTAGGTCAGTAAATGTGCTTGTAGAGCGAAAATTGGGGGATACAGACCATATTGGTTTCGATCAATCCTCTCGAGATCGCCTTGTAGCTGCTGCCAGTCTTTCACCGTACGGTTTCCACCCGTCTGAGCTTGCTGCTGAGACGCCCCGGCTGAGTCGTCACCGCTGCCACCTCCACGGCCTCGTCCTCTGCCGCCGCCGCCATAGCGGTTTTTGTAGTATTGTCCTCGTCCGCCTCCGCCGCCTCTGCCGCGTCCTGTGACGAAGATCAGTGCTGTACGGATAGACGTAGCTTTTCATATTCATACCTGACATGGTTTGATTTGGTAACGTTTCGCTACCGCTGATTTTGTTGTGGCGCCTTCTGCAAACCAATCTGAAGGGCAGACTTGTACGCGCTAGTGGAACCGAGGACTCGGGACCGGACCTTCCTGCCGCTGGATCGACTGCAAGGCAGACAGACAGCCTGGCCCAACTGGCCCAAGCCCAAGTCCTTGGTTAAAACTCAGCTGATGACACAACAGTCTATGTAGTACGATCACATATTCTACGCGCGTACATACATCCAGCAAAAGCGCCTCACGTTGCACCGCAACGGCAGGCTGCGCTTCCAACACATCACTACCTACCCAATGCAGCCAGCCACGGCCAACCAAACACCTTCACGCCGCCAGCGAAGCACCCGATGGCTGCACCTCCCATGTCCAACTCGCCTTCCAATCCGCAACAGCAATCGACAGACGCCTCGAACAATGCCTCGGTAGCCTCGCCCAAAACTCCGCAATCCCCGGGTCAACAGAGTCTGGAACAACAGCGAATACAACTCCTCCTAAGCATCAACCTCGACCTACTCGAAGAAGTGAACCGACTGCAGGCAGAAGGCCAGGGCGGAGTGCTTAGCGAGACTCAGCAGAACGATGCGAGGGCAAAGGGACTAGACGACAAGATGGCGTCACAAGAATACGTCCAATGTCTGCGACGAATACAGGCCAATCTGGCATACATGATGCCTAAAGCCCAGCCCCAAGCCGCGGCGAAGATGCAACCGGGACCTGCCCACATGACGCCACCTAGGCATATGGCGTCGATGAGGGAGAAGTATCAGCAATTAGCTGAGCTTTTCCCGGGGTGGCAGGGCCTGGAGCAGAGGATGGGAGGGAATGCGGGATCGCCGGTAAACGCGCAGCAGAGCGGGCAGCCGAATGGCGCTCAGTGATGGCAGCCGGTATGACTGGATGATACGATGAGGAAGAGACTTAGATGGGTTGGCGTACAGTGAGATTCTGGAGTTGGAGACTGGAGGCTTCAAAAGCAGGCATGGTTGTAGTATACCCAAGAATCGACTTTATTTACTGAGCTATCTCCATCAAGCAGGTCTGCATTTGCCATCAACATCGTACGCGGAATTACCACAACGTGGAATCACTAAACGAAGAAGCGATGGGAGTCATATAACTAAACTTCGCTTATTCTCGGCAATCCTGACATGCCCATATCGTGGGCGCCGTGACGATTCGACCGAGCTGAGATTCGAGTCTCCTTCCTTTCTCCTGTAGCTGATGTGCTCTCCTCAGGACTCTTTTGGCCGTTGGGTTTTACTGCTCTGCCGGAGAGGAAAGGGAATGATGAGAAAAACGGCATGACACCCTCATTCTCCAAAACGCCGACGTGCCCACGTAGCCGCTTGTAAGGCCATGAGAGGTATTACGACATTGGAGAAGGGGCCAAGATTCACCGACCGAGTCGCTTCTCCGAGGCAAGAACTCGTTGTTATACACTCGCAGCACGCTTCACATGACCACATCACTTGTTCGAGAAGGCGAGAATTGGAGCGGCCGGTTCAAGATCTTACAATCTTAGGACCAAAGATTCAGTCTACCTGGCTGGTATGTGGCTTCTCTCCGCAAGGATTCCAACGCAGATGACCCACGAGGCTCTCCTTATGACAAATTTGCGATATTGGAGAAGGTGGGAGAGATCAAGCAGCCCGGTCAAGAAACTTCAATTCGCTCGCTTCTCCGCAGCAGAGACTCCCGCTTATATACCCACGTCATCTCTCAAATGCCCACATCACTCTCTCCCAGAAGCCTACTTCAAAGCCTTCTCATCGAACTTCAGCTCCTGCTTACTCAGCAACTCCGCCACCCTCTCCGAATACCACTCAGCAGGCGTCTTCGCATCACTAATCCTCGCCTGATCCTTCGCGGCCATCACCAACCGCTGCAGCCCCCGCTCCACATCCTCCTCTGCAACCTTCGCCCAGGTATCATATTCATGGTAGTGCTCTTCCGGTGGTGACCTGTTGCCGATGCGCTTGAACCTGCCTGCATGACGATCCCACGTTACCCGGTTCTTTTTGGTCTTCTTGACCGGTGGCGCCTTGAACAATTGCTTGTGCAGATCGAGCTCGGAACGCAGCGGACCGCGCAAGTGCGCCTTACCTTCTTCGTAGTCGGATTCGCTCGATGTGGAGGATGGTGGACCGCCTGCGTGCAGGTTCAGGGCTGCGACAGCGCTGGCTAGGTCTGGAGATGATGGTGGAGACGTAGGGTCTTCTCCGACGTCGGATGATTCGGACCGGGATGCTGGTGTGTTGTTAGGGACTGCCGGGGGTTGCATTGTGTCGGTGCTGCCTGAGGAGCGGGAGCTCGCCTCGGTCTGAAGATCATCATCTTCTTCTTCGACGTGGGTGGTGCTGCCGTCGGAGGTGCCAGGTTCACGAGAAACTATACCGGGTCAGTGACAACGGGCACGATGGAGCTCACTGGCTTACCAGAGGTCGCGGTGGACGCCATGCCGCTCTTACCGTCTGCCATGGCTATGATCTGCTGGAAGGTGGTCAGCGTTGGGGTGGTGCAGGTTCTCGAGCATAGGCTTACAGGTAGCGTCGCCAAAATCAGTGCTATGCAGTGGTGGATACTCCTTTAGGTCGGAGAGAGTGGAAGGAAGTCGAAGAAGAGTATCTCGTGATCCGCATGTGAAGATGTGGTGTTAGGTGTGAAGGCTGGTCATGCGATCCGGCGGGTGAGGTTCAGATGCTGGAATTGCTGCGACCTCACTCTGTTCTGCTGAGCAAAGGGGGCCGGTCGATGGTGGGAGTTCTCCGGTATGTCGGGTTCAAGTCTGTAGTGGCACACGCGGAGTTGGCCTCCTGGTCGTCGAGAATAATGGCTGCAGGCAGCCAGCAGCAGCTCACTTCACGCTGGTCAGCTCTACACCGCCTGAGACACACTCAAGATAATTTCCGTACCTCAAAGCTGGTGACCTTGTTGAAGCAAGTCCAGCGGTATTGCGCAGCAGCGCCGACGTGCGTACGTGGCTGTGGTGACGTTGTGGTGTGGTGGGTTAAGCCGCCGTGAATGGTGGAGGTAGTGTGTCGAGGAGGATGACGCCGGGAAAGGCGAGCCTCGCGACAACGTCCCCACGAAACGAGTGAATGGTGAAGGAAAGATGCGAAGTAGAAAGAGGATATGAACGCAGGAAGTACCAGCACCGGCCGTCGTGACGCAGCATGTCTTTCTCACGTGTTTCCACGCGATGCAGTACTTATCCTCGCGATTTGTGAGATCTTGGACATTGGAAACGGGGTGGTTTCGCCCTCGGCACGCGTTGGCGTACGACAGTGACAGCATCGAATAAGCGGTGGGCGACACAATCACCGTTCAAAACTACGAGTACTCCATGAAGCAAGCTCGACCGCTCTGGCCTTACGAGCATGCTGACCATAGCACATCAAATGACCGCAGAACAGCACTTATAATACTGTCGTGTGCAGGATGGTAGAGAAAGAGAGCTCGAGATGAAGTGAGGTCGCACCAACCGCGGTCTTGGCATTGAGTCGGCCCGCTCGGAGGCTTGGTGCGGCTTTGCCCGCCAAATCTTGGCCCCTTCGAGAGTCCAGAAGTTCGAGGGATTTCCTCGTCTTGACCGACCACGAACTTCGACCACTTCCGTCTTTTAACAAACGTCAATGGCAGCAACCAGATAGAACCGCTTCGGACCATTCAGGAACAACCTCTAGAAACCTTCCATAACTTCTAATTACACCCACCAACGGCACAATGGCTGAGGTAGCAACACCCTCCGCCGAGGCGATGGAGCATGCTCGCCAGCCTACTCCTTCGAACGCTGGCAAGGAGAAGGGCCCTGCAACCACCCGCCCGGAGAGACCTGATGAAGAAAAGTACAAGGCCGAGTTGGCTCAGGCCGAGAAGGAGTTGAGGTCTTCCGAAGAGCGGATGAAGAACATCAAGTCCAAACTCGATATGACCAAACCGAACAACAAGGATTCCCCAACGGCGAAGAGGCAGCAAGACCTCCGAAGCGAATTGCAGTCGATCCGTCAGCAGCAGCAGACCAGCAAGTCCGGCCGCACGCAAGTCATGGACAAGGTCAAGCGCTTGGATGAGAACCTGAAGTCCCGCATTGCAGAGCAAAAGGCTGCACGCAGCAAAGTTGCATTCAAGTCGGTCGATGACGTGCAGAGGGAGATTGACAGACTTCAAAAGCAGGTTGACGCTGGAAACATGAAGATTGTGGACGAGAAGAAGGCACTGTCTGACATCTCGCAACTCAACCGACAAAAGAAAGGCTTTGCTGGCTTTGAGGAGGCACAGAGAGGCATTGATGATGTCAAGGCACAGATTTCGGAGCTCAAGAAGTCTATGGATGATCCTGAATCGAAAGCTTTGAGCGACAGGTATACACAGATCACCACCGAACTGGACCAGATCAAGGCCGAGCAAGACGACGTCTACAAGAACATCAACGCCCTCCGAGACGAACGCACCAAGGCTCACGAAGATCAGCAAAAGAAATATGCCTCCGTCAAGGAGATCAAGGACCGCTACTACCAATCTCGCCGCGCTGCTGCCGAATATGAGAAGGAAGCACGTCGTGTCCGGGACGAGAGGAGGAAAGCGGAGAATGATGCGTACCACCGCGGTAGGAGACAAGAAGCCGCGAAGGAGAAGCTCGAAGATGCCAGCGCACCTGCGTACCAGAGCGAGATCCGCACCACCCAAAGCCTGCTCGCTCACTTCGACCCATCGTACTCTCAGAAGCAGACCGTGACCAGCCCTGGCAAGTTCGCAGCTGCTCCCAGTCGGACAGTGGACAGCTCTGGCATCAAAGGCACCGCGCTTAAGAAGAAGGGCGAGGACGAGGAGAGCTACTTTGTCGGTGGCGGCGGCAAGAAGAACAAGCGCAACCGGAACCAGCAGCAGGGCGGCGCTGCGTCTCCTGCACCTGAAGGCAAATTCAATTTGGACATTGGCACGATTGACAGCCTGGCCAAGATTGGCATCGACCCGCCCATGTCCCAGGCGGATGTTCCCTCTGTTGTCGAGAAGCTGAAGGAGAAGCTCGAGTTTTGGAAGGGTGACCAGAAGAGGAAGACGGATGAGGTAAGCATTTAAGCCGTGGTTAATGAGACGATATATTTTGCTGACCCTGGCTTCAGAATATCGCCGCCGCCCAGAAAGAAATCGACCGCTTGGAAGCTGAAGCACAAGCTGCAGACAGCAAAGCCGGCGGCGCAACTGAGACTGCTCGCACGCCAGCGACCGAGAAGCAAGGTGTCAACGGCTCTGCATCTGCTGGTGCTCAGCAGGAACAGGAGAACGATGGTGTTGCGGACGCCACTGAGGACCTCGAGAAGGCGAAGATTGAGGACGAGAAGGCGCCCGAGGGCACAGTCTAAGTGTCGAACCACTGAAAGCATAACTTGCGAGTAGTGCTCTTGTTCATTTTGGGTAGCGTGGAGCGGCCACCAAAAACTGCATGCGGAGTATAGTATCACAGCGTATCAAGCCAAATAGCCAGATTGCCATGTTGAAAGCATCTCAACCGCCTTGCCGCAACGCCATCGCTAAGCCATACCACCCTTCCCATACTGACACAGATATACCCCCACAAGCATCTTACAGCGCCTTCACGCTCTGAAAGAACGGATTCGCAAGCAACGCCTCATTCCCCAACACCAACTCCTTCATCCGCTGCACCTGCTGCTCCTTCCCCAACCCCTCCGCCTCAACCTGCTCCTTCCACTTCAGCAAAACCTCCTTGAGCATCTTACTCCCCTCCTCCACCTCCTCTTTACTAGCCTTCACCTGCACATCTTCGTGCTTGCCCGAGAAGTCCTCTAATTCGTCGGCTTTGCGCTTCGCCATGTTGACGACTTTCTGCGGGAAGCGCACGAGTTCTGCGACGTGGATGCCGAAGGATTGGTCGCTGATGCCGGGGACGACTTTGTAGAGGAGCGTGACTTCGCGTCTTCGACTGCCTGCAGCTGCTTCGCCGTCTGTCATAGTTGTATCTTCGGCGTCGCCGATGTGGGCTACGACGTGGAGGTTTTGGACTTGCGGGTACGACTCGTTCAGCGCTGTTAGTTCGTGGAAATGAGTGGCGAACATGGCGAATGCGCCGATCTCTTTGACGATGTGCTCGCTGATTGCCCAGGCGAGCCCGAAGCCGTCATAGGTGCTGGTGCCGCGGCCGAGCTCGTCGATGATGACAAGTGACTCCCTCGTAGCGGTCTTGAGGATGTTCGCTGTTTCGAGCATCTCGGCCATGAACGTGCTCACGCCCTTGAGCTGGCTGTCGCTCGCTCCTACACGTGCGAGGATGCAGTCGAAGAGCGTGAGCTCGGCTTCGGTGCAAGGGACGAAGCAGCCGATCTGTGCCATGAGGGCGATGACGCCGATTTGCCGAATGTAGGTCGACTTGCCGCCCATGTTGGGCCCGGTGATGATCAGGAATTCCGACTCGCCGCGGACGAGGGAGACGTCGTTTGTGATGAAGGAGATATCGTCTTGCATTTCCATACAGGGGTGGCGGGCTTCTTTGAGTACTGTGTTGCCGGTGCCTCGTGGGTGGAGCTTGGGTCGGACATATGCTGTGGGTGCATGGACTGACACGTGGGCGAAACTGACGATGACATCGAGGTGGGCGAGCACGCCGGCTAGCTGTTCGATGACAGGGCAGTAGGAGGCTGCGACGTTAACAACTTCGGTGACCAGGCCGCTCTGCGTGCGGTTGTAGTTCTCTGACAGCTGGTCGAACTCCCGCCGCATCTGGGTCATGGATGTGGTTGTGAAGAAGACGCCGTTCTTCTGCGTAGAGCATTCTTGGTACTGCTTCTTGTTTCTGATGGCAGCCGCTTCTGTTCTCGTGAGCCTGAAGCACCAGCCGTGAACTTTGTGGTTCTCCAGGAACAGCTTCTTCTCTGTGTCTTGATTCAGATCATCTCCGACCCGTTGATGCTCCTTATCCATGTCATAGCGAAGCTTGTCCAGTTTCTTGCGGATGGTCCGGAGCTGGTCGTCAAACTCTGACTTGATCACATATTCGTGATTCTCCAGTGCGTCCAGATCTACGGTGGTCTCGACCATTTCCTGCAACTTGCCCAGGCTGTCGGAGTACGAGCGGAGTTTGTTGGTATACTCGACGTCGAGCGCGTCTTTGTATGATTCGTCCATTACACCCTCAAACGTGCCGATAAAGCCTGGTAAGCGAATTGCCACCTGATATGCACGAACGACATCCTCAAGATTTGCCTTCTTCCGTTGGAACTTCTTTGCAAGCCGATAGAGATCAGGGATTGACCGAAGATGTTCTTCCTGCAATGTCTGGCGAAGCTCTGTGTCATTCACGAATGCCTCCACAAGCTGCTGCCTTCGCTCGATATCCTCCAGGGTCATGAGCGGCTGCTTAAGCCATTGCGCCAATAATCTGCTACCGACAGGAGTCTTGCAGTGGTTCAAAAGCCCGTACAAGTTCATCGTCTTCAAGCCATCTTTGGGGCCAGGCATGAGATTGAGCGCCTTGAGAGCAGAAGAGTCGAGCTTCATGTATTGGCTGAGATCATGCTGGTACAATTGGTACTCGCCGAAGTTCGTTGGATCGGACATCACCCCAAGGTACTTGATCAACGCCGCTGCCGAGTTCATCGCCAGCTTGAGATCCGTCTGAGGCAGAGTGCCGGCCGCTCGCTCGTCCCGCAGTAATCTCGTCAGGTCCTGTTCGATGTCCCGGCTCCCAAAGTCACCTGCTGGTCTCTCTGAGATCGCGCATCCGCAGTTGTCTGCAATCGCACGTAGCTTTGCCAGCTCGGCGTCCTTCTTCGTGCCATCAGCCTGCAGCAAGCACTCCTTGACACCAAGCTGGATGAGCAGCGACTCAAAGTTCGAATAGATGTCGTTGTCGACGAACTCGCTCACGCCTAGCTCGCGAACACTGGCATCCGCAAAGCATACTCCCACATTTCGTGCTTCGGTTGCTTTGGCCGACACTCTGACCGCAAGAATTATGGGTGCTGAGTCAATGTGGCCTCCAAGTTCGTCTTCGATGTCCTGAAGATTGCCGGGAGATGCCTGCTTCGTCACTTTCCAGCTGTTACGACTTGAGCTCTGTAATATCTCGACTCGTTTGCCTAACCGGAAGATGGCTTCACGGAGGAAGCTTCGATATGCAGTGCCAGTCATGGTAATCGATTGCAAGCCAGGAGGACGGCCCAGGGTCTTGAGGACCGAAGTCGTCTTGTACTGCGTGCGAGCAATGAGTACAGCATCATCTCCATGTGCGGACAGCCAGTCGCCACGGTCGAAGATGCGGACGGTGTCCTTTCCCTTTCCTGCTTCCAGTTGGTGGAAGGCTTTGATGAAGCCGACCTCATCGTCTACCTTCAGTTCCGGACGCGCAGCCATTGTCGCTTCTCCTGTCCGTCGCGGTGTATCGACGTACTGATGTGTTGCAATGTTGAACGTCGCTGTCGTCGAGAAGAGCACTTTACGCGTGGAGCACGCGTGTCAAATATGCCAGCTTGCCAACACTTTTGTCACAATTCACTTCTTGAGTCAAGGTGATATTTCACATGCTATCCTGCTTGCCAACACCACTCTTGGAGATCGTGAATGTTGTGAGTAACCGAACCGATCGCTATCAGCTGAGCTGAGGGACGCATGTGGAGATGGGCCTCATCGTCGAGCCTCTACAGGAGGAAGAACTTGACGAGTTCATCAGGATCTACTGGTCGGCGTTCGAGCCTTTGTCTGCCAACATGTACTTCCCTATGATCTATCCCAATGGTCTTAAGCCCGATCTCATAGCCCGCATTCGAGCTCGTATCCTGCGGGCAACCAAGGGCGACCTGGCATCCCACTGCTTCTGCGCCAAAGACACATCGTCCGGCTCCATTGTAGCCGTATCCTGGTGGGAGGAGGAGCACGACCCACCGCAGACTCAAGGACAGGTTGATGCAAATTTCGCACAGGCTTACGAGGCTCGCAATGACAGTCCATCTGTCGAAGGATTCCAAGCAGACCTGGACTACGCAGCGTTCAGAGCGGCCTTCTACTCTGAAGCGGAAGTCATGCAGGGCCGGCCATACATGACATTGAAGTTGCTTGCCACGAGCCCAGGGCACCATAGACGAGGCGCTGGATCGCTGTTACTGAAGCATGGCTTGGAGAAGGCAGATCGCGTGGGGCTGCCGGTGTACCTTGCCACAGGAGTGACCGGGAAGCCGTTGTATGAGCGGTTTGGCTTCGTGTACCAGCGGGACATGCCGATTAATTGTCTTGAATACGGTGGTAGGTCCAATGGGCGCCACTGGTGTATGCTGAGGCCCGCCGCCAAAGAAGGTGAGAGCGAGACGTGACATGTGGATAGCAATGGTATGCGTCCGCACACTTCATGGCCGGTATCTATATCTATCCACTCCAATGCAATATTCAAGGCAGTATCCGAAGACCTCCAGCCTCTGTGTCCTTTTGCCGTCTCCGCACCGCTTCACCAGCCGATGTCTAACCACCGTTCCCTCAACCTCACTTCATTCCCTCATCCCCCATCGACAGCATCCAGCACCAGTTATATTGTTTTCCAAATTTCAGTCATTCCGTCAAAAGGGTCAGGCAGGGCGTTGCTCACCGAGCTTCTGGTCAATGGTACCCCTTCCCCGTGGACGAAAGAAGCGAATCTCAATCAAATTTCGCCTGGGTTAAGGCCGGGCGTTGATTACCCATCAAGCTTCTGGTCAATGGTATACCCTCGACTCCTCCGACTTAACCGTAAACGAGTTCGATTCCCTGCACCGAGCCTTCGACGCACCGAGCAGAAGACCCCACCGATCCGAGGGATTTCGAGCGTACTTGCCGCGTAGTAAGTCAAATCCAGGGGTGACTCGAGCCTCTAATGAACGAGACAACCACACTTCTCTCTGAGGTTGAGTTCCTCTTCTACTAGCTTGTCCTGCCTTTCAAAGGTGGTTGATGGGTTGGGTGTTGTCTTTTGCTATTTTCACTGTCCTTTTCGCTACTTTATTGCTCTGTGGTGTTGATGTTTCTTTTGCCAACCTGGAGGGAGTCGGCGCCAACCACTTAGATCATCCTTATACAGAAGGCCAATCTTTTGTCCCGGTCCGGTAGAGACTGTTTCTCAACAATCCGGGGTAGGGGTTGGCCATGCTTTTGTGGTTCGTCAATACCATATCGTGCTGGTACGCCGATACGCACACACGCACTCTCACACACTACAAACAGCTGTTGATGGGAACTTTGTCTGAAGGTTGTACTGTTTTTAGTACATGACACTACAAAGGCTCAACGACACGGCATGTGCAACCCCCACGATGCCTGTCATTGCTCCTGCTCAGTGCTCTGTCCAGGCCTGATCGGCTTCAGCCGAACATACTCATTCGTGCCAATGTGCTCCAGACCGGTGCCATATCTTCCCTCCTTCATCGACCGAACGACATCCCATGCTGACCGCAAGCAGTCGTTGACTCCCACGCCCGACATCCAGTTGCCCGCCACTCGTAATCTGCCCTTGTACTCTCGCGAAATGTTCGAGTGAGCAGTCTTCAGCCGTTGCTCGTGGCCGACAGTGTACTGAGGGATGCAGTCTGACTGCAGATTCACCTGCCATGCCTCCGGTTCCTCCTTGATACCGAGATGGCGCTCAAGTAATGACTTCGCCAACGCCAACCCTTCCTTTTCGTCCGGAAACGCTGGCCAGCTATCCCAGTAGTGGCCACCAAGCATCACAGTCAGCTTCGTGCCGCGGGCCTTGACATCATCCTGGGTGTTTGGCCTGTCGGGCATGTTGTACCATGCAAAGTCATTGACGTTGATCAGCCGCCCTTGGTCGCGGGCTTCCTTCAGCTGGTCCGGACTACTGATGTGCCAGTTCTCCATGTTGACGTCGTCGGGTGATGGTGAGTAGGCGGTGTCGAAGACTACTCCCAAGGCTCGCTCGGGATTGTTCTCGAAGGGAGTCGCGAGTGGTATGAGGTAACCAAAACCGGCTGGCGCAAGATTTGGACTGCGAAAGTACAGATTGACGGTCATCACCGTGACTCCAGGGATTGCCGGTACAAGTTCGGATGCTTTCGCCTGGCGGATGTTCTTTAGATGCTTGGGTGACAGCGTTGATATTGCGTTTGCGAAAGCTGCTTCTCCAGACTCTGTCTTTACTGTGACACCGGATCCAGTCTCAGACATTGCCACGGCTTGGACCGGCGATGATGTCTGGAAATTGACCCTGCCAGTACCCACGAGATGTCGAACAAGTCCATCACTTAGCATTCCGAGCCCATCTCTGAACGTAAAGGCCGTCGTATCCTTCAGTGTATCGCGCAGTAGCGGGTCCCACTTGTGACTCTTTATAGCCCGCACATATTCCCCTTCCTGCTTCGTGACTTCAGGGCCATCCGCTCGAGCTTTCGCGAACCCGCCAAAAATGCTTCCTGACTGTGCTTCATCCCTCCATTGGGTTGGGAACAGACTCTTCGCAGATAGCTTCCACACGTCGCCGGCGTAGATGCCGTGGAGAACACCACTCAAAAGGCGGTTGACGACATTTGGGCCAATCCGCCGTGCGAAGAAGTCGCCCACGCTCTCATCTTGTAGACTTTCGTCCCGCTGAGGCTTGAAGATCTCCGACGCAGCTCCCCATAGCACGCCGTCAAATATAGGCTCCGACCACAGGTTGTACAAATTGCTGAAGAGCCCAGACGAAGGGTGAGGCATCCGCACGAGGTGGTCGGGGTAGTAGACGAAGCGGTTCCGCGCAGCTGGAGATGTGCGCTGTGCGAATATTGCGTCCTTTGCCAGGTCCAGCTCTTGCATCTGCAGCCTCGTCAACAAGAGGCTCTCTGCCCATCACCGCGAGGCGCTGTACTATACCAGTATACCCGCAAGTGCGCCATTGGAGGAAGGGCGTAATGTACGAGGACCGGCTTCAAACAGCACATTGCCATCCTTCACCGGCACACGCTTGGATGAGAGCCAGCCGCCCAGCCGGTCTGAGGCCTCGTATATTGTAACATTGGCTTGTGGAAGCTCTTTGGTGATGTAGTAGGCGCAAGCGAGGCCTGTGATGCCTCCACCCAAGATGGCTACATCATTGCTCGTGGCTGGCTCAGTGCTGTATGCCCTGAGCCGATCCGCTATTCGCAGGTGGGACGATTGACTGTAGAGGGGCCGAAGATGTGATACCGTCGTTAACCCATTCCGAAGCATTTCTGATTGATCAATAAGTGTCGTTGCAAATGAGCGCCAGTGGTCGGGGATGGCTTCGCTTGTACATGGCTTGGCAGGCTTTTGAGGGCGACGCCGCGACGCCATCGCGACTTCTCATTTCTGATCAATCACTTCTACAACAACTTCGCAGCTAACTTATGGGTCGAGACTGTAAGGTTCGTAGAGGTTACAGACTCGAGAGATCCTACTGCTTCGGATAGTTGCTATTCACGCCTCAATTTGTGCAAGACTCTTACGACAGCATCACGACGAATGGCTCTTGTAACTACACCGCATCGATCCGGAACGCTGCAGGCACGGCACGGCTGCACGATGCTCCCGATGCCATCCATCCACCGCCACCTCGATCTAAATGCAGCATCCTCCAAACGAGCTTGCAGAGCAGTTGGCAAAGCGACAGGCTGCTTCTTCGCATTTTGGGACGATCTGATTGACGAGCTGTCCGAAGATCTTCGAATCCTTCTCAGCCTTACGCACGACCGTACGTTATAGTGGTCTGCACTCCTGGATCGCGTAGTAATGACAGCTTCCTGTTGGCCAACCATGGAAGCTACTGCTCTCGCTAAAGATTATTTAATCTTCACCGAAGAGGAAGGTCCGGGAATGTATCATTTAGTCAGCGCCAGACAGCGGTCTGTTGTTCAGCTCGTTCTTGGCTTGATAATGAGCGGACATACGTGGACCTCCAAGAGGCCGGTGCCTGCATGCTACCATCGAGTCTCATGTGCAGAGCTGTCGTCGCCACAGACTGAAGCGCCTTCGGCGACAACTGCTTGAAACTCTCCGTGTAGCTTAGCTGAGCTTTCGAAGTCGCACAATGTTGCTCGCTTTGCTGGCCAAGACTGTTGGAGCGGCCCGAGCGCAGAGAGTGCATGTGTCGCCGTTACACAGGTCACGTAAAGTAGGTCTGCAAGCACGTCCTGCCGCTTGACACTATGATGTCGTTTCGAGTGATCAGAGGGGCAGTCGACTCAATATCCGCGGAGCTCAGTGTGCTCAATCTTGAAGATCGTTCAACTCAGCGTCGAGTACAGCTTAAGGAGGAGCCAGATGGTCGTAGCATCCACATTCCAGTAAGAAGTGGAATCACCGAAGAGTGGGAGTGAAGCTGGTTGAAAAGGAGCCCAAGATCTTGAAAATGGCGATACCGTCAGCAGAAGAGGTATACAATGCCCAAGGGTACAGCTTTTGGGATGGGGAGGTCGACATCTCGAGGACACCCTCCCCCGGCATACCGACGAAACGCATGCGGACGGGCTTGAGCGACCTCTCTCAGGATATGCAAGAAGAGGCAACATGGCAGGACGAGTACAACAACCTTATGAGAGTGCAACAAACGCCGGAGTCTCTTGGGTACGAGAGCGTTGGCTCCTTCAAGACGCTGTTCTCGTCGAGCGACAGCCCGCACACACAAGTAATCACCAATGGGAAGAAGAAGATGCAGACGGGGTGCATACCGTGCTTGTAGGTTGGAGTTCTCAACAGCTCGCGGAAGCGCTGTCTAACTTGCTGTAGAATCAAAAGCATACCGTGCGACCCGAAGAACCCAGAATGTAAACGAGCAATGTCCGATGACTGGAACCTCAACTACCAAGAGGAAGGAACCTCACATGACGGAGTGGTGGCGACGCCTAACTCGATGAGCCTTTCAGTCTACCAGCCAGACATGAAATGGCGTCGAAGTTGGCGGGAACGACACAGCCTGAACTTCTTCGTCAATTTCAGCGCTCCTCAGATGGCCGGGTTCTTTGACTCGTCATTCTGGCAACGAATGGTTATTCAGACATCATACCACGAGCCCGCGATCTTACACGCTATTACCGCGATTGGAGCGCTTCATGAATGCATTATGCAGCGGTCCTTCGCAGACGAGACCAGGAAGGCCCGCGCGGTGGAGTTTGCACTCAATCAGTGTAACAAGGCCATATCCTGTCTGACGAGCAGCCAAAGGACGTCCACAGGCCTTGACTTTTCCAGGCGAAGCCAGAAGACACCCAACTCGAGACTTGCGCTCACCACCTGTGTCCTCTTCACCTGCTTCGAAGCGATGCAAGGGAGGTGCGACAGTGCAGTGAATCACGCTCTACAGGGGCGACGACTACTCGAGGCGACAAGTCGGCCGCACGCAATCACCATGTCACCTGCTGAAGAGGATGATCTTGACCAGATGCGACCGATTGTAGAGCGCCTAGAAGTTCAAGCAACCGCTTTACTCGACAAAGGGCGCCGAACTGATGGCGAGGCTGCCGATCGGATTCCTTTACTGCCAGAGATTGAATGCGTCTTCAGCTTGGATCACGCTCACAACACATTACACACTGCGCTGAACAGTGTAATGCGATTCATGCAAGGCTTTGTACCAACAGCACCTCCGGAGCAAATTGCGACCAACATGGCCGAGAAGTACATGCGATACGTCCCTTGGTTTGCGAAGTGGGAGGCCGCTTTCACAGCCTACCTGGCAGGGTGTCGAGAGCAGCTGCCCAACATCGACATCAAGCGAGCGATGGTTCTGAAAGCCAACCATCTCGTCGGCACCATGCTTGCCTCCGTCGACCAATCTGCCGGTCCAGTCGCCTACGACGCTTACGAAGCCGAATTCAGAGCCATCGTCGACCTCGCACGAGAGGTGCTGGCCTCCTTCTCTTGCCCACCACTGCCTACCTTGACCGGCGGCAGCTCGGGTACGCCCTACCTCTCCTTCTCGCTATGGGTCACAGACCCGCTCTGGATGGCCATCTCCCGCTGCCGTAACCCGGGCATCCGACAAGCGGCCTTCACACTACTATCACAGAACCCTCGTCAAGAAGGCATCTGGCACGCAGGCCCACAGATGTCCAGCAGCAAGTACATGCGAAGGGTCGAAGCCGGACCGAGCTTGCTGAAGGCCAAGGAGACTGTCAAGGGCAATCACCCTCCTGATGCGAACAAGAACAAGCGCAAGTATGCGTCGAGCAACATGAAACGGTCTGGCAGTGAAGCTACTTCTCGCACTGCGAGTCCGCGAAATGATGCATCATCTGGGTCTTACGGATATGCGGACGCGGCGGCGACGACTAATGGGAGGGTTAGAGCTGAATGGTAGGAAGACCGAAAAGATCTGCTTGTGCGCATGTAGCTGATCGCCGGTCAAAACAGGGTAGACCTAAAATCGTCCATTGACCGGTCGAGCGAGGGTGCGATCTAGTCGAAAATGCTACCTAGAGACGAAGCGAACTGACCAGGTGCAGAGTACGAGCGTGCGCGAGCGAGCAACGTGAGCGCGAATGTCAGGACGGATGAAATGCCGCCGCGGTATCAATCGTATTGCAAGGGCGACTGCAGCATACCAAGACAGGGACAATTGGAGCTCGCTGCTATGGACTTCAGTCACACCAGCTGACCTTTGAACAATGGGTCTTTCGCGATGTACGACCTGAAGCTGCTGGGACAATGGAGAGGTTTGCCTGCGGCTTGGTGATACCAATCTCTGGTCGGTTGTTGTGCTACGCTGCACGGCAGGCTGCAGCTTCTCGCAATCACGCGGTGGACAATGCCTTTAGCTGAGCAATCCATGCGCAAAGGCTTCGGTCTTCGCCAGCTCCAGACGAGATACTTCTCTGGTCACAACAATCGCCACCAGCTCGTCTGTCAGACCTTGCACCACGCCTTCTCGGTCGTCTCACTTCTAGGTCTGGGCCATGGCCTTCCCTTTCTCACCTGGCGGGTTTCGCAACCGCAAGGATCACGACCGAGCCTTGCAACACCAACATCAGCGCGGTCTCGAACGCCGGCACACCGGTCCGTTCCTCAACGTCTACGGCGACGTCTGCATGCCGCCACCACACCGGCATTCATGGCACGACCACCACGACACTCCAGGCATGAGCATCCCTTCCGACCGCTTCGAAGAGATAAGCGACTACGACTCCTTCACCTCCACCTCCACCGACATCCACGATGGTCGCCATCGCCACGGCCGCCGCAACTCTCGACACCACCCCCACCACGGCCGCTCCGGCCTCACCTTCCGCAAAGCCGCCTCCACCCTCCACGCCACCTTGGACCGCTTCTGGGACGCCTGCACGGGCATCGAGCGCGACTTCGACCGCGAGATGGAGACCATCCGCCGCTGGGCACCACCCCACGTCATCACGCGCCTCTGGAAACTCAAAATCTCCTGGGACGGCCTGCCGCCCGAAGACACCCCGATCCTGCACCGTCGTCCGGAAGAGGGGGCGTGGTGTTTCCGCAATCTCGCGCGTGCGGTGCTGCGCGCGTGGGAGGATTTGCAGGGGGCTGGAGGCCCGCCTTGGGAGGTGCTGGAGGTTACGGAGTCGGCTCTTACGCGCGGGGAGGTGGAGACGGCGTTGAGGAAGCTCGGGGTTACGGTGGGTGGGGTGCGAGAGTTGGTGCGGTTGGTGAGGGAGGAGAGGGGGAAGATGGGGGCGTTGGTCGGGCAGGTGGAGGATGGGTTGAGGTGTTTGGAGGGGGTGAGGGTGGTGTGGAAGACGGAAAGGGGGGAGGGCTATAGACATGGGCATGGCAATATTCATGAGGAGAGAGATCGGAGGCCACCGCATGATCCGTATGATAGACGTGATCATGGGGATAGATTCGATGAGCGAGACCATGCAAGACGCAGGTAGACGCAAACATCTCAACACTAGCATCTATTCCCTCCCACCACCCGGCAGAGTCGAAAGGCCCTTCCAATCTACACCTCACGTTAGCACACCACCACCACACCGTCCATCCACTAATCTCCAACTCACCGAAAGCAGTCCTCTCCTCGTTCCTTCTCGAAACCACAACCTCATCCCCCACCCTCACCACCTCCCCCTCGGCCCCCGGGCTCATAAAACTATACCGTCCAAAAATCGGACTCCACTTCGCTCCAGGGTCAACGCGGCGATCACTCGCCAATTTCTTCAACATGCTCCCCTGCTCCCCCTTCCCCTGCTCACCGGTGTCATAATCAATGTTGATACTCCGGCAGCGAGAGCAGTTGTGCTCGCATTCTAATTTCGCTTTGCTGCTGCTGCTGTCTCCGACGGTTAGTTGGGCCCAGAAGTCTTCTTCCCAGACTGCGCTGGCGCCCGAGACGATGATGTTGGGGCGGAATTTCAGGATGGAGTAGTTTTGTTGGTCTGCCGGAAGGCGCGCGAGGACGGAGTCCATGGATTTGGAGGAGACGATTAGGTAGGGGGCGACGTCGGCGAAGGCGATGGTGGAGGGTTCGGCGGTGCCTGTTACCATGCTTGTGGCCTTTGAGGCGGCGGTGGTGAGGGTGGTGAGCCAACTTGATCCGGTGGAGGTGTCGTTCGGTTTGCTGCCGAGATTCGACATGCGGACTTCGCGCTTGTAGTCGCCGATGTAGGCGAGGATGACTTCGTAGCCTAGGCAGGAGGAGAGGAAGGTGTTGAATTTATCGGGCATTTGGTACGCTTGGGTGGGGGATTTGTGCATCATTACGTCTATGACTTTGAGGTCGGCGGTGTCGGGTTCCAAGGGGATATCGATAGACTTGGCTTCGCCGCCATCGGTGGGTTTGAAGGTCACGGTGAGGGTAGAGGTGGAGGAGTCGATGGATTGCCAGAAGCGGACGAGCTCGTTGTTGGGAGCGATAGTGATGTTTTTGAGGGTCGGGGCGCCATTGTCTTCTTGTTTGGCGAGGACCATGAAGCGGCGGTCGTAGGGGAAGCCGTATTTGGTGAGGGTGGCGGAGGGGACTTCGACGCCGCGCATGGACTTGATGGGGTAGACGTAGAGCTTCTCGATCTCCATGTTGGCGGTTGCTTCAAATTGAAGTAGATCTTCTTTTACCAGCTGTCTCGAATGACTAGGAGGTTGAGATGGGACGGCGGGATATCCAATAGCTTAATGGAGACGACGAAGGAGAAGAGGGACATGTAAGAGATGAGCACTTACTGTACCTACCTACCTACCTCCACCCGCCCTTGGGACCTCTCTGCGGGGCCACCCTAGCCCGAGGCCTACCTTCTCGAGAGCTTCTTACCTCATGAGCTTGCTTGGGAAGAGGGAAGAGAGTATGGGGTAGTGATGGGTTGTTCGTCGGCGAGAGCCAGGGTCCGAAGTAGACTGGCAGGTCACCGGTCAAAGGTACATGTAGATGTTGTATACTCGTGAAGCCCCCAAACATTCCGATGTCGTGCAACTCCCAGCACATTGAGTTGTGCCATGCTACCACGACTATCTCGACCAAGTCTGCCGTCGGTTCGATTGTGGCGGATGGGTGTGGCACGAACCGGACAGCGTCGTGCCCGAACACCTGACATCCTGGACGTTGCTCGTCATCTTCAGCTCTGCAGGACTCGACGGGCTACTCGGATCTTGCATTGGCGACGTCTGCTGCCAGGAACAGCTCTTGCAGCGTGGCGCAGCCCCCTCCTCCGCCCCTCGCCGTCCGCTCTTCCTGTCCCACGTCGACTGGCTGCAGCTAATCAAGACGACGATCCAGTCAGAGCGACGGGACGAGCATGTTTCATGCAGACGGCGGGAAGACGTAGATGCGAGATATAGCATAATCGATTAAGCCTTGTCCATTGTTTGCGCCGAAGCACTTATACCGAGCCATGTCACGCGCAGCTTCTGACACACTCCCGGCGACTGCTGTAAGACTCACTGTGACATCGTACCGCTTCCCGAGTTTGCCTTGCCAAGCGCCCGCCGAGCAGCCTCACAAGTACGAACCCTCGGCGCAAGAGGACTGAGTAACCAGACACCACCGACGACCCTCCACGACGACCACGGACCCCTCGAATAGCCCACATTCACCAGCGACACATCGCGACTGACCAACACCACGAATCGCGGCCTTGCGCGCCGCCACACCCACCCGCGCAAGACAGACACCATGGACGACGCAAGCCGACTCCGAAGAAAAGACACCACCAAAGGCCCGCCGCTGCGCATCCTGTCGCTCGATGGCGGCGGCATCCGCGGCTACTCCATGCTCATCATCCTCGAACGGCTCATGCACAAGACGTACGTGGAGATGCACGGCGAGGCACCAAAGGGCAACGAGATCCCGCGGCCCTGCGACCATTTCGACTTGATCGCGGGGACAGGCACGGGCGGGTTGATTGCGCTGATGCTCGGGCGGTTACGACTGGATCTGGATACTTGCAAGAAGCTGTATGTGAGCATGACGAGGAGGGTGTTTGAGACGGACAAGACGTTTGCGGGGATACCGTATAAGAGCACGTTGTTCAAGGCGAGCAAGCTGGAGGATGCGATTAAGGAGTGTGTGAGGGCGCATACTGTTTCGGAGAGAGAAGGGAATGATACTCTGGCGAATGCGACGCCCATGACATCGGATATTCCGGGCTCGAGTCCTGCTAGTGCTGGAGGGCCACACAGATCGCTGAGCCAGAGCAGTAGATATAGTTCAGGCAGCGTCAGCCCGACTGGAAGGCCCATATCGTTTGGAAGCCTGACGTTTGGCAATGCGAATGCGCTGCTGTATGACCAGCGGGACAACCGAACCAAGACGGCGGTAACTGCGGTATACAAGGGCACGAATGTCACAACTCTCCTACGATCGTATGATTCGCGAAAAGAGCCGGCGCCGGATGTCAAGTGCACGATATGGCAAGCTGGCCGAGCGACTTCAGCTACGGCTATGGCCTTCAAGCCTATTCAGGTGGGCCAGTCATGGTATCTAGACGAGGGCGCAGGGAAGTACAATCCCGCACCTCTGGTTCTTGATGAGGCCGTGCAGAACGAGTGGCCTGGCAGAGATGTCGGAGTGTTCGTGAGTATCGGAACCGGCAAGCGACCAGCAGGCACCAACAACCGCTCACACGAATGGTGGGAGGGCTTCCTCGGCGGTAGCGTTGGAGACTTCGCCGATGCACGGAGAAGGCTGATCGCAAAGCTGGAAGACTGCGAGAACACCCACCAAGACATGGTCAACGACCGCCTCGCCAGCCGCGGCGTCAGCCCAGAAAACTACTACCGCATGAACGTCGAAGTCGGCGTTGGCGAGTTCGGCATGAACGAATGGGCCCGCCTCTCCGAAATCGACACCAACACCCGCACCTACCTCGCCCGCCGCGACGTCGACGCCATCACCCAAGGCTCCGCCGCCAAAATGGCAAAAATCCACTTTGCCAAACAACGCCACGACCGCTCCGACACCCGCGGCAGCGACGCCGCCCACAGCATGCCCCGCTACAGCTGGCAGAACAACGCCGACCAGCCGCTCCCCCTCGCGCAGCAGCAGCCCGCCGCGAACTCTTTTGCTGTGGAGCTGCCGGGCGACGACATGTACTACCAAACCCAGGGTTTCCGCCCCGGCGCGCAGCAGTACAACCATTCCCCGAGCATCGCGGATATGAAGTACGCCGTCGTCAGCAACGACTACCACCACCCGCAACAACCGCAACCCACCTCCCCTCCTCAAAACCACTCCCAGACATCCCCCCGCGGCAGCTACGACCGCCCCTCCCCACCCCCTTTACCGCCTAAAACTCCCATCCAGAACCAAGCTCTCCCCTACCCGGACGCAGGGACTCCTCTGAGCGCGACGAGTGCGATGACCCCGCAGAGCCCGCCGGGCTATGGCCCGAGGACTTTTACGAATATGGGCAGGGGGAGTTTGGGGAGGCAGGGGTTGCCGTATCCGGATGTCGAGGGCCCGGCGCCGAGGGTGAATCGGGGGAATAAACCTACGATTAGTCGGTAGGGGGCCATGTATTTGGAAGGGAGGGGGCGTTTTGGAGGGCGTTTCAGGGGTGTGATGTGAATGATGATGATATCCCATGAGCTGTTGTTATGAGCTCTTTGCTTCTTGTCTTTTGATGTTGCGGGAGGGGTTTGCATTGTGCATATTTAAGGACCTGTAGATGAGTCCACGTTTCTACGACAGTCTTACCAAACAGAATGCTTAACCCTCATCTAGCCTCCGTTCTAAGCACACCCCTCCATCCCCGGATCCACCAGATCTCCAAACCCAATCGTCCCCCCCTCAAGATCAAACTCCACATAATGCCCCTGGAAAAAACTCTGCCCCACCAACCACGCCCCCGTCCCCCGTCCCAGAAGCCCATCCAAAGCATTCGTCCCGCCCAGAATACTCGTGCAGTTATCCTCCCCATGCGGATAAACCCCCCAGGCCTCCGGCAAGACGTTGAACACCCGCGCCTTTTGCCCCGGTTTCAGCTCCGCGTGCGGCGGGAACGAGAACCCGAGGACCGGGGGGCGGGAGCATGGGAAAAAAGCTGTCAGCTCGCGGACTGGGTGGTGGGGGTGCACGGGGTTGGCGCCGCTGGCGGTGTGCGGGTGGAGGTTGAGGAGGGAGAAGAGGCGGTGGGCGGCGGGGAGCGGGGCTTGGATGTTGTCGGTGCCGGAGTCGAGGATGAGGTATTGGGAGCGTAGTACGATGTGGTTGTTGAGGGTGATGTCGCCGCGGACGATGTAGGTGTTTTCGAGGTCCGGGACGGTGGTAAGGGGGTTTTTGAGGTGGTGGGTGGCGCGTTTGCCGAGGACTGTTTGGCCTTTGCCGCTTGTGCCTCCGGGTACGATCAGTCAGGTTTTGCTTTTGAGTCGTTGGGATGGGGACATACCGAACAGCAAGCCGAGTTTGCACTGCGAGATGGCTTTGTTTTTGCAGAGGTTCCAGAACCACGAGTTGGCTCCGGGGGTGAAGGAACTTGAGCGTGCGCCAGCAAAGCCGATGATGCCGTCGCCTTGCATTGCGTACGGTTTCGGTGGCGTGTTGTAGTACTTGTAGTCCGTTAAGCTGCCCATGGCTTGGTGTTTGACGGTCAGGCCACCGGCGGAAACGGTGTCGGTCATGGTTGTGCCATTGAGCTGTGATGAAGTATTATTAGCAAAGGCCACTAGCATGGTAAGATTGTTTGACGTACTGTCTCAAAGCCGAAGCCACCTCTGCTGACGCCTTCGTAGGTGATGGTGAAGTTCTTGTGGCCTTTGTAGGGCTTTTGGTTCTTCGATGGCTTGTACCTAGCTGCTGTCAGTCACAAACTTGGTGGCAAATCGTCATCTGAAGTGATAGACAATCGTACACGCCCTCATTCATCAACAGGTCCGTCGACCCAGTGTCGATGAGAAGACGGACGGAGTCTGCATCTCCAACAGAGAAGTTGGCGAACCAGTAGAGCGTTTTGCCGAGCTCGGATGGAACGCTGCCACTCTGTCGTTTTCGGGGTAAATTATTGCTGTCAGCATAGTCACGATGCGAAGCAATGGAGAAGGAGTCCACAGCAGCAGCGTGTGTGAAGCTGCAGACGCTAATCAGCGCCAGCAGAAGCGTCGCGAGAGGACCCATTGAAACCGTTGAAGCTTGAGGAGAGCTTTAGTTGAGAAGCTTCGAACAGTTGGACTTGGCAGATTGCAATGATATATGCAAATAAAATGGCAGCCCCGTATTGTTATATTCTTGCGCTTGAGAGCCTTCCAGTCCTCCAGATGTCGTATAACATCCCCAAAACGGAGAAGAAGCAGGCGTCATCAGCGCTAGTTCGATAGGCGCAGGCCGAAATGCATGAGAACTAACACCTTCCTCTTTGATCGCCTCGAGCAAAACATTGGAGGCAAAGATTTACTGAAGCACATATCTGTGTTTTGCAGCGCTCTGTTCACGTCTGTCCAACGCGGCGGAGGTGCATAAGGGTAATGTCGAACGCAGAACAGGAATTTGACGGAATCTATGGAAAAAATGACACTTATACCAAAGCTGAGATGGGATAGGAGTACGGTAGGAACAAACCGTGGGACATGCATCTTTGAACGGATTTTGCGAGGCTTTGCGAAGTGGCAGATGGTGAGCGCCGGGTATGATGATTTTTTCTGATCCGACCAAGGCTGCGCTTCACTGATCCAGCAAGCCTCGCGAACCGGTAGCTGAAGTGCAGAACCGAACAGATTGCCATGATTTACCGCAATGCCTGGGAGCGAGCTTTCTCGGTGATGGACGTAGCAGGATTCAAGCGGCCCTTGGAGAATGTGACTTGACGGACATTGTCGAGCCGGTTGTCAGATGCTGGCAGTAGTGGCCCTGCCGGATGCCGGGTGGAATCTAGCCAAATAGTCGTGCTGGCTTGTTCCAATCCTTAACCACGCTGTCATCGTGCTTCAATGGATCCGCGAAGGGCAGCTTCGAGACCACGCAATGGCGTACTTTCGACACTCTACACTTGTGGAGTCCAGTCCAGGTTTGAGAGCGCATGCTGGAAGCATAAGGCATTCTCTTCGACGGTTCGTGATTGAGCAGTCTTACTTTAATTCTGATACCAGGGCTGAGTGCACTCGGCGGAACAGAGTCAGTAGCACTTGATAAAGCTCACCGGCGTGGCGGAAAAATCTCTGACCGGATGGAAGTGGCCTGATCGCGGTCCAGTGCTGTAGGTTTGGCGAGAGACGCAGCGCTTGCCCTATGCCAGCCGGTCTTTTGAGATGAGGCGGTCGTTCGCGTGTCTCGCTACATGCGCTTGACAGCGTCCCGGTTCAGACGACACCAGGTAGTGAGAATCCAGAGGGTCTGGGCATGGCAGCGCATCCAGTCCTCCCGCGATCGCAGTCAAGGGTGGTAATACCAGTCTGTCTGCGCTGTGCAAGCCCATTTGCTCTCTCGAGCCCACTGCTGGCTTCTGATGCTAGGAGGTATTGCGTGTGGTAGGAGGTCGAGTCATGATCGGATCGATAGCAGTCCCCGGTCATGGAGCGCTCACCAGGATATGCCTTCGGGAATTGGGCAGCAGCGTCCGGTGTATGCACTGTGCGCGTTGGCTCGAGTCCATTAGTAGCTGGGCAGTGATAAACTCCGCAATCATGCGAACTGCGTTCATCTGTCTTCTCCCATCTCGTCTGCTGTCGATGGGGTTTGAAGGTGTCGAGAAGGCGCGTTGCGCTGCCAGCTGAGGTTCAAAGGCTAAGAAACACGCCACCAGATCGCCAGCCACTCCATATGCATGACAGCGCAGCAGAGCTGTGCATCTGGCCACTCACAACCCGCACCGCTCCTCCACCCTCGCCGACGAGGAGGCTCTTGTGTGCAGACCGAGCACCCCCGAGCAGTACGACACTCACGACAAAACACCATATTCCATCGCGTACCTACAGGCCATCTCGCGACTACACCTCGGCGACAAACTATACCAATGGATATGCGACAAGACACTTGATCCACCGCCATAACACAGTTTCCTACGATCCGAAGCAAACGGCCACAGTCTAAATTGACCAGCGCATTGGGAAATCGCAAGAATGTGGAAAGCGGCATTTAGCGGTCGAAGCGAGACAGGCAGCGTCTCAGGACGCTCGACCTCGTCGAAGAAGAAGAGCTCGGGTTCGTCGCGCAAGTCGGAGGATGAGAATCGCAGACCTGGAAAATCTTCGAGAAGCAGCACGTACGGCGACGAGGACAGCCCATCGACCTATGCGACAGCGCCGAGCTCTCGAGTCGGTGAGCCGCGCTCGTTGACTGAAAGCGCCGTGGGCTTGCTCAACAACGATGATGGAGGATGGGAGGACGATGACAGAGATGCGCGCAGCGAGCGGAAGAGCGTCAGGAGCGAGGGGAGGAAGCATAGGCGGAGGAGCGAGAAGGAGAGGAGTCGGAGCAGGTCGCGAGAGACGACCCACAGTCAAAGGCACCGGAAGAGCAGTCACAAGGGTTCTGAAGTCTCGCGCAGGAAGTCGCGCGATGCTGACGGAGGCGATGAGAGGGCTATACCGGACATGGGAAGCTTTGAACAGTTCCCAGGTCAATACGCTGGAGGTGCAATGGGGCAGTCTGGGAGACAGGAACCCATGATGTCCGGCGCGTTGCAGAACACACCCAATAATCAGTTCGGTTTGAGCAGGGCCGACAGCTACGGTGCTGCTGCGGAATACTATCTGGATGAAGGACAATCTGTCACCGATCAGCCTGGGATCCGCGCGAGCACTCCGAACATGCTGGTAAACCCGGACCTTCACTTAATCGCACCAAGCGCGGAAGCGCAGCCTGCTCAAGACACCGGGCATGGATCTGCTGCCGACTTCTACGGCGGCAAAGTCAGCCCAGTACTCACTACCGAGCCACTGCCCGCGAGACCCAGCAAATCTTCATCAACAAGCAAGCAATCGAAGCCAGGCAGAACTCCGTCGTTCGGGAATGCTGCCGCGGCGACTGCTGCGGGTGTTGGATTTGGAGCAGCAGCAGCCAGCAGCGCTAGCTCATACTATCAGTCACAGAACCAGACATCAACACCAACGACCTCGTACCAGCAATCGCCCAGCAGTTCATCGAAGCCAGCTTCGAGACCGATCCGCCAAAGCTCCGAACCGGTGACGTCTGGATCCGCTGGCGCATATTACGCTCCTCCGCCTCAGATGGGCGCGTCTTCGGGATCTACAGGTAGGCAGAGCTCACATACTAACACAGGTTTGTACGCAGCAGGCGCCGCCGCCGCTGGAGCAGCGGCATATGGGATGAGCCAGCACCACGGACAGCATCCATCGACTCCGTCCGCGTCGGCATATGGAGGAGCCGCATACTCTCACCCACCTTCGTACCATCAGCAGCGGCATCAGCATCAGCACGGCGCGAGCATGAATGGCAACATGCAGCAACAGCACTTTCACGAACACAAGGGACCAATGACGCGATTGAAGGATGGCCTCTTCAACCTCATCTCGAGCGAGGAAGATACCATCAAGATGGAGATGTATACGGAGTACATCGGGGTGTGCAAACACTGCTTCGACCCTCGATCTTCACCCTACGATGCGCCACGACGCCATCACTACCATAGCCCGAGCCGGCGCGGGTCGATCGAGGACTTGCGGAAACGCAGATCTAATGAAAGGATGCGCCGAAGCAGCAGAGAGCAGCTTGGCCGTACCGGCAGCACGCGTGTCGACAAGGACAGCCGGTACTACTCTGACCGCAAGAAAGGCGCCAGCAAGACTGATCTGGTTGGTGCTGGGCTTGCTACTGCTGGAGTGGTTGCTGGCGCGAATGCGCTCTTCAACAGCGACGCCAGGAACTTCGATGATACTTATAGCGTCAGGACTGGTCATCGCGAGAGCTCGGCCGTGAGGCGGAGAAGCCGGAGCTCGTCACGCGAAAGGAGGCGGCGAACCAGCTACGGCGTGATTGGAAGAGAGTCGGGCGACGAGTACATCACTGTGCGCGGCAAGGACGGCCGCATGGAGAAACGAAAAGTGCACCGGTCACGTTCGAGGTCTGGCGATCGGAAGTCGACCCTCATGGGCGCGGCAGCTGGCGCAGCTTTGGGCGCTTCTGCGATGTCAGCTGCTGGCCGATCACGCCGAAGCCGGCAGCATTCTCCTAACGGTGCGTTCGTTCGCAGGCGCTCAGGGAGCAGATCTTCGAGCGGGAGCAGTCGGCAAGGGGGTATGTTTGGAGGCTTCTTCTCACCTCCTCACCGGAAACGCAGAGGCTCTCGCCCGGAGCGGCGCAAGAAGGAACGCGGTTTCTTCAGCTTCGGCAACGACTCGTCTGCCTCTTCGGACTCTGAGCTTGCGTTCGGAGCCACTCGAAGCGATCTTTCCCTGCGACGCAAGCCTTCCACAAAGTCCATCGGCAAGCGCAAGAAGTCTGACGAGCACATTGCCGCAACTGTGGCAGGTCTCGGTGCTACTGCGGCTGCTCTGGCCGCAGCGCAGAACGGTCACAGACTCGGCAAACGCTCCAGCAGAATGGAGCTCGGTCCTGGCAGAGATGCGAGGAAGCGCCAGATTGCTCGCAAGCAAGGCAAGCAGGCTACTTCGGACGACGAGTGGGAGGATGAGCTGCCTTCTGATGCTGATGATGCGTCGAGTGGATCGGACCTTGCGTTTGGCGACTTCGACAGAAAGCTGTCGCGTCAGGGTAGCAAGGAGAGTATGAGCTCGCAGTCTTCCGGTGCCGGCGGTTTGAGTGCTTGGGGCTGGCGATGGGGTGGCAAGGACAAGAAGGACAAAAGGACGAAGCGGCGGAGAGTCTCACCGGAGCCACCGGCGTATCCGCCGCGTCCTGGGCACCCTGGCTATGGTGACATGGCTACTGGTATTGCAGCCGGTGCCGCTGCTGGCGCTGGTCTGGATGCAGCCCGAAGAATGTCGCGCCCTGAAAGCACATACACCTCTGGCCCAAGCACGCCCCAGCAGCCGATGCAATATGTTGACCCGCGACCGATCTCAGACGCTGGCAGCCTTCCCGGCTCACGACACCCTTCTATCCCAGGCGACTTCGACGCGCCGTATACCGCTGCCGCTCGCCCGACCATCTCACCCGTGCAGCCGAAACCCTTTACTCCTATCAAGCCTTCCTTCACCCAAGACACACGCGACTTCGACCATGACCGTCCCATTCCTCGCCGCAGTCAGTCAAGTCCCGTACAGCAAAGCAGCTGGGGCAAAGACGCCGCGCTCATCGGCGCCGCAGCTCTGGGCACCGCTGCCGTCATCGCAAGTCAGGGTCGTAAGCCAAAGGATGTCCGCTTTGGTCTCACCGAAGAGCAAGAGCGGAGGCATGAGGATGAGCGTCGGAAGGAGCAGCAGAGGCTCGATGAGGAGAGGCGGCGCGCTGATCGGACGAGGGCGCTTAAGGAGGAGGCTGAACGGCATACGCGTGAGCAGGAAGTGCTTAGGCAGCGTGCTGAAGGCAACAGGCGTCAAGCGGAGCTCGAGTTGGAGCGGCAGAGAGCTGCGCAGCGGGAGGCAGAGCAGCAGGCTGAGATCGTGCGGAGACAGGAGCGTGAACGCATTGGGCGAGAGGAGCGCGCTCTTCGTGAGCGTCGAGAAAGGGAGGCTTGGGAGCGAGAGGAACACGAACGTCAGCTGCGCGAGAGTCGCGAACGTGAGGAAGCGTATATCCGCGAGCAAAGGCGCCTGGCAGACGAAAAGCAGCGCGAACAGCGCGAGTTCGCTGAGCAGCAGAGGCGTGAGCATGACCGAAGGACCAGCGAGCGGCGTCAGTACGAGCGAGAGGAGGAGGAGAAAGCTAAGTCTTCTTCTATGCCATGGGGCGCTATGGCAGCTGGCGCAGCGGCAGCGGGCGTTGGGGCTTATGCTCTCAATCAACATGAGCGGAACAAAGATGATGAGCGTGAGGCTCGAAGCACTGCGCGAGAAAGCACCCGTGAGCCGTACGTGGCTCGAGAAGTGAAACCTGCGGGAGTTCTAGAGAAGGTCGAGTCTGCGGATGATGTTCTGAACGATCCCGAGTTCTTCAAGCGCCAACGCAGCCGAAGCCCAGCAGAATACGCCCGCCACGTCGACGAGCTCGCGCGGAAAGCAGCAGACAAGGTCCAATCCGTCAACACCGTCGTGGCCGAGAACGACGCGTACTACGCCGAGCCGAAGCAAACGCAAGCAGAGTTCTTCGCGCCGAAGGAAATCCTCTCCCAGCCTTCTGAGGGTAAGACCAAAGTCGCAGACCCGATCGGCGACAACTCCGTCCAAGTGTACAACGCCGCAGACGACAAGATGCGCAAGGAATTCGAGAGCAGCTGGGGTGGCACGTTCGCCGACCCCCGACAGCATCCTCCTCGTGGCGTGCCGAAGTTGGATTTGATTACGCCTACGCCGCCTCCTGATTCGATGCAGAGGAAGCGGAGGGAGACTTCCCCTCTTACCCGAAGCCAAGATGTCGAGCCGGAAGTCGAAGGAAGGGGCAAGACTACGAGGAGCAGGAGTATTTCTTGGGGCGCGGATCAGACGCATGTTTATGACGTCGTGACGCCAGATTCGATCTATGAGAGGCAGTCATACATGGACAATCAACACGACTATGCCACGCCCGGGGTGGCTGCGGCTGGCATCGTTGCTGCTGCTGCCGCTGGCGCTGCGTTGGACGAAGTCGTCGTGGAGCCGGCTTCGCCTAGCGACGAAGAGGGCCGGCGGACGTATCGCGAGGAAGACTTCCCCAGCGTGCCGAAGCCAAGTCCGCGGCCCGACGATTTCGACGTCAGCGTCGAAGAGGTTTTCGACGAGCGGGACGAGCCTCGCTTTTACGCGCAGCCGTTCCATGACTCGGTGCCTGACATCGGCGGCTTCGGCGGTTTCAACGTCGACTCGCCTGGTACGGAGGGTGCACCGCCGGTGCGGGGATTTGTTGAGGGTGAGACGGATGAGCCGACGCCTGCGCTGGAGAGGGCGCCGCATGTGCCTGGGGGGTTTGATGAGGAGGAGGCGCCTTCTGGGAGTGCGATAGATGTACCTGCCGGCGAGTTTGGGACGGCGGGAGAGAGTTCTTGGGAACCGCCGCTTACGAAGAAGGAGAAGAAGAAGCGGGAGAAGGCTGCTAAGAGGTCTTCTACTCTGGATGATGTAGCTGCAGTTGAGGCGGGGACACCGGAAGTTGAGACGGCCATGGAGACTCCTGCTCAGCCGGAGGAGGAAGGTGATTACTTCATGAGCAAGAAGGACAAGAACAAGCGGGATAAAGCAGCAGCGATGGCCGCCTTCGCGACAGATTTCGAACCCGCCGGCGATGGTCGCGAGGTTTCTGCTCCGCCTGAAGACGACTCCGAAATGTTCTTGAGCAAGAAAGATAAGAAGAAGCGGGAGAAGGCGATGAAGAGAACAATGTCCGAGGACCAAACGCCACCGCCTGCTACCATTGAAGAGCCAGTCGCACCCTTCGAGGAGCCAGCTGAGGTCAGCCGCGACGTCGAAGAGGAGCCAGCTTGGGAGCCGCCTTTGAGCAAGAAAGACAAGAAGAAGCGCGAGAAGGAGGCCAAGAAGCAAGGCTTTGCCGATGTGGCAGAAGCTGTCATGACTGCTGGAGGTGTTGCTGCGGTCGCTTCCGCTGTGGTTGACGACTCAAGCGAGTCTTCGTCGACGCCCAAGAAGGGGAAGAAGGGCAAGAAAGCAAAGGCAGTGGAGCGGAATATTCGCGATATCGAGCCTGCTGAGAGTGCCTTCCCGGAGTCGAGCGTGCCAGAGTCGACCGAACCCTCCCACATGCCTGGTGGGTGGGACAACGAAGGCGCAGAAAAGGAAGCTGAGACGCCAGCGGAGCCTGTTGACCCTTTCCAGTATCAAATGCAGGACGACTACACTACGTCCACCACACCCCGCGAAGCCGATCCGTTCGCGGAGTTTGCAGATGTCAAGAGCTCGAAGAAGTCGAAGAAGAAGAAGCGGGATAGTTTGAAGTTCAACGAGCCCACTGTCAGCTCGCCTCTGAGGTCTGGTATGGCCGTCGACGACTACATTGGCGAAGACGTCTCTGGTTCTGCTCCTACTACTACGAATGGACACGACACCGCAGCTACTGAGCAACCGCTGGAACCAACCACCACGTTTGCAGAACGCACCGTTCAGCCTTCTGGGTATGCAGTCGACGAGCAAGCGCTTCCGCCGACCGACCATCGCATATCGCCAGACGATCTGCGATCAGTGATATCAGAGCCGGCTGCTCGCAAGTCGTCGAAGAACGAGCGTTCCTACTATGACGAGCCAGAGTCGTACGATGATACTCGGTCTGTGGCAGCCTCAGAGCCAGTCGACACTTACGAGAGCGGGAGAAAGTCAAAACGCCGCTCTCGACACGAGGACGACGACACTGCCTCAGTGGTATCTTCTCGTTCGAAACGCGAGAAAGAGGAAACGCCGGCGAAAGAGAAGAAGAGTGGTTTCTTTGGCATGTTCAGCCGCAAGTCTTCTGACACGGTACCTCGTTCGGAAGGTGCAGCTTTGAGCCGCACGTCGACGAGAGACGGCAAAGACGACGAAGCCGATGATGGCGAGCGCAAGCACCGCAGACGCAAGCATCGAAGCACCTCTGAGTATGGCGATGATGACGATACCATGAGTGTTGTCTCCAGCTCTTCACGGAAGCACAGAAGCCGATCTGAGAAGGACTACGGCAGCCAAGAGCGCGATCGCTCCCGCGCAAGTCGGTACGCCGACGATGACCTCGAATCGCGCAACGGAGATGGCAGTCACAGGCACCATCGCCGACGGACCGAGGACGAGAACGGCGAGCGACGCGAGAGCAGTGGCCATCGACACCATCATAGACGCAGAACGGATGAGTACGCCGACGACGGCAAGGACCAGTCTTTTTTAGGGATGCGGGTAGAGGATTTGCCGCCTCTACCCGATAGTCGGCGACAGTCTCTGGACTCAGCATGGCAAGAAGATGGGCAAGGGCACGGCAACCTTGTCTCTGCCGAGCCAGATTCTCTCACGGCTAGCCGTGATTTCGCCGGAGCGGTTGATGCCAGCCAGCCGGTGGATGATGAGCAGGAGAGAGTCGAAGGACCAGCAATCCAAGAGGTCCACGAAGACCCCAAGCGCTTGTCATGGGCAGACGAGGTCGAATATCTGCCCGCGCTCCCAGAGTCTCCGCCAGGCTCTCCGACACTGTATGCCGAGCCTGATACGCCGCAGCGACCCTCATCTCTGGGAAGACCTACATCGACCACTGCAGTACCACTTCGCTTCCCGTTCGGCCATCAACCAGTGACTCCAAGCCCTCGCATGGAGCGCGCTGCCAGCTTCGGTGGCACCATTCCTTCCACCCCCACCACTCCAAGTTCCGCGCAGAAGTCTCGCCAGAATCGTCCAACCTCAACTGAGATCAGGCCATTGTATCTCGTCGAACGCAACCGAAAAATTGAAGAGGTGGAGGAGATGCTTCCAAGCCTGCCATCCAGCAAGCCGTCAAGTCGAGCTTCGAGCATGGTCGGTAGCGACGAGTACCTATCTGCTGCGGAAGATTGGGATAGCCCTCAGCGTCGACGGGCCCTGACCATCGACACTGACCAGGCGAACGAGGAGTGGGCAGAGTGGCAGGGTGAGGATTACCTCGACTCCCAGCAGACTACCCCTCGAGCGACACAGTCGCCTGAGCACTATTTTGAAAAGCCACCGCGGTCGGAACCTCAATTCTACACGTGGGAGGATTATGCGCGGGAGGAGCAGATGCGGAATGGTGGTGCTGCTGCGCCTTCAGACGATGGGAGGGAAGAGCAGCCGTCCACTTTCTCGGCGGCTTCGGAGTCGGAGGTGGAGGGCTACTTCCCTCCTCAGGTGCCTCGTGAGGATGTGATTGGTGGCGATGAACTTCCTGCGCTTCCTCCGAGCAGGCCGGGCTCGAGGACTGATGATCGAGGGACCTTTGATAAAGTGGTCGGTGTCGCAGCAGCAGCGGCTGTTGGTGGAGCTGCTGCTCTTGGTTATCAGGCACTCAAGCCTGACGAGGAGAGGGAACCTACTGAGGAACCTCCACAGAGAGAGGTAGCGGAGCCTTCGGAGCCGGTGCCGGATGCCTTCGAGGAGCCTTCTGAAGCACAACCTTCCGTAGCTCGAAGCACCTCGGCCAAGAAGAAGAGCAAGAAGGAGAGCAAGAAGGGCAAGAAAGGCAAGAAGACCATCGAAGAGCCGAAAGCTGCGCAGCCGGCGCTTGCTTACCAGGATCCAAAGGAGTTCCTGGCCGATGATACGTTGATGGAAGAGGGTCAAGCAAGTGGCCGAACCGAGCCCCAGTCTGAGGCTCCAATTCATCAGCCAGATGGATTAGATCGTTCCATTGCGGCGGAAGAGCAGCGGGAGGAGGCAGCTACTGGCGAGCCTACTCCAAGCTTTGAGGCTGCTGCAGTGCCAACGACAGCCCGTTCCAAGTTCGAGGATCAAAGTCAACCAACGCTCGACCCGGCTACAGATCAGCCCCAAGAATCGCAGGGCCAGACCAAGGAGGTCGACTCATCTGAGCAGTCTCGGGATGCCAACGACCGCACCGTCGATGTTGTAACCGCGCAAAGTGAACTTCTGCCGCTCGGTGACACAGCGCAGTCCATTCCTGATGACGACGTTGATGAGTTCATGGACGCTGAGGAGCGGATGGAAGGTGGACAGCCGACAGTCGTTGAAGCCGAAGAGCCTCCACCCCAAGATCCTTCCATTCCAGTAGAGACATCAGACGAGCAAATGCCAGCAGTGGAACGGGAAGCAGAGGTTGCGCCCACTCCGCCCGCTGAGGTGCCAACACCGATGGGTCTCCCGGACTTGATGTCTCGCAAGAGGTCCAAGAAGGCCAAGAAGCAAAAGGCTGCGCCGATTCTGACAACCAATGATCAGCCCGGCTTTGAAGACGAGAGCTCGACGAAAACGGTCGCAGAAGACACTCCCGAAGAGCCGGGCGATCTGAGTACAACTGTGGAAGCCGGCATCCCTCAACCTACGGCTTCTGAAGCATCAACCAGGGACATCGTAGCCATCCAAGAAGCCCCTCAAGTTGAAAGCCACGACCAGCATGTCGAACCCACGCCCGACCTTTCGTCCTTGACTTCTACCTCGCCAACTACCGCACATGCCACTTTTGGGTCTCCAAGCTCTTCCGCGGCACAGCGCCTTTCCATGAACCTCGAAGAATCTACTCCGGCTGAGGCGGCTGCAACTAGTCAGTCGGCCGAGGCCCCAGTGACAACTGAGGAGACACTTCAACCTTCCCAGCCAGTACCTGATGAGCAGACAGCAGGTCAGCCGAAGCAAGAGGATCTTTGGGAAACCAGGCCCTCTCTTTCTCGCAAGAAGAGCAAGAAGGACAAGAAGAAGCAGCAGAAAGAGGCCAAGCAGAGCGCGACTGTCGAGGACGAACCGAAGCCTACCGAGGAAGTCACGACTGACGTTCCAGAGCAATCCAATGAGGCTTCGCTCGACACACGTGAGGTCAGCGAGGCTGCTCTGCCAGGTTTTGACGCCGGGCAGGATGATCTCCACGCCCGCGATACCATCGCCCATGAGTCCCAGCCCGAGAATGTGGCACTTCCACCAAGCGATGACACCGACCTTGACGCCGAAGCAGAGCACGAGCTTAGTGCGCCTGTACTTGGCCCTGCAGCTTCAATTGCCGATGTGTCCGATGGTGCTCTGTCCGGACCACCGCTCGATACTCCCGCAACAAGAGAAGTCGACAATTCCGCAAGGCAGCTCGACCAAGTTCCCGAAGAGAGCACACCAGCTTCAGAAGCTACGAGAACACCGGAAATTATCAACGAAACTATCGATCGGCCTCCAGAAGAGCCAACATCGCCGGTCGACGACTCCGGGACAGGTCTTCCGTTAAGCGACCTCAAGAGGGGAGAAGTCTCCGGTGGCGACAAAGACGCTAGACCTGTCCTTGATGACGACGCACCAACCGTCGTTGAAAGCGCAGCCCCGGAAACTGCAAAGGAGCCACTGCCTGCCTCGGAAGAGGTTTCTGATACACAGCAAGCAGAAGCTTCAGTCGAAGAACATCACGGAGACGCCGGTGCCGCAAGACCTGATGAAGAAGGCCCTCAATCCGAGGCTCTGCCAAGCACCGCAACTGCAGAGGAAACGCCGCTGGTTCAGAGCGCGGACCCAGAACCAGAAGCTGAACCAGATTTTTCTTGGGCTCCTTCGTCAAAGAAGAAAGGCAAGAAAGGGAAGAAGAGCAAGGGCACTGCCGCACGAGACGAAGAGCCGACCGTGGTTCCTGGTTCCACGGATCCGGCCGCCGCAGATGATGCGAAGCCTCCAACAGAGGCTGTTCCTGAAGAGGTACCCCAGATCGATGAGCCAACTACAACGTCTGAGGTCATCCCAGCTTTAGACGAGCCTCCCGCTACGCAAGAGCCAGAAGCGGAACCAGAGTTCGAGTGGGCTGCGCCATCGAAGAAGAAGGGCAAGAAGGGCAAGAAGAGCAAGACTGGAGCTGCACTGGATGGAGAGCCATCTGTGCTGCCCCGTTCTACGGATCTGGTTGCCGCAGACGATTCGAATGCCCCAACAGAACCTCTTGCCGAAGAAGTTTCTCAGGCCAATGATCCAACCTTCACGACAAACGAGGTCGTACCAGCTTTGGACCAGCCTCTCACTTCACAAGACCTAGGACAGGAACCAGAATTCGACTGGACAGCGCCATCGAAGAAGAAAGGAAAGAAGGGCAAGAAGAGCAAGAGTGTCGGTTTCGAGCCGGGATCTTCGGAACAGCTGCCTCAAGAGCCCGAGCAGTTGCAAGTCGCAGATCCCGATACCACCACAACCAACAACTACATTGAACCAGACCGAGCATTTGACGAGCCCAGCCGCCCTGACACCGATGGACAGACCGCCCCGACCGAGCCGTTGCCTGCGGAAACGGCGATGCCAGAACCAGAGATTGACTGGACATCCTCCAAGAAGAAGGGCAAGAAGGGCAAGAAGAGTAAAACCGTCGGCTACGAAGCAGAACCTTCCGAGCAGCTCCCCCAAGAGTTGGAGTCGCAAGTTGCAGACCCTACTGCTACCGAAGTGGAGGCTCCCTCTGAACAGGACCGCGCCATCGACGACCCTGTCGCCGCTGGCATCGACGAACAGGCCTTTTCAGTCGACCCCTTGCCAATCGAGGAGGCAGTGCCGGAGCCCGAGATTGAGTGGACTGCGCCATCAAAGAAGAAAGGCAAGAAGGGTAAGAAGAGTAAAAGCACCGGCTTCGAGGCAGAACCACTGGAACAGCTGCCTCAAGAGTCGGAGCTACGAGTAGCAGACTCTGCAGCCAGCGCGGCGGACACTTCTCTGGACCAGGACCGCGCAGTGGACGAGCTAGGTGGAACTGCCGTCGACGAACAACCCACTTCCGCCGATACGCTACCAGCGGCAGAAGCAGTGCCTGTGCCTGAACCAGAGATCGACTGGACGCCTTCCTCTAACAAGGGGAAGAAGGCCAAAAAGGGCAAAGCTGCTGAGCTTGAAGCGCAGCAGTCGGAGCCACTTTCTGTAGAGCCAGGAGCGGCCGCTCCAGAGTTTGCCACCGAAACAGCGGAGCCTTCCCTGGCAGACAATCTCCAGACTGACCAGCCAAGTACGACCACTGTGGATGAACAGATAGCTTTGGAAACCCCGCTGCTGGGCGAGGAGCCTGAGTCAATCGAAAAATCGACATCAGTGATCGAGCCGACTCCAGCAGAAGAGCCGGTGTTGGGACCTGAGCAGGAGCGTGAGAGTGATCGTGAGCTTGTGCCTGAGCCTGATCCCGAGCCCGAGATGGACTGGGCGTTTACTGCGAAGAAGAAAGGAAAGAAAGGCAAGAAGAGCAAGTCTCTGGAAGTGACAGAGGAGCCGCAAATGGAGATGCCTGGCACCACGACTGTGGATGATCAGACAGCTACAGACTCTCCACTGCCAGCCGAGGAGCCAACGACGAGTCGGGAACTGGAAGTGCCGACGCCAGCAGAGGAGCTCGTGCCGGAGCCTGAATTCGACTGGACGTCTTCGTCGAAGAAGAAAGCAAAGAAAGGCAGGAAGGATAAGTCTTTGCAAGTTGCAGAGGAACCCGCAACGGCACCATTGGAGGAGTCCCCGAGCCCGGTTGCAGCAGATATCACAACTGATGCAACCGAACCACAACCCGAACTTGGCGACCCGATTTCGACCACGCTCGACACCACCACGAACGCAGAGGAGCCAACGCCTGCGCAGGAGACCGAACCGGAGTTCATCTGGGAACCTTTATCGAAGAAGAAAGGGAAGAAGGGCAAGAAGAACAAGACTCTTGATTTCACTGAAGACCTGCCAACACCACCAGCCAATGAAGTTGTTCAGCCTGCCACGGATGTTGCAGACACCATCACGGAAAACCCTCGGGAACAAAGCTTGCAAGTCGATGGGCCTGCACCCGCAGATGGACCACCGCCGACCGAGGAGGCGGAGGCCGACGTCACCTTCTCGAGTGCATCCAAGAAAAAGGGCAAGAAGGGCAAGAAGACGCCGTCTTTTGTTATGCCAGAAGAGCCGCCTGCCCTTCCTGAGGATGACTTCCCGCCATCAGTCGAAGAGCCACAAGCGACGACAGAAGAGCCACCAGTGACGACATCCGAGCAGCTTGCGCCGGATGACACAGATGCCACAGACACCGCAATGGAGACCCCTCGGGAGCAAGATGTACAACCTGATGACTCAATGGGGACCGAGGCGGACGTGACAGCAACTGCGGACGAGCCAATGCCAGCTCAAGAGGCTGATCCGGAGTTTACATGGGCTGCTGCACCGAAGAAGAAAGGCAAGAAGGGCAAAAAGAGCAAAGAGGCTGCCTTGCCAGAGGAGCCTGTTGTGCCCCGTGAAGTCTCATTGCCACCTGCTACTCCCTCAGAGACCCCAGACGCCCCAGACCCGTTTCTGGAGACGGAGCAGGCGGAGCTCAAGCCGGATGTCGATGATCTCTGGTCTGCATTGCCGTCCTCAAAGAAGAAGAAAGGGAAGAAGGCTAAGACAGGGGCGTTCCAATGGACACCAACTGAGGAAGAGCGCGAGCCTTCTTCGGAACCTTCAAACCAGATGGAGGAAGCTCTGGAACGCGATGGGACGTCTGCGGCTGATATCCCTGAGCCTCAAATCCTTGATGTGATGCCACCGGAAGAACACACTTCGCAGGGAGGTGAGGTAGTCCCAGATGATGAGCCGCAGCAAGACACTATGGCGCTTGACAAGGATTCAGGTGCCACTGACCCTGCGAGCTCAGCCGAGCCAGCGTTGGTGACTGAACAATTGGCAGAGGACAGCCGGGACGTTGGAGCCATAGTCCAAGATGCCTCTGAGACGTCGCCGACCATGGCAATGGATTTGTCAGATGTTAGTGGACCTGCTGACGCCGACGTAGCAACAAGAGCACCCGAGGCAGCTGAGGCCACTCTCGAGACTACGCTCAATGAAAAAGAAGTGCCGGGGTACGCTGGGCCGCACGAACATTATGGGTCGGCTGAACGTCTCGACGAGGTACAAGACAACGCTGTTACGACTGAAGAGCCGGGCAATGATGCTCCTGCTACGCCGACCGCTGTGCCAGTTGAAAGTGAACAGCTTGCAGAACCTCGCGAGACCACGTCGCCCGGGCCACAAGAGCCCAAGCCAACTGAAGAGGACGAGACCGAGTCATTCTGGGGCTTTACCTCGAGCAAGAAGAAGGGAAAGAAGGGTAAGAGGTCGAAGCAAGTGCCGGAGCGTGAAGTCCAACCGGAGGCATTGGAAACCAACCAAGTTGAAGACCAACCGCAGGTGGATCTTGTCAGCGAGCCCACGGCTGATAATATTGTTACTACGTTGGACGAACCCCAAGCAGCAGTCGAGGCTGACGCCAATGACATTTGGACATCCTCTTCAAAGAGCAAAAAGAGTAAGAAGGGCAAGAAGTCGGCATCTGCGCGACAATCGCTCCCAAGCAGTCAGCCACGAGATGTCGAACCTGAAGAGCCGGAGGTTGCAGGAGCCGATCCTGCAGAGTTCGAAACCACCGAGGTCAAGCCGACTAATGTCGAGCCCTCAGAGATCGCAACAGCTGAACCCGAGACTGCAGAGGTCGACAAACCAGATGTCGAGCCTGCTGAAGTCAACCTTGCGGAATTAGAGTCCATGGCAATTGACCCTGTGGAAGCTGGGCTTACGACTGCCGGGGCCAATGAGGCCGAGCATGCAGACGCCCAGCCAGCAGAGGCCACGCCCATGAACACCGAACCCATCGAAGTGGAGTCTTTGCATGCCGAGCCTACGAAGGGCGAATCTACAGAGGTGCAGCCTGCGACGGATGAGCCCGAGGACATCTGGCAGGCGCCTGTCAAAGGCAAGAAAGGCAAGAAAAACAAGAAGTCAACAACCACTCCAGAGGCGGTCGAGAGAGACGTAGTGCATGACTCCACCTACTATGAGCCGACGACCGTTGCCACTGCAGATGCCGCTACGAACCTTTCTCAGCCAACTCCAGCTGATGAGCCTGCGGACTTCTGGCCTGCCCCCTCCAAAGGCAAGAAAGGCAAGAAGGGCAAGAAGTCGGCATCTCTGCAGCTGCCCACTGAAAGCGAAGATGCAGACAACGTCGCAAGCAAAGATGTGCCGCGGGGTTCTGGTGCAGATGCAATTGCAGAGTTCCCTGAGTCGGCAACAGCCGAACCCGCGGACATCTGGTCTGCTCCAACGAAAGTCAAGAAGGGAAAGAAGGCGAAGAAGAATAAATGGAGCACGTTCGACACGCCTGGAACCGACGAGCCCGGTGGCGGTGAAGAGAATCGGGATGCTGCTGCATTGCCTGGTGATGCTAAGGCCGCCGGTGACACTGAGGTCGAAAGGACCATCGCAGAACCCGAAGACGTGCCATTGCCAGACGACACTTCCGCTGGCGAACTCCTACCTCCATTGCCTGAATCACCCGCCCATAATGAGTTTCAGGCGCTGGAGCTTGCTGACGGAATACATCAAGTTGACCAGAGCAACGCTTTTGATTCGATCTCTCACGACCGGTCACTCGACGAAGATTCACGGTTAATCGACTCAGGAAGTGAACATCTCAGAGAACCAGCAATCGAAGATTCACCTCGTCATGCAGAAGACGAGCAAATGCCAGAAGCTTCCGACGTTCCGCCTAAAGCGGCTGAGGATGCGTCGGCACCACTTCCCCCAGTCCCTGTGGGACCAACGGAGCCAGCTGATGCTTTGAGTGTTCCTCTGCCAGTGGAGGCAGATATGGAGTTGGACGAAAACACCGAGGGCAGCGCTTTCGAAGCGCCGGTACCTGATGCCGCTCCTGCAATGGCAACGCCTATCGTCCAAGATGAGCAAGCCTTAGTTCCTCCCACTGACGATCAGCGGGATGTCGACTTCACAAATGATGTTGCAGGGGCGCTGGCTGACTCCGGATTCAACCCTGCTGACTTCGCGGACCAGCCCATTTTCCAGCGGCGTACCTCGCCACCTGCAATGGTTGGAGAGGCTGATCCTGAAGAAGTCTTCACAACCTCCAACAAGAAAAAAAAGAAGGGCAAGAAGGGTAAGCGTGAGATGGCTGCTACGGAGTCAGATGCAATCGAAACAACGCCGGCCGCTGCCGAAACCAGGGAAATCAACGCACCCGAAGACCGCTCCGCAACACAGCCAGCAGACGACATCAACGAGACTATTCAGAAGGCTTTGGCGAGCACAGGGTTCGACAGTGCGCTTCTTCAGGAAGCAACGACGTCCAGCCAGGAAGCGCCGATCAACGAGCTGGCTGGCGATGGCGATTACAACTTCACCACCTCGAAGCGGAAGAAGGGAAAGAAGTCGAAGAAGTCAACGCCACCTCAATTCGAAATGGTGACACCGAGAGCGGACCAGTTTGAAGGAGATCAGGACGCGAGCGACAGTGTGACTGCACCAGGGATGTCTCAGCCTGTCGCAGATGATCAAAGAGTCCCACCCGCAGACGCAGATCCTATGCCGGCATCAAGAAGTGTGGATGGCGCTGAGACAATTCCAGATGAGACCACAGATAATCTTTACACCGCGGCCCAAGAGACCACCGACCTGCCTTCACAAGACACAATGCCTCAGCCAGCTGCTGAGACGACAGAGGCGACCTCCCAATTCGAAGTAGGTGGATACCATGAAATGGACCTGGAAGAAATGGACAAGGCCTACAAGATGTTCAAGAAGAACAAGAAGAAAAAGAAGCAGAAGGCTACGGCTTTGGAACCACAAGATGAGCCATCCAGTGCCTTTGAGGAACCGAATTCGGCCCCACGTGTCGAGCAGAATGATCAAGGTCAGCTAGGAAACGCAGATACAGCGAAGGCGCAAGATTCCGTCCGCTCGGACACTTTCGCAGACCAGGCGCAAGCACCGCGAGAGGTCGATACGTTTTCAGCAAAAGCCGAACGCGGCAGGTCACCCGCCGAGACGACATCGAACGAAGAACCAGCTGCGTCTCCCAAAGACGTCGCCGGTGGTTTGCTTGGCTATGTCAAAGCAGCAGCCACCGGTCTTTCCACCGCCGCCGCAGCTGCAGCAGGCCTACATCATGTTTCACAAGATGAGCCCGACACAGAGAAAGAACTTGGTCGCTCCCGAGACGTCTCAAGAGGTCACAGCCATCAAGATGCCCAGCCCTGGTCATTCGCCAACCTCGAAGGTCCAGGTGAGCCACTCCCGGAGTCTCCGTCGCTTGGTCAAAAAGCGCATGAGATCGCCAGGGACAGCGGCTACCAAGAGGCAAGCAGCCCGTTGAAGCAGCGCCATTCTCTCGACAGAACCAGTCGCGATACTCCTTCTATCCGGGCAACAGCGTCTCATGAAAGCCTGAGCAGCAGGAGATCTGCTGAGCCACTGCGGATCTCCACAGACAACACTGCATTTGACTGGGATCTCAATGTACCAAAGAAGCGCGACAATGCCACAGACGAGCTCTCGCAGGGTGGTCTGCATGCAAGAACGCCGAGTCAGGGCACAGACAATACTCCGCTCGAGTCCACGACCAAGAATCGAGCCTCGTATCTCTTCCAGGCAACACCTGATACCCTCCGAGACCTGCCTGCCAGCGGTTCGCCAACTCCCAGCGGACGGGCACCGTCAGCGGAGTACTTCGACAGCACAATGCCAAAGACGCCTATGGAGTCCCAGTCTCTTGAGGTTGAATCCTACTCAAGAGAGCCAGATCGTACTATTTCCTCGCCGCCGCCTTCCGGTACCATGAGCCCAAGGATTCCGCTTGACACCATCCCAGAGGAACTCCACGCACACAAGCGCACACTGGCAGAAACCGGGCTTGCACAGCCGGATAGCATCAAGTCGACCCGCCGGACTCAGACGCCTCAGACTATTCGAGCACGAGAGAGAGCACTTTCTCCCACGGCAGCGCCTCCCTTGACGACGCCATCTGGTGGAAGTCGAGCAGTCGGCAACCCTCTATCGACGGATGAGGTGATCCACAACATGCCATGGCCTGCCATAGACGAGGACGGTGGCAATGTCGGGATTGACCGATCTTTGGCACACAAGCGTTCCAGGCAAGCCTCATTGGACCACCGACCGACGAGCGTCATGAGCAACCGCTCAAACAAGAGTGCGAGTCAGATGCGGACGCCTGAAGAGCTTCGATCGTATTCACGCACGAGCAATCGCAGCTCAACCCCGACTCTAAGGCGAATCAGCCTGTCAGGTGACCTGCGGGCCGCTAGCCGGCGGGGCGATTCGGGATCTGCCGTTGGTGCCCGGTCGTCACCTCGCACAATTCCCTTCGAAGCTCCGCCAACACCTCCATCAAACGACGATGAAGTGATGGATGGGGGCGCGTCGCGCTCAGTCGACATGTCCGATGTCTACGTATGTAACCTATATTCTAATGTTGATGATACTGACGCGTTCGTACAGCAGGGCGTTGGCGATGCGCATGCGTCGCAAGTTTCGCCGACGCGACCACCCAGCATGCGCAAGCGCCAGAGCATGCACATCATGGAACTGGAGTCCAGGCTCAATCAACTATCGGCAGAGAACCAACTACTCCATGAATCGGGCCGTGGCATGCCAGATGAGCCAGACGCGCTCCGTTCGCGCGACCTGCAACTGCAGGAAAAGGAACATGAGATCTCCCGATTCAAGACCATGTTGCAGCCATTGCAGGAAGAGATCGCTCGTTTGAACGATCTGAACGCTGGTCTCACCCAAGCAAACCGCGATTTGGTGGACGAAGGCAACGAGCGATATCTCCAGCTCGACCAGGAACGGATGCACGCGCAGGAGCAGTGGCAAAACACCAATAGAGAACTGGTCACCGTGCAACAGGAACATGGCCGGCTCAACGAAGGCATGAAGGACATTGTTGAGGCTGAGGTTGCCGACAGGCTCATGGACAAGGACGCGGAGATCCAGCAACTGCGTGAAGAACTTGACATCGCTTCAGAAAAGATCAGAGCGCTGCAGATGCAGGTCCAGGCGACACGCGGTGACAGCGGCTTCCCGTACCGCGACGAAGACTACTTCGACGGCGCTTGTCAGAAGCTCTGCCAGCACGTCCAGCAATGGGTCCTCCGCTTCTCCAAGTCTTCAGACAAACTCAAGTGTCGTAAGACGAGTGAACTCAACGATGAGCCTCTGGAAACTCGTCTCGACAACGTCATTCTCGATGGGTCAGACGTCGACGTGCTCCTGAAAGAGCGCATCCCCAGGCGCGATGTCTTCATGTCTTTGGTCATGACCATGGTGTGGGAGTATGTGTTCACCCGATACCTCTTCGGTCTGGATCGCGAGAATCGACAGAGGCTCAAGCAGCTCGACAAACTCCTCACAGAAGCTGGACCACCGAAGGCGGTTGCTCAATGGAAAGCAACCACTCTCACGCTTCTGTCACGGCGGCCTGCCTTCGCCGAACAGAAAGCCAGAGATCTGGAAGCAGTCGTGCTTGACATCTGGGATAAGCTGTGCGCCCTGCTGCCACCTCCATCGAGTGCCAAGGAGAACTTGCTGGAGTCGCTGTTCAAGGTCGTCGGAATTGCTGCAGACCTTTCAATCGAGATGCGCATCCAACGAGCGGAGTACATCATGCTGCCGCCGCTCCAACCAGAGTACGACACGAATGGCGATCTGGTCCGGCAGGTGCACTTCAATGCATCGCTCATGAACGAGCGGTCGGGCATGTTCAGCTCGAACGAGGAATTAGAAGAATCGCAAGCGGTTGTCAAGCTCGTGCTGTTCCCGCTGGTGGTGAAGAAGGGCGATGAGTCTGGAGAGGGCGAAGAGGAGATTGTGGTCTGCCCGGCGCAGGTGCTTGTTCAAAGTGACAACTACAGGGGCAAGAGGGTCGTGAGAGTTCAGTCCGGAGCAATTCCGATGGAGATTGATGACCCCCGGCGTTCGAGGCAGAGCTTGATTAGTGCTCAAGGGAGCATGCCGTTTTGAAGTGATTGGGGTCGGCATATATAGCATTAGATATTGTATTGAGTTTTGTACATCTATATGCTGTTCCTCTTCCTCTCACCAAGTTCATGGCGAACGTCTGTATGACGATCTCAGAGAGCCCCCGTATCATTCTTGTACTGCTTCCAATCCTGCGGCGCCGGCACAGAAAGGATCCTGCAGACATCCCTCCTCTTCAACCGGAACTTCTCATACAGCCCCTTCCAGATCTCCCTCTCATCGCAACTCGCCACGTGAGAGCCACCACAGCTCGGCTGAATCTCCGTCAAGCCATCTCTCGGCCACATAATCCACGGCTTCGGCAGCGGCCAGTCGCTGAAATGGATGAGCTTCGCCTCTTCCAGCGCAACGTGCGGATCCCACTTGATCGCTGAAGCGGGCGCACCGTAGGAGCCGAGATAAGCTGCGTGGTCATCCCATCTGAACTCCATTGTCTGCAGCAAGTACGGCCGATGCGGCAGTACGAGCGCCGATGATCCGAAGCGGTCATTCAGCAGATCGCTGTCGTAGTGCCTGCTGTCGTCGCGGTCGGGCTGTAAACGCCACCACTGCAGTGTTTCGTAAATGTGCTTCGTCTCCGCTACATTGGGCGAGAGGACCATAAGTGTGCTTGCAAGCGGCCATCGGTCCCGCGGTTGATCTGACCAGTAGGCCCGCGGCATGGCCATGGTGGTTGGGGGGAGTTGGAACAGCTCGTCCATGTGTTGCTGGAGGATGCTGTCTCCATCGAAGTAAATCACGCGGTCATACTCTTCGAGCTCGAAGAGACGGAACTTGGTGATGCTGGTGCCGTAGTCGCTGGGTGATTTCAATGTGCCGGGCTCGGCTGGTCCGTCTATCGAGAGGAGTTGGACGGGCTTCATTTTTGCTCCATAACTTCGCTTTGCCTGCTTCAGCAGCAGAGTGGTGCGGTCTTCAGGGTCATCGCTGCCGCGGTCCCATTCTTCGGGATAGAGCAGGGCGCGGTCCGCTTTGCTGCCCAGTCTTTTGAGCGAGTCGAAGATCATCAGGGCGTTGCATAATGTGTGCGTGTCGGTGGCGTATTGAACGTAAGCCAGCCTGGACCAGTCTGTTGAGTCCCTTTCACCGCCCTGGAGAAAGTATAGCACGAACAAGATGCCACCGATTACTAGCAATGGGTTCCGCCATCGTTGGTAGGATAGCCGGGCTCTCTGGGACCGGGATCGGGAGGGAATCTGTAGGATCGGAATGCCGTGGTCATCATCGTCGTTGTACTTGAACGTGGCACCGCCCATTCCGCTTCGGTGAGAGGGGGTCTTATTACAGATGAAGGTCCTGGGACATGTGCGGTGGCGTCTTGACGTTGGAACTGGAGTCTTGGTTTACTTGGAGAAACATCTCAAAGGGGAAGGAAGTGCCTCTCGGCCAATCACATGCCACATCAGCTTGGGCGACATAAAGTGAGGTCGAGCAAGAGAGCTAAGAACTACAACAATGTACTTTCAAATGGCCTCTTGTTACGCTTCGTCGTTTCGAATTTCGTCGTTGTTGGTGAATGTTCAAGTGGCTCAAGAGCATGTATCCCAGGGTACAAACTTCGCCTGAACCTCACAGGCTCACCTGGACAATTTTCACTACCCAAATCTAGACCCGGCCGCAGTCACAACTCATCCTTGTGATCCATCTTCGTCTTCTCATCGAATACAGCGTTCGCGGTGGCAACATCGTTCTCCGTGAGCTCCACCACCTTATCACCGAACGCTGCGGCGATCTCTTCGAGGTTTTTATTTCGTGTCTCTGGGAACCACTATGCACTCCGTGTCAGCGTGATATCATTGAGGTACAACCGTGAAGAGCACTCACCACATAAGCACACACCAAGAAGAACAAAGTGCAGCCTACGAAGACGTAGTAGTAATTCTGCTCAATGGTAGCGAAGGCGATTGGTCCGGCTTCGGTGAGCTAGTAACGATGTGTCAGCTACGTTGTGAAGATGAGTCGCTGTTGTATACGTACTGCGACATTGACAATGAAGTGGCTGGCAGCAGCCAGGCCCATCAACTTCGATCGAAGGGGCTGAGCTTCTCGTCAGCGACTCTGTGATGGTTTTGTTCTTGCCAGAGGGGAGCATACCAGTGGCACAACCTCTGCGCCGTACAGCCATGTCGTGCTGTTCAGAAGCCCGTAGTCTGACGCATGAATGTCAGCGTACGCTAAGACCCGGATGCATGACATTGCTCACAGGTGCAGCAAAACAGGTATATCCCAAGGATAGCAAATCCCTTGCCAACCCGATTGTTGGTGTTCTGGAACTCCATCTGCATAATAGCTGCATAGATCTCTATCCCGATCACGCCACCCAATCCGAACAGGATCATCTTCCTGCGTCCCCACTGATCGGTCAACAAGACTGTGGTCAGGACGTTTGTCGAGAAGGCGATGGTGCCCTGAAGGTGGAGTCAGCAGTCCGCTTTGAGTCCAGTGTCTCCACGACGACGCGATTCAGTACGTACGTATGCGCCAGCCAGAGCCAAGATCGCATGCGAGCTGATGCCGAGCGATTCGAACAAGATGGTTTGATAGTATTGAATAACCTGTAATAGAACGGCAAGTGAGCAATACTTCTTTTGACACTTCGGCTCCAAGTTCTTACATTGACTCCCGTCAGACTGGTCATAGTCTGCACAGCAATGCAAACCAACGCTCGATGTCTGTACAATCGAAAGATCTCTGAATACGAAGTAACCTCTCGCTCCATCTCATACTCAATCTGCGCCCGCATGAGCGCAAACTCCTCCTGTGCTTCATGCGACTGCAAGTCCCGTCTGATCTTTGAGAATTCTTTGCGAGCTTGCTCGATCTTGCCATGCCGGATAAGCTGACGAGGTGAGTCTGGCATGAAAGTCATGAGGCCAATGAATAGGACAATGCCCCAAGGTATCTGGATACCAAGCGGAAGCCGCCATTGCACGGCGCCTTACGGAGCGTAGCTACAGGCAAACCCGACCCAGTTTGACATCATCGTCCCGAAGGAGATGCCGCAGCCCGACACTCCCGCGATGAGACCACGATGGTGCGGCGGCGCAATCTCGGATAGGTAAATGGGCACAGTGCCAACCATGCCGCCGACGGCAAAGCCTGCGACGCAACGACCAGCGAGGAACATGCCCATGTTGACTGATGCTGTCTGTACGGTGACGCCGATAGTGACGATGATGCAGGCCAACTGCATAAAGCGAATACGTCCTAGCTTGTCGCCGATGAGGGTCTGGGTCAGAGCTCCTCCTGCTTCGCCGGCGATATAACTGGTGCAGTCAGTCGATGGAGTATGCTGTCTCTGTTGAATCGCTTACACAGCAACAACAGCACCCGTCAGCCCATCCGAAGGATGATGCATGTAGTTCACCCAGCTATCATGAGCGATTGTCGTAGTAGCAATGCCAGTATCAAAGCCAAAGAAGAACGTGCCAATGGCCGCGAACATGGCCACGCCTAGGGTGTAGAAGTCGACAGCCATGGTGGCGTCTATGTTCTAGCAAGATGTTTTGACAGGGCGATGCTAGAGAAACCAACCAACATATACGAGATTGTAGAGCGGATGAAATGTATGGAGGGGGAAGATAGGAAACTCCTGCATAGTCTTACCTCTGCTCGCGTCCGTAGCTCGAGGGTGCCAGAGCATCTCGCAAGAGCTCCGGTAATAGCACGGTACACTGCTACACGTCCTCGTACCCACGGGGCCTTCGTCCGGTATGTCCATGTGCGGAGCAGACACCTCGCTTGGTGATACCACTTGCAGGTGATGTTGCAGCGTCGTCACCTGGAAGTGAGGAGGTCGGGAAATGGAAAGCAAGCAGCAGCCGGCAAACGCCGTCCACTGCCGGTATGCCGACGATCACGTTCGTTGCAACATGCATTCTGTCCGATTGAGACAAGATCCCGACAGCCAGCAAACAGGAGATCATGAAGATCAACAACAAGATCTCTACATCCAAACATCCAGCCCCTCTACCCAAGCAGGGCGGGCGGGCTGGCCCTAAAGCGATAGATAAAAACTCCGCAGCACCACGCTGAAATACTCAAGACAGCCAACCAATTCCACCTCCACCTCCATCTACGTCCCACCCTCTCCCTCAACCTTGCCCTTCACAGACTCCTTAAGCCGATTCGCCATCGGCATATCCTTTGCCTTCTGCACCATCTCCTCAGGCCTCAAGTGCCTCTCCGTAATCCTGCGATCTGGGCTCTTAGGCCTCTCACTCCCAGCCTTTCCGTTAGGCGCCAAATGTGTTGGATCCGCCCCATCCTCCTGCGACTCCTTCGATAACGTGCTGTTGACCAGATCGTTCGCCTCCTCCTGCAAATTCGGCATAGCCCGTTCAGGCTGGTTGAGATAACTCTCCAGCATCTGCTTCAGCGTGTCCGCGCGAACGGGTTTGGCGAGGTAGTTGTTCATGCCCGCTTCGAGACACTTCTCGCGATCCCCGCGGATGGCGCTGGCGGTCATGGCGATGACGAGGATTTCGCGCACACGCTTGTCGGCGTGGTTGCGGATGGCGCGGGTGGCGTTGTAGCCGTCGAGAACAGGCATCTGGACGTCCATCAGGACAAGATGGAAGGGGTGGTTGTCGTCGCTTGCGCGACCAAGGGCATCGACAGCTTGTTGGCCATCGCCGTAGGCTTCGCAGCTGAAGCCGAGTTTCTTGACGAAGCTGATGGCGATTTTCTGATTGATCGGGTTGTCTTCTGCAATACAGACTTTCAACTGATCGCGCGGAATGCCGGCCAGACTTCCAAAGGGGCGCTTGTTCTCGCCATCCTCTGCGGGTGGGGTGAAGATGGCCATGGGATCCGCTTCTCTGCCCGTGGGCGTGATCTTGCCGTTCGGCTCGCCGTTTGTTGTCGACTTGACCTTCTTGAACGACATACTGAACGAGACAGTAGTACCCACACCTGGGGTACTCTCAAGCCAGATACGGCCACGCATGACATTCTCAATGATGGCTTTGCAAATCGACAGACCCAGACCAGTGCCACCATAGCTGCGCGCAGTGCTCGAGTCCGCCTGCGAGAAAGGGAGGAATAGCTTCTTCTGCTGCTCGCCGGTGATACCAATACCAGTATCGATGACCGAGATGGTCACCTTGATAGACTCCTTGTCCTCGTAATCGGCCTTCGCCTTGACTGTGACTTGGCCTTGCGAAGTGAACTTGTACGCGTTCGACATCAAGTTCATCAGAATCTGATGCAGCCGGACGGGATCGCCGTACACAATCAGCTTCGGGTCGATGTCCAGCTCCTCAATCGTATGCAGACTCTTCTCCACGTTCGTGTACGACAGCGCCCTGACCACTTCACTGATCGTCTCATTCAACGACAGCGGCACCGAGAAGACCTGCATCTTGCCAGCTTCCAGCTTGCTGAAGTCCAAGATGTCGTTGATGACGCTCAACAGTGTATCCGCACATACCCGGATCGAGTCCGCATGGTCCTCTTGCTCCTTGTTTAGCGGTGTTCCCTTCAACATCTCGCTCATGCCAATGACGCCATTGAGCGGTGTCCGCAGCTCATGCGAGACGTTCGCCAAGAACATGCTTTTCGCCTTCGCCGCTTCGTCTTTGAGTCGAACCATCTCCATGGCTTTCGCCTCAGCAGCCTTGGCCTTCTTCTCCGCCTCGCGTGCCTGGGCAAGAGCCTGCTTCTGCACCTCGAGCATCGAAGAGTTGCTAGCCGACACCTTCTCCGCCCGCTTGAAGAGCAGAGCGTTGGCGATGGAAATTGCAATCTGATTGACGAGCAGTTTGAGCAGAGTCACCGTGCGCTCAGTGAAGATGTTGGGCGGTGCTTGACAGTAGACACTGCCCATGAGGACGCTGTTGCCGTGCAGGATGGGGAGGGCAATGGTTGAGACTCCTTCCGGATTGGCTTCCAGCCACCACTGTGGCACGTTGGCGAAGCGTTCGTCATCCAGGACGTTCCGTAAGAAGACCTGCTCTTTGAAGCGTAAGGTGTACAGCGTGACTTGCTTCCCAACCGGATCGTCGATGTTTTCCAGCAGCCTCCCAGCCGGCGGTGTCGGGAACCCATCCGCAGAATTCGTCGCCGCGATATACCACCTCCCTGTATTATCTTCGACACAGATGCCGCACAAATCAGCACTGGTAGACTCAACGATAATCTCCGTCAGCTTCGACAAAAGCTTATCGACATTCAACTCCGAAGACAGCAGCTGCGACGACTCCAGAATACTAGTCAGATCGATCATATCCAGCCCCGCAGCCGACAGCCCTCCAGACAACTGCGGCGCCGGCTGCTTCGACGGATGCGGTGTACCAGCCGAATGCGGATCCAGCCATGCCTGCGCGCGGTCCACGGAGCTCTGCTCGATCTGATGGCTCGCCATCTTCTCCAGTTGGTACGAAGTCGGCTCCGCGTCCATGATCTCCGTCTGCGTGCCGGCGTCCATCATCGACAGGGACCGCGTGCCGTACAGCAGGAAAGCGAAGCGGTCGGCGAGCTGATCCGCTTTAGCAGTGACGCCAATCCTGCGGTATGCTGCGATAGCATCCACGATAGTCGATCGGGCGGGCTTTGATGCGCCTCGTCGTTGCAGGAAATCACCGTAGAGTTCCAGCGAAAGCGCTTCATCGAGCGACAAGCCGTGCACGATGGCGTGATTGACGGCTTCCTCGTAGTGCTTGAGGCAGGAGCCGTACTTTTCCATCGCATCGCAGGTCTCAGCATCGATGCACTTCAGCAGCGTGAAGTAGTTAACTGGATTCACGCTGGAGACGACTTCGATGCGAGCCTTGAGGTCACTGACACGCTTCAGGATCGCTTCTTGGTCTTTGTGTTCTGGGTCCTCGCGAAGCGTTGACAGGAGGCTCATGGACACGAAGAAGTATGTCGAGTACGTGTACCGCATGCACCAGAGGTTCTCGGCGTCGTTGAGCAGCGTCTCCCCCAGTTCGAGCGCTTCCTTGTAGTGTCCGAACCGGTACAGCGTCGCAAGGAGGTAGACCTTGTAGACCTGCAGGCCGCGCTTGGGATGCGATGTCTTGGCCTCCACGGCCCTGTAGTAACTTTCGGTGTCGTGGATGTCGTCGCAGAAGATCTCTTTTGCAGACTTCCAGTTCGTCTTCCCTTGCAGCGCTCTGCAGTACTGTCGGATTCCGGTAAGGAACACACCACCTCGAATGTCCTCGTGCCAGTCGGGAAACTCCTCGCCGACCGACTGGACATATGCTTCGATCTCTGCAAAGTTCCCACCGCCCCAGACTTGGTAAGCAGCTAGGATGCCCTTGTTGAGAATGTGCAGGTAATTGTCACCAGCAGCCGCAGCCGCTTCAAGCCCTTTGTTCAGCGCGGCGTAATTGTCTCTCATCTCCTGCTGGAGATGGCCAAGAAACAGTGCATGCAGCGTCAAGCCTCTTCCGACAGTGTAGATCTCACTTTCGAAATGGTCAAAAATCCGAAGTGCCGTGTTGCCGAACTCGAGTCCGACCTGGACGAGGCTAAAGCGGTACACAGCGATGCTAGCAAAGTGCACGAAGCCCACGCCGGCCTGGGGAAAGAGGCCGCGTTCGAGATACAAATTGAGCATGCGGAGATTGGCTTGGTAGAACAGCAGAGAATCCATCCAGAAAGTGGTGCTGGAGAGTTCGGTCAGTACTGCGCCGATGACAGATAAGGTGCGATCCGTAGTAGTAGCGGCGGCTGTGAAGTCGGGCTCCCTGCCACGAAGGAGGTCGAGATGCCTGTGGAACTCTTCGTCGCACTCTTCCCACGTGCAGTCGGGAATCTCAACACCGAGCTCTTCCAATGCATCCTTGAGCCTGCAAAACGCAGCATTGGCTCTACCTTGTGCCGTAGAGATGCGGCTGCAGATGATGGACGCCGGTGCCTTATCAGTAGCATCTCGCGCGTTCTTGAAGATGGGCCTCAAACACAAGCCTGCAGAGTTGAAGTCGCCGGACTGCAAGCAAGCCTCAGCTGCCCTAGTGAACAGTGCCAAAGTCTCGGAATAGCTGCAGTCTTCGCCATCACGCCATGGCTCGTCCTGCAGTAGATTAATGCAGCACTTGAAGTAGTAAAGACCTGATCTGCGAGCGCCAGAATCACGCGCGGACTCGGCGGCTTGGTAGAGCAGGTCTCGGTAGGACGCACGATGCGAGACTCGCTTCTTGATGACAGCGAGCGACTCACAGACGTGATGTGCTTGCGTGAACAGCACGGTTGACGGCGAGTTGACTGGGTCGTACGGCTCATGCTTCAACATGGCCGCTGCGACAACGAAATGCATCTCCTCCTTGTCATAAGCAGCGCAGAGCGCTTCTGCCGCAGCGACATACCTATCGTGAGCGAAGCGGAACCTATCCTCTTCTTCAGTGGTGACCAGGACGAAACCTTGAATCGCAGTCTGTAGTGCTGCTACCGCATCATCAGTCCGTGGAGGTATCAGATGAGCAGGGACCGAACTTGAGCAGTCGCAGCGCATGACCAGTTGGATAATATTGTAGGAGAAGCTGTTCCCAATAATAGCGGCCCAAGCCAGGAGCGACTGCGTATCGATTGGGAGCTCCTTCAATCGTCGCACGATGAAGTCGTTCGAGGAGAAGCGGCTGCCGTCAGGACTTGAGAAATGTTGGAACAGCCTGTCGAGATTGTACTCCCACTGTGAGCACTTCCAACAGTAGTAGAGGCATTTCTTCCGATACGCTGCATCCATCATCTCACGTACGAAGAATGGGTTGCCACTGGTCTTTTCCTGTACGACTGCCACCAATGGCATGCAGTACTCTTTGGGCCGGTGGAGCGTTTCCGAGGAATATTGTGCAGTCTCATCGTCCGTGAAAGGTCCCAGCTCTACTTTTGTAGCCCGGCTGACGATTTGCTTGGTCTTGCCTGTCAGCGAGTCATCTCCGCGATGTGTGACAATCAGGACGATAGGAATGTGCGCTGAGACGATGAGTTGCAGCAGCTCCAGACTTTCTTGATCGGCGAACTGGAGATCGTCCAGACAGAAGCAGATGAATTTTTGCACTGCCAGGAGCCTCAAGGTGTCCAGAAAGATGTGCATAAACCTCGACGCCTTGTTCGACCCACCGGCGCGCAACCAGTCGGAAGTCGACTGCTGGCTGCACATCTTTCTCTGTTCCGGAGCCGCACCGTTCAGCATCGAATTCGGTGTCATAGAAGATTTGCTCATGCCTGAGCCACCAGCCGACGATGTCAGCAACCAGACAGGTAACTGCAGGTACGAGTGCAGGACGCCCCAAAATGGCTTGACGAATGTCCGAATGTTGTCGTGGAAAGGTGTACTGACATCGTGCTCGGAGAAGATCTGCCGGAACAGAGACGACATGAGCTGTATCACTGGCTGAAACGGCGTGGTCTTAATCTGATCGAACTTGGCCGAAGTGAAGTAGCCATGTCGTCGAGCTGCGGGAGTGATGCTCTGGACAAGACTTGACTTGCCGAAGCCTGCGGCGCCGCATATCGCAACGAGCTCAGTTCGTCCCTTCCGTTTCAGCTTTTGGGCTGTCCGCATCAGCGAGCTAGCGTCGCCGTTCAGCTGGTGGTTGGACGTTGATCGCTGGACTGAGCTATTATCCATCACGGATCCACGACTGTCTTGCGATGACCTGGTCTCTTGTAAAGGCTTGTAATCTGATTCGTCAACCATTGAGTTGGTAGAAGACCCTACGCTGCCGTTTCTAGGAGACATGCGCTTATTCCGGACGACGTCGAAAGGCGACATCTCTGGAATCGAGTTCAGTCGTGAATCGCGGTCGCGTTCGTTGGAAGAAGTACTGTCACTGATTATATCTTCGAGCAAGGAAATGTCGGCTCGATCGCTGGACCACATCGAGGTCCGGGAACTTAAGCTGTACAGCCCTTTGCGCGCGATCGGGGCGGCACGAGCTGACCGTTGGGCGGCCTTTTCGATGACAGCCAGGATAGTCTGCTTTTGGTCGTCGCGGCCAACGAGCTGAGTAGGGAGATTGAAGAAACATGATATGTCTGTCGTTCCAACCTTGAACTTCTCCAGAGCTTCTTTGTCAGCATCAACCATGATCCGCTTTATCGACTGAAGGTCGTGTTTTACGCCGGTGATGCTGTTGTAGCGATCGTCCATGCTTCGGTATGACATCTTGGTGAGCACCGCACTCAGTGCTTCCGGGATATCTCGACGTTGCGTATGAGCAGGAGGGATCCTCCTAGAAAGAACATTCTGCATAATATCCAGAGGCGTCTTCCCTTCGAAGGCCGGCATGCCCGTTAACATCGTCCAGAAAAGCACTCCAAGAGAGTATATATCTGTTCGCGAATCTGGCTCAGCTGGTAAGCGTCCAGTTTGTTCCGGTGCAATAAATTGAAGCTTGTGCTGTACGCCGCGCTCCGAAACCAGACTCGCCCAGCCAGCAGATGTCAAGCCTCGCTCGAAACTTCTTGCTCCAGAGCCAAAGTTGATCATCCGAACAACACAGGTGTCCTTGTGGAAGTGGAAAGCATCGGGTCTGATCTCGCCGTGGACCAGCTCTTGCCCATGATGCAGAATCTCCAAACTCTCGCAAGCACCAATCGCAAAATCGAGGAACATCAACAGCGGGAACTGGCCTTGTCTCTGGATCTGCGGAGAATCTGGCGATCCTGCGTAAAAGTTCGGTCCAAACTCCACAAGCTCGTGTAAAACACTCTTGCCCGGTGCTTCAACGAGCGAGACCGCCATTGGCACATCCCCATGTTGCCGAGCGGGCAGCCGAACGAATTGCAGCGGCCTTACGACATGCCGGCATTCCGGATCCGATTCTGCCACCAGCTTTTGCAGAACTTTGTACTCTCGCTCGAGCCGCAGCGAATGGACGGAGACGCGTGCGACGACATAGACATCCTTCTCTTTCTCCGTTTCGTCTGATTCGGCGTAGTTGTAATTCGATGTGGTCGGCGTAGACCCTGACGTCGTGCTCGTTTTACCACCATGCGGCACGGCTTTGCTTCGCTTCGTTCCAAAGAAGTGCCAGGCGTCATAACTGCTGTGGAAGGGCGTGAAGCTCTCGAGAAAGTCGTACTCGGGTAGTTCTTCGCGGAAGCGTGCGTAGGTGCGCTTGAACATGGATTGCGTCTGCTGGTCCGTTTCGTCTGTACCAAATGGCCTCACAGGCGCTGGATAGTCGTCGCCATCCCGCTCCTCCATGTCGCCTGTGTTTCGTGACCTCCCACCGCTAGCACAAGATGCTTCGACCGCGGCAACCGGCCTGTTCGGGAGATGCGTTCGTCATGTATATTGGGCCTTTGATGGATGTTGTCCAGTGAGATGGACGGGACCCGCGTATACTGGCTCTGTCGTGTTTCGAGGTTGCGCGCTCATACGCAGGAGGTGCGGTTGCTGATCGACGTCGTCCCAAACTCTATTCGGCCTAGATGGAGCTGTCGTCGGCATGCCGATGCCGAATACTAGCTTGTTTGGACCTCTCAAAGTGCCTGGGTGTGATAGATGTTGCTGCTGTTGTACTGAAAAGGAGATATCCAGGAGTATCTGAAGCACTAAGTCCAGGCAAATTGGTAATGGTCGAGTTCATGAGAAAGCAATGCTGCAGCTGACACACTCGCATCCGCCTCCTCATGCACGTCTCGGGCGAGCCCGTTGCACTCTACTCCACTTGGGGACTTCACTGCCGATTGGTTCGAGTAGTGCAAGGTTTCGAGAGCTACTTGATCTTGGGATGCCTTGATATGTTGAAGCCAGACTCAACGACGTACCTCATACCCTGGGCAAGAGGCAAGAACACCGGCCCCACAAACGCAGCTCGACCATACAAACGCCACACGGCTTGCTACCTGCTTCAAGCTCACGCTCGAGCCCTTGACAGCACGCCCAATGACGCCCATCCTTGCTCGCCAGAGCCGCAGAAGGTGACCAGGAAGTGTTCGCCATGGAACGAGGAGGAGGTGACATTGGGGATCCAGAGAATGAGCAGTTTGAAGAGGCACAGGAAGAGGCGGAGCAGGCTCGACAGTTACCAGCAGATCTCCCACGATCTCTCGACGACCGGCAGAACTTCCGCAGTTACAATGAGGAGACGGAGTATTATGATGCATGGCAGGGTATACACAGCCCACGAAATTAAAATGAGAGACAAAGTTGACCATGTGCAGGACAGTCACAATTCCTCTCAGCACCAACCATCGCCAAGCCCATGAACTTCAACCTCGCTCTTCACGAGCCCGACGATGAAGATGCATTTGGCCGAGACTTTGGCAACGACGATGCGAGGGTCACTCAGATGTTTGCAACTCAGGCTCGGAAGGGCGACGGAGACACAGGCGAGACGGAAGAAGACGATGTTCTGGGCGATGAGAACTTGTCGCGGGACCAGAAGAAGCAGTCTCTCCAGGATTTCTTATTCATGGCTGCTAGCAACGGAGATGCGCAGAGAGTGAACAGGTTGACGAGGGGGCAGGCTTCTACTATCGTCGATTTGGATACCGTAGATGCAGAAGGGACACCACCCCTGGTCTACGCCAGCTGTTTCGGCCATAGAGAGGTGGTCCTGGCGTTGCTGAACGCCGGTGCTACAGTCGACAACCAAGACCGGAATCAATGGACGGCGCTGATGTGGGCGATGACGAACCGACACAAGGACATTGCCAAACTGCTGTTGGACCACGGAGCGAGTACAGATGTCAAGTCATCAAGCGGTAGGACCGCACTGGACTTCGTGCCTCCCAACAGCGAGATGTCCGACTTTCTGCAACACAGTGGCTACAGTATTGGAAATGCTGGTGTGACGGAGGACTTCTACAGCGCTGGCTTTTCGCAAGACAGGTTTGAGGAGGAGCTGGCAGAGAGCGAAATGAGGCGGCGCATGATGATGGAGAGCGCAATCAACCTTGAAGTCGATCTTGGCAATCTTGGACTGGACGAACAACCTGACTCGCCTGAGGATTCAGAGGGCCAGGATTTCGTTTGGGATCGATGCTTGAACGATCAGATGTTCGTATTCATGGAGAGCGATATCGAGCGAATACTGGATGTGGTCGTAACGAACATGACGCCTCAACGATCGGCGACGCAAAAGCCTGTCCCAGCCAACATCATCTTCCTCGGTGCTCGATACGCGCATTACCACGCGAATCACGAACTGCTGGCCGACTGGCTGGTATCTGCGCAGGAGAAGATTTATGCGGTGGTCGATAGACATCAGTGGGACATGACAATATTGGCGTTTTGGATCTCCAACGCCACGCTGCTGCTCTACTATTTGAAGAAAGACAGTGGTTTGGGGCAGCAGACATCACAGTTCCAAGCCCAGATGGCAGAGCTGATTCACGAGATCTATATCCTTGTCATCCGAGACGCCGAGAGACGTATGGACAAAGTCTTGGACTCGGCTATGCTCGACCACGAGACGATTCCTGGATTCGAGGACATCGCTTTCCAGAACGAATGGAAGTTTCTTCGGAAGAAGTCGCATGTCAAGCCTGAGCCAGCTGAGAAGCGATTTCGACCGCCCTCGCCGAAGCGGAAAGCGCAGATATCGCCACGAAATATCACATCTCTTCTCTCTTCGACTCTTTTTGTGCTCGATCTCTACGACGTGCATTCTGTTATCGCGACGCAAATCCTCTCGCAACTCTACTACTGGCTTGGCGCAGAAGTCTTCAACCGGATAATGTCCAACAAGCGATACCTGGCCCGAACGAAAGCGATGCAGATTCGCATGAACATTTCCATGCTCGAAGACTGGGCGCGCAGCAACAACCGGCAGCCTGAGCACTATGAGAATGGACAGATGACCGCGACTGGCGAGGCGACAGTGGACGCTGCTCGGCGACACCTCGCGCCGGTCGTCCAACTGCTGCAGTGGCTGCAATGCTTCTCTTCGCTGGGGGAGGACAGAGAAGCTATGGACACGACTCTGCAGCAACTGCCTACACTTTCTACCACCCAGCTACTGCACGCCGTCAAGCACTACCGGGCAGAGGTGGGAGAGAAGACGCTCGGCAAGGCCTCACTGAGATACATTCAAGAAGTCAAGAGCAGACCCAAAAAGCCACTGGCTCCTCCAGTTGAGGGAACAGCATCTGCTGACCGTCCCGTGACACCCGCCAATGGCAAGAATCCGGACGAAACGAATGGCAAAGGCACGCCACAACCACCCATGACACCTTCGGGAGAAGACGACAACGACATGCCAGATTCCAACCTCCTCAATCCCGCCCTCCTACTTCCCTTCCACCTCCCAACATCAACAGACATGCTCATCAGCTACGGCGCCGGCTTCGGCGGGATGAACAAGGAGCGAGAACGACGATACTTCCCTTCCGTGCCTCCAGAATTTCTGGCAAAACTCGATCCAGGCGGGAAGCAGAATCACAGCAATCTGTACGAAGGAGCACAGTTCAGCGATAGCTCATGATGAAGATTGGATTTTTCGGCATCTCGAGCGAAGATCGGCTTTTGCCGCAGCGTTCGGAGGTGAGTCGGAGTTGGCCGATATCGATAGAGCTTGAAATACAACGACAAGCTCTCTGCAGCATGCTCTAAACAACTTTTCTTCGACGAACCTTGAGTTACCATGGAAGCACCAGTTCTGCCTCCCGAGGCAGCAGCAGAGAAGATGTCTACCGACGCCGTAACACAGATCTCAGCCTCCGAAATCGACAAGACCTTCAAATCCACCTCTATAGGTACGTCCTGCCCTCCCGCTTCCAATGGCTCCAGCTAACCATTGAGTCTTTCAGACCTCGCTTCCGCCCCACTCGGCTCCCGCATCGTCTCCTGCAGCAACGAGTTCTTCGCCGCCGCCTCCAATCTCCTCACCCCCACCCCTCCCGTCCATAAACCGGGCGTCTTCGTCGAAACCGGTGCTTGGTACGACGGCTGGGAAACTCGTCGCCATAATCCGCAAGAGTTCGATTGGGTGATCATAAGACTTGGAGTCGCGAGTGGGAGGGTGAAGGGTGTGGAGGTGGATACGGCGTTTTTCAATGGCAATCATGCGCCGGAGGTCAGGGTTGAGGGATGTTATATCGACGATGCGAGGGAGCGGGAGGTTATGAAGGAAGGCTATCAGGGATGGAGAACGATCTTGGACAAACAGTCTTGCGGCCCTAGTCAGCGGCACGCCTGGCTCCTTCCCCAAGTCACTCCACAGGCGTACACGCATGTGAGGTTATGCATGTTCCCCGACGGCGGCATCGCCCGCTTCCGCCTCTACGGGCACGTCATACCCATCCTCCCGCAAAGCTTGGACACGGTCTTCGACCTCGCCGCGACCGTAAACGGAGGCGTAGCGGTCTCGTGCTCGGACCAACACTTCGGAACCAAAGACAACCTCCTTCTTCCCGGACGAGGGAAGGATATGGGCGACGGCTGGGAAACTAAGCGAAGTCGAGGTGAACATGTCGATTGGGTTATCGTCCGCTTAGGCGTGCCGGGCCAGATCGAGAGGGTGGTGGTGGATACGGCGCATTTCCGCGGGAACTTTCCGCAGAAGGTGCAGATATTTGCTGCAGAGGCGGGAGAGGAGGCGCCGGCGCATGATAGTGGGGTGTGGAAGGAGGTTTTAGAGAAGCAGCCTTGTGAGCCGGATAAGGAGCATGAGTTTGGGAGGGAGGTGTTGAGGGGTGGGGACGGGGTGGTTGGGTGGGTGAAGATGGTAATTATTCCTGATGGTGGGGTGAAGAGGTTGAGGGTTTTCGGGAGGAGGGCTGAGGGTGGAAGGTTGGTTGGGAGGGGTGGGAAGGTGTAGAGGTCCGGTCTTCTGGAGGGTCGAATTATGGCCATGAATGTGATGAAATCGATGCTGCACGGTCGAATTTTGGACTTCTCGGTTCGTGGCTTTGTGCCTACTCTTACACTTCTGCCGTAGCAGTGTCTTTCGCTCGCTGTAGAAGATCCGTAGTCCTCCTACTCCGAACGTACCCTCAGAACGCCTCGCTATGCCCGCCCAACCCAGCTTGCTTCTTCATGCCACACAGACTCTCAATTCCTCGTCCCACCCTCTCAGGCTCGTCCTTCATATCACCCACCGATAACTCGCGTACCGCCCCGCCGTCTCACTCTTCCTTATAATCTTCACCACCTGCCCCCTCCTCAACCCCAAATACCTCGCCATCGGATCATCGACCCGTATCCGCGGCAACTGCGTCTCCTTCAACCGATACCTTTCCAGCAACCCCTTCTTCTCCTCGGGACTCAGAAGCAAATGCTTCGGCACAAGCTCATGTCGCGAAATATTCACCAGCAGATCCTCCTCTTTGAAAATCTCCATCTGAATCGGCAGCAGACTCGGAATAATCTTCAACGCGGAGCTCGTCGGCGCGGCTTGCGTGATGAAGATGCCGGTGTAGTAGTTCTTCTCCTGCAATAGCTGCGCGAACTGCTTCAGGTCCTTTATCCCCACCGACGTGTTCGGGTTGAACTCCACATGTATCGTGCCGATCTGCGGCTCCGGCGTCGCGACGCTGCCCGGTTTTGGTAACGGGGTGTAGCGCGCGAGCATTTCGGCGGATGGGCGCGCGGTGAAGGCCATTTTTGTGCGTTGCGGGGTGCCGGTGTCGTCGGTGACGAGGTCGCGGAACTGGGAGAGGGGGATGGCGCATTCGTCTTCAGTGAGCTCGTAGCCGCGGTCGAGGCACATGGTTTTCACTGTGCGGGTTATGCGCCAGAGGCGGGTGCTGTAGTCTGCGTTAGCGGAGGGTAATGTGGTTGATGGCTGGATGGGGAACGTACAGCTCGCGCTCGTTTTCGTCGTTGGACATGGTTGCGGTGGTGAGGGGGGAGGTGGTGGTGTGGAAGAAGATTGATTGTGAAGTTGGTGTTCTAGAAGCCAGCCAGAAAAGTGCTGCAGCTGCAGGTTTGGCGAGTCATGCGCAGAGGATCGACATGCTATTCTTGGCGGTCTGTTTTCGTGGGGAAGCTGCCACGAGGCGACGGCTGCGGAGTGGTTGATGCGTATCTTGACCTCACTTGCTTAGAGTCCTCGAGTTGATTGTCCCTACTCAGAAGACTGCTCCAATGTCAATTGACATGTGTCACATACCATCGCAATGAGCCGCACGACAACGCACCGGTGAAGGATGGACGCGAGCTCGCAGCGACTGCTGGCCGACAAGCTGTACGACAAGCGAAAGGCAGGCGCGTTGGAGTAAGCATGACCCTCTCCCTGATCCCCCTTCTTCTGACATGTCCGTAACCACACATCGCCTCCTCGATGCCCTTCCCAAGCAGCATCACCACTTTCCTCACTCGAGGCAGTCCCCCAAGAGACAGTCATGAGCACATCCTGTTCGCAGACCAGCTGACCGAAGAACTACCCAGACTCGAGTCCTCCATCCGCAATGCTTTGGCTGAGAACAACCACGACCGTATCGCCAAGATCGTACACCAGCTCTGTCACGACTATGCATATGCTGTACACCAACCGCACGCTCGCAATGGCGGCCTCATTGGACTGGCTGCCGCAGCGATAGCATTGGGAGCTGTAAGAATCAACATTCTCAAGCCACGCTCCTGTGGTTTGCGGTACTGATTGACATACAGGAAGTCGCACGCTACCTCCGCGCCATCGTCCCCCCAGTCCTTGCCTGCTTCAGCGATCAAGATGCCCGAGTTCGATATTATGCCTGCGAGAGCATGTACAATATCGCCAAAGTCGCTAAGGGCGAAATCTTGGTTTACTTCAACGATGTGTTTGACGCTTTGTGCAAGCTTGCCGCCGACACGGAGTTGAGTGTGAAGAATGGTGCAGAATTATTGGATCGGTTAGTCAAAGATATCGTCAGCGAGAGCGCCGCGACATATGCCAGCATATTGATCACGAATGAAGAGGTCGTGGGAAGCGAGAATGGTGAAAGGGAAGAGGGTGCGGGAAATGGAGAGGTGCAGACGGCTTTCAGTCTGCCGCGATTCATACCGCTGCTGCAAGAACGAATACATGTGCTGAACCCGTTTACGAGGACGTTCTTGGTCTCCTGGATTACCCTGTTGGACTCGATACCGGACTTGGAGCTTGTGGCATATCTGCCTAGCTTTCTCGGCGGGCTGCTGCGATTTCTGTCCGATCCAAATCAGGACGTTCACACGACGACGAAGGTGGCACTCGATAGATTCTTGACAGAGATAAAGAAGATATCTGCAGTAAAGAAAGGCATCGCGGAGAGCAGGCGGAGCAAAGAGCTGATACGGAAGGCTAGCAATGGTACACAGTCGAGTGACGTTGTGTTGGACAGTCCGAGGAGCGCCACAGCGCAGGGCGATGTTACACAGGAACAGCAGCAGCAGGCCGAAGAGAAACCGACACTTACCACCCTTCATGATGTCGCGCCGGCACATCGGGATAATGCAATCGACGAAGCACAAAGCGAATCCTCGTTGAGTGCAGGTGACGACGAGGATGAGAAGAATGGTACGGCTGGCTTTGAGGATGAATGGATTCCTGGTCAGGACGTTCAGATTGACTACCAACGGATACTGGACATTCTCGTCACTTTCTTGTCAGAATCCAACGAGGAAGAGATTCAAGTGACCACATTAAAGTGGATCGAGAGCTTCCTGGATATCTGCCCTGAGGACATCCTGGTCTTCACACCTAGGCTGCTCGCTCAGGTGCTGCCAGCTCTAAGCCACGACGTTGACCTGGTCAAGCAGGCTGCGAGCAGAGTTAACACCGCTCTCATGAGCTATATCATGTCTCTGCCAGAGGAACCCGCCAAGACTAATACCACCACCGAGCTTCCGCAACAGAACCCTCCAGCATCTACACAACAGCCAGGCGCATCTGCTCCTACAATACCTGCTCTCCGCGCTCTGCGAGAAACCAATGGCGCCGATCGGCAGTCTACGACGTCTCTACCTTCACGAATACAGCAACCTCGCAAGCCCACCAGCCCGGAGCCTATCTCGCCATCGATGCGAACGCCCTCGGTCAAGACACCAGAACCCCCACCTCTCGAAGAGACCACCTCAGAAGTGATTGCTGCCCACACCGACCTCGACTACGAAGCGGCCGTCAACGCTCTCACGCTCCAATTCCTCCACGAGCACGAAGCTACCCGCGTCGCAGCTCTTGCCTGGCTAATAATGCTGCACCGCAAGTCCCCCAGACGAATACTTGCCATCCAGGACGCAACGTTCCCAGCTCTCCTCAAAACGCTGTCCGACCCTGCGGAAGCAGTGGTAACACGCGACCTCCTCCTCCTCTCCCAGATCAGCAAAAGCAGCGACGACAGCTACTTCTCATCCTTTATGGTCAATCTTCTCAAACTCTTCGCCACCGACCGCCGGCTCCTTGAAACCCGAGGCAACCTCATCATCCGCCAGCTCTGCCTCAGCCTCAGCGCCGAAAAGATCTACCGCACGATGGCCGACTGCCTCGAGCGCGAAGAAGGCTCCGACATCGATTTCGCCAGCATCATGGTGCAGAACCTCAACAACAACCTCATCACCGCCCCCGAACTAGCAGATCTGCGAAAACGCTTACGAAACCTCGACTCCCGCGACGGACAGACTTTCTTCACCGTCCTCTTCAAAGCCTGGTGCGTCAACGCCGTCGCCACCTTCTCCCTTTGCCTGCTCGCGCAAGCCTACGAGCAGGCGTACCACCTTCTCCAAATCTTCGCCGAGATGGAGATGACAGTCAACGTCCTCATCCAAATCGACAAGCTCGTCCAACTCCTCGAGAGCCCGGTCTTCACTTACCTCCGCATGCAACTGCTCGAACCTGAACGCTTCCCGCATCTCTATAAATGCCTTTACGGTTTGCTGATGCTGTTGCCGCAATCCTCCGCTTTCGCCGCGCTGAAGAATCGGCTGAATAGCGTGAGTGCGATTGGGTACCTGCACATCGCTCCTTCGCTCCGTGGCGGCGGTGCAGCAGGCGGTGGAGTCGGCGCTGGGTCGGGGGCGACTGGGTCCGCTGTCTCGACCTTCGAACGCCAGAACCGCTTGAAGAGCCGCGAGGATGGCGGGATCAAATGGGCCGAACTGCTGGAGAAATTTAAAGCTACGCAGGAGAGAGTCCGACGAGCGCAGCAGAGGCAGCTTGGCGGTGCGCAGGCGGAGGAGGAGGAGAGCTCGCCAAGGGTGGAGAAGGCGGGTGTGAGGGGGGAGAGGCCGCAGAGCGCGTTGAGTTTTGCTAGTACGGGCAGACCTTCGCAAGGGGGTGGGGTCGGTCAGGGGAAAGAGGAGGGGAAGGGGCATTTGAGGCAGAAGAGCAGTGGGTTGCGAAGCAGGTTCTCGAAGAAGGGGTAGAGGTTATGCTGGGGTAGGTGTGGAGTTCAGCGAGGTGTTTTGGGACGTTTTGTGTAGTATGGATGAGCATTGCGAATGCACGCCATCCGCCTGCTGGATGATATCAGTGTATGTAGTGCTTTGTAGGACTGTTTCGATAATGCGATGCTTTGCGAAGTTCTCTGCTGCAGTCCGCTCGGGAGTAAGTACTGGTGTCTTCCAAGCCATATTTGCCAAGCCTGATCCTCCGCTTGTCGAACCTCGCCTTCTTATCGCCCACGACTCTTGCCAATCCGGACCACGATTCTCTATGCGCTAGACTCCCCTTTCGTCAGGCTCGTGTGAACGATGCCACAATCGATCCTCACCGCCCATCTACGCTCCTCGAAGCCGTCGATTTGTTCGAACTCACGCCAAACTTCCGCCTCCCGACTGCACACCTCCAGAATCTCCAGCGCAGTCACGCCCTCAGGGTCGCTGATCTCGAGCACCTTGTACAGCCGCACATTGCCCTTAATGCACGACACTTCCCAGCCAATCCCCCGGAGTTGCCAGCAAGTGTGATGAATCAGGCGTTCTTCCTCGTACGTAGGCCCCAAAAACGGTCCACGCAAGAACGTCTTAAAGCCGCAGGTAAGCTCCAGCCCAACGCCCATCTCGGTGACTGGTGCCTGCATAAGAAGCATTTCTTGAGGCAGGTCGGACTCAGCAAACTCATGCAACATTGGCAAATAGTAGCAGCGATCCCAGCTTGCTTTCTGCTGGCGCGACCTCCCGATGGTTCTCGTAAGGAGTGGGTTGAAGATGTGGGATCTCTTGGGTGCCAGGTCGATGATCTCGTCGTAGACTTCGCTTGCTGATGCCTGCTCCGTCGGACGTGGTGTGGAGAACCGCAGCGTCAATCCTAGAGCTGTGTCGTCTTCGGGTACTGCGAGCGCAGCACGCTTGGAATCCTTTCCCGGCGGGTCTTGCTCGGAAGCAGATGTGTTGCTGAGTCGAACCAGGTGTGGCGGCAGCGGCGTGGAGCATAGCGCAACCTGGAGTCTTAAAGAGCCAGCGATGGTGTCGTTCCAGAGCTTCGAGACTCTCTGCGCAGTGAGCACTCTGCGGCAGGGCATCTCCAATATGATCTGCTCCAGGATTTCGACAGTGTTAAGTGCACGCTCGCAGGCAGTCTTATTCGTGGCGGCTTCTGGGAGGCGTTAAGTCCACCATTACTGCAGCGAGGTTTGGGGAGAACTCACCTGACGTCGCGCCAGTGGTAGGCAACATGTTTGCGGTATCCACGGTGGAGCTGTTGTTCTTCGATCTGGGAGTTGATCCCTTTCAGGTTTGGGTGGGTTGTGTCCTTTTTGAAGGAGTTTGGAGAAGGAGAAGATCAAGACCTCTGACAACGGAGAGCAAGAAGTCTGTGCGCTGTGCATGTGAAAGAAATGGTTTCAGCTGTTGCAAGTGACCAGTAGTAGACTGAAATTTGCGAGGTGAGTTGTGAGCGATATAGAGTACCTACTGAGTGAAGATCAGAGTAATGCTCGTTCGCTTGATGTGAAGCTTCCAAGGTGAAGCAAGGACTCTCTTCCAAGAGCAATCAATTGATAGGACAACTTCAGCAGATGTAAAAGCAAGAGTTCCGGTCATCTGATGCACCGATACTTCAGACCTCCAAACCACGGACCTTCTTGCCCTTTCTGTACAGTCCATCAACAAGCGGATCCTTCCCGGGTACACCTTTCGCCGGTATCTCGTTTAAGAAGTCCCAATGCATCTGACGCTTGAAGTCCTTCTCCTTCCAGTCATTGATCGTGCCATTTGGGAAAAATGGCATGACCTTCAGTGGAGCCGGATCGTGAGCGATCAAAGTGCAGACGTTCGGATTGGCGTCAAAACCAATCAAAGTACGGATTGAGTTCTGAGCTGTTGGAGGGTCGACGTAGAAAGAGGATGATCCACTCGCGCATCGGTAGAATGGCTCGCTGTCAGAATGTGAGGGATGAGAAGCCATGAAGATCGAGCAGGGGCAGGGGCGAGAGAAGCGCTTGTCTAGTAGTGCTTCGCCTTCCTTTGGGATATTCTCCGGCATGTTGATGTATTCAGATGGGCGTATATCGCCTGTGAACGCCATCAGCATATACTTTACCGGCGAGAAAAGAGTCTTACCGGTGAAATGGCAGACATCGCCACCGAGAAATACAAACGTGTCCGGCGTGGTCCGAACGAGGGCAGAGACGTGAGCAGTAGCATGGCCTGGTACGTTCAAAACGTAGAGCGAGCCGTCTGAAAAGTAGTCCCAAGCGTCGAATTTGCCAATCTTCATGTCGAATGGCGCTTCGATGACATTGCGTTCCCTGAAGTCCTCTTCCCAGAATACTGATTCCTGCTTCGCTGGGTAGCCTGGAAGGAAAGCGTCCTTGAATCCTGGTCCAGTGATCAAGTCGACGCTGGTCGGTAGGCTAGATAAATTGCCATCTGGAGCCAGGCGTCAGCATATATACTCTAGGCTGTCTGCTTGTTCGACTTACTATGGTCAAAATGCCAGTGGCTTAGTATGAGAGACTTCAAATCGGCAAGCTTGACTCCCCCGTCCTCTAGGACCTGAGTGACGTCCTTATCGACTCGCAGCCCTGGAACATGCTTCTCGCACATTTCTGCGATTGAGGGAACGCTGTTCCACCAGTCATGTCTTGCTGTTCGCCATGGTCAGTGGCTGTTGGGCACTGTCAGGGGACATTCATACTGCCGAGATCGAAAACAACCTTCTCCCCTTTCTCCGAGGTCAGGAGGAAAGCATAGTCTGGAAGGTTAAGATAGTCCTTTCCTTCAATATGCGGCTCGACCAAGAAGTTGTCGGGGACAGTCAAGATAGCTGAGCAATATTAGCATCGAACATAACTCGTTTGATTCTATCCTCACTCGTCGTATCGATTATCTCAACCTTGCAGCAGCTCTTGCTGGCAGGTATGCCCAGATCTGGTGCCTGCTTCGTCTGACTGTCGCTCATGGTGCTTGGACAATGCTATTCAACGTGCTGTTTGACAATACGAATGGCCCTACTCTGATATCGCCGATCTGCACATCAGTATGTTCTAACGGAAGAGCAGCTGTTCTTCTGATCAATACTTGAACCTCGGACGTTGAAGCTAAGGCTGAGGTGAGGGGTATGATCGTGGGAGAGCATGGCGAGCAGTCTTGGGAGTGTCGAGATGAGATAATCGCTCAGAAGCGTAGAGCCAGACAGGGCCAGGATAAGCAATCTTCGTTGTATTAAGAATGACTCTGTAACGTTGCGTGAATAGCGGCATGGAGGGTGTTTGGCGATGGAGTTGCTAGCCTCGTCGAGCTTTCGGCGCGAGAGGTCTTGCATCTCGCTCGTGCATTATCGTATGCCATCAATGTGGGAGGTAGCATCCTTAGCTTCACTACATCATGCAATGAACTCATACTGATCGAGAGATTGAGAGTGACCGACTCCTGAGATTGAAGCACAGATGGGACGGAAGAACCTTTGCCGGATGCCGAGGCGCCCTTGGAGTGACAAGATGCCATGCCATGACGGGACTGTTCATTCCTGCTTGCCAACCCAACGTGCAGGCGAGCGACAGATGTAGTCTGCTGGTACCAGAACGTGTCCTGCTGGAGACTACCGTCATCGCGCAACTGCTCGTCTCCGTGAACCGCTCTCCAAGCTATTGTGCTACACCGATCGAACCACTGCTCACGAGTCTTCATCCAACTCAAGCATCCAACGGAGATGCTCCAAGGCGGCACGAGGCTGATACTGAGGTTGCTCATGCCCTGCTTGGAACGTCTCGACCTGAGTGAGGCTTTAGCGTGTGACCTACTGAGGCTTGCTGGCTGCTATACTCACCCATAGAAGTCCTCTTTCCTGTCACCACAAAATGTCATGGTCAGTCATGTTCTCACATGAAGCAAGCATTCATCCCTGAAACTTACGTAGTGTTGTCTTCCCATGATGCCTTGTACACCTGTACCATATTGCTTGTCCTTGAGGTTCACCACGAAGTCCTTCATCGGCGGAGACTGAAACCCGAGCTTGCCATTCCAAGTCATGTTCTGGATAGACAACAACGTGCCGTTTGTGAGCAATAGTCCATCCCAATCAGCATTCGACACCAGAACCCTGTTTGTCGCCTCGATGACCTGCGGTAGTACCCCTTGAATTGGATCCGGCGATTGATCAGACTCGTCTTCAGGGCCGCCTCTGCCCTTGAATACAGGTCCTCCACACTCCCGCCATTTGACGTCTAGCGGAGCATGGAGCGCCTTTTTGACGTCCTGGCGGTTGAAATAGAACTCGACGTTGCTGATGCCTTTCGCATTGCCCATGACGTCGCCTAAATCTGGGCAGTAATCTGTAATGTGATAGATGTTGAAGCATGGATTGACTGTATAAGCTGCTTCGTAGTATTTGTCGAAGACGTCGCATTTCTTGTAGCCGTATACTCCTCGGTCTGGTTGGTGCTCCTTCAAGAAAGCGTTAGCGTAAGTGAGAGGAGGGAAGGGGGTGGCCCAGTAAACCTACCGGAGGCGGGAATTGCATGTACTTGTCGATATAGTCTCGGTAACCACAGTTGATATGCTCTTGCTCCAACTGAGCGATGAAGGTATCATTGAGATTGAGAATATCGCGATTCGCCATGACGAAGTCGAAGGTCGGTATTTCCTGGCCAACTCTCAAGAATTCTCCGATACAAGGGTCATAAATCACGTTGCCGGAGAGGTCGAAGTATTGCTTGTCCTTCTGATCGAGCATTGCAGCCTGTATACGTAAGGTTGACGAGTGTCAGTTATGCGTCAAGATTGTCAGACGTGAGCCGGTTCCCAACGTACCGAGATATACGGCACATATCGCCCAGCATAAGACTCCCCGGTAACATAGATCTTGTAGTTCTCAATGCCAAACAGTTTCTCGAAGTTCTTGAAGAAGCCGATGAAGTCCTGAGAGATCGACAATTCGTCTCTGGCATGGACCTTGCCCACGGAGAAGCCGACACCGACTGGATGCTCCACCCAGAGCACGTTGGTATACTTCGACCAGGCGTACGGGTTCCTGGTGGCATGGTAGGTCCCAGGCTGCCACAGGATGTTCCCGTTTTCTTGAAAGAAGCTACAAACAGGACAAAGTCGTTAGCAATGTCCCAGACATGGCAGGCTTCTGTAAGTTTCGTACCCGACCATTGAGCTGCAACCCGGGCCTCCGTTCAGCCAGATCGTGAGCGTCTTTGTCGGCTTCTCGCTCGGAGTGAAGACGAAGAAAAGGCTGCGTGATGGATCTGACTCGTCGATGGGAACGTTTCCTGAGTACATCTCGCCAGCGTCGAAGTTGACATCTGGCCATGAGTCGATGAAGTACGGCGCGGTCTTCTTGGTGTGGTACTGATAGTCTTTCTGAGCTCCGAGTGAAGCCTGCTGCTGCGCTATTACGGCTGCATTCTGGAGTCTCTGCTGCTGGTGTCTGCGGTAGTAGTTGAAGTCATCGTTAGCCGCGGAAGCCAATGAGCCCGCATAGGCGATCGCGAGCAGAGATGTATAGCTGAAGCGCATTCTGCTTGATTGAAAAAGTAGGTATGAAACTTGAGAAGAGTAGGGAACCGTCGAAGATTAAGCAAATACGGAAGTGCAGTAGTACTTATCAGCCATGCTGCCGCCTTGAGGCGCAGCGTACTGTAGCATCGCTCACGATGTGATGGCTGCAGGTAATATGGAACAGTTGCAGATAGCGCATGGCTTGTTGGCTGTATTTGGCCCCGCGCACGAGACACGGAAGAGGAAGGTCGTGTTCAGCGGCTTGAGAGCGGCAGGGAGCTTCAATGGCTTGTTTCTGAGGACAGGATATGTGACATTGAGTGAGTTTATGCCATCAATCGAGACATGTTTACGACTATGGACCGTTGCCATTGTGCGTGGAACTTGATGATAGCGAAAGCGATGGTGAAAGTAGTGATGTGGAATGGAAGGCGAAGCTTAAACGAGCATCACTAGCGCGCAGCTTGTATCAGTGCAAGCATACTAAACAAGCTTCGCGACGCCACCGACATCACCCAAGCAAGCTCGCACGACGGCGGGTTACCACCAAGTGATAGCCCGTGTTTGTCATTACGCTGTCAACAGAGCGTGTGCTGTTCTTCGATGCAACAAAACAATATGTCTTCAAGTGCTTACAGCGGGACCCAAAGCAGCTCCTGCTCCGAAAGAGATGCTTGATCCTAAGATGTCATGGCCTTCCGACTTTCCATCAAACATCGCTTGCCCCTGGGTCCATCGATGAAGAAAGCCATCGGTGTCTAAGTCAGATGATCAGTGATAGTCCAAGAAGAGAAGATGTCAGACAGCAAGTGCACCCACCATATCTGCCTCAGTGAAACCCTCCGCCTGCGACGCCCGCACCCCGTAGGGAAAAGCACGGTAAAAGTTCGCTAGAGCGTGGCGAAGTTCCAGCTGCGCAAAGTGCATGCCCAAACAAACACGACTGCCTCCACCAAACGGCAAGAAAGCGTGGAGCTGGTCCTTTGTCGGCTCGTCCCACCGAGAAGGGTCGAACACCTCTGGATGAGGCCATATGGAGGGATCCCTGTGCATCGTGTGCGACTGTATCCCGCACACGCTGCCTCCAGGAACAAAGTAGCCGCAGAACTCTGCTCCACCAGGAGGCACCGTTCGGGGTAAGCCCTGGGAGATTGTTCCGCGCAGGCGGAGTGTCTCGTTAACGATGCTCTGGAGCAAGCTTACTTTCTGCAAATCATCGTTCTTGAAGTCGCTCGGGAGTTCCGAGACCTGCCTGATTAGCTTTTGCTCAATATCCGGGTGCTGCGAGAGTAGCCAGACAGCGTTGGTGGCCGTCAGTGCTGTAGTGTCGGTGCCAGCGACTATTGTAGATGTCAGCTCGCGAAATCTCTCCGTTCCCTGGGACAGAATTACTGATGTTTCCTACAGCGTCCCGTTGAATCTGCTCTAAGGACATCTCACCGGCGTCCACCAGCGCAAACTCCTTCGTAAGCAGCGTTGGTTTCACGTGCTCAGGATCCGCATTCAGAGAAGTGTAGTACCGCTCGATACTCTCTCTACCGTAGGATTGCAACCTTTTGATGATGTTGGCAATCTCTTTTGCCGGGCCGACCGGAATCTGCTTCATGATCCTGAAGAAGAGAGAGAACTCTGAACGGATCACTCCGCTGCCAGTAACGTTCTCGAGGTCTCTGATGTACTGGTCTTTCTATACCGTATCGTTAGAACGATCAGGCCTTGCTGGTGCATAGGTCATACCTGTCCTCTTTCGACCATGCGGAAGCTGGTGCCAAAGCTAGACTCCCCGATCACGTCAGTGGCCTGTATGGAGGGTTAGCTAATGCGCACAAAGTTGCACAGGCCAGTCATCTCACCATAAATGTGAACCACTTAAAGACGTCGGTAAACCCGTGGCGGCTCGCTTCATCAGCCATTCGCGCCGTGGCGGATCTGGTAATGTCCGCGATGAAGGGCTCCATGTTTGAGATCCATTTCTCGGTGAAATTTGCAGATGTCAGTCTCCGATGCCGACTGTTCCGTCCAAGTCAGCACAACGAGGAATGGCTCGATTGGCAGATATGCTCACCTGTGCTCATGGAAGTCAACCATCGAGAAGGCGTTCCCAACGGGCTGACGGCCGGTGAAGGCATCGTAGAAGTCACTCTTGAGATATAGCCCGCCGACTTTGTAGACGATCTTGGCTGCTTTGATGTCCGCGAGCGAGATCTCCTCTGTTGACACACGGACGATGGGTCCTGGAATGGATGTAAACTGTGCGTCTCAGTGTACATAGAGTAAAAGTCTCGCACCATATTGCTCGTGAAGACGGTGGATGTATCGCACTCGTTCACCCTGTAGGACTGCCACCTTGAGTCTCAACCGAGTAAACCTTGAGACGAGCGGCCCTGGGATGTGGCTCAACGGCCCACATAGTCCTCGATAGACCATGAACTGGCGGTGGTCAGTATCTGGTCGAAGGCAGGCCTTGGTGGACCTACGATCAAGGCAATTGCTGGAAGCAGAAGGAGAACGGGAGGGATCGAAGCCATAACTTGTGAGGTTGGCGGTGAGAGACAAGAAGAGAAGTTAGGAGAATGTACTGTACCGAACAGCTCATGCTTTATACTAGCTACCGTCGCCACAAGGAATGAGGGGACTTCGTGCTACGTCTGCCCGGACAGTTCGGGTTTTCGGACGCCGGAAATCGTTCGTCACCGAGCGAGAGACTATGGCTCCTCATGTACTAAGAGTGCTCTGTGGAGAGAAGAGATGGGGGTCCATTGGACATGCTGCCCCGTGTCCTAGCCAGCAGGGTACGTGGTTGTACCGGTCATGATGGTTTGTAGCATGCGGATGAGCGCCTCCCTGTATTGACCTTGGCGACAGGCTTTGAGAGAAGAATGTTCCCATTGCATATCCTATCCTGGCAGGTGCCACAGACGCAAGCTCTTGCATCCATATGGACGTGCGCATGTATACTGTTACTTAGAGAGAAGGGATGAGGTTGACAAGCGAAGGAACGTTAAGACAAGGCAAAGCAAGGCTGACTAACTCACACGAGTCATGATATCGCAGAGGACAGATAAGCTTCTAGCAGAGCCGCAAGGACTCGATGATCAATTCAGGAACAATTATATCTCCAGATTAGTGACTACTTTGACGGCGCACTGGTCTGGACCACGTTCGTTACTTTGAGGTTGCGATGCTGGAGTAAGCTTCTTCACTAGTAAGCCCACGGTCGATTGCTGGACCAAGAGATGCTCCTTTTCTCGACACTCGCGGCACTCCTGTGCTTCTTGCCTCTTCTCGTACTCTGCGCAGAGGATTACTACAAACTCCTGGGCCTCAGCAAGGATTCCGACGACCGCCAAATTAAGAAAGCCTATCGAAGTCTCTCGAAGAAATACCACCCGGACAAGAACCCGGACGATGACTCGGCGCATCAACGTTTCGTCGAGATCGCGGAGGCATACGATGTTCTCATAGACCCGGAGTTACGAAAGATATATGACCAGCATGGACACGAGGGTGTGAAGCAGCACCAGCAGGGAGGACAACGGGGAGGAGGCGGGCATGATCCTTTCGATCTGTTCAGCCGCTTTTTTGGTGGAGGTGGGCATTTTGGACGCGGTCAAAGACGAGGGCAGAATATGGAAGTGCGGATCAACGTCCCGCTGCGCGATTTCTATACCGGAGCGGATCACGAGTTCAAGGTGAACAAGCAGGTGATCTGCGAGGCGTGCGAGGGCAGTGGCAGCGAGGACGGCCAGCGCGATACCTGCCACAAGTGTCATGGACAGGGTATGGTCATTCAGAAGCACATGTTGGCACCTGGCATATTCCAGCAAATGCAGATGCAGTGCGACGTCTGTGGTGGACGAGGCAGCACGGTCAAGCATAAGTGCAAGAAGTGTGGAGGACATAGGGTAGTTCGTGCCGAAGAGAGCTTCGAGCTGCATGTTGAGAGAGGCATGCCGCAGGGTGTACGGGTCACATACGAGAACGAGGGCGATGAGAGTCCAGATTGGGAGGCTGGTGATCTGGTTGCGCATCTCTCAGAGAAGGAACCGGAACTGGGCAAGGAGGACAAGGAAAAGACGGACGGCACCTTCTTCAGGCGGAAAGATCAGAGTCTGTTCTGGCGAGAAGTGCTGTCATTACGGGAAGCATGGATGGGCGGCTGGACCCGCAATCTCACGCACCTCGACGGGCATGTCGTTCGGCTATCGCGAGAGCGAGGGCAGGTCGTCCAGCCCGGCACTGTTCAGATCGTCGAAGGCGAGGGCATGCCGATCTGGAGACACGAAGGCGACGGACCAGAGTATGGTGCGCTGCACGTCGAGTATGTTGTTGTCCTGCCTGATGCCATGGAGAAAAGCTTCGAGCAGGACATGTGGAATACGTGGGAGAAATATCGGAAGAAGAAGGGAGTCGATTTGTTTGCAGACAGCGGCCGGCCTATACCGAAGCCTTCAGGACATGATGAGTTGTAAGACAATTAGACATTAGACAGCCAGGCATCAATTTTTGTGCCTGCACATTCAAAACACCTCTCGAGCCTCGTCGTGCTGATTTACAAGAGAACATTGGACACCATTTGAAATCACAATTTATTTGCAGCAGCTAGTCAAGCACGATACAGTCTAGTCTCGCCCATCGATCGTCCTCCACGACGCTCGCACTTCTTTCAGCACCCAGCCTTTGTATCGTCAAGCTTCGCAATCTTCTCCAGCCTCTCCGACACCTTCCCGCACTGCTTCTTGGCCTTCTTGTCAAGATGCATGCTGTTCTCGTCGCTGTTGGACAGGCACTCCAGCGGCAAAGTACCCTGGAACCACGCTTTCTTCTCATCCTTAGTCATGAGCGCACCGCAGTCTCACACTCCTTCTTGACATGCTTGTCAACCCATTCCCGGTCCGGATCCAGCATACACTGCTGTGGCAGCAGCTGCGTGGCCCATGAGTTGAGCGTCATGCGGTTGAGCTTCTTGATCTCCTTGTCGCAATGCTTGCGGTCCTTGTCCTTCATGGATTGTAGAGAGGAGAGAGGGCTGAAGCAGCTGAGTGACGACTCATCTTCATCCTCGGGCACTGGCAACGGGAGCGGATCGCCCTTCTTGACGCCCTCGACGTGCTTGTGAGAGAAGTCTTCGAGCTGATGTTCGATGGACTTGCACCACTTCTTCCTCTGCGAGTCCATGGGCATGTGCTTGCGTTCGTCCTTGTCTGCTGCGCACTGAGAAGGCAACATTCCCATTTCCCAGACCTTCTTGAGGTCGCCAGACAAACTCGCCACGAGCGGGAGACAGCCGACGTCGAGATGGAGATCGTGATTTTCACGAATGTGAGGCTGGCACTCTGCTGACGAGATCGTTCCGACCCAGGCGCTTGCCTCGACGTGGCTGAAGTGCTTGATGGTGTCCTCGCACTTCTTCTGGTCGCTCTCTTTCAGTTGGCTTAAAGAGTAACCGCCGAGACATTCGGAAGGCACCTTGGCGAGAGCGGCCATTCCAGTGGCTGTGGGCGCCCACGTCGAGCTCGTAGAGGTGGAAGTCGTGTGGCTGGTGGTTGAATGGGTCGTCGAATGGGACGTCGAATGGGTTGTTGATGTTGAGTGATGTGTCTTGGTGTGATGTGTCTTGGTGTGATGAGTCTTGCTATGATGGGTCTTGCTATGATGAGTCTTGGTGTGGTGAGGCTTGTGGTGCTCGCCGTCAGAATGGTCGTCGGTGTCTTCCTCGTCCTCCTCGTCCTCGTCCTCCTCCTCCTCATCATCGTCATCATCATCATCGTCACCAGATGGCCAGAAATCTGGCACATCAGGCAGATCGGAAATGCTAGGAGGTCCTGGATTCGGCACTGGGACCGGGAACGGCGGAGGACCTGGGAAGGGAGCTGGCACTAGTGGAATCGGGGACTTGGGAACAGGCACCTTCGGAATCGGAACATGTGGGGGAGGATGATGCGGTGCAGGCGCAGGCACGGATCCGTGGTACTTTGGGTCGGGGACGTGAGGTGGGTACAGCTGTTCCGGAGCAGGGACAAATCGACTCCCTTGTTTGATAACCTGCTTGCCAGCGTTCTTCAAGGATCGAATATCACGCCATACTTTACCAACCACATTGCCACCTTCGTCCAGGAGGTGGAATGGAAGGAACTTCGATGCGGTGAACGTCTGGCCGGCTTTCTCCAAGATCTCGGCCGCTGCAGCTTCACCGACAGCTGGCACTAATGTCTCCCCTGCCTCGTTGGTCAATGTTCCCAGAGTCTCTGCTGCGCCCTCAATGGGATCGACTGGGACATCCGGAATCGGGTCGACTGGAGAGTCCACTGGGCCAGACGGCTCATCGGTGAGAGTGTCGTCGGCGACAGACTCATCGGTCTCATCGTAGCCCTCTGACGAGTCGCCACTCGTTCCTTCCGGCACATCCTCCTGCGGGACCGGTTCTGGCGCTTCACCCTGCTCTTGAGGTGGACGCGCGGGATCTTCAGGCTCATAGACAGGGTCGGAGTCTTCGGAATCAAACAGGTCATCATGTGCTTCGTCGTTGAGCTCCTCGCTACCATCAGTTGAGCTATCAGGGCGAGTGTGCTGGATGGGGTAGTCTTCGTCTTCCGGAATCTCACTGAGTGGCTGCCTGTGAGGGTAGGGAGGTGTTTCGGGTGGCGGCTGTTCTGGCTGGAAGGGTGGGTTCTCCGGTGGCGTCTCAGGCTCGTAGATAAGTTCGCTATCCTCAGAGCCATATCGATGCTCAGACTCTTCGCTAGTAGGACCGTTGCCACCCCGCGATGGGTTCGGACGTCTCTGCCCAGGTTGATATCCGTCGTCTCCGTACAGGTCTTCGTCCGATTCCTCATATACATCACCTTCGTCTGTGGGATCGAGATTCGGATTTTGAGGATAAGGCGGGTCCTGTGGTGGTGAGTTCTCCGGCTGATATGGCACGTCGGCGTCTTCATTGCCATAGTACTCGTCTTCTGATGGCTCCGGATCTCCGGATTGATCAGAGTCATGCAGCGACGGATTTGGATCTGAGGAGTGAGCCGAATCGCTGGCACCACGATCGTCAAAGAAATCATCGTCCTCGGTGACATGATTCTCAATGTCTTCAATCGGCTCTGGAGGGGGGTCGGCTTCCGGTTGCGAGTCCAACCAGTCCTGGAACCTCTCATTATCCAGCATTTCTTGCAATACCTGTCGAATGTAGTCTTGCAATTCAGGAAATTCCTCTGGATGGTCTAGAACGTAGGTCCAGTCCAGCGGAGCCTCTGTCTCTGCAATTTCCTCAGTGACGGTCCATTGCGGAAGATTCTCAGTAAAAACCGGGAAAGGAATGATCTTGCTGCCACCGTCGTGTTTTGATGGAGCTTGAGCCGGAAAGGATGTCGCGAGGTTCGGGGAGTCAGGAGAGCATCGCGTCTTGTTGGTGAGGTAGTACATGTCGGTAAGGAGCCTCGGACGATCTCCTTCAAGGCCAGCAGCTTCGAACTGATGATAGGCCGTTCGAAGTGCCTCCATTGCTGCCGTGGCGGAGATGTTGCATTTCAGCTGCAACTGGCAGGAAATGCCGCAGTCGGGGGTCAATACACCTGCGGCAGCAGCGACTGTAGTGTTAGCAATGGCCGTGATGGTCGCGTTCATGCGAACAGAACACGATTTGGCGAGGCACCAGTCAGCGGCATCAAAGATGCCAACAGCCATGCCTATACCATCACGGGCAGCAGCACGTGCGACCTGGGTGAGGTCGCTGATAGTGGTGCCGTTGGAAACAACGGCGAACGGAGCAGCTTGAACAGTCAGCGCAGAGAGCGCAAGGCTGCTCTGCACGAAGTGCTTGAGCTGCATCGTGACTATTGTTGGGTGTGAAGTGATGATGTAAGATGTGATCGATGGAAGATATGAGTGATGGAAGATGCAATGAGAGAAGATGTGAATGTTGGAGGTGTGAATGTTGGGAAATGGACGGGGGGGCTCTCAATCTTTATGTACTTCGGATTGCAGTGCAGTCCTCCTGTCTGACCCAAAGAACCGCAGGTGTTCAATTGAGTTCAGGCGCATTGATGACCAGAACCCATGTAACAATAGGACAGCACCTTTCACACCAGTCGCAGGGAGCCTACTTCGCTTACCTGCGAACTCACATAAGCTATCAAGTGGTGGTCAGATATTGAATCGGCCCTTAGAAAGCCAACAATCGTCCTACTAATCACTCAGCTTGAACACAGTTTACGTAGGTATGAAGCTCAGCGCAAATGAGATGCACCTCAGTTGTGGTGAAGACGGTCTGGAGCGCAGAACACGGAATCGGTCAGATTCCAGTCAGCAGCCTGTACTTCTCAGCGGCGAACTTTGATGGTGCTGGGAGTATGTTCTCCTCCTCGGTAGGTCGAAGCCTATTGTTTCCTTCGAGAACGAGTTTCAAAAAGAGGCTGTCATGAACTAAGTAGCTTGCACCGCCGCCATGACATGCGCTGTTCGTCGGTGGTGTAGATGCCTCGCAGACTCATCAAGGTGAGGCTTAAGGTCATAATCAAGAATAGATGGTCATGATGTCGTGGAGTGTCGTTTGCTTGGGAACTTGAAGTTCGTTCACTAAAGTTCGGAAGTCGCTTAGGGTTCACGCTAGCATCTTGATCACGTGATGTGTTCGAAGAACGGAAATGTAAATATAGTTGAGACATGATTTCATTCCGTCTCAATGCTCAGTAGACGGGCATGCGTACCGTACATCTATGCCATAATACTACTTGACAGCCACCGAAGTCTTGATGATCATCGGTCAACCATGTCGACTTCCACCAACTCACATCTACAAAACATATCGGAAGCCTGCAAGCGGAGGGGCAGGAGGTTAGCGAGCGTTTCAGAAATGGGAGGAATTACCCGTAGGAGGTAAATCTCGTACCTTTTTGGATCTGCCTTGCAGTAGCAAGATCGGTACCTTCCCTGTTGAGCGATATCGTCAGTCCCCGCATCTCATAGGAGAGCAGTGTTCTTAGAGGAGAGCCTTACATTTCGGCAGTCTTCTGCAATCTCTTGAGATCCTTCTCGCGAAGCTCGGTGTCGGCTTGTTCGAGGCGTTCGAACTTCTTGTTCTCGTTTGCAAGGTAGAATCGCAGAATGGTCCCCGTAATGCCGGCAACCTTGACAAAAGTCAGCCAATGTCTTGAACGATCCGTCAGATGTGATGCGTACAGTCATGAGCCCAACAACGATGCCCAGCGCAGGACGGTAGTGTGGAGCCGAGCCGTCCCAGTACGTAAATGGTGTCCAGATCGATGCTGCGTTACCAACGCTGTTCATGAAAGCAATGGCAGCAGCCCGCTTCGCTGGGGGACGCGGAATTGAGCTGGAAATCCATGCGTATACAGTACTGTTCATAGTCTAACGGTATAAGGGTTAGCAAGTCTCAAGGCACATGGAATTGCCGAGCAAGTCATCTCAGAGTATCACTTGTCTCGAGACAATGTCTGGAACGAGTGGTTCCCTTTTGACCGGTGACACTTACAAATGCAAAGTTCAGCAGGAAAAGACTGAAGTATCGCGGACCGAAGCTGTCCGTGAACATAAAGACGAAGCATCCCACAATGACGATCGGGATGGGATACATCCAGAAGACGTAACGCATTCCGAGCCTGTCCGAGACTGTGATCGAGAGAAGGGTCAGCCAGCACAATTCTCATCGTTTCATGCGTAGGTCGGTACTCACGGGAAGAGTGAAAGTAGCTGTAGAAGACCTAAGAACAAGAGGTTCAGCGAATGTTTCAGACACGCTAGCGTTTGGCCATTAGTTTCTTACCATAAAGATATATGGCGGAGCCACGAGCAGGAGCGAAATCACATTTGAATAGCCGAGAGTCTGAGTCAACGACGGGAAGAAGTTCTGGAAGCCAGTGGCGCCGGTGATGCAATGATACATGATTGAGATCAGGTAGGTCTAGAGAGAACTCATGTCAGCCCGCGGCAATTGTGAATGGACACGAGGAAACACACCTTGATGTCGGTAAGGGCGAGAACCATGCCCCTCAATTGTGACATGCCACCGGCTTCGTCCACGTCGGCTTCCGCAGCATCGATGGCCATACGCCTGTTGGCAACGAATTTGAGCTCCGGCGACAGCAGCTTCCAGGTATGAGGGAAGTCTGGCAGGACGAACAAGATGATCACGCCGATAAAGACGGTGATGCTTCCCTCTATGATATAAAGCCAACCCCAGGGCGGGATGCCGCGAGCACCGTCCAAACCGTTCAGAATACCCGCGGCGATAAGGGGACCGAAGGCGCCAGAGAGCAGGGAAGCAGAGTAGAAGATGGCCATACGGAAGGAAAGTTCCTTCTTCGTATACCACTTGGACAAGTAAAAAAGTACTCCACAAAAGAACGGGGCTTCCACGAACCCAAGGATGAAGCGGCAAGCGACGATTTCGCCATAGTTGTTGACTTGAGACGTCAAGGCTGAGACGAGACCCCATGCAATGACCCAGAATCCAATGTACCATGACGGTTTGCCAGAGTAGTTGAGAAGGAGGTTCGAAGGCACTTGCATAAGGACCTGCAGAGGTGATCGTCAGATGTCTGTTCACGATTCAGGGCTGGTTGAACATACGTAGCCGACGAAGAGGATAGACAGGCCGGTCTGATCTGTGTGTAGATGTTGCGTCAGTACATGGCGCCACCAAAGACCTTTCGTGGCATGATCTTACACTCCGCGCCTTTGAGATTCAAGTCGTCCTTCAAGCCTTGCAACTTGGCCGCAGCGTAGTCTAACGAATGGGTCAGCGACGACGCCCGGAAAATCTCAAGCCAAGCAATACTGACTGTTGCGATCGATGTAGTTCATCAAGTATACCTATTTGAACATATCCTCAGCAAAAGATGTCTCCGCCAATCATCAAACGCAATCTCTTACCAGCATCACCAGCGGCATGATGAGCATGTCAATTTTTCGCTTCAACTGCTTTTCGAGAACAAGCTCGTTCTCCGTCAACTCGCCCCAATGCATCGCCTCTTCCGGGTTGACACCATGGTTTCCAACGACATCGTGGTCGCGAGCCGCCTCTTGATGGGCGAGCTCACCCTTCTCAATGCCGTCCATTTTGCGTTTCGTCAACGACCACAATCGATGTAGGTCAAGATCCGAAGTCGTCCAAGATTAAGCGTTGTCGTGCGCCACCAACCTGCAAGCCCAGGACGACAAGCAGTGACAAGGAAAGCGTAAAAGATAAAGCTTGCTTGGAAGTGAGATGAAAAGAGCCTTGGGTCCCGCTTCAGGTCTATCACGAGGCCAAGGCTCCCCGTTTGAACTACATCACCAACCCACACGCTCCACGCGTGGAGTCTGCAGGGGTGTCGGCTATTGAGGATGCTTTGGACCATCACCGTGTGCGTGCTTGATGCAACATCGGTCGGATTTAGGTGGTGCATTCGCTCCGAGATGCATAGTCTTTGCGATGGTTGAAACTCGATACTTGTCGGTACCCGATCATTTGACATATGCCGACGACCTCCAGTCTCAAGGTCTCAGACGTCGCATTGTTGTTCCAGCGCCGCCAGACCAGCACAGCCAGCACTCGCCTACGACGGCTCGCCGGTCCGCCTCATTCGCCGTCTCTCGCGTGGTCGTCGTATGAGACGCCGCTCCCTGTTGCGATCGTCGTCTCACTCGCCTTGGTGACGTCGAGATTGGCATGGATAAATGAGGCTCACCCCACAAGCTTCGCTTCGACCCCGGGGTCGACCCACGCCGCTGGCGTCGTTGGTTGACGGGTTGCCGGTCTCCACCAGTTCCAAAGGGGTTTGTTTTCGTTTTCTCTCAAGAGGCTTGAGAAAGGCCTGAATATGTGTCTTCGAGACGAGGTGTTGCGGTCTGCGGTGTCTGGGATCATCATCCTGTGGTATCCGTCCTTCTGCGTTCGCCCCCAAGACGTGGTTGGTGGTGCATCCGAGATCAACTCCCGAAGGCGTCGAAGGTTATTGCACGTGACGGCGTTGAAATGTACCGAGGCTGTCTTCTCCTCCGGCCGAGCTCCGCATGGCTGTCGACGAGTGACATTCGACTGATTACCATTGATTGATCTATCTATTCAAACAGCATCACCCGTACGAACAACATCAACATCCTGCCCGGTTGAGAGCGCGCCATCGAGCACACCTGTTAATCGCACTTCCTCCCACCACCGCCGCAATGTCGAAAGAGTTCTCCACCAAAGACGTAGCCGAGCGCAACACCGTCGACAAAGGATTATATATCATTATCGACAATAATGTCTACGAGATGGGTGGCTTCGTAGACGAACACCCAGGCGGAGCGAAGATCCTCAAGCGTGTGGGTGGCAAGGATGCGACGAAGCAGTTTTGGAAGGTAAGAGTTGTCGGACAACTAGAACGGTCGCGGGCTGTTTGACTGATGGTGAGGATGCAGTATCACAACGAGTCGGTTATGAAGAAGTATTCTGAGCGGCTAAAGGTTGGGACGGTGAAAGAGTCGGCGAAGTTATGATGTTATGATGAGAGGCGTTGGATAGAGGTTATAAGCAAGAGTTGCATCGATTTCGCGCCACTATCTTGCTCCATTCAGATCCCATACTCTGAAAACGCTGGAACGAACGTCATTAAATTGACAACGATCGTCTATGACGAAGGTCGTATGAAGGCGTGTATGGGTATCTCTTTGCGCGAAACCCCCCGAACGCCCTTGCTCCCCAAGACAAGCATATACTCATTAGAAACCATCCCCAGTCCATCACCTTCTCAATCAGCCTTCCTTCAACCCAGCCAATGCTTCCCTATCGTCGGACTTGTCCATACTAAGGCGCTTGAGAGCTTGCCATCTGCGTTCGCCTCTCGCTCGCGAGAAGATACACCGCCAGATCCCGAACGTGGCAAAGAGCAGTCCGCATCCCCCGAGAGCCAGGGCGTAGTAATAGTGCTTCCCGATCATGACAATCGCCGCGGCGTCCCATCCATGCCAGCTACTGGCGCCACCGTGGGTGAAGAGAGGCGTGGTGATAGCCCCTCGTAGCATATGCGATTCGATGTCGCCATCCTCATCCGCCAGAATGAACTGCCGATCCGCATCAGGCGAGCTTGCCGACAGAGACCGAGCGTAGCTCATCCACCGGTTCGAGAAAAACATGCATCCCGTGCTGAGCATGTTCTCGATATACGGCATGCCCCAAAACAAATCCCTGCTCTGCACACCTTCCAACAAGTGCTGCAAAAAGCCGTGGTGTGGCCTCGTGAGGATGAAGGCATTGTTCACGCCTGCCGGATATGCGCCAGGAGTCAAGAATGGCACATGTCGAAGGTCGTCCAGAGGATGTAGACACGTGATGTCCACGTCCAGGTACACGCCACCAAAGTGATCTAGTAGCGCGTACCGCAGAATGTTGGCGCGCTGAATACTTTGCTTATAACCCTCGTAGTGAGGTAGTACGCCTGGGTAGTGCTCTGCAATGAATGCTGTCGCATTGGCGTCTGTCCAGAGATTGTGAGTCCAATCTGGGTGTACTGCTTGGCAACTGCGGATGCCCGGCTCGTACTTCGCGATCGACGAATTACGCCCTTCAGTGAGGAAGATCTGGTGTATTATTCGCGGCGCAAGCTCATCTTCTGTGTGTAGGCGTTGCGATTCACCGGCTGGCGCAGGATATTGAAACAATGTCTTCGGATGCTGCTCCAGGTATGAATAGAATGTCGCATAGGTTCTGGCGACCTCTGAAAGATCGCGAACATGGTGTCGAAGCAGCATAAGTGTCCCAATCACCGCCACCAGTGCTATGGTGAGCGCATGTCGTCCTCGCATCCTGCCGGTGTCCAAAGAGCGCCTGCTTCGATCGAGCTGCGCGTGTACTGATCGCTTTTCCTAGTGATGTGTCTTGTGAACGCGATAGTAGTGGAGTGAGAAGTGCAGTGGAAGAGGGCAGGAAAAATTCCCTACCGTGGCCTCGTGCGTGCCTTTTGATTATCACATCACACTGACCGCACATGCCGTACGACAGCGTGAACTTACGTTTCCGCGTCATCCTAATGCCTCAGCAACGCTGTATGGGCCAACCGAAGCCTGGTGCGCCGCGAAGGTTTTTATGAAAGCAAGTGCGTTAGAGAAGGTGATGTCAAGATATCCGGGCTATCCGAGTCGAACAAAGGACTAAACTCCGTGAGGCTCAAGCGGGAGCGGACCGTGGTGATCATGCCAGGGGTGATTCGGAAATTGCAAGGCGATCCGATCGACCAGAACTCAAATATCAGAAGTTCATGCGAAAGCTTAGAAATTGAGATTATTACACCTTGAAGTTGGGTATTCACTGAAGCTATCCTACATGTTCGATTTCTCAGGCTCCAGAAACGACAGCAAGACGCTCATAGATCACACGCTTGACAGCATAAAACGTCGCCTCATTCGTCATCGTCCTCCACCCCGGCGTACTGAGCGCGGCATTTGCCCCCTCAACCTCGATGCTACCAGTGGTAGGACTCTTCCTCACAAGCACCGTCCCATCTACCAGCAGAGTGCCGCCACCTCTGAACTCCGCCGTGTGCCCTTGGGCTTGGACAGCAGCTCGGATCTCAGCCAGGCGCAGGTCACCAACGTGCACAGGCTGTGCGGCTCGCTGATGAAGTGTTGTTGACTGCGCAGTAAGGAGGTCCAGTATGGGTAGCGCAGCCTTTGCAGAATCGGTGTGGCCCGTAGGCTGTTGGCCGGCTTTGGTGAGCTTGAGCTTCTTCTTTGCTCCCTCCTCCTCCGGCTCTGTCTTCAGGCTCTCTTCGGCAGACTCAGATCCCAAGAGGCCAGATATAGCAGCGATACTGGGCTTGTCGGTTCCCAGATCTTTCCAATTCAGCCTTCTCACCAGTTGTCGCGTCAGCTTCACAGTCCACGCGTTGGTGTCAACGCTGGCGTCCACCACTTCTCCATCGACCGGCGTGAAGATCTCCCCAACAGCGGTGCCATTCTCGACTGCGCGGCAGGTATCGGCTAGCAATCTGGTCTCGCTCATATCACCAGCCGTCACAATGAGCTTTCTCGGGTTTATGCGTCCGATGAGTCCTTGCAAGTCGTTTAAGCGATACAGCCCAGAGAAGTCGACATATGCAATGCGCAGATGGAGCTCCAGACTCTGGGTGCTGAACGCGATCTTCTGTGGCTTCGCTTCCGCGTCGTCTTCGGGCTCGTACTCGCTCTCCTCGCTGTCACTGCTTTCCTCCTCCACAGTTCCGTTGGAGACTGCCCCACCGCCGCCGGACCCAGACTCGCCAGTGACCTTGGCAATGACAGCATCAATGGCATCCGGTCCATCTTTTTGTTCAGTCTTGGCCTTCTTGTTTGGCCCTTTCTGTTCTCGATCCCTCCTTCCCTTGACTGAATCGTCCCACTTCCTCTTCTGGCCCTTCGCGGCATTCCCATCCACTCCCTCTACATTGGCGTTCTTCAGATCTACACCATCCACATCATCTCGCTCCTCGGCCCTGAGGTAATCTTCCGGCTTAATCACGTCACCAAACTCATCGTTTCGGCTGCGGTGCGCAACGAATGGGAACATCTTCTCTCGTCCACGCTTGTTGCGGACGTCGTAGTCGTAGACATCCTTCCCTCGAAGCAGGATGTTGACACCTAGCTCGGCGTCAGTAAGGCCAGTGGTCTTTCGTTTGTTCGAAGTCAGCTGAGCCGAGACATTAAAGGCTCGCCCCTGATGCTCCGCGTCGTCATCCTCATCTTCCGATTCGGAGGATTCAGACGCTTGATCGTCGGCGAGATCAGCGGCTGTGTCACCAAGCAGCGTAGTATCGCCCTGTAGCGAGCTGTGCATCTGCCGTTGTCGAGCGATGTACTGCTGATAAACCATGTTTTCATCAGAAGTCAAGGGCTCGGGTTTCGATAGGCGCAGCTCGACAGCATGACCGTCGCCATTGACGACCTTCGCGCCGTTCTGGGATAAGTCCAGACCTTGCCGACTTTGATACATCTCCCATAGCTGCCTCCCAACGCCTCTCCGCTTTGCTTCGACTTGACCAGCAACCTCTGTGAGGATGACCAAGTTCTTCGGGTTGGAAGCAAGGCTCTGGAGCGCTTGACTCGAGACACCCCACTCCAGGCTCGCATCACTTGCCAGCAGCACGCATGGCTTGCCTTTCTTCAGTGCCTTCTCCACCTGGCTTCTCCGCTCCACTTGGTGCACAAACTTCCAGTCCAGTGGCCCCGAGCTGTTGCCCTGCGCGTCGCCCCTCGTGATGGCGGCTTCAGCATTCTGCACCACACTAGCGTCCATCCACTCCAGCATGCTCTGCAGATATCGTACGCTAGTCTTGCTGCCTCTGGAAGCCATGTAGATACGTGCATTTCGATATGTGTCCGAGTGAGGTCCGTCGATGTTTTCGCGCCATGTCGTGTTCAAGAGGAACGCTAGCTCCAGTACCCGTGAAGATGAATCGGTAGGTATCAAGACCTTACCCCCTTGTGCCACTGTCTCCCGAATCAAGCTTACTATTCTTAAGTCTCTGTCCCTTTTCGCCAACGTCTCCGTTCTTTCCACGCCTCGACTCGAGCACACCAATGCCGTCGGTCTGTGTAAGGGCTCCAGGACCTCGCCGCCGTCGCCTGAGCTTAGCCATGCTGCGCCTGGCAAAAAGTTCTCTCTTCCCAGATTCCAATCTGAGGCGTAGACTATGCTTTCTAGACCATGTTGAATGTGCCACAAAGTACCACCGAGCGTATGTCCGGCGCTGTACGCAGTAATAGTAAGGCCTGCCAGGGGAGGTGAGAATGGCGAAGGTATTGGCTGGTGCGGTTGCGAGTACTTCAGTGGGTTGATGAGAGAGAAGTAAGTCGCAACCTCGTCCGCAGTCGGCGCCTGCAGTAACAGGTTCGCCGCCTCGTCTGCTGCCGCAGTGACTGGCGAAGAGTAGATGCTGTCCCTTGGTATCGTGGATGCTGCATTCGGGCTACTTCCATACAAGTCCAGCGTCAAAGTCCTCCCCATGTTCATCACCGGAGTCGTGGCATAGCAAGGTATCCTGCTGAAGCCGGGGACATGTTTGCAGCAATGCGCGTATGCGCCAATGTGCTCGATGGTCGCGTGGGTGAGGAGTACGATGCTGAGCGTGCTGACATGCTTCTCGAGAGCTTGTAGCTTCGTGCTGTCGAAGGACTCGTCCCAGCCGACGTCGACGAGGATCTTGACGCCGCCATCGAGCTCGAGTAGGGACTGAGAGGCTGGCGAGGGTGACTGCGCGCCGAGGAGGGGGGTGAAGGTGAACATTGTCGATGCGCTATCGATGCTGCATGTTCATGTCACGCGTATGAACTCCAGGCACGTGTTGTTGGTCGCCTCTGAGAACGTTGCACTTTTCAAGGAAATCTGATGAACCAGCATCACATGTGAAGCGCGAGTCCGAGGAGCTGCAGATGAGGTCAAGCTAACGGAGCTTAAGTTCGGGACAGTCCGCAGTGCAGCGAAGCTTAAATCTGGATATCCAGATCGTCGAACACGGAAAGGTACCATGTACTTTCAATCACGGGAGGGCAGGACAATGCTAGGGAGAAGCATGGATTAAGCAGTCACATAGCGACTAAATCTCTAAGTCCGAGGAATTTACTTCCCACTGCCAGCCCCCTCAGTATCGCTGATCTTGAAGACATACTTGACCGCACTCGCAGTCCCATCCTTCAGTTTACCCAGCGCAGTCTCGACACCAGCTAACCCGCCTGGCACGATCTCCTGTGGTTGGCCCTTGAACCAACCTTCCTCGAGCCCCCGAGTGAAGTACCTGCAGAACACGAACCCAAGGTCCTTCATCTCTTTGTGCACGCCACCTACGTTGGTCGGCGACTGATGGATGCCGTCCCCAAACTCTTCCCACTTAGCCTCCCATCCGCCCTTTGGTGGGAGGACCAGGGTGACGTTGCCACTCTGCTTGTCGAGAACCTGAGCGATGTTCTGGATCGTGTTCTTCTCGAGCTCGGCAACCGCGTCGTAGGCGTACTCCAGTTTCTTGCCTTTGAGAGCGTCCTGGATGCCTTTTACAACTGCGTCGTTTCCTTGGCGATAGTCGACAATCGTGTCGCCTTTGGAGCGATCAATCATACTCTCAACATGCTGCTGAGCGCGGCCGGCGACACAGATGAGCGGGTGGATGTTGGACTTGGCCGCCAGTTGAACGACATACGCTCCAACGGCGGAAGCAGCTCCATACACTAGTAGTGGGATAGGTTCCTTTGCTGGAGACCACGGCTGAGGGAGATTAAGCTTGTGGGTGCCATAGAGGCCAACAGCAGCAGTCAGAGCTGCCAGCGGGAGTGCGGCTCCCTCTGCGTAACATTGGTGCATTAGCTTCTGCTCGTTGACGCTTCAAAAGGTTCAGGCACCACACACCTTCGAAACTCGTCTTGTCCGGCAGGCGGAACGTAGTATGCGCCCACGAGACAGCATACTCAGCATAACTGCCACCCGCCTGTAACATCTCGTGGAACGCAGCCACCCGGTCTCCTGGCCTGAACTCAATAACGCCCTCGCCGACGCTGTGTACAATGCCCGCTATGTCGTCGCCTCCGTTCATGGCGGGAATGTCTGGCATCCATTCCGGTATCTTCCTGCATACGTGGGAGGATTAACGAGGTGCCCTTAACTTCTGCTCTCGCAATCGCCATAATCGATTTAACCTATGTGCCGATGATTGAACCACTTTCGATAGTGCTTGTTATTGAACAAAATGACCACTTACCAATCTTTGGGATTACTGCCGCTGAACACCACTTTCGTGACAACTTGTCCAGGCTTCGGCTCTGGAATCGGAGAGTCGACAATCTGGACTTTGGGTCCTTTAGAGATGACTGCTTCTTTCATATTCGACGACGTTGCGGGTTGGTTTCCTTGTAGATTTTCAGATGGAGATCGGATTTCGTTGTTTTTGAGCGATCAAGAACACCCTTTTGATTGTTAATACAGACTCGCGTGGACCACAAGATAGCACTGGAGCCCGACCAAAGTCTAACGTTGACTCCACCGCAGCGCATCATCGTTGCATTGCCGAATGCCACAACTCTATCGCTACCTCGGAGAAGTGCCGAACCATTGGATTTTGTAATCACACGCAGCGTGGGTGGATGCAAGGTACCGAAATCTGCACAACAATGCATCAAGGACATTCAGAAGAAGAATGTTAATTTGCAGCAAGTTGGCATATGGGTGTTGCTCGGAAGAAAACATCACGTAGCTGTACAGCAATCTACCTTAGCAATACACCACCTCGCTATGCATACGACAACGCTGCATTGACAACGCACCAGGATAATCGCCCACCCTTCTCAAGGGTCAACACTAAACTTCATCCTCACCCCCATCGCAGCCAACTCAACATCCAGATACTTCAAAACACCCGGCACAGCCACCTGGGTAACGTTATCACCACCGTGCCATCGTTCTCCCTGCCTGTCCTCCCAGCACTCGCTCTTCGGATCCAGTGGACCGGCTCTCTTGCTGCACCTTCGACACCGCACCCTCCCAGCATCACTACCAAACTGCCTGGACCCAGCACTTACGCCCGCGCTCGGTTGCGTCGACAAGAAGCTCCCGCAAGCCTTGCAGATCCACGCTTTCGTGTAATCGCTACAGTTCATCAGTCGGTCTTGTAGCAGGAAGGCAGTGCCGTGCGCGAGGAGCGAATCCCGCTCCATCTCTCCCACTCGAATACCGCCACCTTTCGCTCGGCCTTTGATCGGCTGTCCAGTGAGCGGCGTCACGGGTCCAGTGGTCCGCACCTGGAATTTGTCGTTGACCATGTGACGGAGACGTTGGTAGTATACGACGCCGACGTAGATGTCTGCAGCCAGCTCCTCACCCGTGATACCAGAGTACATGGGCTCGTTGCCGAAGTAGTTGTAGCCAGAGCGCTTCAGCTGGTGGCCGAAGTACTCTACCGCGGTCTCACCAGCCTTGTCCTTGAACTTGAACGGTGTTGAGTCCTGTGCCAATCCGTGGAGGGCACCGGACTTCCCAGCGAGAGACTCGACGAACATCCCGATGGTCATTCGTGACGGGAAGGCGTGAGGGTTTATTATGACATCTGGCTGCATGCCGCTCTCTGTGAAGGGCATGTCCGTCGCTGGCCATTTCTGTGAGAGTACACCCTTTTGTCCATGTCGCGAGGAGAATTTGTCACCAATGACTGGACTTCGTGGGATCCTGAAGCGAATCGATATCGCCTGACAAGGATCGGTGCCGCCGGTCTCAGTACCTATGATCTTGATTTCTTCGACGAATGCATCTTCTGGCTCTTTGTAGCGGTGGAGATGGGTAATACCATCCCTGTTGACGTAGCCTCCAGCTCCGTCCGGAGTAACCGTGTGCGATGCGGCGACGATGTCCCCCTGCTTGACTTTGACCCCGATTGCAGCAAAGCCATCTTCGTCCAGCGTGGTCTTCCAAGCAGCCTTTTGCAAGCCATCAGGTGCAAAGCCAAATCGATGTGTGATGGCTGCGCTGCGGCCTCGCGAGTTCTTGTTCTCCTCCGCGAGATCAATCTTCTTCGCCTTGTATACTGTGCCATGGCCGAAACCTCGCTCGTGTGCCGATTTGTTCAGTATCATAGCATCGTCCATGTCGTATCCAGTGTACGAGATGACAGCCACAACTGCGTTCGTGCCACTTGGGAAGTTGTCGAGGCCGTATTCGTTGTGTAGAGGCGGTCTGACGACTGGACTTTGACCCGTCTGCAACCTGTAGGTCTTGTTGTCCGTTCGATATTTCAGTGCAGTTCCAGGTGTACCCATGGTCTGCTTGCCCATCTGACATTGATACCTATGATAGATTTAGCGTCTTGTGTATAGTCAATTGATTAGTCAGGAGTACATACATGTTTCTAGGCGACTGATTGAAGTCCGAGAACGGTGTCTGATTCGCAACAATCGAGAGGATGTTCGTAGGATCGTACTCGACATGTGTAGAGTCACCAGAGGCGATCTCCGGCTCAGTACACGCAATGGACATGAACGGCTGCTCGAATGAGCCAACAAAGTCCATCTTATCGAGAGGCAGATACTTGGCCGGTCGGAGGAGTCGCGCAGGCGCTGAAAACATGTAGATACCCGGGTACTGTCCAGCGTTCGATGTTGGGATATACCCAACCTCGAGCTCTAGAGGCACATCGTGGGAACCCTCTACCTTCCAATATCGCAAGGTGTCTGCAATGGTTTTCGCCTGTTTCGGGGGGCAGAAGCCGAGTATTCGACCGTCTAGCTGCACAACTACGCTGTCATCCAGGGTTGCAGCAGACGTACTGACAACGCCAAGTTGGGACAGCAGATGCGGCAGTTTCGAAACATCTGCAGGCACCGTCGCAATCTTGCACTTGTGTGCAAGATGGTTGAGCAGCCCACACGGGGCTCCGTCAGGCGTGTGTACAGGGCAGAGGAAGCCCCAGCTCTCCGGTAGCAGCTTTCGTACGGTGGTGGTCTTCAGCTGTGCGAAGAAGCTACCTCGATGTACCATTCGGAAGTGACTGATGAACCGGTAGAAGTTGATCTTCTCTGCCACCACGGTATAGCCAGACACCTGCTGCAAATCCAGGCCAGTCGGGCTCACAAGGTTGCCTGTGGCAAGGAAGTAGTCGAGTGCTTGCCCGATATTCTCGTTTGTCTTGCGTACCACCTTGCCCAGGAAATCGCGGTCAAACTCTCGGCTGGTGAAGCTAGGCCACTGATTGTTTCTGCTCCATTCTCGCAGACTGAGGCCAACGGCGTTCATCCACTCATCAATCCGCTCTTTGATAATCATGCCGTATAGGAAGCCTGGCAGCAAGATCTCCTGACTTTGCACAGCATCCGGATTGTCCGTCGCGCACTCGCCCTCGACCAGTGCGTACAGTTTCCGGATCATGAAGACCAGCATCCGGAATTTGTCTGCATTGTGCGCATCCGTGATATCGTAACTGCCCAGGTGAGGCAGTACAATCTTCCGCAGAAACTCCGTACCCGCATCCTCATCGCTCATATCCTCTGGCACACCCAACACCACCCTGAACTTCGATCCAAGGAAGGTCCGCGTATCCAGCCGGCTGTGCAAAGCATATGCTTTGTATGATCGCAAAAGTAGCTCCACGCGGTCTGTGACGAACTGCTTGTCCTCGAGCCCTTTACTGCCAGCTGGTCCCACAACGCTCTCGTAGATCTCGCGGTCGTTGGTCTCGACAAGTGCTTTCATGACCATCATTACGGGCACCAGGTATTCCGCCTTCCGCCACGAAAATCGAAACATAACACTGCCATCGTTCAGGTAATGCAACACGTTCGTTTGCGACGTCTGATCAGGCCGTACAGATCGGATTTGTATGCCGTACTTCGTGTAAGCAGCTCCTCGATTGACGAACGACCCTCGAATGATAGCGGCCGGGAAATTTCGGCGATTGACGATAAGCATTCGGATGAGCTTCTCAATGCCATTGACGATGAAGTAGCCGCCAAGCTCCTCACTCTCCTCCCTTCGGTTCACAAGCTCTTTGGGTGACAGTCCTTCCAGATGGCATCGATTTGATCGCAGCATGAGTGGCAGGTAGCCGAACTCTCGCACTGTCTCCTTCCATTCTCCATCATTGACCCTATACTCCATGCGACCCCGAAAGCGACCTCGGTATGTAGCATGTCTTTCCCTGCACTCGACCGGTAGGATGTCTCTCTTCTTAGACTCAAGCTTGTTGGAGGGTGGCAAAGTACACTTTTCCAAGAAGATCTCCTTCATCCGTATCTGTAGTCTGTTGCGGTTCCTAGGCTCGGACTCAGCGTCTCCCGGCGCAGCAGGATTGCCATCGAGGAAGGTCTTTGTACCGATGTCCCTGAGCGCGTGGTATAGCTGTCCATGCTGCGCGAACAGCCCGTTGAAGGACTCAACATGGGGCTGTATCGCTTCGGCTAGGGAGGGATAGGCGGTCTTATCTGCTGGTGGATTGCGGAAGAGAGCGTGCCGTCGTCGAGTATCGTAGTCGGTTGTCCAGGGCTTTACGCGCTTTTCCCGCTTTGACGGAGCCATGGCAAGCTGTCCGCGAGAGGTTCACGGTGCCATGTCGAGCTTTGGTGTGTCGCTTGTCGTAGCAGGCGGTTTGCGCGTGTGAGTTTCGAAACATGGATTCATCTTCAACTTTTTCTTATCGATTAGAGGTCGGGCATACCAAAACTTCTGACCTCGGTTGGTGTTGCCTTTCGCGAACTCTGACCCAACAGCACTTCTTTCATCTTATTTAACACCATGGATTGTTATGGAAAATGCAATGCTCCATATCCGTTCTTACGATCTTAGCTATTTGCATGACTACAACCAAAAGACAGCAGCATCTTGGCAAAGAAGCAACACCACGACTATCTCCCTCCACCGCTTAGCGCGGGATGCGGCGCGGGCAAGCGTTCGCCGACGACCTCTGCACCCGCCGCCGTCGTGCAGCTCTGCAGCTCCCACAAGATCTCTGGGAGAAGCCGTTTCACTCCTGCAGCCTGTACTGCGGCGCGAACTCACCATCGAACCGCTCGTGCAGCCCTCTCTCCCCTTTCCCGTCACAGGACTACAGCACTGTCACCGGCGCAGCATCCACCTTGAGAGTACTTAGCGAGGAGTGAACCTTTTCTTTTCTTCTCTATTTACAATATTTCCGAAGACGCTTTAGACTTCCTTCCTAGCACACACGAGCGAACGGCCGGCCCCCGCACCGACCCGCCCACTCTGTCAAATCAAGGGTCACCTTGTCTCGGTCCATTCCTGAAGCCAGAGTGCTTCTCTCTTCCACTCGACTGGCCGAGAGTGCTGGATCGCAACAGCGCCAACATCGCTCGCTCCCGTCGCCCGCAATCATGGGCATCTTCCAGAAGCTGTATGATTGGCTCGTCGGCCTGTTCTGGTATGCCATGCTTTCCTTCTTACGCCATAGGCAAACCGCCATTGTCGATGCTCTGAAGGCGACGGCAGCCTGACCAGCCCACACCGACTTTTGCAGATGTCCTGCCACGACGACGACGGTCTAGGTAGTTGATGTTGCCGATAGCTGCTGACATGGCGCGCATAGGAACTCCGAGATGGACATCACCATGATTGGGCTCCAGAATGCGGGCAAGACGTCCTTGCTGAGAGTGCTCGCGGTATGGCTCCCATTCCACTCCACGGCGCATGTTCCAGATCTCGCAAGCTGATCATGTTCCACAGGGCGGAGAATTCACGATCGAGTATGTTCCACCAAAGCCGGACACAACCCAGATCTGAAACCGATTGAAACCGATGTTGGAAACTCGGTTTGTCCTCCCGACTCGGCTAACGTGTGTCATAGCTCCATACCGACTGTCGGCTTCAATATGAAGACCATCAAGCGAGGCCATGTTACTTTGAAGTGGTGAGTCGTTCTCCATTAGTTCGCTCGGTCGTTGCAAGTCAACCGGCACTCGGGGGTCGGACTGTGGCTCGATTTTCGGTGCAGGCGCGGCGATGCGGTGTTGTTCCCGGTCTGCGTCACTAACCTGAGGCAGCTGGGATCTCGGTGGCCAGCCTAGGTTTCGTACGATGTGGGAGCGCTACTGCCGAGGCGTGAACGCGATTGTGTGAGTCTGGCCGCTGTCTCTTCGGTATCGACACGATTTGTTGATCTTTAATCCAGCTTCATCGTCGATGCCGCCGACAAAGAAGCCATACCTGTCGCGAAGGAGGAGCTCCACATCTTGCTCGAGAAGCCTGCTATGGAGGGTATCCCGCTCTTAGTCCTTGGCAACAAATCGGATCTGCCAAACCACGCCGACACGAACGAGCTCATCGACGTTTTGGACTTACAGTCTGTGACGCACCGAGAGGTCAGCTGCTACGGGATCAGCGCCAAAGAAGAAACCAACCTTGATGCTGTTCTTAAATGGCTCATCAGCAAAGCGAAGAAGGGGGGCACCGAATGATTTTGACGTGAGCAACGATTACCTTGGACGACTCACGAACTCCCATGGACGGCACAGATGTCTCACGATGCGATGATGCCGACCACGACTGCAGAGCGTTTTCATTTGTTTATTGGCATGTCTCTCTTCAGGTCCTTCGAGTAGCAGAAAGATGTCGGGACGCCAGCAATGGCCTGGGAGGAAACTGGTTGCTTTCTTTTCATTCTCTTCGACTTCAGCTCAACTCGGTGTTGACCGATCCTTGAACGTTATACGGCCAGTTACGGACGAGTGATGTGATTATGGAGGAGCGACGGCAGGACGACTCTGCGCGCAGCAGAACGATTGGCGAAAGCATGGTCTTTGGCGTTTGAATTGTATGCAGCGATTTTCTCCTCTTCGTACGCGTCGACGCGTGTAGCTCTTCAAATCTTCAAGCCATTTCCAATGTCAACATGTCAATCTTTCTCTTGCGGAACATCCAGAACAGCTGCAATGCCTGCGTTGTCGACCATACGACCAACCGCTCGCGAGAAAGTTGCAGAGCAATAATAAGTTTTGAGGGAGCAATTGAACGACTATCATTCCCTGGTGCAACCTCCAATGCCAGCGCATAGTGCAGAACACTTGCGAAACAACATATACGCCTTGCCAATTGTGGGCTAGTTCATGTGGCCGGCTGCCGAGCGTTTCTCCGCGAATCTGGGAAATGGCTGGCTCAAGGCTGGCTGGCTGGCATGGATGACGTTGCGCATACAGTGGCTGCGACCTCACCACGCGACCATTGCTTGACCCTAGAGCACGTGAACCTGCGAAACACCTACCTCAGACAACATCCAGCGACGCCGCCTGCGCCTTACGGACATTTGTCGCCGTCCGTCGACACTCGCCCGCTCTGACAGCCAGCAGCCAAGCAGGATTCCGCATCAGCCAGTTGCCGAGACTACTCAGCCACGCATCCCAGCGTCATCTATATCTCTGCCTCGCCCGGCAAACCATCTTCCCTTCAACTTTATACTGTGGAGTATTTGACATCTGCCACGAAATACCGCGACTCCGACAACCATGGGCGAAGATTTGGCTAAGAGGGCCTACCGGTAAGCCGCTCTCGTTGTCGTTCTTCACCACTCTGCGGCACAGCTGCGCCTTCTTGCAAACACTTGATATACTTTCAACGATTGCCACTCTGTCCACAATCTTCATATCACAACCTCCCTCTACTACCACAGCAATCTACACATCGGCACACAACACTCGCCACGAGCATCTACTAATATCATGGCAAGATGTGACGGCGGTTACAACTACTACGGAGGGTGCTATAGCACATGGGATGCCTGGGCGCGATGGGTCGTCCTGGGTGTCGTGATCTTCGGAGCAATCTTCATCTTCTTCCTGTTCTCGTAAGTCGCACACTATTCCTTCCTTCCACTCCATAAGCTAACAGCCGCAGGTGCATCTCCGCGCGTAGGAGGAGAAAGAGGGGCTACACACCATACCGCGGCACAGCCTGGGCGGCAGGCCGAACACCACCCGGCCACGCACCGGCACAGTACAACAGCCAGCAGCCCTACTACTCGAACAACCAGCAAAACTACCAGCCTCCTCCGCCCGCGTACGGTGCTAGTCAGGACTACTACAGCAGGCAGAATGATGTTGAGCTGCAGCAGCCTCCGCAGGCGTATGGTACGAACTCGAGGGACAACTCGTATGCGCCACCACCAGGACCGCCACCGCAGAAGAACGATGGCATCGTCAGATGATAGGTGGACACGGGGATGACGAGTGTAACAAGGGAGCATGAGCTTGGGAAACACTGTTAGTATACGAGCAAGCTGGTATAGGAATACGAGCGAAGGGTGATACCATGGGCTTCAGCGACGGAGTAACCTTGAGATGATTCATGATTCCTAATATCAGATAGACTGCGTAATAGCACATTCGGCTGGCAGGTTTCATCCTTCCATGTCCTGTGTGCTGTGTTGAATAGACGTCTCGTTCCTGGCCCTTTCAAACACGCCTGGTCTGCTTCCCACACGTAGATATTTACCCTTCTCACCGTCACCTGCAACACTTCCCTTTTATAGTAAAATATACTTCGCTTCTGCCGAGCGCTGCGACTTCTCCGACCCGGAGTCAGATCCATCGTCATATCCCCACATGACACCTACCCCTCGACCGCAGACACCGCGAACCAACTCCGAGTTGCAAGCTCGTGAAAGCTGATGATAAATCTCATTTATTTTTCAGCCATTGGGATGTCCAGACCTCTCCTCTGGTCATTACAGCTCTGTACCCGTTCAGCTTCATCTTTCCCCAAAGCTTCCATCAAGCCACTTCACTCCCCCTTTCTCAGACATACATCCAACATGGCACCGAGCAAGATGAAGGCTCTGAAGGTCGTCGGCGCCCAAAATGTCGAGGTGCAGGAAGTGCCTCTGCCAAAGATGCGGGACGACTACGTTCTGGTGAAGGTCAATAATGTTGCCCTCAATCCTACTGATTGGTAGTGTACTCCTATCCTGTCGCCACACTGTCATTTGCTGACTTCGACCGCAGGAAGCACGTCGACCGCGAGATCATGGCCATGCCAGGCTGCACTGTCGGCTGTGACTTCGCCGGCACTGTCGAGGAAGTCGGGTCTAAAGTCACGAAGCAATGGCAGAAGGGCGACCGCATAGCTGGGTTCACGCACGGCGTGAACAAGGTCGAGCCGGAGGATGGATGCTTTGCTGAGTATGTTCAATGAAGTTCTTTGATGTGCTGCGCTGACTATCGAATAGATATTGCGTAGCAAAGGGTGATGTACAGATCAAGATCCCAGAGAACACCTCGGATGAGGAGGCTTCGACCCTTGGTGTGGGTGTGTTCACGGTAGGGCAGGGGTTGTATCAGAGTTTGGGGCTGCCTTTGCCTGGATCTGGTAGGTCCACAGTCTTCAATTCTGGGACTTTCACGCACTGACTCCATTATAGGCAAGTCGGGAGAGTGGCTGCTGGTTTACGGAGGTAGCACAGCGACTGGCAGTCTGGCAATACAGTGAGTAGACCGTGTTGAGTCGGAACAGAGCTCTGCTAACAATTCGTGATTAGATATGCGATCCAGTGAGTTCGAGTCGAAGAGGCAGTCTCATTATTGCTTTGCTAACATCTTCCCAGCTCTGGCTGCAAAGTCGTCACCACTTGCTCGTCCCGCAACCACGCTTTCGTGAAGAGCCTGGGTGCTGCTGAGGCCTTCGACTACAAGGACCCAGATGTCGGCAAGAAGGCACGTCAACCACAATAGGCTTGTGAAGTCTTCAACTGACTCTCTGCAGATCCGCGAATACACCGGCGACAGCATGACCAAAGTCTTCGACTGCATCTCGGAAGGCGAGAGCCCCAAGATCTGCGCCGACGCCGTCTCATCCAAGGGAGGCGTAATCAGCTATCTCCTCCCAGCGAAGCACGACCGCCAGGAAGTCGAGAACAAGCACACCCTTGCGTACACCGTGACCGGCGAGTCGTTCAAATTTGGACCGAACGAAGTGCCTGCGAAGCCTGAGGACTTTGAGTTCGCGAAGAAGTACGTTCGACATGGTTGAGAAAGTGTGGGGGGTGCTAATGATGTACAGGTTCTCCGAGATCAGCACGAAGTTGCTGGCTTCTTCACAGGTCTCTGTGCATCCGCCGAAGGTTGGCAAGGATGGGCTGAAGGGCGTGATTCAAGGGCTGGATGACTTGAAGCAGGGGAAGGTCAGCGGTGTCAAGCTGGTGTATAAGGTCAGCGAGACGCCATGATCTCTGGTTGCAACATACAAATAACTAGGCAAAAATTAACCACCGTGACCCATTCGCTACAATACCTAGCGACAAGTCGGACCACTCCATGTCATTTGTCGACATGACGTGGAAGACTTTTTGCAGTCTGTGGGGTTTTTGTCGTGTTGCAGGTCAAGCGGCTGTCTTGGGGAAGAGGGAGGTGATCGAATAGATAGGCACTTTGGTGACCACAACGGGGTAAATTCCAGCTTGTACGGCCATGCTCCAGATCCCAGAACGCAACCTGGAATCCTATCCGGCCTGCATGCAGCCAAGCTAAAGTACCGTCCAATTGATGAACGGTGCGAGCCTTCTCCCACTGATGTGGCGCCCGCCTGTTAACATTCTACCAGGTCCATACAAAGATTGTGGGAGAAGTCGCGCCCACCCCCAGACCCAGCTTAAGCACGCGGTGATAGCCTCCATATTTATTGAGCATGTGCAACCACTTCTCTACAATTCCAATATTATTCCATTTCCCTCAACGCAGAGGGTCACTCAAACATACATTTGAATACAATCAATGGACCTCAACACGGTATTTGAGCTATTCTTTGGCACGATTGCGACCGTCTTAGCGCTCGTTGCTCTACGGCTCACCTGCAGGCACAAAGATCGTAAGCTCAGTTGCATCGACTCGACAAATCTGTCTAACCACTCGACAAAGATATACTCGCTAAAATCGAGCACTGGAAACATCAATCGTCCGCGTCCGATCTCCCGCTATACCATCCTGCATCGCCGCCAGTTGGCCTTCAACACTTGCCATATCGCCTCCGAAGAATCACATTCGAAGAATTGGTCCACGGCGGGCTGACAGACGATCCGCACTTCTCTTTGCCGGACAATCACAACAACGATGCTTCTGCTAACTTCGGCGACGGTGATGTTCGACCAGCTTTCGAAGCACACGGCAGTGTTCACCCGGCGAGATTGGGGTGATATCGATGGTGCTCGTTGCAGCATTTGTTTCGTCTGGTGTGTCCGATCGATAGGAGCGTGTATGTGAGGCTGCGGAAGCAGGTATTCGTGCGACAAGCAATTCGTGCGGCTCGGATTGGCATTCGGATCCTTGTTGACGGGTCGATACATTAGAACAGGCCCAACAAATCCTCCTTCGTCTGCTTATTCCCATTCCCATCCATCTGATTCTGCGGCGGCGGAGGCTGCCCGCCATTCATATCCATGTTCGCGAACCCATTCATCAAGTCATTACTCGCATTCCCATTCATCTGTCCCGCTGCTGCGCCGTTCGTGTTTCCAAACATGCCCATGAGATCTTCCATACCGCCGCCAGCGGCACTTGATGGACTCTGAACCCGTTGCGGCGTCCCTGCCAGACCTTCAAGACCAGATGCGCCAGCAATTGGCGCTTTTTGCATGGAGGCGGGAGCGGCGCCGTCAAAGTCAATGTCGAGGAGGTTCTCTGCGTTTGTTTGAGCTTGTGGTGCTGGGCCGCCGGCGATGGCGGCCGAGACGGCTGCAGCGGCGATGGGGTTCTCGCGAGCGTTCTGCTTCGCTTCCTCGATGGCGGCTGCTTGGAGGGCTGAACTCCGGCCGCCGCCAATGAAGGTCGCTGGAGGCTTGTGGTACACGGACGCAAGTGTTGAGAGATTGGGTAGTAGAGAATCGAGGAGTGGGCCAGGTAGGACAGGTATTGTTGAAGTGATCTGGGGTCGGGCGGAGAGGACGATGTTCTTTGCGATTTGCGGGTCCGAAGACAAAAGTCGCCAGTAGACGTATGCTCGATCGCGGATGTCCGGGTTGTCGTTTTCTGCTGTTGCGGCTTGGAGGACTTTCTGCACCAGACCTTGGGACTGATCTGGCTTCTTGAGGAACAGCTTGACCACAGCTGTGAGGATTTGTAGTTGGGTCTGCATAGTATTAGCATCTGACTAGCACACGTATTCCCACGGCTTACCTGTGTGAACTCCTCATTAAAGCCGTCTACAAACCCAGCAAGGATCTCTCCAGCGTTTGAGATCTTCTCCGCGTACTCGCCGACAATCCAGATCAAGCTGCCTCTTGCATTCGGCTCATCCAGATCATCAATGCACGAACACAACGTCGGGATGATGCCCTCGTATCCAGGGTACTTCCGAAAGATGTCCTTGATCACCACAATCACCTCCTGCACAACGTAGCCCACCTTTGTGTTGATCAACTCCAACAATACATTGACCGCCTTCTCCGCCGACTCCTCGATCTTGATCGCTACCTGGCCAATGGCACGCACCGCTTTCCGGACGAAGTCCATATCGACTTCCATCGAGTACTCTTTCAGCTCCGCCAGCAGCTGGTCGAAGTTGGAGGAGTTGGCTATCCGCACCATGATTTCGAGCTTGGCCAACTTCAGATATGGCGGGTCGTTGTACTTGCAGAAGAACACTCGCATCTCCTTGTCAAGAATGTTCGACTGCTTCTGCAATAGTAGGTCGATGTTTCGTAGCGCAACGTATTGCACTTCCGGTTGCGAGGAGACCAGGGTAACCAGTGGAGGCGCCATCTTCTTCGAGTAGGTGGCGTGGAGTTGTACGTTATCAATGTGCTGCATGTGTAGGAAGACGGTCTTCACAGCAGCCAGCACGACTGAAGGATTGACGTGCTGGAACTGTGGGCTGACTCGTTCGCAAATGTTCTCTGCTTCCTTGGTGTCGGAGGGCCGATAGTCGGCTAGGGTCGTGAGAAGAGTTATCCGCCCCCATTCTGTGCACTCGTTCAACGCCAACAGCATCTTCTTGAGGGTCTGACTCGTCACAACCAGAGCTCTTGTTTCGGGCGCGGCCTCGCTGATCTCTGAAAGCGCCGTCACCGAGTTCGCAACCACCATCGGATTTGAGTCCCCAATCATCTCCTGCAGAGTCTCCACAAACCCATTCTCGATGCAAAGGGCCGGGTTGAGATCGAACAGCTTCGCAACACACAACGAAGCAGTCTTCCGCACGTAGGGCGACTCATCCTTCAATGTCTTCCTTAACGGCTCCTCCATGTAGTCCACCATCTTTTCCACTCGTATGCAGCCCATCGTTCGTATCGCCAACGCTCTTATCAGTGGGTTCGGGTCTTCTGAGTCTTGCACGAAAGTGTTCACCGCTAATATACACAGGTCTGGATGTGACTTTGCGTAGTTCATGAGGTAGAGGTAGACCAGCTTCTTCTGGTCGAGATCGGGGGTCGCGATGTTCTTGAGGACGTCGGGAAACAGTACTGAGACGTCCTTCCCTAGTGTCATGGCCATGATGGTCTTCTGAATGGACTCCTTCCGCTCCCAGGCATATTGTGAGACCAGGCCTGATCGTAGCTCATGTGTCTCGCCTTTGCGAGGCGTCGACAACGCATTGCGTAGCCTGTTGACCGCCATGTTGGCCTCCTCTCCTAAATTGTGGTTATGGAAGTTGTTGGCTCATGCAGCGTATCGTAAGCGGGAGTTCGAGAGGTCGTTGTTCGGGACAGCGTCGGTGTCGTTGCTTATGCAGGAATCCAAGTCGCTATAGTCCAGGCGTTCCTATTGAAGGCTGTTTCGATCCGTCGCGCTGGCTGATGTAATGTTTTGTTGATGCCTTCGAGGTTGTTGCCAATTGCGTTCATTCAGATGTCAGCGAACCCTGAAATCGCGGGAGAGTTGCCAAGACCTCCGACCTCACCTCGTCTCAGCCTTGTCCTTCACTCTGAACCTCTCGCTCACCGCCTAGATACACCCGAATTGCTGGGCGAGGGATCAGCTGGTCATGGTACGTACACTTCGATCTACCCGACTGCGAGATCTGACTCGCTATCGACAGGCATCCAACTTGCCAAACCTTCGCCGGCTATTCGTCGAGGCCAGGACGGACGCGGAGGAGAGCGCGTACTCTCGCAATGCTGTACGATACGATCGGTTGGAAGACTGAGGTGTTGCTAGACTGACATTCTTCTGCAGTTCTACAATCTGGTCTTGTTCATGTCCAGCGTCGCCGTCTTCAGCCTGGTGGCGCAGAGGATGAATGGGCAACGGTGAACGCGAGCAAGCCTGCAACGATGACAAAACCTACTGGCTGTGGGAGCTATCAAGGACAAACGACGAATGAAGAACGTTCTCCAATGCTGGATCTTGATGTTGCAGCTTTTCTATCAGAACAACAGCCCGTCCCCTAACTGCGAAAGCAACGGCGAATGCTGAGTCACCCACCCTTATACTCCGGACCCGTCGCTGTCAACGCTACACTCCCAACACCATCTGTGGATCGACAGGTCAGCCTTACTCGAATCGGCAGAGCGACAAGCCGTCCTACCAATCAACCAAATACTCAACCGCCCGCGACACGATGCACTCTTGGTTGTCCGACGATCCATCCTGCAGCATGGTGTCCAACCCAATCTTGATCAATGTTCATCTCCATGAGATATGAAGTTCTTCGTCTGGAAGGTTGTCCGCTGAGTTCATGAAGGGGCAGCAGAGTCGTCTGTTGTCGGCGACGACGAATGCAAACTGGGACGGAGGGGTCAGCGAGTATTGCGCCATGCAGTGGGAGATTCTCACCTTTGAAGAACTTGTATTTGCACCACAGTCCAGCGACAGTGCAAGCGGTGGCGAGGAGTCCGAAGAGCAGTTGCAGGAAAGCTGCCAGATCCATGGCTGGCTACTGCAAGTAGATACGGCGGGGTGTCTTAGACAGCACAGACGTTAATGAGCTACGGACAGCAAAAGTGTGACTGCTAAAGCAATCCAGCGCATCTCTTAAGTCTCAAAGGCAGATAGGCAGCATCTTTATACCTTCTGACACCTTCGCTGCAGCTTTCTGCGGCATACACAGCGTCGACATGCTCACACACCTCACATGAACGTGCACTGTTGCTGTAACAGCAGGACGCTGGCTCGCTGGGGCAATTTGTGACCGCATCGACGAACTCAGGCACGCAATCGCACGGTGATTGGGGAAGTGGCGTCGCAAAGCGCTCGCGATTGGACAGGCCGCAAGACAGTTGATGGGGCTTTGAGTGCCCAATCACGCCGAACACGTTCCTGATGTATCCGGGCTTCTCGTTTCCACTCCCAGCCCTCTTTCGGAGGGCCTGGATATCTCCCTACCTATGGATGTGCTGTGCTGCGCCTCCTCCCTTTCACCAGGCCAAATTCTGGATAAAGACCCTCACTCGATTCCTTCTTCACTCTTTCGTTCGACTTCCACTTGCGGGAGAGAGGCCACGACCCAAGCGGATCGCAATTTTGGCCGGGTCGGCGAAGTATCAAACTAATAAACGGACGTGGACGAGACAGACAAGTAATGCCAATGACTCAAGTTTCGTCCCCGTCTAGCATACACCACATGAGCAAGCCTGGGCCATAACCTCACTTCTATCTCCGCTTGCCAGCAAGCGCCCATAACACCTTGTTAACTCCATGCTCAACGCCAGAATCCGCCCACCCGCTCGCCCCATACTCTATACCATCGCAGGCCTCTCGCGTTCTCATCGTATGCGAGCAGCCAGATACCGCACCTCCTTCATCGCTCACCGCGACATCTCCCGACTCGGCGGCGTTTTCATCATCAACCCCTCATCCTCCTCATCATCACTCTCCTCCTCCACAACCTCCTCCGACACCCTCACCCGCCCACGGCTAGAAGCACAAAAAGAGTCCAGTTAGTCGTCATTCACAACAAAACAATGACATCATCCAGGATTGGGTTCTCGAAGCACCGGGACAGGGCCTTACTTCTCCACAGCGCTCTCTTCATCGTTCTCCTCATCAATACTGCCGTTGATCCCGCCTTCCGCGTACTCCTCGGTGATAGTGACGTTCGGGTTAGGCCTCCTGCGATCCATCTGGCTCTGCCGACGAACCTTCAGCTTCTTCTCCGCTTGCTCTGAGATCCGGGTTAATTCCGTCACGAAGCTCTCGCCCCACCAGGCTGAGGTGTACTTGTTGACGTATTTCGCCAGCTTGTGGTAGTTTACGGCTCGCTGCTCCTTGCTCATGTTAACGGCGTCGTAGATGGAGGTGGCAAGGTCGTCGGTGTTCCAGGGGTTGACGATAATGGCGCCATTGAGCGACTGCGCGGCACCGGCGAACTCGGAGAGCACCATGACGCCGTGGCGTTCCTCCTGGCAGGCGATGTACTCGTAGGAGACGAGGTTCATGCCGTCGCGGGTGCTGCTGACGACGCACGTGTCGCTGACGGCGTACAGGGCGATGAGCTCCTTGAACGAGACCGACTTGTGCAGGAAGTGGATGGGTGTGAACTCGATGGTGCCGAATTTGCCGTTGATGCGGCCGACCAGCTCATTGACGACGGCGCGCAAGTTTTGGTATTCTTCGACTTCGCCGCGAGATGGGACGGCGACTTGCACGAGCACGACCTTTCCGACCCATTCCGGATGCTCTGTCAGAAAGACTTCAAAAGCGTGGAGCTTCTGGGGCACGCCCTTGATATAATCCAAGCGGTCCACTCCGACGACGATCTTGACGCCGTCGAACTTGCTCTTCAGCGTCTCCATCCGCTTCTTCACATCAGCTTCCTGCAGGCCGGCAGAGAACTTCTCTGGATCTATGCCGATCGGGTAAGCGCCGACAGAAACGAGCTTGCCCTGATACTCGACGCCGTTGGGGGTTGTGGCCAGCCCGAGGATGCGTGCGCACGAGGAGAGGAAGTGGCGTGCGTAGTCGTACGTGTGGAAGCCGATCAAATCGCAGTGAAGGACACCTTCCAGAATCTCATTACGGACTGGAAGGATGCGGTAGATCTCTGAAGACGGGAAGGGCGTGTGCAGGAAGAAGCCAAACTTGACGTTCTTCGGTTTGGCGTCTCCTTTCTTCTCGATCTCTTCGCGCAGCATAGCAGGCAGCAGCATGAGGTGGTAGTCTTGAACCCACACAAGGTCGTTGTCCTGTAGGTTCGCGCCAATGGCTTTCGCAAACTGCCGATTGGCTTCGGCGTAGCCCTCCCATGCGCTCTCGTCGAAGGTGATCTCGCCAGGGTGGTAGTGGAAGAGCGGCCAGAGTATCGAGTTGGAGAAGCCATTGTAATGCCGGTCGCTGAGCTGCTCCGACATGAAGACAGGAATCGCCTTGTGCTCTTCCTTGCAGCGTTTGGTAACCATTTCCATTTCTTCCGGTGGAACCTCTAGCCCCGGCCAGCCGTACCACTGGAACTCTGTCGTCTTCATCATGCCGGACAGCCCAGAGACTAGACCGCCGGATGATGGTATAAGTTCGTAGTTACCGTCATCGTTGCGCTTGACTGTGATGGGAAGGCGGTTGGCGACAATGATCAGCCGGCCTTTCGGCTCCGGTTGCTCTTCGAAGGCCGGCATGTCGGGGACGAAGGCTCCTGTGGCAGGCTCTGTTAGCATGTGATCCTGACTGGTGCAGACGATGTTGTGGATGTGAGGGCGCAGGAAGGAAGGTGAGTCGGCGAGTACCCTTGTTCGCGGCGCGCAAGTCACCCACGGAGAGCGACTTGGCTCTGGAGCGGTTGCTGCGACTGTACGCCGCCTGCTCTTCACCTGATCCGTCGGTGCCCGCCATGACTGTGTCTGACCTCTCCAGGGTGTTCGTGTTCCGTGTCTCTTGCATCGTGGGTGGGTGTGAGGGTGGTATGGCTCAAGGGAAGAAGTATTGCAGTGCGGTGAAGCGTGTTCATGAAGTGGCCGGTGAAAAGGAAAAGATTGTCATTGGCTTACTTTCTAGCTTTATGAGAGGTTCGGCTTGCACGTGCGTGTCACGAGCGGACAAACAGGGCAGGAGCCAACCCTTCGAAACGTGGCAGCGCCTGTGACGGCAGGTGCGATGTGCCTTCCTCGTCGCCTTCTCGAACCTCTTGTCCAACTGTCTGACACCGTCTGAAGATGTTCCCTGCCTGTTCCTGTTCCTCTCTCCCTGATGACGATGCTCATGAGACCACCAGCTCTTCCACGTTTGCTCTTAAGGGAGCAGCAACGGTTCACATGCACTGTGCACGAGGACGAGTTGCCTCAATAGCCACTTCATCTGAAGAACCTGCGCGACCAGCTCCTTATGAAGTCGAGCGGTGGAGTCTCCCAAGTCCCACCGGCGGACGAATGCAGGGAAGCGATTTCTCGTGTTACGCAGACTTGATGCTCCGTTTCAGGCGATCGAGACTTGGTGATGCATCAAAATGACGCCAGAACTGTGCTTGTAGTGTCTACCGTGGTTCGCATGAATCGCGTTTCAAGCAAGTGCGACAGAGGCGCAGAAGATACGCGTGATGTGGACAAGTTTCTAGAGATGTACTGCCATCTGTCGTGGGCTTGTCAGAGTAGAGTCAGCGGTTGGGTGCCCGCATGAAGTCCACTCGATACGTCGCAAGGTCGGCAAGCCGCAAAGCCACGCGAGCAGCGACAAGGAAGGTTGGAGCCCCGGAGACAAGCTTTTCGCTTAGATGTGGAGTCAAAGAGGCTCGAGCTCGGAAGATATCATATCAGACTGTTGACTTGGACGCGTGAGACGCGACGTAAAGCATCAGAACATGTCGGACTCTGGAGATGATGTTGGCTTGCCCAGCGATGCAGCCATTGAGCAGGCGCTGCGGTCTGTCGTGCGCGAAGCTGCAAAGAATGACGAAGAAGTCACAGTGAAGACCGCGCGGACTCGAGCAGAAAAACAGCTCGAATTGGAAGAAGGCTTCTTCAAGAATGATCCCAAATGGAAGGTCCGAAGCTCAGAAGTCATCAGGGAGGCCTTTGACGAGCCGGACTCTCCTGTGAAGCAGGAGAAGGCTGCTCCCAGGGCGAAAGCTGGCGCGAAGAGGAAGTCGGACGAAGCCGAAGCTCCGACCAAGAAACGGCAGAAACAGGTGCAGCCACAGATTCCAGACTCGTATGATAGCGAGCCAGAGGAAGACCAGCTCGGAAACGATGCGCCTGAGCCGGAAAAGTTGAAGGTCAAAGCGAAGGCCCAATCGAAAAGCCGTTCTGCTAGTGCTCTCTCCTCGCCACCTGGATCGGACGTCGAGGACGAAAAGAAGAATGGCAAGAGCGCTGCTCCCAAAGTAGAAGACGATGAAAGCGAGCTGTCGTCTGTTATCGATGAACCACCACCCAAGAAGAAACGTCAAAGCAAAGCCCCTGCGGCAAAGACCAAGGCGAAGCCGAAAGCCGCAAAGGCTACGAAGTCATCCACGTCACTACCACCACCAGCCGATGATGAAAGCGACTTCTCATCGGTGTTAGACGATCCGCCGCCAAAGAAGAATCATCAACCCAAGTCCACCTCACCGACTAGAGCAGAGGCGGAGCCCACCAAGAAAGCAAAAGCTGAAGACGACGAAAGCGACCTCTCCTCGGTCATAGACGATGCACCACCAAAGAAGAAGCGCCAACGCAAATCTCCTTCCCCTACCAAAGGCACCAAAGCCAAAGCCAAGTCAACCAAAACAAGTAAAGACCTCACCCCAGACGAAGAAGAAATCAAACGCCTCCAATCCCAACTCGTCAAATGCGGCGTCCGCAAACTCTGGCATCGCGAACTCGCTCCTTTCGACTCGGCGAAGGAGAAGATCCGGCATCTGAAAGCGATGCTGGAGGAGGTGGGGATGAAGGGACGTTTTAGCGAGGAGAAGGCGAGGGGGATTAAGGAGGAGAGGGAGTTGAAAGCGGAGTTGGAGGAGGCGAGGGCGTTCAATGAGAAATGGGGGCAGGAGAAGGATGGGGGGGAGGAGGGGAGTGAGAAGGAGGGGAGTGAGGCCCAGGGGGGGAAGGCAAAGGGGAGGGGGAGGTTGCCGAGGGGGTTGGTTGATTTTGGGGATAGTGGGGATGAAAGCGAATGAGACTCGAAGGCTTGCAGGCTCGTGTGAAACTGGCGAGATTACTCGCAGTAAACATACATACTTTAGCTCCCTGTTCTGCCACATCCCTCCTCTCCCCTACAGTCTCTCAAGCACCTTTGGCCTTCCCACCCCCGAACCCCAACCCCGCAACAAAAGCACCCCTCACCACCGCCAGCCCTACCAAAATCCCAACATTACTCCATTCCATAAAGGTACCAGGTAACCTCCCATGCCTCGCAAACCCACCCAGAAAAGCAAGATCCTGCAGCGCAATCGCCGCTTGGAGCGTTTTCCAGACCCCGACGTCGTTCGGTCGTATCCGGAGTAACACGATTTGGAGCGCTAGGGTTGAGGCGAAGAAGCCGGCGTTGGCGTCGAGGGTGAAGCGAGTCTCCGGGCTGATAGTGGGATGGGGGAAGTAAGACTCCAGGAAGGTATTGGGGAGGAATAGCGTGGTTAGGAGGCCGCCGGTGGCGAGGAGGGGGTCGAGAGTTGTGAAAATGAAGTGGTAGGAGGGGGGGATGGCTGGGGTGGACATTCTTTCGCAGTAACTTGATTTCTTTCTTTCGTGGGGGTTTGGTCTCGAAGTCGCAGTGGTCGTAGAGGGGACGAGACGAGGTGAGGTATACGTAGAAAGGAAAATGTAGCTGGAGACTTTTGGTGCTGCTGACGGACTTGCTTCAACCGCGTCTTGCCTTTCCTGCCTGTCCTTTATCATCTTCCAGCTGCACCCTAGCTTTGACAGCTCATTGACACTCAGGCCTCACTAGCACCGCAGTTTGATACGTGTACAGCATGGCAATGCAAGAACGGATGCGCAGAAGAAGCAATCGAACACCGTAGCGGACCTCAACTCAGTTCCGACTGCGGAGCTCGAACGTCCTTGGGTGCATCACTCCAGGAAACTCGGCGCGAAAAATTGGCTAATGTAATGGTAATAAGGTAACCTCAACGAGCACTCAAGACGCACGCCCTACAGGTCCACTTGCAGTATGACTGTTTTTACTTTCGTCTCGACGACATAAGTATGCAGCGTTGACCGCATTGTCTCGCCCGGCAACTTCTCGACCAGCAAGCTCGCAATGGACCACGAGATGAACCCCGTCGTGCACATTGCCGGCACTCATGAAACCAGAGAAGTCTTGGACGATGGCAAACAAGAAACAGCTCTAGAAAGAATCGTCTCCAAAACCCTCAGCCATCACCCACCCGACTCCAACCCCCTCGAACTCACCACCTCCAAAACCCACACCCACCCCTCCGCCACCGAAGAAACCTCATCCTACGACGAAGACAACGACATCTTCCCCGGCGACCACAACGCCCTCTCCGCTTGGCTCGTCCTGCTCGGCTCCTTCCTCGCCCTCTTCCCTTCCTTCGGGCTTATGGTCAGCATAGGCACCGTGCAAGACTATTGGCAGTTCAACCAGCTGTCGGACTACACCTCGCAAACCATCGGCTGGATCCCTTCGACTTTCGTCTACCTCTCTCTCGCCCTTGGGATCTGCTGCGGGCCGCTGTTCGATCGCTACGGACCTCGCTGGCTTATGCTTGGTGGCAGCGTCGCGTACGTGATTATGATCTTCTTGCTGGCGGAGTGCAAAGTCTACTGGCACTTCCTGCTTTGTCTTGGCTTCCTCGGAGGACCTGCTGGCGCGGCGTTAACCACCACATCGCTCGCGGTCTTGAGTCATTGGTTCAAGCAAAAGAGGGGTCTAGCGAGCGGGCTGGCGATGGTCGGGAATAGTTTCGGGGGCGTGGTGATTCCGTTGGTGCTGAGAGCGGCACTGCCCAAGTACGGATACGCGTGGACTATCAGGATCTTGGGGTTCGTGTTCGTGGTGTGTCTGGTCGGGGCAAATTTCCTGGTGCGCCCGAGGTTGAAGCCGTCGCCTGATGCAAAGAAGGTGGATATTTTCTCGTTGGAGCTGTTTGGGAAGACGGATTTCGCCTTTCTAACGGTCAGTGTGTTTGGGATTGAGATTGTGCTGTTTGGGGCGCTGGGGATCTTGCCGACGTATGCGAGTATTGGGAGCGACTACCCGCCGGCGACGGGTTACTATCTCATCGCCGTCATGAACGGCGTTTCTTGCTTGGGCCGCATCATTCCTGGATTCATCAGCGATATCGTGGGGAGGTTCAACACGTTGGGCGTCATGATGGTCATCACCCTGGTCTTTATGCTGGTCGTCTGGCTTCCATTCGGCCACACCAGCCTGGTCGCTCTGTACGTCTTCGTGGCGTTGTTCGGATTCGGAACTGGCAGCTGGATGGCGATGGTTCCAGCTTGCGTGGGCCAGCTGTCCGGACCACATCATTTTGGCCGGTACTTTGGGACGCTCTACTTCATCGCTAGCTTGGCGACGCTGGTCTGCATACCCTTGTCTGGCGCTTTGGTTGAGAAGGTCGGCCCGCAAGCTTTGGTCGGGTTCATGTGCGTCATCCTCGCGCTGAGCATCGGGACGTTTGTGGCGAGTCGATGGGGGCTGCTTGGGTGGAAGTGGAAGTGGACAGCGATAGTATAGCATACATATCTCGTCGTTGCTTCGTTAATCATGATATGGGTTCGTTCACAACATAAGCCTGCGATTCTCGGAGAAGGCATCGGAGGCGCAGACTGCAAGGACAGTGACCTAGAAACCAGTCAGCTATTCTTCCATACTCTGAATCTGTGGAGAGAACGTACCAGACAGAGGTCAGCGCCAGCTGCTACATCAACCGACCAGACAGGAGGCGTGACCTTGAGCCAGCTGAGGTACCCTGTCATCGCACCCTCGCACTGGATGGTAGCCATCGTCTCCTCTCCAGACGTAATACGCAGGTTCCCGCCGGCCATATCGTTCGCATCTACATTCACCTTGCCCTTCGTCCCATCGCTGGGCGTAGCTTCCATAGACAGCTTCCGCTGAAACCAGCTAAACTCCACCGTCAAAACCACGTCCTCCTCCGACTTGAGAACCCACGCTCGCTTCTGCGAGGTCCAGTTGCGCTCTAGACTGAAAAGCGGCTTTCCGTGAGCGTCTTCGATGATGCGATGCTTTCCCATGGAGCTACTGCCAACTACGAATAGGACAGAGCCGTCGTCTTTGGTGATGGAGAAGCCGCGGCCGGTTTGTTTGAACCAGGACCAGTATTTCTGCTTGACTTCGAGTTTTACTGGAGTGCTTGTGATCATGTCGGGCGCTATAGTCAGTTGGGCATTGGAAGGGTGAGAAGAAGACATGTTGTTCAGGATTCAAGAATTCTTAAGTTCGTAGAACTTGAGGTATGTGACGGAGAATGGGAGGTACTGTCGTGAAAGGAATCCTTCTGCCTACCTGGCCCCCACCCAATTATCAAAGTCTTTCCGTACCTACTACGCGGCAAAACTCTGGAAGGAATGAACGGGAGGAGTTTATGTTGTTGTTACAGGGGGTTGTGGTTTCACATAACACCTCATGGCACAGCACAGCCATGGCGTCCTGCCAGGATGGTGCAAGGAAGCAACCGGAGATCCAACACGTTGTCGTTGGAACGGACGGCTCGACTAGAACAAGATCTTGAGCTGGTATGCATCGTAAGAAAGATGTTGTTCAAGAGATAGACAGGAGGAGTGAAGGTGCCGGCGCTTGGCGGCCAACCTCACTTCACGTCGCGGAGAGGACTCCACTTCAACCTCACTTCATTCCACCAGTCGCTGTGCTTCCATGTGTAACACCTCTCCATCATTTGCACCTTTTGCAATCGCCCTTCCGTAGTACAGATCTCCCCGGCTCGGCGTCTCACCTTTCTTTCCCACCGTCACCGCTGCACAGCCGAGACACGTGACATCACACTCCGCTCTTCTGAAAGACCAACCCAGTCGGCAGTGAACACACTCCCTCCTCCGCAGCACCGTGCGTGCTCACCGATTGCGATCGTCCAACTTCTCCTGTTTCACATCACAAACCACCATGGCACAACCAAACAACCAACAATCCGGCCACCCGCTCATCAAGCCTGGGCAGGTCGAAGGCCTTCCTCAGCTTACAACCCTGCAGAAAGAGCACTACAAAGCAGGTCTCACAAAGCTTTACAGTGTGCTCCAAAGCAACCCACCAGGCAGCGCAGAGCACAAGGCGGCGGAGGCCAAGATACGGGAGGCCAGCGTGAAGATCATGCAGCAGATCAGTGGTGCCAATCGGCCCAATACTGGTGGCGCACAACAGCAGCCGCAACAGCAGCAGCAGCGACCTCAAAGTCAGCAGGGCGGGAATCAGGGAGGAATGCCGCAGTCAGTGGGTATGGCCCAGCAGGGTAGCCAACAAGGTGGACAGCCTGGACAAGGACAGCAAGGCCAACAGCCGCAGCCGCAGATGAGTCAGAACGTGAGAAACGAGCTGCAAAACATTGTCGTGAACTTTCCGCCGCAAGTATATGGACAGGGCCAGCAAAGCATGAACGCATACAGGACTCAGTGGTACAGGAAGGGTGCCCAGATCCTGAACAAGATCGAGGGCTTGAAGGCAAAGGGACAAGGTCTACAGCGGCAGCAACAAGGCGGACAAGGGGACCAACAAGCTGTACAGCGCGAGCTCCAGAACTGCAAGAACGAACTCATGCAGTCCAGGAACGAGTGGGAGCAGCTCAAGAATACCAACCAGAAGTTCGCGCAAGGTCAAGGACAGGGTATGCAGCGTCAGCAAAGTAACCAGGGCCCAAGCCAGCAGATGAATGGCGCTCAGCAGCAGCAGCAGCAGCAACAACATTCGATGCAGCAAGGCGATGTGAAGATGCAGATGGATCCTGGGTCTGCCCAGTCCCCCCAGCCGTTGCAGGGTGGATTCCAGCAAGTACAGCAGCAGCAAGCGCAGCCACCACAAAGCCAAGTCGCTCCTTCACATCAAAACATGTCGCAGCCGCCTCAGTCCGCGCATTCACAAACGCCACAAAGCGCGAACCAACCTCAGCCACCGCAGCAGCAGCATTATCCTCAGCATCAAAACATGCAGCAGCAGCAGCAACATCCCAACCAACCGCAGCGCCCGACATTGAACGCACAGCACATGCAACAAGCCCAGCAGAACATGGTACAAGCGCAGCAACAACAGCAGCAGCATCACAACAACCCTGCAATGCCACAAGGCGGGAATCAGCAACAGATGCCCCGCCAGCAACAACCACAACAGCAGCAACCTCCTCCTACCCTCTCCCACCAAGCGGCGATCAACCAGGCCGCAGAGTCTTATTCGCGCCAGCAAGCGCAGACCCAGCAGCAACCCCAGCAACAGCAGCAGCAGCAGCAGCAGCAAATGCCCCAAGTACCCAACGGCCTGCCCCTCAATCAACCCCAATCCGCCACCCAACAGACTCCCACCTCCGCCTACCCTACCCTGCAGCAAAACAAGACACCAGCCGGCGGCAGCAACTCCCTCGGCCGCCCTCTCCAGCTCGACCCCCGCACCCAGCAGCCCGTGCAAGGCCAGCCCTCCCGCCCTACCTACGCCAACGCCGGCATGCTCTCCCAACCGGGCATCCAGCGCCCCGCCCAATTCACCCTCGAAGGCGAAGGCGACCGCGTGCTCTCGAAGCGCAAACTCGACGAGCTAGTCCGCCAAGTCACCGGCACCGTCTCCTCGGACGACACGAACGCGCTCGCGCCGGACGTTGAAGAGAGTGTCTTAACGCTGGCGGACAATTTTGTGGATGAAGTGATCACGGCGGCGTGTCGGTTGGCGAAGTTGCGCCCGGCGCAGACGTTGGATGTGCGGGATATTCAAATCGTGCTGGAGAGGAATTATGGAATAAGGATCCCCGGGTATGGGTTGGATGAGGTGCGGACGGTGCGGAAGTTCCAGCCGGCGGCGGGGTGGCAGCAGAAGATGCAGGCGGTGCAGGCGGGGAAGGTGATGGGTGGGGGTGGGAATAAGGATTTGTAGGAGGGAGATGTGGTATGCCAGCGGGGAGAAGAGGATGGCGATGTGTGGATGATAATGGGATGATTGATTAACAAGCGCGGTGCTCTTGGAGTCGTGCATCGGAACGATGCTATGATTGGGACTTGGGTTTAAGGGTTGTGCTTTCAATCTTTCTTCGATGGGTGTTCTACTAGCTAGATATCATCACTATGCTAATGCCATCAGGCTTTCTTGGACCAAAGAGCCCGTTTCTGTTCTGTGGACTCCGGTCACGAAGCGCTCAAGAAAGTCGCCCACAGGATTGTGAGCTTCTTTCTCTCGCGAGCCGGTCAAAACCTGGCAACTCAGTAAGAAGCACATCGTACCGCAAACAGAAGCAATACCATCCAATACCAACGTCCCAACCCCTACACCCATCCTCACCCTTCCCCACCTCACCACCTACGGCCTAAGGTCTAAACCTCCCCAACCCCTCCTCCCGCCACCTCCTCTCCTTCTCTTCCTCCGCCTTGATCACCTCCAAATCGGGCCGCCGTAGAGGGCGGGGCCTGTGAGGTAGAATTCTGGGGGCCGGTTGGGGGGTGTGGTGGAGGTGGGGTGGGTTGCGGGAGGTGTTTTAAGAAGTTGAGGGGGTTGCGGATGGGTTGTCGGTGGGTTTTTTGTTGTTGGTGGGTCTCTTCGGGATTTCTTTCGTAGAGTTGAAGGGTGAGGAGAGTATAGGGTTGTTGGAGTAGAGCTTCTCCTGGCCGGATGGCGTGTTTATGGGCCGCAGAACCATTGGGTGTGTGTAGCAGGCGAAACTGTGCTTTAGGTCTATGTGGTGAAGTGGATGGAACGAGTAGAGATGGAACGAGATTTGGAAAGACTTATACCTGCTTCAACAGCGCGAGTAGCACGCACAGCAGGTAGATGATGAGGTAGGTATGTCGTAGCTGTCGCACGACCACGTCGTTTTTGTGCGCCGGTACCACTGCGCCAGCAGGCTGAACATCGTCTTTTACGGAGGAAAAATCACTCACCGGGTCGAGCGTGCGTGCGCAATCAAGGCGATCGTGCAGCGAAGATACCAGTCCTCGTTGAAATCGTGCGTATCAGTAGACAAAGATCACCCCCTAAACTCCTCAAACGACCATCGCTCAAACCGACACACAAAACCAACATCACATCACTTCTTCCCCTCGACTCTTTCACCAACCATCTCTCCTAACCTAGAATCGTCCGTATTTTCCCTCCCAAAACTACTCGTCGGACTCACCCCCCTACTCCCCCCATCCAAACTCCCCGCCGGACTACTCTCGGGACTCACAATGTACAGATTCTCATACCCGCCCCAGAACATCCTGCTCCAGTACGCGGAACTCGGGACTTTGATGGACGCGAGGTTGGAGTCGAAGTTGGGGCGGTCGGCGTAGAGGGTGCGTTCGGAGGGGAGGTAGAGGTCGTGGCGCTTGATGGAGAGGTAGGATGTGTAGCGCGGGATGGGTTTGGTTGTTACGCGGAGGGATTCGTCTGGATTGTTTAGTATAAGTCAGTGGGAGGGGGAGGGGTGAAGGGGGAGGGGTGTTGGGGAGGGGTGTTCGGGACGCACCTTTATCCAGCCAAGCGCATAAATCGCGCTGACTGCTCGTTTGTAGGCCGCCGCGGTATTTGTAGAGTAATATGGGCGTGTCGTCGAGTTCATTCAGGTCGTATCGCTCCGCGCTGCTGGACGTGGAAGAAGAGTGTGTAGAGTCCGTCAGGCCGGTGCCGGTGTTGCGCTCCAGAGGGTCGGGAGACGTCGCCATGTTGGGTCAGATGACTCCTTTCCCTTCACGAATTCTTGTAAAGAACAAAGAATCTGCGTAGACCAGTGTCTCACTCCCCAGGCGGGCGTTGGCTCGTGAAGGCGAGGTGCCTGGCGAGAGGGCGTTCGTTCGTTTGTTTGGGTCGTAAGCGTGGGTGAAGAGGGCGCAGATTATGTAGAGTGGACGGAACGAGAGGGAGATGCCAGCTGAGAGGATGTTTGTCGCGGCCTGAGGTTGGGTCCAGTGTTTGTGCAGGTTTGTGTGCTGGATGACTCTCGTCCTGTCGCTCGTCATTGCTGGCGGATGCGAGAAGGAAGCGCTTGGCGGGACAGACGGATGGACCAATCATGTGGAAGGCGGCGCAGCGACATGTTGGGTGGCGACGACGGCGACAGCAGGCTGGATTGATTGGTACGCAAGGCGCTCGATCATTTCTCCTTGTTGCATATTGACTGTCGCCGGCGTCGTCTTATGCGTGGTGAGTCATCTGCATTCGTCCATCGAAGGTGTTGCATCTGATCGTTGCACCTCTTTGTTCGACTCCTGCCAAACCACCCTGTCCTACCTCATCGTCACACCGAGTTGTCACTCAACTGTCAAAACACGATCACTCACCTCGACGTCGGGCGTTGTCTGGCATTGTCTTGTTGCAGCCACCCTCAGGCACCGCCCTCTGCAGTCCGTTGCGGCTGATCGAATCGACCCGCCAGTCTGGATTAGGATGAAACTAGCGTCTGGGGAAAGAGGGACGGCGCGATCACCTGAGGCTTAACCCTTGACCGCGTGCGCCTTGCACGAGAATAGCGTCGCCTGCTTCTTTAAGCCCGACGTGTCGCTGTCATGTATTTCGTAGCTATTTCCCTTGCTTCACATTCGCTTCTTCCATCTGCATCTGTATAGCATTACTGGAGTTACACGTGATTGTTTAGAGACACTGGAAGACGACTTGGACTACATTTGAAACAGACGAACGATCATCTACGCGCACCGTCACGGGCAAGAGTGTCGCAAGAGCCTTGTGATCACATCTAACTACCAACAAAAGACTAGACGAGCAACACAACCCACGACTCTTCACCCCATATATCCTACCAACCCCAACAAACAATCAACGCTCACCACCAACAACACACACCACCCTGGATTCCCTCCCCTCCTCCCCCTGGTCCTTCCTCCAACCAGGGCGGCCCGCCGAGGCCAGCACCACGATGGAACCCACCTCCCTCACCCCCAACGACCCCACATCCGCCACCCCAGCACAGAGTCGCTCCTCATCCCGCGCCCCCAACGTCCGACGGCAGGAAACAGAAGACAGCGAGAAGGCGGGACGAGTCTGGGCGAGAGAGGCGGAGGAGGATCCCTGGGCGCCTTGCATTTTGACTCTGGATGGAGGGGGGATTAGGGGGTACAGCAGTTTGTTGATTTTGAAGGCGTTGATGCATGAGGTTTGGGAGTGGGAGGTGCGGTTGGCGGAGGAGGAGGATGATGGGGAGGAGGGGAGGGTTGGGAGGGCCCAGGCGGCAATGGACACGGGAGGGAATGAGCAAGACGATCAGACGGGACAGGATCAAACAACACCACCGGCAAAACGGACACAGATCCCCAAAGAGGAAGACCTCCCCCCCCGTCCACTACTTCGACTTCATGTACGGCACATCAACAGGCGGCCTCATCGCCACCCTCCTCGGCCGCCTTCGCATGTCCGTCCCGGAAGCCCTCACCCTCTACCGCACCGTCGGTGACGACCTCTTCGGCTCCCGCCGCTCCCGCGTCCCCCTCATGACAAAATACCACCACGAGCCCCTCGAGCGCGCCGTGCGCTCCATCGTCGCGTCCCGCTGCACCGACCACCCGGACTGCGACGGCAACGACCTGCACCCGTGGCCCGAATACCTCGATCCCTCCGTCCTCGCCCAACCCGCTCCCTTCTCCGTCTCCGAACCACGAGTCTGCCAGAGCTGCTGTCTGACCGCGACCCACGACTCCAACATCAGCGAAGCCTACCTCCTGCGAAGCTACCCCCACTACTACTCCCCCACCGCCCCGAACTGGATAACTCGCTACAACGAAGGCGCCGCCCCCATCTCCATCTGGCGCATGGCCCGCGCAACGACGGCGGCGCCCTTCTACTTTGAAATGCTCCATACGGTCCTCGAAGGCATCCCGCGAGACTTCAAAGACGGCGGCATCCGCGAGAACAACCCCGCTCCCGCCGCTTTATCCGAATTCCACTCCCTGTACGAAGGCACGGGGATCGAGAACCCCGCGTTATTACTGTCTGTCGGAACCGGGCGCCCGGATACAACGCACGACGGGTTCGCGGATACGCCGTGGCCAGGGGCGTTCGGGAAAGTGCCGTTTGTGTCGAAATTCCTCGAGAAGCGCGCCGTTCTCCAGAACCTGCTGATCAAGTACACGGAAGGCGAGCACGACCACCAACAAATGCGCTCCCACGCCCGGGGCGAGAATACGTGGTATAAACGGCTCAACGTCTCCGAAGGGCTCGAGCAGATGGGTCTGGATTCCTGGGAGCGCGGGGAGTGGCGCGGGGAGAAAGGGGTTGCGGGGGGAAAGACGCTGTCGAGGATGGAAGACGTCACGGGGGCGTATTTGGGGAGGGGGTTTCGGCATGAGGTGGATAGTTATGCGCCGCCCGGTGTGATGTTGGGGCAGGTTGCGGAGAAGGTGGTTAGGATGAGGAGGGCGAGGGAGGGAGAGGGGGGGGAGAGGTGGGATGTTTTCGTTGGCAAGGCTTTGAAACAGAAGGATGGGAAGGCTTCTGCGGATGAGCCGTTTGGTCAAATGAATGCGAAGGCGTCTGCAAATGGGGAGGCCGGATGAACGACGATGCGAACGTGAAAGAATGCAGCATCTCCCGAAGAAAGCCGAAACCGCGACGGAACGATAGAGCCGATTGCGAAGACAAAGCCCTACCCGCCCACCAGCCGACGATACCTTACCACGACTGTCACCATCCGTGTTTCAACATCTGGCTGGGTGAATCAGGCCCGCCCGGCCTCGCAATAGGAGGGAGTCTACGAGGAGCCCATCCAGCTATCCCGTTCGCACCAGGCGAAGGCCAGAAGCTTCTTCTCGAAACGCCTGCGATCGCGTACCTTGCGCTCAGGAGGTTACGACGCTCTTAGGTGCCTGGCGGTTCAAAGAGATGTCGAACTTTGCACCACCGAGGCATCTTCCCTCCGTCCGTGTCGAAGTGCGAAGTCCCACTCTGCCGCGGTCCACTACCTCAGTCGGGTTGTCGTCGGACCCGTACATGTGCTTGCTGTGCCGTCCGAAAAGGAACAGGCCGAGACGCCTCTCCACGCTCCCGTCGATTGCATCACCTCGGATGGCAGGTACCGAGGGTGGTTGTTCTTCCGAAAGCACGGCGCAATACATTCGCCTTCGGCCCTGGCTTTTGCGAACCGACAGTGTGCGTCAATCGAATGGAATGCTAGACTACGGCAAGGTGTGGACAAGCAGAAGGTCACGCGGTGTGACGTGTCTGTTTCGCGTTCACCTGGACAACGGTCCAAAGGGCCCAGTTCAACCTGCAGCACCCGGAGTGGAAGTTTCATGATTCAAGCACCAGGACGCACCATTGCACTGCCTTTTCATCCTGCCGCAGCACTACTGGCCAAGCCAAGGAGACAGACACGTCCAGCGCCTAACTGATCCGTTGTCTCAGGGAGAGGGGGTACGCATGGACTACACATTGGTCGTCCCTACAACCCACAGCACAATTTACGACCGGCGGCTTTCTCTCTTAGGAAAGGCAATCCTGGCCACGTCCGTGAAAGCGTCGTGGAGTCGGCAGAAAAGTCACGCCTGCCCGTGCCAGTTTGGCGTTTTGATCAGTGATGCTTGGTGGTCGGTGGTGTGACACCTCTCCAGAGCGTTGACGGATCATTACTTGCTTTGGGAATGCCATGGGCTTGTAAAGGGTGCAGGGGCACATTATTCGCAGGGAACGAAAGCGAACGCGCGTGGCTTGATGGGGATATAAGCTGGCCTGTTCTGAGGTGAGGATTGGGGTATCAGTAGCAGCGACAGTGGGACTACGACAAAACGACAGATATCAATACCAGCAACAACAGCTCTTGAGCTCGTCACTCAGAATCCGCCTTCCTCAGAAGCAGTTCTCACTCCTTCACACTTTTCTTCCCCATAGACTCCTCCTAGCGCCTGTGTTGGGGTATGCGAGGGAGGGGGTGGTGGTGTCGATGGCGTATTCGTATGTGGAGGCTCAACGGAGGCGCATGTTCTCGCGTTGGACAGCGAGAAAGCTGCCAGCGGGCATGGATTTGTTTTTGGTGATGCTGGAGGGAAGGGGGAGACATGGGGGGATGTTTGGAGGGTTGCTGGGAAGAGGTATGGGAATGAGGTGAAGACGGAGGTTTTCAGGGGAAAGGAGGCGTGGCGGTGGGCGGGTTGGAAGGCGGATGTGCGGGCGACGGTGGGGTTGTTGGGGAGGAGGGCGAAGGCGTTTGGGGACTTGTTGGTAGTGTTTTGGATCAGTGTCTGGAGGTGTTGAGGAGGAGCAGGAGAAGGGTAGGTAAAGGGGGGGTTGAAGGAGAAAGATGAAAGATGGAAGAAGGATGTAGTGGACAGAGGGTTGATTTGAGAAAACGACTTGCACATGCTTTTTACCAATCTCGACCGTTATTGCCTACTTCTCGGTCAACGCTGCTCCGTGCTATTGTTCATTGTTCAAGCTCTAGACCAGTCTTCGCAAAGTTCATGTCATGGGTCTGCTCTTCAAAACCCCGCCAACGAACTCGTGGGGTGCATACGAGAAGCTCCACATCGGGACCGAGGTGATGCTTCAGGGTAACGCTTGCACAATAGCTGTAAGGATGGAGGGAGCTGCAATGCACGATCGAGCGGTCGTCCGTGAAGGGTAGCTTGTTTGCGGGGTCGTTGTTGATTGTGCGAGGGGATGTGTATAGCCGATCAACCTCAGCATCTAAGGTAGGACTACTTTTCGTTCCGTATACATAGCTTTGGTTGCACTATCGTTTGATCGAGTAATCTTCAGGAAAGCCGTCAGACATCATGGTCAACATCCCGAAAGAGCAAGAAGCCGCAGTGCGAGAGGGCGAAGGACATGATGCGAAGGCACCGGTCAAGACGGTTCCGGTTGAGCAGGACCTTGCTCCTGGCCAGATTCTCGTAAGCCTTAACATTCAGAGAAGCGTTCGCATTGACGTTGCTGATTGCCCAACAGGTGAAGATCAATTGGTCCGGCCTGTGTACGTCTCCAGGCCTTCCCTCGCGACCAACGAGCTAACAAGGTCAACAAAGGCGCCTCCGACAAATCCCTCCTTCACGATGAATGGTCTGGCTTCGGTGTGAAGATGTCGGATGCGACCAAAGGCATTGCCGGCCACGAAGGAGCTGGCGAGGTCGTCAAAGCTGCCGATGATGTGGCAGATATCTGGAAAGTTGGCGATAGAGCTGGGGTTAAGTGGGTGGTGCGTTCATCAGAGCTGTTTCGATCCGAATAGGAAGATGAGGTTGATGGCTGTTGGTTCTAGGTCTCGATCTGCCGGAACTGCGAGTTCTGCACCAACGGTACAGACGAGCTGCACTGTCCGAACCAGAAGAACTCGGGTTTCACCGCCGCCGGGACGTTTCAGCAGTACGTGGTGACGGATGGGCGGTATTGCACAAGGTAGGGTCGCAGATATGCGGATCGAGACAGCCATCTGATCGATTTCTCTAGGATACCTGAGGGCGTATCGGATGAGGAGGCAGGCCCCATCATGTGCGGTGGAGTGACGGCGTATACTGCTTGCAAGAGATCTACAGTTAAGCCTGGGCAATGGCTGGTCGTGTTTGGGGCTGGAGGTGGGCTTGGACACTGTAAGTCGACGAGTCTCTCACGCCATGTGGACACTTCTAACCCTCGTGCAGTCGGTGTCCAGTACGGGAAGGCCATGGGCATGCGCGTCATAGCCATCGACGGCGGCGAAGAGAAGCGCGAGCTGTGTCTCGACCATCTCGGCGCAGAAAAGTACATCGACTTCGAGAAAGAGAAGGATATACCAGCCAAGGTCACTGAGATGACGAAGGTGAGTACAACGGCTGACGCCTCGTCGAAGATGCTGACGCCGATCGCAGTACGGCGCTCACGGCGCCATTGTCTTCTCTGCCGCTGCATCTGGCTATGCAGCGGCGCCCAGCACCATTCGCCCTGGTGGTACTGTTGTCGCCGTAGGGCTGCCGACTGATCCTACGGTCATTGCCGGGGCGCCACCGATTGCGCTCGCTCTCGGAAGGAAAAACATTGTGGGAAGTGTGACGGGCACACTGAAGGTTGGTCGTCTGCCAGTTGGGCTGTTCAAGGTATCGGCATCTTGAGATGTTGAACTGACGAATGTTCTTAGGACGTCGAGGAGGCCTTGGAGTTCACGGCCAGAGGCCTAGTGAAGCCCATCCTCACGAAAGGCAGTTTGAGCGATGTCGACAAGGTAAGCCAACTGCGGAACCTCCTGTCCTAGGGGTTGACTTTTGGTCTGGAAATTGCTGATCTTTCTTGCAGTTCATCGACATGATGAAAGCTGGAAAACTGCCAGGCAGGGCTGTGCTGAAGGTCGCAGCGTAGTTGAGGTCGACAATGTCTCTCCGTATAGCCAAATGTCTCATTCCATCGAGAGTCATAAAGCCAGTCCCGTTGTGGTCGTTCTGTGATTGTGAGTTTTACTTTTGCCCAGGGGTTCGGTTGGTCGGCTCAGCGGGTCGGATCCAAGCACCAAACTCTATCTCCTCCAACCTCGCTCGCCCCGTGGGGCGGACAAGTGGAGCAGGCACATGTCGAGACGACATGACTGTGCATTTCCAGCAGCGAAGCAGCATTTCTTATACTAGTTGTATCCCTGCCTTGACACTGGTCTGCCTCAATGGCGCATTACTACGATGCCGAACTCCAACGCCCCAACTCGTTCAACTTCGCCACGGATGTCGTCGATTACTGGGCCCAGTCCAACGAGGCAAAATGGGCGATGCATTGGATCTCAGGCGACCTCAAGCAGGAAAGACAGTTGACGTTCCAACACTTCAGTCGTCAATCCCATCGATTGGCCGTTCTTCTTCGCCAGCATTTCGGTCTTGAGGCAGGCGTAAAGCTCCTCATAATCATCCCAAGAGTACCAGTATGGTGGGAGATTGCAACAGCGTGCCTTCGGTGCGGCATCGTGGTGTGTCCTGCTACTACGCTGCTCGTTGATAAAGACATCGAGTATCGCGCCAAACGATCAGGAGCAACTGCCTTCGTTGGAGATGAGTCGAGCGTGCAGAAACTGTTGAAGGTGAAGAAGAACTGTCCGAAGATTGCCAGGGTAGTTCAGATTGGCGACGCACCGGTACCAGATGGTGTGGACTCCCTCGAAAGACTTCTCAAGACAATTCCAGAGGATGCAAAGTACCATGGTCCCCGGCCGGACGTCAAAGATACATCGATGATATACTTGTAAGCAACAACTATCCCACATTACGACCGTCGGCTGATACTTAATTAGTACCTCTGGAACGACCGGCAATCCGAAGATGGTCTGCCACAATCATATATCGTATCCACTGGCGCACACGATCACGGGCAAATACTTCCACCGACTGAAACCTGGCCACTTGAACTGGGTGTTGACAGAGCAAGGTGGGCGTCTCCAACCACATGAGCAAGTCTTCCAGATTCGTGCTGATCTTGTGTTTGGCAGGTTGGGCAAAAGCAGCCTGGGCATTCTTCGGCACCTGGAATTGCGGTGCTGGCCTCTTCATCCACGATGACCGCGGTGCGTTCAACGGAAAGCGCACTCTAGACATCTTACATCGGTATCCCATCACCACGTTCTGTGCACCGCCAACCGCATATCGCCAGCTCGTGCTCGACGAGATGCGACAGCACTTGAAGCAGAATCGACCTCGATCGCTCATCCATTGTGCAGGCGCTGGGGAGCCATTGAATCCTGAGGTACGGCCTTCAATTCGTCCTGCCCGAAGAGAGGTAGGTGGCTAACGTTCGGATTGTAGGTAATTCGTCTATGGAAGGAAGCCGCAGGAATGGACATCTGCGACGGCTTCGGCCAGACCGAAACCATCCTCGTCTGCGGCAACTTCGAAGGCTCTCCCATACGCCCAGGCTCCATGGGCAAACACTCACCAGGCGTGCCGCTGCATGTGATCGACGACGACGGGGCGGAGACAAGCCAGGACGTCGAAGGAGATATCGCTCTCAAAGTCGACTTGACTGAGACGTCAAACTTCTTCGGCGTCTTTGACGGCTACATCGGCGAAGACGACAAGCTCGACAGGCGCCTACGCTCAGATGGCAAGGGAGGCAGTTGGTACCTCACAGGAGACCGAGCAATGCGCGACAAGGACGGATACTTTTGGTTCGTTGGCCGACTAGACGATGTGATCAACTCATCTGGCTACCGCATTGGCCCCTTCGAGGTCGAGTCGACGCTGAAGCAGCATCCTGGCGTCGTCGAGTCGGCTGTGGTGTCCTCGCCCGACCAGTCACGAGGAGAAGTGGTGAAGGCGTTCGTTGTCCTGACGCCAGACGCAGCGAGGAGGGATGGAGGACAGCTAATGAAGGAGCTCCAGGATTTTTGCAAGGAGAATGCTGCTCCATATAAGTATCCAAGGAAGATACAGTTCGTTGAGCAGAGCTTCCTGCCGAAGACGATCAGTGGGAAGATACAAAGGAAGCAGTTGAAGGCAATGGAGTGGAGCGGGCCAGCCAGGACTACTGCAAAATTGTAGTGAGCTCAGCAAGGCCGTGTTCCGAAGATTTACGTAACCTACGCCTACTCCAGAATCTTCGCCACAGTCTTCAGAATCTCCTCCGTACCCATGCTCGCATTCTCAGGCTTCTTCCTCACTTCCTGCCACACCTCACCATGCTTCGGCTCGTTCTGCACACATCGATTCACGATATCCTCTTTCTTCTCCTCCGTCGAATGCATCAGCGCAAACTTGTAATACCAGCCCCAGGTGTCACCATAATCAGGATCAAGAATGACAGCCTTCTGGAACCAGGAGTCCGCCTTCTCCAGCTTCCGCTCGCCCCAGAAGATTCGGGCAGCGGTGACAAAGAGGATGGGGTCGTTGTCAGCTTTCTGAATAGCTTCGAGGATACGAGGTTTGCGTTGCGTGCGGGCTTCGAGGTGCCAGATGCGCTCGCTCCAGACGAGCCCGGACGTTGGGCATTCCTGGAGTGCTTGCGCCATCTTTTGATTTGCGGCCGGCATGTTCTTTGCTCGGTACTCCAGCCGCACGGTCTCGGTCCACAGCTCTGGGTTCTTCGGCACCGCCAGCCTTGCTCTGTCGAGCACAGAACGAGCCTTGACCATAACACCCATCTTCTCCTCGAGGCGAGACGCAAGCAGCCACAGCGCGACACTCTGAGGGCACGCTCGTGTGCCAGTATTGTAGGCCTCGCGCGCTTGCGGTAGCATATTCTTGCTCTCGTAAATCTGGCCCTTCTGCATCCACAGCTTGGCCGTCTTAGGGTAGATCTGCAGACCTTGGTTGACCAGCTCCAATGCTCGATCCTTGTCATCGGGACGGCGCTCGAAGGCGACCGACTTGATCCAGACCCTGTCCGTCCCGGCCTGGCTCCTCGCGGTGGCAAGCAGTTCTCGAGCCTTGTCGGTCTCGCCGTTATCCGCCTCAAGCTTCACAGCCGCGAGCCAAATGTCTTCGTTGCCCTCATTCTGCTTGAAAGCTTGACCCAAAACTTTCCGCGCCTCATCGAGCTCGCCAGCTTCCCATTTTTCCCGCGCCAGCTGCATCCATAGCACTTCACTTGTTGGACAGCTTTTCACAGCCTCGCCAAGCAGGTCCCAAAGTGCTTGCTTCGTGCCATGCTGCCGCTCCAAGTCTGCAGCTGCGACCCAGACGCTCTTGCGGTTGTAGAAGACCCTGATGGCGTAGGCGAAGATCGCTCTCGCAGTTTCGTATCGTCCTCGTCCGGTGGAAGCCTTCGCATCGTCCAACCAGATCTGCTTACGGTCATCATCTTCATCCAAGCCCCAACCCAGCGTCTCTTTGACGATAGCTTGACAGGTCAGTGGCGCACCCTCCTCCTCGCAGAGTTCTGCTTGGGTGATCCACTCCTCCCGCTTGAGCATGGCCGACTCTCGTGCAAGAGCCTTGATACCTCTTTCTATGACCTTGAACACCATGGCATTCTGACCAGTCTGCTCCTGCAGACGTGCGGCCGCAATCCAGATCTCGTAGCTCGCAGGTACAGCCTTGCGAGCCTTGTTCAACACAACCTGAGCTTGTTCGGGCGTCTCAAGTCGGGCCAGTGCGAGCCAAAGTTCGACGGACAGCGGGATGATTTCGGTGGCTTTAGCGAGCAGTAGTCGGGCGTCTTCAGGGTTCTCTTCCAAGTTGACAGCTTCTTTCCAGATGGCCACCGACTGTGGGATGTGGTCCAACGCCTTCCTCAACACTCGCTTTTTTGAGGCCGGCACTGTCTCCAGCTTCATCGCCTCGACCCACAGTCGCACCGATCGATCGTTGTTTTCGATGGCTTTCGCCGCAATGATCTTGGCGTTGTGGTTGTCGTTGAGCCGGATGCTTTCTAACCAGACGTCCTCGCTCTTTGGGCACATCTCAGTACCGCGTCTGATAACATTCCGCGCCGCCACGATCTTGCCAGCGTACTCCTCTAACCGAGCCGCAGCAATCCATCCTGGCCCATGACGGGGGTTGGTTTTGATGACGGATTCGAGCAATACTCGCGCACGCTTGACATCGCCAACTTGGATCTCGCCGGCCTTGATCTCGGACTTGCTGAGGGAAGTAAGATAGCCTTTAGGGTCAATGTTCGTACTTGTGCCGCTCGTCGTCTCCGTGCCAGACGGTGTTTGTGATTGCGCGGCCTGGTCCAGCCGCACCTTCAGCACCTTGTCTCTGGCCGCTCCGATGTCCGCAAAGTTTGTCATTGTTCCGTCCGCTTGGTCGCCAGCACTTCCATTCGGCGCATCCGTTGCCATGCCATCTTCTTGTACTTCAGTGCCCATCTGCGATGTGTCTCGCGCTCCAGCTAGCACGCTGTCCGGCACAGCGTAGAATCTTTGACCTCTTGCTGCTTGCTTGCTTCGCCGATTCTTGCCAGTCAGGTCTCCAACTTCCGGTATGCTCGCCCAGTCATCATCGGTAACCGTCCCAAGAGCTCGTTTAAGGTCGGCAAACTGTTGTTGGATTTTCGGATTGTTACGCTCGTACTCCTCTCGAGCTTCGCGCTCACGTATTTCCCTGTTCAACCCGGTAACGTCGGCAAGTGTTCGCTGTGAAGATGATGAACAAGGCGCCTTCACATGCATGGGTATGCATAACACAAATGAAACGGGCAGACTAACCTTCGAGCCTTTCGCCGCTTGTCCATGCGCTCGTCCACGCTCTGGTATATCCGATCTGCCTCATCGTCGTCCCGGTCATAGTTGCCTGTCGCAAACAGTCCCTCTTCGTTCTCAGCATCTTGAAACTGGTCTTCCTCCGGCTCGTCGTCGCCCTTCTTCTTGCCTACTCCGTATGCGGTTGGCGGCGCATTGCCGAGTTGAGCGGCGCGCTTTGCGAGCGCTTCCTTGATCTGCTCTTCGCTGGGTCCTTCTCGTGCTGGTCCAAGATCTGATCGTGTGGTGAAACCCGTCGCACCTCGACCAAGACCAGCAACGTAGTTCTCTGGCGCTTGTTGCGACAGGAAATCCTTGCGACCAGACATTGTGGCAGGTGTGAAGTGGTGAAAGGTGGGAAGATGTTCTGCGCTCAGAGAGGTATTGAACTTCTTGAGCCACGCGAGTCATGTATTTGGAGATCACGTGCCAGATGATACCCAACCGGACTGGACTGAACGAAAGGGAGACATTCTAGCAGACCTTGGTTTCATTCCACTATACAGATATGTCTACCAGGTGTTACCAGCACTGCTCTTCTTCCGCCCCCTTCCTTCATTTGCGCTGCCATTGCCAGCCTCTCTTCTTCCAAACAACTGCCCGACAACTTCACCTGCTCTCCTGCCAAACGACTTCCGCATATCCACCTCAAAATCATCAATGGCTCTCTGGAACGACCCCTCAGCAGCAAACTTGTCAGATGCACCCTGAAAGTCGGGGCTGGGCGGTGTGAGTGCAAGGGGACTGGTCGCTGCCCCGGCACTCCTCCGTTTCCTACGCTTCGCGCTCTCGAGTAGATCCGTCATTGAGGGTTTCTTCTCGTCCACCGGCGACGTAGGCGTGGGTGTAGAGGCGGGCGAGTGTGGATGCTCTTCCTCTGTACAAACGGAGTGGGTAAGGTCCGCGAGGAGGTCTTCGTCAGCGATGGAGGAGATGTCGAGGAGGATGTCTTCGAACGTGGTGCCTGCTGGTGAGTCTTCCGCCTCAATCATGTCGTCGTCTGATGAAGCCGGAAGCAGGGGAGCGGTGACCGTGACCTCAGGCGTTGCGGTAGGCGCAGCGACACCATACTGCTTCCCCCACCGACACTCACTCGGATAATCACACTCGCCCCAACAATCCTTCTCCTCCCCCGTCGCCGTCCCATCACAAGGTTGTTGACCAGCCACATCCCCCATCCCATCCACCTCCAAGAACCTCTCAAGCTCCTCAGCAGCAGCCCTCTGCACCCGACACCCCCGCCTCCAAACCCCCCAAGCCTTCCACCCCGCATAGTCAAACTCGCTCGCACACGCCTTATGCCTCACCACCTTCCGTCCACTCTTCCGGCTCCGTTTCACAGTCGTCGTGCCAGCGCAGAAATGGTGTCCGTCGTCGAGGCAGCGGCGCGTGGTGCCGAGGCGGTAGACGCGGTTGCAGAGGTGGCATTGCCAGAGCCAGTGGAGGGGTTGCGGAGGAGGTGGGGGGAAGGTGAGGGCGGAGAGTAGAGGTTTTGAGGGGGCGGAGGGGTGAGTAGGGAAGGGGGTGAGAGGGAGGCGGGGAGAGAAGGGGGATGGTGGGATGGCGAGGTGGGAGGATTTGAAGGGTTTGTTTGTTGGGGAGAGGTTTAGAGGGGTCGGCATTGTGACCGGTTGGTGGTGCTGCTGCTGATTCGCCTGCTGAAGATCTGACGGTGGAGTAACGCTGAGTTGAGTGAAGTCCTGCTTTGTGTTGCTGGGAGCCGATGCCGAAGTCCTGCTCCGTAGATGTAATGCAGTATAAAATGCCGATCTAACGAGCGTGGAGGACACAGTCCTGGTCTTCGTGTACAAACGAGCGTGAGAAGCGGAAGCAGCTGGGATGTAAGGACGTAGTCGTGAGATAGCGTCTTCTATTCAATACAATACCGAAGGTAGTCTCATCTTACCATCAAAGGGCATGCGACTCGATGCGATGGGAATGCAGTGGCGGTAAGTCTTTGTTCGTAGCATTTGACTCTTTGTCCAACGACGACATTTCGGCAGAAAAATGCTTTCGCCGAGGTGGGTATTCTTTGTCGTACTCGTCGAGGCAGTCTGGATTGCCTGTCCATCATTTCGGCACGAGGGTGCGTCATCACTGCTGCAGTACCGCTAACCCAGGCTGCCCACGAGAACGTGAAGGGTGCTTCGCATTGTGGATGGAAGGAATCGCACACGCATTCGACACAGGCTGCTTGTCGCATCGTGTGGAGCATGAAGGGCAGTCATGGACGTTGCTTGGTAGCAGGCGTCCCACTACGTCCAGTGTTCCAGTGAGTCTAATGACCACAGCGTGAATCCGATCAATGCGTGACCACCCTCAGCGCCTGCAACATCAATCCAAACACCAACCCCCTTGACACCTCAGGCACTTGCAAACAATCAAACACCTTCCCCAGCGCCTCTCCACTCGCTGCAGCGCCCATCACACTCTGCAGCGCGGTTGGCATGCCTTTAGTAACAAGCAGCTTCCTTGCCTTCACTCTCAATTCCTCCTTCTGCTCCTCTGTCTTCTCAGGGTAGTCTCGATTCCACGCCTCGAGCTCCGCTTCTGTCGGTAGAGCATTCTCGCGTAGCTTGTAGATGTGCCCTGCCATGCCAGCATCAGATATGTTTGCGTCGAGGAGTGATGTTTGCAAGAGGTCTTTAATGGTGACGAGCTGTGGATTGCCGGGTCGGAGGAGGAAAGTCTTAGCTGCTTGGAGCAGGGTGCGGCGGATGTTCCAGGCGGAGCTGAGGGTGTATAGCTCGGTGATGATGGCGAACATGAGCTCGACGGCCACAGACGTTTCGCTCTCCGAAAGCGGTGGCTTTGCTTTGGCGGCAGGCTTGGTTGGTTGCGCCTGTGGTCTGGGTGGCATAGGTGGAGCAGGTTGGTCGGTTGATTCTCTCGGTTCGGACAGCTGAGGGTCGAGAGATTTTGAAGAGCGGAATGTCTCGACACTGCTGCGACCTGGATTCGGTTTTCTGGGCGAGCCATAGTCCTCAGGCATCTCAGATGGCGGTGGAGGTAGGTGCATGGCTGGATCTTCAATCCTATCCTGCGCTGGTGAGGAAAGTTGCGGTGGAGCCTTTGAACTAGGTGTCGCGGGTGTGGAAGTCTCGCTGGCTGACTCCGGTCGTGGTAGCTCAACACTTGACCGCAGAGGTGATGGCCCAGACAGAGACCTAACATCTGCACTGGCAGTCGATGCAGTGCTGAGATGTCTGTCCATCGACGGTCTGGTGTTTGGCGGGGCACGTAGCGATTCCTGGCTCATTCTTGCACTCCCGCTGCCAGAGGCATATCCATCAGTCGAGAGACTCGGCTGACTTCGATGGCCGTCCAGTGAATTCGCGGTGTTCGTACGGGTAAGGTCGAGTTGACTCTGCCGTTTCCCACCTCCACCACCGACGAGTCCAGCAACACCGCCAATTACCGCTTTTCCACCGCCGGCGACTCCCCCAAACATGGCCTTGCCGCCGCCAGCTACCTGTTTGGGTGCCTTGGTGAGGACATTCATCATATCGCCACCAAGCCTGCCGAAAGCGTCTGGCGTCGGCCACGCGAAGGCACCCTTGCTGCTTGGGCTCTTGTTCAAGCCCTGGTCCTTTTCAAGAAATCGCTTCATGCCTTCACTTTCCGCCAGAGGCTGGAATCGCACGGCGCCAGTGAGATAGCGCTCAAGCTCCGCACGAAGTGATGACTTGGTGTGCACCTTCCACTTCGGCAGCTCGCCATGAGTCTCCATGAAGCCGACAACGCCTGTTATGACGCTAATCCGCCTTAACACCTCGTGCAGTGCCTCGAAATCGGCATACTTCCTTGCGATCATCCAGCCAGGGTAAATGGAGGAAGACGGCTCAATCTGAATGAGATAGTCCGTTGTGGGCTTGGCTTTGATAGAAGTCTTCTCACCAGGCTGCGAATCGTCGAAGATAGAAATGGTGGCCTTGTGCAATGTCAATGGTGGCGGAGGAGCACGAGCGCTGGCAGCAAGGTTCTCAGAGCTGCAGTCCGAGAGAGCTGTTGGCTGACCGGCTGGAACTAGTTGGTCGAATGAGGTAAATGGCTGCCGATCGTGGGTCGTTGGACTCTCAGCGACAGATGGCGGCTGGCTATGACTTCTCAAGGACGACGTCTCGTCTTCGTGTCTATCCTGCTCGCTTTGACTAGATGTCGGTGTTGGAGCTCCTTGGGTGGTCGTACCTTCCGAAACTTCCTCGGAGCTGCTGACGGCCATCTGCTTCTCACCTTCCTCGCGCGCTCGTCTCTCATCTTCCTCGATCATTAGCTGTGTGAGCCTCTTCGCCTCTTGCATAGCTTCATCCATAGCTTCTTCGGCTTTGCTCGCCTGGCGTTTGTGCTGCTCTGTTGGTCTCGTCGCAGCGGTCTCGCCTTCTTTCTTGCTCATGACCTCTTGCGGCGTAGAATTCTGCTCGGTCGGCTTTGGGGCTTTCTGCTCGTTCGCCCTCCCTTCCACACCCGCATCAACAATGTTCATCACCTCCCGCGTCGTCTCGCTCTCCTCTAGACCGTATACGATCCACTCGTTGATCCATTCGGGCCTCGAGCAGAGTGTCACAGTCGACCCCAGGACAAGCTGAGCAAGCACCTGCTTGAGGAAGACGTGTACTGGCTCGCAGTTGTACGCTTTGGGATCCAGATAAGCCTGAAGAATGTCTTCCGCGATGAGCGCGAGCTTGGCATCTTGCGCCTTCTCATCCAAGACATACGCCAGAGAGCTGTCCGGTTTTAGCGTCAGGTAGGTACTGACTGCCTCGGCCGGAGAGGAGTTGGGCGAAGCATTGATCGCGGCTGCCAGCTCATTCAAGAATACAATGATGATACTGCTGGCGTTAGTGACGAAGTCCAGAAAGGCGTCTGCCGGGCGTTTCCGCTGGAGGTGGCCGGACAGCGACAGAATGAAAGCCGTTAACGTTCTCCTACACGATGCGGGAAAGCCTTCTTCTCCTGGTAGCTGCGGCCTATACCAATAATACACGTAGTCTTTGATCACAGAGTCTGTGAACGTATTGAGGGCGCTCGCAGTCTCCAGGTCGAAGGACGAAAAGTCCAATTGTTGACTGCCAAAGAACTTGGTTTCCGCCTCGCTCGAAGCCTCAGTCCTAGAAGCCGTCAATTCTAGCACGCGTCTTGCTACTTCGACACCAGTTTCGCGTCTCCTCTCCTGCTCTGCGCGCCGGGTCTCTTCGTTCCCGTTGTCGGCGCGGACCCCTTGCCATGTGGCCTGCAGCACCACACCTCCAGCGACACCGATTATGACCAGCCCTACCCGTCCGAGAACCATATAGGTTGCAGCTCCGGCCCCGACGAGGCATGCGCCTAGCGTCTCGTTGCTGGCATGCGCGAGAAACTCCAGCGCCCGGTCCGTTAGACTTTGTAGGGTCGTGGACAAGTTTGAAGTTTGTGCCGCATCTTGCTGCTGCCCTTTCTTGGTGTCCTCGTCCTCGCCGTTGCCGGTAGAGACCGGTTCTTCCTTTACTGCCTCGCCTGGAAGGCCATCTTCGTGTTCAACAGGAACTCCATGCTGCTCGAGCGTAGTCTCATCCATTATCCCGCCGTCTTGCGCTTCTGATCATCGTACAGTCCCAAGTATATGCATCCGACACGTGGTCATAGTCCTGTAGCGTACGTCCCACTTTGAAGACGTCGTCAGCAACCGTGCATCTCGAACAAGGGAGGTCGAAGTCAGCCCTGCACAAAGAAGTCTTGGCAGGGACCGCAGTCAATCCGAAACACCTTCTCGTGACAACCATTGACTCATGTTCAAAATATAAACCACACCGAAAGCCCGGTCAATCCATCCTCTAGTCTATGTGCTCTGTTGTCCGCGGATTGGCGACCATGGCGACATCAGTGGGAGGTGACACGCCTCTGGCGCAGACGCCAGCAGACAAACTCAACCTCATCAAGAGCAATATGCAAGAAGTCCTCAACCCGGAGATCATCGACAAAGTCGTCAACGCAAACGAACGACCTCTCCGGATCTACTGGGGTACTGCAACGACAGGGAAACCTCACTGTGGATACTTTGTTCCTATGCTGAAGATTGCTGAATTTCTGGCCGCTGGCTGTGAGGTCAAGATTCTCCTCGCAGACGTTCATGGCTTCCTCGACAACCTGAAGGCACCGATCGAGCTCGTCGAGCAGAGGGTGAAGTACTACCGGTTCGCCATCACTGAGGCCATGAAGGCTGTCAATGTGGACACGACCCGGCTGGTCTTCGTGACGGGATCGGACTACCAGACGAAAGGCGATACTGGCGCGAAATACTTCATGGATCTACTCAGGCTATCGACGAGTGTGTCTGGCCACGATGCATCGAAGGCGGGTTCAGAGGTCGTCAAGCAAGTTGATTCGCCACCACTATCCTCACAAATCTACCCGCTCATGCAAGCTCTTGATGAGGAGTACCTCGGAGTGGACGCGCAGTTCGGTGGCGTAGATCAGCGAAAGATCTTCACATTGGCCGTGGAAGCCCTTCCAAGGATAGGTTTCGAGAAGCGTGCACATCTCATGAACCCGCTCATCCCTGGTCTGCAAGAAGGCGGCAAGATGAGCAGTAGTGATCCAGACTCGAAGATCGACCTCATTGATCAGCCAGACATTGTGAAGCGGAAGCTGAAGAAAGCTTTCTGCCCGCCGAAGCAAGTAGAAGGAAATGGCGTGCTTTCTTTTGTGCAGTACGTGCTTCTCCCAGCATCGGCGCTCAAGAACAACGGCACACCAAAATTCGTTGTGCAAAGACGAGACGCGGAGCCGCTCACCTATTCCTCAATCGACGACATGCGCAGAGACTACCTCGATGATGTGTTGCAGCCCCAATCACTCAAGCCAGCAGTGACAGACGCTTTACTCGAGATCCTCGGCCCGATACGGAAGCAGTTCGAGGAGAACAAGGAATGGCAGGAGGTCGAGCAGAAGGCCTACCCGCCACCTCCCGCACCGCCGAAGAAGGAGAAGAAGGTCAAGAACCTTGGGACGAGGTTTCCGGGTGGTAAGGGCGGTGACAAGGCGGAGGCTGCTAACGGGAGCGTTGAGGTGAAGGCTGATGGTCACGTCGAGGGTCCTAAGGCGCATGAGGTCAGTGTTGGGAAGAGTGCTGAAGACGCTGAGGGTGCGATGCGGAGATTGAGCGGGGGCAAATCGTAGCTGGGTCGTGCTGGTAGATATGGAGGTGTATATGCAAAAGGAAGCGCTGCTCGTGCATCTGCATTCAAGCGGTGGAAAACTGCCTACGACTATCAGCTTCCACACTCCATCTCAGGATCTCTTTGACGCCAGTCCGCTCTGGCAATCTGGGAGAGCCATCGCATGCGATCCTGGGACGCTCGCGAGTTGCCGCTGCACGCTTACGCCGTCCTTCAATATCCCCAGGGCTGACAACCTCGCTCGGTCTTTTCTACTGCAAATCTTCAGTTGGCTGTACCCCTATATGCCGAGAGCATCTACATGAGTGTTTCCGTCGTGGCAGGAAAGCGGCAACGTGTCGTTGTCGCCGCAGACCACAGTACATCCGTGCAGTTAGACCACCTCGACGATCACATGCAACCATGCCCGGGAAAAGATCCCTGCTGAAGATCACACTGTCGCTAGCCCTACTGCGGGGAGGCACATTCCGATTCCGTATCTTTCTCACTCCCTCTTTCTCCCCCGTGACAAAACCGAAACGGCCCCTGTCTGCATCTCCGGCAACTTCCCGATGCGAATGCATACGAAAACGTTCCCCCGCGTCGTATGCTTCGATGGATGTCTGGACTGACTCGACTTCATGCGAGCTGACAACCTGACGACTTCTGGAGGCCCTTGATGGCTTATGCTCTGTTTCTTCATGTCTAGTTTGTTCAAGCAGCTCATCTGCAGGTAATAGCAGACCCTCATTCACACTGTCGGGCCTTAACCACGGCCACCTTGGACCTTGTCGCAAGCGTACAGCAGATCTACGATCCTCAACGGTCAATAGCAAAACAACCTCGACAATCTGCCAATCCCATTGGGCTGACCCGAATACTTCCAGCTATCGACTGCCGGTCGCCCATGGGGCTGGGGCTGTAGGCAAACCTTACCGGTCATGCTGCTTGGGGACATCCGAGGCGCGATTTATTGCTTCAGATTGCTTACGCCTCGCATTGGCCATGTCAGCGCATTCTGTCTCGTCCCATATACCGGGGCGATGGCACTTGAGGCTTTCTTTGAGTCTACTCCCCTCTGTCATTGACTTGACGTCCAAACGGTCGGCACTCTAGTCAACCACCGCGACAAATGCTGAACAGGTAGACCTTAAGGAGCAATGCCTGGCAACTTCAATACAGTCCCGGAATCGGTCATCGTCAGTTGGCCCAAGCCGAACTACGTGGTGAGTTCATATCTTAGGATACTCTCGTCGGGAACATCAGATTGTGAAGCAACAGGATCTAACCACACATCCCATCCCATGGAACCGGTGCGGCGAACATGGCTCCCGGCGCTCGTCTACGTCCTAGTGAGCATACAAACAGTGCTCATAGCCGGGCGTTTCTACCTACGCGGCCGTCGAATGGCCGCTGAATTTGGTTGGGATGACCTATTCATCTTCATTGGCTACCTGGCGTCCATTGGCTTCGCGACAACAGCAGTGCTTGGATCCGAACGGTACTACCTTGACCGACACACCTGTTGGAGTTGGTGGGTGAGAATATTTGCTTGAACTATCTAATGTGAACAGAAGGTTCCTTTTGTAGCTCCCCTGGGGCCCGTGCCCCTTTCCTTCTACATTCACTGCGAAGAGTGTCACATGAAGAGATGCCTCAGGTTTTCGGCTCCATTCACAACAACACCTGGGATGTGCCACTCGAAAGCTTCGTGCCTACGGCGAAAAACGGTTGGATCGCGCAGATACTTTTCATCATTAGTACTTGCGCAACTAAAGCATCAATCCTGCTGTTCTACAGACGAATGACGAAGGGCACTTACAACGCACGATGGCGATACGCCATCTGGGCAGTCCTGGCGTTCACCTTTGCGTTCTTCGCTGCAGTGCTGGTTGCCTACTGCTTCATCTGCCAGCCGCTGGACGCATACTGGAAGTCCTACAGCTTCACCTACGACGAACCATTCACGTGCATTAACGGCAACGTATTATCCCAACTGGTCGGCGCTCTAAGTATCCTCAGTGACTTGTACGCCACCTTACTACCCTGGTGTATGCTCTGGAAGTACAAGCTGGACGTCCCACGCAAACAGAGAACCGCCTTGAACACCATCTTTGGTCTATCCCTGGTTGTTGCAGGCTGCGCTGGTGGAAGGCTATACTACCTCTACAGGATGAACCACTCCTACGACACTTCGTGGAACGGATTCTATTTCTTTGTCTGATCCTTGCTGGAATGCCACCTCGCGATCATCTTCGCATGTGCGCCATCACTACGGTCGTTCGTGAGACGGTACCTGCAAGATGCTCTAAATCGAACGTTTCGCTCTGGCGCATACAGCAGGAATGCCGGACGTACGCAAGATTCGATTGATTGGAATAATTCCGCGCCGCTCGATGGTTTGCCAGGCAAGCGCCCAATAACGATCGTGCCAGAAGCGTTTAACGAGCGAGGCTTTGTGAAGTCAGAGCAAGGGCTGACAGTGGAGATGACCGAGACATGGTCTCGAAGAAGCAGCGACACAATACCGCCAATAACCAGTCCAGACGAATATGAGACGTACAACATGACGCAGCTGCAGAAGCACGGATATCAGAAGAGTAGATCAAGCGATATTAATCGGACACAGAGCTATCGGGGTCAGGACTCGAATGCTTGGAGTCCTCTGAAGAGTACTCCGGAGCAGGCAGAGGCGCCGGGTGTCGCTCCGCTCGACTATGCGAACTCGTACGGATTGTCGAGGCTCAACAGGGCCGCTCCGGATGCAGGTCGGCATGGGGAACCACAGCACAGGATGAACCAGGCTGAGTTGTACACCCACGCGGCCCAAGGCAGCAACGTGAGCAACTGGAGTCAGACCAAGGGAGAGCAGGTTCCGTACCATGCAGTATGATATGGCTTTTCACTGCTCCATGCGCTCTGCGCTAACGATTGCCGTAGAAGACCTGGTATGAGGAGTAAAAGAAGCGACGTGTTAGATGATACCCAACAGAGCCTGCAGAGTCATCACAAACGGACCAAACCGGGGAATGGTTTGCACGATGCATCGGAGGGCGCCTAAAGCTCAAGAGAAACTGCGGCGCAAGATGCAGTTGCTGCGTGATGCACACATACTGTACATTTCTATCCACATCTAAAACACCTTGTTCATCGCCTGATGCGCCAACTCCACGCCCAAGAACGTCACAGCATTCGCCGGCACCGCCCTTGCCATCGCCGGGCCCATACCAGGGAAAAACGCCTTGATGCCGCCTTTGGAGTAAAGCTGCCGTATCGTCTGGCTAATGCTCAGGTTTCCATCGCCAGACTGCAGTCGCGATTTTATGGTGTCGACGGGGAAGACGGGGATCCACATGGCCACGCCTGCTGCACCTCCCGCAGCGCAGACGGCTGGTAAGGAAAGCTGGCCTGGCTTGCCGGTCTCGTCTTTGGGCGTTAGTGATCGCTTGATCGTCTCGTAGGTAGCGAAGTATGCAGCTGAACCAGGACCGTCTCGCGCTAGCGTCATAGCTGAGCCACGGTATACTGATTTGATCCCGCCTTCTTTGTATAACTGCCGTACGACGTCCAGTCCGCCGGAGTACTTGGGCTTCTCACCCGGTTTGAGCTCTTTCTGCCCTTGTATTTGTAGCATGATTTTGACCCGCTCGAAAGGCGCCGTGATCAGGGTCATGGGTACCGCCGAGAAGAACCCTGCTGTCGAGACCTGCGCGACGGAGTATTGGCCGTCTTTGACCTCGCTGAAGGACTCCACGAGCTGCTTGCCGACGCCGTAGCCCCAGAAGCTTACAGCGACTAAGTTCAATCAGTGCCATTGCCCAACCCGCTCATTCGTCATCGGGCAGACTTACACATTGGCGTCACACCCACCAACGGTGCGGAAACCCCAGCATACAACCCCCTCACCATCCCCTCTCGCGCAACAGTTTTCCTCACAACATCGAAAGCCCCATTGTACACTCCCTTCTCTGCCGTCTGCAGCCGCACCTTGACCAGATCGAACGGATGTCCAACGACCACCGCACATACACCTCCCACCCCACCGGCGACGAAGTCTCGTAATGAGGAGACGGACTTTTTGGTCGCTTTCACGACATCCTCTTTCACTTCCTCAGTGCTTTTGCCGACGATCTCTTCCGCCTTTTTTATGGGATCCATGGCAGACGTGCTGGTGGAGGACCAGCTGCCGTGGCGGTCTTCGACCTGTATGGGCTGTCAGACGGACGGAAGTTGGTCGATTGAAGTCAATGGGAAGCGGTTCACGTAGCTAAGTGAAAGGCTATCACCGTATGTAGAAGAGTTGCAGAATGATTTGCATGTGAAAGCAAAAAGCAGAGCAGAGCTTCGAGCTCTGAGGATGATCTGCGGTCAATCCCAGAGCCGCAGGACCTCGGCGTTTTCGGAACTCTGCAACATGTGAGGTCCGGGTGAACGGTTCCAAGCCGATTCTCGTCTCACCCTTGTGATGATATATCTTGGCAAAATGGAGTCTAGGCTAATTGTTGGTGGTGGACGAGGGCAGCCGCAAGAGCCGGTAAGATACAGTGTTTGATCGACGATACCTGACTCCGGACGGGCGCTTCAATTTACCTTACTATATATCTGTACAGCGGTCTTGGTACAGAAGAAGCTTCCACATCTCCTCTGTGCGATCTCAGAACCACACACTACCGCCTTGCCGGCCCATCATGTCTGCACGTGTGCCGCAGCCTCCGTTGAAATGGCGATGCTCCAAGGCAGATCACCTGTACAACGTAAGTGATCTTCGCCCGCTGCAAACGCTCGAAACATAGAGAGTAATCCACCCTTAAGCCGACAGCAGTGAAGAACTGCCTCCTCGTGCTCGACCATCGCTCGCCTCATGTAGGGTAACCCTGGTCGTTACCTGCTCAAGGGTCAATACTCTGTGAATCAGCGACACCTGTGGTTTGATACGTACCCCAAAGAATAGTGTTCAGCACAGAATAGGGGCTCAGCTCCTGCCCATCGTCCTGCGCATTCGAAGTCGGCGTCACCATGGCATTCTCAATCTTCAACGACCCATCATCAGCCACCGAAATCCGATCCAGCGACCCTGCAGCAGAGTAGACCCCAACATGCCGGGACGTTTCGGCCTCCTGGATCCCCAGTCTGCTCAAAGCAGACAGTCCTCGCTGGATGGGCCCGGACACCTCTTGCGGGTCGAGACTGTTGGTCAGGTCCGTCATGACGCTGATGAAGCGGACGAGGTACTTTCGAGCCTTTTCGTTGCGGGTGTGCTCGCCAAGGATACCGAGAAGCAGGCCTGCACCGAGACCACGGTGGATGGCTGCCCATGATTGGCGAGCGAAGGACGTCTTGGTGCAAAAGTTAGCATGAGTAGGAGTAGTTCTCAGGCTCAGGAACTCACGATGTTGTTAAGTCCCAGAAACGCCTCAACGGTATTCACCAAAAAGTCAATGCAAGGCTGCCTGAACAACCTCTGCAGTTCCGGATCAGCGTTCGGACTGATTGCTGGCCTGCAGAGCTCCGACATGTAAAAGGAGCTGTGCAGGTACAGGCCCCAATGCTCGATGCTTTCCCGGTGAGTACTACATTTGGTGCAGTCACGAAGATACGGCTCGGTATCTACCAAGATGGTTGCCAGAGCATCCTTGATCTCGTGGATGCGAGCGATCTGCTCCCGGGTTCCCATGGGCGTGGAACGGTTTCGGACAATGTCGAGCGCGACTTTGCTGACTCTGTACATGACGGCGTGGTAGGCGTTGGTCGGCCCGATGTCCTGAGGTGGTGGCATAGTACAGACGTCCTCAAGGACAGTCGAAGATGCTCGGTCGAAGTTGATGGAGAGCAAGCTGTCTTGCCAGACGATTGCCCACCAGATCTTTGACCGTGGGTACACGGTCTCCCTTGGGATATTGGGAGGACAAGCTCGATGTATCCCAAGCCCTTGCGCAAGTCGGAGGGTGAGACCGAGCATTGACCAAGAGATGCCGGCGTTCAGATTGTTCGTCATGACATTACCGATGACAATCAGTGATTGCAAGCTCTCGAGCGTCGACTGCGCAAGGAAGTTGCAGAAGCGAAGGCATTCAAAGCTGCAGCAGACTGGTACTGAGTTAGCGCCCACCCTTCTTGTGAGAGTTTTGCGATACTCACTGTACACCTGCGACGTCAGCTCTCGCTCTTTGCGAGGCATCGAACTACACTGCGCTCCACTCGCCAGCACCGCAAAAAGAAGCGCAAGCCAGTTGATCGACTGTCCATAGATCTGCTGCTCCGTGACCCCTTCAGTCGACCCGAATTGAGCTGCACGGTTGATCAAAAACGCATCTAGCTCAGCTCGCAACTGCTCTGGCGACACAATGCCAGCATAGATGACATAGCCCATATCTCTGTAGCACTGGAAGTAGTGGATCATCTGCGAATCGCTCGGTAGTGCTTTTGCCAACGCCTGCGCGCGTGCCAGTGAGCCATGCGGTAATCCCCAAAGATCCACAAAGGGGTACGTTGCGGTTTCGTTGTCCAGACCGAACAGTGGCAGGACAGTCTTGCCGAGCATTTCCTGGATCTTGTGTTGTTCCGCATGGCCTTGAGTCATTTGGAGGTTGTAGAACAGTGCTGGCACAGAGCCGGCGCCGAGATGGACAATCTCCCCAGAATCGTTCTTAACGTGCACCCCATGGATATCTGTATGGGTAGGCCTCCTTGGGCGCCCAGAGACAGCAGGATCGATGTTACTCGCACCCGAGCTTGTATCGCCGTTAGATTCACCATAATGAGGTCTGAGGCTCAACTCCCTTCGCATCTCCGAGAGGTTCTGCTCCAGTGCACTTAACTTGCCACACAAGAAGTCAAACTCCCCACGACCTATAGTAACAGTATCGCCATTCGCAGACATAGCCTCCGACTTGACCACCGGACCTGTCTGATTGGCATTCTGTCGCTTGTTGGGCGGATGATACGAGCAGAGCTCCGGATGGTCTCGGTCTCTGCACGTCTGGCATGGTCGCGTTAAATCACACCTACAGCACAATCAGCCTTCCCCTCTCAACACCAAACACGTCCATCTGTAATAATTAAAACATACTTAACCTTCCTCTGCCGACAAGGATAACAAGCCTTATGCTCCCGCGCCTTCCTCTTCTTCCGCAACACCTCATCGACCTCCTCCTGCGCCGGTTGCAGCTCAGGATAAGGCGGCGTCGAGGCATTGGCCATATTCGGGTCCATAAAAGCCGACAGGTTCGCGCTCTCCAATGGATCCATCCTTGGAGGCGTGGCCGTTACCCAGACGGCGGATATTCGGTGCGTGTTCGGGGCGCGCAAGGAGTAGTCTCGGACCTGTCGATGGGCTCAAAAAAAGTGGCCGCTTCCCGCGCGCAGGGCTGTTGTTGATTGCCAGTGTTTGTAGCGGCGGTTACACTGCGTGAGTTCACAGAGGCGATTTTCGTGATGCGATGGGAGGTTGATTGGCGTTGCTCAGAGTTTGGCGGGAGCGACCTTTCCTTTCGTCAGAAGAGGTGAGATCGGCCTTCTCGGCGAAATTCAACGCTAGTACACGTGACTTGGGACACGAACATTGACTCGGACCATTCAATGTGCTTCAATGGCACAGCATACATCATAGGGGTATCTCAAAACTACGAACTAACATCGCTCACTTCGTCACTGCCCTCGCTCACGTCCCGCATACCTCTCAACCGCATGTTCGCCGCCTTAACCCTCGCCTCCCTCGAAGCCCGTTGGTGTTCAGCCTTATCCACACCATCCTGCGGACTAGCAAACCCACTGCCTCCACCAGCAGTCGCCGCGCTGCTACCAGCGGGAATCTCTTCAGCTAGTCGATCAGCCATGATGGCGTCGTACTCGCGCTCCTGCTGTCGAACGGCTTCGGGGTCGAGCTGGCGAGCAGCGGCGAGGAAATCGACTTCGCCATCGGAGTCGTCCTCTTCGCTACTGTTGTCTTCGGCTTCTTCGTCCGCTTCGCCGTCAGAGTCGTATGGCACGTTGACGAGCTGTGGGGCGGCGGATGGTGGTGAGGCACCAGTGGAATCTAGGTCGGACATGTCTTCGTCCTCGGAATCGCTGTCGCTCATTGAGTCGTCGTCATCCATGAACTGCAGCGCCTCGGGCAGTTCCGAAGGCGGCAGCTTCTTGATCTCGGACGCAGTAGATTCTTGACGTATTAAAGTACTAGGTCGTTGCTTTGTCTTGTCGTCGTCCAGGATATTAGCAAACCGGGGAGGTATCGCTTTTGAGAAAACTCCAGGTGGTACATCTGCTTCCCGCGACCGGTCGACTCGTGCATGGCGGCTCTCAACATCGATCGTGAAGTTATCTGAAGGCCAAACGCCACCGATGCCCGTGACCTTGAGGTCGATAGGAGCTTCGCGGCTCGGCGATGCGGAGCTGAGAGGTGACGGCTGCTGGAAGGACAGCTCCATTGACTCTGGAATGGGATTTTCGTCGAGGCTCATAGGATCGGGCAATCGCAAAGCCTGTCCCAGTAGGCCTCGTCCCTCGCGACTCGCTTCTGGCGAGGCCTTCGCCTTTCCAACTGGAGAGGAGCTGATTCGAGTGTACATCGGTGGATCGCTAGTCTCTTGACCAGACTCCCTGCGGTCGCCACTAAGGTCGGTGCAGAACCGCGCGTTGGTGTAGAAGATGATCGGTCCATCGTCCTGCTTGTGCGCTCGCTTCCGAGCCAGAGTTGGGCGACCGACAACATTGCTCATACCAGATCGTGTCATGCCTGAATTGGTGCCACCGAAGGCAGGCGGCATCTGGGGCGACTCATAGTCAGGCTCTGGCTCAGATGTAGAGTCGTCCGTTTCGTCTGAGCTGCCGCGGTGCGAAAAGAGTGGATTGTAGACGTGTTTGCTGGCTTCTCGACTGGAAGCAGCGCCGGTTGCCCAGGCTCCATTCTTTCGCCTCGACTGCGCTCCGCTATCGTACGAGAGCTTAACCCTCTTCCGCGGGCTCTGGCCTTCTGCGCTCTCAACACTGATCCTGCCGTTCGTCGAGCCACCATCATTGCTACTGTTGCGCGTGAGAGAAGCTCCACCTCTCCAGCGAACCTTTCGGCCATCTGTCGAGACTTCGAAGTTGCTGCCGATCTCACCCAGCGCCTTCCGCACGAAGGAGTCGGTCACATTGATTGTGTGGAGCTGCGCCATGTTGATCAAGAAGTTCAAGTAGATCCAGCCGTGGTTGTCCATCGGTGAGCTCCCAGACTCTGGATGTGGTGGAGAGAAACCCAAGTGACGCATGTACTTAATATTCTCGGTCGGTACCTGAGCGCGGTGAGGATCGAGATCTAAAGGACGTGTAGGCCGTTGCTCGACGGGCCCTTGAGCGGGCGACTGCGCGATGGGTATTGCCGAGGACGCTTTGCTTGGCTGTCTGTTAGAGGTAGACTGCTTGTTCTCGTCCGAAGATGAATCTTGGATATCCCTGGCCTCGTGGTTCATGATCTTCGACTCACGAGCACCTTCCTTCGAAGTACGCTGTCCAGAAGCCTCAATCGCCGATCTATCAGCAGTGGCAGCACGCTGCGACACTTCTTCCTGTTGGAGAGATTGCTGATTGTCGGAGCCTGGTGCACCTTTGCCAGCGAAGAGTTCTTCCAACTTGCGGACGACGAGCTTCTTCTTCGCGCGTTCACTCAGCGTTGTCGGATTCTCTTGTGGCAGCAGTCCTTCCGGGATGTGATATAGATAGTCGTGGATATTCTGACGTCGTGAAGCCAGATGGGTGGCAGGCGTCATCTGAGGCTTCTTGTCGTATGCAGACAGTCCAGACGATGCAGGGCCAGAAGCCGACATCGAGGCATAGGCGGAATCGGTGTTCTGGAAAGACGCCTGCGAGGATCCTGCTTTGTCGACTTTTGACGTTGGCACGAGGCCTGTATACTTGGTCGTTGAGAAGTTGTTTGCTCCCGTCTTGTCCAGGCTTGCAGTGAACTGTCGTAAAGTCTCCTCCAACTCCCTCTTCTTTTCCGGCGGTAACCCGTGTATTCGAACCTCGAACAACTTCTCGTCTTTCATGTGTGGATCGTGAAGTTTTTCGTACTTCTTCAGCTTTCTTTTCAACTTCTTGTTCTCCACGGTCAAATCATCGATCACACTCCGAAAGTCATCCGTGCTACTGCCATCCGTCCCAAGTCGCAACATTTCGGTCCTCAGAGGCAGCGCGCTCGTGTAGTCATCCTGCCTCTGCAGTCTTGAAGCAGCTTCTGGTGGTGTCTTGGAAGACGAGTGGTGCATGAAGAACGGCGGGTCGTTGTCTCCGAACGCGACACCGTTGTCGCGAATGTCGTTGTTGGACTTGTCGAACCATTTGTCCACGTTGCTACTCTCACCTGAACTATCCCTCCCAGTCATAGGCGCTAGACTGGAGGGCGAGTTGCCAGTACTGGCATGTTGGCTTGAGACCTCGTCGCTTGACGTACTGCTGCGAAGTTTCGACGGGGAGTGTTTGATCGATACTGATCGGTGGGCTGGCGGGCGACGAGGGTGGCCTTCAGGTCCTCGTACTGCGACTGGCATTCTCCCAGCCGGAGGAGGTCCTGGTCCCATACTTGTCGTTTATATGTTATCGTGTAGCATTAATCGCCCCAGAGTCCATGTGTTCTCGATGTGGTAAGCACGATGCCGTGCATTGAAAGACTAAGCAAAGTCGAGCGAGGAAGAATGTCCCGCTATAGAATGGCGAAAGGTATGCAAACGACACAATCCGTGAATGACAAGACCAACTGGGCAAAGAGAAGGTGCACATCGGACGCAGTGTGTGACATCGAAGAGAGGCTTACCCACAGCGATCAGAGCTGAGGAGAAGAAATCGCGGTGTTCCGGGCGACAACACCAGAGGTTTCAGTGTGTCCAACGATGGCAAGATCCTGCACATCGAACCGCGCAGGTCGAGATCGAGGTTCTCGACCGCAATCATGAAGTCGATCGGGATCGGTCGTCTTGCCTCGTGCGCCCTCTCGGCTTCCGTTCGCTGCCGTGCGTCAAAGTTAGGTGGCTTCCCAAAGTCGTGGTCTAGACTCTACTATAGGACGGAGTTGGCGCCGCATCTTCGATTCATCAACCAGACTCTCCTCGCGACGCTTCCAACAAAGCCTTCGAGGACCGGATTTTCCTCGATGCAACGTCGATGCTCTCAAACCCAACATCTCGATATGGCGCCAGAGCAGAGGCAGTCTTGTCAGTTCTAATTGGAAACAATGTTACTCGGATGGCTGCAAGTGATGTAAAAGTGGAACACAACCGCCAGGTCAGGAGTGCTGTCCGAATATCGACGATGAACGTCCATGCACAGTCATCATCAATCGTCTCCTCGATTCTTCGAGGAAGAACTCGCAAGAAGCGAGTGGGAATGTTGTTCAGATGCAATGTGAACGACCCAAACAATCCGCATGCGCCAGGAGTGTCTTTACAACTTCGTTTGTACCGGCAAAGCCAGGAATACAGTCTACCGATGCTCCGCAAGCCAGGCCTTGACATCTCTCTCGAGACTTGGACGATACAGCCAACTCATATCATCGGCCTGCGCTCTTTCTGGTGCCTTCCGCTCTCGGAGCAACTTGCTTCGATCTTGTTCGGACATTCTCTCAACATTCGTCGAGTTCGTCGCCCAATCGAACACTGCGTCGACTCTTCTCTGCCGCGTACCCTGCCACCAGGAGAGTGCTCCGAGTATTTTATCGTTGCGTCCCTCGCCATCGATCGATGTCAACAACAGTGTCAACGAATCGACATCTTCCAAGCACTGGTTGATGCCTTGTCCACTACTCGGGGGCATAGCATGTTCTCCATCGCCGCATAGTATCACCCGACCAGTCTCACTGAACCATCGCGGCAGCGTCGGCACCTTCAGAAACGGCCAGATGAAGGCATTCTCCTTGTTCGCCCTCACCTGATCAATGATTTTTCTTGGAGTCGGGCTCCATTCATCATACCGCTCGCTGTAAAACTCAGCAAGCTTATCTTTGTCGTGCTGTAATCGCTCAAGATCTTCTCTTGAATACTCAGGCGCCTGCTTCTGCATGCCAATCATGATATCCTCGCCTTTCGGATCTTCCGCAATAAAGAAGATGGCGCCCGGCTTGTCCTGGATGGTGGCGTTAAGCTCGTAGTCCTCGTACGGCCAAGCTACCGAAGCTCGCTTGATGTGTGCGAGCACTCCCATCGTGCCTGTGTAGTAGGGGACAACGTCGGGCGCCAGGTATTTGCGGACAGTGCTGTAGATGCCATCGACGCCAACCAGCATTGAAGCCCGGTGAGCTTCGTCATTTATACGGTATTCGACACCCTCAGCATCCTCGGATACTATCCCCTGGAACCTCGAATCGTACTGGATCTGTACGTTTCGTTCCTCGAGCATCTGCTTCATCTCACCCAGAAGCACGCTTCGCCAGACACGGTGGTTCGAGTAGCCATACAATTCCTCACCAGAGATGACGGTCTTGCGCGTAGTTTCGTCCTTGCCGTTCTTGAAGACGCGGTGCGTAGAGATATAGCACCGGTCCTTGATCCTTGGCAGGACTCCCAGTCGGTCGAGAATGTATAGGCCATTTGGGGTTAGGACCACGCCACTGGTAATGGGCTCTGATTTTGCTGGGCGTGATTCGAACAAGGTGATCGGGACATCATATTGTGAGAGCGCCAGTGCTAACGCGCAGCCCTATGCAAGATTAGCTCTATGTTTGAAATAGGATGGACGATCGGATTGAGACTCACTCCAAGACCTGCTCCTATGATGGCAACGTGGTCCAACGTATTCTTCATTCTTACTGGTTCGACTTGAGAAATAGATAGGACTTATGGCTGTAGTGTGATCCACCACCAAGTTCTTATGTATTTCTGAGAAAACGGTAATCGGAGAACATGTTACACTATGCATGACATGACGCTCGGGAGACACTGTCAGCAGAACCACCGATCATCATGCGATTGTGCTCCGCGTTGTTCGCCCTCGCCTCCTTACATTACTCCGGACACCGGGGAGCGAGGTAGTTTGACTGAGTTTGTCGGATGCTGCAGCCAGCAGAAACCCGGACTGTCAACCGACGGCTTCAGGTGAACAGGTGTGAATCCTCCAAAGAGATGTGAGCGAAGAAGCGAGAAAGCGAAGTGAGGCAGTGGAAGTTGCAGCTTGGCCAAAATGCTTGGGCGCCACTACGATTTAAGCCTGCTGGTCAAGCGCCAAGAATTTAACTCCCACGAGAAATTGAGAAGTCCAGCTTGAAAGCGACTTCACACGCCCAAGACCGGCCACCCACAATAAACAACAGCGACAATGGGTATCGGTAAGGCTAAAACGGCAAGCAATGCGCATACGAGAACAGGACTGACCGACCATCCTCCTAGATCTCGACGTCCACCACCCCAGAGACGGCCACCGCCGTAGGCCCAAGAGCGACAACCCGTATGATTCTACGAACAAGCGCCTGAAGACCGCCGAACCAGTGCTGACAGTGTGGTCTGCTTTCCAGATATCTCGGCCTCCTCCACAAGCTCTACGCCTTCCTCGCCCGCCGCACAGACTCGAAGTTCAACAAGACCGTCCTCCGCCGCCTGTCTATGAGTGAGTGCAGCCCGTGGTATTGGGTCAGCAGCTTGGAAAGGGTCTGACAACAGTGGCAACGCAGGCAAAACCAACAAGCCCCCAATTGCGCTCTCAAAGATCGTCGCAGTGACCGCGAACAAGCACTCCGCGAAGGCATACGAGGGCAAGGTGCGCGCTGTGGTGGGCACCGTAACGGATGACGCACGCCTCTATGAGGTCCCCAAGATGACCATCTGCGCGCTCCGCTTCACCGCAACCGCTCGCGCTCGGATCGAGAAGGCTGGCGGCGAGTGCTTGACCTTCGATCAGCTGGCCATGCGCGCACCGACCGGCTCGAACGTCATCCTCCTCCGTGGTCCCAAGAACTCTCGTGAGGCTGTCAAGCATTTCGGCTTCGGCCCCCACTCGAATAAGGTATGCATGGACTTGGTGTCTATTAATGGTAAGAGGATACTGACAACCTCTGCAGAAGCCGTATGTCGAGAGCAAGGGCAGGAAGTTCGAGCGTGCTCGTGGTCGCAGACGGTCGAAGGGTTTCAAGGTCTAAGGAGAGGTGTGGAGGAGACACGAGGTCGTGGATTGCTGGACATGGGCTGGCTATGGTTGTGCTATGCAGGGCTCAGACATACCAGATTCGACGCGAACGGAATGCTCCAAAGTGCATAGCATGGCACATGATGATGCTTTCGTAGGCTCCATACGAAGTAAAGCATTGCAAAACTTCAAATCTGCTACGACCGTATTGTTGAAGATGCTAGGCATTTCCCAGACTTCTCATGCCAACATTCTCTCTTCATTCAACATTACGACTTTTGTACAGTAGATATCGCTAGCTGTGTGCTATTCCTTTTGCAAACAAAAGTCATGTTCACCATCACAAGTGTCTCTTGTGTCCAGCCATTCAGGAAAGGCAATTTTGGCTTCATCTGAAATTTTGCCTTCAAAAATCCAACCCACATCAGTGATTCGCGACCTGCAGACTCGAAACAACGTTTGCTATGGACTTTCGATAGCCCGAAAAACTCACATCACAATGGAAAAACGAGTAGGTGTCCTAGGAGGCGGCCAACTCGGCCGCATGCTGGTCGAGGCCGCAAATCTTCTCGAGATCCAAGTGAACTTCCTGGACGCGCCAAAATCTTCAGCAAAACAGGTCAGCAACCATGACGGGCATGTTGACGGATCTTTCAAGGACGCGGAAGCAATCAAGAACCTCACGGCGAAGTCCGATGTTGTCACGGTCGAAATCGAACATGTTGATACCTACATGCTGGAGGAGATCTCGAAGATAGTGGACGTCCAGCCCAGCTGGCAGACTATCCGGATGATCCAGGATAAGTTCGCGCAGAAGGAGCATCTTCAGAAATATGGAGTTGCTGTCGCGCAGTCGGTGGCGTTGAAGGAGGCTTCGATTGAGGAGCTTGAGAGCGCTGGGAAGACTGTTGGGTTGCCGCTTATGCTGAAGTCAAGAAAGGAGGCGTACGATGGGCGAGGGAACTTTCCTGTCAAGACGAAGGATGACTTCAAATCTGCTTTGGAGGCACTGGGAAGCAACCGGGACCTGTACGCGGAGAAATGGGCGAATTTCAGCTTAGAGCTGGCGGTCATGGTGGTCAAGACCAAAGACGACGTCTTCTCCTTCCCAACGGTAGAGACGATCCACGAGAACAGCATATGCAAACTCGTCTACGCACCCGCACGAGGCGTCTCCGACTCCATCAACAAGCAAGCCCAAGAGCTCGCACGAAAAGCCGTCTCCTGCTTCCAGGGCAAAGGCGTCTTCGGCGTAGAAATGTTCCTCCTCCCAGACGACACTCTCCTGATCAACGAAATCGCTCCTCGTCCACACAACTCCGGCCACTACACCATTGAAGCCTGCCCCGTATCGCAATACGAAGCCCACCTGCGCGCGATTCTGGACCTACCGCTCCACCAGGAAGACCTCGAACTCCGCGAACCAGCCATCATGCTCAACATCCTCGGCGGCGACAGCCCCAACTCGCACCACGCATTCGCCCGCGAAGCGCTCAAACACCGCCGCACCAAGATCCACCTCTACGGCAAAGGCCAAGCCAAAAAGGGTCGCAAAATGGGCCACATCACCGTCTGCGCGCCTACAATGCCAGAAGCCGAACAGCTGATCCAACCCATGATCGAATTCGCCGACAAGGACAAGCCATCATCCACCACCACCACCAAACCCACCCAACCGAACGAACAACCCCAAGTCGCAGTAATAATGGGCTCCGACTCCGACCTCCCCATCCTCCTCCCGGGCCTCGCCATCCTCTCCCGCTTCCACATCCCCTACACCACCCGCATCACCTCCGCGCACCGCACGCCCTCCGTCATGGCTTCCTTCGCCTCCTCGGCCTCTTCCCAAGGCATAAAAGTCATCATCGCCGCCGCCGGAGGCGCAGCCCACTTACCCGGTATGACAGCCGCGTACACTTCACTGCCTGTGATCGGTGTGCCGGTGAAGCCGACGGTGGGGGATGGGATGGACAGTCTGTTGAGTATTTGTAATATGCCCAAGGGCGTGCCGGTGGCGACGGTGGGGGTGAACAATGCTGTTAATGGGGCGTTGCTTGCGGCGAGGATTCTGGGGGCGGGGGATGTTGGGGTGAGGAGGAGGGTGGAGGGCTATATTCGGGAGAGTGAGGAAGAGGTGAAGGGGAAGGATGGACGGTTGGTTGAGATGGGGGCGGAGGGGTATGCGGAGAAGTTTTTGGGGAAGAAGTAGAGGATTTGAGAGGTGAGGAGCGTGAGTGTAATGCGTCTAGCGCTGGTGGGAAAAGCTAGTATGCTAAAGTGCTGAGTTGCTTATAAGAGTCGTGTGTGCCCGTCATATCCATCGTATCGTCAAACGCCCAGCCATGTATGCGCCAGCCTTCCCGAAGGCTTGATGTTGGTATCTCAGTTCAGTCATCCCACCAAAATCCCACCCCAGTACTCCTACACCATTCAGACCTCCATCCTCCGTCACACCTCCCCCCACCCACCAAGCCCTCCCGAGCTCATCGCATGCCCACTCCCCACACTCCCAACACTCCCCCCCAAATCCCAGAAATGCCTCGAACTCCCCCCTCCACTTCTTCGACTCCGTTTAGTACTCTGACTAGCACAGCTACTGCTCCCCGCCCTCTTCAGCGCAATCTGCTGCAACTGATGCCGTCGCAGCAGACTATCCCTCCGCCGACTCTGCTGCGCAGCCCTGTCCGCCGCACGAGAGACGAGAGGGTGTTGGCGGCGTATGGCTTCGGCGCGGCGGAGGGATTCGGGACTCGTTCCCAAGGCAGAGGTGGAGGTCCAGGAGGCTGGCAAAGGACCATGGTCCGAGGAGGGATGGTTAGGGGGAGGAGGGTGCGAGGAGAAGCGCCGACGCAGGTAGGTGAAGATCATGGAGACGTCGATGGAGCGCTCCCAGTAGGCGCGGGAGGCTTCGTGGTCGGTGGGGGAGGAGGCGGTGGGTTCTTCTTCGATGCCCCAGAGGGAGGAGTCGGGTGCTTCGGTGGGGGTGTAGGGTGGGTGGGAGAGGGTGGGGTTGAAGATTGGGTCGGCTGATGTGGGGTTGGCACGGTCGGCTTCGTTGGGGCGCTGTTGGCGGAGGGAGGGCTGGCGGGGCGGGATATCGCGGGCTGGGAGGCCAGCGTACGAGGGTGATTCGGAGAGGGTGGAGAGGTAGGTGTTGAAGGCGCGGCCGTCGTGTTCGGTGAGTTGGTGCACTAGGACGCCGAGCTCGCGTGCGATGTGGTCGAGGAGCTTGACTTCCCAGCTGTAGCCAGGGTCGAGGAAGGAGACTCGAGATTGCTGAGGGGGTGATGCAGTGGCCAGGGCGATCGGGGATGGCTGCGTAGGCGTGGGCGATGCATCGTCTGGTAGCGATTCGCCAAATATGACAGACAGTGTGTTCTCGTCCAGCCCGATAAGGTCTCGAATGACCCTCCTCGTGATGCGCTGCCAAAACGACTCCCCGGACGACTGCTCCTCGCTCTTCGATTCCTGCTCCGGCTCTTCAAGTATAGCCTGCTCGGCCCTCAGCATCGTGCTGTCTTCTAATCCTCTGAGATCCATCGAAGCGCTCGCACCACTCATCCGACTCATCCTCCGTCGCCTCCGCCTTGTCTCCTTCTCAATCTCATCGAGCACCGCCCTGCTCTGCTCCAACCTCCATTTCTCAATCCGTGCTGTGCGCTCATCTTCAACGTCCACATCTTGCTCTTCATCCAGCGCATCGAGCCTCTTCTGTACGCTACTTCTCCTCCTGACGTGCCTCTTCCGCTGTGGATTGTGTCGCTCAAATTGCCACAGATGCTCTTGCAGGCCGGTATACGACGGGAATGAACCAAAACCATCGTGCATCGGTAGCACTGTGCCGCCACTCTGATCGAGGTTGTTCGAAGTAGTCGAGAAAGGGTTATGGTGGAAGGCATGCAGTCCATCGTCCAGACTGTCCAGCTCAGCACCGTCGTCATCGACCTCCGTTCCTTGACATGTGAGATCGTTATCGTTGTTATCGCCTATCGGCTGCGATCGAATGTGCGTCTCCAACGACCCAAAGTCGGATAGCTGTGTCGCTGTTCGAGGCGTTTGCGACGTCCGCGATTGCTCATCGTTCTGAGCCGGCGAGAACAAGATCCATTCCTGCGATTCTTCGATCGTCCTCTTCCGCGCCGGCGACGCAGGCACTTGTACTTGTTCACTCGTCTGTCGCGCCGAGGACACCTGCCGTAAAGCCGCCGGCCGCTGTTGCGGTTGCTGGAACGCCATGGTCGGTCGCGATAGCGGTGTCAACGGAGTGTCGAAGGCTCAGTGTCGAGTCGAAGGAGGTTGATAAGACTCTGATGCCCGCCGCCGTCAAGCGCCGCCCCAGCCGCCCTCCCGCCGTCAATATGGTCGTTGTTCGGGATGATATGTCGTCTTGATCACCAAATCGTCATGTATCACCCTATCCTATCGATAGACAGGGGTGTCGCATCTGTTGCTGACCAACTTTGCCTCCTCCTTCCCAGGAAGCCGGACAGCGAAGTATGTTAATGTCCGCAATCGACTTGGAGTTATCGTTGTCCGATCAAGGGATGGAGACACTCAACGAGCAGGTGTCTATTTGTCTGCCGTCCGACGATCAAACGATCACCCGACTTTGCCTGAGCTGTGAGGCTAAACGTCGACGATACGCTAGCTCCCGACGTCGTCGAAGGAGAGGTCTCTGTCGTCATCCGTGTTGCCCAAACGTTTCAAATCGATGCGAAAGCCAGGAGAACAATGAATGCAGCGACAGAAGAATGATGAGTCTGGCCTCGCGCCTCGACGTGTCACGACATCCCCCTTCAGGCGCAGTCCTCATGCCACCAACTGCAGTACGACAGATGCAGCCACACACCCATTCCACCGGGCCGCTTATCGGACGTTTAGTGCGATAAGCTCACAGCTGCCCGACTTCACCGGGTCACGCCTATTTGCTCGTCACCACGGCCGGCGGCTTGTCGGGCCTATGTCGTGAGTTTGATGTGGGAAGCTGTGGATGCCACCTGCGATGTACAGCCGGCGATATCTGGATGATCTGGTTGATCTGGTGGAAGGTACGGTTGGGATGGCTTATCGGCGACAGCCTCAGCGTCTCACCGCATGTACACAGATGTTGTACAGGTACTTGTCTATGTATATCTTACCTTAGCCATAACCTCGTCAGCCGCAGCCCTGGCGGGCGTGGCTGTCAGTCAGCATGGCATCCTTTCGAGTCTGATGACCTCCGCACCACCCGAACAGGCTTGTCTGCGACTCGTCTCTTGGAGACCTCATTTCTCTTTGCCATCCTCCTCCCCAACCCCCAATACACTCTCAACAACCTCCCTTGCCTTTTCCGGCTCCACCGTCCCCTCCTCCCCCCTGCGCATCATCTGCCCTACAAACCACATCGTCTTGCTTTTCTTCCAACCCCCCTTACCCGCCTTGACCAGATCCTGATTCTCTGCTATGATTTCTTCCGCGAGTTGCACATAGCCTTCCTCAGAAAGTGGTCGGAGGCGAAGATTACCATCTTCGACCAACTGCTCAACGCTCGGGCGGTCGGAGTCGGGAGGGTGATTGTGGAGAGTAGCGAGAAGTTGTTTAGCGGTCCGGGAGGTGATGTGTCGTTGTAGCACGTTGGCAATGAGGTCCGCAAGTTCCGTTTCGGAAACGCGACAGTCCTGCCAGGTTGACTCGGAGGTGGTGATTAGGCCACCGAGCTCGTGGAGGATCCAGTTGCCGACAGTTTTTCCAAGTTTTGTGGCGCGAAAGTCGGAGCCTGGACCTACTCGAGCGGACAGCAATTGGACGGTCTCTTCGAGATACTCCAGTCGGTCGCCGTCGTCGAGACTGGCGATAGTTTTGGCGTCTTTTGCGCTTAAGCCATATACCTTCTGCACTCTTTCCACCGTCTGGTCTGGTAGCTCCGGCAACGTCTCCTTCAAATGAGCCACCAGGTCGCTGCCAATGCGCAATGGCGGAAGATCGGCATCAGGCATGTACCGGTAATCCACCTCTCCCTCCTTGCCTCTCAATCGGGTAGTTTCCGTGGCACCAAGCGTCCATCCTCTCGTCTCACCTTCGATCACTCCTCCCGCCTTCAGTACCGAGATCTGCCTGTCCCGCTCAGCAACAATAGCATTCTCAATCGCCACGAACGACGACAAATTCTTGATCTCCGTGCGCTGCCCTAATCCCGTCACTCCACTATACTGTGAAGAACCGGTCGCGCCTTGCTTCTGCACCGACACATTGACATCCGCGCGCAGACCTCCAAGCTCCATACCGGTCACGCAAGCATCCACGCTCTTCAACACCCCCTGTATCTTTCTCACGACCGCAGCGGCAGCCTGCGGTGAATGGATTTGCGGCAGCGTAATAATCTCAATCAAAGGATGTCCAGCCCTGTTCAAATCCACGTGATACGTCGAAGGCGGGTGGTTCGTAGTTTTCGCCGTATCCTGCTCCATCTGTATCTGCTTGATGCCAATCTCGATTTCCTCTGCCCCGTTGAGGTCCTCTTTGGGCACTCCATCTTCAGCTCGTAGGCGCAACCGGCCGTCCTTGGCAAAGGGCTGGTAGTACTGCGTGATTTGGTATCCGTTCGGCTGGTCCCAGTGGAAGTAGTGTTTGCGATCCCAGCCGCTTGTTCGTTGGACGTCGCAGTCCAGTGCTATTGCGGCTCTCAGGGCGGGGAGGAGAGTCGCGACCTGGAACTGCGGTTGGGTTCCGGGTAATGCGGCGTCGAAGGGCGCGACGTTGGTGTTGGGAAGGGCATGGCTGTCTGCTGCCGCTGCTGGAGCGGAAGAGAACAGTTTACATGCGGTGTTGAGCTCGGCGTGGATTTCGATGCCTACTGTGAGCTCCCATCGCTCTGTTTCTGCTGCCGCTCTGGGCGGGTGCTTTGCAGCGGCCTTCTCTTCAGCCTTCTTGCGCTTTGATCCCGCCTTCTCTGCCTTGGCTTGCTCTTTCAAGTGCTTGCGAAGCGGGATGTTGTGCCCTCTCGCGTATGGAGATGGTCCATCCTGATAGCCACGCGATTGGAGCCATTTGGCAACAATGCAGGCCCGGGGGAGTCGTGGCGCGAAGGTGGAAGTCGCTGAAGATATGGATACGGTGCGTAGAATGGGTGACCTCATGCCTTGACAGCACTGCTACCTCCTCGTTCTCAGCGCGTGGGTGTTCGCAAGAACGTGAAGCTCTGCAGCTTCCCAATGGGGAAGGCACTTTCGCAGCTCTGACCGCATCCGTCGGCAGCCAACTTCATCGCATGCGCGCAACATCTCGCTGGTATCACCATAGGCATTTCGAAGCTGGCATGTACTTCAATAAGGCTCGATTAAGCAATGCAAAGCAGGGCTGATACCACCGCGCAGACTCAGCTTCAACGCAGCTGGCCTTCCCAGGCACTGAAGGATGCTGCATTCCTTACTCGCACTCGCGTCTCATCATTCGATGTCACATCGAAGCTGAGAGTCGGCCACTACCATGCGTCCGAATCCGAAGCCCCAACTTCGTACGTTCTTCCGTCCAAGGAAATCGGGGCCAACCCGCATCAGTAGCACAAGTCGAAGATCGTTATAAGTACCAGCACAAGAGCAGCTGCAGAAGTTGAACCCTCTTTCCTACTTTTCGACCTTCTATGACTGCGTAGCGTACGCCCAAGATGTCTTCCTCCAACAGCTCATCTAGCCCTCTCCGCGTCTTCATCTTCGACAGCCCGCGGACAAACAGCCAGCTGTTCTACAGGATGTGGCAGCAGCACCCTCAGCTAGCTCCGATGAAAGGCTTCCACCCCTTCGCCGGAGCCCAGATGTATGGACCTGAGCGCATCACTCTTCGCACAAGACACTGTGAAGCGGCTGAGCGCGGACAGATCGAGTGGGGCACACAGTATCCAGACGCTAACTGGAACACGTTCGAGACCAGCGCGAAGGCACTACGAGAACAGATTGCGGAGGCCGAGCAAGAGGTGTAGCCCTCCCTCTACAGCATCCGTTGATTACGGGACTGAATCAGATTGCTACAGGGCAAAATCTTCTTTGGCAAAGAACACTCCCTCATGCTCGTGAACCAAGACCTCATCCTCAACACTATGCGCCGTGGGGAGAACGAGCCTTCTCCCGCCATCACCACAAACCCTACCTACATTCCCGGCGACGTCCTCGCCACCCTCACCCCAGTCTTCCTCTTCCGCCACCCAGCCCTCATAGCAGGCTCTCTCTACCCTAAGTTCAACGTAAGCTCAAGCCACGAACCCTCAAGACATGCTAACGACCAACGTTTCAGCCCATCTCCGGCGTCGAGCCAAACGACGAAGATTGGGAACTCTCCTCCTCCCTGCGCTGGACCGTCTACGTCCACCAATACTTCACCTCCCTGGGGCACAAAACCGCCGTCATCGAAGCGCAGGACTTCGTCTACAATACCGAGCCTACTATGAATGCGCTCTGCCGACGCTTAGGCATCGATGAAGACGGGTGGGTGGAGAAGTGGGATCCGATTCCGAGGGAGCATTGGCCGGACCATAGGAATGCGGTCGCGATGACTGGGGATTTGATGGGGAGTTCGGGGCTGGAGAGGAGGGGCAAGGGCCCTGCCGAAGCGACGTTGGATCTGGGCGTCGAGTTTGGAAAGTGGAAGGAGCGGTTCGGGGACGTGGTGGCTGAGGGGTTGAAAAAGAGGGTGGAAGCGGAGATGCCGGTCTACGAGTATTTGAGGAGCGTAAAGCTGACCGCGTGAAGAATGACATTACGGCCACCTCGATATTGTTCTATAGCAAAGAGCTGCACTGCCCGCGTGCGCTTGCCCCTCTCTTGCAACCACCTGCCTCATTGGGCGGGTCACGTGCATGCTTCCCAGCCGCAGTTCTCCGGCATTTTGGCCCCCAAACCTTTCATCTGTAGCAAGAAACATGCACGGGCCGCACCACTGGTGCGGCCCGTGCGAAAACTGATGTGATATGATGAGCTACGAGACGAGTCAAAACACCATGCTATGCCAAACCCCTCCCAGGAAACCCCCCCAACTCCACGCTAAGCCAATACCTAAAACCAGTGCTCAAACACCAACCATCCCCATCCGCATGTTCTGCACCGTCTTCACACCCACTCCCTTCATCTTCCCCAACTGCCCGAGCGAGGTCACCCGCTCATCGTCCTCGAAGTCGCAGAGACAGTTCACGATCGCCTCTGCCTTCTTCGCTCCCACGCCTTTGAGGAGTTTGATCTGGCTGATGTCTTTCGTGTTGATGATCTCGAGCAGTTGTTTAGTGCGAGGAGTTTGAAGGGTTAAAGTGATCGCAAGCTCGTCTTCGGAGTCGTCTGGTTCTTCGGGCGGCGGAGAGTGCTTGACTGGAGGGCGAGGGGAGACGTCGCGGTTGAGGTCGAAGGTAGGCGGTTTGGGTAGGATGGTGGTATGTGGGCGGCGGATCTTGGTTCGAGGGCGGTAGGCGAAGTCATCATCTTCGTCTTGCTGCCCAGCAGCGTCCTGCGCTTCATGATAACTCTCATCCTCCTCACCCTTCGCCTTCCTCCTCGCCGCCGGCCGCTCCACCGCCTCGCCAACCCCGGCCTCCTTCGCCATTGACCTCGCCTTCTCCACACCCTTTCCCGCGATTTTATCCTGCAACACCTTGACCTTCCTAGCCAATTTCTCATTCCCCGGAAACGATGGCAAGGCCAACTGATACATCCTCAACGCACTCGCGTCCTCTCCTCGCACCTGGTGTTGCTTCGCCATCAACAAGTACTGCAGACCCTCTGCCCGCTCGTTCTCTTGTCCATCGACGCGCTTCTCGAGCGCTTCGAGACGGCGTTGGACTTCATCAGAAACTGGGTCGCCGGCGGAGACGGTGGTAGAGTCGGCGCGCTCGGCGAGGGCTTCGGTGACTTTGCGTTCGATGAGAGCTTCGATTGCGTCTTTGCTGAGGCCGGGGACGGAGGGTTTCGCGGGTTCGTTGGGGCGGTGGAACTTTGCGGGGCGAGCGGAGGCTTCGGTGTTGGGCCGCTTGGGTGATTTGACCGGGATGTTCGAGTAACGAGCGTGGCTGGTGTTGGCCTGGGTAGAGGGGCGAGCAGCAGGTGGTTTCGTCTTGTCGGCATAGACGGAGAATTGTCGTGCTGGCTTCGGAATATTGGCAGCGACCTCTTTCAGGTGGGTGTTCTGCGATAGCATCTTCGGCCGGAGTGGTTGTCTGTTCATCGAAGGAGCGCACATGGAGCTCGAAGTTGTGCCGTCCGCTTTTCCTTTGCCAACCTGCTCGCGGAAGATCGGCTGGTTCTCGATCTCGTTCACTTCAATCTTCTTCGTCCGGTTCGCGAAGTTCAAGCTGCTGAGCGTGTCCAGGTGATAGCTCCGCACCGGCGACAGGTTCAGTATCATGACCGTGAGCCCGTTGTTTTGGCCCAACGAAAGGATCCTGGTCATCTTGGACTCCCGGTAAGGTATTCTCGACTGCTTCTTGCTGATAGCCTCCACACACTGCGCCAGCACGAACAGCGATTTGTTGATGCTCGCACTCTCTACCAGTCTTTCCCTGTTGTTGTCTGTCCTTCTGTTGTCCTCTGATCCTGCAAGATCTATCGCCGACGCCGTGCTGATCCGTACCTCCTCGCCCGTCGTCTGGACAACCTTGACGCAGAGAATGGCGTGCGATCGCGAGGAGTGCGCATTCAGCTTGGTCGCCGACGTTGATCTGTTCACGTTCGCCTGATCGTACAGCTGCTCGAACTCCTTCAACGTAGTGCATGGCCTTTCCGTCAAGCCCACCACCACCGTCTTGCCATTGTTATCCCGTATTGGCAAGCCTGCTGCCGTACGCTGCTCTGGCGGCTCGAAAAGATCAAACACCTTGTCGTTGTAGATCTCGTAGTAGCTCATCTGCACCTCCACCTGTGTCTCGCCTGCGGTATCCTTCTCAATCTTCCGCGCTCGCCGGTAAATGCTCGACAGCAGCCTAGGAATGACTCCACGATCTGCCAACGACTTCCCACCGCGCATGGTGTAAGTCTTGCCAGTCCCTGTAACTCCATATGCGAAGACGGTGACATCGTAGCCTTTGAACAAGTGTTTGACCTGCGGGCTGATCTCCCGGTCGTACAGCTCCGCCTGCGTCGCATCGTCGTAGACACTGTTGAACTGGAAGGAATAGAGCTCGCTGGCAATCTTGGGGTTGGGTATCCGTAGCGTCGTCTTGTTCTCTGCTTCTCCGTAGGTTTCGATAATGCGGTCCTTCTCGATCTCCGTGTTTTTGATGAGTGGCCGAACCCTCGCCACCACCCGGACGGACATTGTGAGCTATGGATGTTGAAGGAAATGGCGAAGAGTCTCCCAGGAACACCAGTACCTACTGGAATTCTTCGTGTAACTTACCTGGACGTGAGATTTGAGGTCGTGAAATGGCGTCTCGGTTGTTGCCATAGGCAACATACCTTTTTCATTTTAAACTCCTTCTTGTTGCTTCACTTACTTTCTGTCCCTACATCTTAGCTGGAAGTACGGGAACGACGGAGACTGATCCAAGAGGTTCTGAGGTCACAGACGTGATGCTCGATGGATCGAGCGTGGAGATAGAAAGCAACATCGAGAGTGAGGTGCATAGCTCAGGTGCCAAGCTATGGAGAGCTTCTGGGATCAGGTCCTTCAGTCGTCTGTCTAAGCATTTCTACAATACATGAGGACCTGGAGACAAGGAACCATCAAAACACCCGGCGACGCTCCTTTAGAACCCCTTCTCAACCTTCTCACCAGGCGAAGAGCTCCCATCTTCTCGATACTCGTCGACCGACATTGACCTCGCGTTATCTCTCGCGGACGGCCTGCGATTCCAGTACGCCGAATCACGCCTATTACGATCGATGTAGCCCTCTGGAACCCACGACTTGCTCTGCCTCGCACTGACACTCATGTCCGAGTACATAGCATCCACGTTCTCCAAAGACAGGCTCTTCGTCTCGTAGAGGAAGAAGTAGACCAGAACCGCAGCAGTAAGATTCATGCCGAAGAAGACGTAGCCGAAAGCGTACTGGATCCCTGCATCTGCGTAGGGCGAGAGGAAGCCGATCATGAAGTTGCCGAGCCAGTTGGATGCAGTAGCGAGAGAGGCCTGGAAGACGTTAGCATTCGAACCCCATTGTGGAGGAGACGAAAGGGAAATCTAGGGTGTTGTTCCACCCAGCTGTACTCACCTGCTTAGCTCTGGTACGCAGCGGGAACGTCTCACCTATGACGACCCATGCGAATGGCCCCCACGTCATTGCGAAGGAGGCGATGAACATGCAGGCTGAGGCAATCATGACCTTGCCCGCTATAGGGTTGTCCTGCGGAGGTAAAGCTGTTCCGACGGAGGCGAAGATAAGCAGCCAGAAAGCTTGCCAGATCGCTCCAACAATCAGAGGGATCCGTCGCCCAACACGCTCGACAAGGTAGAGTCCAGGGAACGTGAGTACCACGTTCACGGCGCCGAGGATGAGCTGCACCAAAATGGGGTCGCTGATGCCAGCAGACTCGAAGATTGTCGCGCCGTAGTAGAAAAAGTAGTTGACGCCGGTCCATTGCTGTAAGAAATGAATGGCAGCTCCTAGGAACGTGCGGTAAACCAGGCGAGGAAGATGAGACGGACGGCCGGTAAAGCACTCCCACCAAGACCCAACGCCCGCCTTTGACTGCTCGGCAAGCGACGAGGACATTTCCTGCAAGTCCTCCTCCACCAGCGGACAGTTAGGATCATCCTTCATGCCTCGGAAGCGTGCCATCGACATGCGTGCTTCTTCCCACCGGCCTCGACCGGCGAGCCATCTAGGTGATTCTGGCGAGAAGAGAATTCCGATTCCGAGGGGCAGGCTGAAGGCGATACCTAGGCCGATAACGATGCGCCATGAAGCGGACGATTCCTCGATCTCTCGAACGCCAAAGTTGACCAGATTTGAAATGAGGATGCCAACCGTGATAAACAGTTGGTAAGAGGCCACCACTGGCCCTCGAATCTGGCGAGGAAGACATTCAGATTGGAACATGGGAACTCCGACGCTGAGATTGCCTAGAAAGACGGTCAGCGGGGATTCGAGAAACAGAAGGGCTCAATACTAACCGACACCAATACCAGCCACGAACCTTCCCATCATCATGTGGACCCAAGTAGTCATGGCAGTGATCTGGATGATGTTGCCAACGATGAACACAGCCACACCGAAGCTCAAACTGCGTCGTCGTCCCCACCAGTCTACAGTATAAGCTCCAAACAAAGCGCCGATCAGTGAGCCGATGGACATGAGCGACACAACGATGGATGAGATCTCCGTGTCGAGGTATGGATTTTGAGGCGTGCCCTGGCCGAATCGTACGCGAAAGTCTCGGAAGATTAACATGCCAGAGATTTGACCCTACAGACCGTCAGTCAGGTAGTCCAGCAGTTAGTGTCGAACAATCATACCGTGTCATATCCGAACAGGAAGCCACCAATACAGGTGACAATCCCGAGGACGACAGACTCGATGCCACACTCGGCGCCATTGATGGTAATGCTCCTGCAACGACAGTCAGTTTTGGCCACGTAGAGTGCGGAATCAATGTACTCACTTCTTTCCAAGACCCATGGTGGCAGTCGGTCGAGTAGAGGAGGTGTAGTATTTGGCGAGAATGCAACCGATTGGGGACGACAACATTATATCTCCTTCTGCACTGGGTGTCACATCGTCACCCGCCGAGCACCTGCCAAGCACGTGGCGTCGAAGCCCCCAGGATCCAGCGTCTTGGGAGGCCAACGCCAACAAAAACATCGTCATCTTCCCCAGATTCCACTCGTGTGTAACTTCTCGTCTGATCTTGGGGCCCGGAGATGACACAACGTTTGTGTTTGAACCGTGGCATCCACGCCAGCGATTGATCCGAGGAGCCGTGCCCACCGCGGAGCGTAAACGAGAATTCCAGGATTGTGCCACTTCTGCACGACCTGCCATCAGTACGTCGTTCTGGGCCCGTCTGTTGTGCACTGTCAGCGTTTTAACTCCATGTTGAGCAGAAGGCTAGCCCCGGTACGATGGATAATAATTGACCGCCAGCAGCTTTTCCGTGAATGGAGATGATAGCATCTTAACATACTTATTGCCACACACCAGCGAACGAATATAATTCGTAAATGTCGGGTCCAAAGTGTCGACAAACAGACTAGGGTATGGATCACTGATTGCCAGCCCTCTCGCGAGCCAGGATTTCCATTACATTGCTGCTGCCACCCTCCATCACAAAATCTGGACCGACCATGCCGCGAATGAACTCGATGGCGCCCTCTGACTCTACCCACGCGTCGTAGCAGTACTGCAGCTTGAGTTACATCTCCGAGCGCTCGCCACGGCTGTAGTATGGAGGTCGTGCGTTCAGATCGTCTCCCGGATCAAGCAGAGTCGGCCAGAAAAATTCGTTGTCATGATCAACAGCAGTGTACAGGGTGTAAATCTGATGGTCCAGCTTGGCGATTTGACTGGAGTGGTCTTTCTCCTCTTCCGCTCCCAGTTTCTGTAGAAGGCGGATCTTGATTAACGCCACTCATACGCTATGCGCAAGGTCGAGGTACCGGTCTGTAAAGAGGTCGACATCTTCGAACATATCCTCGTTCCGCAGGTTGAGATAGGGAAGCTCCATGTCTCACCAGTCGTAGTTGGATTTTTGGGCAATGGTCTGCCACCATTTGACAAAATCGTAACATTCTAGTTTTTGCCGAGCCGAAGCATGAGGGCAAGAACCATATCCCGCACGCCTAGATTGTCCGAGCGATTGAAGCGCAGCATATCCCGTGTGTGGTCCAGCGCGCTTAGGACGGTGGGTTGCCTGGCGGTCTTTGCTGCAGTATGAGACGACTTGACGACCGGCACAGCGGGAGATGTTGTCATTGGACTTGCAAACCGCGCAGCAGCGTGAAAGGAGAGATGGTGTGTTCTCCATGGTCTCCTCTTCCAGTATACTCCACCGCCACTAAGCTAGTGCTGCGTTGCCATCGTTTCCGACACGATCCAGTAGCTTCCGGTGCTCCCTTGTGGTCTTCAGAAGTTGCCATTTAGATTGAAGATTGCGTTATCAAAATCTCCATACAGCAGAGCAACGGAAGGAGAGGAACGTGCCGTCTCGAAGCAAGCGCAAGCGCGTTGAAAAAGTGCAGCCAATCAGAAGCGCAGACTCCAAAAGTCAGCTCAAATCTGAAGACGAAACGCCGACGACACCTCGTCCAGCGCATACAACCACCAGCCGACGCGCTGTGTATTTGCAGACCTCGCACTGAGCATCCGGTACTTAGGAATCAGGATGGTGGGAACTCAACAGCCAACGTGCCCGGTGCTGCGATAGGCTTCAAGACCTGGTCTGAGACGTTCTCCAAGGTAGCCTTCACCAAGAGTCTTTTCTTCTGCTCTATCCTCTTCATCTTCCTTCAGTCAGCAATTTTTACTTGTGTCACTCTTTCCTTCTTTCGGCGTTCTGCTGTTGTCGCTGAAGCTGGTCTTCGGCTCACATTCCTAATCAAATCTCCTTCCGGTCAAGACCGCTGTACACTCACTCCACGGCGCGATGCTCACTCTTCGGGACTTCCTACTACTTGTGCTGTGTACAGTACAGACAGCTACTGCCAGCCCGATGCGGAGATACCTCAACACCACTTCAAGCGCCAGAACCCTATCCACTTCTTCTCCGTACCAAGTGGCTCAGCTCAGTCCGGTCTCGCTTTCGTACAACGAGCCATCTTCAAGTCACCCAGCTCTTGCCAGCTCGGGAGCATGCGAATCTATGTCGGCCAGCTCTTCCAACGTACCCCAGAAGGCGCAAAGAGGAGTAGTGACAGCTTCTATGAAGCCATCTAAAACACCTAAATCGCATACCACGACAGCACCATACGGCTCAACCGTACTGGAGTCGTCACAGATCGCAAATGGGACGCTGCGCACGAAGCCTACTAGCGACAGCGGCAGATATGGTCTCAACGGCGAGAAGACACCAGGAACAACGACGTTGACACTCTTTACTACCGTCCCTACCGGGGGGTATGAAAGCGGTGCCTCGTCATCTAGCTCACCCGGAAGGCCCAGCCAATACACCAATCCGTCGGTCCCAGGGAGAAGTAGTAGTCTACAGACGAGCAAGGAGGTTTTATCTTCGGCAAGCGGCAGGAACCCCACAAGAGCGCACAAGAGCTCCAGCTCACCAGCGGTCTGGGGCAGCTTGACACTGACGTATCATTTCACGTCCGCTTCGGCGTCCTCGACCACCCTCCAGCCATCACACAGGATCACGGATCGAAAACACACAAGGACTGAGCAGACAGTGGACTCGGCAACTTCAAGCTTTGTCTACCCAACTCCCAAAGAGCCCTCGACAAGCGAGACTCCGAGTACTTCAGCACCGGGGACGTCAAAGCCTAGCAGCAAGTCTGCCTCGCAACCCACGTACTCGTACTCTCCGCCCAAGCATCATACAAGCCGTCCATCCCCAAAGCCGTCAACGCCACCGGCCAGCAGCGAAGCGCCGTCTCAGCCATCATATTCCTACTCACCACCCGACCACCCAGCAAGCAGCGCCAGAAGTGCGCCCTCGGAAGCAACAGCCACCTCAAGGCAAAGCCCTCCTTCTCCGCCGCAATACAAGCCTCCACCTTCAGGCGGTCTGCCGCCGATTGTTACACAGACGGATCAAAGCCCAACCTCAACGACAGCGACGACGTCGAGCTCGACCACGACTGGGCCAGAGGGCATCACGATCGTGCCGATCAACCCGGATGCTACGACTGTGTACATCACGGTCACGACGACGGATCCTGGATGGACGACGACGGTGGCTGAGCAGACTGTAACTGCTGGTGGTGGTTGGTGGAATTGAGTGGTCAAATGCTATTGGGGATGGAGCGCTCATTGTTCTTGAGGAAATTGATTCGGTGTAATGACTGAGTAGGATAGTTCCGGTCTCGTGCTCGTTCAAGCGGGAGCAAGGGGAGAATAGCATAATACACAGCCGCTCATTCATAGATCATAATATCATCCTTCACGCATCATCAACATCCATATCACTCGGCCGCCGTGTAGCCAGTGCATCAGTCTCCTTGCCAGACCCAGCGTCCGGGGCATCGTTGGTCATCGCTTCTCCAACTGGCTCGGCAGAACTCCTCACCGAGCTCACCTCAACCCCTTCCATCCCTTCCGGCCCCCTAGTCCTCCGCCTCAACCTCCTCGCGCTCTCCGGTAGATCTTGATCGGCCATCGCTTCGGGATCCGTAACCATGCTTCCCACGTTGACAGTCAGGCTGTGCGGGCGCTTGAACACCCTCGACTCGGTGCGTCTCCGTGCATGCTTGGCGCGACGCTTCTTCTCGAAGGCCGCTTCTTCGCTGTCTTCGCAACCTAAAGCCGAGAGGAGGTTCGTGATGGCGTCGTCATCTGATTCTGATTCGCCGGTATATGTGGGATCGTCGTCGCTTTGCGAGCTTTCGGCTTCTTCTAGCTCGTTCGGCAAGACGATCTCGGTCTCGTTATCCGCGATGTAGCCTGCGTCATGTTCGGTGAGCTCCGAGACCGTGGGTTCAGATTTCGGAGGCTCGGTCTCTGAGGCCTTCTTGGTAGGGCTTTCTGTAGAGTCTGCTTGGATCGCTGAGCGGATGGAAGCGGGTGAGTCATTCTTTGTCGAAGCAGGCGACTGGTTGCGGGAGACTGGGCGCTTCGTGCGGTGCGGTGTGTATGGAGGGGTGTGAGGCGTGCTGGTTCCTGAGGTGAAGGCGGAGGTGGCCATTTGGCTCGTTTTTGTCGCTGTTCTGCGATCGCGCTGCTACGCGCTCTGCTGCGCGCTCAGTGCTGGTCAACGACAGTCGTCCGTCCCGAGTCCGGCCTGTGGTACCGCTTGATGATTTGATTCTGGCGTCTGTATCCAAGCAATAGCATCTTCACGGGGCAGATAAATGATTTTGGATACTGGTCGCTTCGCGCTTGCCAATCTGTAGCAAAAAGTACAGTACTTTGACAGGCAACACTGAGATCCGGACGGCCTGTTGATGAGATACTCGAGGTGACGGCACCTCGTTCGGGCTGCAACACAGCAGGTGTGATGCAGGGGGATGCCTAGCTACTGCAGGGTCCGAGTTGGGCAGTAACAGCAGAAAGAATTTTGATTTGGTCGCCAGCGTTGAGCGGCGCTTGGAGATATGAGAAAGAAGAGAGGATGAGAGGTAGATATGAGATGGTGATGGTGGTCATGGAGGGGTAGGAAGGGACATGTCGCAAACCCTTGAGCAGTGTGAGCATTGGGTGCTCTCTCGGAGATGCTCGCAGGAGCACAGCAGCTGCCAACCAAGCTCGTCGTTGTCCTTGCTATAATCTTGCCATGGTTCTGACGGATGCACATAGTTTTACGCACGATAAGCTTGACTAACGATGATAGCGTTGCCGTTGTGCATGCCCGTGGAAGGAAGAAGGAAAGGAGTCTCCTAAAGGTTCAAGCACATCTTTCGGGAATTCACGTGACCACCGGAGAAACTGCTCCGGCGTCCCTCGAAATATAGTAACAACGTACGTCCAGCTGTTATGAGGGAGAAAGTTGGGTGTAGGTCGCGATTGAACAACACTCCCTCACAGATTCTTGAACGCTTCTGCACACCGAGCGTGGCTCCTGCTGGTCTTTGGTTTTCGATCCCGCCAATGGTTGGAGCTGGGCCTCCCCCTTGACCGCCCAAGATGAACAACTCTACGATGCTCACCAAATTCGAATCCAAGTCGTCCCGCGCAAAAGGCATAGCATTCCACCCCAAGCGACCATGGATCCTGGTATCTCTGCACTCCTCCACGATCCAGCTATGGGACTACCGCATGGGAACGCTCATAGACCGCTTCGAAGAGCACGATGGGCCTGTGAGAGGGATTGACTTCCACAAGACACAGCCGCTGTTTGTTTCGGGAGGAGATGACTACAAGATCAAGGTGTGGTCGTATCAGACGAGGAGATGTCTGTTCACGCTTAACGGGCATCTGGACTATGTGCGGACGGTCTTCTTCCACCACGAGCTGCCATGGATCATCTCCAGCTCCGACGACCAAACAATCCGGATATGGAACTGGCAGAACAGGTCGCTGAGTACGTAAATCCATGAAGGAGATCTGTGTTTCCATGCTGACGTACCACAGTCTGCACAATGACCGGGCACAACCACTACACAATGTGCGCGCAATTCCACCCCAAGGAGGATCTGGTGGTTTCTGCTTCCCTCGACCAATCTGTAAGAGTATGGGATATCTCTGGCTTAAGGAAGAAGCATTCTGCGCCCACATCAATGACCTTCGAAGACCAAATTGCGCGTCAAGCACAGAATCAGGCAGACATGTTTGGGAACACGGATGCGGTGGTGAAATTTGTGCTCGAGGGGCACGACAGGGGCGTGAACTGGGTCTCATTCCACCCCACGCTGCCTCTCATCGTGTCTGCTGGTGACGATCGTCTCGTCAAGCTCTGGCGGATGAGTGAGACAAAGGCATGGGAGGTTGACACCTGCCGAGGACACTTTCAGAACGCATCCGCAGCGCTCTTCCACCCGCACCAAGACCTCATCCTATCCGTGGGAGAGGACAAGACAATTCGGGTATGGGACCTTAATAAGCGCTCGTCTGTTCAGTCGTTCAAGAGGGAGAACGACCGGTTCTGGGTCATTGCTGCACATCCCGAGATCAACCTCTTCGCCGCCGGCCACGACAACGGTGTGATGGTGTTCAAGCTCGAACGCGAAAGGCCGGCCTCAGCTGTGCACCAGAACCAGCTGTTCTTCATCACCAAGGAGAAGCATGTCCGGTCATACGACTTCACCAAGAACGTCGAGAGTCCATCCATGCTGTCCCTGAAGAAGCTTGGTGCTGCCTGGATGCCGCCGCGGAGCATGTCATACAACCCAGCCGAGCGATCCATCCTCGTAACCTCTCCCTCGGACAACGGCATCTACGAGCTGATAAGTCTGCCCCGAGACGCCTCCGGAGCCGTCGAACCATCAAATGCGATGCGCGGTCAAGGCAATGCTGCCGTCTTTGTTGCTCGGAATCGCTTTGCCGTCTTCAATCAATCAACCAACCAGATCGACATCAAGGACCTTTCGAACTCGACTACCAAGACGATCAAACCACCACACGGCACAAGCGACATGGTCTTCGGCGGCACCGGCTGTCTTCTGCTGATAGCTCCTAGCATGGTCTATCTGTACGACATCCAGCAGAAGAAGCAGCTGGCGGAGCTCGCAGTCACCGGAGTGAAGTACGTCGTGTGGTCTGCCGATGGTCTGCATGCGGCCTTGCTCAGCAAGCATAACGTGACTGTTGTCGACAAGTCGCTCAAGCAGGTTAGCACCCTGCATGAAACGATTCGAATCAAGAGCGCATGTTGGGACGATGCTGGGGTCTTGCTGTACTCGACGCTTAACCACATCAAATACTCACTCATGAACGGCGACAACGGCATTGTGCGCACTCTGGAGCAGACCGTCTATCTTGTGAGAGTCAAGGGCAGGAGTGTGTACTGCCTCGACCGCGCCGCGAAGCCGAAGATCCTCACTATCGACCCGACTGAGTACCGGTTCAAGCTCGCGCTGGTCAAGCGCCATTACGATGAGATGCTCAATATCATCAAGACTTCAAGCTTGGTCGGCCAGAGCATCATCTCGTATCTCCAGAAGAAAGGTTACCCAGAGATCGCTCTCCAATTCGTTCAAGATCCTCAGACGCGCTTCGAGCTGGCTATCGAGTGTGGCAACCTCGACGTTGCGGTGGAAATGGCGAAACAGCTGGACCGACCGCAGCTGTGGCAGCGTCTGACCAACGAAGCACTGGCGCATGGCAATCACCAAGTTGTGGAGATGACATACCAGAAACTCCGAAGCTTCGACAAGCTCTCGTTCTTGTACCTCGCGACTGGCGACCAAGAAAAGCTGCAACGCATGGCGAAGATTGCGGATCATAGAGGCGACATGGTCAGCCGCTATCAGAACTCGCTGTACCTTGGCGACGTGCAGAATCGCATCGAGATGTTTAAGGAGATCGATCAGTATCCTCTGGCCTATCTGACTGCAAAGGCCAATGGACTCGACGACCAATGTCAGGAGATTCTGGAAGCTTGCGGCATGAGTGAGGATCAGGTCAGCCTGCCGACCGCCGGAGCGCCTGCAGCACCACCGAAACCCATTGCACCGACCTTCAAGGCCAATTGGCCCACAAGGGCTACTGGTGCGAGCTCTTTCGAGAAGGCCTTGCTTGCTGAGGGCGACGAGGCCGTTGCCCCTGAAACTAATGGCTTTGCTGAAGAGGATCTGCTTGCCGAGGAGCCTGATCGAAATGGCGACTTCGGAGAAGCAGAAGATGACGATGCTGCCGCCGGATGGGACATGGGTGACGACGTCGTCCCAGAGGCCGACGAAGACTTCGTCAACGTCGAGAGTGCGGAAACTGGCGCCGGGAGCAGCGAGGCAGATCTATGGACTCGCAACTCACCGCTCGCAGCAGATCATGCAGCAGGCGGTAGCTTCGACACTGCCATGAATCTGCTCAGTCGACAGATCGGAGCTGTCAACTTCCAGCCGCTGGAAGAGCGGTTCATGGAGATCTACGCGGCGACACGTACCTTCCTGCCCGCCAACTCTGGCATGCCACCACTCGTGAATTACGTGCGGAGAACATTGACCGAGACCGACTCGCGAAAGGTTCTGCCGCTGATACCGCGGGATCTGGAGTCAGTAACAAGCGGCGAGCTGATGGCTGGCAAGAACGCGATGAAAGCCAACAAGCTCGAAGACGGCGTGGTGGCTTTCAAGAAGGTGCTCGTCCTCCTCATGGTGAACGCGGTGTCCTCGCAAGCCCAAGCGCAAGAAGCACAAACAGCCATCAAGCTCGCAGCGCAGTACGTCCTGGCGATGTCCATCGAGCTCGAGCGGAGGAAAGCTGTCGGCAAGGAGACAGATCTCAGCAGTTTCTCCGACGACGTCAAGAAGCGAAGCTTAGAACTGTCGGCATACTTCACCGTGCCCGGCATGGAGCCGCAGCACCAGACGCTCGCTCTGTTCTCAGCAATGAACTTTGCGAACAAGAACAAGCAGCTCGGTAGCGCGCTCGGCTTCGCGAACACTCTCATCGAGCGCGGCACAAATGCCAAGTTCAAGGAAACCGTAAGCACTCACCTCCTTTCCCACGATTCACTTCCTCCCGACTAACATTCTTCACCAGGCCCGCAAGGTCAAATCAGTAGCCGAACGCTCCCCCAACGACGCCATCGACATCGAATTCGACACCTTCGGCGAGTTCGACATCTGCGGCGCCTCGTACACGCCCATCTACGCGGGCGAAGCGAGCTTCGCGTGTCCGTTCGACGGCATTAAGTATCAGACCAAGTACAAAGGCACGGTGTGTCGGGTCTGCGAGGTCTGTGCGGTTGGAGCGCCGAGCAGTGGGTTACGGTTGACGACTTGATCTTGCGCTTTGATTTAGCAGTGGAAAAATGCGAGACTGGACGGGCTGGCGTAAGGTGCGTTGGAGTCAAGGCTACGGAGATGAAACGTACGGTAGCTTTTGCTTTACAACTTAGCGAGCATTTTGTATGCAGTGATGAAAGGAAATTGCAGTACGCAACAGATGCTTATCAGCGCGTATGGTATGTTTTTGCAAGGTACGTAGAGTGGAGAGTAAGTGCTCATCATCAAGCGTTGCAGTCCGTTCACTTAATCAACCTCAAAAGCTGCAAGTGATATCCAAAAGAGCAAACACACCAACGCCAGTCGCAGAACGCTGTACGAGAGATTGTTGCCAGGGTATCTCAAAGTTCATGAATCAATCAAAGACTGTGCCTCCCGTCGTGTGCCTCGTTCGCTCGCGTCCATCGCTGAACCACTCGTAGTGTCAAAGCCGTTACGTCGTCTGATCCTGTATGAGAGCAAATGCATTCCTTCGTATCGTGTGCGGGCGTGATCAAGACCGCTCCACCGCCCTGTTCTCGCTTGTAGCGACGGCGACCAGAGCCTCGAGTCGTCCCATGTCGTTATTCGGTGGTTGCTGATAAGTCATGTTAAGACGAGGATCGCGCCCAGTATGCATCGGGTAGGCCTGCGGGTCTCGGGGGTAGGCCTGATAGCCAGAGTCAGCCCGGGCCGGCTCAGGTTTGCTTGCGTAAGCATAGTTTACCTTCTGTTCATCCGTCGCGCCGGGTCCGGTTTGAGAGTAGGCCTCAGAAGGAACATTCGAGCCGACGATGACCGGGTGGTATTCAGCGTTCTGTGATGTGCCCGGGGTCGGTACGCCATCGCTGCTACCGGAGTCCTCGGGAGATGGACGGTGAGAGCGTACACTAGCTGGGTTGACTGGGCCGCCATACCAGGCTTGTCGCTTGTTCCTGCGAGGTGTAACCGGCTGCTCTGGCATTGAAGCGTGATGTTGATATACCTGATGCGGTGCCACGGTAGCTGGCTGCTGCTGTTGCGTTGCATAGCCCGGTGGAGGCATCATCTGCGGCTGAGTGGCATGCCACTGTCCATCGATTGGAGCATTTGCAGCAGTGATGTCAAGCCTAGTCAGACCTTGATGCAAGCCTGCATCTGATGGTCTTCCGGAGCTTGTAGGGCGACCGTCGATCATCATTGGGCTGGACGGTGGGCGCTGATTGACGGGAGGCGCGTGATCGAAGCTCTCAATGCCTGGAAGTCTGGTGACTTGACTAGCAGTACGATGGTGAGATGAAGTGGGCTGCTGATCGTCCGGAGTCTGGTGATATGACAGACCGCTGGTGGCCGGCCGTGAAGTGTAACTGCTGTAGGTACCTGGATGCCACGTCCTTCTGCGATACTCGAGTTCTGCTTCTTCGTCACGACGGCCGTGCGAGAAGGCAGAACTGGTAGGACTAGCAAAGACGCTGCTGTTCTGTGAGAACGTCGCAGCAGTCCCACTCTGGATTGGGGTGAAATATACTGGCTGTGGATATGTGTTTGCGTTCGGACTCTGCAAGGATCCGTTGTTGGGGTAGGACAACCGGCGCCGAGCTCCATTGTAGAAAGTCGACCGCCCCAGCGTAGAGCTTGGAGAGGTCATGTTGGACTGGAATCTTGGACTGTCGGGGCCAGTCGAAAAGACCGTCGAGGTAGGTGTGCTGTAGCCAGTGGGTGACTGAGCGTAAGACATAAAGGGAGGTTGCAAGGGCGCACCCGCCGGGTAGGTCTCAATCGAGAGGGGACGCCGAGGCGACGGGTCGTTGGCCATGGCTAACGGCTGGGGTCGTCTCCGAGCATCATCGGTCATACTAATGCTTGATGTAGTTGAGCCGATGCTGGATGAGGACAGGTTCCGGCTGTGCCCCCTACTGTGACCTCCATTGCTACCCATAGTCGACGCTCGGGATCTGCTACTCGGTGGGCGCACTCTATCCGTCCTAATTTGTCTTTGAAATCTTGTGCTTGTAGCGGCAAGCGAGTCACCAGGGATTTCCTCATTGACGTGTACGGTCTGCGCATGTTGTCTGAGATTGTCGAGTCGAGAGAACCTTCGGGAGCAATGGCACTGGAACGGCCGTTCTCCAGTGTGTTTCCTGATGTGCCTCGCGAGGTGCTCGCTCCGCGTGAAGCTCAGCTGGCAAGGCGGGAAGTCCGTGCAGAAGAAGCGTTGGCCCTTCTTCTTCTTTGACGGCCTCTGCGAATCGCTTGTCACACTGTCGTTGTCCGAATCGTCCTCATCTTCTGGGTTGTCCTCCCCACCGTCACCCATCTCGACATCTCCGTCGTCGTGTTGTGTCGCGCTCATGTGCGAACATCCGCGCTTGAACGGTTCATGTTGCTCTGGTCGAATGTCTCCAACGACTCCGGGGGTGAACGGCTCATCGGGTAATGGCCGCTGGCCGGTTACACCTCCAAATTCATATCTGGTCGGCGTGCGGGGCGCTGGTTCTTCGTTCGTTCGGTCGGTGTTCGATTGCGATCGATCGACGGGCTGTCGCGGAGTCGTTGGTGTTCGCCCCTCGCCCGCCAGATTGGTTTCCGGGGACTGCATTGATGTGTTGACCGCTGGGAACGTCGCCATTTTCAGCAACGTGGTCCTTGTCGAGGCTATCGAGCGGCGCACCGCCGACTTTGTACAACGATCGCGCTATCGCAAGTACTCCTCTGCTCGCATGTCATGTGATGCCCTCCTCCTGTGCTACTCTTCTCGTCGCAAGGTCATCGAACACTCGTTCCAGTGTCGGTTCAGACTCGGCAGGCAGCCGTTTCCGTCGGCCTGCTGCAGTGAATTGCGCAAACTACGTCTCCCGAGGACAGCCGGGATCGTAAGACTCGACCAACGTTCCTTAAGGAAAGACTTGAATGAAATCCGGGGGCTGGATAACCTAGTCGTGAATGGTATAGGACATCGACAGCGTAGCGGAGAGTAGCAAAGTGGTGATGACGAGGCTGGATGCGCGGATGACTGATAAGGCCGTCGAAGTAGCGATGTGAAACTGGCTGCGGCGAGCGTGCAGATCTAAGGATTTCCCGCCACCCGAATGCGCTCGCTGACGTTCAGGGCGGATGCTAATAGGCGCCCAGACTGCGCAGTGCTGGGACGGTGCAGGAGCCTTTCCGAGGATGTGGCAAGGTCCACACACCTACTTCGCATCAACGTCGAGTATGGCGGCGCAGAAGGTGTGCTGGATAGAGGGGGATGAAGTGGGGTGTCTGCTGTGACGCGAGGGGTGTGGCAGGCTAACGGCAGGTCTCTGCGCTTAGATCGGGTCTGGCAGGGCAGTGCGTCGATCCCGAAGTATATAAAGCTGTGAGCGGCCCGCATCTCCAACGAAAACACTACCACCGCCGGCTTGTAGTAGCTTGCCTTTTTGCGAGCAATGGTGTGACCCAACACAGCTCCCAACAGCTCTGTGCCCGTCCGGAATGCGTCGGACATCCTGGGAGATGAAGTCGCGGGCAAGCCACTGTCGAGTGGAGATGGAGTGGTACCTCTCGTCTAGCCGCCTTTGCTAGCGTTGGTCCTGCTGGAAGTCGTTCAGGTACGAGGGTGGAGGTGTTGAGAACTCTAGCGATGTCCTGAGTGTTTCGCCCGAATATTGTGTCGCAGCGAGTACACCCTCCTTACTGTGGTGCAATACCACTCTCTTTTTGTGGTCGCAGCTGGAGTGTTGCATCGACGTGCAACGATCATGCATTCGTCGCTCAAGGCTGCCTCACAGGACAGCACACGTAGATCTCGGAGATAGCTCTCCACGCGGTGTCATCAGTACAGCAAGCAAGGGTACATGGAGCTCTTCGTTCGTCCACGAGCCGCACTTGGCGCGGCAGAGCTGGTGTGTACTGCCTCTTGCGATCTTTATGCTCCGCGTGGATACGTGAATGCGACGCCAATGAGGGGCCGTCGCCATGCGCCTAACCTCTGACTTGCATGCGCTAAGCGAGCGTGTGGGAGCATGATCATGCAAGGGCAGCCGTACCAATGTACCTTTCTCGATCCGCCAGGCCAGGCCAGGCACGGCGAAAGCTCGTCATTAGAACTTCAACCGGTGGTCCTAGACGGGGTGAAGTTGGCTTTCATCCTCACCGCTCACTCTAGCGTATCAGAGCGTACACTGCTCAAGCCATGGACGGTAGGAAGACGTGCGACCTCTCGTGAATCGTGGTACCCTAGAGCTATTAGTGTGTCAGCCCAGCGCTTAAACAGATACGATTCCGGAGAGCATTTTATACCGAGCATCGCCTCGCACGTGTGAACATGACGACAAGACAGACGTAGCACACGAAAGATTCGCAAGAGAAATTCCGAGTCTAGATGGAGAGATACGGATTTGAAGAGGTGACGTCTACTTTAAGTTTCCTCTTCAAATCGCTCCTTCCACTTTCACTTTCACATGAAGAAGCATAACCCAATCAGGAAGGCACTACGCTTCTTCTCACCTCACCTCTTCCTGACCATTTCGATTCCTCGACGCGTCCATCACAGCTGATCCGTTCAATTCACGCAATGGCAGCTCGCACGTACCCCATTATCTCGGGATTGGAGATTTCGATTTCTGTATTCTATGTAATCTACACTGACCAGAGATTCCTTCATCCTACATCGCCGCGGCGTCAGCACCGCCAGCAGCGGGAAACAAAGTTATGATGTCGTAACATGCCATCCCATGCCGTACCCATATCGACCGGATCCTCCCTCTTCGTCAGACTGTCGGATATTGTATACTCCCGCCAACGCCCACGCTTGCAAATGCATCAGACAGCTGTGCCCTTGCACATCATTCAATCCTCATAGATCTCCAACTCATTGTCATCGATATCACCCTCCTGCGCAACGCTGGCATCGTCGCTGGGGTTCGTTGCTCCGTCATCGACACCCTCCCATTCTTCCTCACCGCCTCGATCCATAATATCCGTGGCGACTTCGGTATCCCCGTCACCGCTCCCAAGCTCCACACGTCCGACGAAGTTGTTGTTGCTGTGCGGTGTAGCATACGCAAACGGTGTCGTGCCGCGCTTGCGGCTGCTGCTCGCTCCCTGACTCCTTGCTTCGATTGGAGCTTCAGAAGTGAACGGTGAAGGAGGCTCGCGCGACCATCGCGGGGTGAAGTTGACACCTCTCCGCTCAGCCTCAGGGGAGATGGAGATGCGGCGGCGCTTCGCAGTGGTCTCGACGCCGTGCTCGTCTGCGCAGGTTGCGACGGGCTCGAAAGAGGCTACTCTTCGTTTGGGTAAGGCTGCCTTGGCTTCTCCTGCAGCTTCGCTGGACTCAGGCAACGATGCAGTTCTTTGTCGATGTGGCCGGAGTTCGGATTGCGGAGAAGATGCGCGGTCGTTCGGCATGTCTGCGTCGTCGGCTGCAAAAAGGCTTCGAGTGCTCCATTGAGACTCATGAGAGGCGAACGACGAATGCAGACTGACGGCTCGATCAAGGCGCTCGTTGAAGCTCCAGCATGCCTCTATCGCAATGTTTTCTGCTCGGGCAGCCTGTTCTTCTATGCTTGCCTCGAAGACAGGCATCTCACGTAGCCGCCTCCAAGTCCACGAGTCGGCTGTGTTGGGCTGGATGTAGGCATCTGGTGTAGTGACGTAGAGTCTCCTTTGCCCATCGCCGACCTTCATGAACACGCTCGAGTCTAGGAAAGATGCAGTCCAGCTCGCGGATGTGACCAACTCAGCAGGACTCAAAAACCGTAGCCGAGCAGATTTCCTGACCTTGCGCAACGGTATGAAGGATTCTTTAAGCCCTTGAAAGCCCTTAAGCTCCTCACCCCCAAAGTTGGTCTCGCTCGTGCTGATCGCAAGTTCTCCCAACGCATCGCGGATCGCATTGTTGATGTGACGAGCGTCAGGCTCGCCCAAGGTTACTTCGCGAACAAGACCACGACTGGCAAGCCGTTGGAACACGTCGCCGCTGGGACCACACGCCTTTGGAGAGAGCCACTCTGATGCCTCGTTGGCCCAGGCTTCAATAGATTCCGTAGTCCAGGCGCCGCTTTTGGTCGATTTGAAGGAAAGCTTTGGCGCAGATTGAGCGCCCGTCCACTCCTCGGAAAGCTGCGTGCTGGCTTTCATCGACCTTTGAGTCGCCTCCGCCGCCGAAAACCATATACCCTTCAGATCGCGGCCCCATGGGAGGAGAACGACTTGGACATGCCATGGCCGAGCGAAAGAAGGCAAAGCTGCGGTCTCGAGTTGCTGTACTCGACCTTCCAGTGCGTCGATCCTGGGATGGGTCTCTGCATTTGCGGCTAGGGTAGCGAGGACGGCAGCTTCGGTGTGCGCGGCGGCGTTGAGATCGAAGGACCCGTCGGAGTCGAAGGAGCTTGTCTCGTGCGGAAGCATACGTCTTCGCTTACTGCTCGAACTGGCAGCAGGGTCTGGGCTCAGCTGATTCTGGTCGCGATCGGCACGCCATTGTTCTAGATCCAGGATCCTGCCATCGAAATGCTCAAAGCGGTCTTGTATTTCCTCTACCGGCACATGAGAGAATGATAGGCTTTCCAGGACGTTAAGCCGACGACCGTACGTCTCAATGATATTTTGAAGGTCCGGCACAGTTGTGGCTACTGGATGCGGCCTCTCGGGGCGAAAGGGTCGACTGGTTGTCGCGTCCGTCGTGTGAGGAGGCTCGGTACGCGGCCGCGGCCGTGGGAATTCCAGGCGGCCTGGTCGAAGATGTCCTGGAGACGGTCGAATACTGGAACACGACATCAGAGCACGGAAATCTGGTGTGCCTGCGATACTTGGCGTATCCACTTCTGTGGCGCTGTACTCTTCGTTCTGTCGAGCATGCGGGCCAGGTGGTATATTGACAGGTGGTGCCATGGGACGGTACTGCTGTGATGCTTGATGTGCCACTGGCTCATAGCCATTCCATGGCTCCTCTACAAGGCTTGGGGCATTCGTTGATGGCAGCTTGGACGTTGCGTCGGACATGGCTTGTTCTCCATCCTCCTGGTTGCGCGCAAACTCGTTGAGAGCCTGGAAGACTCGAGTGTTTATGCTCTCCGTCTGCTGCCGAGAGTCCGGCCGTATCCCCAAGCCCGCAAGAGGTTTCGCAGGCGTTACGAAGCCCTGGGCACCTCCCACAGCATCGCTCCCGTTGCGCTCGCTCACAGCCTGTGTATTTCCCATGCGACTGCCCGCAATTGTCTGCCCCCGCTCTTCCTGCTGCTGGCTGAACGCATTGTGGAAGCAAGCATGATGGCCGCAGAAGCACCATGCTCTCTCGACACCCCCATCATTCGCGTTGAAGTGGCATACATTCAGCCAAAATCTCGTACAGCCGCATACTGGCGCGCTTGAGCCGGTGCTGAGGTCACGGTAGTTGCAAGAGCCATTGGGTAGGTCCTGTTCGCCCTGCCCTAGCGATACCCTGCTACCAGCGCGAGTGTGAGAGGCCGCCATAGGCGGCAGGTGATGGCCCCCCCAATGGCCCCGACCTCAGCATGGCAGGTTGGTCGATCAGAGGGTTCCAGTAGTTCCAGTAGTGATAGGCGGCACTGGTCGAGTAACGCTGAGGTCGGAGGTGTTGTAGTCAATGGATGTCGCGGATGAAGTGAGGTAACGTGGAAGCTGCGATTGGATGGAAGTGAAAACACAAAGTCGAAGGACGAGGAAGACTCACATGGCGCCCCCACGTCTCCGTCGTTACCGCCTGCGTCTGCTAGCGCCATCTCCAAGATCTCAGAAGCTTCACATTGGACCGGGGAGGTGGACAGCATGTGCCGGGCCGCTGAGATGGTTAGGTTGGTCTCACACGCGATCTGTCAATTTTTGGGAGGTGAACAATTCGTCCAACGAGCCAACCTCTAAGCCAACTCCTGCACGCAGACGCAATGGACTACGAGTCTGGCAACGGCTCTCAATTCTCCTTCAGAACCGTTGAGTCCCCTCCAGACGAACATGGCCGCGTCAGCGAGTATACGTCTGTCTCCGCATACGTCGACAATGTGGCCTACACCGGCAAGCTGGATCAGCATCCGGACGAAGTGGACGAAGGAGAACTCTTGAACTCATTGGAGCCAGTGCCTGTCGAGTGCATCCACCCTCTCTTCCAGCAGGAGTTTACCAAGGCGCCACCGTACGACCCGGAAGTGCATTACCTCAAGTCGCCTTCGTTTACGTACGACGACTGCCAGCCAGGCAAGACGTTCGTGGCAGAATGCGTCTTGAATGAGGTCAAGGCACTGGAGCTGATCAGGAAGCATCCTCATCCTAATCTTGTGAAATACTATGGCTGCGTAGTGAGAGACGGCCGCATCACCGCCCTCTGCCTGCACAGGTATCCTGACACCATGGTGGATTATGCCTATTGCGGGATCTCTGGAGCACGAGCAAGCATGTTTGCGTACAACATTGAGAACGGAATTCATCATCTCCACTCGCTGGGCCTGGCTCACAACGATATCAATGAATCAAACATCTGTGTTGACGAGCATGAGCAAGCCGTCATCGTTGACTTCGATAGCTGCTTGCCGTTCGGAGAACCGCTCATGAAAGGGACTAGTGCTTGTGCGGACCTGGACGCCTGGGTCTCTAGCAAGGAGAATGATCTTGACTATGGCTTGACCACCATAGAGGAGTTCCTGCCCGTCGAAACCAGAAAGCAGAAGGCTGATGCTGAGGCTGAGATGGCAGATGAGTTATCATCTTGAGATTGCGACCATTCTTTGGCTTCGATGTGGTCTAAGTGTGCGCTACTCTATCTCGCCGCAGAAGCACTAGCAGCCGCAGAACTCGGAACAGCGCTGGCACTTGCACTTCCACCACCACTGCTCGAGCCCTTCGCGGTCTTCTCCACCGCAGCCTGCACGATCTGGCCTGCCTTGTTGAACACAATATTCACGAGCGCGTCAAGAGGACCGTAGGAGAAGGTCTTCTGCGTCAGACCCTGGCCCAGGTCCTTCGCCGAGTCGGCCACCAAAGTCATGTTCTGAGCATAGTTGCCAACAATCGAGCTGACGCCGCCGACTTCTTGCACGATGTTTCCGAGGTTATCGACGAGCTGGGTTGAGAAGTCAGCAACGGCTCCGGAGAGAAGGGAGTGTTCTACCCACGAAGCTCAACGTCTTCCCGCCTTGAGTAATGGAACCAAGCAATCCATCCACTTCTCCAATCACGTCATCAAGCAGCCCGGTCACGCCGTTAATGGTGTTGATCAAGAGGGGATTGAGATCCAGCGACTCGAACACCCTGCCGACGATCTCCACGAGGTTGCCGAGTCGCACGATCAAATCCAGTTCAGCGTCAACATCGGCAATGGTAATGTTAACCTTTGAGATGCCCAACTGCACTCCGGCATTGATCTTGACGAGCTGCGCTACGTTGGCGTTGAGGTTGATGTCCGCGCTGAGGTTCTCGACGTCTGTTTAGACCGGTCAGCCTCCGAATCGTAGTCTCTCGGGAATGTGGGCAACCAACCAAGCTCGATACGTCCAACGTGCAACTTCGGCACATTCAAGTACACATCCGGCGCGCTGTCGGTAGCGGACGTCGAGCCACCCGTCGGTGTACTGCCGCCGCCGGTCGTGCCATTGTCGGCTGGGACAGAAGAAGTCGGCGGAGGAGTCGAAATCGTAGCGCTGGCACCGGTTTGTGCAGAGACTTGCAAGGCGCAGGTCAAGGAAAGGAAGAACGAAAGCAACAACCTCCAAGCCATTGGAACAGCCATCTGCAAAGGAGTGTGATATGAATGAGCGTGAGTATCGCGAGAACAGCAGAAGAGTAATGTGCGAAATGCGAAAGAAGTCGAGCAACGTCAGGACACCCGGCAGCTCACAACATCCTTGAAACCCATCACTTCCGTGAACTCAGCCTGATCATCACCAAATCTCGACAACCACAAGGAGAACAATGCTTAGCCTCCGAATCCCTACCATTAAAACGTTCACGCATGGGTCTGTGTGGCGGCGTGCCTGGCCGTTCGCGGGGAAGCCCTGCGCGTCAAATTTCGGTTCAGACTTCGAGCCGTTTCATGATCTCCAGACCTTGAATTCATCCTTGCTGCGGATTATTGAAAAAGCCTAGATCGACGTAGTTATAGGGAGGCGAGGTCGGATGAGGTTGGTGGCGGTGGATGATGTGCCGGCAGATGTGGTGATCGGTTGGAAGGGCTGTGATCCCTCGTTGAAACGGTACTGTCCACTCCCACGTCGTTCATCCTCTTGGTCGAGTTCTCTGTCGTTTGAACAAACGCTTTGTGTACCAGTCGCTCTCTCGCCGAAGCAAACATGATCTCCTTCCATCGCTCTTTAATCTTCCTCTGGGTGTTCATCTCGGCACTGGCCAGCGCGCAAACGACCAAAGGCAGTACTGGCTATGTCGGCTATGACCTCGACCTCGAGGGCGACTCAGACAGCGTGATCTTCTCGACCGACGAAACGAGGCCGAACGCAGGCGCAAACTTCCCAAATCCAGATGTCTACCTCAATGCCAGCGGTGAGCTCTCCAGTCGATCTTTCACACAGACGGTCAAGCTGATATTGATCGTTCATAGTGCACGTCGGCACCATCGACATCCAAGTCGACAACCTCGTACGCCTCCTCGATCCCTTGATCCGTTACCCATACCGCTAACCATCTCTTCCCTCCCAGACCGCCAAAATCAACCTAGACGCCCAAGTGCTCAACCTCCTCCAATTCAACGCCGGCGTCGACCTCTCCATCGACTCCGTCCGCCTGCTCATCGAAAAAGTCCGGGCCAAAGTCCTGCTCGAAGTCCGGCTCGAGAACCTCGTCAAGATGATCAACACCACGCTTTCATCCATCGACCTCAACCCCATCATCGCGGAGCTCGGCGAAGGAATCGGCGACGTGCTCAACTCGACTGGCGACGCTGTTGGCGGGCTCACGGGCTCGGACAGCAGCAGCTCGCTGGCGAAGCGCGGATTGTCGTATGAGCTTGAGCATGGGATCCTGTACTCAACAAACAATTACCGGAACAACAAACATACGAACCAAGTGTTGGCGCAGAACGGAGATATCGTGGCAGAAAGGTTGGATAATGATGGGAACGAGCTGGGTTCGAGGGTGGTAGGGAATTATAAGAATGATATGAGCTTCAATGGGTACGAGATCAAGGTGCGGAGAGACGGAGAGGAGGTGACGGAGAGGGAATACGTGTACTCACCACACACGGGAGTTACTGCCATTTGCGCCATCTACACCAATGCTGCCGGTGAAGTAGTGGGTACTCAAATAATCGCTGAGAGCAGTGCAGGAGGAAGTAGTACGATCGGGGAAGACTAGTTAACTACAGTATGAAAGTGGACTTCGTTCTGCCTCTCCATTGCAAAGAGTTCTTGATCTTGTTCAAAACGGTTGTGCTGAAAACATGGCCACAAGGACAGCAGCTCCGAGGTGACAAAAACCATGTATAGAAACATAGAACAAAACGAAATCCATAACGATAAAGAAACAATTGTCGCCTCACCTTGTATCACCGTTCAACATCATGGGCAACGCAGTGGCCGTAACGACCTGCCAAAAGGCACAGAAGCAGCTCATCCTCTTCGAAAGAGGACGTCAGAAGGTTGGTTCAGAGATGCTTGCTTGTCTATGTACGACTGCAATGCATCTCTCAGCTACCACGCTGATTGATTGTGATGTTGGCCGAAGAACCTTTCCATCTCTTTCACGAGGCAGATTCAACGCCGTACCGCCAAGCTCATGCTGCAAGCCTCACATCTACGCGACGAGCTGCACGATTCCACCAGACTCCTTGATCTTGCGCTCTGCGTCTTTGCTGAAGTATCTCGCGCGCACGATGAGCGGGATCTCTGGGATGCGACCCTTGCCGAGGACTTTGCTGTAGCCGAGAGGGAGGAGGTCCAGGACGGGCGCGGTGTCCTTCTTGCCGCCGGAGAGGTACTTTTCGCGCTGCTCGAGGGGGACGAGAGACCAGAGCTATTCCATTCAGTCAGCGTCCTCCCTTCCGATGTCTTATTCGTGGTGTCCTACCTTGTCGAGGTTGATGACGGGCTTCCAGAACTGGTTTTGCAGCTTGTGGAAGTATCGCATGCCGACCTTTCCGAAGTAACCAGGATGGTACTTGTCGAGGTTGGTACGGTGGTGGTGCTGGCCACCAGCCATACCGCGACCACCGGGGTGCTTCCTGTGCTTGCCCACACGACCATGGCCGGCCGAGACGTGGCCGCGGCTGTGAAAGGGTTAGCATGCGACTGCTAGTATAGCACTGCGACTGGCGACATACTGTTTCCGCGTCTGAGTCTTCCTGGTAGGCATTGCGGTTGATGTGTTGGTGCAATGTGACTTGTCGGTGGTGCTCGGGCTTGATCAAATTTCAGATTCAAAGTGTGCGGCTTTGCCGCCGACTAGCGCAAAGCAGTCTTGGCATGGATTTGGAGATCAGGTCAGGTGTTCTTTCAAAACTCCTCATAAGGAGCCATTTGACAACTTCACATCGAAGATACGTAGAGTGAAAGTAGAGTAAGTGATGAGCAAGGAGCTCAATGGAAACGACATGTAATATACAGCTTCCGCCACTTGCCCATAATCCAATAGCCTACCCAGAGCAAGTTCATTGACTGGAACAAGCCTCCTGTTCCGCTGCAAGGCTTCTGACCTTGTGGAGCTGCTTTGCTTTGGCACACACGACACTTTCAGGCTCCCTAAACTTTACGCGGCGAGTGTCCTCCGAACTGTACTGACGAACAGTAGTCACAACCAGCCCTCCGACGCGTCGTCCTGCTCAACACACTGCTGGCGTCCTTCATCGCCACGTCTGCTCATTCCTTCTCTCCAGCCGCAAGATCTCAGGATGGCGATGCACACCCGGCATCATGCCCGTACCGATAGCTCGCCGTATCGCCTTTGCCATCCTCCGCTGATTCACTGGCCGTAGGGAAGTCTCCCTCCTGTGCTTAATCCTCCCCATGTCGGTTATGTACTCCGACATCATGCTGAAATTCTATATCCATACTCGTTAGATGGGCGTCTCCCACAGTCGTGATCCGCATTCACATTACTCACCTTGTAGTGGTGGATCGGATTTATCCCCAACTGGTCGATGACATCCGACATCATCCTTCCCTTCCGTCGCAGCCTCTTCCACTTTGCCGCTTCTGCTCCACTAAGATCATGCGGCGCATACACATCTCCTGGCTTCCACTTCCGCTGCTGCTGTTTCTCAAGATCCTGCCGAGTCCAGTCGCGTTGAAGGGCAGCTACCCGTTCTCTAGCCTGCCTTTCGAGTGTTGACCGACCGCTCTCCGTGATCATGTCCTCTGCGATGTCAAATGCGTTTCGAGGACGTTCTGATGTCGAGGACGTAGCAGTTGCGGATGGGGGAGAGATGTTCGTTGTAGCATCGATGGAGGAGCGAGGGACCTGCGCTTGCGCCTGAGACTCGCGACGCGAGTTTACCAGGGAGTCTGCGTTGTGTTAGAGCTGAGGGGACTTCCGACCGTGACATTCTTACCAGCCAAGCCTCCTGTTGCTGATTGCTGAGGCAAGGGTCTCGATGGGACAGAGGCGAATGTTCTTCGACATTGGTGGCATATGGATGTTGGACGGACCGTGAGCCTTCTGAATGCCGTTTCGAGAGACATGTTGGGTCGTTGAAGATTGAGGTGTCGTCTAATGTCATACGCGGTATAGAGACACCCCCGAGAGCTCCGCAGTCTTGGCCTTGACTTCATCATTGGAAGCTCCCTCGACGGACACGAACTACTCCTCATCGAGCACTTGCGGGACGGTATTTGGGAACTTGTAAATATGTACAGCTAAGAACGTGCTCCCACCCATTCGGGACCAACACGCGAAGATGCCATCTCACCTCACTCGCAGCGTCTTCCGCAGACTGCTAGCCGACCAACCCATCATCCATCGAGCATGCCTTCGACGACGACGGTACTGCTCGCTTGCGCCGGCATCAGCCCTACTTGGAGGACCTACGAGGCAGCATGTCGTTGCATCAATACCTCATCGCCAACGGCGACACTTTCTCAACTTCAACATCTTTGGAAGCAAGCGAGAGGCCAAAGAACCAGATATGGATCCGGGCATTGACAAGATGATGGAGCTGGCGAAACGGCAACGTATGGATGCGCGAATGCCGTCTGTTGAGGACGCGCTGGAAGCCGTAAGGTTGTTCCTGAAACACAAACGCAGAAAGGATCAGCCTATTACCGACAGCCAAGCTCGCCTAGTCCACCAGAGTCTCCAATACTGCTTCGAGAGCATCGACGCTCTACCAATGGACGGCGAGCATGTACAACGGGATGCTGAGGAGCTACGAAGCCTTGCCCGCGAGGTGGCGAAGCACTTGAGTGTCACAACCACTAGGACCACTGCGTCGAACGAACACGTACAGTTCCTGTGGTTTCTCTATTCGCGCGCTTCGAGTCATGGCTTCAGGAGACTCAAAAGAGCTACCATTTTGCCACTAGTACACATGTTGAGCCTTACTGGGTCTTCCCATGCCGCGCGAGACTTGGTCCTACAGCATGAGCCGGCGTTTTCGCCGAGCGATAAGACTCGACAGCCGGCTATTGCACGTGAGGAGGAAGGCGACCAACCAGATCTACCTGAAGACGATCGTTCCACAATGCTAAGACTCAATCAGGTGACAACAAGTTGGGCTACCGTGCTCAATGGTTTCGTGACCGAGAAGAATGTAGCCGAGGTGCACTCGACCATGGAGATGATTCAGCAACGAAAATGCGATAACCATCGCAATGTTCCCAGAGCGATGCTACTGTTTGCCATGCAGCAGAAAGATCCGGAGGCGCTGAAGCATTGGTGGATGAAATATCGGTCAGCAACTGCGGACGTGAATGAACGTAAAGTTCTGCAAGATGCGGTCGCCAGCCAATTCTATGAGGTGTTAATGTGGTGCTTGAAGGAGAATCAGCTCCAGCTTGGGCACGAAGTGGTCAGGGGAGAGATGGCCAAGAACCCGCTGAAGCCGTGCTGGGACGCTGTCTTCGTCTGGGCTGCAGGAACCAAGAAAAGTGTCGACGAAATAGGTCGAATGATGACTGTCATGGAGAAGTCTAACGAAGACATCGCCGACCGCGAGGCATGGCGTCAGCCGGACGTGGTGACGATCAACGCTCTCGTCGACTTTGCTGTCTCGCAGAACGACCCTTATATGGCCGAGCGCTTCATTGCGCTTGGGCGCGAGCGAAACATCGAGCCCAACGCACGCACATTTGCCCTCCAGATGGACTACCGCTTGAGTGTGGGCGACGTCGATGGGGCGTTGGTCGCTTACAAAGGGCTGGTGGAACACAGAAACGCACAGATCGAGGAAGAGTCTTTCACGGAAGATGTCGGCGCCATCAACCGGCTCATAGTCGCTCTCAGTGGCACACAACGCCATGATTTCGACACCATTATGAACGTCGCGATGGATTTGGCGGACCGCCGGGCGCCATTTGAAGCTAATACTGTGTCCACTCTCGCTCTGTTGCACCTCGCCCGGGATGAGGAGGATGATGCGACGGACCTCCTGAATACTCACTCTTATCACTTCGCCTCCACCGAGCGCACGCATGTTCGGGACGAGATCGTCAAGTTCGCTCTCGATCCGAAGACACCTACCAGACGGGCCTGGCAGAGCTACAACATTATTCGGGACATCTTCGACGAGACTCCTCGAGACCAGCGAACCGAGCTGATGACATCGTTCTTCAATCGTGAACGCGCAGACATGGGCGTCCGTGTCTTCCAACACATGCGCGCACACTCCCGCGCCGACACCATCCCGACGGTCGACACCTATGTCGCTATCTTTATGGGTCTGGCAAAGCTGCGCGATATCGACTCCGTGGAAATTGTTCACAACCTCCTGAAACTCGACTTCAACATCACCGTCACAACATACCTCCGCAACGCACTCATCATTGCCTACACCGCCGGCGACAAAGGCCGCAAAGCGCTCGGCTTCTGGGACGACATTGTCAAGAGCAAAGAGGGACCCAGCTACAACAGCATCCACGTCGCTCTGCGCGCTTGCGAGAACTCGCCGTTTGGAGACCTGCGCGCGAAGGAGCTCTGGTCGCTCCTACGCCGACGGAACGTTGAGCTCGACCAGCCACTCTGGGCCTCGTACGTCGCTGCACTGGCTGGGAATGGCGACAACGACACCGCGATCAGCACTGTTGAGGAGGCGGAGGCGAACGGCCAGCTGGACGTGGAGGTATTTCTGCTGGGGAGTTTGATGGGTGGCGCGAATGGGCAGATGAAGCAGGAGGAGATTGAGGCGTGGGCGAAGGAGAAGTATTCGGCGCAGTGGGAAGAGCTGGAACGTCTGGGGTTCGAGACGGATATTGCGGGCACGAGGACTTTCAACATTGATCGGAGGGTGTCGCCTTGATTTCAAAGAGAATTGCCGTCTCACCATGAGTCTCCCAAAGTGGGAGCGATCTGCTAATAGCAGCCGGATCGATTTCACCACCTCGTCTCTCGCCCTATGCTCAGCGTATGGAATGCTGCGCACGGTCTGTGGCTCGGTCGTTTCGCGCCGGAAGCTCTTCACCGAAGCATTGCACGCCGCGAAGCATCGCACTCCCTACGATGGGCCGCCTAGCACGAGGAGTGGTCTGGCCAGCGCGACTCGTCATGGTCCGGCCCACAGCCAGCCTCAAGGCTGCAGAGGAGTGTTCGCGAGCAAACAACTAGAGAGCTTCACAAGACAGAATTCGAAAAGAAAAGCTTCAGAACAATGTCGGAAAACTCAAACCTCAGCATACCTCCTAACTCGTCAGACTCATTAATGCTAATTACCCAGCTATGCCATCTGACTTCATGTGTCTATGCATGTCCTCCAGGACCTCGTTACATGTTAACCGCAAATGCTAACGCACCAACCAAGGCCGCCACAACAGCGGGCAGCTCGTTCCGCATGCCAGCGCCAGTCGCCGGCACCACCCCACTGCTTGCCGCCAGAGGTGAGGACGGCGTAGCGCTGCCCGAAGACACTGTCGCCATCGTCGCATTCGGCGCCGCCGTGACCAGCCCAGCGGCCACGAAGCTCGTGGTTTGGGTCAGTTCGCTGTAGACCGAAGTTTCCGGAGTAATGCCAGAAGTGAAGGGAACAACCGGCGCTGGGCTGACGCTGACGGTCTGGGAAGCCGGAGAGTACCCTTCCTCCTGCGGGCTGAGGACCTCGTTGATGACATGGAGCACACCGTTCGCGATGAGGACGTCGGCGTTGATGACGCGAGCGTTGTTAACGAAGACGGCGCCGTCGTCGGTGATGGTGATTTCGAGGCCTTTCCCGGCGAGGGTTGGGAGGGTGGTGTTGCTGAGGACGGTCGAGTAGCCGACTGTACCTTGCACGACGTGGTATTGCAAGATCTCAGCCAATGCCTCCTTGGTGATGCCGTCAGTACCACCGGCGATTCGCTGGAAGGCGTCGTTGTTCGGGCCTGAGCAGGATTGTTGGCAGGACTCTTGGAGATGGGTGTTGTGCGCTTACAGAAGATGGTGACGTCTGACAGCTCCTCCAATGGAGTAACGAGATCGGTCTGAGTGGCTGCACCCGCCAGGGCCGTGAAGTTGCCTGTAATCAAAGTTTCCGAGATGCTCAAAGGGAAGAGCAAGAGCTTGTCGATGACGTGGATGACACCGTTGTCGAATGGAATGTCCTGCGTCTGTCAGCAAAATTCCCATCTTCCACGTTTCGGAGGCGAATTCACAGCAACAACCACAGTGCTCGGGACCTTAAGGCCAGTCGTAACGATCGCATTTCCCTCTGTGTCAAGGCTGACTCCCGCCACCTCGCCGCCTGTTACGTTGCTGCCGGATACTTCGCCGTCCAAGACGATCGCCGAGTAGTCGAGATACGAAGATGGGTATTGAGGGATCTCCATAATGTCGGATGACATGATCACACCCTTGTACTACGCGCACGAGAACTGGTTAGGGACTGTGGACACGACGGCGTTCTTTGTTCCAAGAACGCACTCACCAGATGGTATCTTAGGATTTGTTCGATCAATCCCGCGTCGGTGGACGCCTGCTGGATCGAGAAGATGCCGCCGGACTGGACAATCTCCGCGAAAGCAGCATCACTGGGCGCGAAGAGAGTAACATCCTTCTGTTTGGAGATGAACTCAGTTGTTGGTACGACGCCAACCTGCTCCGGAAAGAAGGGTTAGCGGATCTCTCCAATCGGGCAAGGTCATGCTTGTCAACAGCGTACCTCTTGCAACAGCTGCACCAGCGTGGTCAGATCTTCTCGACCTGAGAGAACTGTTGCGAGATCTTGCGCGGTAGCAACGGCAGCGAATACCGCGAGGATGAAGCTGGAGGCACGCATGTTCATTGAGATGGAGGTGGTGGCGGTAGCGGTGGGGTGTTGCTTGGATCGTTCGAAGACTGGTTGGCTGGTAATGACCTCTCCATACCGCCCGGCGACATCCTCAACTTATACTCGCATCAGGAGGATTCCTACCGTAGGTGCATTGTCGCCGGCTGTACCTGCAGCTGCTGCGGACGCATATGAGGTTCTTCGATGACCTCAAGACACGCTGGTTTTGTACATAGGAACGAAGGGCATGCTGACGGGCAGCATAGCCCCAAAAGCTTGGTTCCAGTGGAAGTTTGGATTGTTCGAGTGGTAGCAAAGGATCAAGGTATAGAGCACTTGGCAGACGGTGGTAAACCGCCGTAGCTTAGCTATGTATTGCTCGCATGAGATCCACGTGCAGATGATCCACCGCTAACCGAACACCCCAGCCTCTCCAGAAAGATCGGCAGGGCTGTAGAGACATTCTCCAAAGGCTCGACGACGGCGCGGAGATGGGGGTCGAAGCAGCTTGTTCAGTGCTGGAGCAGCGGAAGAATTATTAGACCACGGTCCCCGGCGATGCCGTGAACTGCAGGACAACAGACAGCTTATTAGAAGAGCTATAGTCGAGCCAACAGTCTGGAGCGTTCTGCTGTCGCTAAGTAGACCAGACCGCTTTGCGGCTAGTCGCTGGCACGGTATTTACGAACACTGACGTCGGCGGAAGCAGTGGTCCAGTTCTTGAGTAGGGCAGTACGCCAGCCAACATACACTATCCTTTGCATCCCAAGCGCCAAAATCGTCTGATGGTCAAGATTGATGGCTGGGCCTGAAGAGAAGACGTGGGGTGAAGTCTGCCGATGGGCAACCGGGGTCTTTAATCCGTCGAACACAGCATGTCAACATGCGACAACAACGTCGAAGACCTACCCGTATAATCATTGTTAGAGTCAGCGATATAAAAAGGCCCTCCATGGCTGCAAGTGCTATATCGAGTCGAGCTCCAAATTTCATGTGGTGGGGTGTCTTTGTTTTTCTTCCGTCTCACCTTCTTGGAAAGGAGATGACTGTTGACATACACGATGGATACAAGCCAACAAGTGACAGTCTGTACAGCTACCGCTAGGTGTCCGGTAGGCCGGTAACCGCATCACGAGCTTGTTCGAAATACTCTGTGAAGGCTCCATTCCATCACTTTGGGAGCCATGGCCTTCACGCAGCACAATGGCTCGCATCTGCAAGCAGTGGTTGATATGGGAAGCAACGGCATTCGGTTCTCAGTCTCCAGTCTACGGCCACCTACAGCGCGCATAATGCCAACACTATACCAAACCCGCGCTGGAATATCGTTGTACGATGCTCAATACTTGGCATCAGGAGAAAGGCAACCCATCGATGAGCCGACCACCGAAGCAGTTGTTCTTGCTTTTCGTCAGTTCCAGAGGACCTGCGCTGACTTCGGTGTGCCGGAGGAGAACATCACAATCCTCGCCACTGAGGCCACCAGGACGGCAAGCAACTCCGAAGCCTTCCGGCAGCGAATCAAGGATGCGGTGGGCTGGGAAGTAAAACTCATGACCAAGGAAGAGGAAGGCGAAGTTGGCGCATTGGGGATTGCGAGTTCCTTACCGGAAATCAATGGGCTCGTCATGGATCTTGGGGGTGGCAGTACACAGCTCAGTTGGCTGGCATCTGGTGGTTCGGGTACGCAGGTGCGAATGCCCAAGAACGGAGCAGTGAGCATGCCCTACGGCGCTGCTGCAATGTCGCGACGGCTTGCAGAGGCGGAGAAAAGTGGCACTGTGGAGGACTTACGAAGTGAAGTTAAGAAAGCTGTCATGAACGCCTACGACCACCTCGACATCCCGGAGGACTTGATGCAATTCTCGGAGGACTCAGGCGGATTTACTCTCTATCTGTCCGGCGGTGGCTTCCGCGGATGGGGCTATGTTCTCATGAGTATGCAGCGCGTTCGTCCATATCCCATACCTGTCATCAATGGCTTCAAGGCTTCACGGTCTCAGTTCCTGGGGACCGATGAGGTTAAGCAAGCAGCCGCCTCGACACTACAGGACGACGACAATGACATTTTTCGAATCTCCGACCGGAGAGCTAGCCAGGTCCCCGCTGTAGCTTTCCTCATCAATGCACTGGCGGAGGCTCTACCAGAGATCTCAGAGGTCAGGTTCTGCCAAGGTGGTGTAAGGGAGGGTTATCTGTTCAGAAGCCTGCCGCGAGAGATACAGGCCGAGCACCCCTTGGTAGTGGCGACAGGTGCCTACAGCCCAGCTCCATCAGGTCCTTTGCTGCAGCTATTGCAGGCTGCTCTCCCGCCTGGCACAACCGCGAACGCCCAGGACGACTACAAGAGTGTTTTCACCCTAGAGCTCCTTGAGAGCTTCGCAAACCTGATGTACTACCACTCAACCCACTCGAAAGACCTCCAAGCCAGTGCAGCCCTGCGGTCTACTACATCCGGCATTCTGGCCAGTGTACATGGCATACTGCACGAGTCACGAACACGTCTGGCCCTTCTCCTCTGCGCAAGATGGGGTAGCGACGTGCCACCGACTGATCAAGCATTTAAAGCGCAGCTCGAAAAACTTGTGGAGTCACCCTGGACGCTGTGGTGGATACAGTATCTCGGCGCTGTTGCCGCTCTGATCGCAGCAGTGTACCCGGCGGGAATGGGAGCTGGTGTCCAACAGGACAGATTGGGCTTGCAGGCGAATTGGGACACGAGTGGGAAGGGTCGGCGTCTTCTCGTCGTGACGGTATCAGTTGGAGACGATGTTGACGGGAAGTCGTTGGAGAAGGAAGTCAAGGCCATCGAGAAGGCCGGGAAGAAGAAGAACTTCATAGGCGGAAAAGACGGGATTGGCCACAAGGTTGAAGTCGAGGTCAAGAAGTTAGAAGGATGAGCCAGCCGATGCTCCAAGATGCAATTCAAACAAAGCGACAGGGCCAATGTGGTGCTAGCCACGTGGCGGCATATCTGCCTTTGTCCAACACGGGTTACGACAACAAAGCAAAAAGTGGCCTTTGTGCCTCCAACTTTTCCCGATGCGGCTGTTAACCTGTTCATACTTACAACAAGGTGTCGCTTCACAGACTCCATCATCACGTCTACTGAGTCCCAAAATTCAACTCACTCGCAGCGACTGCCACACCACTTCCGTCACCTCTGCCGACTCGCCTCGAAACGCTACCATGGCGACCGTCCCAGGCGCAACGAACGTGCTCTACCTGCGAAATGGGATCGCCCGCTCCATCATACCCACCGGCAAGAATGTGACGATCCATAGTCAGGCGCAGGTCACTTACGCTACGCTGGCTGTTGTGGTGAGCCTGTCATTCGTGCTCGGGATCTGCCTCACGCTGTTAGTGTTCTGGTTGATTCGTCGCCATAAGAAGAAGAAGGCTGGGAAGTAGGAGATACGGGTTGTTGGCCCGGAGAGTTTAGAGATGGAGGATGAGGTTTGCGGAATGCTCTGTATTGAGTGAAATATATATCATGAACGTATAACGTCCACTTGTGTACTGCAACTCCCTCGTGACTCTTGCGGCCGCCTCTTTCAATCCCACCTGTGATGGTGATAACCAGCTGAGGTCTGGCGTTCTGCAGCCCGTCTCCTGATCAAACTTAAAAGTGTGTCAGCACATCGATCAGGCGGGCATTTTCCCATCTAATTGTATGCTCAGCCGCTCGAAGTCACTCATGTAAACTCTAGGGGCCAACGTTCGACCACGGGAATGCCGACGACAGCCATTGAAGGCCCACCGTTGTTCTTTTGTTAGCAGAAGAACCGGGAACTCAGGTGAGCAGAACCTTTTGTCTTGGGACCAGTCATGTAGTACTTCTATTCCTCCCATCTAATGCATCATGTTCCTACCCTACGGTACCGTTGACGCAGGTAGAGCACCATGTCATCTACTCTCAATCAGCAATATCAATTTGGTCCGGGTATGAGCTCCAGGATCGACTACTATTGCTCGTTATGTCTGTACTACCTCCATGAGCACGCTGAGAAGTGTCCACACGTACAAGGGCACTCCTCGTCAAACCATGTTTCCAACGGTATCGACTGCAACGAATCTTGGACAATCACGGGGAGGATCATCGCTCAAGAAACCAAGCAACGGCCACGACTGCGACACAAGAACCTGCCAACCAAGCTCTCCTTGCGCGAGCTGCGGAAGAAACAATCCGAACAGTCAACCCTCCAATCGAAGAGCTCAGACGAGCAGCTGCAACAGGCCTACGAGGCACAGATACTGCAATACCTGAACTCACCCCTCGAAGAGCTGCCTACTCAATCACACAAATCAGCTTCCCCTTCGTCTGATTCGACTCCATCAGCCGATGGGCCTCCTGGATGTCCTCCCACTTGAACACCTTCTCGACAAACACCTTGAACGACCCGTCCTTAAACTTCGGCAAAGCATGGTCGACTAGCTGGTCCCTTAGTCGACCCTGGTACATCTCATCGCGACTCCGCAAGCTGCTGCCTTCGAAGCGGATCCTCTTTCGGACGAAGTTGCTCAGGTCCACTTTCTGCGCTTGCTCAGGCTTTAACTTTGCGCCTGACAATGCCGCAAGGTTGACTATCCGGCCATCGCGTGCGGCGGCGTTGAGGTTGGCGGCGAATGTGTCTGCACCGATGTAATCGACAATGATGTCCACGCCTTTGCCATCGGTGGCCTTGGACACCTCCTCTTCCCATTTCTGGGTCTTGGTGTTATACGCCGCTTTCGCACCAAGCTCGTCGACGCAGAACTTGCACTTCTCATCCGACCTCGTCGTGGCAAAAGTCGCCGAAGCACCGTTGGCCACACTAAGCTGCTGGCCTGCAATCGAGACCGAGCTCGCGCCGGCATGCCATAGGATGCTCTTGCCAGGCGCAAACTCTCCAATCAGGTACATGGCCTGCAATGCTGTGATCCATGTCTACCGCAACGGCATCAGCACTCACACTCAATGTCCAAACCGGCCGACTCACCTCAGGAATCCCAGCACACTCCTCCCAACTCAGCTCCTCCGGCTTATGCACCAGCATATGTGTGCTCACAGCAATATACTCCGCATACGCACCCCCGTACGCCAGCCCAAACACCTTATCCCCCTTCTTGAAACCCTGCTCGCTCTCACCGGCAAGCTCTTCAATCGTGCCGCTGAACTCCACACCAAGAGTCTTAGGCGCTTGAGGCGGGACGGGGTACATGCCTTCTCGCTGCAGCAGGTCCATGCGGTTGAGACCAAAGGCTTTGACTTTGATGAGGGCTTGGGCGGCGGTTGGCGTGGGTTTGGGCGTTTGGTCGTTGATGTAGAGGTTAGAGATGCCGCCTTTGCCTTCTTTGATGTCTGTAGACAATATTAGCTTGGTTCAACGTTCAATGCGAGGGTGTTTACAACGTACCGACTGCTCTCATGGTCGCCATGGTTGCTGCCCGCCCTAGATGATGTCCGATTGATTGTACTCGGGAGCGGGACGATTGTAATGTCCTCAGCATGTACTGTCGAGAATTGGTGCTGGCGCTGAACAACCAACTGATCGTTCCGATATCTACCTGAACGTCAATTCCGCTTGAGAGAGTTGTTGCAAAACAAAAAGTTCATTAGAAATACAAATGCAACGCGGGGCGCCGTTGAAGTAACAACTACCCCACCGCGTCATGCTCCTAGGGCTGATACCGCGATGAACCGTGAAGCATTCACGAGAAAGAGCTTCTAAGCTATGGTCAGCAGGCGAGAGAAAATGGGAGCGGAAGCTGACTTTTCCAGAACTTTGGGGAGGAAAAGCAACATGAAGTCACAGTGCGGACGTGCGGATGAACGAGAAGCAAGAGAGTTTGTTACGAACTGTCGGATGTCATTTACACATATCTGCATGAAGGAATCAAGGCTGAACGCAGCAGCATGCCAACTCCATCAATGCAAGAGCAAGGTGCTGAAAGAGAACGTCGCAGGCACAACATCACACCGGCTTGTTGAGGTCGACGTTGAACTCCCAGACTCCTATAATTATGTCAGTAAATGTCATCACGATGCGTCTGCAAGGACTGAACTCACCATCCTTAAGCCTCTTCGCCGTGTCGTCCAGCACAATGATACGCCGCCGATTGCAGAACGTCGTCTTGTCCATCATCTCCACCTTCAACCCGGACAGCTGATCCGTCGGCTTCTCAAACATCTCCGAAAGATCCTCCACCGCCAGCTCTAGGTTCTTCTGGTTGTCCTCGAAGATCTCCGTCTCGTTGTTGCGCGCCAGGTAGTAAGCAAACGCATACGTCCACTTCAGAATCTGCCGACACCGCTGCAGCGCCTGCGACGCCTCCTCCAGAAACTGCACCTCGATCCACGACATATTGCTCGCCGACTGCAGCAACGTCATCTTCTTCTCGGTCTTGTGGAAAATGTCCTTGTCCAGTCGCGCCGACTGCTCGTGATTCGCATACCGGTTGTAGTAGTGCAGGTAGCGCTCTAGCGACTGCCGGCTCCTAGCCTGTGTGTCTCTCGCGTCTATGCCACTGCGCTCCTCGAAGCGGTTGCAGTTGTACCAGCTCGTGCCGTGCTCCGACCACACGCCCATGCACATCCAGCAGAACTCGTTGCGGCACTTGCGGCACGTCATGTGGTTGCAGCCGCCGTTCTTCTCGATGGTCGAATGGCACTTGGGACACTCCTTTGTGTTCGCCGAGATCCAGTTCGCCGTCTCAGAGTCGTCTGCGCACTTCTTGAGCCACAGCTTGACAAGAGCACATGGGCAGGGTTGATGGTCGGCGAGTGTGCAGCCGAAGCAGAAGCTGTGCTTGCAGTCACACTGCACCGTCGGTACGATTCGAGTAAGATCACGCTTCTTCACTCCACACTCGATGGCGTAGACGCAGTTCGGCGAAGGACACCACTTAAGATTTTCCTTGTCGTCCACGTAAGTACGCATCAAGAGTTGGTGATAGCGGTCGGTGAGGTCGGTTCTCACGAGGAGGTCCAGAGATTTGGCGTCCACGACCCTGTTGCATCCATCGCCGGGACACTTGATCCGAGCTGCCTCTCCCTCTCCGCGAATCTTCTGATCAAGGTACTGTCGGTAGCAGTCCACGCAGAACCGATGCCCGCACTTCATCGCCAAGCTTTGCAGTCCAGGACCATCCTCACAGCAGATATCGCACATGAAGCCATCGATTGTCTCTATCCGAGGTGGACTCTTCTGCACATCCTGACCCAGCCCTGCCTTATCGAGCACCTCTTCCTGACCATCCATGTACTGCTCAATCAACTTCTCCTTGTTCCATCGCGCATACCGCAGCAAGATCGCCGTGTCTTCGTGTGGCTGCTCGAGTAAAGTAGAAACCTCGGCAACCTGGTCATCCTGCTGCCGCTGTATGTCTTCGGGACTGTAGACCTTATGATCGACCTCGAAAGCCTTCTTCCTCGGTTTGAGATCCTTCTCTTGAGTCTCGAAATTGTCGTGCTCGGGTAGGTCGTCGAAGTCTACATCCGAGTCGTCTGTCGCCTGTCAGCACCCCACCTCGCCACGTGATATTCACAACCACTACGTACCTGCCCCAAAATCCTCTACATCCCCTACACTGCTATCGGCATCGCCGCCAAACTCATCGCTCGAGATTACACTGTTGACCTCATCGTCGGAGTCCATGGGTTTGTCGGAGACAAGGGTCTGCGGCGTGGCCGGCAAAGCGGCTTCGACCTGCTCGACCTGCTTCTGCTTTGTTTTGCTCGCCTTTCTCACAGGCTCTGCTCCTGCGGTGGCGGAAGTGGGTGGTGCGGAGGTGGTTGTGGTGTCAAGCTTGCGCTTGCGGGTTAATGGAGGCGTGGTGCTGGTTGAAGCGGCCGCCTCGTCGATGACGAAGCAGCCGGTTGCTCTATTAAATTCGGGCTGTGTTGTGCACCGCTGGGGGTGAGTCAAGAGGTGTTGTGTGACTCCAAGCGAGGATAAGCAAGCGGACAGAGAAGGTGTGCCTGTGAATGAGTGAGAGAAAGTGACTCCTCGGTGGCCTGGCAAGGCAGTTGCTCAGCTGCCCGCCAGAAGTGATGTAGCGGCCGGGATCGGTTAGCGCCATCGGCCTTGGCAGTACGATCCGGCTTTATCAGGCAAGCACGTGCCTGATTACAAAGGACGACTTCTTTGGCATGTGAATGTGCGGAATGTGACCTTTGGAATCACTGCAGATTGAATGATTGTATGGTAGACTCCTACTCGCTATCTTCATCCTCCTCGTCATCTTCATCTTCATCATCACCGACAAGCACATCAACCAACTGCTTCGTCTCCCTCCTCACATCCTGCAGCTCCTCGGACGCCGAACTCCTCGGGTCCTCCCACCATTGCTCGAACCCCTCCGCCTCCACCAGATCATCATGAGCCAGCACATTGCATGCAAATAGCAGAATCTTGTCGCCTTGCTGCCGATGCACCAGATCCGTCTGCATGTAGAGCAAGAACTCGACTTGCTCCGAGTACTCCTCCTTGTCTGTACCCACACATCGCTGTATCAGTAGCTTGTTTGGCGGGACCACTTTTGAGACGGCGTCTTTAGGTGACGTGCCAGATTCGACGAGACCAGCGATGCGCTTCATGAGCGATACGGCGACGGTGCGGCGGACTTGCTTGTCTTCCGCGTTGCTGCTGAGCTTCAGCGCTTGTAGCTCGAGCTGAATGGTATCGGCATCTTCGTTCTTCTGCAGAGCGTCCACGATGCTAGCCGTAGCCTCGTGATGGAAGTCTGCTGCTCGTCTTCGAGTGTCCCCGCTTTCGTCCGAGTTGATGGATGCGAAGCTCTCGCTGCGTGAAGAACGGCGTTTAGCGTCCTCGTCTAAGCTGTCTTCTTCGTCCTCCGAATCCAATGTCGATATCGAGTCGTCCGAGAAAGCAGCGTCTGCCGTGTTGTAGATGTCACCGGGTACTAGTGACTCCAGTGTCTCATCCTCATCTTCATCCACGGCCAACTCGTAGCCCTCTCCGCCTTCACCGACGATCTTCGGGTCTGTTGTAGCTTTAACAGGCTCATTCGGACCAGAAGATCGTCTCCGCTTGGACTTCGTCACTCTGCTACTGCCCATAACCGAAGTACCATCTGCCACTCTCACGCCATATGATATCAGCGCACCGGGCTTTATATGGCATCTCTTGCCAACGCCGGCCTCATTTGCAACAATAGCTCTTTCGATGACAGTATCATCACCTATTCGAGCATCGTCCCAGATGTAAGCGCCGCTCAGCTTGACTCGTTTGCCAATCACACATCGTCTGCCAATGACGCTTTCAGTGATGACAGTACCGCCGCCAACAGAAGTCGCCTTTCCCAGCATAGACTTCCGATTGACGACACTCGACCGCGCCAACACCACGCCGTCTTCCTTATAGACGTTGCCCTTCTGCAGCTGATACGTCTGGTCCGAAAGCATGTTGACGTCCGGACATAGCGGGTACGCCCACCGCGATATGACGTCTCGCGTGACTGCATCGTAGGCCTGCAAGTTCTTCACCCGTGCGGCATACCCTTCGCTAGTAATATGCGTGTGCACCGAAAGCTGCATCGTCTCAAAGTCCTTTAGCACACCATAAAGGAACCCTCGCCGAGGAGCCTGCCAGTCGAAGTTGTCTGTGTACTGCGCCAGGACTTCAGGCGTGCAGATGTCGATTCCACAGTCGATGAGGTCCTCCCTCACCTCCACCTCAACATGGTCCTTGAGCACCTCCTCCGCGATGTCCAGTCGTGGCGTCTGTCGCGGCCGCACCTGCTCGTAATGCACACACCGTTCGCTTGCAGGGTCGATCACGAAAGCAGGCCGGATGTTCTGCGACTTGGTGCGGTGAAAGTCGCCCGCTTCGCGCAGGACCATGGTCATGATGGACTTCTTGTCTTTTTCTCTCCGGGTCCGGTGTGCAGCTATCGCCGCTTCCATGGGGACGTTGGCGACTACGTCTCCATATACGCAGATGAAGTCACCTGTGATCAGCTGTTTCTGGTCCAGGTCCCGCATTGCGTCGCCGACTGAGCGGGCGTTCGAGCGGATAATCTCGAGTGAGAAGGGCGCTGTGTCGCGGGTCCATTTCGAGCGTCTATTGCACATTAGCACAGTTGAGGTAGTCCTGTCATATGACAATCCTCACTTGAAGTACTCCTCCACCTGCTCAATGTGGTTGCCACAGTACAAGATTGTCTCCTCCACACCCGCGCTGGCCAGGAAGTCGAAAGTGTACTCGATGAGCGGCGTGTTTGCCAGTGGCAGCAGACACTACACAACGTCAGCGCATGCTTTGCGAGAACATCTTTGACATGCATACTCGTGGGCGCTCCAGTGTGAAAGGCGCAAAGGTCGTCTCGAAGGCATCCGCGAAAACCACAGCCTGCAGAGGCTCTTCTCGCTCCTCTTCGCCACCTTTCGACTTCTGCGCGTTGGCACCCTTCTTCGATTTTGGTGCCATGCTGATAAATTGGTAGCTCTGTGTTGTGCTAGATGCGTGTCCAAGTCTGCAAGGTACTCGGAGGGTAGCAGAAAGTGATGTTGAGTTTGAGTCATGCACGAAAAGCTTAAATTTGGCGATCTAGCCTCGCATGTGAACGACATCTGACAGACAACTTGGTCGCTTCACTTGGAGGCTGTGGCACGATAACATTGTAAATTGATTGGCTGCGACTACCTGTGGCCAAGTACAACGGCGCAGTGACTCCCTTTCATCAGGTCATTGGTACGAGCCTGTAGCAGTACTTCAACTGGCCTTTTCAACGCCCAAGATCCATCCAGCAGCTCCAAGCGCGGTCGCTGTCAAACGACACATCTACATATATACAATATTTGACGCCAGGCCGTTTCGTAATCCTAGAAACCCAAGACCAGAGCATCTAGCCCTGTCATCGCGGCGGCCGTTGCGTTGGGTGCGGCATAGACTGGCCCATGACCGGCTGCGGAGGGTACATCTGTTGTCGCTTCATGTCTCCCATCTCAGGCCCTCCACCGGAGATATCTCCGATTCCTCTCCGGTGCGGCGGCTGCGGCTGCCGAGGAGGCGCGCCCATAGGCGTATTCGGTGGGTACATTGGTGCTGGTTGTCCGTGCTGGATGGGGTACGGCGTGGGCGCGCTGTACATTGAGGAGTCATCTGCTTGGTTGCTGGCAGGGGAGACGCCAGACATGGGGTTGGGCGAGTTCCAGTTGGTAGTCGTGGCGGGCGAGGTTGCGGGCGAGTCTTCAGTCTTCAAGCTGCGGTTAGACCGGGGGAGTGGAGGTGCGGCCATGGCGTCTATGCCACCGGGGTGTTTTTTGAGGTGAGATAGGTGTTTTTCGAGCATGCTGAGAAGGCCTTCTTTCGTGAATGGTTTGGGTAGAACATCATTCATGCCTATTACTGTTAGATCTGACATAGAGCAACGCGAAGAACAGGCTTACCGTGCTGAAAGTACATCGAGATGTCGTCACTTCTTATGTTCGAAGTCATCGCGATGATGGGTGTATTGTCGAACTGTCGAATGAGGTGGGTCGCGGAGACACCATCGAGATTAGGCATGATGATGTCCATTAGTATCAGATCGTATTTCACACCACTGTTCAGCTTGTTCACAGCCTCCAGGCCGTCCAGCTTTGAAATGTTAGCAATAGAACAGACACGAGGTAAAAAAACACTTACAGCACTATCAATAGCGCAGTGGAAGGCGTAGAGGAACTTGCCACCAATCCTCCTGCAAGTCTGATCGTCTTCTACTAGTAGAATGGACGGCTGCTTCACCCAACCTGGGTCGACCGTTGTGCTTTTCTTCCGGCCTTCAGGAGCTGGAGGTTGAGCAAAACTTCCATCTGTACCCTTTGCCGGCAACGCGTACGGAATGTTGTGAACGTGCTCACTGTACATCGGGTCGATGCCTTGCGTGTGGCCGATCGGATACACCATATTGTCGAGCTCGTTGTAGGACATTGATGTGGAGGAAGTCGCGGAGTGTGGTGCTGCGTTTCTGCTGGAGGACCGAGTGCCGTTCCGTGGATCTACATGGGGTGGCGGTGTGGTCAACGCAGCATTGTGGCGCATCTGCTGCTCGTTCATCTGCTCCAGATTGCGCGTGTTGAGCATATGATCCGCGCTGACCTCGTGTAATAGCTTTTTCGCGTGTTGCAAAGGCGATGCGGGTGCGTCCTCCTCAACGGCAGGAGGTGGCCGTGCTTCGCCTGCAGACGGACTCGCATTGGCGCCATTAGTTGCACTCGTGTTCGGCGGCGCGAACGGGTTGGCTACCCGGCTCTCCCGCCGTCTTTGGTTGTCCACAGAGTTCAGGAAGCTCATCACATATTGGATAACATGTTCATGGTTGACCACCGTCTTTTGCACCCCAATCAACTCCTGCAGCAGCATCGAATGATGCATGCTCAGCTCGTTGTATCTTTCCTGCAAAGACTGCAATTGCTGCTGTGTCGCGACCAGTTGTGTGTTGACGAGGTCCACCTGCTGGGTAGCTATCATCTCGTCCGGCATGGCATTGGACTTTCGAGGCGCCGGCGCTTTGCGGCGTATGTTATCCAGTGCGTCCTTGTTGTTCATCTTGAAATCGGGGTGTCTGAACTCCCATGCCTGCACCACATGTCAGCGTTGTACCTCTCCATATCAATTTCTTGCATACTCCTGGCCCATATGGTGATGTGCCGCCCTCCTCATTGTTGTGTCGGACTTTGTGAAAGTCGTATTTGTTCAGCTGCCGCACGAAGCTCGCGAAGTTGCTGTGCTTGAAGTGTTTCGGTAGTATGTGCTTCGTGAACTTCTCGTTCTGTCATACGGTTAGCATGTGGCAGCGCTCGTGCAGGACTTGCGCATACCTCGAGAACCACGAAACTGTCTCCTTCGTTACCCCACCGCACCACGCTCTCGTCCTGTGGGCTCTCCAGCATCCTTTAGGACGTGTTAGCTCTAAACTCGTCTATGGTAAACCGAGGGACCGCGTACTTGTACAGCTTGCGCACCTGTCGATGGTCAGCATCATCTGCCATTGGCTCGTCTGCAACACGATCCACTTACGAAGTCGCTGGAGTTGTTGGCCCCTTGGCCAGACTGACTGCCGTCCATTCTGGCGGTCACTATGCAGCGCACCACCACCCTCGGTCCTCCAATGCCTCGACGACTTCGAGAATGGTCGCGAGGTGGTGCAAGCGGGAGCGGGCGCCCACGAGGTTACGGCCCATGCACCTCAGCGTCGGCTACCGATCATTCGGGTGTCCGGATGCGCAACGAGCCTGGATCCAATGCCGTGCTTTTGGTCAATGCGCAATAGCCATGCGCGCGCAAGAGAGGTCGTGGTATAGATCGCGGTCGCAAAGGGACGTGAGGTTCGAGAGTGGACGGGACTTGGCGGCGGTGGCAGAAGAGATTGGAGATTGCCGCGAACCGACCGACGTCGTCATGCACGGGCGTGATGTGGTATGACCTATCACGTCTGCAGCTAGCTACAGCTATCTACCTGACCTATTTCGCTACCAGCTACTCTACCCCTCCTGGTGAATACCTTATCACTGCCCCGGACGAGCGAAAGGATGCGGAGCTCAGTTTGGCTGGCACCGCCATCCTACTGTCTCCAGAGCTGGCAACGTAAAGGTTGAAGTGCAGTTTCCTAATCCGTGCACATCTCTCCGATTCGGCTTAGGGCATTCCAGTGTGTGAAGACATGCACAAAACCAACAAAAAAGTCCACAATGAAGAGACAGCATGGGCACGCCAAACAACACTCGTGGCTCGAGGGCAAAGGCCGAAGACGAGATTAACCCTTCCGTCTGGCTTGGCCGAACAAGCAATGTACTACGGCTGGTTATTGAGGACGTCAAATGACTGACCGTGGCAGTCTGGTCCCTCATTCTTCTATCCACTATGCTCGGGCGACGGGCTAGTAAGCCATGTGTCTGATATTGCACCACAACATGGCGACGAAATAATTATAGATCTCCCGTTCTGTCGGGACAACCTCAAAGATCGACAAGCCTGGGATGCCCCCTGCTTCTCCAGAAAGCCACCCGCCGAGCTTGGGCAACAACACTTCGGAGTCGACTTGACTGGTATTGCTTCTTCACAAGGCTCGGACTGCCGCATAGTTTGACATGTTTGAACGCGGCAACAAGGCTCGGGCAATGAGATGTTGTGATCACGGAGCCTTGTCCGCTCATTCCACGTTTCACAGTCCTTGAACGTGGCCCCCGGAGACGCAGCGGGACGATTCTGGCATTCGGAGTCCTTATTGTCACGGGACTTCCGTTCTGGGTGAATGGGGAATGATATTGGGAGTTATCATCTCAAATCCAAGCAATGAAAAGGCTTGTGAGTGAAGGCGGAAGGCGGAAGCACCCTCCCAAACTTCCCTCTTGCCATATCTGCGTTATGGATGATGCTGATCTCGCACTCACCCAGAGACCTCTTTCTGCTTCTCATCAAGTTCCTTCTTGATAGCGTCATGATACCTCTCAATCCCGTTCGGACGACAGCAAACCGTCAACAGATCACCGGGGAGGCTTACACCGCGAGGCAGCTCGCAGGTCAAGTTCCTTGTGCCCAAAGTGACGCCTTCGCCGACGTCCTCGAAAGTGTAGGTAATCGTCGTCATGCCTTTCACGCCGCCGGTGCCATCCTCCTTCATACCGACCTGGTTCTGCTGCTGAAAGGCGAATCTCCATGGCCGCTCGACTGTGATGGCCGTCCAGGTCGACAAATATGTATTTGGTGGAAGATCCACTCGTTCAGTCCACACATCGCCTTCACGACAGTATCAGCACCTGGCCAACGAGGGAGACTGCCAAAAGAACTTATTGCCATGCTCGATGGGGACCTTGACGTTGTGGTTCATGCCACCGCTGCCCTTGTACGTCCGGCCTACATATCGACGGAGTCAGATTATAGCAAATTCTAATAGTGTTGATGGCGGAAGTCCTCACCCCAGTTGGATGGATCGCAGGCGAAGTCGTAGACGACCTCCTGCGAATGGCGGAATGCCGTTTCTAAGGTGATGCTGAATCGTCCCACCTTGTCCTGCTCTGGCCGGCAGTCAGCTCAACACCTTCGAAAGAATCGTGAGAAAGTACCCTTGGGTAGAGACCTCTTGCTGCTGTATTGTCTGCACTGGCTGCTTAGTTCTTGAAATAATTCCGTCGTTGTCCTGGTGATTAGCAGAGTAGGTGTTTGCTCGAACAGTGTTCTTCGGACAGATGGCTGCATGACGATGTGAGGACCGGGTCAAATTCAGTTTTAAACTTACTCCAGGCTGCAGTTGTAACTGCTCCACGGTCGGTAATTGAAGCCATTTTTGACGCGTCTGAAACACATTTAAGCAGCATGTCTATCCCTTTATGTGAGTATCGCAAAATCGTAGTCGACAGGTCAGTATGATCAATATTCCCCATTTTCGTTCTATAGCTTCGGCCTCGCCTTCTCACTCTCCGCCTTCTGCCGCAGCTCCTTTCTCAATATCTTCCCAGAAGCGCTTTTCGGTATCTGTTCGACGAAGAAGATTCCCCCGCGCAGCTGTTTGTACGAAGAAGCCCGCTTCTTCACAAAATCCGCCACCGCAGATGCAGAAATCGCATTCTCATTGCTCAGAGCCCCGGGCTGGACATTGCGGCGGACGACGTAACCTCTAGGAACCTCTGTCTGCTGCTCCTGCGACCACACGCCGATGACGGCAGCATCCGCTATCTGAGGGTGTGATGTGAGAAGTGCTTCGAGCTCGGCGGGCGCGACTTGGTTGGCTTTGTATTTGATGAGCTCCTTCTTCCGGTCAACGATCCAGACCTTGCCTTTCTCGACAATCCCTATGTCACCAGTGCGGTACCAGCCTTGGGGATTGCCGAAGGCTTCCTGATCTGCTTCTGGTCGATTGAGATATCCCTGGGCGAGGATCTTCCCGCCAACCAGAAGTTCGCCGCGCTCGCCTTCGGCAACGTCACGGTCGTCTTCATCGAGCACTCGTAGCCTGACGTTGGGTGGGATCTCGCCGACGGACCAGTTTCCGTCCTTGATGTTAGCTTCACCTTCCCAGGGGCCAGCGGTAATCACGCCTCCGCACTCAGTCGCGCCCCAAGTTTGATAGACATCAGCCTTGCCTTTCCCGAGCTTCTTGCGGAGCTCTTTGATTGTGTCAAAACCAATCGGTGCAGAGCCAGAAGAAGCGACTTGGAGCCCGTCGAAGTGATCGGTCACTTTGTCGCTCTTTGCTATCTGGAGCCAGATGGGAGGGACAGAGAATTGGTATGCCGGTTTCAGCCTTCGATGGGCAGAGATGAAGTCGTCGAAGTTGTATTTCTTCAGCCTGCACGATTCAGGAAAGGCGATATGGTTAGCAGTGACAGCACAAGGACCTGGGAGAAAAATTCCAGGTTTGATGACCATACTTACCAGTACGCAGTACCACCCATGTAGAACGGACTCAGCGAATACAGGTTTATGCCGGCAACGTTGCTCATAGGCAGATGTGCAATCGTATCGAAGCGGAATTTGGGGTGCTTCTTCTGATACTCCTTGGCCGCATGCATCAAGGACACGATGTCGGAGACGAGACTCCGATGTGAGAGACGAACTCCTTTCGGTAGACCAGTCGTGCCACTGCTGTACAGCAAGCATACTGTAGCGGTATCTAGAGCAGAGCCAGTAATCCTTGGCCAGTCCAGCGTTTGTCGGGAGAATAGCAAGTTCTCGCCTCCTGCAGCTGGTGACAGACTCCAAGCTCCAGGTTCCGTGCTGTCCGCAAGCAGTATCCGGCCCTCTGCGATTCCAAGTTGCCTGGCGGCCTCAGCCATTCGTGAATGACATTCAGAAGAGCAGATGACCAGAGAAGCCCCTGAGCTCGACAGTTGAGTAGTGATCTCCCCTACGGTGGCCTCAGTGCTGACGCCGCTATACACGGCCTCTACGGCGGTCGTGCCATAGAAGATGATTGGTGCCAGTGGACCTATAAAAGTAATCGTTCAGCAAGTTCCTTGAATGTTGGATTGGAGAACAGGGCTTGACAAACTCCCAAACAACGAGGTGAGCACGACGTCAGAGCGACCAATGCCATAACGATGTCGGAGCACGTAGGCGATACGTTGTGTGAGCGTGCGAGCCTCCGCCTTCGTGATGCTATTCGCTGGGTTTGCTGCATCGACGTGTATCTTGGTGTCATCACGTGCCAGTCCAGCTTTGGAGTCTGAATGTTGAGTCAGCAAACGCCTAACTTCTTCCAGTTTGTTTCTTCTTCTCACCAAACAAGAGCGTCAAAACATCAACATCGGGAACTGGAACATCGCCAGCAGGCGAGGTATGTACGCGCCCCTCAACACTCATCTCGCCCGCGTGTCCAAGCAGTCGCGGCCGGCGGATGGAAAGAAACGGGAAGATCGTACCTCCATCCCACGCGCTGCAGTCCAATACTCCAAATTGTGGGGATGCAGCACGCTTCCGAGGCTATCTAGCACATGACTCTGCACTCTAGGATCTTGGGATTTCATCCTGCTGGCCCCTGCGATCCTCGACAGATGTCTGATCGTGTTGAACTACTCCCGTGCATGGCCACTTGAGAACACGGCATGGTAGGGCACTGGAAGGACGGCAAGGAGGTAGTACTGGCCAACGATGTCCCGAAGGTGATTGACTTTTCCGACATCGAAGGGCGGAAAGGCTAGACTGTGGTACGGCCCTCGCCTTGGATGCAACACACGATACCGCGCGAGCACGACATCAACCTAGCTCGCCAGGTACGCGGAGAGCCGTTGCGCACGAGACCACTTGAAGTTATGCTCCGGGGCTAAGCAAACCATGCACCCCATACCCCAGATTTACAGCAAGACGACATGGTTGATCGCAGCATGTCCACTCCTCTGTCACAGATCCGAGTGACCAGATGATGTCTACAGTGACCAGTAAAAGGACGAAGCTGTTTTGGCGAACCTCGGCCCTCTGCATAACATACCGTTTCGTGCATGAATCGTGTCGAGCGGAGTAGCTTGGCTGCAACCGCCTTGCCGTTTCAGTTACAACCGCCGAACAGCCCAGTCAAACATCCTCGCAAAGGCCGCAGAACCAGCCATAGGGAGGCAATGTGATAGTTCTTTTGCCTCGGTCGAACACATATCACACACATCTGCATTGGATGTTCCCAGCAGCCAGCAGTCTTGGAGCTCCCCTCTAGCGTCGTGATGAAGAGCGCTATCAGGTAACATGTAGAGACACAGCAACATATATTAAGATGGCTTCGAGAAGCGGTTGCTCAATCTGATGCCCGCACATCTCTCCATTCGTTCAACAACCACATCAACATTCACTCAAGCATTCCTGTTCACTCTCCCATTGTAACCATGAAGCTCTCATCCATCGCTCTGTCCTTCGCTGCTGCCGCAGTCGCATCTCCCATCGGAGCTGTAGAGAAAAGGCAGCTGTCGGGTATCACAGAGAATGAACTGAGCGTTGGCTCATGCAGAGATGTGGTCTTCATCTTTGCCAGGGGCAGTACCGAGCCTGGTATGATTTGTTTGGTCTCTCCAGTCTGAAGTTTCGCTAACGCTTGCCCTTCTCTTCCGTAGGCAACATGGTAAATACCTCCGATGGATCTTCGAAGGTGGTATAGGCTGAGAGAATGTTAGGGCTCCACTGTTGGCCCTGCCACGTGCAGTGCCCTGAAGCAGCGCCTTGGATCGAGCAATGTTGCGTGCCAGGGCGTTGGCGGAGCTTATGATGGTGAGGCTACCAGTCCACGCCTTCCCGGTATACATCAGGTTTCACTGATCATCTTTGTGCCGTCCAGCCACCATCGGTGCCAACCTTCTCCCTCAAGGTACGTGCAGGAGCGATGTAACCCAGTGTTCGAAACGCTTGCTGACTCTTCCGCGCCTAGGTACCACGACTGCCGCTATCCGGGAAGCTCAGCGCCTGTTTCAGTTGGCCAACTCGAAATGCCCGAACAGCGTCGTAACTGCCGGAGGCTACTCGTACGTTCTTGCAGTCCAAGGGTCCTCGAGATCAACGCTGACATGCGGAACAGCCAAGGCGCAGCCGTGATGACTGGCGCGGTCAGTGGTCTGAGCGCTTCAGTCAAGGCGCAGGTCGCCGGTGTGGTCCTCTATGGCAACACCAGGCAGTTCGAGACGGGAGGTCGTATCCCGAATTATCCTCAAGAGGACACGCTCATCTTCTGCAATCGATCCGATGGAGTCTGCAGTGCCGGTACGACCCCATTGACAAATACCTACCGTGTCTGGAAGATTAGCTAACCCCTTTCTTCTAGGGCTCACGGTCACTCCAGGCCATCTTACCTACAATGTACCATTTTCCTCCCCTTCAACTATTCGGGACATCGCTAATACTGTATATTTAGGTGGACGTGCCGGAAGCGGCCGATTTCCTAGTAGCCCGGGTCGCCGCTGCATGATGAGGACGAGTGCCTCAAGCCAAAATTGAGGTTCGATGGAGCTGTTAATATGGCTCCTGGCAGTGTCTTCGTTGGAGATGGCGGAGGGGCTGGGATTTAGCATCATTGCTTTCTTCTCTCTGACAGTATATCTTCGCTGCGATCTGAATTTACCATACCTCATCAACGCCGCTTGCTCCCTTTTCCACCACGAGCGCCACTCTTACCGCCTTTCCCACCCTTGCCTTTCTCCCCTCCGCCTGCCATTTGCAACCTCATCTGCTTGACAGGAATTACACCTACAACTTCAGCTTCCTTCATGCCCTTGATCAGCTCGATCTCTCGCTCCCATATCTTCTCGATGTCCGAGCTGGTCGGATCCACATTCTTTGGTTGGCTGGCATCTCTCGACCACTTCCCGAAGATCTCACGCAATGCTTTCCCCTTCTTCTGCTGTCCCGGCTGCATCTTGACTTTGTACTTGTACTTGTTCAACGCAGCCCATGGAGCACAGACCGGTACGACCTCGATGATCTCATCACCAGGGAGCGGTGTACCGACAAGACTGTCCAGAGACGTGAGCGCGGAAGACTCCTCCTCGTCCAGATCATCGACGCCTTCTTCCATATTCAGCCTTTTGATCTCTTCGGCAGCAAGACCCTGCTGCTGTGCCTTCTCATGTTGGGCTTTCCGCCTTGCACGAGCCTCTTCAGCGGTCTCCATTTGCGCAGCCTTTTCAACAGCAGCCTCCTGGCGCTTCTGATCGCCCGCTTTGGAGCCGAGGAGCTTCATCGCCGCCTTACGATCTTCTTCATCCTGCTCGGCGTATTTTGCGGCCATCTTCTTCGCTTTTCCATGCTTCCCTCGGACCCGTGGGGCTTGCTTTTGCTTACCTGGCCGTGCGGTCGAGGTGGTAGACTGGGAGAGAGGTTCTGCGCCACTGTCCGGCGTAGAGCCATCGGCTCCGTTGTTCTCGTCTTCGGACATATCTTCAGCATGCTCCTCGACATTCTCCGGCTCAGGTGCGCGCGGCCCAGCACTCTCTCCACGCCCTTCCTCGGCAGGAGACTGGTTGTTCGACCCGTTCTGATCAAGTGGGACATCGTTGGTCTGAAGACCAGCGCTTCCGAGAGGTGTAGACTGTAACGGGTTGCTTCGCGGGCCGCGGTCATCATACGCGCTCTCGTCGGGAAGATCATCATCACTACTTTCGTTATCCTGTGCATCACCCGGAAAGTCATCATCTGCATTCGCAATAGTGACCGGCGGAGCAGGCTCAGCGTCTGAAAGGTCGTCTTCAGCGTCCGTGACGGTGCCACTAGTATTGCCAGAAAAGATAGTCTCACCGTCCGTTAAGTCAGGAGTTTGGGCGCGACTCTCAAGGACCCGATGCTTTACGTGGCGCGCCTTGCTCTCCTCACTGATGCGGAAAAGCACAGCAAAGCCAAGCAGCAGCTGCGCAGGCGGTAGGAAATTCTTCTTTCCTCGGACCATGAAACCGCCCGTGGTAAGATACTCGCCAGTCGGTGCTGTTTTCGACACCTGCTCAGCGTTCACCCACCATGCACTCATCGCCGCTTTGGAGTCCCAGGCACTGCTGGTGCAGACCGCCAAATTACCAGCTTGACTGAGCGTCGAAGGCGGTATCGGCGCCTCCGGTGTCTTCGGATTGTTCTTGATAATGACAGTTGCAGCGCCATGCAGGTCAGCATGGACGTAAATATCGCCCTTCCGCAGGTAGCGGCGGTACAGTAGCTCGTTCTGTTGCGCATCTCTGCCTGCCAGAACCAGGTATCCGTCTGATGAGATGAAGTAGATAAACTTCTCGAACCACATCTGCTTTCTCACAGGTCTCAAAACATCCTTCTCTTGCTTCAGACCTTTCTTCAGATCAGCCATCACCTTCTGCTCGGTGTTCTTGAGTGCCTTCTGGGAAGCCTGCGCAGTTCTCTCCTTCTTCTCAGCAGCACTTCGCCGCTGATTGTAATATTGTCTTGCGTTGGCGAATGCCGAGAGCGCGAGATCAATATCAATAGCCAGTCTCTTGTCATCGGTCGATCTCGGCTGCGGTTGAGCATCCTCGTTGTCAGAATCCTCGCTGTCTGTCTCATCTGCAAACTCTTCTTCGACTTCGTTGGTGTCGTATTCGGCCAACAGCAAGGTGACGGTATTCTCCTGCAGCTTCAGCGGCAGCTTGATGGTCTCCGCGACGGCATTGTGTCGTGCCTGCTCGTTTTCAATCAAGCGTCCGATGTCGACCCAGTCCATTCCCTGTCCGACTAGCCCATTGACAGCTGCTACCGCCTCTTCCACTCTCTCGACATTCGCTTCAATAGCCGATGCTTTGCGGATGTTGAGCTCTTGTACTTGTTGCAGACCATCAAGACGCTTCGCTTGCTCATCCCGGGCTTGCTGTAACTTCCTTTTCGCAGTCTCCTCCCGCTCCATCAAACGCGATTCCAGCTTCTGTCCCTCCAGAGATGAGAAGAACTCGTCTGCAGTGCGGTTGAAGCCTTCATAATCAAGGAATGCCAACGAAGAGTCTGCTGCCAGATGCGCCGGCTTGAACGGGTGGAAGTCGTCGTACATATATCCTTCGGGAAGTGACTGAGATCCATCAGGGGCCGTGGACACCTGGTCCTCGGACGATGCCGCTTGCGACTGCTGACGCTTCGCGACGATATATCCTGTGGCCACATCCGCGCTGGTGATCTCCTTCACTACCCGCTGGGCTTCCTGCAGCGCCTCCAACAGCTTGTCCATCAGCTCTTCGCTGCGAATGACCTCCTCCGGCTGCAAACCTCGATCATACTGCGAGACATGCAGTGCATGATCAAGCAGAATGGGTGGAAACTCAGTCGTGGTGACCGCCAGCGCCTTCCTCAATGCATCGCCAGCCTTTTTCTTGACCTTCTTGCCTGGCTTCCTCGCTTCTGCCTCCTGTTTCTCGACAGCTGTTTGTAGACCATCTCTTAAGCGCTCCTTCGTCAACTCAGGCACGCCCGCGTAGTTCTGCCGTAGCGAGATGTTGTACTGTGTCCCAAGCTTATGCTGCTCATGCTCGTCCCCTTCGCTCACTGTCCGGAGCAAACTCAAGATGGTGCAGTCACTGTCGGTCAGGATGATGTTGCCACCAGCATAGAACTCCAGGAACAGTCGGTATAGTCCATCGCTGAACTGGATCTCGAGAACTCGGTCGGTGCCTATTTGCTCGACCTTTGTGACCCTGCGTGTGCGCAGGAACTTTCGTAGACGCGCAACGAAATGTCCAGGCGCAGCGGCGGTCGATCGCGCGAAGGATGTGAGGTGGCATCGGAAGCCAGAGTCTATCAACAGCTGCTCCTTGCGGTTCGGTCTGGCAAAGCGTAAGAGGAAGATTCTGGTGGAAAGGTCGTACGCATTCGATAATCGTAGGCCGACCAGACTGGCCGCCAACTCGTGGGCGATTACCTTGACGTCGAGAGACGAGAATCGCTGCTTCATCTTGTCGTTGTTGTGCGGATACAAGAGTTCAATCACAAGTGTTGGAGGAATTCAGATGTCATAAACTATTTTGTCACATGCGTCATCGTCACTGCACCTTCTGCCGAACATTCACCGGCTCACTCTTGCCGCTGTGGGTACTCTGTCTCAGAATTGCGGAACAAACATATCACATTGGCTTATTTGTTATCTGTGTTAAGTCTTTCCGTGTCTAGATTTATATATCTCTTCCTTTCAGATCATACGATTAGCCAGTTGCATCTACAATACGGCGTGACACCAGCAGCGAAACACCACTCCTCGGCAGCTTATGGTCCAGCATGATTCTGTAAGAATCCGCCTACGAATAGTCAGCGAATGTTGATGAGGTGTGGTTTTGCAATCTCGCAACGTACCATCTATCACCAGCGTGGCGCCGTTGCAGAATCCACCAGCCTGGGCAATCGTTAGCTTTGACAGAAAATTCTGCAGGCACACGAGCGGTCCTACCTTGGATGCCAGGTAGAGCACTGTCCCAGCAAGCTCGTCCGGGTTGCCCATCCTCTGCTGAGGCACCAACTCGCGAGGCATGACGCCTCCAGTGGACTCGTATGCTTTGGACACAGCGGCCGTCATGTCAGAAGGGAACCCTGATTGATCTTGGTCAGCTGCGACTGTTCCGTGCGATTACAGCCAACGTGGACTTACAGCCTGGAGCGATGATATTTGTCCGGATATCGTGGGGCACAAGGAAGCCTCCCAGGTTTTTCTGTGCATAAAGCCGGTCAGGGTATATCCAAACGACAATCAGGACATCTTGCGTCCTCTTACTATCAAATGGTGGACGCCGCTCTTCGAAGCATTGTATATGAAGCTGTCGGTGAACCTTACAACAGAGGAGAGTCAATTTTGAAAAGGCAAGGTTTGTGCGTCCGCATCGTACCTTGTGAGCCCGCCGGTGCTTCCTGGTGCATAAGAAGGTCAGCAGGAGTCATCGATCACCACCAAGCCGAGAACATCTTAGCACCATCAAGGGAGGTGCCTAGTCCTGCGGGAACCGTCTACTCAGGTCGAGATGGCTTACCGATGACAATGATTTGACTTTTCGGTAGCTCGCTCGCTCTCCGCTTGTTGCCAGCATCGAGTAGCTCCAGAAATGCCATAGACGTAGTGAAGACAGCGGCGATGTTGGTTTCCAGCGTGTCCCGCCACAGCTCTTGCGGACGGTAGTTGAAATAGCTGCAGAAGAAAAACGAGGACAGTCAGCCATGCGTCACACCAGGGGAGTCTTGCAGCTTACTAGTCTCTGATCTCTGCGACGGAAGACTGACCCGTCGGCTTAGGTCTCGCATTTGGGCTGCTGTCAAATGTGGTTTGGCCAGCGTTGTTCACCAGCAAGTCTATGTATGCGGTCTTCTCCGTAACGAAGTCAACTGCCCGCTGAAGGTCGTCGTGCGACGTTGTGGAGCCTTGGATTGCGTGGATCCTGCCATGTTGCTTGGTCCCCGTCAGCTTACGTTGTCGACAGGAGAGGCGTGAGCACCTTTACTTTCAACTCACTGCTGACTTCACGGCCTCGTCTAGCTTGTCCTGACGTCTGCCAGTGATGAAGACCGTAGCTCCATTGGCTTCCAGCGTCCTAGCGATGATGAGACCTAAACCTGTCCCGCCACCAGTCACTACAGCTATGAGGCCGTCAACACTGGTAAGGTTGCTTCTGTCGTAAGTTGACTTGGTGGCCATGGCGAGATGAACGAGTGGCACTCGGCTAGCCTGCGGTAATCTGTATGCGGATGTTCACGCGATCGTACGATACTCCGTGAATGGATACGACGGTCTCAAGACAGGTCCCTATAGTTACTTGGGGAGCAGTTGTAACTATTGGAGCAGTAGAAGATGGTCGTTCGAAGACGTGTAGTCAAGTACAAGTACAGTTCGGCTCGCGGAGCCGATTGAACGAATGTATGGCACTGTCACGTGACGACTCTGAAGTCTTGCTGTGAACCACAACTTCTTCACTTGCATACTCACAGGCTCGACGACATGCCAATGGAAGTTGCCGACAAATTCTGGTGTCCTAGGCACCCGTTCTGATATGCAGTCGGCTTCCCAACACCTTCAGCTGTGCAGGGCCTAGCAGCCTTCGACAGGACAACACTGAAGCGATTCTATACGCCTCTCAGCAAGCCTGCTCGTCTCTCAGACGTCTAGTAGCTACCACAAGCAGATTCCGTAGTGGCTTCCTCCGCTGGAGCAGTGTCCATTCTCTGTCGGCGGACGACCCCTCGACTTTGTAACCTCGAGAATATGTGCTCGTATGGCCGCCGCATCCTTGTCTCAGCGTGCGCGTCGCCAAGTTTGTTGCTACCCTCCCAGCGACACCTCGCATGTACCTTTGAGCCTATTAGCAAAGCAACATCGGTGATGCCGTTGCAGTATAATGCGAGATGAGGTCTGAGCCGACGGTGTGCTGATCTGTAGGCACAGGAAGCCGCCATCAACGTCTCTTCTGGTGGATAGATAGGAGTGGCAATTTCTTCCGCAATATCACCGCAATCATGGCGTCCACACCAATACAACGTCGTTGTAATGCCGAGAACCATCTCAATCCAATATGTGTGACTTTCACACAATCCTGGCCGTCCAAGGCGTAAGATTCGAGGTGACGTTGCCGCTGCCGTACTCTAAAGCCTAACCTAAACTTGACCCAAACTCTGCAAGCATGCGGCAGATGACCGTCGGCAAGAATAAGAGATGTATCAGTGGTGAATCGTGAGGAATCAAGAAATGGAACTGTGACTTAGCGATGAGCTGGAAGAGCTCCCAGCTGCTGTCCTGACCGCCTCCACAGCTGTGTTATCTGCTTCTGGCGCTGGACATGTATCGCGCAGGCATTGTGCATGTACAAATCGCACGTACCCGCATGGCCCACAGCTTCTGGTCTCTCGGAAGGCAATTACCGGTGGCAATGGAAGATGAGCTCAAGGATGCATGCTTGTTGGTACAGTATGCGGTCTCGATACCAGAGCCTTGGGCTCTACTGCTCCACCTTCGTCAGAACCCTCCGAACCCTCCGATTCAGCCCGATAAAATCCACCTGGTCCTTTGTTGAATACTGAGTAATGTGGACTGCATAAAATGATTCCAGCGGCGTTCCAGAAACGGTTCTGCAGAGCCACAGCGAGCCACTTCACCAGTTTGTCGTCTATTCGGTAGTTCCTAAAGGGAACAGGCGTCTCGAAGATGTCAGATGTTCAGCCATAGGCTATCCCAGGGCGCCAGCAAACTGCACCTGTCCTGCTCTTGGTTTTATCATCCTTGGACGGATGTTTATCTGCTTCGTGTCGAATTCGAGAGTCACGAGGCCGTCTCAAAACTCTGCACTGTCAAAGAGTCTGTCGGTGGACGGGTGTCAGCCTCCAACGGCATCCTCTAAGGCGAGATATGGCGATGGCGCAGGAGCTGACGATTCGCTGTGTGAGCTTCAAAGTTTGAAGCGTTCGGTCGTGCGTGCAGCTCTTATAGGAGCACGCATCGCTGGCTTTGCATCGCGTCCAACACCACGAATGAACGCGATTCCGTTCTCCCGCATGTATGGCTGATCTTCGGTCGACTCGTGCCCTGTGTGCGCGCTCACCTCACCTCATGTAGGAGCTCGACCGACTTCTGCTCTTGTTTCCGCGCTGCGTCCAGGAAGGTGCCGTGTGCTAGGCACAAACTCTATGCAGAAATTCACTAACGACGCGTACCTCACCTCTTTCTCTGCATCCTAGATCGAGCTGGACGCCGTCATCGCGCTTAGGATTCAAGATAGCGACATCATGAAGACATGGCTTGTGCCAGGTGGATGCTGAGCCACACTCTCTCGCACTGTGGAGCATTCTGGCTGCGCAACCACTTTGGAAGTATCTGCGCTCTCAACCGTCTGTACAGCCAAGCGCTCGAGGAGGCCGCAGTGTCGCTTATTATAATCAAGTAGGTAGAGAGGTAGCCACCTGCAAGCAGATTCGTAGTGTCTTCTAGCGTCCTTCCACGTGTCTGCCACTATCACAATAAGACCGGGCGGGAGGAGGCAGGAGCCTCTCTTTGGGCTAAATCTACGCCGAGCAAGTGTCAGTGGTTTTAAGTTGTAGAATATCGGATCTGCTCCGAACCAAGCGCTTTTCCGAAACTTCACAAACCGTATTACCTCACGTCGGCCAGTTTGGCTGCAGACGTTGCGACCTCTCATCGAACGAGTGCCCACTGACTGCAACGGCTCGCCGGATGTCACGAGTTTTCGCCAAGCTCTTTCGCCTGTTAGAGTTCACCCAGCGCTCCAACACATCCCTTCAGCGGACCAGATTGTTTACCGCCACCTCTCACGCTCGCGCCGCACGCACTCCCTTCGGACGAGTCTCGCGCATGCTCCAGCGACCTCTGCGCAAAGCTTGCAGCGACTTAGCGACCACGAGAACGCAGCTCCCGTCTCGGACGGCATGCATCTGATCGCATGATCGCCCCTCCTCGAACCTTCAGCAGGAACGAACACAATCAGCGGTATGTGACGGAAGCTCTCTTTCTTGTGCGTGTGTTGAGATGGTATTTACGATGTCGTGGCGCCCATCAAGTCCCACAAGGCGTCAGGCTCTCACGATCCCCCATATTCTCGCCTCAATTCACTTCCGAACATGTCGGCAGCAGTTATGTCTAACTTTTATTTTCCACTTATGGACCAAGACCATGGGTATATGGCTGACTCGCAACTACGCGTCCAGAACTGGATGCGCGCTCAGATGGCTCAATATCCACCCCCACACCAGGCTGAGCAACAGCAGTACAACCCTCTTTACCCGGCTTCCACTGGCGCCCAGCAGCTCGTGGATCCCCAGCAACAGCTACAGTTCACCAGCTTGAATCAGCCGGTCTATCCAAAGACCGATGGATCCGGGCCACCAGAGCAGACTGCTTCGACCCACCAGATGCACAATCTGGCGCAGGAGTTACAGCAACACGCCGCCCTAAGTGAACAACAGCGCCACCATCTCCAGCAAACAGCCCATCATAATCAACATCACTCTTCACATGGCACACCACCTCCCGGCAGGGTAGCTCTATCCCCACTTGGGCAGCAGCAGCATTCGACGCCAGAATCTGGGCAGAAGGCTAACAGGCTGCGCAAAGCATGCGACTCGTGCAGCATTCGCAAAGTCAAGGTTCGTCTCTTGTTTTCTATGTAGGCATGAACGCTGTACTGATGTCGGCAGTGTGACGAGGCTGGCCCACCGTGCCGCGCATGCTCTTCGCTGGACATTCCGTGCACCTTCGACAGGCCCAGTCGCAGGCGAGGACCACCAAACAGGCATGCTGAAGCCATCAAGCGGCGCCGCCTGGAGGATGGCACTGGCTCTCCACTGATGTCAGCCACGTCTGCTCCGTCCTCGCCAACTCATGCTGCGCAAGCCTTGGCAGCACTTTCCTCCCATACCTCAAACCAACAGCTTTCTGCGGAGTCCATCTGTCCTGTGGACACGCTTGATCTCCTCATCGACGACTATTTCACCTACATCCACCCTTTGGCCCCTTTCCCACATGAGCCAAGCTTTCGGGAAGCATGGAAGCGACGCGAGGACCTCACCAACAGCTCGTTTCTGGCACTTCTTGCCTCCATGATTGGTGGCCTCGTGGCGTCCTTTCCCCGGAAGCCTCGCCTCCACCTCAAGTCGCAAGGCAGAGAGCACCTGTATCCAAACCACATGAGCATGGTGCTAAGATGCCAAAAAGTGGCTACCCTGGCCAGAGGTCCTGGGTATCTGGAAAGCGAGACATTGAGCGTCTATGATGCTGCCACAAGCTATCTCTTGGCCATGGCTGCCTTCTACAGCTTCAGATGGCGTCCAGGTCGGCTGTATCTCGGCGAGTGTATGACCATTGTCCGCACGCTGGGCTTGCACAAGGTGCGTGACCACCGGGATGAAGACGGCAGTCCATCTCCACCAATCGACAACATTACCCTGGAGATCGGGCGTCGCGTCTTCTGGACCACCTTTGTGACGATCAAGAGCATGCAACAGCTCGGAGCTGCCTCCAATGAGCCGATTATTCCGCCACCGACTCCCAGGGACCCGCATCCACCACTACCGCTGGAAGTTGATGACTTCTGCATCTACCCGACGCATACCGAACGCCAACCGATGGGGATTGTGCCGACTATCGCTGGCTTCAACGCAAACCTACGTCTTCACTGCTCGTACAACCCTTTGTCTACCATGGAGCTGGCCTGGGGTATCGACGCAGTCGTAGATTGGGAGCGGCAGGAGAAAGTCCTCTACGAATCACTTCATCGGTGCAAAGATGCGATCAACCAGATGCCGCCTGAACTGAGGATCAACGCACAAGGTGGCGTTTCAACGTCCGCCATGCCCGGGGCGGCTAACCACTCTCACCCTTCAATGCACAATGACGCTGCAGCATCACTCATGACGGCGGCGCTGCCGGGAGACGAACAGCAGACGTTGGACCAGCGGCGTAGGATGCAGTACGAGATCCAGAAAGCCAACATCTACGCCTCTGCGCTGTCCACCCGCTCATACATTGTCGAGAAATACTGGAATCTGTGCGAGGCTCGTGAACGTTCGAGATCGCCAAAACCAGCCTCGCCCGGATCCGGCATTACGGCCACTGGTCTGGACGGCCTCATGTCTCATCGACCAACCAGCAATCCCAGCTCGGTCGAGCAAGAGATGCGCCAAGAGCGCGAGGGCATTGTGAGGGATTTGCTTGTGGTGCTCAGCACTATCGATGTCGTCAATATGGAGCCGAACGCCGACAGCTTTGTGAGTAAAATTTACACCACTGGCATAGAACGCAGTACTAACACACGGGTAGACGATGAAGATCCGCTCCATCGCCGGAACATTACTCGACGCTCCCGACCCCCGCAGAGGTCACATCCCCTCTGAAGCTCAAGAATACCTCAACGCCTTCCTCAAGATCTTGATGAGACTTGAGCGTGTCAGTCCACCCAACAGCGACTCTGACCAGCCAGAAGACGACGAAACAGAGTTCAGGAACTGGGCGGACCTCCGTGATTATCAGATGAAGTTTGCGCAGCAGGGCGGTGTACTTGGGCTGGCTTAGGCCTGCGAGCCTGTGGGTATGGGTATTGGCAGCATGGCGTTCGCGGTCTCGTGGACCTACTATGAGGTGTTCTTCGCTCGTCTTTGGCTTGGACGACTATAGATACCCGCTGGCTTGTTGATGTCAATTGAAAAGCATCTGAATTGTGCACTACTTCTACATCTCATTGTAAGCGGAAACCTGGGTAGCCCTCGTCTCGCTCCCGTCCAATCTCCCTGATGTAGACTGGAATTCCACCGGCGTAATTCAGAGCCTGGCAGGATGGTCAGCAGTGTCTCACGTTTGGCCACCTAGACAGAGGCATTTGAGACCTACCTCTATCGGCTTGCCAGGTATATTACTGCCGTTGTACCAACTGTTGGTGTGTCTGTACACCCGTTAGCAAATGTCCTGAATACCTCACAACTCATCTGTCCTGCTTTTGGGCATACTCACCCTCTTACGCCAACCTTCGCCAACTCATTTACCTGCTCCTTCCACCTCATCTCCTCTTCCTCCTTCGGATCGATCCGCGTCTGCTTGTTGTCACGCATCTTCTCCATCGCCGCGACGATCCAATCGCCTTGTAGTTCGTTGCATGAGGGCCCGTTGCTGAATGCTGTCGGACCTTGGGGTCCGTATGTCTGCATGTGATCAGTTCATGTCTTGGCGGAATTGAAGGTGGTGTCTCTGGGGTATGATGTACTTACGAAGTAGAAATTTGGGAACCTCGCCGTGGTCATTCCGAGATAGGTGTATGTGCCCTACAGAGCAGAGGAGTTCAAAGTCAGCGATGTCTCATCTCAACGGTAGCGCCTCAGACCAGAGGTACCAGGGCACCCTCATCGACCAGTACTTACCATCTTCCACTTGTCGTTTAGCTTCTCTCCTCCCAAACCCGTAATCTCAATATCTTTCATGCCGCCTGTAATGCTGTCGAACCCTGTCGCAAGGGCGATGGTGTCCAGTTCGTGCACTGTGCCGTCCTGCTGGCGGATTCCGTTCGGTTCGAAAGCAACGATGGGGTTGGTCTTGATATCGATCACGTCGACATTAGGGCGGTTGAATTGATCGTAGAAGTCCTGCTCGAGACTCAGACGCTTGCCGCCAAAAGCATGAGGCGGTTCTGCCGGCGCCAGGAGCTCGGCCTTGCGCTCATCCTTCACCCGCTCATGGATCCGATCGTGCCAGTAGTCGTATGCGATGCGGTTGGCCTTGAAGTCACGGGTCATATCTTTGTAGTTGTGCATGAGAAAGCTGATGGAGTGTCAGCAGAGGGTTCTAAGAGGATAGGATCACTCAGAGGGTTACCGAAAGCCGCCCTGGGACCATGTCAGTACAGATGCAAGACCAGTCGGAGTTTGGCAAGCTCACCATCTTCCAAAGCATGTCAAACATCTTCTGCCTCTCCTCCTCGCTCGCATCCAGCATAAGCTCCGGCTGGAACTGGTACAGGAAGCCATTGTAGTTGTCCCATCTCTGATTGAACAGCTCAGGATACCTCTTCTTATCCTCCGCCTGCTCCTCCTCAGTCAAGAAGACCTGATTCATCGGACAAGCCAGGTTTGGCGTCCGCTGGAACATCTTCAAGTTGCCCTCATCGCCAATCTCTCTCGCCCATTCCTGCGTGATCTGCACACCAGTCGCTCCGGTACCAACGACACCACATCGCTTGCCTCGCACATCGACGCCCTCATGTGGCCAGAAGGACGAATGGTGGATCTCGCCCTGGAACGAATCCAGACCCTCCCAGTCCGGGAAATGTCGCCTTGCTGCGAAGCCAAGACACGCAACGAAATGCCGCGCCTTGAACGACCGTCCACTGTCACAGTCGAGCTGCCAGAGGTCGTTGCTCTCATCGAAATTGGCGTGAGTGACCTTGCTGTTGAAAACAGTGTCCTTTGAGATCGACAGCTTCTTATCAATATGCCTAAAATAGGCCCGAAGCTCGTGGTGGTCCGGGTAGTGGCTGCTCCAGTTCCAGTCCTCATACACCTCTGGCAAAGATAATGCGTAGATGGGGTACTGACTGTCGACACGAGCTCCTGGATAAGCGTTCCACCACCAGATGCCTCCCAGTCCTGATCCAGCTTCGATGATTTTGGCGCTGAAGCCGGCTTTGCGGAGCTTGTGAAGGATGTATACGCCGGCGAAGCCAGCCCCTACTATCACAGCATCGAGGGTCTCGGTGGGATAGACGCCGTTGGGGGAGTCTGCTCGGTCGGCGTTGGCTCTGGCCGTTGATTCCTGGATGTCGCGTTGCATGCCCGGCATGGTGGCGATAGTCACTCTGGTTGAGTGTGCCCAATGAAGAGAACGAGGTGGTTGAATGTTGATGTGAATGATGAATAGTGTTAACAAGAGAATGGGATCGAGAGAAGATGAAGTTGATAGACGGAGGTATATGGCCGAGGTCGAGGTTGATCGAACAAGAGCGGAGCAAGCAGCAGTAGACGAGGTCCAACCTTCAGATCTGGAGGTGCTCTCAAGCTGTAGCTCTCCGTGTTATCCGAATGTTATCTTCTTAGCTGCTGTGGTGGTTTAAGAGACGTCGTTGGTTTAGTCTCTACCCCGCTGGGGTTGTGTGTGGAGAGGCGTGTTGGAGTAAGAACAAGCGTACCTATACCTTCTCCACCGACAGTACCTCCAAGAGCGATTTCAGAGCATTCCAAACTCATGCGCACGTAAATGTCGACTCGAAATAACAGCTCCGGGGAAAGAGCTGCTAAGATGAAAGGAAGACTCGCGAGGGAGCGGCGGTCAAAGTGCTTCATGCAGCACTATGGAATTCCTCCTGAGCCTTACGCACCTGGCGTCAAACATCTCCAGCGCCAACAGCCGAGCAATGGGTATATCTCGAACATCACCGCAATATGCACACTGCGACTCCCCCTCTCCAGCAAAAGAAAGTCGCCTCAACAACGCCACGCTTTGTCCTGTTGCCGCCCATGCAGAGTGGTATATACTGTACAAGTGTACGCGCAAAAGTCGAATTGCAAAAGAACACACTCCAAGATCAAAGATCCGAGTAGTCGCCACGCCTGTACATTGTTGTAAGCCTTCGTCCGTGGTGGATGCGGATCATCTAGGTGGTTGCATGTCAGTGCCTGCGTCGGACAGTACACTCGATCTGCTAGGTAATCTTGCTGGAAAGAAGAGAATGAAGACTCACCGATACCCCGAACTCCGTCTGTTTTTTCTTCTGGGTGGCGGCGCGCCTGCAACCGACGAGTGCTCCTCGATCACCTCCACAATATCATCCCCATCCACTCGCCGCTCCGGCCGCGCCTCGTCTACAATGATCGTCTCCCTCACCCGACTGCTGTCCGGTCTTGAGTGCTGCGGCACATCCCTCACTATCCGCTCTTGCCTCACCACTCTTTCTCTCCGCGGACTCGAGTGCCTCATCTCCGCTTGGTAGGTACTTCTGTGACTCCTCCTACTCCTCCCGGGACTTCGAGAATGTCGATGCCGCACCACCACCTCCTCTTCTTGCAAATTCGAAGTCCGGATGAACGAGGTGCCATTCGAGAGCACCCAGAGTAACCATAGTACGAGTAGGAACCCTGCAATGGCGCCGAGAGTGATGCCAGCGACGGCACCGGGGGCTGCGCCGCCGAACTGGTAGCAGCCTGCTATGTAGCCAGCGCGACAGACGTTGCTGTTGTTGTTGCGCTTCTGTATTAATGTCGGCAGAGGTATGCGCTTGAAGAGATCGCGGGCGTGGTGGAGGAGTTGCCGTGAGTCGAGGACGCGAGTGTCTTGTGAGGCGATTGCGTGGATGGCGTCGGCGGCGCGCCGGGAGAGATGGGGGAGGACAGGCATGGCGCCTGGCGTCGCGGAGGGTGTCGCAGGCAGGAGGGGGCGGCGGTGGAGCCTTCCGCCTGGTGTAGCCGTCCGGTCTGGGTGGTGTTGTTGTAATAATTGCTGCGAACGCCTGCTGTTCCTGCGGCGGTAGCGGGATTACGTGGGGGTTTCTCGGGCCGCCGCGAATTGGGATGCCGATGCGATGCTGTTGTTGCCGTCGCAAGCTTTCACGTAAAAGTGGGTGAATGCTTGTATGTGTTCGAGTCCAAAGTATATTTGCGGTATGTTCAAAGAGCGACAGGAAGGTGAGGGTAGGAGGGAGCGATGGTGTGGGAAGACTGCGCGTTCTTGCTTCGTTGCAGACAGGGTGGTTGGGGGATGTCCAGCCACTCGTCTCGCTTCAGCTTCTGACGAAACAAGTCATCAACTCATCCTGACGTCTGCGACCAACACCATCCTGCTAGGTCAAATTGGCGGCTTTCGGACTCGACGAATCCATCAGATCCTCAGACTGCATACAAAATGGTAGAACACACCATTGGGAAGGTCAAAGAGCGTAGGCCGACGCGACGAGCCGCAGTCCAACTCCAGCAATGGCCAGGCGGCCTAATAGCATCGGACCACCAACATTCGGCCTGGCAAACACGCGAAGGCCCGCGAGAGTACTGATTGTAGACAGCATCATGCCTTCTCAAATGTCTGGCCTTTGCGGACTCCAAGAAGGCCGCTCGACTCGCGCTTCGATCGCCCCGAAATTTGCTGAATTCACCTCCTGCGACACCGCGACGAATGAGTCACGGTGGTAGGTTCATGTCCAATCTACCAAGCTATTCGTTGCAGCGTCCGCATTGCACAGATCGGGCAATCTTCGAGAGAGGCGGGCCAAGGTGTAGCCAAGATTCACATGCTAGAGCAGACCCTCGAGCACGCCCATCGAACGCTCGCGACCAGAGGTGACCACCAAAGTGTATGCCGCATACGTTTGGGACAGGCCAAAGCGATCTAGGTAAGCCACAGCCGCTGCCATCTTCATGCGGTGGGCAACGCGGTCGGTGGCCCTTTCGGGGCGAGGTTGCACGCCGAATCACCGAGCCTCTGCAATTGTCAGATTTCATGCCGTTCGTACGAGATATCGACCTCTTATATTCTTGATCGATGGCATGCCATTCGAATGCCTCTGTTTCCCATCTCTACACACATCTCTCTCTACACTTGTTCCTTCCATTACATCTCATTCCCTTTGTCGAACCCCTTTCCTTTAGGTACATTGAGCGAAGATGACAACATCACCATCAGCCACCTCCTCCATGAAGGAGCAAGAGAAAGGACAAGCGGGAGTCGACTTAGGGTCCGCTTCGGCACAACCGCTCGACGGCAGTCGACAGTCCATCTACGAAGACTCCAAGACTGCAGATGTCGAACAAGGAACCCCAGAAAAGCCACAAGGTCCACCACCAGGCGCCTTCGATCCACGACAGAACCCTGATGGCGGCTTGAAGGCTTGGCTATGCGTCTTGGGAGGCTTCTGTTCCCTCTTCTGCTCCTTCGGCTGGATAAACTGTGTCGGTGTCTTCCAGACTTATTACCAGATGCACCAGCTATCTGAGTACGCTCCGGATACCATCGCATGGGTAAGGCATCAAAACGAGCATCCTTGGCCGTCTTTCGTTGATGATGGTGACAGGTTGCTTCGCTCGAGATCTTCTTCATGTTTTGCTGCGGACCTGTCATTGGGAAGCTATTTGACAACTACGGTCCAAAATGGCTGCTTGTCGCAGGCACGGTACTGGAGGTGTTTGGTCTGATGATGACGAGCCTTTCGACAGAATACTACCAATTCATCCTTGCGCAAGGTGAGTTTCCCTGAAAATCACGCGATAGCACTGTTGTCTGACTTGTTGCAGGCGTATGCTCCAGCATTGGTGCCTCTCTCGTGTTCTACCCTGCGATGAGTACCGTAAGCCTTGTAGCCATCACCGTCATTGCTCCATTCGCTGAGTAGAGTGTAGATACCTACCTGGTTCTTCCAGAAGCGAGGCTTTGCCTTTGGCATTATAGTACGTTTCCAGGTCCTCATTTGAGTGGTAATTACTGACGACGCACCGCAGGCTGGCGGCAGCTCCCTAGGCGGTGTCATACTGCCCATCATGGTATGGATTCCTGCAATGTTCGTCCTCACCCACAAAGCTGATCCTCATCAGGTCCAACGTCTCATCCCAGAAGTCGGCTTCGCCTGGGCGATGAGAACCACCGCCTTCCTCATCTTCTTCATGCTTATCGTAGCGAACCTGACAATAACCTCTCGACTTCCTCCGAAACCTACACCGTTTGACCTGTTCGAGTTCCTCCGCCCCCTGAGGGAGCCAGCGTTCCAACTCTTGGCGTTCGGCTGCTTCATCTTCTTTCTGGGCATGTTTGTAAGTAACGCCATCTCTATATGTCGTATGGAGACGAAGGCTTACTATACCTACCGCAGCTGCCGATCAACTACATCATCCTCGAAGCCATCCACAACGGCATGAGCGCAGACCTGGCCCAGTACATGGTCCCGATCCTCAACGCTGCAAGCTTCTTCGGCCGGACCCTTCCGGGCTTCATCGCGGACAAAGTCGGACGATACAACACCATGTTCGTCATGTGCTCCTTTACTGGTGAGCAACGCTTCACACTCGCTCGCATTAATTACCCTCCGCCTCTAACATAGTACTGCAGGCATCATCACCCTAGCCCTCTGGCTCCCAGCCAAAGCCAACGCCCCCATCATCGTCTTCGCGGCCCTCTTCGGCTTCGGCAGCGGCGCCTTCGTCTCCCTTGCGCCCTCTCTAGTCGCTCAGATCTCGGACGTGCGGAAGATCGGGGTACGGACGGGTACGCTGTTCGCTGTCATTTCCATCGCGGCGTTGATCAGTCAGCCGATTGGTGGCGCGTTGGTTACGAGGTGGGATGGCGCGTACACGGGTTTGCAGATATATGCTGGGGTGCTTATGTGTGGGTGAGCGGTGCCTTTACGTTGTCCGTGGGTGGGTCTGAGGCTGACGAGGTTGATATAGTGGTGCGGTCGTGCTGCTGCTCGCGAGGATAAAGCTTGCTGGGTTGAAGGTGTCGACGAAGTTCTGAGGACACTATGCGTGTCAAGTCAGTTATGTAGCCCAGACGACGCTGCTCAGCAAGTCTGGGGCAACGTCCAATTTGTCAACATCATCGTGTGTGGTCGCATGTGACAGTCGACAGTCTGGTTCAGCCAAGGCACGAGAACGTGGGAACGAAGCTGAAGTGAGGTGATATGATACATAGATTCGCTAAAATATTGCACAAAATGCTCAGTCGATCTTGAGAGAGCCATAGATGCGGTGCACGAAGATCCACGTCGCCGTGAATCCAATTGTCCCTGGAGCTCAAGTTAGCATCTGTGTCGCTGAGTTTCCAAATCGAATGAGTACGTACCAGTCATCACAAACCATAGGAACGAGATAAGCAGCGAGTAGCCCAGATACAGCAAGCCACCCGTGAGGCTACTGAAGCTGAGTTGCCTTGCCCAGTATAGAAGGCAATAAGCAAACACGTATCCAGCGCTCGCACCACTGCTCGCAAAAGCCCGCCACTGCCAGTGATAGTTCTCCGCGCAGAGCACGAAGTAGATCATCATGATGGTGACGGCGGCGCTGGTGACGATGAGCAATCCAAAGCTGAGGAACAGGAAGCCGAACATGTAATAGATCCTGTTTGACCATAGGCTGTTCATGATGAAGAACAGCTCGATGAAAATGGCGCCGAACGGCAGGATCCCAACAGCCAGCATACTCGGTACAGGGCGCAGATACCCGGTCGCGGGAGGGATTTGGCGAGGAATCTGATTCGTCTTCACGGGATGGTCGCGCATGGGTTGCCGGAAACCGACCCAGGAGCCTGCCAGACTGAGCGGGACGGAGATGCAGAACCAGATCCCAATGATGACGAGCATGGTGGTGAAGGGGACGGCGCCGGAGGAGTGGCGTGCCCAGACGAACAAGTTCAGCAGGAAGAAAGTGCCGAAGACAACAATCGGGACGACCGAAGGCGTGTAGGTCAAAAGCTGCTTCCACTTGGTGCCGCCGAAGTCTTTGTAGATACGGGAGCTGGTGTATCCGCCGATGAATCCTAGGAAGGTGTAGAGCAAAATCATCACCGTAGCCAGACTGCCGCGGTTGCTTGGCGAGAGAAATCCAACGAGCGCAAAGGCGATCGTAAATCCAGTCATTGTGAAAAGCTGAGCTCCGTTGCCGACCAATACAGCCAGCATGAGACCATTCTTCGGCGGCCTGAACACATCGCCGTGTATGAGCTTCCAGCCGCTGTCCTCTTGCACGCCGTCTTCAACCCCATTGTCGCCCAGATCGTCCAAGCCGAGTTGGTCAAGCCGGTTATACCGCGCAATATCCTTCCTCAGCGTGCGTCGTAGGATCGTGCTCACGATGCCGACCAAGAATGTGAAAATGACGGCGCTGTTGACCAAAGCCAGCCAATGGATCTTCGGGTCATAGACATGCAAGAACTTGTCCCAGCGCGTTGCGAATGTGGTTCGTGAAGGTCGCCAGTATACGCTATAAGTCCAGGTGACCTTGGTATTGCCCGTCTCGGACAACCGTTTCGGAACAGCTGCATTGCCGCAATCGGCGGAGAAGTCGCCGCCAGTGCCCGTACGCTTCGACTCGCCGAGAGATTCTGGCTCGACCTGAATGCCCACCACCCGGTACTGGCCCTTCTTGAACTCGTTGTAATCGATGAGGAAGTTGAAGTGGTCATGGAGTTGTGGCTTCTCGTTCTCGACCTTCCCCAGCAAGAATCCAGGCTGATAGAATTCGGTCCCCGTGTCTTGGTCAATGAAATCCTGCCCAACCGGTAGACCATCGACTGAAGAATAGAAGGTCAAAAGGATCAGCAAATGTCTCTGGACTGCAAACAGCGGCCATAAAGTCCAAGAGCGCCGCATGGACCGCGATCGTGCACTTACCAAGCATGTTTACCTTGTAATCCTGCCATATCCTTCTATTCACAAACTTCGCATCCCTCGGCTCAAACGTCACCTCGTCACACACCGCCTTGCACGTCTCATTCTTCGCCATATGCAGCTCGAACGGCGAACTCTGTATGCGATCTCCAAACAGGATGCTTCCGAGCGACTCCGAGGCGGAGGACACGCCGTCCTTGGGCTCGCAGAAGTTGAAGGCATGGTGGTAGTAGTCGAACGAGAATGCTGAGGTAATTTGTCTCTCCCGCTGCGACTGCGAAGGTGTGAGGCGATTGACATTGAGTTGGACCAAGTCGTCGCGGCGGTAGTTGGTCGGCGTGAGGCCAGGGAGGTAGAAGGCGGAGGCCAGTTGGCTGGAGAGGATCAGGGCGATGATGCCGGAGGGCAGCTCGGATAGTCGCATTGTGGATGGTTGTTGTGGTCTGTGACCATCCACTGGAAGTATGTAGTCGGTGGTGGTGTTGTTGTAAGGGTGAAGTCAAGCCAGGAGATGTTGGAGGTCGCGCTGTCCACGGCAGGCACAAGCTTGCGGTCTTGGCAAACCTGCTGACGACGGCTGCTCTTCTAACAACGAGTGAGGTTATTCTTCGGTATCCAAATGACTCGGGAGGAGACTGGTCACCATGTTGATTTCTCAACAGACCTTCTCGTACTACATAAGAGTGCATACGTGAGCGCATGGAGGTGTACGACAGCACGAGCACATGCTCCTCCGCGGGAAAGCCACAGATGCTGCGTAGCACGAAACTTTCACAAGAACGCAAGATGCATGACAGGTAACCGGTCTTCGCAGACATTGAAGCTATATCATAAACTCATACAAGCTCACCCTCCCCATCATCATCTTCCTCCTCCTCCATCTCCATCGCCCTCTCCGCCTCTTCAGCCTTCCGCTGCACCTCCGCTAACCCACTGATCTCCTCCACATACCCTCGCTCGTTGATAGCCTTCTTCACAAACTCCCACCCATCCTTCTCATACGCCTCGAGTATGGTGGGAGAGCAGGCAGCGCAGCAATCGTACGATTGACCCCTGACCTGGATCGTCTGCCATGTGCTCATGAAGCCGCGCAGTTGATGCGGGACGGTGCCGAGGGGGTGGCTGTTGGGTAGTGATGGGTCGGTGGGTGGAGATGACTGGATCTGGTTCGCGCTGCCTGTCGTTGTTGGGTCGGGCGCCGGTGCTCGTCCCTTAAGGCGGTGCTGAGTCAAGGATACCAGAAGCTCGACTGCAAGGGCAGAAGCTATAGGTGCCGCGCCCGGCCGAGTGACTGTGCACTGCTGGTCGAGCGTCGCGCTCTTCAAGCTATCCGCCGGCGCAACGACGTCGGAACAGAAATAGCACCCGAGCTCCTCGCCTTTATCCGCCAATGCCAGCGACTGGCTCCTAGCCTCGCCGCCACCTTCGACGAAATCTGACGCAGCTGCTCGCAGTGGACTGGGCACATCGTCTGAATGAGAGACCACCGTGCCCTCCGCTGACTCCTTTGTTGCAGACTTGGGCCGCCTCAGACCGTGCCGCATCACGACATACGTGTCGAAGCCAAGCGCGGCATTGATTACAATCTTGCCAGCCGCTTTCGCCATCACAGTAGGTAGCCATCTGCTCTCTCTCGTGTCCATCAGCAAAAAGATCGCATCGTGGCTTTCAATCAAGTTCTGAAGTCTCTCGTATTCCTTCTTCACTCGTTCCTCCTCCATGATGGGATGACCTGCCATGGGTACGCTCATGTAATAACCGTTGGAATCCACTCCAGGGTAGATCTGTTGCAAGCTTTCGGCAGCACGCTCCGCCTTCCGAGCGCCGCCTTCAAGACAGTCTCTGAACTCGTACAGCGGCTGACGGACAGGATTTGAGTAGCTTATTTTGGCATTGTCCACGAATGTGATCTTCCGAACGCCCCAGCCCATGAGGTTACGAGCAACATAAGAACCAAGCGTGCCAGCGCCCAGAAGGAGGCAAGAGGTATGCTTGATAGTATCAAGATCGATTGATGGCGATATTCGCCACTTGATGAGTTTGAGGTTGAGGTCAACCGCCTGATCTGCGAGCTTCGAAGGGTCGAGATATGAGGCCAGATCCACCGTTCTTGAAATGATCTTGTTCTGCTCGTTGCGCTCCCAGCCAGTGATCTTGGGTAGCTCAGGAGCTTTGGGTGGAGTCTTTGGTCGTTCGGGTGCCGGCTCAGGAGCCTTCTTCTGCTGCTCGATAAGTTCGCCAAACGCATCAACATCGTCGGGTCGCAAAGCGGATGACGTGCCCATGGTCGGCATGTCACGTCCCAGTTGTTGCGCTATTTGGTTGTGATACACGGGTTCTGCTGACTGTAATCGCATGACAAGACTGGCCTGGTGATCTCGCCGTTGATGCGTATCTCTGTAGCACATCACTTGGACCTTGTCAAGATGCCACCGCTGTCTGACAAGTATGAGAAGATTCCGCAGCATCCAGCCAGGATTTGAGGGGTAGGTTGACGGGTCCGCAAAGCACACAAATCGGTCGTCGTCTTCTGCGTTGTCGAAGAAGCCATTCTCGTGGCTCGCTAATGATCCCACCGACCAGAGAAATCCCATCTCGCTAAGCATGGAGCTCTGTGATATTCTTGGTGTCTTCGGTGTATGCAGGTTGCCATCATCTTCCTCCTTTTCGATCTCGCTTCGTCCCATCCGCCACTCAGCATCAAGCACATCCTTCCTGACCCTCTTCGTAAGGAAGAAGCCGTGCTGTCTTGTGTCGACGCTGTACCGCCAAGTCTGCACTCGGTCGACCAAGGCCTCGGTCTCGCGCTCTTTCAGGTGTGTGATGCCGGATGCCGCATTGCCCTCAGCTCCCAGTAACTTCCACTGTGGGTCCGAGTGTACGGCAGGGTACGCAAAGTGGTATGTAAACTTGTACTTCTTCAAATCCGCATAACAGATCGCCGAGAAGGAGGAGAGCAAGGAGGGACATGAATAGATGGTCCCATCAAGTACGGCATCCCATATCGTTCGCCCAGCTCGTTCGATGTGCAAGGCCTTGTCCACCTGTCGGAACTCCTCGATGGTGTTGAAGTTCCGAATGATTCCCTCCCCTCGGTAGTATCCTTGCGGACTCCTGTACGCCTGTCAGAAGCAGTCCCAAGTTGTGGTATGCATTCGAACACTCACTTACTCGTCGGTCGTCAGAGCAGTCCCGTGTATTTGCATACGGCTCGAGCGTTCGGGAGCATCTTTGTGGTTGATCTCGTACAAGCCAAGCACCTTACGGGAAGAGGAGTCGAGCTTGTCATGGTTGATCTTCAGCGAGCTCAGGGCGGAGTAAAAGGCCAGCTCGATGTCGGATGTCCACGGCGCATACTGCAGCGGATGTGTTGTCGTCGCCATCACTGCAGCTTGTCAAGAACCAGGCGGAGCAAAGAAAGTTGAGAAGTGGTTGGTAGATGGAGACGAAGAGCACATGCAAGGTGCCTGTCGTCGTCGCTCCTGCCTCTGGTGACGTCCAGGCGGGGTCCTAATTGGTGGGGCCACGCGCTAAGGCACGAGATCTGCCGTTCCTGGCCTAGTATCTCAGGCTAAATGGTAGGCGCGTGCTGTCAGACTTCACGTGTCGACGAACAGCTGAATTGATCCACGGAACAGGACATCGCAGGTGAAGAGTAGACGTACACTGGTGCCGTTTGGAGACGATCAAATGACATCCTGAGAGCTACAAGTCCCGGTACTTGCAAGCCAACGATCACATGCAACGAAGGACATAGACCCAGACCGAAGAGGTCGAACCATATCAAACGGCCAGCATATCGATGCGTGTGCCGCAACGATGCTTATCGGCATCTGCGGTGGTACTGTGTCATTTTCACTCCAACTTCAGAGGCCCTGCTAATCTGCAACCAGGCATATGCGCCGGCAAACACTCCGTCCAGGACTACTTGATCGAGCATCACGCCTTCAAGCCCCTTAGACTACAACGAACCAGTTCAACTCCAAGTGTCGAGAAGTCCGCATCCGAGGCCAACGTGCCTGGACTGGGCGAAGATGCTTCTGCACTGTCATTCCCATCTCCCGAAGCTCTGCTCGACTTCGTGACGAAGCACTGGCAGGAGCACTTCGTGACGACGTCCATCTACGACGAACACACCGTCGAAATTTTCGCCAACAGGCCTCTCTTCATCCTAGTCCATGTAGACGCCCCCATATCCGTCCGCTGGCAACGCTTCAAAAACCGCTGCGCAGCCGCCGCCCTCACGCCACCTACCCTCGAACAATTCGTCCTCCGCAACGACGAGCACCTCTACTCCCCCTCATCCGGTCTCGCCTCTATCGCCTCCCGAGCCCAAATCAAACTCCTCAACAACACCACCTCACTACCCTCCCTCCACGCCTCCCTCACCACCCTCAACCTCCCCGACCCCTCCCGCCTCCGCCCAACCTGGGACCACTACTTCATGACCCTCGCCTCCCTCGCCGCCCGCCGCAGCAACTGCATGCGCCGCCAAGTCGGCTGCGTCCTGGTGCGCGAGAAGCGCGTCATGGCGACCGGCTACAACGGCACCCCGCGCAACATCACCAACTGCAACGAAGGCGGGTGTCCGCGCTGCAACAGCGGGCAAGCGGGCGGGACGAGCTTGACGAATTGTCTTTGCATTCATGCGGAGGAGAACGCGCTTCTCGAAGCCGGAAGGGAGAGGGTGGGGCCGGGGGCGGTGTTGTATTGTAATACGTGTCCGTGTCTGACGTGCACGATTAAAATTATTCAGGTGGGGATCACGGAGGTGGTGTATAGTCGGAGTTATTACATGGATGTTGACGCGGCGAAGTTGTTGCAGCAGGCTGGAGTGAAGTTGAGGCAGTTTTCACCGCCGAAGGAGGGGCTGGTCAATCTGTGTGATGAGGAGCCGAAGGCAGTGACGAATGGCCATGCTTGAGGCGAAGGACGTCAAGCTCGTGATGCTTGTCGAATTAATGCCATAGCGGCGTTTCATAAGTTGACGCGACTTCCGCGACCTGCTCAGGATGTCCAAGACGATCAACATCTGCGCTCTTAAAGATTGAGACTCCCACTATTACCACCGCTGGTCTGGCGCACATGGGCTTTGCTACCCTTGAAAAGACTCTGCCAGATGAACGCCTCGCTCAGCAACAATTCGATGTCTTTCTCCGTCCAGCCCTTGGTTGGCAACGCCTGCAGGAACATCATGATTTCTTGGAAATCCATGCGCTGGAGCTTCTCGGACCATTTTACCAAGAAGGCAGCGCAGACGTAGAGGTGGAAGGCTGAGAAGCCTTGGTCTTCGGCCTGGAAGATGCGATCAACAATTGAGCGCAATGGCAGGGTGAGGACAGACTTACAAGATAGGTATCCCACATCCGAATGACATTCCTCACGCTCAGCTCACGCATCAACAAGCAATTCATCCACCGAAAGCTGAATTGAATGAACTCCACGCCTTCATTCTCCATGTGCTTCGCAAGCGCTCCGTCAATGCGCGCAGTCAGATCTCTTAGCGAGGACACCTGCCGCTGGATGCCAGGCTGAGCGTGTATGTAGTTGTCCTGTATCCCGTCTAGCAGTTTGGTCAGACACCAGAACGAATCTGCTTCTACGGCATCCAGAACTGGTTTAGGAAGCTGGCCAGGATCCATTCCAGACTCCACATCCGGGTCGGTGATGTACTGACCCAAAAAGACTTGCCAGAAGGGCGTGACGAGGTCGTTGATGCCCTGCACGTACCCGGAGGCCGGATGTCGGATAGCCCAGACGTACAGTATGCGTTCTAGCGATCTTTGTGTCGCTTCGTAGCTGTACAGCTCAAGATGTGGGTTGGTCCGGGGCACATCAATGCTGATCTGATGCCATATCGCTTCGTCCAGACCTCGGCCTCTGCCGCCTTTCGCGAACGGTGCTGAGCCGGCTCCCGCTACGCCTGCTTCCACAGCGCCGGAACTCCCTGCCGTTCCACGCTCAAAAGCTTGTCGCACACCGTCGAGATACTCCTTTCGCTTTCGCTCGAGGGTCGCTACTCGCCGTTCGCTGCTTGTGGGGAGGTAGCCAAGCAGTATTTGCCAGGACATTGCCCGCACTTCGGACGGCAGGCCAGACCACGCGGAATCTCGTAGCTCGGGTAGGTTGATGGAAGACGCTTGCAGTACTTTCTTGAACTTGTTGATGCGGCCGATCCGTGCCGAATGCGCCTCGAGCTCCTTCGAAGAGGCGCCAGGTGGTACGGAAGGGTGATTGATCAGATGTAATGAGTTTGCGGGATCTCGCAGGATGTCCTTGTACTGCGGTCGCAGAATCTTGCCCTCGGTTGCCTTTGCAGAGGGATATGAGGGTATTGCGCGCACTTCGGCAACGTCTCCGTTATCTAACGCCCAGGTAGCCAATGTGCTCGCGGCATTGTTGCCATTTCTAAGCTCGGGTCGGGATCCCCCAGGGTCTGTTTTGTTTTTCGTCGATAACCGCTTGCCTTTTCGCCGCGTCGAAGCTATGCTGGGCAGGCCAAATTCATCCTCATCCTCGTCATAGGCGAGCTGGTCGCCGGTGCCGTCGGTACCATCAACGTTCCAGGCATTGTTCGTGTCGGAGAGGAAGCTGGTATATGTGCGACGGGTAGGCGGAGGGTCATTTGTTTTGGGGGCTGGCGAGCTTGTCTGTCTTGGGAGTGAAGGTGGAGTGCGCGGGCGAGAGTTGGAGATGTTTCTTTGCTACTGTCAGCTTGGCGAAAGGACGGCGCAGACAGCTACATACAGGTCGTCGAATTTGAGTATGTCGGCATGGCTGTAGGATGCGCCTATCACTTTGCGCTCGGGCGTTGCGGGTTGCTTTGCGTCTCGTTGACTATTCGCAGAGGATGTTCGCCAGAATGGTGATCCAGTGCTGTCACATCGTCAGCCTCTTGCATACGCTGCGATATTCTGTCCTCATATACACACTCCGATCGGTCTATGAAGGCCCACAGATCCATATTAGCTCGTCGTTGCGTGCGCCTCGTCGTAGTCTGGGTACGAACCGACCTGTACCATCTCCTGCTGGATGGTCAGTCGGCCTGCTTGCGTATGTCGTCGATTGAAGATGTACGGACCTGCTGAGACGGTCGCTTGAAGTTCATCGTGCCATCATTAGCGTAACGTAGGATGCTCCAGTCTCTCCAAGCCCGCACCAATCTTTCGCCCGTCATTTGAGGTGACGTCCCGCCTTCTCGGCTCTCGGTCACAGCCGGCAGCAACCCTAAGCGGGCGGAGAGCGGGCTTAGTCATGCTTTCACCAGCCAGCAAGCACTTTCAGCTTCAGCTTCAGCTTCGCGACACCACCTCCTCGTTCACACACAAACACCACTAAACAACGGGCACCCTTCCACTACCACGGAAGACCGCGCGTGCGACACCACTGAGCCGCTTGCTGCGCCCCACGAGCAGGTTCACGCGCTTCTGGGCGAGCCGCGTGCGACCTATCACCGAGGCAGCAAACCAGCATTGACTTGAGGTCGCACCGTCACTCCCTCCACATCTCCTATTCACCGACCTCCTCATCCTCGTCGATTCTCTTTCTTACCTACAGCTATCACCATGGCCGACCCGGAGATGGACGAGGATCTGTTTGCCGATCTGTGAGTCTTCACATCTCCTCACAATAGCACGCCGCAACAGTGCCATGATTGCCCAATTGCTAACACGCGATTAGCTACGACGGCGAAGCAGACGAACCAGCACCTCCAGCCAAGACAGAGCAGAAGCCTCCCACACCTGAGCCAGCGCCAGTGCAGCAGGATGCCCAGCCTGAGGAGACCAATATGGAAGCTGTGGATGACTTCAACATCAACACCGAGCCTCAAAATTATGGCGGGGGCTTTCAAGGTGTACAGCAGAGTCAGCAAGACCACAATGATGACTACGACAAGCCGATCAGCATCAAAGATGATGGGTATGTATGAGATTTTCCTTTTGTCAATGCTTTCACACCCTTGCACACCTCAATCTCTAGCACACCTTGACAATGGAACCAATGGATATTATGCTCGCGCAAAAGGATTGGGAGAGAGCGAAAGTCTGCGAGGGTAGAGGTCGAGAGGTTCAGAGAGGTCATGGGCACTTGGCAGGACCACCGGATTTTCAAGGACAGCGCATAGTCAGACAGTCATTCCTATCTGGAGCCACTCGCCAAACAAGACCCATGACCGATCCGGCCAACACTTCAGCATGCCCGTCGCCGAGCACTTGCTACAATCTGTATGCTGGATGATAAGCCTCCCTCAGTCGCACAGCGTGGTCAAGCGGTTGTCATACAAGTCATCCGTGCCGCGGAATCCATCACGATCTTTCGCTTGCTTGGAGGCAGTTGGAATGGTTGCAGTCACGGTCGGTTGATGGGTCTGGGAAGGCTGGCGGCTACGGAGGGGTCAACGCGACGACTGATGCAAGTGTACCAAACTCAAAGCGTCCATAAGCTCACATATGCGGACATCGATGATCGCAGCTTAGCCTGGTAGCAGACAGCAGAGCAGAGCAGAACAGTACAGAAGCAGACAGGAGGTAGACGATGCAGTGTGCAGTGTCGTGCGGTCTTCGCAGGCAACACAGCACACACAAAGCATTCATGCAACTCCATATCACGAAGACAATCGCATCCTCGAGATCTGTATACCACTTCAAAATCGACCGTTTGCCTTCCGCTTTAGGGATGGTGGATTTCTGGCGATGCACTTTTGCCTTACACCCCAAACTTTGGAAGCGCTGCCTGCAACCACCCGCCCACTGTCTGCTCTGCTCTGCAACCAACGTACGCCTGGAGGCAATGTCGCGGCCAGGCTATGGCGCTGTTGGGCACGTCGTTGGATTGGTACACTGGCAAATTGCGCAAAGGGCACTGCGCTGGAAGCAATCTACACGATCCGACCTCGAGCCCGGCACCTCGTGCCTGGGGTAGGAGAAGAGACGGACTGCTTGTTGACGGCCCTCCTTCCAATACGCTTCCTGTCATCCATGCAATCTCTTCTTTGGTTGTCATTCAATTATGGAGTAGTGCTGACACATCGTCTATAGAAAAATGTTCATTGGTGGACTCAACTGGGAGACCACAGACCGTATGTTACCCCTCAGTCTTTTCTTCTCGTCTCTACTGACTCTCTACTCCTAGAATCACTTAAGGAGTACTTCTCGCAATACGGTGATGTCGTCGACTGCCAAGTTATGCGTGATGGCGCCACTGGACGCTCTCGCGGCTTCGGCTTTCTCACGTTCAAGGACCCGAAGACGGTCAACATCGTCATGGTTAAGGAGCACTTCCTGGATGGCAAGCTAGTATGTCTCACTGATACATGTGCATGAAACCCATCACACGCTAACAAACAAGCGCAGATCGATCCGAAGCGTGCTATCCCACGTGAGGAGCAGGAGCGTACGGCGAAGATCTTCGTCGGCGGTGTCAGCCAGGAGTGTACCGACGTCGAGTTTAGGGAATTCTTCGAAGCGTACGGCCGCGTGCTCGATGCCACCCTGATGATGGACAAGGACACCGGACGTCCCCGTGGCTTCGGCTTCGTCACCTTCGACAACGAGGCAGCCGTCGACCGCACGCTCGAAGGCCCTCTCGCGATCCACGGCAAGATGATCGAAGTCAAGCGTGCTGAGCCGCGCGGCAACCTCCGCGACGGTGAGGGCGGAGGACACGGCAAGTTCGGGCGTGGAGGTAGACAGATGCCGTTCAACACCCACACCAACGACGCCCAGCAGAACCAAGCGATGGGCCAACAGAACGGCGGTGGCAACAACATGAGTCCGGCGATGATGGCGCAGTACTGGCAACGCATGCAGCAGTACTTCCAGATGATGCAGCAGCAAATGATGGCCGGTGGCGGCGGCGGCGGCGGCGGCGGCATGAACCCGATGGCGGCGATGCAGAACCCACAGATGATGCAGCAGATGATGGCGCGTCAAGGCATGAACCCGCAGATGATGGCGCAGATGCAGCAGCAGATGGGCGGCGGAGGCGGAGGAGGCATGCCAGGCTACCCGGGAGGTCCGCAGGGCCCAGGCTCGCCGATGAACGGAGGGCAGGGCCAGCGTCCGGGCAGTGCATCGGGTTTCACGGCGCAGGAGCAGTTGATGTTCGAGCAGCAGAAGTACGAGCGCCAGACGAACGCGCGCATGCAGCAGGGCAGCTACAACGGCAACCAGACGTGGGATGGGATGTACGACGACGTGCCTGCGCCGGACGGCATGCAGGGCAACATGCGTGGAGGTTTCGGAGGACGAGGTGGGCGCGGTGGTGGTCGTGGCGGGTTCGGAAGCCCTGCTCCAGCTGGTCAGGCTCCTGCCAATGCTCCTACTGGGCCGAAGAACGCTGGGCCGGGCTCGAACTACCGTGGCGGAGGTCGAGGCGGACGGGCGCGATTCCATCCTTACGGCGGTCGTGGATGATATTCTCTCACTCTTCTCTCGCGGACGGCATACGAGGCAGAGCAAAGGTTTCGGCTTCTCACCTGCTGCTGGAGTCAGCGACTTACGATTAGCACATCGTGGTTTTCTCTGCTCCTGCTACCCTCTTCTGCAGTGGCTTTGAGCGGATGGCGTTCATGGGTAGCAAGGCTTTCAAGGATGCTGGGTCTGACGAAAAGCTTCAGACTACGGGCATACGGAAGGCAAGGCCTCTGGCAGGTGTAAAGTAGCTTTCTTAGTAGCTGTGAAATACACTGGATCAAACAATGGCTGCTCTCTCAGACCCTTGTTCTTGTCTCCTCAATCTTCGTGATGCCCTCGCTCTCGTTGTCCTCTGGTAGCAGTGTTGCATCTTCCCACTGTTTTTCAATCACATGAAAAGTCCTGCCGAAAATAGCTAGTTCCAAAGCTTAATCGCGCGACACAGCACACAGCCCACCAAGCATGAGACTGGACACAGGCCTGTGTGCAGCAAGAACAATGTGTACTCTGCTATCAGACCACTATACAGTATATGCAAGAAGGGGTATCACGCTGTACATCTCCGCCCAGCCAGCTATCGAGCGGCGTAATTGCCACTCACCAGCTTCTTGACCCCAGCCACCGCTTTCCAACTACCCGCCTGCCCATCTTCATCCGCGAACGGATCGCTGCCACTGCCGCTTTGGCCTGGCATGCTCAACGCTAATCCACTCCCGAAGCTCTGCGCCTGCTCGCCACTGATCTCCCATCTTGACTCCACGGCTCCGCCGCTCGCCTGCGACTCCGTGACAAAGCGAACCACCAGTTTCTGCGGCGCGGCACCGGGCGTGAGCGTGAGGTCGTTGAGCTGCCAGTAGATCAGATTCTTCTCCCTGAGAAACGTTCCCGCGGGTTTGCTCTGGCAGCTGGTGGCTTTTGCGCCTTCGAGAGTAAATGCCACGGTGGCATTGGAGAGGGTGACGCTCTCGCGGCCGTTAAGTGGGAAGGTCGGATTGAGAGAGTATTGGATGATGACGGAGAATTGGTTTGGCTCGGGCCTGAAAGCCGGAGCAAGGAGGATCGGCGCTGGTGAGTTGTTGTCGTCAAGGCGGGCTTGATATTTGAAGGCGACCTGGGTTCTGCCGAGCGTGGAGAGGTTGACGGAGTACTCGCCCTCGGTTTCTGACGATGGAGTGATGAAAGCAGGGTTTGGAGCGACTTTCTCCAGGCTCGAGAATCTCTCCAATCGGATCTTCTGCGTGTCGAAAGGTGATGAAAAGTTGGCAGGATTGTAGGCTAGAGCGATGTCGCCGATGATAGAGGAGCTGGTGAGCTTGCCATTGTCGAAACGAGCGTTGACTGTTTCGATGATGGAGGCATTCAAGCCAGATTCGCTCAGGTCGGGATGTTTGTGACCGCCTTGGCTGCCTGTGGTGGTTGCTGACCGGATAGACTGAGTATCACCTCCAAGCGCAGTCGTGGCGCGCGAATCTGGTCGAAGTGATGGTGGGTTTTGCTGCTGCGACTCTGCAAAAGGCGAAAAGGTAGATGCCGCGACCTGGCCAAACCCTCCTGATTGCGACTGGGAAAGAGAGGTGTCCGCTGGGGGCTGGACAGCGGGCGCCGGGGCCGTGTCTTCAACGGCAGCGGGCTCTGTCACCTCTCTTGGCCCGGATGGTGACGGCTCTGGAGTGGACTCCCTGATGGTTTGGCCGGGTGGTGCGTAGCCTGTGGGTACGGCGCTGTTGCGGTTGTCTCGGCGTCCACGCACAGTTCCGGCTCGGCGCGCCATTGTGGTTGGAGGTGCTTGCTGCTTTGTGATTAGCTACGGTACGCTTCTTGGTATATATATATATGATATCCTACCAACTTGCCAGCCACACTAGCCAGCGCCGCCTCTGAAGTCCCGGCATCGTCTTGGATCGGCGCGTCACGAATGTTGACATTGAGCGGTGACGAGCCGCCCTCCATCGAAGCCTCTTGCTGAGCTTGAGAAATTGGGTCAAGATTCTGTGGTGGCACAGAGTAGCCTTCATTGTCACTCCGCAGCTCCGCTGGCGCGGTCGCTTGCTCGGCTTGCGCAGGCCTGGGAGGCTCCAAATCAGCCAGGTCTCCCTGATGACTGCCGTTCGGGATAGAAAGCGCGGCGGCGGACGCTACTCCAGCTGCTGCTATTCCAGATGCGGCTGCTGTTCCATTAGTAGATGGTTGTTCGGTTTGTTGTGCTGCTGGCGTAGGCGAGGACGGTGCCGCTCTTGCGTCGGCCGGCGAATCGAAGAGCTCGCTACCGAATCGCTGAGGTGATCTTGGCCTTTCCCGCGGTGATGCTTCGGAGAGTGAACCCAAAGTTGGCGTGCTCTCTTTCGATCGGCCAAGCCTGCTAGAGAACTGATTGAACGGCGATGGTCGCGGCTTCCGCTCTGGTGATTCTGAGGTAGGTGGAAGTCCTGCAGGCAATTTACTCTCCCGCTTTCGACCCATTACAGTTCCGAGTCTTCTTAGCCCTTTCAGTCGGCCCTTGCCTTTATCCTCAGGGAGTGCAGCAGGGGCCTCATCGTCTGGGAAGGGCGAAGAAGGTGCTAGGTTGTTCGAGGATGAACTCGGTGGCGGCTGCAATGATCGCGATGGGGTTGCGAAGCTGTTCCGTTTCGGCCGCGCGAGCGTGGGTCTGCTTTGAGGTGCTTTGAGAGCGAACGTCTTGACCTCGTCCGCAATCTCCACGTTGAGCAGCACGTTCAGACACTGCTCGGCTGGCTCGCCCATGTGCTCTGCCTGATCGCCTTCGTGCGTCTGGAACTGCGTGAGGACATCCCGAAGGTGCGTGAGGCGCTCCTCATCCAGCGTCTGCAGGTTCGAGAATATGTATGGTGCTTGCGATTCCCATTGCGTCTGCGCAGCATCCAGCTCCGAGTTGGCCGTCGCCACCTTGCTCGCATCGGCCTTGTCACCCTTGCCTGCCTGCTTCTCGACTTTCTCTTGCGCTCGCTCCACGTCCTTTGCCAGTGCTGCGAGATTGCCCTGGGCCGTCGTCATTTGTACCATCTCGCGATTGGTGGAGGTGAAGTTGCGCAGAGGCTTCTCAATATCTGATTCTATTCGACTCGCCAGCGTCCCATGCATATCTGCCAGAGTGTCGGCAGAGCCAGTGAGTGTACTCCATGCTACCGAGAAAACGCTGTACCCGTCAGCTCCACGCCACCTCAATGGCCTGCGCCATGACCTACCCAAGATCGCCGCTGTCCAGCGAATGTCTGGCAAGCTTCCTCAAGCCCGCCGCATATTGCTCTTCAAGCCGGCGTCGTTCCTAGCATCCTCATCAATCCCAGGTCCTCCCGCCTCCTCCCATGCCTGACCGCACTCACCTGTAACCAGTCCGCAATGGCAACATTGAGCCTTCCCACCTGCTGCACCCGTTGATTAAGAATGTCGACCGCTTGCGCCGGTTGAAGTTGGGGCTGGCGCACGTGTTAGCAGTGGTACACCGAGTCCCGCGCATTGGGACCGCAGCTCACCAAGATGGCCGGGTAGTCCTGTCGCTCCAGAGACATGGCGCCGCGCTCCGAGCCTTAGTAAGAGACGCACAAGACGAAGGGATGTCACGCGACGCAGCGAGAGGTAAGGGAATATACGAATGGAGATGCTTGGGGCAGATGCAGAGTGGTGGAGAGAGCTGGTGAAGTTCGAGATCCCGCTTCGTGCCGCTTCGCTTCGCCGGCCTCGATCTCCGGCGCACCAGCCCTGTCAATGTCTCTGCCTTGTTCTGCACGAAAACGAATCCTTCCGCTCCCGACTGTCCACCCCCTCACGTGCCAGCTTCGGCGACACCACCCGTTAGTGACTTGGATTCATTCCGACTCATATCGAGCTTGGGACCATATCCGAGGAGCTCAATGTTCACCAACGCGTGACATGGGTATAATAAGTATATCTTTTTCTACAGCCTTTCAGCTTCTCTCGTCACACATCATTTGTCCTTGAGAACATCATGAAAGTCGTCATCATTGGCGCAGGGTTGAGTGGGCTCTCTACTGCCCTTGCTCTTCGCAAGTACGTTCGTCTTCCTAACGAAGAAGCGGTCGAGATCAGCATCTATGACCGGGCGGATCCTCACGACACTGGCAAGTACGGCTTCAACGACCACGCAGATGTACGACAGAAGCAACAAGGAGCAGCTATAAGTCTTCAACCGAATGCTTTACGCGTTCTACGAGACCTGGACCCGGAGCTCGCGGACAAGGTCTATACATCTGGCTATCCATGCACGCACTTCACCTGGAAAACGGCGGGCGACATCTTGCTTGGGCGCGATTACCTCGATCTGCTTCCTATCTCACGGCCTATACTGGTGCAGTGCCTGGCTGAAGCTCTTCCTGAAAATGTCCGGATAATTTACAAGACGATCATCAAGGTAGAACCGAGGCAGGGCTCATCCTTGAAGTCGATCGTGCATTTCGAGGACGGGACTCAGGAGGAGGCCGACCTGCTCGTGGGCGCCGATGGCATCCGCAGCCCCCTGAGACACTGCCTCTTCAAGGACGATACTGAGCTGGCCGAATCAAAGTATCTAGGCGTCTGTGCAGTGGGCGGTGTGCTGGATATGCCGCTTCCTAAAGACTACCTCGACGACCCTTGCATCGTCTTCGCCATTGGAGCAAATGGCACCTTTGGATACTGCGGCCTGAATAGAACCGAAGCCAACAAGCTCCTCTACTTCTCCTTTTACGACTCCGAGGAGATGCCGGACCGTACCAAGGTGGATTATCAGGAGATAACGAAGCACCTCCGAGAGCGACACCATGACTGGGCGGATCCACTCATTCATGACTGCCTGTCAAAGGCAGACATTGACAATGTCTACCCGATATGCTACGTTCCAGACCTCCCACACTGGGGCCACAGCGGCTGTGTCCTGGTGGGAGACGCTGCTCATGCTATGCCGCCGGTAGGTGATGAATTCCATTAATAGTGCTCCCGAGATCAACAGTCCGTACTGACTCGACGAACTGCAGGCCAGCGGCCAAGGTGGCAGCCAGGCGTTCGAAGACGGGCAGAGCCTCGCCTTATTGCTCGCCGGCTTTCTCGAAAAGCACAACACCAGCGAAGGCATCGAAGAAGCCATCAAAGCGTTCTACGATCTGCGCCACGGGCGAGTTGACAAGATGAAAGCGGATGGTCTAGAAATGGAGCGACAGCCGAAGCGGCCCTGGGGCTGGGCGACTACGCTGATGATGTATGCTGGCTTGTCTGCTATGGTGCAGGTGAAGTATCTCAGCAGCTTTATCTGGAAGGGAGATCCGGTCGTGGACTGGGATGCGAAGGAGGAGGTGCGGAAGTATCTTGCTGCGAGGGAATGATCTGGAACAGCGGCGTGTACCCTACTGGTGCAGACGCAGGGTATCCTGGTGGCAGTCATGCATTGGCACGGGTACCCTCCGTCTGCAGCTGATCTGGGCGGTTGTACTCCTTCTGCGGTCGAAGTTTGACTACAGCCTCAACTCAGTGTACTTTTACGGCGGCATTGGATCGCCATCTCCTCTCACGAGCCCTACAGGTCAACCTCATGCCAACGGCCATGATGTCTTGATAGATCGTCAGCATTGAACGGCTGGCGCGAAATGGATCCGTAAGTAACATTTCTGTACAAAGCTGATTCCTACTTGGGGCTGTTCGGTAACTCAACACTATCCTGCTGAACGCCGCTCATCTCCTGCGGGCCATGGCCCGGCCACTGCTGCCCTATTGGAGGATCCTGGTAACCAAGAGGCTGATATGCATATTTCGCCATTGGCGGTGAGCCGTAATTATCCGAGTACGGCGACGGTGCTGCCTGCTGTGTCGACGCCCATTCTCCCACGCTCTGTGATGCGTTTGTCTCTGATTTTCTCGACCTTCTCCGGTAGAAGAACGCCAACGCTGCTCCTATGGCGATTCCAAGCACACCCACGCCCACGCCGACTCCGATGCCGGCTTTGGCTCCACTGGAGAGGCCACTCGATGAGGATGAGGAGTTGGAGGCTGCTTTTGAGGACGTCGGCGATGCTGTGCTACCTGCGCTGGTCGAGGTCGCTTTGCCGTTGTCTCCACCGGGGATGCTGAAAGCGGTAGTGCTCGAGGCTGCGGACGACGTTGATCGCGGAGGATCTGGGCCGGTTATGTTGAAGTAATGACTGCTGAACTGGTCGTCGCTGTCCGCGCCTTCATCCCAGACGGTCAGGAAGAACACTGTAGGCAGCGTCAGCGGCGTAAGCTCAAGAAGGCATCACTACACCTACCCTCTCCAGCATCCAAATCGAATCGTCCATACAAGTCAACGTACCAGGCCAGCGTTGACACAGCCGGTACCTCTTTCAGCAGATAGCTGAACGTGTCGTTGTCGTTCTGCCATAGCGTAACGGAAATTGTCTGGTACGAGGTCGACCAGGAGAAGTTGATCGTGGAGCCTTGCGCATACACGTTGTCGGCGGTGTATACGTTGACATGGTCATAATCCATCGGGCCGGGGTTTATGAAGGAGTTGTTTTGCGTGGCAACAAGCTGGAGGGTGGTGAAAAGGCATATTGACAGCCATGACCGTATTCGCGGCATTGCGAGAAACACACAGAAGTTGAAAGAGAGGTTAAGTCAAGCGTCCGGACCTACTTTGAATTCGAAAGACCGACCGGGCAGATATGAAGAGGATCGCTAGCGACATCCATAACTCGGCCCCTTCATTTGTAGCTTTGGGGGCCAATGGTCCAAAGCTCGCTTGGTGCCGTGTGGTGGGAGTGATTGGGGCTGTGGCGACTATAGACAGATGCATGAGCGTGAGGCTGTGATCAGGTACGCTCCTACCTCATGGGGTAGTTGAGATATTGCGGAGGAGGTACGGCAGAGATGTGGATTCTACTCTTCCATCGAGGTGCCTGTGATTACTCCGAGTACTCGATGAGAGAGCGACTATACCTGAAGAAGCGCGACATCTCGAAGGTGGATTGAAAACCTTCTCGCAGACCGTGACAACTCCAGTGGAAGCCAGGCGCAGCAGCACAGGTTTGCTTGAGGATTGAAAGAAGGAGAAAGATCTTGGGTCGCCAATTTGGAAGTCGTTCGTCGCAGTGGCCGTGCGTTTCTAAATTTAGTCAAAAGAAGTTCGACCACTTTACGCATCGAGCATCAACACAACTTCCACCTTATCTGGCTGCCATCATACTAGAAGAAATACACCAGCACGGATGGGTTCGATCTTCTCCACGGCATATGCACAAGATGTTCCGGTGTCGACCTTACTTTAGGAGGCTCGTGACCGTTCAGTCTGCGAGAATCCCTTTGGCGGATGAAATACAGCTTTCACGGATCAGACGTTTGACTACCAAACCACAGCGAGACAACTGAAGACGAATATGGTTATGGCTGCTGTAAGAAGATGCTTTCCCTCTCAAGCACCAGCCTCCCGAGCATGCGCTGCGGGCACTACATGGGCTCAGAGGGCTCCTACTTGGCCTGCTCTCTTGGCCTACCAGACTCTTTCCTAAAGACAGTGAGAAACGGTCTTGGAGCTCGGAGAGGAACATCAGACCTTTCGCGAAGCATTCGAAATCCTCCAGTCGTTCTTCCCTGCGGAGATGGCGATCGATATGCTTCCGCTGCAATGGAATGCTTGCTATGCCAGAGCCAGCTTGCCTCCAGCTCATATCAAGCTTTGACACGTTAATAGTCGAGCAATATCGCAGGTGCTTATACGCACATTACTCTACAGGTTCGATGCTTCCATTTCCTTCATTTCTTGGCAGCTACTGTTCTCTAATCAGCGCGGCTAATCATTCTGGCTTGCTTCCTCCATTCATTTACTGTTCTTTCTTCTCGTTGTATGCCCTGTCTGTTGCTGCTCTTGGATCAGCTACCTCTGTGATCACAGATATCAAGGGAAGGATCTTTTGCTTCGTATACGTCTGGACGATTCGCATTTGTGCTCTGAGAGTACTCGACTACCCTTTGGCAGGGATGAACAGCGCGACAGTCTGTTCACGATGGGCCACCAGTTCCTGCTGGATACACCATTGGGACTCCGGGCCTCAGGAAACAGGCAAGGCTACATCTCGCATAAACCCTGTGCTCGCAAACCACCGATTGTGATTCGTTGAAGAAAAGTATGAGCCTTTGAGTTTTGCCCGAGAGCTTCTCAGTATGAATTAGCCTAGGAGTGCGCCCGTTTAATATGAATGACCCTGCCACGACCATGCTACGAGCATGATGCGTCGCCTTCTCCAGCACGATCGATGTATCACAGGTCTACCTCATGGTGCTCTTACTTCAAAGAACCGTTTGTGTGTCGACTGAACATCTGCCGTTCTAGACAGCAAAGGACACACAATCATCCTGGCCAACAGAACCTAGTCTCGGGGGCAAGGACCGTGATGATTGTTGTAGAAAAGAGGTCGAGAGTGAAACGGCACGTGGAAGTGAGGTCGTGTGCCTGCCTACCCGATTGGGACTGGTAAAACCTTGTCAGGAACTGCACATTAGGTTGGCAACTGGGCGCACCCCTCTCGTCAGTCTTTTAAGCCGCATCAATTCTTGTGCTCGATGATCACGAATGATGTTTCTTCACTGACTTCTTGCCAATTCAGTTGATACATTGTATATTGCCTTACTCTTCTTCGTTCCCGTCTCTCCCTTTTGCCCGCGGAAGTGCCAAGACAATCTGCAACGAACGTCATCTCATTGGCACGTTCCAACCTTCCCGTTCTCGAGGGACACAGTCTTTTCATTGCTACTTTTACTCAGACAACCAAGTGCCATTGAGAGATTATTTTGAGACCACACCCAAGCAAGTTCACCCGCAATGTCCTCGCCGACTCTATCAAAAGTCAAAGGTCCGGACTCAATGGCAAAACCAGAGTCGCGTACGGTGGGCGAGTCTTCGCAAGCTGCAGAGGCAGAGGGCTCACAGCCGAAGCCAACGAAGAACCCGAAGAAGAAGCATCGAGCGGGCAAGAAGAGGAGGAACAAGCAACAGACCTTTCCAGGCCAGGATGGCGAAGGGCAGCGACCCAGCCTTCTCGACGCGCCTTCGAGATCCGGACATGGAGAACCTTTCTATCGGCTCAATGGCCAAGGCAGTAACACGAGCCTGGAAAGCGAAGCGTTACTCGACCATCGCGAGCATATGCCATCAAGACCACGACGACAGAGTCTGCAGCAGTCCGGATTTACTAGACCCAGTCTGCCGTTCGCCCGTCATCGTGGGTCTGCCACATCCGGTTTGATGGCTGGAGCTCAGCGCTCAAGGCTTGCGCAAGCTTCAGGAACGGCCATCAGCGAAGATGAGGAGGAAGAGGAAGGCGCGAACGACAGGACACCATTGCTGGCCACCGGGAGGAACCATTCCAGACCACAGATTTCCAGGAGTAACTCTGGTCACTATGGGAGTGGCATGCGAGTACGCAAATCGTCCGTCCACTCCAAGAGCTCGTCGAAGCGGAAGGCCGATGCCTTTGCTCGCAACACCGGTTCATACGAGAGCGATGGGTACGACATCAACAACCCACCATCGATGCCGTCGTCGCCACAGCTGGGCTCTCTCGATGACCTGATGATGGGAGGCCAGTCCCGAAACTCGTTTGATCGGGGCCGCGATGCTGTCATTGACATAGATGGTGGTGACCGACTGGTTTCAAACTCGTCGCCGGATACGGCTCGTAGAAGATCCACCGCCGCCGATCTGGCTGAGCGAGATGTGTGCTTCCCTGCCGATGGTCTGTCCGAGATCGCGGAAGAGGACGACAGGCGTTCTCAAGCTGGTTCAGCAAGACAGCGCAACAGGCGGAATCGAACACAGCAGTGGCCTGACCTCAGTGTCCTCGAGGAATGGAGTAGGGAGGAGAAGGAGGAACGTACCCATCAGGAGCACGTACGTGCAAAGAAGATTAGCGAGCCGGTCATGATCGGCGGACGCCTCCGACCTGGCAAGCAGACGTGGCATAGGGAAGAAGACGATGCTCCCTTCCGCTTCACCTACTTTAACGAAATGTTTGATGGTACCATCCATGCACGCACTATCAGCGATCTCTTACAAGAAGGCGCCACCTTCAAAGACCTCTTCCTCCCGGATCCAGTGGAGATGCCAGAGGACAGCGATGATGATGAAGACGAGAATACGCTGGAACGGCCCACCCATACGTGGAATTCCGCCGTTCAGGCTCCTACCGGACACATGCCTGGCGACCAGCAGTCTAGGCACACATCTATAATGAGCGATTTCGGCGAGAAGGAGAAGACGTCGGAACAAGGAAGCAAAGTCCAAAGCAGGTCGGAGACTCCATCTGGGCAGAACTCGCAGGCTCCTACTCCACGGCAATACAACAAGCAGAAGCGATACGGACCACGCCCGACCTTCTGGCTCGACGTTCTACAGCCCACCGAGATGGAGATGAAGGTCATTGCGAAGGCGTTCGGTATTCATCAGCTCACGACCGAAGACATCCTCATGGAAGAACAGCGCGAAAAAGTTGAGCTCTTCCACTCCTACTACTTCCTGAACTACCGTTCGTTTGAACAAGACAAGGAGAGCCCGGACTACATGGATCCAGTCAACTTCTATGTTGTGGTCTTCCGTGATGGTGTGATCACCTTCCATCACTCGCAAACCCCACACCCAGCGAATGTCCGCCGCCGCATCCGCCAGTTGAACGACTACATGTCGCCTACAGCTGACTGGATCAGCTATGCTCTGATCGACGACATCACCGACGTGTATGCGCCTCGCGTCTCGCAGATTGAAGAAGAGGTCGACGAGATCGACGAACAGATTTTGTACCTGCACGTCACATCTGCAGATGACGCGGAGAAGACCAAGTCTGATTCGGGCAACGAGAAAAAGTCCGGCAATGCTCCTAGCAACCAAGGCGATATGGGCGCTCAAAAGGCCGAAGGGGATCGCACCGCCGGACCGAGTGGTGGCGACCTCCTCCGCCGGGTCGGCGAAGGCAGGAAGAAGGTCATGGGCCTGTACCGCTTACTTGGCAACAAAGCAGACGTCATCAAAGGCTTCGCAAAACGCTGCAACGAGAACTGGGAGGTGGCGCCGCGCAGCGAGATAGGACTCTATCTGGGCGACATCCAAGACCACATCGTCACGATGAACAACAATCTCTCGCACTACGAAAAGTAAGTCCCCTTTACTGTCTTAACCCGTTAGACATATTCCTAACACCCAATTTAGCCTCCTCAGCCGAGCCCACAGCAACTACGTCGCCCAAATCAACATCCGCATGAACGAGCGCGCCGAACAGAACGCCGATATCCTCGGCAAGCTCACGGTCATTGGTACGATTGTCCTGCCGATGAACATTGTGACTGGTATGTGGGGAATGAACGTCTATGTGCCTGGACAGGAGTACGATGACAATTTGACGTGGTTCTGGTGCATTACGGCGGGTCTGCTGGCTTTTGGCATTGGTTGTTACTTTATTGCTAAGAAGGCTTATGGGATTGTTTAGGGGGGAAGAATGGGCTGGTGCGTGTTGGTGGGTGGGTGGGATGGGATGTACATATATAGACAAGTGGGTATGTTGGAATATGCTTGGGTCAGGTACATCGGCTGTTAACACTATGAGCTGTACTTTTCGACCCCAGTGATGGCGCTCTTTTCCACGCCTTCGGAAGGTACACCGGCGTCGACCGTCTTGTCCTCCTGGAACGTGGCGGCAGCGGCGGCGGCGTTGCCTTTGCGGCCGGTGTCGAAGATTACAGAGACTTCTTCTATGCTTAGGCGTCTGTTGAAGTTTGTTAGCTGGATACCCCTGGGCCAGGGGAAAGGTTGTGCACTACATACCTCGTCTCGGGGAAGAAGAGGTAGATGAGGGCTAGGTAGACGCATTGGAGAACAATGTAGACGATGTAGCTGTGCCTTTGGTCAGCATAGATTGTGACTACAAGGATGCCCGGACACTTACTACTTCCAAGCTATAGCGTCGAGTGCGACTGGATTAACCCATTGGTTCTGCCGACATGGTCAGCTTGGGGTTACGCCATTGGAAGGTGGCTTCAAGACTCACGAATGCTTGAGCAACGTTCTGCACCGAGAGCAAGATTCCGAGACCCTTCAAGCGGAGGTGGTATGGCAAGATCTCCGCGGTGTATCTATTCGCCAGATCTTGTAAGCGTGAAGTGCAATCTACTTTGTCGTAGTACTCACGAGAACGGCAACGGCGTCCACCCAACATCATAAAACCCGTAGAAGATGAACAAGAACGGCACCACAGCAATCCCGACCCCCGCGCTGTTCGTCTGAGCAAAACTACCCGAGAGGCCGGTAATGACCACGTAGGAGGCCAGCATGCCGATGGTAGAGATGAGGAACAGTCCACGGCGGCCAGCCCGCTCGGCGTTAATCGACCCGGCATATGCGAGGAAGAAGTTCCAGACTGCTAGACCGCCGTTAATGCCGCTGATGTCGAGAGCGTCCGTAATACCGACGAGTTCGAGGACGGGGGCGAGATAGTAGGATATTACTGAGTTGCCGATCCAGTTCGTGCCAGTGGCCAACGTGAGGATGACGAGCAGCCTCCTGCGATTTCCAGGGGTCTTGGTGAAGTCCAGATAGTTGGTTCGTTTGCCTTCTTCTTCGATCTGTATGGCGTGGCAGATCTCTCGGTATTCGAAAGCTACGAGCTCGTCGTCTGTGCTGCCGTTCGCGTGGTATCGAGCAAGGATGTCGAGGGCTTTCTCGGTCTTGTCGTGGCGGATGAGGTAGCGAGGGGACTCTGGTATGAAGAAGAGGTAGACCAGGACTTTAAGCACAAGTCAGTATTGAGATCTTCTTGTTGCTCGTGAGACTGTACACTCACCAATAAGGGGCGCCATGATCTGGAACAGGCACGGTGCCCTCCAAGACCATGTGGTATCTCCCCATTGCAATGACCCATAACAGAACCACGCTGCGGCTGTCGATCCAATGTAATAATTACAGTAGAAGGATGTTGCAACGATCGGACGTAGTCTTGGATGTGCAATCTCATGCAACAATGCAATCGCCGTGATCTTCCCAAAGGGGCCAGCGGCACCCACGAGCACTCTCCCAGCGATGAACATACCAAGGTTGGTAGCGAAGGCGTTGATGAAGGCTCCCAGAATCAGGAGAAGCGAGCCAGCTGCCAGAGACATCTTCCGGCCGAAGTGATCGCTGACATACGAAGCCATGTATGGCGTCACAATGGCTGGCAGGAACAGACTTGCGCTGATGAGGCCGAGGGTGTTTCCGCTGGGTGAGTTGAAGTAGTCATTCCACTGGTCCATGGCTTGTAGGCCGTTAAGCAGAGATGCATCGTAGCCTAGGTAGAAGACGCAGAAGTAGAGGCCGATGCAGTGGAAGACATTGATACGGAGGCATGGGTCCTTCCACCATCTGCTGTTCGTGTTGTCTGTAGAATGTTAGAACGGTCTGACAACACGTCCGGAAGTCTCTCACTTGGGATGTGAGCAAAGCTCATCTCCTTCTTCTCCGCCATGTTGACGATTAGCTAGGGACGCTGTCGTTCTGCAGTCTGAAGACGGGGGCTTCGTGGAAGGGAAGGTCGAGGACGAGACGATAGAAAGATAAACATCCTCGAGCGAGTGCCGCACCCGCCACCGCCGGTCAATGCTGTCTGCCAATGTATGGGAACACATTGAGGAGCTCAATGTCGATCATCGCCATGGGTCGAAAGATTCCCACGGGTCACCACGTGTGAGTTCGGAAATGTGCTGGTGATGGCGCGACTCTGTTCCGAACTTGTTTCCGAGACGTGGAATGCACTGCCGACCTTCCAACATCTCTGATCTGCATACGGAACTGGTGGAGCTCAGGTGACGGACGTGATATCATGCGGATGTTCAAATATCAGTGAGAACGATAAATTATCGTGGTTGGGAGTACTTAATCGCAACCATTCACAAGTCTCAGCTGTCAGATCATACTATCATGTCCACAACCACGACTACAACAGCCAGCAAAGCTGGCAAAACCATAACGATCACGCCTACGCCTCCATGGACGCCGCTAAAGATCGAAGGAGAGATACCTTCTCCTTACAACACACCGAAGTTTCAGCTCGAAGTCATTCCGTTGCACCCTACTTTTGCTTGCGAGCTCAGAGGCGTTGACTGGAGCAAACCAGTCCCGCTAGAAGTATATGCAGAGATCCGAGAGGTGGTTGACAAGGTTAGCCAAATCACTGAGCTTGTCGTGCCATACACTGACAGCTCGATTAGTACGCTGTGGTGGTTTGCCGCAAGACCGGTTTGACGGACCAAGCACACGTAGGCTTCTCCAGCTACTTCGGAGAGCTGGATGATGTTCGACCGTAAGATGACACCATGAGTATATTCCATCAACAGCCGCTGACTTTCGGATGTCGAACAGATACATTGATGCTGGGAGGAAGAACCGACTTTCGATGCCCGAGCTGTTCGACGCTGGCAACATTGACCCGCATACTGGCGAGGTAGCTCCGCTGTCTGCCGCGCAGGTAATTGGCAATAAGGTCTGTCGATGACTGTCCTTTTCGAAGCAGATGGTTGACGTTATTAGGCCAACGAGCAGTTCCACGTGGACTCGTCGTTCAACGCACGGAGAGCCGGTCACTCCCTGCTTCTCGCCCATGTGTTGCCGCCAGAAGGAATGGGAGGTGCAACAGAGGTAATACAATCCTGGCCGGGCTCGTCGAGATGAATGCTGATCCGCTGCTACAGTTCGCTGACTCCCGCACTGCGTATGATGACCTCTCTGAAGACATGAAGAAGAGGCTTGACGGTTTGGTCGCCAACCACTCGCTCTTCCACTCGCGGAAGAAGGCCGTGCCAGAATACTTTGCCGACACTGACCCGATGAAGCTGCCGTTGTCGAAGCACAAGCTGGTCCAGAGACACGAATGGAGTGGCCGGATGGTATGTTGCTCCAGTCCTCCTGCACAATAACAATGCTGATCGAAAGCTAGAATCTGTACATTGCCAGCTACGTCCATCATATCGAGGACATGGATCCTGCGGAGAGCACCACGTTGATTGAGGAGCTGTTAGCTCACGTATCGAAGCCGAAGTACAGGGGGACTATCCCATGGTTCCAAGAAGGTGATATGGTGCTTTGGGACAACACAGCAGTCCGTGCTCTCTTCCCTCTCTCGGAATGCGAGCTGACCAGGTTCTAGGCAATGCACCGAGCGACAGGAGGTTCGTACGAGGGCCAGTTCCCCCGGGACATGCGGAGGACAACAGTCAAGGACATGAGCAGTCAGAAATACGGCCTGAACGGAGAAGGAGCAGACTGGCGTGTTGGCCTGCCGTAGGAACTGATAGGTGTTGGGTTGGTAATTAGACATTCGAGTGTACTGATCTGGACTCTGCCCTCGCGGTGCTGTGCCAATGAGTCTTGTAGTCTACCGCACGTCCCGGGAAAGACCGTAGTTGACAGTCCCTGCTCGTTCTCGAAAACATTGTTTCCTTCATATTGAGTCTGTCGATGGGCTCACCTCGTGCTGGGGTCTTCAAGACGGAGTTCGTCTGCTGTCCTCGACACGACCGCCTCAGTGTCTAGCTCGACATCTGGCCCAACGAGAGATAGACAACATGGCTACTTCTGGCAGATGTCGGTGGCAGGACGCGTCGAAACTGCAGTCAGTGATCAACTGTTTGGATCCAGAGCAAATGCGGTTAGTCTGGATCGAAGTGAATAAGTAGCTTCAGTCACCGTGCTTCTCCTCTCTTCTCAATGATTAAGCAATACACGAGTGTTTTTGGACCGGGCTGATCTGGCAAATGCAATCCGATATCTGGCGTCCTTTTGATGGCTGACGCAGAAGCGTCAAGTCTAGTTCTGGAAGGGAGATGGAAGCCTCGAGCGCACAGCAAGACCACTTAGACAAGTCTCCAGGACCGAAGAAGACTCGGGGGAAGTACGCGTCTCGAGCGTGCGTAGAGTGTCGTCAGCGTAAGCTGAAATGCTCCGGACAAGATCCATGCCAACGATGCTTGCGCCGCGGCTGCCGATGCGCCTTCTCCGACGACAAGTCTGCGCAGGAAGTCTTGAGGAGCGTGCGGCAACCCACCACCGAAACTAACATCTCGACGCTCGATACTAGAGTTGAAAGGCTCGAGAACGCTCTACAGGCGCTGACAGATCGTCTGGACAGCGGAGAGAGCAACACCAACGTTGTCGACGAAGCCGAAAACAACGAGCCGTCCTTCCAGTCGGACGCAACCCTTCAGTCACCAGTGGACCAGTTCAGCGAGAGCCTGGCCCATGTTAAACAGCAACTTGGCCTCAACAATGGAATAACCAGCTCGCCGTTGGCAAGGACACCGCAGCAGCTTCAGCATACCAATAGCTTGACCTTGCCACCACTTCGCAGACAGCACAGCACTAGCACTGGATGTACTGAGATTCGCATTGGATCTCGAACCTTCCCGTTCCCTTCTCCGCCTCAGTACGAGCGCTATCTGCGTTTCTTCTTCGAAGACATCAACCCTTGCCATCCCTGCGTGAACGAGAGCCACTTTCGCGTGCGATCTGAGGCCATGCTATCAAGCTCGCAACTAAATCGTCGGGAGAGCTGCTTTCTCGCACTGCACTATATCATGTTCGCCTGCTCAGACATATTACAAGATACATCGGCACAGCAAGCAAGCCGAACATCAGGCTCGCATTGGTACCAGGCAGCCGATGACCTGGTAGGCAGGACGAGACTTACCGGGCATGGCGATCTCAGTTTGATCCAGTTCTTGATATTTGAGGCATTCTGGTTGACCCATGAAGACCGACCCAATGCCGCGTACAACACAGCCGGTCTAGCTTGCCGACTCTGTTTCCAGTTTGGCCTGCATCAACAGTCTCGCTGGCTGCACAGTAATGATGAGTATCAAATTCACATGAAGCAGCGAATCCTATGGACAGCCTACTTCGTGGATCGTCGGATTGCTCTATCCTGCGGACGGCCCTACTCCATGGCTGATAGAGACATCGCAGTCGATCTACCTGCATGGCTGGACGATCGGAAGTTGCATCCAAATCAGCCGCTTCCTCAACCAGATGCAGAGACCTCTGACCTTCCCTATCTTGCCTGCATGGTTAACTTTGCAAAGCTGGGAGGAGAGATTTGGGACCAGATGTTCTCTGCCGGGGCTTCTAAATCCACGCCAAAGGCAGAGACTATAGCGATACTTGATGCGAAGATCAAGCACTGGGCGGACGATGCACTTCCCAAGGTTCCGTTGATACCTACTAGCCGCGCTCCCTTACTTCGTCACCGAAGGCAACAGGTCCTTGTATATACTCGTGTCGACCATCTCCGAATGCTACTGCGGCGTCAGATTATGGTCTCAATGGATTTCGGAGCACACGATGGACGTGTATGCGGCGAGCTGGCCATCAACATCATCCAACTACTAACACAGCACAGCGAGGAAGCGAACGAGCCATCTTCGTTCAGGTTCCACCTTGCTACATCCGCAGGTGGTGCATTACTGATACTCAGCACTCTACTCTGTCGTCCTCTGAACGATCTCGGCCTTCAGGATTTCTACACGCACTACGTCGATGCGTTCAAAAGTGGGCTCGCACTACTTCGAAGTCTAGGAGACGGACTGAACGCTGCAAGACGCATGCTGTCAGATCTGAAAGATGTAACCGCCATTGTCGAAAGGGTAATCGACCAGCCCGCGCCGCAACAGATGATCATGAACCTGCCTGTGGACATTGACAATTTGATGCCGTATGGCGCCATCGATTTTGCAAACCAACCGGGGGCTGGATACCTTGATCAGACATATGCTGGGGATCTCAACCAGCCCTTCTGTGGCCCGGGTTGGGACGGCTGGTCGGCTCCGGGACATACCGGGTATGGCGCGCCTTGGATATGACAGTCTTGCGATGCTGGTAAATGGTCATCGCAAGGAGTGCCGCTTCCGAGCCGGATTTCGGATTGCAGGTGGGAGTCTGCAAGGCTTCAGACTTGTTTCCGCAGTGCGGAAGTTCTTGATCAGCCTTGACTCAAGCAGTCTTGCAAGGTCGGAAAGGTTCTCGGAACCGTGACGACGGAAACGCCATTCGGAACCTCATCATCTCATTCCGAGATCGTCCCGCTCTTGAGATCGCCAGTGGGGTAGACGAGACGGTACTGCGACGCTCTGACGAAAGTCGTCCTGGTGGTTCAATATCAATACAACAAAGGCTACAACAATCTGCCACTCGTTGCAGGCTTGGACGACATTCTCCAAATCACAGGTACAAAGACAACTCAACATGGATCCAGTGATACTTTCTTTCCGTGTTCGAGACATTCGATGGCCGACATCGTTAGACAGTATAGGATCGGTCAGTGAGACAAAAGAAGGATGAATGAATCCAACCAGACTGACACCTCCCAGGATCCGATGAACGTACGTTCTACAGGAAATTCCCAAATTCTGCTGCTTGCTAATCGATATACAGCTTGCTGGTGAAAATGTAAGATACTTGCTTTGCCTACTGTCTGCCAGGCGCCTCGTCGAAACAAGTGGCGTTCGAATCGCAGGAAGTTTTCCAAGAGTTGAACATCTGTCCGGTGCTATTATACGGTTACTGAGCATCGCATTGTAAAGGAGAGAGTGGGCGTTTTAATATTGTCACCGAATGTCTGACGAGTACTCTTCTCCGCAAGCATATCGATTCTCGTGCTGCCGTACTGCCACTTGCTCTAACGAGGTGCCCTCTTCTCTCGGCGAGAGCACAGTCTGACGTCTTACTGCCCAGGCTTTCGGCTATCTAGAAGTGTTCACGGATACAGACCTGAAAGGCGTCGGTTGGTCTTTCACCAACGGACAGGGGAATGAGTACGTCGCATCACTCCTGATAGCTACAGATAGAGCGCTCATGCTGATTGTCAACAAGTGTCCTATGCACAGCCATCAAGTCTCTCGCTCGACGGCTCGTCAACCGTCGTCTATCCGACTTCACCTCCGACATGGGTCAAACCCAGAGAAAGATGGGATCTGGCCAAATACGATTCATGGCTCCGGAACGAGGCGTGAATCAACTGGCTGTTAACGCCATATTGAACGCCCTCTGGGACCTCTGGGCTAAAGTGGAACGAAAGCCGCTGTGGCAGCTAGTAGCTGACATGTCTCCCAAAGAGCTCGTTCGTTGCATCGACTTTCGGTACATCACTGACGTTTTGACACCAGAGCAAGCGTTGGAGATGCTGAAGCAACAGCAGACCACCAAGCATGAGCGCATGCAGCTTGCAAAAGACAGCAAAGCTGTACCCGCATACAACACGAGCGTCGGCTGGCTGGGCCACTCAGACGATACCGTCCGAAAACTCCTCCGTGAAGCAACCGACCAGGGTTTCAAACACTTCAAGCTCAAAGTCGGTCTCGGTCAAGACGTTGATCGCAAGCGTCTCGGCTTAGTGCGTGAAGCTGTCGGCGACGAGGGCGTCCTCATGACCGACGTCAACCAGCTCTGGGATGTCGACATAGCAATTGAGTACATGAGCGAGCTCTTGCGCTCCAACCCGCACCTCAAGCCTTGGTTCATTGAGGAGCCGACCGCTCCCGACGACGTGCTGGGCCACGCAAAGATACGGAAGGCTTTGAAGCAGCATGGCTGTGGTGTGGCAACTGGAGAACATATGAATACCAGAGTCTTGTTCAAGCAACTACTCCAGGCCGAAGCGGTGGATGTGATCCAGCCTGATGCCTGTCGGTTGGCGGGAGTAAATGAGCTGCTGAGTGTAATGCTGCTGGCCGCAAAATTTGATGTTCCCATACTGCCGCATGCTGGAGGCGCTGGTACGTACTGTCTAGAAGGCGTTCCTGCTTTGCGCTGACACTTGACTTCCTCTGTAACAGGAATGGTCGAGCTCTGCAGCCATCTATCGACAATCGACTTCGTCGTGGTGTCCGGCAAGAAGAGCGTTCTCGAATACACTGATCATCTGCATGAAGCGTTCGAGGCTCCTGCGAAGATCACAAGTGATGGCTACCACGAGACGCCAACAACTCCTGGGTACTCTTGCGACGTGAAGGAGGCGGAGTTTGAGAAGTATGAGTTCCCGGATGGCAGTTTCTGGAAGACCGACCAAGGACTCAAGATGGCCAACGACCCGTGGAGGGGCTGCTATGGGGAGCAGACGTCGTGATTACTCGATGAGTAATCAATTAGATCATTTCTCCATATTCAAAGCTATTCTCTAGCAGATACAGGCAAATTAGCATTGCCCTTGTACCCGTCCGCCCACGGCGGCTTTCCATCCTCATCCAGATCGGCCCACGAGAACCATCCACAAGACGTCTTGCCAACCGAGAAGCCAGCATGGCACATCCACATGTATCTCCCTCTCGTCGCGGCACGTTTCTGCACACACCTGAGAACAGCAGCCATGTTGCACCTGCAGCGCGGCGTCAACTTCGGATGTAGGTAGTCCTTGTAGCAGCGATAAGTGATGTTGAACCTCCGATTGCCGGCGACTGGATGCGGATCGATGGACTTTGCTGGCGCTATGGAGTGTTTCCACTCCTCTTGCATCTCCGCGTGCATCACAAGGAGGCTGTTGTGCGGGAGATGGATGGCAATCTGGCCTTGCTCGTCCGCAGAAGTTGCGTCTACTTGCGGAACGATTTTGCGAACGCGGAACTCCCTCTTGACGCCCAGCGACAGGCTTCCGATCACCGCTCGAGGGCCGAGATAGGTGAGGTGATCAGAATGCCAACCCACGTTCTCGTGACCTCCGCTGTAACAGTTGACGAAGGAGGCATTCGGCTTCCACTCCTCTGGTGACTGGAATTTGAGCCTTTTCCCATCCGGCCGAAAATCGTTTGTTCTCCTCGTGATCTCCTCATTGACCGTCGTTCGCACCAGATCAGAGACTTTCAGGAGCTCAGGAGGCGTTCGTCCGATGTTGTTCAGATAGCCGCCGTTGTACATGTACTGCGTGTTATGCTCGTTCACTTCGTCCCAGGAGTCGACGTAGAGCCTGACGGTATGGGGAGACTCCACTGCACGCTCGAACATTTGGAACTTGTCTCTTCGGAAGGATGGTAGCTCCTGCAGCAGTTCTTGGAGCAAGGCGTCTGCTACATCGGCTGGTAGGAAGTTGTGCACAACGGAGCAAGGAGTATGAGCTTCGATGTCCTCGGGAGAATACAGATGGAGGGTGCGCCCTTTTTGGGTCAAGGATTTTGGCGTTGTGACTGACCCGCTGGTGGCAAACGGAAGGGAAGATTGAACTCCATAAGCTGCGCTTCTCTTTTTCCATTGCTGGTCCTTTAGCGAAGTTGCAAGTGCAGCGGAGACACCATCGACAGATCCATCATACGCCAGGAGGTAGTCCAGCAGAACGTCCTGGCTTCGATCTGGATGGAGAGAGGCAAGCACAGCTAGCTTGAAGTCGGTTGAATCGTCCTCTTGATCGGAAGAGCGGCTTGATTTGACTGCGTCTGGCGACAGTTTTCTACGTTTATTCGAGGGTTCCATACTTGTATTAAGTAAGAGTTGAAATACGTTGATTATTTGTTCCATGTGTAGAGGTTCGGCGGGTGAAGTCCATCTACATGCAAGCTGACACGCCATGAGTCACGTCACTGTACGACGTTTGTGAACAACATTGAACATCAACACGGTTGAACAGAATCTCCCAGAGCGATACATAAAAGCACACGAGGAACAAGAATCTCGGGCACGTCGTCTAGCATAGAAGTCTGCGCGTGCGCCGCATGCTTCTCTGGGATGGATCCGTCAACGGACACCCTCCAAGAGCCCGACTTCCACGAAATCCTCACGAAACGCCTCCGACTACGAACACTACGGGTCACAGATGCAGAAGCTCTTCTGCCTCTGATATCACTTGAATCGGTGATGAGATGGACAAGCCACGGTGTAGTCTCTACCCTATCCCAAGCAGAGCGCTGGACAAGCGACAGAGCGCTCGGGAAGGATGTCTTCAATTTTGCTATAGAGCTTCGACAGCACGACCTCAGAGATGGCGACAAGCGGCCAATCATCGGCGTCGTGGGAAGCTTTCATTTGCCTTCAATAGGGTATATGATTCATCCTGGTTCGCACAATCAAGTCTTCCAAGCACGAGATCCTGCTGACCACAGCAGACCACGCTGGCAATGGCTACGCCACGGAAGCCTTCCTCGCCGTCCTGCCTCAGCTTTTCGACCGCATACCGCCGCTCAGCGAAGGCGGCAGCGGCTTTGACCATCTAGAGGGTTGGGCAGATGTAGAGAACCGGCCCAGTCGAAGGATCCTTGAGAAGTGCGGGTTTACGCTCTGTGAGATGAGACCGGATCCTGACAATGATATACGCGGTGCTTCAGAAATCGCGATATACCGCAAAGCCCGCCCTGGGAGGACGTTGGAAGAGCTTGGTCTTCTGCCGATCGACGAGGGTAGTGTGCAGTCGAAGGCTCCCACGCCTCCTGTGCAGTGAGGCTGTGGAACTCACCGAGCAAGCTCATTTCCATTTGGCAATTTGGAAGGTCTGCTCACGCATCATTGCTTCCCTCTCCGCTTCTTGAAGTCCTCGATCCATTGGGCAGTCTGGTCCTTTGGAACAACCGAGATTCTGACCAGGCCATCCACAACTTCAAGCTTCCCACTACCGAGGAGCTTGAGTAGGCTCAGCTTCTTGCCAGCTTTGATGAGTCCGCTTTCCACCGTCTCCATAAAGCATTCCACAGTGCTCAAGGAATACTCCTTCTTCTCATCCCATGGTAACGGGAAGATGTACGAGAGATGATCAGTCAAAGACTCATCCTCCCGGAACTCCTTGATGAAGTCGGTCTGAGCATGAACCGGATATAAAATGATAACGGGGAAGCTGAGGTTCGAAGAAGCGTCCACAGGATCCTCGAGCGCGATTTTGGCCTCGGGCATTTCTGGCGGACGGTCCGTCTTACGAGTCAGGACGTTGCGATTCTTCAGCGCTAGCCGCAGAGTCGCCTGCTCCAGCCGTTGCCTCTCATGACGCTCGCGGCGAACTCTGTCCATCTCAGCAAGGTGGGCCTGGCGGTTTTCGATCTTCGTCGTTAACTTCTTTAGGGCTGCGTTGTGCGAGTCGTACTTTAGGCCGCTCTGGCAGGCGTCGAGTGCCTCTGGGATCTTGTCCAGCGCCAAGCACGCAGATGCGGCTCGATACCATGCCTTGACGTTGCGTGGGTTCAGTCGAAGTGCTGCGGCGCAGTCTCTGTTGCAGGAACCATAGTTTTCTTCAGCGTAGTAGTTAGCTAAGAAGCGCAGTAGACCGCTCATTGATGATACTCACTCATCTCAAGGTTGCATAACGCTCGATTCACAAGACATGCTTCCTCGATTGCACGCTCCTTTCGTTCTTCGGCTTCTTCGTCAATCTCCACGACTTGCGGACCTTGCTCTGGGTCCGGCGGGAGCGGTGGTCTCTTCAAAGCATCCAGAGCCTTGGTGTAGTAGTCCCGCGCTTCAGGATATCGCTTCTCCGTTCTGACCAGTTCCGTGCCTTGCTCGCGAAAGTTCTGAGCTACTTCAGCTCTGGTCCCCTCATATGCCAGAGCTTTGAGTGCTTCAAGGGCGACGTTCTCGCCGCTTTCGCCATCGCCAGTCTCGTCGAGCGATGTCATGAACAGGGGAGTCCGGTTGAGCTCCTTCCATAAGTCTTCAGTGGTCGTATCTTGGTTCTTTTGCATGCCAGGAGGGAGGGGTGCAGAGGCCGCGACCTTGTCAGCATTCTGGGTCTGGCTGTCCTGCGTTCGTTCATGGTCTTGAAGTTTCATGCGCTCGTCAAGAAGCGTTTCCAAGTCCTTGTCTGTAGCCATATCGTATTATTTGCGGCCGTGATATGAGTTGTTTTATCGCGATGTTGCTGGCGTTATTCGCTTCGAAAAACCGTTCAACTGGGTCTTGGCATCGGCTTCACCACTCACCCAACGCTCGTGTCTGCTCTAGAGGTTCAAATGTCGCTATACAACCTGCGTCTTCGCTCACCTGGGAGGCTGATATGCACTGCAACTGTTTGGAGCTTGTTTGGAAGTGTTTCGCAAACAGTAAAATGCCCGCGGAGCGTCCACAGTCCTCTCAGGACACCAGCGGCATGCCAATCAGCTACTTATAGATCTCCCTTCGACGGCACTCCTTTTCCTACGAAGTTCCATGTTGCCAATGGAAGGTTTCGAAATGCCATTTTTACGCCAAGGGCAACAAAGACGATTGAGTTGCGGCCAACGTGCAGCTTGGGGCTGCAGTTCCTCACGCGGCCGGGCCGACGGGTCCGCTGTCTCGGAAAGATATTGTTGATGACAGACGAGACGAGATGCAGGCGGCAGATGCCGTTGACTCCAACATCAGTTCTTGATCAGCGGCGGCGACGTGCCTCTGTGGTCTGCTCTGACCCGGTGCGTTTGGCCTGCGGCACAATCTGGAGAAGCTGTTGGTGACAACCTCGTCACATTATCACATGCATTCGCTCCCTTGTCACGCACACTGAAGCCACGGGCCATTAGGCTGAAACCCTGCAGTGGTGCCTGGAACCAATCCAACCCCATACGCGAACGACCAACAGACATGGCGTCGTGATATTTGTTTCTTTGCTCCTGAAGGGGTATGTGGAAGACATCCACCGACGACGGATTTTCCCACAACTCTCAAGATCACCACGACAGAAGCGGAACGTGTCTCAGTTCAAGGTGCGCCGGCCCTGCTCCCATTTCCCGTTTCGAAGCAGATGGGCAAGCGGTCCCCACAGCCCAAGAACCCGTAGCTTCGGCACTCATCACCAACGGGTACCGGAGGAGAAGGCGCGCCTGCATTAGCCCGCCCGACTTCCCCTATAAAACTGCATCTGGCTGAACGGCTTCGTTTCATCTAAACACGCCAATCGCTTCTGCTGTGGTTGAAGCCTATCACGTTTTGTGTTCGCATCGCTTTTCCGTGAGCAAATCCTCACTGGCCGTCAGCGCCAAATCCCGGAGACGAGTTCTCCTTGACGGCAAGGAGTCGGGCTCGTGCTGAAGATCGACACCAGCATCGCAGAAATGGATTTGACATGGGTTCTCGCACGCGCGGGCCCTTCGCGTTGTAGAGGGAGTGCTTGTAATAACGAGGCACGGCTCTCTCCTCCTTGCGGTACTGTTGAGCGTAGCGACTTCTTCTAAGCATCTTTATCTTGTCATCGTTCTGCGTGTTTCTCTCTCATATCCGTTGGATCAGTACACATTGACGTGCAGCGGCCACAGGCGCAGACATTCCCCGGACTCGAGCGCAGCAGGGAACCCCAGTGAAGGAGTACAGCACTTTCAGGGCCATCCTTTGTGGAAGTGAGTCCATTGCACGATTTGTGAATCTAGATACGATTCAATCTACATCGCCGCGAGCGTGTCCCGGTCATGTCGCTAACCATGACTTGCATACAGGATCACACTCCGCCCCCGGTTCGGCCCAAGGGACGGGCGACCGTACTGCAGCACGCGACGCGATCGATCATAGTACGACCTGAGGTCTGTGGAGGGCGTGCAAAGGGGACGCACAATGGCAGTACAGGCTTAGGCATGTGGTATGTGAGAAGCACGAAGGTCGCCATGGCAGAGGCTGACACAACAGCAGAGCGTTGATAGGCATTTATATCAGCCATTGTGCAGCATATTTAGCACTCGAGTCGAAGCGCACACGATGGACTACTTCGAATACCCTTTCAAGGGGCTGCCGTCTCCCGCAGACACACCCTACGAGACCCCCGACTTCATCCGGTCCAAGCGATCGTCAAGAGCAACGGCAGGATCGTCGAGGGACGCTTCTGTCAGCCCTCCTCCCCTCCCACCAGATAATGTCGAGCAGAGGGAAAAGGCGAGAGATGGGAGGTATGGCGCGATGGATCCTCGACGTTTTACACCAACGCTGCACGCGTCACTTGTCTCCGAGATCCTGAACCTGCGGCGAGAGCTGGACTCGAAGAACAATCTGGTCGAGAATCTTGAGCAGAGCCTATCCTCTGCAAAGACGGACAATGAGAGCTTGACGGGCAAGCTTTCCGAGAATGCTAAAGAGGTCAGGAAAGCGAGGGTACAGGTTCAGCAGATCGAGAGAGGTACTCTGGAGGCAGTTGAAGGACTGGCAAATGAGCGCGATGCAGCGAACAGCACGGTAGCAGACCTGAGGGCCAAGCTCGAGGCGGCGCAGAAGACGGCTAGGCGTCAGGACGACGATGCTGAACGTACACAAAGCATATGGGAGTCTGAGAAGGAGCGGTGGGAGAACGAGCGCCGCCAGATGGAGCGCAGGATCCACGTTACGGAAAGCAGGTTGAGGACGGTTATCGACGAGATGACTGTGCAGCAGGCGGCCAACGAAGGTCCAACAACACACGTCTCCGACGTTGACGAGAGCATGTTCAAGGACAGCGGCTTTGGCAATGAGAGCGATACTGCGAGCGTGCGATCAATGACTCCCGTCAAACACAGAAGGAACAAGAGCAGTCTCAGCTCTCGCACCAGGAGCATTCGCAACTCGACTATGTCTCGCACGTCTGGTACACCGGATCCTTATGCGAAGCCAAATGGTTATAGCTTGGCTGACGAGCTGGGAATCGACGAAGAAGACGAGTACGATATGGACGAGTTCGAGCACCCTGATGAGGAGCTTGAATACAACGAGCAGCTGCGAAGGACAATGGAATCGAGGCAGAGCTCTGTCATTGGCGTGGATTCCGACGCAAAAGCGAAACGTGTGCTTGGGTTGACAACTGAGAATATCGACGCGGCGGCCCGCACACCAACTGTTAAGGAACATGTGAAAGCCCGGACCGATTCGTTGTCTACTTCTGCGCACACGAAGCCATCCCTAGAACAAGCAGCTTCTCCACCATCAACTGCTGTCCCTGAGGCAACTCCGCGAATCCAGTATGTCGACACAGGATACCAACCATCTCCTCCGCCTTCGCCGCCACGCAAGGTCGAGCCAACTCTCCCGACTGGCGACGTTCCAAGGATACAAGAGCCCAGCTCTGCGACTGCTCCGGATGCAGAGGCAACTAGAAGCCAGGAGACTGTGCAACTACAGCCTCTGCTGATGTCGCGATCCTCTCCGTCTCCGATAAGTCCCCCAGAGACTCCTGTGGTGGATGGCAAAACGTGGCCCGAGGAGAAGCGAATGTCCTTCCCTAGACCTGCTTACACAACAGCCTCCACGCAAACGGAGACTGAAGAAGCCACAGAGAAGGCCGGCCATACGCCAAAACGGGACAGCCTCAGTCCTCCCTCCTTCGTGCCATCGATTGCGATACATCCGCCATCTTCGAGACCATCGTCTCCAAGGCCATACGTTCTGCCGCCGGGAACAAAAAATGCTTCGACTCAAGCGAGCCTGGGCTGGAAATCACGAGATGCTGCAGTTCAGACGGAGAACATTCGAGTAGACATGCGGCCGGTGAAGCTGCCAAAACACCTGATGCCTGGCTATCTCCTACCCAGTCCGACTTTTGAGGAACCACCACAGCCACCGCAGCCGAAGCCATCAAAGCGACCAGCTACGGGAGGCACAGCTAAAATCTTCACAAAGGCAGCTCCACCACCGCCACCACCGCTGCCGTCTCCTCCGGCTCAGTCGCCGCCACAGAGCAGTCCGGAGCTGTCCCGCGACAACAGCCAGAAGGATTTGCGTTCCATGCCACTGCGGGCTATACCGTTGCCACGTCCAGTGCTGGCACCCTCGCAGCCTGCAGGGCAAAGTGCTAGTGCAGGACCGTTGAATCGGTCTTCCCAGTATGGCGTGAGCAAAGCCGGAGACAGGACAAGCCAATTGCTCGACATGGATCCTCTTTCTGATGGAAGCGACGGCGAGGACTTCGTCAGCGATTTCGACACCAAGGACTTTGAGAGTTCGCTCTATGCAGTAGCACGGCCGCCCCAGGGCAGGTTCGGTCTCTCGGAGCCACCCAAGGCAGTGCCTGAGGACAAGGAGATCTCGCCAGAACGCAGGCCAGGCACTGCTGAATCTTATGGGGCTGCTCCTGCGCCCTCGGTCTCGAGCAGCAGAGCACAATCGCGGACGTCGCATCGCGATAACGGCAAAGCACCAGCGAAATTGAACACGTACAAGGACCATCGTTCCCGGAGCCCAAGCTTTGGCAGCGTGATCTCCAGTGCCTACAGCAATCCGTCCGTTACTGCACCGCCGTTCCCTATCCCCACCAGGTCGAGTTCACGCATCGTCCCGAACTCACATAGCGAGGGCTCGCAGAGTCCGGTGCCGTACCAGCTTGATGGCTTCGGTAACAAAGCATACCGCTTCCACAAGCCACCACACGCGCGTCCAGGCAGCTTGCGTAAGGTGCAGTCTGCTGCCGTCATCAGAAACGCTGGGCGCAAAGGCTCGCCTCCAAAGTCTCGAAGACGCAGGCGACGGTCTCCAGACCTCACGCCTGTGCAATCCATGGCTTTCGATAGCCCGGCGCCGACCAACTTCCCGATCCCAGAGCTGCCGACTCCATCGCAGCGTAACGCTCCGTTCGACATCGTCAAGGGATCTATGGACATTGGCGGCAGGCCTTCGAACGCCGCAGTTACGGAAACGTCACGCATGTCAGAGGAGACGAATCTGGTGGATGCTATCGCCAGCACCATGGTTGGCGAGTGGATGTGGAAGTACATCCGCAAGCGGAAGTCGTTTGGTGTACAGGAGGACTTTCCGATCGCCGAGGATGGATCTGTCAACACTGCGTCTCATGGCTCGAGGCATAAGCGGTGGGTCTGGCTGTCTCCTTATGAGAGGACTATTATGTGGGATAGCAAGCAGCCGGCATCAGGAACTGCGCTGCTCGGTAAGAAGGGAAGGAAGCGTAAGTTTCATGAAGTTTTAAACGGTCGAGTAGATTGTACTAACTGTTTGCAGTCGCCATATCATCTGTGCTCGAAGTCGAAGACAACACGCCATTGCCCAAGAGCCCAGAGCTGCGCACAGCATACGACCGCTCGATCCTGATTCTCACGCCTGCTCGAGCACTAAAGTTTACAGCAATCTCTGCCGAACGTCACGTCTTCTGGATGCGAGCTCTGTCGTTTTTGGCGCAGCCTGCAAATCTACCATCTCAAATCCCACCAATGCCAGCCCTACCACGTCCACCGCAAGTGCCGCAAGACCCAGCACCCACCGTCAAGCGCCACCGATCACCATCGTTTGGCCGGGCTACAGTCCGGGACTCTATTCGCATCGCCAAGGGCAAGCGGCCAGCCCTACCTCATAGCGCGACCCACCCACCGCTCCCTGAGACTGGTCCAAACGACGCCATGATGGCTCTCGAGGGCTCGCAGCGCGACGACAGCGCCGAGTTCCCAGCCATCCCGCGCCTCTACATTACCACGAGCCGCCACCAGCGAAAGCGCAGCAACACAAGCCCTCGGCTGCCCGCTCCTCTCAGCAGTTTCCGCAACTTCTCCACTAGTGCCGTCCCATCTACGGCCTCCTCTGCTCTACATCCTGGGTCCACGAATGGCTCCTCCTTCCGCCCCAACGCCAGCGCCTCCTCGAAGAGCGGCAGCCGTCCAGACTCCCTCGCCAGTCCCGACCGCCCCAATTTTTTCGAGGCAGTCGGCACAGTACGCATGGAAGCCTTCGTCGACCCCAATATGCGCGACGGAGTACTCTATGTCCCGGCTCCACCGGCGGACAATGCTGCGCAGCCGAGACGACGGGGTGATAGCAATATCAGCCAGTCGACTACCGATAAGCGGCGGGCTGGGTATGTGTTTGATGAGAACGGCTTTGATCCGTTCAAGAACTTTTAGCGAGTGTTTTGAAAATACCATCTTGTACAGTGGGCCATTTCGGTTTTGTCTAGATGTCGGGGCGAGCGATCGCAGGGAGGTCTTTTGTATATAGGCGAGGAGTTGGCAGTCTAAGCTGTATATATGGGCAAGACTGGGATGATGTGGATCTGTACATAGTGTAAAGATCGACCTCATCTTGTACAAACATTTCTTCGAGCACAAGATATTGCTCCTTTGGGACATTCACATACTCAAACTTCCAAGTCCGTGCACTCTGCTATACCAACCCCGCGTGACCCGCGTCGTCTCGCGTCTTCCCACACCACGTCTCAATACAGCAACGATTTCTGCAAAGACCATGGACGAAATAGACGACATTCTCGCCTCTGTATCCGCGCCCACAGTCCCGCAGCGCACACGCGACCTCCAGGCGCTGACGCGAGCATGGGTCAACGAGCGGACATCGCCAGACCTACTGCCATATCCTACACCACTTGTTGACCGCGTGATGGACCGGGTAAAGAAGCAAGTAAGGACTCATGACAATACACAGTGATTGAATGGAGTGCAAGCTGACCGCAGCCAGTGTAGATAGAGACGATCGAAGAGATTACTGGCACATTGGATCCGAAATCGAACTTTACGCTGGTCATACTACAGACTGAGCTGGAACGTTTCAAGTTTCTTGTGAGATCGTTCTTGAGAGCGCGAATAGCCAAGGTACGTTCAGCAATGCATACAGGCCGGAAGCGTAGTGCTAACATACAACGGTCTAGATCGACAAATACCCCATCCACTACCGCGATCTGACCCTCACCGACCTCTCGCTCCTCTCACCTTTGGAACAGCAGTATCTCCAATCCCACCAAGCCTTACTGTCAGCCCACTACAATGGCTCGTTCCTAGCCACCTTTCCACAAGCGCTGCAGAAGCTGGACGATACAGCCGGTGGTGTGAGTATGGTCGACAAGCCAGACGAGGAGACTGCGGTTTTCTGTCGAGTGCTGCGGGATGCTGGGACGGTGGAGATTATGGGCGAGACGGCGACTACGGATGTTGACTTGAAGAGGGGGGATCTTTGGCTGTTGAGGTGGAGTGCGGTGAAAGATGCTACGGTGAGGGGGGATGTTGAGCTGGTGTGAGCATGCAGGAGCACGGCGAGGCGCAGATGGCGGAAGTTCGAAGTATACGAGACTACAGGTCGCGGCATTTGGCTCTCGATGGACCGAACGACTACTACCTTGCGCTCTCCGGAATGGCGTGGGTAATGGCTCAGCTGGCTTCATGGTCAGATGCTCAGAATCAAACTTCACGGCTCTTGTTTCAGAAGTTTTCGGGCTATGGAATATGTACAGAGAAGATTTCGCAAAGCACACCTCGCTCAACACCACCGAGCAACGTCTACACGTAGACATACTCGACCTCGCAAGTCTCGGAAGGCGCTGGTGGGGCGGAAGAAGACACTGCCGCACCACTGCTGCTAGGCGCCATGCTGGAGTACGCAGCACTGGAATACGCCATGCTAGAGTACGCTGCGCTTGACACGGCTGCACTGCTCGCAGCAGCACTGGACGCCGGCGCGCTGGACGCACCTACACTGCTTGGTGCTGCACTAGACGATGCGGCGGCGGCGGAGGACGACGAAGGGGTCGGTTCAGGCTTGGTGGTCGGCTTGGGTTCGGAAGTCGGCTTGGGCTTGGTGGTGGGCTCGTCTGTCGGGGCCGGCGCTGGAGAGCCACCAGACGCGGAGCACCCAATTCGCTTCGAGTCGATGGCCACATCGTCGTACCAGAAGGTGTCGGTGGTGCCCGAGTAGGATTCCCATCCAAAGTAGACACCTTGGATGTCTGGCTTGTAGCTGTTCAAGTGGTCAGTAACGCCTTCAAGACAGAAATGGACCTTGCTGTTCATTAAAACTCACCTAGTACCCCACCCATTGGCATTGGCGTTGCTGCCACCGGGCGTGAACGTGAGACCTGGCACGGCCTTGCTGTCGATCCAGGTTTCGATCGTGCCGTCGGAGCTCAGGTGGTACTCCAAACACTCCCAGGTGTCAGTCGGGATCCCTGCCGAGGCGGCGATACCATCTGGCGAGAGATCCGGCATGGTGGCATCGTCGTCCTCACGGTTGTACTCGATGATGTCCATTTGCCCACTCAGGCGCAGGTGCTTGTCCGCGCCTAGGCCGGAGTCCGGCATGACGATGAAGGTGACGTGCGGGTCGCCGAGGGCTTTTTCGTGCTTGCTGGAATGTCGTCAGAACATCCACTGGCCTCTCCCGTGTATTGTAGGACTTACAGCCACGTCCTCACGTAGACATCACCACCAGACGGGACCTCCGTCGTGCCAAAGAAAATGTGTCCACAGAAGCCGTTAGAACCGCCGACAACCTTCATAGAGTTCTTGCCGCTGTGGGCGGTGGTGCTGTCGAGTGTCACGCTGCCACCTTGGTTGCATTGAGGTGCGTAGATAGGCCAGATACTTTTGTCCCATCCGTTCTCGAAGTCGTCGGAGATCTGGGCAAGAGAGATGGGTACAAGGGCCGCCAGGGCGAGAAGAGAAGATTGAACAAACATCTTGAACGATGGTTAAACGAATGTAAACGATCGGTATGAACAACAGCAAGCTGAATGGCACGAGCAGGGAGAGAAGAAGGGAATGGTACTTATTATATCGCCCAGTCTCTAGTAGATCGTGTATCCATGGCCAGATCACAGGAGGTGTCTATTTTGCCAGATCCGCCTTCGGCTGCAGTGGAAGGAAAACGGGCTGTCTCATATCTTACACGCTGTCAAGATGAGACCGGTGCCGCTGTCACGCGAGGCGCGAAGCAATATATAAAGAATGAGAGGAGTTTCAGGCTCATCCTGCTGTAGGCGCTGCAATTTGATTGAAACACGTGCTTGATTGCTTGGGAAAGCTTGGGTGGCTAGACCGAACCGCGAAACCGCCACATACTCATGTCCAAATCCTTCAAAACGATTATTCCCATGGTGCTCAGTTAATGGAGAACGAAAGACGAGAAGTTTGATATAAAATCGCATTCAGAAAGGTCATACAGCCCGAGCGAAAATCATACGTCGTGGTTAGAGATGGTATCTCGAATGCAGACCCTCCAGCACAGCGCCAACGTCACAAAACTGCATGCCAGCACTAATGCGACTTGAGCCAGTCGAGCATCTGCTTAAATGCCTCCTCCTGAGACTGCTTGATCTTCTCATCATCATAGTCGCCGTACACTGCAAACCCGTGCGGTACCCCGGGATAGACCTTCATCTCATGCTCGAGCTTCTTCGCTTCAAGCGCCTTCTTCCCTTCGTCGCGTATGTGGTCGGGAAACAAGCTGTCGTCTTTCACTGCAACGATGCAGAGAGGCACGCTTACACCCTCCAGGTCCTCTTTACCGATCTGGGTCCCGTGCGCGATGGCTCCTGCCTTGATCTGCGCACCTTGCCTCACCATACCTTCTTCCGCAGCAGCGTCGGGGCTTCGCAGGCCGGATGCTGCTTCTTTGTCGAGTTCACTTCCGAGCAGGAGGACGTATCTCGCTCCGAAGCAGTATCCTACGGCGTAGATGCCACCGCCATTAGCTACAGCATCGGCAAACTCCTATACGTAGAAGCGGGTAATTGATTAGCAGATGCCTCGAACGGCGGGAGCGATTGAGAGCATACCTCCTTGACAGATGTGATGACTTTCTGCAAGATCGGGAGAACCTTCTCTGGAGTGTGGCGGGCCAACCACATGTCGATGGTGAAAGATTTGGCCACGGAAGCAACTCCCAGCTTGACCTGCTCCAGTATGCCAGCGCTCTGTTCGGCCTGCGCAGTTGTGGTGGTGGTGGGCGCCGGGTCACCGGCGAATCTAGGTGGATATGGGTTAGACATGACGTTCCACCATGCCGTAGTGCTTGTAGCTTACTGATCTGGCATCACAACAAGAAAGCCTTCGGATGCGAACTTGTCAGCCTGCAATTTGTTGTTCGTGCTCTGGATGCCGGTGCCTCCTGTGAGAAGCAGGAGCAGCTTCGATGGCTGGTGTGGGTAGTCGGCAGGCTTTGTGATGTACACGTCGATGTCGCCATACTTAGTGACCTCCTGCTTTGTCTCAGCATTTCTCTATATCGTGTGGGCGAACAGTGGAAGGTCATACGCCAGTAGGTGACTCGCCGGCTGCTGTGAGCAGTTAGCCTGCTGCTGTCCACTCTTCGCTCATATCTGGAGCCGTACGAGTTGGTCTGTCTGTCACGCAATGCTCCTACGTGAGTTCAGCTTCTCAACTTGGTAGTAGATATGTCCTGATCCACATACTCCCATGCTCGCAGCGCCCTGATCAGGCTGGCTGTCTCCAGGTATCCCACTGATCTGCTCGGCTGCCGTCTTGTTCTCCTCTTGAGCATCGCTTTCTGGTGCCTTCGTGGCGACGCCGTTGTCTGCCATGGTCGCGGTGTGGTTTGGGACGTTTTCTACAGTGTTGGTATAGGCGGGAGGTGGAGGTGAGGTCCAAGGATGCCGTTGCTAGGGCTGAATGCAGCTGCCTCGTGGTCTGGACTTGTATAAATGACAAGTTATTCAAGACAAGTCCCAAAGACCGGACGAGTCGAATATACACCCATAGGATCAACCAAGCTACCTGCTATTTACTCAATATACACTTCGTGCTTCAGCCATCCGATCGGGTCGTACGCAGCATGGACGGTGTTGTGTTACCATCGACAACAACTACACCGCCCAACAGCCAAACCTCTGGATCTATTGTCTTAAACCTCCCATATGAGCTGCGGCAACGAATACTACGCTATGCTACACACCGCCACGAAGGCTGGTTCGACATCCAAAGCACCAAAGTCTCGCAGGACATGAAGTTCCGATCCGGCTCGCTCTGTGCCATCTTCGCCGTGTCTCGCAGCCTCAGGGATGAAGCTCTGGAAGCATTTTACTCGATCAACTCATTTCTATGGACCATAGAGGTCGACAACGAAACACGATCGGATCCATGTGACTACCCAAAACATTCGAGCGAGGCACAAGGTCCGCTGACGCCCATCTCTCCGTGGCGATATCCCTATCTGTTCAAACATATGAGACATCTCAGCCTCAACTTGGTACTCCCCTCAAATCCAGCAGATCGTGAGGCATGGCGCAACGTGTTACCCACACTATTGAGCACTCTCTGCGAGAAGATGGACGGCGGTCGGCGGCTTCGAACACTATGGATCAAGATCACAACGAAGAGAATACAGAGAAGACCAATCTGGTTCAATGCCGATCAGCAAGCTGCCTTACAGGTTCTTTGGGACTTTCAAGTGCGCGGCAAAGCGAAAGTGTTCTCGGCGAGTGCCTACCGCGCGGCCATCAAACCTCTGGACCTGGAACACAAGATGAAAGCTTAGCATTTGCTCGACTTTATGGCAAGCAGTTGCGCTGGGTCGTCACTGGCGGAATTTTGGTCATGCAATCGAACAAGAGTCTCGACAGAATTGTTCTTCGTGCTATGCTGGACTGCTGCTCGCACGACTTCAACGCTGTGCCATCTCCGGCTGGTTACACAACCTTTTCTGCCGCTTCCTCACACGGAGCAGCTCAAAGAGAAACAACGAAGCGACGATATACGCCAGGCCAGCGAAAATCTGCGGATACAAATATCCCCACCTCCCCTTTTCTGGCCTTCTGAGGTACAACGCAATAACCTGGTACGCGTCAGCGTTTGTTACCAGACAGGCGCTGGGATATTCCTACCTCTGCGAAGGTACACGGCAGTACCGTCGTCAGCCATTGGAGCGAAAGGAAGGATGGAACTTCTCTAAGGCCTGCGACTTCAGCACACAGTGGCCCAATCGTCTGTTGAGCTCGGTCAGCGTGGTTGTACAACGTCCGACTCAGCGCTTGCTCACCATCCAGAAGGTCCCGAGACTTGCCCCGGACACTATCGCAAAGAATATCATGACTCCGTAGTCAATCGCTGGTACCCATATTGCGAAAACTATGATGCCATTGAACAAGGTTAACCCGGCGGCGACCTCGATTCGACCGAATCTGTCGGATGCCAGACCGATGCACGGACGTCCAATACCTGTGCCCAGATTCAGAATAGCAGTCAGAACGCCAGCTTGGCTCTGTGAGAGGCCAGCCACTTGAACTGCGTAGTTCGAGATGCTGTAGAGGATGATCATATATCTGATGGGCAGAAGGGTTAGCAGGTGTCTCGACAGTTGGAACGAAGTTGGACCTCCGAGGTGTCTCCGTTCGACGTACCCAAACAGATTAACGAACGTCCATGACATAAGCAGAAAGCAATCATAGCGCTTGAGGAGGTGCACCGCGAAGCCGAGCTGTGGTGGCTTGACGATATGGTTGCGATCTCGTACCAAGATGGTGCTGATGCCATTGCCAATGAAGCACAAGATGCCAGTCTGCGGACAGAAGCGACCATGCGTCAGTTTGTGGACCATTTGCGTACACATTAATTCCTGACTTACGATACGCAACGCCCAGGCCACGGACAGCTGCTCTATCATGGCGCTTGTCCCGAGACTGAACGCAAGGCCTCCGAACCCAGACCCACAAGAAGCGAGGCCCTGAGCAAGACTTCGCCTCTTGAGAAACCATTGCGGCAACACTGCAATGGCAGGAATGAAGATGGCGCCCATGCCCAGGCCTACCATGACACCCTGGGTGAGATACAGCTGCCAGATTTGCTCCGCGAAAGAAGCTGCAATGTAGCCACCTGCCATCGTGAAGACACCGACGGTCATTACGGCCGACCGACCAAACTCGCGAGTCAGGATGGTACAGGCCGGTGATATCAGCATGCAGGCTCCGAACTCCAGGCCACCGATGAAGGCGTAATCGAGCGCAGTCGCTCCTTCAAAGAACGAGTTCTCGAGGTAGTAGGAGAGGAAGACTCCATAACTCTGTTGTCGTTAGCGGCAGCCAGACTACGATATGCTCATACTCACCGCTGCGACTCCCCCTTTGTTTTCATCGCACAGTGATTAGCATAAGTTCCTTCTCATGTGGCAGTCTTCTTACAGGTAAAGCCGTTCATCATTGCCAGGGCAAAGACAACCACCTGGACGCAGAGGTTGTCAGCAGTTGTCGTAGGCTTCGTATCCTCAAGAACTTACCCATCCGTAACCGCCCTCGGGAGGAGCATCGTCAGGAAATGCCACCACAGGCGCTGTTTCGCCATTTACGCTGTCGATGTGGTTTTCCTCCTTGGACGCTCGAAGCCATAGTCTCCCCATGGTACACCTAATGCTGCAGTTCGTGCAAGCTGTCCGATGTCGGCGGTGACACAGTCGTTAGCACCAAATGCTGTGGAATGACCGACTTGACAAGCTGAATTGAAGTAGTGACAAAGAATCGCAATGAAGGTTGGAGTATATCATTGAGTCCTCTGAACTCTCCGTGGACATATCCAATTCGAATTGCTAAGATCTGCAATGGCAAGAGCTGCCGGTTATTCTACCCGCGCGAGCTCGCCGAGCGTGATCGGACAGAAAACCGAGAGATGTTGTGACTACAAAACTACAAGCTTCCATTTCTCCAAGCACATAGAAATGTGTCGAAGCGAAAGGTGTAGTCTAATGTCTCGATTCCCTCGACACAACTATGGGTGGTATCAAAAAAGCACTATGGCCGCCGCCAACTCCATCCCCTACTCACAAGCCTCCAGCTCAGCTATGCCCATTAACCATCTTCTGCTTCTGCTGCAGCGCCTGCTTCTCCTCCGCCGACATCTCTCCATTCTGCCCTTGGGGCATCTGAGCCAACCACGCAGGCGGCTGAATTCCCGTCTGATCGTGGATGGTGCTGAGCAGCGGAGGCAAGCTCTGGAACAGATTCCTGATCGGCGCAGTCGAATCGACACCCTCCTGGTTGCCGGTATTCCAGACATTGATCTTTGGCTGCAGTCCGTTGATGGCCTTCGCGTTCTGGGCTGCGAGCTTCTCGTGCACGCCCCTCTCCAGCATGAGGAAGTTCAAGAGGCCTTGCGGTCCGCCCATGACGTTGGCGAGCGCATCATATGCTTCGGCCATCTCGATAAGACCTTCGGACTCTTTCTTCTGCGCCAGGTACGACGCCTCAGCTTCCTTTTGCTTCGCGAAGAAGTCGGCCTCTGCATCGACACGTCGTCCTTCGGCTTCCTTGGTCCGCTTGAAGAGCTCTGCTTCCGCGTCACGAGCACCACGCTGGTACACCGCCTCGGTCTCAGCATTCTGGTTGTATTGGTGCGCATCGGCCTGCTTTTGAGAGGAGTAGTAGTCGGCATCAGCCTTCTGCTCCGCAGATTCACGAGCAATCTTTGCTTGCACAACAGTCGTAGCACGCAGCCTCTCCAATTCCATGCCAGCACGCTTCTCCTCGACACCCTTCTGTAGCTCTGCATCTCTCTCCTCCGCTGCGCGCGAAGCCGCAATCTGCTCAAGGTCGATCTCGCGTGCGATCTGGATCTCCCTCGACTTGAGCTGTGCGTCTGCGTTGGCCTTCTCGACTTTGCGCTCGGTGGCAAGGACGGCAGTCTGAGCATCGATTTTCGCAATCTTTTGTTTGGTTTCGCCATCCTTCTCCGCCTCACCGATGCGTCCGATCATGCGAGCATTGGCGACGTCGACCTGTGCCTGGCTTTGCGCGCCTTCATGTGCTTTGCGAGCCAGCGATTCGAAGTAGCGCGAGTCTCCGACGTCATGTAGCTCCTTGACGTTGGCGTTGTAAATGCGTAGGCCGAATTGGTCGAGTCTGCGCGCAAAATCTGATAAGCATTTGCCCTCGCTAGACGGTCTCCCGTAGCCACTTACTCCTTCTGAACACACTCAATGACCTGCGCCTTGAAAAGCCTGCGGTTGTTGAACAGCTCCTCCATGGTCATGTTCGAAACGATCGATCTCGTTTCGCCTTCGATGATGCCTTTCACGATATCCTGCACATGGTTGCGACCTGTAGCGACCGTGCCGCTCTTCGTTTGCACACGGCCATCCGAGTCTCCGGTAAGTAGAACAGCGTACTTTGTCAAAGCTTCGACTTCGTCGAGGGGCCCGATGGTGAAGACGGCCGGAAGCGAGAACTGCAGCTTCTCAGATGTCATCGCTGTGCAAGATCCATAATTAGGTCTTGGAAATGTGACACTTTGGTAAGTTACGCACCTTGCAAACTCATGGAAAAGTCGAATGGAGTGATCGAGAGCTTGGTGACCTTTTGCAGTGGCCATACTATGGTCTTCTTGCAGATGCGGACTTTGTCGATGTTCAAGCCGGTCACAGCGAGGTAGCTGTTCGGCTCGGAGACGTGATACCACATCTTTGCGGTTGCCAAGGGTAGGTAGGATAGTTAGGAAGGTTTCAATGATTGTGGTGTGTCGGTGTGAGTAGAAATCTGAGGAACGAAGGACAACTGGTGAATCGAGCACGAGCCTGAATCTTGTAACGTGGAGACGAAGTCAGGAGGAAGGTGGTGCAGCGCAAGGATCTTGTACCTGTATATATATTGAAGGTGAGTCGCTCCCCAGGGCACTGCTTCCGCTCAGCCCGGTGGAGGCACCAAGCAATCCTACCGCAATGGGGTGGTGCTGCGCAGTAAGCCTAGTGAAATATGGCCTTCTACGGCTCACGGCACAGCCATATGCTCTCTCGTGAAGAGTCATTATCTTTGCGGTCCCCAGGAGTGGTTGAATATGCAAGGCCGTACTATGTCGTGACCGTCTTGGCACGCGGGCCAGTCAGCCGAAGCGCGCTAGTGCCTGGCTCAGCCTTGCCGTGCTCCCTTGGCTGCAAGGCGGAAGAACGGTTGTCGGCCTGCGGTAGCAAGGTCAGATACTTTGTGAGCAAATCTGAGAACGACCATGGGTCAGCCGGCTGCTGCGGTATAAAGTCCTCGGCGGTGCATGGCCGTCCAATCGCTGGTGCGACGTTGGTCACGATTTGACTTCAGCTCCCTCAGGCAACGGATCCGGGCTGTGCACAGTCCTCCGACGGGCCTGTAAACACTCGTGATCACTCCTCCGAAGTTTGCTCGTGTCTGTGGATGCCGAGCTCCGGTCGATACCAAGCTGCACAAGACTCCTTCCGTTCATACGACCTCAGCAGTTGCAATCTTACGCCAGCACTAATCTTTCCGAAACATGGACGATCGCGATGCGCCGCCAGCGTATGAAGAGCAGCAATCGAGTTTGGCGCGAGGCAACGAAAGGGCGGGATCGAAGACTTCCCAGCGCTTCAGTATCAGAGAAGAGGTCGGGACCAGCAGAGCGCAACACGTGGCGGCTTTGGTCTCGAGATTGATACCGGAAGTTCGAGAGCGAGCGAGAAGAGGTCTGTCGATTTCGAGGTTATTGCTACTGCCATCAGATCAAGGTATGGCCTTTAAGAGCTCATTGACACAGACCTCCACTGATCAGCATCTTAGACGCAAGCCGCAAAGGCGTACTCGTTAGCTTTCCAGAAGACGAAATACCAATCGTGATCCAACTAGAGGGCCGTCAGGACACGATTGAATTTTGGACTCAACAAGAAGCCGTCGACGAATTGCAAAGACAGATGTTTGGGGCAGTCACCGACAGCGTACCTCATCGAGCAGCAGAGCAGCCGTTACCTTCTCTGCCAATTTCACCTCCTTCACGACCATCTTTCTTCTCTCGCAAGCAGAGCAAGGCGCCACATACCGATCCAGGCACGAGCACGATCCGGTCACCGATGGTCGTGGAGGCACTGTTGGACGACGTGCATTTTCGGTCCGAGAACGAATACGGCTTATTCGAGACGATGAAGGGGAGGGGCGTGCTCCTGATAGTGACTGTGCGATGATCTGGGTGGTAGACGGCGGCATAGTCTATCAATTGGGTCCTGGAAGTGAAGTCCTTGATAGTCTCTGATGGTGCTTCATCCAGCTGCGGCAGTCGCTTCCTCCTTCTTCTCACCTTCAGCATCAAAGCCTAGACCGTCCAGCTGACGCACAAGCTCGTTGATCTTGATGACCTTCTCCAACTGCTCTGGGAGGAGGCTGCTGCCTTGATCCTTCTTCTCTTGCAGTTCTCGCGCCTGTCGCAACTTCTTGGCAAGCTTCCTGGCCTCCTTTGCCTTCTCAGCCTCTGGATCAATCTCCTCCTGCTTGGGTTCTGAAGTTTTGCCATTGGTTTCGCCGGTGACCCCATCCACTGCCTTGATACCGTCCCCATCCTCACCGTCGCCAGTCTTGCCATCCACTGCAGCTGCCCCAGCTTTCTTCCTCGCCTCCCTCCTTTTCGCATTCTTGTTCGCTGCAGCACTCAGTGTTGGCTGGGATGTGACGGTCTCAGCACCTGGCACACCGCCCTTCCCTCTGTTCTTCCACGCCTCAGCGGTGCGGTTCTTGTAGACTTCGACGTCCTCCGGCGGCTTGTAGCCTGGCTTGACCCGTATTTCCTTGCGCACTGAACCATCCGCTCGAGTGGAAGATGGGATCACAGACTCGCCATTGCTCGTTTGCCGTATGCCGGAGTTGGTAACGGCGGATTTGGGAGGCATGTCGCATAGAAGCCTGTGGCGTGCACAATGGACCAAGTTGCAATTTCCGCTGGAGACAGTGGCCCCGACTGTCCTGCTCCGATTTAAGTAGGGTCAAGGCCGCATTGGTGGCATCGTGGGAGTGTTGTAACGTGGTGTCTGTAGGTAGAAGGTCGTTCAAGTGAGCGATATGGCGGTGCGCACGGATCACCCGACCTCTCCCGAATCTTCAACTCCAAGCCAGACTTGCACCTCCCTTCGCGCAACCCACCAGCGACAACACCTCCACTGGCCCAGGTACAGTTCAACCGACAGCTCCTCAATCTCCCACACATCTGCCAGTCATGGCCGGCGTCCTCGGCGGCATCTACAAGTACGAGCACCCTGAACAGCTGCCACTGGACCCATTGAACCAGGCTAATAGCTTAACACAGCTCCATTGTCAAGCGGAACGCCGTCTTCCTTACCACAATCTTTGCTGGTGCCTTTGCGACCAATATGTACGAGACGGTCCACGAGCCTTGCCAGTAAGAGCCAAACTAATGCCATTAACAGCATCTTCAACATCGGCGCGGACTCGGTATGGGACCAAATAAATAAGGGCGTACGTGGCACCGTGGACAGAAGGAGTATAGAGCACGACTAACGAACATACAGCGACAATGGAAGGACATCAAGCAACGGTATATGGGAGATCAGGAGGAGGAGGACGAGTGACCGGACACGGAGGCAACCACATAGGGCGATCATGCGGCCTACGAGGACGTCCAACTGTGCTGTAACACCACTGTATAGACAAAAGAAGCCGCGGATGGGTTTTTGACATGGCCTGTTGAGACATCTGGTGGCATGTGAAGGGACTGCCGCGTAGATACTCCGCAAAGCATGTGAAATCACCAAAGTCTGCACATATGTTGGCGATATTATGTGAAGCCAGATAAACTCGTCCTATCCCGTCCATCTTGGTTCTACAAGAATGCAGTATTCACTACAGGACCCATGTGAAGGTGTTTTCTTACGTCATATTTTTGCTACACCTTGAGCAGTTACCTCGAAACGCGGGCATCTGTTGCATCTTTCCAACTGTCACACTTGCCATCCCGAACGCCACCACGCCTGATCCTCCATTCGCCAGAGTCGATCTGCTCCATCAGTCATGAAGATCACCTAGCTACGAATCGAACACCTCACAACATCACTGGACGATCGTTGCGCTTGTGAAGGTCGGATGCCCGGCGTGCTGCAACAACGACAATAAGAACGTCTTCTACCAACACAAGGGCAATCATGATGGCCCCGTCGCCAGAAGAGCACTTCCTACTCAATGAACTGCTCGAACACCCGAAGCGCCACGCCTACCGCTACACTCACGCGGCTGCCTGCCAACTCCGCCAGATCCTCTTCAAGTCGCTCGCTAAGCAGCGAGAAGACTACCTCCGCCTGTTCTTCCCAAATGGCCCGCCAACAGACCAGTCACAGCCATGGTCGCTTCGTGATGCACAGGGAGCCGTAGACGGCGCAGAGTACACGACCGCAGCCAAAGGCACAGCTTGCGGGCATATCTTCAGAACCGGGGAGAGCACATATCACTGCAAAACTTGTGCTGCCGATGACACTTGCGTACTCTGCGCCAGGTGCTTCGAGTCCAGTGATCATGAGGGTCATGCGGTATTCATCTCCGTCAGTCCTGGGAACAGCGGGTGCTGCGACTGCGGAGATGCGGAGGCCTGGAGGAGAGAGGTGAAGTGCACCATACACTCCGCAGGTGCTGGGCTGGAAGAGGAGGAAGAGCAGGTCAGGGACAAGGCGAAGGGCAAGGCGCCATCTGGGGTGGTTGGACGCGACCTACCGGATGAGCTCGTCGCAGCTATACGCATGACTGTGTCAAGAGCCTCTAACTATCTATGCGACGTATTCTCTTGCTCTCCCGAGCAGTTACGGCTACCGAAGTCGGAAGAAGGCATACGGCAAGACGAGCAAGCGTCGAGGTTACGGGGAATGTATCATTCTTCTAAAGAGAATGAAACGGACGACAAAATTGAATACGCACTACTTCTCTGGAACGACGAAAAGCACACCGTGGACGAGGTTCAGAACCAAGTCGCCAGAGCGTGCAAGCAGAGCAAGAAATTCGGCTATGAGAAAGCCATGGAGGTCGACGATGTCGGGCGGTCTATCGTATATTACTCGACCGACGTACCGGACCTGTTGCAGAAGGCTGGGATTCTGGAGCAGTTGAAGGTCACCGTCACCATACGATCGTCGCGGGACACCTTCCGTGAGCAGATGTGCGCCACCATCACCGAATGGATCTCGGACATTGCTGGATGCTCGGTCGGCAGCGACTCCCAGGTTCTGCGTACCATTGTCTGCGAGGAACTTTTGAGCCCTTGGGAAGCCGGGAGCTACGCCAGTAACAAGGATGTGGGCAGGGAGGGAATAGACGACCACGAAATCGACGAGAACGAGCGGCTGCGCAAATCGTACAGGCGGATGATGGAACCGCTTCAGCTCGCGGCGAATGTGCGACGAGTCGTCATGGACCAAAACGGCGACATCGTTGAGGATCTGGGTCCTACTGTAGAGGCTGATGATGATGACGATGACGAAGACGAGGATCAAATGGACTATGATGAAGAAGACGAAATGGATGTCGAGCTTGACGATACCGACGATCTCGCCAACGCCGCTCTGGCAGCGGCCGCTGACGCAGATATGGATGTTGAATATCCGGATGATAACGAGGACATGACCGAAGCACTCGAGGCAACGATAGCTGGCTATCCTCCGCCACCTCCACCTCCCGCCGCCAGCCGACGGAGACAAATACTGACACCCACTGAGAGCGAGGATGGCGATCATGCCGAGCCGGCACCATCGACGTCAAATGAGCCTTACAATGTCGTGCCCAAGACACCTAAGGTCAAAGCCGGGAAGCAGAGGTCGCTTCGACCCAGCAAGCACTGGCTGGTAAAGCCTTCAGGCTTCAAAGGCCCGCGCCCAAGCGAGCCGTGCGAGAACATCTGGCAGCGTGTCCGCTTGGACTACTTGATCCTGTACGATCTGAGGCTTTGGAAGTCCTTACGAATCAACCTCCGCCACCTTTACATCACGACCGTAGTCACCATTCCGTACTTCAAGCGCATACTGGGGCTGCGCTTTGCGGGCTTATACACAGCGCTTGCTCAGTTATACTTGATCGCGGATCGCGAGCCCGACCATAGCATCATCAACCTCAGCATCCAGATGCTGACAACACCTACCATCACGCAAGAGGTCGTCGAGCGTGGCAACTTCCTGACGAATCTGATGGCCATCCTCTATACCTTCTTGACAACACGACAAGTCGGCTTCCCAGAAGACATCAGTCCTCGCGCAACCTTGGCTTTCGATGCCGGCGCTGTTACCAATCGCCGGATGTTTCATTTCTTCATGGATCTGAAATGGCTCTTCCAGTCTGAACTCATCCACCAACGCATGCGAACCGAGCAGCACTATTTGCTTCAGTTCTTGGACCTGGTGAAACTGCACCAAGGCGTATGCCCAAATGTCAGAGCGACTGGAGAACATGTCGAGTACGAGTCCGATGCGTGGATCAGCGCAAGCATGATCGTCAAGGAGATCAACAGGCTGTGCAAGCAAATCGCCGCGTCGTACGCGCCGAACGCCGAATCCGATGGTAACAACACGTACCTGCAGCGAGCAATGAGGACTGTTGCGCAAGTCGCCATGATTAACTCCCTTGGCTACGAGCGCAAACGGTTCAGTGCTGCGGAATTGAAAGAGGACCTTACATGGCATAATGTTGGGCCATTCGAGGACAGCCAGAAGACATACAGTGTGCCGAAGCATGAGGTGCAGTCAGAGCCGATGAGCTTCCATCATCCGCTGCATTACCTACTGTCATGGCTCATCGAGGGTGGAAAGGGCTTCAGCAGGGAGCAGGTACGGCGTCTGCTTCACTTCTCAACTGAAGACCTCAAAGACCCATGGAACGCAAGCCGTAGTGCGATGGTAGCGGGCAATCTCTCATCTGACGACCTGCTGTCTGCGATCTTCGATCATCCGCTCCGCGTCTGTGTCTGGCTTGCCCAGATGAAGGCTGGTATGTGGGTGCGCAACGGTATAACTCTACGGCATCAAGCACACACCTACAGGAGTGTATCGCACCGGGATGTTGGCTATCAGCGAGACATCTTCATGGTGCAGGCTGGGCTCGTGCTTTGCGGTTCGGACAATGAGCGCCCCGGCGAGCGCTTCCTTGCTCAGATGATCGATCGCTTCCAGATGGTCAGTTGGTTTCAGGGCAACTACAGCCTTGTCCCTGGCTTTGAGGAGTCCCAGCAGATTGATGTTCTGGAAGACTTCTTCCACCTCCTCATCGTTGCGCTTTGCGAACGAAGCAACCTCAGCCCGGACATTGACGAGAAGGCGCAACATGCTCGACTACTGCAGCACGACATTGCACATGTGCTGTGCTTCAAGCCACTGTCCTATTCTGAGCTCACCGCTCGACTGACCGAGAAGGTTCACGACTCCGACGACTTCAACAGCGTCCTGGAAAGTATGACCACCTATCGACCGCCAGAAGGCATGAATGACACCGGGACCTTCGAGCTCAAATCGGACTTCATCGAGCTGGTCGATCCTTACTACGCGCACTACTCTCGCAACCATCGCGAAGAAGCCGAGAGCATCTACAGAAAGCACATAGCCCGCAAGACCGGCAAGTCGGCTGAGGACGTTGTTTATGAGCCAACCCTTCAGCCCATCACTTCTGGTCTTTTTGCCAATCTGTCTGCGTTTACTTCGACACCACTTTTCGCGCAGATCCTGACGATGGCGTTGGAGTATGCTGCATGTCTCAAACAGCACCTAACGGCTCAAAAGACTCAGCTTCCGGTCACACGGGTCGAGACACTGTTGCATATGGTTTTGCATTTGACCTTGCTCGCGACTCTTGAAGATGCACAGCACGATCGTGAATTCATCAAGCTAGCAACAGCATCACAGGACTGGTCTTCGAGGCGTCAGAACTCGATCGTCTCCGTGTTGATCGATCTATCGTCTATGGAAGAGTACGCATCCTGTCGCCCGACCATCAAGCACATACTGCGCAAGATGCAACTGCAGCAGCCAGAGAAGCTCACTCAAGTCATTGGTCCTTTAGGCGCACTGTTGGACCGGGGAGATAGTAGCTCCCCGGCTTCGGTATCGCAAGAAGACAAGGAGCGCAAGAAGCAAGACGCCTTGGCTCGACAAGCGAGGGTTATGGCGCAGATGAAGCAACAGCAGAACAGCTTCTTGGAGAATCAAGGCTTGTCGGGGTTCGAGGATGACATCGATGATGTGGACAATATGTCTATTACAGACGAGCCGGAGTCGTTCGAGCAAAAGAAGACCTGGAGCTTTCCAAGCGGTACATGCATCTGGTGTCAAGAGGAGACTGACGACCAGAGACTCTACGGTACGTTCGCGTTCTTGGGCGAGAGCGGTATCCTTCGATCGACTCCAATGGAAGATCTTGATTATCTGAAAGAAGTCGTCGACATGCCCGACAGTCTTGACCGACCAGCAGACCACATCAGACCATTCGGTGTGGCTGGCCAGAACAAGCGGACCGTGCAGAAAGTTGGTCCCGACGGCAAAGTTGTAGAGACAGAACGGATAGGTCTCTCGAAGGGCTTCCCGCACGACACGCACGAGAGCAAGGAGCCAGTCGCTACGAGCTGCGGACACATCATGCACTACAGCTGTTTCGAGCTCTACATGACGCACAGCAACAGGAGACACGCGCAGCAGATTGCGCGCAACCACCCGGACAACATTGACAAGAAGGAGTTCATTTGCCCGCTTTGCAAAGCGCTCGGCAATACGTTCTTGCCCATCATCTGGCAGGCGAAAGAGTGTACGCCGGAGCATGAAATGCACACTGCGAAGAGCTTCGGGGATTGGCTACTGGAACCCAAGGGTGCTGAGCACGCTTCGGTGACCGCTGGCCCCAGTATCAGCCAGTCTCCGTCGCCAAGTCAGGAGCAGCTGATGGATCGCTTCTCCCAGTATGTCAAGAACAACCTTGCACCATCCATGGTTTCAGGCATGCTCGAGCTCTCGATCCAAGCATCGACGCCAACGGCGCCAACTGTGCAGCCGCAAAGCTCACCGAGCCGCCACCCCCTACCACGCCTACCGTCAGGGATTGGTTGGCCGTTCCGTCGCAGTGGCAGTGGCAGCAATCATTCGGCAAACGAGACTCCGAGTCTATCTCGGAGCCCAGAGCCTCTCCCACGGATACACGAGCTCCACAAGGCTTACGCTCGCATGGACGACACGATCAGATTAAACCGAGCCGACAGTGCAGACTTCATTGGCTTCAGCCATAGAGATTCCATCTCCACACTGTCAAGGTCGCTCGGCATTTCGATCTCTGCCTTCGAAATTGCACAGCGCGGTATGAGCAGCGATCCATTTGCAACTTCCCTGCTCGCCGAAATGCCTGAGCAAGCGGTCACACATTTCCGCATCATGTCAGAAACCGTGGAATCGTACATGGCGGTCACGGTTTTGCGTTCGACTCCCACGCTCGTTGCGCCTGAGGTTGAGAAAAAGCGAGCGGCGGTGATGCGGCTTCTCTATGGGGCCGACGAGATTCCCGGGGCCCGCCCCTTCTTCGAAGACGACATGTTCTTGTTCTTCGTCGACTGGCTTTCGTTCATGGCACCTGACGTTGCGGCGGCGTCAAGTGTCTTGCAGATGTGCTTGTGGGCGGAAGTGGTCAAGGCAATGTTCGTTCTTCGAACGAAGCTGAAAGAAGAACACTTAGAAACCGCGAAGAAGCAAGATACGTCTTCTGCGCGAGTGTTGGGCCATTTTGAGGTAATTGCGCAAAGCCTTGATGCAGAGGACAAGAGCAACCCAAACAGCCTGCCGTCCCTCACGCCAGAGCAGACTGCATTGCTTCGGAGGATGGTGGACAAATACGCCCTGGCGTTCTTGCGAAAAGCCATCATCATCATGCACATCCGCTACGGTCTCGACTTCGACTGCCCGTACAACATCGATCCGGAGACCCCCGAGCTGCATAGACTCACGAAGCTGCTGCACATGCCATCGATCGACGAGATGGCCGAGCTGTTCTGTGGAAAGTCTGCAGCAGGCGACAGGCTACGTCACATCTCCTACCGCTGGGCATATCAAGCTAGGAATGTCGGCGTGCGCGACTGGATCACGATGCCGCACCCGGCCATCTTCGAGCTCGTCGGCCTCCCCAAGACCTACGACACCCTCACCGAAGAAGCCATCCGCCGCAAATGCCCCACGACGGGCAAGGAAATCACCGACCCGGCCGTCTGCCTCATGTGCGGCGACATCTTCTGCTCGCAAGCAACCTGCTGCGCGACGGAGAAGCGCTACGGCGGCTGTTACCAGCACATGGCCAAGTGCGGCGGCAAGATCGGCCTCTTCATCAACGTCCGCAAATGCATGGTGCTGTTCATGCATGGGCCGGGGAATGGGAGCTGGATACAGGCGCCGTATCTGGACAAGCACGGCGAGCCGGATCCTACCTTGAGACGGCACCACCAGCTGTTCTTGAACCAGAGGCGGTATGATAAGTTGATGCGGGAGGCGTGGTTGTTGCATCAGATCCCGACGGTGATTTCGAGGAAGTTGGAGGCGGATATTAACCCAGGGGGTTGGGAGACGTTGTAGGGAAGACTATACATCAGGATGGTGCACGGCGACGGTGGTCTGCAAGGCTCTCATATGTGGCGTTGGTTGTGTCCAAGGCGAGGGGCGGCGAAACGAAGCAGTGGCATGTGAGGCGGAGCACACCTCCTGCTGACCTGCGTTGGTTGCATGCATACGGGACCCACGAGCGACTTGAGTAATGATTTGTGAGAGTATCGAACGTACTTGCAACCAACATTCTACACTTAATAGCATCGACTCGACCGTACTGTCAATAGTCCGCCAAACCCGAGATCAATAAGATAAGGCTCGCATGCCACGAGTCAAATAGCAATGAACTCAGTGCATGATTCGGATTGAACGACCTGGACGGCCGGGCCCTTTTTGCATTGTGGCCGCGGTGCGTTCCTGTCGGAAGGATTCCAGCCCAATGGTGCAAGCCAGAACGAAAGGGTCGACACCATGCGGGCATCTGCAGGAGTTTTTCCGAACCTTCAATGAGCCCCCTGTCGCCATCTGGCAACGGTTTCTGCACGTTCTGCACGTTCTGCACGCCGACAGGAGACGAAAAGCTTGGGGTCTCAGCGAGTGTGCTTGGTCTTGTTGGTCTTTTCCACCAGGTTGCTGCGGAATATCCCCACCAGCCGGTAGTTGTGTTTGTTTGTTCATGTGATCGTATTGTACCTATTGTCATGTATAAGGACGTGTCATGGTAAAGGCAATGGCGAGTCGTTCAAGCAGATTGAGTTTTGGAGGGTTCGGTAGATGGCCTCATTTGTCCGATTGAGTCGGTGTTTTGCGGCTAGCCTTCGCGCCCCCTGCTCTGGTCTGCCGGCGCCGACCCTGAGAGTCCACAGGGCAAGGAGTGCCAATGCTGTTTTCCCCCATCTTCACCTCTGATCGTACCCTCTCCCACGCGACACCATACACGAGTGTGTGACGTCTTCATTGAAAGCGCCGACGACGTGCTGCTTACTGGCCCGAAAAGTGCAGCCATCGGGTTTTGGACCAGGCATCCCGGTCAACTCACCGCAGGAACTGTCAGGTCGAGCGCTTCATTGTCGCTTGGCGCCCTGCTTGAAACGGACATTGTGAAAGGACGACGGCGGCAGAGATTGAGGGTGTGGGAGCGGGAGCGAGGGGCGGTGTGTCGGGAGGGTCGTCTGGGAGTGACCACGCATTCATCTGATCTGGCCGACAACGCGAAGGCAATGGGCCATCCCGAATGAACAGGAGAAACAAGCGCGCGACAGAGTGGGACAGGTTACATATACAGCATACTGGAGATTCGGGTCGCACAACACTGCCGTGACCCTGTCGCTACCCCCCGTTGCACGACAGCGACGATCACGAACGCCCATTGCGACATTTCCAGGAGGAGCCGCATCCCGGGGTCCCTCGTATATCGGGTGGCTGATTGCCAGCTCTACCCACCGAGTGGGCAGCGTCTTCAGCGGCGTGGCCAGTGTGCTGGGGCGCACGCGTAGGGTGCTCCGGGGTCGACGAGAATGCCCACGGCGCATGGGAGTACTGCCTCCGTGTCAGCGGCGAGCACTACCAGTGGCGCCAGTGGCCCCTCCACCAAGAAGCACCGCTACTCCTCCCGCTCGGAGTCGCTGTCATCCGCCTCGGTGGTGACGGTGAAGCGCACTGGATCGCGCAGCTCCTCGAGCATCGGACTGCGCACCGCAGGACAACCAAGGGAGAAGAGTCCCAGTGATCTCCTCGCGCGCCGGCCGACTCAGGATTCGACCTCGCAAGAGCACAAACGGAGACAGAGTGTAGCGGCCGAACAACCAGAGCGAGCCAATGACGAGGGACTGACCAACCTCCATCGCTGGTCGCAGTCGACAAATTCTAGCGCCATGTCGTCGGGCCATTCGAGGCATCGAGCAAGCAGCGGCGCAGTACTCCCGAGTATACCCACGCAGCCATTTTCTCCGCACAAGAAGACTCGCAGTATCGTGGACCACTCGCCGCGCCCGAGCTCACAGCGACGCAGGACATCGTCCCGACCGAGCTCTCGAAAACGGCAGTCTCCAACGACCAGTCCAGAGCGGCAACGACGGCCATCGAGACCGGAGATCGCTATTCCTCTGACGGTGTTACCACCTCTACATACTACACCAGCGCTGACAGATCCGAACGATACCGAATCACCATCTACCATCCCCACAGTCGCGACACCGGCGAGCCAGTCGTCGTACGCACAGGACTACTTTGGGGAGGATGGGATATCACCGCGGAATAAAGGGAAGAACAAGAAGCCCGTCATGATTCGGAGTCACACCGCGTCGCAAGCAATTGGCACTTCCATGCGTTTGCAAGCTTCTGGGGGTGCGAACGAAGCTCGGCACAGCGCCATAGAAAGCCGGAATATGGGTGGTCAGGATCCTGATTTAAAGACGGGAACACTGAAGAGCAAGTATTCTGAGGCGATACCGGAGCACGAAGGATCGAGACCTTCGACAGCTGGCGAAGGCAGCGGACACAAGCGGACACGAACTGGAGAAAAGAGTGAGCGAGAGAAGAAGGCAATGCTGTCAAAAGCACTGCAGAAGGCAAATACGGCTGTTCTGCTGGACAATGCTCAGAACTTCGAGGGCGCACTCGAGGCATATACTGATGCGTGTAGGCTATTGCAGCAAGTAATGGACCGAAGCTCAGGACCGGATGACAAACGCAAGCTCGACTCGATACGTGTTACATACACGAACCGAATTGAAGAGCTGCGCCAGCTCGAAGCGGCTCAGCCGGAAGCATCGAATGAGAAGAGCCTGCCTACCAGACCGATGAGCGACGAGAGTCTACCATTGAGTCTGAACTCAGCGCGAAGTCCGACGATTGACGCGCATGTGACGGCTTCTCCTGTGGTGGAAACAACATCAACAGCACATGCTGTTCATCCCTTGGATCGGTCACGCGCGGCGCGGGATCGTGACAGCTTCTTCATAGGCACCATGCGAGCCGTCGATGCTGTTGAACGAGATCGAAATGCGTACGACGAGCCCCCCACAGCCCAGTTACTTGCAGAGGAGCCGACACCCAGACTATCGGGAGAAGCTCATGGGCCGATAGTAGCCATGCAAGAGCCATCACCAGCCCGGCGAGAGTCCGTCCGTGGAAGGCAGGCTGCTGAAGTACCGCCGCTCGACGTCGACGGCCTGCACATACCGCCGAACAAAAGCAGATACATGCCTGCCCCTCTTTCGCCGCGGAGACCTTCTATCCCTGAGCTCAAGTCGGCTGCCAATGACGCATCTCACGAGGAGCACACCGCCAACCACGATTCGACGATAGCAGACTTACCTGCCGGAGACGACAGCAATGCCTCTGGCTCCTGGCTCGATCCTATCGATGAGTCTGACTCGGACTGCGCTTCTTCTGTCCATTCCGTCTCTTCGAAGAATGGACTTCATCGAAAACATATCAGAGGTGCCAGCGGTGAGACTGACCCTGACTTTGATGCTGCTTTTGATGCTGCCGTGGAAGCCGCGTATGATGAAGGTTTTGAGCCTGACTTGGCAGGGAAGCGAAATGTCGAGCCGGCGGTTGCGCGGCATGTGGCCAAAGATTCGATGATCATTCCGAGTCCTGATATCAAGGAGATCCTGTCTCCCACCAACTCTTACCACCCAGGCGCCACACTCGACCTTGACCTGGATGATGAAGAAGAAGAGCGACTATTGGACGAGATCACTCATGACTATGCCCATTCGTTCAATTTCGACTTGTCCAGCAAATCTGCCCTACCAAGGCAATCCGACTCGAGCGGCTACTCCAGGAGTACATGGCAGAGCTCGCAAGTTTCGGATCGCACCACCGCTGGAACATCGCTGTCGACGGTGGCTGAGGATGCGCCTTCGAATGCGGGCTCGAAGAATGCATTCGCAGCAACTGCCTCCTTGAACTCGGTACTGTCCGAACCGCCTTCAGCACCTCCGCCTCAGGGTTCGTTACCAAAGCTGCCGAATGCGAACCAGAGTCAGAACCGTATGTCAGGTGTTCGCAGCCGTCGATTGTCTGGTCAAAATGCAAAGCAGTTGAAGATCGAGACTACTACGAAGCCTGAGCCCATATCGCGAGCATCGACTTTCCATCGTAACGCTAGTCCGTTCAAGGAGGAAGATGAAGTGCATGAGGATGACTTGGACAGAGATTTCAAGTTTGGATCTGACCTCCAACCTGCGATGTCCGAAACATCAGAGCAGCAGCATGAGCATATGTTGACGTCTCCGCCCTCTCTGGATATGCTATCGGCTAACTCCGATGCTTCGAGACCGTTGACCGCGACGACTGTCACGACAGACCAGCGGAGGAGTCTTGATGAAGCGCCCGGCGAGCTACACTCCTTCAGGCCCAATCTTGGCAAGAAGAACAAGTCGTCGGTGAGCCTACGGGAACACACGGTCATACCAATGTCGCCAGTCGAGCCTCCCTCCGCAATGGACCCTCCTATGAGCACGACGTACATGACCTATGCATCGAAACGGCAGAATGAGGCACCCATATCTGCTCAACGAGCGAACATGCCAGCCTTTGGTCCTCTGGCCTCCGACAGTCTGCCAGCTGGAGCATACCTGTTCGATACGTCCCTCTCACCTTCTGAGCTACCCACATCTCCCCGCTCGCCGTCCGCACAGCCACTCGGTCTGGAACCGTGTCCAGACTCGTTCCTGCTGCGGCCGTTTTGGATGATGCGAGCAGTCACGTCGACTTTGACCCATCCGAAAGGCGGGTTCCTGACAACTCGACTCTTTGTACCTCGCGAGGTCTGGCAGACGAAGGGTGTCAAGTTAAAGTCGGTTGAGGAGAAGGTGTCGAACTGCGACTTGCTGACTGCAGCACTCGGCCGTTTGTCTGGAGTGGATACCTACGATGCGGACGCTCTGATGGAGGAACTCCAGAATTTCGAGGAGGTCATGGAGCGGGTGCAGACTAATCTCATCAAGAAGCTGGGAAGCGAAGTTGGCGTCCATGGCCTAGCAGGTCTGTTCAAGTATGCAGCCGGTGTAGCATCCGCTGCATCGGGTGGTAACGCAGCGCCCGAGCAGGCCACTTCTGGTGCCGAGAAGACGAAGAGTAAAGAAGGCAAAGGCTATCTGAACTCATGGCGCAAGCTGCGCAGCAAGAGCTCCGGCACGCCCATGACTGGATCGCACACGAACAGGACACTCCACAAGACGGCCGAGAAGGACTTGCCAACAATGCACTCCGTACCCATGACCAGCTACGTCCCCGTCGAGCGCCGTGGCCATAAGAAGGATGCGAAGCACTTGACGTTCGAAGGGCCGAACCGCGAATACATGGGCTCGCTTGCGCGCTTGTTCGAAGCCGCGCAGGTGCTGGGTAAGTTGCTACTTCTCCTTCTGGACTAACAATGCGATCGACGTTTTGCTGACCATGATTCCGTTTCCAGACCAGATCGCTCGGCAAGTGGAAGATCCCGGGCTCAAAGGGTCCTCGCCTACGCATGTGGGTCTGGAGCTCAGCATTCGGCACGCAGCCGAGTTTTTCGGGTTTTACGTTTGTCGCTTCGTGCTGGCGGATCTGGGCACGTTGGTCGATAAATTCGTGAAGAGGGGTACGGAGTGGGTGCTCGCTTAGGTGAGATGTGTCGATCGGGGCTGGTGCTAAGCTTTGAGTGTCGTGATGGTGGTTATGATGATCTTCACGGCTGGGCACGAGATTGAGCGAAATGCCACAGCGCAGGGATGGCTTTGTTTGATGGTCTGGTGGACTGATGGACTCTGATGGATGGGGTCTATACATTTGTGGTTTGTTGTTGCTGTTGTCTTGCGATGATATCCACCCTTCGCCTGTGCTTTGGACTTTGGATAGAGTGGGTTATTACAGGCGTCAGCCGTGGTGTTTAAAGCCATTCAAACGAAGTCGTCTTGTTCATTGTCAGGTTCTACTTAGGTCACTGTCTCGTCTCACATCATCTCCTCAGCCTGACATGCCTCTTCAACCGTCCCGGGAAGTTGGCATTGTTCGCCCAGACACTCTCGGCGTCGACAATGGAGCTGCCGGCCGTGAAGGTGCGGATCGTGGCGTGCGGTGAGATCATGCCGGCGGCGCGGAGTTGCATGCCGTATGCCTGTTCGGCGTGTCAGCTGGTTGAGGAAACTGGAGTGTTTCGTTGCACGATCTGACTGACCTGCACTCCGATTGCGAGGCCTTTCAGGGAATTGTAGACTGGCAAATTCATTTCGAGGTGATAGATCCGGCCACGACGCATCACGGCTTCCGAGAAGGTGTAGATGCTGTGGACGTACTGCGCGACGGACGGTTAGCCGGAAAGTCTCGTAGTGGTAGGGACGGGATGATACGAACGTCGAAGTAGGGCGAGTTTAAGCTGTTCGTCGTGTTGCTCGTTCCATTGGTCGTGGACGTCGTCTAAGTACCATGTCAGCACAGTCTCGAAGCTGAGGGATGGGCAGACTCACATTCATGAATGCAAGGTTGGCTCGGGAAGCACCAAGTTGCCATGTGATGTTCTGGACCAGGCCGGCTGTGTCCTGGCGAAAATGTCAACATGCGTCCCATCGTCTTCTTTCAGGGCCGCAGACGTACCATCGCTGCCGTGCTGTTCAACGAAGCATTAAGCACACTTGCCGCGTTCTCGCACGACGTCCGTAGATTCTCCATGTCGTCGCTCGGTGCCGCTTCTGCAAGGATGAAACTGCTTGCAATTGCTGCAAGGCACAACGGAAGCTTCATCTTGCCTGAGGATGTATTTGCCAATGTCCTTAGCGGTGTTCTGTAGGAATGATTCGTAGATGAGACTGGAAGGTCGTTCGGGTTTGTTGTTGGTGTGAGTGGACATGAGGTTCGGGCAGCCCATTGGGAGGTCCATGATGAGTGAAGGGGCTGAGCAATGAAGTGAGGTAAGTACGGTGCGCTGGAAGATGAGGAAGGTGGTGGTGAGAGGCTCAAGAAGGTGCTGGCGAATGTCGACCTCAGGGACGTCCCCCTTTAAGTACATATCGCAGACACATCTTACCTCAGCTCAGTGAGGTCGGACTTTGTCTAAAACAGTCCATATATCCTCGTTGGCTCGCCTGGACTCACGTGCCAATTTCTTTGATTGCTTCAACTGTGGTCATGGGAAAGTACCGAGCCAGCGGCAGTTGTCAGGCTTCTTCGATCCACAGATCGACCTGGGATATATTGCCACAACCAGCGACGAGCCTCGTCAGGACTTATTGATAGGCTATTCAAACTCGGTACGTCGCAACCAGGCGCGGTCCGACATTGGTCAAAGGTGCAAGCGAGGTTGAGTAGGAGTGAAGAAAGGCAAGCGGGTGGTACAAGAGACCCTTCGCTTGGACGGCCGATGGGACCGTCCCCATCGCATTGCGCGGCAGGATGCATATACGGTGCCCGATGACATGCACCCACACATGCGGCAGCTGGCCGTGTGCGACGGTGGAGGCGAGGCCACGCGAGCAGTGTTTCATCCCGCCGTGAAGTTTGCAATGCACCGATCAGGAAGGAAGGCCTCGGCTAAAACATTGAGCAGATTGGAACCATTGGTCGAGAGAAGCAATTTGGAAGGATCAGACCGCCTTCTATTTTGCTCAGACCCCACGTCTGCCACTGTGTGCGCTACAGGTGACAGCCGTTGAGATGGCGGATCTGAGATGGAATCGAGTTTAGCCAGACGAGGCCTGCCCTTTCATCATGTCGGCATGCCCAACTTCATCTCGTCTCCGCCAAAGGACCAGAGCGAAACCCCATGGTTGCGGTATAGGCTTCTTGGCCGGAACGTCAACGGGAGTTGCAGATGTTGGGCGATCATCTGCCTTCGAGGCCGCATCGCTTCGCAAGCGAACAATGTATCCGCGCCTTGCCACACCGACGGGGGCCGACGACAAGGTGCGCGTGCCGAAGGAAGATTGTCTCGACCATGCGTATCCTGGTACGCCAACTCCAGAGTCGAGGGAGCATAAGAGACATCCTTGTGGCTGAAGACGATCTGCTTCTTGACGCCCATTGATGACTCCATCGCTCGCTCGGCAATCTGCAGTCAGGACACGCTACCGTAAAATGGCTGCAAGCGAAGCAAGAAGACAGCCTTGCCATTCGACGCACGCACATGCTCGGCTGCCCTGTTGTTCGGAGGCGTTGCGCTCCGGAAGATCTAGCTTTCCTGGACTCCACATCTCGACCTGCATGGGCGATATCATGAGGTAATCAGAGGTCTGCTTCGCTTCCTATCCTGCCTCCTACTCGTATAGCGTTTTACTTCTAGCTAGCAATCGATCTGTGGCTGATGGGACACCTCTCCTTGAACTAAATTACCTTATACCACGCCAAACTCTGTGGGCGTGTGGCGAGGAATATCCAAGATGCCGTCCTACATTCTGCTCGCAATAGCAGGCCTGTGCGCGGCATACGTTATAAACACATACAGATGCTTTAGAAGAAACCTGGCAGAGGCGAAGTTGTCAGGACTACCTTACATCAAAACTCCAGTCTACGCGTTCAATCGAGCCTGGTTGCTCACACACCCAATATGGCTGTTCTTCTTACGCCGTCTACCTCATGACTGGGTGGACTCCTGGATCGGGTGAGACTGCGAGACATCAAACAGAAAACACGCCCGCTAACCCATTCTACAGCTACACAAAGCCAGACTTCGCATGGGACAAATTGTATGCTCCGTTCAAAGAACAAGGGAGTGATTGCTTCCTCATCGTTGCTCCTGGCGGTATAACAATGGTCGTCGCGGACCGAGAGGCCATCAGTCAAATCACAAGCCGCAGAGACGCCTTCCCGAAGCCGGTGCATTTCTATTCTGGCATCGATCAATTCGGCAAGAATGTGGTATCATCCGAAGGCAGCTACTGGAGACATCATCGCAAGATCACCAGTCCACCGTTTAACGAAAAGAACAATAGTCTCGTCTGGCAGGAGTCGCTTCATCAGGCTCAAAGCATGATGTCCGGATGGCTGAGCCGTGACAGCATAACCACTGGGCCTTTGAAGGACATCGCATCACAGGCTATGCGACTCTCCTTGCATGTGATCAGTGCCGCCGGGTTTGGTGTCCGTCTGCAATGGCCGCATGAACTGGAAGATAGCGATATTCCCGAAGGTCACACAATGAGCTACAAGGATGCCCTGTCCACACTGCTGGAGAATCTGATCGTGGTGATGCTGACACCCAAGTGGATCCTTCGCAACTCGCCTTTGAAGCTCCACAAGGTGGCGAACGAATGCTACGTGGAATGGTACAAATACATGCGAGAGATGTACGTCGAGAAGCGTGAGCAGGTTGAGTCTGGTCAAGATACTGGTGGTATGGACCTGATGGGAGCCTTGGTGAAGGGCGCTGGCGTCACAGCGAAGTCTGCGGACGATGAGAAGAATGCCGATCCAGAAAAAGCGGCAGGAAAACCAAAGAATCAATTGTTGACGGACGAAGAGATTCGTGAGTTAAAAGCAATATTGCGGGTTTAATGTTATGAATATGCTGACCTCGTCTAGTTGGCAATGCCTTTGTCTTCATCTTGGCTGGTCACGAAACGGCAGCCAACACTATCCACTTCTCTATCTTGCTTCTGGCGATGCATTGGGGCAGCCAGAAGCACCTTCAGGATGATCTGGACTCGATTCTAGGCGACAAACCGATCTCCGAATGGGATTACGACAACGACATGCCCAGACTCTTTGGCAGCATGTGTGGCGCAGTGATGAACGAAGAGCTCCGTTTAATACCGCCAGTCGTTGGCATCCCAAAATCGACATTGCCAGGCAAACCACAAGGCATGCAGTTGAACGGTCAACCCATCACCGTACCAGGAGGCTGTACCATCACACTTGACACGGTCGCGCTGCACCGGAACCCGAAGTACTGGCCACACGAGAATGAAGAGGATCTGCTTGAATTTAGGCCCGAACGATGGATACTCGATCAAAGCAAACCAAATGCCAACACGGACGACAACACGTACGCAGAGGAAGAAGGTCTGGACTTCGAGGGTCCCGACAAGCGGCCAGATACTGCTGCATCGCTCTTCCGACCGCTCAAGGACTCCTACGTGCCTTTCAGCTCCGGATACCGATCTTGTCTCGGACGCCGCTTCGCTCAGGTGGAGATCTTAGCTGTCCTTGCCGTGATCTTTAAGACGTGGTCGGTTGAGCTCGATGTGCGCGACTTCATGTCAGATGAGGAGGTTGCAACAGCGAGCGACGAGCAGAAGCGGGAAGCGTGGAACAAGGCTGACGCTCGCGCTCGCGATCTGCTGCGTAATGGCATGATGACTATTATAACGATTCAGATGCGGAAGGATAAGGTGCCGATGAGGTTCGTTAAGCGTGGGCATGAGAGGTTCAAGTTTGGTTGAGAGTGCAAGTATGAAGCGTGACAATATACATACGACCATACATCTTCCGATCAGCTGGCAAAGGCACACTTCCCGAGATCCTGCTTCTTAATTGGAGCACCAGGCAATATTGGAAAGTCGAAGATATCGACAGGGAGCCCAATCGTCGTGCAAGCGTTCGGAATATCGACAATGCCGGCAATGTGGCCCTGGATTGGTGCACACGACAGCAGTAGGTAGATCTGGTAGTCGTTGTATCCTACGAGAACGTTAGTAGAGGCTAGCGAGAGCGGGAAGCCAAGGCGACGAACCATATCTTCTGAGGTACTATAAGCGTTAGGTGAAAGACGTTAGCATCTTATTCTGCGTAGGGTGGGGACGGTGCAGAACTGGCTGCTATGCCCTAGACCGATGGGTAGGCCCGCTAAGCTGAAATGACCTCAAAGGGGCATCTCGGCTAGTAGGCGCTCAAGCCCCTTCAAGTCTAAGACATAGCAGTGACATGTTCCACCTGAAGTTAAGTACCTCGAAGATTCGAAGGCACGTCTGCCTATACGCAACCGTAGCATCCAGATAATGCTGCTTGCCCTGCTCGTCAACACTGAAACCCTCAAAGTAGATGTAGCGTCCAGGACCGAACTGCGGCTCAACAGGTCCAGGAATGTAGATTGGGCTCTTCAAACCCATATCGGCTATGCCGTTCTTGATGACGGAGAAGTTGATGGTGATCTCGCCGGCCATCTCAATGGCGCCGCAGAATGAGATCTCGCCATCGCCTTGGGAGAAGTGGAGGTCTCCGACGCTGAATTTGGCGCCTTTGACATGGACAGGCAGGTATACCTTGCTGCCGCGAGAGAGGTTCTTGATGTCGCAGTTGCCGCCGTGTTCTGGTCGGCCTGGAATAGTTCTGGGTGGTGCGGTCAGCACGTGTCATGGAACTTCGATTCAGCTGGGCGAGCTCATAGCGCTGCATGGCGCTTGAAATTGCCGCAAAGATCTCTTCAGCTTTGTCTGACATACCTTGCGCCCTCCTTGCCAACCTTCTCCTTGATCTTATCATCACCGGTACCGACGTGAACAGACTTCGGCTCCGGTGGCTTCGCGACTTCGCGAGTCATATGACTGCACTCGCTGATTAGCTGCGCCTCCCGCTTGTTCCATGTCTCCAGAATCTCTTGAGAGGGAGCGCAGCCCAGAATACCCGGATGGATCAAGCCAGCGAACTTGACTCCAGGAATGTGTCTGGAGGAGCAATAGATGCCTTCGAAATCCCAGATCGCCTTGGCTGGCTCTGGGTAGTGCTCGTCGAGGAAGCCACCGCCGTTGTCTTTGCCGAAGATGCCTGTGAAGCCCCATGGCTGGTCTGGCAGGGGTTGAACGTCTTGAATGTCTACCAACAGGATATCTCCGGGTTCGGCCGTTTCGATCTCGAAAGGGCCGCTCAAGTAGTGGACTTGTAGATGTCAGAGACCACAACGACAAAACAAGCGAGATGACCAACCGCGTGTGAGATCAACGTCCCTGACATCGTTGGCAGAGTCATCGTTCTTGATCTGCCCTCCAGTCCAATCGATGCATTGAATCTTCACCGTCTCGCCGTTCTTGATCGTCTCGCAAGATGGGATGTCTGCAGCTCGCCGTTAGGAAGGAGGCCCAGTGACGGCTGAGGATGCGCACCTGGATGCCATCTGTTCTGCTCCTGGGTCAGTATGGACATCTGAGTGTTGTGACAAGGACAAGGCTCACGTGTAGATAAGGCAAGGTCCCAGCATCTTTCGTGGTATCCACCTTGACGGCGGTACGCAGTCCTTGCTTGCCCATCGCTCTTTGCTTTCCTAGTCTTAACGTTGTCGAGAACGGAGGACCACGAAGAAACAGGCACAGGCGGAAGGGAAGAGCAGTACGACGGTGAACAAGACGTCGGAGCAAACACCTACTTATTGTTCACCTGGTGCGGGGCTTATCACTCACGCATCGCTGGAAGCCTGGATCGATTTGCCATTGAGTAAGAGCGAGATAAGAGTACGCGAAGTGACGCGTAGTAGCCGATGTAGGTAGCTCTCCATGATGCCGGACCTCTGTGATGGCTGCGGGGAGAGCTGCGAAGGTGGAGCTGGAAGCTGCGTGTTTCCGAACTGCCAATTTGGGACAGGTCCTTTTGAACATCACATGCAATTAGCCGTTCCGGAGGCCCAATATTAGCATTCGTGGGCATCAGTCGTGCCACCGGAACGAATACAACAAAGGATAGGTGGCCTCATATTGGGTCGCATGACAATCGTGTGCAATGAGGTTGCGAGTGAGAAGCTGTAAGTGTCGATGGCGTTTGTTTTGTACTCATAGACTCATAGAAGACCACCACGGTCGACCAGAAACCAACAAACCAACCCTGCGATCCCGATAGAGATCACTTCATGTGAACGAGCGCCCCTTGATCTCGCTCGTCGCATCAGGTCTCAGCTTCTCATGGTACTTTGCCGAGATGTTGAACTTATCCAGCTTGTCAAGTGGTAAGTTGACGAACTCGTGCTTGTTCTCCCAATGCACGTCCTTCTCCCTGAACTCCTTCACCTCGGATGGCGGAGGTGGAGGCTCGGTGATCTTGGTGATCAGGTAGGCTGTAGACGCCTCTGCGATGCCGTAGACCAGCACGCCCACCAATGGGATCTTCACCATGACGAAGAAGGCCACGGCGAAGCCGTAGAGCACACCCTCGCGCTCGTGAAACCACTTCTTCTTTTGCTCCTTCGAGTAGCGGATGCGAGAGAAGTACGGGTCGAGCTATGGAGAGTTAGCAGGACGGTTAGGATTACACAGGACACTCAACATACCAAATCTCTCATCAAGCTCCGGCTCGAGAAATAGCTCTGCAGAAACATGACCAGGTACCGTTTTGGGAGGATCAAGCCGCTGCCAAAGATCACCACTGCTGCTGGCGTGCCAACAGCATTGTTGAAAGTGTAGAAGCTGGCTGCGGGCAGGACGAGGCGACCGACGTACGGCACGAAAGTGGCGAGGTAGACTGCAAGAGAGAGCACTGCTTTTCTGCCGAAGCGCCATCCGAAGGCGAGCATTGCATCGTAGGTCCTGCTATGCCCGTCGCCATACCCCTCTCTGCGTTCGTGGGCGTCCTCGTACATCTTGAGGTTTGGATGGTACATTGCTCGCAGGTCGTCTGGGTTCTCTCCCTTGTGCTTCTTCACGTAGGTTTGGTCAACCCAGGCAAGAGAGTCCATGAACATGCTTGGTTTTGCTGTTAGCTTCGATCGCGACAGCAATTGGCGGATGGTGCCGAGACTGTACATACTGGTCCATAGCAGGAGAAAGGAATCTCATGAACGTCATGAGGAAGAAAGGTACCTGAAGCACATGGTGCTCGACGTAGGTGATTACTTCGATGACATCTTCATCCCAGGTTGAGTGGGACAGGTCCTTAAACAGGCCGATGAAGGTAAGAAGGAAGCGGATGCCCAATGTCTGTACCAATGTTTAGCCAAAGCCTTGCAACGAGACGGCTGGACGCCGTACCGGCAACGCGACGAGAATGCGGATGGCAATGCCTGCTACCACCGCCAAAGCCGCCTGCTTGTAATGCTCGCTGGTGAAGAGTCCAGGATTCTGCAAAGCGCGGTTTGCTCCCACAAGCGTGAGTTGCGCTCCTCGCAAAACCTGGTTTGGCTCGAAGCTGGTCCCTTGCAGGAGGGACGATGGGTCGAAGCCACTCATGTTGGTGGTGTGCGAAGAGGTGGACAATGTAGGGTGTTAGACAAGTGAGTTTTGAAAGCGTTCTCAACCTGTAGACATGACGTAGCGAGAGGCGTGGCTTCGGGACACAGAAGAGACCAGACTTGTTGATGAGACCGCCGGCTACGAGTTGACGACTTCCAGATTTGAGAGATGACACTGGCACCAACAACACTCAACTGTCCAGGTGTGGTGTTGTTCTTTATGAGGACGAGAAGCGAAAGCATGTGAAAGTCGTCCCCGTCGATCTCTCGACCTGATCGACAGCCACGGCAGCCACAGCTAGCCACAGCTCGACCGCATTCCTGGGCCGTTGTCGACACGTTCACATGTACAACAACGCAGCGTGGATATTGTTCTACGTACCCATCCTTAACCTCACGCAGCCACTATCGATGTTGGGCATACCGCGCAACGAACACGCGCAACGATGGCATCCTCACCGCTAGCTCCCTCCACCCCCGCCGCGACACCCCGGCGGATGGCCATGAATCGCTCCTTCACCGTTCCTGCGAAGATCTCGACCACCCCCAAGTCTGCGAGCGGACAGGCAGAGATTGGGGCGACAGAAGGGGTGGAGACGCTCTATGTCCATCCCAACGCCAACATCATCAAATTCACTTCGGCCTCGCGACCCAGCAGCAGCGCGAGCGCCAGCCCTGGACGTCCTGGATCTTCGCAAGGCACGCAATCATGGGCGTCGCCGACAGAGCGCACGATGGCGGCGGGACCTATGGAGATCTATCGCGTACCCGGGTCTGTCAGCTTCCTACACTCCGGCGCGCTTCTGCACGCCATCTTACCACGATCGCAATGTTGGTGTGTTGATGGAGTGAGCAAGTTCGCGCTGCGCGTACTGCCAGATACGTACTACCGGATCGAACTACCTGGAGAGACGGAGGATGATTTACGGGAGGTGGAGAAGCTGAAGGCGACGTTACAAAAGGTCCTGTACTACGAGAGAACACCATGTCCGTTTTCGAGGTCGTTCAGTGTGGATTTGCCGGAGGAGCTGGAGATTAAGAAGACCAGACGGAAGAGCTCGGGGCCAGCAAAGAAGTGGAGACTCGAACGAGCGTCCAGTTGGAAGCCGGAGGGGTGGGTGCCGCCAGCAGAAGGGGAGGACTCGGCGTCCGGTAGTATGGACGATGAGACCGAGGAGGATGGGAGCGATGAAGGAGAGAAGTCGGAAGCTTCAGAGGCAGCAGATGACGTGCAGGATACAGTCATGAGCACACCGTCAAGACCGAGAATAGCGGCTGCATCGAGGTCAGTCACTGCGCCGTCGCAGATGGCGTTGCAATCCCCGTCGCCCTCGAAGCTACGAACGAGAGTGGACGTCGACGGGACGGTCGTAGTTGCCAACAAGGATGCGCAGCCTGAGTCAGTACGGGCGGACAGTCCCACCACGCGGACGTTGCAGGCCATTCCCACGGACATGCCGCCTTCTCCTCCTGACTCGAGTGCGGGTGTCGACTATGTGGACAGACAACCTCAGAGCGATGGAGGTGCTGAAGATGAGCGGGACAGAAATGAAGCCTCAGAACTATTGGGCGATGCCACAGCTGAGGAGAGTGTTGTTCTAGATCAGTCTCTTGCCCCCATGCCGTCTGCTCCAATGGAGGGGCGTCAGGACGATGCAGAAAGTATGCGAAACCACGCGATATCGACTAACAACGAGCAGAGGCATGAGTCCGGTCCAGCGTCCACGTCAGACACGGCTAGCCTCCGCGATGCTCAGACAAATGCCGCCTTGAAGGATCAGCCCAGCTCTCAGGATCGGCCGGTCACGCCAGAGGCGCAGGTAACTCACGACGATCCATACGCTGCCATTCAAGCGCGCATTCTTGCGCGACGCTCAATAGGCGGGACAACAGTCTTCCACCCTACCCGGACGTCGCCCACCAGAAAGTCGACCTCGTCGAACTCCTCCACCGCCACCATCTCGTCGAACAAGTCGGCAGCATCGCGCCGCTCACACTCTTCTCAGCAGCAAGCCTTCACGACAGCGATGGTGAAAAAAGCCTGCTCCGTCTTCCTCGGCCCACCCGCGCGTCTGGTGGCAATCATGTTGCAGATTGCGGCACGTTATGCCGACGCCGCGTTCGGTGCGAACAGTATGTTCTACGTTGAGAGTCCGATTGATTCGCCGCGGAGGGTGCCGGGTAGTTATCATTTGGAAGGCGATGAACTTCAAGATCTGGACTCAGACTGGGAGGAGGACGACTTTGGGGTGCCGCTGAGGAGTCCGGTGCGCTTGGCTGGACGGGGTGTAGTTGGAAATAGAGGTGAGGAGGAGAGAGGGTGGGGTGTGGACTGATTGGAGAAAGGAAGTAATTGTTTGCAGCGTTCTTAGCGATGGAGTTGTTTGGATATATCGATGTCCTTGGGTTACGACTTGACGTGTTGGATGGTTGCAACTGAATATGGATTTCGTGTTAATTGTTCACCCACCACGACCTCAGCCCGACTCGTCTCCTGCTCTATACGGAGCAAACCATACCGTTACCGTGTGAATGGATGTGGCACTTGATCGCGCCAAGTGGGCGGAACGATCGAACGTGTCCCGCGCAAAGCTTGTCACATCCGCAGTGCGCTTATGCACCATCACCCGAAGCGGGCGTCGAGGCGTCACCTCTGGGTGTTGGATGTGTGCTGCGGCTGGGTGGAAGATGGGGCCACGAAGAGAAAGAAAGGAATGCGCGAAAGGGGCCAAAAGGGAACAGACCTTGCCTGCGCACTTCTTTCTTCATCTACGGCTTCACGTCGGAGCACAGCCCGCTGACGACGCATGTGGAGCAGGAAACACCGGGCATTTTATTATCGTTACAACCCATCCTCCTTCCTCTTCGTTTCTGCATCGATGAGGTTGTGTCTGGCCCAATGCAGCGACCGGAGAGTCGTGTAGGATTTGAAACTGCAACATGAGCACCAGTGGTGGCCGGGCCGTCTCTGTCTCTCGCTTGCTCGCCGTCCTCCTGGTCCTTCTTGGCCTCTTCCTTCTCCGAGACAGCTGGCTCCCTGTGACCTACCGACGACTTCCATACGGCGGGGACAGGACTACTGAAGAGGCGAACGCAGGTTCAACGCAACCCATACAGCAAGATAACACCAGCACACCACCCTCAAAGCCTACGCCTGCAACATGTCGAGACGTGCCGGGAGCGGATAACGTTATGGTCCTGCTCAAGACTGGAGCTACCGAGATCTATCAGAAGCTCCCGTCTCACTTCCTCACGACGTTCAAATGCGTCCCGCATTTCATGATCTTTTCCGACTTGGCGCAAGATTTCGCCGACTACCCCGTCTACGATGCGATTGAAGACGTTTCTCAACATTACCGGGAAGAACACGCAGACTTCGAGCTGTATCGGAAGTTGCAGCAATACCAGAGGGAAGGGCAAGACACAAGCAAGCTGCGGGGGGCGGGGAGCTGGAATCTAGACAAGTGGAAGTTCTTCCCTATGCTGCAGAAGGCCTTCACGACGGCGCCCGACAACGTTGAGTGGTTTGTGGTCATTGAGGCAGACACCAGCATATCGTGGACCAACCTGCTGCAGTTTTTGAGGACAATGGACCCCAAGCAGCCATTTTATCTGGGCGCGCAGAACGTTATCGGAGACCAGGCCTTCGCGCACGGTGGCAGCGGCGTCATATTGTCACGGAAAGCAGCTGATCTGCTTGGAGAGAAGCGAGAGTACGAGGGTAAGGAGACGTGGGATAGGGACTGGGAAAGGATCGTCAGTGTCTCGTGCTGCGGAGACGAGGTCATCTCTCGTGCCTTGGGAGAAGCAGGTGTCCACCTCACGCCCGCATGGCCGCTTATTCAAGGCGAGACCGTCTCTACCCTGGACTGGACGGGCGTGCATTGGTGTTCGGTGGCCATCTCCTGGCACCATGTGACGCCGATCGAACTCGACTCGCTGTGGCAGTTTGAAAGCGATTGGATTGAGGAGCATGGCTGGGATACGCCTTACCTCTACCGCGACGTTTTCGAGCATTTCATCCAGCGGCATGTAACTGTCAATCGCGCCAAGTGGAACAACAAATCCAAGGACAGGAAGTTGGTCTCTGTTGAACTGGCTACCGAAGGTGACGAAGACTTCTCGAAGTTAAATGACTTTGAGAAGAACGCTACTACGTCAGAAGATGCATGTGCAGAAGCTTGTAGGAGAATGCCAGAGAAGCAATGTATCCAGTGGATGTTCTCCCCGGGTCGGTGCCACTTGGGAAAAGACATCCGCTTCGGCAAATCTGATGAGGCGGGTGACATGCACTGGACGTCTGGATGGATACAACCACGGCTGCAGAGGTTCAAAGAGGGCTTGGCGAACTGTGCTGTTAGGTGGGCTGGATGAGTGTTTGGGGTGGAATCGTTTGTTGCAACTATGGTAGTCGGGCTCCAAGTGCTGGAGACGACGGGGTTAGAAGCCGGGAGGCAATGGCGTTCACTCTGGCTTTGAAGCGTTCAGCGTAGCATTTCGACAATGTTCTGGTGGCAAGGGCCGGGAGTGTTCAGCATGAAACGTATAGCTGCACGTATATTCACAGCAAATTCAAGGTACCGCTTCGCAGGTTAAACAGCTTATGGCCGAATCGTCCGGAAGGTTACAAAGCAAGCTTAACGCCGAGCTGGTCCTTGTACAAGTACCGTGTATAGGTGCATGTAGTTGTAGCTCGGTCGTGTTACCTCTTTCGCAGCACCCATCAGTCCCAAACGCCCTTGCCAAACACCATGGCACCACCTCATCCGCAGCTCACCCTCTTCGTCGACTTCTACGTCCAAGAACACCTCATCGCAGACTGGAAAGAGGCCCATCGCCCCGTCTGGGACCACTGCGCCAAGGAGCCAGAATGTCTTCTTTTCGACGTTTTCGAAGACCCAACAGATATTGGACTATTCAGGCTCGTGGAAGTGTGGAATGCGACGCAACAATGGTTCGAGAGCGAGCAGTTGAGCAAGCCTTACTATGCTACTTTGTGGGAGAAGAGTCGTCCGACGTGGAGGAGGGAGGTTGAGATTTAAGTATTTTCAGAGGCTTGGCGAGGGATGCAGTTACAGGAACGGGTATTTGGAGGGTGCGAGATGCATGGGTTAATCTGATGCCCAAAGAGAACTGCAAGTACCGTATGGCAGAAGCTCCAGATAAAGCCGTGAAAGTCTCATCTATTTTCGAATCGCCATCGCCTGGCCGGTCATCTAAACGTCCTCCTCAAATCTACGCACCATGGAACCTTGATGTTGCAGATGCTCCTTCACCTGCTTGACAGTCCATTCGCCACGGTGGAACATGCCAGCACCAAGCGCAGCATCAACGTTGGTCTGCTGGAAGACCTCCGCAAAGTGGTCAGCGTTACCAGCACCGCTCGAAGCAATGACAGGTATCTTGACTGCTGCCTTGACGCTCCTGATGAGTTCAAGATCGAAGCCAGAATTTGTTCCGTCTTTGTCGATGCAGTTGAGTAAGATCTCTCCGGCACCCAGAGCCTCCACCGCGGTGACGAGCTGAACGACATCGAAGTCCCTGGTCTCACGCCCGCCTCTGATTGTGCATGCGTACCAGCAGTACTTCTCGCCTTTTGGACCACGATACGCGGTAGAGATGGTGTGGTGAGAGGTGGCTTCTGGAGAGGCCACATACACACGCTTCGGATCGACCGAGACAACGACTGCTTGTGCGCCATACGCCTCGCTGATCGTCTCAATGGCCGTTTTCCCGGTCAATGTCTTGTTTGAGGCGTAGTACTGCTCAGCCGCAGTCACCGCGTCCGAACCGATGGACACTTTGTCGGCACCAGATTTGAAGTACAGCGTTGCGACCTCCAGGGCGGGCACGGTCCTGTTTGTGGCAGGGTCGTGGGTGTCCCTTATGCCTCCGCCGATGGTCAGAGGAACGAACACTGTTGCCGAAGCCTGCCGTAACACCTCAAGCATTGGAAGATCCTTGAGCGGCGTATCTCGGAAGGAAGTGATGTTGAGGAAGGTCACCTCGTCAGCGCCCTGTTCATAATACTGCTGAGCCTTCTCCACCGGCTTGCCGAGGTTGCGAACGGCGTTGTTGTCTTTTTCTCTGACATCGTACTGGTCGCCTTTGGTCACCACCAGATCGCCCTGGTCGTTGGTCCGGACGTCCAAACAGGCTATTATGCGCCGTGTCAGGCCTTCCTGTGTCGGTGATGGCAGCTGTGGCAGAGGCTGGCGCATCTGACCATTGAGAAAAGCCTTGAGTACACGTTGACCAGCAGCACCGCTCTTCTCTGGATGGAACTGAGTTGCAAGAACGTTGTCTCTTGCTACTGCGCCAACAAATTCCTCGCTGCCGTACCGAGCTGTCGCTACTGTCCAGCCATCATTCTCGAGTTGACCTTTCCGGTATGGCACTGCGTAGGAGTGGACGTAGTAGTACTTGCTGTCGGGTCTGAGACCGTAGATGCTCTGGTTGCCTGAAACGTTCGCTGAGTTCCACCCAATGTGCGGAACGCTTTTCTCGCTGTCGTTGAATCGTTCTAAGCGGCTTCTGATAACGCCCAGTCCAGGTACAGACGTGTTCTCTGCCGAACCTTCGAATAGTGCTTGGATGCCGACACAGATGCCCATGAAGGGTTTGCCAGATTCGATGAATCTCTTGACCGGCTCAACGTAGCCCGCATCTCTGAACTGACCCAGACAATGGCCGAAATGGCCTACGCCGGGCAGTATCAATCTCTACATTGGAGGTGCCTGTCAGCAATCAGTATGTGTAAATTTTACCTGCATCCCTGTGGTGACTAACCTCAGCTTTGCCAACGTCTTCAGGCGACTCTATCCATGCAACTTCCCATCCGAGCTTCTCGATGGCGTTCACGAGGGAGCGTATATTGCCCGCCGCATAGTCAAGCAGGTGGACTGTAGGCATCCTTGTTTGTAGTGTGATATATTCATCGAGTGAAGTTGTGTTGTGAAAGATGATTTTCAGGGCCTTAGCCTGACTCAGCAGTGCCAAGAGTCTCGATTCGTCTTCACCTCGCTCGTTCATCACGAAACCTGTCAAAACGCCTCTACACCCACACAAACCACCGAGACGTCTCAAGATGGTGCGCAAACTCAAGCACCACGAGCAGCGGCTGCTGCGCAAAGTCGACTTCATTAACTACCCCTCCGACCCCACCCACCGCTCCGCCGCAGTCATCAGACGCTACTCACTCTCGAACCCCGCCGACTATGCCTCCTACAACCGTCTGGCAGGATCCTTGAGACAACTGGCGCATCGCCTGTCACTTCTGCCGCCCGAGTCGCAGTTTCGGCGGAAGCAAGAAGATCTGCTTCTGGAGAAGCTGCACGACATGGGGCTTCTGGGGATTGGCGGCGGCGGCAAAGGCAAACTCAGCGACGTCGAGCACAAGGTCACTGTCTCCGCCTTTTGCCGGAGGAGACTGGGTGTGGTCATGACGAGGCTGAGGATGTCTGAGACGGTCAGCGCTGCGAACAAGTTCATTGAGCAAGGCCATGTCAGAGTAGGGACTGACGTGGTCACCGATCCTGCTTTTCTTGTGACGAGGTATGCCGGCGGTTATGCGGAGCCAAATTTTGAAATGCGTGACTGACTCCTTTACAGAAACATGGAGGACTTTGTCACCTGGGTCGACTCCTCCAAGATCAAGCGGAACATTATGAAATACCGAGACAAGCTGGATGACTTCGATTTGCTATGAGGAATGCATTCTCATGAAACCAGTCTACGCCATCCCGGAGAACCTGCAGCATGATCCTTCAAACCACGGGGAATCTGTCCTTGAACCCAATGAGGGGCAGCGGTAGCCACACCCAGCCAAGGAGAGACACCATCCAACGAAATTTTGCAGACGACTCTGCACTTGACGGAAAGCCGACAACGATCGAGGTCCTCTCCCACTCCGTTCGACCTCAGTGTATCGTGCAGCACGAGGCGGATTGTGAGCACGGTGCATGACGTGGGGAGTCTAATTGAGAGCACCACCCTGGCTAGCGCGCATGTCACGTGGTTGGCTCACTTATCTTCCACCTGGAATATCCCCACCTTCCTCTTCCTCACACCTCACTCATCTGGCTTGTTCACCGGTTGAACACTCGACACCTGACATTGGCAACTATTGCACGTTCAATTGTCTATTGTCGACTGCACTTGCTATTGTCATTGTCTCGAGCGTGCCGGTACCCTCCTCAGCTGGCCTGTTGACCCCACCCTGTCCCCGACATCTCTGATCCCGCCATGTCTTACCATCAGTGGCTCAGTGGTACACCCAAATACCACCTCACATCTTCAGCGACCGAAGCCTTCTCGATATCGCAGTCAGCCAGCAGACCTCGTCGTCCTGAGTTTTCCGTCTTCTGCATCGAGGGGCACGTCGCCGCTCCAGCACCACATTCCACGACAGCCTACCAAATGGATGACGACTTTCCGGCCTCACTCTCCAGCGACTGCAAACAGGCAGCAACGCCTGATCTCGCCGCTGGACACCTGGGTGCTCACACCCTCACCCCGCCGTGGCAGCCTATGGGACTATCGCGCTCCAACATGTCTATGCAGCAAGGCCAAATCGGTCAGACATCCAGCAGTCACCGCCATGCTGTGCCCAAGCATACATCCGAGTCATTTGCTCCGGCCCAGAAGGTACGCAGACTATCACCGCCCACTCAACAATCACGTAATTCGTGCGATCAGAGAATCGCCGCCGCCAACTACCCAGCAAGTGAGGCGTTGCCAACTCCACCAGCCACGCCGCAGCAACGGTCGAAAGCATCATCGCCGCGGATGTCTATCGCTTTGCAACCACCGAACACTGCTGTCACCCGTAGGCGTGGCGAGGGTGGACCAAAGTCGAACCATGATTCGAAACTGCAGACTGCCATCGAGCCACCCCATTGGAGTACGAACTGTACCGTCCTCAAAGCCGATAGCTCGACGGATAAAGGCAATGTCGTGTCGCCGACCTGCATGGTTGGTCTGCCGTTTGGTGGTATGGTGGAGATGATGCTGCCGTTGCCTGGAGGTGAGATCAAGGACGTTGAGTAGAGCAGTTGGTTGTCGAAGATTGCTATATGACACGAGGACGATCGGGTCCAAGGTTGATGACTGATGATGGTGTTTTGTGGAATGTGGCTTGGGGATGGAGGTTTTGGGAACATATTTACTTTACCATGCTTATCTGCATGGCGGTCAACCGCACTTGCAGTGGATTTTGGCGTCAGCATGCGGCTTAGCCGCGGTTCGTTGTGCCATCTCCTTACATGTTGGAGTCTGGCTCGAGCGAATGGTTCGAGCCACATCATAGGACTGTTTGCGCGGCCGAAGAAGTATTAGATATTGCACACAATTGCCTCACCGTTGACATGTGAAAGGCCGAGTGCATTCTCAGCTCTGACGGCTTCTCTGATCCCTGCGCTGACTCAAACGCCTCCTCCTTGACGGCCTCTTGCCTCCCCCCTCCTTCCTCTCCCTTTCGCCTCCTCTCTTCCCGTCCCCGTCCCCGTCCCCCTCCCTCTACCCCTTCCCTTTCTCATACCCTGGCCCCACTCCGTAATCAGGATCCTTCTCACCCACGGTCGGACGACTTTGCCAGCCTCTGATCAGACATACGACCGTGCGCTTTTTTGGTAACGCCACGAGGGGACTTCCCTCCTCGCCTTTGCTAGTCACTCCTTCCTTCCTTCATGAACACCGCGACGAAGTTTTCCTCGAAGCGTTTACCTTCGCCAACGTGCAAGACAAGACGCCCGATACCCAGCAGAGCCCTCCGCTCACACGCACGACTAAGTCCAGCACCACTACCGCTCTCTCTCTCTCTCTCTCTCTTCCCGCGTCTCTCTCTCCAGACCCCGAAGAAGAGCCCGGCCGCTTCTTCGAGCTGCACCACGGATCCGCAATGTCACGCATGCTGTTCTGCTAATCACAAATTCCGCGCAGTAGGCGGAATCTGCGGAGCGTTTGAGTGCAGCTTCGGGCGTATCATCCTAGCAAGTGGTAGGGGGTAGTGAGGAGAATAGCTAAGAGGTGGACACATAGTTACACTGTGACATGTGAAGGCATAGGTGGACGCTCATTGGCTGCAGGAGGGGTCGCGCTAATGGATGTTCACAAACCACACCTCCACCAGATTATTTTGTGGACGACATGAAGGTGTGGCTGCCATTTCGACCACGGTAGTTGCCTACACAGACACCATGCTTAGTTCCGCCGGCGGTTGCCCATTCACTTCGCATTCGGCTACAGTAACTGTAACATGTGAAAGACAGCAACCTCAGCCGAGCATGTGATCCAGTATCGCTCAAATTTACCGAGATTGTCTAGTTGCTGCATTCACTTGCAGGGTTTTCTCTATGGCATCGTGTGCACGACTGACATGTGATACAGCTATCTGTCGCTTCTTGCAACGCTACGCCACCTAGCCCCGAGTGGTAGAGTGCAGCACTTTCAGCTTCTACGGTACGGCATCACTTCAGCACCTCGAAACAATCTCTCCAGCGGCGTCGACGATGCCGACAAGTGGCAGCCTCGGACGCTTGGACTCTGTCGACAGTACTGAGCGTTACATCCGCCTCCAGCAACGGCTCGATCTCCAGTCGGCGTCACGGATCCAAGGTGCACACACCCGAGCCTACCCTCATGGACGACATCGCCACGGTCACTGAGTTTAGCCCTCTACTCCGCATCAGAGGAACATGAGCAAGAAGACCGCGGCGCCATCGCGTTCGAAAGCAGCCATCACCGCAGAATGCTCTTTCACCAGCAGGGAGGCCGACGATGATGGGCACTAGGACGAGCAAGATAAAAAAGACCGACGGCACACGAATGGCGTTTGCAAGGTCTCAACTGCTGGTGCTTTCCCGCTCCAGAAAAAGAAGTGGCTCCATCAGAGAAAGCAATACCGCTGGCGACAGATTTCTCGAGGAGTTTCGCGCAGAGCTGGACTAGCTTTCAAACTAGGCAATCTGCTCGTGACAAACTAGCCCTTTGGGCGGCAGCAACACAACTCACCAACGGGCATCTGCGTGTGACGCGACGCTTCAATCTCGGAACGACGCCAACAAACTCCTCAAAGAGATGCGCGCAGAACTGGGACAGCTCTCCGCGTGGCAGCAGAGCACATCACAGTCAGGCGCCTGAGCTCGGAATGACGCCAACAAAACCTCGAGGAGGTCCGCGAGTTGCCGCTGAGAAAATTTGGCAATCCACTCGTGACAAGAACGACGCCCACAAAAACTCGAAGAGGTCCGCGCAGAACCGGATCAACTGCCCCGGCGTCTGCGCGCCAAAAGCAGACCAGCAGAAGTTGCTGCTATGAGCAGAGGAGATTCGCGCGGAACTGGACCAGCTCTCTGTGTGTTTGGGCGCCTGACTATGGCAAGCTGGCGGTATGAGCAGCGCAACACTTTGGATGACGACAGGCAGACGCAAACAAGCAACGCGCAAGACAAGCAGAAGCAGACAAAGCACGGCGCCGTGTGACGACGCGCAGAAAGAAGCAGAGCAACGCGCAGGAACGTGGCAAACAGAAACTTCTCCAAAATACATGCCCATAAAGCCTCTTAGAGATGACTGAAGGGCAGGGGCCAAGGTCAAAAGGCGCAGCATAGCGAAAGAGCGCAGCATGGCGACAGACGCAACCCAGCGGCGCCGGCGGGGATCAAGTCTTGGGCGTGTGGGCGAAAAGATTGTGCGAAGCAGAGTATAGGCACGGCGGGAACAAGGCCTGAGCATGTGAGCGGACCCGAGTTTTATCAACGCCAGGGCGGGGCAAATGAGGACTGTTCTGTATTCTGCCGTGAGCACGTGAGCATCAGCAATGAAGGGCGCACACAATGACGCCTGCAGTTCAGCCCGGATGGCCAGAGGACCTGCGGCGGTGGCGGTGGTGACAACTTTGCGACCACAGTGGAAGAGGCAAGAAGAGGGTCGCGACATAATTCACGATGCTCCCATCTTGTTTGACACGGATACTTCAGCGTTGGATCTAGATGCTGATGTTATGAAGATATCTTACCTTAAAATGCGCGGCCTCGCGCCATCTTTCTCTGCAGTCGCGCATCTACACAAGTTCAGTGCAACTGGAGCATAGTTGTTTCGCTGCAATTTGGCTTCGATGAGCAGCAAGGAGAGTCAAGCGCTCGAAGGACAGAGCCTCTTCAACTATCGGCAAAAGCAACACTACCCCCTAAACATCGGCGACATCCTTCACGATCGCTATAGAGTCCTCGCAAAATTGGGCTTCGGGGCGTATTCCACAGTATGGCTGAGTCGAGATGAGAGGTACGTACGACTCATCGTTCTGTTTCCTTTGCTTAAGCTGATCGCGGGCAGGACATCAAAACACTTGTGTCTGAAAGTGTGTGTAAATGATGAAACCACCAACTCACCTGTGCTCAATGAGGCCGAGATGCTACGGCATCTTGAGTCCACGTCGGAAGCAGGTGACCATCCTGGGCTGGACTTCATCCGGCTCGCGGATGACATCTTCGAGGCCGATGGACCGACTGGTCGCCATCATTGCATCGCTATGAAACCCCAAGGCGTCAGCGTCCGCACATTACAAGAGTTCTACCCGGACGAGCGCTTGCCGAAGTTACTCGTCAGATCGCTCGTCCATCGTTTGCTCTTCGCGATCGACTGGCTACATTCGCGATGCCAAACCATTCATACTGGTTTATTGTAGACCTTCAATCCTGTGAGTATACTGATTGCGATGTAGACATCACTCCACTCAATGTGTTAACGCAAGCTGAGGACGATGCAGTCTTCCAACAAATCGAACGACAAGAATTGCAGGATCGAAGCGGTCCCACGACAGAAGGCGAATCGGTCGCGTATCCGTCGCGAAGAGCCTCACAGACGCTTTCTGGCATCCCTATTCTCACAGACTTCGGCCAGATGCGGTACGCTGACCCGATCAACGACTCCTGGTCGATGCCGGATACATACCGAGCCCCCGAGGTGCTGCTGGGTCTACCTTGGGACTACCCGGTAGACTTGTGGTCACTTGGAATGATGGTAATGCACTGTTATCTCATGGCAACAGGCAGAGGCTCACAATCAAAAACAGACGCTCGAGCTCCTAGAAGGCAAGAACGTATTCGACCCCATCGACCGTACACACAACAAATACGACATTCCCTTGGCACTATCGCAGTACATTAGCCTTCTCGGACATCCTCCGACGAGCATGATTGAACGAAGTCAAATGTGCTTCTCCCATTTCGACGAAGAAGGTGCGTGGTATACTTGCATGCCGAGTCACCTCACAAGAACAAGACTGACGGAGAAGCACACAGGGCATTGGATATGGACGAAGGAGTACCCGATACCAGAAGAGTCGCTAACCGATTTCGTGACCGCGATCCCTCCCTGCATGGAGAAGGATCTCTTCTTGAAGTTCGTTCGAAGTATGCTAACGTGGGACCCCGATATTCGCTTAACGGCGAACGAGCTGGCCGAAGACGAATGGCTCATGATGCTGGTTGAGCAGATGGCTGGATGAGGTGCTTCTTACGACGACTACGACGACAGCGGCATTAGCAAAGTGAGCATCTCAGCCTCAGGTCTTGCTCTCCACCTCCTCGGTAAACCCAATTCCTACTAGCCGGTCCGTGAGCACCTCCAGGTCGACGTCTTTGCCGGAGAACAGTCCGGCATGGAAAGGAAGAAAATCAGCACGGGGCCTCCTCCATATGACTGAATCGGACGTCACTTTCGTTTCCTGTTTGCCGACGAGGTACAGCACCGGGAGATCGACGCCTGCCGCAGCTCCGATGGACCTAGGATCTTCCCAAGCACGCGGTCCTCACTCAGCCGATGAGGCACGTTCATCCAGGACTCAGCCAGCAGGGCTTGGCGCTCCAGATCTGAAAAAGCTCGTTATTGAGTAGGCACACGTTCAGCTGAAATATCCATTCAATACACCGACTCCATGCTCATGATAGTATGCATTTCTTCACTTATCCATATGCTACTTCTTCTTCCCAATCGACCCAATATCATTCCCAATCGCCAACGGATCCCCCGCACTCGCCTTCGTCCCTCCACCTTTCTGCCCACCCTGCTGCGGCTTCCCCTCTATCCCCAACGGGTCCTTCGGCTTCACACTCGGCGCGTTCGAAGGTCTGGCAGCAGTCTTCGCACCGGCTGGCTTCGGTCTGCTCTCCGCCGAGATCTTCACCTTCCCGCTCGGCGCTGTGCTGGAGGTGACTTTGCCGGGGTTGCTGGAGGGCTGGGAGACGGCGGAGGGTGGTTTCGAGGGAGGGCCGCCCGGGGCGGAGCGCGGGGCTGCGCCGTTGGTGGTGGGAGGTTTCTTTGCACTGGCGGTAGTGGGCTTGGATATGCTGCCTGTGTTTGGGCGGGGTGTGGATGGTTTTTGTGAGGCGGCTGGTAGCCCTTTCGGTGCTCCTCCAGCGGATGGCAATGCCTTCTTTGCGCCTTGCGAGGAGGGCAGTGCCTTCTGTGCGCTTTGAGGCTTCGCGGTCGGCGCTGAGGGCTTCACGGCAGTCTTGTTACCGCCAGATACGGGTCCATCGGCGGACATGGATCGCTTGATCGTGTCGCCGTAGCCGTTGATGTAGTTCGCTACGCTGCCGACGCCGCCAGTCACACCTGTGCAAATCAATCAGCCATGTACAGCTTCCGTATACTTCTCATTACGCACCTCCAGCAGTAGACCTGCCCGCGCCCTCCACCAGACTCCCCACCCCTCCAACGGCATTCCCTGCCATCGTCCCGCCAGCTTGTATACCAGTCTTTGCATATCCCTCAACCTTGTCGCTGACCCAGTTCACGATGAACGACATGATGGCGGTGGTAATCCAAGCTCGTGATCGGTATCTCTTTGCTCGAACGACGTTGAATTACAACTGAACAGTGACTTACAGGCACGCACCTACCGCTATCGTCAGATCTGAAGTCATTACGCCACTCTGTGCTCCCCGGTTTCTTGGAAAGCAAAGGCTGGGAAGATGGAGAGGGTGACGTCGAAGGGGTTAATCGAAGCAAGGATCTAGCACAGCCACGGCAAGGATGGGAGCTGGTGATCCCTGTCCGCCATCCGCCCTCGCGCCTGGATTCTGGACCACTGACGTCTGATGAGAAACACGGAATATTGATGATGGATGGTATGTTGCTAGAGACGGACAATGGCAGCAGAGAAGCATAAGGTACACTAGAGTTTGGAGATATCGAAGTATACTACATCTTGGCGGCCAAACTCTATCCAAACGCCGACCTAACGCTCACATAAATATCGGTACATCGTTTCCTACCCCTTCGCACTCGCAGCATAATTATACTTCTGCGTCCCCACCGGCTTATGAGCAGCTGCTGGCTTCTTCGTGGCAGCCGGCACACTCGCAACGCTCTGCCTCCTCGCCGCCGCCGGGCCACCAGCCTTCAATGCCGGCGGCTTCTTCGCAGCAGGACCCGAAGCAACACTTGTAGCCTTTGTGCCAGCACCTGTCTGCTTCTTTGCCGCAGCCGTCTGCCCAGGAAGCGCAGCACCCTTCTCCTTCGTACGCTGTGCTGCTGCGTTCCTGAGCGATGCGCCAGCTGTTTGCATGGCCATCGTGCTCAGAGGACGAGTAACGACGGCGTTCATGTTGGCCATGGGCATGGCTTTCGATATGCTTGGTCCAGGGTTTGCGACATTGTTCTTCTTCGGCCCCGTAGCCTTCGAGATGGACTTCTGCGCTTGCTTGGTCGCGTCATCGATCTCTTTCTGGGACTGTGCCGAGAGTGCCTGCTTGGTTGCAGGTGCCTGTGCAGCCCTCTTTGCGATATTGGGATTGCCTGACTTCTGTGCGGAGTCGACGATGGCGCTCTTCATCTCTTCCTGCGTCTGCGGCGTCTGCTTCATGAGATAGTTCAAGACCGGCGCAGGTAGCGCTGCAGACTGCTGAGCGGCTTTCAGTGCGTTGCGGACGTACGTCTGACTTGCCGGTCCGAGTGGCGCCTTGCCGATGTTGAGCAAGTTGAGCTGCTGCTGCTTGGCCACTTGAGCCATGATTTCATCAAAGCTTGCGGGGTTGGTCATGTCGACACTCGAGAGCGCCCCTGCGGCGGTGGTGATGGGTCCGAAAATGCTCAGAAACTCGTCCCATCCGCCGCCTTTGACTTCCGTCCCGATCATCTTTGAGTGATTCGGCTTCCGCTTCCCTTCAGCAGCTGCTAGTGCTTTGACGGCATCGTCTGCGGGGAACTGATTGAACTTGTAGAAGTATTCCAGGATGTAGTCCTTCTCGCGCCATCTGTTGATCAGCCATCGCTCGAACGCATCGTCGTTGTCCACGGGGATGTCCGAGATCTTGAAGCGTCGCCAGAACATGTTGACCGACTTGGGTGGCCGGCCTTCGAAAAAGGAGGAGCGGAGGGTGAAGATGTCCTGGCCGTATTGACCTTTCGGTACACCTTCGTATGCGATAGTGCAATCGTACAGCCAGTTGGTCGTCGACTTGAGCTCCTGCAAGCAGAACTGAAGACCGGTCTTTCGAGGCAGCAGCGTGTTCTTCATATCCGGCACGCCAGCTTTCTTCGCCCATGAAGCAGACTTCTCCCTCGTGGAGGATGACAGATTCGTGCCTTCGGGGAAGATGAGCAGCCACATTGGATCCTTGGGATTCTTGAGATGGTTGAGAGCGCTCTTGAAGCGGATCTTGTCAGTCTCCCACTTCCTGCTGAGGAAGATGAAGTTGTAGAACTGTGCCCCCCAGCCAAAGATCGGTAGCTGCTTCAAGCTCTCCTTCAGGATGATATAGATGCGGCCATGCATCTTGTTGGTGTAGGCGATCCACCAGAGATACAGCCAGTCCGTGTAGAGTTGATGGTTGGCCATTAGTACCATCCGATGCGGAAAGTTGCACTTCAGACTGCCGTCGTCCATCTGGTACAGCTGCCCTTTCATGCTCTCGTCGCCGCTCACCCTCACAACGGTCGGCGCCCACCATTGCGTAATCGTCGTCATGAGCACAGCGAACGACTCCTTGGTCCATGCCATGTAGTGGTCGTAGAACTTCGGATCCACCAGTTTAAGCGGCGCTCCGATGAACTGCGATGCTGATATGGCCATGACACCGGATAAGAACGTCGATGCGGCGCTGAAGGCACGCTCTGCCTGGCCCATACTGCCATGCTGGATGGGATTGGGGTTGTTGACTCCAGATTTGGTGAGGCTCAAGCCAGCTCGTCCATTATCCCCTGCGACTGAGGGGGCTTTCGAGGCAGATTGACTCCCCTTATCGCCTGCGACCGAGGACGCCTTCGAGGCGGGCTTGGAGACGACCATGTTGCCGCATCTCAAGCCTTGTTCCGGTCAAAGTAGGTGCGAGATCCAACAGGTCGAAGAATTTAGACTTCGCGATATTGAGCTCTCTCGTCGAACATCACTTGCCACACCAGACCACCGACGATCTGATCTAGAGCGTGCGTCGACGTGGGTGTCCCAGCCACAGGTGTCACCGTTGGCGCTGGTCAAGCTGGTCAACATCCCTGTCCACGCAAGCCCACCCCTGCTCCGTCCAACAGAAATGACGTCGGCGCCATGAGGCGTTTCGTGCCAGGTTCCCGTCTTTTCGAATGGCAGCCACTTCGTCTTGCTACCAGTCTCCTCCATTTCTGTATATCCAGCGTGATTGATTAATACTTGCGTCTGACCCTCGAATACTCCCCAAGTTCAAAAAGTCCAGAAAGTTGGCACAAGTCCCCGCCACGCAACACGCAACCAGGATCTGGGTCGAGCAGCAGTCGAGCGCCCACGCGACCTCTCATCCACACAAAAAACACCACACAATGTCCTCGCAGACCCAACACCGCCCCTCTGTCAACGGCGTCACTCCTCGCAAGCCCGCCGCTCCTCGCGCTGCACCCGCCAAACGTCCCGCTGCCGCCAAACAAGCGCCCAACGGCGTGCCTCGAAGTTACCCCAAAGCTCCTCCCAAAGCACACTCCGTAGCCGGCGAGAGCCCTTCCGGCCAGTCGTCGTCCGCGTACGCGATCATGGCGAGTAGGATTGCGAACAGAGTCGCGGAGATGGCGGAGAGTATCACGTTTGTGGAGAAGTGAGCTCTAATACCCTTCTTCTACACACGAAGGTTCAACGCTAACATATTCACTACAGACCTAAGCCGCAGCAACAGCAGCAAGCACCTCAAACTGAAGAATCTCGCCGCCCGCGTAAGCTCGAGATGCGTCTCCCCGGCGGCGGCGGGTCTGGGGACAGCGTCGCGTTCAGCGCACCCTTCCTCGACAATACTCTGCAGAAGATGCTGCAGCTGCAGAACCGGATGTTGACCACCACGGCGGAGCTGTCGAAGGCGGGAGGGGTGGAGGAGAAGGTGATCAAGGAGCATGCGGCGCAGAGCGCGGAGTTGAGTCGGATCATTGCTATGATCTGTGCTGAGAAGGCTAGACAGGGTGCGTAATTGATGTATGAGAGGAGACCGCTGTTAGGTGACCATGTACTGGTATGTATGACTGGCGTTGTGGGTATGAGCGAGTCCGAATATAGCATGTTATGAAAAGATTCAAGCGATGACCTCACGTCACTCCCTTCATCGTACAACCACCCGTCACATGAGCGATGACAAACTCGTCGCCCTGCATCGAAAAGGAGCAAAAGCGTGGGCCACCGTCCGTCACCTCATCCGCGAACGAGAAGATAAGCAGACCGAAGGGGAAAACAAAAAAGACCACCCATGATCATTAACCACCACAACCATTCTCAGAGAATGGTCATGAATCGAACCATTGACCAACTTCACAGCCACTTACGCCAAGTCGATTGGACTGGATCATTGCGGATCAACTCATGATCGCCAGCTCAACCAATTCTTGATGAAAAGGCACTGGGTAGATTCATTGAGATTTGGCGGGTCAAGAACAAATCCTAGCCATTAGGACCTCCTGACTTGCTAGACTTGCTAGATCAAGGGAATGACTGGTAGGTTTGGTTCTTGCTTGGTGACACATATTATTTTGATATAATATAAGTGTTTCAATTAGCGGGTCGGGGGTGCACGGCGATTGCTCAATGAGGTGAGGTCGTGGATCATTCGAACCAAGAGTGAGGGTCAGGGGAGTGTCTTTGGGGGACTGAGGGGGAACGAAGATCGATGTTGCATTGAGTAGCACTTACGCGTCCTCAGCATTAAACACCAAGCTGTTCTCCAGCAAGACCCAGGCAGGTCATCCTTTGCCGCCTATCCTACTCAACGCCGTAGTCGTAACGTTCATAGTCCGCTGCCAAACGCCGCGCTCCTTGGGAGCTCTGATCGGTATCGACTGCATCGCCTTCGCATCCACCCTCGCATCCTTCTTCATAACCGCAAAATCACGCGTCTTGGGAGCTGCAGCACCACCTTCCACCCTACCCGAAGTAGACTTCCCCGAGTCCACACTCAGACCCGAGTCCTTCCTCTTCTCCCCCTCACCGCCGTGCCCAGCTCCCGCGCCCCGCTAATCAATCCCGTTCTCCCGTTTGAGCTTTTCTAAGCTCTCCTGCCTCTGTGCCAGATCTTGTGCGCCGGCTTTCGACATCTTCTCCGGCTGGTGGTAGAGCACGACGAGATAGCGGTTCTGGAAGTTAAAGCCGTTCAGCTTGTCGCAGGCGCCTTTGGCGTCCATGACGTCCTCGTAGACCACGAAGGCCGTGCCTTTGGTGTTGGTGGCTATGCCTTGGCGGATTTGGCTGGAGGGGTGTTAGTGGGGGGTGGTCGCGTGACTGGGTAGGAGGGGTGGACGGTACCGTATGGGGCCGAATTTGCCCTGGGATGGTTGGTTAGTAGGGCCGTTCAATGGAGCTGGAGGTGGACAAGTACGAAGAGGTCGAATAAATCATCCGTGCTAACGTTGTACGAGAGGTTCTTGACGAAGAGGGCACTGTCGAGTATCAGTAAATGTTCCGGAGTATGGAGAGGTTGACAGCGCACCGGTTGACCTGAGGATCTATCTTGTTATTACCACTGCGACTCATAGCTTGGCTGCGGGTGTCTGGGAGGTGGTGTTGACCAGTGTGTTGCAGATCCGGGGAGGATGAGGTGGAGGTGCTGGTTGGAGCGGGCTCGTCGGATCGCTGTCTGGTCTGCTCTGCCTGGACGGCTGACGGGTCATCCCGCTTTCGCTAAGACAGCGAACGACAGGCCTCCATTTGCGGACTCCCGAAGCGGACGCTGGCACGCAGTTGCTGTACCAGCGACACCACCACCACTACACGACGCCCACGATACCAATGACCTGAGCCGAGTGATCTCGTCGCCCGGTGCGCATCCGTGAAGTTCACGTGGGCTCGCTTGGTGACAACTACCGCTGCGAATTGCTCCATTCACTCCGCTCAACGCCCACTGCCCCACCGCCGAACCGCCGACCACCCCTCCACTTCACCGTTGCCAACACATACACAAGCCCAGGCCTATACTGTTCCGGGAAGACACAAACCACTTGGAAACGCATGCGACAGGCAATAAGAGCCATATATCTTGGGGGCGCACCACGCGTGGCATACCAACCCCACCTTCACCACCACGGCTGGGCCGTTGGTCTTCGCCGACATGGCCGACACGCCGTACAATCCGACCTTCAAGAGGCCGACGAGCGCCCGACCACAGTACATGCGCTCGCCGTCACCTCCGCGAGCATTCGTTGAGCCGCTTTCACCGCCCAAACCCACGCCAATGGAACCGAATTTCAACTATCCTCCAATCCACAACCCGCTCCGATACCCAGCTTCAGCTGAACAACCCTTCGCAGCAACCCCGAGGTCCAGAGCGTACAGCACAAACCAGCAGAACGGACACCATCGCACACCCTCGTCCATAGACACTCTCGCTGAAGCGGCGCTTGGGTCGAGTCCGTACCATGGGCATTCGAGGCATAGCTCGGCTATATACGAGACGAACGGCTACAGCCATGCACACCCCTCACAGCATCCTTATGGTACAAGCGAGCCTCCGCACAAGAGGACACGGTCTGAGCTTCTTCCGTCACCGCATGTTGGATACCAAGCATCACGTCCTGCGACAAGCTACCAGTCGCATCCCTGGTCTCACTCCGCTCACCATGGCCAAGGATACAACAGCAGGGTCGAAGAAGCAGCGTTGCTGCTCAACTTTCAATCTGGAGGTTGGCCAGGGCAGAGCTCACCCAGTGCGCCGAAGACGTTCACGCCAGCAGCCCCACGGCCACACGCCAACAGCTTTCCTCAAGGAGTCTTGCGACCGCGACCAGCGGAGGCAGTACGGAATCCACAGCCCGGACTGCTCCCTTCGTTCCATCCTCACACTGCGCATCAACAGCCCCCAATCTTTGAGACTCCCGAAGACACACTAACAGTACCGGCGTCTCCACGCCACACTTCTTCCAATGGCCACGTTGGCAACGATGTCGACATGCAAGATGCGCCGTGCAGCGATCCGGTCCGCCACGTGGCTGAACAACCTCTAGGTCGCCCTGCAGACGATCAAATGTCTCATGGAGAGAGCACAGACGTGACTGTGAGCGAAGCATCCGATGCACCAAAGCCACGCCGAGGCTGGCCGAAAGGTAAGCCAAGAGGATCGGGCGCAAGGAAGACCATCGCAGAAAAGGCGGCCACAAAGCGGGCGGCGTCGCGGAAGAAGACGCCAGATTCCAAGGCCAGCCGCGGCAAGTCGGATGGCATTCGAGACGCATCTGCCACTGCTTCCGAGCCCCGGCGAAAGAGCTTGAATGATGCTTTCGTGTTTGGCGAGCAGGATTCTAACGAGGAGAGCCGCTCTGATGCGCACCGGCCACGATCTGTTCCTCCTAAGACACCCATGATCATCCGCGAGGCTGCTGCACCGAAAGCCAGTCGGCGCAAGCTCGAGGTCCGTCCCGATACTGTCTGCGCCGGCTGCCAGACATCCCGAGAGACTGCGACCTCTCGTGGAGAGTTCGACGAATGGATATCATGCAATGGGTGCAAGAAATGGTTTCACATTGATTGTGCTGGATTCAAGAAAGCCCACGATATCCGAGATGTCGACAAGTACTTTTGCACTGCATGCGAGCCAGAGCACGGCAAGACGACGTATGTGCGCAAGAGTACCCGCGCGCATGCCTCAGTTGATTATGCAGAGCTGCAGCGCGGCGTGCTCAAGACTGGCGAGGAGGAGCGCAAGCATCACTACATCCAGCCGATCAAGGATGGGACATTCCAATTCGACCGCGAGGCATTCCCGCGCATGCGCCCAGAGATGGTCACACGGGAGTTCTTCGAGCGCAGCGGGACTTTCACCGAACCAATCTGTGTGCCGGCTGCGTGGAATCCGAGGCCCTGGGCAGAGCGCGAGCATGCTCAAAGTCATCCTCATGGCACGAACGGGGAAGGATGTAATGTCGGCGCTCTGGCAGACGCACTGATAGATGAACTCGAGTACGAGACTGTCCCTGACCACGGGCAAGACAGGCTTGAGATGGTGATGCCGGAAGGGTTGAGCGTGAGATCAGTCTGCAACCTCATTGGCGGCGACTGGCCGATTGATGTGATCGACGTCAAGACACAGAACTCCGGAGCGAAGTGGAACATGGCGAAATGGGCCGACTACTACGAGGAGATCCCAGACGAGAGCAAAGCGATCCGGAACGTCATCAGCCTCGAAGTTTCCCAAACGAAACTCGGCCGGCTGCTGCAGCGACCAAAGGTCGTTCGAGATCTCGATCTGCAGGACGATGTCTGGCCGCAGGAGGAGATCGACAAAGGCAAGTTCCCGAAGGTGCAATTCTACTGCCTGATGTCGGTAGCGGACAGTTACACCGACTTTCACATCGACTTTGGCGGAAGTAGCGTGTACTACCACATCCTCAAGGGCAAGAAGACGTTCTTCTTCATTCCGCCCAAAGCGAAGCACCTCAAAGCGTACGAGGAGTGGAACGACAGCCCGCAGCAGAACTTCACCTTCCTTCCCAACATCACGAAGGAATGCTACCGAGTCGATCTGCACGAAGGCGATACAATGCTCATCCCCTCCGGCTGGATTCACGCCGTCTGGACGCCCGAAGATAGCTTGGTGATTGGAGGCAACTTCCTGAACCGTTTGTCCTACAAGAACCAGTTCAAGGTGGTGGATATCGAAAAGGCCAACGAGACTCCGATGAAGTTCCGCTACCCGAGCTTCCAGAAGGTCATGTGGTACACTGCGATCAAGTACCTGCAGGACGATCCACTGCCGGAGGAGGTCAGCCAGTTGTTCTATGATGGGAGGAGGTTCGAGAGGGAGGTTCCAGTATGGGCGGACTTTGATGGTGAGATCGCAAGGAACAATCCTCAGCCGGGATGGCAGAACGCACGCTATTACAGCCAGGCGGAGATTGAAGGCCTGCCAGAGCTGGTGAACTACATCTTTCGGACGGTAATGTTGGTGATGGGTCGCATCGAAGGCGTTTCTGCGGACAGAGTCAAGCGGGTCAATGCGTCGATCCCAAAAGGGTTCGGGGACCCACTTAAATTAGCGCAAAAGTTCGCGTTCTGGAGCACCTGGAAGCGCGGCAACGAAGATCCTCCAACGTGGGCGCACCCGGACGCTGTTTTACCCAGCAGCAAGGAAGGACCGCCGAAGAAGTTGTCAGAGCGAAAACTGAAGGAATTGGAGCGCAAAGAGGCCATTGCCGCATGGCGCATCGCCCCTGATCGCCAGAGTGTGCGAGTCATGGCGAAAAACGCGAACGCTGCTGCTGCAGCTGCCACCGACGCCACCTCGATGGATGGAACTTCATCACCAGCGCCGGCGCACTTGCAAAACCATCACATGGCATCGCAATTCCATCAAAACCAGGCGTATCCAGATGCCCGCGCCACTCCGGCGCATGCGCCGATGACTTTCATGATGCAGGGCCCGCCGGGCGCGCATCTCAGCACGCCGAAGACGTCTGTCCTGGGACCGAAACGTGTCGCGTGCGATGTCTGTCGCAGACGTCGCATCAAATGCAAGCACAAAGACATTGTCCAGCAACTGACTCCCGACGGCGTGCCTTCTGTCAATGGCATTGACCCTGCTTTGGCGCCGGAACTGCACGATAACATCACGGTCTCGCCATCAAAGTTTGGAGAGAATGGACATATGGGTTATCAAATGGGCGCGAATTCTGGGCCCTATGCAGGTGGTTTACCGAATGGGGATGGGTTCTCCGCCGGCGGTGCTGGGCGAGACGGTCCGATGCCCGGGACGAGCGCATATGTAACGGCGAATATTCCGATGGCGATGAATGGGGTGCAGATGTTTGGGGAGGTGGGGAAGAAGGGGAGGAGTAAGGCGTGTTATGAGTGTCGCAAGTCCAAGGTATGATATTATATTTTAGGAATATTTTCAATATCACGCTAACTCTTATCAGCGACGATGCATTCATGACGAGAGCGGTAATGTCGACCCGGCGAAAGCTGCTGAGCCTCCAATACCTAGAGCCGGAATACCATCGAAGAAACGCGCCGCTCTGGAAGATCGCCAACGCAGTCCGTTGCTCAAGAAGACTTCTTCCGAAGGAAGCCCTTCCTACACACCGATCTCAACGCCGCATCAGCATCACATGGTCGGCCACGGTGTGCTCAAACCCAGCTTTCTGATGAGCAGGAGAGATTGCGACAAAGCAGACGGCCGTGCCAGTTCGGAGCGCGATGCGTCGGCGCCGCCACCGCGTTCACGGTCCCCACAGTCGCAAAGCGAACAGCCGCAGCTCCAACCCCAAACTCAGCCGACACCGAACATTGACCCCAGCCTGTACGAAATGTACTCTACCCGCGAGCGCGAGGAAAGCTACGGCGAGCCACGAAACAGCTATTCTTATCCCAACGCCGACCAAGGCCAGCCGTACCCACAAGGACAGTCGGGATACCAGATGCCGTCGCTGGAGCAGATCGCCAATGAAGTCCTGGTAGACATGAATGGGAATGAACAACCCGAGCATGCGCCTAGTGGTCTTTTACCGGACGGCTTCGACCAGATCCACGCATTCAACCAGTCAAATGCTGCGTCGATGCTGAACGGACTTCCTCACGCTGAGCCAGAACCCAAACCGGACGGGAGTGTCGATAGTGCCGTTTCTCTTCCGGCCAACGAGGCTTCGCAGAACAGCACAGGCAGTGCAAGTCTTGCGAATGGCGAGGCTGCGCAACTGGAGCAAGGTACGGTAGAAGGCCTACCAAATGGCGACGTCAAGCCGAACATGCCTCCTCAGCCTTCGATAGAAACAGAGCAGGAGACAGTACCTCACCAACCGCCATCGCCAGCACTTGCCCGCGCTACTTCTCCGATCGATGCAAAGCCCAACATCAACACCCTTCCTCTCTACCAACCACCCGCGCCTCCCGCTAAATCACCCGAGGTTGCGAAGAAGCAGCCGAATGGCGTTCAGCACGGTGGTGTGAGCATGTCGCCACCAACCGAGACACCTGGGAAGCGGAAACGAGATGATGCGTCGGTGACGCCTAGCGTGAAAGGTGCGAAGAAGGCGAAGGTTGGGGAGGTGGTGGAGGGAGATGATGGGAGTGCGGAGTTGGTGCGCATGTTGCAGCAGGAGGATAGGGGGTTGAGGAGGAGGAGCAAGTGAGTTCTGAAGAGAGTGCCGATGCTCGTTGGGAATATTCGAAGCTAGGAAGGGTTTCGCAAGAGCGTGACCGATGGTCTGGCTTTGATGTGGGAGAAGAGTCGCGGTTAAAAAGGAGGATCGTCAAGGCCAATAATCTCAGCATCGCCACGGCCGCGCGAGCCAATGTGTCAAGTTGGTCGGGCATGAAGCAGGGGGAACGAGGAAGGATGATACCACGAACGGCTTGGGACGTGGTCAGAGTTGAATGACATGTAAGAGTGTAGCTGTCGGCAGTGGACCGAGTTCAAATCTTCTCTAACAAACGACGCATTATCGAATTCATCATTATCCATCTCTCAAAACGATACAATTCCGAGCAGACGCAACCATGTCTCATGGCCGGTCGGTGTCACGCAGTGGAGATTGAACGTGCTGCATGTATCCGCATGCTGAAGCAAGGCAGTCGGACGCACATGTGGCATTCCTTTCACCTGGAGTACTTGCATAATCTTGATGAAACGGCGAGGAGAGGGAAGATGCAGGTTAGAGGTAAGGCAGGTAGGTGCGTTGCGGTGAGGAGGTGGACTTGCTGCGTTTGAAGCGTTTGTGTGTGTGTACTTCTGTTCGACCTTTCTGCTGTGTTTTTCCTCTCTTTCTCTTCACCTTCATCTTCGCCTCTTCTACCGATCCTTAAGCCTCCGTCCTCAATTCTCTGCCTCACTAGCTGCGTGCTACTACACCGAGAAGCACGCAACACAGTCGGCACCTCTCCACCCTCGCATTACTACTACTCCGAACCACCACCTCATCCACCTTCAACCATGCCGTCCTTCGCCCACACGCTCGCCGCTTTCACCCTCCTCGCCATCTCCATCTCCCCATCAGCAGCTGCACCAGCCAGCCAACTCTGCGAGCGCTCTACTCTCACCAAACGCCAAGAGTCTGGAGGTCTGCTATGTCTCTACCTCACCAACGACATCAACTGGGCTGGCGAGGGACTGAACTTGTGTCAGGTGGCTGGGACGTGCTGTAGGTGTCCTTCTTCATGCTTTGTATGATAATGCTCGGACGTCTGGCTGACGTGTTTCAACAACAGCTCCTGCTCTCCCCGACGGCCTCACAGCAAACATCTCCTCGGCCGGCCCGGTCGAAGGCGCGGCTTGCTTTCTTTATGATGCCCCAGACTGCGTCGGCGCGCGTTCGGATCCGATCGTGAACCCGGGCTACGGCGATCTGAGGGATATTGGGTTCGACAACAAGGCCAAGAGCTGGCGGTGCTGGCAGCTGTGTGGAGAGAACGCTTCGTCCAGCAGTTCTGCGGCGGCTTCCACAACTTCCTCCTCTTCGAGAGAGGTCATGATCAGCACAACACTCTCCGGCCCGAGAGGCAAGACAACAAGCTCTGACGTCTCAATCTCGACGACTTTGTCTGATTCGCCGACTCGCCGGGGTGCTGCGGCGGCTGGAAAGGTGGAGATCACGACGACGCTCAGAGGACATCAGCCTCTGGCATCGATTGGCGATACCGCGGCTCCCAGCTCTACGACCAGCTCTGGCGAAGTTTCGATTTCAAGCACTTTGTCTGCCGTACCATCTCCTGGTACGTCTAGCTCAACCTCGAGCAAGCGTAGCTCTCTGTCCGGTGGCCCGACGCCGTTTGCTTCGCTATCACCCACGTCCGCGACGACAAGCACGCACAGCTCTCTGTCTGGTGCTCCGACGCCGTTCGCATCTCTACCCTCGTCTTCCAGCTCGGTGACCGCGATCACTCTGAGCGGCGGCCCGATCCCATTCGCCGCTCTTACATCCTCATCAACAGCAAGCACCTTCGCTATCAGCGTCGCAACACCAGATCCGGGCTCCAACAACAGCACTACCAGCAGCACCGCTTCGACCGTGGCGAACGTGAGCGTTACTTCGATCATTCCTTCGATTCCCACGCCGACGAATCTCGGGATGTTCACGTCGGTGATGACGATGACGCATACGTTCGCGGACGGGAGTACGACGTTGGTGACGACTGCGCTTGTTGAGCCGATTTTGCCGACGGTGGGTGTGGAGTGATGGGTCCTGGTCTGGGGCAGGAGAAGGAGGCCAGATAGACCGAGTCGCGGAGATGATAGATGCTCTTAGACGGGCGGGAGGTCGCAAAGTAATGTTCGGAGGTGGTCCTGATGTATCCTCGAGTCCAGCGATAGCCGAGATCACATGCATTCTTCGCATCTCACTTCTTCTCTCCAGCCGCAGCTTGCAGCACCTTTTTCGTCTTCGCATCTCTGTCCGCAGTATCGACATTTCCATACTCCTCCTCACACTGCTTCCACATCTTCTCTTCCCACTTCTCGCCCGCCTTAACATTAATCTTGAACTTCTCTACATCCTTCTCACTCGCTTCCCAGCAGTTCTGCACTGTGCCGCCAATCTTCTCCATGAAACTCTGCATGCCACCCTCCCCACCACCAGCATGGTAGCTCTTGAAGGGCCCGGCTACAGACCACCTAGGACCCATTGAGGCCGTCATAATCGCATCAAGATCCTTTACGGACACCACATCCTGCGCGACCAACGAGCAAGCCTCCCTGAAAAGCGCGAAAGCCAGTCGATTGGCGACAAATCCCGTGCACTCTTTCTTCAGCACCACCGGCGTCCGTCCCAAACTCCGCCAGTACTTCAGCGTCTTGTTGATCGCCGCCTGACTTGTCTTCTCACCTGGTACAACTTCCAAGAGCGGCATGATGTGCGGTGGATTGAAAGGATGCACAACCATAAGCCGCGTTTTATCCTTCATCCCCTTCCCCTGCACTGTAGCCGTGATCCCACTCGTCGAACTCCAGAACAGCGCATCGCTGCGCGCAAATTTCTCGACCTCCGGCCATAGCTTCGTCTTAAAGTCTTCGTTCTCTGGTCCTTGCTCTTGGACAATATCGGCGAATTCGACGGCGGCCTTGAGGCTGGGTGCTAAAGTAATGCGGTCACTGTAGGATTTCTCGCTGCATTCGGCAGGGTCGATGTAGCCGGGTAGGTGTTCGGTGATGTAGTCGTAGAGGTCGGGCCGGTTGTCGTAGATGGAGACGGTGGAGGTGGTGGATTTGGTGAGGTGGAGGGCTGCGAAGGACAGGCCGATGGTGCCGCTGCCGATGAGGGCGATGTGGTGTTTGTCCGCCATGCTGGAGCCCTGTCGATGTTGGAAGGGGAGAGTTGATGCGGCGGCGGTGGTTCTTATGCACATCTGCGCTAGGCGGAGACTGTGGGGTTGAAGGAGGGGTATGGAGAAGCGCGCGCCGACGAGTGGGCGAAGGGGAGACATGGTGGAGGAGGATACGACTGGGTGATGTGTAGGAGACCTCACCTACCTTACGTTCATATTCGTTCACTCGGTGCTGTCCAGCCACCAGGATTGATAAGGCAGCGATAGCACCCAAAAAGAAGCATTTTGGTATCCCCGCATTTCGTCACGTGGCGGGCCATAGCCATATAGCCGCGGATCAACACCGAGGTAGACACGACCACCACCGCTTTCCAATGGCGGCACGATCATGTAGGAACAGGTAGGGATCCTTCTCATCTCTCAATATCAATTCATAGTCAGTCGTACTGTCGTTCTCATCCCGTCTGTAAACCGTCAAGATGCCCTTCAAAAGTCGCGCGGCCGATATCTTTCGTACGGACATGATCTCCTCCCATAACCACAGCAGGCTAACGATACACCACAGTTCCCCGCGATATAACGACCTACCAATGGCTCTTCGAGCACCCAACGTACAGCCCACTCCACCGCTTCCCTTCCAACGAACTCGGCGGCTATCACAACGCTATCACGAAGGAAACCCTCTCCTGGCAACAAGTTAAAGAGGCCGCTACCCACCTCTCCACCGCCCTTGTCCGGAACTATGGCCTCAAACCCACTGAGACCGTCTCGCTCTTCTCGCAGAACACGATATACTACCCTGTCGCTATGCACGCCACCCTACGAGTAGGGGGGAAAGTGAGCGGTGCAAGTCCGGCGTATAATGTAGAAGAGATGACCTACGCACTACAAAAGGCGGATGCGAAGTTTCTCATGACACATCCGGACTCCATGGGCGTGGCTATCGAAGCTGCGGAGAAGGCAGGTTTGAAGAAGGAGAATGTCTTCATGTTGGAGGGTGAGATGAAAGGATATAAGAACGTGAAGGACTTGATAGAGGAGGGCAAGAAGCTGCAGGAGGTGCCGGTATGGACGATTCCGAAGGGCAAGACCAATGGTGATGTGTGTGGGTTCTTGAGCTTTAGTTCGGGGACGACTGGGTTGCCGAAGGCTGTAAGCAGTGTTTCCACAATGTCCATATCTCCACCTGGTTGCTGATTTTGGATGCGCAGGTCATGATATCGCACCAGAATGTGATCGCCCAATGCCTCCAGGTCCAGCAGATAACGCCTTCAGACCTCACCCGGATCCTGGCAGTACTACCATCCTTCCACATCACGGGCCTCGTCCACGCCCTGCATCTCCCTGTCCTCCTCAACGCCACCGTGGTGATGCTCCCAGCCTTTACGATGAAAGCCATGCTCGACACCGTGGTCGAATACCAGCTCAAAGAACTCCTCCTCGTCCCTCCAATCTTGATCAGGATGGTCCGAGATCCGATCGTGGATAACTACGACCTCAGCTTCCTCCGACGATTTTCTTCTGGTGCAGCGCCGTTGAGTGAGGAGATCATCCAGCTGTTAAAGAAGAAGTTCCCGCAAACAGGCTTTAAGCAGGGCTACGGCATGACAGAGTCTTGTTCATGTATCACCGCGCATCCGCCTAGTCATTACGACTACAAGTATGCGCACTCTGTTGGGACGATAGTGTCGAGTACGACGGTTAAGATCGTGAAGGAGGACGGCACAGAGGGTGGGATTGGCGAGCCAGGTGAAATCTTCGCGAAGGGGCCGCAGATCGTGATGGGGTATCTAAACAACGAGCAAGCCACGAAGGACACCTTCGATGCGGACGGCTTCCTGCACACCGGCGACCAGGGCAGTATCGACGAAGAAGGCGTGATCACGATCCTAGACCGGATCAAGGAGATGATCAAGGTCAAGGGCATCGGTGTCGCGCCCGCGGAGCTCGAAGACCTCCTGCTCGGTCATGAGAAGGTGGAAGATGTAGCCGTGCTCGGGATCCAGGACGAGTGGGCCGGGGAGGTGCCCAAGGCCTACATCGTGCCTCAGTCGGGGTACGAGGGTAACCAGGCGCTCGGGCGGGAGTTGATTGCGTATGTGAGGGAGAAGAAGGTGAGGTATAAGGCGGTCAAGGAGATTGAGTTTGCGACGGAGATCCCGAAGAGTGCGAGTGGGAAGATTTTGCGGAGGGTGTTGAGGGATCAGTCGAGGAAGGGGGCGACGGGTGTGGTGGTGAGGGAGGAGCGGGCGAATCTGTAGACCGTGTCTTGAGTATAGTAAATCATCTGGTATGAGCAGTCGCAGAAGCTGTACGGAACAAGCTGTATGGATCAAGGGAAGAATTCGCGGTTGGCCTACCTCAGAGCGCCGTGGATATTGACTAAACATCACTTACCTCCTCCTCCAAATCGTTAGACCGGACAGCGAAAGTTTCGCGGGGAGCGTTCGGATGCACCTGTGAGCTGCAAGATAGTTCGCCCAGCATCAACGCGAGCCCCCCATGCTCGCAGGTTATCTTGTGTGCCTCGCTGAGCAAGATCCCTGCGGTGGACCCATGAAGCGTTGGAGGCGGGAGAAGGAGAAGATATTCGGCCTCCCCACCGCTCTCACGACTTCTCTCGTTCGACGAGAATGTTGGAGGTCGGCTCGATGGATCTGTATCAACTTGTTCCCTTCGTGCGACCAGCAGCAACACTGTATCGCCGAGGCACGTCGCGAGCAATCTCCTGATACCAAGCACGACTAAGAGAACACTGTCCTGAATCAGCGGGGTGGATCACCTCACAGACTTGGATAAATGCCCGTAACCTGATAGATGTCTCATGTGAATATGTGATGAGGCACATCCATGACAGGCTGTGGATGCTGTGTTCCTGCCGGATATTCGACTATGCATGCGGTCGAGATAAGGTCCAAGTTGGAGGGGAGCCGAGGCCGGGCAGTTTTGCACAATCTGCTATCCTCCGCCAGAAGGATGTTTAGTGGGGATGTGGTTTAGATCTGTTGATCCTAGGCCGTCGGTCGAGTGAACACCAAGGCAGTCCGAGTAGTGGCCAAAGCTGTTTGTGATGCGCTGTCTGTAGTATGTGGGACGTTGATCATCAGTGAAGTCCGGAAGATGCAGATGGACGACGATGGTGGCGCTGCGAGCCGCACCCCACCCGTTGCTGCAGCTGAGCCTCAGAGGCAGGTTCATCCGGTTGCCTCTCAACGGCCTGCGGTAAAAGGTGTTGCCTGCAACGTGGCTGGTGTAACAGACTACACATCCAGACCCTCCAATCGCATCAGCAAGGCGTGCATCATGACGGGTACCGGGGTGGAGCAGCGTGGGCTGAGACATTGACAGATGTCGCTAACGCCGGCAGACAGATCTGAGGTGTCTTTGACGCTGTCGCTGGCTGTAGCGAAACATGCTCGCGGCATTCGAGGCCTTGCGATTCTTCACAGAAACTGTGGAATGACCGCGACTCACCTGAAGCGATGTTCCTGGAAGTCTCTTTCGGGGAGGCAGCAAAGAGATGTTCTGGACGGCGACAAGGTTTGCCGTAGGCCAACGCAAAGAGACGCTAGCTCCGGGACGACCAACCTTAATTCAGGGTTAATGTTCCTGGTATCTCAAGCCAACGACATCCACCATCAGACCAACCACCAACGGCGAGGCGAGAAGGCTGGCGTCTTTGTGCTCATCGAACAGACCAAGTCAGCTCGTTGGCGGCGCCACGTTCTACTAGAGCTGACTTGTAGCCATGCAAGATCAGTGAGACTTCTCCCGTACCTGACAGCCCAGACCCTCCGTTCTCGTGGACGCCCGACCTGCATGTTACTTCGGACCAGCTCAATGGCCCTGCCGATCGCTATCACTGCCGGACCAGCGAGATAACGATATCGACGTAGTCCTTGACTTAACCTTTGGCTCGCAAAGACTAGTTTCAGCGCTCTCGCTGGCCACCGCTACGGGTGTGATTGAGCAAGGTAAGTGGCCGTCTAACTTCAAATCGCTCAGCAACAGCGCAGTCTATGGCTGTTGATCCCACGCTGTCACCAACGTATCAGCCTTCCGCACCCGGGATCTATGCTGCAGAGCTACGCCCATGTGCGACTGGGTGGGAACGGCAGGCGGAGCAGCCTCCCGCATGTCGATATGCAGAGCCCAGTAGGCACTATACGGTGCAGCAAAGATCCCACCCCATTCACCCGCGTTCGGTCTCCTCGCTCTCGTTTCCCGGTATTTATATAGGCCTCTGCCTCCTGGAAACCCTTCCTTCTTGAGCACGCCATAGCATCCTTCCATCTAGTAGTCCAACTACACTCGTTTCAGCAACAGGACTACCCTCTTTACGCCTAGACTTCCAATCAGCATGCACGGCATCAGTCAAATGTGCCTTGCGGCATTGCTTCCCGCCGCACTCGCCATGCCCTTCAATCCTCCATGGGGCTCGCCACCCCACCAACCTTGGACTACCACCAGCAGCAGCATGCCTGGTGCTCCCCCGACAGGCACTCCAACCAGCATGTCATTCCCGCCAGCTCCCACAGCCCCCGGCCCCATTGGTACGGCTACCGGTTCCGGCACCGGCTACCCCTACCCAACCTACATGTCCAACAAGCGCGAAGCCGAAGCATTGGCTCGGGAGAAGCGTGATGCTTTCGAAGGTCCTCGCCAGGGCCACTTCCCACACTACTGGCCTGCGCCATCTCCCTCTTCTGGTGGCCCAATGCCGACAGCTGGCCCGACAGGTACTGGCACAGCCGGACCATTCCCGACTGCGACCGGAAGCTACCCTGGGTAGATGACGTACTAGGCGTGTGGAAAGCTTAGCGGGATGGGAAGAGACGAAGTCACGCTTGAGAAGTTAACACGCTGGTATGAGGGTATGACTGGGTCAAGTCAACACGGCCTTCACTCGACTTGATGTATGGCTGGGACAGAGACCGTTGGCCGGCGTTGGGAGCATGTGGCTTTGGCGCATCTAAAGCGACGACCAACGTTCGCCATACATAGATCTCTGTATGATACCAGATGCGATCTCGGGTACTTCTTGTCGCTCATTGCTCGCCTGAACTGCTGTGTGCCTAAACCTGTTCCCTACATGAACTTTCTCTGCTCTATCTGCTTGTTCATGTTAGGCACCAATATGCACAACGGGTGTCGTTCGCCACGCGTCCTCCTCGTGGCAGATGGCGGATGTGACACCCGCAGATGCCCGAAAACGCAGGCCCTGTGGTGAATACCCTGGACACATCGCCTAGAGGACAAGACAAAACCCGACATGGGACAAGTTCTCGAACCCGCACTGCTGCGCCAATAACGATGCCGAGCACTTCGTATGGCCTATCTATAGGTATTCCCACCCGTAACATCATGCGTCTCGCCCTCAACATCTTCCAACTGCAACTGCGCCGCCTGCCTCGCAACCAAATCCTCATCCATCAATCCACCTCCATCGCTTGGCCCTCCGTACTCAGGCGGATAAGTATGCTTATAGGGGATGCCAGGCTTCAAATACAGAATCAGTCGAAACGCCGTATTGCCGTTCAAGTAATACCGATGCAGCCGCTTCGTCCGAATGAAACCCAAGTGCGCGTAGATTCGAAGAGAAGGCTCGTTGTCAACTTCCGTCTCGAGAGCAATCTCGTCGGCGTCTTTGGCGATCATTTTCTCAACGGCCATTCGGACGAGTGCAGAGGCGATGCCTTGACCGCGGTGTTGTTGGCGAGTGGCCAGCATGGCTATGTAGCCACGCATGGGGCCGCCTCGGTGAGGCTCGAGTTTGCAGACGATTACGCCTATGAGGTTTTCATCCTTGTCCAGAGCCTAGTCCTGTGTCAACTGGTGTAATAGAGGAAGGGGCGTGGAGATATTACCATGAAGCACAAGTCTGGCCATTGGTACAGGAAGTAGCGGTAGACATAGATGCTGTAGGGCTCAGAAAGGTCTTGCGAGATCAGTTGCCGGATGGCGGAGAGGTAGGGTGATTCTCTCTGGTCGCCATAGTTCACGTAGTGCAGGCCATCCACAGCAGTTGGCTTCTCGACAAGAGTGGCGGCTTCATCTTTGCCTGGGCCGCTCATCGGGAGCGCGAGGGAGGGTCGAAGTCGAGTGTATGCAGCATTTGGTCGCCGGTCAATAAACAGTCTCGTCCAGCGATTGGTCGTTGTTTGTGCTCTGGTATTCACATTTTAGCGTTCGCGCTAGTCCGCAAAAGTGCAATAGGCGAACTTTCACATGAAGATTACAGGTCGTTGTTCTATTGTCGAGCCCCCACCATTTTTCACAACACCACCTAATTCTACATGTTGTTGTCTGCGCGGCGCAACAATCATGTCGGAACTCCGCCGTCGCATCTTTGGACGGTCAGGGACGCCAGACTCAACACCCGCCAGCTCCCGCGATAGCAGTCCAGCGCCAGGACAGGAAACGAACAAAGATGGCTCGGAATACCAAGTGGTGCCGCGGAGGAAGATGGAGAGACTGCGAAGTGATCTGAGAATATTGAGAGGTAAGGGAAGAAAAAGACGGATGGCTTGGATCTTTGCGCTGGGAGGGGTGTTTGGCATATTCCTGGCTGGATTCTTCGCTACTAGCAATGGGAGCTTCGATCAATTGGTGCAATTCACGGGCATGAAGGACATGAACTTGGACTCGATACTGGACATTCTGCCTACTGGGGTCATCAGGGACGTCCAAGAGCTACAGGTACGTAGTTGTGCTAAGCAGTCTCACTTCTCAAGCTGATGTTGACGAAGGTGTCTTTGCTTGCAGACACATGAAAAAGAAGCCGTGAACTACGACTCTTTCTCTATTGGCCTCGCGGCGCGGTCAGAAGGTATATCTGCCAAATATCCAGTCATCATGATACCAGGTGTTATCTCGACAGGACTGGAGAGCTGGGGCACGGAGGAGCAGTCGCGGCAGTACTTCAGGAAGCGACTATGGGGCTCGTGGAGCATGATGAGAGCGATGGTGTTGGACAAGGCCAGCTGGAAGCGGCATATTATGCTGGACAAGGCTACCGGTCTGGATCCACCTGGCATCAAGCTGCGCTCTGCTCAAGGCTTCGATGCGGCAGACTTCTTCATTACCGGCTACTGGATTTGGAACAAGATTCTGGAAAACCTGGCCACCATCGGCTACGACCCGAGCAACGCCTTCACAGCAGCTTACGACTGGCGGCTCAGCTACCAGAACTACGAAATCCGAGACCAGTACTTCACCCGGCTGAAGAACCACATTGAAGTTGGCAAACAGCTCACCGGCCTCAAAGTAGTACTCCTATCCCACTCAATGGGTTCGCAAGTGCTGTACTACTTCTTCCACTGGGCGGAAGCTGAAGGCTACGGCAATGGCGGGCCCACTTGGGTGAATGATCATATCGAATCCTGGATCAACATCTCCGGCTGCATGCTTGGAGCACTGAAAGACGTGCCGGCAGTGCTCAGTGGTGAGATGCGCGATACAGTCCAGCTCAATGCCTTTGCGGTCTACGGCCTTGAGAAGTTCTTGTCACGTTCCGAACGAGCCGACATATTCCGGGCTATGCCAGGAATTAGCAGCATGCTACCGATCGGCGGAGAGGCTGTCTGGGGCAATGCCACTTGGGCACCGGACGACAGGCCTGGTCAGAACTTTACATATGGCAAGTTTTTGAACTTTCGAGAGACTAATAGCTCTTCGTCGCCCGGCAACTTGACCATAGCACAGTCACTGCCATACTTGTTCAATCATACTGAGCAATGGTATGTGAATGAGATAAAACGGAGCTACAGCCAGGGTGTCGCACATAGCAAGAAGGAAGTGGAGGAGAACCAGCGGGTGCCTCAGAAGTGGATGAATCCGCTCGAGACAAGGCTGCCTCATGCTCCGGACATGAAGATCTTTTGCTTTTACGGGGTTGGCAAGCCGACTGAGCGAGCTTACTATTACCGCGAGGACGGTGCAATCAATAGCACGGCAGTGATGATCGGTACGTCTCACAGGCACCTTTACACACGCATAGCTGACCCGGCATCTAGACTCAAGCGTCACTACTCCTAATGGTGGTGTTGACCATGGAGTCGTTCTGGGAGAAGGCGACGGCACAGTCAACCTTCTGTCTTCCGGCTATATGTGTAGCAAAGGCTGGAAGATCGACCGCTACAACCCAGCGAAGATCCCCGTCATCACATACGAGATGCCTCACGAGCCAGACCGCTTCAGTCCCAGAGGTGGTCCGAATACTGGAGATCACGTCGATATCCTTGGACGAAGTAGTCTCAACGATCTCATCTTGCGAGTCGCAGGAGGGAAAGGGCATACTATCACGGATACGATCTACTCGAATATTCGGGATTACGCTAAGAGGGTCAAGATCTATGATGATGATGCGGAAGAGGAGGAGCGGCGGCATGCACTGGAGGGTGATGGGGACTCGGACTGAGAGAAAGCTTCAGCTTTTTGGTGCATCCGGCGGCGTTTGCAGGTCTGCTTGCTCCTCGCGGTAAGAGCTTTGTGCTGATGATGATACCACATAGAACGTTCGGTTCCACAGAGTTACATGTCGGCTGCGGCTACTTGCTTGAAGGTCCCTTGTTCCCTCTGTGACTGCTTGCCGGTCTTGTCGTTGATCCATTCTGCCATCTCATCTGTCCCATGGTTCTGGATATATGAGAGGTCTGCCGCCGCTCGTTCGGCTCTGATCTGGCCAGCACTGTGACGTCCGGAGAGGGAAGGGGGAAGATGGGGGTTGGTGGAGAGCACGGACCCGGCTAACTTTGCATTCACTTTCACGTGAAAGGGGTTCACCACCTTCCTCAACTTCCTCAAGCTTCCGGCCCACTTTGGCTAGACTACTTTGCCATGAGACGCACCTACGAAACAAATCTCTTCACCTTTTCGCACATCACACCCACAGCAAGACCTCAGTGCCACGACAAGTCGTCCTTCTTGCAACAACAGTTCTTGCTTCGCACCGCAACACCTAATACAATACAACACCTGTATACACACTCACAACAAGTTATTAACGACATGTCTTTCTCCATGCAGCAGCCGGTAAGCCAAACGACGCACCTCTGTCATACCATGCTCTGTACTGACCTGGCCCATCCAGGAGACCCACCCGTTCGTCGTTGACAGTGAGGACGAGTTCGCGGGTACGACTGCTCAGCTGGACAGTCAAGAGGACCTCTTCATATGTGCCGCCCTCTATATGATGATTCTACTGTATACTGATCATGCGAAACAGACTGCTGGGGACGATCTCAGAATCGCACTTCCACTGGAGACGTTCACCACCGGCGCACCAACGTTGATCATCCTCCCTCGAGCCAACAGAGTCGACCAAACAGTACCAACGCTCGCAGGCGCTGCTACACCCACACCATCAGATCATCAGCTCTTTGGTCTGCCTCCTCGCTTCCCACCACCTGGCTCCCAAGCATCAAGCGGAACTCCTGGTGTCCATCACGGCCCTGCAGATTCCTCTAGCATGGCAACCAGCTCAACTTCCTCCCAACTATCACAGCTACAAGCTCGGCAGCCTGATCCTGCGCGCGAAGCTCATGAGAGAGGGCCACCGATTGGTGCGAGGGATCCAATGGACATCCTGAACGAAGCTCCACTTGGCGGTGAACGCAACCTCGACGAAGAGACCATCCAGCGCCGTTGATCAAACGCGATACATCACACGGCAATGGCGTATCGACGGCTGATGGCTGCTGTTCTTGAGCATGATGCTGAGGAACTGTTTGCTAGATTCAGCGACATGTATCCTGGGGAGTTCGACGCGGCGGTGGCAGATGCTATCATGAATGAGGAGGATAATACGTTCGAGAGCAGTCAGGGTGCACAACATTGAAGTGCAAAGGGCAGGCGATGTGACACTCATCGTGACTGGCGGATAGAAGCAGGAGTACAAGCTGTGATAGGATCAATTATCTACAGCCTAGCTCTCGCCCCATCCTCAACAACCGCTACGAGTATGCCTTCTGCAACATCTTCATCGTCTTCCGCTTCTGTGATCCAGCTAACAGTCCCTGCTTTGTGCGAACGTATCTCAATCTCCATTTTCATCTGCTTGATAACACAAATAGCTTCATCCTTCTTGACTTGATCCCCAACATCCACCAGCACCTCTACCAGCTTACCAGATATCGGAAGAACGACATGGTCCTTGTTCGACCGGTCACCCAGCGGATGCTGTGAGTTGAGCGTAGACCCAGAGGCTGATGTACTTTGCAAGTCCAGTGTGAAGCTCTTAGCTTCCGAGCCTTGCACTGTGTATTTTACATCCGCAGCAAACGACGAGGGAAAGTCGTTCTTCAACACCTTGGTGATCTGCATATGGTGTTGTTGTGCTTGCGATGGATCTGAATTCTTCAATGAGATCTGCCAAGCGTCGTCCCTTCGGAACATGAACGAAGAGCCGGGTGCTATATTTGCTCCAGACTGGCTAGCAGATTGTGCCTGTGCCAAACCATGGAGCGGGTCTCTGCTGCCAGATGACAGTGCTCGGCTCTGCTTCAACAGCTCCTCGTGTTTCGCTTCAAGCCACTGGGTGTCACAGGCACCAGCCTCGAAATCAGGGTGGGAAACGATTGCTCTCAGAAGCGCCAGATTAGTGGTGATGCCCTGTATTGATGTGTCATCCAGCGCTCTGCGTGTTTTGGAGACAACTTCGTTCCATGTTCGAGCAGTGATGATCAGCTTCGCTATCACGCTGTCGAAGTCCGAACTGACTACAGCAGGTGCATCAGCGACGAGCGCTGTGTCAACTCGGACGCCATTGCCGGAAGGCAACCTGAAGGACTGTATCTTGCCGATGCTGAGAGAGTATCCCTTCTCAGGGTCCTCAGCTGTGAGGCGAAGTTGGATAGAGTGGGCTTTGGGCGGATGTAGAGGGTCTTGGGATAGATCTGTGAGCCCAGCTTCTGAGAACGAGGCACCTTGGGCAAGTCTCAGCTGAGCCTTCACGATGTCCACGGAGCATATCGACTCGGAGATGGTGTGTTCGACTTGTAATCTTGGGTTGACTTCTAGGAAGAAGTTCTCCGAGGTGTGAGGGTTGAGCAAGAATTCAAAGGTGCCGAGGGAACGATAGTTAATCTGGACATCGTTAGCTTGGAGTCGTAAAGAGCCAGCAATGACATCTCACCTTCTTCGCCATTGCTAACGCCGACTCAATAACAGGCGCCACAACCTCTCTGCTAGCTATCGTGCTCGGAGCGAGTTCGACGATCTTCTGATATCTCCTCTGAATGCTGCACTCTCGTTCCCACAAATGCATAACGTTGCCACTGCCATCACCAATGATCTGGACTTCAACGTGGCGAAAGCCATCGATTGCTGCTCTCTCGGCGAAAACTTGCTTAGATGGGCTCTCCTCAATGGCACGAGTGACCAGACTCTGAAGGTCTTCCATATCCCGGACGAGTCGAATGCCACGGCCGCCTCCGCCGTCAACAGCTTTTACCATGATTGGCAAGCCATTCCTTTCCGCAAATTGTCTTACTGCGGTAACGTCACCGGTCGGATCGATGAGTGCTGGCAAGACTGGAACACCGCACTCTTCGGCAAGTTTTCGAGCCTGTAGCTTGTCTCCTGTTCGATCGAGGATTTCGGCTCCAGGTCCAACGACGATAATTCCAGCTTGAGCCATCCGGTTGGCCAATTGAGAGGACTCCGAGAGAAACCCATAACCAGGGTGGACGGCGTTCACTCCATTCTTCTTCGCCGTCTCCACGAGCTCATTAACGTCCATGTACGAAGCCGGCGACTTCAATCGGACTGCAACGGCAGCATTGTATGTGTGCGTGACATCGTTGTCGGTGTAGACTGCGATAGTCTCAATGCCGAGTTCCCGGGCTGATGATATGATCCTGGTTGCGATCTCGCCTCTGCATCTGTGTCAGTGTCTGTCTCGAAGTTCCTAGGAAGCATTGGGCGTACCTGTTCGCCACCAGGAGCCGCTTGATAGGACGAGGACTCATGCTCGGCTTTTTTTGGTGCCAATGGGTACCTTGCAGACGAATCCGAGACGAGTACTACGATTGTTTGGCACGCAAAGTGTTGTTGACCGTTGATCTTAGAAGTGGTGTTGTCGTTTGTCCACGCAGCCTCGGTTGTCGAAAGCTTCTTGGGATCGCCCACCTTCAAGACAAGAACGAGTTCGGCAAGGAAAAGGAGAGCATCGCACCAAGTTCATCTATTTCACCCACTGCAAAACATCTGACCAGACATCCAAATGCTGATGACAGTAACAGCTTGCGAGGTCTTGGCCGCCGGTCCTTGTGCAGCTGCGCAGAGCGTTCAATCACACCAGCACGAGGCTCGGATCATTGTAACACGTAGGACAAGCAAGACGGCGAGGTGGCTGTTGTTCTCTCCCGTATTGCCTACTTGCCAGTGCTCGACAGGGGCAGGCAAACTGTTACTCAATTGATAAGGACTCTATGATAGACTGAGCAGACGTCATCCGCCTTCCCCTCTTGTCTCCACGGCTTGTTGCCCGCAGCGTTGGCCGGTTTCCAAAGCATTCATCGATCAAAAGTCTACCTAGTCGTGTATATTCGGTACTAACACGGCGGAATTCGTCGTGAGATCAAAGAAAGACAAGCCAACAACATGGGAAAGAAACGCAAGTACCAATTGACCTCCAATAGAGAAGAAGATACTTACCTCTCTCGCAGGCGTCCAGTGCTGTATCAGCGTTGACATCGATGCCGTAGCAGGCTGGCTAGGCTCGTATGGCGGCGAGGACTCGACGTCCGACATCTCTCGTGGTCTCTTCGCCGGAACAGTTGGTGTCGAACGTCTGTTGAAGATGTTTGAGAAATACAACATCAAGACGACTTTCTTCATCCCAGGCCATTCGCTTGAGACATTCCCGGAGCAGTGCAAAGCGATCGCGGAGGCAGGACATGAGATTGGGCTGCATGGGTACAGCCATGAGAACCCAAGGTCGATGACTCTGGAACAGCAGACGATTGTGATGGACAAGGTTCGCTTCTCCAACGGTCTGGTGACTGGTTGCCAATTTCTGACGCTGGCGCAGTGCTACCGTCTGATCAAAGACTTCCAAAAAGGCAAACCACCGCGTGGCATCGTAGCGCCATGGTGGGAATCGAGCCAGGAAGGTGCGGAGCTGATGCTTCGATACGGCCTTGAGTACGACCACAGCTTCAGCCACCACGACTGCCAATGCTACTGGCTGAGGACCGGCGACAAATGGATCCCTATCGATTTCGAGAAGCATCCAGACCATTGGATGAAGCCTCTGGAGGCTGGTCCTATGACGGGATTAGTTGAGATACCAGCGTCGTGGTATCTTGACGACCTGCCGCCGATGATGTTCATCAAGAAGGCGCCGAACTCTCACGGTTGGGTGAATCCGCGAGATGTAGAGGAGCTTTGGTTGGACCAGTTCAACTATTTCTACCGTGAATATGACGAGTTTGTGTATCCGGTCACCGTACATCCTGATGTCTGCGGTCATCCTCATGGGCTCATGATGCTGGAGAGGTAAGCATTGAAGGCTATGAAGGAGTGTGAAGGATACTGATCGAGACAGGATCATCGACTACCTCAACACCAAGGAAGGCGTAGAATGGGTGACTATGGAACATATCTGCGACACCTTCAAGTCAAGCAATGAGCCGCCAAAGGGCGCAATGATGCCTGCCAAACAGGGAGCGATCTTGGAGAACAAGGATTTAAAGCTGGAAACGAAGTCGTGAGGTATCCTGAATGTCGTGTGTAGCATTAGATCTAGCCTGCCTGAAAGCCCATTGCCACTTCCCCAGTGTATTCAAAAGGCTGCTAAATTCAAGAGCTCAGAGTCCTCGCTGAAGCTTTGATATCGTCGCCAATCTCCGGTCTGTCACTGCTGCTTGACGGATACGTGGACTCGACCAGCATGTCAAGCATGCCGGGTTTCGAATCCACGAGGAGTTCTTTTGTCATGACCGACCGAGACACCACATCCACCCACATCTCGTTCCTTCCGTCGAACGGTGACGACGGCGGGATGTTCTCGAGGTAGGCGTAGATTCTCGTCACGAAGTCCCCCATGACTACGAAGAGCACTGGTAAAACACCATGAGCGATCGTTTTGAAGAATACTCACAGTACACCTTGTTCTTGGAGTTCGCTGGGGTCGAGTATGTTTGCTCGAGGTTGAGAGCCATGGCAGGATGGAAACCAAGGCGGCCGGTCAAGTCTTTCAGGTCTCTACCGTACTTCCTCCACTCGTCGCTCGCATTGCCGGGAGTCGGTTCGTTGACGAGCGCGTTGGTGTACTCCTCTCGGGTGATGGTGTTGAAGTCGATCATTGGTAGCATGGTCGGTATGTAGGCAGATGAGGTCCGGGGAATGGAGAAGAGGAAAGTATTGGACGGCTTCCGCTCTTCATGAACCAGGAAGAGAGGTGACACAGATCAACGTGCCGAGCGCGTCGCCTTCACTGTGATGCAATCTACCACGCCAGACGCGAGGTCGACGCCAGTGCACGTGTGGGGGTGCTTCTGAGCTTCCTGAACTTCCTTCGTCTTGTTCAGGTTAGATTCTTCAGAGCCTCGTGGATAAACTTGACCATGTCGTCTGCATGAAAGAGCTGTCAGCAAGTTGAATGAGATGAAAATGTGGACAGGACTCACCGATGCCCTCAGGTTCGTTCACCCAGTGGCCTCCATCTGGGTAGCTCTGCCACTGCACTTCCATACCTAAACCCTCTAGATGGTCTCGAAGACCCTCGCCGTACTTGATTTCGATGACACTGTCGTCCTGACAGTGCCCGACAAACACTGGAGTCTTCACCACCTCTACCCCCGGCATCACACCCGCCACCACCTTGGGGAACCAACTGCTCAACCCAACAAAGCCTCCAATCCGCTCACCCTGACATAACATCGCGGCAACAGCAACAGCGCATCCTTGACTAATACCAGCAAGAACCACGTTCTGCGCGCCGCCAACCAGCGCCGCCTCCTCAGCAATCTGAGCCTTGATGCGAGCGACAGCTTCGTTTAAAGCCGTCTTCTGCTCCTCGAAGCGCTCATGCGGATTCTCCGTCGTCCACATGTCGAACCACTGCGATTCGACGTCGCCGAAACGATTGAGCATCATGCCGGAGGTCGGGAAGAGCCATTTGGCGTGCGGGAAAATGTCAGGTAGGTAGCGGCCGTCGGATGCTTGACTCTCGAAGAGCTCAGGATGGAACTCTGCTGCTGTGCTGCCGCGGCCGTGAAGGAAGATGATGGTGTGGTGGTGTTCAGCGGTAGGCAGGACGATTTCGGGGGTGTGTTTTTGTGCCATGGTCTGATCTCGTCGTGTAGTTCAAAAGAATGGGTTGTAATGAGCAGCTATGTTGAGTATCAGGCATCAAACGCTGGATATCGGGTGGCAGGCGGATATGAGTCAAAGCAGCGGGGGTCTGGCGTATTTGAGTACGATTGGTATAGTACATCTTCGATTCAACGCTTAAGAGTACCTATGAACACGCAATGCTACCCAGGGAGATCCACAAGCAACGCTTCCATCTTCGACGCCTCCCACATGTCCCGTTTTCGCTCCCCTGGCCGCTGTCTACGGCCTCAGCAACGTACTGCAAAATGAAAAGTAAGTGCTCGGCTAGTAATGGATAGCCTTGGCATAAGTGCTCATCGCCGCCTCCTTGAACGCTTCACTTAGCGTTGGATGGGCGTGGCTCGTTCGTCCAACGTCCTCTGTGCTTGCACCATACTCGAGCGCGAGCGTGCCCTCCGCAATCATCTCGCCTGCGTTAGGTCCAATGATGTGCACGCCCAAGATGCGGTCGGTCTCTGCGTCTGCCAAGAACTTGACCATGCCCTCGGTGTCGAGGTTGGTCTTCGCTCGGCTGTTCGCGGTGAACGGGAATGAGCCGACCTTGTACTTCACGCCCTCCTCCTTGAGCTCTTGCTCGTTCTGGCCGACCCATGCGACCTCAGGATGAGTGTACATGACTGCGGGGATGGCGTTGTAGTTCACGTGGCCGTAGCTCTTGGTGAGGTACTCCACTGCGGCAACAGCCTCCTCCTCAGCCTTGTGCGCGAGCATAGGGCCGAATGTGCAGTCGCCGATGACACGGATGTGAGGGATCTTGGTGCGGTATTCGGAGTCGATGACGATGCGGCCCTTGCTGTCGGTCTCCAAGCCAATCTTATCAAGACCAAGGCCTTGGGTGTACGGGCGGCGACCGATCGCGCAGAGCACGACGTCTGCGTCAAGCTTTTCAAGATGTTAGTATCGACATCCAGTTCACAGAGGCTGACAAACTTACCGTCTGCGCCTTGCCACCCTTTGCGGCCTCTACGTCAATCTTCACACCTTCACCGGATGCATCGCCGTTGGTGACCTTTGTGTTGAGCATGAACTTCATGCCCTGTTTGGCGAGCGTCTTCTGAATGCTCTTCGCGATTTCGGCGTCCATGCCTGGGCCGCCAATGGCGCCCAAGAATTCCACCACCGTGACTTCAGATCCCAATCTTGACCAGACTGAACCCATCTCCAGGCCGATAATACCCCCACCAATGACAATCATCTTCTTCGGCACCTCCGTCAATGCGATGGCACCGTTAGATGTGACGACCTTCTTCTCGTCGATCTCCAAGCCAGGGAATGGCGTTGCTTCTGAACCAGTGGCAATCAAGATGTTTTTCCCTCGCACAACCGAGTTGCCACCGTCCGTAAGATCCACTGCCACTGTGTTCTGGTCCTCGAATCTGCCAGCACCCTTGATGTACTCCACATTGTTCTTCTTGAACAGGAATTCAATGCCCTTTGTTAAGCCGCTGACAGATGTGTCCTTCGCCTTCATCATCTGCGTGAGGTTGAGCTTGACGTCGCCGACATCGATGCCTCGGTTCTTGACATCGTGCTGGATCTGGTGGTATATGCGCGAGTTCTCGAGCAGCGATTTGCTAGGAATGCAGCCGACGTTCAGACAGGTACCGCCGAGGGAGCCGCGTTTCTCGATGCACGCCACCTGCGCATACAATGGTCAGTTGAATGCTCCAGCGCAGAGCTCTGAGGCTATTCATCGTACCTTTAGACCCTCCTGTCCAGCCTTGATCGCAGCGACGTATCCGGCCACGCCGCCACCAATGATGACCAGGTCCTTCTCCTCTGTAGCTCCGTTAGCCGTTTTATGCCCCTAGGCATCCCTCTCAAAGTGCGCACATACCAGCAGGCGTGGCGTATCCTCTCCTCTGCACTATCCGGTCCTGTAACAGCGAGGTCGAAGGCGAGAGGCGGGAAACGTGTGATGGGTGCTGTATACTCCGGAGTGCGCTGCTGCGCGCGGTGGCGCGCGGGATGAGTTGCTTGAACATGATGCCGGAGTTGCGCGCAGAACACCAAGTATACCAAGAGGATGTAGAGAAGGGTTTGGAGCAGCAGGTGATGTAGGAGTAAGAGGCGAGTTGAATGATGTTCGAAGCTGTTTCCCAACTGGCCTAAGCCGAGAAGCTTTAAAGCATTCCGGCCCGATCTCAAAGAGCGGGAGCAGCCGTAAAACGCCACGCGTGGCAAGGCCGTTCCAGGAGCAACCAAGATTACGGAGAAGGCCAACGAAGATTTCGGATGGACGCCGAAGTCGACAAAGCAGTGTCTACAGCATGTGACACTCGTCGGGACGACACGTGACTGTGTCCTGCTCTTCTCCAACCCACCATGAGCACCAATGGCAGCGCGACCGGGTCCGCTTCATCAGCAGAACCACGGCCGGGACGCTTCCTCAGTAAGGGCCTACGCCGTGCAACTTGGATCTCTCCACGGACAGGTGAACGATCGAAGCGTGTGTTCACCCTGCGCGAAGCATCCCACAGATCGAATGGCCATGCCGACGACTCAGAGACAACGCCTCTCTTGGGCGGCAGCAGCAATGCCAGCGATGGCTCGTCGAAGTCTGCGCGAGCCGTCGCTTATCTGCACAAGCAATGGAGCGCATCGTTCGAATTCCTAAACTCGAAAACTGGGCGTGGTATCTTCAAATGCTCGCTTGCCTACCTGTTGGGCAGCCTGGTTACGTTTGTCCCCCAACTAGCAGCAATAATCGGCAGCGGCCAGGACAGCAAGCACATGGTTGCGACGGTCACAGTTTGGTTTCATCCTGCTCGGACGGTGGGATCGATGCATCTAGCCACCATTCTGGCTCTCCTTGGCTTTCTCTATTCAGGTGTGGTTGGATTCACGAGCATGGCCGTTTCGATGTTCTTCGGCTCGCAGGATCTGCTTGTGGTCGGTCATGCGTTGGTGCTCGTCATCTGGATCGGTGCTGGCCTGGGATTCGTGGCGTGGACTAAGCAACACTTCGGCGACCCCATTGTCAATGTGGCCTGCTCGCTTGCTTCTCTTGGTTGCATCACCGTATTGATCAAAGAAGGCGCAGTCCAAGCTGGCGAGTTCTCTGATGATCGGGTCGTGCAGGTGCTGCTCATGGTGCTGATGGGCATCATTGTAACGACAGCCGTCAATACCTTAGTCCTTCCAGTAACGGCTCGATCCCAGCTACGAGACGATCTGGAGAAGAATACCGATCTCCTTGGCGAGCTTCTCATCGCAATCACTCGCGCTTTCTTATCTGGCCGGGAGCACGATCTTCAGGATAGCTTTTTCGAGGATCTACAAAAGGAGCATCAGCAGTCTTTACAAAAGATGAGTAAAGATCTCGGCGAAACCAAGAACGAGTTCCGGGTGCTAGGCAGGGAGCAGCTGTTTGAGGTCTCAACGAGGCTCGTCCATTGTCTGGAAGGTCTTAGCCAGGACCTCGGAGGATTGAGAAGCGCGGCACTTGCGCAGTTTGCATTTCTACACCCATCAGAGGGCCATGGCAGCACAATGTCTTCACCAGGGGAGCAGCGAGCAGCTTGGATCTCGAACGCGACGAACGGTATCGATCGAAACCACATGCCCAATATCCTCGACGTTATTGCAGAGGCGCCTGAAGAGAATAGTCCGCCAGTGAACGGTATCAACAACTCGGAACGACGTGAAAGCATAGCGTCAATCGCTTCGAACATCAAAGGTCCTGACGACATGTTCTTCACGTTCATCACTCAACTTGGCCCTCCGACGAAGTCACTTGTGTACACTCTGAAACAGATCTTGGACGAGCTGCCCTTCACAGCTACGGAAGAATCAAGCGGTTTCTTGGGCATGTTCCGACCGAAATTTGCTGTTGCGGTCAACGACAACTTCCACTCCAGCTTGAACGACGCAATCGCGCTTTACGGGTCGTCCAGACGGGAAGCGTTGAATGTCCTGTACGCCAGTAGGGCTCTTAATGCGGCGTTCATGCCACAGAGCAACAAAAAGGCGAACGGTGCCGCTGGTGGTGGACAGCACAGTGCTGCCGCAGTGACCTCCTCTCCATTTGCCAAAAGCGGGTATGTTCAGCCGCCAGAAGAGCTTATAGCGGACATGGAAGAGGTCAGCGCGGTTTGCGGCAACTTCTCCTTCTCTCTTCTGGACTTCGCCGAGGATGTTCTCACCTACCTCTCCATCCTGGACGAACTGAAAGGCGCACTGGAACACCCCTCGCCGAGCTGGCATTGGCTGAGATTCTGGAAGCTCTCGTGGAAGCACGACGAACGGAAGACATTCGCTCTAGGCTCGGACTCTGAGCACGGTCTTGAGCATGGCGTCAACCACAATATCCCGGAGCCGATTCGGAAAGCGGACGAGTTCGTTGATCCGGAGAAACCTCAAGCTGAGCAGCCATGGACTTGGTGGGCCTATCGCAAGCTCCGGGTGTTTAGAAGAGATGATATCCGATTTGCGATCAAGGTGGGAATTGGGGCCATGCTCTACTCCTTGCCAGCATTTCTGCGCTCAACGAGGGCGACCTTTGTTTACTGGCGAGGAGAGTGGGGGTTGGTGTCGTACATGGCTGTGTGCTGCATGACGATCGGTGCGGCGAACACAACTGGTATGAGACGATTCATTGGTACATTCATCGGCGCCTGTCTGGCCATCGTAGCGTGGGTCATCAGCTCAAGCCACGGCGAAGCCAATCCTTACCTCCTCGCCTTCTTCGGCTGGATTGTGAGTACAGGTTGCTTCTACCTCATTCTCGGGCGAGGCGAAGGACCACTCGGGCGTTTCATACTGCTGACATACAACCTCGGCGCTCTGTACGCCTACAGTTTGAGCGTGCATGACGACGACCACGACGATGACGAAGGTGGGATCGATCCGGCCATTTTCGACATTGTGCTGCACCGTATGGTTGCTGTCATTGTCGGGACCATTTGGGCTATCGTCGTCTGCCGGGTGATCTGGCCTATTTCGGCTCGGCAGAAATTGAAGGATGGTCCTTGCATTCTCTGGCTACGTATGGCGCTTGTCTGGAAAAGGGATCCGCTTGCCTTGCTCCTCCTCGGTGAGCCCAGAAGCAGCTACATGGACATTCGCGAAGAAGCAGAACTGCACTCTTTCCTTAGCTACCTCGACAGCATCCGTGGTGCCGCCTCTTCGGAATTCCAGCTGCGAGGACCTTTTAGAGACAAGCCTGTGTCACGCATCATCGAACGTACGCGAAGAATGCTCGATGCTTTCCATACCATGAACGTCGTCATTTCGAAGAATCTGCAATGGACGCCCGGCGAAGCAGCTGTTCTGCGATACACCAGAGAGCAGCGTTTCGCTCTCAGTGCGCGGATCTCGCATTTGTTCTCCGTGCTGGCGAGTTCGTATAAGCTGGAGTTCCCGCTTGGTGGAGCGCTGCCGAGTATTGAGAATAGCAGAGATAGGTTGCTGGCGCGCATCAGCGAGTTCAGGCGGAATGGCGAAGGGAGAGAGACCGCGACAGAGCAGGACTATGAGTTGTTGTATGCGTATGTGCTCGTCACGGGACAGTTGGCGAGAGACATCGAGGCGGTTGAGGAGGAGATTGAAGGCCTCTTTGGGAGGTTGAATGAGGAGAATCTGAAGTTGCAATGAGAATCAAGCTATGAGTCGCTCCTTCCTCCTGTGGTCGACAGTGCGGACCGTGCCGCGACTGGCGCCTTGTAGTCAAAGTCGAAGTCGACGCAAACTCCCGTGTTTCACATTGAGACATTCATATTGACAGATTTCGAAAATGGCGAAGAGAAAGCGGGAGGACGAAGGCGATGGCGAGCTAGTGAAGGACAAGGTACGTTTCAGCCCGACGAGTGCTCACGATGATACGATGACACGATGACACGATGAGTACTGACCCTCCTTTCAGCACCCAAAGTCCATCGCCGAAGATCTGGTCGAAGGCAACGCTGCTGGTAGAGAAGCCGCAGCACAATCCACTGGTGCATTATCTCTCGATCGGCAGCAAAACGAGGAGACACCTCTTCGCAAGCGAGCGTCGCTCCTGGGCCTGCCAGCAGAGTTGAGGAATGTGATATACTTCATGGTCCTCAACAACAATACTGGCGGTTATCTGGATCTCAGTATCGATGCCTCCAATCATCAGCAGCCCGCAATTCTCAGGACCTCGCGTCAGATACGGGAGGAGGCTATCAAGATCTGGTATGGCAACTCTTTTGTCCTCTACACTGACCGCTTCAAACTCGAACCTCAGCCCGAAGGCCCCGAACATTGGATTTGGCACATGCCGGGCGGCCCTACACTCTAGGTCTCCCGTATCGATGCCAACTCCTGGCCAATTATCGTCAACTGGATCAAGCTGTACCATGCAGGCCAGACGCAGGAGCGCCCGAGCGAGCTGGAATACCAGGAGGCTGCAGTGTTTCATTTGATCGGAGCTGCATTCGCGATGGCGGAGAGGTTGCGGGGATTTCCATGGGCTCTCCTCGCCGCCACGCTCGACGATCTCGAAGGTGTCTACAGACGTATCTGTGATGCCGCGTTGTAGCCATAGGCAGACGGACGACTACTGTGTGCGCAGGATGGTGGGGAAGTGGGCCTGGTGGACGCGGTGGGTGCCAGGACTGAGCATGGAGAGGCATAGAGCTGTGTAGGACGGATTCCTGCGCTGGCTGACAAGGTCATCGGGCATTGTATCATCGTCAATCAACACTTCTCTGCGCGTGCTTCTCGGCCACGATTCAAATGTATATTACGACTCAGCTGTACAACTTCATTGCATGGACGGACATCGTAGGTGTGGCACGATGTCCGTCCATCACCATTCGTAAGGGTGCGGCACACCAGCAATTCCTGGCCGAACGTTATGGAATGGCTCAAGCTGTATCATGCCGGCGTACACAGTGCGGTGATCGCTCGAGAAGAACAGCCGGTGTTAGAGATGAGCCAAAGAACTGATCTGATCCATGCAGCGTTCGAAATGGTCGACAGCATGAGCGCATGCGCTTGGAAGCTGGTGGAGAATGTGCTTCGTCCTCTGGGGTCGCTGTTTATACGTGCATCTGATCGGTAGCCTTTGCATGGAGGAACAACGTTTTCGACCAGGAGGCAAAAACTTTGATGGGACGCCAAAAGAAGGGCCATTCGTTGATCCGTGGTCGAGCTCGGGTCTTTGCCTGACGAGATGGTCTTTGACTTCAAGTTGGTGGTCAGAGAGATTAAGTATTGAGCGACGAGGAGGCTTCGCAACACGCAATATCAAAGGACGGGCGAAGAAAAAGTGAGGCTGAAGATTACCTTAGTCCTCATGGCAGATATCGAGTGGGCGCGTTGCATCTTTAGCTAGCGCATGCCCTCGTGCAACATGAGGTATTTGTTGCTGGAATGCCACCCTAGGGCGTCCAAACCTTTGAAGAGCATACGTTCATTTTTGCGCACCGTACACACTCTTCCACACCTGGTCAAACGTCCCTTGATCGACAGCAAACTCTCTCACAAACTCCCACTCCATCTCATGCATCTTCTTCCCACACAGCACCAGACTATGCAGCGGCCGTCCCAAGTCCGCCGTACTCAGCTCCTCCAGCGTGCCAGCCACGATCTGCTGGTCCTCACTGCCCAGTCTCGCTACGCCCACAGCAAGCGCCTCCTTCCCACATACACCCTGCTGCCTCTCGTCCTCTACCTCCAGCATCTGGCTTGCGCACTGCGCGACGGTCATGAACCGTGGCTTCTCGTATATGATCTTCCCTCGTGCCATCGCCTGCAGATCCGGCTCCTTCACCTTGATGTCCAGCAGCACCAGCGTGTGTAGTCCCAAGCTCGCATTCTCCGCTATCCGATCATAGAAACTGCTCGGCTTCCACGAATCGGTGAAGAAGACCATGCTCACAGTCTGGCCGAAGTTGTACAGCGACAAGCCCGTTGCTCCTACAGCAGTCAAGATGCTCGCATTTGGTAGTGTACGTGTAGGTATCGGTGGATCATTCTGTCGGCATCGTAGGGCAAGATCGGTGTGTGTCGTAGCGCTGAAGGGATCTCCCACAACCAGAAATGCTACGTCCTTCGTTTCGGCATCTTTTAGTATCTCGTCGCTTTGCGATTCGACCATCTCCCGGTCGGCGAGGATGACGGGCCGGCCATAGTATGCTTCCTACTGTGCGCCCGTCAATCACGTATCCTGGAATGTAACATTGGCCGCGATGCTCACCAGTTGTTCCTTGTCGACAAGAAGGATCGCAGTGTACGCTTCGAGATAAACTCGCTCAGCTTTACGCACGATGTCCAGACCTTTGACCGATATGTCCTTCTCGTCGGCGAGGCCGAGACCGATGATGTACAACATTCTGCCTGTTGTTCGTTTTGACGCGGGAAGATGCAGAAAGCTTCGGATGTTCTCTAGATCGACACTTTCAAGGTTAAGCTTTTGAGCCTCAGAGCTGTGAGTGGAAGCTAAGGAGCCGCGATGCAGGGTCTTTAATGCTTAGATTCCGGGCTAGAGTATTGACCACCATCACCAGCGCACCGACGTCGATCAACTTTAACCTTCTCGTAACAGCTTGACGCGGCATACATAGCAGAACACGGCGCCATCATGGCAGAAGCTCGCGCCAAATATCGCACTGAGATCACTCAGGTAGGTCTCGACGCGCTTATTAACCGTCTATGCTCTGGAGAAGACATCAAGACCACCTTCAACTGAGAGCATGCGTGACCCTCGCCTTATCGCGAAGGATCCTGCAGATAGTCTTCAAAGCGATGTTTGTTTGGCAAAAGGCGCCGGCTGACTTACGTGCGCAGATGATGTTCGTTAGTGGCGAGACGGGAGATCCAACACCAGAGACAACCACCATGATTGAGGGTATTGTGCAGCAGCAGGTCATGGAGATGGTGAGTATGTGAGCACTCTGTGGAGCATGATGGTCGGCTTACATTACACAGCTCAAGAGAGCAACAGAACTAGCAGCTCGCCGCGGCGTCAGGACGATCAGCACAGACGACCTCATATTCTTAATCCGGCATGACAAAGCAAAGGTCTCACGCCTACGCACATTCTTATCCTGGAAGGACGTACGAAAAAGCGCCAAGGACAGCGATGAGAAAGGTGGCGGTGGCGCGGATGCTGGAGGCGTGGAGGATTTCGATCTGGCCGCAAACGACCCGACTCTAGGCACCGGACCTAACGTCAACACCCGGACAAGCAAGAACAAGAAGGCGAAAGTTGGCCTCCCCTGGGACGTATCGAGCTTCTACACCGAGCAAGTACCCGAGCGCGAAGACGAAGAAGACGAGGAGGAAGAAGAGATGAACGCCGCCACCCTCCAACGACTGAAGCAAGCCGACGAGCGAACCAAAGGCATGAATGCGGAGGAGTACCTGCACTTCTCCGAATGTCGGCAGGCGTCCTTCACCTTCCGCAAAGGCAAGCGATTCAGGGAGTGGGCTGGTTTTGGCGTGGTGACCGACTCGAAACCGAATGACGATATTGTCGACATTCTCGGCTTTTTGACGTACGAGATAGTGACTCTGCTTACTGAGGAGGCCTTGAAAGTGAAGGCCACTGAGGATGCATTGAAGAGAGAGAGTGGTGGCGATGAAGAGAAGAGAGGCAGAAAGCGGAGACGTGAGCCTGGACTGTTCGACCCACCTGAGGAAGCGAGGACACCGGTTTCGGCGAAGCACATTCAGGAGGCTTTCCGAAGATTGCAAAGACCAGACTTGAAGGCCAACTACATGAAGCACATTCCCAAAGGAACGTGGCAGAGACCGCTGAAGCTGATCTGAAGGGTGCTGCTTGGTAAATTTATTCCTTGAGCGGAGGTGTTGGAAGGAGTTTGATGGCCACTATCTGCGTCTTTCTTGGACAATACTGCTTTAACCTCAGATCAACTGTTTCGCTTCCCCGACCATTGGCGGCAACATCCCTATCTTTGAGAACTCTGAGTAGGCCAAATGCAAGCTCTCCAGCGTGTCGACATGGCCGGTCCAACCGAAGTTCATCGCCTTGTTCATGCTTAGTGCGAACGACATCGCCCAAGCCGCAGCATCGGCAAATTGCCAGCCTTCGAGATCGCCTTCAAAGGGATCATCTGTCAGATTGTGCTTCTGCATGATCTCCTTCCAAGCCTTGTGGTTCTCTTCCTGCGCAGCCCAGTGGCCGAGCGTGAAGCTAAAGCGTGACTTTTGAGTGCCGCCATAACCAAGCGGCGTCGGCTTGTCGCCTGGATCGACAACGGTGAACTTCGACTCGTCTAGCTCCGGCTTGCCGTAGTCTTTGCATCCGAACCAGCGCGCGAGTTCTGGCCAGAGCCTGTTATTGGGCAAAGCACAAGTATCACTTGCGTTGAATTTCTGGTTCTTGCACTTGTCTTCCAACACCGCCCACTCGGACAGATAGCCAGTTAGCGTCGCTGTGCTGTGTTCTGTAACGCCGAGCCAGGCATTGATATCGCCAGGGAAGTCAAGAACCTTGCCTTGGTGGGCTTTCACGGCTGCGTATACGGCTAGAGGGTGCAAAGCGTTCATGGCGGCGTTGTTGACGGCACCGATAATCCACGCAGGGCAGATGATGTTCCATCCGATGGAATTGCGCTTGCAGTACTCGTACAAAAGATCCTCTTGCGGATAATAAAAGTTCGGCTCGATGCCTGGGCGCGGATCGGACTCCACGAACGGTGTCCTGGCTCGACCACTGGATGATGGTCAGGACTGCTCAGAACCACTCCTCTATTTGACTGAGCTGTTGATACTTACATGTGAACTCCGTAGTTCTTCGCACCCGTTTGCAAGCAGAACCTCTTCGGAACAACACCAGCCTTGTCCAGACCTTCCAGGAAGTTTCGTAACAATGCGGTGTTCGTATCAACAAGCTCCTGAGCGTTCGACCACGCTGGTTTTCCAGGTTCCGGCTTTGGCTGAGCATATGAGTAGAAGAACACATAGTCGGCGGTGACATTCTTGTCCTTGAGTTGCTTTGCAATTTCCTCTCCGCTGGACAAGAAGTCACAAGCAACATGCTCAACTCGCGAACGCTGGTCTTCGGTCAGGAGAGCCATCATCTCCTTGGGTGGCGGTCGTCTGCTGGCGGCCCAGACTTTCTTCCAGCGTTCTGGGCTACCGAGAAGGGCTCGCATGGTGTGGAAACCGGAGATGCCATTTGCGCCCTACAACACAACATCAATTAGGGATCGGCTCATTTGGTATTGCAGAACGAGACTTACAGTGACAATGGCGGTCAAGCCTTTGATGTCAGGCGAAAAGGAGGGAAGGTTCCTATAGATGCCTTTGTTCTGCAGTGCCATGATGGTTTACAAGGGTTATCTTTAGATAGAGTCAATGATCCGCTGGACAACTGGTAGCAGCCGTCACTATTATGTTGGAGCACTCGGTGTTTCCTCACAGATGTCTATCTCGAAGGCTCATCTAAGTCATGTCATGGTCCGACGGATGTCGGGACGATGTCGTACTGCTGCTCCAGCGGGGTAAAACTGTACGCACCACGGCATCAACCCACCTGCTCTGAAGAAGAAACGAGCATGCATTTCATGCCTGTGGATCCACTTAGCCTGGCCGCATTCACGAGTGTGATGCACACATCGCGGTGTAATGGATGTCCTAACTCTCTGATCACTGATGATGAGGACTTTTGCTTGCGCCTCATCCCCTAGTTTCCTTCATGGAACTGGAACGTCTCATCTGGGAGCTCATTAGATCTACTACTCTTGACGCGAGGAGAGTCTTTGACCTTAGTACATGTAGCTCTTGACGGCATTGTCAGACGTGTTGTCAGGTCTAACGTTGCAAGACTCAAGTAAGCACCGACAAGGCGAGCACAGTCCACCTCCGCACGTGCACTTCCATCTGATCTGCCCGGATTTCGACCTCCTTTTTCCCTCATCATCAGCGTCCACGTACTTCCGGCATGGACACAGGCTTCAGCGAGAAGAGTGCGAATGAGGGCCAGCCTTAGTCTCGAGTCTGGAGAGCCAGCGGAAAGGATGCCTGGCAAGATAGCAACTGGCGAAGTGACCGCACCGCCAGCAATGGAGCCGATGAAAGACACCCAACCACTACTATGGCCCGAGGACATCGCCTTCCTCACCGATCACACCTACTCAGCTACAATCACAGCAGAGATCCGAGCATCTCTCAGCAGGACCACCACTGAGAGCGCCACTTATGCAAAACTTGTCGCAGAAGCTCTCACAGCGCCTTGTTCCCGTATCCAAGTGCGTATTATAGAAGACACCAAGCACCCGGCGCACGGGCAGCGAGGTATATTCGCCGCGCACCATCTAGAGCCAGACTCCTTCATCTGCCTGTATATGGGGCACATACATACCAACAGCCTGTCTGATACGGACCCACACAGCGACTACGACTTGTCTCTGGATCGCGAACTCGACCTCAGCGTGGATGCTGCACGGTCTGGCAATGAAGCTCGCTTCGCTAACGACTACCGGGGCATTGCTGAGCGTCCGAATGCCGAGTTCAGAGACTGCCTCATCAAGGTAAAATCTGAAAAGCGGGCGGGCGGGACGAAATGGGAACGCCGAGTAGGTATCTTCGTCATGTCGGCAGGCAAGGCAGGCAAACGGAAAGCAGGGATCAAGGCCGGCGAGGAGATTACAGTCACTTATGGAAAAGGCTACTGGGAAAGTCGCAAGACCATAGCAACCTTCCGGAAGGATGCCGAAATGCGTACGCCAGAGCGTTGAACAAGAATTGAACCAGCTGATTGGTGTAGTTGCAATCGCAATCGCCGCGCTGGAGCTATGATGATGGAGATCCAGGAGGGTGCTGCGCATCGAAGTGAGGATGGGTGACACCGCAAGCCGTCAAGATGCAGCCCGAGAAAAAACGGCGTTCATGGCAATAGGTATGTGAGTCCGAACGAGACTCGGGTGGTACCGCAGTAATGCTGACCGCTTGCAAAGATTAGGATCCCTCTTTCGAGGTCGAGGATGGAGGTTCATTTGAGAAAACGACACCGCATCGAGCAGCACATGTGCAAGCACGGCGGACAGCACCGGCTATCTTACAGCGTCCATACTCTTGCGTGCTGGCTTGGCGGTGCGCGTGGAGAAGCCACCTTCACGTGAATGTGAATTGAATTAGGTGATGTCAACTTGGTCCAAGCGCACCCCAAGCGGGCTTGGACATTTCCCCTCCTCGCGCGTCCCCTTTGTCCTTTGTTTTTCACCTCACACGAATGAGTCCTTGTCGCCGCCGTCACCACAGAGATGTAAGTACTTGTCTTTGATGCCTATAGCTTCACACTGATTGCAAGCAGGGTGATCACGAGGCGCGGAAGAAGCGCGAAGGGATAGAAGCCGGCCCTGAACCGATCGCAGACAAGCATACCCACGAGAGCACCCACGAACACACCTACGAGCGCGCTCACGCGAACACCCACGAGCACACCCAAAAGCAAGACGCCACAGCAAAGATCGCAGATCCCACACAGACACTACCCTCGGAGCCAGAGGATACATCGACATGTCGCTTCTCCAAGCTTCCTCCGGAGTTGAGAGAGACATGATCTACGGTCTGATCACTTCGAAAGGCAACGGCTGCATCCATCTCCATCGTTTCAAACCACCCGCGATCACTAGAGTGTCGCGCCAAGTCCGCGCCGAGCCTCTGGCGGTCTAATCCAAAATCAACAAGTTCACCGCGCATGTCACTGCGCCGTACGTCGCGTCATACGTGAAGCCCTCTCGAAACCGCTCAAGTATCGTGCCACGACAATATCTAGGTCCGGACGACCCGAGACGCTCCAAGACTGGAAGGTTACATCTCCATCCATACAACAGCGCTCTGTTCGCCTCGATTGAAGGGCAGGTTGCTGTGAATTTCCGGAATCTTCGGTTGAGGATCAGGGCCTACGACAGTACGTTGGGCTTCCACACCAAGTACAGGTCTACCACGCGCTGGGCAGAGCTACAGCTTCTAAGCTCATACTCCGTCGATTCCTCTGCGCCAAAGCACGGTCAGCGGCCGCGTTTCAAGGTAGGATTCGCTGAGGTTCGCACCACTCCTTGGTATCAAAAGGCAGTAGACCCCACAGTTGTCAACCACAACCGCGACCTTGAGTACATTTCGGACCCCGCGAAAACCATCATCGAACAACTACTGGCTGCGCCCAACTTCGGGGGACTCACGATGAGGGACTTGGAACGTGTGGCGGACTCGACTCGGGCGGCACCACCGCCGTACGCAAGACCACCGCCCGCTGGGAGCCCGGACGACCAAATGTGGACAGTATAAGCAACGCGCTACCCCAGATGTGTTGAAGTGTACAGCAGTCTATGGGAGTGGTTATGCGGTTAGGGGCGGTCTATGACCAGCAACTGCGGTGGGGGAAAGTCGGCATCGTGCTTAGAGCGTTGGCGTCCTAGGATATGGCAGTGTGTTGCTCGGACTGCAATTCTGAGCTGAAGGGGCTGGCTATGAGGGCTGCATGGGCGATCTCAAGTGTGAATCAAATTGATAGAGCAAAGGTTGACACCTGTCGAACTTCCATTACTCGTGATCCCTTGCGTGGTGGCTTGGAGACGCGTCAGAATGAACCTCTGTCATGTGAAGATTGTGTGACGTCAAAGCTGGTCTAAGCGAACCTCTAGCGTGCTTCCATATTTCACCTACTCGCGCCCCTCCCTTTGTTTTCACCACACACGACCGTGCCTGTGTCGACTTGCGGTCACTACCAAGATGTAAGCGCTTACCCGTGTCGCCTATACCTTACACTAACTCGGAACAGGGCGATCACAAGGGCGCGAAAGAAGCGCGAAGCGAGCGAAGCCGCTACCAAGTCCACCAACAGAGCCTCCACCGACATCCGCGATGCATACGCCGACAAGCAACTACGAGTCAACACGCAAGACGAGCCTCCGCTGTGCTATCTGCTTGAAAAGGTGCCACCGGAAGTCCGAAACACCATCTACGGATACATCGTATACGAGAAGAAGCTCATTGAGTTGCGCAACAAGTTCACGCTGCCTGCAATGACTCGTGTCTCACGCCTGGTCCGCGTGGAGTCTTTGCCGGTGTTTTTCGACGTCAACTGGTTCCAAGAAGTCAAGACTGCGGCACCATTCCAGTCCGAGTCTGTCTATGGATGGAAGAACGAGAGTCCTCAGGTGAAAGTTCACAGACGATGATACCTTGGTCTGAACCGTCCTGAGCGTCCCAACACTGGTAACTTGAGACTTCCGCCACAACTCACTACCCTCCTCGACTCCATCGAGGGAAAGATCGCAGTGAGACTCCGTCACCTAGAGATCTTCATCATGCTCTTGGACGCGAAAATGTCTCTCCGGGCTGATTCCTCGAAAAGAGCTCCTTTCGCAATGCTTCGCCTCGGAGACGCACGCTTCGAGCCTTTCCACCACAGCAGAGTGCCGCCGAATCTGGCCAAAGTTACTCGCAGCTACCATCAACCGCATGTGTTCCAGTCCGGCATCGAGATCGACTACGACGTCTTGCACGAGCCCAATTTGGAGTGCATCACCAATCCTGCAATGGCTTTCTTGGAGCATAAGCTGGCCCAGCCCGAGTTCGGAGGGTTGACGATGGAGGAGGTACATCAGCTGGCCAGTCTGGTACGGGTGGCGCCATCACCAGATGCCACTCACCCGCCGCTTGAATAGGCCCCTTGGCAATAAGTCCTGTGTAGATGGGGATGGCGACAGGCTCAAAGGATTGTATCAAGAAGTGTGGAGCGTCAATGGCGCCATGGCATCAATGTGGTATCTTTGCGTGTCTTGTGAGTTTGTGGGATTTTTCCAGCACTAGACACGAGGGAATAAGCGTGGCGCTACAACGACGGCCCCAGCTAGGAGATGAAGACCGTGCAGAAAAGATACACCCGAGATGTGGCTTGCAGTCCTCATCTCTGTCTACACATGGCAAGTGGTATGATGAAGCTTGAATAAGATCAGACCTTCACATGAAAATGGCTCGATCCATGTCACTTACGGTTCCTCTTGCGCGCTCATTGAGGCCATATCAGCACAGGCTTGATGACTCCCCCAGCGTGCATCTCCTCCCTCGCCTTCTCAAAGTCCTCCACCTTGAATTGCTGCTCCAACTTCTCCAGCGGCAATTTCCCTTCCCGATACCATTTCACTAACATCTGAATCGACTCCTTCGGATTTGCATCACCTTGGATCGTGCCAGTCAAGTGCGTCCCATTGCTCATATGCTCCGGCAAGCCCACCGCAACATTACTTCCAGGACCTTGATTGGCGAGCTGCACCACCCTTCCTAGCCGATGAACGCTGGCAAGTGCCGCTTGGAGGAGGGCTGGAATGCCGGTGGTGTCCACGATCCCTGTCGGACCCTCTGGGCCTTTCGGGTCGGAGAAGGGAGGCAGACCTCGGAGGGCTTGAGAGAGGTCGTCTCTGCTCATGCCTTTGCTGTTGATGGTGTGCGTCGCGCCGAGCTCTTCGGCAAGAGACAGGCGGTTGGGCAGGATGTCGACGGCGATGATTGTGCGGACGCCGAGTGCTTTTGCTGCCTAGACAACGTGTGAGTAGAGAACAGGTATAGTTTTTTGCAATTATATCATGAGGAAGGACTGACCATGAGTGCGCTCAATCCAACTCCACCAAGACCAAAGACCGCGAGACTGTCAGTAGCAGGATCAGGCTTCATTGCGTTTGTTACTGCGCATGCCCCAGTCTGGACTATAACGCTCGTCATGGCGAGTTAGTAGACTGGCCTGGAGCAGTGGGCAAGAATTGAAAGGTGCACCTACTACCACAGCCCAGCGGCGCAAAGATTTTGAGCTCCTCCTCATCCTTAATGAGACCTTTCATGGGCACAACCGAACTCTCCTTGACAAGTGCAATGCCGCTAAAACTCGAATGACCAAAGTAGCTCGCCTTGACCACCCTCTTCCGTCCACCACCATCGTCTTCTAACCTCTCATCCTCGCCTTCGTTGTTCGCAAGAGCAAAGTTAGGGTCCTGTCCTCGAATGGTGATCGGAACCTGCTCTCGACAGTGCGCGGGATGGCCAGTGTTGCACATATGGCACGCTCTGCAATGGGCGAAGGACAGCAGAACTGGGTCGCCCTCCAGCAGTGCCGGGTCTACATCAGCGCCCCGCCGTAGGATCCTGCCGCCGCCTTCGTGGCCAAGGACTCGGGGATAGATGCCGCCAACGTTGGCAATATCGGTATGACAGATCCCAGTGGCAACGATCTTGATCAGTAGCTCGTGGGCTTCTGGCTCTCGTGCCAGGACATCTTGGTAGCGCCATTCCTCGTCGGTGTAGGTCACGATGGCCTTGGTTGGGACGGTATAGGAGTACATCTTGACTATGAGAAGAAATGACGTACACGAGATGCGAAAGCAAGAACAGGAGAGAAGATTAATGGAGCAAGAGAAGTGGATTGGTAGGAGCCAATACCCCACCCTGACCGTTGTCTTCGGCAGTCGTACGCCATACCAATGGACACGGGCATACCTGTCGCGACGAGGTAGGTATTTGGAATATGGTGAGTGCTTTGCCACAGACTAAATAGCATATCGGGACGGTTTGTTGCAGAGAACGGAGAAGGTTTGAGGAATATGAGGTGCGGTCAAGATTGGGTTGGAAGTGTGGCTGAGCTGCGCCACAGCCATTGAAGGATCAGCATGATTCGAGTCACGAAAAAGATATGATTCACCGCGCTGAACATATGTGAAAGGGACTCAGTCGCCCATCTGATGCTCTGACCTACCGGTCACTACAACACCATACACTACCGACCTGAGGATCCGCAACCATGGCCGACACGGACAAGAAGACAGTGCATATCGACGAAGAGACAGGTCAGGACAGTTCAGAAGCAGATGGTTCGCAATCGAAGCCATTCAAGAGTGTGGGACATGCGTTTCTGCAGCATGGCGACCAAGCGCAGTATCTTGTGAAGAGGAGAGAAGGCGACGAGGAGGAAGCGACCTACAAGCCAGCAGCCAAAGCGGCACTCAAGAAAGCAACCAACTATGCCGAGACCCAGCGGAAGAAGGCAGCTAAGGAGCAGGAGCTCGCGATCCGACAGAAGAAGGAGGAAGAGGAGCGCAGCAAGTTCTTGGAGGAGGCAAAGAAGGTCGTTATCAAGGAAGACGCCAGCTTGCCGAAGGCCGTTCGAATCAGCCTAGGAGAGACGCGGCCTGAGATTGTGAAGCTGGGGTCTGGGGAGCGTTCGAAGGAGGTCGACTACTCAAGCAGCCAGCGAGGTACGCGAGTGCGTGTCTTCGGTCGCGTTCACCGCGAGCGCAAGCAGAGTCAGGTCTTGTTCGTCACTCTCCGCGACGGCCACGGCTACATGCAATGCGTGCTCACCGGCAATCTGGCAAAGACCTACGATGCCCTCACGCTCACCCGCGAGACCAGCATGATGATCACCGGAGAGATGTGGGAGGTCCCGCCTGGTGCACACGCTCCAAACAACCGCGAGCTTCACGCAGACTACTACGAGATCATCGGCAAGGCTCCAGGAGGCGACGATGCGATCACCAACAAGGTGCAAGCTCAGGGCGACAACCAGAAGCTGCTCGACATGCGCCATCTCGTGCTTCGTGGCGAGAAGGCTTCGGCGGTCATGATTGTGCGTGACGCGGTAGAGCATGCCTTCAACGTCAAGTACCACGAGCTCGGCTACGTCAAGGTCGCACCGCCGGCTCTTGTGCAGACGCAGGTGGAGGGTGGCGCAACTCTGTTTGAGCTTCCTTACTACGGCGAAAAGGCCTACCTCACCCAATCTTCGCAACTCTACCTCGAGACCGCCCTACCGTTCACTGGAAACTGCTACTGCATAGAGAAATCCTTCCGCGCCGAGAAGTCTCTCACCCGCCGTCACTTGTCAGAGTACACTCACGTCGAAGCCGAACTCGACTTCATCTCCTTCGAAGACCTGCTCAGTCACCTCGAGGAGCTTATCTGCGGTGTTCTCGAGCTCGTCCTCGGCAACCCACGAACGGCGGCGATGGTTCAGGACCTCAACCCGAAGTTCCAGATGCCTGAGCGCCCCTTCAAGCGCATGCGGTACACCGACGCCATTGACTGGCTCGTCGAGCACGAGATCCCGAACGAGGATGGCCAGCCGCACAGCTTTGGTGACGACATCGCAGAGGCAGCCGAGCGCAAGATGACGGACACCATCAACCGCCCGATCTTCCTCACACATTTCCCGCTTGAGATCAAGTCCTTCTACATGCAGCTGGACCCCGAGGACAAGCGTCTCACAGAGTCCGTTGACTGCCTCATGCCCACCGTGGGTGAGATTGTTGGCGGCAGCATGAGGTCGTACGACTACGAGGAGCTGATGGCGGCGTACAAGCGGGAGGGCATCGATCCGAAGGAGTACTACTGGTACACAGATCAGAGGCGGTATGGCACGAGTCCTCATGGTGGGTATGGATTGGGGCTGGAGCGGTTCCTGGCGTGGCTGTTGGATCAGCACACGGTGAGGGATACGTGCTTCTATCCGAGGTACATGGGGAGGTGCAGGCCTTAAGTGCACATGTGTTCTGAGGGGATAGCGCTGATGAGGACGTGTGGACATGAACGATGATGAGAAGTGTAATGAGACATGGCTAGATGAGGGTACGGTGATACGGTAGCTCAGTCGATACTACCAAGCATGCTCACACGACCCCAAGAGTAAGACTCAAGTCCCCAGCTCCTCATGAATCATTCCCAATTGCATGTTGTCAAGCGTACTGCGCCCTCCAAGCCTCGCTCCAGTCTCGCCTAGTGCTCATCCAACAAAGAACAACATCAAACATTCACCACCAACAGACTCGGGTACTCCTTGCCACCTTGCTCTCCAACCGCAATACAAGCAGCCTTAACATGCTAGTCATCCACTGCGACGCCCAGCTTTCCCACGCTCCCGTCCTCAGCACCACTCTTGAGCCTGGAGAAGTCTTGCACCCCCTCGTGGCGCACGCCGGAGCGAGCGTGCAAAACGCGTCAGGTCGTCGATGGAGAATCCGCGAAAGTCAGACTGGCTTGTTTGAGTATTGATCGATTGCATCAGTGGGGCTGTGAGGTGGTGCACATCTTCTTCGTACTGCCGGAACTCAGGCGTGTCGTAACTCAGGCGCGTCGTGCGACCATAGCTGAGTTTCGTCGAATAGCGCAGCTTGGCCGCCTACTTGGACCTGCAGTCGAGCTCCCATGCGTCCCCATCTCAGAGAAGGGTGATGGTGAGTTTGAATGTCGAATTCCTTCAACGATGAAACGGGGTCGAAGTGGATGTGGAGGTCCTTGATGCGAGCGGCAACCTTTCCAGCATCTCTCAAGAACGAGTAGACCACCTTCGGCATCTCGAGTCTGCCCGTATTCATGAACCTGCGGTCGGTCTGGCGGAGGAAGCCAGGAAAAGATCCCGACCTTAACCCACCGTGAGGCGTGGTGACTTCGATGACGGAGCTGTTGACGTCAAAGTAGACGGGCATCGATTCCTGGCGCACTAGCTGGGAGACGCGGGTGATGGCCGGCGGCTTGAGGGTTCTCGAAGCTAGACGTCTGGTCGAGCCATCTTGGCCTGCGGTGGCGTAGCCGTACACACGGTTGCGTAGCTCTGGTGGCAGGTCAAGGAAGCGGAAGGGCGTTTCGGAATCGGAATGCGAAGATGTCTTTGTTGTCGTGAGCGGGCTGAGAAGAGGGCTGCTGGGTGGGCTGTCGGGCGGGCCGTAGTTGACTGCTTTCTTTGTTACGCGCGCGGTCCGCCGGAGCGTGGGCGTAGGCTGTGGTGCAGGAACGGGCTGGGTCGCAGTGATGCGTTGGCGTAGGACTCGGTCATTTGGCTGCGCTCTTGGAGCAGCCACGGTCGCAGTCCTGTCTGGCGTGAGTTGGTCTCCAGTCGATACTAGGGATGATCATACTTACAAGTCTTAGCTCGTCGCGGTTAGTGTACTGCCGATGCGATCGCGCACCATGGAAGTTGAGAGGGATGGTGAAATTGTGTGAGCTTCAGCGCAGAAAAGGAATGGAGGGGCGGGACCAGCCACAAGTTAATACTCGGCGAAAACATGACGTCAACTTTCATATGGGAGTTGAAAGTGAATGCAGAAGAAGATGGTATGTGCGACATTTACCTTAGACTCCCTTAAACATGCGAGCTCCGTATATCGGGATGTTGCTTGATGTGACGGCCACGATGTTTTGTACTGGTGCGGAGGCCAAGAAGGTAGATTAAAACAAGAAGTGAAATAAACGAACCACCAAAGAGCCATACCTTCATCAAGCCATCCTCCTGTACCGGAGGCCTCGCCGTCTTGTATGCATCCCGTCCACCCACAAACAATCTCCCACAAACATCCGTCCGCAAACACCCTCCGACAAACTTCTTCCAACGAACATCCCGTCGCCGCTACGCAGCCGAGATAGGCTTAAGAGGTGGTGCTGTTGCTAGTGGTGCCTGGTGGTGGGCCAGATGGTGGAGTTGTGGTGAAGCCGGTGTCGGCACCCCAGGCGATGGAGTTGAACTCGATCCTCATGGTGTCGATCTGGCAGTTCTCGTTGAGCTCGAAGTAGTTCATGCCCTTGACAGGGTATTGAGCTGAACCGACGGTGGGGAAGTTCCAGTGCCAGATGATGTTGCGGCAGGCGGCGACGGCAGTGAAGATCTGGAGAACGAAGCATCGATCAGTCCCGGTCTTGAAGTGTTGTGGTGGCCTGCAACCATCGAGTACAACTTACAGTCTCAATATTGCTGTCCGGAGGAGCGTTCTGAGTCTCCTGGATGTACTCTTCCTTCGACCCAGTGGTCACGGAGCCAAGGGGGATACCAGCGAGGGAGTTGATGGAGTCGGAGATCTCCTGAAAGTCGTCCGCGAGCATGATCTCCATCGTCTCGGTGAAATTGCCGAGATCAGTCTCCTTGTGTTCGAGAACGCCGATGAAGCGGCTGACGAACTTGTCGGCCATGCGTTGCGTGAGACAATGACGTCTGGAGCAGCCAGGGAAGTACTTGGTCTCGATGGCCGTCGCTGAGGCACAAGCGGCCAAGGCGGCGAGGCTGATGGCGAGCTTCATTGTTAATGATTGTGGTGAAAAACGAGTGTCTGGAAAGATTGTAGTAAAGAGTGACTTGGGTTGGTGAATGGTTGTAGTGCTGGAGGGCTCAAGAGGTAAGAGTGGACTTCTTACTTATACCCTGCTGCCCATCTAGACCTCAGACACTCCTGGGTGTTCTTGCATCAGGAGTTGAGCAAGCCAATAAGAATCTTACTGTGGCTTGACGGTATTCAGCCGCGCAGAGTCAAGGCTCCGCATCGTAACGCACAACTTGGGAGATTGAGTCTGACCAACCTGCCTGGAGTCAGGTAATACGGGCCTGTCAGACGCGGGGATGTGCTCTGGAATCCCGGATCTGGTCGCCTCAGGGCATCATCTAGCGAAAGAGGCAAGCGTAGACCTATGACCACAAGCCATGATCATCCAGTTCTGGGTCAGGCCGTCAATCCATCTAAATGGTGCGCCTTGAACGGCGAAGATCGCTCGCCATCTAGGTGTGTCTTAAAATACCGGTATGCTTCGTCTGGTATGCACGTCAAAGGAGGATGACCCCGGTTCCTGGTTCATGGCGGTGGCGAGATCTGGGGCGTGATGTACTCCAAGTCCGACAACTCAGCCTTGCTGAGGTGTGATGGGGGCTGGAATGAAAGGGTGCGCGGTTGGGCTCCTCCATCCCGAGCCGTGAGGACGGGGGAGTGAGTAGGGGTGCGACGTATCGCGTTCGGTCTCGTTCACCACGAGCCTGAGGGCCTGAGAGCCGTGCATCCGCCACCATACGAGGGCGGTTGGCAGGATGGAGATGAGAAGGATGACTGCCGTGTTGAAAAGAATGATGAAGATGATGAAGCACTGCCCGATTTAGGCCGCCTTCCAGATTCGGCCATTCATACTAGCGGGAAGCTTATAGGGGTGGATCTCACCTTGCCGGTTCTTGAAACAACCTGGAGGGCTTGCAATGCATCTTACGACCAGCAGGCCCAAGCTCAATGACAACTGCCACAATCCCAACTTGACGCTGTCGACCTGTTGTACAATTTCCACGAGACTGCTGTACAGACACCTCCCAAGCCAGCTTGTCCTATCTGGCAGCATTGTACGAGCAGGAAAAGGCCAACGAAGTCCTATTGCATCGGCCAAAACCTCTCGGCATCGAGTGCTGATTTGACCCTGGCGGTATTGGTCTCTCGAAATGCAGGTTGATCGGTTCGAGCGCGCTCCTCATGTCGTACCATTCGTACAGAGCATTTCAGGACTACTGCTCCGATCTTGTGTCCAACATCTGAGCACCACCCTCTTTCCACAGCAATGGCAAGCGTCTCACACTGCTTAGGATCACTCATTCAGCGACTATTGCTTCCATCCATTGTCTGCATCTTGGGCCTGCTTATGTGTAAGTGATTCGAAGCTATGGGATCAATCTGTTCGCCTCTACAATCTCAACATCTCCGGTAGTTCTGGACGCTCGGCGTTACGCTTTTGAGCTTCTCCAACTCTTGCTCCAGATCTCCAGGCCGTCTCCAGGCCGTCTCCAGGTTCTGCAGATCAACATGGGGGCGAGTCATTACCATGCGTTGCCCCTTCTCCAGCTGTATGGACGTCCGGCTAAATTGAATGGCTGTCAAAGAGGAGTCGCCGGGACCATTTACCGGCGTTGATGTAGCCCTATTAGAGACCATGGAAGCCGTCTGCTCGCAAGGCCTTCAGTGCATCACAAGATCAAGATGCTGTCGTTCAAAGGCGACAGATCTGCGTCTTCAGACAGCCAGGATAAGTCCGACGACACCATAATCTTGGGAGGGAAGGAGTTCCCAAAGGCTTGTGTTCAACCAACTCTTCTCCAGCGGAACGGAGTGACTGACAATGCCTATCACAGGTGACGTGGTGGAAGCATGGCTCCCTCGTCCACCTGCATTGTCTGTGCGGCATACTACTGCTGTCATCTGCGACCAACGGCTATGATGGCTCAATGAGTGCGTAACACCAAACAACATCGACTTAGCTCTGACGCTGAGACGACATATTCCAGTGAACGGACTACAGACCCTGAACTACTGGCAAACCGACTTCAACCACCCTTCATCGGCAACACTCGGCCTGCTTAACGCCATCTTCTCCGTCGGACAAGTCGTGGGACTACCATTTGTTCCTCTCCTCGCAGACAACATCGGCCGAAAATGGACAATCCTCCTCGGCAGCACGTTAATCTTTATCGGCGTTGTTATCCAGACAGTAAGCATCAACATCGCCATGTTCATCGCCGCGCGGTTCGTCATCGGCCTCGGGATTTGCTACACCCAAAGTTGCTCGCCCATGCTCATCACTGAGCTCTCACACCCACAGTATCGAGGGCGTCTCACCACAATATACAACACCCTCTGGTACCTAGGCTCCATCATCGCCAGCTGGACCACCTATGGCACTCTGCGAATCGACAATGAATGGTCATGGAAGGCTCCCAGCGTCCTCCAAGCCTTCCCATCAGTCATCCAACTCTTCCTCATCTGGCTCGTGCCCGAGAGCCCGCGATACCAGATCGTCAAGGACCGCCACGAGCGGGCACGCCAGACGTTCGAGAAGTTCCATGGCCCGGCTTCAGGACCAGACTTCGTCGAAACCGAGTATCGCGAGGTTTTAGAGACCATGGCTCTCGAGAAGGAGTTCTCTAGCCGGGGTGTGGCCGAACTGTGGCGGACCAAGGGCAACCGTCATCGCCTGCTGATTGCTTGCACGGCTGGCTTCTTCAGTCAGACCGCCGGCGCCAACGTAGTCTCGTATTACATATTCTTGGTACTGGGCCAGATCGGCTACAAGGATTCGAATACGCAGCTTGTCATCAACGGCTGTCTCACCATCTTCAACATGGTCGTCGCCACGGGCATGGCGTTCTCCATCGACAAGCTGGGCAGGCGTCCGCTGTTCTTGACCTCGACCTTCGGCATGTGTCTCGCAATGACCGGGTGGACAGTGGCTAGCCAGCAGCACGAGGCATTAGGCAATACGTCTTCTGGCCGTGCCGTAGTTGCGCTGATCTTCGTGTTCATGTTCTTCTTCAACCTTGCATGGTCAGGCTTGCTGATAGCGTACGTGGTCGAGATCTCGCCTTTCTATCTCCGATCGCGGTACCTGACTGTGCTGCTTCTCTTCGTTGCGGCTGGATCGTTCTTCTCGCAGTACGTGAATCCCGTGGCGCTGGAAGCCATTACTTGGTAAGAACGCAAGACCTACCTTATCGGAAAGAGCGCTGATGTCGGGCAGGAAATACTACCTCTGCTACATCATTTGGCTCGCTATCATGTCAGTTGTCGTTTGGTTCTTCTATGTTGAAACCAAAGGGCGAACACTGGAAGCAATGGCGGTCTGCTTTGACGGTGATGACGCCAAGGTCGGTGGAGAGGGTGCTACGGCCAAGGGAGAGATGTTGCTTGGTGTGCTGCACAAGGATGGGGCTTTGAAAGAAGGTGAAGCAGACGTGCGGATTGAGAGAGTCGAGGCTTGAAGTTATCTATCCACGAGGGACTGACTTCTTGGGTGTCGTGTTGCGACGGGAAGTCCAGTCTGGGATCTATACGGGATCACGAAGAGACGTCACCGAGCGCGGCTTGACATCGTGCAATTTCCGAATGATCTCACCGTTCTCAGTCATTACAATCTACTGCGATCGGAAATGCTTTCTTCCCAAGCACTGAAATGAAGCGTTTTGAAGCAGTGTTGGGCTGGCCGTTGCCAGAGCTCTGGCTTGAGCTTTGTACGGGGAGCCGCGGTCATGGTGTTCGATATTGATTTGCCTCGCCTATGCTGACATGAACTGATGATTGCAGCAGCCCTGAACAAATACTGGCCTGGATAATAGCATCTCCAAGTTCACCACCTCCGGCCTCGCTGTGCCCGTGATCTTCCCCATGGTCAGGTGAATGGGCTGCTAAGATGTCATGAACTGTGTTGACAGCCTTCCTCTCATCTTGCCACTCCAGACTTCCAGACTTCGAACCCACTTTCAACGCCACCTACGCCTGGGCGCATCTCCATGCCTGGGCGCACCTTTCGGTGGCGGACGACGTACCGACTTCGCCAATCGTGCTAGGTCCGCGATAGTCACCCCTGGTACCCGGGCATGGAGATCTGTTCCTTCATGCTTTCAACTAATGGCTCCCATAACCACTTCCAATCTTCGTCGACCTGCGCTTGATAATTTCCGACGGCGACAGCGGGCCCTCCACAACCCACGAGATCTGGTTGCTTGCCGTGCTCCAGTCGTACGATGAAGTCCCTGATCGGGTCGCCTACGTCCGCTGCAGCATCGCGCTCCTCGGGCCGTTGAAGGGCTTGGAGCCTGAACTCCAGATTCTTGATTTTTGCCGCGATCAGTCCTGCGTCTCTGAAGAAACCGTGGATTTTCTGTGGCAGACGCAGCAATCCGGTGCGCTCCCATCTTTTTGTGGTCTGGCGCAAGAAAGTTCCTCTTGAAGCTCGTCCTTGGTATAGTATCCAGCCGGTGTATGGTGCAGTCGTTTGAACAACGAATGTGTTGACGTCGAAGTAGACCGGTATCGATTCAGAGCGGACCTGGCGAGAGACACGAGTAATTGCAGGTGGCTTGAGAGCCCTAAGACGTAGTGGGACTTCGTTGTGGGTGGCGAATCCGTAGATTCGGTTGCGGAGCTCAGGTGGGAGGTCCATGAAGCGGAAAGGTTCTGGTGGCCCACTGGCAAGACCAACAGGCTTCTCCTTTTCTCCTCCTGTAGTGCTCTCGGCCGCCGCCATGGTACCACGCTGCGTCGGTTGTTTGCCAGTCTTAAGAGCGACTTGGACCATGATGGCGGATCTGTGTCTCGTCAGCTTCTGCCTTCAGTGCGGTGTCAGCGGGAAAACACTTACTTGCGACAGTGAAGTCGGGGTCCCGGCGCCAGCGATTGGTGTCGACTGAAGGAGGTTCGATCTATGGCTTCATGCTTGGTGGCTCCGAATGACATGCATTCGAACGATGTTGGGTTGAAAGAATTCAAGTAGCAGAGGCGTTCGAAGGTGACTAAAGGTAGTGAAGGTGACGTGTCATGTTCTAGGCTGTGTAACACCTGACGTCAGGGTCATGTGAAACTCACCAAAGTGAGAAGCTTCTCCAGAGCCAATGGAAACACCTGATCTGCCACATCACCCTTGATCAACCATCGTATTATGCTCCACCACCGCGCCCTCCGCAGCATCACTATCATCGTCGCTCAAATTGCGCTCTTCAATCATAATCCCACTACTGCCCCTGCTACCAGGCCTTTCCTCACTAATACGTGGCGAAGCCGGCGCACTGCTAGTCCGCCTGCTCTCCTTCCTGCCCTGCAAACCCATCGGCTGCAAGCCCGCAGTGGCCATCTGCTGTACTGCCGTTGGCTCGGCGTCGGCAACAGCAATAGGCGTCGTGACCTTCGCGAGTGCGTTGATCGTCGTTGGTTGGTACTTCAGGAGGCTCGGGGGTGCGCTGTGTGTTTGCTCGGGGCCGTCGTCGTGGCTTGTCAGCTCAGACAGCGGTACGGTGTCGCCAGGCTTGTATCGGAGGCGGATGGTAGGGAGCCACCGGCTGAGCAGGCGGCGCTTGAAGCGAGCCCATGCGCCAAGATCACTGTCGTCGCCACCGGCGATGTTGCTGTAGAGCTGCTTGTTAATCGTCTTCTCCGGAGCGAACCAGCGCCGCAATAGCCGCCATTTCAGTTTGTCAGTGAAGTGTAGCGGCTCGGCATCGTTGGAGGCACCACTGCTGCTCCATAGAAGCGGGTGCTGCCCTTCGAGGTCGTTGAAGAGCCTCTCATAGAGGCCACGCTGGTAGGGTGTCTGACGCCTGCGCTGGAGTGAGTGCTTGACACAGTACCAAAGGAGAAGCACTGTGAGCAGTCAGCTTTCAGTCGTCCAGTATAAGTATTTCAGGTCCTACCAAACAGCATTAGAATGCTGGCAGCCAGAAAGTACCACGCAACGTCTGGCAAGCCCTCATCGTCTCCAGCAAATATGTTTACGTTCATTCCAAAGAACGAGACTAGGAAAGTCAGGGGCAAGAAGATGAACGTGATCCAGCTTAGTCTCCACATCGAAAGACCGAGCTGCAAAGACTGGCGTGAGTCTCTAATGCCAACGGACTTGTACACTGTTCTCACACGTCAGCCAACATATCAAGCACAAGCCGACGATCTTGAGAAGACGTACTGAGATCGCTTAGGTTCGCGGTAGGCTGTACCAAGTCTTCGGAAACACTATGGGCCAGTCTATCGTACTCCGCAGGTATACTTGACAGCCATTCGACTTGAATCGGATCATGGTCCTCCACTTCCACCTCAGCCACCTCATGCATGTGTGCCGCCACCTCCCTAATCAGATCTTGGTGCATCCACATCACCTTGTCCACCTTCAGCCAAGCACTTTGGTTGGTCCATAGATCTGGCGCACGAGACTCATCGGCAGGGTTCTCGTAGATCTTGTCCTCAAGCATGCTGACGTGGTCCGTACCGACACTCAAGAACTCCTGCCAAATGATTGCTAAGCCATGGAACACATCTTCCAGTATCATCCTCGTACACTGAGCGGCGAGTCTGTGGTCATCGGTAACGTCCTCTCTTTTCAGGTAGAACGACAGTCGCCGCCAGCGCTTTTCGAAGTCGTTTCGAGGTTGGATCAAGCAGTCGTTGAGCAGCATAGAGGCTGAAGTCTCGAAGATGATGACAGTGTTGGTGTTATCCAGTCGATCGAACTCGGTCTTGGTCCTGCCACCCGGCTTCTGGGAGTCATTGAAGTGAAGATTGGTGTATGGATTCCTGACGTCCTGGTCAGGGCTGAGCCTTCCGGGCGGCCCGAGGTGACGTTGGACGTATACACTCATCCTTTGGACGCTGACATCGTACCCTTGGGGATTGCTCGAGTCCGACCATGCATCGAGATGCATCATTTTGGCGTCGATCTCTTTGTCGCTCAAGACAGTTGCTCGGTGTTGTCGGTCAGCTGGTGGCGTGCGATAGGTCTTGAGGTAGTCCAAGCCGAAAGCAGTTCGACTAATGTTGCGCCATGGATCCGTCTGCTCGCGCCACGATCTTCCATCTGGAAAGGGTCGGCCTCCACGCTGGCGAGGCTTCTCATATCTCGCCCATTTGCTAAAACCAGGCATTCCGACAACCTCGTCCTGGTGATCGACATTGTACTTTGAAAGAAGGCAATCGGTGGCCCACGATGCGTTCTGAACGTGAATGACTCGCAGAGCGGCGGCATGGACTCGCTCGGTATTGCTGTAAAACTTCTTCAGTCCAGAGATGTCTTCGAACTCTTGAGCTTCGATGGTTATGTGCCGCTTGCCTGAGCCAGCAGACGAACCGGAGGCGGTATTGCTGATGTAGTCGACAATCAGGACTCTCCCGGTCGGGAAGCAATCCGGCGTCCACTTGATCTTCCACTTCACAATGTCGTGTCCCGACTTAGCGCTCAATGCTGAGCGCTTGCGGTGCCATGGGCCACTATTCTTCGCGTTGGTGTCGACAGTCGGGGTAGGTCGACGAGATTGAGAGGCGTCACTCGAGCCTTCTTTGACCTTATCGCTGTCGCTTGATGATCGTGATATGGATATCCCAGGCAGGTCAGCGCTTGCCATGGCTGCAAGCGTAACCACAAAGTCTTAACACTGATTTATTAGAATGTGGAGAAACATTGGACGACCGTTACACATCGCCACATTTTGTAGTAGACTTTCCAGCGGCTCGAGCAAGGCTCGCAAGGCTCAGAAGCGCCTCAAATTTGACACCAGGCAATCCATCTCTGGAGGAGGGTCAGCTGAACGTTGGAGATCGTCAAAGCAGAGCAGATCCTTGGCTTGGCGCTGCACCTTCAGCCTCTCGCGGAGCTCATCCGTGTTGCGCAAGCCAGATTTGAAGGAACAAGGCTGGGGTGGGGTCCACGAACTTGCATGCGAACGCATCGTGATGTGCTGTAAAAAGAGCTTTCACAGATTGCATGAGATGTGACTTATGGTGGACATGCATGTTCGGTCCGATTCACAGTCGTCCCACTTTTTTCAAGTCGTTTCGAGAGCCTCATGGCTCATCATCCGTATACGCCGGCGGCAGATCCTCCTCGTCTTCGTTGACCAGGTTGTCGCCACTCTCCCGCTCAATGTGCACAGACCAGAGTGCACTGCCCGCGGCAGAAGTGAGTAGAAAGAAGATGCTCAAAACCGGGATCAGCTGAAGCACCATGTAGATTGAACCGAACCACATGTACTCCCATCGCCTCTTCTTCGATTTGATAAATGTGTTGCGTTCCTTTCGAGTGAAGCCTTTCAGAGCATAGTATCTCCAGTTTAGAAGTGGTCCCGCACGATATCCAGTTGCCAACAGAAACAACGGCACTCCAACGAATGGGACGAAGTTGAGAGGTAGCAGGACGGCGAACTCGATAATTTGGCGGAAGCTGAAAGGCGCGAACTGAGCACCCTTCTCCCGTGCTCCCAATCGTTTGACCGGATCGCTCTCATCAATGTCCTCAGAAACAGGCCGCCGGTGTTTGACGAGATGTTCGTAGCCCTCTGCTATCATCACTGCGTCGAAGATGTCCACTTGGGTGTGGTCCACGAAGAGCGCTTCAAACAGGATGGATATCAGAAGAGTTCCAATACCGAGTACAAAGAAGGTAGCGTTAACCCAAGCGCTACCCTTGTTAACGTGGAAGATGGCCAGAAACGCCACGATCGGTAGATACGCTGTCATGAAAAGTAGGACCAGTATGCAAGTGGAGAGCAATGTGAGCGGTAGGATTCGAGTACGTGCCAGAGGGTGGAGGTATCGATGGGTAGCGAAGTACCAGATTCCTTTGATGGGATAGATGAAGGCTGGACTGAAGTTGGCCCGCCAGAAGGATATTGCAGACGCATCTCGAGCCATGGCGAAAGGAGGTTGTAGTTTCGGGCTTCCGGTACACCCCTTTAGACTGTCTTAGTTCTCCAGCACTCGGTATGGGCGCGTGACAGATCTTGTGACTTCACCAACACTATTCTTTGATAGGTATCGAGGAGAAGCCGCAGAGAAATGGAGGTAAAAGGTCACTGCCTCCATCAAAAGTTGGCAGTGGCGAGGCGGCCGATCCCGCGTCAATGCACGCCACGAAACCTTGCCTTTCACGCGACTCCTAAACATCAACATGGCTGCAATACCAAACTTGAACACACTTCGAATTGGACGTGGTGGCCCACGGCGACGCGGAGGCCGAGGAGGAATAGGATCTAGTAGTGATGGAGAACCGAGCGAGCGCGACTCGGAGACAGCCCGAGATCGAGTGGTCCAGCAAACAGACCACGACGCCAGCAGCAGCCGCATGAGCGCCATCGAACTGGACTATCTCGACGATGTGTACGCAAAACAGCTCTGGACTCCCAATGAGAAAGTACCGAAGCGGTATCCAATCATCAACCGGGGGACGTATGTGAGGACGAAGGCCATCGACAAGCTGGTTACGTTGTTTCTGCAAGCACAGCCAACGCAGAGGAAGCAAATCGTGTCTCTAGGAGCGGGCTCAGACACGCGCTTCTTCCGCTTCTGGGTCCAAGGGCTGCTCAAAGACGCTGGCGTGACGTACCACGAACTCGACTTTGAGGCCAATGTCAACCAGAAGCGACACTCGGTCAGATCCTCATCTGTCCTCTCGGAGCACATCAAGCAAGCAGAAAAGGCAGGCACGTCTTATAATCTGCACGCCATCGACCTCCGAGATCTCACCGCAAAATCGCCGCCACCCATACCAGGGCTTGAACCGGACCTGCCGACGTTGATCTTGAGCGAGTGCTGCTTGTGTTACCTCCCCCCGGACATTGCGAGCAGCGTCATCCAATACTTCACCATGAACATGCAAAGCGCTTTGGCGATCGCGGTCTACGAACCCATACGACCATTCGATGCCTTCGGAAAGACCATGGTCTCAAATCTCGCATCTCGTGGAATCCATCTTCAGACCTTGAAGCGCTACTCCTCCCTCGAAGCTCAAAGGCAACGTATGCGGCTGGCGGGTCTGAAGACTTGCCAGGGTGCACGGGACGTTTACGAGCTGTGGGAGAGCACTGCGTGGGTTGGCGACGAGGAGCGTCAGAGGATTGAAGGCCTAGAATGGCTTGACGAGATCGAAGAGTGGCAGCTTCTGGCAAGTCATTATTGTGTTGCTTGGGGCTGGACGGGTGATATTTTCAGCGAGGCATGGGCAGCACTCGATGGCGGACAGAGCACTGCTGAGAGCAAGCACGATGACGTGACAATGTGAAACCGGATGCTACCACGACAGGGCGAGTTCTGCACTTTGCCATGTGGCATATTCAGTTCATCGAATCAAACGTCAGGTAGGTAGGTAAGGTACCAAAGCAACTCAGATTCCAGAAACTCAAGCACGAGACGGGCCTTCCGTGATTGGCTGGACCCTCATGGCTCATCTTCGCTCACCATCAGCCAAGAGACAAGCAACGGCATCGATAAACAGCTCTACATGGAGCAATTGCGCTCATCTTCCAGACTGCTTAGAATATCTGTGAACCCCTCTACACGCGGCATACGAACTCAAAACTCTCGTCATGCTCTCGGTTACGGCGCAACAAAGCCGATTCCATAATGAAGCAATCGAAGGATCCGCATTGAAGGAGGTACGTTCCGTCCAGGCGTCGTCGCAAGCATGAGTGCTTACCCGACCGGTCAGGTAATGATCAAAGATCTCAGTATTGCAATTGGACAGCGAGAGATTCTTGAGCACGCCCAGTTCCAGCTTCAGGTTGGCAAGCATTACGTCCTAGTTGGTCGCAATGGAGTTGGAAAGTCCAGTAGGTCGATGACAGTGCAGTCAATACGTCAAAACTCTCGTTGTTTACAAAAGCGCAGCATTACTGCAGGCCATGGCGACCGATCAGATCCCCAGCATACCACAAAGCCTCCGAATACTACTACTCGGCCAGACCCAGTCAAATCTCGAAGACAGCATGAGTGACCTCAAGCTGTCCGACACCACTGTATTGGACTTCGTTGTGCGAATTGACCGGAAGCGCGAGACCCTCTTGGCTGAAGAGAGGGCCCTGACTACCGCCATCGAAGAGACCGGGAAGCCCACGGCCGCCATCCTCGCCTATCGCAAGGTCCATCACGAAAGATTGGGACGCCGAACGGAGGAGTCAAGGAAGATGGCATCACGGAGATCTGGCGCAAGAGGCATGAAAGCTCGCAAAATTCTCAATGGTCTGGAAGAAGAGCTCAAAGAATCTGCTGACAGGTAAATCACTCTTAGAAAGATGGATCGACGTAGACAAAAACACTGATCCAATGTAATGACTAGACTGACGCTTCTTGAAAGCGGCATCGATGCTGTCTCTCTGGGACATGAGACTCAGCAGGCTTCTGATCTGCTCGCCGAGATACAAGCAAGTCTTGAGCTGGTGAGCACTCCGGAATCACCTTACTACGCCCGAAGGGTGCTTACAGCTGTCATAGATGGGGTCCTTCTCCGCCGAAGCTAAGGCAAAGTCGGTTCTAGTCGGGCTTGGGTTCTCGGAAGAGAGCATAGAGCAGCCCATGTCACGATTATCGGGCGGCTGGCGCACACGATGTTCTCTCGCGTGCGCACTCAGTCAAACGGCGGACCTTCTTCTGCTAGACGAGCCGACCAACTTCCTGGACCTGCCTTCGATCATCTGGCTTGAGCACTACATCCAAGATCTGCCGGCAACAGTGACCGTGCTCGTGGTAACACACGACCGCGCCTTCGCCGACGGCGTCGGAGAGGAGCTACTCGTCATGCGCAACCATACGCTTGAGCGCTTCCGTGGGAACATCTCCGCATATGAGATCGAGCGCGCCAAGAACTACAAGTATCTCAGCCGCATGAAGGAAGCTCAGGACAAGCAGAAGAAGCTCATCGAAGCGACGATTGACAAGAGCGTCAAAGCAGCGAAGCGTGCTGGTGACGACAAGAAGCTCAAACAAGCGGCGTCTCGGAAGAAGAAGTTGGATGAGCGTTGGGGTATGGAGGTCTCGGCGAAAGGGGGCAGGTTCAAGTTGAACAGAGATCTTCCGGGGTACCACAAAACCAACAGAGATGCGATCGAGGTCCCTGAGTTTGATCCACCCGTTCGGTTCAGCATACCTACGACGCCAGTCGACTTGCGCTTCCCTAGGGCTTTGCTATCGATGGAGAAGGTCTGCTTTGCTTATCCGAAGAACAGAAAGGCCCCGGTCTTGCAAGATGTTGACCTCACCATCCACCAGGGCGAACGGGTTGGCATAGCTGGCAGGAATGGTGCAGGAAAGTCGACTCTGGTGTCATCGGCTATGGGTGGTCCGGACCAAACACCTTCGTCTATTAAGCCGACTTCCGGGACAGTGTCAAGACATACGCGAGCACGGATTGGGCTCTACTCGCAGCACTCTGTCGAAGAGCTGAACAGCATTGCCGCGGAGAAGCCCGAACTAACAGCGCTGTCGCACCTAATGGATTTTGCCCGCGCCGAAATGGCAGAGAAAGACGCCCGGGGGCTCCTCAGCGGTCTTGGTCTCGTCGGGCGAACAGCATCAGACGTTCCCATTGCGCTCCTCTCCGGCGGACAGAAGGTCCGGCTTGCGCTAGCTAAACTGCTGTGGACGCCACCACATCTCCTCATACTAGACGAAGTTACGACGCATTTGGATAGCGATGCCATTCAGGCTCTAGTCTTAGCGTTACGAGACTACGAGGGAGCGATCATGGTCGTGACGCACGACCGCTTCTTCATGCGATGTGTCGTTGAAGGCGAGTCTGCGAACAGTATCGCGAGGAGCTATCGACCTGGAGATGACGACGATGATGAAGAGAGCTCGGAGGATGCAGAGGAGAGTACCCGGCTGAGGACTGTCTACAGATTGACGAAAGGGCGGCTGAAGAAGCTAGAGGGTGGCATGATGCAGTACGAGGAGCTTGCTGCTAAGGCGTCGATGAAGATGGGCAAGACCTGAGCATCAACGACCAATGTGCAGCAGACACCTCTCCGAGTTCCTGTCCTTGCCGCTACTTTCTCACACGCCTTCCAGAACATGGCTTTCGAGCAACGCCGGCAAGCTTAGCAGCCATTCGGCTCCGCACTACGCAGCACATCAGTACGCAAAATCAGACCACGAACACCTCACTCACCGGAATCGCCACCCCGAAACACTCGACTCCCCGCCCTCCTGACACCCCAAAATCTCATTCCTCAAGCGCGTCACACAATCCTCGTCCTTCAAGTCAAACCCATCATGGTCGTTCAAATTCTGCACCTGGAACGAGAGGTGCTTGCCTTCCCCGTCGGTGGGACACATGGACTTGGTCTGCCTCGGTTTGTAGTAGCCGGTGAACATGCCGCCGGGCTGCGTGCAGGCGAAGTTGATGAAGTCGATGGCGGAGTTGCGGCCGACTTGGCCCCAGCGGGAGTGAGTGTATGGGAAGCAGGTTGCTGTGATGGTTTGGGTGTGCAAGAGGAGGAGGCCGAGCGGGGCGAGGAGCGTGGTGGGTTTCATCTTGGGAGAAGGGAGCGAGACAGGGGAATGAGGGTGTTCTAGGAGCAGGTGGATGATGGAGATTGTGGCCAGCGCTGGGAATGGACTTTATACCCTCCGGGGTGGTATACGCACTCCGCGGACCACACCTCGCCTAATCTTCATGCAAAGGCGCATTCGCGTTCACAGTCAAACAGCTCGTTCAATTCTAAGCTCTGGAATGCTGCCTTGGGTTGAGTTTCATACGGGATCTCGGGCCTCATCACGTCGGTCTCCTGATACCCCTACCAGGAAGACGTACCGATTACGGTATGCAAATCGGGAACTTCAAACACACCTGTGGTGTATAGGGAGGGTCTCCCGTATTCCCAGCCTTATTGGGTGAACACAGGATCATGCTCGGGTGACATCACTTCATCTTGTGGCTGAGCGAGGGGTTTCGTTCTTGGAGGCGGAGTGAGTGGTTGGTGGTGAGATTCTGGGAGCCTGCAGCTTGGAAATCAACGAGTTGCACTGGGCAGAAGCAGGAAAGAAGAATGCACGACATACGCCGTCGTAGCGAAAAATGAGATGCTCGCCTGCTTGCCCTCAAATGGATAGAGTACATTATGGTTTCCGCCACAGTATGAGATAGGTTGCCGTGACGGTAGAAGCACATCCGCTGCACCCACCTGATATCACAACACCATCCCTCATGAACGCCTTCACGCCCTGCCAGAAGCACATCCCAAAACGCCTCACCTCCTGCCCGAATCCGCTAGAACAACACATCCAAACAACAACAACAAGCCAACGCCCCCATTATCCCCGCGCATATCCCTCCCGTCGCTCCTCCACCTCCTCTCCGATCATCATAATATCCCATCGGAGGCTGCTGCTGATAATACATCGGTTGCTGCTGGTACTGCGGTCCATAACCCGGCCCTGGTGGAGGGCCATAGGGACCTTGTTGGTAAGGTCCGGGCTGTCCGTAAGGCGAGGGGCTGCCGTATTGTTGTGGTGGAGGAGAGCCGTAGTAGTTTTGGCTGCGGGGGTCGACGGGGCCGGCGTCGAAGTGCGCTTGTTGGGGGTAGCCTGGGGGAGGGCCTTCGGGGGCTTTCTGGAGAACTGTTAGTGCTGTGGTCGATGCTGGTGGTGGTGGGGGAGGTCGTACGAATGCCATTGCGCTTGGGGCCGGGATGGCGCGAGATGTGGCGTTGGTGGTGTTTCAGGCGTTCCTCCTGTGCAGTTGTTTGCTGATGCTGTTGCGCTTGCGACCGTTATACTGACGCGATCTGTGGACAAAGGAGGAGGAGAAGAAGAAGGTACAGAGGAAGTGTCGAGTCTTTGTTAGGTGACGCCGCTCCTCTCGGCATGCTCGGCTTCGCGGAGGCGCAGTCGATGGAAAGCGCGCAGTCACACGCGTAATCGTGTGAGGACGTGTTCACCTTGCCACTACTTACAGCCAATTGTTAACGCAGCAGTCAAGATATACAGTGTCGATGTATACAGGTGGTATTGATTATCAGTATGCGGGTTTGGCGCATCTCCATCGGCTCTTGGCGGGAAGCTCAGCTCATCTTGCCGTTACGACGTACCTTCATGCCGATAGTTAAGATACAGAGTGGCATGTCCCAGGTGCAGAAGAATTATATAAACTATGGGAATTCTTTTGCGCAGTTCGAATTGGACATAACAGCATCAGGGTATCACAGATTATCATCATCCAAAACGTCCCTTCACCTATTCCTACCCAAAGTCCACAGTCCCCATCCCCCTCTCCCTCGCAGCGGCCTGCACACCCTCCCTCACCCTCTCCACAGCCTTCTCCCAACCCTCTCTAGCCACCTCTCCAACATTGTCGCCCTCCTCTATAACCCACCCCACCCACCTCACAACAGCAACCGCCTTCCCCAAATCCCTCTCCACCACCACCACATCCCTCAAATATCCCACCAAGGCTTCCACGTCCTCCCCATACGGCCCTTCGTCTGCGAACTCGCTATACCAATCCTTCACCGCTTGTCGCAGGTCGGGCAGTTCGGTGAATTTTCGTGCGGTGAAGGTGGGTTTAGCAGGTTGCGGCGGGAGCTGTAGATGTCGTTCAATCGTCCCTGCGTCATCTCGCTTAGCCTTGCTGCCGCGAAGGCGGGACGGTTTCTGGTGGAGCGAGAGGTCGATGCCTCCTTTGCGCTGCAATTGGGCTTGGCGTTGCTGGTCGAGGACTTCGGCGCGGATGTCGGCTGGTAGGGCGGAGAGGAAGTCTGGATCGAGGGGCTCGGGTTCCGCTTCGCTGTCGGTTGTTGCACCTTGGTCTGGTTGATTGAGGTGGCGGCTTTGAGGCCGAGAGACGAAGTTCGCTTGGGTCAGAGTCGGGACGTCGGATGGTGGAGGGCGGGATTTGCCTGCGAAGAGGCCGCCGCCACGTTTGCGTCTGATGGGTTGTTTATTGATGGTCTTGCTGGGAGGGAGGGTGCGGTTCTTGCGCGGAGATTGCGGGAGGACTGCTTGACCACGGGCTTTGTGAGAGGGTTTGTAGAAGCCCAGGATCTCTGCGCGGACGTCGTCGGGTAGTGCTGACAAGATCTCGGGGTCGAGCTGAGACTCCGTTGGAAGCGTGATAGCGGGTGAATGATCTCTTGAGGCTGGCCTGGATTCTGCGTCCGCAGCTCGCTCGGCTGCAGAGGCTTCAGCAGGCCTGGCACGTTGTACGAGCTTGGCTCGAATGTCCTCCGGCAGCTCTGCAAGTGTCTTCGCATCAACTTGAGTAGGCAGGACAAACTGGGTCCCAAGCGTATTGAGCTGCCTCTTTGTTGGCGTGCTGGCATTGACGGGCTCGATGCTGACACTCGGCTTGTTGACATCAGCGATGCGTTGCTCTTCAGGTGTTCTGGCATCATCTTGGATAGCATCCTCCTCGGTAGCTTTCCTGCTCAAAGTCTGAGCAGCTGTCTTAGGAGGCTGTCCTGTCTTGAACTGCAACCTCCTCTGACTACTCTCCACAGCACCCTCTGGCCCTGACTTCAGCGGCTCCAGCTTCTGCATCTGTACACCAATGCCGCGCAGCTCACCCGGCGAGATGTTGAAAGACCTCATCATAGCTATGGCCTCCTTCGTGATGATCCCAGTTTGGTTCGTAGCAATACCAAGCTGGAGGCTCTTATTGTACGTATCGCATTTGCCATGTCCCAGATGCTTGGGCGGGTCCAAGGGTGCATCGGCAGCACGCCGCATGACCTTCATCGTAAGCTGCTTGCCCTTGACACGCTCTTTTACCAGTCTTTTGTGCAGTTCGCCGCAAAGCCCTTGCATGAACTCGTCGACCTGTTCCTGGTTCTCGAATCGGACGCCCCAATTGACCTCGGCCGAGACAGATTTTCGAACGACTTGGTCGCCCACTTCAACCTTGTCGATGCCGCGAGCGTACTCCCACAGCTTCTCGCCAGTCTTAGGTCCAAGAGTGTTGGTAAGCTTCTCCCGAGTGCACTCCCGAATGTCCCTGACGAACTTGATGCCAATTTCCTCAAGCTTGCCGCCAGTACTCCAAGCCACGCCAGGCAGCTTTTGAACCTCCAGACCCCCAATGAAGTCCAAGACCTCTTCAGGCTTGAGCTGATACTGGCCAGCAGGTTTAGCTTTGCGAAGAGCGATCTTGGCCTGCAGAATGTTGCCACCGATGCCAACAGAAACAGCGCATCCAGTCTTCTCGAGCACTTCGTTACGAAGACTCTGCGCTGTCTCGTCGGCTTTCAGTTGCTCGCGATGGACGGCGCCTTCCGCCCTGTCCACACCGTTCGAACCAGATTCGGCGAAGCATATTGCGCTGATATCCACCAGCGCTTCATCGATACTGACACTCTGCACCACGCCACCCGTGGTCAGGATCGCATCGTAGAATTTCCGACTGGCGCCTTCATAGCCGGGAAAGTCGTACGGCAAGACCTTGAGCTCTGGACAAAGCTGCTGCGCCCGCTTCATCCACATGCCATTGCTGATGCCAAACTTTCGAGCAGGATAGTTGCAGCTGGCGATTTCTGATCCCGATCCACCACCGTGCGCAACAACTGCTGGCTTGTCTTTGTATGCCGGGTTCTTCTTCAAAGACACCGCGGCGAAGAAGCTGTCAAAGTCGACGTGCATAATATACCTTCTTTGACCGGGAAGCTTCTTCAGCCTGGCTTTCTGTGATGATGACTTTTCGGCTGCCAGCGCTTGTAGCTGAGACTTCAGATCTGCTTTCCATGTCGAGAGATGGTGGAGACGCGACTCGCGGTAGTACTGCTCAAGAAAGTCCGGATTCACCACGGTCGACTTACGGATCTTAGGATCGGACAGGAGCAGCGCATTGTGTTCTTCTGCTGTCATTCCAGCAAGTCTTTCCGGTGAGACGTTCTTGAGGACTTCGGAGTCGCGAACAACTGCCATCGAGTAGTCCGGCTCTTGCGAGCCTTCGCGGGCCCGCAACCCTGCTTCTCCTTTGTCGTCACTGGTCTGCTCACAATTAGGCGGTGGGAAATCTGACAGAGTGTCCTTGGCACGGGATGGAGGCATGACCGGACTAGAAGGAGGCGGTGTCTCAAGCTCCGTTCGAACTTCCAGCAGCTCCCTAGGTGCTTGCAGATGTTCTTCTGCTGGCCTGTCCACAGCTCGCTCAACGGACTCCAGCGCCTTCTCCATCGAGCTCGTAATCTCAGGCATCGGGTACTCATCATCCTCAATCTCTTCCTGCGGTGTCACGGTTTGAGTAAAGCTTGGCGGCTTCTGCGGAGTCTGCTGAGTCTTGAGCTGATCCGTATACCAGCTCATGTTGGTCTGCTCTCTGTATCCCTTTGTCTTATTGTTCGCTTGGCTGACCATACTGCCATTCTCGAACCCCAGCACCTTCTGGCCCACCCCTTCATCCACCACCCGATACGCATCCCATGGTAGCAACTTCCCAGCGTTCACACTGTCCGCAATCCATGCCGGCTTGACGATCCGATACCTCCTAAACTCCTCCTTCTTCTTTGGCGTAAGGTTCGAAGCAATGATATGCGTAACCATCGTCTTCCCGTCCAGATACTGGATGAAGCCCCCGCCATGCTGCACAATCATGACATGGAGATCATTCAAGGACGGTTGTGTGTAGCCGTTAACGTGACACACCACGCCCTTGAAGATCTGCGGTTTGTCCGATTCGGCGCGCAGCTGGGAGTCGAGGTTCTGAAGTTTGATCTTCTTGCGACGGAAGTACTCTGAGAAGCCGCCAAAAGAGGATCCATGGTATTCCTCCCCATCTTCTCCACTAAAGGTATGGTTCTCTATGCGCTTGCGGACGAGGTTGGACTTCCGCTCCAGGCGGGAGCCCATCTTGTCGCTGTCGCGTCGTCGGTGAGACGGTGTAGGTTGTGCTATAGTTCAGTCTTTCTAGTTCATCTGCTCTGTCCATCGCGCCCGTGGTCACCTCCAGTCTGCGAGCCATTCGTGCATGGTGGTGTTTGCTAAAGGCGAGACAGAGAACACACCCACGGCGCGAAGTGCCACTCCTGCCTCTTTGGGATGACGTGTGAAAGCGCGCATGACTCGCGGACTCGCCAAGATTTCGGGAAGATCCAAGCTCGAAGTCGCAGAAAAACGAGGGAGCTAAAGATTTCTTGACCGTTTCTTCCTCTCGACACCAACCTCCCCTTCGATACACCACCACCCCTTTTTTACTGTCCACATACACGGACAGACAACCTACAAGACCAACGAAGGTCGCAATCAATACAACATACACACCACCTACACCAGACAACATGTCGCTCACGCCTATGGCCATGTTCGGCATGGAGGTGCCAGCGGGAGATGTTGCCATCGCAGCAAGACCCGATATCCCTTCGGCCTTCCGTATCACGATGGCCGCGATCGACCCAAGCGCTGAGCCTGAGGGCGAGGAGGGTGCGATTCCTCGCGCCACCCTCAAAGTCATCCGTCAAACCATGTTCGATGAATCGGACGACGAATCGGACGATGGCTTCGACACCGAGGAGATGGAGCGCATCTTGGCGGAGGAGGCTAGCGACGAGAGCAGCGACGACGAGGAGGTGAATGGCGGTCCCAGCGACCCATCGAAGAGCAAGGCGGCCAAGCGCGCTGCTGCCGAGAAGAAGATCAAGAAGCTGCTTGCGCAGGATGGCATGGATGTTGACGATGAGTCTGATGATGACGAGATGCCTAATGGCGTCAACGGGGTCGCAAAGTCGGCGAAGTCGAAGGGTAAGATGCCCGCCAGCGACTCGGATGAGGATGAGGGGGACGATACCGACATGGACGGTGAGGAGGAATTTGAGGAGCTTGTGCTCTGCACGCTCGACACAAGCAAGGTATGTGGCATTTGAATTATCTATATACACAGCCACTAACAGTATGCGCAGCTCTACCAGCAGCCACTCGACATCACGATCGGCGAGGACGAGCACGTGTGGTTCAAGGTCACCGGCACGCACACCATCTACCTTACTGGCAACTACGTCGAGCCAGCGGGTGACGCCAATCGCATGTACGATCCTGACAGCGATGACGAGGGAGACTACGACCTCGAGCCAGACGAGGATGAGGTCGACGACGAGGATCTCGAGGAGGTCGATGAGCTTGATGACATGGACGACCCGCGCATCACTGAGCTGGGCGAAGAGGAAGACGAGGCGCCGGCGCTCATCGAGGCGAAGCCAAAGACAGAGGCTAAGGCCGCGAAGTCCAACAAGAACAAGCGCCCAGCACCTGATTCTGCGGACGAAGATGAGGCTGGCGCTGGTGCCGAAGGTCTTGACGAGATGATCGCGAAGGAGGCCGCCGCTGCAAATCAGCCCACGGTCAATGGCGAGCCGAAGCTCAGCAAGAAGCAGCTGAAGAAGCTCAAGAAGAACGACGGTGCCGCAGCCGCTGCTCCGGCTGCCGCAAAGGTCGACGAGAAGATCACTGAACCGCCATCATCCCAGAAGTCCGACAAGAAGGTTCAGTTCGCGAAAGAGCTTGAGCAAGGCCCAACTCCAACCAAGGCTCCGGAGAAGACAAAGTCTGCGACATCAACCGGTGTTAAGACCGTCCAAGGTGTCACAATCGACGACAAGAAGGCCGGTACTGGTCAGGCGGCCAAGAGCGGCGACCGCATCAGCATGCGCTATATCGGCAAGCTGAAGGAGGGCGGCAAGGTGTTCGACTCGAACAAGAAGGGCAAGCCATTTAACTTCAAGTTGGGCTCGGGCGAGGTCATCAAGGGCTGGGACATTGGCGTGAAGGGTATGCAAGTCGGCGGCGAGAGGCGCATCACCATCCCGGCACACCTCGCCTACGGCAGCAAGAACATGGGCGACATTCCGGCGAACTCGGCGCTCGTCTTCGACATCAAGATGTTGGAGATCAAGTAGCTGGACGCTACGATGCCGCATCCGCCCTGGCCACTTGATTCCGCGCTCGTCAAAGTTCGACTAACGACTACCACCCGACTGAACACAACCTCAATCACCACTCGACTGCTTCTCTGCCGCGTTCACCATGTACTATTCTGGCTGCTCTGCTCTGCTCCGCGCCGCCACGAAACTCTACTCCCAGACCCCAAGTGCTGGAGGGAAGGACGAGATTCGCCCGGCTGCTGTGGTGTGTTTCATTATGCTGTTACTGTACTTCTCAGCGCCTTGCTCAGCTATACGGATACCCGACTTGCATGTTTGCATATTGCAGGGAGGATGGGTGCCCTGATGGCGTTGCTATTGTTGTTTTCTGTTGCTAAAAGTTTGCGTGGGCATGGCGTTGCGGTTGCTTTTGCGGTGGGAGGGGTGAGGGTGCAAGTAGTTGTCGAACTCATGTCTATACCTTACTGCTGTGGCATCATCCTCTTCTCCGTCACATGTTCATCAGGAGGTAAGGCAAATACAGAGTCTTAGAGTAGGATTATGTCATTAGCACGTGACTAGCTCGGACTTCACGACAGTCTCTCACTGGACTTCTGAAGCGGACTTTAACGTCACCCTTCATGACATACCACGAATTCGGGTTGCCGGCAGCACAGTACTACGTGCCAACGTACAAGTATCCGTTAAGGCCGTGAAGCAAACAGCTCTCAGCCGCGTCCGGTGAAGTGCAAGCAGCTGTGCCTCGCCAATGAGTCGCCTTTCCAGCCTCACTCAAGTACCTGTACGCAGGGCTGATAGTTGAACGGTATTGCATTGTGCCACCTTTCCTTCGTTCCCGGCTACACGCCATACCCTACCTTTATGCGTTATTGACTAGAGAGTTCAGGGTCTGCACCAGGTGAGAGCATTCACTGCACACCCGACGGTGAGCTTCAAATATGGATTACCCGCCCTACTCCTATCCCTCTCGGGGCGGTCGTCCACCAGTCAATCGCACGGATCGCTCTTGGACTCAGGGCGGCGTTGAGTATAACGAGGAAACTACAAGCTACGCGAGCCCCGGTTTCGTTTTCGAGATGAGCAGCACGACTTCACACGGCGGTGGGAGGAGTCGAAGAAGTGAAGGGCCGAGTTTGTTCGGGGCGGCGGTGGGGTTGTTGGGGGATGTGTTTGCTGCGAGGCAGGCTGCGCAGCAGGACAGGGGTGGAAGAGGAGGTAGGAGGGATGGGGAGGATATGGCGTATGGAGGCGGGGTGCACGAGGAGGGGAGTTCAAGGAGGAAGTCGAGAGGGATTCTGGGGAGTATGGCGGAGAAGCTGCTTAATGGACAGCAAGGACGGCAGAGTGAGCGGAGGGGCCAGCGCGGAAGAGAGCGAGAGGCGAGCAGGGCGAGAGGATACGGAAGATCGCGAATGGATCGGAGGGAAGAACGGAGGGACTCGCATACGAGCCGTAAGAGTGCGTACACCGACGAGACTTCGGACGAGGAAAGCAATGAGTACGATTCAGACGACTCCGATCTACCGCGCCGACGACAGCCGAGGAGAGCGTTCACGGCGGACGATGCATCGTTGATCCAAGAACTCGAGGACAACGTGGAGCGCCATCGACGGGAAATGAAGAGGTGTCAGAAGCAGCTTGACGCGGCTTCGAGAGCGCCATATGTGAGATCGTCGGTGGTACGCGGGTTGGAGAACGAGATGAGGATCCACGAGAGCGCGCATCTGGATGCTGTTGACAATTTGAGGAGGGCGAAGGAGGGCGCTAGGAACAAGTGGACCAGGCAGAGGACGAGCGATCACCCTAGAAGGAGGGAAGGGCCATCAAGAGAAAGCTCTTTTGAAACTTACGTGGACGATGACTTCGAGCACTTCGCCCAGCCACGCCGCAACACGTCGGCCTCGTATGTCCGCGTGGACGGGTTCGACCCGTTCGGCTACCCCTTTGCGGCATTCGAAAACATATTCCACGGCTTGGGCGGCGGCTTCTCACGCACGCACCCGCTGCATGAAGCCTTCTTCGGCATGCCGCATGCCTCCTCCACCTTCGGCCCAGAACCCAACACTCGCCCTCGCGCTTCCAGAAACACGCGCCAGCACTCCTACCCCTTCTCCAGCTTCCACCAACATCCCCCTCCACCAGCCCCACCATCGACCCTCCTAACGCCAGAGGAAGCCAAACGCCTCTTCAAACCCTACAACGACCGATGGCTGTCCCTCTCACCCACTGACCCCAACATCCCCTACCCCACCCGCACCCTGTCCCCCTCCGCCCTCGCCTCCCGCTCAACCCTCTACGCCCAGAACCTCTCCTCGCCAATCTCCACCTGGTCCGACGAACTAGTCATGCAAGCGAACACGCAAGCCTTCTTCCTCGGCGCCGCAGGCTTGGCACCTTCGTACACTGACTCTGGACCCACTGGACAAGTGGTGCTTGGGTTTGATCGCAAGACAGCTGGAGCGGAGCGGGTGAGGCAGTTGATTGAGATGCTGAAGAAGGAGAAAGGGAGGTGGCACTCTGATCGTTTGGGGAGGAGGAATGGAGGGGGGCAGGGGGCTAATGAGGGGTTGGCGGGGGATGCGAGGGCGAGGGCGGTGTTTCATGGGGTTTGTGAGTTGATGACTTTTGCTCTGGGTGGATGATTGGGATTTGAGGTTGGGCATTACGACATGGGACTTGGGTTGGCTGCTTTTGGGTGGCCTCCATTCTTCTCCGCTCTGCGAAGTCCAATCACGATTTTTCTGCAGCTCGATGCTACTTGCCCACCAATTTCTTTCTCGGAGAACAAGGACTGCACCTTCTCCAACTGGCACTCGAGGGTATGGCGACTTCCGGGTCGTGACCTCCAGCGACTGCTCCTCCCTGGTGGTCTCCTGTGCTTGCCACCAGCCCGAGAGACAGGCGGTTGTAACATCTTCTCCGTCGTCTGACCTCCTCTCACGCAGTCTCACAGCGACATCTCATACTCTACCCTGTTGGCCTTCCGGAGAACACTGCATTACCATACCAACACCGAGAATCCTTCCATCGCTATCACCACCGCCTCCTCGAACACCGCCGCATCTCCGAATAGCATGCACAACATGATCACCACTTGGATCCTGGATCGTGCCATTAACCGCGTCTTGCTACCGGAGAATTCGAACCTCCCAGCACAGCAAGCAGGCTGCCGCATTTGCCATCAGCTCGTGGTGGGGCCTGTGAGGACGCCGTGCGGGTGTCTCTTCTGCAACAGGTGCGTCCATTGTCTCCTCACGACTGAGAGCGTACTGACGAATCCTAGCTGTGTTCGAGAACATCTGAAACGACAAGCTCGCTGCCCTCAGCATGTTAGGAACCTGCTCTGGCCTGGACTGGAGGCTGCAGTACACGCAACAGCCTGGATCGGCCAGCTGCATTTGTACGAGTTCTTGACCTTCGGTGGCATATCGTACATTTTGAGCACGTACTGGCCAGATTCGCTCTGGACGTGGCGATGCTTACTGCTCTACGGTATCCGGCTGTACATTCCAGGATTATGGCTGTTCTGCGTCCTCGTCGCCATCGACGTAGTCGCTGCAGTTGAGGCTAGGGGATGGGTACAAGAGGCCTGGATCATTGCTGAGCGTGGCCGGACGGCTCGCCCCTGGGCTCTGGCTGGGCTTCTGGGCTTGAACAACATAATGTTGGGGGTCGCTGCCGGGTTGTGGACAAAGATGAGGTACGAGGCGGGGAGCGCCATGATCGCGGCCTTTTCCATCCAATACTTCTTCGGCGAGCTGCTGGCAAATTCCGCCAGGCAATAGCAGTGAGGTGTTTGGGCGTGCTGGGTTGGTGAAGAAGGAATTGGTGGAGTGGAATTCATCTCGAGGTCGCTTGACATGGGATTTGGGGACAGTGGACGGGGCAGTGACACATTCTCTTTCATGGTCTTGGGGAAGGCCGTAACTTTAGTCTTTTCGCTATTGCTCTGCGTTTGGTGGGAACTTGTAACTATCAATCAAACATTGTCCATTCGCCATGCACCACACTCTACGGGGCTGTCTTCACACTGAACCAGCTTCATGCGGGCAGCCATGTATGACCGTGGTAGATGATTCAATATCGTCCAATTGACAACGCTCGTTACACTCGCTAGCCTCGTTGTCTCGAGCAAATCCGCAACCTCACTTCACATGTCGAACCTTCCCAAGGCACCCACCCACCTTCTTCCTCCAGCCTGATACTTCTTTCCACAGAACACACCGGAATCGAAGAAGGCAGCCTCGAGGTTCGATCCTCGTCTCCGCGAACAGCATCACCAAACGACATCTTCTCTCTATCCCCATGACACTTTCGCTTCGAAAAGACACATCCTTACGCTTGTGAACATCAGCACAGCCGGACGGTCTGCAGGCACGCACCAACACGAGGTGAAAATGGCGAGATCAATATCGACATCCCAGGTCACTCCGCCTCCTCACCCACCGCCAGGCCGCCCAGGAAGGAGAAGCAGCCACCAAGTCTCATCCTCGGGCTCAGTCACTCGTACTGCAGGTAAGCAGCCTACTCTACGACCGATGTCTAGTAGCACGCCACCATCCTCGCCAGACGAGAAAAAGCAGACCGAAGAACCCACCAGGCCACCAGCTAAGCGCAGAAAGTTTGCCGCATCCGGACCGCCTTCCCGCCATGTCATGAGGACCCGCTCCAGAGTTAAGATCTTCCCGATCATGGACCTCCCGCCCGAACTGCGCAACAACATCTACCGCCACGTCTTCAGCGACTCCATCCCCGAGCCCATCAAGCTCAAGGCCATCCGTCTCCCGCCCCTCCTGTCCGTCAGCAACATCATCCGCGTCGAAGCGCTCTCCGTCTTCTTCTACGAAGAAACCTTCACCACCACCGTCCGCTCCAACTGGTGCATCCGCTCCCGCCACTACCACTCCCCGCTCTACCACCGCTACGTAGAATGCGGCAACGTCGAGCTCCACCCCCTGCTCTGCAGCGGCCAGCACATACTCCCCAAGCGCGCCATCCGGTTCCGCAAGCTGGAGTTCCGCGTCACCTGCGTCTGCTGCGACCCGGGCATCACGATAGGAGTAGTGGATCTCGAGGTCGTGGGCCGGACGCCGACGTGGAAGCTGACGATGTTGAATACGAAGCAAGCGGAGGCGAAGCTGGCGTTGGAGGGGATGTGTGTGGAGGTAAAGGAGTTGGTGGAGGATGTGGCGACGAGGAGGCGGTTTAATGGGTTTACGGTGCAGGACGTGGTGGATGTTGGGGACTGCTTTCGGGATGATGGGGCGTGAGTCTTCATCCGCGGTGGCGGGTAGAGCGTTTGAAGGCTCCTCGGCGAGCGTGGTAAATTTGTTTGGCGGTTCCGGGCTATCGGCGTGTATTGGAAGGGCGAGACGATGAAGTGTGGGATCAGCCGTTGGCGTCTAAGGAGTAGAAGACTTCCCCCTTCATCAGTACCCTCGCTGTCCGATGCAGCAAGGCACTTTCAATATCACCATCCTTCATCTCACTACCAACTTCCAGCTTTCCACCGGCGTGAGCAATGACCACAGAGCCCTTTCCTTCCGCACCAACGGCAGTCATAGCAGGCAGCGTACCAGGCATCCGACACGCAGCACCGAGATTCAACGCCAGCGTTAACGGCACCGCCTTGTGCGCTTGCTGCATCGACAGCGCGCGACAAATGATATTGACTCCTTCAACATTAGCTCCAGGCTTCGAGATCAGAACAACCTTCGGCACACTCTGTACATCCGGATCCATTCCCATCATCGCCGCGCCTGCTCTTCGGATCTCTTCTAGTCGCCCCATCACAGCAGCATCAGCTCCAAGCGCATCAGACGAGACATCTCCCGGAACGCCAACATCGGAAGCCAGCACAAAGACACCAGGGTTTGCCACATCTACCAAACTCGCTCTAATCGTCGTCCCATCCTGCAGTTTAAGCTCATCGAGTGAGTTGCCAGTAGGTAACGCTTTTCCCGTCTTTGCACCCGCTGGATCTAGGAAGGAGAGAGTGATACCTGAAGCTGAGCCTGGGACGCCGTCGATGCTGTACTCGCCGGCTGGGTTGTAGGACTGGTTTTCGGGGTTGATGGAGAAGGTGCTGTGGACGAGTTTGTTGGTGTTGGTGTTGAAGAGGCGGACTGTGGTTTCGTTCTTCTTGATTGTTGTGAGTTTGGTGAGGCCGTCGTCGTATGCTACTGGACCTGTTGAGGAAGTGCACTTGGTCAGTAGATTGCCACACAACATGATACCACAACCAGACGAGGAGAGATGTAGGTACACCCTCATATCTACGAAGGCATCGAGGTCTTGCGTTGAGTTCAACGAAAATACTGATACAGTACATACCTACAGCACTACTCATATTCCCGCAATTCCCCGCCATATCAAGACTCCCATCCTTAATCCCCACCTGCACAAACGTGTAATCCAAATCAGCATCCTTCCGCTCTGACTTCGAAATCACGCAGATCTTCGACGTGGACGAGATTCCTGAACCCATGCCGTTTAGCTGTCGACCGAAAGGGTCGGGGGAGCCCATTGCGCTGGAGAGAATGGGCTGCCATTGTGACTCGTCCTTGGGGAGGGCAGAGCGGTGGATGATGAGGCCGTTGGAGGTTCCGCCGCGAACGAAGGTTGCTGGGAAGGAGTTTGTCATGGCTTTGGGCGTCGTTGAGAGCGTTGCAAAAGATTTCATATGGCCTGGATTCCGGAGTTGTGGTGCTCTCAATGTAGCAATGGCTGGGAGCTTTCGGCAGACCATGTCCACTACGCGAGCGGTCAATCTGGCACGACGTTCTTCATTCTATGTCTTCCCGCGGCGGGCGACTAAGTGAAATATCGTTGATGTGGTGTAGAGGTATAGGAGGTGAGGTATGGGCGCGAGTCACCGAACCGAGCTTACCCCACATTGGAAGGAATGAAGTGAATGTCAACCTCGTCTGTCGTCATTCCACTATTCATTAGGAGATAAAGGTCAATGCTATTCCATGAGGTCCGGCTCACCAACAGTATACTAAAGTCAACACGCCCATCGATCAGTCGACGTCTTCGCTTCAGCATCAAGAACACTACGTCGAACACTCAACACCGAACCATGTCCTCCTCAACCCCCGCCTTCCCACCCTCCGAAATCCGCGAGATCGTGGAACAAGTAACAACCCTCCTAAAAGACCGCAACGAAACCGTCAGCATAGCCGAAACAGCAACCGGCGGCCTGATCAGCTCCTCCATCCTCAGCACCCCTGGCGCAAGCAAAATCTACAAGGGCGGCTTGACCCTCTACACCTTACCCTCCCGCATCGCGTACGCTGGCTGGACACAGCAGACGATCGAAGGCTATAAGGGTCCTACCACCGATATCGTCTCGGGTCTAGCGAAGCACGTCAGGAAAGATCTAGAGAGCACGTATACGTTATCGGAGAGCGGGACTGCTGGGCCTACGGGCGGGCAGACGCCGAATAGGCAGCCGGGGTATGTTGCTTTGGCGGTAGATTGTGAGAGGGGGACGTTTACGAAGGAGTTGAATACGGAGTTGGGGACGGATCGGGTGGCGAATATGGTGAGGTTTGCCGTGGAGGCGTTTACGCTGTTGAAGGAGGTTATTGAGGGGAGGGCGAAGTTATAGTTTTCTGTAATGTTTCAGTTATCGTTAGGAGCCTCTTCTCGGAGAGGCGATCTCCTCATATCGAGCCGGTAATGGCCTCAAAAACCAGTCCCGCCCCAGGAGAAGCGCAACCAGGCCACCCAACCCCTTCTATACCACCGAAACGACTCTCCCACCTGTGCACTCAGAACCGACCCCTCTCCATCCTCCTCTGCTGCCGAGCGGAGAGGATGTACCCCATCCCACTCTCCCTCTTCTTCTGCGTCACACTCAACTCCACCACCGCCTCACCCACTCTCGGAACCACCCGCACCGAGTTCGTCAGCGCCCCAATCTCCTCCTTCGTCAGCCGGATGAACCCCTGCAGCTGCACCACCTTCGCGTTTAGGAACGCCGTCAGCGGGGCCGACAGGTGCTGAAGGTCCGCGACGTAGCCGGTGTAGTCGATCCCGGGAAAGGGGGCCGGGATCTGAATGTCGACGGCCACGCGCCGGGCGTTCCCGGGGAAGGGGAGTTCCCGCAGGCGAACACAGAGGTTGAGGAGGCGCTGCGGGGAGGTGCGGGGGTCGAGACGGTGGTTGCGGCAGCGCACGACCACGTCCAGGTTGTTGATGCGGACGATGGGGAGTGGCCGAGGCTGAACACACAGAAGAAAAGGATGGCGGAGAGCTTAGGGTTCCCGCAGCGAGGAGGGTTAGCAGACGTCTCCGAAATCGAGACGAGCTGAGAAGGCTTTGAAGCGCTGTTCAGTGCTTGATGCTGCCTCGGAGAAGCTTTACCCCGAGCAAGGCTTCGACAGCGAATGGAATGTATTTAGTCCAGAAGTGGTGAATAGATTTGATTTAACACACATTGGGAAAGCTATCTTCTTAGGGCGTCAGCTGGGTCGGAGGCAGAAGGTAGACTCGAGTTCGCTCCGACTTACCTGTACTATTCAGCATCCAATGGACACACCGGCGCCGTATCGTCAACTTGAATACCACCTCGCTTGCGGTTGTTGCTATCATGGAAAGGCGTCTTCCACCCTCCCTCATTCTCCGGCGTAGCCAGCCACAGCCTCATAAGATGCCTCCGCACCCGCTCATGGCCCTCCTCATCGACCGAGCCAGGCGGGTAGTCCTTATACGCCGTCCTGGCGTGGTACACCTGCATATTGCACAAAAGCTGGATGTCACCGGGATCCAGGATCATATGGAGCGCCAGCCTCTGGCAGGTATCGTCAAGGATCTTCAACGCTCGCTTCTGCGCATCAGACAACGGAGGGATCTTTGCATCCGGACCTTCGCTGAACCGGGCGAGAGAGGTAACGTTCATGGGGTCGAATTTGGACCAGACGCGAGGGTTGCCTTCTGGGTCATGCTCCATGAAGAAGATGTTGGACCGATACCAGGGATCTTGACCTTGGCCGACCTCGCCTTTGCGGTCGAAATACCAGCAGGGCGTGCACATGAGCTCGGCAACGTCTGGGTTCTCTCGCTGTAATGTGTTCCAGACGTTGTGGGTAGAGGCGATATCTGATTCGCCTCCCTCCAGTGCCTTGGCTATGCAGAGCAGGCCTACGAGATCTGTGCCGTCGGTGTGGAAGTATTGCCTGGGCTAGGTCAGCTGGTGTAGTCGTTTGGGACAAAAGAGGCATACTTCGCATTAGTCCTGTATATGCGGACCTTGTCAGGTCGAGAGGCGTCCTCTCCAAGGTCCTTAACATGGCCCAAGACGTGGCCACGGCCGTTCTGGCTAACAAAGTACCCAAAGAAGGACCCGAGGCCCATATATGCTACCTGTTTGACATACGGTCAGACACGAAGACCACATAAGATGAGAGCACTCACAGCACACTTGTGTAAGCCCCATTCCCGCACGGGAATGCCCTTGAACAAAATGAAACCTTTGCCATTCAGGAGCTCGTTCTTCACAGCTCCAAAGAACGACTCCAGCTTCGGTAGAGGAAACAGATCCTTCTTCATACCAGTCAAAGGGTGGCCAGCGGCGATGTAGTCGTCCGAGGCCTTGCTAAGCTCGGCAATCTCCTCATCGCTGAAGACATGCGTCCAGCGCTCACGGTTGTTCTTGTAGTCATCCGCTTGCCATACAGTCGGGCCAGTGATCTCCTTTGGGAAGTCAGAGTATGGGCGTATCCTCTCGTAGATGGGGCCGTGCTGTCCGGAAGTCTTGAGGCCGTCCGGGAAGATGGCCTTGCTGACGTTCTGCTGTCCTTGCTGGAGCGCGTGAGGCGGGGTTGGCGCCATCTCGGTCAATGCTGGCGCCATCGCGGATGTCTTTGGCGGATGTTGGTGGTTGGGGGGTTGTTGTGCTTCCAGCGAGTGCTCAATTGATTCCCCTGCTCGGTCCGGCGTTATGCCTCCTGTGACGATGGAACTTCGAGAACTTTTATAACGATGAAGTAGTGCTCGCGGACAGTAGGGCGGCATCGGTCGTCGTTTCCGCGGTGGAGAACTGTCCGCCGAGCTGTGGCACTCCCGGGCTTCTTCTTCGCTCCATCGCTTCTCTCCTTCCTTCCTTCACGGCTCATCGGCTAGTCTTCACAGCAGCATGAGCGACAACTCGACAGGCCACAAGGGCAGCAGGTATGTCCAATCTATGCTGGCTGATGAACTTCCGCGAGGCCAGATGAAGCGTGATGGAGACGCTCGCCACTTTGATGAGAGTGTCGTGCGTTTGCTGATCACCACGACATAGATCGAAATCTGGATGCCAGACGTGTAGGGCTCGAAAGGTCCGCTGCGATGAGCGCGCCGGGACTTGTATGAATTGTGAAAGACTCGGGCTGTCCTGTACGGGTTCAGCGTCGGACTCAGGCCAGCCAGATGTAAGGGATACCGGCAGCACCTCTCCAACAGCAGCAGGCGTCAAGCGGAAGCGCACGTTTAGGTCATGTACCGAGTGCAGGGCCACCAAGACCAGATGTTCTGGTGACAAGCCGGCTTGTATGAGGTAGGTGATTTGCTCCACGAAAAGATGCGAAGAAACGCTACGTGTTGAGACGCTTTCAACCGAGTCAGCAGTTGAAAATGCCGGCTGACCAAAAGCTCTAGGTGCGAGAAAAAGTCATTGAATTGCAGCTGGAACGACTCAACAGAGCCGGTTTGGCAGCAACAGCTGAAGTTGACAGCTGCTTTACAAGCATCCGCGAACGACCATATCGACAATGCCTCTCCTGAGCTCGGGCAATATAACCACGGGCCTTCACAGACGGATTCCACTTCTTTTGGTCATCGAGAAGCAAGTGGTGAATTTCAACAGTCCGCCCTTTCAGGCAACCAGAGCTGGGGATTTGGGTCACCAAATTTACCCGATAGTGAGAAGGTCCGGATACTGGTAGAGTACTATTTTGGCAACGTCCATCCTCTAAGATGCTTCGGATTCCTTCACAAGCCTTCTTTCATGCAACGTCTCGATGCAGAGAGTGGCCGTGGTCGAGACGATGATGCATTACTCCATATTGTCTGTGCCCTCGGTGCTCTGTTCTTTGCTGCAGAACATCGGGAAGCCAGAGACACACCTGACAGTACCCGTAAAGCTGGCATGCAGTGGGCGAAACGTGCTCAGCAGTTGGTCCTTGGCCAGCTCGGCAACATTGTGGTTGAAAACCTCATGACTGCTTTACTACTACAGGACTATCATCTCCGTCTCAGCAACTTTGGCGATGCATTTATGCTGTCCGGTATAACAGCTCGCATGCAGCAGGCTCTCCAAATCAACCTCGAGCACTCGACAGACATACTTTGCGAGACTGGCTCAGGTCCAAGTGCCAGCACGAAGGAGTCTCGACGGCGTCTCATGTGGTGCTGCTACATCACCGATTCTCTCATTGGCAATGGTGTCGACCAGCTCACTCTGATCAAAGAACCCGACATCAAAGTCCAATTACCATGTTGCGAACGCAATTTCCTCCTACAAGACGCATGCATCACCGAGACGCTAGATAAAGGGCAGTTCTTGAAGTTCTTGGGGCCAGAGCGTTTGCCGACTCATTCGTCTGACAATATCGGAATCAGAGGTCATTTCATTCGCTTTACCGCGGTTAGAAGGAAGGTGCTCAAGTAAGTGAAACATGACTGTCTCTGGACGCGCAGCCACTGACACCTGCTAGGTACATCAAGCACCTCAACGTCATGAAGTCGCCATGGCTACCCGACTCGGAGTTCTCGCAAATAGTCCAGAGCGCCCATGATTGGTACAATTCTCTGCCAGCGAGTCTGCAGTTCACCCCGTCGGCCATGTACATTCGCAAAGAGACACAGCAGCTTGGTGCGCTCTGCTCGTTGCATTCGATGTATTATCAGACAATGTGCGATCTCTATCGGATATGTGCTCCATCGCTCTACAAACTACGGTACTCCTTCACGTATCCACCAGAACAGACTGGCTTCCTCCATGGCTTGCAGCGGGACCTTTTCAGCCATGCTCGCAATCTGGCCCTGATCTCAGCCGAAGCTTCGAGGCATGGCCCTCATGGACTTGCGGACTGCTGGTTCCCGACTGTGGTCTATGACTGCTGCCGTGTATTGCTATTCCATGCAACTCAGCTTGTCGAGCCAGCTGCGGAGAGAAGCAGGTTTCTGATGCTCGAGACATTGCCTCTGGTGCGGTCAAATGTCAAGGTATTAAGGACAATGGAGCCGATGTACGCGGTCTCCGAACTTCTCGCAAATGCTGCCGAAAAGATGCTGGAAAAGGTCGAAGTCGGCTCAGAAGCCATATCCTCCGGCCAGAGCATTATACCCGACGAGCCGTATCCGAATAACGACGTCGACGACACCGAACGTTCGGCGCCTGGCACGCCGGTACAGAGCGCTCCGGACTACGTCCTGAATCCATTGTCGATCTACAGGATGACCCGGAAGACCATAGCAGAGAAACACATGCCTGAAAGGCAGCCCAACGCTATCTCGCCAACGGCAGCAAGTCGCCCGACCCCGTCACGGCGAGCTACCCTCCAGCACATCTCCGCCAATCCTTCTATCACTAACGCCGCTCTGGATACTGTTGCACCGCCGGCTGCTCAGACTGGCACTTATGGTGCTGCGCAGAGTCAAGCTGCATTTGATGATCTGATGTCGCTGTTCGCTAGCGATCCGTCTGGCTGGACGTGGCAACCGTCGGACACTGCTATTGGATCTCAGTATGAGTCGAATGGGCTGCCGCCGTGGGAGCCGACGTATGTTGATCAGCAGCTTGATGCGTGGGTGCCGATGTTCTCGGGTCAGACTCAGCAGCAGTATGGGTTTCAGTGATCAACATACTCTTGAAACAGAATTGATCGACAAGTATGGCCGGACAAGATAGCCTTGTACTGAGACCACACGACTGGCGTCAACAGTCCCACGCTGTGGTACGCGTTCGGTCTTTACATACTGACGATCTATTGCACCCTGTCGTACGATTACAACAAGCTCTCCTTACACTGAAAGAAATACATCGTTGCTGCATTGAATGATGTTGATTCCACGGAAGCTCACCACATCTGCTACATCTGATCCTGAGGAATTAGAGTACACGTCAGATGAGCTATGTTTGAGCAACGCCCCGGCTGATCAGCGAGCACGCAATCACGCTTCGTTGAGCTCGCCGAGCATCAGGCGTCCCTTACCAGACTCCCGAGACCCACGACATAGAAGCAGTCCGTGGTATCGGGAACAACTGTTCTCATTTCCACAGAAGCATCATTAACAGGTTGCCATCCGTGAGAGGACCAATCTCCTGGGATTACCGTCGCCCCGTCGCCGACGGCCAACCGAGCCACGTTCATCACCTGACTCAAGCAAATCAGTCAAACGCTCGGGCCTCCTATCTCCTGCTCACAGGTCGCCGACTGTCTCGGGGATCTGTGTCGTAGCAGCGAGATAAGGTGACAACAGTCCCCCTCCAGTCCGAACACGTACCGCACTACACCTCCATCTCCTCTATACTGCTTGGAATGATCAAGTCAAAATGCCTCCAACACTCCGACCGATCGTGAACTTGCTGCAAGCCGGAGGCGTCGAAGGTCCACAATTCAGCCGTGCTGTGATTGGCCCTGCGCGGGGACGCCTTGCTGCCTTCTTCCAGACTGATGCGAGGAGCCCGAGAGTGAAGAGATGGCAGGAGTTGCAGCAGCAGGATTCGGGCACACGAGGCTTTCATAGTACTGTCCGGGCTAAGAAGCCTTTCCCTCCGCCTCCACCAACGCCGTCGTCGAGAGCGAAGACTAGCAATGCTGCGCCGTTGCTTGGGGTGTTGTTTGGAGCTTCGGCTTTGGCTGTGATTGGAACGTCGTTTATACCACACAAGGACGTCCATGTTGAGGACGATTCTCTCGAAACGGATGACCACGTGAGCATCAATGATACTGAAGGTGAGTCCAGTCAATAGTGTGATCAGATCCAGAACCAAAGCTAATAACCACCAGACACCCGCAAAATCCGCCTCTCTGAAGTCCCAAAGCACAATCGCGATGCGGACAGAAAGTGGATCATTCGAGAGAACGCCGTCTACGACATCACCGACTTCATCGAACAGCACCCAGGCGGCGAAGTAATCCTCCGTGCCTGCGGTGGCAGCGTCGACCCGTACTGGAAGATCTTCTCGATACACAATAAACAGCAAGTCTACGACATCCTGAACGAATACCAGATCGGTGAAATCGACGAGCGAGACCTCGACGATGCCGGCCACGTCGACTGGACCGTCCTCGGCGACGAAGCAAAGAACCACATCGTCGACGATCCATTCATGCACGACCCCGAACGAGACTCCAACCTCGTCTTCCGGACCGAAAAGCCCTGCAATGCCGAAACACCTGGCAGCATGCTCACCGACTTCCTGACCCCTCTCAAGCTCTTCTTTGTCCGCAACCACCTCTGGGTCCCACAAATGCACGAATCGCCCCATTCCGTCACCATCGAGCTCTCCGACGGCGAAGAGAAAACCTACTCCCTCGCGGACCTCAAAGCCAAGTTCAGAGAACACACCATCACCGTCACCCTCCAATGCTCCGGCAACCGCCGCGCACACATGAGCAAAGCCGCGCTCGGCCCGACGTCAGGCCTTCAATGGGACATCGGCGCTATCGGCACGGCTGAGTTCTCTGGCGTCAGACTTCGTGACGTGCTGAAAGACGCCGGATACTGCGTCGACGGCGACTGTCCCGCCCCATGTCAAGCCGAGACAGAAGAATGCGATAAGCACGTCCAGTTCATCTCGCCAGGCGATACTTACGCTGTCTCTATCCCCCTCCAAACAGCCGTGAACCCACAGGCCGACGTCCTGCTCGCCTGGGACATGAACGGCGAACCCATCAACCGCGACCACGGCGGGCCTCTTCGCGCCATCGTCCCCGGCACCACTGCCGCGCGAAGCGTGAAATGGTTGGGCAAAGTCAGCATCAGCAGCGACGAATCGCCTAGCCAATGGCAACAACGTGACTACAAGTGCTTCGGGCCGAATATGAAGCAGACGCAAGTCCGCGACGTGGACTGGGAGTGTGCACAGGCGATGCAGGAGACGCCTGTGCAGAGCGCGATCACGAATGTCGTCAAAGCTAATGGGGACAAGAAGACTACCGTGCAGGGCTTCGCGTACAGCGGTGGCGGGAGAGGGATTGTGCGAGTGGATGTGTCTGCCGATGGAGGCAAGACGTGGAAGCAGGCTAATTTGCACAAAGACCAGGCGAAGGGGTCGAGGAGGTGGGCGTGGACGATGTGGAGTATTGAGTGGCCGAAAGATGACCTCGTGCATGCGCAGCAGGCGGAGTTCGTGGTCAAGGCGGTGGATGATTCGTACAACACGCAGCCGGAGACGTTTGAGGGGACGTGGAACTTCCGGGGCCTTTGTGCGAATGCGTGGAATAGGATGACAGTTCCTGCTGAGGCGTTGTGAGAATGGCGGATGGTCTGATTTTGTGCATGCGTTCAAGCGGATGTGATACCGTGGCCCAATTTTAGCCTACAGACAGAAGATTGTATATCCTGAGAATGTTTAGCCTATTGCCATCCATCCGGAAATCTGCCATCCATTCTGCATTTTGTCACACTCCTCGTCAACACGGATACTGCTCGAAGTCCACCTGGAGAAGTTTTTCGAGCGCCGAACAAGCTTAGATTGCTTTTGTGCTATTGAGCATCAGATCTTCAGTTGCACAAGCGCTCAATTCCAGTGGTTCTGAGAGACAGTCGCAATGCTCTTCTCCGCGAGCCGAAGTACTCTCGTGCTGCTGTACTTCCACTCGCAGTGACCGGGTGTCCGATGATCACGACATCATGCACCAGCCCGATCACTGTAAAGGATGTCCTCGATCCACTTCCCCATCACCGACATATGCATGTCATACCAACAGCCTGCTGCTTCGATCGCTTCTTGTGCGGGCTTCCACTTGGCAAGATTGAGCGCGTGGTCCTCCGGGACGTTCGGGACCCAGCCCACTGTCTCCGTGCCATGTTCCACCTCCACTTTCTCCAGCGCAGGCAAATGCGGGCATTGCTTCAAGTGCCACCCCTTGAACAGAGTCTCGAGGAGACGGACTTCCTGTGGATCCGATCCAGTAAGCAGTCGCACACTTTCGATGCTTGGTGGTAACATCTCAGTAAGCTTAGGGACAGAAGCAACGTTCCATGCTGTGTATGTTGAGTGCGACCTGTACTCTACCGGCGTCATCCATCTCAGTTCCTCTGTCACTGGTGGGCCGAGGAGGAAGCGTGCGTCGATTTCCAAGTCCTCGAGGACAGTGAAGCTCTTGAAGGCGTGTAGTCCGCCTTTGGTGCCGCCGGAAAGCTGGTCGATGGTGAGAGATAGTTCCGTCAACGTCTTACCGCAGTGCTGCTGCAGGCTGTGCACGATGGCATTGACGTCCCAGCCACGATGCGCATTAGTGCGATTGTATGCCAGCTTGAAGATCTGGAGCTTCGGGGTATGCGGCAACAGCTTGTCCAATTCAGTACCACTGATGCAGCAGAAGGCGAGCTCGATTTTGCAGAGTTCTGAGGTCAGGTCAGGGTGACGCCAATTGAAGGGGACGTTCAGGTGCTCGTCCACAGCTGCTACGTAGCCCGCGCACAACACATGGTGCAACTTGGGTAAGACTAGAAACGCTTCCAGGTCCTGCAGAGCGATCCGATCATCATCGTGGCACCATGATTCTAGGGTCTCCAGTCTGCTCAGGGGACCAATTCTGGTCCTTGATGCTCTCGACGCTATGCTGCTCAGAAGCTTAGAAGCGGGTGCTGCCAGAGGGTTCAACCACTTCCTCGGTAGCACAAGCGTCGATACGTTCTCCAATAGGGATATGAGTATAACGCGCCAGCTGTGAGCCTGTCAGTGTGGTTGTGCCTTTGGGGAAGCCGTGGCACTCACTGCGATCAGTCAGCTTTGCTTTCGCAACCTGCGTCCTGTTCTGACCAGGTTCCTGGGAACAGTGACCTACCTGAATTAGATCTCCGAGCGATCTCGACAGCGAATTCGTTGGATGGGTAGAGAATGACGATACCCATATCTCGCGGATGTCCGGAGAGCTCGAGCTCGATACAAGCCGCTGTAGCGCCTGACCGTCTTCATGGAGCAGAAGGCAAAGCTCGTTCAGATCCTGAGCTACGATGTCGACCAGCTTACCTTTCGCACTCGTAGTAGCTGATTTGACGTAGCGAACAATCAGCGGCTCTTGGGCAACCTGACCGAGAAACTTCATCGAACCGTCTGCCTTCTGATTAAATACCGAACTGAAGTCGAGCTTGCTGAATGTCCGCTGGAGTGTGTTGTGTCTGTCGATGAGCTTTAATCCGGTGTTGTAGATGGTCTTGCAGCTGAGCATGAATGGTTCGTATTCGTCGGGCATTGTCTCCTGAATGATTTGCTCCAACAACTCGACAGGGAGGTTGAGTAGAGACATGTCTCTCGTCAACCAGAAGCAACTGGTGGGAGGTCTCGATGGTATACAGATTGGAGAGAGCCGATTGAGTGGATAGACGACGTCGAGACGGTCAACACCAACTGGAGACCACGAGCCTTGAAGAGATTGACATTGAGGTTGCTCGCCCGGTGCTTCTTCCCCGACAATGCTAGAAGCACATATGCCTAGCTTAGCTGTAATAGCACGAGTAACCTTGTGCAGTGCGAGAAAGTGTGCTCGAAGTAATACCGACGTGCTGTAAGTCCATCTGATGTCGCTATCCTCAGCCTTGGCAGCCCTTCGGCTTCCACCGGCCTTTCTTCCGCCCAACTTCGCGGCTCAACCAAAACGACTCGAGCACAAGCGCACAACCCAACACCACGCTCCCAAATCTACACCCTTCCCCTAAGTACAGGTATAGACGACCACGTTACGAAATCTCCTCGTAATGCCTTTTCCAGTCGAGACTGACCGCTCCAGGTCAGCTGCTGCCCTTCTTCCTTTTTTCATCCCACCATAAGCCGCTACATTCCTGAAGAGAGACATTCCTTGCTACTGCTGGCCGTTTGTCTGACCTCAAATGCACTCTACCACCGACGCTGTGATTCCTAACGGATCTGCTGGCAGTGGGATCAACGGCCACGACTCTTACGACATGGACGCCCCGACCATCCAGCCCAAGTTCCTGCCCAAGCGCAATGAGCTGGGTTTAGTCGCTGTTGGGTTCTCCGGCGGACAAGTACATCTCCCCACTTCCCACCCCTCACATGCCATACTGATGAAAAGCGCAGTGCAAACCCGGCGTCGACGCCGCTCCCATGGCCCTCATCGAATCCGGCCTCGTCAACCAACTCAAAGACGATCTCGAATACACCCTCCACTACGACAACCAAGTGCACGCCTACTCCGACCTGATGCCCGCCTCCGACCCTCCCCACCGCGGCATGAAGAACGCCAGCGCCGTCTCCGCTGTCACACAAAAGTTATCGAGCCAAGTCTACGAGCACGCCAAGCACGGCCGCTTCGTCCTCACCCTTGGCGGCGACCACTCGATCGCCATCGGCACCATCTCCGGCACGGCGAAGGCGATGCGCGAGCGGTTGGGACGGGACATGGCGGTCATCTGGGTGGATGCGCACGCGGACATCAACACGCCTGAGAGCAGCGATAGCGGGAACATCCACGGGATGCCGCTGGCGTTCCTCACCGGCCTGGCGACGGAGGAGGAGGACAAGCCGTTCGGATGGGTAAAGGAGGATCAGCGGGTGAGCGTGAAGAAACTCGTCTACATCGGGCTGCGCGACGTGGATCGCGGGGAGAAGAAGATTCTGCGGGAGAACGGGATCAAGGCGTTTAGTATGCACGACATCGACCGGCACGGCATAGGCAAAGTCATGGACATGGCTTTGGGGTGGATTGGGCGGGACACGCCGATCCATCTGTCCTTCGACATCGACGCGCTGGATCCGATGTGGGCTCCGAGTACCGGCACGGCGGTGCGAGGGGGGTTGACGTTGCGGGAGGGGGATTTCATCGCCGAGTGTGTGCATGAGACGGGGAGTCTGGTGGCGTTGGATCTGGTGGAGGTGAATCCGAGTCTGGAGGAGCAGGGGGCGGCGGAGACGGTGAGGGCCGGGGTGAGTATTGTGCGGTGTGCGTTGGGGGATACGCTGTTGTAGGGGCGGAGCGTGGGGAGGATGAGAGATGGTTGATGAGTTGAATAGAGATAGATGGGAAGAATGATGCCGCCAGGCTGCACAGCGTCATTTCTCCGAGGATTAAACGTTTAAGCATTGGAGGTCGTATGCGTGGCTTGACTGCTAAGACATCGATCTCGCAACGAGATGAGCTCATCCCGAATCTCATGTTGGCGTGAGTTCTGGTTCGGATATCTCGGTAGCACTTCTTTGAGATTGCGTTTTCTCGGGAGGCGTCGGCCGTGAACGCCTTCAATGAGGCTCATCAGGCTCGTGAGACCTGGTTCCTGACCCGCGGGGATGGGGTTGCGGGATGGGTTACAGGTGCGTTACTCGCGCTGTATGCCGTGAGACTGTGAGGATAGGATAGACCGAGCTCCTTACCTCGAAGCACCCACGGATGATAACGACGAGCAGCCTACAGTATGTCCGCCGAGACAAAACACAACACTGTCCACGAGCAGCTGGCGCCCGTTCGGATCAGTTCGTCACAATCTTGGAAGCAAATGTCTTGCATGCGCACTGACTCCAATGTTTCTCTTCGCGGCCGCTCGAAGCGCCACGGAGGTATAAATATCGACCGTTGCCTTGATGATGACGAGCGGATGCGACGATTTCGATCATGCGCGCTCACTGTTTGGGTCATGCTGTGAGCGGAAGTGGACTGAAGGGGCTGATGTCGGCTTCTCCAATAGCAGTCCAGACTGATGTGGTATATGCTTTATCGCGCAATATCCTCGCTGCAGCGTTTCGAAGTTAAGGTTGGCCCATTGCGGATGGACGCCTGGGCGCTCGCATCGCATCATCGCATCGCATCTCGGATGGAGGCGGAGACGGAGACGGCGACGGGGCGGCTAGAGGCAGGTACCAGCATCATCATCCTGGTGAGCGACATAAGCGACCACCACGGACGTTAGATAAGTCCTAGGCCTCAATCGGCAAATGTACAGATACTGCAAAGTGCTCAGCGCGAGGAATGAGGATTGAGTCGTTGAAACAGCAGCGGTTGCTGGTATAGCGAAGCGCGTAGATATCGGGTGAAGGACAATCAACATGACGGCGAGGGGGTGTAGATCATGCGTTCCTCGAGGGCAAGCGAGGATGATGTGTTGCCGGCATTGCGACAGATGTAGACGCCTTGACGCCCCCTATGATCAGTGCTTGGGCCGTGAGGAGGAGCTGGGACGCTGGGGAGGCTCTGGCGGCGCGAACGAACGATGCTGTACATATCCCACGCCATAGCCGCTTTGCGGAGGGGAGAGTTTCTTCTCCTGCTGTCGTTGTTTGTTGAGGTTCTACTGGATCAGACTTCAGACGAGCGACAGTATACTCTCATTGTGGAGAGCGGCCGCAGTGGTACCTTCTGCCATCAGAAGGCGTGTCCGGAAGTCTAATCGACAGCTCGAGCTCGGGCAGGCGCTTGTCCGCATCCGCCCTGACTCCCGTCGTCGCCCACCCTACCCTCCTCTATCTCTACTCTACTCTACTCCTGAGTCGACACACATTCCGCACCACCCACTCCCACCCCTCCACTCTCCGGCGGACCCTCGTATCGGCGCCCGCACGTAATACCATCCGGCACTTCATTGGAATGCATGCGCCCAGCCGAACCAACCAACGCGCATCCCGCCCGACGGCCTTCCCCCCGACCCAGGTTTCAGAAGGACATTGTCAAACTCGCCGCCCTCTAGGTTTCGCGCACCGAGACTGAGGCGACGACAACGACAGACCGAGAAGAGAAAGCGCAACGCGGGCAGAAAGATAGCAACAACAACGACACTTTGAAACCCCCCTCCCCCATCTCGCGCTCCTGAGCAACGAAGCGCGCCAGACAAAGGACACCCGTGCCGCATAGCTTCCCTTTGTGCATCATCCTGCGCCGGCGAAAAGCGAAATTGCGGCATTGGCATTTCTCGCATCAAAACCCTAAAAGAAGAGTATATTTACAACGCTGCGCCGGGCTGCAGGATGGCCACGACGCTCCTGCACACCCCCTCCCGCGCCTCCTCCAACGGCTCCTCCCACGTCCCCCTCACGCGGCAGAACACGATGAGCTCGCAGGACGGGACGCGCTCGATGCGCGCGTCGAAGCGGTATTCCGTGACGGCGCTGTATTTGTCGATGAATGCGAATCAGCGGGATTTGGAGATTGAGGATGATTTGGCTAGAGGTATGATTGGTTGTACAGGGTGTGTTGGTGGGATGGGATGCTGATGGTTCGCAGCTCAGAAAGCGCTTCGAGACTTGAAGGCTAGGATATCGTCGCAGTCGAAGAAGAACTTTGTGCTTGAGAAGGATGTGAGATATCTTGATTCGCGGATAGCGCTGCTGGTGCAGAATCGGATGGCTTTGGAAGAGGTGTGTTGAGAATGGCTGGGTTGTTTTTGATCATGGGATGAAAGCTAATAACAAAATAGAGAGACGAAGTCGCAAGCCACCTGGAAGATCCATCAGATCTCTCCGAAGGATCGTTCCCGAACGACGAGAAGACACAGAAGTACGGCAATCTGCTGTTCTTACTGCAAAGCGAACCGCGACACATTGCACATCTCTGCCGGCTGGTCACCATGGCCGAGATCGATCAGCTACTACAGACAGTCATGTTCACGATTTACGGCAATCAATACGAGAGCCGAGAAGAGCACTTGCTACTGACGATGTTCCAGGTATGCGATTGAGTATGAATGAGCAAGGAGAGGAAGCTGATGATATTGGCAGTCCGTCTTAACGTGGCAATTCGACAACACACCCGACTACTCTTCCCTACTCCGGGCAAACACCCCAGTATCACGAATGATGACCACCTACACGCGGCGAGGGCCCGGACAGAGCTACCTCAAGACCGTGCTTGCGGACCGGATCAACTCGCTGATCGAGATTAAGGACCTCGATCTGGAGATCAACCCTCTGAAGGTGTACGAAACCATGATCGATAAGATCGAATCAGGCGGCAAAGACCTTCCAGCAGGGCTCACGAAAGGCATCACGGCAGAACAAGCGGCGGCGAACGAGAACGTCCAGCGGATCATTGCACCACGGATAGACATGCTGATTGAGATTGCCAACTCATTCTTGGACACCATTATTGATGGACTGGAGGAAACACCGTACGGCATCCGATGGATATGCAAGCAGATCCGAAGTCTTACGAGGCGAAAATACCCAGATGCGCAGGAACAGACCATTTGCACACTCATTGGCGGCTTCTTCTTCCTGCGCTTCATCAACCCGGCCATTGTGACACCCCGGTCATATATGCTCATCGAGCAGACACCGTCAGAGAACCCGAAGCGGACATTGACCTATGTGGCGAAGATGCTGCAGAATCTTGCCAACAAGCCCAGCTATGCGAAGGAGCCATACATGGTCCGGCTTCAACCATTCATCCAGCAGAACAAGGAGCGCATCAACAAGTTTATGATGGATCTTTGTGAGGTGCAGGACTTCTATGAAACACTGGAGATGGACAACTACGTAGCGTTGTCGAAGCGGGACCTGGAGCTGTCAATCACGCTCAACGAAGTCTACTCTACCCACACCCTGCTTGAGAAGCACAACAAAGAACTCGCAAAGGACGAGAGCTCACATCTCAGCCAACTACTAACAGAACTCGGACCAGCGCCACCACAGCTACCGCGAAAGGAGAACCGGCAGATCAACCTCCCCCTCTTCAGCAAATGGGAGACCTCCCTCGACGACGTGACCTCCGCCCTGGACATCACGCAAGAAGAAGTCTACTTTATGGAAGCCAAAGCGACCTTCGTCATCATCATGCGCTCCCTCCCCGGCAACTCGGTCGTCACCCGGCGGCCACTCCGCCTCGACCGCGTCGCCGAAGCCGCCGCCACCACCAAAAACGACTCCGTCATGGTCCGCAAAGGCATCCGCGCGATGGAGCTCCTCAACCAGCTCCAAGAACTCGGCATCATCGACCGCGAAGACCACTTCGCCCTGCTCCGCGACGAAGTCGAGCAGGAGCTGGTCCACCTCGGGTCCCTCAAAGAGAAAGTTTTGGCAGAGACGGACAAGCTCGACGAAGTCTACCGCACGATCCGCGACCACAACACCTACCTCGTCGGGCAGCTGGAAACCTACAAATCCTACCTGCACAACGTGCGCGGGCAAAGCGAAGGCACGAACAAACGCGGCCAGAACACGAACAAAGTCCTCGGGCCGTACAAATTCACGCACCAAGAGCTCGAAAAACAAGGCGTGATTCAGAAATCCAACGTCCCCGAAAACCGACGCGCCAACATCTACTTCAACATCACCAGCCCGTCGCCGGGGACTTTTGTCATCAGTTTGCATTACAAAGGCAGGAATCGGGGTTTGCTGGAACTGGATTTGAAGCTGGACGATTTGCTCGAGATGCAGAAGGAGCAGCAGGAGGATTTGGATTTGGAGTATGTGCAGTTCAATGTTAGTAAAGTGTTGGGACTGTTGAATAAGCGGTTTGCGCGGAAGGGGCGGTGGTAAGGGGGGACGGGAACTGCGAGTGAGCAGGCTGAGGAAGAGGTGGGTTGAAGGGATGGAGAGGATGTACTTGTACGATTGGGACAGGGAAGGGAGTGCTTGGGCGTGACTTTTTGTGTGATTTTTTGAGATACCCGGGGGTCGGATCGTCGTCGGCGAGAGGACGAGGTGGAACTTGTAAGAATATGGTTGGGATGGGATTAGTTAGGAGACCTTGAAGAAGACTCGGGAGGGTTTGGCTTCTGCGACTTTGGGCGGATTGATTGATTGACGATTGGGATAGTTGTTTGGGATAGGATGTCTGGATTATCTTATGCGTATGTGGGATATGAAGAGTCAAGGGGTTACTGTGATGACGATGACTTCGAATCTTATTCCATCCCATCCCATCTATCTGTCTCAATCGTATGTCGTCGACGTGTCTTGTTGTCCGTAGATGGAGTCATTGCAGCCGACAAGGCCGATAAGGACCAGCCCAACCCCGCCCGATAACAATCGCAGATCGGACAAGGTTCCAGTCGTGTTCACCTCGAGGCTCCGGCAGCGGATCCCAGCCAACTGGTGCCTGCATGAGCTGGCAGCTGGCTGGCTGCAGTGGGGCGTCACATGCTGCGCTTCCGACTGGTAGAGCTCTCGAGAGAGGTGAGGCTGTCGAGTGTCGACTCATCCGGGCGGTATCAGTCACCGACTTGCTTTACGTGACCTGCCTGGCATCCGTTTCCTGCCGTTGTCCATAATACATCTCTCACGCCTTACTGTTGTATAACCACAAGCACTAAAACGATATACATCCAGCACGACAAGCAGCCTTACAGCACGAGCAGTACCACCACGCCGATAAGCACAGCATTAGCCTACCGTACCCTACAATGCCTCCATCCACCGCCTCCGTCCCCATCCCAGCCCGTCGGGACCCTGCGGCTGGTACGGCCGTGAGCTCCTACAGCTCGTCTTCTGGCTCGAGCTCGTGGTCCTCACCTCTTCACAACAACAGTCTGAGCTCGACGCCTGGGTCGGCGAAGGGGAAGGGGAAGGCGAAGGTGAGGGAGGGGGAGGTGGTTGCGGTGAGGAGGCCGAGTTTGCTTGGTGAGTTGGAATAACCTGGGGCAAGGGTTGGGGAAAGGGAGTGCTAACGCCGGTGGTTGGGGGACAGGGAGCGAGTTGTTGAAGAGCGAGTATACTGTCGTGAATCTTGCTGAGGGCGGTGGGGTGCCGCGCTTGGTATGCTCCTGTTTACGAGTACGGAAGCTGCTAAGACATGAGCTGACATCGACCAGGTGACCTGCGTAAAATCCTCCCAAGGCTTCGACTGGAATCAAGGTACGCTCTCCCTCCCCCCTTCCCTCCTCCCACTACATGCGCTAATGGTTGGTGTTGCAGAGCTCTTCCTCCCCTCCTACGCCGACTACGACGCCCAAGACCTCGAGCACAAGCAAGACCCCGTCGAAGACATCATCCTCACGGACGAGGAGGCAGAGGCGATGCTGCCGCAGTAAGACATAGAGTTGGCATATGATGCTTGATAGCGTTTCTGCAAGGTGCTTGGGTGACTCTTGGGATATATGGGCGATTTGGATGAGCTCACGCCGCTTGTTTTTGGGATTGGGATACAGATTGAATGGATGGTTGGGTACCTGGGCGCTTTGGTGGCGTTTAGATATGAATCATGAGATATGGTAGAGTAGGCATATGAGCATTGAACAGTTGAACCCAGCTCATGGCGGAGCCCAGAGCCCCTTCGTTGTGGTTCTAAATCTACGTACAGTCTGTTCGCCACCCGTCCAGCAGGCGACTTGAGTGATGTCGACGCCGCCTTTCCTCTCGCCACACACTTCCAGCCCGATCTTCAGGACGAAGTCGAGGAAGTCGTGTTCTTCTGAGCTCCATGCATCTGCTGGCGCGACATGGTTGAAGTTCGGCCAGCAGCGCTCTTGTACTAATTAGGCGCGAGCGCGAGGGAATGAAGCTTTTGGTGAGTCGTTTTCAGAGGCCGGAGGACGATCTGGAGTGCGATGCTCATCGAATGAGAAATCACAAGCGGCGACTGGCAAGAGAAACCACTCGTTGCGAAGATGGACTTCTGATATTCGGCTTCGAGCTTGGACCACCACGATAAGCGCGATAAGAGGTAAACACTCCCGCGCGATCAACACACCTCCACCACCACTCCTTGGACATCAAACCACCACAATGACGACCTCCATCTTCGACAACCCCTCCCACCTCCCCGGCGCCCGCGCCACCGAGTCCGCCCACCGCAAAATCGAGCTCCAATCCCCCGCCGACCTGACCTACCTCATCGCGAACCTGACGCGCGCCGCGCGCGAGAAAATCGACCGCCATTTACCCCCCGACGCGCTGCCGGAGGGCGAAGACGCGATGAGGAGGCGGGTCGAGGTGTTGGTGGATGAGTATATTCGGAATACTTTCGGGCTGGCCAAGGGGAGTATTGAGGTTAATGGGATGGGGGCGGAGGAGATGGAGGTGGGTGGGGAGGGGGAGGGTAGGTTCATGTGATGATTTGATGGTTTAGTGAGAGGTCGGCTGACGATTGAGCAGAGATTGAAGCGTTCGATACGAAGCTCGCGCAGAGGATACAGGCGCTGAATGCGCAGATTGAGAATCATACGCTTCAGCTGGCGAATTTGAGGAGGACGGCGCCGAAGGAGACGGCGGAGAAGTTTGAGGAGAGTTTTAAGAAGGCGTCGGAGCGGGATGATGAGCGGCTGGTGAAGGGCAGTGAAGCGTTGGTGGACGAGGCGAAGCAGGCAAAGGTGGATGTGGGAGAGGTTGAGAGGTTGGAAGAGATCCAGGCGACGTGGCAGAATGGGACGGAGAGCTTGACGGCGCTGAAGTCGGGGCTGGGAGGGACGGTCGCGAAGATGGAGCGGGCACAGCAGGCTGTGGACTTTCTGGAAGAGCGGTGATGGTGGTCGAGTCGAGATTGCGCAACGAACGAAAGCTGGAGCATTGAGTTGAAGAACTTCATGAATTCATGATACAAATATGGACAAGAACGACAAAAACGCTATACGATGCCGCCAATGCTTCTCTGATCTACCACCTCACAGCCCACCATCACAGCCGATCTCTATCCCTCCCGAAACGACCAGCTTAGGTGTACTGCCAAGCAGACGCCTTGGTCTGGTTGGTGGTCAACGCGTTGAAGCCGAGGCAGTCGTCGCTGAACTTGACGCCCTTGATATTGGCGTGGATCTTGTACACCTCGTCGTCCGCATCGCCGACAGGGCAGGCGAGGAGACCACGTCTCCAGGAGAGAGTGCCGAACGACTCGCCCTCGTCGAGAGACCAGCCGAGCCGGATGGCGCCTTCGGGCATGGCGGCAGAGTGGGCGATGGTGTACCTGAAAACAAATTAGTATGGCGGTCGGAAGCTGATGCATGTTGGAGGGTCACTCACTTGACAGAGCCGCACTTCGGGTCGATGTAGACCTGCTGGCCGCCTGGCACGACGGTGCCCATGCTGAGAGACTTGTCGCCGCCGGCAAAAGTCGTGTACTTGCCCTTTGGGCAGTTCTTCTTGCCGACAACCTCCTTGGGGCAGTATGCGGAAGTCTCCTTGCCGATCCAGATGCTCTCGGCGTCGGCGGCGAGCTCGCGGAGGTGGATGGGTGATGCGGAGCGGGCGGCGATGACGCTGAAGTACTGGGCGGAAGCGGAGGAGATGAGGCCGGTGATTGCAATGGCTGCGGCGGTGACCTTCATTTTGATGATGTTGGGTGGTGGATGAATGTGTTGCTGTTGGAAGTTGGTTGTTCGAGGCTTGAGTGGAGGAAGCGATTGATTGAACTGGTGTGTTGGTGATGAGATGGAAGACCTACTGACTGGGTGCAACACCACCTCTTATACTCATCCAGAGGGCAACAGCAACCCTCAGTACCGTCCCATCCGTACCGTGGCTCTCACCTTTCCGCGTGACATCACACGCGCCTCACCTCACCTCGTATCCCAGTGCGCATTACATACCGCCAACTCGCCATCGCCATACCACCAAAACCCAAAGATACGAGCCTCGAACGCTGTGCAACACTAATCTTAGCTAGCCACCGCATCGCCACCGGCCCTTTCGAGCGGCGACAGCACCGAAGGCGTGACCACGCTCGTGAGCCTATTTTACCTATACGTGCTACTTCTACGCACAAGGTTCGCCATCCCTACGCTGGTTGGATTGGTGGAGGATGTAAGAAGTATTGATTCAAGGGCCTGGATGTAGAATAAGACCGAGCTTGCGATCGGCAGGGCCGCTGCTGCATGTAGGGCTGCCGGCCGACGGTTTAACTGGAGCTTCGAGAGAAAGTCTGCTATTTTGAGGCTTGCGGTGGGTGAGATACGAGCACACCCACACACACACAAACGCCATCTGCGATGTCATAGTTCATTGTTCTACGAGGTTTGTCCGCGACATGCCGATGCGCGGTGTACGGTACGACGATCTGGCACCGTGGAAGGACTTTCCAATTTCTCCTGCTGAAACGGATCGTCGGGACGCCTTGTGTGCGAGTCTGACTGTTGCTTGGTAAAGCGCTGACGCAGGAACGACCTGGCAGCGGTATGGACGTCTTGGGTGGCCGGAGGGTTTCCGCTTACTTATGGAGCGCACATCAGTCTTTCGAGTTGGCTGTGAGAGAGACACATTCGCTTCGCTGGCCGCCGAAGCAGCATACGACTTTGCTACAGACTAATGGTATGTACTGCATAGGTGACAGCAGAACGCCATCGGCCATGTCACCTTGGTACAGTACATGCATCAGCTGGCGGTGAAGCTCAGCATCTCCCCCGTCTTCGCTTCTTTCAGGGCTGGAAGTCAAAGCCGTTGAAGAGAACGAGAGGACGGCGGAACTGGCTTTGAGATGACTGCATGCTGGCTGACGCAGACGAGCGTGCTAATGATGTGCTGGCTTGATACTCGCCGCTCACCGTGCCCAACGTTGGTAGGCTCAAGTCAGCAGCCATTGAAAGGGACATCACCCCGTCTAGATTGCTCCAGAATGCGTCAAACGACATACCGAAGCCTGCCGTCAGCCTGGACCTACGAACAGTCACCTGCAGCAAAGAATGTTACCTTGGCTGGATGAAAACGTGCATTGCTGTTCACACGGCCAAAGGCCTGGTTACACTGTGGCTTGTCACGGACTAGAAATCTTTGGTCATGTTTCAAGATCCAGACTGTTAATATATATTATTGAAGGACTATGGTAACACAACGCCGGCCAGACCATGCTTCCAAAAGATTCATCAACTCAGGGGTATCCAGACTTGTACAAGCGAGCATGTTAATCATTCGTTTCGTATTAGTATGGCCACTCGAAAGACTCATGGCGCCGAGCACCGTTTGGCCATCTCGTCCGAGGGCACCATCCATGGCTTCAGGTGTGCTACGAGTCCAAAACCGCCCGGTGATGCGACGTGGCTTGACGATGTACCACGAAGGCTTGATGAGCGGTCGGCAGCCGGCGATGGCATACTAGGACAGAGGAGCTCAGCAAAACCGAGACAAAGGCCCGGTTTCACTCCTGCTTCGAGGACATCACCTCCTTTGATGGCCCAGCCATCCTGGCCAGTCACTCTCCAACTCAGGGTCCTATGCAATCGTTTGGTGATCTGGAGAGTGGGGAATGGGATGGCAATGGCATTCGAAGTCGGGTTGCCATCGGACGAAAGACGGACCAGGCGTCACTCTCGGAGGTGCGTTCATTGTTCGTCCTGGCTTAACTTAACGATCGTGCAACCTCAGTGTGGCAGCATATGGGTGGTGCACGAGAAGCAAGCCCAACGAGGCACAGATAAGGACGTCCTTTGAGGACCAGTGCAGCCGCTCGAATGGTCACGGTGTCGCTTTGGCTGCTTTGAGGACAGTTCAAGATGCATCGCCAGCAAGATCTGCCGGTATAGGCTCAAGCGCATCTACATGGATCGAGGTATACGCCCGCACATGCAGTGCCATGTTTTCTACAAGATCCAAAACATCTAGACATGACGTTCGGATCTGCACAACGTCGGAACCGTGCGATTCATCATGCGGCACAGCCCGCTGGCCTTGTTTGGACTACAAGAGTGTATTCCTGCTGAATCCTGCATCCATCGCTTTAAATTTCTCATCTCTTGCCTTTGGACGCAGCAAGGATGAGTCTGGCATGAGACGGCCGACTCATGGCGAGGCCGCCGCGAATACAACCTCTATCCTAAGACCACAGAGCTGTGAGAGCAATAATATGCTGGTGAGCGGCTAAGATGACGCCTATCGGTCCAAAATTGTACTTCAGCGCTTGACAGCCATCTCCGACGACGAACAGCAGGATTGCACGCAGGGCTTCGCAGACTCCTATAGGAGCTGACGGGCGCCTCGCTTCTTCTCCCCGCTGTTGAAGCTGTCATCAATCCTATCACTCGAGCGCTTTTGTTTACAGTCGACTTCTTCTACTCAGGGTAATATTGTTTTTTGTCTTCTGCAATCGCGTTTAGACAAGGATGTTTCGTTGTCTGCCTCCAACTCAAACGGTCAGGCAGCGTTTCAATAACAGTTTCGTTGTCATATTCTTCATCTGCTTCTCATTCTGCAGAGCATTGTCCCAAAGTGGCGGCAGAGAAGAACTTTCCACACGTTCAGCTGTCAACAAGCGATACTATAAGCACAAGGTCGTATTAGATGAGAGCCGACACGACGAAGAATTCTTTACCTTCGTGACGGTAAGCTCCGCCATAGATCTCACCTTTGTGGATTGGGATGAACATTTGCTGATGCAGCCTTGTATGTAGCGGCCGGATCTATACGCACCTCGCTGGAACATCGTGACGTACGATAAGAAGGCTATCACACCCGGCTACTGGTTCATTGCTCCCTACGAGGAAGCTGTACAATTCGACTCCAGTCCGCCATGGAATGCTCCTCACATATACGATAGCAGCGGCGAGCTGGTGTGGAGCGGCGCACCAGTCTTCAATGGCTACAGCACATTCGACTTTCGTGTCATCGACGTGCTAGGGACACCTATGCTCTCGATCATCGCACCGCACGAAGGCAAGGCTTTTCTCTTCGACTCAACTTACCAGCTCCAGCATGAGATCTTTCTAGGTCCAGAATCTCTTAGAATGGATGAGGTTTCCTTGAACGTCCATGAGTTCGCGACCGTGGATGACGGAACTCGTGCACTACATCTGACCCGTGAGCCACGAAAGACGTCACGGGAGAATTCAAAGGCGGTCGGGTATGATGGAGAATGTTACGCTGGCTTCGACGGCTTTCGGGAGCTTGATGTCGAAACTTGGGAGACTGTTTTCTCGTGGACCTCGGAGGGCAAGATTGGCCTTGATGAGAGTGTCGTGGACCAAGAGCCTGTTGAGAAACGCTGTTCGGAGAGGGGGAGGCCTTGGGAATACGTGTGCGTACCATCGTTGCAAGACTGGGAGTCGTGTACTGACTATGCAACGACAGCCACCTCAATTCCATCGACAAGTTCTCATCTGGCGACTATCTACTGTCGGGTCGTCGTACAAATACAATATATAAGATCTCCGGCAAAGATGGATCGATTCTCTGGCGGTTCGGTGGTCGCAAATCGGATTTTCAAACGCCGTTCAAGTTTTCTGGTCAGCACGCAGCTAGAGTCCAAAGCCATAACGACACACATACTATGATCACGATGCTTGACAATGCGTTCGGTCCTGGAGTACCCAGAACGACCCACAACAGTTCCAGAGGCTTGATCGTCACTCTCGATACTACAGCAATGACCGCCGAATTGATCACGGAATATCCTCATCCAAATCGAGGCTATGCCACCAGCCGCGGGAACATGCAGGTGCTACCAAATGGACACGCTTGGCTTTGCTGGACCAGTCATGCACTCGAAAGCGAATACACCACTGACGGGTCCTTGATCATGACGGCTGGGCTCAGGCCGAAGATCGATTCATACAGAAGCTGGAAGCTGCCATGGGTCGGCCGTCCGCACTACCCACCTGACGTGCGAGGTGCGGTCGTTGCGAAGGATGATTCCTTCTACACCATCGTGCATATGAGTTGGAATGGCGCAACGGACATCAAAGAGTGGCGTGTGTATCACACGAATGAAGACGGCAAGAACAGAACACTGGCCGCAACAGTCGCAAAATTCGGCTTTGAGACGGTGGTTTGGACGGAAGGGCCAGCATCACACGTGCTTGCAGCTGCTATCTCGAAAGACGGACACATACTTGGGGAGTCGTACATCTTTCCCACCATCCCTGTCGCGAAAGAGCTGGGCGCAGCCCCAACCGACGTTCCGACTGCTGAGGATAGGTCTTGGATGGAGGCCACAGCTCGCGATCCTTTCGTGCCGTTTCTGGCCGGAATCGCACTGCCTGTGCTTGCGATGTTGGCTGTATACGCCTCCCGGGCCTTCACTAGAAGCCGCAGACGGATTCTGAAGCCATGGTGGAAGACGGTGTACGCACCACTCTCTACTTCGGACAAACAGGAGAACGACATGGAAGATCAACATGAAAATATAGAGCTCGGGGTAGACGACGCTCGAGGTCCATTGTTGGGTGGTAAACCTAGATGAATAGTCTCAGTGTTGTCAAGAAAGTTTTAGCTTCACTTTCTGAGCGACAGTTGATGTAAACGTAGAGTGAAACTTTCAAACCTTCTACTTAGCCTCACAAGAACAATACACCAAGACAGCAGATGTATTCGTTTCTTCCCATAGAGAGCAATTGACGCGACGATACAGACAGACAAGTAGTAGTACATGAAGTCTAGCTCTAATCTACAGCTCATCAATGATATGCTCTTTCTTCTTCCACTCCCGCTCGGCGTCCTCCCGCTGAAGCCGCTCTTGTATACTCTCCTCCTCGCCCTGCACGCCAGCGTCCGCCGCCTGGCCAGCCACAGGCTTGCCATCAGCCAGCTCGCCAACCTTCCGCCTCTTCGCAACCGCCGCAATCTCATCATCGTACACTGTCCACTCTGGCACCTGCCTCCGCGCACGATCGAGCTTCGGCTCCTTTGTCTGCGGGTTATTGCACAGATCAATCGTCTTCGCATCCCGCAACGCCTCGTCCGAACACCACGTCTCACACCACAGCCACTCCTGTGGCAGTGAGTGGATCGGCAACACCATCTGCATGTGATTCGGCAGGTCCTGATCCAAATTGCTCAAACTTGCCGGGTCCGCGGACAACTGCTGATACTGCCCTCGTAATCGATCACCAGCAGCAATCTGCCGGAACTTCTTCAAGTCCACAACGTACAAGGCGCTAATGTGGTACGGCAGACCCCGCAAGAAGTTCTTCCAGTACCCCTGCTTCCAGAACCTGAAACCCTCCATCTCCGTGCGCGAGTCACACATGGGCGTGAAGCCGTACGGCGCGCCTTTGAGATCGTGTTGCACCAGCTCGTACATGTCCGTGCGCACGATCTGGTCGGCGTCGACGAAGATGACTTTGTCGAGGTCGAGGGGGAAGAGGACGTCGAGGAAGAGGATCTTGTAGCCCCAGATCTCGCGTTGCTTTTCCTTTTGTGCGCGCAGCCAGTGCGGCCATTTGTAGGCGACCATTTCGTAACGGAAGCCGTATTCTTCAGCCATAATGGGAAGGAAGTCTTTGAAGGAGGGTGAGAGGAATTGCTCGATGAACCAGAACTTGACGGTGTGCTTGGTGTGTTTCATGACGGACACCATCATGATGTTGAGCATTCGCTCGTAGAGATGGCCTGAGGCGACGGAAAAGATGTTGATGTCTGCTTGAACCTCTGTACTAATGTCAGTACTCTTGACGGCACCGTGGAAGAAACTTGAGCCCAGCTTGGACGCCTTGGAGAGGTACTTGCTCGCTTGCGACCCCTTAAGTCCAGCTTGAGCGAGCAACTTATCCGCGCCATCTGCCATACTCTCAAGCGCCGACTTTGATGGCTCGAGCACGTCTTCTTCCTCCATGCCGGGCTTTCTCGACAGCCGTGGGAAGAGTGTGGCACCGCGGAAGCTCATTAATGCGATCTCGGTGCCATTGTCACCAGGCTGCGGGCTGTAGCCCTGCGTCCCAGCGCTGTCGATGTGGAAGATCTCTTCGCTGCGTCCTTGTTGCAGAGCCAAGTTGTAGACACCAGGGTTGCCCTTGAACTGAAAGTATCCAAGGTTGGCCATGATAATGGTGTCAGCAGAATGCGGGTCTAGCTCTGTTCCCAAAACTAGCTGAGCGCCACGCGGCGGAGGCCCAATAGTGATGTCCCGTGAGTGGCCTTCAATCAGGATATGCTCGAGCTCGTACGTAGCTTCAATGTCAGAGCCGCTGCGGACAGCACTCAGCTTGATGTTGTCCAGATCATGCACAGTCTCTTTAGGAGCGACCAGCCAAGAAGGCGGTAGGTCCATGCCCATGTTCAGCAGAGCTTCAGCTGGCAAACCTGCGAAGTGGGCGCTAATGCCTTTCAGAGAGCCGTCTTCGCCGAATGTTGGCTTGGAACCAAGCACATGTCGGTAGAAGCGCTTGATTGGAATCTCTTCCAGCCGCTCACGAGGGTTTAGGTAGAGCGTGGTGTAAACACCGCTGAGCTCGGACAAAGTCTTGATGATTGGAATCCACCTTTGAGCGACTTCCGAAGCCGGATCGATCGCTCCGACGATTTGAATGCTGGCAGACTCCTTGTCTCCGACTTTGATCGCTGTCTGATCGGACTTCCACTTCTTGAACACACTGCTGCGTACCGTTGGTGGTGCTTCGAATATGCCTTCAGGCACATCTGAAACTTGCGACAGAGCGATGAGATTCGAGATCTTGGCGAAAGAGAAGGGGGAAGACGCTTTGCTCTCAAGGCCTAGTGCTTGAATGGCCAGCGAAGCTGGCAATAGGCGTTTCTTACGTTCGTAGGTATAGAGAGCCTCAAGGCCATCGACTTCCAGAATAGTAGAGTCTTCAATCGGGCCAACAACACGGCCGTTGAAGATGACTGCTCCTTGGCCCTGCTGAAGGCCGCCGGCTTGGACGATACTCCTGAACGGGGCCCAGTGCTTGACGACAAATTGGTCGACCTCAGCATTTGAGAACGAGGAACCTTCGAAGTACAGCTTGCGGTAGATCTCTTCTCGCTGGTCGAAGGTGGCAGCGTCACCAGCTTTGAGGTGTTCGCTGGCAAGCTTATCTTCCGCGACCAGCATATCGCATCCATCAAGGACCTCGGACATGAAGTCCTGGTCGACCTTCTCGCCAAAGACAGACGCGAACCGCCGCTCAGCGATCGGTCCGCTTGGGTTGTGCAGGAACGCCAACTCGACATTGTCGTGCTCTCGCTGAAACAGCCAGGCTTCCATGATCTGCTCGAGGCCTCCCAGAGTGTCCAAGTCGGCGATGACAGTCATGTGGACGAGCTCTCGCTCAATGGTGTCCGCGTTGGCTGGTAGACTTGGAAGCTTCGCAAACTCTGGTAGATCGCCTAGGTCGAGATGCCGAATGTCCTTGTCGTCTTCAGGCACGACCAGCGGCACTCTTCTGAGGTTGGCCGCCGCCAGGAAGACGTTCGGTAAGTAATCCTCCTCGCCAACTGAAGTCTCGTACACAGCTTGCTGCAGTGCCCTGTTGTCTCTGGTCAACTGTGTACTCATCTGCTGAAGCCAGTCGTCGCTCCTTTGGATCGGAACACCATTGATAAAGATCGTTGGCGTTGCTTCGTTGACTCCAAGCCGCTTGAGGTAGGCTGCAGCAGACTCAATTCTTGTCTCAAGGCTGTCAGCCTCCAACACCTGTTGTATTCCCATCACCGGACTATCATGCCGGACTTTGCGGCCCTCCACAGCGTCTTCAAATTGCTGAGACTGCGGTGCCCCAAACTTCCTCCCTGCTGCTTCGAGAGAGTTCTCCAAGTAGCTGAGAGCTGCAGCCAGACCGTATGTGTCAAGTAGATGATAAACCGCCTTTGCCTGTTGCTCACCAGCTGGAGACTTGATTAGAGGTACAAGGCCGAACCGTATCGGAAGCGTCCGCTTGACGAACATCTGGATGTTCTCCACAACTAGCGTGACATCCGCGTAGCTCGAGAAGTCGATCGGGATGATAAGATTGTGGATGTCCCGTCGAACCGGTGGGAGTTGGCCTGGATACGTCCGTTGTAGCAAGGCGCTGACACTACTCGGCCACTCCGCGTATCGCTTGTCCTTTTCGATGTCGTTCAGCCACATGATGACTTCTCCGCCTTCGCTTTCGTCCCGCCAGTCGTGCCGCTGAACACTCTGCTCGACCTGGGACTCGGTGATGGCTTCGTGCGAAAGGAGGTCAATAGCCTCTGCCCCGCTCAGCCCTAGCTCTCGCACCCCGTTGATCATCTTCCGCTCACGCCGAAGGTGCTCAAGCAATGAGTAAGCGTCCAGGTCGCGCGCCACGATCTGCACGCCGTTGACCCATAGTACGTTGAAGCCAGAAGGAAGGATTTGTTCGCGGTTACTGATGTGCTCTTCAATAAAGTCCTTCGACACGTTTACAGCCGCAATGGCGCCTGAATGTTTCGGGAAGTCCTGGGACAGTCGCACTAGAGTATCGAAAGGTGCTTCGCTGTTCATGACGAAGGTAGCTGCCTTCATACCAAGACGAACGAGCTCTGACGCCGATAATGGCCGAAGATCTGAAACCTCTTCCTCGCTCAGTATAGCTTCGCCAGCCTGCTTCGTGCCTTCTGAGGCCTCCTCGCCTTCCGTTCTGTCGTCGATGACGATGTAGTCGGTACGCTTGAGAGCCAGCTCAACGCCATATCCGCTTACTGTTAGTGGCCGCACCTCGGACGAAGTTGAAGGCTGGTAGCGCACGCGGTAAGAAGTCTTCCCGCCCTTTGCAGTTTGACTGATTGTCTTGTGAAACTTCCGGAATGACTCTGAGGTGATATCGCCGTACAGAATCGAAGGCTGCTCGCTCGCAGCATCACCCAGTATCCGATCGAACGGCAGCTGATGTAGAGGCTCCCCTGCTTTGCCCAATGGCTGCGCCGTGGTAGCATCTAGCTCAGGCGAGCAGTATCTTTGCCCACTGAATGGTACGTATAGCCATGTCTCGCAGCCTTCTTGTGAGTCCGACCCAAACGTAGGCTTTACTGACGTATTGTAATATTGGTAATGCGCCTCGATCCGTGGTGCCGCCGAATGTATTGACAACGCCAAATCGAACGACGATAGGTCCTCCTCCTGTACCAGATGTCCATCTTGCTTCAGCAGTTTCCTGAACCTCGTATACAGTGCTTGGTCGGTTGGGATCGAGTCAAAGTAACCCTCCGCTATGCGGTCGAGCAGTGGGAAGTAGGATGTTGCGTTCTCTTCTGCTGCCGTCTCTCTGGCCGACCGTTAGACTGGTCGCAAATGCGCGCTGTACGGAGACCTACAGTAGTTCCAATAGGTATGGTGGAGCACTAAAGGATGTCCTTAAAGCTACATTGACTGAAGGGACAGCATATGCGCCGATCGCGAAGGCCAAAAGGACCGTGGCCCTCAGAGCCCTATTCCCCCTTCGTATCATCGTATGCTCGGCAACGAGTGGTTATGGACAGGTAGTTCAGTTCATATCGATCCGGTGCCTCTGACAAGTCAACGCTCCGGTATGCTGACTTGCAACGTGTCGTCCTTCGGGAAGCCAAGCTGATGTACGATCCTCCTGAGAGATTGAAAAATCTTAGACACTCGACTATATGTTTCGAGACAAATGTAATGCGTACAGAACAGTAAGAGGTTCCAGGGGAGCTACATGCACATGCCTGGACTGCCTACCTACACTCTCACCTGCACGGAGGTGAGCGGCACCCGTCTCAATTCGGACTAGCGTGCACGTGAAGTGAAGTACCATTCCATTGCTCCCTACTTTAATCGGAAGAACCCCTCTACATGCTCACCCACCTCCCGCACGCTCGACGCCGATCTCTCCGGCATACACTCCTTAATCCAACCCGGCAGCTTACTCCTGATCCTCCCCTGCTCATACCGACTATCCATCAACAAAATACTCGCCCAATCATCCTTGTGCCTGATCACCCTGCCGATCGCCTGGTTAACGCTCCTCATGCAAACATTCTCGGCGTACTCTCTGCTCGCGCTGCCTTTCGCTTGACCTCTTGCAACAGCCTTCTCCTCGAGATACTGCATCTTCGCCTTCCACTCTGGTGTCTCCAGGTTCGGGAAAGGAAGGCCGACGACTACCACGCAGCGGCCGAGGTCGTCGGAGAAGTTGATGCCTTCGGAGAGCTTGCCGCCGATGACGGAAAGCAGTATTGCGCCGTTCGGATTCGTGCTGATGGCTTGACTGTAGGCCTGGAAGGTATTTTCTGCTGAACCTCCGCGGCTGTCTGTGAACACAGGCTTGAGCTTCTTTAAACTGTCCAGTAGTCTCTTCTCTCGCCACGTGCTCAGCAATTGCTCGAGGTAGCTGTAGCTCGGGAGGAAGACCACAAGCCCGGCTTTGACAGAAGGCGCAATGTTGAGCAGTGCTTGGCCCACTCGCATCGGCGTCGCTGGATTACTCCTACTCTTGAAGCTGAACTCGAGCGGGCCATCCGCATCCGATGCGATTGTCCGAACAAGTAGATTGCTCGCCGGAATCAAGTGCCCGCAAGACAGCGTGCTGATAGAATCGAAGTATGGAAACAGCTGTTGCTTGTAGTCATCCATTGGCGACATCGTCCCTCCCGCGAGAATGACAGCTCTTGCATCTTCAACCACTTCGCGGAAGTGCTCAGACGGGTCAAGGAGTAGGTATCGAATAGCTGTCGTGTTCTGCTCTTTAGACATGAAGAAGCGACCTTCTTTCGACGGGTTCGTCAAGCACATCAGGAAGTTCTGCACGTGCGTCAACGTTGGGACGTCCGCTGTGGTTGTCCCATCCCTTCCGCTCTCAGTCTTTTCGTTGACCCTAGTATGAGTAATGTAGCATTCGACCTTTCTAGCTAGTTTGCTGTCGTTGATATAGCGGACCAGCTTTGCCAGATTGACTTGATCGACGCCCTTGCCCGACAGTAATGCGTCCGGCTGGACTGGCGTAGACTCTTGAGAAGTTGAATGCATGATTGGCAGCAGCAACGAATCGATGACCCGCACCACCTGCGTAACGTACATGCGGTTGGAGCCTTTCAGGCGATTCCTAAATTTCTGCAGATACGTCATCAGGCTCTCCTTCGCCTTACTGAGCTGTAGCTGTGTGACCTGCGCGGAGTAGATGCCTTCGATAGCGTCCATCAGATTGTGCGCCTCGTCGATGATCACAACGTGCCCTTTGAGCGATACGCCCAGCGCCTCTCTTGCAGTCCTCTGGAGAAGAAGCGGATATGGCAATGTCACCATCTCTGCAGGGTCAATCGCAGTACGTGAAGCGTAGTATGGGCATACTTGGAGCTTCGTACCGACCGCAGCCAGATCCTCAATGTCGCGTATGCTCGCCAGAGCATGATCTCGAAAGTCCAGAACGGTTTCCTGATCATCTTTCTTTGGCAAGAAAGGGCATTTGTGCTCGGCGGGTGTACTTGGTTGCTGAAGCTCGATGCACCTCTCATTGATAGCTGTCTGACTCGACAGTTTCGAGACCTTCGAATTGATGCATAGGTTCTTCCGAGATCCTAAAGTAAGTTGCTTCAGGGCCTCAGATGCGGCGGCATCGTCTTCTTCAGGTGGAAGCCCAGGTGGAAGCTTGACTCGCTTCAGTTCGCCAACGAACTGGGACAGCTGTGAATGCGTTCTCGAGCAGAAGAACACCTTGAGCTCATCGGGCGTTTCTTCTGTCTGACCTTTGTTGTCCACAGACTGATACATGCCAAGCTTCTCCATGAGCTTGGTGGTTTCTGAAGAAAAGCCAGCGCCGCCGCCGACTTGCCTCACATCCTCTTCGTCGCTGTTGTAGTCGTCCAGCAGGTACTGGTCCTCATCTTCGCCATCGCCGACCTTCTCCTCGTGGACATGCTTCCGCCGTTTCGCCGGTGGCTCACCATTTGCATTTCTTTGCCTGACTTTCTTTTCTTTCTGTCGCACCGCTTCCAATCGAGCTTCCAGGTCAGCACGTAGCTGCCTGATCTCTCTACGCCGTTCGTCTTTCGCATGCTCGACCATCCATTCAGGCTCATCATCTTCCAGCTGTATCGCCGCCAGACTCTCGTCGAACTGTCGACGCTTGTGCTCCCGCAGCCAGGTCAAGGATCCGCAGATTAAGCTTAATGACTTTCCAGTTCCCGTAGGCGACTCGAAGATGCCTACGGTGCCTTGCTCGATGCAGTTGTAGACTGCTTCCATGAATTGTTGCTGGATGTCGTACGGTTGGAATGGGTGGTGAAAGTTCTTGGGCGCCATTTTTGTGGACATTGCCGCCCATCGATCTGATGCTGCATCGATAACTTGTATTTCAGTGTGGTCTGTGTCTTTTCCAAATGTTAAAGTGGCCGGTCGAGTTCGAAAGCTGGGGTTGGCGCGACGCGGAATCGACGCGTCGATCACGTGAGTAAAAGACCACTTCACTTTATCCCAGAGATTCCCCTCATCGAAGCAGCTCAGCGATGCTTGCCCTTCCTGAATCTTACACCGTCACTGCCTTCAAATTTGGAGTTCGCACTCGATCCGTCGAGGACCCACGTCTCGACAATCTCCTTGCTTTCCACCTTCTTCGTCTCCAGCCCTTTGGCATCCTTGACTCGCCTGATATAGCCCATGTATATAACAACCTCAGCAGCAGCTACGAGCCCGCTCCCAGACATCGAAAGTCCGAGTCGCGCCGGTACTTCCCACCGCCGAGCTGCGATCCAGATGGCTATGCTGCAGCAGATGATGGAGACCAGAACGTTGATGATGAGAGTCATCTGCCGGTTGACGTCCGCGTAGGTGACTTCGTCCACTTCGCCTGCTACTCCATGAGGTCCAAGATGGTTTGAGCCGAAGGATGGCCTTGCGTTGGGGAATCTCTGACCAAAGCTTTCCGCTGGCGGAGGGTTAAGCATGCGCTCGTACTTCTGTTGCTCTTCGTCTTGACGGAGACGCTTCATCAGTGCTTTGTACTCCGAAGTCTAGTATAGCGTTAGAATTTATTCTTGTCAAATGGAGGCAATAGATTCGACATACCGGCTCAGGCTTAGAGGTCGGTGGCGGCTTGTAGACGGTTGCACCTTTGAGCAAGGTATCTAGACGCCATTTTCTGCTGGCCTCCTCTCCACCGTTGCGCTTGTCATTGCTCAACAGGTACTTTGATATCTCAATCAAGTCGGCGTGGTCGATTGGGCTGCCTAACTCAACATCCGATAGCCTGTCAAGTCTTTCGTCCGTCGGCTTCTCGTCTTGTCCCTCGCCATCAATCTTACAGTACTCCTCTATCGCAGCCTTCGCGGCCTCGGTCGTCGTTAACAACACCATTTCGCTTGTGTGGGATATGTTCCTTCATTCGAGCGGTTCAGACTTGCCTTAGATCTAGAATATCTGCCCCAAAAGGGTTTAGTCGATGCAGCTTCGTCGGCCAAAGCCGCGAGATCTTGATTGACGTCTCGACATTTTTTTGGACACCCCAGCGAATGCGAATGCAACGCGGATGAACTCGGACTAACTACCTACATCAGCCTCTACATCACTGCTCCCACTCACCCGTCGACGAGCGACAGAGGATAATACACAACTAGCAGCACAGCAAATTATATGCCTCCCACGCCAGCGCGAACGACAGCGCTGTTGAAACCGCCGAGATACACCACTACCCGACAACTTCGCTGTCCCGAATGCTTTAGGCCTCTTCCCATAAGACAACTCCATACCTCGTCATCCCAACTACACCATGCGTCACAGAAACGGCAGCAGTCCGCGGTGGCAGCGGCAGTCTCGAAGGCAAAGGAGATGTTCTCCAATGGCAACCCCCCTCCAGGGCCAATGGGCATCGACCCTCTCAGAAGCGTGGCGAAGGAGATGAGCTTCATGACTAGCAACATACGGCAGTTACTGGGGTCGGGACATCCGATGCTGGATACAGTGTCGAAGTACTACACTCAGTCCGAGGGGAAGTATATACGGCCGATGCTGGTGCTGTTGATGTCGCAAGCTACGCAGCTTTTACCGAAGAAGCAGAGGAAGTGGTCGCAGGAGCAAGGAGGGATAGATACGCCGATGACTCCACCGGGAGTCTTGTCAGACACGAACCCTTCATCGCCATTGACAGCAACGAGCGAGGATGGGCTTGGTGATGCTTCGGTCTTGCCATCGCAACGACGATTAGCGGAGATCACAGAGCTGATACATACCGCCTCGCTGCTACACGACGATGTGATCGATACATCGATATCGAGAAGAGGCAACCCATCGGCGAACATCTCCTTTGGGAACAAGATGGCAGTGCTGGCAGGAGATTTCCTGCTTGGAAGGGCATCAGTTGCGCTGGCTCGGTTACGGGATCCGGAGGTCACAGAACTCTTGGCGACAGTCATTGCGAATCTGGTGGAGGGCGAATTCATGCAGCTGAAGAACACGGCACTGGACGAGCGACATCCGGAATGGCAAGACGACACCATCTCGTACTACTTGCAGAAGACTTATCTCAAGTCGGCGAGTCTGATCAGTAAGAGCTGTCGAGCAGCTGCGTTACTCGGTGAGCACCCTGCGGAGGTTGTGGAGGCGGCGTACCAGTATGGCAAGAACCTCGGACTTGCATTTCAGCTTGTGGATGACATGCTGGATTACACTGTGAGTGGCTCTGAGCTCGGGAAGCCAGCTGGGGCAGATCTAGAGCTGGGTCTGGCGACTGCACCTTTGCTCTTTGCGTGGCGGGAGAACAAGGAGCTGGGAACACTGGTGGGTCGCAAGTTTGCGGAGCCAGGCGATGTGCAACGGGTGAGATCGCATTCGCTCTACGATGATGTACGACTGAGACTAACATGCGTTCAGGCGCGAGACCTAGTCGTTCAAAGCGACGGCATCGAACAGACACGAGCACTAGCCCAAGAGTACGCCGACAACGCCGCCCGCGCAATTTCAAGCTTCCCGGAGAGCGAGGCCAAAGTCGGCTTACTGGACATGTGCACCAAGGTCATGAAGCGAAGGAAGTGATGGAGCATTCGAGCGTGCTACTTTTAGACTCTACTTGCTCTCAAGTTCGCAGCATCGAGCGAGGGCATTAGCCAGGCGTTGATGGAGGGTGGCTAAGGCAATACTACCAACGCATGAGGGTGGTGGATTGCTGCAGATATGTATAGATGTACAAAATATATGACAGTATCGCGTTGCCAAAAGGGTTTCCATTTGTCAATCACTTGCAGCGCTTTCAACGGGATTTGCACGTGGAGGTGCCCCACACTCGATCTGATACCCAACTTCACATCCAACTCCAGCCGTCCATTCGAGCCCACAAGCATGACAATGTGAAGCCCACACAGCTCACGAGTGTTCCACAACCACCACACATCATGCTCCCGTCCTAAGGCACCAACAATGTACCCCACCTTCACCCCCCTCTCCACCCTCCACTAACATCCCCTCCAGGATCGACCCCCCCACCCGCCTCCGCCGCGCCATCCTCCACCCCTCCCTCCCCCTCGTAACCCGCCTCATCCACACCCACCCCTCCCTCCTCCACAACCCGGACTTCGCCTCCAAAGCCAACACCTCCCTGCACCTCGCCGCGGCCCACAACCACGCGGACATCGTGTCCTTCCTGCTCTCCGCCGGGCATGAGGAGGGGGAGATAAGCAGGAATACCGAGCATGAGACACCCTTAATGCTTGCGGCGCGCGGGGGGGCCGTGGAGGCCGGGAGGGTGTTGGTGAAAATGTGTCCTGGGTCAGTGGGGATGAGGAATGCACGGGGCGAGGACGCGGTGATGATTGCGTGTCAGAACCCCGCTGCCACCGGCCTCATACCTCTCCTCCTCCAAACCTGCGGCCTAGAAGCAGTCGATCGCGTAGACAACTCCGGCAACACGCCCCTGCACCACGCGAGCGCGAGCGGGTCGCTGAAGGCGCTGCGGATTCTGCTCGGTGCTGGAGCGAAGCCCTTTGAGCCTAACGGGCACGATTGGACGCCGCTGGCGTATTCGCAGACGGTGGCGGCGGAGGTGTATTTTAAGAATCTGGTTGCGGAATTGGAGAGGCGGAAGGCGGAGGGGATGAAGGCGGAGGAGGAGAGGGTGAAGCAGCGGGTTGGGGGGTTGAGGGTTGTGGGCCCGGATGAGGAGGGTGGTGGTGGGAGGGGTGGAATAATGGAAAGTGGGAGAGGTGGTGGGAAAGGAGAAGCGGTACCGATGACGCCGGTGGATGACGAGGATCATATTACTGATGCGCTGAAGAGGCATTGGAGCCCTACGGTGGAGCGGAAGAGGCCTGTGACGCCTGGGAGTGCGGGCAAAGCGCCGTTGTCGACGCATGAGTGGGATGCGAGGCTGGTACATGCGAGGACGCGGTCGTCTAGCGGTGGGTGAGCACAGGAGCAGCAGCACGACGTGATGAAGTACGAGGTGAAAGCGAAGAGATACCCAGTGCTCACCTCATAGCACATATGAAACGAGATCACAACAAGCCTTTTGGTAACTACATGTATTCATTCTCACTACCCCCCTAAATCTTACCCTGCCCCTTCGGCACCTTCCGATCCACCCCCAAACTCTCCACATCCCCCTTCTTATAGAAATGCGGCGCCAGCTCATTCAACCACTCGGGCTGCAACGGCACACAACTCCGCATAAACTCCTTGCTCGTCAGCACCAATTCGTAGAAAACCACCCACTTCGGTCTGCTCTCCATCAGCACGCTGCTCGGGTGGAGATGCACTGTGAGATTGTTCTTGACAGTGCGATAGCTATCCCCGTTGCGTTGGAGACGGGCGGCGTTTGGAAAGAAACCGGCCGTCAGCGCGCGGAGGATGGGCTGGAGGTTTGAACTGCCGCAGGTACTGGCTGGATCGACTTCAACGCGCTCGCAGAGTTTCGTTAACTGATCCCGCACATCTCTCGCGCGGGTAAGGCTGCGCTGCTGCAGGAAATTCTCCTTTGCCCAGACGAACGAGAAATCCGCATCGAGCCACTGGTTGAAGATATTCAGCAAGGTCCCGTGATCGCCGCCTTCTTTCACCGTGAAACGGTTCCTAGCCGCGTCTGCCTGCATCTTCTTATCCCGCGGTCGGTAGAACAAGGCGGAGGCTTCGCCGAGCATGGCGACGATGGACAGGACTTCCGCCACGCAGCCTTCTTTGTCCGCGGCGAGGACGGCTTTAGCGAGCATAGGGTCCGTCGGGAATTCAGCCATCTGCCGTCCGATCTTTGTGAGCTCCCCGCGGTCGTTGAGCGCGCCGAGGGCGTAAAGTTGTTCGAGCGAGCGGATGAGCATGTCTGGTGCCGGAGGGTCCATGAAGTCGAAGGCGATGAGGTCGTTGATACCCAAAGATTTTAGCATGAGGACGATGGAGTTGAGGTTCGTGCGTTGGATTTCCGGGGTAGTGGATTCGGGGAGGTCGTTGTAGAAGGCCCATTTCGTGTACAGGCGGAAGCATTTCCCTGGGCCGGTGCGGCCGGCGCGACCGGCGCGTTGGTTGGCCGAGGCACGGGAGATGGGGACGGCGACGAGGGACTCCATGTTTGTGGCGGGCGTGTAGCGGTTCTCTTTCACGTAGCCCGGGTCGATCACGTAGACGATGTTGTCGATTGTGAGACTGGTTTCGGCGATGTTGGTGGCGAGGACGACTTTGCGGACTTTGGGCGGTGTTGGGTCGAAAATCTTTTGTTGTAGGTCCGTTGGTAGATTGGCGTAGATGGGACATATCATCAGCTCGGGTGCCGCTGAGCCCAGCTTCTTTGCTGTTTCTTGTAGCGACTGTTCTGCTTGCTCGATCTCATCCTGGCCTGTGAGGAAGACCAAAATGTCGCCAGGCATGGGTTGCGAAAGGTGAATCTGGAAGACTGTGGTGATGGCGGCCGAGAGGTAGTTGGCCTCTGGCTGCAGCGAGTAATTCATCTCGACATCGTAAGTCCGGCCAGGAATATTGAGAATAGGTGCGTCGTCGAAGAAAGCAGAGAATTTCTGCGCATCCAAGGTAGCCGACGAGATCAGGAGCTTCAGATCTGGGCGTCCACGAGCGATATCCTTCACCAAACCGAAGAGAATGTCGGTATGCAGCGTTCGTTCGTGGGCTTCATCAATCATCAGACAACTGTACCCTCCCAGATCCGGCTCCGTCAAGAACTCTCTGAGAAGCATGCCGTCCGTCATATATTTCAACATCGTCTTGTCCGTCGTGGCATCTTCAAACCGAATCGCGTATCCCACTTCATTCCCAACTTTCACTCCGATCTCCTCTGCCACTCTGGCAGCAACGCTCATCGCGGCCACTCGTCGAGGCTGAGTGCAACCCACCTTCATCCCTTCCTTGCAGTATCCATCCTCGTACAGGTACTGCGGCAGCTGCGTCGTCTTCCCACTACCAGTCTCTCCAACCACGATCAGCACCTGGAACTCCTTCACTGCGTCCAGGAACTGCTGCCGGTACTGGTAGACGGGCAAACTCTTCCGCTTTTCTTCAATCGTCTTCGCCTTCCGCTCCGCAGCGAGTAATTGCTGCGCCATTAACCGCTCCTCCGCGCTCTGCATCTCGCCCAGTCCGCCTTTCATCACCGCATCGCTGACCCATTTGATCTGCTGCTCCTCGTCGAAAACGTATTCATACTCTGCCTCGTTCTTGCGATCCGCAACGACAATCTGCGCCTGTGTCTTCGCCAGCTGCTCCCGCTCCCACTCTTCGTGCTCGGTCACGTATCGCTCTCGCCCCTGATCGTCTCGGTCCACGTAGCGGGAGTACAGCGCGTCTTGCTTCCGCCTCGTGTCCATCTTGCCTTTCTCTGTGATGTAGTCCTCGGGCATCGCGTAGCCGTCGATATAGTCGTCAATACCCTCCCGCTCCTCGGCCAGACGCAGCGCCTCTCTGTTTCGGGCAAACTCATCCTTCTCAGTCTGTGTGAGGAGAGGGTTCGACCGTTCTTCTTCCGCTTCATCAGCCACCTGCTTCCGCAGCAGAGCCAGCTCCTGAGCCGAGCGTTTCTTAAGATAGTTTTGCCGGGAGCGCAATCGAAGAGCAGCCATCTCTTGCTCCGACAGCTTGCCAGCTTTTGCTCTGCGGTCGGCGTCGGCTTGCTCGCGTTTGGAGGGGCGGTCTTCAGCGACGTTCTTGGTGGATGACTTGTCGCGGTTCTGCAGGCGCTTTTCGAATTCAATCCGCTCTTTTCGATCTCGCTCTTCCTCGTCGACATCGTCCTCCTCGTCTTCTGCCTTGCCTGGCCTGGGAGAAGCAGAGCCGTTGTCCAACTTGGTGCGCTTCGCAGGTGGGCTCGCGAACTCCTCCTCGACCTGTTCTTCCTCCGCGACTTCCTCGTCGCCCCATCGGTCGTCAAAGTCATCTTCATCCCTCCGTCTGATCTTCTTCCTGCTGCCTCGATCCCTGCTTCTTGATCGTCTGCGGTCTCGATCTCTATCCCGCCGCTCCTTCTTCTCCTTCCTCCGCTCGCCCTCCCCGTCAACTTTCTTGACGGCTACTGGCGCCTGCTCCTCCACATCCATATCCACCATAGCATACTTTTTCTTTCCCTCCTTCACTGGCCTTTCCTTCTCCTTCTTCGACACCCCATTGCTTCCGTTCGCCTTCCCGGCTATGCGCCCGTGCAGTTCATCGCTAAATCGCCGCAAGTCCGCATCGTTTGATGAGTCCAGCATGCCAGATAACTTGTCGAACAGCGATCCAGAACTCTTCGTCGTCTTTGCCGTTTGTGTGATGAAATCGACCAGCATCGGCTCGGACGCGCCGACCAGCTTGATCAAGTTGTCCGAGACGAAGGTCTGGACGTCCATGGTGGGGGGAGATGCGTGTGCTGTCGCGTCGACCAGTCTTTGAGTCGGTGGTATGGTAGACTTGCTCGAGCTCTGGTGCGGGCGGTTTTTCTGCCGGCGGCGGTGTACGTTTCAAGCCGCGGAGGTCGGCCGTTTCGCCTTGGGAATCCTTGCTGCTGATCGAGTCGATCCTACTTGCTCCTTCTCCTTATCCGTAACGTGAAGCTGAGCAGCGCGGTGTCGAGGTACATGTAGTGTGTAGAAGTCTTGAGCAAAGAGCTTCATCATTAACTCCTCATTTGATGAAGAAATACAGCCATTCTGGGTCAATGTCTCCATTCAATTGACGACGATCACATGCTTCGGAGCCAAGGGGCATGCCGGTAGACGGATTTAGAACTAGCAGCTGCATCCCTCGAATCCAGGGTCGTTGGCCTCCACGACGACAAGGTCTCGAGAAAATGAAAGCATCCATGTCCTGTGACACCATCGGATATTCAAACACACACGACACATATACCCTCTAGCGACAATATCACGAGAGCATATCACCCTATCCGCCACCTTGCATCGTTCGACACAGCATTGCACCGCCTCGTAGGAGGTACTGCGAGACCACTAAAACATACTAAGCTCCTCCATCCGCATGCCATCCATGAGAGCAGCAAGATAAGCGCATCCTCTGCGACATAGCGGCACAGCCTTGCTATCCTGGAAGGACAAGCAAGCATGTCCACAACGACACCAACACCCAAGAAAACCCCGTCCAGCGGCAGCGGCACAGGTTCAGCACCAAGTACTACTCGCAAAGCGCCCGCTTCCTCTGCTTCCACTTCCAAAGACGCACCACCTTTGAATCGCAGTCCGAGCAGGATGGCTGCCAGCAACTCCGCCAGCGCGACAGGCACCAACACCTCGTCCGCCTCCATCAACCGCACTCGCTCCGTCCGCAACGGCGCTGGTACTCCGGTATCAGCCCGCGCTGCAGCACGCAAGCCCGCCAACGATGCCTCCGCTACTTCTTCGTCCGATGAAGATGCAAAGGCCGAGCTACAAGCACAGCTGTCAGAGCTCCAACAACGCCTGCAAGACTCGGAAACCGCGCTGTCCACTTCTCAACGCCAAGCAGACGTCTTGCAGGTTAAGCTCGATGAGGCGCTGAAGGAACAGAGTATCTTGGACGAGAACGTACATGAGAACACTGAGCGACTGGAAGAGTTGGAGAATGAGAAAAGGGAGCTACTACGCTCCAAGAGGGAGGCGGAGCAGATATTTGAGTCTGAACGGGCGGCGACGTTGAGGGAGAGGGAAGAGGCGGTCACTAGGGAAGAAGAGATGCAGCGGAGCTTGATGAGGATGAAGGAATCTTTGGCGCAGCAGCGAGCTGGATCGCTTGGTGCAGCCGACGGCGAAGAGGGCAGCTGGGAGAGCAGGAGGGCAAGTCGGCCATTGAGCATATCAAGAAACTCTAGCTTCCGGTCAGGAGCTGCGAGTCCCAATCCAGAGATGAGCGGCGGGCAGTTCGCGCCGTCAGGTGGTGCTGGTGTGCAGCGGAGCGATTCACGAAGTTCGTCAAGATTGGTCATGCAAAAGGATAAGATGATCGAGTCGCTTCGGCTTGATTTGGCGGAGGCACAGATCAAGCTGGTTGAGCTGGAGAATAAAGGTGGAAGCAATTTGCAACAGCTGGAACGGCAGATGTACGACATCAAGATGCAGAACGCGCGACTGATGGAGGAGAATGAAAGCTTCCAGCTGTTGCTGCGAGACAAGACATTGAACGGCGACTTTGCTGCCTCGGATCTGCTGTGTGCGCCATCGACTAACGGTGATGGTTCACGGCCGCCTTCGCGCAATCCTGCCGATGGGCTGAGACAGAGTGGGACCAGTCTGGCGGATGAGCTAGGCTCTGCGAACCAAGACGACGCTTCGACACTTGATGGTGACATCGGCCCAGACAGCGCAACGACCGTTACCGACAGCAAGGAACGACGACTACAAGGCGAAGTCAACAGCCTGAAAGACCAAAATAAGGCGCTGACGCTCTATATTAACAATATCATCTCCCGCCTGCTACAACACGAGCAGTTCGAGCAGATTCTCGACAAGACGCCCGACCTTATGGCCGGACCCGGCGCGATCAGTCGCAAATATGCTGAAGTGCCACCGGCCGACTCTGCGCCAAAGCCTACGAGTTCTGCAGGTATGGACATGGAGAAAGACCTCCCGCCTCCACCTCCGCCACACAAGGACGAACCCACCAAATCTCCACCGCCAGGAGAAGAACCCCAATCACTTCTCCAGCGTGCCGGCTCCGTCCTCCGTGGCCGTGGAACAAAGCCTCCACGACCCCAAAGCACGATGCTCAACCCCGACGCCGCAGCAGAAGTCAACCCCACTGTCCACGAGAACCCCGACACAGCGCCCAGGATCCCACTCGGTCGCTCCACATCCACTCGCGGCGGTGGCGGGCACAAGCGCTCCAACTCCGACTGGCCTGCCGCGAGCGTCGTGACGAACATGTACAAAGGCCCGCCATCCAGCGGCCTAGCCGGCCCCACCAGTCCCGGCTTAGGAAGCCCAACAGCAGCGGCTAGGGGAAGTTTCTTCCCTCCCCTCGGCGCTGGGATCCGGACGGCGAGTGGCAACGTCGTCCCGAGCATCGACGAAGTCGAAGGCGGAGATCTCGGCGCCGCAGGCTTGGAAAACCAGATCCCTAAACCCGCAGCATCCGCCAACTCTGATGCCGCAGCCATGCCACCACCTTCAACGTCACGAAGCGACAGCACACAACGCAACTCCGACCCCCCCTCATCTAACACCTTCGCCGAGCCCTCCTCCCTCGCCGCCCTAACCGGCGAAAACCCCTCCAATCCTTCCTCTCCACCCCGCTCCACCGCCTCCTCAAGCAGTATCGCGGAACGCGACTCCCGCTCTGGCCCGGCTATCATGATGGGCTCGAAACCGCGTCCTTTACGGCTGGTTCAAGAGGCTAAAGAGGAGAAGCGGCCTGCTTCTGGCGGGGCGGGGCAGAGGGGCAGTTGGTTTGGGTGGATGAATAAGGGTGCGGTTTCGTCGGGGTTGCAGGGGGTTGGGAGGAGTGTTAGTGGAGGGAGTGGTGCGGAGCCTGGGCAGGGGCAGGAGGGGAAGGGGGGAGGGCAGCAGTAGGATGGTGCTCTTTCGCCGACCGTGAAGAGGAAGGTGGTTGAGGTGATGGATGTTTCGGGGGTGGAACGGGGCAGGAGTGCAAGGAAGCGGGGGCGCGTGGTTGCGAGTGTGGGGTGATTGGGGAGGGTGCATCATGATGCTTGGACATGATTTGGGCGGGAGGATATACCCCCTTTTCTGATTGATTCCTGGGTTGGCTTCTCGACTATCGTATGATGTGGTCATTGGATAGGCGTTGGCTGGCAAGGTCTGGTAGAAGGGCATGCGTGCCGCGTGGTTTTGGTAGTGATGGGTACTCTTCATGACTTCACTTGAGTACACTGTGGTTGCGATGCTAGTGAGTGCCTTGCAATACATACGACTAATCTGCTGTGTGGACTTTTGTGCATTCACCTCCAAAAATGCCAAGGCCGTGTGGTGGGCGCGACTTCACTTTCTTGACTTCACCTCGACCTCATTTCTTGACTCCACTTCACGTCGATCTCACTTCACTCCACCGTCTTACTATCGATCTGAATCGGAAGAACCGCGGCGCTAAGAAGGACACCAAGCGTCTCGCTCGGCTTCATGCATCTATGCGGTCAATATGAGATGGTCCGGTCACGAATCGTCGGAGGACGACGCCCCATTCTCCAACGCTCATCTAGCGACTAGGAAGCCACTGCACTCACTGCAGCTTATAGAAGAACAAACGGATGCACGATAGGATGGGAGGCGAGCGTAGGTCCATGACATGCACGCACGCCAGGCGAACGGGAAGCGCGAGTTCAGTTTACTTCGACTTCACGTCTTCATTCCACGTCGTCCAGGATTCCCTACGAAAGTCAGTGTGGGAGAGCTCGTAGCGTCATGAAATACACCAGTTATCGTGCTCCAAGGTATGTATCCAACGACCGCCTTCTCTAGCGCGCGGACCGCACCCATCTAGGTTCTTGAGTAGAGATGCAGTCACTGAGCCACACGGGAAGCGGACAAGTGTGTGGAACGCGGTCAGCAAGATGAGGTTAAGGGTAGTGTTCTTTTTCCTTTCACCATGGAATGGCGAGTTACGGCATGCATCCATGAGCACTGCGCAGGAAAGGTGAGGCGAGGGTGCAATGGCAGGACGCCAAGGTAGGGTGTTGGTGCGAACAGTTCGTTCACGGCAAGCAATCACACTGGATACTTGTGCTCTCCTGTTTGCCATTCTTTGCTGCGTTGAATTCTTATTCCCTGAGTGGTCAGTCATCTAGCCGCCCTTTAGTGACCAGAACGACCTAGAAGCTTTTCTTTTCGATCTTCACGTGCGTCCGGGCTCGCTCGCTGGTGCTGCCTTGCTAAATCTCACACCTTGTCTGGCACCTACCACTTCGACATCACTCCTTGACAATCACAACTCCAACCGCACTGCGACGATGGCAAAGAAGCAGTTTGAAGATCTTCCTGAGGACGTCAAGGGACTCATAGTTGAGAAGGTACGTTTTCCACCACCTGCAGGAGGTATTAGGCTGACGCAACCAGGTCCTCCGCCCCACCGACCTCGTCAACCTCTGCCTGGTCAACAAACAACTGCACACTCTCGCCGTGAAACCACTATGTCGGACCGTTCACCTCGAACTGGGCTCACCCAGCGACTCTCGCCTCTCCGCCTTCTTCAGCCCGAAGAACATCGGCCTCCCGTACATACGATCGATATGGCTCCACTCGGCCCATACAAAGAAAGGATCTGGACTGATACAGCAAGCAAAGCTTATGTTACGCATGCTGCTAGAGTTCCTGCCGGAGAATATCCTTGAGGAGCTGAGGAGTGAGGTGCCGGAACTTCAGGAGATCAAGTCAGTAAGCCTCGTCGGAAGATCGAAAACGAATGCTGACAACCATGGAACTGTAGCTGGTGTGCCTGGCCTGCGCTCAGCGCCGAGAATGTGCTCATGCTTTACCACAAACAGCGGAAGATGAAGTGGTTAGAGGCCATGGAGCTCGACCGCAACGTCCTGCCGGTTCTGCAGAAGCACGAAGGGTTGCGGAAGGACATGTTTGCCAGTGCTCGGAACCTGCGTTTATTCTTAGGGACCTGGGCCATTCTGAACCTCGGCGGCTTCCTGGTCACCAATATGAAGGACACTCTGGAAACACTGATCGTCCACTGCAACTTCGATCAGATTCAGGACACCGGCCGTCGGTCTACAACTCGGAATCTGAACGACAGTGCCACCGCACCTGGTCTGTTGACACGCACCATCTTCAGTTCGATGCTGCCGTTCGACAAGTGCGAACCGTTGCAGAATCTGACTAGACTGGATCTGCACTGTGTCGGATTGCGCTTCTGTGAGGAGACGTGGTGCAAAGTCATCAACTTCAGGAGCTTGAAGGAGCTCAGCATATACTTCTGCTCTGCAGCAGATAGTCTACTCGCCAGGCTTAGCACGATGGCACACCTGCCTACTGCACTGAAGTCACTCACCCTTCACCACTCAGATAACGATGAGCATGAGGCCTTGACCGCGCTAGATGGCCTTCTCCACCTCATCAATGGTCTCGAAACGCTCATCATCGACATGTGCGGAGTGGATGCCCTCCCAGCCGCCCGGGGCATCACACGCCAGAAGACCAGTCTGCGTATCCTCTCGGTCCACTGTGTAGAAATCGGACCAGACCGAGAAGACGATACCACAAGCGGCCGGGAACTAGTCTACTCCAACGGCGACTTCCTCAAAATCTGCAAGGCGAACGCATCACTGATCGAGCTCTCCTGCGCCTGGCCAGCCGCCAGCTTGCTTAGCGACACAAACGGCGACTGGGTACAATGGGAAATCGCCTGCTCCTTCCTCCGTCACCTCGTGACCCTCCATCTCTCCACCTGGCCCAGCACAAACAGCCTCAAGAAGGTCGTATTCCTACCGCGCAACATCTACGACTCGCTCCTCCGCTGCTTCGCACAAAGCCTCCTCGTCGAATTCAACCGCCCGGCCCCGCCCGTATTCGAAGACGACAGCGACCCGGAGCAAACCGCGGCTCGCGAAGCCAAACTCCTCGCTCAACCCTCCCACCTCCGCGTCATCGCCTTCGGCGTCCACCACAACGTCTTCGAGAGGCGGGAGTCGAAGAACATGATCTGCTTCCTGCGCAGCACATCTCGTGATGCTGAAGGGCGGGAGCAGACGTTCGCTGCGACGCTGAACTGCTGTTTGAGGAAGTTTGTTGAGCCGCGGAGTACGGTGCTGGAGATCCCTTCGGAGATCCGGACGGATGTGCGGGCGCCGGGGGAGGAGGAGGAGCGAGCGCCTAGGATTTTTGGGTGGGGGGATGATGAGTAGGTCTTTGGTGATTTGGTGGGTGGGGGAGGTTGGAGCTCTGGTGCGACTTGCTGACAGGTCACGGGTGACTTTTAGCCCGCGTAGGATGCGGTTGGAAGAAGTTGCAAGTCTTCAGGGCTTCCCGGGTGTGATCTGGTGACGCTGGGATAGGATATAGTCTTTGCAATGTGACGGATCAGGAAAGGCTCGTTGCTGCAATTGCAGAATGTTGGCAATGCGTTGGTTGAGCAGAAGCGGTGGCAGGACATCACGACAGCGCAGCGATGGCTCAGAGAAATCTGGAGGGGCGGTTGGTTCTGCCAGGACATCGATTGGCTTTCTGTCACATACTAGAGGGGCTTCTTGAGGGCGACAGATAGCTAAGGTATGCATTCTCTCACCTCGCACCCAGGACCCTCGTAGGGAGACGCTGTCGAACAGTGCCTGCTCCTGTCGCCCTTCGCCGTCCCTTCGACCACTGACTTCTCGCTCTCTTGTAACCTGTACCTGTACTTCGCGGCGAGAACACTAGATCGATAGCCACGCATCAAATACGCCACATAACAGACGACAGATCAAAGCTGTAGTCACGTCCAAAAAGCCCTCCTACCCTCCTACCCTCGTCTCGAGGAGCGCTGCCAAGACACGAATCCTACGGGGCTGACGAGATCGCATCCACCAAGCAACCGGTCACTCGTCACTTCGAAAGGGATCTTAGAAAGACTGCTTCCTCCGTTCGGACGTCTGGTGGGCGCACGTAGGGTTCCAACGGCCAACGGCGGCGCATTGGTTGCAAGATGAGGTCTGCTAAGACTACGGTGACTGCGGCCTTCTTTCTCGTGCGTAAGGTGGGTGTTACGTGACTCGGATCATTATACGGGAAGAAGTATATAGACTCTTGTCTTTTTGGATGTTTTGCGAGGTAAGGAAGGATTTCTCTCTTCTATCTGTCTATCTGTCTTATCACTTTCCTCGTTTCGAAAATGACTACGTCGGGACAAGTCCATGTGATCGCCAAATCTAACATCGGCTCCCACACCACCGTCCCCTTCACCACAATCCCCGTTCCGCTCCGAGATGGCCAAGTCCGCATCCGCAGCGCCATGATCTCCTTAACGAACAACAACCTCTCCTACGCCCAACTCGGCACCCCGTTCAAATGGTGGGACGCCTATCCCGTCCCCTCTTCCCTGCCGGCTCCATACAACGATCGCGATGCCTGGGGTATCGTGCCAGCATGGGGATATGCGGAGGTAGTGGAGAGTAAAGTCCCAGGACTCGAGGAAGGGGTGCTTGTTTGGGGATTCTGGGCAACGGGGGATCTGCCTATTGACTTTCAGATGGAGAAGGTGGAGGGGGTGGAGGGGCAGTGGGTGGAGGTTAGTTCCGCGAGGGCGGGGTTGATGAGTTTGTACAACCGCTACTTCGTGCGGGATGGGAGGACGAGGCTACAAGGGTTGGGGGAAGGGGAGGTGGAGAAGATGGAGTGGGAGACGGCTGTGAGACCGGTGTGGGAGGCTGGTTATTTGCTTAATCATGCGATCTTTGGGAGGGAACATATCCATCCTTCTGGGGAAGGGGAATGGAGCTTAAAGGATGCGAGCTTAAAGGACGCGGTTGTCGTTAGTCTTGCGGCTTCGGGGAAGACTGCCCTCGCGTTCGCGGAGGCGGCGGTGTGTGGGCGGGAAACTGGGGAGGGGCCATTGGGGTTTCTGGCCGTTACGTCTGCTGGGAAGAAGGGGTTAGTGCCGGAGGGAAAAAGTCCGACAATGACAGTGGAGTACGCGAGGATGGCGGAGGAGAGCACGATGGAGTGGATCGAGGCTCAGCGGCCGAAGAAGATCGTGTTGGCCGACTTTGGCGGACGAGGGAGCTCGCTGCAGGACTTGCATCAGGCGCTCGCTCAGCGGTTTGATGGGGTCGAGATCATGGTCATCGGTGTAGGAGGGAACCCGGAGATCAGGACTGCTGAGCAGTTGGGGCAGTGGGCACAGCAGAACGCGATGAACTCCAGCTTCGAGCGGATCAGGATGAATACTTCTGGTGTTCGAGAGACGCTGTTGAAGAATGGAGATGCTAATGCCTACTTCCAGGGCGTTGATGAGGCATGGGGTCGCTTTCGGCAGAGTAGCTGCGTGAGCGACTTGAAGCTTCAGCTGGGCCACGGCATTGCTGGGGATGATGGGTTTGAAGGGGGATGGACGGCGATTTGCGAAGGAAGGGTGAAGAGCGATGTTGCCATGGCGTATAGAGTTTAGATCGAGGTGGCTGGTGTAGTCGAGATGGAAGCTCTTGGTTGACTTCAGGTTGTTCTCCACAACTGCAGTCGAGCACATCCTTGTCGTCGCAAAACCGGCTTGCAGCTGGTGGAGCGGACAAGGATTCAGCGCCACACCCAAGTGATGTCACTCAGGGCGAAGAGAAGACCTCTGTCGCGTTTGTTGGAGACGGAGGTATACAGACTGTTCAATTGGACGTGTTGTTGAACTGTCCCTCCATCGCCTATTGTTTACAGTATTGACGACATGGAAGACCTCAAGAAGCAGAACGCACAACTCCAAGGTGAGCTCCATCGACCCCCAATACCAGTCCGTGCCTCCCTGTGGCGGTCGTACAGGAATCTGGAACCCGGGACGCCCTCGAGCGCGTGCATGTGCATGGGTCTCGGGGGACGTCATGTCTTCATCTTGAGAGCTGTATTCAAGTCGTCTCGCCTCATTGTCACAACTATCATTGAAGCACCACATTTCCACGAAACACTAGCTAACACCATCCACCAGAGGGAGTCGGCAAGATCAAAATGGTAGACAACGACCTCAAGAAGAGCCCGGCGGCCAAAGCCCCAGCTTCATCAGCACAAAAGTCCACTCCCAAACCCGCTGGATCCACGCCCGCGAAGTCCGCGACGAGCACACCTTCCAAAGCTCCTGCGGCGGCGAAGAAGCCAGCGCCCAGCACGCCAGCATCGTCTGCGCAGAAGACCGCTGGATCGGCCGCCAAACCAGCGTCTTCTGCTGCTAAGCCCGCTACCTCGCAGGCGTCCGGCGGAGCCAAGCAGCCCGCACAGCCGGCGCAGAAATCTATGCCACAGAGGCCGAAGCCCCAGCGGGCACCGTCTAGTCACTCGGCCATTGGCTCGAAGAAGCCTGTCCCTGCGCAGGTGAAGCCTCAAGGCCAGAAGGCTCCTTCTGTCGCGGGCTCTACGGCTTCTGGTCCGGCGAAGACTGCTTCTTCGACTGCGAGTAAAGCTTCAGCTCCCGCGAAGAAGCCCGCGCCTGCGCAAGTGAAGCCGCAGACTCAAACGGCTCAGAACAAGGCTAGCTCTACGCCGGCGAAGAAGCCTGCGGGCGCTGCTGGGGGTGCTGCGCAGAAACCTGCTGGTTAGTAATTCCCAGCTTCTCGGAAGACGTTTGATAGTATGCTAATATATTGCCCAGGCACCGCCCAAAACACCGTAAACAAGACTGCCGACACAGCAACCGGCGCCGTCGGCAAGGGCACCGACACCGCCACCTCCGGCGTCAACAAGACCACAGGCGCCGCAACCGGTACGTCCACGTCCTCCTCGTATCTGCCCGCACACATGGACTTCTCCGCCTCCCAGTCCCAAGTCCTCTCCATGCTCCCCTCGTGGCTCACATCCCGCTGGGCGGCCGCCGAGTCCGCGCATCCCGGTTTTGGAAGTTCCGCCAATGCTGACGCTCAGCAGGTGCCGTCGACAAAGCGTCCGGGGGCAAAGCCGCGCCGGTGACGAAGAAGACGAACCAGGTTGCTGGCGGGGCGACGAAGACGGCTGGTGGTGCGGCGAAGGGAGCGACGAACACAGCTGGGGGTGCTGCGAAGGGGGTGGGCGGGACGGCGAGTGGGGCGGTGGGGAACCTTGCGAACACGGGGAAGGATACGGCCGGGGCGGTTGGAAGGGGGGATGTCAAGGGGGCGGCTGGGGGTTTGGCGAAGGGGACGGGGCAGACTGTTGCTGGTGAGTGACATCGTTATGCGTCGATGTGAATGGTTGAGGCTGACTGCTGGAACAGGCGCTGGCAAAGGCGTTGACAACACCGTGTCTGGCGTTGGCGATGGCGTCGGAAACACTGTAAGCCTTCCTTCCGTGTGATCTGGAGATATGCGCTGACGCCGCTTCTAGGTTGGCGGCGCTGGCAAGAACGTTGGAGACACTGTCGGCGGTCCAGTCGGCAAGACTGTCGGCGACACTACAGGAAACGTAGGCAAGACGGGAGCCGCAGCCACGAAGGGCGTTGGCAAGACCGTAAGCAGTCCTCGTACCTTGACCCTCATGCACTTCTTTGCTAAAATGTGTAACCAGGTTGGAGACACAACCGGCGCCCTAGGCAAAGGCGACGTCAGCGGTGTCGCATCCGGCGCTACCGGTGGTGTAAATCTCCCTTGCCCCAACACGCCCTCCATTGCAAGCTAACACTCCCTGAAACAGGTCGGCGACACAGTCTCCGGCACCGGCAAAGGCGCAGGCGACACCATCGAAGTAAACCTCTCTACCCCCGACAAATGTAAACACAACTCACTAATATACCTTCACAGGGCGTCGGCGACAGCGTCGGCGGCTACATCCCCAACAAGCGCGTTGGCGGTGCAGTGTCGGGCGTCGGAAAAGGCGTTGGCGATACTTTGACCGGTGTTACTGGCGGTACGTCACCAACCTCAATCCACAACTATGGTGAAGACCATGCTAATAAACGGGATTGATAGGCGTCGGCGACGGCGTAGGCAAGATCGGCAAAGGCGACGTCGTCGGCGGCGTGGGCTCTACAGTCGGAGGCGTAAGTACCCAATCTCTCCCCACCATTCCACCCTCACCTCTCCTCATTCATCCTCTCTTCTCTTCGTGTACTAACGTATTCTGTATAGGTGGGCAAAGGCGTCGGCGGCCTGGCCTCAGGCGTCTGGGGCGGCGTTTCGGGCAAGAACCAGAAGCAGAAGGACGAGGCTGCCGCGAAGCAGGAGGCGGGTGAGGCTGGTGGGGAGGGTGAAGGTGAAGGGGAGGGAAAGGAGGAGGGGGGGAAGGGGTTCTTTTAGGGGCATGCTGGACGATTGAAGAAAGGAAAGGGAAGAAGGGAGATTTGGAAAAGTACTTGTAATCTGGCGCGTGGGTGTGTTGGGAGATAGGTAGTTCGTGACAAAGGCTCAGTTCGGCTGGTTCAAACGTTTTCAAGTGGTTGATTGAACGTTGCAGTCGTACTCAGTACTTCAGTACTATCATAGTCGCTGCTGGCTCTCAGTACTAGCGGGTGTGTTTTCGCGCCAACCGAGGACAAATAATCCTCCCGCAACATGTCCTCAGATCGTTCAGGTGAGTGGCCTTATTCTCATCCGTCGTCCTCATCCCTCACATATCAAGCAACTCCTCCGCATAATCATCCAAAGTAACCACCCGAAACCGCTCCCCCCACTGCTCCCGCCACCCCTTCCTCGTATACCCCGCCGAAATATTCCGACTCCAACTCACCAACTCAACCCTCCAACCCTTCCGCAGCGCCCGCTCCGCCATCGCCATGAACCCCTCGCTATACTCCGCCTGCGCCGCGTCCCCGGTCGCCAAGACAATCGTCGACGGCGTCTCGGCATCCACCACGCTCTCCAGAATCTTCAGATGCAAAATCTCGTCCACGCCCTGCTCGATCATCTTCGCGGGCGCGTATTGCGGTGCGGTCGTTTCCGAGCCGCTGCCGCCGCCGTTGACCAAAGCTACATTGTTCGACGCAGGCGCTTTCGCGCGCCACCGGACGCCGTAGCGGTCGTGTTCTTTGAAGAAGATTTGGCGCTCCGTCAGCTCGCGAGCCTTGTGTACTTTTTCAAGTATGCTGCACTCGTAGCCGACGGCTTTCGCCTTGTCAAAGGCAGGCTGCCAGGGCGTGGAGCCGGCGAGGACTCGTTTGGCCACTGGTCGCCTGCGTTCCATCAACAGGGCGAGGGCGTCGAAGGACATGTCTGCGTGGGGGAGCTGGGTCCAGGGTGGAATGCCGCGGGAGCGTTTCAGCTGGTCGTTGAAGCCGATGAAGATGTTGCTGGCGTCGACGAAGACGTGGATTCCATTTGGATCGTTGTTGTGGGTGGTGAGGTTCATGGGCGAGACGAGGTACTTGCGGTCTTCGTAAAACTCTCCTATGAGTTTCATGAGAAGCGCCCAGTGCCTGTCCTCGCCGGAGCGAACGATCATAGGCTGAATGAATGAAGGTTTCTTTGGTGGTAGTGATGCCGGTGCGACTGCGTGCGAGGGTGGAACGATCTGCTTCTGCTGGGTCTTGTGATGCGGTCCTACAGTCGCAGGGACGAACTGAAGGGTAGCTGGGTCGGAAACATGTCCAGATGGTGTCGATGGTGGATGCTGCGAGGCCACTGCAGCGGGTTTAGTTGGCCGAGCAGGCTGTGCAAGTGGTACAACAGGCTGCGAGTTGTGTCTGGCAGGAGTGCCGCGAGTGTGTAAAGTCCCTCCATTCGGCACATTCTCCTTCTGCTGAGTGAAAGCATTTTTGTTATTCTGCTTAGCAGACTCAAGCGCTTCTCTAGCCGTCTTTGCAGCTGCTAGAAGCGGATCTGGTCCAGACGGCGTCACGACCTTCCCAGAAGCATCTCGCTCTCGCAGGCTGTAGACTTTTGTCGGAGTGGCATTGACAGCATGTGAGCTCGCCTTCTTCGCCGGAGCCTTGCGTGGAACAATGTCGGCCTCGGACTCAGAATAAGCGGCTGCAACTCTCTTGGGAAGCACCTCAGCTTCAGCAGCCTCCTTAGCCCTCCTCTCTCGCCGGTTCTTCTTCTTCCGTTGCGATTTCGTAAGAGTTGGGCTTTCAGGTATTATCGAGCTGTCACTAACAGTCTCCCCGCCCTGCTCTTCAGTATCGCTGAGGTTCTGCCATCGCACATTCCGCTTCCAAGCTGACGCAGGAATGAAGGGAGCAGCTCCGTCGGAAGCGTAGTCGGTCTTGGTGGTGAAGTATTGGGGTGCTGATTCGGCTGGTCGATTGGGTTGTGCTGGCTGTACTGCCGGCGCTGGCGAATTGACCGGTGTGCCGAGATACTGAAATATCTTGCTGAAGTCGCCTAATGCTGCCTTTCGAGTAGCGAAGTCTCTGCTCTCTATATCACTGCCGCCCTCCTCGTCCAACCCTGACCTGGTAGGCTCGTCTTTGTCTCCATTGTCGGTGTGTTGGCCAGCGAGCGTGCCTTGTTGAAATGATAGTGAATTGACGAGGTCAAGCACGTGGGAAAAGTCCCAATGGTGCGACTGAGTTGTCGCGGTCATGTAATGCTAGCGATTGCGTGCTCTGAGAGGCACGGCTTAGGTGGTGGTTGGTATGGTGGCGGCGGACAAGGTACTAGCTGAGAGTGAGCGCTGTCCATGTAGGGTATGCAGTGAGCACGAACTGTTTCAATCGTTTTCGCATTGCGGTATGCGATGTCAATGCAGGTGGTTGAAGAGTGCAAGAAGTAAATCCATAAAGGTAGAGCAGTCATCGATAGGTGAGCTCGGCTTTGTGGCAATCGCGTGGGATGATCACGTGGTCGCTCTTTCACTCCAATTTCATCTGACCTCACTTCCAATATGCTCTTGGCCACTATCAAATATGTACATGATTTAACGGCCGCTTACGATACGATGAGCGAATGAGAGGCCCCACGATGTCTGCCCCGTAGATAGCTACTTCCCACCCTCTTCCCGCCCTGAGCCAGATTGCTTCTTACTTGCGGAGGACCGCGAAGAACCTCTAGGAGAACTGAGCATGTCCAGCGCAGCAGACTTCTGGTCTGGCTACGTATCGGGAGCAATAGGCATCCTGGTCGGAAACCCCCTCGACCTAATCAAGACCCGCCTCCAAGCCGGCACCCCCTCCCCAACCCCCAGCTCTCCTCTTCCGTCCGGACCACCCCCCAACCTCCCCTACCCCAAACACCTCACCACCTGGACCACCGGCGCCGCGGCCCCCATCCTCGGCTACGGCGCCCTCAACGCCCTGCTCTTCGTAACCTACAACCGCAGCCTCGCGCTCCTCTCCACGGGAACCCTCTCCCAGCTCCCGGACCACCCCTCCGAGACCAGTGTCTGGGCCGCAGGTGCATTAGGAGGACTGGCGATCTTCTTCGTCTCGGCGCCGACGGAGCTGGTCAAGTGTCGGGCGCAGGTGAGTCGGCCGGCAAGGTCGAGCTGGGAGGTGACGAGGGAGTTGTGGCGGGATGGAGGGGTGAGGGGGTTGTATATGGGGGGCGGGGTGACGAGTGTGAGGGATGCGGTTGGGTATGGGTTTTAGTAGGTTGAGTTAGGTATGATCGCCAATGCAGAATGTGATGCTGAGTATGCGTGTAGTTTCTGGAGTTACCATCTCAGCAAGCAAGCTGCGTTGAGCGAGGGCGACAGCCACAAACAGCACGCTGTGAAGATCTTGCTCTGTGGCGGTCTTGCTGGTGTGGTGACGTGGGCGTCCATCTTCCCGTTGGATGTCATCAAGACTCGCGTGCAGACCTGGGATCTGGTATCGAGGTCTCGTCCAGCTTCGGCAGCCAGTGGTGAAAGCCAGCCTCTGCTTCGAAGTCAGCCAGCAGCACCGAATCCAAGCATCGTTTCTGACAGGCCGAGTACGTACCACATCGCCAGCACCACCTACCGCAGCGAAGGCATCAGCGTCTTCTTCCGTGGTCTGGGCATCTGCAGTGCCAGAGCCTTCTTCGTCAACGCTGTGCAATGGGCTGTCAGTATCTCCATCCACTCCAACTTACCACACAAGCACTAAACAATTATAACAGGTATACGAGTGGATGATGAATCTGCTAGCTTCATGACGTTGCTACCTATCTGCTACTCAACAAGCAAGCGTGCAGTCCGGGCGTGCAAACATCCAGCATAGTCAGACATGTGCAGATCGCATATCAGTAGCTCTCCCATCTTTTGAATTGAATCAATCACAGCCCGTCGAGAGAAGTCGCAAGAAGTCCCGCCTAGTGTTACAGACAAGAAAGTCGCTTTTTCCGCTGAAAGCCGTGATGGGAGACGTAGGGCATCGCTGGCCGCTCTGATATGCATGAAACGTTCCGTATGGTACAGACCATGCCGCTGGTGGGAGCCAGTAGCAGTCGTAGTCGAGGATGATGAAGGTGGACGTGTGCGTCGGCAAGGTCGAGGACGATGTCATTGCTGTCCGGTGGCGGCGGGAGACCTTACATGATCTGGTCTTGCATGCCTCCAGTCGCCTCCTGGCCCTCCATGTTGTCACCACCCTGGTTGAGGTACTTGACGTAGGAGAGTCCGAGAGGACGCCCGCCGTAGGTGTAGCCCTGGAACTTCGCAATGGCAGTCTCAGCGTCCTCCTGGTTGGCGAACTCAACGACGCCGGTGCCGCGAGAGCGACCGTTCGGTTCGTACTGGATCTCGGCGCGCTCGACTTTGGCGATCGTGGTGAAGAGCTCGACCAGGTCCTCGTTGCTGGTGGACCATGGCAACTGTGTCTCGTTAGCTTGTGTGTATGATGTGAGGGCTCTGGAAGACTTACGTTGCGGACGTAGATGGTTGGGCTCATCTCAGTGCCGGACGTCGCGAAGTCGGTGAAGGGGTTCGGCTGAGCAGCAGGGGCTGGGGCAGGGGCGCTGTAGCCACCACCGCCTGCACCACCTCCGTATCCACCGCCAAATCCGCCACCTCCCTGGTATCCGCCGCGACCACCGCCATAGCTTCCTCCGAATCCGCCGCGACCTCCGAAGCCGCCGCCGAAACCTCCACGGGCTCCGTAGCCTCCACCTCCGTAGCCGCCACGGAACGGCATGCCACCGCCGAATCCACCGCGACCACCACCATAGCCTGGTCCGGCTCCTGCCCCGGCGTAGCGGTCTTCGCGAACTTCGAGGACTCTACCCTGCCAGTCATAGCCGTTGAAGTGAGCGATCGCGTTCTGAGCGTCGTCTGGGTTGTCGAAGGCGACGATGCCGGAGCCCTTGGGGTGGCCGTCGGGGCCGATGTGGACGTCTGCACGAATGACGGAGCCGACTTGAACTAATGATGAGGTCAGCGAGTGAGGCAGCGAGGATGAGGTTTGGAGCCTGTACATACCAGCTTGGCGGAAGAGGTCCTTGAGATCCTGCCAGCCGACAGTGTATGGAAGCTACAATGGTCAGTATTCTGTGTTGGAGGGGGATAGGATCACAAACGTTGGAGACGTAGATCTGACGTCCACCGCCCCCCATTCCGCCTCCCATGCCTCCGCCGTATCCGCCGCGGAAGCCTCCACGACCTCCGTATCCGCCGTCGAATCCGCCGCCGCGCGGTGGGCCGGACTGGAACCGTGGCTCCGTCTCGCGGTCCTAATGACGTCAGTGAAATGATCTCGTAGCAAAGTTTGAAGATTGCACTTACTTCGCGCACGTAGACGAGGCGCCCGGCGAGGGGCCTGTTCGAGAGGGTGTTGATCGCGGCCTGTGCCTGCTCTCTAGTTGCGTACTCAACAATTCTGCAGAGGAAGTCAGTGAATTTGCCAGTGAGCTGAAGTGAGCAAACAAGACTTACCCGCATCCCTACACAATGGACAAAAAACCTATCCGTCAATTATCTGTCCCTCAATACCACGGAAGCCAGGTTTCTAGCCATGACACCTAATTACCTTGCTCATCCCGTTCGGAAGTAGGAGGACGTCCGCGAATAGTACATCGCCGGCTGTGTGGCAGTTAGTCTCTGTGGCATGCGAGGGAAAAGGTGTGAAGCTTGCCTTCTTTCATGAACTCTTTGAGTGCGACCCACTTGACGTCGTACGGGAGGTTGCCGACGTAGACACGGCGCTCTTGCTGAGAGGACTCGCGGATATTAGACATCATCTCGGCCTTCTGCTGTGCGCGGTCTTCGAAGGAGCGGACTGGTGGCGCGCGGCTGCGATCTCCGTAGGAATCGTACTTGCCGTTGACTGGCGAGCGAGAGCGACGGCTGTGGTACCTGTCGCGGGAGCGGGAGCGGCTGTCGTCGTAGCGGTTACGACGGGCGGGCGAGCGGCTGCGCGAGCGGCTTCTCCTCTGCCACGTTGGCCTGTTAGCCTTCAACCACGGGGGCTGTGGTGGGGTCGACATGATTGCGGTTTAGGAGAAGAAGAGGGTGGAGGAAAAATGAGGGTGGAAGCATTTGCTGTCAAGGTATTGTTGCCAAGGCCAGGGGTCCAAGCGCCAGACAACCGCCACCCATAGACAACACCACCGGCGGCGCCAGTACAGTCACTGCTAATGGTGGCGGAGGTTGTCGCCAGCGCGGAGAAGAGGCGCATCCAGACAACTTCAAGCACAAGCAGTCCATGTTCCATTCCAAAATCCCTGAGGCAGGACCACCGCGGGCACCAGTACAGCCACTGGTAGTGGTGGTAGCAGTATGTCGCCAGCGCAGAGAAGGACCGAGTCCAAACAACATCAAGAAAATCCAGTCCACGATTCATCCTCAGATCCCCGAAGCAGGGCCATCGCTGGCGCCAGTACAGCCAATGAAAAGACCTGATGTCCATGGTATTACTCCTCCAGAGAAGGAGTACGTCGGACCAGTACCACACATCGAGACACAGTCGAATGATGATAGCCAGAGTCCACCGTACCGCCACCACTCAGCCAAAGAAAAAGCAGAGCGGCCACCGCAGTCGGGGGCAAAGGTCGAACAAGCTGGACGTATGCTCTGAGAACACACCGCCTAACCTTCGACCCCGACTGAGACCATCATTGCCGGTATCGCTGGCAGCCTCATTTCCGCAAGGCGCAGGAGTGCAGTGGGGCAACAGCTATTGCCATGGCCATCCAAAGGCTGATGTGGCCTAGGAGAGCGGCGGCGGGCGACAGCAGTAACGTCTGCGGGAGTAGCATTCTGTCATGTGGTATTGCTGAGTCCTGAACCGTTCTCCAACAGGCTGTTGCTGGTGCCACACCTGCAGCGGCAATGGTATGTACCAGCATGGCTGGGGGGTATGGAATGTTCCCAGCCATCTCTTATATCTTGCTTTCCTTCTTGTCTCCTTTCCTCGGATCTTTCTCCTCTTGTTCGCATCTTCCAGTCCGAATTCGAGTCTCATGGGCCAGTACTCCGGTCGTGCAAGGTCAAGGCCAGAAAAGAAAAGCAAAAAAAAGGAAATGTCAAAAGTTTACTCACTTCGCGCGCCGGGCGGTAGTTGTCGTCTGTATGAATGAGTGTAAGCAAGGTATTCCAAACGAGTAGAAGTGTGATCCTCAAGCGCCAGGGTACAGGGCAAAGCCTGACTGAGTGCTGAGGGAAGGGTGAGGTGAGGTGAAGGGAGGAGACTTACCCATGGTGGTAACGCGTCTGTCCCTTGGTGAGGGTAAGGTGATGTGCAGCACGTTGCTCTGAGCTGGATTTCGGACGCGACAGGGGTCCTAGGCGTCCTGCGAATACATGTCAGTGTCAAGCTCCACCTCTGAGTGCGAGCGCGGGCGTCACATGCGGCTTGCGGCGCGAAGTCTTCTGAGCAAGGCAGGACGGCAGTCCATGGCGCGCTCCAATAGGATGCACCACAGGCCAAGTAGCCTCTGCGGTAGACTCGGTGGCCTGCGTCGCTATCGTCGATACGTGCGAGGCTGCATATGCGCATGCCTGCAGTATTAGACTGCCCTCACTCACAAGACCCACCCGGCAGGTTCACTGTGCTCTCGCGCTCGCGCCACTGCTCTTCCGCGGTCAGGCTGTTCACTTACACGAGGAGTGCCGGCGCACTGTGTGGGATGTGCAGCCGATGTAGGATGCGCGTTCGAGGGCGGTAGTGGCTGCTATTCCGCCGCGCGGTAGTGTCTTGTTGAGATGAGTGGACCACGGACGCAGAGCGAATGAGCTCGCGCGGTGGTGCTAGGGGATGGAGGGACAACGATGGTCGACGCGAGTTGTGCCGTCTACCAGGGTTGTTGGGTTGTGGTGGGTCGAGGGTGTGTGATGGTTGTGGGAGAGCAAAGCTCGAAGAGGCAGCTCGCCAAGCCCTGTTCACTTCTGCCCGACGAGCTTCCTCTGCCTTCGCCACCCGCGATTGGCCCTCCTCGCCCTTCTTTGAATCTCGTTTATGTACAAGTACCTCCTTCTATCTTACATGACCAGGCTCAGCTGCCAGACATCTCACTGGGAGACATCGTTGATATACCGACAGCGCGGACGCGTCGCTTCACTGCGTCTTCACCTGACACAGTTGCAGTGATGCCGTGCTCAACCACCGAGGCCTCCCTCAAGTCCTACATCGACAGCAAGAAGGACCTCACAGATGCCGAAAGATCACCCGAAGACCGCTGAACCAGACCGACGAGATGCGCCAGCCGCCAGCATGCAACGGGAGATAGCTGATAGCTGCTGCAGAACGGACTGAAAGCAATATTAAACAAGAGCCCTGGCGAACCTGGCTCATAATCATCCTGCAGTAGTTCACCACGACAGCGTTAGTCCCCTGTACGTTTCCCTCATCTCCAGTCCTCGGAGCCAACGGAAACGTCTCTACTCCATCACCACTCCAGACCTCATGCATTAGACGGTCTTACCGCCTGCTCCCCGTCTCCACATCATTCTATAGCGCTGCATATGTCGCGGGACATGGTTGACATTGACCATGAGATGAGGGATGGGCGAGTATTGGGCAGGGAGCGGTGCGCACATGGCAGGTGGCAAAACATCATGGTGGGTGCTGATAAGGGCCGATGACCAGCGGTGAACGCGTTGAAGGAGAGCAGTTGTACACCGGACATCGACAGAACGCATGTTGAGGAGCATCAAGGTACACCGCTTCGCGAGCTTTGTTGAAGTACCACCGGTCAGCACGAAGTAAGCTACGGCAGGGCTTTGTTCGATCACGCGCATAGGGCTGCTCCAATCCCCACTTCGATCATCCGGTGAGAGACAATCGCCTTGTGGCGTTCTTCGGGCAGCTGGGGTTTGCATATGCCCCAGTCACTAGAGCTCAACCCCCGGGGCGACGACAAGTAGACGGAGCAGCTGGTAATCGCTCCCTCAATCATTGGGAGCACGTCTTACGCGCCGTGCCAGCATCGACCCATGAAGACGAACGTCAAAGCGGAAGAATTATCCCATTAGCCCGGCGAAAATGTACCACGTTTTGGCTCCGCGGACTGATCTTGAGACAAAACTTGGCACCAGCCTTCAAAACAAGGACGAAAAGAGTGCCTGTGAGTAGTCCCATTTTCCTCTCCTCTGTCGCCTCTTCGGGGATTTTACCCTTCCCGTCGAACTTTGCCGTGTTTGCATCAATGAGCGGTACACACGCACGGCACTCTCCGCTCTACAACAGCAGCAGGTCGCGATCATCCGATGCTTCCTTTCGCGAATGCAACGTCAATCCGAATACCAGCTCGTATTACTCTCCTTCATCATCGAATGCGAGTTGAAGGGACAAAGAGACGACTTCTCCTTTTGCGGCGCTAACGCGATTGATTCAAGCATTGCAAGATGTTGAGTTCTTCCGATGGCGAAGCACGACGTACTCACAACTTCCTATGGCTATGATTGACCTCTGAAACAACAGCGTCTGGAGCAACTGCTTCTCGAATGCCACTCACTTCACACTTGACAACGATGCCGGGATCAGATGGAATGACAAAAGTATGCACGCATGTGTGTTGCAACAACATCAAGGATCGAATACGCGCCACCGAATGACTTCCGCACGCGTTCAGATCCCCGACAACCACAAAGAAGAGCGTTTCGAAGTCGCAACGAGTAAGACAAGTCGGCACGGCCACGAGGAGCAACACCTACGGCAAGGAAGAGGAGAACAATGTTCATCCGCAGCGGTGCGATGGTAAACGCCCACATATGGACGCGTCTGCCTACTCATCATGGACCTTGACTGAATGCGTTAGGCCTCCTCACCTCCGGTGCAGACGAGGGCCGTTTCAGGAGACTGAAGAGGTAGGACGACGTGACCGACATGACCGATCGTCCCATACGCAGCGACCATCCAATTTCCAGCCGCACCAAGAAGAGGAAGCACTCTCGTCTTCAAGTACTATGCTCTTCAGCGCTACCGATGTCCAACGCCATCGAAGCACAAGATCTTTCTTACTGTCCTGATGTTGGCGATTCGGGAGCTTTGCACGATCGCGATGCTCAAAGGCGCACACGCGCATACGACTTCTACAACAACAAGAACAAGGGCAATTACACCCTCTTCGTTTTACTCACACGCGCTTTGTTCCTCCGAGACCCAGAGCGGAACAGGCTCTGACAGTGGCTGCACACCCGTGAGCAATCAATACTGCCACGAGCATAGCGGATGGGAGCGGAAAACGATTACAAGGACAAGACACATGCTGCATCAACAAAGCAATGCCGGAGGCGACAAGGACTGACAAACGCTGCGCTGACTGCTGGAATCTCGACCACTCTTTCGGGCAGACCAGGTCGTCTCTTGACTTCCGATGACAACGAGGGCACGTGTGACAGCGTAGCAGAGTCAACACGCCTTGTCGAAGGTTTTAAATGCTTCGCTCATGGTGCACACGGACCTTTTTGACTTTGGGAGCTGTAAAAGGGCGACGCACGAGCAGATGCCTTCCCAAGACTACGGCTTATCTGTCGGTTAAGACGCCACGAAGTCACTTCAACAGTGGCTTCAGGTCAGTGGTTCTGCTCCCTCCATGGAAGTCTATCTTCTTCCTCTATGGTTCCCTCGGGTGGTCGGTATAAACTTTTGCTCTTAATGAGTTGAGAAGGCTCACTCTTCTCTTTTGTCCACCTTCCACAATACAGGACGAAAGGTCGAAACCTGGAACACTGGTATACGATGATCACATGTTATCAGACGCGGTTTGCAGACGGCGGTAGGGTGGACAACGACAGTAGTAGCATGGTCAATTAGGCTTACGCAATTCACTGCTGTTATCCTCGTTACTTGCACATTACGATATGACCGCTCGCATTTACCTCCTACATGCTTCCAGGTTAGTTTAATGTTGTCGTCACGTGTGAAGGCACAGCATAAGCTTTATGCAGACCGGCTCGGTCCGCCTAAGGACATCATCGCGTGTTTGCCTTCGACTACTTCGACCCAAGATCATCGTCGACTTCTCTGCGGAAACAGTCTGATCTCTTGACCACTATCACGCCGCGCACTCCATCACCTCCCCATCATCGACCTCATACAGTCACCAGCAGTCACACAACATGGCAGAGAACGAGCTCAAGCAGATCGTCTCCCAGCTGGACTCCCTCAAAGCCAACAACCTCTCCGAAGCACCCAAACTACTATCACGCGCGAAACTCGCCCTCCTTAACCTCAACGCTCTCGTGCCTACAGAGAAGACACAACCACAACACCTCGCTCTCGCCGCCTCAGTCCTCGAATACGGCGCGCTCATCAGCATACGGCTCCAGGATACCGACGCCTTCACCCGCTACTTCCAACAGCTGCAACCTTTCTACTTTCTCCCCAGTGACCGGTCGCCCAGCAGAAGACAGAGTAACCAGGGTAAGGTGACGGGACTCTACTTGCTTCTGCTGTTGAGCGTGGGTGATTACGCGGGCTTCCACACTGTGCTGGAGGGGCTGGAGGCGAGTAGCGGGAAGGAGCAGATCGAGAAGGATGACTTTATTCAGTATCCCGTGCGGTTGGAGCAGGCTTTGATGGAGGGTAGCTATGATAAGGTTTGGGGCGAGACGAAGGGTGAGAGGGTGCCCAGCGAGGAGTTTGGGGTGTTCTCTGAGGTATGTCCACCTGAATCCCGCATGTTCACAAGATGAATTGCTAATACCTATCACAGGTCCTCGTCAACACCATTCGCTCCGAGATCGCATCATGCTCAGAGCGCGCATACCCCTCGCTGCCCATATCGAACGCGAAGAACCTGCTCTTCCTGGACTCCGAGGGTGCGGTGATTCAGTTCGCGCAGTCTCGCGGCTGGGTGGCGAAGGAGGGCAGGATATACTTCCCGCAGCAGGAGGAGGAGATGCTGGCTGCGCAGAAGGATGTCATGAGCAGCAGCAACGTGGTCATTGAGAACACGCTCGGGTACGCGCGGAAGCTGGAGACGATTGTCTAAGGACCTGAGACGAGTCCTCGGGCCTCTTCTCGTGCGGTAGACCGTTCTGCATCTGCGAGGGTGCAGCGTTACTGTGCTATAGATCTGCATACAGCGACAGTGTACTACTACGACTTGATCACGTGCCATGGTCTTACCAAAAAGTAGACCGCTTCCCCCAATCCATTCATCAAACTATCGGGAGTTCTATCAAGCAACTTGAACGTCCGTTAAAGGCCACGGGGGTTTTAGCTCGCAAGTAGGCTCGCAAGTAGCAAGGTGTCTACGGAGTATCACAGGCCAGAGGGGTCTGGAAGGCACAGCCCCACCATTCATCCCACCTCACCTCCATCTTCTCACCTCACGTCGACCTCATACCAAACCTTCAACTCGCGCTCCCATTCATCGCACACACCAGAACGCCGTATATAACCCAGCCGCCCACCATGGCGCCATCCTCAACACTGATCAACAAGATCAAGGTCCAGCTGAAACTGTCCATCTCACGGCTACGCATGGTACAGCAGAAGGACTCCGCCTTAGCAAAGCAGTCCCGCCGCAGCATGGCACAGCTCCTGGAACAAGGCAAAGATGAGAGCGCGCGGATACGAGTAGAGAATATCATCCGCAGCGACATGAACACCGAGCTGCTTGAGATCATCGAGCTCTACTGCGAACTACTCATCGCTCGGGCGGGCCTGCTGGAAGCTAAAGAGTGCGACCCTGGGCTCGAGGAGGCGGTCAAGAGCATTATCTTTGCTGCACCGAAGATTGAGGGTGTCAAGGAATTGACGCTTGTGCGGGCATTGTTGGCCGAGAAGTATGGCAAGGAGTTCACACTCGCTGCTATGGAGAATAGTGACGGGAAGGTCTCGCCGAGAGTTGCGAGTAGGCTGAAGGTGGAGCCGCCGGAAAAGCAGCTGGTGGAGGACTACCTCGCTACTATCGCGGAAGCATACAATGTCGACTGGCCGAGAGGCGCGAAGGCGAGGCGTGAGGCTGAGGCAGCAGGAACGGCAGGGAATGGAGAGGATGAAGCGGATGACGACGAAGATGACGACCCATCCGGCGGTCAGAAGGTGAAGGCTGCAGAGGCACCAATGACTACCGAAGCACTGAGCCGTGCAACACCACCGCGGGACATGGGACCGAAGAGTCCGATTTCCGTCAACCCACCATCTCCCAGCACGGATAATGTGCGACCGAAGGTCAATCTGCCTGGTACTCCTGACTTGAAGCCGAACAAGAAGATGGCTGATGCGGCTAAGAGCAAGGCGGTGAATGGAGACAAGAAGGCGGAGGTGGGGCCTGGAGGCAAGATTCCGGATGTCGACGAGCTTACGAAGAGGTTTGCTCAATTGAAGAGGTAGCCTTGAGATTGCGGACTGCCTGGCAATGGCGAATATGGGGCTGACTCCCCCGCGACTGGTTGTGCCTGGCAAAATCGCCGTTCTATATATTAAGGCCTTCCTCTCTCCGACGCACCACACTGGAACAGATACAACATTATCGACTCCACGTTACATCTACGCCTTCACAGCAAAAGCTAATGTATCACAAAACCCACTACGGATCTAATTCAGATCTTGCTCCGGCCGTCGCCTTGAGTCTGCCGACACCTGCTCTCGCCGCGTCGAGCATGGCCTTCAATCCTTGCGCAACCAGCCAATATGGCTTCTTGGGAGAACTCAACAACGACAACCGCTCGGAACCTCTGCAAGACCGCGAAGAAGCCCGTTACCTGATTGTGTATGAAGAATTAGCTTTCACACTCACAGAACAGAACTGACTCCCGTACAGACAACTCAGCGAAACGGTCAATATCGCCGCATGCATGCTCGAGAGCTACCAATGTGCCAGCATCTTGTGCTTCAACACAAACGCTTTTACGAACGGTCCTTTACCGATATATCCCGTGCCAACTTGGGAGCAGTAATACGCAAGGCAGGTGTGCCAGTTCCATGAGTTGTTCCAGACGACGTGCGCAAAATTGGCCAGCACATACGATGCTCTCACGGTGCTTCCACTTCACAACGTCTTCGTTGCGCAGATCGGCAGCCATAAGACGCTACTCGATGCCGCTATGTCGTTCGGACCGTTGCTCTCCCCCGATGCTGCCGGGCCTTTATCTAAGCCTGTGCTGCAGGGCTCGCAAGGCACCATCATGGTAAATGTGCCCACAGACGCAGAACTACGGTTCCTAAACTCTGTGTCCGAGAAGCTGATCGAAATGAAACTCGGCCTTGCTGGATACCGCGGTTGGACGTCAGTTCTTCGGGATGTGAGGATGTTCTTGGGTCTCCCTCCAGAGATCGAGATCTAGCATCAGACTCCTTCTTTGATTGGAGTTGGTGATCGATCCTCGATTTGGCGCGGTAGAATGTTATTTGGCCAAGTGGTCTATGCGCGGTGTCTAGCTTGACTTCGAACGTCACGGCTCTACATATGTCAGTATCACACGGGCTAGATCTGCTACTCTTTATCCATTCTCCGCTAAGCTCGCACAGTCCACCTCAATCCAGTGTGCCCTTTGCAAGCTGTAGAAATCAAGAACGTGCTAAGACCCGATCACGGGACAGCCGCAAGCACATGTCGAGCAATTCATGACTATGCAATGACTTTTCAGCAAACAGACGCTCGATGAAGCAGCCTCTTTGTCTTGAATAAAGCTGTCTATCCCACCAGGTACCACTCCTCCAACAACTTCCACAATTCAGACAAACGCCAGAACGACCAGGGCACATGGCATCGCAACCTCCAACTGCCGAGCGAGCCCTCCGGGATGCTCTAGCTCGTGAAAACATGATTACTCAGGTACACATGAAGAAGAAGATCGGAGACAATGAAGCTTTGATGAAGGAGATCGAAGCGTGCGCCATGATCGAGTGAGGTGCACTCTCTCGTTGTGTATTCCTGACATCTGCTAACGAAACCCTAGCCATGCTGTCAAGCTTTTGAACATCATGAACGGCACACTCATGAGCTACATCGCAACAGATAGACTCCTCCGAGCTATGCGTACACACGAGGGCGAAGACGGACGAACGGCCTTGCCGATTCCCACCAACTCCCAATACTGCGAAGCGCTCCTCAAGACGCTCACTCAAGCCCTAGCGGCCACGAATTCAATGGCATGCGAGAACATCCTGGCCATCTGGGAGCGTCCGATCGCCTCTGTCTTGCACTCAGGAAAGCCAAGCTTCCTCGCCCTCCTCACCGCGCAGCTCGAAATCGCGCGCTCGGATGGGCCTATTCATCGGGTCATGGCGTCTTTTGAACGACAACGGACCAGCGGTTGGGTGGTTGAGCTCAGTGCAGAGGACATGGAGGAGCTAACGACGTCGGCGGTCAAGATCGCAAGGCTAGCTGCTCACTTCCCAGGCGGTTCGGAAACGCTCGGCGGTCCAGGATGGCGGTACGCTGTTAATGAGTGTCGCGAGTTTGCGAAGTTTCCGGACGACCCGAGTTTCGATGAGGCTATGGAAGAGATGGGGATGCTCGGTCTGGACGACATTGAGGAGGAGTGGCCGGGGGAGGGATGATGCAGTTGTTTCCGTGCTAGTCTGGCTGTGGTCGAGTCTGGTCGAGGTTGGAGGCTCAAAGGTCACATGGGTAAGCCGGGATCTCATTGGTATATCTTCTTGACTCTCTTGCTATGCTCTTTTCATAATCACCTGGAAATATTGCCTTGACCATATTCCCTTGAATCCACCATAGACTTTCATCATTCATTGAGGTCCTTTCTCATGGACAGTACTCTGACCCGTCATTGGCAGACTATTCACGGATGCCTGTCTGCACATGGCGCGAGCAAACATCGTTCCGCAGCGAATGGTAGCAAGCAAATCCGAGTCATGGCTGACTCCCAGGTGACCCTGTGTGTAACAGACTGCTCCGCGCCATGGATAAAACCCTCCAAGGTCGACCTAGGAATCCTGCATAACCTTCCCACCACATTGCAGCACTGAACGGTCGACTCACCCAACCAACCTATGACAATACGATACCACACACACGATCCACACCACGCCGCTCAGCAGAATACTATGCCTCCAAAGCCTTCCAATTCCATCCCTTCGAGGGCGCGAAAATCGGCAAAAGATCTGCAGCTACAACCATTATCACCGCTGGCTGAGAGGCCCAAAAGACCGAAAAAGGTCGTCACTGGTCTAGAAGGCGGCCGGGAAGCGGCCGCGGTCTGGCAGAAGAAGCTGGAAGCCGTCGAGCAAGAACTCGAGGCGGCGAATCGGATTGCGGATAGCAAGAAGAACCATGAGGCTGCCGCTGCGACTTTGCGCGCTCAGCTGAAGAAAGTGACACAAGAACGTGATGAGGCGTATCAGATGGTCATTGACTGTGGTCGCTGCCCATCTGATGCGAAGGAGAAGGCCCGCGCCGGTCTCGAGGCGCCCGCTGAGAATGTTCAGCCTGACCCATCCCTGACGACCATCCCAGAGGTTCCCGAGCCTGTTCAGACCTTGACTGAATCAGCTAAAGCTAAAGTCGAAAGCCCTAAGTCTAGGCAGTCGAGTGAAGGCAAACAGTCTTCAGGATCAAAGCAACCAGCCAAAGGCAAGCAACCGGCGAAAGAAGCAGCGTCTCAGTCAACCGCATCCACGCCAAAGGAAGCCGCGAAGGGAAAGCAGCCAGCAAGAGAGGTCACTCCAGAGCCAGCTATACCTCAGGCGAAGCAAACCTCGAAAGAGAAGCAGTCAGGAAAGGATGTTGCGAAAGAGGCGGCTACATTCATCCTTGGTGCCGCTAACATGGGGCGTCAAGAGGACCTTTTGGAGCACGTTGCGAAGCTCAAAATGACCCCATCTGAAATGGAGGCGCATGCAAAGAGGGTCAAGGAGGAAGCAGAAGTGCACCACATTGCAAGGCATGGCTCCCAACACTGTCGTAAAGAACTCACTGACACACTGCTTCAGTTACACATATGGCATGTTGGACCTTACCATCACTGCGCTGTATAATTTCCGCAGAGCCGACGACTTGGTCAAGGCATTTCGAAAGATTGAGAACAAATCTCCTTCGACAAAGCACTTGGATATTCCCACGAACATGGCGTCTATGATTCATATGCGGAAGACATATGCCCGTCTTTTCGGCGACCTACACTCTTTGAATCACACCAATATCTCTGCGCTGCAGAAGCTTTCGATGCACCAGGAGCTTCTCGATGAGAGGGCCAGTTATCGCGCTCTTGTCCAAACAATTCAAGAATGCGGGAGGGCGCAGATTGTGGAACCGATGATGGCAGCCGAGTATGCCGACGGTGATGATGCGATCTCCCTGGAGCAGCTGACCATGTTCCAACACGCTATCGAAGGTCTCAATTGGCTAGGAAACCCACACCCAGAGTCAGGTGATCTGGGGTGGAGGGATGTGGTCGATGAAATCCAGGAGTCTTTCACGGACCTAACATAACTGTCTTTGGAAGTGAGGGTGAGCATGGGCCGTGGTCGTCATGAGCTACAGCAGAGGCTCCGGTGAGGCTTTCTAGGTGAGCCTTCTTTTGGTAGTGACTTTCTTTTCTGTCTTGTATAATGCTTGTGCATCTTGATTTCTTTCTGTCCAATCTCATTCAATTATACTTTTCATGAGATATGCTATATAAGGTCCTACAGTGAATGGTGTGCAGACGCTTGTATGTTTCGCTCACATTGACTCGGGTCAACGGAACAAACGCAGGGAATGCCAACATGCAATAGCGGCTGACCGCTAAGCCTGCGGTGACACGAATGACGGCAAACAGGCCTCGCAAACAGTTAAAGGGTGTCGCAGCCCGTCAATCCTGAATCCTTTCTTCAACATCGACTCAGAGCTTACTGAACCCAGTTCCACCACATCCTCGACGTTCAGCATAGCACACCAAGGATTTTATCTGCACACAACCAACAACACAACACCATGGGCCCGAAGAGAAAGACACCAGCGCAGGCGAAGTATCCTGCGAAGAAGCAGCAGACAGCCGCGGCTCAGCAGCCACCAGCAGGAGAGCAATCGATGACGGCAAATCAGCTCACGAACGTCGACCAGCACATGGGAGAGGCAGATCAACCTGCTGCTAGGGAGCAGGTAACGGAGCTCGAAGCCACCGCAGAACCGACCCAGCGTGCTAAAGGAAAGCAACCAGCCGGTAAACTTCCTCCCTGGATGACCAAACCACCTTCGAAGTTGAACGTCGGGGAGAAGAAGCTAAAGGCCGAAGTGCAAGCCTGGCACATGGTCAAGTATGCATGGTATGCGCCTGTTGACGAAGTAGCTAATCAGTGTCCGTAGGCACATGGTACACTCGCTGGAGGTGCTACTATCCTGCCTTTCGGGTTTCGGCGCAGCCGTCAAGCTGTCGCGAAACATGCGCACCGTCAAGGAGGAAAAGCTGGGCCTGAACGTCGACGGTGAGATCCAGTACCTAAACAAGCAGCTCAAGTGGTGGTCCCAATTATTCCTGGGCACATACCGTATGGTTTCCGTCAATCGACTCGCGCTAGAGAAGTCCCCGGTCCACGACATAATTAGTGAGGACGTGGACATCGTCGAAGGCCATAGTGAATATTATCGTCTCTATCACGAGGCCATCAACTTCGGCGAAGGCCCGATCTGGCAAGTCATGCAACACATATACGGAAGAGAAGATGGCATCATTCCGGATGAACATGACATGGCTATATTCAACCGGGAGGTTCGATACCGTCAAAGTGCGCATTATGATATCCAAGCGTTGGGCATTGCAGGATGGCACAACGTCTTGAACGAATTCAGTTGGCTCCTTGGAGAGCCCAAACCCGCCCTGCCACCAATCCTGCGGCTGGCGCAACCTGCGAGCTACACTCCTCTGCTGTTGCCTCCATCAAGGGGATCAAAAGCCCCTACTGCAAAGAACAAGCCCAGTGCGACTGCCGGCTTGACCGAAGTCATAATCATGGCCGAGTATGTCGTGTACTGTATGTGAGCATGGTGACTTTGCACTAACCGGCTTGCAGGCACCTTATCTCCCTGATCGGCATTGCAGTCCCTGCACTGAAGAACTACCTCTGGATCGACGGCTTGGTTCGGAACGTGCGAGAACCCCCCCCCAATACGGAGCTCAGAAAAACCCGTTGGTCGATGCTGACCTCGAACTCTACGAGCTGCAATTAACGACGCACATGCGAACGTTCAAGGTCACCTATCAGGCTATACAGCGGACTACCAACGCCGTTATGAAGCTGCCTGTCTATATGACTCTGGTCACGAGAAGAGTCAAAGGGTTCATTTCTCTGATGGACGCAGCGACATCCGAGATGGGCCTTATTGACCGTCGTGAGCCGATGTCTAAGTTCCGCCAAACGCCCGAGTTCGTAGCGACGCTTTGCACCCGAGATGCTAAACTTCAACTGCAGAAGGCCGTTGAGAAGCTTGATGAAATGCACAAAGGGAACCCAGCGCAGGGCACTGGAGGAAGCTGCAATGCGGTTCAGGAGCTTCATGAGGTGAAGGAGCTGTTGGAGCCCAAGACAGAGCCGCCATCAGAGGCCGACGACGACGACGACGATGACATAGAAGAGGACGCGGAGGAGGATAAGGAGGGTAGGGAAGCGGAGGAGGATGAAGATGAGATGAAGCTGAGCCAGTGATGGAACCACCTGGAAACCTTGGTACTCCAAGCTGTCGTGTGAGCAATCTATTTTACTTATCCTTTTCTTCTTGGTGTACCATTCTCTTTTCAGGGCCTCTCAGGTGACTATCCCTCAAGCTGTGGAACGAGTTGACTGATGTCTTAACGTAGTCATGAGGATACGCCCGCAGCGCCGATAAGCAAACATTCGCTGGTCACTATGGAATGAGAAGTCCGATAATCGTTGAGGACCTACTCACCGTCGGCTGACTCAATGAATGATAGGCAGCAATACATGAGCGACTATGGAATGACTCTCAGTACAGCAAACAACCGAAATGCTTCTCAAAAGTCTGGAAGGCTGCCGTTGAGCTCGTTGGGCCAATTCTACCACTCTGCAATCCAAGTGTACCCTCCAGAACATCCGAACCTCCATCGACACTTCATCAATCATCTGATAATGCCTCGCAAAGGGAAACAACCAGCAAAGAGACCATCAACACCAGGGAAAGCAGTGACACTGCCAGTACGACCGACCGCCAGCGCCACAGCAGCACCCTCCACCGCAGGTACTACCAAGACCATACCCACCGCACCCGACGATGACACCAGAGAGGCTGTTGAGGCGCGAGTGATAATCAGGTATGTCGACATGTATTGACACTTGGGGTGCACACGGTGCATACACTGATCATCACAGAACGATGAAAACCTTACTGAACATCGGCACCTGCGCCATTATGAGCTACATGGGAACAGTTCCAATGGTCAGAAACATGCGTTGGGTCGACGATGGTACAATCCCATCGCATTACAACATCTCGACAAACGCGGCTATGTGGGAAGCACAGATGGAGTTACAGCTCCGTACCATCGCCGAGACCAACCTGTCTTTAGCTCTGACCTGCGCTGATCTAATGGCCTTACCGCGCTACGGTCACTACGAAAAGGTCCCTAGCTTCATGTCGCTGATGGAAGCGGCGGTGACAGAGTGGGACCGTATTGCAGGACCTGCAGGGCTGCTTGCAGCAGAGCTTCACCTCATACCAACATTTCCGGGAAATCCCAAATGCGTGAGAGGAGGTGACTTACCCAGCCATGATTTCTTGGGACAGTTACAGTCTGCGTTTCACGAGCTGACGATGAAGCATAATGGAGTCGCGACTCAAGGCAAAGTTGGTTGGAAGAACGTTCTTTCAGACATGGAGCCAGTGCTAAACACACGGGATGATTCCTGAGATGTTTTGCTAGCTTTCATGTCACTCATTTTGCGAGTATTCGTAGGTCGAGAATCTTTACTTCTATTTCTGGTCCCATGTGCGATCCTGGGTTCAAGAGTGCAAAGGAGTACGGTGCAAGGCGTGGTTGGGTGGCCGAATGTTTGCGGTCGTATGCAATGCCAGCAAGCACATATTGATCAGTCCTTGCTGATCAGGTAACGAAATGACGGGGAGTACTTATTGAATGTAGACTGACATCCAACGAAGCAAACCAACGATATGCTGCTATAAGAGTCTTGGGCGGCGTTTCGACTCTGCATCCTCCCTTCAATCGTTTCTCGACCAGGCACCTTCCAAATCCACGGACTCAGCAGGATCCAGAATGAATCACCCGACGATGCCCCCTACAACAGCCCCCAGTACTGTGGCGCCTAACGACGATACCCGGGTTGCTGTCGAGGCAATGGCAATGATCCAGTATCGACACATCTTTGCGTTCGAGTGCTACTTCTGACATCTCACAGACAACTCATATGCCTGCTCAACGTCGGTCGTGCTGCCCTTTGGGCCTTTAAGTACACAGCAATCTTGGAATCCAACATTCGAAAACTAGAGGGTGGGAATGCACCGGTCTTGCATTACGACGTCCCGACTGATGCGGAGATATGGAGAGAGGTATTGCACATGCATCTCCAGACGCTTTCAGCCACGGGAAGGTCTATAGGCCTAGTCGTTGCCACAGCCTGAAAGCCTTGCCGCGTCACTCGGAGTATCTCAAAGTCTCCAGGTATGCAGTGCTTTTGGAAGCGGCTACTGCAGATTGGGACCGCGTCTGCGGAGCCGATGGCATCCTTGGACCGATGTTGAAAGGCATACCAGGAACTCTGACAACGTCACGGTTCTGAGTAGGCCCGAAACCCATAGGCAAGGAGATGTTCGAGAAATTGCGGGAAGAGGAATCCAAGTCTCGCCTAAAGATGCGAGGGGATGCAGCACAAGACATCCTTGGTTGGCAGAACATGATGGAGGACTTGAAGGCACTCCTGAACATCCCGGAAACTGCATAGCAACATCCTGGCGTGGAAGCGTGGCGTCTTGTGTTCGGCGAGTAGGACAGCCGGGGTTGGGTCGAGTCAGCTTGGGCAAGCTATGGTTGTTTGCTGGCTGTCATGACAGATATCGTGCAAGTATGTATAGATTGTGGGTATGTTGAATTGACTATCAAATGACTATACTGATATGTTGTGGGTCTAATTACCATGTCAGAGCCTTGACAGCAAACACGTCGCCGGTTGGGAAGCCCATATATGCTGCACTGACACCCTGTTGCATTTGCCTTTAGAAATAACATCCTTCTTCTTATTTGAACTCAAATCTTACGCTTTCCAGAGAACCGAGACTGAATAACAACGACCATACGATGGCACCTTGGACGAGACAGTCAGATGAGCCTACCAGCCCAGCAAGCCGAGACGGCCGAACGTCAGTACTGTCTATCTTGCGTCGAACACCAAATAATAATGCCCCTGGACCTGCGAGGCCTCTCCAAGGACCGCTTCCAGAAAGACCAGCCGGCAGTGAGACGCACACGTCACCTAATGCGGGTGCTCGTCCGGCAGACCAGACTACCGGGTATCTGGCCGGCGCGCTTGATGCTATGCTCGTAGTTAGGTACTATAGCTTTCTGATCATACTGATTAGGGGCCTCTGCCCTCGCTGACACCGACGTCAGGTATCTCTTCACTCTGGCTGCTGTCGCTCGAGCTGCTATTCACGGCTATATCGATGCGGACGAGGTGGCCCGGGTCCTCCGCCTATTCGAGGAGAGGGAAATCTGCCACAGAGCGCCGTTGAGCCTGCACACCTGGGACCTGCGTATGCTGGAACATCACCGTACTCTCCACGAAGCGTACTGTGCGATAAGCGGGAAATGCCAGGAGCTTGCGAAGCTCGCGATCCACAGCAATCTGATCCACCTGAAGGGATACAGATGGCTGTTGTCTGCTTCAATGGAGCACCTCAAGCCTCTTGTCGGTCCTGGCACCTTCTTGGGAGATGTGCAGCCGACCACGAGTCTGGGACATGTTAACATGCCCAGCATGGATGATAGACGTCGCATCAAAGATGCAGCCTCTCATATTGACGCCTTACAGTTCGAGGCTCCAGCGAAAGGTATCGTGGGCTGGCAGACAGCATTTGACGAGATCTTCAACTTTCTGAAGCCTCACCTGCGGGCCGATGGGCAGAGATGGCTGGAGGAATCCATACCACCTCCCTACGAGGAGCACGAAAGTACTAGAGTGTAGTAGTAGAGTATACACATGACGCAGCGTCATGAACGTCCCAGAGGCGTCTTTCCAATGTCTGGCTTCCCGTATGAACGACATGGTAGCACCCCTTCGGTGAATGTTGGTTGCTCTGCTGACCAGTACAGCCTGTCTGCTTTTCTGTTTGTTCTTGACAACCCATTAGACTCTTGAGTGCGTTTGGTGAATGAAGACTGACCTGGTAGATGACGAGAATCGTAGCAAACCAACCCGAAGTTCCCCTTATATGTACTCATCGAAATACCTCCGAACCCCTTCCTCCAACAAACCACTTCCTTAATCACAACCTCCTGTATCAGACAAGCAAAGCATTTCTGAATCAATCACACGATGAGCTCCAATATAGGACGAACAACGCCACCAGACAGCGAAGCTTTTGCGGACGCCGCAAAAGCGCAAGTGATAGTGAGGTACGACTCAGTCCCAAGTCCTTCCACTTCATGCTCCATGAGCGGCTGACGCCAGTGACAGACATCTCCATATTCTCAATACCCTTGCGATTGCTGCATTTGCGGGCTACATTGCTGCTGAAGAGCTCTCCCGTGAGATGCTTGGATGGGAGACGGCAGGCTCCGACCATGGATTGCCGACCAAATCGCATGAATGGGACCAATACATGCTTGTGCACCACCGGGAGCTTCACACGACTTATCGCAGCATCGGCGAGTACTGTGCGATTCTCCAGGAGCTTGCCGTCCACGAAAAGCTCCTCGTCCTGCCAGCTTACAAGACGCTTCTCTCGGTTTCGTTGAATGTTCCAGAACCAGCCATCGGACGTGACTCTTTCCTGGGCAGCATCAAGCCGACCGACCAGTTCAGTGAAATCAACATGCCGAGCCTCGAAGCGATAGGCCAGATACGGGAGACCGCTGAAGCAATACAGCTTCTGGCCATTAAAAAAAATGAAGAAGGCGTTGAAATTGGTTGGCAGGCTGCGTTCAGGGACGCCGAACGGTTTCTAGAGCCGCACTGGAATCCTCATTATGCGAAGTGGAGTAGCGTTGCTGAATGGATCGTTGGTCTCTGACACAGGCAAACTATCCGATTAACCTCCTCTGGCCTTCCGGGTATGTCTTGTAGCAGGCGTGGCCAGAGCCAGACGTGTAAGTAGATTAGGGGAAGGTCGGGGTCAAGTCTAGCTAGGTAGCTTTATCAACTTGTCCCAATCAATAGCGCGATATTCCAATGAAGCAGATTCCTCCTTGCATTTCAATACTTGATTGTCTCCTCATTCAATCCAAGGACGACCTTCCCTTCCCAAGGCCTTCAAGGTGCTTGACGTCCTAGAGGCGACGACCCAGGTGGTGTGAATAATGGTGGTCCGGACAACAGTTCTCTGGCGGTTTGCTGACGATTGGCACGGTAGTTGTGTGTATAGAATCTCAATGGCCTGCGCAAGGCCTGACTCCCAAGTGACTGTGCTCCGATGAATGTTGACTCTCGAATCACCCCAGCATGGCAAGCACACCCTCCTGCGTACTTAAAGCAGTCAATGTCTTCATACTACTATACGTCCCTCACACAGAACATTGAGGTCTTCCCAGCCTGCGACGATTCAACCCTGCCATGCCTCGACCCAACGACATAGAATGGTTGCCCAATCCTAGAACTTCACGTAAGGGCAGGACACCACGGAAGACCAGGACACCACACAAGAGAGCTTGTGCAAGACCAAACCTTTCTGTTTCCCGGACTCCCCGAACTCCACGGAAGAGGCAGTCTGCCAGGACTCCATCGAGTGCACACAAGTACGATCTTAGATCCTCACACCACATGGCGAAGCCTTCGGAGCCTGGTACCCAACCCATCGATCCCGAAACAGTCGATCCCGTACCCAGTACAAGCCAAGAACCTGCCGCTGTCGAAGCTGGAAGCAGGGGAGATCCTGCAGACTCCCGTGATGCACTGCCTTTGATCAAGTAATGTCCTCTTTCGATGTATTAACCCCGCCGGATCACTGACCACCAGAGCTGCAGGTACCTGGCCAGCCTCAACGCGACCGTCGTATCCGGACTCATGGGTTACATCGCCGCCAACGATGCCGCTTCCATTGTCAGCCAGCCACGCTTGCAAGGTCCGGCGCCGATAGATCCAATGGTCTGGCAAAAGCAGGTGCGGACCCATCAGTGTACGCTCCAAGATGCAGCCGGAGAAATCGCGAAGACGTGCACAAGTTTAATGGCACTTCCTGCTCATAAGAAGCTGTTCACGATTGCCAGTTACAAAGCACTCCTTTGGGCAGGCCTCTTGGAACTTGAGCCGCTCATGAATGTAGTCGATTCATACCCTGCTTTCGTTAACGACTTCAAGCTGCCGGGTGGGGATGAACTACGCCGCCTCCAAGGTTCGCTCGACGCACTCACCGTTTTCCGAGACGGCCATGCCGAGGGTTTAGGCGACGGTTGGCTTAGGGTGTATGAGGATGCGAAGCAGTTGGTGGAACAGCAGGTGGGTCAAGCTGAGCCAGACAGCCAGATGACGGATGTAAGTGACCGCGAGACCCTTGCGTAGATAGTGTTGATATCTCGATGCCCATATGTAATACCATGCTTGTACATCCATCTCGTGATCCTCAAATGCCCGACCCATCCATGCAATCGCTAGAACGCAGCAGCAAATATCAGCTCTCTTCTCAACTCTCCAAAGTCTTACTCCTCGTAGTGATCTCCCCATCCTCCAGCGCAGCCAACCACAAACATCTACTCAACACCTCTGGATGCGGTCGGAAAATGTACTTCGAGCTCGCCTCAATCAGCCTCAGCAGACTCTTCACGATCGTCGCAGCAGTCTGGTAGCGCTCGAAATTGACCAGCTTTTCCTTGCCAGGCGGCATCGGATCGATGTGTCCTGGTTTCTGAGCGTTGAACATCAGGTCGTGGGTGTACAGGCCGATGAAAGGAATGCAGCCTGCTTCAGCAGAGGCTTCTTCCATCTCGGAACGTAGGTTGTGGAAGTTCCGAACGGGCTGACATAGCTTCTCGAGTCGCTCGAGCACTGCCTTTTCGGCTTGAGCGACGAGTGCCCAGGTCTGATGAAGCCGAGCCATGTCCGCGGAGAGTAGGGCAAGCGTGATCTGGTACATCGATGCATAGTTCCGGAGCCGGTGACAGCTCGCTGCGATGTGGATGTATTTGGTGATGCACCGTGCCCGCTCACTTGGAGCTTCTGTCAAGAGGCACTCTGACACCACCCATTTGACAACGAGGTTGAAGCGAGCGATCACGATGTCGATGCCATTCGACTCGTGTTGCAAAAAGTCGACCCAATTGCGGATGGTAGGCGGGGTCTGCTTCCAGCTCAAGCCGACGAGGTCTTTCCACTCTACTTCGTCGAGCGCATCCTTCTCGATGATGGTGAGCTGCTCGGCAACGACGTCCGATTCGAAGGCTAAGACAAACGGCAGATGGGCGACCTGCTTCTGAGACGGTGCAGTGTGCACTCTTCTTAACTCGGCCGCTGACTGTCGGAAACGCGGGTCCTGTTTGTTCGATGGCAGCAGTTTGGGCGCGCTTTGAGCCTCCTTCAGCGTCTTCTTGTCCGGCACGCGTGGTGGCGCCATCATTGGGCTTGGCTCGGATGTCGACGAGACATTGGTCGACGGGCCAATCGTCGGTGGTGGAGTAGGAGGAGGCCTGTAAGAGGCAAAAGTAGGTACGAACTCGTCCGCGGGAGTGTCGTCGAAGAAGAAACTTCGTACACCAAGACTCTCGTCTCCCGACTGATCCGCAATCTCGGTAGAAATGTCGCTCAGGCTTTCGTTGTCATCGAGCAGGAACGACCCTTGCGGCGTCCCCAGGTGAGGTAGACCTGACCTTTCGTCTTCGGAAGGCCGCTCGGCTTCTCCATACCTCCTGCCGTAAGCGGTGTGCTGAGCAGGATCGTCAGCGAAATCAACGCTTTCAATGGCGCAGCCGTCCGAGGTGGCAGTCGTGGGCGAATCAGGGTTTAGTGCTCTCAGGACAGGCCGGCCCATGACCTCCTCACTTTCAGCCTCAGATCCGGAGTATCGATAGATGCTGGCGCCCTGCCTGTCAGTAGTCGGGCTGAGAAGTTGAGATCCGTCCGCAGAGTCTGTATGCTTCCCCTGTGCGCTGACCCGCGCGAACTGAACAGATGAGGACCGTGGGCCCTGGCGCGACTGAGTCTGAGGCACTGCAGAAGCTGGACCGGCCGAGTCTCTCATCGTCATGTTCGACGGTTTTCCTTCCAGCTTCGCGAGCGCATCCTCTATGCCACCTTCTTCGTCTTGCTGCTGACCTTCCGGCAGCTGCTTCAAGTGCGAGACCTGCTGTTCGAACGAAGCTCGCATGTTAGGTTGAGAAGAATGAGTAGGCAGGAGGGACGTTGGCTGTGTATTACGCTGTGCGAAGTCGTCGATCCCTTGCCAGCCGTTGTAGCCTTGGCCAGAGAAGTGTGTTCCAGTCAGCTCGTTAGGAGGATTGTCCGAGTCCATTGAGTGGGTGATGGTAGAGTACGAGTCGCCATGATGATGTCTCGGAGCCGGCTCTAGATCGTGGACATGGTCGGTTGCCTTGAGATCACCACCTGGTCGTCTTCGCAGTTGATGGCGTACAGGTTGGAGTTCGAAAGCGGACGGGTTCACGCTTGAAGACTTTCTGGCCGGTGTGTAGCCGACAGGTATCTCTCCATCTGTTGTGTCTTCCTGCCAACCACCCGGTACGGTCAGAAGATCATGCATCTGTGGGTCGCCTGAGGCCTGACGGAGGCCTTCGCTCGCCACGGCAGTAGCGGAACCACTGCGATACTCAGACTTCGCGCCTTGCCACTCGTCAAAGGCCTGCTGTGGGCTGCGGAAGAGAGCATCAGGTGCCATGCCACTCGACCAAGAGCTCACAGAAGGCAACGCCCCAAACTTCTTCGGTACCTCCGGCATTCCAGTGTCATCGACAATGACAATGGAGCGACTGCCAGTGGTGACATGGCTGTCTAGTCTTCTCATATCTCGTGGCGGGGACGAGGGCTCCATCTCAACTTCTTTCATCATAGCATCTGATTCTCGATCTGCTCGGGGCCTTGCCTCCTGTTGCCCGCTTTGTTGGAGATCCATGCCATCAAAAACTTCCTTATAAGCGGTCGCGACCCTTTCAGCAAGCATGTCAACTCGCGGTGGGCCACTCAGTTGCTGCCACGAAGCAGCCTGAGCGCTTGCGCCAATGTTGCCCGAGCTGCGAGAGTCGGAGGAGTTTGTCGACCGATGACTCGAAGCAGGCGATTCGCGTGGTCGGCGACTACTCAGAGCACGCCGTACATCGCCAACGAGCCTCTTCATCCCTACGCTTTGCAGCTGCTGCTCCTGAAAATAGCTGTCGCTCGTACCACTCGATCGATGCGTTTGAATATCCAGAGGCGGACTTAAAGGAATCAGTAGCTCCACCGTTGACGGCGATGGTTGAAGAAGTAGACCTCGTACAAGACCGCCAGTAAACGTGAGAGACTGCAGTGATCGAAGATCCATACCGTCCGGTTGCGCAGACGGAAGTGGCGGCCGCTTGTCACGCAAAGCATCTGAGAAGCTTCCACTACGCTTGTGGCCGTTGGTCGGTCTATCGGACTTGTCGAGATGAGGATTTCTTTGCAATTCAACTGGTCGCTGCGGCTTCTCCTTTCCTTGCATCATGTTCCGCAAGAAGGGCACAGAGCACGACAGGACGGTCAGGCTATCCTCGCTCATCGGTGATGTCGGAATGCTCGCCGTTCGGGCATGTTGATTTGGCGTCTGAGCTTCTGGGCTGGCAGGCTGCGCGAAGCTCACTTGCGCATCTTTCTCAATTTCTGGCGGTAGTCGGATTACGGAACTTCTTCGGAAGTCAAGCTGTGATTCACGTGCTTGAACAGAGAGCGGCAGACTTGTTGATGACGCTTCGAAGCCAGGACTGGCAGCCACTCGTCCGGGAAGGATATCAGCCTCCGGCGATGTGTCCAGTGCATTGGAGACTGGCCAGTACATTGCGCAGGTTCGTCTCCAGCATTTCTTCAGCTCTCCGAGCACGTTCACATCTGTACCGCCCTTGTCTGCACGCCGGAGGAGGGACAGAGTGAGCTGGTTGACGAGCGTGCAGAACCTCTGTCGTAGCTCAAAAACAGGTATGAAGTCGTCGGCAAAGTAGTTCAAGATCCAGTGGCGGAGAGCTACGAATGTCCGCACTCGCACGATTCGGCCGGCATCGCTGTCATTCGAAAGAGCCCACTTCATCCGCGCTAGCATGTATTCAAGCAGATCAGAAGGCGAGAGGAAATTTCGAAAAGTAAGGAAGAAATCGGCCAAGAGCTCGTAATCAAGAAAGAGCGGCGAGGTGATCTGAGCAATCAATCTGGCGGGTGTAGCGGCAGTGATACGCCCTGTAGTCGGCGAGTACCGCACCAGCGTAGCATCGTTGAGCCTGGCCTCGACTTTATCGTACACCGAAGGGTTGATGTCGCCGACTGGAGAGTTCGACTGAGGTGTTGGGGGCGTCCGTGATGGGGTCAACGAGTGCATCGCGTGCGCAGGATGTAGATAGGGCGAAGAAGATTCGCGCGAGCGGCCACCATGTTCTTTGCCTGGAGGTGCCGGAAACAGTTTGTCGTACTCTGCACTTGAAAACACGGAAGACCTCATGCCTTCCGAGTTTGAGGTATACATCGAATTGTGCAGATATGCCGTTCCTCGGTCGCTGAATCGTGGCGTTCCAAGCCTGTAGTGAGGTATCCGAAGGTCGAGGATGCCATCCGACAAGTCGACTGAGCTCTTCGGTCTCCCAGTGTCTCTGCCATTCACAAGGATCTGAAAATCGTTGGAGTCGAAGGTCGGGCGTCCTGAAGTATCCAAGGTGGAGAAGGAATGTGATCTTGTCCCCCGCCGGTCATGTCCATTCGCCATGCTTAGCGGAGGTACAGGTGTGGTGGCATTGAGTGCTGAACCCCTCGGTGCCGGTCCTCGAGGTGTCCAAGTACCAGACATGGCACTCGGTCGTCTCGTAGCCCAGTCCATAGAAATTTCCTCCTTCCCATCTGAAGTACCCGGAGGTGTAGCGGGCGTCTGGTTCACAGGCACCTGAAAGCGACTCGGCTTGAGGTATACAGCGCCATTGCGACCCACGTTTGCTACCGTAAAGTGTCGTGCGTTCGGGTCATCGTCTGTACTCCTTCGTTCTGTACTCGGCCGCTCTGCCGCTATAGCCTCGACTCTCTTCGGGACTCGGATGATCTCACTGCTATCTTTTGCTTCGCGTATCTTGCCGGGCGTTGGACGACGCGCCGTCTCTTTCTGCAGTCCTCTGTCTCGCGCGATTCGTACTGGCGGTTTCGAAGTTGGCTGCGCTCCTGGCGGTCGTCTTCGACCTGGCGCGCTGTGGTCCATACTCGGCCATCGGCGTCTGACAATACACGTCCCAGTACTGGACTATCGTACAAGGCCAGGCATCCTAGCATACAACGCGCATGAGGAGATTGTCGTATACCGGCACGGGGTCGTTTCGGGGCTCGTGCGCGCGGCGGATAGGGTACTCGAGGAGGTGCAGAGCGGGAGTTGTGCGCTGTACACCCACTACCGACTTCTGCTACAGAATAGACGATGAGAACAGAACGCCTTACTCCAGAAGGGTACCACCACGGCACAGCGTCGGCAATGTGCCTGGCAGAACCCACCAGCCTCGAGGCACACCACAACCCAAATGGATCTTAACGCCAGCCACGAGCAAGGATGCATACCGGGGAAGCTTAAGCGCGTTCTTCTGATCTCGGCTCCAAGTCTTGGTCGAGTTTCAACCAATCGAGTCCGGCAAAACCGGCGCCGTTGACGACAGATCGTTTTTGCCGTGTGTTCCTCCAGGATCCCACGTCTCGGTTGGAGACTTGATAGTCGCATTATCGGGCAATTTTCAGCATTCTCAGTCTCGTGAACGCTAGAAATGCAGCACGAGCGCCAAATACGTCGCTAATGCGTGTGACGAGGTCGACTTGCGCACACTGTTTGCACCGTTGAACCTTGTATGCAGGATGCTGATCGGCTCTCTTCCGGCCACGTGGGAATGAACGGCGATCGGCTCCTTTGCCCTATGGGGCGGATATGCGAAGAGGTTGAAGCAATGAAAGACGTGAGACAGAACCACTCACGCCAATAGGCACATATCTGCAGGTCCCAATGCAAACGTACAATAGATAGCTTGATGTGTCATCTAGAGGCGCAGCCCACTGAGCAAAAGGAACATCAACCTTATCACGATTAAGGTGGGCCGAAAGGATGCAATGAAGTCGGGAAGCAACTGAAGGGCAGAAAGACGTAGGCCACGACCTACAATGACAACAGCAGAGCATAGAAGAGCAGGGAGAGTGGTACGGGCCGCTCTTCCTTGCAGCATAATCGAAACGTGATGATCTGCTGCGTCAAGTTGGGCTTCATGAGACAGTGAAGCGTATTGCCGGGCAAAGAGAAAGCGGCCTTCGATGGAAGTTCCTTGCTCGGTGGATTATCTGCTGGGAATCTCAGTACTCCGTGCTTACGCCTGGACATCGGAGCTGAGAAAGCATCTGTGGCTCGATGCGGTTGATTTCAATGCTTGCGGGGCTTGCCGATGTCGAAAGTATCGATGGAGAATTGGGAGGGAGTGCTGAAGTCATCGAGAGCTGTTAAGACAACAAGACATGCATTTGCATCTCATCCGCGCCTCAATGGACCCGATGTCTGAGTGCTATCTTGCTATATGCAGCAGCCTCCAGTCATCATTGTCGAGAAAGTGTACGCCAGGACAGCAATGCAATAGCCTAGAACACCAGCGCGGCACCCTTCGTCTTCTTGTCACCACTGCGAGAGTTATTAGCACCATTCCGTTTCCAAGACTATCGCGATGGACATACCCCAACTCGAAGTGCTTGCAGCGCTTCAACGCCAGCTGCGCCTTGTACTTGCATGCTGTGCATTCTAACCGTAGCACGACCTTCTTTGTCGTCTTCGCCTTCTTGTGGAACACAGGTTTCGTCTGACCACCGTACCCGGACTGCTTGCGGTCGTATCGGCGCTTTCCCTGGGCGAAGAGAGATGCCTGATGCGAATGTCAGATCCTGCCGCGGATGTACGTATAGGTAGATGTTGTACCTTGCCGGCCTTGTACTGAGTGACCTTGTGCTGAGTGTGCTTCTTGCAGCTTGGGCCCTTGCAGTAGGTGCGGCGAGTCTTTGGAATGTTGACCTGTGCGAATGTCCTGTTAGTATTTGATGTTCCAAGGCCTTAGCCGTTGCGCCTGGCGACCTCTTGCGCTCGCGATGGATGCTCTTTTATGCTCGTGTTCGGCTCTTTCTCTCTTCCAGTCTGATCCTTCACACTGCCTCCTTTCCTGGATCCTCCCATATCATGCAACAATTCCAGCGCATTTGCCGCTGCCCAATACCATTCCCGAAGACCGCATACTACCACCATCTCTTCCTTCGCGAGCGCATTTCGAGTCGACTGGAGTTGCAGCATTGCTGGCAGGCCGTGAGTAGGTCTAACTTACCATCTTGTCGGTGTTGCGTGGTGCTGTGGATGATTGCAAAGGTGTCTTCAATAAAGTGATGTCGTCCAGCTCTTTTCGATGTTGGTGGGAGGGTCGGTCTTGGCAGTATGCGCACGGTCCATGCACTTAGACTTCATGGCATGAGGAATCGATCACAACTCCTGCTATCACGCTCCCCAACACTCCTTTCATACCGTCGGTGCATCTTCAACACCCCAGCTAACACCTCCGCCTCTCAGAACGCCATGTCACCGATCGCACATCGGCAATCCGATGTTTCTGCCATGAGACCCGTGCGGCGGTGTTGCTGCATCACATGCGCCTGCCGCTAGCCTTACATCACCTAGAACGGCAAGGCTGCAGCAGCTTGCGGTGCAGCATGGGCATTGTCGCAGGGGCAGACGAGTACATATCTGTACAAGTATACGTCCACCTTCAAATGACTGCTCTCTTTCTCTCACACCTTGTCTTCGTGTTCGCATTCACAGTCCTCCAATTCTCACGCACCTCCTTCCCTCCAGACCCGCACAGCCATGGCTTGAGACGTATCAACAAGACCTGACGCATCGAGTTACCATGCCAGCCCTCTACATACCCAAGAGAGTTCTAAAAAGACGCCGATCTACCAACAGGGACGATGGTATTCCGCAGCAACCCCCCGTGTACCGGTGTCATAAGTGCAACATCGGTTTCACCAGGGAATGGACTCTCCGCCGCCATCTCAGGGAGAACAGACGCCACCGCAAGGACGAGGAGTCTTCCGATGCCCGATTCAAGTGCTCGGAGTGTTCGATTACGTGTACCAGGATCTACGATCTCCGACGCCACCAGATCGAGCAACATGTTTCCCAGACTGTAACATGCTTCCTCTGCGGCGAAGACCACTTGCATGGCACTACACACGAAGAGTGGTGCAGTTCTAGGCTTGACAGCCAAAGGATGGTCGCAGATGTTCAATTAACCACCATGTACTCGATCGAGATTGCTACGGTGGTGCCTCGGCCTCGGGAGCCCTGGATGTTCTTGGAAACGACTCCTGCAATGTTCGAAAAGCTCCAGATACCCCAACCTGAGCGGCTGACGATGGTAATGTGCGGACACTGCCGAAAACCTTTCGAACACAGTCTCGATGTCTTGATGCGGCATCTGAAGTCGCACTTCAAAGACTTAAGCTATGGTCACAGGTGCGAATCATGCCAAATCGACTTTGTCATGGCCGAGGACCTTACTCATCACCTTCAAGCGGCCGCAGACGGCCAATGCGGCTTTCTGCACCATGTAACCGACTGCGGAGGCCATCATCCGCCGACGTGCGGTGAGCGCGAGGACTTCTGCTACCATGTCCGGCGCTGGGAGCATTCGCAGCTACAGCTTTTCAACCGCAGTGTCGACGCTTTGGTGCAGTCGTTCAATCGGCCACTTCCATCCGATACAAGATCTCCTGTCAGACGCTTGGGAAACGATGCGCGTAGCGATGTTGGCGTACAGAAGGTATCACGTGGGGGTACACGTGACGACAGAACCAACCGCACCGTTCCTACCTACGTTGACTACTACGGGAAGATGGGACGTCCTGCGTTGGGGCAAGATCAGACGTTTGGAGAGCACACATGCTCATGAGCACTCAGCAAAAGCATATGTGACCACCTGGGTCGGCATGAGGGAAAGCATTTGCTGCTCGAGACCATGGAAACTGCCGGGGCAGGCTGGAGAGTTCCTTGCCGCTCACAACCGGGGGAGCGCGGACAGCTCACATCGCAAAGGCAGGTGTTCTACGGCCCACAATTCTACAATACTGAGCCTTCCGGACAAACGGTACCGCAGCTTGCCGCTGAGCAGGACAACTAGCGCCCTTCTTCTACTTGGGCTTGGAGCCGCCGTGGACGTGTGACGGCGGAAGAGAATTCCTTCACTGACTTGTAGCTGTAAAGATGAGTAGCTTGCAGGGAAAGCTCGAGACACGTCTATGTACATGTAGCCTCTTGGCCCGTTACCAGTGAAGGCTCAGATGGGATGTGTCGATATGATGAATGTTTAAGGCTTCAAAGTTTCATTTGCATACCTAGCTCGAGCTTCTAGAAGTACACGATACCCTCCCCGTGCCCTCATCGCTCGCTCGTCCCCAAGGTGTATCACAAGTCCAGAACAAGCATCGCAGTCTCCGCCGCTCGTCTGCAGCGCCAACGCCACATTCCTGTCCCACCAACTCTGTGGACGTTCCCATGCCGTCGTGAATCGCAGACGACAACGCCAGCCCGCAAGAACATCCCATTCCAATAACAATCCCCGACCAACAGTCTCGCTTTTCTTCACACCTCCACATCCACCTCATCGCCACCCTCCTGCTGCGCAATCTCACCACCCGCACCACGTTCCGCCCAATCGCCCCAAAGTCCCCTCTTCCCCCTCACACGAATAGGCCCACCAACCTCCCCTCCTTTCGAGTCCTGCTCAACCCTCACAGCATCCTTCGTCCCCAACACCAAAAGCTCAAAGAACATCTTCGTCGCGTCACCCCTCTCCGTAACACCCTCCGGACACAAGTCCGTGAACATCGCTTCCGCCTTCACACGCTTGCTGGGAGTAGGCGGCTCTGTAGAGGTGGTAGGGTGCTCAGGCGCGAAATGCTCGCGGAGCAGGTGGACGGCGTTCTTGGTGCCGAGGGAGACGGGGCCGGTTTGTGAGGGGTGTAGGAGCGGGGCTTCGGTTGTATCGAACGCAGGGCCGCCAGGGGAGGGAGCGAGGAATTGCTCGTCGTCGTCTTCGCCGGCGAGGACGGGGTCGGAGTGGAGAGGCGGTTGCGGGCCGTCGGACATGAGAGGAGCGAAGTCATCGGCGGCTGGGGCTTGGAAGTCGTCTTCGGCTGGGATCTCGAGCTGGGGAGTTTCCTGCCTGGCTTCCGCTTCTTCGTCGTCGGTGGCGCCGACGTCTGCCACGCCGCTGTCGCGCTTGCGCTTCTTGTCGCCAGCTTTGCGGATGACTTCGAGAGAAAGGATGCCGCGGAGTTCGGGCGCCCAGCCTTCCATGCGGCCGTTGCCCATGAGGTTGCTGACGAAGCTGCCGTTGCGCTGCATCTCCATCAGTTGAAGGAGCAGGGGATCGCGCGGGAGGAAGGAGGGGGCCTTGGTGATGGCGGAGCGGTCTTCTTGCTGGCGCTTGATCTGCTTGCTGTGGAGTTGGGTCTCGCTGTCCTGCTGCATGACCTTTCGGCGCTTCACGCGCTGTTGTGCTTGGACCATAGTTTCGTCCTCAACTTCATCCTGGTTGAATTGAAAAGTCTGCTCGAGATCGCGTTCGACGCTGCCGCGGAGATCGGAGAGTGGCGAGTCGCTATCTCGCTGTCTGCGCTCTGCGGCCTTCTCAACGCGAGCGAAGGCAGCTTCGTTCTGGGCGGCGACTTCGTCGTTAAGCTTATTGGCTTGGTATCCATCATCAGCGTCTAGCATCAGCTGGTCGTTGTCACCTGGGAATGCAGATGGTGCCGCGCCAAGTGTGGTGTCCGGGTCATCGCCGTAGTTCAGGCCAAGATCGTCATCTTCCAGAAATGTCGGCTCATCCCTGCGCGGTGTTGGCGCGCGACGGCCCATTTCGATGCTGCGGTCTTCAGACGCGGGCGTGGATCGAACTGCCTGCTCGCCTGGCTCCAGACCATAGTCAAGACCGAAATCGATGTCGTCAAGCTCCATTGTCCTTGTCTTGCGGCGCGGTGTGACATCCTCATCAGGCAGAAGCTGGCTCGTGGCGCCATAGTCGAGTAGTGTAGGGTCTCTACCTGGTCCGCGGGTGTCGAAGTCGTCGCGTAGGAGATCTGCTGCGTCGGGTAGTGGCGCAAAGAGGTCGAGCTCGGTGACTGCGTCTGGCAGGATTAATGTGTTGGGGTTTGCGGCGTGTGTCTGGTTGTTTGGAAGGTCGACGTTTCCAGGTCGGAAAGCCTACTCACTGATTAGCGTCGTGTGCGAGTTGGAGCAGTTCATCATACAATCTTAATCTTGTTCAGCGCCTCATTGCAGTCGTCCAACAAATACTTGGCCTTCCTGCTGTAAATCTTGACCACACCCAACAGCAACTGCGAGCTCAATCTGAGAGCCATGGGAGCCTGTCCCTCGCCGATGATGTCCCGCACATTGTTCTCGAGGTTGGATGTAAGTACATTCTGCTTGGTGAGCTTTCGTTCCAGGTTGGAGGCCAGCCAGACGCGAGCCAGCGGGCCCGTCTTGGCCAGCAGCGTGTCGGAGTAGAACATGATGCGTGCGTAGTGTAGTATGAGGTCCCGCGATACTATTGATCGTATTCCGATGCCTCCAGAGGGGATGTTGTGGATGTGGTGAGCAATGCGACTGGCGCAAGCGCGTTGTTATGATGTCGCTCTTGGTCGCGTCGAAAAGTGTCTCTGATGTGCAGCAAACCCTAGCAATTCATCCTTTTGGTCGCTGTCGTCAAAGCAATATCGGGCACCCCATCAGCAAGTAGCGGTGTTGTGGTGGTGGTGCAGGTGGAAGTGCTGGTGGTCGAGGTGGTGAGGTTCATGAAGCGACGCGGTCGGGAGGCTGGCGAAGTGGAAAGGCTCCCGCGCCGAGCGAGCAGCCGCGCTAGGCCGCTTTCGGTTCTTTCTGGGGAAACCGTAGAAGGAGTGAGAGTCGAAGGTGCTCCTGTCCCGTATTGCAAGCAGGAACGAGCAAAGGCACATTGGACAGCTGGGACGTTGTGTGGCGATATACAGAACTTGAATCCTCGACGAGAACAACGAGACCACACTCCTTCACCACCATCATTGACCAGCCCTACGCTCCTTCGGCCTTGATGGCCGCAAAAGCATGTCCAGAGCCAACACCCCGTCTCTCCCGCTGTACAATGCTCCCTCGACATCCAACGCCACCCTCAGCATCCCTTCCAATGACCCCCCACCGGAGAAAGGACACAAACGAGCGAGATCGCGCCTCAGAGTCGCTGGTCAGCAATCGATAACATCCGAACATGCTGTCCTCTCCACAGACGAGGTCGCGGAACGACACTCGACCTCCTTGACGAATGGCCTCCACCCTTCAGAAGCGAGCGCACGATTGCACGTACAAGGGACGAACGAGCTGCCGCACGAGGAGCCGGAGCCGCTATGGCTGCGCTTTGTCAAGCAGTTCAAGGAGACCCTCATCCTCCTCTTACTGGCGAGCGCCGCGATCAGCGCCTTCATGGGCAACTTCTCCGACGCTATGAGCATTACCATAGCTGTCTTTATCGTGGTCACGGTGGCTTTCGTGCAGGAGTATCGAAGTGAGAAGAGCTTGGAGGCTTTGAACCAGCTGGTCCCGCACAGCGCGCATGTCATACGGACGGGCGTGCAGAGTTTGAGACCTGGGGCACAGGAGAATGGGGAGCCAAAGGCGCCGAACAGTGAGGCAGGCGCATCTGGGAAAGCGAGCACGACCATTTCTGCGACACAGCTGGTGACGGGCGATCTTGTGCTGTTCCATACTGGTGATCGAATACCCGCAGACATACGGATCACGCGTGCGGCAGATCTCAGTATAGATGAGAGTAATCTCACTGGCGAGAACGAGCCGGTGGACAAGACTTCCGAGACCTTGTCGGCTTCAAATAGCCACGCAAATGGCTCGATTCATGGTCAAAGCCCCTATGAATCGCGAGGCGGCCAGTTGAGGATAAACGAACAGGTCAACATTGCTTTCATGGGCACATTAGTACGCTCGGGCTATGGTCAGGGCATCGTGGTGGGGACGGGAGGAGAGACGGAATTTGGCGCAATCAGCGCTTCGCTCGCCGAGATCGAGTCTCCTCGCACGCCGCTACAACTCTCCATGGACCGGCTAGGCAAGGAGCTGAGCTACATGTCCTTTGGCGTGATCGGTCTCATCATGCTTGTTGGTCTATGGCGGGGGAGGCAGTTCTTGGAGCTGTTTCAAATTGGCGTGAGTCTGGCTGTTGCGGCTATACCGGAGGGGCTGCCTATCATCGTGACTGTCACACTAGCTTTGGGTGTATTGCGAATGAGCAAGAGGCATGCCATCGTTCGACGGCTGCCCAGTGTCGAGACATTAGGAAGTGTCAACGTGGTGTGCTCAGACAAGACGGGAACGCTGACACTCAACCACATGACAGCGACCCAAATGTGGTCATTTTCAGAGAACAGCAATACAACACCGCTGGAGGTCGCCAAAGTGAGAGCAGATAGCCCCAATGGAGCGACAACCCAAGCGGTGCTGAGGACGGCGAACATTGTCAACAATGCGCGCTTAAACACTCACAGTCATGGACATGTCACTGCGGCTTCCGCTGCCGTGCTGGCGAATACAGGTGGGAGTCAATCAGATGACTTAGCCAGGGCGAAGAGTCGCTGGGCTGGACAGCCAACTGATGTCGCTTTACTTGACCTCATGGATGCTTTCGGCGAGGTTGATGTACGAGACCGCGTTGGTGAGCGGAAGCATGAGATACCATTCTCAAGCGAGAGAAAATGGATGGGGGTGACGGTCGAAGGCAGCGAAGGCGACACGGCGTACATCAAAGGCGCGCTCGAAAGAGTCATCGGTCGCTGCGATACATATCTCTCTCCTCAAGGCGGCGAAGTCGTCCTCGATGACAAGCGCCGCTCGGAAGTCGAACAAGCCGCGCAACACATGGCCGAAGAAGGCCTTCGTGTGCTTGCTTTCGCTTCTGGCTCCGTGCATCCAAGTCGCCAATCCAAGACCTCCCGCAGCGGCACCTCCACACCTCAACCGAACGCTTCGGAGTCGAAAGAAGATCTATACCAGTCTCTCTGCTTCGCCGGTCTAATCGGCATGTCTGACCCTCCACGCCCAGGCGTCGACCGCAGCATCCGCCGTCTCATGGCTGGTGGCGTCAAAGTCATCATGATCACGGGTGACGCCGAGACGACCGCCATCGCTATTGCACGCAAACTCGGTATGCCGATCAACCTCTCCTCTGCCCTCGGCTCGCCTGTCCTTCGCGGAGACCAGCTCGACCATATGAGCGCCGCCGACCTCGCGCAGGCAATGACCCGCGTCTCCATCTTCGCCCGCACTTCACCCGAACATAAGCTCAAAATCATCGCCGCCCTGCAATCCCGCGGCGACGTCGTGGCCATGACAGGCGATGGCGTGAACGACGCTCCCGCTTTAAAGAAAGCAGACATTGGTATCTCGATGGGCAAACTTGGGACAGACGTCGCGAAAGAAGCGGCGGATATGATCCTCACGGACGACGACTTCAGCACCATCCTCTCCGCCATTGAGGAAGGAAAGGGCATTTTCTACAATATACAAAACTTCCTCACCTTCCAACTCAGCACGAGTGCCGCGGCATTGGGATTGGTGATGATGTCCTCGCTCGGTGGATGGCGCAATCCGCTAAACGCTATGCAGATCCTCTGGATAAGTAAGCCTCCCCCTTCCCCCAACATCCTACACTACTAACTCCGTTGTGCAGACATCCTCATGGACGGCCCCCCCGCCCAATCCCTCGGCGTCGAACCTGTCGACCCCGCCCTCCTCACCCACCCGCCTCGCCCCCGCAACGCCCGCGTCCTCACACCCCGCCTGCTTCGGCGAGTCGGCCAATCCGCGATAATCATCCTGTTCGGCACGCTCTTCACCTACGTCCGCAACCTCTCCCCCGCCGACCTCGTCGCCAATTCCGTGAGCGAGAGAGACACAACCTTGACCTTCACGCAGTTTGTCTTATTCGACATGTTCAATGCCCTTGCCTGCCGTTCCGCCTCAAAATCCGTTCTGCGCGGGGAGGTGCCGCTGGTAGGCAAGGGAGGGAACAAGATGTTCAATTACGCCGTCGCTGGATCGCTGCTGGGGCAAGGGATGGTCATCTATTTCCCGCCTTTGCAGGGGGTGTTTATGACCGAGGCGCTGGGGTTCGGGGATTTGGTCGGGTTGGTGGGGATGGCGAGTTTGGTGCTTTGGGTGGATGAGGGGAGGAAGTGGTGGGAGGGGCGGAGGGGGAGGGGGATGGGAGGGTATGCTGGGGGGAGGGTGTAGTTTGAAGGAACTGGGGGACGGAAAATGTAAATGTAGATGGCGTGTTGTTGTTGTTGGGTTTAGCGATGGTGTAGTGAGCATGCTGGCAATCAATCTGTTCTTCGTAATGGAGCGTGCGGGAGACTGTCAGTTCTAGGACAGCACAGCACAGCACCGGCAGTCTGGTGAATCGATCACATATTCTCGACCGTGCCGTCGTCAACATCATCACGTGCTCCCGGCAGTATCCTCACCGCCCCACGCACGCTAATTTAGCGCCCTCCTCGCAACATAAATCTTCCCACTCCCTCCATCTTCCTCCAAAACTTTTTTGGCATACTTACCTTGTTGTGGTGACGGCGCTCAAGCATGCCACTCACCTAGCACCGGACTCTGCATCGCACAACGCGGTAGTCGGGTGCTATCGTTCTCCTTCGGGGGCGCGTATGGCGGATTTTTTGGTTTCGAACACACTTTTTCATCATGTCGTTGCAGTGGGTTGTCGCTGTGCGCTTGGAGAAGAAGCAAGGTTGTCATCGCGTACAGTTTACTGAGATGCATGCAGCGTTTTCACGCTTTGACAGGCCTTGTGAGCCACCGTCGTCGTGATGAAGCTGAGCTTGCACTTCACATTTCTCGGAGTGTTCACACATTCATCACGTTGGCGGCTTTGCTGCTGGCGACTGAAGAAGGATCTTACCTGGGTTTTTCACCACGTCGCAGTGTTGTTACTGTGGCCTGGGGATCTTCACCTCACGTTCACCCATCGTATGCAGAGCAAGGGTACTCCTTGCGCGTTAGATCTCTTACACTTGAAGGGGACGAGGAGCTCAGCAGTATGTAAATGTCGTTGAATTCAAGTAGGTTTGTCGCTGACCTCCCTTCTGATAGCCTCCTCAACGCCGCGCCAATGCAAGGGATGGAATCCAGCACATATTAACAACCACAACAACCACCCCTCTACCACTACCACTACTCTTGCGTCCAAGGCAGCCCAAACGTACCCACCCAATCCTCCACCTCCCTCCTCAACTCCACAACCTCCACCACCTCCTCACCTTCACCTACATACTCTCTAAAAGCATTCACGCTCCCCGGGTTCTTCCGCCCGCTCTTCTCCGCGGCCTCTTTGGCCTTCGTATCTAGCATCTTCGAAATGTTCACCGCGCGGTGCACGATATCTCCCACCCTCTCAAAGTCCGGACCGGTGAATCCTCGCGTCGTCATGGCGGGCGTGCCCATGCGTAGACCACCGGGCTTCATCGCGCTCTTGTCGCCGGGCACGGTATTCTTGTTCGCCGCCACGCCGACGAGCTCGAGGACACGCTCTACTCGCGCGCCGTCGATGCCTTTGTCTTTTAGGTCCACGAGGACAAGATGGTTGTCTGTGCCGCCGCTCACGATGTTGTACCCCAAACCACCACTGCTCTTCCCTTCTCCTAACCTCGCTGCCAACGACTTCGAGTTCTGCAGTACTTGTTGCTGATACTCCTTGAACTCCTTCTGCTGCGCCTGGTGCAGTGCAACCGCCAACGCGGTGATGGTATGGTTGTGTGGTCCACCCTGGTGCCCTGGGAAAACAGACGAGTTGATCGGACCCTCAAGATCGTACATCTGCTCCTTCCCACTCTTCTTATCCACACTCCTCACACCCTTCCGGAAGAAGATCATGGCCCCTCTCGGCCCTCTGAGCGACTTGTGCGTCGTCGTCGTAACCACATCCGCATACTCGAACGGACTGGGTATCACACCTCCCGCCACCAGACCAGAAATATGCGCCATATCCGCCAACAAGTACGCTCCCCCTCCAACCTTATCCACCACCTCCCGGAACCGCTTGTAATCAATCAACCGCGAATACGCACTCGTCCCCGCAATGACAATCTTCGGCCTATACAACATCGCCAGCTCCTCCAACTTTTCGTAATCAATCAACCCCGTCTTCTCATCCAGCCGGTACGGGAACGTCTCGAAGTACTTGCTGATCATCGAAATCTTCTTCGTCGGCGTCTGATACCCATGGCTCAAATGCCCACCGTGCGGTAGATCCAACCCCATGATCCGCTCATGCGTGCCGACCAACGCACTGTACGCGTACAAGTTCGCCGGGCTACCACTTAAAGGCTGCACATTGACTCCCCACTCACTCTCCTTTAACCCGAACGTCTCCAGCGCTCGGCTCTGACATAACCGCTCCGCCTCATCAATATACTCGTTCCCACCATAATACCTCGCGCCAGGATACCCCTCGGAGTACTTATTCTGCATCACGCTCCCCAGCGCATCGAGCACGGCCTGCGAGGTGAAGTTCTCGGATGGAATGAGGTTGATGAAGTGTTTCTGCCGGCGCTTCTCTTTGCGGATGATGTCGAAGACGGTAGGGTCGGCGTCTTTGAGGTGCGATTGGAGGATCTTTTGCTGCGACTCGGTGGACATTGCTGCGCGCCATAGGGACGTTTTGAGGGCGGTGGGGGAGGGGCGTTTGCAGGCGCGGCAGGTGAGGGTGGTGAGGGTTTGGGTGAGCGGCATGATGGCGGTGGGATAGGAGGAGGTGGTTGGAGGTGTGTCAATGGGATGAAGAGGTCATGCGAGCAATATAGTAGGACTATCGGAGTGGCGAGCTTCTTGAAGTGATATTGGAGGTGAGGTGGGGAAGACTTCACCGAATCCAGCCCAGATTTCCACCATTGAAGGCACGACTCATGGTCCTCCTCAAAGACAATAGCATTGCGTATTATCATGTTTACAAGGCAAGGGCACATCGAACGGCATTCGAGGTAGATCGTTCAGAAAAACGATGAGAGACAACAGGTACAAGTCGAAGTACTGCTCCTATAACTACACCTCCTACGCCACAACATATCCCTCCATCTCTACACAGACAACTTCTCATCACTACCCCCCTTCTCCACCGTCTCCACCGTCCCATCCTCCCTCACCATCTGCGCCTTGCCCTCCTCCGCCAGACTCTCCTGCCTCCTCTCAGCGACGACACTCGCCGTCCGCTCATCGAGCGACGACTCTCCCATCGTCGTCTTCCAAGGCTTCGGACCACCAGACCGGAACAAGACTTCAATCTCCTCGAGCGTCTTCCGCCCGGTCTCTGGGTACGAGAAGAAGAACTGGATGGCGGCGCCAAGGCAGAGGGTGCCGAAGACGATGAAGGTCTTCCAGGTGATGTTCCTGAAGGCCGGTGGGACGAAGAGGCCGAGGGCGAAGTTGAACAGCCAGTTGCCGGTGGCGGCGATGCCTGAGAGTGAAGTGTAAGTAAAACGTTCAGAAGGGAGTCATTAATGTTGTGAACTTACCCATCCCCTTACCGCGAGTCTCAAGCGACCACACTTCAGCCGCGTACACCCAACAGACAGGCGCCAACGTCAGAGCATAAACGATGATCAAAAGGTATGAGAAGGCAATGACGGTGTACGCAGGCGAGCCAGTAACTCTGATCCTGACGTTGTCGTTTCCGTGCACTCCTTCGGGGACATATTTGCCGTACATTCCGAGACTACACATTGAAATCAGTACATCATCTCAATAGGCTCGACGGGATCGAATACGTACCTGCCACCGATCACATAGTGGCAGACCGCCATACCGATGGCTCCGGCGATGAGCAGGGGCCTCCGCCCGGTCTCTAGAATGGAGTCAGCGGCTGGCGTGTGCTATATGTTGGCGCAAGACGTACTGTCGATGAACAGGTATGTCAGAGATGTGAATATGATAAACAAGGCATATTGAATGCCCGCAGAGATCAAAGTGACGTTTCCGCTCAAGTTCGCCATGTAGAAGATGTCTGTGGAACATCAGCAGGAGCTCCTCCTATGACACCTGGATGGCTGTACTCACAGGTCAGATAGTAAGTCATGACATTAGCACCCGACAGCTGCTGCCAGGCCTGCACCGAGAACCCGGCAAAAGTCCTCCGCCACATGCCATTCTTGACAAACTTCTGCCAGCCCGGGAGCGCCTCCCTCTCAGCAGCAAGGACCGTGGTGATCTCTTCCCACTCAGCAACAACCAGTGGATCCGTCTTGTCCCCGCCAGCCTGGATGTTCGCCAATACGGTCACAGCCTCCTCAGTCCGCCCAACCTTGGCCAACCATCTCGGCGACCGCGGCAAGAACGGTAGACCAACGAGCAAGACAAAGCACGGAATGAACTGGATCCCCCATGCCGTCCGGAAACTCGCCGTAGGTCCAGGAATGAAGCTGCATCCGTACCCGATGAAATACATCACCAGGATCCCGATTTCAATCGCAAGCTGTTGGATCACAATGATCGAACCGCGCTTGTCTTTCTTCGCGATCTCGGCGAGGTAGACGGGGACTTGAGAGGAGGTGATGCCGACGCAGACGCCGTTGAGGACGCGACCGACGATGAGTTCGGCGCGGGAGGTGGTGGCGACTTGGACTGCTGTGCCGGCTAGCCACCAGAGGCAGGCTGTTCATCAATCTATGTTAGCGGTGCTGCGCGGTCGGTGGAGGGCTTGGGTACGACGAACCGAAAGCAATGGAGTCCCGACGCCCGAATTTATCTGATATAAAACCAGAACAGCTCGCTCCAACGATCGACCCTCCTGCCAAAGCAGCTCCAATGCCTCCCTGCCATAGTCCGGACGGATTGTGGAAGTAACCGACGTATTGATCCGTGATGATGATGGCAGAGATCGAAGAAATGTCAAAGCCAAACAACATGCCACCTATAGTCGATATGATGGCAAGAAAATGCATGTTATACCTATGTACAACCGCCATCGTCAGCCATTGGGAGATCCGTGAATGTCGCGTTGATATGTACTTACACCTTGGGAAAGGTGAAACCGAATTTAAGGCCTTGCATCTTGTCTGATCTGCTGTACTGCCCGTTCAACAGAGACAACGGAACAAAACTCGCCCTTAAGAAATGCCCACCAGGCTTCTGCAACAAAGACCAAAAGACAAGAATGAACAAGACCTGATATGAAGACCTCCCACAATACCACTCCGCGGTCCGATACGTAAGGCTGCCGTTGATCGACAGTCAAACCCCAGCCTCATTGACGGATAAATTGCAATATACTTTCTCGAGTCCCTCACTCTTGGTCAGACAAAATTCCGTCCATTGGAGAGCGAACGTGGAGACGGCAAACGTGGAGTGATCTCCTCGAACTTCTCGCATCACCCACCGGTGCCACCTGCTCGCGTGCAGACAACGGCTTGGACGGTACTCGGTACTTCACTGCCGATCACGCGCACATGGGAGATGACATCGTCGAAAAGCCCTGGTATGCGTGGAAGACATGGGTGCGGTTGGTTCGAGTCGGAGGAGGCGCCACTAGCGAAACGGCACTGAGATCGGTGGCGCTGTCGTCAGATCTCCCCGCATCAGGAATACTGATATATCTGGTGAGAACGACACCAGAGATGTTGTAGTCCGGCCGGGTGTCAATCGTGAGGGCAGCCCCATAGGTGGAAGTGTGGATGAAAGGGCATGTGGAGGACAGGACAGGGTGTTGCTGTTCCTGACCGGCAGAAGAGGGAAGAAGTCGTGGGTCAAGGCAGACCCGGCACATTCGGCACACACACAGAAAACAACCTCAAGACTCACGTGCGACGAAACATGAAAAGACCTCAAACCCAAACAAAAAGAGCTTCAGACCCCCCATTCTACCCACTAAAGCGCGCGCGAGTATAGCTAGCCAGTCCACAACCGCAGCAAACCATCCAACCGTCCGCGCTTATCATGGAGAGAAGTGTTGAAGCCTCTCCTTTACAACGCCAACGCTCAAATGCCATCCATCGTTTCTTTCTTCCTTTCGTTAAGAAAAGGGGGGGTATCATGACTCGCTCTCGCTCTCTCGCTCTTCGCCTCGTACAAAGCGGCATATGTTGAATGAATATGCCTTGCTCGTCCTCCTTGCCGACCGCTTGACAAAAGCCAGTTCTATCGGGTTTTCAGCTCTAACTTTTTCTCCGTCCATCTTGCGGGTATTTTTCTTTCCCATGTAACGCCGGACCAGCGAGGTGAAGCGCTGGAGTATGCAATGCCTCTGCCGCGTGAACAGCAGAGGCGGTGATGTTGAAAAAGGGACGAAACTCAACGCCTAAAACTTAAGCGTCTTCGGCTTCTCCCACGTGAAGTCGGGGTTGGTGAAATGCCCGTTCTTCGCCGTCGTGCAGTAAATCGGCTTGATCAGATCCAGCTCCTTGACAATGACACCGGGTCGCATGTCGAAGTTGTTGCGGATGATCTGCACCAGCTCGTCGGAACTCTTGTCCGAGGTGCCGTAGGTCTCGACGAACAGCGATAGCGGCTCCGCCACACCGATGGCGTAGGAGAGCTGCACGAGGGCGCGGCGGGCGAGCTTGGCGTGCACGAGAGATTTGGCGATCCAGCGCGCGAGGTAGGCGGCGCTGCGGTCGACTTTGCTGTAGTCTTTGCCGGAGAAGGCGCCACCGCCGTGGGCGCCCCAGCCGCCGTAGGTGTCGACGATGATTTTGCGACCGGTGAGACCGGCGTCACCTTGTGGACCGCCGATGATGAAGAGGCCGGAGGGTTGGATCTGGGAGAAGTCAGTACCATGCACTTAGTTGGTTGATTATGGAACTCACGTGGTAGGTAGTCTTGTCATCAAGGTACTTCTCCGGAATGACCTTCTTGATGATCTTCTCCTTGATCTCCTTCCGCAGCTGCTCGGTGGTGATGTCCTCGCTGTGCTGCGCGCTCACGACCACGGTGTCCACCCGCTTCGGCACAACAGCACCGTTGTCATGCTCGTACTCCACAGTGACCTGTGTCTTGGTATCGGGCCTGAGCCACGCCAAGCTGCCATCCCGACGAGCATCGCTCATAGCCTTGTTCAGCTTGTGCGCGAGCTGAATCGTCAATGGCAAGTACTCCGGGGTCTCATCCGTAGCATATCCGAACATGATACCCTGGTCACCAGCGCCCAGCTTCTCCAACGCCTCCTCGTAGTGCAGACCCTGAGCGATATCCGCGCTCTGCTCCTCAATGGCCACCAGCACATTGCAAGTCTTGTAATCGAAGCCCTTGTCCGAAGAATCGTAGCCGATGTCCTTGATCGCCCCACGAATGACCTTCTGGTAATCGATCTTCGTCTTTGTCGTGATCTCGCCGAACACCATGATCATGCCCGTCTTCGTGGCCGTCTCGCATGCAACCTTCGACAGTGGGTCACCTGCGAGGCAGGCATCGAGGATTGCGTCGGAAACCTGGTCAGCGATCTTGTCGGGGTGCCCCTCGCCCACAGACTCCGAGGTGAAGCTGTACGCCGCATTGTCAGCAGGTTGCACTGTGTAATCAATGTCTGCAGGTACACAACGCACAGGAAGTTGCCATTCGTTTTGGCGGGTACGCCGTTGGAGGTCACCATTTTCGCGGTTGTTCTTTTGGAAGCAGCGTCTTGACCGTTTTCAGAGACCGTCGACTCAAGGATTACCGGTGAGACAGGGTGAAAGGCTGTTTGAAAAGGAACAATGAGGGAGGAGTGTGTTGTAGGAAGACCGTACGTGGGAGGGATTTGACTTCGCAAAAAAAGAGGGCTGCGGGCTGGCGGGTGAGGTCACGTAGTCGATTTCGGCTCTTGAGAAGCACGCCTCAACCGGCAGTGGAACTGCTGAGGGAAGCGTCCGGGTGGTGGGGGTAGTCGTTCCTGCAAGGGCCGACGTCGCAGAATGCCAATGAAATGCCGGCAGAAATTTAAAGTCGAGTGTCACGTGAAAGCATGTGTGTCTCGAAAGGCCAAAAGCGGCCTGAAGCATGGTCATCGAAGCAGTCATTGCTGCAGTGTCACGGTACATGTCATCTACATCCTCGCCGCCCGCGTACTCTTCTCATAAAACTCCAGCGTGCACGCCGCCAGAAAACAAGGAATCTCCTTCCTCGCTTCCACCCAGTACTCAATCATACTCTTTATCTCGCCGGCGAAGACGCTCTGCGGTCCGCCACTGACTTTCATCGTCCCTGCCTCGCCGTCGAAGACGATGCTGTTCTCTTCCTCTTCGCCGTCGTTGAAGGACGTCGGATACAGTATCGAGCTCGCTTTGACTCGGCCGTTAGGTTGGAAGTCCAATTTCCAGCCTAAGATAGAGCAGACCGCTTCCCGGAACTCTAGGGATTTGCTGCCCCAGATTTGCTTAAGGCGGAGTGTCTTCTTCTCGTTCTGCGCAATCGTCGCTTTCATCTCGTCGAGTTGAAGCCGCATGTTGTCCAATGTGCTGACCGGCACGACTTTGGTCTTTGGAGTCTTGCCTTCGAGTTGGGTGAGAAGCGCAGCGTTCTCGTCCCGCAGAGTCTTGAGCGTAGCCATCTTAATTGCTTCGGCCTGCGCAGTAGGGTTGTTGCGGAGCTCGAGCGTGCGTGTGCGGGATGACTCTTTGAGCGAGTCGATTTGTGATATGCTGGCCTTCAGCTCTGCTTCCAGGAATTGGTTGTGTGTCTGCAGCTTGTCGATGTCGGTTTGCAATGAGCGTGCTCGACGCCGCATCTCAGCGAGTCGCTCCTCGTTCTCTGCATCGTCCTCTCTCGCCCGCTTCATTGGTGATGCGGGCGCCGGTTGCTGCGGTTCTGCTTTTGACAGCTCGCTTCGTAGCGACTCGACCTCCGCGCGGTATTGCTGCATCATGTCTTCCATATCATGTATCCGCTTCATTCGCTCCTCGTCGACTTGCTCAGGGTTGAACTCTGCCTCCTCGGCTTCGAAGGTCTTCATCTGAGCACGCAGATACTCCACTTCCTTCGTCACCAGGTTCTTCTGCCGCTGCAGGCGCATCAGAGCCTTGCCATCTCCAGCACCAGTAGGAGGTGCCACCGCAGGAGTAGCAGCATTCCGCAATCTCTCCATCTCTGCCTGCATCTGTGCCTTCTCGTCCTGCAACCTTTGCACCTCTTCATCCTTCGCAGAAAGCTCCGGCTGTACCGAGCCCAGCTTGTCCACCAACGACAACCGTTCCAGCCGCTCTTGCAAGAATGCCCGTGCCATCTGCTCCGGTGTCTCATACTTCATATCATCCTCGCTCCTCGCTTCACTCTCCAAGTAGCTTGTCCATCCCATCTTCTCATCCTCCAGAATCCTCTTCTGCAGCTGCGCCTCCGACAACTCCCGCCTCAAATCATCCATGATCCTTAGTTTCGCCTGCAATGCATGCTTCTCCTCCTCCACAACCTCAATACTCTTCTGATTCCGGCGAAACTGCTTCAACTCCGCCACTTGCTCCCGATTCCCAACCTCCAACTTCTTGATATAAGCCACCTGCTCGCTCAACTCCTTCTTCACCACAGCAAGCGTATCACTATCCCCGGTCTGCGCCCTCAACTTCATCACCTCATTCTCCAACTCTCCAGCCTCCGCCTCCTTCTGCACAAGCTTCTGCTGCGTACTCTGCAGCGCATTCACTCTACTCTCCAGATCCTGCTTCATCCCCTCCACCGACCCCTGCAACGTCGCATGCTTCTGCTCCAGCTCGTTGAAAGCATGCTTGCTCTCCCGATCCCGCGACAACAGCTCCGCCTGCGCATCCTCCAGCTCCTCCCTCAAACTCCTATTATCGTCCTGCACGCCCCTCAGCTTCTTCTCCAAAGCAGCTTTCTCGTTCGCCGCTCGATCCTGCATGTCCTGCCAGTCCCGCGCCAACGTGTCTGCTTTCTTCGTCGCGGCATTCTTGGCTGTTTCGGCCGCTTGTGCGCGCTTGAAGTCTGCTTCTGCGCGATTTTGCGCGTCGCGGATTTCTTGCGCTTGTTGGAGGGCGGTGAGCTCGCGCTCTTGTTTGAGGGAGTCGAGCTCGTATTGCAGGGTGTGGAGTTGGGCGCGGAGGTTTTCGTTGTTGATGTCGGGTTTGACGGTGGATTGCTTGAAGGTTTCTCGGTGGGATTGGCGAGGAGGGGAGGCTGCGCCGCCGTGGATGAAGTCGTATGTCGGTTGGTTGTGCGCCATGCCGGCGTGCAGTTACGGTAGAGTGTGCAACCAGTGCGTGGTTGAAGATCAGGTCTGGAAAGTGGTTCGCGACTTCCGCATTCGGCTAGCACAAAACACGCTAGTGAGCTGCACTACACTTCTGTCGGGGGCGGACTTGCTTGCACGTGAAAGTCATGAAAGTCATGGCGATAACAACGATTCTTCCTCTCCAAAGAAATTAAACATCCTGACAACTGCCAACATCAGGTCCGCATCGCAAACTAGGTGGTCCAACATATTGCCAGCGATGACGACCACAAAAATCTGAGCCCCAGCCTCAACCATGGAATCCATCGAAGAGCTCGCCCAGAGATGGCTCTCCCTGGACCAGGATTCCACCACCAGGAACGAGATCGAGACTCTGCTGCGTGAGAAGAATGAAGCCGAACTCGAGAAACGACTCCGCAAGCGCATCGCTTTCGGCACTGCTGGCCTACGCGGTCCCATGAAAGCTGGCTTTGCTTGCATGAACTCGTTGACCGTCCTTCAAGCATCGCACGGGCTGGCGAACTACATTCTCAAAACGAGGAAGACACCATCTCGTGGGGCTGCGAAGAAACCAAGCGTCGTTATCGAGCATGACAGTCGCCACAATTCAATCAAGTTTGCGAATCTGGCAATTGCTGCTTTTCTGGAGAAAGGTTTCGCGATCTACGGGTCTTTCACACCCGTGCATACTCCCGTGGTGCCATGGTCAGTCAGGCAGTATGAAGCAGACGCCGGTGTAATGATCACGGCCTCGCACAACCCCAAGGACGACAACGGCTATAAGGTATACTGGAACAATGGGTGTCAGATCATCCCTCCTCACGACGCCGGTATCGCCGCGGAAATCGAAAAAGTCGGAAGTATAGACAGCTGGGTGTGTCCGGATCTCGACGATCATGAAGATGTGCACGACATGTGTGAAACCAATAATCAGTACTACTCCGAACGTATTAGAAGTCTTGTGTCGTTTCTCTCGAGCTCGTCATCGGCTGAACCCGAGCAAATCCTGCCTTGCGTCTACACTCCTTTGCATGGTGTTGGCTCGTGGGCAATTGAATTTATGCTTGGTCGCTCGTATTCTGAGGCTCTACAACCCGTCCCGACCCAGGCAAAACCCGACCCAGACTTTCCCACCATCCCGTTCCCCAACCCTGAGGAGAAGGGCGCCCTGGATCTGGCAAAGCAAGAAGCAAACAAGCTAGGACTCAAGCTCATCCTCGCCAACGACCCAGACGCAGATCGCTTCGCCGCTGCCGAACTACTCGAAAACGGAGATTGGCACCAGTTCACCGGCAACCAAATGGGCATCATGCTCGCCTCCTTCATGTTTGAGATGCATCAAGGCCCAAGAGACAAGCTGGCGATGCTAACCACCACGGTCTCTTCCCGCATGCTGGCCGCCATGGCAAAGAAGGAAGGCTTTCACTTCCAAGAAACTCTCACCGGCTTCAAATGGCTCGGCAATATCGCTCAAGACCTCAATCGAGCCGGGTACCAACCAATCTACGCTTTCGAAGAGGCCATCGGATACATGTTCCCGATCGTCTGCTGGGATAAGGACGGTGTTGCAGCAGCGGCGGTCTTTCTCAAAGCTTGCGGGCATTGGAAGAAGCAAGGCTTGACTCCGTACACGAAGCTTCAGGCGCTGTATCAGAAGTACGGATACTTTGAGGATGCGAATACCTACCTCATTTCACCATCCCCTGAGACGACGAACAAAGTCTTCAACGACGTCCGCCGTCTGAACAAGGGCTCACGACCAGAGACCGTCGGCAGCCGCACGATCAGCAGATGGCGGGACCTCACGACTGGCTACGACACCGCCACGCCCGACAACGAGCCGGAGCTTCCAATCGACGCAAGCGCGCAGATGATCACGTGCGAATTGGGGGATGTGGTGTTCACAGCGAGAGGCTCAGGGACGGAGCCGAAGATCAAACTGTACATTGAAGCGCAGGCGAAGACTTCGGAGGAGGCGAAGGGGATGGCGGATGAGGTGTTGCGGGATTTGTTGAGGGAGTGGTTTAGGGCGGAGTATGGGTTGAAGCTTGCGGGTACGTGAAGGATGATATCTTCACCACCCGCCCAATGCGACCGCCGGGCTCCTGAGCTTCGCCGCAAGAGGGGACCAGCTGAACATTACGAAGCCAGCGGCAGCTACAATAATGCGCTCACGACGGATCAAGCATGACCTCTCGGATAGACGGGGGTTGTCAAAGGCCCAGTTACGCCCGTTACGAGCGCTATGGCTATGCGTGGTACATCATCATGCCATCCCGGTGGCGGAGTGCAGCAGGAGGGAGCTTGAATCGTCAGAACAGGCTGCCAGAGATCAGGGAGTAGGAGCACGACCCATTGGTCTGAACAACTGAAGAGTTGCATGATTTACGAGATATGAGAATCACGATCCGGGCGGTTTCATCAATTCGTCTTTCACTTTTCTCATCTGTTTCTCATTATTTACACCCCCCTGAAATGCCCAAGCCATCGTCACCGCAGAGCATCACACATTACCATTCACGCCCATCATAACTTCCATCAGTCGATGAGGCAGCAAGCACACCAATCCACCAGCGCCAAAGTACCCAACCCCCCATTCCTCAAAGACACCACCACCACCTCAACACCCCCCCGGCTTCCCCTGCGTCACCCTCGTCACCTCCGTGAACTCCGACCACTGCGGAAAATCATCCACACTCTCCGCGGGCTGCACTTTCGCCGTGATGACGGTGATGGTCAGGTCGGCGACGGAGTCGGGGGGGATTTGTGTGCCGTCGAACTATGGATCATCAGGGTTAGCAGGTTGGTTTGGAACTTGGAGATGAGGGGGAGGGGTAGGAGGGATGGGGGACGTACCATGCCGACACGCCAGTGCAGGTTAGCTTCTAGGTAGTCTTCCACTACGCTGGGGCGCATGCTGGATAGTTCGCCGCTCTCAGCTTTGGCGAGCAACACCGACGTCAACGGCATCGTCCCCGTGACCGCAATAGCAGCATGGTCCCTCTTCACTCTCGCCTGTGCATTGCTAACAGCGTCCCCGCCGTCCAATGCGGCGAAGACAGCGTGCGTCCCAACTAAATTCGGACTCGTGGCCCACGCCGTCGGCGTATCGTCAAAGTCGCCGAGGAAGACGTAGATGGCGTAGGACCCGTTGAGGGCGAATTTCTGCGAGAGGATGTTGGCGAGGTACTGGCGGTGGCGGCCGTCGAGGACGACTTCGTCGGGGATAGATGCGGCTTCGAAATGGGCTTCGCCCGCAGCACGGGAAGGGACGGTGGAGTTCTGGGACTCGCGCCTAGAGAGCCCGCTGCTGCTGCCGAAACTGTTGCCGTATAACTTGTTGATCGCGGCTTTGACGTCGGAGACGTTGGGGTTGCCGATGAGTTCCGGGTACGTGTAGCCGAGGCGCTTGGTATCGCGGACGGAACCGGCGGTCCAGTAGTCCCGCTTTGCGGTGGAGAAGAAAGGTTCGAGCGCGGAAGAGTCGTCGAGCACGTCGCCGACGCTGATGGTGAAGGTCTGTTCGACGGAGGACATGGGCTCGACGTAGCTGTCTGGGTACAGCGCCTGCCACAGCGCAAAGGCGCGGTCGACCATTGCGTGGTGGAGGAAGAAGATGGGGTCGTAGGCGGAGTAGTCGAGATACGTCATGTGTCCATTGCTGCCCATGATGCTGTGGATAGCGTCGTGGAGCGATTCCAAGCTATCCGATGCTTGCAGGCCCGGGTGCATCCAGGCTTCGTTGCCGAATTCGGTAAAGTTGTCGTAGTTGGTGAAGAGGTTGTACAGGCGGTCTTGGAAGGAGACGCGGTTGTTGTCGAGCACTGGGCCGATGAGGTGGTTTTGGCTGACGGCGTCGAGGTCCCAGCTGGTGGGGTAGCGTTTGGTTTCGTTCCAGGTGGCGAAGGGGTTGAAGTAGAAGTCGGAGGCGCTGACAGGGTGGAACTGGTAGGAGTAGAGGGGGTTCGGGATGATGGCTGTGCCGTTGGGCATTGTGACGTTGACGGTCGGTGACTGCAGGCTGGCTGGGTAGACGCTCTGGCCATCAGAAGGCGTGGCAGCCCAGTCCCAGTATGGGAATCGCCATGTCAATGCTGCAGAGGCGTACCGCTGGCGGACTGCTCCAGCTGGGAACTCGTTGACCGCATCAATCATGTGCTGGTAGAGTGTCTGCTCGAACAATGCCAGATATGGTCTGTGCCAGGCTAAGAACACATTCGACACATGAGCGCAGTACCCAGGACTGCTGTGACCATCTGCCGACGGGACGCCGTCCCATGCGATGTAAGGCCGGCCATGGATCCCTGCGATCTGGTAGTAAGACGTGAGGTCGCTCTGGTCTGTCTGCTGGCATCGCCTGAGGCCGAGCAAGAAGAGATTCCACTGATCTGTTTTTGCTTCAAGCTGCCGGATCTCTAGCCGTGACTGCACGCCGTATGTCTGGATGCCTGTGATTGCGACTGTTGGCTCCTGCCGCCGCTCAGGGTTTGATATCCTTGGCATAGATGCCTCGTCGACCTCATGCCGCCAGAGTGAGAGTGGTACGCCATTGACGAGAAAGCAGAGCTGCAGCACGAGCAGGATTGCTGAGAGCATGTTGGTATGTGAAGGCGTCGAAGACATGATCGAGCCCCTGAAGCGGTGTGTTATCTCTCAATGGCCTTGTTCAATCGCCACGAAGAGTGGAACGGTGACACCAAGTCGCGGATAGCAGTATCGCACCAGCCCGATAGCGAATGTCTTCCCGGAAGCACAGCAGGAGTTGTATGAGCTCACAATCAGCGCATGTCGCTCGAACGATTCGTCATGCCACGTGAACCAGCTCGGCAACAATCTTCCGTTGAGGTTGAGCCAACGTCAACCACAGCCACCAGTGAACAGAAAATGAAGTCACAGCAGAAAGCAAGCAAGAACCCGAAGCACGCACGAAAAAAGAAGGCAAGGCAAACAAACAGCGACTTATACCTTTCTTTGGCACTGGACAAGCATCCTGACGTGCAGCGCAGACGCAGCAGAGACGCAGGGCTGCAGGGTGGAGCGGAAGGCTGGGGAGAATGGGTTGCTGCCATTGCCGCACTTGACGGGCATGCGCCGTCCGACTTGGGCAAGAGCGACCTGCCAGTCCGAGCGCCATCTTCCCAATACGAGCCTGCGAGCCAGGAGCGGGATGTTATCGACATTGACGGGGTGGAAGTCTCCGTCGACCTCGTTTGCCCATGAATACGCCCCCTGTCAAGCACACCACAAGGGATGTCCCCAAGCGCCAAACCTGAGCGAGCCGTTCGCCTCCACGACATCGACACGCCGTTGACCCATGCACAGCACGATGCTCCACTGGGATCATCGTTGCCATCGCAGAAGCACTTGCGCGAGAGCTTGACGTACGTCCTGTGAAACCCAGGAGGTCGGACTCCGTTTTCACTTGCGCAGCCAATGGATTGGCTGCGTGCTTACCAGATGCCTGGATCGATAGCGACAGGTACCGAACTCCTGCGATCCAGGGACAAATGCTTGATTGGGATGAAGCTCAGGAAGCTTCAGCGGTATTGTTCAGCAAGAGCGCTCGAGCTGTGATGGAATTTTCATACTTACTGCGTGCAATGCTCGTGATGCTGTTCATGTTGCAGCACTTCCCGATGCGCGAGTCCTGAAAAGCGAACGATCCCCGCTCGTGACACAGCATATGCAGCACCCCAAGCGCGCCGTCGATCTTCCCACGGTTGAAACAATGCCTTCTAGAAGCACTCAAAAAGCAGAGCCCTCAATCTATTTCCGCCTGAAGACCAATTGGCAACCACCAAGAACTGGCTTTTTCGCATCCAATACAGCACTTCTCGTCCGCAAGCAACCACCACAGAGCCTTCGTGTCGCACACGGGCTTGTATGCCAATCCGCACCAATGCTGTGAATGCGACGATTGTTTTGTGGAAGCAAGGGACTCACACGACATCCGCCCTCTGAGCTTCATCTCCAACAACCATTGGACCTCCACCTTGCGATCGTCACGCACGCACACGACGCCCAAGAACATGGCGGTGGGCGCTTTTGGCAGCTCTCATTCCATCAGCAACGTGGTGATCGGATGGCAATTGTCTCAGGCAGTCCCGATGGTGTGTTGGAGGGTGGCTCGTAGGTATGAGGTGGTGGTGTGGATGTGCCTGGAGCGATCGACGAGCGCCTTGCCAGCTACGACAGGTGACCGTCGAGCAACGTCGTGGCGCTGCACGTGTACGCCATCTTTGCATCTGGACACGACTACGTGGTCGCCACTTCGTCACCTTGAGAACTCAGTGGTGAACGCTCGCGACGTGGCAGGAGTTCTTCGAAGAGCGGACGCCTATCACGAGGGGCGTGCAAAACGGCCACCCGGCTTCAGGTTTCGCAGCGACATGGTCATCGTCTTCGAAGAATGGTCATTGCTTGCGATCCTGCCTGCTGTCGCATCTTGTCTTCTCGTGGTTTGCCAGGCGTTCTATTCCCTTTCACTCGAGGACCGATTTCTTTTTGCATCAAACTCGGAATGTGAGACTGACTGCGCGCCATTCGAGAAGTGTGCGATGTTGATGTCTCTCCCAGCGGATCTCTCAGGAGAGACATTCACATTCATCTCCTTTCGAGGCCAGCTCTTGGCATCCTTCTGACATCCTTTACCCCGGCTTCCCCACAGCATCATCATCACTGACTCGTGCTCGACTACCACCAACGCGCTCAGAGCTCGCGTTCAAGACGTCCGAGGGAGCTCTCCCCGAACGCCGCTGAGCCGAAGAGGTATTGGCGATCATCATCGTTGTTGCTGGTTGTCTCTTAACGTCTCGTGCATGTAATCCTTCCATCCCAAGTCTCTTCTCCGTGTACCATACCCACCATGCCTCCTCATCCGCAAGACGAAGCCTACGACCTCTCAGTCAAAGACCCCTCCAAATTCTGGGCCCATCAAGCACAACAGTTAACATGGCACACCACCCCAACCACCGCCTTCCGCAAAAGCACTCGCAAACTCGCCTCCGGCACCTCTCACAGCACCTGGACCTGGTTCCCCGACGGCGAGATCAGCACAACCTACAACTGCATCGACCGACACGTTGAAAACGGGCATGGGGACCAGACGGCGATTATCTGGGACTCGCCCGTCTCGGGCTCGAAGCAGAAGATCTCGTACTCTGAGCTGCAAGAGGAGGTCGCGACACTAGCGGGAGTGTTGCGCGAGCAGGGAGTGAAGAAGGGGGATACGGTGATCGTCTACATGCCCATGATACCCGCGACCTTAATTGGTATTTTAGCTGTCGCGAGACTAGGCGCAATACACGCAGTAGTCTTCGGCGGCTTCTCTGCTTCCTCCCTCGCGCAGCGCATTGAAGCGAGTCAGCCTGCTGCGATTCTGACGGCGAGCTGTGGGATTGAAGGCGCGAAGGGCCCGATTCCTTATCAGCCGATGGTTCGAGGGGCGATTGAGCAGAGTCCGCATAAGGTTGCGAAGACGCTTGTTTGGCAGAGGGAACAGAGTCAGTGGGAGGACATTAGGAAGGAGGAGGGGGAGAGGGATTGGAAGACGCTGATGGAGGATGCGAGGAAGAGGGGGGTGAAGGCGGATAATGTCCCGGTGAAGAGTGGGGATGGGTTGTATATCATTTATACGTCGGGCACGACTGGGCTGCCGAAAGGTGTGTTGAGAGAAGCTGGTGGGCATGCTGTGGGTTTGAACTTGTCGATACGGTATCTGTTCGGTATCAGAGGGCCTGGGGACGTGATGTTCACTGCTAGTGATGTTGGCTGGGTGGTTGGACACAGCTACATCCTGTACGCACCTCTCCTCGCCGGAGCGACGACGGTGCTATTCGAAGGAAAGCCGGTCGGGACACCGGACGCAAGCACGTTCTGGCGGATACTGGAGGAGTACAAAGTCAACACGTTCTTCACAGCGCCAACAGCACTTCGAGCTGTGAGAAAGGAAGATCCGGAGAATAAGCACTTCAAAACCCGCGGCGAGAAAGGCGGTCTACGCCAACTACGCTCTCTCTTCCTCGCAGGCGAGCGCTCAGAACCCTCCATCGTGACAATGTACAACGACCTCGTCAAGCAACACGGCGCGCCCAACGCCCAAGTCATCGACCACTGGTGGTCCTCCGAGTCCGGCTCACCCATGACCGGCATCGCGCTCCTGCCCAAAACCACCTCCAACCTCTCCGACCACGAGTTCGTCGAACCGCTCAAAATCAAGCCCGGCTCAGCAGGCAAACCCATGCCGGGCTTCGACATCCGCACAGTCGACGACGAGGGCAAAGAGCTCTCAAAAGGCACAATGGGCAATATCGTGCTCGGCATCCCGTTCGCGCCATCAGGTTTCACGACCCTCTGGCGTGACGACGAGCGCTTCTATAAAAGCTATTTGAAACGCTTCAACGGGGAATGGATCGATACCGGCGACGCAGGCATGATTGACGAAGACGGGTACGCACTCCCCTTCCCCTCCCTTTACCATCTCCCACATCAACTAAATCCTTATCCAATCTAGCTACGTCCACGTAATGTCCCGCTCCGACGACGTAATCAACGTCGCCGCCCACCGCCTCAGCACGGGCGCCATCGAACAAGCCATCGGCTCCAACCCCTCCGTAACCGAAGTCGCCGTCGTCCCCATGCCGGACCAAATGAAAGGCCACGTGCCCTTCGCCTTCCTCACGCTGCCCGACGCCCCTTCGGATCTGCTCAAAGACCTGAATGGGAGGTTGAGACATCATATCGGACCCATAGCGAGTTTGGGCGGTGTGATTTCGGCGCCGGGGATTATTCCCAAGACGAGGTCGGGGAAGACTTTGCGTAGGGTGTTGAAGGAGTTGTTGGAGAATGGGCTCGAGGGGGAGTTTGGGAAGGAGGTTAATGTGCCGGCGACGGTGGAGGATCCGGCGGTGGTGGAGAAGGCGAGGGTGGCGGTGAAGGACTACTTTACGAGCGGGGATGGAAAGAAGATGAAGGCGAAGTTGTAGGATGTGGAAACACTGTACAGTACGATGTGGTGCTACGTAATGACTGCACAGACAAGCTGTCGAAATGGATGTCGTTCAGAACGCCCGCCAAACCAAACACTCCGCCTCTCCAAACACCGCATATACACGACCGTCCATCAAATCCAACAACGCCAAACAACCCTTCCGCCACTCATGCAACCCCTCATCCTGATCTACCGCCCAAAGTAACTCCCCCCATCCACACTACTCAACGCGGCCGTCGGCATATCACTCCCCAACGCACTATCGAAAGCATGTGGCCACGTCACCTTCTGCTTGTCCGCCTCCGGATCACCCCCGGGCGCCGCTTCGAGTCGCAGCTGCAGCGGCGCAGCCTCCTCGGCTTCGGCTTCGGCCTCTGCCTGCTCTTCTTGCCCTTCGCCTTCGTCGCCGCTCAGCTCATGGAACTCCTCCTCGCTCGGCTCCTCGTCGATGACGCTCTGGCCACCTGCCACCACACCCTCAGCTGAGCTTCCCAGGCTGGTACGGCGATCGATCTCGCTGCCTGTCATGTAGCTGCCAGTGCCATATGAGAGATCAGAAGTGCCATAGCTCATCCGGCTCTCCACCCCGGGCGTGATACCCTCCGTCCCGCTACCTTCAGGATACGTCGAGTAACTGTCCCGTCCACTCATCAAACTCGTCCTTCGCTCGGTAGCTGCATCACTCCCGTACACACTAGGCGAGTCGGGCCGCTGAAGCTCATCCTCGCTCTCTTCGGACAGCGTCTCGTTCTCCTTGTTCTGCTCCACTGGGGCCAGGAGGTCGCGCTTCCCGGCCCAAGAAGGCTTACGCGGATACTGTGTCTTGACGGAATGGCTGCGCTTCATGCCCTGCGAAGCCAGGCTGGGGTTGGAGGAGAGGGTGCTGCCGCCGTAGGCGACGTTGTTGTTGATCTGGTTGAGGGACATGATGCGGCGCTCGGCTGTGTTGGAGAGGGCGCCGTTACGCTGCATGCCTGGGCGGGACTTCATGGCGAGGGAGTGGTTGGCTTTCATGGCCGGAACGGAGGAGGTGACGGTCTGGGCTGAAGTGGCGGAAGCATTGCTGGGGACTCGCAGGTCACGGCCCTGAGGCTTCTTCTTGGGAGAAGGTGCGGGTTTGGCGCTCTTTGCGAGGAGCAGCATCCGAGATTGGTTCATGACGCCCTCGAGCATGCGTCGCTCGATGCCTTCGGCCTTCTTGTCCATCTCGTGCAGTTCTTCGCGACGAATATGCATCGCTGTCTCGAGCGAGGAGACGTCAGCAGCAAGACGGGACTTCTGAGAGGTCAGAGCCTCCTTCTCAGCCCTGAGAGCCTCGACGGCAGTCCTGAGCGTGTCCTTCTCGTCGTTGAGGACCGTGATGTCGTCTTCAATCTCGTCCTTCTTCGCCTGTCTGCGCTCAAGCAGCAACGCCAGCTCTTCAGCTTCGCGCTCCTTGCTCTCGTGCTCTTCAGTGATCTGCTTCGCCTGCGTGGCCACGAAAGCCGAAACCTCAGCCGCAGTCGCCATGACCTTCTCATGGATCTGGTCGAGACGCTCAAGCTGCGCGGAACCCTTTGAAGCCTCCTCAGCATGACCCACCAGCTTGTCCAGCTTCTCATGCATTACGGTATCATCGTAGCGCTCAGGCTCTGGCGGAGGCGCACTGTCGGTGGAAGGAGCCGGCATAAGCTGGGGCAGCGAAGACATGTTGGTCTTGAGCTCCTCGTTCTGGGTTCCTATCCCGCGAACTTGCTCCTGCAACTCCTTCACTGCCTGTGCGTGCTCAGCGGCCGCGTCGGAAGCCTTCTGCGAGTGCTCGTAGTGCTGGCCGAGCATGGCTTGGACTTCCTTCAGCGTGACCATGAAACGAGGATTGTGCTCCGACAAGTCGCTCTGCAGGCCACCGATGGCAGCGAGGACTTTGGCAACCTCATCCCGAGTGACCGAGTGCTCGAACTTGAGGCCCTCTTGAGTCTCGTCGAGCTTGTTGTAAGTGTCGTCGACCTTGTTGAACACGGTCTTCGACTCCTCGGTCATCTTCTCCATGGTTTCCGGGAAAGCAGTAAGCGTCGATCCAAGAGTATCGATGGACAAGCGCAGGTCATCCGTCATAGTCTTCATGTTCGTCAACATCTCGTCCTGCTTAGCAGCGTTCTCCTCCATGCCCTTGGCCTTCTCTTCAGCAGCGTGCTGAGCGTCATCGTACTTGGACATGAGGCCGTCGAAGTATGTCTCGAGCTTCTCACCAATCTCGGTCACCAGCGCCTCCTTGTGCTCTGCTTGCTTCTCCAGCGACGATTCGGCGGCTTCGTTATGGTCGACCTTGATCGCTTCGATCGAGCCATGTGCGCGCTCGAACTCCTCCTTGACCTTCTCCAGCAGGCTTTGAATCTCAGCCGTCACCGGTTCATGGCTAGTCTTCTCCTCAAGACTCTTCAGCGTCTCGCCCAAAGTGTCGATGCCGGTCTCGCCGTCGCCAAGTTTGGCCAAAAGCTCTTCCTTCATCTCGGAAAGGGAGTCCTTGAAGTCGGTAAGCTGTTGGACAGTCTCCTCGAACTCCTGCTTGCGATCATCGAAGGCTTTGGCGGTGACAGCAATGTCCGTCTCATAACTCTCCTTGAGCTTGTCATGGCTCTCGCGGAAGTCAGTGATCAGGCCGTGAAGCTGTTCGACATCGGCCTTCGAAGGTAGCTCCTCAGGGTCCGGAATAACCATCTCGTTGACTCTCGTTTTGATGTCGGTGCACATTACACCAAGGATATCAAGGTCGGCTTTGGTCATGAGCTCCGGCTTCTCTTCGTCCGGATCGGGCACCGGCATGCGGTCCTTGAGCTCATCCATTGCGGTCTTGAGGTCCTGCGCAAGCACTTCGACGACAGCGACGTCCGCTTTGCCTGCCGTGGTGTTCTCCAGTTTATCGACAAGCCCGTCGATACCTTCGTTGGTGACACGAACAGTAGCTTCCAAAGCATCCATCTGGTCCTTGGTAACCACGTTCGCCGGATCTGGCATCGCCATGTCCTCGAGCTGTGATTTCGTGTTCCTGAGCAGCGTTTCAATGGCATCAGTATCCTCCTTCATCGCCGCACCCTCACCAGGTGCAGGCTGCTCTCGCTCAGCCATCGAGACAACACTGTCCTGAATATCCTTTAGCAGCACCTTGAGAGCGATGATGTCCTCCCGCTCGACAGACTCCGCAGCCGGTCTCGCAGTCCCAAGATCCCCCAAGGACGCGCTCATCGCATCGATCTTCATCTGCAACTGCGTAATCGCCATCTCAATCTTCTCAACGCCTTCATCATTCATCCCGGTCGCAGCGGCAGCAGCAACACCCGCGGCGACCCCGGCCTCAGCACCGACGTCCCTCGCCTGGCCAACCTCCGCGCCATCAGCGAGCACGATCTCTCCACCCTTGGGCATAATCGCAGTCCCATCAGCAGACTTGAGCTTATCAATGTCCGCCCTGAGTCCGGCAAGACCTTCCTTGAGCGTGTCCAAGATCTCGTAGTTCACGGTCATATCCAGTGGCTTGTCGAGCGTCTTGATCACATCAGTGTGCAAGCTTTCCAGTCCCTCGTTGATGGCATCCAAGAGCTCCGTGTGCTGCGTGTCGCGCTGCTCTGGATCTTGAGACTTCTTGTCGATGTGGCTTCGCAGGTCGTCGAGACCGAGACGGACGGCGTCAAGAACTTCTTCTTGAGAGCCTCCATGGGCCACGCTGGTGGCGATGCCGTTGCGAAGCTTGTCGAACTCGCCTTGGATGGCTTCAAGGAGCTCATCTGTGAGGCCTAAGTCGCTGCCTTTGGCTACCGATTCCTTGATCTCGTCTAGGCCAGTACGGATAGATTCGAGCGTCTCGTCACTGACCTGCCCATTGCCGCCACCGCCAACGACAACAGAACTACCCATGGACTCCTTGAAGCCTTCAAGTTCTTCCTTGATGGCTCCCAGCGCTTCGGCCGCAGCATCGCTCTGGTCCGCAGAGAGCTGTGTGCGGAGGTCATCGATCGACTGCTTGACACCGCTCACAATGGCGTCGCGATCAGCATCCCCGATGATGGAGTGCAATGACTCCTTCAGCTGCGAGAATTCAGTATGCATCTCGTTGATGATGTCCTCCGTGGCGCCGCCGGAGAGGCCGCTCATCTCGCTGCCGTTGAATCTGGCGTGCAGAGCGCCCAAGCTGTCCTGGATCGTTTCGATCAGCTCGCTCTTGTCGTTCGCATTGGCGTTGAGGACAGCAGTCTTGAGCTGTTCGAACTCCTCCTTCATGGCTTCAAGCATCTCCTCGCTGGGTCCTGATTCTTCGCCGTCGACGCTCCGAGAATTGCCGACATGGGACTTTAATTCTTCCATGCCCTCCTTGAGCGCGAGGATGACTTCGGCGGCGTGCTGTGGTTGCAACTCTTCGCCGCTATCGCGAGCCATGTCACGAGAGCCAATGACCTCGTGGAGATGCTCGAACTCAGACCTGAGGTACTGAACCATGTCGGCCTTGCTTTTGTCGTTTGTTGGACCTTCGGCGACGTAGCCTTGGGTATCTGCTCGTAGCTGTTCCAGGCCATCTTTGAGAGCATCCACAATCTCGTCCTTGCCAGTGACATCCTGCGCCCGGTCAACGTAGCTTTCGATCTCGCCTCGTAGCGACTCGAGACCATCCTTGACTGCGTCCAGGACCTGCTCGGTATCACGGCCGTTGGCAGCGATGTACTGCTGGAACTCGACTCTCATGCCATCGACAAGGTCTTGCAGTTGCCTCAGAACTTCTTCGCCCAGACCACCGAAAGGAATGGCAGAACCATCCAAGCTGGCCTTGACGGCGTCGAAGAGATCCTCGCGGCTGATCTCCATCTCTCTTGGTGCGGATGGTCCATGGTTGGCAAGACCCTCCTTCACAGCCTCGATGACTGCGAATCTTGTGGCTTCGTCGTCCGCTGGACCAGCTGGTGGTGGGCTGAACTGCTCAAGCGCCTGTCGAACGCTCCCGAGCAGCTCCTCCCTCATCTGCTCGATCTGCTCATCCGGCAGCGGAGTCCTGAAGTCCTTCAACGCTTCCTGCACCGCCTCGAAGACCTCGCCCTTGTCGACACTGGCGACAGCTGGCTCTGCCCTGCTGTTCGAATGGTCCTCGAAGCCCTGCTTGAGCACATCAAGGATCTCTTCACGCTCAAGGCCAAACTGCTGTATCGAGATATCGGGTTCAAAGCCCTCAAGTCCTTCCTTTACCACCTCCAGGATCGCCTCTCGGTCCACGCTGGAGTCACCAGACTCAGGCTCGTGCTTCACGATGCTGTCCGCGTGCTCAGACAGTGCATGCTTGATAACAGCAAGCATCTCTTCACCATCCGGGCCGCCTCTGGTGTTTGCGAGCTGCTTGAAAGTGTTGTCGTCCTCCTCGGCGCGTTGCTGCATCAAGTTAGAGATATGCGTCTTGAGATCAGCTATGCTCTCGTCGATGATGCTCTGGACCTCTCCGGCGTCCAGACCACCTTGTCCGTCTTCGATGGATCGGTCGAGAGCGTTGGTCAGCTGCGAAGTGCTGACTTTCTCCAGCTTCTGACCCAGATCCCTTCCCATACCTAGGATCTCACCGCGCAGGTCGCGGACAATGCCCTTAACTTCCGACGTGGTTCCTCCGGTATGCGTCATGGCGCTCTTGATGTGCTCAAGCATCTTGATGATCTCGGAGTCTGTGCCAATCATCCTCGCTTCCTTTCCACCAGCATCGCGCGTCTTCTGCATCGAGTTGGGTGAGTCGAAGTTGAGGTCCAGTTTGGGTGGGCCATCCTTCGAGACGCGGACTATGGCTTGCGATCCGGACTTCTCCTTGATGAACTCAGATAGCTCTTCCACCTTCCTTGCAGCCTCTACGTTCTCCTTCTGACTCTTCTCCAACAGCTCAGTCAGAAGTCGCTGCAGGTGATCCTGGCCATCTTTCGTAACCATGTCGCGGATGATCTTCTCTAGCATCGCCATGCTTGCAGTGCCTTCAATAGAGAATGGCGATGGCGAGCCAATTCTCTCCTCCAGGAAGCTATGCGCGCTGGCTGCTCGTGGCACACTATACGACTTCTGTGCAGATGGAGGCGAGTTGAATGGCTTGTTATCCAAGAACGTCGCGAAACTGCTCGCGCTCCGGCCCACTTCACCTGGCACTGGAGGTGGGCCCAGGAGACCTGGGTCAAGGTTCATCCCAAGGCGTCGCAGCGACTTGTGGATTTCTTCGTCGCGCTTATTGGTCGCGTCTTTCAGGCTGAGCAGATCCGTAGCGTTGTCTTTGCTCCGTCTGCTGAGGGCTGTCATCTCTTTCTGCAGATTTGTAGCGATTGAGGTCAAGTTGAGCAGCTGGCTGGAAAGATCGTAATTGCTGCTTGACCGGTCGAAGTTGCTATTTGATCGTGGTAGTGTTGGTGTGGCTGGTCCATTGGTGACATCGTGCAATGGCTGCTCCGGTACCTGCATCGTCTGAAGCGCAAGCATAGTCGCAGATGGAGGAGTGTTCTCGCCCAGCAGCGGTCGAGGCCCTGGTCGTGTGGATGGCCTTAGACTCGGAGTATCCTTCAGTGGATCGCGCGGCGCTGGAGTCGGAGTAGATGATCGCTCGAAGATATCCTCCTTGCTCTCCTGCCGACTGAACGAAGAGAATCCACCGCCTGACACCGGCCTCTCCGGTGACCGCTCCGGCGACCTGTTGTCCAGATAGTTGCGCAGGTCCTTGACGTTTCCTGTCTGCAAACTCTGCATGCGCTTGTGATGCGCGCCTTTGATCAGCGACCTCTCCGGTGAGCCTTGTGGAGTGCCGTTGTTGGATGTGTAGGATGAAAGTGGTTGGCTCTCCCGAGCCCTTTCGACAATTTGCCTGGCAGCCGCGGCAATACCTGCGGATGTGTTCGCCTTCGTCGTCGGACTGTGAGTTGGGTTGAGTGGAAGAGGCGGCGGCGCGCGATCCGGATCTGAGCTATCCCACCTGCGTTTGATCGACGTTAGCAGGTGCATCGTGACATGTTCGCGCCGGCCGGCCTCTCCAGCATCGACTGTGGAGGCGGAGGACGTACATAGGGACGCTCATCCTTCCTGACTCGCTCCAAGAATGCTGATGTCTGACCTCGCTGTCGCGAGAAGCTTCCCTCTCCGTCGCCGGCATGGTGGATAGAGGTATTGGAGCCGTGGAATGTATGCGGTCGCTAGGCGATGGTCCCAATCATGCGGTCGTCGATTGCATTGTAGTCCTGCTCAATGCTTCTCCAAAGTCCGTCCAATGCGGTAAGAGAGCGAGCGGTCGAGTAGTATGACAGAGTGTGCGAGTGTTGTGAGACGACGAAGTGTATCGTTTTTTGGGATCTGCGCTTTGCCGAGTAAACATGTAAACATTGGGCAGCAACGACCGCCGAGCACGGCAAGTGCGGCGAGCGAGCGGGACGTTCCGCCTTCGGCAATGCCAAGCCCACCAGAACTTCTGAAATGCGATCAACTTCAAGACAACGTTAATCGACCAGCTACACCACAGCACGAGGAACACAGCAAATATGAAGTGTATGCGACCCTTACAACTTTCCGCAATGGCATCGCTGACAATTCCACAGTCCTCAAGGTCGGCCGAGTGGTACGCGAAACCACCCATTAACAACCACCCAGAAAACTAATGCTATCCAGGCCATCATCTCGCGCGGCCGCTACGCCGGCAAGAAAGTCGTCATCATCCAGCCCCAAGACAACGGCACGAAGAAGCACCCCTTCCCGCACGCCCTCGTCGCCGGCATCGAGCGCTACCCCCTCCAAGTGACCCGCCGCATGTCCAAGGCCCGCCAGACGAAGCGCAGCAAAGTCAAGCCCTTCATCAAGGCCATCAACTACAACCACCTGATGCCGACGCGGTACACGCTGGAGCTCGAGGGGCTGAAGGGCGTGGTGTCGAATGATACGTTCTCGGAGGTGAGCCAGCGGGAGGATGCGAAGAAGAAGGTGAAGCAGACTCTGGAGGAGCGGTATTTGAGTGGGAAGAACCGGTGGTTCTTTACGCCTTTGCGTGAGTACCTGGATGCGAGACTTGCGGCAAGTGAGGAGACTAATGAAGATTGCAGGGTTCTAAAGCACGATCGAGACACGAGGGAGCGGGATTTGTCGAGAACAGCATTGAGGCGTCTAAACTAGTCTCTCGCAGGCACGCCGTGATAGCGCAGCCATGCAAATGACAACAAGTTCTACCTGCGCTTGTCCTTCGATCTTCATGCAATATTCCATGCGAACAACTTGTGCAGAGAATTTCCCCGTTCCATTTCGCTCGCTTCCATCATCCCATCCACGCAACGCTGATCCACCCATATGCACACGAGAATCCTCATGACTGATCTTCCAGGCGAAGGTGTCCCCGATGACCAGCCATGAACTCTGTTGCGACGCTTCCACAAGTTTCCCCATCACTGCGGCGGAGGTGGTGGCGGCGGCTGCCCCTGTCCACCCCCCAGCTGCTTCATGATCGCCCCGAAGTCCACCTGCTGTTGCTGTGGCGTCTGAGCCGCACCGCCCTGAGCATACTGCTGATACTGCTGTTGCCCTTGGTAGTACTGCTGCTGGCCTTGCTGATAGTACTGTTGACCCTGCTGCTGCGGTGGCCACGCACCATACCCATTCTGCTGCTGCTGGCCTTGTTGATACTGCTGCTGACCCTGCTGCTGCGGAGGCCAAGCGCCATACCCATTCTGCTGCTGCCGGTTGTAGAACGCCGGGTTGACGAACGCACCACCGCCGGGCATCTGCGGGCTCGAACTCGGCGGGTACTGAGGCTGGTGGAAGTTCCCGCCGTGCAGAACTGGCGGGCTCAAAGGCGGCGGACTCTTGGCCAGGGCATCGGCGAGGCCCTGCGGAATCGGCGGGACACCGTGCGGGATAGGCGGTCCAGCGGACGCAGGTGGGTACTGGTACTGTTGGCCGTTGAACTGGTAGTAGTTAGGCTGCTGAGCTTGCTGCTGGGGTTGGTACTGCTGGTACGGGGCGTGCTGCTGTGATGGTAAGGACGATTGCTGGTGCTGGTAGCCTGGCGAAGATGAGGAGTTGTAAGGTTGCTGGTAGTTGTGGCGGTCCGGGAAGCTGGTTGGGTTGCCCTTGAAGCCAATGCCGCCTCGACCGCCTCTGTTGCCGCGGTTTGGGTTGCCTCCATAACCACCACGACGGTTGTCGAACTTACCACCTCTGCCTCCCCCACCATCGCCACGGCCTCTTCCGCCACCATCGCCTCCTCCACGGTCCCTGTTGAAGCCACGGTCTCTATCTCCATGTCCACGACTAGGGTCTCCGCGATTAAGGGCTTGACGATCAGGACCTCCACGACGCTCGCGGCCTCCACGTCCACCCGTCGGCTCCCGAGAGGCCGGAGCCCTGCTCAACTGTTCCATTAAATCGTGCGGTCTCTTGAGGACTTTGTAGTCGCCGTCCGAGATGGCAGGGAGGATCTCGGGTGGCTTGTCGGGGGTGTGTTCCTCGGCAACGGGCTCGCGATCGTCACCGGGCTCGTGCTCGTCGTAGATTAGGACGACGTTGTCGTTCTTCCTCGGCACATCGCTGTTGCCGGTGAAAGACCCGCTGCCATGCCAAGACCCTCCGGAACGTCCACCGCCGCGCTGGTCGTAGCCTCTGCCTCTGCCACCACGCCCTGCGTCACCTCTACCACGTCCACCGCGTCCCCCATCACCAGAACCTCTGTTGCTCTGCTGCGGGTTGGCTGCGCCTTGCCCACTGTGTCCCCCATTACCCGCAGGTCGCGTAGCGTGGTCTTCGGTAAATGTGCTTCTGCTCAGAGTACCCTTACCCTCGCGCTTCAGTGCTTTCTTCTGCCGCTTGTACTCCGCCTCCACTTCATCATCCGAGAACTCCTGCTCATCCTCGGCAATCTCTTCGTCATGAATGTTCGATGCGTCGGTGCCCTTGTTGGCCCTTATTGGCTCTGTGAAGAGGAACGTGCTGTGGTCGTTGACATAGTACACCCTCGTCCCAAGGCTGAGACCAGCTTTCTCGAGCTCTGCCGCGCTATCGAAAGCCACGCTGTAGAAGGGCTGGCGTACGGAACCCAGATTCCGTGCGACGACTCCTAGGATGTCCCGGTCCTCGTTGCAGAGCACTGAACCCTCATCGAGGACTTGGTAGTCTGCTGATGTTGCTCCCTTGATTACGGCCTCGTGATCAACAAAGCTCCATACCTTTCCCAAGAAAGTGAACTTCATGTTGTGCGTGACGACGATCTCCGGCTTCGGCATCACCGTCTCTTTGACCTCGTTGGCGGTTCGTGGCTGGCGGTCGCCTCCCTTGCTTTTTCCTCTCTCCTCTTCGTCATCTTCCTCTTGCATCAGCATCTTCGCGAGGCTCTCGGGATCGAGCGGCTTGTAGCTGTCCTCGTCATCGGAGTCGGATTCGTCAGAAGAGGATTCGTCGGTAGAGGACTCTGCATCGGAAGAAGTGAACTGCCACTCCGCCTCCTTGTCGCCCTGTTGCGCCGCAGCTGCGGCCAGAAACTCGGCGTCATGCTTCGGCGGGGCTCCAGGTGCTGTGCTGTCGCCGTTCGTTGTACCATTCGTGACCTCTCGAGCAATGCCATCTTGTAGAGCCGTTCCTCCTTCGGTTGGCGCGTCTAGCTCCACGGGAGCTGCCTTGTCCAGTCCCTCACCATTGACCCCGTTCATGCCATTCGCATGATTCTCAGACTCGTTTCCCGTCCTCACCGCTGGCTCATCTGCAGCGCCTGTTGACTGCTCCGATCCCACAAAGTCCTCTCCATCCTGCAAAATCTCCGCCTCGCCATCCATGCCCGCTGCCTGCTGCGCCGAAGGAACATGCTGTACGTGATGTACTGGACTTACCTGATAATCTGTTACCGAAGCCACTGTATTCTGTGCTTCATCGCGTGGAGTCTGGCCCGACGTCTCATAAACGTCGTCCCATTCCCCGTCGTCAATGATATCTTCTTGCATCTCTTCGGTTGCGTCCAAAGGTGCGTCAAGCTTGATGCGCTTGAGTGGACGCGACTCGTCTGGTTGCTGGTGGTCTTCGACTTGTTCCATCGTAGTGCTGAGACCTGTGATAGTGGAGGTATGTCTCAATGCAACACTAGCAATGCATGCTGGTGGTTGGTGGTAGCGAAGTTGGCGGAAAGGTTCAAAAGCTCGAGGTTAAGTTGAAGCCCGAAATTTTGTCTGGCGACGCGCGACGTCACTTCATCCCCAAACTCTAAATCGCGACTCCACCTCCTCTCTCCGATGCAGGTACCAGACTAGCGCGATATTGCTCGATATATCACGGAGTACTCGGTATGGCAGAGAAGAATGACAATGTTGTCCGTCAAAGACGAGGACCTGCGTCTTCTGCAGACCCGACACCACGCCCACTGTCAAAAGCATCACAGTAAGATGGCTGTACACCCTGAGTAACAACGGCTAACACGCATACAGAACCTCTGGACCACCACAAGCCGGACAAGTCCCACTCAGTCCATCTGTCGCCTTCGCAATCTTCTTTGCCAGCCATATCCTAGCCGCCTTCTACCATCCTATCAACGACTGCGACGAAGTGTTCAACTACTGGGAACCGACGCACTACCTCACCCATGGCCACGGCTTCCAGACCTGGGAGTACTCGCCCGTATACGCAATCCGATCCTGGGCGTATGCTGGTCTCCATGCCCTCGCCATCTTACCGGTTCAGCTCCTGCCTCTTACGGGGAGTAGCAAGACCATCGAGTTCTACTTCCTCCGTCTAGTGCTTGGATTCGTCTGCGCTCTCTGTGAGACAAGACTGTACTCGAAGATAGCTTCGGTCCTCAACCCACGGATTGCTGTCACCTTCTTGATCATCATGGCCACATCGCCAGGTATGTTCCACGCCAGTATCGCTTACCTGCCCTCCAGCTTCTCCATGTACACGACGATGCTCGGTATGGCGGCCTTCATGGACTGGCGTGGCGGACTGCGAACGACTCAAGGCATCTTTGCTATTGGTGCTGGAGCGGTACTTGGCTGGCCGTTTGCCGCAGCCATGGCACTGCCGTACCTGCTTGAGGAGGTTGTGCTTGCGACCATCAGCGACCGGCAAGGCGTGCTTGATCTCGTCTGGCGCTTTGTAGACGGTAGCGTGCGAGCACTCGCTATCCTTGCTCTACAAGTGGTCACCGATACCTTTTTCTACAAGAAGCTAGTTGTGGTACCATTCAACATTGTCTGGTACAACGTGCTCTCTGGAAGCGGCGGTCCAGATCTCTACGGCACGGAGCCATGGCATTTCTACCTGCGCAATCTGTTCCTCAACTTCCATCTCTGGCTGCTATTGGCGCTTCTTTCTCTGCCGCTCTTGCTCGTTCAACACTTCTCTCGCGCCAAAGGCAGCACAAGCGCCAGCCACCTACGAGGCATCGTCTTCCTCTCTCCATTCTACCTCTGGCTCGCCGTCTTCACCTTCCAACCGCACAAGGAGGAGCGTTTCATGTACCCAGCCTACCCAGCGCTCGCGTTGAATGCGGCAATGGCATTACACATCATCCTGGCAAACATCGGCTCTACTAATCCGAAAGACCTAGTCAGCAAGATCCCAATCCAACTACGCTTCATCGCCATCCTGGGTTTCGTGTTCACCTGCCTCGGGCTGTCCGCCTTCCGCACTCTCGGCACAATGACGGGTTATAACGCACCGCTGGCCATTTACCAACCTCTTCACACACCTGGCCTTGCCCAACCCGGCGACAATATCTGCTTAGGCAAAGAGTGGTACCGCTTCCCATCCCACTACCTCCTGCCCGCAGGCACCAACGCTCGATTCATCAAGTCCGAGTTCAGCGGTCTCCTACCCGGGGAGTTCTTGGAAAGCTCCTCAGCCAAGATTCCAGGCCTCTTCCCAGCTACATCAACCGAGCCACCAGGCATGAACGATCAGAACCTCGAAGACCCGGCAAAGTACACAGACATCAAGCACTGCAGCTTCCTCATCGACGCCCATCTTCCCAGCACAGGCGTCTCGAAGCTCGAGCCGAACTACAACGCTGACACGGAGCACTGGGAACGAGTCAAGTGCCTGCCATTCTTGGACGCGGCGAACTCTGGGGTTGTCGGACGACTTGGATGGGTGCCAGATTTTCCAATTTTGCCACAACAACTCCGGCGAGTGTATGGCGAGTATTGTTTGCTTAAACGAATGCAGACGCCGGTGGTCGACGGAAGGGTTGACCCGGTGCCGCATATCGAGACGTTGAGCTGAGCACTCAGTCGGCTGCTTTACTCGCAAAGCACTCAGCAGATTTGCGAACATTGAGGAAGTTACGAGCAACGGACCTTCGACACTGGGAGTACGTTTCGTCAGGTCAATACTCAGAGGATGAGCTTTGAGTTGGATCGTGCATGAGCTTGGCCGACCCAAACCCGCAAGCTCCATCGACCACAGCGTCATCTTATCAGTAGGGAGGGGTTTGAGCAACCTACGCTCGTTATCGTGCTGCGATGGTCCGAGACCAACAAAGCGAAATGTTGGCATCCCCTGCAGGAGCGTACAGTATGTGTCCTGTTTGCTCATCGAATTTGCGTTTCTACTGGCAGTCTGCACCAGGCTTGTACATCGTCAGGAGTCGGTATCTAGAATACGATGGACCATTTGACCGGGATCGTCAAGAGCCTGAACATGGACGGCCGCAGACTGCAGCAGGACCTCACAGCCGCTCTGTGCATTTCTGCTGCTGTTGCAGCACTACTGCTCCTCGTTCGCTCGTGTGCTACTCGAGAACAACAAAGCCAATCCTGGCTGAAGCTGCGAGCACGCTCTCATGATCCCGAGAAGAGTGACGATACTGGGCGCTTCGCAGACCAGCATCTCCAAGCAGCCAGTCGTCCGCCAGGCAGTCAGTCGCCTCACGTCTGCAGAGCAGTGGTCGTTCCCAGCTGACCATATACACCCAGCATGGGAGCCATCCTCGTTCAAACGCCCTCCAGCAACTCCTTATCACGACTGGTCTTTGACCGACACCAAGCCGCTCCCATACCGTCCCTTTCGCTTGGGCCCAAAGTACCCCATAACAATGGGCCTCCGCAGCATGCAATGGGACGATTGGATCGAACTCGACTCCGACTACCTCACCTACCACGCCACTAAAGCCCGCCGCATCGCCGAGCGAGGCCAACGCTGCTGCCGAACAGACCCCGACCCTCGGGTCCGCGACGGCGCAGTTGAACTGCTCGAAGAACTCTCCTCTTACCTCCCCGAACGCTACCCGTCCATGTTCACCAAGACAGCCGTCGGCGTCACCAACACCATCACCAACGAAGCCTTCGACACGCGCGACCTGACCGTCAACGGCGTCCGCGAAGACCCCATGCAACTCTCCGCCCGCCTGATCCAAGACGACCTAGCCATCATGTACGAACGCCTGGACGGACAGTACTACCTCCTCGCCGGCGCCATCCTCTTACCCGGCTTCTGGCGCCTCGAAGACAAGTTCGGCATGACGCTCTCCGAAATCCACACTAGCGGGGATGTACCGCAGTTCGAGGAGAAGTTGGAAAAAGGCATGCGTAACTTCTTTCGTCGCGTGACGCCCGAGAAACCGGTGGTGAGGAATAACTATTTCCTCCAGATGGACGGGGACTTGGCGTGGTCGAGCAGTATCGGGTCTGAAGACAACGAGGGAGCGGGCTGGGGGACGGCGGAGGTGGGGACGGGAGTGGAGGGGTTGCATTTGAGGTGTGAGAGGCAGAGTTTGAGGAGGTTGCCGAGGAGTGGTGGGGTGGTGTTTACGATCCGGACGTACTTCTGTCCGATCGTGGAGATGGCGGAGGAGAAGGGCGTGCCGGGGAGGTTAGCGAGTGCGGTGAGGAGCTGGGGAGAGGATGTTGGTGGGTACAAGGGGAGGGAAAAGTATGAGAAGGTGTTGTTGGAGTACTTGGATCGGAGGCATGAGGAGCAGGTTGCGGATGGGTTAAATGTAGAGGGTGAGGAGGATGCTAGGAGCTATCCGTGGTAGTCTTTGGATGCAGCCGCGCACTATAGAACGGTTCAGCGAGACACTGCGATGGTCGCTCATGCCGAACCACTCGCCCAGGCGCAGGTGAGGCTTGTCCTGGCGGTCTGGCGAACGCATCCGCCGCAGTCGAGACAAGCTCTCATGCAAGGGACAGGCCAGCAGCAAGTGTGGAAATTGAGCATTCTTCCTGGGGTGGTAAACAATGCCTGTGCTCGCAGAAATGTTTGTCGCATTTTGTTTAGATTGTGCACGAGACCTGCAAATAATAGAAAGTCCAGCTTACAAGTCTTCACTCTCTTACCTGTCACGCCTTTTGCCTACGAGCCATTCTGTTGTCGTATCTAATTCAAGGTGAGTGATCCTGTTGATAAGCAAGGCATCTGGCCAGGAAGCGCGCGCTGTCGCCGGCCTTTGTCTGCGTGTTGCGAAGCACTCTCGCTGACGTAGTTTTGTAGCTCTGCATCATGGCAAAAGCGAAGCCTGCAGCAGCGGCGGCGCCAACGCGCAAAAGCATTCCACGCGCCGCAAAGAGCGACACCGCAAAGAAGGCCGCAGCAGCGGCAAAGGAAGCAACACAAGCCAACACTTCGAAGAAGCGCGCCCCTGCCAAAGCCGCAGCCAAGAAGAAACCCACCGCCAAAGCGGCGGCCAAGCCTACCGGTGTGAAGAAGTCGACAAGCCCGAAGAAGAAGGCTGCTGCGAAGAAAACCACAACTAAGGCTCCAGCGAAGAAAGTCGCCACGAAAGCGGCGACGAAGGCTCCAGCAGCAAAGAAAGCTGCTGCTAAGAAGCCGGCTACAAAGAAGGCTGCCACCAAGAAAACCACGGCGACGAAGGCCCCGGCGGCGAAGAAGGCTGCAACGAAGCAGCCCGCCACTTCCAGACAAGCCTCGCCGGCCAAATCGTCGAGAGGAGTCTCTCCTGAGATGAAGAGGGAGAAGGTCTCGGCGTCGTTGGGCGGAAGCAACGCTGCAAGACCATCAGGCAAGTTAGCTAGACTAACAGGCTTCGAGCGAAACATTGCGGAGATGAACGGAGATCTACCGCTCGACAGACTCCTTGGGAGAATCAAGTCCGTCACAGTAAGGCATGCCCATCTCCTGGTCGAGCTCGCCGATACTAATGCTTTCGTCTTCGTTCAGCCGCAGCCACAGAGGGACCCGCGACGCAACAAAGTAAGTGAGGTGGTGTCCGTGACAATTAGGTTATCGCTAACACCACTTAGTCGGCATCCCCAGCGAAGAGCGTGAGCCCTGGCAAGATTTCGAAGCCGAGCGTCCAGAAGAAACCTCATTCGAAGTGATGAGGTCGTCAGGTTGGTTTTCGTATAGCCTATCGGATTTCCTTGGTGTTGTATCAGGTGTCTGGCGAACAGAGTGGGCTTCTGGCCGTGATATGCAGGCCAATTCGGGGGGTAGTCGCGCTTCGCTTTGTATTCTATATCAGCCGTTTAGGCTTCAATTAATGAGACGGAATTCTTGACTCTGGTTCTTCGTCTTCGGGTACGGTAGCCGCAGTGAGACCCAACTGAAGTGTCGGACGGTCTTTGTGTGACTGATCCAGAACCAATTGCTGTCATGCTCGCTCGATCTGATGTCGCATTGGCTCGTCCGACAGTGGCGTCAGGCAATGCGGCCAGCGTGGCGAGGTGGTGTCTGCCCCTTTTGGACAGTCAATCGGTGCCAGCGCTGTCGCCACAAGATAGTGTTGTGTGATAAGACGAAGACGAAGAGAAGAGGTGAGGTACATGTCGCTGTCAGCTATCACATGCAGGCTGCCGGTAAATAGCCGACGAACCCTTTCGAGATCGTCAAAACACCCGACGCTTCAACCTCGACTACCGCTCGACACCCCAGCACCCACCCCAAAGCACGAAGATTCGACCCTCTCCCAATCGCATCACGCGCGCAGATCCCACGCAACGGCGACACGCGACCTCACTTCACCCTAGTTGACCTAAGACTGCTGAATAAGGCTTTCTAAAATTTCAGACAAATACCCGGGCGAGACGCCCCAGCATATGACAGCAAACCTCGCACACGACCACACTTCGCCGCCGACAGCCTCGCTCGCTACCCTGGACCGACGCGCACAATAACACAGCAGACAGGCCTGTGGCTCCGATGCGGCCGCAAGGCAGAAGATCGAGCTTGAAATGAGCGCGGACCCTCCATCAAAACCTGTTCCTCCTGTAAGTCCTCCAGTCATGGAGAAGCCACCCCCTCTACCGCTGCGTGGCGTGCGGAGTTGGGTCTCGCAGCCGGTTATCGCGTCGTTCATGGCAGGCGGTGTGGCAGGGGCAGTGTCGCGGACGGTGGTGAGCCCGCTGGAGAGATTGAAGATTCTGCTGCAGGTGCAGACGGTGGGGAGGACGGAGTATAAGATGAGTATATGGAAGGCGTTGCAGAAGATGTGGCGGGAGGAAGGGATGAAGGGCATGATGGCAGGCAACGGCACAAACTGCATAAGAATAGTGCCGTATTCTGCGGTGCAGTTTGGGAGTTATAACATTTACAAGCCATTGGTAAGTAAAGAGGCTGCTGGCGACGGGAGAGAGCGCAGCTGACTTCGACCATTCTAGATGTTCGAGAAGACTCCTGGCGCCTCCCTCTCACCGGGCCGCCGCCTTTGCTGCGGCGCGCTCGCCGGCATAACCTCCGTCACGGTCACCTACCCTCTCGACATCGTCCGCACGCGCCTATCTATCCAATCCGCCTCCTTCGAGCGTCTCGGCGTCAAGAACGTCCAAGAAAAGCTTCCCGGCATGTGGCAGACCATGAAAACAATGTACAAGACCGAAGGTGGCTTCTTCGCCCTCTACCGCGGCATCATTCCCACAGTCGCCGGCGTCGCGCCTTACGTGGGTCTGAACTTCATGATCTACGAGAGCGTACGAACATACTTCACACCCGATGGCCAGGCAAACCCGAGCTCGATAGGCAAACTGTGTGCCGGCGCGATATCAGGAGGCGTGGCACAAACGTGCACATACCCGCTGGACGTGCTCAGGAGACGATTCCAGATCAACACGATGAGTGGGATGGGGTATCAGTATAAGAGCATTGCAGATGCGCTGACGACGATCTTCGCGCAAGAAGGAGTTCGAGGGCTGTACAAGGGCATCGCACCGAATCTGCTGAAGGTCGCACCAAGTATGGCGAGTTCGTGGTTGAGTTTTGAGATGACGAGGGACTTTCTGGTTGGACTTAAAGAGCCGGAAGATGAGGATGCATGATCAGCAGCGCGAAACATTGGTCCGAACGAGACGATGAGGCTTGAGGACGATCTTGCCTACGTTTGAGCGCAGCATATGGTGACCTACCATTGTACTCTATCGGCGTTCTGGGAGTGAGAATGAGGGACAATGAAGGCGGTGGTGGCACTGCTGTCAGGAGGCTATGGGCATGGACATCATGGCGTGGACCTGTGGGCTTCTTGTGTGCAAACAGTTGCATCTGGATAAGATAGAGATGTACACAATGCATCCGGCTGCGGGCCTTTCTTCGCAAAGACCCTCGTTCCTCATGTCAGACGCTTCGAACGTCCGCTCTATTCAGCGTCTGGGCTCGGAACAACAACAAGAGCTGTTCGCAATCATGAGAGACGGAGCATCTGTCCAGCCGCGGCAAGGAACAGGACCTGTAGTTGTTATGCAAAGGCTACAGAGGCCGTCATTGGCTGCATCGCTGCATAAGCCCACCTAAGAATCCTTGGATGCTCGAAACGACGTCCCACAACACCCGACGTTGCAAGTGAGGTCGCTTACAGGTATATACAGATGTCTGCAGCCTCACATAAGCTGTATGTATCTTTTCCAGACTGTCTGATATTGTCTCAACTCCCAAAAGCATCGCAACCATGCTCAGACACCTCACAGAAAGAACCTGGGCCAACACCATTGTCTTCTTCACCTTCATCATCACCCTCTCCTGCTTCTCCCGCTACATCTCCACCTTCATCTTCTTCGGCTCTTACGCCACCTCACTCTACTTTTACCTCTCGCTCACCTCAAATGCCGTCAGCGAGGAGCGTAAACTCGACAATCTAGGCAAACGTGCGCCTTCCATCCCAAGCTACGCGCCATGGGGTCTCGATATACTGTTTCGAGCTCTGTACGCATTTACACAATGGCGGAACCATGAGTTCTGGTATTATGCTTTTTCGCAGAATAAAAATGCGAATAATCAGTGGACTGTTGAGGCCATGACGCTTGGCCAGCGATTGACCTTTACAGCGGATGAGGAGAATATCAAGGCTATTCTCGCGACGAAGTTCCAGGATTATGGAAAGGGACCGCAGTTTAGAAAGGAGTGGAAGGACTTTCTTGGGTTGAGTATGTCCTCTGCTCTCGTCATTGGAGGTTTGACTCCAGCTGACAGCGTGTCCAGGCATCTTCACAACCGATGGCGAAATGTGGCACAACTCCCGCATGCTCCTCCGTCCACAATTCATCAAAGACCGCGTCTCGGACCTGCACACCTTCGAGACGCACGTCCAAAAGCTCCTGCCACTGCTCGCCGGGAGCCACAACGGCGCCACAGTCCGCGTAGACGACCTCTTCTACCGCTTCACCCTCGACGCAGCCACGGACTTCCTCTTCGGCGGCAGCGTCAACAGCCTGGAAGACAGCCAGGCAGACTTTGCGGAGGCTTTTACTGAAGTCCAGCGCACGCAGGCGACCATCGCGCGAGCAGGGCCGTTGCAGCATTTCGTGCCCAAGAAGTCGTTTTACAAAGCGCTCGACACGTTGAACGCGTTCGTCGGCCGCTTCATCGACCAGGCGCTGCAGCTGTCGCCGGAGGAGTTGGAAAAAACGACGAAGTCTGACGAAGGCTTTACCTTCCTGCACGCATTGGCCAGCTACACTCGAGACCGAGAAGTGCTTCGCGATCAACTCGTCGCCACCCTCCTCGCCGGACGCGACACAACCGCCGTAACACTCTCGTGGCTCTTCTACGAACTCTCCAACCACCCAGAAGTCGTGCAGAAACTACAACAAGAAATCACCACCTCCGTCGGCCTGAACCGCGAACCAACCTACGACGACCTGAAGAACATGCGCTACCTCCAACACACCCTGAACGAAGTCCTGCGCCTCTATCCCGTGGTGCCGTACAATGTCCGCGTAGCCCTCAACGACACCACATTACCCCGTGGAGGCGGCAAAGACGGCACGGAACCTATTGCTATTACCAAGGACACGCCGGTCGGGTACAGCACGCTCATCTTGCACCGGCGGGAAGACATTTACCCTTCCCCTTCTGCCACGTTCAAGCATCACTTAGAGTTCTCGCCGGAGCGGTGGGAAAACTGGACGCCGAAGTCGTGGACGTATATCCCGTTTAATGGGGTAAGCCTACGCCACATCACTCCTCCCAAAACCAATGCTGACTTTTCGTTATAGGGGCCAAGGATATGCATCGGCCAGCAATTCGCGCTGACGGAAATGGCGTACACGGTCGTGCGGATCCTGCAGCGTTTCGAGCGCGTAGAGAGTAGGGACGAGGAGTTTCCCATGTTCAGGTCGGATATCGTGTTGCAGCCGGCCAAGGGGGTTAAGGTTGCTTTTGTTGGGCGGACGTGAGGTCAAAGCAGGGGCTTGGAAAGCGTGGGCTGAAGGTATGGATGAAGATATGGATGTGATCGGTAACGAATTCGATGAAGTGTAACGACACTTGTGGATCATAGTGCTCTCCACTTGGTATTGTCGGGGTGGTGAATTGCTTTTTGATGGTTGATATGAGATGCAGTAAGCATGGGAGAAAGAAAGCCCGTGTGAGCTCACCTACCATCTCGCCTACCGTATGAAGTACTATGCAGTATGCTTGGTACCGCTGGCAATGGGTCGCCGTTGCTGGTGTGTCGTGTGCCTCTCTAACAGAGAAGACGAACGTAGTGGCACTCCTCCGTTAGACTTACAGGACTCCATTGCCGGTCAAGCCATTGACTGTGCACAAGCCTCCTCCAGCTCCTCCAGCTAACAACATCCCCACCACCCTCACATCGACGATCTCTCCCTCAACCAGCAAACGCGGTCCCTCTTCCGAGTACGCGGAGACCCTCCTGTCATCCCCAGGAAGCTGGTATACGCTACGAACCCAAGCGCCAGGGACAGCTCCAGACCGATGCCGTCGATAATCGCGATCGGCAGAACGATCAACATCACAACTACCATATCTTATCACAATCGCACGGTCCCGGCAAGTAGGGTAGCGAGATCGACCGGACACAACTGGTGACAGCTTCGGCTTCAAGAGAGAACTTCACACTCTGTTTGCCGGAGACCGTGGCGTTTGTCTCTAGCTGTGATGTGACGCTGACTGCAGCCGTGGAGAGTGAAGCTGACAACGGCGATATTGTTCTGCGTTTATTACGCCGCCATCGCGATCACATCCAGTAGCTACTTCTCGGACCGTCTCCACTCACGTGCTCGTTCACATGCTTCGGCAGACTGCGAAAGCGACCGGGTGTGTTTGCCCAAACGAGACGTTGAGGTCGGGCCGGGGGGGAAACGGCGTTCCTTCCGTTCTCCCATATTAAAAAAAGTGGCGTTTTCTGGCATTCTCCGTGGTGAGCACGAGCAAGGTGGGGTTGTGAGGACTGGTGAGAGTGGATGAGGCCGAGAGAGTTTTTGTTGCTGGGGCGTGAGATGCGGTCCGAGGTAGTGGCCGCGATGTGAACGGACTTGCTCCTCCATTTGGGGAACGTTTGATCTGATAGCGGAGTAGCGACGAAAGATGCCTCGATGCTTTTTGGAGGTCTCAGAGATAGGCTGCTTTCCAGCTGCTGTCAATGGTTCAGCTGGGCGCGCAGGAACCCGCAGCGCGATGGGTGCTAGCGTCGCAGAAAGCGTTCGCAGGGCTGCAACTGCCCGAGCTGCCCCTCAGCACCAAACTACTGCGTGGCGCTCGGAGAAATTTGTTGGGCGTTGGTGCTGTGCCGTGTTGGCTGTGGAAGCTATGCCGGAATCACATTGATTGATCCCACCGCGCCTCGCAGGACGCAAGGAGAGATGAAGCCTCGCCATGGGCAGTGGAAGTGGTTGACGGGGGCCTTGCTCGGTGTGAGCAGGAGAAGTTGGAGTATGCAAACCCACCGACGGCCGTCCATGTAGCCGACTAGAGAGGGTTTGAGGAGTGCCGATGCGGCTCTGGTTAGGAGAACGTTTGCTGATCGTGGGACGAAAAGGGTGATGGGCAGGGCGAGAAACCCAAGCGAGTGGGACTTCGACAAACGTTCGCCGGCGTGGGCGGGTTCGTGGTCCCGGTAGCGCTTGTCGAGCTAGAGTCTTAGCAGTCGGTCGTTTAAGCAGCGCATCGAAAACAAATGCTGAGATTAATGCCATTGGCTGCGCAGCTGCATGCTACTGCAGCATCTTTTTGTCCTCGATCCCTCGAGCTCTCGACCTCATCTCCTCGCACGCGTCTCCTTTTTGTGAAGTTGTAGCGAGTCCTTCGAAGACGGAGCGTCGTTCTGTTTGCCACCACTTGACTCTGAGGACCGGCAGCCCGAAAAGGCCTGGACAAGCGGGATCGGAGGCGGGAAGACTAGCCCCACACGCAAAACTCCACGACGGACACCAGCACGAGCTGCCGTGAAGAACCTTGACAACGACACGAGGTCAACACTCGCGCGATTGCTCCTCCACACTCCTCCATTGCCCTTCCAGCAACATCCTTCATTCCAGTCTTTCGCACATACTCGACATCGGCTGGCGGTATACCACTGGGTGCTTTGATTCTTGGACCCTTAGGCACTTCGCCTTAGCAACGGTCCACCAGTTTAACATCTTCATCCATTCGCTACATCCAGTTCTACGCCGGCCGCCTGCACTGGTATCATCAATCATGGCCACCTCACGCCATCTTCGCTCGGAGTCTTCAGAGTCGAACTCATCCAATGGCTCCTCATACCAACTAATCCTGGACCACATCCTGACCTACCCTGGAAGCTACGAGATCCCTCTCCGGACCATGTATCAGCTCAATTGCGCGCCCCGCGGCACTCTCAACCAACCTCGAAGCGGCACGCCATCCTCCAGCGCGGGCAGTTCGCCCATCACTCCTCAGACGCCATTTCCGGAATCAACAAGCACGCAGACTTTCACGGAGAGTCTGATGGCCCAGATGCAGCAATTACCGAACCAACCCAAGGTCCTACCGCCAAGCTTCATCACCAACTTCCTGTCGAGATGTTTTCCGGCGAGATTGACGGAGGTCGACTTCCCACAGGCGCTTACTGGACTCGACTACCTCAAGGATCTGGAGGCAAGGCGGAGACGTGAAGTGGCGGCAGCCATGTCCCGGATGGACATCGCTCGTGAAGCTCTCCATGCTGAGAATGATTCCTTCGCGGACAAGCGTCCCGGTGTGGCGGCTTGGGCAAAGTCGATCGAGGAGAAGGAGCGCAAGATTGATGCTCTGTACACGCAGCTGTACATCGGCATCCGCCGCTGGATTCTGATCAACGAACTTTCACTCGTACCATTCAACAAACATAACTGCGTGGCGATGCTGAACACTCTCTACCCGCCGGTGATTACCTCACAGCCGACCTTCAAACTGACCCGTGAAGTACTCAAGAACCAACGAGATGGCTTCTTCAAGTACATTCAAAGCGTCGAGAAGACTGGCCCACATGTCCTGCGCACGTTGATGCAGCAAGGCAAGGCTCCTACGGACGTCAACGGCTGGCCAGCAGTGACCCGGACCTTAAGTCTGTATCTGCAGCTCGCCAACAGCATGGTCAACGAATGCTCCGAACTATCAGATGTGCAGCAGATCCCACGACCACGAGAACCAACAAAGTCTTCTCGTCAGACCCGGAAGGCCGACTCAGGCGTCTCGTTTAACAGCGTGGACGTGGCTTCCTCACGTTCAAACTCGATCGTGGACCCCACGTCACCGACAGAGTCCACCAGACCCAAGACTCCGACCGGTGGCAAGCACAGCACCACCCTCGAGAAGCTCGCACGCGGCCTCAAGACCATCGGCCGCAGCCGCACCGACGCCACCGAGATGATCTCCGACGAGCTCTTCCCGCCCATCACCTCTGCTCACCCTCAACCGGAGAAGCCCAAGGGTTTGCGGAAGATGCGCAGCATGGGCGCCATCGAGGGTCGCAAAAAAGCCGACGTCTCCGCCGCGCAGAACGCCTCCTTCGACGCCGACGAGATGCGCAGGCAGCGATTGCGGTACGAGGCTGGTGTCGCTGCGAATCAGAAGTTTGGGCGTGGGGTGAATCAGAGTCATGAGATTTGAAGAAGGGTTGCTTTTTGTTTTGACTTTTTTCTATTGGGCTTGCATTGAAAGCATCACGACTGGCGTTTACTTGTTACGATACCACGAGCACTGGAACGGCGTATGAACGGTTTTGGAGGGGATTGGGATGCATCGCTTGCGGGAAGCGATAGCGATGTACTTTTACGATGGCATGGGATGGACATGGCGTTGTCGACTGGGTTTGCGGGAAAGATATGGTGGTAGCCCTCGCGGGCAGGAAAAGCCTTTCACTGTCGGATGGTGACGGAAAAGGGAGGCGATTTGTTTGCATTGAAGGGACATGGAGGAGTTAGGATTGGGTCGAGGTGGGCGTTGGCATTGAAAGCCAAGGGGAGGGACATGATGGCAAAGGTGTATTGACGACGGATTGTTTGGCGACTGCCATGATGGATGTGATAGATGGACGTGTAGCACGAACGCGAGACCAGGAGCTCGAAGAATTGAAAACTGTTCAAATGCAAACACTGCTGTGCCCTCTCATCTTCCTACTTTCTCCTACAGTACGTCGTACACACTCCCACATCCTCCCTAGTCCCCTCCATCGCCATGCTCATCTCCTTTACCGTGCCGCAGTAATAAACGCGAACACAACGCGCTCCCCAGTCATTAAAATCCTCCCGTCATCCAGCCGGGCCTCATCAATCCAACATCAGCCCTGTACCCTGCCGCGCGACTCGCGAGTCGGCGAGGCGAGGAAGCCATCGCTACACCCTGGAAGAGACGCGGAAGGAAGTCCGGGGGTACAGAGATAAGGCACTTGTTGCCTGAGCTGGAACCAACACCAACACCAACAACGCTGGTGATAAGACGGGAGAGTATTGGATTTTACACCCTTTCCTCCGGTGGGCGAGGCCTGGACATGTGGCACAGCGGAGGCCAACCGGAAGAAGATAGCACACCCCTCAGACCATCTCTACCTTACCTTCTCATATCTAAAGTATTCCGACCGTGAAAGTAAGTAGAAAACACCACACCAAACCCTCCTCTCTCATCCCTCAGAACTCAACAGCGCCATTTCGGCCCCCTGCCACGTTTTTCCGCGGCACCGGCACCCAACAAACCACCGCAATAGCGCACTCTGGAACCGCATTCCATTCCTCTCACGTGCCCGAGCTAATCAAGCCGCCTCATCACTACCTTAGCTAATGAGTACATAGCCGCAACGCTTTCAACGAAGTTTGTGAAGAACTTCCGAGGCACGAGTATGTAGTATATCCGGAAGTTTGAAGACGACAGAGTTGAGCCCGAGCCCGGGGACTCGGGACATCGCTAGCGCTGAAGACTGTTCAGAGTTGCAGAAGGGTCGAACCCAGAGGTTGGGAAGGTTTGCGGGTGGAAGGTAGTGGGCTTGGTGGGCAATAATTGCCGGTAGAGTTTGGAGAGGTGTGGTTGGTCTGGGGGAAGGGATGCTGGAACGGCGACTAGGGCACGACACGAGACAACATCACTCGGTGTCCGGGCTACTGAAGGCTGACCGTATCAGACTAATCAGACTACTGTGTACTGAAGACCACGTACAAGTCCTCCACCACCAGCTCACCGACTCCTCGCCAGCGTCCACATATTCTCCATCTTCTGCCTCCCCAACACATCCCGCGCCTCACCATCCGTCTCCACGGCCCGGCTCCCCCAGCGCTTGAAACTCCTCGCCCCTTGCTCACCCTCCCAAACCAACACGCAGCGATTCTCAGACAAGTCCTTCAACCCCCCTTCCTCCGTGAACGGCGTACACCACGTCGCCGCCTTGGACCCGGACCGCTCGCTCGCCAGACTCGTGGCGTTGGCTGATCCAGATGCGGCGGGCGCGGAGCCGCCGGTGAAGGTGGTGGGGTTGGTGTTGTCGAGGGGCATGGTGTTTTCGGCCCATTTGACACGGTTCAGCATCAACTTTTTGTAGTTGCTGATGCTGTGACTGCCGCCTTCCACGATGACGAGGTTCATCTGTGGATGCAGGATCACCATCCCAGTAAGAGCGTTCTGCTTCGCGTTCTGATCGACTTGGTAGCGATGCTTGCCGCTGCTGAGGTTGTCGATGCGGAAGACGGCGACTTTGATGCCTTTGGCTTCGTCCCCGGCTTGCTGCGCTTTGAGCTTCTCTTCACGCTGCTCTTTGGTGAGTTTGCGGTTCTCGTTGGCCTTGACGTGTTCGTTGGCGCGCTGGGCAATTTCCTTGTTCACGCGCGCTTCGACTGCAGTGGGGTCTTTGACGGCTTGCTCGCCGAGGACGCGCATCATGTTGCTCTTCTTGACTTTTGGTGCGGGAGGCTCGACAAGGCCGAGACGGATCTTGGCTTGTTCTTCTTTCATGTCGGCCATGCGGCGTTGCCGGCGGAGTTTCTTCTGTTCTTGTTGGGTGAGCATGAGTGGTTTGGGGGCGGGGATGAAGCGGTCTTGCGGCGGGGCCAGCATGACGGGATGCTGGACCAGGGCAGTGATGATAGTATCTTCGCTGTCGATCTTGTTCCTGCCAGCGGTAAGGCAGTCGTCGTAGCTATTCTGTCCGGCTGGCAGGAGACCTTCGTCCCACCATTCAACGTCCGGAGGCGCCGGGACCAGGAAAGACTTGTCGCTCGCTTCCTCAATCTCTACCTTTCGTGTCTCCGCAGCGATCTGCCTTTTCATCTCTTCCAGACGAGCTTGCTGACGGAGAGCATTGGCTTGGGCCATGAACTTGCCCTTCTGGTTGAAGACAAGCTGCTTGCTCTTCCTCTCTCCACCCTTCCGCACAGCGATAGATGCATCGTAGATTGAAGCGTCGAACTTTTGTTCTTGCTGGTTCTCCTCATCCTCTGCAGCCAGATAAGGATTCGCCTTCGGTCTGTCCGCTTGTTGATTCCCTTTGGTCGTGCTGAATTTTGGTCCGTGGGCCTTGCCTTTGCTGGGTGCGCTCGGTCCGCTATCTAACAGACTCGGATGCATGGCAATACCCAGACCTCCCCTCGTCGTCCGACCATCCTGCCGTGGTGGGGGTGGGGCTGCTACCGCGGGCGGTGTGCCAGCTCCAGGCCTTTGTTTCGATAGCTCTGCCGCACGAGCACGAGCTTCTGCTATCCGAGCCTCGCGCTCGCTGGGTTGCTGTGCCTGTGGTGGTGGAGCCCCAATACCTCCGTTGACCGGCGAGCTCCTTGCACCAGCCTGTGGCTCGCCTCGCTTCGCTGCCATCCTCGCCTTCATCTCAGCAATCTTCCTCTGCGCTTCGGCCTTCTTGGCCTCGACATCGTTGGCCGCTCCATTCGTGGCGGGCGGAGGCGGCGGAGGTGAAGCTGCTGCAGGAGGTGGTGTTGGTGCTGCTCCCCCTGCTTTGCTCGCTGCCAGTCTGGCCTTCACTGCCGCCATCCTCTCCGCCGCTTCTCGCTTCTTTCGCTGAATCTCTGAGCCCCCATTCTGGCTGTCGGCCGCAGGAGCTGGAGCTGGCGATCCATTGTTGGATCGTATTCGTTTTGGATCTCCTGCTCCAGAGCCATCGTCAGGATCCAGGGGGCGTTTGCCGCTCATGTTGGGTGTTGTCGTTGAGAGTGTCTGTATGTCCTGAAGCTCTGTCACGAGCCGAAAAGTGAAGGACGCTAGCTGGTTCTAGGGCCGATCCGAGTGCCGAGCAAGCGGGCTCTAATCCCTGCTATCTCGAGCTTCGAGAAAAAAGTTGTCGAGCGATCGCACGGATTGAAACACGACCTCGAGCCTCAGATGAGGTAAGGAACCGACAAGATGAACACCTCTCAGCCGGTCTCTTCCCACCTGTCCTCGGTCTCGTTCAAACACCTCACCTCACCCGACATACGCGCCCTCTCCGTCAAACGAATCACCGCCTCGACCACGTTCGACACCCTCTTAAACCCCGTCCCAGGTGGTCTATACACCCCAGAGCTTGGTCAGTTCGCGGACAATCCATGCAGAACTTGCGGACTACGAACACCACAATGTCCTGGTCATTGCGGTCACATCGAGCTCCCGCTTCCGGTCTACCATGTCACGTTCTTCGATCAGATCTTACGATTGCTGCGGGGTACATGTGTCTATTGCTCGAGGCTGAAGATGGCAAGGGTAGAGGTCAAGATGCTTGTCTGCAAGTTGCAGCTAGTGGGCCTAGGTCTGTTGAAGGAGGCTATGGACATAGACGACGTTCGGCCTGGAAGCGGCGGGGTCACTGTGACTGCTGGAGAGGATGACGAGGAAGAGAGTGAGGAGGATGAGAACAATGCCGATGCAAAGGACCTCATCGCTGAGAGGGAACGTTTTGTAAGGACGGCGATAGCTGATGCGAAGAGAGAGGGAAGGTTGAACTCTCAAAAGACAGAAGCTACTTCGAACGCACGGCGGAAGCTGGTGCAAGAGTTCATGGCCGGTATCACGAAAAGCAAGGTCTGCAGAAATTGCAAGGGTATCAACCCGACATACCGGAAGGACCGCTATGTCAAGATCTTCCGGAAGCCTTTGACCGAGAAGGAACGTCTGAAAATGATTCAGGCTGGGCGCAAGGCAAAAGACGCTGTATTGGAGTTGAAGAAGCGGGAAAAGGTTAAAGCAGGGTCGAAGAGGAAACGAGACGACCAAGACGAAGGCATCGCGGACATGGGCAGCAGTTCAGAGCAGGAAGAGGAGAGTGAGAGTGGAGAAGGCGTGGAAAGCAGTGAGGGGGAGCCAGAGATAGCTGGCGGAGCTTTAGTTGATGAAGATACGGAAATGGCTACTACTAAGAAGACGAAGAAGGACGAGGCCCAGCATGAGTACATGAACCCTAGCCGGGTGCATGCGCAACTCGAGCAAATGTTCGATCTCGAGCAGGAAATACTCAGCTACATATATGGCAACGGAGCCAGCCGGCGCGCGCATAAGACTGACACAAAGCCACGAGCTGAAGAAGGCAGTCTCTCCGCCGACATGTTCTTCATTCGAGATCTGCTTGTCCCACCAAATCGCTACAGACCTGAGAACCGCACTGGCAACGATGAGATCGCTGAAGCCCAGGAAAATACCCTCTACAAGAACATCCTCAACGTTTCCGACACAATGGCTGCCATACAGCGTGAAATCAACGACAAGGAGCACGCAAGTACGCGGTATCGACCGCGCGGATACAATGACCTCGAAAATACCTGGGCGCAGCTTCAAGACGCCGTCAACTCCCTCATCGACCGGGACCGTAACCCCATCCAGGGAGCTGCTGGGCGCAGAAATGCGGACGGCATCAAGCAGAAGTTGGAGAAGAAGGAGGGAATGTTCCGGAAGTACATGATGGGCAAGCGCGTTAACTTCGCCGCTCGCACAGTCATCTCTCCAGATCCCAACATCGAGACCAACGAGATCGGCGTGCCGCCGGTGTTTGCCGTCAAGCTCACGTACCCCGAGCCAGTGACCCACTGGAACCTCGAAGAGCTGCAAGATCTCGTGCGCAACGGCCCTTTCGTCTGGCCTGGTGCCGTGGCCATAGAAAGCGAAAACGGTCAGGTGGTCAGTCTCGAGCGAAAGAATGCTGAGGATCGCACCGCGCTCGCCAACCAGCTGATGTCGCCCTCTACTTCCACTACTGGGTTCGGTGTGCGTGGCACTCGCCCGAAGAAGGTCCATCGTCACCTCAACAATGGCGACATCGTCATCATGAACCGCCAGCCAACCCTCCACAAGCCCTCAATGATGTGTCATCGCGCAAAGGTGCTCCCGGGCGAGAAGACATTGCGCATGCACTACGCCAACTGCAACACCTACAATGCCGATTTCGATGGTGACGAGATGAACTTGCACTTTCCCCAGAACGAGCTCGCCCGCGCGGAGGCGCTGAGCATCGCTGATACAGACCACCAATACCTCTCTAGCACCGCAGGAAATCCGCTCCGAGGCTTGATCCAAGATCACATATCAATGTCGGTGTGGCTCACTAACCGGGATACTTTCTTCGACCGTGGAGAGTACATGCAGCTACTGTACGCCGCTATCCGGCCCGAGAACGGGCATTCGACAAGTGGACGTATCGAGACGGTGCCGCCGGCAATCTTCAAGCCCAAGGCTCTGTGGACGGGCAAGCAGGTTGCGACGTCCGTGCTGCTGAACGTCAAGCCTCGAGAGCATCAAGGTCTTACAGTATCCGGCAAGAGTACAACGGACAAGGTTATGTGGGGCAATGCGGGTGTGGAGGAGGGCGATGTGATCGTGAAGGATGGGTATCTGTGCCAGGGTATTCTCGACAAGAAGCAGATCGGTCCTTCAAGTGGCGGCTTGATCAACGGTGTATACGAGGCGTACGGGCACATGGTCGCCGGTCGCTTGCTCAGCGTTCTGGGCCGGCTATTGACGCGCATGCTCACAACGAGAGCGTTCAGCTGCGGTGTCGAGGACCTTGTATTCACTGCATCAGGCGAAGAGCAGAGACGCCAAGCACTCTCTGGCGCTGAGACAGTCGGGTTGAAAGTCGCAGCTCGCTACGTCGGACTGGCAGACAAAGTGTCGGGCGCGGACGATCGGGAGCTTAGAAGGCGCCTCGAGGACGTTCTGCGCGACGATACGAAGCAAGCCGGTCTCGACCAAATGACGCAGGGCGCTGCTAAAGACCTCTCCTCCGCCGTCACCAACGCGTGTCTGCCGAACGCGCTGCTGAAGCCTTTCCCGAAGAACCAGATGCAGGCAATGACGTCTTCCGGAGCGAAGGGCACCAAGGTCAATGCCAACCAGATCTCGTGCAACCTCGGCCAGCAAAATCTTGAGGGACGTCGTGTGCCGGTGATGGTGAGCGGGAAGACCTTGCCCTGCTTCAGACCGTTCGAGAGCAGTGTACGTGCCGGTGGATATATTGTTGATCGATTCTTGACGGGTGTCCGGCCGCAGGAGTACTATTTCCACGCCATGTCAGGTCGTGAGGGACTGATTGATACTGCTGTCAAGACTTCACGGTCTGGGTACCTGCAGCGATGTCTGATCAAGGGTATGGAAGGACTTCGGGTGGAGCACGACTCGTCCGTGCGCGACATTGCCGACGGCAGTCTTATCCAGTTCCTGTACGGCGAGGATGCGCTGGACGTTGCGAAGGCGAAGTATCTCTCTGACTTCAAGTTCGCTGCGGAGAACTACCTGAGCTTGTTCAACAACCTAGGCGTCAAAGAAGAGTTCGGCCGGCTCATCAGCGAGGAGGCTGCGGAGTACAACAAGAAGGCCGAGAAGAAGCATCGAAAGACTGGCGACCTTGGCGCAATGGATCCCGCACTGTCGAGATACACCCCAGGAACGCATGCTGGCTCAACAAGCGAAAAGATGCTACGCGAAAGCCGATCGTACACTGACGCTAACCCGGACGGCATCATTAGGGACAAGAAAACCAATCCGAATGGCGAAGTCTCCAAGAGAAACTTCCAATCCATCCTCGACCTGCGCTATCTCAAGACCGTCGCTGAAGCCGGCGAGGCAGTCGGCGTGGTCGCAGGACAGAGTGTGGGTGAGCCGAGCACGCAGATGACGCTGAATACGTTCCATTTGGCTGGCCATGCGGCAAAGAACGTCACGCTGGGTATTCCGAGGTTGCGAGAGATCGTCATGACGGCTGCTTCAAACATCGCTACGCCCACGATGAGCCTGCGGGTTAGTGAAGATGTAGGTGTGGATGGGGCGAAGAAGTTTGCGAAAGGTATCTCGAAGCTCAGTCTGGCGGAGTTGGTGGATGGGGTGAGGATTGAAGAGAGCACAGGGCAAGGCGTGGCATACGGCGAAGCGAAGAAGTACAAAGTGCAGTTGACGCTGTTTCCGAAGGAGGAGTATGTGAAGGAGTATGCCATCACTGTTGAGGACGTGGTGGGCACTATCGAACACCGGTTCTTGCCGCGGCTGCAGGCTCTCACGAGAAAGGAGATTAAGAAGAGAGGGGATGAGAAGACGCTGAAAGCTGCGGTGGGCAAGAGCGTCGGCAGGGTTGAAGAGGAGGTCAGTCGACCTGAAGGCGAGCGAGAGGGTGGCGACGACGACTCGGATGCCGAAGGTGACGACGACGCTACCCGGGACAAGACCAAGAACAATCGCCAACAAGCCGGCTACGAAGCCCAAGAAGACGACGACGAACGCGACCTCGCCCACAAGAACATCCGCGAAGACGAAGCCCTTGACGAAGTCTCCGAGCAAGAAGACGAAGCCTACGGCGGCAGCCCGCGCTCCACCCCGGACCCCGAAGAAGAACTCAGCGCCCTCAAGTCCGCCGCCCGCGACCGCGAAAACCGCATCAAATCCGACCGCAAAACCAACGACGTCGTCTCCTTCGCCTTCGACGACCGGAAAGGCGACACCTGCACCTTCACCATGGAGTACGACTCCAGCACCGCCAAGATCCTGATGCTGCACCTCGTCGAGTCGGCCCTGCACTCCTCGCTCGTCCAGTCCGTGCCGGGGATCAGCACCTGTATCCTCGACGAAGAGGCCATGAAAGCGACAAAGGGCGTGCCGATGTTGCTGGCTTCGGGGGTGAATGTCAAGGCCATGTGGGGGTTCCAGCATATCATCCACCCGGACTATTTGTACACGAACTCCATTACTGAGATTCTGACGCACTACGGCGTCGAAGCCGCGCGCGCAGCGATCGTGCGGGAATTGCAGGGTGTGTTCGGTGGACATGGGATTCAAGTCGATGTGCGGCATTTGATGCTTATCGCGGATTACATGACGAGGGATGGGGCATATCAGGCTTTCTCGCGGATGGGGTATCGAGGCAGCACGAGCCCGTTTATGAAGATGAGCTTTGAGACGACGGTGGGGTTCTTGCGGGACGCGGTGTTGGAGGGCGAGGAGGAGGGGTTGAAGGGGCCGAGTGCGAGGATTGTGGTGGGGGGGTTGGGGAGGATGGGGACAGGTGGGTTTGATGTGTTTTTGCCTGTTGAGGAGGGGAGGGGGGATGAGGAGAGGATGGAGATAGGGTGAGGAGGGTTGATCGGTATTTGCAATGCATAGGTATTGTACATGTCTGTATATCCGCCTGTGGGTATCATAAGCTAAGAGATGTCGTGTCTTCGTAGATGTTCAGCTTTAAGCAGAAGCAAGCCATCACGCTTTGTGATCGAGCAACATCACTCTGCTGCATCTCCATCCAGTGTGCAGGCCTTCCTGCAGTCACTCCTCATCGCCCTCATACTCATCCTTCTCTTCCTTGCTCGTCATCTTGAACCTGTCCAGTCGACCTTCACTCTTACTTTCCTCCACGTCATTCCCATCCTCTTCAACCTCATGCCCATCTTCCTTCTCATCGTCCATACCATCCTCCCGCTCATCCTCCTGCCCGTCCCCAGCATCCTCATCCTCTACTTCCTCCTTCGGCGCCTGCACAGCACCCTCGCCGTACTTCGGCCGCGGTACCTCCACGCCCCTGCCCTTCAGCACACCCTCGATCTGCGGCAGCAGTTCCACAACCGCAGCGTACTGCTCCACGCTCATCGAGATACCCTTCTTCCCCGGCAGCGTCTTGCCGTCTTTTTCGTAGAACTCGCGGATCGCAATGAAGGTGTTGCCGTCGTAGTCGCTGATCTGGAGACGGCGTTTTCCTGAGATCTGGACAAAAATGTGAGCTTTCCCAAGTGAGGTTTGAGGGTAAGGTTATGGGAAAGACGTACCTCCCAGTACTCCTTCCCCTCGTCATCAATCTGCATGTCCCGGGACGGAGCGGTCTTCTGCTTCTTGGACGACGGGCCATCCTCGACGGAGCCAGCGTCGGAGTCGTAGTCGGCGGCTTTGCGGGCTTTGGGTTTGGAGGCTCTACCAGCTGTGCCTCTGGCTGATGCAATATCAATGTGTGCTCATCAGACAATTGGGGGATTTTACTCACCTGTGGCTTTCTTTGTGCGTACCATTGTGAAGGTGGTGAGTCGATATGTGTGCGAGTCACTGGAGGTTGAAGAATATGAAGATGGAGGTGAAGTGAAGTGCTGTTCCTGACGCCTGTGACACGCGACGCGACTTGGTGACGATTGACTTCCTTCCTTTTTCGGAGACGTGCCTGCCTACCTTCTTGACTTCACCTACTCACCTCACCCCATCTCATCTTATACGAGACGTTGTTCTGCGATGGATGCAAGCTTTTCTCGTATACCAAGTTCAAGCCAAAGAGGAAGGTCAGGTCCTGACGATCAAAATGTAGCAGGTTTGCCTTCACCAAGTCCATTCTCCGACAGCGGCCTCGGTTGAGCGTCTCGTCTCCTCACTTTCATGTGATCAAGCAGAGTAAGCACGAGTTCCTCGTAACCTGTCCGCTACGGTATAATCGTCTTTCGCAACCATGGCCTTCCAACGGGTCGCCTTAATCACAGCCGGTACAGCAGGGTTGGGAGCACAGGTAGCACGTATACTAGCACCCGACTTTAGAGTTGTAAGTCTGTCCTCACAACCCTCATGCACCCGTCCCTAATATAAGGCACAGGTCGTCAACTACGCAAACAACAGCCAACGCGCCGAGTCTGTGGTCTCGGAACTGAAGGAGATCCCTAACACTTCTAACTCCGACGACCAGCCGCGCTTCGCGGCCATCCAAGCCGATGTAGGCGACCGGGCATCGATCCAACGGCTGGTCTCGGAGACGGTAAAGCAATTCGGAAGGCTAGATGTCGTAGTCGTAAGTTCTACCTTCTCCCGCTCAGGGTGGCTTAGCTATAAGCACTCACGCAAGCCCAGTCAAACGCCGGATGGACACGAATAACAAATTTCTCCGATCTTGAGGAGGCCATGGTGGACGAAGACTGGGACAAATGCTTCTTGTACAATGTCAAAGCTCACCTCTGGCTTTGCCACGCTGCGAAGGCGGAACTGGAGAAGACCGAAGGCGCTTTCATCACCACCGCCTCGCTTGCTGGCGTAAAGCCGAGCGGTAGCAGCTTGGCCTACTCTGTTACAAAGGCTGCAGCAATTCATCTGACTAAAGGACTGGCTGTCATCTGTGCGCCGAAGATACGGGCAAATACGGTGAGTCCGGGACTGATCTTGACTGAATGGGGTATGAAGTTCAGCGAGGAGAAGCGCGAGGGGGCCAAGCAGGGGACGAAGCTGAAGCGGTTGGCTACTGTTGAGGTGAGTACGCATGTCTGTGTGGAGGGTCGAGAATTTGAGCGGATTGAATGCTGATTGCGTGCGACAGGATTGCGCGGATGCGGTACGATTGCTTGCTACCAGTCGGTCGATGACCGGCCAGAATCTACTCGTCGATGGTGGTACCTCAGTATAAGTCGACATCAACCACTCCCATTCACTACCGGCCTGTGTTCCACATAGCAACGCAAGCACCAGCTGTGAATGTCCCCGGTCGAGATGGTAGCTGGAACACAAACGGATCCCGCTGTCATTCCCTGATTTGCAATTCGGCATCAGCGCCAGTCCACACCTGATGGCAGTGAGACATGTTGCACCGTGGCGGAACGGCTCGTGCCAACCATGTTTGCTTGACAGGTTGGTTACATCCGTGCCCATATACGCACTGGAACCAAATGCATCACCAAATGTATCAGATTGGTAGGTCAGTAACTACAAATACCCTCTCCTTTCCCCACAACGGCGTGTATGCATCTCTTCCAGCACCACCGACAATGTTGTCAAGAAGACTGGCTTGGACCGCCAACATCCTCCTCTGCTGCTCTACCTTCGCAACATCCCTTCCTACTCCCCAAGCAGCCGAGAGCGATGCATGCACCACCATCACCCCAGTGAACTGGGCGCCACCGCGACCTTTCAACCCCACCATCGGTGTGCCCAGCCTGCTCTGCTCCTGGGTCTGCAGTGATCTCGACTGGTCGGGAGATTGCACGCACCTCTGTGTGGCTCCTGGGCTCTGCAGTACGTCTCCCCTCTTCAAGCCGTCACAGGCAGGCGCAGGGGTTGTGGATGTTACGACGCTGACGAACCGCAGCTGTGTTCAATTTACCGTTCGCAGGCCGGATCACTAGTTTCTCTCCTGGGCCCTGAGTGCTCCGGTTGTACGATCTTCAGGTATGCCAATAGCTTCCAAGTCGATCTCGTAACGTACTAGCTGGTACCTGGCTGACGACATTGGACAGTGGGATTATGTGTGACGGTAGCAGTCTACGAGATCTGTCGTATCCTGGCATACCGGACTTGTCGACTGAGGGATGGAACGATTGGGCGGCCAGTTTCGTCTGCTATTGAGCAGAGCAAGAATGTGATAGGAATTTTGTGTGACGGTTGAGGCAGAAGGATGGGATCGAGGTCGTGGTATGCAGGATCCAGCTCACTCTGCTGCACCATGCTGATTCTTTTGGAACAGCTTGGTGCGTCAAGATGCTTTCGCGACGATCAACGAGTTCTCTACTGCACAATTCGTCGGCCACCCTGAGGCTTGCTTTCATCAATGATATTTACCTTCCCAATCAGGCTGCTCCGATATCGGTCGACGTTACTTCGTATTGTCACATGTCAAGGTCTAAACGCCGTCTATCTGCGAAATGAAACAACAATCTGGCCTCGAAAGGGCACCTTCGGAAGATGCAGCTTACCATTCCCGTCCTCCGTCGGTCGCATTATAAGAGGCCAGAAGGACGGTGTCCGGATGGCTTCACCGCGTTAGAGGGACATACCTGGCTTTTGGACGGATACGGATCGATGCCATTCTTCCATTTACCACCTGATTGAACACAAGGATACCCATCTAGCGCTATTGCCTGCGTTACTGGTCCACCTGGATTCCCTGAATCCAAAAGCCATCATATCTCAGCACCCAAGGCCACCCCCAGGCCCTCGACCCTCGACGGCCCGACTACAATTGCCAGTATGGCCCGGACTAAGGGTAATCAGGACAACTCGGCACAGCAGGAGACCTCTGGCGATGCCAGCGACGAGAGTGCTATTCAGAGACAACCTTCCGAGCACGATTCGGTCAAGGAAATGCCACCGAGCGACGCCAACCACAACATTCAGAACACCGATGAGGAGAAGACAGATGTCGAAGCGTCCGACGGAGCACAACCATCAGTACTGGCGAGCGAAGACTACTCGGTCTTCACTGTGCCTCAGAAGCGAGCGATTGTGTTGGCGGGCAGCTTCTTGGGATTGTTCAGTCCGGTGAGTCTAATGACCCTGAAGCTGAGAAACATTGGAGTTGCCATTGACAGCTTCACCAGATGACTGGGTCTATCTACTACCCGGCTCTCAACGAGATCGCAGCCGATCTGAATACTACGAACACTCGGATCAACATCACGGTCACCACGTACTTGGTGAGTCTTTGCCTGAAGCACTGCTACCAGAAAGCAAGTACTGACGTCGATATGTCCTCAGATCATCCAAGGCCTCGCCCCAATGATGATAGCGGGCTTTAGCGACAAGGCTGGCCGACGTCCCGCGTACTTCATATGCTTCTTCATCTACATCATCGCCAACCTCGCCCTCGCCTTGCAGAACAGTTACATTGCTCTGCTACTCCTTCGAATGCTGCAATCAGGTGGCAGTAGCGGCACGATAGCTCTAGCCCAAGGCCTGGTAGGTGACTGCATCGTCTCGGCCGATCGAGGCCAGTACATTGCCTGGGCTTCGGTGGGAACTCTGCTCGGTCCTTCTGTGAGTCCGCTGCTGGGAGGCGTAATATCGCAGTACGCTGGTTGGCATTGGATCTTCTGGTTCCTTCTGATATTGTCGGTCGTATCACTGATCCCAATGGCCCTCTTCCTGCCAGAAACGTGTCGGAACATCGTTGGCAACGGCTCGGTGCCTCCTCCATGGTAAGCTGTACCAGTACCGTCCCTTGAGAGCTTGAGAGCTAACACATGATCCTTCCAGGTCAAGCAAGAACCTCACCGACAGCATCCGCTTCAAGAAGCGCGAGAAGAACGGTATCCCGGTCGACCAAGAGAAGCTGGCCGAGCTGCGTAAGAACTTCCGTCTCACCATCCCCAACCCCATCGGAACGCTCGTCGTCCTGGCAGATCTGGAGTCCGCTCTGATCCTCTTCGCCACCGGCATGTCAATGGCCCTCTTCTACGCCATCTCCGCAGGCGCCTCGCAGAACTTCCAAGAAGTCTACGGCTTCGACGAGCTACACATCTCGCTGATGTTCCTGCCCATCGGCGGCGGAGGCATCATCGCCACCTTCTCAACCGGCAAACTAGTAGACTGGTAAGACCCCTCCCCTCCACTCCACCCCCAAAACCTCCCCTGACCACCCCAGGAACTACCGCCGCCACGCCCTCGCGCTCAAATTCCCCGTCGACCGCCGCCGCCAAGCCGACCTCTCCACCTTCCCCATCGAAAAAGCCCGCATGGAAATCGGCGTGCCCCTCCTCCTCCTCGGCGCCGCCAGCACAATAGCCTACGGCTGGCTGCTCCACCACCGCGTCAGCATCGCCGGACCCATCTGCATGCTCTTCCTGCTCGGCTACACACTATTAGCAGGGTTCCAAGCGCTGAATATTCTGATGGTGGATATTTACCCCGGCAAAGCGGCGACGGCCACGGCGGCGAATAATGTGTGTAGGTGTTTGTTGGGGGCGGCGGCGAGCGCGGCGATTGTGCCGATGAGTGCGAGGGTGGGGTTTGGGTGGGCGTATACGATTTTGGCGCTGTTGTTTGTGTTGTCGACGGTGGCGTTGGTGCCGGTGATGAGGTATGGGGTTCAGTGGAGGAGGGTCAAGAGGGAGAAGGCGGAGCGGAAGAGGGAGGCGAGGGGGGTGAAGAAGGGGAGCAGTGGATGAGACGGGAGCTCCGGATGTTGTATGGTTTAGATGCTGCTTTCGTGGCTACGTTGTAATACGTAGCTTGCTACTTCATCAGACGCTTCTGAGCAGAGCGTGTCTCTCGACTGCCGACCCTCGACTCTACCTGCCGTAGCCTCATTTGTTGAAGCTTCAAGTCCAGTCCGAAGTCCATCTCACTCAAAGGCTGCTGGTCGCCGTATGGGCATGTGCGACAGGTGACACAGTAATGCTGCAGGCCTGTATCGAGAGCTCCGGCATCCAGCAACAGCACGGCAGCAACCCTCATTGTCTCGCGTACATGCTCCCACGGACTTCGGAACACATGCCGGGGTTTCCAACTGCCGCTTGTCTCACTCCAACGTCCAATACCAGACATTGCCTTGGCGTTCGACATGGGGTGATGCCCGAAGTGGCAGCCATCGTCCGACCTGCATGCGCTTCTGCAGCCGTTGCAAAATCTCCGAAATGTTTTCATGCAGCACAGTTTCTGCAACCCAACCAATGACAATAATCCAAGCTCGTTCCCAACGACCAACTCGAATTCAGCCGATGCGGCACTGCTCGCCTGCCGGGTGAAAGCTGGGGTTGGCTCAACGGTGTCTCGGTAGCTGCGCACGCGAGGTTCGAGCCCTTGCGCCCTCTTTCTCGCTTCTCTCCAGACAGGGTTCAGGAAGCGTCCGAGTGGTGGTGTGGAGAGATCGGCTGGCTGGCTGTTTCTGCGGAGACGGTGATGAGCGGTCCGCTGCGCGTAAGAGGCGTGCCTGCAGACAGCCACCTAGTCTGCCGACAGCAATGCAAACTTTGTGACTGTGCCGTATGAGGCCGCCCGCCGCATGAGAAGCAACGGGCTCGCATGCGCCCGCAGCGTGATTGCGATCATCTGATTGTCTTTTCCTGCGGCCTGCGCGAGCCAAACCCTACTCGCGGAGGCCACGCGACGGTTCCAAGTTGTTGTGGGTGTAGCGCTCAGAGAATGACGCATTTGCTGCCGCCCTTTTGGCGGTTGGTCTTCCTGCGGTAACGCGGTTCGCGGTCGTAGTCTCTGTCCGACATGTACTGTGCGCGTGTCGACTTGCTGAAAGCAGTGTTCATGCCGTCTCTTCCAGTAGTCTGACGCGATGGGCCTGACACTCGCTGCTTGCGAAGTTGCCGCACGACGTCGTAGAATGCCTTTTCCACGTTGATGCAGTTCTTCGCGGATGCTTCCACAAACTCGCAGTTTAGCTTCTTCGCTAGTGCGCTTCCCTCTTGTGTTGATACCTCACGCTCCGTCACCCTGTCGCATTTGTTGCCCACCAGCATGACAGGCGCCGGTCCCAACGATGCGTTCGACATTGTCTGTGACAAGGGCGAGCCTGGGTATGTCGGCGAACCTGCCGCAGCCGACTCTTTGACCCGCTGAATCTGGCGGTGGAACTTCTCCAGCTTCGTGAAGGACGAGCGTGAGGATATGCTGTAGACCAAAACAAAGCCTTCGCCGTCGCGGATCCACTGGTCCCTGAGCGCAATGTACTCCTCTTGCCCGGCAGTATCTAGCACTTCAAGCATGCATGACTGGCTGTCGATTTGTACTTGTTTACGGTACGAGTCTTCGATAGTAGGGTCGTACGTCTCGACGAATTGGTTCAGGCATAACTGGAGCGCCGTTAGCTTGCTGCCTGCACGAGACGAACGACACACTTACCTGAATGGTGAGAGCCGTCTTCCCGACACCTCCATCTCCCAGCACCACCAGCTTGTACATCGTCATCTTCCCGGAAGACATGGTGGCTCAAGATCTGCTGTTTGTGCGTTGGAATGTGGATTTCGAGGGGTCGGAGGGAGAAAGGTGTTGTTGCTGCTGGCCAGTGTTTCCGCCGGAGCTCAGGTATGCAGACGGCCAGCAACCATACAGCTGCGGCTACCACACCAGTTCACGGGTTGGTGACAGAACACCTTAAAGTCTGCTGTGGAATGACCGGAGCCAATGTTGTCGGCCAATGATCGCTTCTCTGGCTAAATTCGGCCCACACCACAGCAGTATTGAACCTAGAGTCAACCTTTAAGTGAATGGTCCTCGTGCTACCGGCGACAGAGCGCGATATATTGGCCCGGAAGAGAGAGTCGAGGGGTCAGTTGGTTGAGGTCTAGATGCAAGGTCGCGGAATTGTTGCTGAGAACTCGGCGTAGCTTTGTTAGGCAGTGGAGGTAAGGTAAAAGATCGACAGAAAGCGCCGGAGGGATGGGATGAAAAGTCCTGGTGCCCGCGTTCTTCTGGGAGCACAGCGACGTTGTCGGTGGAGAGAGATCGTCGGCCGCAGCTCTTTGCCCTTCGAGTCCCCGGAGGTTGGAGGGAAGGAAACGACAGAGCCGGGATGTATCTTTTTGGTGCCGAGCGCAGGATGGGGGTCCCTTCTCAAACAACACGTGCGGATCGCATGGCAATAGATTGCAAACGGCAGACCAGTGCCAAACGGGCAGCTCGATGGGATTGGACGATTGGGTCGGGTACGTGCAGTGTTACAGTCCGTCTTCCTGCCGTGACGCTTCAGAGACAATACTGCGTGCGACGAGACACGTCTGCGAGGGTGTACAGTAGATGGGAGAGGGTGAAGAAGTTGCCGAACCATGGATCAGCGGCGGGCGGGTGGCATTCGCTTCATCTCTCAACCCGTGGTTGCTCCTCCAAAGCTGATGTGGGCAGGCAAGCAAAATTTCTCGCAGACTCCACTTCCCCCGGGCCAAGCGAGCTGCCCTACTGTACTGAGCCTGCAGTGGTGTCGAGGATAGTCTGTCTGGTCTGTCTGGTCTGCCTCGTCTGCGCTCGCGGCGAAAAGGTACCTCTCCGCAAAGCGACTGCGTGAGGAGCTTCTGCAACGTCGGAGCAGTGGAGGTTTGGCCGTCTCGTCCCTCTGGACACGTCTAAACACTATCGTGAATGCTAGATCTAGGGTCTGCAAATGACAGGGGTGAGGGCGCCTTGCCGCGCCCAGCAAAATGGCTCGCGCGTGGGAAGTCGACGGTCCGGCAAACCTATTGTATAGCGCCGGGAGTACATTTGCGTGCCGCAGTTCGAAGCCAATAGGCTGCGGAGACACCTCCACAGCAAGGCCTACGTCCGAGAGCTGCTGCGATCTGGTAGAGAGCTCTATCACGGATCGTACCTGAGTATCTCACTCGGACGATCCGATGGCAGGCAGACTTGTCCGCATCCGCTGTAGAATGGCTCGGTTACAGCATGCGGCTAAGGACAGAGGCCCGTCCGTTGATAACGGCGAGCGTGGTGGACAGCCTCGCCGGAGAGTGTTCTGTAGTCATGGCAAAGGCTTTCGGTGGGATGAGGGTGATGAGGATCGCAAGCCTTCTTCGTGATAGCCACGCACTTGCGCGACTAGTCGAACGTGCGTGGGATGATGGGCATTGACAGATCCCACGCTGGGCAACTCATCGAGACCACGATAATAGGTATCGAGACGAAACGTTGACAGAAGGATCCTGGTCGTGGAAGGGCTGGCCCTCGACCAGGTCACCTTGATTGCTGATCAAACGATGCAACCCAGCAAGGCCAGCTGGCGAGGTCGACCAGCATTCTCCACATGTCGTAAGGTACCGACCATGTGTGTCGGTTCTTCCAACGCATGGCTAGCAGATCATGTGAGGTGAGAGTCTGGTCGTGTCTGCCAATAGACAGCTCAATGTATAGGGAATTTTGCCATTGGTCAGAGGTCAGACGCAGTGTTGAACGGCGAGCTGCTACGGTCGATATATCGGCTGTACAACAACACCTCCATGAACGCTGGTCGAAGAATTGGAGGCCCACGACGGACTCGAACGCAGTCTTTCCAGCATCCTCTGTGTCACTCCGAAACTCACCGTGCCCTCAACTCTCAACACCTTCCTACCCCTCACAACGATCGCCATGAACCCGACCCGACCTGTCAAGCCTGTCAGCTCGTTACCAAAACACTGGTAGCAACCCGCACATCCCAACCACGGGACTTTCGAGGCTTTTCAGACAGTCTGGGCTTCGGTGCCTTCCGCACCCTGCTCGAGACTCCCGGGGGAGGAGTGTCGATCTGCGTGGTGATAGCAGGGGAAAACATCCTCCTTGAAGTCTGCTCGCTATTCATGGAAAGGATGTCGACGATCGTGCAATTTCTAGGCGCGGAGCAACGTCCGAAGGGCCTACCGAGAGAGGTCCCGATGCGTGCTTTGCAGACGGATAAGAGCCGGGAATGCGCCCAGGGGGAGTGATTGGGCGGGGTACGCACGAATGCAAGTGATGTTGGGCAGAAGTTGTGGGTGGAAGTTGGGCGCCTCTTCTCGAGTTTCCGAGTCGATTCCGTGCTTTTTGAAAGAACTTGCCAATTTCACTGCAATCAGGAACTTGATGAACATACGCTAGCGTCATGCAGGCTGCGGCCAATTAGAAACATTACACGTGACTTAGGATTAGGGTCAGGGTAGGCACGACCAACGATCCAGTACGACAGCCACAGGCGGTGCGTTTCAGATATACTGGAGTACTCATGTTCGGCGAGCGAAGCAGTTGTCAACTAATAAGCTCCGTGAGGTTCTCATAACGGTGAGCGGTCCAGCGTGCAGCAATGGACAATGTGGTGCTCCAACAGTAGCCGACATCGCTGAAGATGGATAGCTTCGAGCTGGTGTAGCTCACGTAGAAGCAGCTGTATCATGACATCTCTTCGAAGCGTTCTAGGAAAACAACAGTAGGTGGTAGCCTTTGTACGTTTGTACCCTCCTCAATCATGGCACTCAAAACCAAGCCCAAAGCCCTCTTCTTCGACGTCTTCGGTACCTGTGTAGACTGGAGGACGTCGGTCACAGATGCACTATGGAACGCAGCAAGAATGGCATTGAACGATCCGACTTCCTCCATCGCAACGAGGATACGGATGGTGGCGACTGATATGGTGACACATTCTTCTACAAGACTTCCCAGGACGAGAGCGCTTGCTAACGCCACGAACAGACATATGAGCAATGGGGCGAAATAGCACAAGTAAGAAGCTCCTCCTCCTCCAACCACAGCACATCAGATTGAACAGCCACCAGGAATGGCGCAACGGCTACCTCACCTTCGTCCGCGCCATCGCCACCGGCGAGCTCACCGACTTCAAAACCATCGACGCCCACCACCTCGAATCTTTGCACTCCATCCTCACCTCGCACAACCTCATCTTCCCGCGCCAACCCGCCGACGCCACGCCGGACATGCTCGCCCACGACGGCTCCCTCTGGGACGAACCCACGCTCCAACAACTGAACATGGTCTGGCACCGCCTCGCCCCCTGGCCTGACACTGTAGCCGGGCTTGCCGCGCTGAACCAGCTGGGCTTCGCCACTTGCACGCTTTCCAACGGGAATGTGAGTTTGCTCGAAGACATGGTCACTTTCGGCCAAATGCCCTTCACGCACATCTACTCAGCCGAAATGTGGCGGAGCTACAAGCCCGATCCGAAAGTCTACCTCGGCGCGGCGGAGAAGATGGGCGTGAAGCCCGATGAGTGCGTGTTGGTGGCGGCGCATTTGGACGATTTGAAGGCGGCGAGGGGGTGTGGGTTTGGGACGGTTTATGTGGAGCGGCCGCGGGAGGAGAGGAGGCCCGAGTTGAGGGGGGAGGGGTTGCCGGATGTGTGGGTGGGCGAGGGGGAGGAGGGCTTTGTGGAGGTGGCGAGGAGGTTGAGGGGGGAGGTGGGAGGGTGATGGGAGAGGGATGGACTCGTGGAAGACTTTGCTTTTCGTGTATGTAAGTCACATGGCGTTGTAACTGCTTCGCTGGTCTCATCTTGTGCAAATCTTGCTTCTTCTTGAATGTTCATCCGTCACGGCATTGCTCGTAGTCGTCGTTAAGGCATCGCTCGTCACTATCAAGCTCGTCAAGTCTCTCTCTCCCCCCCTAACCGCCAAAGCGCCTGCCGCTGCTCTCGAGCGAAACCCAGCCATGGCTGTGCTCCCAATCGTTACTCACCACCGTCCACGGACCCTGGTCAACATCGTCCTCATACCACTCCGCCTCCTCCTGCGTCTGCACGCGGCGAAACCATCCTGCCATCTCCACCATATCCTCCAGCGCGAGACCCTGCGCGCCGTACGGCAGAGCAAAGGTGTTGACGAGGTGCGCCGCAGTATGCATGACGAACCTTTTCAGCTCCCAGTGCTCGTTGTCGACGTGCCAGTGAACCTTGCCGGTCATCTGCGAGCCGACATCGAGCTTCGAGTCTTCAGTCCAGAAACTGAAGGTGGCAAGGCTTTGGAACGGCGTGCCGAGCTCGAAAGTTATCGACCCGAGCTCCGCGTTTGGTGGCAGAGTGGCGCGGAGCTTGCTTGCCTGGGATGGTGAGGCGTTGGCTTGACCGCAGCTTTCATAGCGAGGGTCGAGATCGTTGTAGAAGCGGGCGGAGGTGGGATCGTAGTTCACCCAGACGTTGACGCGGAAGGTGGTGTGGTAGAGGAAGGCGGCCCAGATCTCGTCGGCGTAGGCGGGCCATACTTTGCACTCGTGTGGAGCTTGAAGGCTAGCGAGAGGGACTGTTTTGTCGGCGAAGAGGTGGTGGTAGTACTGCTGTCGCTCGTCGTTGGAGAGGGGAGACAGCTTGAATTGGGTGTCCATGGTGCCTTCACTGTTGGGCTTATCGATGGAGCGAAGGTTGGTGTCTGGCGGGAAGATGGTGTTGGTGTCACTGCGAGCTGTGTTTGCGTCGGCTTCCTGCAGTGTGACGGATGCTGTGTCCTGCCGTTTACGGTACTTGCGGTTGTAATGGGAAGGCTCTGAGATTTTGCGTTTTTTGCAGGTGGGCTCATGATGTGAGCTGGAAGTGAGCAGAGTGAAGCCATGATCGGACGTGGTAAGATGGTCGTGTTTCAGGCAGCCGTGGTGATATTTTCGCAACAGTTGAGAGACAGCAGCGAGATCGAAGAGATGTTATGAACTATGAGAGAGACATCAATAGCAAGGCGTTCTTATTGTTGCGATTGCGCGTGTTGACCTGACTTCATCGACGTTCACCTCACGAGTGTCCTTCACCACAGCGTCGCGCCATCGAATTTATCACCCTTCACTGCAACCCTCTTCATTGTCCCATGTATCGTGCGTCTACCTCTTCTCCAGGATCCAGCGCAAAGGCCAAAACGTCTGATGAAAAGTGATGTGCGATGCCTCGTAAGCGACGCTTGATGGGTTTCAAAAATTCCCTGCCGATCCGAAGACCAACAGAAGTGGTCAGTTGATAGTTTTCAACTAGCAAAAACGCTACCTCGGACGAATCCTCACTGGTAAGCGTACTGCCCGTGCACTGGTAGGGGAGTCAGTATGTGTAGAGCTGTATGTTGGGTTCAGAGTAACTCACCTTGGATGGAAAGCGGAACAGAGTTGTTGCAAAGAATCGACAGGAGAAAAGCAGCCTCCGAGGCTTGGCAACTCTAATCTTGCGGCCCGAGACGCGGTAGCCTGATTGGGACGCCGGCCGCAATCCGCAGGGCAGGCGCGACTCTCATCACTCCGTGTGAACAGCGTCGACATGTGATTTCATCCCGCGTTACGTTCTTCCTTTCCGCCATTGAGTCTGGTCGCCAGCCAGTCGCATACTCTCCAACATGCAGGACCCTAGCTATGGAGTCGCGCAGCAGCTCGTAAGCCACACCATCCCTCTCCGAAGACCTCCACTAACAACACCAGCAAAACCATGTCCACCTCACATCCGGCCATCGCTTCCCAATCCTGCACTCGCTCAGCCTCCAGCAAGCCCATGCCTACCTCCTCGATGCCCCGACCATCGTCAAGCAGACCGCGCCCATGTCCTGGACCTACCTGAATGCTCCCCAAGATGGCACCGTCTTCCTTGAATGGATCTCGCGCGCCAATGGTGAGCAGCGCTTCCCTTCCGACGGCTACGTCTGGGCAGATCCAGAGCAGACGTACAGACAAGACTTCAACGGCTACACGGTCGAAATGCTGGTGCACACCGTCGGCTTCAGACCCAACTTCGACCAAATGGCTACGCACGCGCGAACGAGGTATCATTTCATTCACAAAGCGCCTAGCCTCAACGCACCGCCGCCAGACCCCAGCCTTTGGATCGTGCATTACCACCGGACGGACCCTCACATGGTCCTGGATGTCCGACAGATCCCAATCCCTCACCCGACACGCGTGATGATGCAGGAGAGGCAATGGCTCGAGAAGCAGGGCAGACTGGAGAAGAAGGACTTTATGCTGCACGACCGCGACCACTGGCCGCAGATCAGCGTTCCGAACAGCATGCAGCAGATGCCACAGCATGGCATGTACGGGCAAGGGATGACACCGCAGCAGCAGATGATGTTGCAGCAACAACGAGGGTACCCATCGCAGACGAATTATCCTATGCAGCAGCCGCCGGCCAAGCGAGCGCGACACTCAGGTCCGAGTGGTGCTGCCGGGTCTATTAGTGAAGGGCACGACAACAGCATTGAGGAGGAGGAGAACACTGGCTTGGGAGACTTCTTCGACCATCTCTCCCCTCGCGAGATCAGCTCGGTGCGGTTTATGCAACATCATCGCTGGATGGAAGAGGTCTTCTCATCTCCATACGCCTCTGCTCGGATCGTGCCGCCTGATCTTGGGATGGGACTTATGGGCACGCTGAAGGGTCTAACAGAGGGTATCCTAGATCCACCGTCCGTCGAAGCGATCACGAAGGATTCGGAGGCTGCTGAGAGGGCAAAGGAGGCTCAGCCGTTCACGAATTTGAAGAAGGAGCAGATCGATGAGTTCGGCAAGCGCGTGGAGAAGCATCTTGAGGAGGGCCAGGCGGAGATTGAGAGGATGAAGCGGGAGCATGCAGAGAAGATGGCGGAGTGGAAGAAGAGCAGCATGGTTCTGCAGGCGGAGAAGCGGTTACGGTATGCAACGTGGGAAGGGCATGAAAGTGCGGCGCCAGCCTATAGACTGGAAGGGCCGCCAACTAATGGACATGCGGAGGAAGGAGCAGGCAAGGAGACGGTAGAGCAGATCGTCGCGGATGTTGAAAAGACGCTCGGTGTGAAGGTTGAGGGTGGGAATGAGGCGACGCTTGTTGAGAAGGGCGGGCTGGAGAGAGAAGAAGCGCAGCAGCGAGTCAGCGATGACATGGGCATGGGAGGGCAAGACATGAATGACTTCCAGCAGCAAGATGCGATGATGAGCGGCGCGAACAACATGTCTGGCCAACAGCAAGACTACGGCCAGCAGCAGTACCAGATGCAGGCAGACACCTCGCAGCAGTACTCGATGCCTCAGCAGTCCATGTCAGCGCAGCAGCAGTACGGCCAATCCACCCCGCAACCTCAGCAGCCTAATCAAGGCCTCATGTCCGGCAACAACAACAACAACAACAACAACAACGGCATGGGCGGCATGTCAATGAACATGGGCGACGACTCGTTAATGGACGACATGAACATGGACGTCGACGTCGGCCAAGGCGATATCGACTTCATCGAGCACAGCCCGCAGACAGGCGATAACGAAGGTGCTCCTACACCCCTCGCAGGCGACACTCCAGCACAAGCAGCTTCCACAACGCAAGCCGCGCCCTCACAGACCGGCACACCCCTCACCCTCGGCGAAACCGGCCAACAATCCGCTCCCTCGAACCAGCCAACCCCCCAACCCCCCACCGACCCTTCCGCTCCCGCGCCAGCAGCGCAAACAGTTTCTCAACCCGACGAAGCTTCCGCGCACCTCTCCACGAACCCTGACCCCAAGTCGCTTGACCAAGGACAAGAAGATAGCACGACCAACCTCTTCGACGACGGCACGTTCGACGATCTGGCTAATATGGGGGACGGAGGGGTAGGAGGGGACGACGGGTTGTTGGATTTTGACGGGCTGGGCGACGGGGAGGGGGAGTCGGCGTTTGCTGAGGCGATGCATGGGACTGATACTGGGACGCCTGGTAATGAGGGTGGAGCTTAGAGGTGATGGGGGCCAGGGGTGTAGATGTAGGATAGTTAGACGAACGAAACCTGTTTCACTACCTGACGCACTCTTCTGCCTCGTCTACTGCATTCACGTTGTCACTTTACGTCGTCGAAGGCTCTCTCCTCGTAGGGAAGAGTGTTGCTGAAGCGCTTTGAGCTGTTTTGGACTGAGGGTTAGGGTTGGGGTTGCGAGTCCAAGTCGACGGCGACAGCGACGACAACACTTCTACAGCTTGGATCACTTTCAGACTCGGCATATATCTTCTTTATACTATGGCCGAGTTATTTGGGCGTTTTTGTGGTTGTAGGAGTGACATCGCGGGCGTGGTAGCTGGATATATGTTTTGATATGCTTGGAATCTGTGGTTTTGGTGAACCTGTATGCTTGTCAACGTGGGAGTATGGTCACTTTTCTGATCAAACAGATAGAATACTGCGAGATGATTCTCTCGACCTGGTGTAGTATTGATGGGGCATACAACGATCAATGTAATGACATGGACGATCCAGAGATGGTTGGAAACTTGGTAGGGTCGTCTACGTGGACTGTTTTGCCGTCGTCGACGGTCTGTATCGGTCGTCTAACCTCGAGGCTTCAACCATGTACAGAAGACCCAACGACGAATACGCAAGCACATACTCTACAGGCTCACGGGAAGGGCTGGGCATAGCGTACCAGACAAATACACGTATGAGCAGAATCACCGAAAGGCTTCAGCAGGGCATCAACTCCCCCCTCACACTCATCGCTCACGTCCGCTTCCATCGCCACCAGCACGACGGCTCCCCAGGCAAGCGCCGCCTGCGCCGAACGAATGCTCAACAGCGAACGGAAGGCAGGGCACTGAGAGATAGAGATGGCGATGATTGAGCTACGGGAGGTTCATGTTCATGCGATGGTATGCGGGTCAAAGGGAACCACCGGGGCCGTTGAGCAGGAGCAGCGCAGATGGGGGAAGTCCGCCTCCATCTCCATCGACGACGACGCGGGCAATGACGGAGAGAGAGTTTGGCATTACATGTAAGGAAGGCAGTTGCTGCTAGGGAGATGGATGTTGCTCGCTCTCGTACTTGCAGACGGACCGGACTTGCAGAACGAGAAGCCCTTTCCTCCGGCCTGCCTTGCCTTCGCTCATGCAGCAAGGCCAGACCGGACATCTGCCAGGCTGAAGGCAAAACAACGCGGTGGTCCTTGCACTCCAGGGCGCGCGCCTTCTTCGAAGCATAAGGTAAACAGCAGACGAGCGCGAGAACAGGAAGAGAGGAATGAAGCAAGATGGTGGTGGATGTAGTATTCTCATTTGCAGCAGCTCGACTATTCACCATGAAACGCCCTGAGCCGTTATACTACAAAGCACTGCACTCAAAAACAAGCAAGGCCATGTCTGCAGCCTGCATTCCCATTGCCATGACCCCGCCCACCGCGCGCCGTCCATCTCGCCAGCTCACCGCTTGAGCCGCTGCATCATGCTGATGGATATCTGAAAGTCGTCATGGAAACATGCAAAAAGGATGATGATGTGTTGATGTGGTTGAGGGTATCGAAGTCGGAGAGGTTTGTGGTGGTGTGGTTGTTTAACCGCCGAAGCCGTAGAGAGTGCGGCCTTGCCTCTTGAGCGCGTAGACGACGTCGAGGGAGGTGACGGTCTTGCGCTTCGCGTGCTCGGTGTATGTGACTGCGTCGCGGATCACGCCTTCGAGGAAGGTCTTGAGGACACCGCGGGTCTCTTCGTAGATCACTGGGAGAGATGTCAGATGTTGTTCGAGGCTGTGGATGTGTGAGTGAAGGACGTACTGGCCGAGATACGCTTGACACCGCCACGACGCGCGAGACGACGGATGGCAGGCTTGGTTATGCCCTGGATGTTGTCGCGCAAAATCTTGCGGTGACGCTTCGCACCGCCCTTGCCGAGGCCCTTGCCACCTTTGCCGCCTGTTGATGGAGCGTTAGCATATGGAAGACGGATGATGTGGTGTTTGTGGAAGGCTGTACTCACGTCCAGTCATGTTGATGTGTGGGTGGGTGGTTGAGAGTTGGAGAGGTAGAGTGGTATTGATGGAAGTTGATGGATGTTGTGGTGTAGACGCGTTGTGGTTGTGAGTGGATGAGGAACAGAAAGCTGGAAGGGCGGATGGTGGGGAATAAAGAGAGGCGGCGCTGTTTCGCGCCTGCCCGCGTATCACGAAGCAGCTGCGTTGATTGTGAGCGCGCTAAGCCCGATCCAGCGCAATCAACAAAACTCGTTCTTTCCTTCACGCAAATTCGGGGTCCGTGCATGTCAAACAAGCACGCGCGCTTTCCAGTCGATTGATCTGAGAAGTTCGGAAGGTGATTACACAGCCTGCCCGCTTTCCATATCTTCCGCTTCCCCCACCACCCAAACTTGTTCCTCTCCATCCACATCCACTCTCAACCACATTATCTCATCAACATCCACCCATCACAACAACTCAACAACACATCACCACACAACACAACCACTGCAATGGCCCGTACCAAGCAGACAGCGCGTAAGTCATCACTGCCATCAACCTCACCGTCGCAATCTGCACATGGTGGTCGCCGCCACCTGGCTGCAGCCTGACGCGACTTCACCTTCACAACATCACCTCACAACATCTGCTAACATACCACCAACAGGCAAGTCCACTGGTGGCAAGGCCCCACGTAAGCAGCTCGCGTCCAAGGCAGCTCGCAAGTCCGCGCCATCGTAAGTCACTTCACACCATCAACTTCACCTCAGCCTTCACATGCTAACAACCTCTCAGCACCGGTGGTGTGAAGAAGCCTCACAGGTACAAGCCGGGTACCGTCGCCCTCCGTGAGATCCGTCGCTACCAGAAGTCGACCGAGCTCCTCATTCGCAAGCTGCCCTTCCAGCGTCTGGTCCGTGAGATCGCCCAGGACTTCAAGTCCGACCTGCGCTTCCAGAGCTCGGCCATCGGCGCCCTCCAGGAGTCCGTTGAGGCCTACCTCGTCTCGCTCTTCGAAGACACCAACCTCTGCGCCATCCACGCAAAGCGTGTCACCATCCAGAGCAAGGACATCCAGCTCGCGCGCCGCCTCCGTGGTGAGCGCTCGTAAGCGATGACTCTCCTTCTACCTCACATCAACAACACGACCACATGAGCGACACGACCATCTCGACCTCCTCCGGCAACATGGCTAGTCAGCAACGGCTGGCATTTGGGCTTGGGTGACGGGCGATGGGCATGGCTTGTTGTGGTTGTTTATTCTATCATCATGGCGTTCAGGACTCGAGAGGTGGGCATGGGTTGAGATATCACAGTGGTGCACCGGGTGGTTCAAAGGGGGCACATCATGCGAGCGATGTATCATAATGACAATGATACCAGGCAGAAGGCCTTTCAGATAATACTGCTTCTCATCTTCTCATCATCCTTCCATGACACGCTTCTCTAATTTGCTTGCTGCCTGCCTCACTGCCGGGCGCAATCAGCCTCCGGCGCCGAGATGCTTCTTTCGTTGTTTTGCCGGCTGGAAGGGAGTTCCGATGCTTTACGCGTCGACTTGTCGGTATTCCCTCACATTGACAGCACCTATACTGGAATCACTCGTACGGGAACAATACACATGAATGCTGGTGGTATGCAGCGGTCCTCCAATTCTTCGTACTGTACCTGTATCCGAAGTGCACCAAGCTCGACCCGCATTGCCGAACTCGCAGCAGAACCTCCACCTCTCATTCATTAAGACCGACGAAAAATGTCGCATCGCCATTGAGCGTGCCCACAGTAACTATGGCTTTACAAGAATATCTTCCACAACATCCTTAGCCTCCTGGCCGTCAATGCCGCCTCTCACGAGAGCCTCAGATCCACAATGACCGTCCACTTCCTCTTCGGACGGTCGACCCTCTCGCGCCTACACGCCCAGGTCAATCGCAATATCCTGCGCAACCACCACGCCAGACATGAGTCTACGAAGGCCTCTCCTGGCACCAACGGCTCCGCGAACGGCTCCTCCTCCTCCAGCAGTACCTCCTCGAACGCCGCCAATGCCGGCCAGCGACAACACACCATCCCCGGCCCCTCCTGGGCCTGGATCGACCCCTTCATGCGCCCCCTCCGCGCCTACGGCCGCATGCAGAACCGCTCCCCCTTGACCACCCAACTCGAGTCCTCCCTCGTGATCTACTACCTCGGCGACCTCTGCTCGCAAACGATCGGCAGCAACGTCTTCCTCGACGGCGAGTACGAGCCCATCCGCGGCTTGCGCGCCATGCTCATCGGGAGTATAAGCTCGATCCCCAGCTATAAGTGGTTCATCTTTTTGGGGAATAATTTCAATTTCGCCGGGAGCTGGGCGTTGAGCATCACCACGAAGATCTGTGTGAATCAGTGTTTTTTCACGCCGGTGTTTAATACGTATTTCTTCGGCATGCAGACGTTGCTCGCGGGGGGCAGTTGGGCGGAGGCAGGGGAGAGGGTGAGGCACGCGGTGCCGGTGAGTTGGGTGAATAGCTGGAAAGTGTGGCCGGCGGTGACGGCTTTCAGTTTTACGTTTATCCCCTGGCAGTATCGGAATGTGTTTGCCGGGGTGGTGGCGATTGGGTGGCAGAGTTATTTGGGGTGGGTGAATAAGAGGGAGGAGAATCGGGAGGTCAAGGAGCATGAGATGGAGGCGAGGAAGGAGGGGGTTGGTTCGGGGCAGGCGGCGAAGATTGGGAGGGAGACGGCGGCGGATGAGAATGTTGGGGGGCAGGGGAAGAAGAGGAGGAAGAGGCGGAGGGTTGAGGAGCAGGCGGAGGAGGGTGAGTGAGCGGGCGTGGACATGAGGAGTTGGGGAGACGCTCGAGGATTTCGCGAAGTGCTCTGAGTCCTGAGGATCATTGAGGACAAGTTCTTCGACACGGCATTCCAGCGAACCTTGGACAACACCGATTGCGCAAGCTTCTTCCGTTGGCAACGAGCTGCCCAGCGGCGAACCGACACGTCTGTGCCATCTTCATAAGTTGGGAGAACACTCGGTCAATCACTACGCTTAACCATGTTGGCGTTCTGAAAGAGGTTGGATAGAGCGCAAGGCTTACTGGATTAGGGGAATGATTGGGACATGATACCCGCTGGATAGAGCATCGTAGAAATGGCAATAGATCATAGAACTCTTGTACACAGTATCAGAGATCGATCCTGCTGTATTCAACACCTCTTGAGCTTCTTAACGCGTGAAAACAGCTTCGCGTCAACCCGCGTTTCAATCATTGATGGCTACACTTCATCTCTTCCTCACGACACCAACTTCACTATGATGAGAACATGGCCATCTCACTCTCGCAGAACGACACCTCCACCGTAACACCAGATAACGCGAGCGACTATGGCTCCGACATCGACGACGAAACCGCCTTCTCCCTCCTCTCGCAAGCCGAACTGCAGGCGCCCGTAGAACCGTCATTCCTCGCCAGCATCGAGGACATACCCATCCCCGTCGAGCATGAATCTCTGGAGCAGCGGATCCATCTGCGCCTTTCGCGGCTGCAGCAGTCACTGGACAGCGTGCGTGAGAGCAGTGCCCGCATCGAAGCCATCGTTGGTGCGAGGAGGGCCCAGGAGGCGAGCGTGGAGATCGAGTACGACGAGATCAACCGGGGCCAATTCTCGCGTGAGTACCTTCACTGGGGGATGGAGTGGTGGATAGATGGCTAATGGGCTGACTAGCGACTTGTAGCTGTGCGGCAGGATGAGAGTCAGGCAACCCAGACGCAACAGGAAGAAGTGGATCTGAAGACCGACACACGCTCACCGATCGAGCGATGGCGGACGAAGCCCAAGAAGCCGCTCTCAGTCACTGATCTCGTCAGCCCGGCGTGGTGCGAGCAGCAGTATGAGTACAACCTCTCGAAATACGGACGGATACGGGCGACGAAGGCAATGAAGGAGGGGTCCAAGGTGCATAAGGTGCTCGAGGAGCAGGTACACACTGCCGTGCCGGTGGAGACGGTGTCGAAGGAAGATGCTTTTGGGCTGAGGATATGGAATACGATTGAGGGATTGCGGACGCTGAGGGAGGATGGTTTGACGAGGGAGCTGGAGGTTTGGGGGGTGTTACAGGGTGAGGTGGTGATTGGGATTATTGATGAGATTAGCACGACGTGTCCGGATGAGCAGATGGAGGCGGATATGCTGGATGGTGGAGCGTCGAAGGGTGGTAAGAAGGGGAAGAAGGTCGAGCAGCTGGCGCCTGGGCAGCAGACTTTGACGGACTTTCTTACCAGCTCGCAGACCAACGGGTTGCTGCAGAACGACAGCGCCTTTCTTGGTACCCTACATCCAGAGAAACCACGAACTTATTACCTCAAAGATATCAAGACCCGCCAATCTCGCACCCTCCCCGGCCCCGGCGCAGCCTCCCGCCCGACGCACATGCAGCTCATGCTCTACCACCGCCTCCTCACTTCCCTCGCCGCCAACGAGGTCCCAGCAGACACAGTCTTCACCCGCTACGGCCTCGATCCGCACACGACCTTCAGCGACAAATTCATCGCCGAGATCGCCAACCTCAACGTCCCTCCCCCCACCAGCCAGAACGACAGCGAAGCCCTCGAACCAGGCCGCGAAGACCCCCTGACCGTGCTGCTGGCCCACAACACCCTCACCGCCCTCTGGACCCTCATGATCTCCGAATTCCAACTCACCTTCCCCCCCACCACCTCCCCCTCAATCTCCCCCCTCCTAACCGCCTCCTTCCGCACCGCCTCCGCCCACAGCGCCACCGAACCCGCCGGCTCCATAATCGGCACCCGCGTCTTCTTCTTCGACCCCCCAATCATCAACGCCTACCTGCGAAGCGAAATGGCCTGGTGGAAAGGCGAGCGCGCAACGGTGGGCGTGGAGGTCGAGGAGGCGTATAAGTGCGCGCGGTGCGACTTTGCTGAGGGCTGTACGTGGAGGAGGGGGAGGGTGGAGGAGGGGTTGCGGAAGGCGAGGTTGAGACGGGAGGGGAGGGGGAGGAGTGAAGTTTGATGTTTTGACGCTTTGAAGGGTGGCTGGATCTCCGTGTGGATGATTTTATGGGCTATGACGGGGTTAGGGTGCTGGCTTTTAGCGTGGCGTTGCTGGGTCCGGGGAGGATGGGATAGGGGTAGGTGTGGGCACAGGTAGCGGCGTCCGAGCCTATGAGTGCGAGTTGATACGAGAGAACGAGCTGCAGAGACCTGGCTCCATCGGTGTACACATACTTGTAGCTCACGTGTTCACATGCTGGAGCGTCGACGACGACGTTGATGCCGCCGGGAAAGAGGCAGCGTCGCCAACGTACTAAACCCTTCATCAAGACATTCATACCCCCCGTTGGACGGCGGAGAAGTCGTTGCCGCCATGTCATTGGGAAACTTTCTGGTCCTACAAACGTCCATCCTCATCGTCATGGCCCTCTCATCAGCCATCATAACGCCTAGCATGAGCGCCAGCGCCTGTTCCACCCATTATGGCTCCAAGAACGCCCTCGACGGATCTACCGCCCCTTCTGCATCTTCACAATCCTCTCCTGCATAAAGGCGAAAAAGCTCACCGGCGACGCCGAGATGCCCATCGTGTAGATGAAGCGACTCGACAAGTACGAGCCAAAGATCTGCAAAAAGCCATCAGCACAATTCCAGTATCCACAATACAGTTGGGACAGAAAGACTCACAGCCCTCAAATACCCATCCGGCACCCGTTCCAAAATCCTCTCCAACCCCACCTTCTGCAGCAGCAGATTAGGCAGCGCGTCTCGTAACACACTATCCCGCAGTTCACCGTTCTCCCACAACATCGTGCCCTGCAACTCCTCGTCCATCCTTGTAATCGCTTCGCTCAGGCGATCGGACAGGATACTCCTCGCCACCCCACTGCTCTCATGCTCGCGCCAGATAGCTTCGAATTCGAGTCGTGCGTTGTTCTGGATGATGGATTGGACTTGCTTCACGTACTCGGAGTAGAAATCCGGGATCGTGCCGTCTTCGGCGCAGCACATGTGTTTTGCGAACTCGTCGTCGGAAAACGACAGGGAGGCGAGGACTTCGAGGGATGAACTCGTGACGCCTCCCTTGTTGGCGGAAGCGTCTTTGAAGACGACGCAGCCGGCTTTTTCGAGGCGGAGCTTGGCTTCTTGGGTTATGAAGAGGTTGGCTCCCTCGACGATATAAGGAATGGTAGATTTTCCTTCGGAGATCAAGCGGCTGGCGCTGGAGAAATCGATCGATTCGGGTCGACCCCCGCAGGGCACGAAGACGTCGTAGTGTTCTTGGTTGCGCAGGTGGAAGGTATTGCGGAACGTGGTGCCGTTGTTGATGACCTCTCCCGAGGGGAGGGTGGTGTTCATGTCTTCCACCAACACGCGGTAGCCAGCACTAGAGAGTTTGGACACGTCGAAGCTGACGACCATCTTGCGCTCTTTCGCCAGCCGCAGCAGTTCGCTGCGATCCAGGCCGTTGGGGTCGACGAGCACGCCGGATCCGTCGACGATGGCGCAGTATTTCTCGTCCCCGAGCAGGATCTCGTTGGAGCCGAGATCGCCGTCGGGACCGCCTGTCTGCAACTTGCGGACTTGGGTTTGTTGGAGGTTGAGTTTGCGGTAGATGCCGAGGACGTACTCGCGGACGCTGAGCGTGGTCATGCCGTATTTGTCGTGGGGGATGCCGCCGAGTCGCTGCGCTTTGCCGGTGAAGAAGGACTTCCACCAGGGCGCTCCTCGCTCTTTGGCGTGCATTGTAGCCCAGTTGACGAGATCGGCTGTGTTCTCGTCCGGTCCCATGAACAGGATCTCCTCCGTCCCATGCAGATCCACAATCGGGTCTTTGATCCCCGGGCTTGTCGGCGGTAAAAGCAAGTCCATAATGCTATCGATGTACTTCTCAAACGCCACCGTCGCCTTGTCTTGATGCTGGATGTCAAGCAAAATGACACCCTTACTACCACCTTCAGGAATATCCTTGTTCTTCCTCTGCTGCGTGTTTGCGAGGTTGTAGTTCTCGTCGAACAGCGATCGCGTGTTGATGGCATACGCTTCGCGGCTCCTAGACTTGACGATGCGAATGCCACCACGCGCGATATCCCGGAATCTCAAATGGAAGCCGCGGAACTCTGAGCCGATGACCAGGAACATGCCGTAGAGAGGCTGTGGGTACTCTTCTGATGGTAGGAAGCTGGGATTCAGCCGGAAGGAGAGGGCGACTTTGGTGGGGGTGTAGAAGTTGGTCTTCAGCGTGGCCTGGTTGAAGACGCGGAAGGCCGTCATGACCATTTCGTGGTGCTCGTTGACTGCTGTCTTCGAGATCATGTCTTTGAGCTCGGCGTCCGTGAAGACCTTGTCGACGGTCATGCGGAGGTAGGAGAGTGTTGGTAGGAAGTCGTCTTGCTCGCCTCTGGTCTGGACATAGTGCGTGCTCGCAAAGGCCAGGTACAGCGAGCGGATGAGGTCCGGGTACTGGTTGATGATCTCGAGGATGTAATCCGCAGTGAAGGTTTCCGTCCGCAGCCGCTTCTTCAGCTTCGACAGCAGCTCAGCATGCACGTTGTTGCTCGAGTCCAGCACAGACATGAGCGTGTTGTACTCATTCCCCAGCCTGTTCAAGAAGTGCTGCACAAACACCCACACGCAATGCGCATAGATGGACTCCTGCAGAGACAATCTTCCACTGATGAAGTGCCCCTGAAGCCTGTTCTGCGGAATGCAGTACAACAACGAGATCTCCTTCAGAATCTGATGTATACTCGCCTCAATCGGCGGATGCTTCGTCGAATTCCCCGCCGTCGGCCGCAGATACAGCGACATGATCGTAATGCCATTGCTGAACTGCTCCACGTACTTCCGCGAAGACGTCAGACCATAGTAATGGTAGAGATCGCTCAGCGCCGCGAACATGCCCAACGCGGACCCCTGCTTGAAGCCCACGATCAACCGCTTCTCCCTCGTGCCCGCAATCTCGTACATATCCAGCACCGGGCCATGCCGAGTCACCGCCCTCTCCATCAACCGCTGGTAGATCTCCTTGGTATTCTTCGTCGCCTTCTGCAAAAACCGCTGATCCGCGAGCACATCGATACTCGTCTCCCCCTCCTCCGGGTTCTGGTTCTTGAACACGCTCTGATACACAAAATAACACCTCAACGACGCATCCCCCCCATCCGGCATCTGACTCGGCGACCTGAACGACTCCACGCGGAAGCTCTTCAACCCCCTACTCCCATCCAGATACTTCTCCTCCAACCGCTGCTCAAACTTACTCCCCCCCAGCGCCGTGACCCCAGGCAGACTCGTATCAATATACACCGCATGATCACTCGCCTCCTTATCCAGCCGGATCTCCATCTGCCGATCATCCCGCGCGTACGCCGCCACTTTCGCCGCGTACAGCGAGTGGATATGGCTCACGATATCCGCCGACGTCTCGGTGCTAAAATACATGTCGTCGATCCCCAGCTCGTTGTAGAACCATTTCGTCTCGCTCTCCACCAAGTCGGCCGGGATGAAGCCTTTGTCCTCCACGGCGTCCATGACTTCTTCCATCTGCTGCGACTTGCCTTCGAATTTGGGCGCGACGTAGCCCGAGCCGGTTTCGTGGAGGACATGGCTTTGCACGGAGCCGGGGACGGAGAGGTGGGTGGGTTGGGGGGAGGGCTGGCGTCCGGGGGTGCGGACGACTCTTTCCAGGAGTTTGTTCTGCGGTAGTGTTGCGCCGTTCGTGTTGCCTTCGTTGTCGGCGCTGCTGCCGTTGGGTTGGGGTGAGGCCATGGTTGCGGTTGGGTGGCTGTTGTCAGCTCCAAGGTGTGAGGTGTGATGTCGTCGTGGTCTTGAATGCAAGGAATGTTCTCCTCACGGACGCCGATCTATCGTGCGGTTGTATCTTTCTCAAGCAAGGTAGTGAGTGATCTTCAAAGGCGGTCGAGAGTCAGCTCTCCAGGCATTGGACGAGGTCTCGCCTTATCTATCCCCGTGTCACAGGATGAGACGCAAGACACGTATTCAGCTTCTTCACATGCCCGCCTGCCCAGGTCAGAGTTTTCGCGACCTTCACGTAATTGTAACTGCTTCAATTCGTTGTGCATGCCATCTCAACCGCTTGTCGCCGGCCTTATGCACGAGCTTCATAGTTCTTCATGCACCGCGCGCTAAGTACCTGATCTTCGCAGCCCCGCTGGGGTACCTACTTTAGTGTGAGAGAGAGCACGTGTTGAATTATTGATGAGGAATCTGCTTCCGATACCCTGCCGTGAGGCATATCTCTACATGTAAGGTAGTACACACGCTCGTGCCTTCGTGGCTGCCATGCAAATCGCTTGAACGCTCAAACCACGGAAACGCTCAAAACACTCCCCTGCTATGCAATGAATCCCGCAAATACAAGCGCTGCAACCAATGTTCCTCCCACAGCAGCCCAGCGTGCCGGGGCTGATGCTGCTTCGTTCTTCTCCGTGTTCTCTCTCTTAGCAGAGTCCATGTGCTCAGCGAGAGCGTTGGCTGTGGCACAGCCTTCGTCGTAATCCGAGAGTGCTCAACCTTGCTCCTTCTTTCCGCCACCTTCTTGACAGCGGATGGTGTGCTGCTAGCTTCACAGCCAGGAGGGTACACCGTCGTTGGAAAACCTCTGTCATCCCACCCAGTAGAGACGCCGATAGGCACTTTCTTTGTCGTCGAGAATCCTCGCTGATTATAGGCGGTAACAGTCTTATAACCAGAAGCCGAGCAGTGAGCTGCCGGCGAGACTTGCGGCGACGACGCAGACGAAGCGGATGGGAATGTCGACTAGAAAGGTGTTAGCAATAATTCGTTTTAAATGTAAGCGCACTGGTAACTTACTCACAGGTGCGGCACTCGGAGGCACGACCTTTCCGGTTGTCGGGTTGACCGACCAGCCAGACGGGAGGCCAGGGTAGTTGGTGTACGTCAGCGTCATCGAGCCAGAAGGCTGCTGCCACGCAGGCGCAATCGAGCTGCCGGGTGCTGTTGTGACCGTCGGGTCAGGCGAATCTACGACGGTTCCTCCGACGTTGCCGTTTACTCTTCCTCCATCAGACATGATGCTGTCCCAGCTGCCGCTCCGGTCGCCGTAGGCGTACGAAGAGCCGGTTGAGTAGTCCACGACGGAGATCTTCGAGACGACCATTGAGAACGGGCCGTCGCTGTAGTCCGTTGGGCCTTGTGACCAGGAGACGGTACCCTGAGGGTTCGATGAGTCGCCGCCACTCCAGGAGCCGAACCGAATCTGGCATGGCGTTTGAGGGAACTGGCCGTTCGCATCGCTGGCTTTCAGCACCCGTGATGTTTGCCCGTCCACCTGCCATACGATCTGCTCCTCCGTCCACTCGACTGTGTATGTGTGGAAATCCCCTTGCGTATTGTCCGCATCGACCACCGTCGCGCGGTCGTATGTTGTCGTCTGGCCCTTGCCGAAGTAATTTGTTTGGACTTCGTCGTTCTGCGCGCCCAACCACTCCCAGTCAATCTCGTCCAGGTCGTCCGACTGCAGCACAGACGAGCTCACGATGCCTGCGCCCGGGGCTGCTTTCATGGTGATCTCGTATTTGCCGAACATGATGTACCAATTCGAGTGTAGTTGGGGTGCATCGCCGCCTGCCGAGACTGTGAATGAGACTCCATCTGATCCGTAGGTAGGGTTGCCCTCAGCCGTGAACTCCTTGGACGCGCCAGCCGTGAAGTCGACGCTGATGGATCGGCCGAGAGCAGGATTCGAAGGGCATTGTTGCTGTGTCGGATTGCACGAGGTGTATGTTTGTGCGGTGGATGGTCGTGCGAGAAGTATTCCAGTTATGGTTGCAAGGGTCGCGAGGCGGAGCGGTGCGCTCATGGCGAGGATGTCTCGGAGGAATAGCATGGTGATAGTGTCTGCCCTGCGTCAATACAGCCGTGTGTTTGCTGTGTGGGCCGGGCGGGTAGTGATGTGTGATATGCGGGTAGTGAGGATGTTGTCTGCTTGTGCGAGGAAGGAAGTCGAGAAGAGACAAGAAGAGAGTATACTTATGGCAGCCTCGCGCTATCCAGCCATCTTGTGCGCGGTAACTGATATCACTCTCCTATGTTGGCTGTTTGCCGCCACGCAATGGCCTGCGTGGTCAACGTGGTGTGGTTCGTCAACAAATCGATGGCGAGGTGGCTGTCAAAAGGCGAGGCTGGGTGATCTTCCGCGCTAGCAAGGGCACTGCCGGCGCTAAGGCCTTCTCGCCTTCTTTTGCATGAGTCGAAAATTGGGAATGCTCCGAGTCGACACCACACATTGCACCAGCTACTCACCGACAGGGAGAACAGCAGATATGTCATTGACCAACGCATCTCCAGAACAGGCGGCCCGGGCAGCCAAGGCGTCTTCCAGGAGACTGGCAACGTTGCCCACCGCCGCGAGAAATGCAGCGCTAGATGCTGTCCACGATGCCTTGTCTGACGCAAGAGAGTCGATACTTGCCGCCAATGCCAAAGACTTGGAGCTGGCAAAGAAGTCTGCGGCGGATGGTCAGCTGAGTCCTAGTATTCTGAAGCGTCTGGACTTGGGTAGGAAGGGGAAGTACGACGACATGCTGAAGGGCATCCAAGACGTGAAAGGCCTCGAGGATCCAGGTAGGTGACCTTTCACTATCTCTTATGTGTCTATTCAGAACAGACCTTCCCTTTGATCTTCTAGACACCCTGCTGATGTCCTCAGTCGGCAGGGTGGACTTACGAACGGAGCTTGACGATGGCCTGATCCTACAGCGACAGTCATGTCCAATCGGCGTGCTACTCATCATCTTCGAGGCTCGTCCTGAAGTCATTGCGAATATCGCCTCCCTCGCCATCAAGTCGGCGAACGCAGCGATCTTGAAGGGCGGCAAAGAGTCGACCGAATCTTTCAAAGCCATTGCCACCGTCATATCCAAAGCTCTGGATAAGACGGACGTACCCAATGATTCGATCCAGCTAGTGACGACAAGGGACGCAGTTGATCCGCTTCTTGAACTGAGTCAGTACATCGACCTTGTCATTCCTCGCGGCTCGAACGACCTCGTGCGACACTGTCAACGGAAAGCACACATGCCAGTCATGGGCCACGCAGACGGTCTTTGCAGCATGTACATTCACTCCAATGCCGACAAGGCAATGGCCAAGAACGTCATTGTCGATTCAAAATGCGACTACCCGGCCGCGTGCAATGCGCTCGAGACATTGCTCGTACACGAGGATGTGCTTGAGTCAGTGCTGCCCGACGTCGCATCAGCTTTGATTGCCCAAGGGGTGGCACTCCGCTGCGACGAACAATCGCGGACCGTACTCTCGAAACACCTTCCACAAGACCAAGCAGTCCTCCTACAAAACGCCTCCGACGCCGACTACGATACCGAATTCCTAGACCTCATCCTCGCCATCCGCACCATCAAATCCACACCCCAAACCCCCTTCTCCTCCGTCGACGCCGCAATCGACCACATCAACACCCACGGCTCGCACCACACCGACGGCATCCTCACAGCCTCGCAAGAGGTGGCGGACCGCTTCTACAGCGCCGTCGACTCCGCGTGCAAGTTCTGGAATTGCAGTACCCGCTTCTGTGACGGCATGCGCTTCGGCTTCGGGACGGAAGTCGGCATTAGCACCAACAAGGTGCACGCAAGGGGACCCGTCGGGTTGGAAGGGCTGATGATACATGAGTACAGGCTTTCGGGTAACGGGCAGGGGGCGGCGATGTATGGGGGTGCGAATGGCCGACAGTACAAGCATAGGAAGTTGTCTGTATAGGGCCAAAATAACTATCTAACGAGCGATTGGAGAGATTAGATAAGAGGTATACCTGTCAACTGTCAAAATTCGCATGCACCTCCCCCGGCGCAACGCCCTGACTCGGAAGGTTGCAGCAGCAGCTGGCCGTAGTGTGGAGTCCACAGGGCTGTCCGGCTGCGGTGCAACGTTACAGACATTCGGCAATGTCAACGACGAGATCAAGGGCCCGCGTCTCACAATGCCCTTATGTCTGCGGTGATCCGGTGTCAAAACAATGAATTGGCAGTGTTCGAAATCACATACTGGAACAAATGTTCCTGAGTTACCGGGTTGGTTTAAAGCAAAAACGAAGGATGCATGCGCCGGTCTTGTTTGTCAATCACGCTCTCGTTCGTTACACCGATTTTGGCAACGATCTGACGAAGCAAAGCTTTCCAGCCCTTGCGCTTGTCCCGGCACAAGGGAGGCATCGTAATGTCGTAGTTGCAGTTGGACCTGACCTTGACCCCGCTGACTACTGACTTGATGCCTCTCTACGATACTACCACCTCAGGCTTTAACATGTATGTGTACAACTAGCACGCATCCTTCCTCGAGACGATCGGTCTTGGAGATTGTCGTATCGTTGGATGAGAATTGATCATGTGGAAATATCTGGTCTGCTCGATATTTGCGACAACTGCGCTCGCGATCTGGCCGTTGCCGGTGAGCTATACGAATGGGAGTGAGACGCTTTGGATTGATCGGAATGTTAGGATATCGTACAATGGAGGCGATGAGGTGAATTGATATGTGAGAGGAAAGTAAATATCGTTCTTCAAGCTGACAGCCATACAGTCTTCAGATAATACGTGGACGAGCAAAATCGTCAATAATTCGATTCAACGAACATACGACACACTGTTCAACAAGAACTTCGTCCCCTGGAAGTTCCACCAGAGAAATTCAGATTTCGAACCGCAGTTGACCAGCGATGCGACGTACATCACCTCCATCGTCCTGCAGCAGAATGGCTCCGACCCGGACAATGTGATGAAACCGGACGTCGGCGATGTCGACGAGTCCTACACGCTCAGCATGTCCAGTAGTGGCGAAGTCGTCATCACAGCCCTGTCGTCCATCGGGCTGTCGTACGGCTTGACGACGTTTACGCAGCTGTTCTTCAAGCACACCCGCGCAGCATGCGCCTACACCACCCTGGCGCCCGTAGAGATCTCCGATAAGCCGATGTTCGGCTGGCGAGGCATGAACGTCGACACCGCGCGGACCTTCAAGCCCATGGCGGATCTGTACGCCACGATCGACGCAATGGCGTACAACAAGATGAACCGCTTCCACTGGCACATCACCGACTCGCAAGCCTGGCCGCTCGTCATCCCTTCAATGCCCGAGCTCGCTGACCAAGGCGCCTACGCCTCCTTCCAGCAGTACTCCGCCGCCGACGTGCAAGCACTGCAAGAATACGGCGCCCTCGTCGGCGTCGAAGTGGTCATGGAGATCGACCAGCCCGGGCACACAGCAGCCATCGGCTACGCATATCCCGACCTCATCGCAGCCTTCAACTACCAACCCTGGGGTTACTTCGCTGCGGAAACCCCTGCTGGCACTTTTAAGCTGAACTCCACCGAAGTCCCAGCCTTCCTGGAGAAAATGTTCAACGATCTCCTCCCGCGCCTCGCACCGCTAACATCCTACTTCCACCTCGGCGGCGACGAAGTCAACGCCAACGCCTCCACGCAAGACGAAACCGTGCGCTCGAACAAGACAGAAGTCCTACAGCCTCTCATCCAGAAATTCATGGACCGCAACCAACACCAGCTCGCAGCTGCAGACTTCACCCCGCTGGTCTGGGAGGAGATGCTGCTCGATTGGAACCTCACCTTGCCCCTGAACACGATCGTGCAGACCTGGATCTCAGAACAATCCGTCCTTAAAGTGGTGCAGCAGGGCTATCGCGCGCTGGTCGGCGCTTCATCGACCTGGTATCTCGACTGCGGGCACGGGGACTGGGTGGACCATTATCAAGGCGCCGATGCGAGACAAGCCTACCCATACACCGATTGGTGCGGCCCCGTGCACAACTGGCGACAAATGTACGCCTACGACCCGTTGGAAGGCATCCCCGACCATCTCGCGCACTTGGTGATAGGCGGGGAAACGCACATCTGGTCCGAGCAGACGGACGCGATGAACATGGACACGATGCTGTGGCCGCGGACGTGCGCGGCGAGCGAGGTGTTGTGGAGCGGGGCGAAGGATGAGCAGGGCAGGAATCGGAGTCAGGTGCTCGCGAGTCCGAGGTTGAATGAGATGAGGGAGAGGCTGGTGGCGAGGGGGATTCGGGCGGAGCCGGTGCAGATGCCGTTGTGTACGATGAATGGGACGCAGTGTGTGGTGTGAGAGGATGGTGATTTTTGGGAGATTGAGCCTGTTGTGGGGGATTTGGTTGCAGTTGTGTGCTGTATTTACACCAGTCTAATGGGCGATGCGAGCATTCGCCACTTTTCGTGTCTCATCATATTTCGTCTGCCGGGGTATTCGCGTGAAGGGAAGTGGTGGTCTACTTGTCGCTGTCTGTCCCTCCACCTTCTCGAGGAATAACCGGCGTATCCGAAGAGGCTGGATCCTGTGCCTTTGAGACGAAGACGTGGTTGAGATTACCCTTCGCGTCTTCATGCTGAGATCTTGTTCCTGACTCCGTTGAAGTTGCAGGTCCAGAAGACTCCCCGTTTGGCTCCTGGCTCTTCGCCAGCTCCTCGTACTGCTTCGAAATGCTAGGACCCAAAGCCTTTGCAGTAGTGTTCACAACCCCTGAGGACTCGCGAGGTAGCTTCTCGTTCCTCACTCGCTCCTCGTGCCATTTGGACAGATTGAGCGTCTCGTCAACCTCCTGGGTTAGCTTGTCGATCTCGTCCTCCAGCGCTTCGTCCTTGCCCTTCTCCGTCTCCGCCTCCTGGACTGGTCGAGCGGCATCGCCACCTGTTGTGGGCGCCGTCTGCGCCCATAACGATTCAAGCTCGTCAAGCCAGCCGCATGCCTCCGCAAGCTGTCTCACCCCAGCATCGCAATCGCCGATCAGCAGGACATCATCGCTTCCTGAGCCGATGCCGCCTACCCTCTCTTTGTTGATGAGCAGTCGCGGCGTGTGCTCTCTGATCATGCTCGGCAGGCTCGCGAAAGGCTGTACAGTCAGGCTAGTCCCTAGCACAATGACCAAGTCCGCCTCTGCTGGCAACATCCGATGCTTGAAGAAGTCGGCCGGCAGTTGCTCGCCGAAGAAGACGATCTCAGGCTTGACCAGCCCCTTACAGCTCTCACATCGAGGGATTGACTTAGCCTCGATGTGCTTCTTGATCTCGTCCTCTGGATAAGGCATACTGCACTCGATACAGCTCTGTCGCGCAAACGAGCCATGAGCCTCAACGATCTTGTCACCAGGTACGCCAGCTTCGCGATCCAGACAGTCGATGTTTTGCGTAAAGTGCTTTAGCAGCATGCCTTTGTCGTGGAGAAGCCGTATGAACGAATGTGTGATGGTAGGCCTGTACTTCCCGGGATATAGCTCATGCGCGAGCGTGTAGAACGGCTCCGGGTTCTTGCGGAAGTACGAGATGTCAAACACTGCTTCAGCGTAGGGAAGATTAAGCCGTGCTAAGTTGGCGTAGAGTCCGGTGTCCGGAGATCGAAAGTCAGGAATCCCAGCGCTCGTGGAGATACCGGCGCCAGTCATCACTACGACCTTCTTCGCCTTGCCACTCTTGATGTACTCAGCCAGAGCATCGAGAGTCCGCCCGGCGAGCGTCCGGGATGGGGCGGACTCATCGATGGGCGAAGACTCCTCGTTGCCCATCTTGAAGAAGCGACCGACGCTATTTCGCCAGTTGATGTTGGGTTTGCCGCCCTTTTGGCTGCGGTGCGGTTTGTGTTTGCGACCTATTGCGGCGACGATGCGGAGGAAGATGTTGGCGGTCGAAGTTCTCACCCGTTCAATTCACGTCTGCATCCAGGCTTTTGAGCGGGATGGTGCCGAGTCCAGAAATTCCAGGACGTCCAGGTGTGAATGTAATAAGGTCTGTTGAGTCACCGTGGCGAAGTAAAGTTGCCTACAAGAGATTGAAGCTGATGAAGTCGCCTTGTCGATTTTCCACGTCATCCAGACGCTGACTGAATGCGCCCCGACAACAAGGCCGTTTGATACATCGAACTTCGTACTTATCCTATCGCTACACGTACTGTTTTGAAGACAAGCTGTTTCTACATCAATTCAGATCAACCCGGTGTGTCTGTAGTCCACTGGATGGGAAGGAGAGGTCTCAAGGTGAAGTATGCGGTTCCCAAGACTTGTGGCACGATGATGAAAGTCGTGGTTTTAGCGATGCCCACTGCTCGTTCTCGAATTTGTGAAGCGACCTCGAAAATCATCCATCGTCGACTTCTTCACCAGTGACCACACAACACCCACACAATGGCACCCAAGAAGAACGCAAAGGCTTCCGACAGCATCAATGCTAAGCTTGCATTGACAATTAAGGTATGCGCCAAACCGCAACAACAGCCTTGAGCGCATTCCTAACATCCTCCAGTCTGGCAAGGTCACTCTCGGCTACAAGTCCACCCTCAAGACTCTGCGCTCCGGCAAGGCCAAGCTCGTCATCATCGCCGGCAACACTCCTCCTCTGCGCAAGTCCGAACTCGAATGTAAGTTGTTGGAAGAGCAGGAGCAGAAAGCGCAAGAGCTGACAGCCACTCCAGACTACAGCATGCTGGCCAAGACGAACGTCCACCACTTCTCCGGCAACAACGTAAGCCTCATTCCTCCTTGAAAGAATTGCATACCTGGCGAAAGAGCTCAAGGCTCTGGAGGGTATACTCCTGAGCCCAGAGAAGCAGCCATTCCGCTTTCGCGAAGGCTGTGGAGGGTCAACATGTGCTGATTGAGGACCGTGACACAGATTGAACTCGGCACTGCATGCGGAAAGATGTTCAGGTGCTCTACGATGGCTATCCTTGATGCTGGTGACTCCGACATCTTGAACACCAGCACCTCGTAATCACTCTTCGATTGATGGGTGAGACGGCAGCAGGGAAGGGCAACATGACGCATAGCGAGGCGTTGGTCAGGGACAAAACAGTGTGCCAGATCCTGCCGCCAGAACGAAGCATCTCAGAGCAGCCTCAAGCATGTGACAAGAGTTAGCTTAGCTCCCAATATCGACGCTGCTAAATAGCGGCGCTACAAAACGTGCCTCATGATCATATATGACTCTTCTCCTTACTTCTTTACAATTCACTGCCAACTGTTGCCTCGTGAAAGCCGCTATCTTGTCTGTATTTCGACTCTTCGATTCCAGAATTCGATATTTGTGGGTCTTGGCACTGACCGCCGATTTCAAAGCAGTGCCACACCTCAAAGAACGTCACTTCTCTTTGATCTTCTTCCTCTACCACCACAACACCACCCATCAATACCGTCGCAATGGCCCGTCGTCCAGCGAGGTGTTACCGCTACTGCAAGAATAAGGTATGTCACAATATCGCAGACACAGGCCAGCGACATACAATTCAAGAGTGATGGCGGTCGTCAACGAGCAGAAACTGACCTCGTCCTTCTTCACAGCCATACCCAAAGTCCCGCTTCAACCGTGGTGTGCCCGACCCCAAGATCCGCATCTTCGATCTCGGCCGCAAGCGCGCCAACGTCGACGAGTTCCCGCTCTGCATCCACCTGGTCTCCAACGAGTATGAGCAGCTGAGCTCCGAGGCTCTCGAAGCCGCCCGCATCTGCGCCAACAAGTACGTGAAGAGCAGGCAAAGATTTGAAGCGAGGACATCAGACTGACATGGACGGCTACAGGTACCTCGTCAAGACCGCCGGCAAGGAAGGTTTCCATCTCCGTGTGCGCGCCCACCCCTACCACGTCGTCCGCATCAACAAGATGTTGTCGTGCGCTGGTGCCGATAGGCTGCAGACCGGCATGCGTGGTGCTTTCGGCAAGCCCAACGGCCTCGTCGCCCGTGTCAACATCGGCCAGATTCTGCTCTCCGTCCGCACGCGTGACTCCAGTAAGTATGCTCCCAATTCCACCGGATCGTGCGCCACTAACCCGTATCTACAGACCGCGCTACCGCCATCGAAGCCCTCCGCCGCAGCCAGTACAAGTTCCCCGGCCGCCAAAAGATCATCGTCTCGAAGAAGTGGGGCTTCACCCCGCTCAACCGTGAGGAGTACATCGAGAAGCGCAAGGCAGGCCAGCTCCGCGTGGACGGTGCCTACGTGCAGTTCTTGAGAAACAAGGGCCCGCTCGAGTACAACATGAGGCGCTTCCCGGATGCCTTCGAGACCGAGGCATAGATGGGTAGACGGAGGACAAGATGAGCAGGGTTTCAGGATGCATCAGAGGCGTATGGGTTAGGCTCAGATGCTGATAGTGGATCCTAGCTGCACATGAAGCCTGCGAAAGCACAATGGTATACCTGAACCATTTGCCACCTTAATTCCGCTTTCTCTCCTGTCGGTCCTATGACAATGACCCGAGCACTACTCATAGTCTTCCTCAGGACTATGCCGGGCCTCCAACAATTTGCGTTTCTCCTTTCGCTTCATTTCCCTTCGCCTTTCACGTTCTCCTTCCGCATCACTTCCCTCCTCCATCATCGACCTCACAACATCTACACTTATCAGCCTAATCCCATCACAAGGATCTTAAAGACTTACCGCCCACACCCCCCCTCCCCACCCCCCTCCCCACCCCCCTCCCCACCCCCATCCCCCTAACCATCTTCAACTTCTTGCCATCATACCCAATCACAACCAACACGAACCCGATCCCCGCCAGCGGCTCGAACGCCTTCATCGCCGCGAGGATGAGGCATAGTACCCCGATGAGTTGGAGGATGTAGGCGCCTAGTTTGTGTTTCTTGGAGCGGTGGTGTTTCTTGTGGTGGTGGCGGCGGTGTCTGGAGTGCTTCTTTTTGCTCCGCTTTTCGCTCTTGGAAGGAGGATCGAGGGGGTCGCTGAAGTGGGGTTGTGGATACTGAACGAGGTCCTGCGAGTAGTTTGGGGCGACTGGGAGGCCGTGCTGTAGCAGGGCGGGCTGTTTGGGGAGGATGGGGAGGTTTTGGTAGTGAGTGGCGGACATGGTCACGTGATGTGTGTGTAGAAAGTGAGTGTAAGAGGGAAGAGTGAGGACGACGGCGGTACCGAATTGGGATGAGAGGCGGGTTGGCCAGTATATCAGAGTGGATTTGGTGATTACAAAGATGCCACGTTGGACATTCGTTGGCTCACTGAGTAATAGTTGCCACAAGTCGTCCGAACAGCTGTCACGAGCGGCCGCACAACCACACCGTGCAGCCTTATACACATATTTACCTCTATCTACACCATCTACCCTCTAAATAACCAAATACAACGCCGTCAGAAAACTGGGCCCGACAAACAACCCGACCCAAAAAATCACGTTCCCCAACACCCTCCGATCGCGCATCAGTTTGCTCCGACTGAACATGACCAACGGCATCTGTCCCAGCTGCATCCAGAACAGGTACCCGCGCACCTTTTTAAACATGACCGCCATGCACATCTCGTGCACGAGCGCCGACAACAAGAACGTGACGAACGTCGCCGCGTTGCGGGATAGGTGGAACGTGCTGATGGAGGAGTGGTAGACGTGTCGTAAAAGGAAGTTATGCACCGGCCGGTTCCAGTCCCGCGCGTATTGGTCCCAAGTGACGCTGTTCCACCAGTCGCCGTAGAAGCCGCGGTCGGCGAAGCGCGTCAGCTCCGCGAGCACGTTGAGGATGCATTCCCAGATCAGGTACCAGGTCAGGAGTTGTTCGATGAGGAGCGGGAACAGCATGTCGGAGACGATGAACGGGAACTCGCGCCAGCGGGCGTCGATGGGCATGCCGGCTTGCTTCATCGCGACGGTTTTGGCGACGGGGGGGTAGATGAAGGCTTGGCTGATGACCATCATCACGCATAAGACGCCGAAGGTCGCGGTCATTTTTTCCGCGACGTACCACCAGTTGATGAATTCCTGCCGCGGGTACTCAAGCTCGTAGACGAGGGTGGGCATGCAGATGTAGTCGAAGAAATTGAAGAGGGTGAGGTTGTGCGGGTAGGAGTTGGAGGGGGACGTGGCTTTGCCTTGCAGTTCGCGGGAGAGGTCGGTGATTTCGGCCTGGATGATGGAAGAGAAGGTGGACATTTCGTCGGCGTCGATGGGGCTGCCGTTCTCGATGGCTTTGGCAATGGTTGCGACGTTAGAGGTCTCTTTGCTGAAGTTTGTGCCGGTGCGGTGGGCCATGGAGGGGCGTTGTTTGGCTGCTGTACCGTTGGTGCCGTTGGCCCAGCTGCCGCGCCGGTCGGCGCTGGTTGTGTAGTCTGTTGGGCTCTGTCGGGTTGCCACAGGACTTGATGGGGGAGACGCGATCGGTTCGGTCTGCTCTAGCTGCTTCAATTTGCGCTCAAGTGCCGCTCGCCGGCGGTAGACGCCAGAAAGGTAGCCGTTGTAGAAAGCATAGCTGTGTTGCTTCATGAGGAACACCAGGCCGTGCAAGACGACGAAGATGGTGTGCGTCCAGGGCCACTCCCTGAAGTACGTCCAGCCAACGATTGCTCCCAAGTAGGCTGACTGCCATATGTTCTGCACGACCCAGCCTCCCTTCTCCCAGTGCAGCCATCCTCTGCGGACTAGTATCTGAAGGAACATCGTGACCGCACAGGTAGCACACATCACCCCATCCGTCAACCCCAGCACCAGGAGGTCGTGACTGAACATCATCTTCGCTATCTGATTCGTGCCCAAGATGCTGCCGTAGTCACGGTAGTTGTGCATCGCCACCTGGACGAACAGCAACACCATGGCAATCCAGAAAAGCGTGAAGAAGCCAAAGAAAGCACTTTGCGACGCAGACTGATTCTGCCTGTCGAATGTAGTGAACTGGCGCGTGAAGACCAGATCTCTGAACCGCCTTCGAGACTTCTTACTACCAGCCTCATCCTCCTGCCGTTCAATGCCTTTCCGTAAGATCTCCTTGATCTCAGGGTCATCAGCCAGCAGAACATATCGTCCTTTGCGGTCCGTCTTCTCCAGTCGGATCTGGATGCTGTTGCGTTTCTGAAGCATGAAATCGCTGACAGGCTCGGATTCGCGTCGTTTCTTCGATTCACCCTGGCTGCTGTATGGACGTCCAGCCGGCCGGTAGGCTTCGTCCATACTCTTCCTACTGTTCGCTACCATAGTCTGGGGGTCCAGCTGCATGTCGTCGTAGTCCTCGGAAGTGTCGCCATCGTCTGTGGCGCTCTCTTGCGCACCCCCGCTGACGAAGTCTGTCGCCTCGCTGCCCGTACCGTTGGGGTGTAAGACCGCCCCATTGCCCTTGTCAGCACCGTTTGGCTGTAGACGCTCGAAGGGGTTCGGGATCTCCTCTTCAGGTTCTGCACCAGCTGTTGTCGCCATGGTGTTGACTTTGCGTCAAAAGTTGAAGAACACACTCCGGGCCAAATGACGCACCAACAAGCCCGCTCCGTCGTGCCGTCGGTGATTCAAGGCTGCATACTTGATGGATAAATCTTCCGGGTCGATGCTGTGACGTTGCCAACAGTCTGTAGAAAGCTTGACCAATCCTTCGGCTAGGCGAAGGTGTCTCCCGTTGTCTCCCCGAGGACGCGTTTGTCTATTCAAACGGCCCTCCGGAACGCCATTTTATGCCTGCTCTTCACAAAAGGCCAAGGATATGAACAGTAGGAACCAATCAGGGCCACGTTTGAACATGGCCGCGGCACCTTGAAGAAGTAACAGCGAAACCTTCAGGGCAGCGAGGATCTGAAACGCGGTGGCGCTTGCAGAATCGTCACAAGCCAGCGGGGCAGTATTTCGCACTTTGCTGGCTGGGCCACATATAACCTCGCCGTGACACCGTGACACCACCACTCGTCCTCCTGCGCGAGGGTTGACGAGAGAAAATGGCCTCCAACAGCATCGACGCCACCCTAGCAGCTGCCATCGACGCCGACACCAGCACCGAGGAGATTCTGCTGGCCGCTACCAACCACGACCTCGACGCACTGCGAAAACTGTTTGAGAAGAACGATGCGAAGGTTCAGGATGCGGACACCGGGTTCTCGCCCTTACACGCTGCCATTGCGGCGTGTGAGCCCGACGAGGATTTCAAGAACGAGGCGGAGGTGAATGGAGAAGGGGATGCGATCAATGGGCATGCTCTGAGTGAAGACTCTGCTCTGGCTACGGTGAAGCTGTTATTTGAGAACGGAGCGATATGGAATGAGCTCGACAACAATGACGAGACCCCTGGGTGTCTTGCGTTGAGGTTGGGTTTGAACAGAATCTATAATGCACTTGTGGATGCTGGCGTGAGAGCAGAGCTGCTGTTCAGCATGCTGGACGACTACGAGCCAATTCCAGACGAGCCTTCCGCGTCAGAAGGTGAAGGCGAGGATCTGGACGATGCCATTGTCGGCTTCGAGCCTGCGCCGAAGCGCAACGAGCCTTTGCCGAGCAATGTGGCCGGCTCGCAAGAGTTTGAAGGCTTCGAGCCCAGTCCCAATCCTTCTTACAAGGTGGAAGAGGATGACTCGCCCGGTGCTCGACCACAGAATGGGACAAACGTGATGGAGCTGGCGGACGAAGCTGCCGAACATGAGACTGAGCATGTACTCACGAACCCGAACGTCAACAGTGAGGACTATTTGAAGTCGAACCTTACCTATTCTGGTGACAGACTGCTGGACTCCGACAAGAACGCGGTCATGATGGACTGGGAGACAGAGATTATGAAGATCTCCGCCAACAAGCTGTGTCCGAAGCAAGGACTGCGTACGATGAACGTCGGATTCGGAATGGGTATCGTCGACTCCATGTTCCTCGCCAACTCCCCCTCGGTCCACCACATCGTCGAGGCGCACCCACAGGTTATCGAGAGGATGAGGAATCAGGGCTGGTTCGAGAAGCCTAACGTCAAGATCCATCAGGGCAAGTGGCAGGATGTGTTGCCGAAGCTGGTTGAGCAGGGTGTGTCGCTGGATGCCATGTACTACGACACGTACGCGGAGGACTACAAGGATCTCAAGGAGTTCTTCGATGAGTATGTGATTGCACTGCTGGAGAGCGATGGCATGTTTGGGTTCTACAATGGGCTAGGAGCGGATCGGCAGGTGTGCTATGATGTGTATACGAAGGTGAGCACCGACGCGCAAACATCCTCGTTGACAGTCGGCTAACGTGTGACAGGTCGTCGAGCTACACCTGGACGAAGCAGGCCTGGACGTCGAATGGACCGACATCGCAGTCCCTGACCTCGCGGCCCGTGGCGAATGGGAGGGCGTGCGTCGACCGTACTGGGCAAACATCAAGACCTACCGGCTCCCGACATGCAAATTCGTGGGTTGATCGTGCCACAAAGCACAGTTTGCTACTCATCACCCGCCCGCGCACCATTCGCCGCCTGCTTCGGCCGGCTCGGCAACGCGCCAGGATCACCCTTCGGCCGGTCCTTCCAGCTCGGTATCAGCTCATTGCTCGGATGACTCTCCTCATCCAGCACCTTCGCTGCCGACTCCGCGCCAACGACCGGCAATCGCTTGAGCCCTCGCTTCTTCATCTGCTCCGGCACGAGCTTCGGATCCAGCAGCCCGACCTGCACCAGCACAGACGCCTGGTCCCAATACACGTGCTCGTGGTATATTTTACCCCCGCGCACGCACACCACGCTCACCATCGCCACATGCACCACCCTCTCCGTCGCCGGCACGCCCGGAAGCAGCCACGGCACTTCCTCCGAGTGCTTGAAACTCACCACCATCTCGTCGACCACGCGATCCTCGCCCATCGTGCGACTGACGAGCTTCATGCGGAGGGAAGGGGGATTGCGGAAGTAGTCTCGATAGAATAGGAATAAGTCCCGCTGTCCGATTCCTCCTGTTAGAGTAGGCACGTTCGTCACGTAGGGTTTTGGGGACGTGATCATCCCCGCTGTCGTCCCCGCTGCATCCTTCCCTGTGAATGAGCGTCGTAGGTGTTCTTCTCGGATGGGCTCGAGACGGGTTTCGAGCTTGAATGCTTTGCGTAGGATACTTAGTATTCTGGTCCATGCCAGCGACGCTGCCACCTTGTCATAGCTAGGGTCGTTTGGTTCAGCGAACCCGGGTTTGGCATTGGGGTAGGTGTACGAATCGAACGCTGGCGCGAAGCCCTGCGATCCGGCGAGGTGGCAGAGGAGGTTTAGTTGGGAGGGGAATTTGGCCTTGGGGTCCGGGATGGTTGGGGGGTACTGGGAGGGTGGAATGATGTAATTAGTTGAGGCATTGAAAACGGGCGGTGTTCCTTGCACCTACATGACAAATAAGAGCGGAGAGGTGCGCTTGGGGTTTGGTGTGTTGGAGTAGGCAGTCCTTTGCCGCGGCGCCGTAGGCTGGTAGATGAATCAGCTGAGAGGTCGTTCCTGCAGCGTGTAGGGGATCGGGGCTTAGTACCGACGACGGCGTAGCTCTCTCCAAGTTCGAGGTCGTGGGAAAGGCGTGTGAGTTTGTCGCGGTAGGGTTTGCCGCCTTGTCCATGCGGGAGATATGTTGTGTCGAAGCCTTCGTCTGTGAATTGCTGGAGGAGGGCTGGGTCGCAGTCGGGTGTGTCGCCGGTGATGTGAAGGCGAGGTGGCATGCTGGAGAGATTGATTAGCCGTGGGTGCTTGTACAGTGGGAGTCCTGGTGTTGGAGAGTTTACCTGTTGAACTTGAGGAAGCCCATGTTCATGCCTGTGCTTGATGCAGCCATGATGGAAATGCGGTTGACACGAATGGAGTGTCAGGAAGAAGAGGGTTATAGATGGCGTTTACTGATGACACTATATTGTTATATGCTTGTTCTTGTCGCGGTCCCGTGTCGTCGACAAAACCTGGTTTGTGGTTGGGGTGGCAGGGGTCCCTTGACTTCATGTTCAAGTTCTCGACTTCACCTCTCCTCACTCCTCCTCTGTCCACCATCATCCAACAACTCGAGATTCCAGCGGAGGGACAGGATTTCGCATCTACAGAATGACACTCGATCTCGTACCATGGCGAAGACTAGCCCGGCTCTGGCACGCTGTTGTCATGAGCAGCTTATCGTTCCCTCGCGAAGATGGCAAACCGCGCTCGCTTCTCATATGGAGGCCGGAAGCAAACCATGCCTGGCCGAGTCAGAAGGTAGATGACTGATATCAGCGTTGAGGAGGCAATCAATGGTTGGTACATCAACAAGCAAGGCCCAGATTGCTTAAGTTCTTCACGTCAATTCTCTCCTTATCCTTGTACCCCGTTCCTGCATCTTTACAGTCAATATTCAAAGACTCGATGACGACAATGAAGGCCTCGCTCCTCCTACTGACTCTTGCGAGCACGCTCGTCGACAACCAGGTGGCTGGGCGTCTTCACAAGCGACGACGTGTTGAGTCTTCAAGCAGTTCTTCCATCAACATGGAATCCGTGCTGAGCATGCTGTCCCCGTTCGCGCAAGGCACAACTGCAGACACCAAGACCACCGACACCAAGACCACCGACACCAAAACTGTCGATGCCACGACTACTGAAGCTACAAGTACTGCCGACAGTGTTTCCACTACCGGCTCTCCCCGTCCCGGCAGTATCTTGATACACGCCAACGCCGACAGGCCCATCCCGTACAACTCCAGTGGTCAATGCAGTAAGCGTAGGGCACGTATGTTCGGATGTCTCGTTCTCCAACTGACGATGTTCAACACAGTGGACACCGCCAAAATTCCTGATGGCACGGCACGTCTCGTGACCAACGTGACCATCTCACCTGGTCTCTCTTGTGAGTTCTTCTAGTAAGTCCTCCACCTCTCTTGTACAGCTTATTTCATAATGGTGTCTGACAGCACACAGCAAGGTCGGATGCGATAGTCCTCTTCCCAACATTCTGAACTCCAGGTCTTCGTGGAATGGCACCGATAGCAATGGCAACCCGCCTGTTTTCTCGAGCTTCCAGTGCTGGCCCGAACACTGTGCTCAGCCGAAGATGGACGGCTCCTTCGAACCAGTCGCAGAGTATCGATGCCACGGGCAATCGGATTTACCATACCAAGGCTTGCCGGTTGGAATCATTGCCTCGAGTCCAATGTCGACACCAAGGGTTGTAACGACGGCAGCAAGATTCAAGCCGACAATGTACCTGGCGACCTACACAGCCATTGCGACTATGAAGGATGACGCCGACGAAACTGAGACTGCAGTGGCGACCGCAACAGACAGCTCGTGCTCCTCCAACGGCGTAAACACCTGTGTTTCTAACCAGGCCACTTCCTCTGGCGCAAATACAGCCGCGGCAGTCACTCCCAAGAAATGTTTTCCAGTCACCCAGGATGGCATCACAACAGAGAGTTGCTATTTGTCATCTCCGGCTTCGACACCGTCAACCTCCACAGCGCAAACGAGTGGGCTGGACGCATCATCGGCTCTGTCCGATCTTGCGACAGCAGCCGCGGCCACGACCCCAACAGCGTCAACGCCCGCAGCGCACACAAGTGGGCTGAAGGTATCGCCGGATCTTTCCGATCTTGCAACAGCAGCGGCCGCATCGACAGCGGCGCGGGAAGGGGTGGTTACGACGTGCAGTACCTTCCTCAACAAATGCGGGACGGGGTCGAAATGCTATCCTACAGCCGCACCAGCTTTCTCGACTACCACCACTTCACCTGACCTCTGTGGCCTGCTCGGCAAATCTTGCACAGGACCGCCGACCACCACACCTGCTCCTTGCCCAACATGCATCAATGCCTTGACCATGCCCAGTGCTCAGACGACATCATACAGGACAATCTGCTTCACAAGTCCGGCATGGCTCTGCGTCACCGAGACGTTCTATTTCACTAGTGATAGATTCGGAACGCGGACGGTGAATGCTTACGACGGCAGACCTACACACAGCCGTCGCCGAATAGCATGACCATGGCTTACCGGGGTATTGAGTGATGCCATGATCAGCCCTCTCTTAGTCGCCGTCGCCTCAGCAGAGATTCAAAGGAAATCGGTAAGACCGATCTATCTATGAGTTTGCAAGCATTGGGCATCGGGCTTGGTCATGTGTTCATGCAAAGCGATGGCCCAAGCAACTGCAAGCAAGATGCAGGGTAGGTCATTGAGCCAGGCAGCTATCTCGGGCTCGAGGATCATTGTTCCGGATTTACTTTGCCTTTCACTACCTCTGTATAGGAGTTTGAATAATTTCCTCCACATTTCTATCTCTCATCCTCTCTATCAACCCTAACCGCTGCCCAGCAAAGCTCGCATTCGAGGCTCGCGTGCTTGAAATGGCATGCTCGCGCTGAGGCTGTGGGTCGGCAGGGCGAACCATAGCATTGGACCTGGGAAAGGGCGGCTCGCACTGCGTTTCGATGAAAACTCCTGTTTGCTGATAGCCATCGTGCAATCGTACCCCATCCGAGATCGAGTTCATCTCTGTGCGTGTTGCAGTGGAAAAGGGCGGATGCCGTCGACTGAGCAGTCTGGTAGTAGTTCTGTAGACCGACGTGGCCATGGTCGCCGATGGTGTTATCCCGGTTTGCATGAAACATAACCTTCGTCCGCGGAAGCCACTGCCTCATTAGTCCCCATCCATCTCCTCAACCTCCATCGGCTCCCTCGGCTCCTGCGCCTCGTGGAACTGTATCGCGTCGTCGATGTAGCTGAGCACCGCACCCACACTATCCTCGTCCTGCACGTCTAGCTTCAGGAAGGAAACAAGACTGAAGTCGTCGATCAACTGCCCAACCGCCCGGTTCAACTTCGCGAACGACTCCCCAGACATCACACTCTCAGCCTCCGCCGGGTCCGGCTCCCCATTATCCACCCCCTCTTTGTACTCATACACCAACCCACTCTCCGGCCCATCCTGCAACAAACTCATGTCCGGATCGACAAACTTCTTCAAATCCCTCCGCGCAACCTGCCCCTTCACCAAATCCATCTTGCTCAAGATATTCACATGCGGAATCTCCATCATCAACATCGCGCTCATCGCACTCAGCGTCCCGGCGAAGAATTTCGCTTTGTCGCCAATAAACGTGCTCTCCAGCAAGTAGGCGGCGCAAAGACTGATGTTCAAACTCCCGTGTCCCAAGTGCTTGACCAGCTGCGGCACGATCGGCACGTGCGTGTACAGCTCAATCTGCCCCGGCATATCAATCACGATCATGTACTCATCCGTCACCGTCTCCAGCGGATCGGTCAAGAAATCCAAATTCTCGAGCAGGAACTCGAAGCAGTAGATTAAACCTCCATTTGGGCCCAAGTGGAGCTCTTCCATGACGTCGGAGAGGGAGATGAGGTCTTTTATGTCGACGTCGGGCTCGTAGACGAAGTCTTCCGCCGCCGGGTCGAGGTTGATGTAGAAGCAGGAGCGGCGCGAGGCGCGGAGGTGTTGGATCAGGGCGGAGCAGAAGGTGGTTTTGCCAGCGCCGGCGGGGCCCATGATTATGGTGCCATATTTGCTGCCCATGTTAAATATGGTGAAGGCGAGGGTGCCTCGCGCGCAAGTGTTATCGGGTGTTCATGTTGATGTGAGGAACAGAGATGTTTCGAGTCATGTGGTCGGCCATATCGACAGCGGACCGCCGGCTTGGCAAGACGAAGCCAAAACGTCTGCAGATTTTCCAACCTCTCTTCTTCCCTCTTCAACAACTAAATCCAAGACGATGAGCCGGTCTTTACGGCAGACAACGTTCACCTCGCACCCGTCGTTCGCGGCGCGTGCGGGCGTAGGACGTTGCTGACATGCTCTGGGCCCACTCACCACCTTTTTGAGGAGCAATATGAAAAATCTCTGATTGGAAACGTTGTTGGCCTTGAGCTCGCACAGCGCGCTGGCCGTCCTTGAGGAAGGCGAGGCTTATGATCATGGCATGCGTGGCCATGGTTGCACGAGATGGATCTGATGGGTTCCGGTGAGTGCAGGGTATGGTTCGTCTCCCCTCCCGGTTGTGGTACTGAAGCCTTCGCAAATGGTTCGCTTCTGACGAACAGTGCCAACTACAACGATTTCTCCTGCGGTGTACCCGCCGCAGCCGCAGAGGTAGCCTTGAGGTTGCTGCTCTTCTCTACGTACTTCGAGGTTTATCTCTTTCTCACCCCATCCCCCCCCCTTTCTATAGATGCCATTCTGGCTCTCCACCCTTGAACATGGCACCGCGGCGCTCTCAACGCAGCTCTCGGGCAGCTGTGCCACGATCCGAGAAGACACACACTCACAGCAAGATACGGCCGGTTCGAAAAGCACGGCGTAGAACCGAAGGCCCCTAGTCCGTATCGGCGACGGAGGCTTTCAGCGATTCCGCCGAGAACCCAGCATCGGACGAGGAAGACCAGACGAAATTGCGCAGTCGTAAGCGTAAACGCCAGTCGCCTATCTCGCAAATCTGCACACCACGTCCTCTCTTGCTGGAAAGAAACCGCGGCTCCCGCAGGATAAACTCAATAGAATGGAACCGCTTGCAAAAGATGCTGCACGCTTCGATCAACATCCCGCCAGGCCACACCGGGCCTCTAAACATACAGCTTCAGCCTCCTCCTTCCGGCAGCTGGGACCAGCTAGAACGCCCCCCAGCGTTCCCACTACCACAGACAAGTCGGTGCATGTTCCTCGAGCTTCCCCGCGAGCTTCGAGACCAGATTTACGGCCATCTTTACCTCGTCCCGCAGAATCCCGCTCGCAAATGCCGTTCCTACTTCAACTTTTCAAACCCTCACAACTTCGCACTCGGCACAAGCCTCCTACGCACCTGCAGCCGGATCCACACCGAAGCAAGCAGTGTCCTGTACGGAAGCAACCACTTCCTCTTTGCCCGACAGAGACGAGAGACGGGCTCGTACTGGTCCGCCAAGTGGCGAGAGGTAGGCTTCAACGCAGTGCGCCGCTTCCTGGTCGCCATCGGACCGAAGAACATCCGGCGCATCAAACACGCAACACTGCTGCTCGAGGACGCAACGCCCTACCTGAACCCTCGCCTGAAGACGCCTAAGGCGAGGCGTTTCGTCCACGACCAATGCCTGATGAAGGTGCTGCGCCTGCTCGCAGCTAAGGGAAGGCTAAAGAAGCTGGGCTTGCTTTTTCGCGGTATGCAAAATTCCCTCAACGACATATTTGCATACGCCATGCCTATACGGTGCTAACCTCGCACACCTTCAGGTCGACGGCGCGTAGACAAGAACGATACAAAGTTCCTCGAGGCGTTGTGCACCGTCCAAGCAGACGATGTCGAGTTTGTTAGAGATCTCACTCAGTCCTGGCTGGGGTACCTGCCACCGTCGAAACAGCACGCGGCCGTGGACAAGATGTGTCTGCAGAGCATGAAGAGGAAAGAAGCCCTACCTGACGCTGTCGAAGACGACGACGACAATGATGATGATGATATGAGTAGGACAATTCAAGCCTGTAGGGTATGAGCGTGGAGCAACGCCAGTGTCGTATGGAGGGGACTGGAAGCGATGCCAAAGCCGTTCCAATTCCTGCGGTATGTATGCGTTAGGGTGAAGTGATTCCTACCTCCGTCTACATTTCCAATCTGAGCTGTCGTTCGTCGTCAGGAACGGTGCCTTAAGGTATCCGTGTCGTGTCGCACCTGCGGCGGGCAGCCTTTGGCGCGCTACCAAGCTTGCGGACCTCAAGATCTGCCTTTTCTCTACCTCCTACCCGTTCTCCAACGGCAACTCCTTCACGTCTTTCTGCAACACTGGTCAACCTTTTGGGCGCCACACTGCAGCTTTTATCATTGTTCAGTCCCTAGAAGAGACACTGGACTGCAAGTTGTTCTTCACGGCTGAGCAGCCACTGGACTTCCAACGCTTTGTTTTCCATCTTATGGTGATCTCGATATTCTGATCATGGCACCACGGCGCTCCCAGCGCGGTCGTCCAGACGCTTCAACACGCGAGGATGATACGTCCACTCCCACACCGACACGACCGGTCCGGAAAGCACGACGTAAGATTCAAGCAATCCAAGACATCTCGTTACCGGAAGCCGTCAGCGATCCCGAGGACAGCCTTGACGTGGATAATGAGCCTACCAACACAGCGCTGAACGGCAAGCGCAAAAGCACACCATCTGCCTGGCAAATATGTACTGCACAAACTCTCGTCCTCGAGTCCGACCCCAACATCGCGCCCCTACGCTCCAACCCCACCGCATGGAACCCTATCAACTCTACCCGGCAGCTCCAGAACCACACCCTCTTCACCAAAATCAACATCCCACCCACCCACACCGGGCCCCTTTACCTCCGGCACCTGGTTCCCTCTACAACCCACCCTACCGCCTCCAATACCCCGCTGCATGTTCCTCTCACTCCCGCGCGAACTCCGCGACGAAATCTATACGCACCTCTACCACGCCCCCTCCCGCCTACACCTCGCCTATCCGGACGAAAATTTCCGCATGGGCACCGCCTTCTTGCGCACCAACCTACAAATCTGCGCCGAAGTGTGTGAGACTCTCTACGGCAACAACGAGTTCGTCTTCGCGCGCATGTGTCAGCGGCACGGCTCGTTCTGCTCCTCGGACGACTGGAACGAGGTGGGGTTTAAAGCTGTGCGGGAGTTTGTCGGCATGATCGGACGCAGGAACCTTGGCCTGATTAAGACGTTGACGCTGGTGCTGGAGAACGCGGTGCCGTGTCTGAACCCGGCGATGAAGACGGCGGATCAGAGGCGGTATTATTAATGATGAGAATGTGTTGGCTGTGCTCCGCGATCTCGCGACGTCTGGGCAGCTGAAGCGGTTGAGGCTGCATTTTGGGGGAAGGAGGAGGGTGGAGAGAACGGATCGGCGGTTCTTGGAGGAGTTGACTCGGGTGAGGGCTGATGAGGTGGAGTTTGTGATGAACGGGTCGGCTGCTTGGGCGACCAAGTCGAAGCATGATCCTAGTGTGGAGAAGATGTTTTTGGAGATGACGGTAAGGAATAAGGGTGTAGATGGTGTTCATGGAGGTCATGTCGACGAGTAAGGGAGAGGGGAAGGAGAAGGAGAAGTCCTAGCTATACGAACAGGTGGAAGGGTCGCAGGCTGTGTTTGCTTCGGCGAGTGTACTAGCTGTGCCGGCACGGTCTGGTAGCTCGAGGAGGATGGATTGTGCTTGGAAGTCGCTTAACACCTCGCTAAGCTGCAGCATACGTAGCAAAACCTGAATCGTGGGTAAGCGTGGCTGGCCTCTTGCCTTGCCCTGCGCCAACCCCGTCCAAACCATCTACCAACCCCAATATCCAAAAACCAATCCGGCCAAAATCGCCACGCCAAATCTTAGCCAATCTCCCACTCAGAATCACAACTGATCAAAAGCATTCTCCAAGTTCACCGCCACCAAATCCTCCGCGTTCACATCCTGCCCGAAATACCTCTTGACATCCCCACCCCCACTCTCCCCATTCTCGAGCACAGTATCCAACGTCATACTCGACCCCTCCGGCCCCGGCGACCCAATCGCGCTACCCAACGTACTCTGCCGCTTAAATCGCATCACCGGCATTCGGACGGCGGGGGAGAGCGAGATGACTTCGTCCATTTCGTCTTCGTTCGCTGGCCCTCCTCCTGCTGCGCCTGCGGCTGCGGCGGAGGGGTCGTCTGGTGGTTGTTGTTGTGTGGTGCTCTGGGGTCGGGGTCGGGCGGCGGGGACGGTCATTTGGGTGTTTAGTGTTAGGCCGACCATGGTGTGGCGAGCGGCGAGTTTGTGCGCTGCTAATGCTTGCGCTTGCGCTGGAGTTTGTATTCCTGGGGTCGAGGTGCTGGAGTTTCCATTGCCGTTCCCGGTGGAGAGCGGACTAGCGCGGTACTGGCTGGCCGCTCGTACGGGGGAGCTGCTGCGCGCTGCGATGGGGGAGACGTTGCCGCTGCGCCAGCCTACTGGACTAACGCTGCGGACGGTGAGGGGGCTGACGGCGCCGTTTGTCGGGCGGGAAGAGGCGGGGAGGCCCATGGTTGTTTGGCGGCGGGTGGAGTCGGGGCTGACTGAACGTCGGGGGCGGGAGGAGAGGTCGGAAGGGCGCGGGGAAGCGAAGGTGTTGCCGTTGGGGTAGGTGGTGGTGCTGGATTTGCGGGGTGGAGAGTTTTTGCTAGTGGAGGGGGCGGTGGAGGTGCCGTTTGTGACTGCGCCGTTGCCGTTGCCGTTCGCGTGGCCGATGCCGTTGGGTAGCGATTCGGTCGGGAACATCGAGTGTCTGTAATCCGGCACGATCGAGCTTCGCCGGTACTTGACTTTCGTCTCCCTCTCGAAATCAATCTCATGCACACCCGGCGGAGAAGGCGTGATTCCATTCCTAGTCGGTGGCGTCGCCGAGAGCTCAGATGGCCCATCTGTAGATGGTGGAGAAACACTCCTATCCGATGGCTTGCTGGACCCGCTGTCCCCGTTGAGGATCGCGAGTGCAGGCCCGTTGCTCATCATGTTGCCCCCCGGCGGCTGTGATTGTCAGGCGTTCGTACCCGGTATAGGTGGCGGCTTCGCATCAGTGGTGATGGGTTGGGTGTTTCGCGAGCGTGATCTGGATGTCGTGCGGTCGTCGACTTGGCCGCGGCTGCGGGGGGAGTTAGAGCATTCTTCGCCGGGTTGTAGGCGAGGATTGACCTACCTCTTTCGCCGGCCAAGCCGCATGGATGGGAAGAGCTTCTTCAGCCCTTTGGGTTGTTCTGGTGGTCTTGGTGGCTTGCCCTGCAACACATCAGTACTTTACTCGCACTCGTGCTTTCTTTGTTGTTCGACGCACCTCAGACCCGTTCGGTTGACTACTCGGATCATCGCTCATTCGATGTGACCCACTCGCCTCACTACTCCTCTCATCCTCGATAAACTCAGGCGGCACCGCCCTCTCCTCATCCCCACACACAACAATATACCATCCCACCTTCTCCTCCGGCGCCAGCTTATCCCTCAACTCCATAATCGCAGTCCACTGGTCATTGTTCAACCCTCTCCCTCTTATCTCATCAATATCCACTCCCAGCTTCACTTCCTCTACCATGTCCGCGACATACGCGAACGGCTGGCTTGTCGCGCTCGCCGACGAATCATTCGGATCGTATTGCTCCACGAACCGCATCCGCGTCAGGTGCTCCATGCATTCTGGATACAGCTGGTTGAAGTTCTTGAGCAGGGCGAGAGTGGTCTTGGGCGCTACGAGCCATTCTGCTGCCGCGTCGTCGAGGTTCTGGAGGATGATGTGGATTCGGATGAGCTGTCGAGGCCAGCGGAAGCCGTGGAGGAGGTATGTTGGCATCTTCTAGCTCTATCACGCAGTATGTCGCGTGCCCGCCGAGTCAATGGTTCCTCGATCTTCTGAGTTTCGAGGCCTGCTCCAGGAGGAGCGTGTAGCGCCGCGTACGGCCGCTGAGAGCCAGAAGAACAGAGTCGCAAGAGCGAAGGGATCTTATGTATACCGCTCAAGCCCTCAGCCCTGTCGTGTAACTGTGCACAGCGTCGTACAATGCCAGGGAGCTTCCAGTCCCAGAACGCGGAGTACAGACGTCGCACTTTGTCCTCCTACAACCTCTTGTTATTGTCTCACTCGGCCAGGTCCAGAGTCGTGCGATCGATAGTCTGCAAGATACCGGATGTAACAATGGCTTGATATGCTCGAATCCGCGTTCGTATCCAGCAGAACGTGCCGGCGCTTGTCGTACAGTATGCACTCAATGGAAGGAAAGTGCACAGAGAAAGACAATGAAAACAAATGGTACGACCGTCGCGCACTCTGACCCGCCGATCAATGCCTATCCGGTCGCCTCTGACCGTTGCGCGTAAGTAGAGTTTAATGTCGATGCGGAGACTTGGAGATGGCGTCGCAGGTCGATCGGTATATTCTCAGATTCGCTTGGAAATGACGCGAGGATGCTGTTCCCTGCCACCGATCCTTCTTCTTTTAATTATTATATTGCTCCTGACCGGTATCACGGGTTTGAGGTTGATCGAAGGGGCTGGAGAGGGGCACACGCTCTCAGGGCTGTTGAAACATGTGCAAATGAGAGCGGCTGTCATATGATACTTCTGTCGTCGCTCACTTCGGCTGCGTCGGCGCAACGGCGGCTCTAGTATTGACCACGGTACGATTATCTGCTCTCAGCTGGCTGTCACCGCTGTCATCGGTCGGTTAGTTAGGCCAGCTAGGGGCCCCTACTACCCTTAGCTGGTCGATAGTATACGGCGGCATCTATTTGCAGCTGATGTTCCAATGATTCGCGCATAAGGCTGCGTCAATAGCGGACGAGGCTAACCATTTCTCTCTGCCCTGGAACCTTCCGTTTGGCGGACTTCGCGACTGCACTGGTATCTCTTTTCTCCGAACCTGCAGTAGCCTTGCCGCGATCCATTAGAGTGGTGACGCCTGCTCGTCATTCTCTCACGCCGGCGCGAAGCGCACAGCTGATGACGGCTTACCTCAGCTCGTCAGCATCGAGGGAGGCGTTTCGGGGATAGTGGTATCGGACTCGTTGGGAGAGGACAGGCAGCCACCATGCCTCTCCACCTGCTCGGCAAGAAAAGCTGGAACGTCTATAACACCGACAATGTCGAGCGAGTACGACGCGATGAAGCCGAGGCGCAGGCACGCGAGGAGGCGGCGGAGCAGCGCATGCAGGCTGAGGATGCGGCGCGGAGGATAGCGATATTACGGGGCGAAGAGCCTCCACCGCTGCCTGCGGCTGAACCTGAAGATGAAGTGCTCAGTGCTTCTGGAGGGCGGAAGCGTGGAGCGGAGGAAAGCTTTGGGCGGAGAAGGAAGAAGCGGAGGGGCGAGGATGATACTGATCAAGCTATCCGCTATGCACGCGAGGATGCTGAAGCAGGGGAGAAGGCGAGGGAGAGCCAGGCGCTGAAGGGAAGGGAGCAGGAAAGGGATGCACCCCTGGTCGATCACGCTGGCCATGTGCAACTCTTCGCTGCCCCAGATGAAGCTTCCATTCGTAAAGCAGCCAAAAACGCTGAAGCCGAAGCAGAGAAGGCGAAGAAAAAGAAGAGAGATGAAGACCAGTACACCATGCGCTTCAGCCACGCAGCAGGCTTCAAGAAGAGCGCGCAGCAGAAGCCCTGGTACGCTGCGAACGGGGCGAGAGAAGACGGCACCAAAGCTGTCGCACTCTCCGATGTCCAAGACAAAGACGTCTGGGGCAATGAGGACCCGCGTCGCAGAGAGCGCGAGCAGAGTCGCGTCTCCTCCAACGACCCGTTCGCGGCGATGCAGCAGGCACAGCGGCAGCTGAAGCGAAGTGAGACGGATCGCGAGAAGTGGAAGAGAGAGCGCGATGCTGAGATTGAGGAGCTGAAGCGTGCTGAGGAACGGCAGCGTAGGAGAGAGGAGAAGAGGGATCGTAGACGCCGTGAGGTAGACCATCGGGCGGACAGTCTGGAGGGCTTCAGTCTTGATGATCCCGTCACTGAGAAGAGCCACAATGGTGAGCGCGGCGTTCACGACAGACATCGTAGGCGGCACCACAACCAGCGGCGGAGGAGTCGTTCTCGCAGTCGTGCCCGTGACCGCAGTGACGACCATCGCGATAGGAGGTCCGGATATGAAGAGTAGGTTCTTTTCTCAAAACTTGCTTGTCGTGCAGACATATCCTAGGTAGGCTACAGAATCCTCAACCGTCTCGTCCACACAGTTCCACCAACTGTCATATTCGCATGCCCCTTACCCGAGAAAGACGGACCATCCCTCCCAAGCACGCATCACCATCACCGTCGTCGGCGGCGGGGGCGGCGCCACGGGAGTCGCAGCCCGCACGCACGTGAAATCACATGCTCACCCCCTTCGGCGGAACCTCAGCTGCATTATCAAGGGGGAATACATTACAGCCCTGAATACAGTACCCTCGTGGATCCAGAACATGGATACTGCCACGCCAACAGATTCGAGCCAACTGGTTGTAATCGAATCTGGCAGAGTCCGCCTTGCCTAATTCTAGGGTGATGAGGTCGTCCTAGAGAGAAAACCCCTTTGCCGCTCATGACCTGCGGAAGCGGGTGGGTGGATTCTTTTGTTGATTGAAAGGTCGGGGGTTCGATTCGGCTTTTTACTTTTATTTTTTGGGCCGGTGATATGGGAGTGAGGCAGAGAGGATAGGTGGGTTGGAGCAATGCTTTTGCTCGGAGGTACAAATGCCTTGACATTGCTTCCTACGCCGTCGATTGTCACTTTCGTGTATGCGGAAGGCTCGCCATTCTTCATGTGACCACTCAACATGTCCGTCTTTACGGTCTTATAGTACGTGGTTTGTCACACGCTCGTGCTTGTGTTCTAAAACTTTCCCGTCGCTCTCAGACAGTCGTAGGTACATAGGTAGGTAGGCTACGAAATACGAAAGAGGCTCATCTGCACGAATCCACCAACGCCAATGCTATCCCCAAGCCCGACCAAAAACACCCAGTCGTTCCACTCCTACCGCCCCTTCCGCCTCCTCTCCCGAATAACCCCCTCAAACCTCCCAATCATCCCCTTCAACCCCATCCCCCTCTCACAATTCTCCTCCAACCACCCCTCCATCCTCTCTCTTACACCCCTCAGCCCCCTCAGCACCGGCATCTTCCCCCCTTCCTCTCCCTCCACATGCGCGAGCGGATTCAATAACAGCCCAAACACCTCGCCCCAAATCTCCGTCTGCCAATACCGCTTCAACCCCTCCCGAATCCTGTACGTCTTCGTCGCACCCTGTCCGAGCACCGCGCCGTGTTTCTCCCCGATGGTCTCCATGTACTTCCCGAACAACAGCGAGTGGATGATCCCCGCTAGACCGAAGTAATCGACTTGGTAAGTCCAGGGTCGTAATTCACGCATCTCAGCGCAATCCGCCTCCGTCGTCTTCCAATCCGCGATGAACGCGACGTTGGGAACAAACTGTCGCATATCGATCCCGCGTCCCATGTCGATCAGACATACACCCTTGCTGGACCAGCCGTGCGCGCCGCTAGGGAAGTAAGTAGGGCTCCAATCGGTCTCTAACCCGGGGTCGTCGAAACGCACGAGCACATTGTCGCCTTTCAGATCGCCGTGGATGATTCCCTTGCTGTGCAGCGCTTCGACGGTGCGCAGCAGTTCGACCGTGAGCCACATCGCCATCATCTCGTCTAGGCCGGCGGAGGAGGCGTTCGGACCGTTCTCCACCCGAGCGAGGTTGACAAGGTCGAGCAACGTGCCTTGCGAGCGGAAAGACTCGATCAAGAAGCATTCGTCGCGGAAGAGATGCATTTCGTGCGCGCGGACGATGGAGTCCGCAGCGCGGCTGACACCTAGGCGGCGGTGGGTGGCGCGGAGGATGTAGAATTCCCAGACGTTTGGGGGGTCTTCCATCTTCAAAGCTTCGAGGGGGGCGCGGTGGGTGGCTTTGCCGGAGCGGGAGGAAGGGCGGGAGTCGGAGGTTTCGTTTTCTTGGTTCTCAGCAGCGGTGATGGCGGTGGAGTTTTCGATGAGGTAGACGGGGGCGAAGGTGCCGGCGCCGAGCTCGCGCTTGATGGTGTAGGTGCCGTCGGCGCCGGGAAAGGAGAGCATGGGTGGGAGGGAGAGGGTGGAGGCGGTCTTTTCGAGGTTGGTGGAACTGCGGGAGGCCTTTTGGAGGACGCGGATGTATTTCTTGATCTCTGATGTCCGATTGGATGTTGTGGAGAGGTGTTCGTGGTATCCTTCGTAGGTGGAGAGGCTGGGCTTCATCTGGGAGAGGATGGTCTGCCGCAGCTGAGGGTCCATGGGGTTGCATTGCTCGTCTCTTATGACTGGGCCTTTCTGTACCGCCGTGTCCGAAGTTTCCTTGGTGCTGCCACTTTTGGCAGCAATCTGACCTCTCGCCGTACCCTGCCCAAGTGATATCGTCCCTTTGGTCGACTTCGTCCGGATGGGCTGGAGCACCTTCCTCCTGTCCTCTGCCTCAACCTCTCCAAGCTCCTCCTGGAAGGGACTGCTTCCCAGCTCATCTGCTTCTTCCAGTGCCACAGGTACGCCGGCTGCCGCCTTTCTGCTCGGCGTCTTCGCATTGAAGTAGTCCTTCTCTGACGTCCTTGCGGTTGCTAGACCCATTGAAGACTCCGTGCGCTCGACGATGGGCGTCATGAACGGCAGCCGATTGTTAGCAACAACAGCCATGTCCCGATACTGGCCCATAGGAGGCTCGTAACCTTCTGGTGGTACCGGAACGTAGCGTGTACGCGGATTCTCGTCAATGGGCGTGATGAGGTCGTCGGCTTCATCGTCTTCCGGTAGCGGTGCGCTTTGGGACTGCGATTGGTCTTGGTAGACTTCCCAAGATGTGCTTTGGGTCGACTCAAGTATGGAGTCTGCGACATCGTCTTTGGGAACGTGCTTGCTTGTGGTGAAGTCGGACCACTCGCTGACACCCGTCTTGCCCTCTTCGTCCGAGATAGCCTTCTGCACTCCGAGGATCTCATTCCTGGTATCGTCGCCATATTCGCTAGGAGGTCCCGACAGCTTGCCAGTCCCTGTGCTTTCGCCGCCCGTAGAGTAGTCATCATCGCTGTCCTCGTCTTCCACTTCAGCCTCCTCAGTCTGAGAAGGCAGGGGAACGTTGAAGATGCCGTAGATCTCGTCCATAGCCTCCTTGGTGTTGATGGTCATGGTCGGCTCTGGCTTGTCGGAAGACTTCTTGCGCTTCAGCTTCGGTCCGGTAGGAGAGTCGAGGTTCAGCTGGATCGTCTTGGTTTCGTTCTTGATGTGCTTCACATCCATGACCTGGATCTTGCGAGTCCTGTTCGCACGCTCCTCCCGCCGCAGCTTCTTAGCCAGTTGTGCCTCCCGTTGAGAAGGAGGTGCGTTCTCGTCTTGCTCGTCATTGAGAGCCAGAGTCTTCGAAAACTTCTCTACGAGCACCTTCTCATCTTTTTCGGTCTTGTGCTGTACCGGCGGTATCTCAAAGGCATCCTCAAAGATCTTGAAGCCACGCTCCTTCTTGGTTGATTTCGCCACTACCTCCTCGAGGCCTGTCATGGGCTCATCCTGCTGCGCGCTTTCGTCTGGAAGGTCTGGCTCCTGGTCCAAGTCCATTGGAGTATCGTCTTGATCTGCTTCTGCGTGCTGTTGCTGGGTCCTCGGTTTTCGTTTCCGCCTTGAGATATCATGACCTCTATGCCTCGCCATCAACTCCTCAAAGCAATACTCCACCCTCGAGTTCTGAGGGTCTGGGTAGATGGACTCCAGGTCAACATAAACACACTCTAGCCTTCCGGTCTTTGGATTCCGCACACTCTGCTGTTCGTGAGCACCATCGCCAATTCTACTCAGAGACAATTGTGATGGAATATGTCGTGGCAAAGGTGTGGTAGTTGCGTGCCTACTCGATAATGACTGGATACAATAAAGGCTCATCTTAGTCCTGCATTCGTAAATATGTGGAGTTTGTTGAAGTGATTTGGGGACAAGCTTACCTGGTCCTTGAACACAGCCATCTTCATCATGCCACCGTTCGTCTTGCCTCCTTTGAGCTTCTCGCCTACCCATGGCTTTGCCTCCACGGTATTCTCCTTCTTTCGCTCTGCGAGGCTACCAATGTTATCCCAACCCTTTGCTCCGCTACCAGAGCTTGGTCGTGATGAAGAGTCGTCGCTGTCCGAAAAGATAGCCATTTTCGATCCTTTCGACTTCTTGCTTGCTGTTGACCGAGCTTGCTGTGGTGCTGCTGCAGAAGGTGAAGCGGCCGCGAACGGGTCGATCTTTGCAGCCAACGCAGGTCTCGCGATTGGTAGAGCTGGACTTGTAGGCTCAGCTGCATCATGAGGTCGCGCCTGGTTTCTTCGCTCAAACTCGCCAAACTTCCGAAGCAGTCTCTCAACAGGCCGCGCCTCTCTCTCCAACCCCATCTTGTACACTTCCTCCGCCTGGTTCCATCGGCCAGCGTTCTCCAGCCACGCCGCGAACTCCTCGTAGTACAGTGCCAGCGCTTCGCCTATGCCGTGTCGTGCAAGGAATACAAACACCTCTCGGGGCGCGTCTGAGAACATGCGGATGTAGTGCAGCCATATTCTCAGATACCGCGGATCATTCTTGTAATGCGAGGATGACTGGAAGGCTTTCGTCGCGCGTTCGAGAAGGGGCAGAAGTTGCGATTGTGGTGTCGCTTGCGCAGAGGGATATGCGTCGAGCGTCCATTTCACGTAGCGGTCGTACACGTCCAGAGGGTCGTCGGCTTCGTCGATAGTCTGCAATTCCTTCTCGTACTCTGCGCGTTTTCCTGCATTGGCGTCTTCAGTTGCTGAAGGCGAAGGGTTGGCTCCAAGTAGTGGTGGTGAGTAGATCTGCGCGAGCGCTTTCGCTGAGCGGCCGCTGGGGAGAGCCTGAATGTTCTCCTTGTGCGATTCGATGATGTTGAAGTCGATGAGGTCGTCGGTGGCCGCCATCTTGGTTCCTATCCAAGGCTGAGGGAAAAGATGGTGGTCAAGAGGAAGATGAAGTTCAGATTAGAGTGTTTACTGGTCCAAACAAGCGCCAAGACCGGTTGTCTAGGAGCTCACCTCGCTTCGCCTTCCGTCCTTCCTCACAGGTGCTCATCACCTTCGCTTGAAAACAGATGGACAATGTACCAACATCTTACGCTCGCGCTCTGGATACTGCAGTCACTCCACCAAAGGCGGTAGCGGCGACGCGAGGTCTTCTGGGGGGTCCCCGGGGCAGCGGTGAGTTCGGGGGGCGAAGTGGACGAAGGGTATGCGTTGACTCCATGACTGACGAGGACTGACGGGATGGGAGCATCTCCAAAGCGGTAAGAGCATACAAGGTACAGTTCTCTAAAGAACGACGGCCACTTCAATGTCTACATAACAGGTCACTCTATCCAACACCCTCAGCTTCAAACCATGCTCCCCCTCCCACAGGTGCACCCCTCCGGAGTCGTCATGCCGGCATTTGTACCACCGTCCTCATGCGCAGCTCAACGACAGCATTGTGCAAGACGTCCGCGACATGCACTTGGAGCCCGTGGCCTGCCAAAAACACGCGGCGACACTGGTCGCTGCGTCTCCACGCATCTCCAGGAGCCAAAGGTACTGACCGTGCGATTGCAGAGCTCTAGCGACGTAAATCGGGTTCAGCCCTTGCTCCAGCAAGCGACTTCTGGTCTCAAAGGAACTCCATTATGCTTGGAAAGAGCTCGTTCAACCGCTTCTCCTCTACCATCGTGGCGAGCTCAACAGCAGACACGCCAGCGGCATCGCGGACTTGCGTATTCGACTCGGCATCCTTCGGTCCCAAAACTGGGGCATCTTTGACGAAGCCCTGCGTCCCATCGAAGAGAAAGAGCGTTGCGTGCAGCCTGTCAGACTCTACCGTCGTGCTGTGGAATGCTGCAGCAGGTACGGTGTAGCTCGACCCGTTTTGGTTCAAAGAATCGCTAACCGGCTCCGCCACGACGTACTCTCCGGTGTTGACGGATTTCGAAGACATCTGATGAGTTTTATAGGTCGTGTCCAGTCCAGCTCCCGACGTCCACTCCAGCGCGTATCTGGCGTGCGTAGCCTGTTCTTCGTCCGACGATGGCTTGACCTCATACGCATAATTGCGAGCCCGGCCAGCCAGAACCCAGCTCTGCGCGAACGGCTGATGTGAGTGAACTTCGAAGCCTGGCGCGCCTCTTTGCCCATCCGGCAGCCAGACGTGCAAACGGAAGAGGATGACGATTTTTCCATCATCCAAGATGCTACAGAGCGGGATGGCGAGGAAGCCTTGCGCACTGCGATTGACTGACAGATAAGCCGACTGCATCACCGGGCTTTGTAGCGCATCATGGATCATCCACCAAATGACATCGAGGTCCTCTCTCGGGGTCTGGCGAGCGCTTCGCGACTGGTGGACCAGATGCGCAATCGCCAGGGCGAGCAATCCGACTTGTCGAGAGTCGTCCATGGATGCGCATTCGGAGTCGATGTCGTGCCGCCAGTTTCCGAAATTCTGAGAGCTGGTGATTCGATCTGAGATGATCTGTCGGAACGGTTCAACAGTATCATCTGACAGACGAGTCGCTGCGACCACGCCGTGAAGGACTGTATTCAACAACGTAGCAGGAATGCAGTTGCCAACGTCTTCCAAGGCTGGTGCGCATAGCTCGTCGATGAATTGGCGGTTCTGTATTTGAAGTCTTGCTTGTCGATTGACGTAGATGCGTCGGGAGTCGGTGATACTAGACTGCCGTTCTGACTGAGCATCGTCGGCTCCATTGTTGTGCTCTCTGTGCATCGTTTGGGTTGGGTCATGCGAATGCCTTTGCAGGTACAGACGGTCGCTGAGGTATTTCACTGAACTGCTTGCGCTTGTTGCTGGAAGTTCCGGTGTGAATGGGAAACAGCAGTATTCACTGTGACACCGTCTGGAATGCTTTCATTTATAAGACTCCTGACTGTATGTAGAGTCCAAACCACTGAAGCCTCAACACCCCACCTCCAGATGCACAGCCCGGTTGGCATGGCTATGTATGTTTCTGCCGCCCTACACGGAGTGCCTGAAGGCAGATTCGTGCTCGTTCATCGACCACGAGATGTTGACTTCGCCCCCAACCGTTCCTTTTGCCTTTCGCGTCTCAGGGTCGCGAATATGCTGATGGTAAACCATTGTCGGCACCATTCACTCTTCCCCAGCTTCCGACCACATCCCTGTCCTTGGCGACGCCTCGAAGACGCCTCGCGCAATTGCAGCCTGAATGGCTCGCAGTTGCGGCCTCTGCCGCCTGTCGAGAAATACTCACATCGTAAGTCTCTCGTATTTCATATTACTTGGCTTCTGCCTTCCTTGTCTTCTATTCTTTTCTTCCTGTCGGACAGCAAGATGTCGCTCCTCGGCCTACCAAACGAATTGATTCTCGACATCATCCAACGATGCATGCCGCTGGGCTTCGAATCCCTCATGCTGAGCTGCAAAGCGGTCCACACCGTCGGCGAAGAGTTTATTGAACGTCACAATAGCCTGCGTCGAACATACCGCATCGTAGAACCTGCGAGACGATTCGATTATGCACCAGAGAACGACGCTCCGCAGGATATACTTCATCTTCTGCATAAAATCGCAAAGGACCCGCTGACTGCCGGGTACATACAGTCAATCGACTTCACCTGGGACAACCCAATAGGTGACTACTCCGAGGCGATCGAGAAATGGCCTGTATTGCTCGACAATGAGACCGCTATAGAAGATCTCCGGTTTCTCCTGAGCGATCCCGGGACTCTTGCGAGGGTCGGCATTGATGTTTCTGGCTGGCTGGAAAGGATGGTGAACGAGCCTGAGATCTTCTTCTGCCTCAACAGGGTGAGCTCGGCCGGTGGTGACATGAATATCGTTCTCGGCTGACTGGGTGACCGTGCAGTCTGTCAATCACAAGTCCGCGAGTCGTCGGCATCGTTCTAATGGAGAATAGATTAACAATCTCTGTACTCTCGCTACTGACCAACGTCACCGAGATCAACCTGGGCTGGGTCTCGGCGCAGGAAATAGCCCTTGACAAAGAGGCTGCCGCTTTCTTGGAAACCATAGTTATGAACGCTCGCACCGACCCTTCCCAGCCGCTAGCACAAGTCACCTCTCTCAAGACCGGCGGTCAGTGGGACATGGGCGAGGGTGCGGACTTTCAGGTCCTGAACCCCTTCTTCGTGCTCCCCAAGCTCCGAAAGTTTCGTGGTTCAAATTTCATGCCTTGCGACCGATAGAATGATGGAATACCATGCAGCTAGCGCTTCCCGACTGTGGCCTCCAACATCGAACACATCGAGTTGGCTTGGAGCTGTATCGGCGGCAATGCGGAGAGCATGGCCAACCTCTTACCGCACCTCCCGAAGCTCAAGTCTTTTTTCTTTGCCTCTTGCCCAGAATGCCACGGACTCGGACGTGGCGATAGCTCCGACGTTTCCAAGATGTTCCTCGCGCTTGCACAGAAGTCCGGCAAGGAACTGACACATCTTTCCATCGTCAGCAGAAATCTGTTAGCAGTCTCCAACGACGCTATAGGCTCACTCAAGTCCCCCTCTCGCTTAGAGCATCTCGAAATGGACGACCGTCTCTTCTTCGGCGACAAGACACCGCTTGTCGGAATCGGCGATATACTCCCTCCCAGCATCAAGACCGTGCGCCTGTTGATATGGAGCTTCGGTACGAACGTGGAAACGCTGCAGAGCCTCTTCGCACCGGATGATTTGCTGCATCAGAAGCTGCCTCTACTGGAGGGTGTAAGGGTTGTGCGAGGGGTGAACATGGGAGACAGCAGCCATTCTTTGCCTGTGCCGGACGAGATTGCGCGGAAGGCTTTAGGCGAGATGGTGCGGGCTGCTGGGTTTAGGTACGAAGAGGAAGACGCGGTCGGAGCGCCGTCGCCAGTATGGTTGGAGGGGTTGGAATCACAATATGGGCCGTGGTAGTTCTCTCGGACATACTCACGATCATGGCATTATGCACTGCCTCTCACAAACGTCAGCAGATATCGGCAGCGGCAGCTGTGAACACTCGGTCTCGACCGTGTACGGCGTGGTTCGCAACGCCCCAATGACTCTGACTGAATAGTCTTTTGACAGATATGATAGCAAGCTCACGACATCCTCCGCAGAGGCGGAAATGTTCCAGGTTATCGGTGTTGTAGCTACTCGAGGCTTCTAGGATATCCGTCCAACTTGGAAGCTCTAACGTACGCCGTATTCGAGAAGATGGTATGCTGGCCCTCGCGATTCTCGACACCCGGGCCTTGGACCGACCGAACGCCCGACCTACCTGTGCCCATGCAAACTAGCTCGTCTGCTCTTGGGTAATCGATGCTATAGGCTCGCGCTGAAACTCCATTCCCGGAATGGGTCCTGCTGGACAGCTTCTTGGACCTCCTTGAATGCATTGTACCCGTAGAGCCATTTCTGGACGTCGGGGCACGACCATCTGCTGGGGTACGGGGCCTGGAGCTCTGAGCCCAGTTGCGAGAGGAATAATTCATCCCGACTCACTTGCTCCGGTCCATCTTGCATGTGGAACGCTTTCCTCTGAGAGGTGTGTCAGAAACTGTACATAGAACCGCACAACTGGGCCCTGACGTACCTGCGCAAAAGTCTCGCGTACGATGGCTTCACCTCTTGTCTTGCGCAGACGCTCATACATGTGGAGAGCCTGCGGTATGTGTTCCTTCTTCTGAATATACCCAAGCAGCAGCCCGAGTACTGCGCCGTCTTCTATGGCAGAGTTTGCTCCTTGAGCGAGATAGGGCAGCATGGGGTGACAGGCGTCCCCACTGGATTTGCACGTACGTTAGAATGGGGATGGGATATTGTTACGGATGCAATGACTTACATGAATACGAAGTTGGACTTGTCATTGACCCAGCGTGGCAGCTCATCTCCTGATTGGAGTCAGTGTCCTCACATCTTCGGAACCACAATGTGAAGGAAATTCCAGCTAGCAGGACTAAGCAAGAGATCTCTCGCGAGATGTAGCACAAGAAAACGAGCTGCGCGAGTGAACAGAGGGGAGCCATAAACCAGGGGAGACTCACGATGCATCAACTTCCACTTGTCGACAGAGTCCACGAGGTCAAGATATTGCCTCAGCACTGGATCCCAGTCGGCGAAAAGCGCACGCATTTCTTCCACGGATCCTGGCTGCTTGCTGACGCCTTCCGGGAGATCATCTGGCACCAAGAGTACAATGTTGTACATGCTACCACCACGTAGTGAGTAACCGACGGCGTGTCCGCCAGGTCCAATCCAAAAATGCACGGCGGGACTGGCGACTCGCTCCCGCAGTTCTCCTTCGGGGATCTGATCCAGGTCGAGAACGATGCGGTAAGCCAGGTCGCCCGTAGGCTTCGGGGGATCCTTGCGGCCAAAGAAGCAGTCTCGACACCGAGACCAAAGACCGTCGGCTGCGATTATGAGGTCTCCTGTAGCACTCGCACCAGAGGACAGGTGGACGGTAGCGCTCTCGAAATCCACATCCTCCACCTTCTGGCCCATGCGAAAGGTGACGCCCAGCTCCCTTGCTCGTGCAGCAAGCGCCAACTGCACATCGACGCGGTGGAAATCGACAAAGGGCGCGCCATAGCGCGTGCGCATCTTTTGATCAAAGTCGGCGTCGTGGGCGAGGACCTTGCCGTCGCTGTACCGGTGCACAGTAAGGCAAGATGGTTCGGCGCCGGATTCCCAGAGCTGACCGTGTAGATCCCACGCTTGCAGTAGGCGGGACGAGTTAGGCGTCACCTGTAACCCAGCGCCAATTTCCAGAAGCTCTTTGGCCGACTCAACGATGGTCACACGGTGGCCAGATAATGCGCATGATATTGAAGCCGCGAGTCCGCTAAGACCGGCCCCGACGACGATGATGTCGAGGCAGATTGGGGATGCTTGTTGCGTTTGCGCCTGCGCAGAATTAGTCTAACGGGGTCCGTCCACCGCAGGGAATCCTACCATGTCTGTATTTTCGCAGCTCGCCCTTGCGAATGCTAGATAAGGGTATAAGGTTGGAGAGCGGATTCACGCGAAGTACGCTCGCAGCCTAGGATTAATGCGACGTCGAGACCAGAGCGCCCCAGGCTAGACCCTACATAATGCCACGTTCAGACGGCTCGATGTCTCGCCGGAGTCGAGACTTTTCCGTAGAGCAGGTAATGTACAGGCTAGGGTCGAATGACATCTGGTTATTACGACGAGATGCTCGGAATATCCGAGCAGGCCCAGAATCGACGGACATGCCGCATTTCAGCAGCTAGAATCCAAGCAGGGCATTAAATGCAAGGTCTTGGGGCAGTACGGACGAACAGTATATCCGGTCCTGTGGGTTCCTTGATGGCCACCAGCTTGCAGTAACACAACGGTAGACGCACCCCAATTCACAAAAACCTCTTGGAGATGTCTGAGGGCACCTACAGACTCGTCACCGTGAACACTGCCCCGGAGCGGGCGCAGCGACTCATCGGCATTGTCGCAGAGGCCGTGAAAGACCGCTACGCGATCGAGCATGTCGCCAACTGCGAAGGCGAGTGGTGTGCGTAGGCAATGGAACCCTGTGACACCGGCTGACACCTTTTCTAGCTATCGGCGAAGTTGAAGCGAAACTGAAGGAGGTCCAACCGGATCTGCTAGTAAGTCGCGTCGCCTGACGTCGAGATGCTCCCCCAGGCTCGGGATGATTGCTGATGAGGCCAGTTCTGCGCATCCATGTGGACGGCCGAAGAGAGCGAGGGTATCCAACAGATCGGCCGCGACTCAGTGCCGGGGATTAAGACATACGCCATTCCTCACGGTTTGCAGGTCAATGGGGGGCCGGATGCGGTCGTCGAGCACCTGAAGAAGCAAATTCCGCTGCTGTTGGACTGAAGGCATTCTCCGACGGTTGTGCATCTACTGCTGGATAGAATACATCATCGTTGTGCCTTTGAATGGGAAGCTCGACCTGTCAGTTGCTTTCTTTTTCCTCACAACCTGCGGAAGGCACCTGTGCTGTAACCCTGAAACACGATATAGAAAGAGCATACCTAGGTACATGCATCCATCTGGTGATGACATGGAATCTCTAATGCACTCTGCAGGAACTGAAACAACAATCGGTCGTTTGCCCCAGAATGCCTCGTCGTAAGCTCGGAAGACCCGAATGCTCGGATGTTCTGTGAAGACTGACTCCGCTCTGGCTTCATGGTTCCATAGCCTCCGATGTGTGGCGCATTTGTCCCGACCTGGACTCATCGATAGGGTAGGGTAGTGAGCAATGACGACGCTCGATTGCAGACAAGACAGCCTGGCAACGAGCATCCTCTCTGATGTAGGGAAGATGAGGTGGAGAGCCCGAATTGAGTCCCTCGCAGTTGTGTTCAAATTCATACCTTCGCGATGGATCCCCAGACACGCTCTGACGATGGCTTCCGCCATCATCTGCCCGACCTGGGCACGCCACGATTCACAACAATGCAGAAGCAAGACGCCCGTGAGTACGTCAAGGCTTTTCTTGAAGGCGGAAGACCGCCGTGGATTCACAGCTTGTGCCTCCGGTGGAAGGAATTGCTGGAGGAACCCTTCAAGGGCATTACCAACGACGGTGCGTTCCTGGACTATCTACCTCCACCTCGACTGCGCTTCTTGGCTCGGCAAGACGACATGAGTTGATTCTGACCCAATGCCTAGGTGTGGTACGGCCGGGTCTCTTTCACCTGCAGGACGAGCACGTACCGATGGATAGCATCGTTTCGGCTGCTGATGCAGTCCTTGACGCTGCAGCTCAGCATAGTCCGCCCCTGACAGACAAGCTGAAGTATCACATCGACTCTCACGAGTGGCGGACCTGGTCGAACCCCGAATTTCTCCTGAGCGACAAGGGTGCTCGTCTGGACGATGTGTCGCAGACCTTGAGGAGTAGGATTCTTGCTCTACTACAATCGACGCTCTCCGCTGAAGGTTATCATAAGGCTATGGCTGCTATGCGCATCAATCACTTCCTCGGCGAGCTCGTCAAGTCGCCTGCCGTTCTTAACCAAGACTCCTACAATTTTGCCTTCTTCGGGAAACCGTCGACGACGGGCCCTTGGGGTTTTACTTTCTACGGTCACCATCTATGCCTAAAAATCTTCCTCTATCGGTCCCAGATGCACATCTCGCCCTGGTTCACTGGAGCAGAGCCAAATATCATTGACCAGGGACCTCACAAGGGCACGCGGATCCTACACGAGGAAGAGCGACTTGGCCTCCAGCTGATGCAAAGTCTATCGCCAGATGCGCAGGGCAAAGCACAAATCTACACTCAGCTCCAGGATCCGGCCATGCCCAAGGGTCGCTGGAATCATGATGACCAGCGACACCTTTGCGGAGCATACCGCGACAACCGCATCGTCCCGTACGAAGGTATTGTAGTCGCCGACATGGACGCAGCACAACAGAATCTGGTGTTCGGTATTCTCGAGCAGTATCTCCTATACCTTCCCCAGAGGTCGCGCGAGGTCCGTCTGAAAACAGTCAAGGAATGGCTGCATGAGACGTATTTCTGCTGGATCGGCGGATTCGCGGAAGAGGATCCCTTTTACTACCGGATCCAGAGCCCGGTCATCATCGTCGAGTTCGACCACCACTCGGGCGTTTTTCTGAGCAACAGCGAGCCGAGGAAGTTCCACATCCACACGCTATTGAGGACTCCTAACGGTGGGGATTATGGCATGGCTCTTAGACCACTTTTGCCGGGTGATGTGGAACAGGAATTTGTCTGGGAAGGGCAAAGAGACTAACAACAATGCCACAATTTGGATATACGTATTATCTGAAACAAACGAACCTGTCAGAGAGGTCATGCATGCTGCTGTCGCACCTTGCGCCAGTTAAAGAAGTCCGCTGTGTACACAGATCTTGTACCGGGGGATGGGGTGCGAGAGAACGTAGTACCATTTCGATCGGTCGAGATGATTTGTTATGATTTCCCTAATTCAATAAAGCTCTGTGAGATTCAGTCAACTATCACCCCACACGATCCCCAACATTGAACTTTGGCAACCAGATATCCACAACAGCTGCCCTTCCCGATCTCACGACCTCGAGTCCCTTGACGATAGCTGCCTCCACCTCACTGGCTTCCTTGACGACAGTTCCCCAACCAGCACCCGCCCCCATCGCCACCTGCGCATGGTCATTGCTGGGGTCAAAAGTAACGTGCAGCTCATCCGAATTGTTTACCCGACTGGCATGGCCCGCCTTGTGAACCGCCAGCGCGCTCAGCATCGGGCTCTTCCAACCGCGATTGTTCAGCACCACAGTCAGGAAGGGGGCCTGATACCGTCGCGCCATCCAGTGCACCGTCGACGGGATGCTGAACATGAAGCTCCCGTCGCCCGTCACGGCCACGACCATGCGGCCCGGGTGGGCCATGGCTGCGCCGACCGCCGCGCCGCCGTGCCAACCCAGCGCCGTGGCTCCGGACGTGAAGTAGCTGCCCGGCTCGGAGCGCATAAGCGTGTCGCACACAGGCCTATAGTTGGAGATCGCCTCGCTGAGGAGGATGGCGTCTGATGGCAAGTGGGCGCGCAAGCGCGACAGTGCAAAGTGAGGTGTGATACCCTGGCTGGGCTGGGCCTCCATGGAGTAGATCTTGTCGATGTAGGCGTCATGAATGGCTTTGGTAGCAGAGGTGCGTGCGGTCACGGCCGCAGCGACGGTATCGCTCTGCCATGCCGCTGTGGCACCCGAGATGGTCTCGTTCACCTGCTCGAGCGCCGTTCGCATGTCCGCCTGGATCGAGAGTTCCACGTCAAGGTGGAAGAGGGTCATATTCACCTTGAGCGGGTCACAGTCGATATGAAAGACCGTGGCAGTCGGCGACGGCCTGAACACTGACTTGATCCATGGCACGTCGCAATCAAGCACAAGCACGACGTCGGCATTGTTCAAAACGTCGTTTGGGAGCCCTTCGCTCCAGTGGTTGCCGACATACAACGGATGATTGTGCGGAAAGTTCATGTAGGCGGGCAGAGCTTCCTGTTAGACCGCAACAGCATCTGTGTTAGCGATCGGAATTACATACTACTGCAGTACTCGCTGGAACAGCGACCTGGTGAGAAGGGCGGCTTACCAGCACAGCAATTCCAGCCGTCTCGCAAAGTTTGATCAGCTCCGGCACAGCCTTGGTGTCTCGACCAAGGTAGGTCGTTACCACGACCGGCGACCTGGCCTGCAGCAAACTCGCTACAATCTGTTTCACTGAGCTGGGTGCCAAACCTCGAGGTGCAAGTGGCTTCCACTTTTTGGCGTCCACCGTGTACGGCTCAATCTGTTGTTCCAAGGCCTCTCGGGAAGCTATGAGATAGGATGGCCCTTGGGGATCGCTCTTGGAGAACTGTGCAGCGCGGAGCACGAGCTGCTTCACATTCTTGCCGGTACGGATCTCATTATTGTGCACGGTGTAACCACGGACGATTCCCCGTTGATCAGCGGTGTCTTGCAAATAATGAATAAACTCCTGTAAGGTCTCTCAGTTCTGGGGTCACACCAAAGCGAGCAAAAAAGACCGTACGTTACGGGACCCAGTCAGCTCCCCTTCCTCTGTGACTGGGCTAGTACCCGCAATCATCACAACAGGGATGCGGGCTCGTGAGACGTTGTGGATGGCGCCAGCCATGGCCAGCGTGCCGGCATCGACGTGGACCAGGACAGCCTGCATGCGACCGGTGGTCTGGAAGTAGCCCTGCGCAGCGCTGAGTCCTACGAACTCGTTGGGTGCGGTGATGAACCGTAGACCGCCATTCTTGCCGTCCGCCTGGCGTTTGCTCATGGCTTCGATAATGGCTGGGTGATCACTCCCGAGGTTGACGTAGAGCTCGGTGACTCCGGCGGCCTCGAGAGCCTCCAGCATGGCTGTTGCGGTCGTGTAGTTGCTCATCGTTGCAGAGTTCGTGGTCGTCGTGTAAATCGCATCGCTGGAAACGAGATGTGCAGCGCAACATGGTGGCCTCAAAAGCGTCCGCTCGCTCTAAGTTCGGGAGACGACCATGTGCGAACCTCACCGACGCGGCCATGAAATCCTTTCCTAGCGCGGAGCCGACACTCAGTGGTAGCGAGATCATTCTTCCGTCTGTTCCTGCAACCACGTGTGGATGCTGTCGTGAGTTTGACAAGTAAGAAGTTGTGAAAGGTCGGAATTCCCGAGACGATTTGATTGTCAAGCATCCGTGCGTGAACACCACATCCGACGGATGACAATGCTAGCCTTAATCCCAATTCTGCAAGGTGTACAGCCAATAGCAGATGTTACTAGACGACCATAACGAGTCTCACTATCCGTCGAACGTGGTCGGTCACTGCGTAAGCACACAATCAAGCACGGATATTCATGCGGCATGTTGCAGCCGGAAGCCTTGCGACAGGGAAATGCCAAGGGTAGAGGATTTCAATGTCGTAAAGACCATCTACCATCGATCAGATTGGATAATGTTGCCCAGGGGCCTTGATCGTGACGACACGATCCTCCGTAAACTCGTTCACACATGCCATTCCTCCGAAACGTCCAAACCCGGAAGCTTTCTGGCCGCCGAGTGGCAGGTGAGGCTCATCTAATGATGAGGAAATCTGGCGTTAGTCGCCGCGGTCTTAGACTTTTGTGAGAATGGAGTCGGTGCCTTACCGTATACAGTCGCGCCGTTAATATGACACGATCCACTGCGAATCTTCCGCCCGACAGCCAGAGCTTCCGCGACGTCTTTGCTGAACACCGAGCACACGAGCCCATATTCCGTGTCGTTGGCAAGGCGTATCGCCTCCTCGTTGGTCGCAAATTCGAAGATCGCGACAACAGGACCGAAGGACTCTTGGTAGTAGAGATCCATGTCCTCTCTGACTCCTTCGAGGACCACCGGCTGGGCGATTGCGCCATTGAAAGATGCCGTCCCTGCTCTGATGTTCGCGCCCTTGGAGATCGCATCCGTGACTAGCTTTTCGACGCGGCCTCCAGCGACCGGACTGATGAGTGAGCCGAGGGCAGCAGTATCGTCAAGCGCAGGGTCCTCAGCGCGCATTGAGTTGATCTTGCATACATTTTGTAAGCGAACGACTTCTTGACGGCAGGGCCGATACACACCTTTGCTGCGAATAGTTCGGCAAACTTGGACGAGATGGATTTGTGTACGATGATCCGTTCAGTCGACCTGTCCAATAGCTCCGATCAGTCCTCTTTCTCTCCCATTCAGGGCAATCCTGATCGGAAATGCGGCAGAGACTAACATGCAAATCTGTCCCTGATGCTGCATAGCCCCGAAGGCGGCCGCCTTAACAGCCTCTTCGAGGTCAGCGTCCTGCAGCAATACCATTGGTGCTTTGCCTCCCAGCTGTGGTGGATGTCAGTATCTTTTTCCGTCGTGTTCCCGGCAGCAAGAAAGCTCACCTCAAGCATTACAGGCTTCAGATATTTCGCACACAAAGTTGCAATGATTCGCCCAACCCCTGTAGATCCAGTAAAGTTGACTCGCTGAACAGCAGGGTGACTGACCATAGCCTGCGTCACCTCAGCTGCGGACTCTCTCGGGCAACAGATGAAGTTGAGGACACCTCTAGAGAGGCCAGCCATCCGGAAGCAATCTACGATGAGGTATTGCGTGTATGGACTTGATTCCGAGGCTTTGAGAACGACCGAGTTGCCGCAGATGAGTGGCACAACGAATGCACGGGTACCCAGGATCTGAGAGGCGAAGACGTGGGAGTCAGTAAGGCAGAGGCGTGGAAGTCAGCAAGGCAAAGGTGCCATCACATCTTCACGGGACTGGTACTGACGATTGGCGCATTCCAGGGCGCGATACCAAGTACGACTCCGCAAGGCTCTTTGAAATTCATGGCCAGAGTGCCTGGTACATATGGTCAGAGACTTAGTGTGTTATAGAGAGGGGGAGAGAGGACTTCTGCATGTTCATAGCAGTCTACGTACCTTTGCCATTGCTCTGCAAAATCTCGCCCTTAATCTGTGTCGCCATGCCGGCGGCCTCGTGAACCATCTCGATGGCGGTCTTGATGTTGAACGCCGCCCAGCTGGCCTTTGCGCCCGTCTCCTTCATCATGCTCCCGGAGAGCTCTTCGCGGCGAGCCTGCATGATCTCGGCAGCCTTCAGCATGATGGTGCGCCTCTCCAGTGGCGTCGAGTCGCGCCATGACTCGAACGCTCTCTCTGCCGCCTCGACAGCCAGCGTCGCATCTTCGCGGAGACCTGCAGGAGCAAGATGGACTGTCTTCTGCGTGATGGGGTCCGGGACTGGAAACGTATTTGAAGGGTGAACGTCCTCTCCATCGATCAGCAGGCCGAAGCTGGCCCGAGAGTTGCCGTACTCGGTTGTCGCCGACATTTGATTGCAAGAATTAGTCATGTCTTTGGTGATACTATCCCTTCCAAGTGTGTGACCAGCTGTGCTTCTGGCATGCTAAATGGCTTATCAAGTACACCTGTCGCCCTTGGAATTGGCGGTCTCGAATGACTCGAGATCATCCCCGCCGCCACCAAGGGTTCCGAAGCCCAATTCACCCAATTCTCCACGTGGACCGGATATTCCGAGCGAGCCAGGCGCTATACCAGAGACACACACGCATGCGTTCGGACAACCCGGAGAGCTGGAGTTTGGATACACGTACCCCACACCCCGGATGTAAGGACGCTTCCAACAGGGAAGCCATGCGGTACACGTAAATACACGTGGATGCCGATGTGCATTTGCTTCTATCGCTTCTCCATTTCCCGCATTGAACACACGATGAAACCGACGATGCACCATCCTGACCATGTCGAGTCCAGCGACCCTGACACTCCGGACACCGCCGACCAGTCGCAGCACACGAGCTCGAACTGCGAGATCTTGATCCCACAACCGTCGCATGATCCCAATGATCCACTGGTATATTGCCCCTGAAACCGCAAGTCGAGCCAACGCAACTGACCAAACGCAGAACTGGTCGAGCTTGGAGAAGTATTCGACGTATCTCACGGTGTGCTTCTTCGTCGTGTTGGCGACGTTCAATGCGTCTAACTTCACCGTGGCGATCCTGCCTTTGTCCGAGGAATTCAATACATCCACCACGCGAGCGGGATACTTGGTCTGCTTCAATGTGTTGTGGCTCGGGGTGGGCAACCTGTTCTGGGTCCCCCTGATGCGGGTGATTGGAAAGCGTCCGGTGTATCTCGCCGCTCTGCTGCTTCTGATGGGCAGCAATGTCTGGTCCTTCGAGGCGCACAGCTATGGTAGCCTTCTCGCCTCCAGGATCATCTCAGGCTTCGCAGCATCGGCATCGGACGCCACCGTACCGGCTCTTGTGGCGGACCTTTTCTTCGTCCACGAACGCGGCCACTGCATGATGATGTTTCACATGTCGCTCAGCTCGGGCTTCTTTGTTGGCCCACTCATCTGCGCCTGGGTAGCGCAAGAGGCCGGCTGGCGCTGGACGTGCGGTCTACTGGCGATTGCTTCCGGCGGGACTTTCGCAGCGGGTGTCTTTACGATCCACGAAACAAGCTATACTCGCGAAAAGGTGGACGTCGGGTTGCCGCGAGACGCTTATGCACCAAAGAGAAGCTTCGTCCAAGAGCTGAGCATACTGCGCGGCTACAACGCGGAACAATCGTTCTTCGGGACTCTTGTACGCATTATCTCCATGGTCGCCTACCCACCTATTCTCTGGACAGGCCTGACTGTTGGTACTTTCGTTGGGTGGTGAGTTCTGTCTGCATCAATCGTGCTCGCAGTCTGTATTGACGTTGAGGTGTAGGAACATCGTTGTGCAACTGACCAGCTCTCAAACGTTTACGCAGCCACCGTACAACTGGCAGGTCGGCTTGTTGGGCTGCCTCTCTCTTGCTGGTTTCATTGGTGCTTTGTTCGCCTTCTTCATTGGCGGGAAGCTCATTGATATCATTGCCAGCCGGATGACCAAAGCCAACGGCGGGCTGCGGCAGCCAGAGTTTCGACTCCCAGCCATCGTTGTTCCTGCGGTCATCGGACCCATGGGGATCCTGATCTTCGGCCTCTGCGTCGCTCATCAAACCACCTGGGTGGGTCCAGCTTTTGGGTATGCCATGCAGGGGTTTGGCCTCACCGCGGTCTCCAATGTGGTAGTCACCTATGCCGTCGATGGTTACCAGCCAGTAAGTTCCCTAATCCAATAACAAGGTACCGCCGTGTGCGAGTCCGACTGAATTGGATGTTAGCTTGCTGGTGAGGCGTTGGTTGTCGTGTTTGTGATCCGCAACTCTCTCGGTACCATTCTCGCGCTGTACACTATCACCTGGCAAATGGCTACCGGACAACAGAATGTGAGTTTTAGTTCAGATGACCTTTGACAGGCAAGGCTCTTCACTAATCATGCACCAGGCGTTCGGGGAGATGGTTGGCATCCAGTACTTCATCATCTTGCTAGTCATTCCCATGTACTTCTATGGCAAGCGGATCCGCGCCTGGACGGCAACCTTCGGGCCAGCCAAGAATACAAGAGTCCCCAAAGCTGTCGAGGGCAACCGGTCTCTGGGCGAGGTGACCGAGAAGTCCAGTGAGAAGTGAGCAGCGGTACTTCCTTTTGGAGGAAGGTTCTGTAGTAATGGTACCACGCTTGTTTAATTCCCACTCTGCCTGTCTGACGGTCAAGTACATACCTCAACGTGTGATGTTCTGTCGTTCGGAAAGCGGCCCTGGGGCTGTGATTACACATACCTGTAGACCGTAACTCGTTCTCGATAGCATGCTTCGCAGCTTTCCGCATCTTGGTCTGGCGCAAGATGAGAGGCCAGAGGGAAAGAGACCACGGGCCTTACTCAACAAGACTATAGAATTCAACTGCCAATGTCGTTGAAGCCCTGGAAGAGACTCGCCATATCGCCAAACGAGAAGTCTAGGATCTGGTTAAAGTTTTCCTGCTAGGATCACCTCGGAGTTAGAACGCATGGTCATATGCAATGGTGTTCGAAGAGCAAACGCACATCTGAGAGCACGTCACCTGTCATGTATCCGTACTCGCCGCCATTCGGCACCGTCACCCCTGCTGTCGCCGGCAGCATCCCACCAGCATCCAAATCAGCCACCTCTGTCAAATGTTTCTTCAGGATCTCGGCGCACTTCCTCGCCACGGCAGACTCCTCCATGGCGTCTAGAATCTCCATTGCCATCTCCACCCACTGTTTCAACATTGTGGCAGAGCTCGTGCGCCCGCGGGTGATATAAGAAAGGAGGGCCGCGGCCGCCATCATAATGTAAGTCGAGTTGTACCACCTGCAAGAGCATAAGCTGGATTCGGTGTGGTCAGCAGTGAGCGAAGGCCAGCAGACGAACCATGTCCTGAAGTATGCGTGGATTTTGTATGCTTCATACGTAACCTCGATGATCCGCTTGGCGGAAAGGATACATCTGTCAGCGCAGTGCACAAGTGCATCCCCGTTTCGTGACCCGCCTCTGCCCATATTCTGGATATGCATGTCCATGTAGTAACGGAACATGGCCATTTTCACCATATGATAACCTAGAAGTTGTTGATTAGTGCCCGATACCTCCATTGGGGATTGAGTGGTTGAACTTGCGAATTTCCAATACGAGCCTCTGCCGCCGACACCATTCTGGTTCTCGCAGAGCACTGAGTGGTCGAGACACGCCCGCTCCGGGCCTGATCTGTTCTGGTAGCTCTCGCAGCCACGCATCCAGGTCTCCGTCGAGCTGGTCGACATAGGCGAGATCTTCGGGATGACCGGGAGGCTTGGCATTGTACAGGAGGGAAACGCTACGTATTGTCTGGGATAGAGCCACCATTGGCGCAATGATGGCAAATTCGCCTTCTTGGTTGCGGGGCATTGGTCGGTTGTGGTATTCATCTCGTCCCAGCCCATCTGCGCGGCCTACAGAGAAACTTGTTTCGATCTCGAGAGAGAACAAGCCCCTGCGTTCAACGTGAGCTTGGTAGCGATGGATTTACAAGACACACGCACCACCATGTTCTCGACAGAGTCTCGGATCGATATGTATCCGGGGCATGCGTGTCTCTGTTGAAGCCAGCGGATATCGACGTTCGAACGGCCTGACCAAGGTACATCCATGCCACTTGGGTTACCTACTGTCAGTGCTATCGCCCCAAGGTCTGGCTTTAATATACCACGTACAATGTGGATTGAGTTCGTTCTGGCAGATCTTCGCCTAAAGCGACCCCGCCAACCAATACGTTAGATGTGGTGCCCTGCTGTGCAGGACTTCTCCTGGTCTCAAGGTTGCCCAGTGCCCACTCACCATCAGATACAAGGAATGGACCGTGTCCAAGTCATTGGAGAATTGAAGCTGATTGAGGCACGATAGAGCCTCGCCGAAGAGTCGCCTGCTCCACTGGAACCGCGTATGGCCATCAAGCACCTCATCCTGCCAGGTCATCATCAGGGCGCCGAGTGACATGAGGCTGAAATAAAGCGCAAGGAAGCTGGTAGTTGTAGAAGCAGAGCCCTCAAACCATATATCGTTTGCCCGGGACATGAAGCTGTCCTTGTCGATGATGGGATGGATGTAGTGGAGCCCGGAGAAGTATGTATCGATGAACAGGTGTGCCTGGGCAAAATAGAACCTGCCCTCACGCCATGAGCTCCTCTGGTCCGCGACCGCCTCGTTGGGCGTCGAGAACAGCTTCCGCGAAAATGCAGAGTTATGCAAGGCGGACACGAGCGAGGGGTTCTGTTGCGGTGTCGCCTTGTCGGAGGGCGTACGACGAGGAAACTTGCGCAAGTCATCAAGGAAAGCCATGGATGACGTGCTGCCGTGAAATTCTATGCCGTTGGTGTGCTGGTTCACGTCTGTTATCTCGCCTTCACGTTGGCTTTCTACACTGTCAGCTGTGTCTTCCAAAGCAGCATTGCGGCCTCGTGTCTGGTGCTCGTTGTTCGGTCGCCCGACACGCTGGGAGAGGAAGCCTGTCTGCGAGGGTTCTCCTGGTCCTATAGGACTTTCAGGAAAGGCCTGGTTCGAGGCGGTTGTCGATTGATCCTTTGTATAATGACGCAGGTTCGCTGCCAACTGGCCAACCCGGGCCTCAAGTGAGCGTACATAGCTAAGAAGCAGTGATCAGGCTTATTGCAGAAGATCAGGGTAAGAAGGATGGCATGTGACGGACTTGACATCGGGCTCTTGGTTACGAGGCCGCGAACGGCCATAGGTGCAGTCGATTCCAGCTCCTGTGAGATGGCGGGGGTCAGGCGTATGTCGGGTTGAGGATGAACAGGACACGAACTTGTGCAATGCGAACATGCTGGATAGTGCTCATCGCACTTGTACTTCTTCGCGCGGCATCTCTCGCAAGCCTGGATGGCGCGGGCCATTCTGCGCTTCTTGCTGGAGCTGGACGCATCTTGTTGTGGGACGACATGGCCCTCCATGTTGGGGGACGAGCGCAATGCGTCCAGTGCAGAAGACGATTCAATGGAGCGAAGAGAGGCCCCAAGCCATACACGCACCGGGGAATGGTGTAATTCGCCTTCGATGCGAAGCAGCGAAAGAAGGCGGATGATGCACCTGACTCTGTACCAGCTCGACGACGAAGTGTCATGCGCAAAGCGTTTTGAAGTCACGTGCACGAAGCTTAGCTCGGGCGGAATTTCCACATGGTATGTTTTCCCGACTTCACTTCATCTCCTTTCAGTTTGGGTGTCTGTCTCATGAGCATTGTGACAGCCATACAAGACTTGCACAAGATACTAGCTACCACGGACAGTAAGTACGCCGGTCAGTATTTTCTCGTGGCCGTCAGCTTTCTTCCGTTCTTCGCTTACCTCTCACTCCTACCTCATTGGTCAAAATTCGAAGCAAAACGAAACGCCGAAAGGCTACAACTAGCCCGTTGTGTTCCTGGCTTGTTCCCTCTCTACCTGCGTTGATGGAAGCATCAGTGAGGCTCTCAGCTTAGATACGGGATCACTACCAGACTGCCGCAAGTTCCCAAGACCCAGAAGTGATCCCTAGCCTCAGAAGTGGCCCTCCGGCATCCCCCAACGACCACGACTAGTTGGACCGCCGACGGGGATGTAGACGGCATCACGGTCGTAGACATCTCAGACGCACTAACGAGCCCCACCGATCTGGGAATATAAATGCAGCTGCTCTGCGGCCACCGAGTTTACTTCCTTTCTTCAGCTCTCTTTGCCTTTTGGCTTAGGTCAGTACCTACTACAACACCACCACAACCTCATGCACCTGCTGACACCTCCAAAAGATCAAGTGTAGTATCTGTTCTTTTCAGTTTAATCGTAAGCACAACCCTCGATCTCACCCGCCACACCGACATCTGCTAACACCTCTCACAGTCTGAAACGAGTCTACGGACTCATTCAAGATTATTCTTATTTTTGCAACCCGTCGCCGCACCTCTGGGCTTGCTCATGTGCAGCGGCACCGTGTCCTTGGTATCGCACTACTTCCTTGAGACGCGAACAATCTTTTCATCAGCTTGTGAGCCGCCAGGCTTGCATCTGAAGAAGAGACTTCTTTGAGACATACTCACCGACAACATCCAATGCACAGTGAACGTTGATCTTAGTCGTGAGAGTGCATTTGCTGCGGCAGGACACAGGCAGACTCAGGTGAAGAGCCTTTCCACACGCTGAAATGTATGTCATGAGGGGGTTCACTCTCAGTCAATCTCGCACACTCTTCTGCGCTACATGAGCTGGATATGTATTTCAATACTACGAACAATCGCTACGCCATCCGCACAATTTCTTGACATCCGGCGACCTTCTGCGCAGCGCGGCCTTGCCACAACACATCCAGCCAGGAATTTCAACCACCACACGGCAGAGCTCCAGATAGCTCAATGCAGCTAGCAGGATCTCGCACTGCCAGGAACCAAAAGCAACCACCTGCACGATGACGCCCGAGCCTTTGACCCGCGAAGATCGATCAACGTGGGCTGGATGAAGAGAGCTGTCGAAAGTATAAACACCATGGAGCTCACTTCACTGCCACAAGCACAAAGAGCACGTCGCTGCTTATTCAGCTTCGTCCTCTCGACATCAGTGCGTCCTCTGTTCCCCAATACCTAGAGAATGGCGCTGACAATATCGTACAGTGCCGCCCATCCTCCATATAAGTGAGTTGCTAATGCACAACCACACATCCAACCGCTGACATCCAGCAGTGCGACATGGCCAAGGCTACCACGGCCTCTCAGAAAACGGCCATAACATCCGCGACCCTTCCCTGACCCCAAAAGGCGAAGACCAATGTCGCGAGCGCAGCGAAGCCTTCACCCGCCATGATAACGTCCGTTCCCACTACCCCCCACCCCAACAATTGCTAAAAGCACGACCAGATCGACCTCCTCCTCGCCTCCCCCCTCCGCCGCGCCCTGCAAACCTGCACCCTCACCTTCGCACCCGCCCTCTCACGCGGCCACCACATCATCGCTCTCCCCTACGCCGAAGAAGCCAGCGACGCGCCCTGCGACACGGGTTCCGAGCCCGCCCTCCTGCGCTCCGAGTTCCCGAATATCTCCTTCGACCACGTCGGCGCGGGCTGGTGGGTGCATGAAGGCGAGTACGCTTTCGAACCAGCCGCTTTGATTGCGAGAGCAGCGAAGCTACGCCGTTGGATTAAGGCACGGCCGGAGAAAGAGGTCGTGCTGGTCGCGCATGGGTTTTTCAACCATTACCTAACCGGGGACGTGGATGAAAAGGGAGAGCAGAGCACGCCGTGGTGGGACGAGGCGGAGCTGCGGACGTATACTTTTGAGGAGGAGGGGGCGGCGTTTGATGGCGGCGGGGCAGAGGTGGATGGGCAGGATGGAGCGGCGATCAGGGAGACGGAGGAGAGTTTGAAGAGGTTGGGTAGTAAGAAGGGAGCAGGGGAGGTGAGGAATGTGAATCGGCCCGGGGAGAGGAGGAATAGTCTGTCGAATTATGGGCAGGATGGACCGTTGGTGTTGAACTAGAGGTAGGGGTTGTACGTTGAGACGATGGGAAAGGGCTTGTGGGTGGGATAGAAATGCTTGCTACTAAGGACTGTGGAACAAGAGGAGAGACATGAGCAGGTATCACGCATAATCATGTTCCACCGACTGCCTGCAAAGCAAAGCCAGACCTCATCAGTCTATCCACTGCCGTCAACTCCACCGCCAAGCTCGATCGTGGAACCACCTCCACCTCACCATCCCTCGTCAAGACCTCCCCCCCAAGCACATCCACCAGCAACACCAAACCCCGGCTACCTCACGTCCGATACCCCCCCAAAACCGAACCGCGTCCAGCTCGTTCGCACCGCACAACCTATCGACCTGTCTACATGTCCCGGACTTGAAAGACCAGAAGTCTCGAGCCAGGACGACGACGGGCTGTGCAAGCTGTTCCGCCTCTTCTCCGAGGTCGACGTCGTGAGTAACCTAGATCAGAGAGTGTGTTGGCGGCTTCGAAGTTGCTTGCTTCGAGAAGGCGGCGGAGCGTTACACGATGAGACACCGGGCGTGAGGAGTTCTCGAGGTGGGAGAGAGAGAGGTCATGGAAATGCAAGCAGTGATACAACCACCACCTCCATCCTCCTGAAACGGAGAACTTGGACTAGCTGCGCCAGCCAACGCGTTCGATTCTTGATTTACGTCATTGCACAACCTCGACCCATCCCCTCTCAGCGTCCCTCCGCCTCTTCTCCAAAACACAAATTCGTCGTCGTGGTCACAGCAGCGGGCTCACTACCACGCCAATCCGAGCACCAGCTAGCGTGCCCTCAGTTCCAGCCAATAGCGGCGCAGCAATCCACTGCCACATCACTCTCTACCCCATCCCCCTTCCACTTCCCACTCTTCCCAGCAGTCTACTCAATCAAACGTGATTTTGGTAGCCTTCTTCATCTCCCCCTCGGCACCCAGATCCTTGTAAAACGCCCCATACGCCTCATGCGCCTTCTTCTTCACCGTCGTGCCGAACTTCATCAGCTCCTCGGGCACGGGCTGGTTGGCCGCTTTGAGGACGTTGATCAGCGCGCCGGAAAGCGCCTTTTCGTTCGTGGTGAAGAGGGTGATTGCTTTGCCGGATTGGCCGGCGCGGCCGGTTCTGTGCCACAAAGTTAGTATGGGTGAAGGGGAAGGGGAGGAGGGAGGAGCGTACCGGCCAATGCGGTGCACGTAGTCTTCTACCGTCAACGGGAACGTAACGTTAATCACCACTTTGACGGCGGGGATGTCGAGGCCGCGCGCCGCGACGTCGGTGGCGACGAGACAGGGGACTTTGCCGCGCTTGAAAGCATCTAAGCTCTCTGTCCGCTTCTGCTGGTTCAAATCGCCGTGTATACCAGCAACGGGGAAGCCTCTTCTGCGAATAAACTCCTCGATGCGCGTGGCTTCTTTCTTGTACAGGCAGAAGACGAGGATGCGGTCGTTCTTGTTCTTGCCGGATTGGTACTGCTTCAGCAGCTCGATGAGACGGCCTTGCTTCTCCCAATCCTCGATGACTTCGACTTCCTGCGAGATGCGGGTATTGGCGCGCAGTTCGCCGGAGGCGTTGTCGCCGATGGTCACTTTGACCGGGGTGGTCATGAAGGTGCTCGCGAGGTTGCGGACGGACTGCGGCCAGGTGGCGGTGAACATGAGGGTTTGGCGACCCGTGGGGGAGGTCTGGGAGATGATTTTGCGCACGTCGTCTTCGAAGCCTTTGTCGAGCATGCGGTCGGCTTCGTCGAGGACGAGGTAGGTGGATTTGGAGAGGTCGATGGCGCCTTCTTGGATAAAGTCGTTGAGTCTGCCGGGTGTGGCGACCAGGATATTCGTGCCGCTGAGCATCTCCCTCTGGATGTCCTTTTGCACCCCACCGTAGACGCAAGTGACCTTCAAATTCGCCGGCTTCGCGAGCCCAGTCATCTGCTCATAGATCTGCATCGCCAGCTCGCGAGTTGGGCTGACGATACAGGCGCTGATGGCTTGTCGCTGCTTCTTGCTCAGACTCTCGATGTGCCGGATGCATGGCAAGCCAAAGGCCAGCGTCTTGCCTGATCCAGTCTCTGCAACTCCTATCACATCTCTGCCGGCAAGGAGGTAAGGCCAACATGCGGACTGAATGGGTGTGGGCGAGGAGAAGCTGGCGAAGGGGGCGCGGTCGGCTTCATCCTTGACGGGTAGGTACTTGAAGGTGGTGATCGGGCGGTAGGGCTGGTTCAGAGGGTCTTCGATACTCAGTGCTAGATCTGCGACGAACTTGTCGATTTCGGTCTGCGGTAAGGCGGAGAGTTCTGCGTGTTCCAGGTATGCACTTTGCGAGGGCTTGACTGAAGGTTGTGCCACTGCGCCGTTGGCATCCGGTGAAGTGGTTGTACCATTGGCATCTGCCTCGCCATCTGTTTTTGCTCTCCTCGCCTTCTTCTCCTTCTTCTCTGCCTTCAGCGCCCGCTTCAGCGCCTTCTTCTCTTCCTTGGTAGCCGGACTCGAGTAACCAGAGTCCTTGACCACATCACCACTCTGCTTCGCTGCCTCCTTCTTCGCGCGCCTGATCGCTTTGCGCTCCTCTTTAGACAACTCCTTTTCCACAGTCTCCTCCCCGTTCACTCCATCACCCAATGCAGGCACATCCTGCGAGGCCGCTGCATCATCGACATCTCTCACAGCCGCTTTCTTGTGTCTGTGCTTCGTTTCCTTTTCCTTTTTCGCCTTCTTGATGGCCCGTTCTGGAACGAGCTCTTCGCTTTCGTTTGTTCGTTTGGCCATTACTGGGAATATGTATAGGCAGAAGTACCTGCTGCGTGTGAAGGATGTGTCTGGACAGAGACTTTTTCTCGCTAACCCCGGACGCCGTCGAAAAGTGGATAAATCTTAGTGGACGGAGCTAGATCCAACGGCTTCACGCTAGCATCTCGTGCGTCAAGCCATCTTCAGCCATGTGCACTCGCCTCGCCTTCGCTTGGGCTTCGAGAACATCTTGACCCCTCCAACCCGTCCCGGCGCTGCAGAAGGCGGAAGCAGGTCGAGGGCGCATGCGTCTCCGCCGTCGAATTGCGGAATGGGCTGGTGCGGCCCTGCATGGAGGATAGATGAAGCGTCAGCGAGTACGAGCGCCACCACACCCGCAGTCACCCCAGGCCAACACCCTCCTGCGCGGGACCCGGTTCACGATTCCTGCTCGCTTCGCTTAGGCTCAATTTCCCACGCCGCCGATCCGTCTGGGGCTCCATCTTCCGCTTCTCCACAGACTGCCTCTGCTAGGTTGTAAGTCAGCACGAGGAGGATCTTGGGTTTTCTTCTCCTCTTCCTCGCCCACACGATGGATGCCGGTCTCGTCAGCGACACCCAGCCCAGCGACTCCGAGCTTTCAGAGATGCGTCCGCCGCTGAAGCGCGCGCGCTCGTCCTACGAGAAGAATGGCCAGGTCAAGAATGTTGACAGTGGGAGTGAAGAAGCCAACCTCCGAGCCTTGAGCGATCCATTGGACTACCCTCGTCGCCGCGCCACCATTGCCTGCGAGATCTGTAGGAGCAGGAAGTCGCGCTGCGATGGCGCCAGGCCCAAGTGTCGATTGTGCTCCGAGCTGAATGCGGACTGCGTATACCGGGAGCCCGGGATCAAGCTGGATGCTGGTGATAAGTTGATCTTGGAGCAGTTGTCGAGGATCGAAGTGTTACTGCAGTCGAACATGACTACACCGACGAGTGGTGGAGGATTACTGGCAGGCCCCATCTCTCCTGCTACAAGCAATACGGCCTCCACCGGCACGGAAGAGCATGGTGGTGGACTCAAGCGTTTGAGCACAACGAGCGCTGGACCTCAGAGCGCGCAGCCACTCCCTCTAAATGGGTTCGGGACGTGGTCGGCAAACATCTCAACCATGCCAAAGAGCCATACTACGCCAGCACTACATCTCCTACAATGGCCGGTCATTAAGGACCTCATCTCCCGACCTTGCGATCCGCAAGTCTTGATGCAACTAGAAATGTCAAGACCGCCTCTAGACTTCGGCATCCACTACTCCCTCGACCTCTCCAACGTCACACCCTACGTCCACGCCTTCTTCGACCACGTCAACGGCTGGTACGCCGTCGTCGACCCCAACGTCTGGCACACCCACTACCGCACCGCCATGTCCCAAGGCTTCCGCACCGGCCCGGAGAGCTGCATCTGCCTGCTCGTCCTCGCCCTCGGCCAAGCCGCGCACTACGGCCAGTCCATCTCCCGCGTCCCACAAGGCCAGCTCGCCCCGGGCATGTCCTACTTCGCCGCCGCCTGGACGCTCCTCCCCAACCTCATCACCCGCAACGACATCCTCTCCGCCCAATGCCACATCCTCGCCGCCGCCTACATGATGTACCTCGTCCGTCCGCTCGAGGCCTGGAACCTCCTCTACAACTCCTCCATGAAACTTCAACTCCTCCTCTCCTCCGCCGAAAACATTCCCGCCCCGCACAAAGAGCTCTCGGAGCGCGTCTACTGGAACGCCCTGATGATCGAATCCGACCTGCTCGCCGAGCTCGACCTCCCCCACTCCGGCGTCGTGCAATTCGAAGAATCCATGCGCCTGCCCCGCTCCTTCCCCTACGACCCGGCGTCCAGCAACGGCACCGACTCCCCACCCGGCAACGACGACCTCTGGTACTTCCTCGCCGAAATCGCGCTCCGCCGCCTCCTCAACCGCGTCTCCCACCTCATCTACTCCTACACCCACCGCGCCAGCAACTCCTTCTCCATCGCCGCCCTCGAACCCGTCGTCGCCGAGCTCGACTACCAGCTCAACCAATGGTACGAATCCCTGCCCCTCCCCGTCAAATTCCCGCGCGAGCGCGTCCCCGCCGCCACACAAATCCAAACCGTCCTGCGCCTCCGCTACTACGCGTGTCGCACCATCATCTTCCGCCCGTACATCCAAGCCGTGCTCGCCGACGAGAATGTCGCCTCCGAACCCGGCGTGCAGGAGGCCTGCAGCAAATGCCTCGACGCCTGTATTCGTCAGCTCGAGTATTTACCCGAACACCACCAAGGCCACCTCCCGTATCTCTGGCAAGGTGCTTTGTCGATTATGAGTCAAAGTCTGCTCGTGATGAGCGCGACGGTGAACCAGACGCTCGCGGCGCTGATGCCGGGGAAGCGGGAGATGGACGCGGTGATTGCGGAGGTGGTGGGGGAGTTGGAGAGACTGGCGCATTTGGCGCCGAGTATAAGGCTTTGTGCGGAGATGGTCAGGGAGGCGGAGGAGAGGCGGCATGGGATGATTGAGCGGAGGGGGATGGGGATGAGATGAACGATTTATGGTTTGAGGGGATTTGGTCTTGGATTTGTAGTGAAGATGTATTGGCTAGCAGTGCCGAGAGACTTGATGTTGCCCATGGTCATGGTGGATGAGGAAGCCTGCTCAGGCCTTGAGATGGCCGTGATGGTGGACCAGGGCCTCGCAACAGTCGAGCTCGGTGCAGCTACGCGGTCAAATGAGCTCACGAGGTGACGAAGAGAGTGCAGTACGATGGCTCAAGACAGCTGGCGCCGTGAGGTCTAAGGGTGCTTGTGATGAGAGGATCAGTTGACGGCAGAAATTGTGAGCATTGAGCTGGAAAGAGAGGAGTGGCTTCAAGTAGGCGGAAGCAGTGACGACGACATCGACAGGCGAAAGGCGACAGGCGCATTGAAAGAAGAAGCCAGGGTATCATTCCGCTTCCGGCTCCTATATAGCATCAATGATAATGTACAGTCAGTCCAGGAAACCGCATCTGTTCCGTGCTTCCCATTTCATGCCGCAAGCATAACCATTCCATCATCCATCGCATCGCATCCCAGCAAGCCATCACCACATCACCCCATCCCAGCCTCCTCTTAGTCGCTCAGGTCACGAACAACGAGTCCCCCTGAAGACTATACTGCTTAATAATGCCCGCCAACCGATTCGCCTCGCGCGAAAAGTCCAGCGCGTTGGCGTACTGCACCTGATACCGCACCCTGCCATCGCACGCACATTAGCCCTGCACCCCCCTCATCACATATCTGGGATATGAGTAGTACTCACCTCTGCTGATCCTGAAAAGTATCCATCTTCGCCTTACACCTGAAATTAAACGTCTTGCACATAGCCTCCTGAAACGCATCCGCCACCTTGCGATCGTCGCCCTCCTCCTTCACCGCCATCAAATCATTCGCGCTCATACCCATCATCTGCTGCCCCACCTCATCAAAACAGCTGAGCCAGATTTGTCCCGTGTGGTCGCTGACGTTCACGCTCATGATGTAGCGGTAATTCGGGCGGTCCCAGGTTTTGTCGCATTTCTCGCACCGCCATTGGTCTTCGGAGACGAGGATGACTTTCTTGTTGCACCCCTCGGTAAGACAGGCGGGGTAGGCGAAGTTGTCCTGCTTGATGTAGATGATGGTCGCTTTCGTCGAGAACCAGTCCGTTTCGTCCGACATGCCGATGCCGTCGTCCTTGATCTGCTGGATGGTCTTGGGCGCGTTCTTCTCGTTGCCGCCGGTGGCAGAGGCCATGGACATGGTGTTGGCGTGGGACTGGAAGTTGGCGTTGCGGCCGGCGCCGTCGTACCAGCCTTTGAGCGTGTAGGCATCTTCGATGTCCGGGTTGATGGACATGCTGCCGGAGGCGAGCAGGGAGAGGGAGCGCCCGCCGAAGTCGCCTACTTTGACGCCTTTGAAGGCCACGACGGATTCGGGTGGGGCTTCGAAGGTTTGGGCGGTCTTGCCCCAGACGGTGAGGCGGATGGTGAAGTTGGTGTTGTCGACGAGGGTGAGGTCGCGCTTTTGGTAGGGCTTGCTGGTAGTCTTGGACACGATCTCTTGGACCTCGCCGATGTCCTGGAGGACGCCGATGCAGTCGATCGTGCTGTCCTTTTCGATGTTTTGGAGGTCAGCAATGCTGGTGAAGTTGAACGTCACCTGCGGCACGCCCTCGGCATCTTCTGCCTTCTCAATCACTGTATCCTTCTCGAAGGTGAGTTCGTAGTCGTGGTTAACGTTCGAGAACTGCTTCTTCGCCATCTGCACGCGGCAGGGGTTGGAGACGTAGTAGACGCTGCCTTCTTGCAGAACTTCATACCACGCATCGACCGCCTCGTTGAATCCCGTCGCTCTGATCTCGCCAGTATCGTCCAGGAAGTTGCAGCTGAACAGTTTGCCTTCACTGCTCGCCTTGTGCCATGTCTTGATGTCGCTTTTGTGTGTGCATCGTGCCTTGATCGTCCAGCGGTGCGTGTATGGTGAGAGGGCTTCGATGGGATAGATCGTGGTGTTTGAGCCGCTGCCGCCGCCCGAACGAACCGTGAGCGAGCGCTGCTGCTGCTGCTGCTGCTGTGGTTGCTGGGGCTGTGCTGGTTGTGGCTTATTCCCGTAGAATCCGTTCCCTGCAATGTTGCCAGGCTGTTGCTGTTCCTGCTTGACACCATCCATCCCATCCTGCGGCTTCGACTCGATGGCCACTGGCTGCCCCAGCTTCTCCGGCATTCCATACTCATCCAAGATCTCCACCTCGAGGATGACGAGGATGTGCTTGTCCTTGACAAAGTTGGTCTGGAACTGCGACAGGCGGCAGATGTTGCCCTTCTGCAGCTTGTTTTCGTGGATGAGGTAGTTGAGCTCTGTTCCTCGGTCAGCTGCTTTCATTCGCATTCAATACCGTAGATCCACTCACGCTGCCCAAGCATGCCCTGCATGAAGTTGACACTATCGCTCATCACCACCCGCCACCGCTCCGTCCCATTGTTCTGGTTGTTCATCGGCTTCACCTGCACGCACTGCACCACCGGCTGCTCGACCTCCAGCTGGCCGAGGGTGGACTGCAGCAAGCAGCCCTTCGTGAGGACACTCATCGGATCGGCCATGTTGAAGGAGTCGTTGTTGAGAGTGTCTGGTGTAAGTGTTCCCGGAGAATGTGGTGGGGAAGTGGATGTTGTTGCGTTTGCCTCAAGTGACCCGCGTCGCGGCGCGTTCGAGAGGCGCGCCAAGCCGCTAATAGTTAAGCTGTTTCTGGTCATGATGGGCACGTGATTGAATGATGAGAAAGCACTTCTTTCGATATTCTTCGATGTCTATAGAAGTGAAGAGTCGGTGGGAAGGTCGGGTAGCCAGTCCTTTGGTTATGTTCGTCTCTGGACATATATGCATAACCTCGAGTGTCAGCATCACCACCCAACCTCCGCTCCTTACAAGGCAGCAGACGCCTTCCTCGTCCAATAAGCAGAGCACTACTCCCACAACCCTGCCCTCTCTGCGACGGTGGCCTAGAGGATACCTTATCGAGCTCCTACGACTGATGCAGATCGAAGTCAACATCAGAGCACATCGAAGAACGGCCGTGACGACTCTGAAGGTCCAGTGGGTTTGAAATTCATGCTTTGATATTAATGCTATGCTGTACTCGTCCCAGGGTATTTTTCCTTTTCCCAACACTCCCATCCCATGCCATGCTATCATAAAGTCATTGACTACTCATACATCTCGCTCATCTTACAGCTTTCTTCTCACGTGCCCTCATAGACCGTAAACCGGCCATCCGTCTCGCCTCGATCCGGCGCAACACTCTCCCTCAAACTCGGCCGATCATACTGAAACGGATCCCCCCTGCTCGAAAACGTCCCCACCGACTGCCTCTCGCTCTCCACAAAACTCCCCTCCGCCGCGTCCCGTCTCGATCGGAAAGGATTCAGCGCGCTGCCGAGATGACTTAGCGTCCTTCCTGCACTTTGCAAAGGCGTTATGCCCGGTCTTCGCGGCGATGGCTGGGTGGAAGAGAGCTGCTCGTCTTCGAGTCGCTCGTCGGGGGGCGTGAGGAAGGGGTCTTCCGGGGGTCGTTGCTCGACTATTGGCAAAGAGGATACGGAGGGGTAGGAGCGGAAGGATGGTGTGGGCGCGTTTCGCGGGATACATTCGGTTGAGAGCGCTGGATCGACGGAGATGGTCGGGACGGCTAGGTTTTGATGTGGCAACTCGCCGGTGGAGTCGCCTCGTGAGCGTGGAGCGGCGGAGAAGACGTTCGCAAGTGCGGTTTTCTGTCGGACTAGGAATTTGGGGATGGATTCTGAGGAGCCGCGGCCTAGTGGTGTACTTGGGCGGGAGGGCGAAGGATTCATGACTTGTAGTCTCCGAGGACCCATCGATTCGCGATAGCCTTGGCCGTTGGCGTAGGGTCGTGGCCAGCGATCGAGGCTCATGCGGATTACACCTCCGTCGTAGTCCGGGGTATCGGTGCCTTGTGACACTGGTAGTACGGCCGCTGGTGGTGGGTCGCGCGCCGTGAGTTCGCTCCATTTTCTCGCAATGGCTGGACGGATGCCGCCTTTCTCGCTCACGGAATCGCTGTCATCTTCGCGCTTCCGCCGTCGTCGGAGGAAGAAGACTATTAGGATGCCGATGAGTATTAGGCCTGCGATAGCGCCAGCTAGACCGCCAATGATGGCTTGCTTTCGATGCGCATCCGAATTGGACGCAGTCGAGGTTGGTTCGACGTTTGGAGTCGCCATTGATTTGTGCGAGATGAAGCTCGCGGTCATGGTCGGTGTCCCGGACGTGGCTTTGGAGGTGGTTGTGGTTGGTTTGGGTAACGAATGCTGTTTGGTAGTAGCGACTGGCGTGTGTGTTGCAGAAGACAGTGGTGTGTATGCCGAGCTTGACGCATGGTCCGATGCCGTCTCGACGACATTCGTTGTTCGTTCCACTGTCACCACTGAAGTCCGCCATACCGTCGTGAGAAGTTCGGTTGTCATAATCGTACTTTGCGCTGGGGCAGGCGGCGCATTGCTGGAGGAAGATGCAGATGGTACTGCAGATGCAAGTTGTGTCGAAGAAGCAGGTTCGGCCGTCAAAAGTCCTCCAATATCCGATGTTATCTTCGACCAGAATTCTGCCACAGGATCGTCGCGTGGCAGCACCTCACCCTGCCGCCGGACATCCAACGGTAATGTCATGGTAGAATGCAAATCCCAAGTCCAGAGGTAAACATCGCATGCGACTCTGCCGTCCCGTGTCGCGTGAAGCGCGCCCTCCAATGGCCAGAGTTTCAAAACATAGATGAAGCGAGTGGACGTAACGAAAAGCGACTTCAACGCACGATGCAGGAGGACGGAGGTCTTTGAGTCGACCGGCGTGCGTGCATGCTGGGCGCTTGCACCGAGCTTCAAAACGTTGAAAGCGAAATTTGGTCGAGGTATAAGAAGCACTTGCCATAGACTCACGGACTCGAGGCGTTTGTATTGTTCTCGATGGGGTTGCTGCTATTGACAGGGGTCTGGGGGGTGTTGCAGGAGAGGTGAGGTGGATGGCAGGGATTGGTGAGGGGCGCAGTTGTTCCGTTTCAGGTTGGCGCTGCTCGTTTGGTGAAGATCTGGGGTCGGCCACGAAGATCATGCTTGTCTGCAGTCTTCGAAGCTGTAGATCTGCTGTAAGCGATGCTTGCGGCTTGTGTGGAATTGTGGCGTGATGAATATCAGATGGTGTTGATGGTGTTGATATGGAAGTGCTGGCATCCGACCTAATTTTAGAGACGTCGGAAGACTGGCTCCCGAACTTGGGCTGAAAGCAACCTCACCCTTTGCTTCGTGCTCCACCACATTGTAGACGAGTCAGGCTGTACATGTATCTGCTGTCGGAGCATCCTAGACAGCGCCCGTATGTGGCTGTGATAAGATCGCAGCCTGTGCTTCCGTCCAGTCAGGCAAATCTCAGGTCCGGTCAGGTGAGCTCGAAGCCACTCATGCAGGACAGCTAGCCTTGCGCGCGAGGTAGGTAGGCAGGTGAGGTCTACAGCCTTGTTCGTTGACCATCTTCCCTTCTTCCTCGTCTTTTGCCTTCAAATACACGCTTTAACCGGGTGTCTCGAATTGCAGGCAGAAGAGAGCACTTGCGGCCTGGCGGCTCAGGTGGAGAGCGCTTCGTTCTTCTGATCGATCCGCAGCGAGAGCGCCGTGTCGGGAGCCGTCGAGACTGGATTACGAGCACTTTCAACAACACTGTCGGCTCGCCTCTTGCGTCTAGATCTTCGACGAGTGCTTGCCTGCCAATATGCGGCTGATCAACATAGACACGCTGGAGCTGCAGAGAAGGACATTCCAAAGTACTTCATCCTGTCGCATAGGTGGGGCGAGGGCGAGGTCTTGTACAAAGACTACATGAAGAAGCGCAATGTCGGATCTCCAGGTCATCAAAAGATCATCGCCGCGTGTCAGCTCGCCCGCTCATGGCAAGATGCTGGAGACTCTTGGGCTGAGCGCGTTGCCTGGCTGTGGATTGGCACATGTTGCATCGACAAAAGAAGCTCTGCGGAGCTATCGGAGGCCATCAACTCAATGTGGTCTTGGTATAGAAAAGCTGTGACCTGTTTCGCCTACCTCAACGACGTACTGGCTTCCGATGTGCAATCGAAACCCGGAACGAGCCAGTTCGAGCACAGCAAATGGTTCACCAGAGGATGGACGCTTCAAGAGCTCCTTGCGCCGAGACTTGTGGTCTTCTGCAACGCCGACTGGGATGTCGTCGGACATCGGTGCTACGCTTTGAATGGCCTCGAGTGCGAGTGCAAGCACAATCAGCCGTTTTTCAAATGTGGTCCTTGTCTTCTGAACGAGGTGTCTGCAGCCACAAACATCCCGACGAACGATCTCAGGTGGTTTTGGAGCGGCTTCTCAATAGCAAGCATTGCACAAAGGATGAGCTGGGCTTCGACACGCCAAACCACCAGAATAGAAGATCGGGCCTACTGCCTCCTTGGCATCTTTGGCATCAACATGCCGCTTCTGTATGGCGAGGGAAACAAGGCTTTCTTGCGTTTACAAGAAGAGATCTTAAAACATTCGCGCGATCAGTCGATCTTTGCATGGCGGACGCCAACCTGTATGTTTGACAGGGCTGTTCCGATCAACGGCTCGAGCTCTGGACGACACCACTCCGGCTTGCTTGCGCGCTCCCCGGACTTATTCGCCGACTCTAATGACGTCGTGTACAGTTCCTCTGGGGATCTTCGTCCAAGCGAGCCCTTCGCGATCACCTCGCAAGGACTTGACATGAAAGTCGATCTTTGTCCAGTGGTGACGACAGGACCACTCTCCGTATATGCGTTCCGGTTGAATTGTCGGCGAGCCCAGAGTCCAGCTCGTGACAATACGTTGACCAACCTGCCGTACGTCTACATCTTGCTGATTCCGACATTCCATTACGAAATCGAGACCTCAAACAAAGCGGCGTACTTTGAACGCACCCACGTAGACGAACTCGAGGAACAGGAATTGATCTCAACGATTAGCAGGAAGTTGAGGCGACGCATGTCTGTCCCGCTAGAACCAAGTACATTATTGTGGTAGTCGTCGGTGTAGCTTGTCAATTCTGCCTTTTACTCATTATCCGGATCAAAAACATCCGTAAACGTCTGCCGCCTCACCGCCCCAGTATCAAACATGCTCATCCTCCGCTTCTCCGCTTCCTCCTGCGCCAGCCTCTCCCTCTCCTCCTCCTCGCCCTTCAACCTATCCCTCTCCGCCTGCTCCTCCGCCGTCAACACGCTCGCCGGATCCCGCCCACTCTCCACCATCCGCTGGATCTCCGCCAGCGCACCACTCGCTATGACACCAGGCTCCGGCCACGGCACCCAGGGCAGTTCCGGCTGCATCATCTGTTTCTGCTCTTTGCTCATCGCTTTCGTGCCGACGTTCTCGATGCGCGTGTAGGGTTCGTTGCCGTTTTCTTGCGCGCCGGCGGGTGGGGTGGCAATGCCGTTGGAGATCTGCGCTTGCGCGGGTTCTTTCTTGCTGGGGAGGATGGGGACGTCTTTTCGTCGGAAGGTGGGCGGGACGGTGGTTGGGCTGATGAATTTGGCGTAGGCTAGGAGCTCGTCGACTTTGATCTCTTGTCGCGGTTCGTCTGGGGGTATGCTGGAGGGGATTGAGGATAGTTCTTTGCGCGCGTCTGCTAGTTGCTTGATTGTGGAGCGGATGCGCTCGTCGTTCTCCTCGGTGGCTTTGCGGAGTTGTTGTATGCGGAGGTAGTTTGATTGGTGTGTTACCACTGCTATTCGTCAATACATGTTCTTGACAGTGCCTCCACGTTGGCGCATACATTGGTCAAGGTCCCGATTCACAGCCTCATCTGCTGCCACGAGCTCGTCTGCATCGCGCACTGATGGGTTGTATGATGCGATCGAGTCTGTAAGCCGCTGCAGGCTTTGCTCCACGCGCTGGTAGCTCGCTTGGAATTGGGATAGCATCGTGCGCTGTCGAGTATGGTATGTTGTGGTCTCAGCATAGGTCGTGGAAGCCGGCAGAGTCGAGGTCTCGAAATCGCGAATATCACGCGCATTGAGGCCCGTGCGCACAAAATTCACTTTAGCCTGCTTCTTCCACCATGCTTCTTCTTCTCCTGCTTCAACGAGCGATCCGTAGTGCTACCCTGTACCTCAGCGCAGCGTTTATGGAGACAATGAACGGTCCAGTCTCCGATGCATGAGGTGTTCCACAGCGCCATACAGCGAAGTGCCAGCAAGACAGATCTGGTGAGTGGGTCAAGGTCCAGGCGCCTCGCCTGTCAAGATGAAACGAAGATCCCGTCTGAGCACCACATGGTAAAATTGGCCTCACTCCAACGTATATAGACCTCATGCCAGCTTCGGGCTCCTACGGTAAGTCTCTCAACACCATCTTCAAGTTCATCAAGAATTTGTCTTCCGGCCTAGAGCCCTTACACTCATTCACCACCTCACCAAAGTCACTCTTTCAAAACCACAGCAGGCAGGCCTGTCAAAATGCTCTCCCTCCTCACACTCACCACCCTCTTCTCCGCAGCCCTTGCGGCCGCCGTCCCCGCCGTCTCAATCGACGAGCGCTCCCTCGCCCGCCGCGCCCTCTCCGGCGAAGCCACCTTCTACGGCGGCAATGTCCACGGCGGCATGTGCTCCTTCAGCACCTACAACCTCCCCAAGGGCCTCTACGGCACCGCGCTCTCCGACTCCAACTGGAACAATGGCGCCAACTGCGGTGGTTGTGTCAAAGTCAGCCATGGCGGGAAGAGCATCACCGCTATGATCGTCGACCAGTGTCCCGGCTGTGGACCTAACCACCTTGATCTGTTCCCTGACGCCTTCAGCAAGCTCGCTCCGCCCAGCCAGGGCATTATTGGTACCAACTGGCATTACGTCAAGTGCCCGCACATCTCCGGACCGCTGTCGATCCACATGAAGTCTGGCGTGTCGAAGTACTGGTTCTCGGCCCAAGTCGTCAATGCCAACCACCGCGTGTCGAAGATGGAGGTCTCCACGAACAAGGGACGGTCGTGGCAGTCGGCGAAGCGGACGGAATACAACTTTTTTGAGATCTCATCAGGGGTGGGAGCCAGCAGTGCTTGGATTCGTGTTACGAGCAACACTGGTCATTCGGTCGTCGTACAGAATGTGCCGATGACCGCCAATGCGACGAAGAAGGCGAAGAAGAACTTCAAGTAAGACGGTCGTCGAGCTCGTCTTCCATCAAGTGCAGAGATCGAGAGAGGCATGATGTAAGATTTCATTCAGGAATAGATTCATTTACAACTAGAGCTGCCATTCCAGTTGTCCCGCGCCTGCTACCCATGACGCCGTCATTCTCATCGTTGCCGGTCCAGCAAAATCATGTCATTGCGGTCTCGACCAGCTCGCTCGATCTATCCATGGGCTGATGCACTCCACATTTTTGTGCCTGCCCACTGTGAAGCCACAACCCATCCCTACAATCAATCCGAATTCCGCCAACCATAATCAATGCATCCACGCCATAGCTCCGCCCCCCATCCACGGCCTCAAGTAGTCGTAGTATACCTCCTCAACATCGGCCTCCTCACCTGCGGCCGCTCGAGCTCAATCGTCCCCAACCCCCTCCAAGCCGTCGGCGGCTCCATCCCAGGCTCCGGCGGGTGAGGTCCAGGCAGAATCTCCCGCATCATCGTATTCACATCATTCCCCGCGTCCTTGGCCTCCTTCCACTGCCGCGGATATCCCAACGAGACCTCCTCGAACCGCACGCCGTCGATCCAGTCAGTACGGCGCACGTGCAAGTGCCCGGTCACGATGACTTTGGCGTGGTACTTTTTGTGCCAGTTTTCGGTCTTCTTGGTGCCGCACCACAGCGTGAAGCGCGGGACTTTGGGGATGAAGATGGTGTCTTCGCGCAGCGGCCAGTGGTTGATGATGACCAGTGGTAAACCGGTCTCGGCCGCGCGGTCGAGCTTGGTCTCGCATTGCTGGACGAGACGGTTGCACCATTCGTCCCTCGAAGAGTAGGGGGTTGGGTAGAGCAGGCTCTCGTCCGTCGCTCTGATGCCTTCCTCCATCGCCCAGTCCAGCGCCCCTTCGCGCGTCACGTGATCAGGGCGGAAGCTGTAGTCGTAAAGGGTGAAGACGGGGCAGATGACGGCGCCGGCCTGGATGCCGTCCTCGTTCTCGTAGATCCAGGTCATGAAGTCGTCCTCGGGGGTCAGGACGCCGTGCTTCTTGGCCGCCATGACGCAGGCCATGTATTTGGCCTCGCCGCGCAGGTGGAGCTCATCTTCAGGCGCGGTGGCGGAGGTGTAGAGCTCGTGATTGCCCGGGACCCAGAAGACGTGTTTGAAGCGTTGTTTGGCGACTTCGAAGGCTTCGTTTAGTGTTTTGAGGGATTCGCCGACTGTAGATATCAGCTACTATTTCTTCTCGACAGGGTGTAAGAACACACCATCGCCTGCCAGAATGAGTCCATCATCTTCGCCTCGTGACTCGAGCTTCGCCCATTCGTCTCTGTTACTTTTGAAGGACAGATGGATATCTGCAATGGCCCACAGCTTCATGATCGCACCACTTCCCTACGCCTTGAGGACGGATCGGACTGCGCTCCGGTACCTTACGGGTGCTCAGGGTACCATGGGACACGCTGGGCCTACAGCAGCCCGACGGTGGTGGCACAGAGGGGCATGGACGCAAACTATAGTGGAAGTATTGGGAGAAGGCGATCTGATCTCGCATGCACAAACGGGGCAAGCACGCACTACCCGGTTGTCGAAATTTTTAGGCTGATGCTTCGAGGGAGGTGACGGGAGCTTGGTGAGACGCACCTCCGAAACACACCTTCTGCGGGCTACGGTGAGCAGCCGTCGACCTTACTCCATGTTGTCCAGGTCCAGATCGCGCTTGCGCATCTCATCATCAGCTTGCAACTCGGCAGTCAAGATCAGGCACGATCACGGGCTCCTTCTGCATCTGGCAGTTATGGACATGACCTGCTGTTGCGAGTCAGGAGACAGCAGCACCACATGTTCGCAGCAGCAGCCATCACCGAGCGGAAGGATGACGGCCATCGGAGAATGCAGACGCACATGCTTTTGTTCCCAACCCTTCTTTTCCCCGACGCGAGGGCACGGGGCCGACGCCAGCAGCCACAGCCACCGCCTCCAGGTCCCCGGTGGCGACGCTAGCATTCACCCACTGGTTCCAACGGCGGCAGCCTTGCCATCTACCTACTTTCTGTCTTCTCCAAAGCGTGCTAAGACACGCGACATCCACGAGATGGCGGAGAAGCAACTGACGATGGGGTTGACAGCACACCATCAAGAATGAACTACTGACCTCGGAAGCGATCAACAACACACCTGGTCTCGAACGCAGTAGGATTCCGAAAATAGCGGACCGTGCTAGACGACTAGCCCTGGCCGGCCCAATCATTCCACAGCTTCAACGCAGGCGAGGCCAACGCTTTCGTCGAGCCACGCATGCAAAAGCCCTCCCTCTCGTATCCTACGCAGCGTCGCAACTCTACCGTGTGGTATCCCCTCTATTTCCAGCATCTCTTTTCTATCTTCCCTTCTATACATCAGCATTCACCGACGATCGTTCTCCTACCCACCACCAAAAGTCCATTCACCACTCGTTTCTTAGCGTTTCAGCATTCTTATTGGGCTTTCTCCTTACCCGAGAACTGGTGAAACACCTCCTTGGAAAGCGACAACAGCGCGCTGTTGGAAGCGATCTACGAATCTTACGACCTTTTGGGACTCTTGGACGACTGCGGGTTCTTGTTCAGCATCTGCAATAACATACGAAGGAGTGGGATTCCCGGCAGTACTCGAAAGGCCACGAGCCGACTCACACGACCATGCGGTTCATCGGTGCACGACACCTCCCGCTCGTCGTACTCAGCGCTCTGCCGGCCGGCGTGCTGGGTGGCAGTATCCTCAGCACAGATGGCTTCTCGCAGTGTATCAATAACCCGACGGTGAAGGTCACGAACCTGGATGTCACATACAACAAGGACACTCGGACACTAGATTTCGATGTTGCCGGCATCAGCACGGAGAAGCAGAAGGTGAAGGCGGCGTTGGTGGTGAGCGCGTATGGGAGGGAGGTGTACACAAAGGACTTCAACCCATGCGAGAATGACATGCCGGAGATGTGTCCTCGTAAGTCAAGACGAACTCCACTGTGGGAGACGAGGCTGCTAACATCTAGTAGTGCCCGATACCGATTTCTCGTCTCACGGCTCGCAAACCATCCCCGAGGAGTATGCTTCGCAGATACCGAGCATTGCATTCTCTGTACCAGACCTCGATGGCAACGTGAAACTACAACTCACGAACGTGGACACAGGAAAGCAGGTCGGCTGCGTGGAGTCAACGGTCGGGAACGGAAACACCCTGAACATGCCCCTGATATCATACGTGGCTGCTGGTATTGCAGCGGCGGCACTTGCGCTATCAGCGCTCTCCGCACTCGCAGCGGGTGGTCACCCCGGCGCAGCAACCTCCTCTCCATCTTTCGGTGAAGTGATTCACTGGTTCCAAGGAATGGCGATGAACGGCATGTTGAGCGTCCCATACCCGCAAGTGTACCGCAGCTTCACGACGAACTTTGCCTTCTCGACTGGACTGGTGCCGTGGGGCTCGATGCAGACGTCGATTGACAACTTCCGCGCGAAGACAGGTGGAAATCTGACACGCAGCAGCTACGAATATCTGCAGCACAACGCCACTCTGGTGTACGACGGGGGTAATAGCACTGGCGGCGGCGCAGGCGGTTTGTTCAGGCGCGCACTGGACACAGCTGTTTTGTTTGCGCGCGACGGGACAGATGTCAACGTCGGCGGTCAATCAGCGAGCATTGGAGGTGGCGATGGTGGAAACAACTCGACGCAATCTGGGGGCACAGAAAAGGACCAGCGCTTCGTTTCGGGCATCCAGGCCTACGTGGAGCAGCTGAGCATCCCGAGCGAGAACACGTTCATGACGGTACTCCTGATCTGGGCCATTGTCGTGGCGGCACTCATCGTCAGCATTCTCCTCTTCAAGGTCATCCTGGAGGGCTGGAGCATGATTGGCAAATTGCCGAAGTCACTCGAATCCTGGCGCAGACGGTACTGGTGGAGGTTGGCGAAGGCCATCACCAATTTGATCCTGCTGCTTTACGGCGTGTGGACGCTTTACTGTGTCTACCAATTCACCAACGGCGACTCCTGGGCGGCGAAGGTACTGGCTGGTATCACGCTTGGCCTCTTCACGCTCGTCCTCGCATGGTTCACCTGGAGAATTTGGTCCAAGGCCAAGCAGTCGAAGCAGATGGACGGAGACGCTGGCAGGCTCTACGAGGACAAGGAGACCTGGGTCAAGTACAGCCTGTTCTACGACGCCTTCAAGAAGAACTACTACCTTTTCTTCGTCCCGACGATCGTCTACATGTTCGCCAAGGGCTGCATCATCGCCGGCGGCAACGGACACGGTCTTACCCAAGCAGCCGGCCAGCTCGCTGTGGAAGCCATCATGCTCATCCTCCTCCTCTGGACCCGCCCTTACCAGCTCAAGAGCGGCCGTTGGATCAACATCATCATCCACGTCGTCCGTGTCGCCTCCGTGGTCTGCATCCTGGTCTTCGTCGAAGAACTCGGCATCTCCCAAACCACCAAGACCATCACCGGCGTCGTCCTCATCGTCGTGCAATCCGTGCTTACCGCCGTCCTCGCCATTCTGATCGCCGTCAACGCCCTCATCGTCTGCATCAAGGAGAACCCGCACCGCAAGCAGCGCAAGGAGGCGGAGAAGATGAACCGCGACCTCGACAACCTCACCCCGCTCGACGCCCGCAACTCGCTCCTTATGGAACCGATGGCGCAGCACAACACGGCTTACAAGGGCGCTGCGCCTACCGTCGGACCTTTCAGCGACCCCAAGGGCCGCTACGACCCGGTGCCGCCACGGCCTGCGTCGCCTGCGTTCACGGAGAGCACGACGTACACGCGCCAGCCGCGCTTCCGAAGGGAAGAGAGCCGTGATAACCTCGTCTCTAGCGCGGCGAGCATGGGTCGGAGGGACAGGAGCGTGAGCGTGAGCACCAGTCCACCGGATAGGCAGCCCACCTTGCCAGCGCTTGACTTTGGCTTTGACAACCATGGCCATGCACGATAATGATGTGTGATTTTTGCTTTGTTGAAAGATTTCTTGTACAGCGAGTTTGAAAGTTCTTTTTTTTTTTTTACCGAAGAAGCATGGGAGATGGGTTTGGGGCGTTTGGAGGACGTCCTCGCGTACGCGCGCATGGCACGGCTGCTGATATGGGAGGGAAGAGCAAATCTTTTGTTGTGTTGGTGGATGTGAGGGGCGAGATACATAATCGAGGGGAGGAGGCTGACAGAGCTGAGAGACTATGTGGAGAAGTTCAAAGAGATCGATTTGCTCGTACTCGTTCTCGTTCCACATCACTTGCGCGCTGAACTCGAGTGGTGCAAGCTGCATGCATAACACGAACCTGCTTTTGGTGAATGGAAGCAACAGACACGTGAGAGCGATATCCCGATATAGCGAGAGAGGCTTGGCGCATGCGGCTGAAACTTGAGGATCGATCCTGATCCTCACCACCAATATCATGCCGTGTGAGCGTCAGTATCTGGCCCCCGGAATGCTGGCATGGACTGGCGCCGACAGTGATCAGAAGTGTGCTGCCGGCAAGTTATTCGGCAATGAGATGCTACCTGGGCATGGCTACGAATCGAAAGTGTTCCAGCTCGAACGGTCTGGCTGTTGTATCTTCTCCAGCTATCATCAGGTTGTTTGTGGAGCACTGCGGCCGCTGCGAGGCGCCACTAAATAACAGTACGGACGTTGGAGATCCTGCAGACACGGCAGGACTCGCACGGTGAGGAATAGGCTCGGTAGGCACGGGCATTGCGTTCTCTCTTTATTCCTCGATATCTTCTCCTCCTTCCTTCGCAAATCCAGCCCACTTTGTCAAGAGCGAAAAGCAATGCCAATGCCAGCCCCGACCACCACACCGGCTCCGCAACTGCGACCTCGCGATACCTCTGTACTCCCTCTGACTACAATCTTCACGCCGCCCTCATCGTGCCTCAACGCGCCCTTTACACTCGCAACGTCCAACTCCGGCCTCGTTGGCTTCTCCTCCGCCTGGCGCGACTCCAGCGAGACGTCTGCAAAATGCTATCCTTCCTCCTTCTCCCCGCTCCAATACAACTGGTCATGGTATTCGCCCGGCGTGTGTCCGTCCGGATGGCAGGTCGCTCAGTCGCAGGTCCTGAGTAAAGCAGGCGGTCAGTTGACCCAGGCGTGGTGCTGTCCGGCTACCATGACGATATCTGGCGCAAGCATCAGCGATCTGAACTACCAGTACTGCACATCTCTCGCAACGGACGAGGCAGTGCTGAGCTGGCAGAGCGGCTCATATGTCTCTGCCACCCTCTCGTCCAGTTTTTTAGCCCTCCAGTGGCCGCTTTCGGTCCAGTGGGCTTCAAGCGACCTGGCGTTTTTCAGACCAGCATCAGCTCCGATTCTGCAAGTGTCGGCTACTTCGGACGTGGTCTCGCTCGCCTCGAGTGCAGCTGTTGGGGCTGGTGTTACTTCAAAGCCATCTGCACACACCTTAATGACGACTGCAGCTGCACAACCAAGCAAAGATCTGTCAACGGGAGCAAAAGCCGGGATAGGCCTGGCCGCCGCGGTGGTCATTGCTTGTGCAACCGCCGCACTGATGTTCTGGCTGTTCAAGCGGCGACTGGCAAGGAAGCGGTCACTGGATGCTGCATCCCAGGGAAAGCCGCTCTACGTGGATACCAAGGTCGAACTGCCACATGAGGGGCACGAGATACGGCCAGAGCGGCCTCCGGTTGAACTTGCAGCCTTGAACAGCTCGCCGCAGGAGATGGACGCACACACGAAGCCAACTGAGATACATGGGGAAAAGGTGTCGTCGCCGCAGGAGTTGGAGGGAAATTGGCAAGGCCATGAGGCAGAAGGACATCGGTGAAAAGGTTCTCGATGCAATGAATGAGATCACAGTGTCGTGACGTTGAAGCTGTGCTATGGACAAGATGAACGACTTTCGAGAGGACGCACTCCAACAGTCTTGCCAGACTCAGTCCAAATTCCATGCTACGATATCCGCACAAGCCTCAAGCATGACTTCAAGCCTACCTCTGCACACGCCTGCGCACCAAGACGCCCAGCCTCTGCCTGTGGAATTCCTTCACTCACGAAGCGACGGTGCGGTCTCCGTTCGTCCCAGGCCGGAAGCCCATCCAGCTTGGCCAATAGTACATCGGCACGAGCTTTTTGGTTGTTCAACTCATCCTTCACCGCCTCCACCATCTCATCTTCCACCAAATGCTGCGACATCGCACAAAGATGAACGAGCCAGCCGTCCACAAATTGGTTGACGTAGCCGCTGTCCTCCCACATGTCGCGCAGCTGTGATTCGAGTTGGCCATAATACAATGGGCGTATTGCGTTGTTGTTGAAGGGACGCACGTGACGAATTGCCTCCTGGAGCACGACTACACGCCTGAAGAGCTTTAACGCTGGACCCATACGATCGCCCGAGTTGTCCTGACGCATCTCGGCGAGCAAGCTCGCAGAAGTCTCTTCTGGGAGGCCGGTCATGGTAATGGTATTGTTGGTTGTTGCAGGGATCTTGACGAGCGGCCAGAGAATCTTCGCCGCCATGATGTCGATGTCTGGGTATTCAGTAGCATCGATGCTGATGTTGACATGCCTCGGAGATTTGGACTCGGCCAGGAAAGAGCAGATGCGGTAGAACTGGCGGTGCACATCTTTGAAAGTGACCTCTCCATCTTCGTAGGGCGCAGCGGCTGGCGCGACTACCGACATCGAGAGCTCGATCGACAACTTTCTCGCCTTCAGCAGCAGATCTGGCAGTGCTGTATCGTCCATCTCCCGCAGAGAAGCAGCGTTTGCGGACGATGAGTAGGCAGTTTCCACGGCTACGTTGATGCTGTCTGACACCTCATCATCGCGTTCGTACTGTTGGGCTAAATTGAGTCGAAAAGTGTTCATGCCGTACAGCACATCCTCCGCCTCTGCGTTGACTTCTTTCGATACTCGCAGAATGGCTGGCCAGTAGATCGGGAAATCTTGTGTGGCGTCCTCCAAGGGGTCCTCACCGAGACTGCTGTCGAACAGGAGAAGCTCACGGTACACGAACGTCCTGAGCTCAAGCGCAGGTCCAGGAAGCGAAACTGCCATTCATCATCGGCCTGGCGGAGTCGAGCAATCAGTTCTCGCTTCAGACCACGCTGGCCCTTCGGAAGCTTCAAGTTGCGAGCTGCCAGGAAATCTCGCAGGTCGGGAACAAGGAATTCTTCGTATCTGAAGGGAGTGGACTGGCGTCCAGCGTCGCCTTGCGGCTGAGCTTGGGTGGTGCTCTTCCGTGCGGTTGGGGCTGTTCGTGCCATGACGTGCTGTCTGAGCGCAAGATAGGGATGCTAGTCAAGCGGAGGACATTATAGAGATGAATGTGATGATCGGAAGAGAGGGCGGAAGCAGCCTGAGGGCCTACTCTAGTTGGTAGCAAACAGCACTTCTTTCAAATTGAACAGAAAGACAACCAAACAGTTCACCCAATGCCAATAGGCGTCCGCTCGACCAAGCATGCATTCAATGAGGAGAGACGGAACTCGCCCTTTGGAAGTAGCGCTTGACTGTGCATGAGGCATGCTGGAGCATTCTCCAATAATCCCGTCATAGTTTCATTCGCTCTCGCCACCCTGATATCCTTCTGCTAAGCCGTCGACCAGAAACCCAAGCTCATGCAACACTGCCTGCTTATCCATCGCACAAACTCCGCCCATGCCACAGATGCCACCAGTGCCATCTACGAGTCTCCATCCTCCCTATCTTCCCAGTCGTTTGTGTCCCATGTCGGATCATAGTGCCAACGTGGATAGACGGGTCTTCTGAGACAGCTGTCTTCACCGCCCCTCAGTTCGTCAAGACATTTCTGGAGCCGCTTCATCTGCCCCTTCACCTCGCACTCGACGATTCGCTTCCATGAACCCCTCAAAATCCCGTTCTCGAACGACTCAATGCAACGAAGTAACCAGGGGTCGGTGTGCTGGTCCACGTAGCCACCGACACCCAGAACAGTGATCATTTGAAATGATCTCGAAGACTTCCGTTCCGCTTCCATACAATTTTCCCTTAATCACGTCCAGAACTTGCTCTAGCTTTCGGGCGCGATGCAGAAAGTCGACTGCCTTGCTCAGATTGTTGCCGGACTGATGCTGTTGCATCTCTGCCAGGAGACGCTCCGTGGTGGCCTCCGACACCCCCACAATTGTAGTGTTTGCGGTTGACGGAAGTTTAACCAGCGGCCAGAGTAGCTTTGCTGCCACAGCAGCGAATTCGGGGAAACCTTCAGTAGTGACCTTGATCTGCACAATCTTGAGCCTTTTGCTTTCGGCCAGGAAAGAGCGAACGTGGTACAGCTGATAGTGTGCATCCTGGAACCTCCTCTCGTCCACAAGGCCTTGGTACTTTGGGGGTGCCTTCTCCAGAGCGATCGTGATGGTGAGGCGTTGCACTCTCAACAGCCGGCTCGGTAGAACCATGTCGGCGAGCTCTGCCAGAGACCGGAATCTTCTTTTGGACCTGTAGATGTCATCGATGGCGAGTGTCACACATACGCTCCCGTCGTTTCGATCTGGGCTGTGGAAGTAGAGGCAGTAATTTAGCTGCTCAAAGTCGTCGGGTGCCTCCTTTTCGTCTGGATGAGGTGCTAAAGAGGCGCGCTTGTGCAGATAGATACTTATGGATAGCTGCTGTACCTTGAGCAGCATGTTCGGGAGGGGCTCGAAATCCCAAACACTCATCAGGAGGCTCGAATTTTCATTCGTAAAGTAGGCGTTTTCCACGGAGAGTTTGATGAGATGAATGTCATCCGAAGTGTCATACTGGCCAACGGTGATCTGGAAGTCGTTCTCGCCGTAGAGCATACTTTCAGCCTCTGAATGGATCCGTTTCGACAACCCCAAGATAGAGGGCCAACAAGTGCGCCTCACGTCCACAATACCAGGATGGTGGACGCTAGGCCCATCTCGAAAGTGCAGCAGCTCGGCATAGATCCAGTTGCGAAGCTCAGGGGGCAGGTCGAGGAATCGGAATTGCCAGTCGCGGTCTGCTTCAACCAGCCGATCAATCAGGGAGCGCTTCAACTTGCACCCATCGGCACTCCTCCAAGGCGGGCAATGAGGAAGTCGCGGAGCTCATCACAGGAACAGCTCCAGTAGTCCAGGCCTGGGTGTCTCCGAAGTTCTTCGCTGAGCTTTGCATCGGGCCTGGGACGCCACTGTTCCTAGGCCCGTGGTTCCAGAACTCTTCGGTGTCTCATGCCTGACATGGTTTTGTGAACGATTAAAGCGCTTCTCAGGAGGATGCAGCGCAAGTTGTGCACGGAGAAGCCCGAGGAGATGTTCAGGATTGGAGAGAAGCGTGCGGTGGGTACGCAGAGTTCGATCTCAGAGAAGACGAAGCGCTTCTTATGGAACAGGAAGCGTCGGTTAGCATGGTTCTAATGGTTTCGTTCAACAAGGAGTAGTGTTAGCTTGGTTTCTGACGAGATCTGGCATATGAGGGCATCATCTTGACTTACCTAGAAGCAACATGACCATGGTCATGATCTTCAATCGTGGCACCGTCTTCAAACAGACCGCTTTCGTCGCTAACTCGCATAAGAAGACACAATTGCGCTTTCTGAAGATTAAAGGCAGGATGATACCGGTCTGGTGTTAGCGCCGAAGAGGTACTGAGAGGCTCCATTGCAGGACTGAAGTTCTTGGTTGCAGTAGCTCTCATACACGCTGTAAGCCGCTTCTGAACGGGAAGATCTGTACTACGTAAGCCAGCAAGCGATCGAAATCTGTTCCGTACATTCATCTCTACCACTCCGCTGCCTTCACCACTCAGTGACTAATGTACTGAAAAACAGCACTAACATCCTTCTCCGCCGTCTCCTGCCGCAACAGCAAATCCTGAATCTTCCCCATCGCACTCGTGTCCCCCTCATTCACAAAATGATTCCACGAACTCGTGTCTCCGTACAGCATAGCCGGCGCTTTGATCACTTGCCTCCCGTCTTTGCAGCGCTTGCACTTGAACGTGTCGTGCGTGTCGCTCGTCGTGCCGGGTCGGTACTGAAATAGCTCACGTAGAGAGTCGAGGCTGAAGTGACGTTCTACGTCTTCGGCGGAGTCGACGACGCAGGATGACAGGGACTGCTTGTGCGATTGGCGCTGGAAGATCTTCTCCTCGATGGTGCCGGTGGCGATGAAGCGGTAGACGAAGCAGTCTTTCTTCTGGCCGTCACGCCAGACGCGAGCGAGCGCTTGCTGGTCTGCGGCAGGGTTCCAGTCTGGGTCAAAGAGGACAAGACGATTGGCGCCGATGAGGTTCAGACCGCAGCCACCGGCCTTGGACGAAAGCAAAAAGACGAACTCGGGGCCGTCAGGGTCGTTGAACTTGTCGACCAGCTTCTGGCGCTTGTTCACAGCCATGGTGCCGTCGAGACGAAGAGAGCCGTAGTTGCGGCTGCGGCATAGCTTTTCGAAGACGTCGAGAGTCTGGGTGTAGTTGGAAATGAGCACGATCTTGTCGTTCGTGTCCTGCCGAATGCGAGCGAGCATGCGATCAAGCACTTGCATCTTGCCAGAGTACCATGGCTTGACATCTCGATCACGACCACGAGCGTCTTTCGGCACATAGTCGTCTGGGAAGTGCTGCTCGCATCCAGGGAGGTCGTCGGGCAGGTTGAGCAGGTCTGGATGATTGCACAGTTTCTTGAGCATCCCAATGGCTTTGAGCGGTTGGCTGCCTTTGCCACGAAGCAGACTCTGGATCTCGGGAGATTTGATGAAGTAGTTGTAGAGATCGAGCTGGAATGGCGCGAGGTTGCAGAAGACGACATGCTCATACTTCACAGGCAAGTACTTTGACAAGATGTCGTTGGTGCGGCGGATGATGAATTTGTTGACTTTGACCAGCAGCTCGGAGAGACGCTCATCACCCTTCTTGCGGTCGGCATCGGTGCCAGCTGCATCACGTCCTCGCAAGATCGGGATCTCGTATTGCTTGCGGAACTCCTGCCTGCTGCCGAGATAGCTAGGATTAGCAAAGTTGAGCAGCGCAAAGTATTCTGAGAGGTCGTTCTGGATGGGTGTGCCAGACAGGATCACACGTTTTTTGACGTTCAGCCCGTTGAGTGCCTCGAAAGTCTGACTCTCGCCATTCTTCAGCCGGTGGCCTTCGTCGCAGAGCATCAGACCGATTGGCGTGTTGCTGAGCTCCTGGACGTACAGTCGAAGTGTTTCGTATGAGACAATCAGTACTGGCCTGGTGACAGCTCGTCCGGTCGCAGAAGCCCACTGCCGCATCTGCAAGGTCAGCTCTTCCTTGGACGCCTTGCCATCGACTGCGAATGGAGTGATTGCGTCCTTCCCAAGCCACTTCACCAGTTCATTCGCCCAGTTGCGGACCAGACTGGACGGGCAAGCAATGATGCACTTCTGAATGCAGCTCTTTCCAGCTTCAGGTGATTGCTTCAATAGTGTCCACATGAGCGCGATGCATTGCAGTGTCTTGCCCAGCCCCATCTCGTCCGCCATGATGCACCCTTGAGCATTGTCGTCAATCATGCCAGTAGTGCAACGATAGAGAAACTTAACACCCTCCACTTGATGCGGGCGAAGCACCTTTGTCAGTCGCGGATCGATGACCACCGGCACCTTCGGCCTCTCAGTGTCCACCTGCTTCTTGATGCCCAGTATTTCTGCCAGACTCTTATGCATGATGGGTTCGTCGACCTTGTGCTTGTCCTTCTCTGCGGCATCTTGACTCGCACCACTCTCGACTTCTTTCGCAGCAGGCTTGTCGTCGATCGTAGGGTCGTACAGCACAATTGCCAGATCGTCACATGGATCATGAAGCGGCTTCGCGACAAAGGCTACTCCCTGCCTGAGGCCTAGCGTCGGTGGAGGTCGACCTGCATCGTATGCCGTAGGGTCTCTGTTCTTGAGCGGGACAGCGAAGCGTGCTCGGAAAGCAGTATCTCGATCTCGAGGCTTGAAGACGGGAAAGCGGTTGATGTCGCGAGTGGCGAGCGCAAGGCGATCATCGTTGCTGTACGGCTTGTCATCTTCTGTGCTATTGTCGCCGCCCGAGTAGTCGACCTTTCGTCTCTTCCGTGCCGGCTTCTCTGACACCCTCGAAGGCACATTGGCGCCGGGGCATTTGAATGGCTTGATGAGACGATCCGTGGATTGTGGTGTGCCGCCGTAGAGACGTCCGCGGGTCTTGACAGCTGGCGCGATATTTTCCTTGTCCACGGCCACGGTCATTGTCGCGGCGTTTTGTCGTCGGAGGTGGCGGTGGTGTTGTTGGCGAAGATGATGTGGCAATCGCAGGACGACGCGAGGCAGCCTCAGCGAGATTCTCCGAAGTTTTTCCGAGACACGCTAGAGCGCCCGGTCACGTGTCGTCAATTCCCAGCAACGTCTTACTACGGATGACTTCACATTGTCCAAAGGAGATGGATCATTCTTCGAGAGGTCTTACTGACGAAGACTGGACGCGTGCCGACCTTCTTGATTCCAAAGATGCTCCCCACATAGCCAGAGTCGACGGGACCAGCGTCACAAAGTCTGGGCTCGATGCAACACGCGCCCATGCTGGAGTCGAGGTAATGAAGCCCGTTCGCTTCTTACGTTGTCGAGAAGACCCAGACGTGGTGCATACCGATGGAGTCTGTCGGAGGTGAAGACGGACACACGACAACACAGGTCAGAAGAAGTCATGAGCAAGACGCACGCTTACCCTGAGCCTTTCGTGGTCCCACCGCGACAAGAACACACCCATAGCTTCATCCTGCTTCACGGCCGTGGAAGTAATGGAGAGAAGTTTGGCGTAGAATTGCTCAAAACCAGGACCGGTACTTCCAACTCTGAGCCTGCGGACATGCCTGTCAAAGGAGGAATATTACAGCATGCGTGTCCAGGAACCAAGTTCATCTTCCCAACCGCTAAAAAGCGGCGCGCCAGATGGTACAAGCGCGCATCTATCAATCAATGGTTTGATGGCGTGCCGATCGATGCACAGGAGGATGGCGTTACCAAGGACCAAGAAGAGTGGCAGCTCGAAGGATTGAGGGAGTCACGCGCATTCCTGAAGACGATCGTTGACCTCGAAGTGAATGCGGTTGGAGCCGGCAACGTTTTCGTTGGTGGGATGAGTCAAGGATGCGCTATGGCCTTGCATTTCCTCATGAGCTACGAAGGCGCTGATGAGAACGGAAGGGCATGTTCTGACGTGCCGCATCTGGGATGTTTCGTGGGCATGAGCGGGTGGCTGCCGTTTCAGGACGACATCATGAGCGAGCTGGCCCCAATAGATCCAGGTGAGGACGATGAAGACCTCTTTGCGACCTCGGATGACGAGCATGACGGCCAGATAGACAACATGGGCTTATTTGAACACGACGCTGATGGCTCATCTGAGCGGTCTCCTGCAACCCGGGTCTGCAATCTCGTTCGAGACAATATGGACCTACCGCCGATCGCATCCTCCAGTCCTCTCTGCCTCAGCACACCGGTATTTCTTGGGCATGGTAGAAGTGACGAAAAAGTCAACATGGAGAGAGGTGTGCAAGCGGCTGACGCACTCAGGCAGATGGGAATGCAGGTCACTTGGAAGGATTATGACGAAGGGCATTGGTACAAGGTCCCTCAGGAGATCGAAGACATCGTCCGCTTTCTTGATGATCTATGAACATTAACAAGACGTGCACAAGAAGACGCCATTGAAGATTAGTCAGAGCATCGAATGTCGAATATGCAAATCTCGCACACGGTCGATCACAAAATCGGTACTCCTCGCACCTCCCTCGCTGCAAAGGATGCACAAGGGTATCTCTCGATTTATGCAAATGCTGTCCACAAACGCCCAGCTGCCGACTACTCGTACATCAACCTGCAAGCAAGCAACAGTCAAGATTGGCAACCCGGATGGTCCGGCAGCGTTCTTCAAAACCCAGACGAACCCGGAAAGGCCCCACCGCATCCGTCAGTGGGGTGATCTCGTCTGTGAGAGAATCCATCACATCCTCACGCAGCGCTAGTCGGCCGATTCCACTGTCGGCAGCTTAGCCTTGTCTGCTGACACCCACCTCGCTTTCTACCCGCTACCGGCCGTCGACGTCGTCTCACAGTCCGTTGTGGTCGTCCGCACCACTTCAGTCGCCCTAGTGCTAGGCGGAGGCGTTGCTGGAGCCGGGACGGCGGGTGGAGGTGTTGCTGGACTCGAGGCGCCCGGCGGAGGTGGAGGCGGTGGTGCTCCTGGCGTCCAGGTTGCCGAAGGAGATGCTTCTGGGAGCGGCTCCGTTGGCGGTGGTGGTGGAGGTGCTGCAGCTGTTGGCGTCGTCGAGCAGCTTGTCGTTGTGAGCGTCAACACGCTGGGCGACGAGGTACCGGACACCTCGCCGGGAGAGGACGAGGGAGACGAGGGAGCTGGCGGAGTTGTAGTGGCAGGAGGCGTCTGGGTCAGCGTAACCATCGTCGTGGACGTCATAATCACCTTAGACGACAAAGCTGCCGACGTACTACGGCTGCGAGGGCGACACGAGGACCAGCAGTGGAGACCCGGAAATTTTCATCCCGTTCTACTGTCGGATGAGCGTCGATGGCTACAGTAAGTAAAAGTAGAGGGATCCTCCCCCTTCCGTTGTGTTACGAGTACGAGTCACAGGATACTGACGTCTTTCATCATTTCTAGTCAATGTGTGCTCAAGATCACCGAGACGGCAACTCACGAGGTTGATGGGGATGAAAAGCCTACTATGCAAATGGCCAAAGCCGAGCTCTCGTCGAAGTTTCGAGGCATGGACGAGGTTCGCTTCCGGGTGGACATGGATTTCACAGGGCCATACCTTGTGTGGGTGGATGATATCAGCTATGCCGCCTATAAGTTTGGCTCTTCGGAGGACGAGCTAGCTTCTCTATCTGCCAATAGCAGCACCAGCTGGACGGCACCTCAACACAGCACCAGCTCGAAGGCACTTCATCACAGCACCAGACCAACGGTAGTGACACGAACATCCACGGCAGATGACGGGATGGCGGGAACCGCTTCATCGTCTGTGGTGGTTGTGACGGCTACAACGATGCTGACGATAGACTCATCGCCTACTACACCTTCACCGTCCTCCCCGAGCGTGTTGACGCTCACAACCACGAGCTGCTCGACGACGGCAACAGTCGCATAGCCTGGACAGGAGGGAGAAGCTTCAAAATTTGGTAGTTACTAGTGTCGAAAATGGAATGAAACGGTTAATCAATGTAAGAGAGAGTCATCGCTACTGATTGATTAGGGTGAAATTGCTATAACTCTTTTAACTGATGTGGGTTTTTTTGAAGGTTGTATTAGAAGATGAGGACGAGCCATGTCAGCAAATATTGAAAGTTGGCCGTATTGTCACGAGCCGAAAAGAAAACGAAATGACTACCAGGTAATGACTGAATTCTCTTTCACCAAGCAGGCATAGACTTCTTCTCGAAAGAAGCGAGGATTTGCAAGACCCAATAGCAGGCTTGATGAACATTGGAAAGCGATGACTTCTTGGAGAAGATTCAATATAAGTGCCCCCCTGGCTCTTCTCCCATAAACCATCTCTTGCTCAAAAGCGTCATAGCACCCTTTGGCTGCAATCTGGGTAGCGGAGATTGCCTCTCCGCTTGGTACGCAGCCTGGCACTTCATAGTCAATTTCCTGTGCGTACTCAATAACGAATACACTGGAACCTACCATCAACAAGCCTTTCTTGGTCTCCTTCGGCTGCCGGGTCATGCCTAGAAGGAGTGGACATAAATATTTGCAAGAGAGAAAAGCCACTGCGCGACGAGTACGGGCACGCGGTCAGGCCAGAGAAAGGATAACGCTGGATTGATGTCGAGAGAACTCAAGCGTGCTGTACATGTAATTACCCAATCTGCCTATGTGAGATAACATCGACATGCAACGCCGTCGAGATCGCCTGAACGCCGAACTGTGTCACGCTGAAGGCTCGAATCACTCCTTGTATTCTTGTTCTGTACAGTAGGTTAGCATGGGTATACACAGACATGGTGATGGAATCTGTCGTCAGGAGCACCACCTACCCTTGCTTGGCTCACTCGGGATACCAAGGATGGACAGCAGAGTGTTGCCGTACGGGCTGGAGCCCTCTTCGTACTCGAGACGGTCGGACTCCCAGGTGATATTGTTGTATGCGTTCATCACGCAGCCGACGATGTTGAAGATGAACTATGTAACCATTAGCATATAGAGGAGCATGTCCTGATTGGTTCAGTCGTACCACAAGCAAGAAGAACAGCCAGTTTCCCACATCATCCGTGTCCATTCTCCTCACGTATGCCACGATGAAAGTCACCAGCGCGATCAAAGCCGTAGGCTGGAGAACGTCAGCATACGATGTAATCTCGAAATCGCCATCGAGAGCAGAATGATACGCACCAGCATCAACCTTTGCAGCCTCACAGCCAAGTACAGGTACCGCCGCCGATCCACCAGATTACTCTCGTCCCGCACCCAGCTCGCCCTCTGCATCATCTGAATCGCGGTCTGTAACCACGCCGCCCAGCTGCAGAACATGCATGGCGTCGCGGTGGCAATGAATCGGTAATCGCCGGTGGAGAAGTATGAGCCGCAGACTGACGCCGCAATTTCGAGGAGCCAGCTTGAGAAGGCCCAGATGTAGAAGAGCGCGGCTTCCGTGTAGGGCGGGAGGCCGAAGTGTTTCGTTAGAGGGATGCTGGAGTGGCGAGCGTGTTGCTCAGGCGTCTCGCCGTAGCCGTGGCCCATCTGTGCGGGCTGTGGATGGTCTGACATCGCGATGGCCTGCTTCTGGGACACTTGTCGCGGTCCAGGTGGCGTTCCAGAGGGTTTTTGATGTGTCGCAAATCCCTGAGATGACTCCCTGCGCGTCGCCTGAAGAGAGGAGGTTCGATGATGTCCTCTCGACTTCAACGAAGTCTTTGAGACCAAGTCTGGGCTCGAAAGTGAGCAATCGTGCGGCACGCTGACTGATGCTGCGCGTAAGTCAATAGTCCGCAAGATTCCGGCTCTTCCAAGGAGCTGAGGTTGGGTCCTTTAGAGTTTGGGGCTTGTCTACTTTGGGATAGCGCGATATCGATTCCAACCTCCTCCACCTTTGACTTTGACATTTCTTCAACACCTCCACACATGGCATGAATCACGACGAAGTCGCCAACATGGGCAACAGCTCGTCGCAGATTGCGCCCACGCAGACGGCGAGCGCGCGCACACCTCACGGACCATCGACAGCACCGACCAGACCTGCGACAGCTCGCGCAGCTACACGCCAGCTTCATGACGACGTGCAACGCGCTGTCAAGAGGCAGCGAACCGATGACAGTGAAGAGCCGACACAGCGAAGGAGAGCGCGACCACAGCACCGTAGGGGAACAGCGATCCAGCCACAGCTAGATGCAGCTTCATTTCAACCAGCGAACTTCTCGAGCACGGCACCAGCGCGACAGGAAGCGGACGTACAGCATGTGAGCGGACAGGCGAAAGACATCAAGCCTCGCAAGAGTGAAGACGAGATCGTTGTCAATACTGGTGTGGTGAAAGAATGGCAATCAGCGAAGAAGCGGAAGCACGAGCAAGTGGATGAACAAGCCGTCCCAGAGACCCAAGCGGAGCAGCCTGCAATGATCTCTAGCGACCAAATGGACCTGGATGCCCAACTGCTGCAGGCTACGGTGTCAGGCCAGGAATCCGAATGGACTGCCAATGAAGACAGGTTAAGCAATGCTCCACCTATGCCTATGCCTAAGAAGAAGAGGCCTAGCCAAAGGAAGAGAAAGCGGGAGGCAGACGAGGAGCGCACTCGTCAGCAAGAGCTAGCGACTGAGCATGTACCGCACGCGGAGGTGGCGCAAATTCCGGCAGACCAGATGCAACCGACGAAGGCGGTGACTGGCAGTGGCACGCGCGTGAGGGGTCTACGTGCAGTCGTGATCGATGGTCCCCGTGCTGGAGATACCGCCGAAGCAGACCCTATGCCTACCCCACCTGAGTCACCACCAGAACAGAATACGCAAGAGGTCCAACAAGAAGCTGGCGCGGCAGAGGATGATGATGTTGAACCTAGTGCTGCTGGTCCGGAAAAGCAACCTGTCGTCAACCAAAAGAACCTGAAGAAAGGAGGCAATCTAGCTAAGCCGAACCCAAGGAGACGGGTTACGGCTTGGTTGCAAGATGGCGATTTTGCGCCTCCGCCTGTCCAGGGTACGGTCTCCCCGTCACCTCCACCGCAGTCCAGGAGAAAGTCAGCCCGGAAGCAGGCACCATCAAGCTCAATCGCTGGCGATGTAGATCTCGACGCCATCCCCGAGTCAGTAGGGAGTGAGAAATCGGCCCCGCGAGCAAGTGGAAAGACGGAGAAGAAAGTCAAGAAGAGGAAAGCTTCTGCTGCGGACGATCATCGGCAACCAGAGGCACCAACAGCAACAGCCGACGACCAAGACGAAGTCCAAGCACGGGTGCAAAGTACAACCCGTGGCATGGTGACTGGCGCCTGGACAGCTGAAGAGAAGGCGCACGCGGAGCTCATCTGGAACCACTTCATCACATCGAAGGACATGCGTGACTCCGACCTGCGCGCTAACACGATTGACTGGGCCAACATCGGCGAGATCAAGACGATCATGTACGAAGCTTTCCCAGGCCGCAAAATCGATGCAATCCGCAAGTTCTGTCAACGACACTTCACGCCTTACACGAGAGGACCGTGGACCGCCGAAGAGGACGAAACGCTCAGAATACGCTATGCAGAGATGCCGGAGCAGTGGACGAATCTGGGAGATTTGCTGTTCCGCCCGCCAGACGCTGTGCGAGATCGATGGCGGAGTGTTGTCAAGGATGCTGGGAAGAGACAGGTCGGCCCTTGGAGCGTGCAAGAGGAGTCCGACTTGAAGCGCGCTGTTGACGAGTGCTGTCAACTCGTTCGGAAGCAGGAAGGCATGAAGCGCAAGCCACGAGACGAGCTCGAGGCTGCGATCAACTGGAAGGTTGTGAGCGAGAAGATGGAGTTTGCGAGAAACGAGAAGCGTTGTCGGGAGAAGTGGCAGGATATGAAGCGAGCAGGGCGTGCCACTGCCGCGGTACCAGATAATGCGGTGGAAGGATCTGCGCACGCTCCGACTGTGAGCAAGGCCAACGCACAAGCTGCTGCGCCCACAGTATCCGGATCACGCGAATCAGCTCCAGTAGGGCCTTCGCCGAATAAGGATCTGCCCAACAAACTCCGCGAACTTGAACACCAATATCAGAAACTTCTTCCAGGCGACATCTACGATGCTCTCAAGGACATTGTCAAAGCCATGAAAGGCGACCCTGACAAGCGATTCACCCACGAATCGACTTTCTGGTCCGTCGTGGCCAGCTCGCGCGAGGGCGTCAGCAAGTTCGCTGGCACTGGTGGGCTCAGACGACGGTGCTATCTGGGCGCACTAGAGGTCTACGGCGAGCGCAGGAAGGTCAAGAAAGCACAGGGTATCGTAGAAAAAGCGAAAAGGATGTTGAAGATCATGAAGCAAGGAGAGGAGGACGGGGATGATCAGCTGACACGGGCAGTGGACGGGCAAGGAAGGAGTCTGGTGGAGACCATGAAGCGGAAGACCCAGAAGAAGCAGAAGCCGCAGATCAAGTCCGAGGAGGCGATTGTCGAGAGCGAAGATGAGGAACCACCGCCGCCGCCTGAAGCAGCAAAGGATGCTTCCGTCCTAGCCCCGGCGACCCCGTTCTGCATCCAACATCCCGGACCCAGCACAGGCGCCAAGAAGTCGACCAGCGGTAAGCTGCGCAAACTAAGACAAAAGAAACGCAAACGCGCCAGCAGCGACGCCGATGGTGATGAGTACGACCTTGGAGTGACGGTCGGCGAGCAGGGGAGTCCGATGCTGAAGCCGAAGCAGAAGAAGCGGAAGGTGAAGACGCCGGTGAAGCAGCATCGGTCGGCGGAGTTTGTGAGGGAGAGCGATGGTGAGAGTTCGGAGTGGCCTACTGATGATGAGGAGGAGCGGCCTGCTGGGCCTGCTGAAGAGGAGAAGCCTGTGAGGGAGGAAGAGCCGAGGTACCGGCTTGTGGACGAGGTGACTGTTTCGTCGTACTAGCCGTGGGTGCTGTGCTGGCACGGCCTCGAGGGGATGGTCCCTTGGGGTGTAAGGGTCGGGTCCGGGCAATGGCAAGGAAGGGATGGGAAGCATGATTACGATGGCTGTATATGCGGTACAGCAACATCCTAGCCGACAGCTTGTGATAAGGATACACAAGGTAGTACTGTATCGACATATGCCCCACATAAACCGATTTAAGTCCACCATGCCTTTCACAAGCCCCTTCCTTCCCGCATCGTCCCTCCTCCAGCGAAATTCCTGGCTGCCTCGTCCAGAACGCTTCATGTTTCCTCCGCAATACCCCCAACCTCCCACTCATCTCTGCTGGAAACCAACACACACAGCCAATCCCGCTCCCAGACCACGTAGATCACAAACCCCACCACCAACCCCAGCAACAACGGAGCCAAGCCAATCCACATCAACAGCAACAAAGCCTGGTCCGGCGTCCAGCCGCGGGCGAAGATAAGCCAGAAGAACCCGAAGACCGTCGCGGGGAAAGACGAGAGGGTTGATGCACGCGAAGATGAAGGTGATGAGGCGGGCCCATTGTTCTTCTGTCGTGGTTTGTCTTTGACTGTTCTCGTGGCCGAGACAGGGGAGGAAAGTTGCGGACTGAGCTTCACCGCTGTTGATAGGAGGTAGTGGATACGATACCGCGCTGCGAAGGGTCAGTACTGCTGTGACGGACGATATGTTGTACATGCACCTTTACGAGTCGACGGCGAGAGGAGACCATTTATAGACGCTTCTCGACAAGTTCTACCGAACTTTCTCTCGACGGTTTTGCTTGAAGATGGAGTTGTGCAACTCACGTTACACGAGGTTGTCTGGCTGCTGGTACGTATTTACCCTTGCTTCATCGTGCGTGTGGCTTCCGGCGAATTGGTCTTCACGGAATCCTGGTCGCCAGCGCAGCAAGGCCAACTCTGCAGGAAGGGCCATTGGAACAAGGTACAAACTTGTGATTTATCAGACTGCGTTTCAGACGGTAATTCATCAAGCATACGATACCGCCTCAACGCCAGCCCAATCCCAGGACCCCGTCAATCATACAGCCCCTGCATCAGCATCATTTACGCAACCCAAGCTCATACCACATCGATCATCCCACTCTAAGCACCCACCCTAACCCCCCTCCCACCCTCCCCATCTCCCCTTCCCCTCGGCACAGCCCCGGGTCTTCGGAGCGTATACTTCGCAAAAGCCCTCGCCAGCGCCTTCTTGCACGAGACCTTCTGACTTCCGACAAAACTCTCCACCGCGACAGCGATAGCGCGGTCGATGTCCGTGGCGTTGCAGTATTCGGAGAGCCGCATTTTGGCGAAGGATTCGGCGATGCGGAGGATGGATTCTAAGTGACGGACCTAAAAACAGAGTAAGTTAATATGGTAAAGAGGGGAGGATGAGGGAGGGGAGCTTACAGTAATGGGATAAGCGCCCGTGACGAGGCTCTCCCGGCGCATATCGGCGAAGAGGCGGGCGATCTTGTCCTGGTCGATCTGGTACAATTTCGGCCGACAGTGCTCGCGGGCGTAGAGGATGTACTTGCGCAGCAGCTCCTGTGGGATCTCGCTGCTGGGGCCTGCGGAGGGTTGGCCATCGATATCCATGCTCCCGCTCGCGTTGGCTGGAGCGCCGCCGTTGTCGTCGCCTTTGGCTGAGTTGGTGACCGGATGCGCACGGCCGTGGGAGTTGACGACGAAAGAAGCGAGACGTTCGTCTTCGGCCGGGTCGACGGTGTCGCGGACAACGACCAGGATGTCGAAACGCGAGAGGATGGGTTCTGTGAGCTCGACGTTCTGGCTGAAGGGTACGGTGCCGTTGTAACGGCCTCCGATGGGGTTGGCGGCGGCGATGACGGCGCAACGGGCTTGCAGGGTGGTGACGATACCGGCTTTGCTGATGGAGATGGTTTGCTGTTCCATCGCTTCGTGGATGGATGTGCGGTCTTGGTCGTTCATCTTGTCGAACTCGTCGATGAGACAGACGCCACGGTCTGCTAGGACTAAGGCGCCACCTTCGAGCGTCCATTCGGCGGTGAGAGGGTCTCGGCGGACGCTTGCAGTGAGACCAACGGCAGAAGCACCTTGACCGGTGGCGAAGACGGCGCGGTGGGCGGTGTTCTCGATGTACTTCAGGACCTGGGACTTGGCGGTACCAGGGTCACCCAGGAGGAGAATGTTAATGTCGCCACGAATAGAATGCATGCCCTGAGCTTGCTTCGAAACGCCACCAAAGAGGGAGAGCGCAACAGCAGTCTTGATGTCGGTATGGCCGTAGATGGAAGGAGCGATTGAGTTGATGAGCTTGTCCACGATTTTTGGGTCGCGACTGAGTGCCCGGATTTCTCGCTCGTCTTCCTCAGTCAGACGGAACCCGGCGAGTTGGTCGTGCGACTTGACGACATGGTTGGCTTCCAGGATGGTGGCGAAAACAGGAAAGCCGTTCTTGTTGTTCAGCTGAGCGTCGTAGTTGTTGCGGTAGACGCCGGTGATCTCGACCTCCTCACCAGGCTTTGCAGAGTCGATGAGGTCCCAGAGAAGGATGACTTCGCGGTGACGTGGCAGACGGCCAGCGGGGACTGTGCCAGGCGATTCTTGGAGTGTGAGCTTTTGGTAGTTGCGGTAGACTGTCTTCTCGCTGTTGAGAGTGAAGGGACCTCGCGATTGGCAGTTTTGACAGAAAGACAGCTTGACCTCTGCGTTGCTGTCCTGCGGGAAGGGTCCAAGAGTGATGCCGCACTTGGTGCAGTCGAATTTGACATATTTCAGCTGCGGGAAGACTCCTGTCCGCCGGGTGACCACGCCGCTCACGCGGAGAAGGCAGTTGAGGTGGCTTTGGCGGAGTTGTCGGAGGGTGTATGAGACCGGTAGATCTGTGATGCGGACGTGCAGCTCGGAGTGAATGCGCTCGTAGTCGGGGTAGTGGTAGAGGGCAACTTCAAGGGCCACAGCATCGAAGATTGGCAGAACCTCGTTTGGGACGTTGACCAAGAAGTAGGCCAACGTTGGCTTCGATTCCGATAGATGATCCCAGCAGACTTCCAGTGACTCTGCGTTGACTTCTCCGAGTGTCCTGATGCGGACACCGTAGACCGAAGTGCCTGTAGCGTCGGTGTATTCTGTCAGGAAAGCCTTGAACTCACGCGCAATCGTCTTGTGAACGGCAGGATTGGCGACCCAGTCGGTGAGTGAAGATGCCTTGACATCCGCCAGTGCTTCCAACGAGAGCTCCTCGTTCATGATGTCGTCGTGCATGTCCATATCTTCCTGATCCTCATCATATCTGTGCCTCCTTCTCCGCGGCTGGCGCGTTAGATCCATGATGTCTTCCTCCCCATCCTGCAAGAACGCAGCAGGAAGATTGCGCTGTTGAGCCAGCTCTCGATCTCTGCGGTTCAGTCGAGCCTCAAGTTCGCGTCTGGCCGCTAGATCCATGCCCTCGTACTCCTCCTCATCGTCAATCATGCGCCCCCGATAGCCGCGGTCTTCGTTTCTGTCGTAGTCGCGGTCGTAGTTGTCGCCGAAGAGGTCGATGCCCGCATCGTCTTCTGCCATCTCGTCTGCATCGTCCAGGTCGTGGATGAGATCATCTTCGGGGTCAAGCAAGTCGTCTTCTTCGTCGATGTCGTCGCCCTGAGGAAAGACAGGAGGGGACGAGGCAGGGGCTGGCTGTGGTCAGCTGAGGCATGCTGTTTTGTTCAAGGGAACACATACGACTTGACGGCGGCGCGGCGGCGGAAGAGGGAAGGTCATCCTCAGCATCTCTACCACGTTTGCGCCCGTTGGAAGGGGGAGGCCCGCGGTTGGCGGCGGACATGTTGGGTCGGAGCGGTGAACTGGGGACGATGTTAGAGGTGTACGCGACCAGTCTCTGTATTGTTGGTACCTCATTGAGCAGTGTGTTATTGGTGAGTAAACAGTCTATGTGTTGCGATCAAGGACCTGAAGTTGCGATGGAGGGGGAAGAAGACGCGATCTCGCGCGTGTCGTTGGCGTTTAGCGCGTAAAGTGGCTGCAGCTGGCCTGTGCGTCCTTCACTTCACTCATATCTCGTTTCATTCTACGTAGCATCTCACGCATTCGGACCATCACCAGCAGCGCCCGATGTCATTATCAGATACCAGTCTCACACATGCAGAGATGCTCAAACAAACGGCAATCGCAGCGACCAATCCGCCCGCCTCGCATCCGCACCTGTCCAACGACTCTTTCCGCTCCACGACCCTGTGGCCTTCGTTACACGACGCAAACCACTAGTGAGTTGCTCGACGTTGAACACCTGCCCTCGTTCAAGGATGTCGCATGTTTGCTGCGAGCCTCGCTGCTTGCTGTTCCTGAATAAGTCGCCATGACACAGACTCTGGCTAATATGGCTATAAAGCCTTGCATATCTCTGCGGAAGCTTTCTCATTTCTATATACACCTTGAGCTCTCAGTATATCTCAACCGATCAACCCATTTCACCCCCATACACTCGCATCTACCACAGTCAATCATCCCACTTTGTAATCAGACCTTTCGACTCTCCCAACCGGACGACCATCTTGTAACAGCCACGGCGACCCAAAACAGGACATGGCTTCAAAGGGAAAGCAACCAATGACCGCGGACGAGGGACCAATACCAAGCGACACTAGCAGTGTCCTATCCGATCCTCCGGACTCTGAAGAAGATCGTGACGGTCCAGAGGAACAAGCGCCTGATCTTCCATCACCTCGCAAAGTTGAGGGCGGCTGGCAGTGCGTAGTTGAGGGGTGCTTCACAATCTGTTCGACCAAACGGGATGCCCAGCGGCATACAATCGGAACACCCGGCCCTACGACGCTGCATTGTCCGCATAAGGATTGTCCGAGGTTTGCTAAAGGATTCACCACGAAGCATCGTCTGGCTCAACATATCACAAGGGTACACAACCCGGCAAAATTTGCCTGCAACGCCCCGGGGTGTGGCAAGGTATACAAAGAAGGTGGATCCAGGAACGACCACCAGCTTCTTGATCATTCAGAACGTCGCGCGCCCGCGTCTTTTTATCCATGTATAATTCCAGGTTGTACCGCCAAAAAGGGGAAACGTTCCGGGGCGTTCACGGCTGAGAGGCTGATGTACAAACACGTGACTAACCATAAATTGAAGGGTAAGTCGATCATCTAAACGCACCCATCCAAGTGCGCAAGGAGCGAATGTCACGCAATCAGGATACTTCTGACACAACAGCAGCGCAGATACAATCCGCAAGCCATTTCCACTGCCCGCACTCATCATGCAACTTTGAATACCGCGGTGGCCGTGGCCACGTATGGGATAAAATTCGGCTACACATGATGAGAGTCCACCAGGAGACTAGAGACGAAGCCGAGGATGTGGTGCAGTGGTACATGATCCGGTGCTTTACAGCTGAAGCGGATCCTTCCGATTCGACAAATAGTGACCAGAGCCTCCAACCAGATGTGGAACCCCTTTTGAGCCTTGCAGAACCGAGCCTCGAACAGCCTTCAGGTTCTGCACCTACGTCGCCGGGGCGACAAGCCCAGTCGACAAGATCATCTAGCACAACTCGAGATTACGGTAGCTGTTCGTCGCTCTCCCTCTCTTTCTGCCTTTGTTTCACATATCTTTACTATATCTCACCTCTTGAAACCAGCAGCAACATTTCTTAAAGTCGGCGAAGACGCAATGCCCACATCTGCTGCATTCACTCCAGCCAGCATCACGTAGTGGCAGGTCGACTACATTCATAGCAAGCAGCCACGAGCCATCAAAAGGTTTGCTGTACTCTTGATGAGCTCGGGCGCATGGCATCAACATTCCTTCCAGTCAAGGCAGCGTCGAGTTGCCAATACTTAACCTGGATCCTTCCTCTTGCAAATGCTTTTAACCTTCTCTACCGACCCCTAACCTTCCCGAACAGCTTCTCACAGCCCTTGAACCAAGACCCATACAATACATCTATATATCGCTGATAGCAGATCATGTCTTCTCCCAGTGGTCGCCGGATCATTCAACCTCGATCCCCCGGTGCCCGAAGGAAGCAGCCAGCATCGGAGTCAAGCTCATTAACCCCAAGCCGCAATCTGAGATCGAAAGCAGAAGACGAGGGCAGTATGTCCAAGACTATCACTCTGCCGGATGCAAGGAACACCAAGCCCACTGCTTCAACCACCAAATCGTCCCGCCGGAACATCCAAAGCGGATGGGGCTGCAGCTGGGCGGATTGCAAAAGCAAGGAAATCTTCTCAACGATGGCTGACGTTGATGAACATATACGCCGCGACCATACAAAAGAATGGCACTGCGAACTCGAGGAGTGCACGAGCGAAGAGGTCTTTACATCGAGGACCGCTCTTGACTTGCATATACTCCACGAGCACTTTGAGATCGAGCACCTCGCGAACGCATTGATTGGAGCAACCGGCGACCTTAGCGATGGCGAGTCTGGACCCGTATCGACGAAGCGTGGTACTCGCCGCGCGCGGCGGACGGTGCCTTCATCGTCAGGTTCAGAAGGGTCGCCGGTCTCAGAGAGCCCATCGCAGCGGCGTAAATCAACTCTACTGCCGTCAAGGGGTAACCGCCATGAGATCCCAGGCATCCAACGTGTATCGCCAACGCCTGAGCCGTCACTCCCTCAAGATCCAGCGCTGAGACAAGCAGCTACTCCTGCAGAACAACCGTCAAGGCTTCAGTTGCCTCAAAACATCAGCCCAAGGTCCAGGTCCAGAATGTTATCACTGTCTGAATTGGCCCCACCAGAGCGGAATTCTGAGGACACAGCACCATCATTCAGGCTGGGCTCGCTCAGCATGACCGAGGTACTCCCTGCAACAACGGTCTCAGCGCCTCCGACGTCCAAACATCTTCCAATTCCTCCCTTTCAGTCGTCAGAGCGCCGATCGCCTGACGCGGAACGAGCAGATATGCACCCGACTAACATTCCCAGTCTCGCCGAAGCCTTCAACCATCGCTACGACGACGAACTTCCCGCTCGAACGTACGGTCATGGAGCATGGTATGGAGGGCCCCCGACAGGACAGCCGGGACTCGCGGCGAACCACCACGGTAAAGGGTATAGGCATGGTAACCGAGCTTAGCTGTTCACTGCCGTGGACTGGTCAGTCTGGTATGGAGGTGCACACCGTAGCGTCTGCCTTCTTCGACAAGCTCAGCCACAACGGTAAGGGGCTCTCTGATTCCTCATGGGCATGATCTGCTTCTGGTTGGGTTTGTGCTTCTCTCGTTTCCTACTGCTCTGTTTGACCAGGATGGCTCACTAGCACATGTTTAGTACAGATGTCGAGATACACTTCTACCTATCTTTCCTGGACAACTAAACGTACCTCACTGCCGCAAGTGGATGTGTTTGTCAATTACTTTGATCGGACAACTGCTGCATCTACTTACTAATCTGTGACCGGATTGCGACCTTGCCTCTGTCTTACCCCGAATTCAACGGGAGGCCTTTCGGACTCGCTGCGATTGCGCCTGCGCGCCAGGAGGCGCTGTTGATCAAAGTGCAAGGACTGTGGGAGAAGATGTTTGGGGAGAGGAGGCCGCCGCCGTCTTTGATGTGAGACTAAAGTGAATTGTTCTTTCTTCTCAACAGTGTGCGTCCTTCCACTCCACAAGCCAGTTCTGCACAGTCTTGATCTCCAAAGCCTGCGCATCCCTCACTACGGGCGGTGGCACCGCATCCGTGTACTTCTCCTTCGGAATATCGTCCAGATCCCATTCGTGACCCGCACCCGCCATAATAATCTGAGGCGAGTCCGTAGTCCCGTTGTTCTGCACTCTGGGGTTGGGTTGGGTACTAGCCGGCAACTGCTCGGCGAGCGGTGTCAGGCCGCGCCAGACATCCTTTGAGCCTGTCGACAGTATCAGGCGTGGGGCCGAGAGGTTGACGCCGCCGTATTTGTTCACTCGTTCGAGATCCGGGCCGTGGTAAGAGCTGCTGAAGTTGTAAGTCTTGCGACATCGCTCGATGTACCAGGTCGGATTTTGAAGTGTCGTGGCGATTGAAAGCGCTTCCGGACGGTCTGGGGAGCCTGCAATGTACCCAGTGTAGAAACCACCCCACTGATGGATGGACGATTAGACCGCTTGCAAACATCTGCAATGTGATAGGAATACTGACCTCGGTGCACTGGATCCAGACGTAAGGGCTGGGAGTCCGATCTGACAGGCATTCGTCCAACTTCTTCAATGAATCGCAGAGGACCAGGAAATAGCCAGAGACTCGCTCAAACCAATGGAGCACGCTTGGTAGCAGAGTCTCGGTCTCGTCTGCCCGGCCTCCGTTTGCGATGACTGAGCGCGCGGTAGCTTTCTGTTTCGCAGTAACGTGTCGAGGGATATGGCTCGAGGTGATGTCGCTGCAGTATCCTCCAGGCTTATCAATAGGAGTTCGCGAACGCGGAATCCACTTTAGGTCTGAGGCATACTCTGTGGACAGCTCGAGGGAGAAGAAAGTTGCAAGGCCGTTGTTAGAAGCCACGTCTTCTGCGCCAAAGCCTCCCTTGAATTCCTGGATCGCGGACTCGTTCCCGCTGGCAAAGATTGTGTTGGCGATGTCGATGAGTTTCTGCTGTACTGAGATGCAATTCGTGGGTCCATAGCGTCGTACAGTATCGTAAAATTCTGTTTACAGTAGTCAGTGGAATGGAGCAAGTCTCCTCTATTTGTGTCCAGCTCACGCCAAAAGTCATCGACTGCGGTGGTTACGCCGGACGAGCTCAACGCCCCCTGCCAGCCTGTCAGCAACGTACTAAGTACTGACGGACTCGACCTACCCAGAATAGATCAGGGTACTGTATTCTTGCGAATACAGAGGTCTGGCCGGCATACGAGCCTCCAATGATTATCCAAGGCGTTCCTGGAGCAGCCAAGTTCTTGTCTCGTAGGCCTGGGAACTCCACATGCTGAGAAAAATAGGCCAGGTCCGCGAGCGCTTGCTCTCTGGTGTGGAACCGCAGGTTCTCCTTTGTGTAGCTATCACTTCGGACGATGTCGCCGCCGTAGTAATAGCGCTGACCCCATACCACTGCAAGCCCGCCGGTAGCTTTCGCCAGGTCGCGCAACAGGCCAGCTTGCAGCCAATGTGCGTCTAAATAGTCCTCTCCGAGAGTGTTCACAATGACCGGACCTCCAGGGATGTAGAAGGTATCGTCCATTTTGTACAGCGCCTCGAAGGTTTCAGTTGTGTGAGGCTCGTAGCGAGATTCATTGTGGAAGTGGTCGACTAAAACCAAGGTCAGTCTGCTGGTCATGGGCCGCGGCCTTTTGGAGAACTGACTTGGAATGGTAAACTGGTGTGTTGGAAAACGCGGAACATCGTCTATGGCCTTGCTCAGGCCCATTTGAATCAACGCACATCCAGTCACTAAATAATGGTATATTCGAAGCATGATGCAAGGCAGACTTGAGTGCCGCATTTCCTCGCCATTCTGGGGCGTGTCATGGTGGATATATCACTTCCAGAATACTACTGCCTGTTACGACCGATTCGTTCAGCCGCACCTCGCTTTCGTGCACGCGGAACGAATGTTGTCTTATATATGGGCGGCGAATCCAGTCTTCCTGCGATCGAGAACGGATGTAAGATGGTCATGTTAGGAAGAAGCAGAAGTGCTCCTCGTAAGGCAAAGCGATCTTCGGCAGAATCGGCCAAACCACGCTAGCAGCTTAGCGCATCATCACCTGGAAGTCGCGCGTTCTCGCGTTCGTTCATCAATTTCATCTCCATTATCTCTTCACTCACCACAACAATGGACTCATCCGACCAATCCACCGCCCTTCCTCGCACCGCACCCAATCTCTCCGCCACCTCATCGACCTCTCAAACCGCCGCCGACTACATCAACACCCAACTCTCCCTCGAGGCCGACGCGCGAGAAGCCCTTCCCTACCAATTCGACACCTGCACATACCCTCTAGGACCGCTCCGACAGTCAATCTACGCCTGCTTGACCTGCTCTCCTCCGCCAGCATCGAAATACCAACAACACACCCCAGCCGGAGTCTGCTACAGCTGCAGCATCAGCTGCCATGGCGAACATAACCTCGTCGAACTCTTCGCCAAGCGCGACTTCGTCTGCGACTGCGGTACCACGCGACTCGCGAACAGTAGTACGCCATGCAGCTTGCGACATAATGCTGAGACAGGGAGAAAGGGCGATGTGAAGGGTGACAAGGCGCGGGAAGGCAACAGCTACAACCAGAACTTCGAGGGCAAGTTTTGTGGGTGCGGAGAGGAGTATGATCCGGAGCTGGAGAAGGGGACGATGTTCCAGTGTTTGGGACTGGGAACTGTTGAGGATGGAGGGTGTGGGGAGGATTGGTGGCATCCGGACTGTTTGATGGGGTTGCCAAGGGTGAAGCATGAACCGAAGCCGAAGGTGGAATCGAACGGCGCTCTGGAGACTGTTAAGGAGGAAGGTGAGAGTGGTGAGGCGCAGACGCATACGAATGGTGAAGAGAATTCAGAGCATGCGCATGATGATGCGCCTCTACCGCCCGGCTTCCCGGAGGAGGACGACTTCGAGCATCTCATATGCTACAAATGCGTCAATGCGTTCCCCTGGATCAAGGCGTACGCGAAAAGCCCTGGCTTTCTCATAGCTGGGCAGCCGACGCAGACCAACAGTCATCAGGAAGATGTGAAGCCTACCACACCACAGGTCGAGCCTACAGCAAGCCTTAAGAGGAAAGCTGAAGTCGATCCTGAGGACGAGCAAGAGGTGAAGCGTACGAAGTCCGACCCCTCGATCGTCGAAGCACCTGCTGCGATATCACAACCACCTGCGGGAGACTCTTCACCCAAGCACGCCACCCTCCCTCCCGCACCTTCAATGACCTACCCAACTCTCTTCCTCAAAGACTCCTTCCGCGACACCTTCTGTCGCTGCCCCACGTGCTTCCCGCTCCTCTCAAAACATCGCCAGCTTCTCGAAGAAGAGGACTCCTACTCCCCACCCGTCTCCGAATCCGACCACGCCGAAGGCGGCGACAACCAAAGCGTCACCGGCCGCAGCGTCAACTCCGGATCCTTGCTCGAACGCGGCGAAGCTGCCTTAAGCGGCATGGACAGAGTGAGGGCTATTGAGGGCGTGATGGCGTATAATCATGTCCGGGATAAGGTGAAGCAGTTCCTGCAGCCTTTTGCGGAGAGCGGGACGCCGGTAGGAGCGGAGGATATTAAGGCGTATTTTGCGCAGTTGAGGGGTGATGAGGCGGGGGCGAGGACGGAGGTGGAGGCAGGGGGTGGGGTGGAGGGGGATGGGAGGAGGGAGCAGGGTGGGTATTGAGGTGTTTGGCTTGGTCCACGAAAAAGGACAGGATGCTTGAGCTACGGCATTGCTCAGCGCGGGAGAAGGACATCAGCCCATCAGTGGCCAGTCCATGCATGTATGCTCAGTATGCATCTTCCCAACCTCCTTCTGTTTGTCCATCGCTTTCCCTTCGAAGAAAGATGACAATGCTGCAAATCCATTGGCTCATCCGAGCGGGCGCTAGTGGATGCTCAGCTTGGCATTACCTTAGATACGCCCACAGCATCTTATTCTCAGTCTCTTTCTCGGAGAAGGGGCGGATTGCGAAAAGCCGTCTCCAGTTCGTTTGACGAGTCGAACAACTCATGCCTCCGCTTCTTCTCAAGGCTGCAACTCAGGCATATGGCCACCTCGTTGGCTTCGCTGGCCGTGACGGAGTCGTGTCGTGCGAGAAGGTCGTTCCTTTGGAGTAGAACTTGGCGCTTACGGCCGCATGTTGCTTGCCCTACAATCACGGGACAGCAATCCTACTAGTCAGCAGGATTAGGACATTCGACTTACGATATCTCGACTTGACGAGTTTGACGGTCTTCATCGGTCGAACGCTGATTGACGGAGCTGGAGACGGAGCAGGCTGGCAGAGGACTTAGGTATAAAGTCCGAATCTCCTTCATGTCCCCGTCTGCGCGTATAGCGCTCTCCTTCGGGTCCGAGTGAATGCGAAGGTACATGTGCTTTGCGGCTGGATCTTCTCTTATATTTTTCAGTCCTCCGCCTTTCCTTTGAACTGCATGATTCTGTTGACTTTAAGTACGATCAAGGCAGATCTCAATTGCAACCGTAGCCGCAATGGAGCAACCGTTCATCGACGATGTGGCTGCCGGACATATCGAAGGCGCCATTGTGGAAGGCAGAAGCAAAGCTGGAAAAAAGCTACAGCAAGACGTTCGGTTCCCGAACGCTTCCAGATGGCACACAGCAGCCGCAGTCATCGTCAGATCTCCTCTTCCTGGCCTCCTGCACCAAACTTCTCACTGCCGTTGCTGTCCTGCAATGCGTCGACAAAGGTCTGCTCTCACTGGACGCAGACCTACGACCAACCTACTTCAAGGACCAGAAAGTCCTCACCAGCTTCGAAGAAGGCGGCTCGCCAACCTACGAGGACATCAAGAAGCCTCTCACGCTCCGCCACCTCCTCACCCACTCCAGCGGTCTGGCCTACCACTTCCTCAACCCGACCATCAACCGCTGGATCGAAGCCAACCCCATTCCGAGCGATTCATCTGGCCTCACAGTACCGACCCGCTACCACCACCCCCTCGCCTTTCAACCCGGCGAAGGTTGGGTCTATGGCGTCGGACTTGACTGGGCTGGCCACATCTTGGAACAAACCACCAACACCAAGCTCGACGCCTACATCCGCACGCACATCCTCAAACCCCTCGGTATCCCCGAGACAGACCTCTCTTTCTCCCCCGTCGCCGAAGGCCTGGGCGATCGCATGGTCGATCTCAACCCCAAGGACCCGGACGGCGAAGGGCTGAGCGTCAGTAACGGAATGCGGTTCAAAATTCCTGGAGATCCGTCCTGCTATGGTGGTCAAGGTGGTTATGCTACTGGTTCCGCATATGCGGCAGTCTTGCATAGTTTGCTGCTCAACGATGGCAAGATCCTCACTCCAGGAAGCGTGACGGAGATGCTGACGCCGCAGCTCGAGCCCGGCGCAAAGGCAGCTTTAGCAGCGACGATGCAGACGCCATTCGCTGGCATCGTCGGCGTCGATGGCTCAAGCGGGAGCTGGGACTATGGACTCAGCGGCCTACTTACCACGGAAGCCTCGGATGTGAACGGGCTGGGTAAGGGTGCGATGACCTGGGGAGGTGGGATGAATAGTTGCTGGGTCCTGGACCCGGAGAGGGGTGTCTGTGGATTCGTGGCACCGCAAATGGGTTTGCCGGCGGATGTTGGGAAGGCGAGGGAGTTGAAGTGGGTGTTTCGGTCGGAGTTGAGGGGAGTATTGGAGGGCAGGGAGGCTTGAGCGTACCAGGATGAGGGGTTGTGTGTCAATGTGGTATAATAACTCGTCAGTATTGGGGGCAACGTGAGAAGTTGAAAATGTGGACGTTTACTGGAGTTTGAATCAACCTCGTGGCAGGTTGTATTAACTTTATACGAGATATCGTGTTGAAGCTACATGCAGCAACCATTTAGCAGTAAAATGCACCACGCAAGCTGACAGGAGCTCAACCGCCCCATCCCTCTTCTCCGACCAAAGACCTTGTACACGAATGCAGGATACAAATGCCTGAACTCCATGTCCCAGACTCGCTTCCGTTCGAGTGATGTACCTTACTACCACATGGCTCGTCCAATGCCTGCCAGAAATGCTCGCTCGCTAAAATCACACAAAGCAAATGCTGCGCCCGCCTCAATCTTTCCACTGCGTGCTCATCCGGCCGTCACATCTCGCACCTCCCAGCTGGAATGAAATTAATCATCTCCGCACCTCCCGATGCCCATATGCAGACGCCGGTCTCGATTCGTGCGGCGAAGGTGGCGGCACAGTCGTCTCGTCCTGCTTGACGATCTTGAGCGAGAGGTGGTTGCGCGCTTTGGTGTCGGAGGCTTTGAAGGCTTTGGTGATGTCGTCGGTGGAGAAGGAGTCGTTGCGGGGGAGCTGGGTTTGCGAGGTGGGGAGAGGCATGGTGGAGGTCATGGTTCTGATTTGTGGTTTGATAGGGGTGATGGTGTCGTTGATGTGGTTGTTGACAGTATCTGATTCTTGAAGTTGTAGAAATGTGGTCCAGGTAGACAGGTATCCGAGTATCTCGCAATCGTAGATTGTTTGTTTGCTGATGTGGTGTTGCTTCAAGTTGAGGTGAAGTAGATTATAGCAGTTGATCTTGGGCAGCGCTTGAAGAAAGAAGTAAACAAGCAAGAAAACAAAAGCAAGGCGAACGAACAAGATTAAGTACCACCGACCTACCAACGCACCGGCAACCCTTACATCAGCCCGGATTCCCGTATCACAATCCACCCCCGACATCCCCATAATCCGTGGATGAGGATGAGTCGTTTGTCTCGACCGGCATCCCTGCCGCAGCCCGGAAGAGGAAGCAGTCCAGCAGGCCCGCCCTCCGCGCCGGGACTCGCCAGCCTTAAACTGACACGAAAGGAGCGAATGGGATGCGGAGCCCGCGACTCGTCTCGTTCCAGAAGGAAGTTCTGACACCCGGCGGCGCGGGATGCTAAGTTGGCGCGCAGCCCTAGAAGCTCCGGCGAGATTTGACAGCGCTTCACCGCTAGAATAGACTTGGGAGATCTTTGGATTCTGGAATGGCTGAGACCGTCACAATTCCCGGGGGATCAACGATTCGTGCATTCAGCGGTGCTGTGCGTCCTGTGGCTCGCCGGGCGGGCGTGAAACAAATAGCGACGACTCAGCACACGACTCGTCGTCGTCCTGTTCGCGCCCAAAGCCCGTTTGTTGCCAGATGGCAAAGGATGCAACGCGTCACGATCTCTTCACTGGATAAAAGCAATCTGGCGAGTCTGGATTGCAAACAGCGATCGGGTAAAAACAAAACATGGAAGGCCTGTCATCCCACATCTCCCACCCCCGTCCGTCCCAATCTCGTCTCCAGATGAGATGGTCGCCGGGATGTTCTCCGCGCTGCCGAACGTTGGGCGTGGGCCGGGGATGCTGATGTTCCACGCGAGGCGCCGTCGATGTCTCTGCCAGGGGCTTGGGTTTAGGTGCGATTCATGATAGTGGAGATGAGGATTTATTGCCGTTCGGCATGTCGACGATCGCGATCGAAGCAATTCGGCTCCTTTCATGTTGACCGAGGTGCAAAAGTGAGACACTGCTGAGAATCTAGAGAGGGGAGGAAATGGTGATGAGAGTGCAGAAGCAAACGAAAGAAGACCAATGGTGCTGTACACAGCCGGTGACCAACCGTGGTTGGGCGCTTCGTCACATATTGTACAATAATATAGATACATGTAGCAGTGAAGAACAGGCAGTCCCTGTCGGCGAGGCAGCCACTCGACCGGTTTGCAGCCACGGGTCCGTTTGATAGCTCTGTGTTGAAATGCAGCGCTCGACATTAGACAGTCCTCCCCCTTAGCGCCAGCACCTTCTCCCTCCACGCCTTGACCTCCTCTTCGCTCATCGCCCGTTGGCTGTCAGGCTTTCTTTCATCGCCCATTGTATCGCTCAGCCCGTATGTTCCCAAATCGTTCACCCTGTTCAGCCCAAGACTGGCGTTGTGCGCGGGCGGTGCGGTGCCAGCAGCGATCGCTTCATCCACAAGCCGATGATGCTCTCGATCGTTCGCGGCCGATTGCTCCAAGAGCCAATTCATAGTCTTCCAATTCTCATACCGTAGAGTACCGAGTGGGATGTTCGTGGGTGACTTCCTGTGCGGTGCACCTATTGGCGCTGCAGATAATGCCGCCTCTGCTGTTGGTTGTGGTTGCTCAATGCTTTCAGTGCCACTGTGACCAAGGTCCGCAGGTCCAGTTTTCGGCTGTTCGGTGGTGAGCTCGTCGTAGAGAGTTCTCTGTACCTTGTCCGGCACAGGGTTTCCACTCTCAGGGCGCAGCATGGTCATGGGAAGCTTCTGCGAGCTGAAGTCCTGATGGACTGGACAATCTTTGGTACGCTCGTCGAATACGTGCAAGTCGTTTTGTAGCGCACTGAGCTGACTGAGCATCGTCTCAAGGTCGAGCGCTCTCAGACTGTCGAAGTCAGGAAGACCCTCGTCCTTGCTCTCCAGCATCGAATCGATCCGATGCTGCTCCTCCGGGGACATGGTCTGCCTATGAGCCTCGAACTCTTGCCGGGCGAAGGCGAAGCATTTTGTGTCACGAGCAGAGATGATGAAGCAGGCCCAGTCCACTAAGTCAGGTTTCTGATCTGCGTTGTTTCTTGCTTGCACCACGAGTCTCCAAGTCGCCATGAGCATTTCGCCGTCTCCTAGCTTGCCTGCAGCAACCATGATAGACCGCCGTGTCACGTGGGTTGGTTCCAGGCCCATGCCCTTGGCATCAGCGAGCGCTCTTCCGACCAGTTCTTTTGAGTACGGACCAAGTTCGTTTATAATCCTATTGAAAGCTGCAATGCCAGGTCTGACCCCAAGTCGTGCAGCGATGGTAAGGATGTGTCTGATTATTCTCACGATGGGAGCTAGACACTGCCGCCTCTGTGATTCTGGCGCAGCTCTGAGTCCCTTGACGAGACCTAGACTTGAGACTGACATGATGAGTTCGCTGAGCATGTTCGTGGTAAAGACATTTCCAGCGCCTCTGTACATGTGAAGCAATGAGAGTTGAGCTCTGACGATCATTGGATGAATTAAAGCTGAAGGAAGCTTTCCCAAACCCTGGTGGGCCCGCAACGCGCTTTGACACTTCTTCATCAGACTACCGGGAAGGTAAATGCCAGCTCGGCAGGCAATTGCCACGACGGTGTATGCTTCGATCAAAGGTCGCTCTTCAACGAAAAGGGTGAAGAACCGAGACGGGACTTGGTCTGGGTATAACCTGAGTGCAGTGTCCAGTGCCAGATAGGCGTTGCGGGTGTCGCCATGCAAGAGACGCGCCGTCAGAATGCCCTGCAGTAACGAAATTGGTATGCCGGGTAGTCGTACTGCTTCTTCGCGGTTCGGCACGATCGCATTGGGCGAGAGATGGTATGCTACGAAATTCCCTGGAAAACGGGTGAGTGCTTCCTGGTACAGTTCCTCGAGGTCGGTAAGGGGGGTTCCAGACACGGCCAACAATTCTATGGCAGCACCGTACACGTCGTGATCGATGAAGGAATCGTCTTGGGCTTGCAGCCACTCCCAGAAGTTGCCTCCAGAATCTCGGTGGCCGATCTCCTTGAAAAGTCCCAGTAGATGTACATGTGCAAGCTTGTTGGGTTCGACAATGCCCTGTTTGAGGTCTTCAACCAGTCTTTCGCCAAAGGTGGCTAGAGTGTCTGTCTCTTCCCTATGTCTCTTGGGATCGGCCAAGTATGGGTTGAGACGACGACAGTGTTGGTGCAAGCATTGAACAATGAGACGGAAGTCGTGTCGGTTGAAGATGCTCTTGTCTTCCAGCTCATCATATAGGCGCACCACGTCTTTGATGCTGGAATCTGCTACTGCGTGCCGCAAGTCCTCGCGCTGTCGAAGAAGAGCTTTGGTGGGTTCGTCTGCCTCTTGTGTGGCGCGGAAAGGAAAGTCTCGTGCCTTTTGCCGTCTGGGTCTACGCGCTTTACTCGCGAAAGCAGCACGGCTCTCAGATAGCCATCGCGGATGAGGTGAGGATGCAGACCACAACGCTTGACGGCCTCTTTCAGGGCAGGAGCGTCTTACCGAGTACTCTCTGAAGGGCTGCAGAGGCCTGCCCGTGCGTCCATTGCAGTCTCCAGCTATCGGTCGAGAAGCATGTGATCCCACGGTCTGTGAGGATCCATCTTGGAGGACTTGTGATGGCTGGGTTGAGTACAACCGTCCTGATGCTCTTTTGAAACTTTGCAACCAGCGTCGGTGTATTTGGATCTCAAGCTGCGCACGCTGGAGTCCAGTCATCAACATCGAGGCCCAGATAGAGTTGGCGATTGTACCAAGGTTAGGTTGATCTTGTCTCGAAGACAATCACATGCGGTTGCGGAGGACTCGGGAAAGCCAAGCCATCCCGACCTCACTTCAATTGACAGGTGTACCGCAACCAGCACAGGCACTATACAACCCCTCTACACTGGACTCTGGATACTTGTGAACGACCTGCCCAACATGGCGCTCAACATGTCCCTCTTCTCGGTCAACGCGATCCTAATCCTCTCCAACGACGACTCCTCGCGCATCCTCACGAAATACTACTCCCCACCCCACATCCCGCACAATGCTCAGGGAAACAACTACCCCGGCGCGAACCCATACCCCAATCTGAAAGACCAGAAGGCGTTCGAGAAGGGCTTGCTGGAGAAGACAGCGAAGCAGACGACGGATGTGATCCTGTACGACAACAAAGTGGTGGTGTTCAAGATGGAGAGCGATGTGATGCTGTATGTGGTGGGCGGGGCGGATGAGAACGAGATAATGCTGTACAATGTCATTCTGGCGTTGAGGGATAGTTTGAATATCCTGCTCAAGTATGTCTCTACCATTGAGAATAGTTCAGGCGCGTGTGGAATGCTGACACATCCGCAGAAACTCCGTTGACAAGCGAACACTGATCGAGAACTACGATCTGGCATCGCTCTGCATAGATGAGATCGTCGACGACGGCATCATCCTCGAGACAGATCCAGTAGTGATTGCGAGCAGAGTCAGCAGGCCGCCGGTGCAGGACATGCCTAACATGCAGGGGATTGATCTTAGTGAAGAGGGATTGCTCAAGATCTACCAGTTTGGCAAGCAGAAGTTGGGCGAACGGTTACGGCAGGGGCTTTAGGAGTGAAGTGGTTCAATCATGGGGAATGCATAGCGAAGGCGTTGGCGGTGATGACGGGAGGGATATGCTGTGCCTTAGATCGCACGCAGAGACCCCGAAAGCCCTCAGTACGACTCCATGACTATCTTCCAACCCGTCCTGTTCCAGCGCTGCCTCAGTGCGGCCGGCATGATTTGCTTGCCCAAGGATGTTGCGGAATGCATGCAATCTCCGCGGCATTCTCCAGCAGTGCAACGAAGAGTGCAGCGAACGTCAAAGCGCATGGTTCACCATCAATGAAGCTGAGCCACCACCGCCGGCCCAACCTCGGAGTTCGAGCAAAGAAACCCTACCAGATATATTCTACTCCAAAGGTATGTCCCTCGTTCAGCAGCCAAAGCACCAACCCAACACTCCACTTCCACTTTAGTATCCTCAAGCAACCCGTGACATGTATCGTACCGTGGTGGTGGACCCACCTTAAAGATTCCAAAAGAAAGAGTTCCAAACAAGTAGAAAACGCAAACCGTTGAATGCGGAGTTTTCTCACCTCTTCGGAGGATTCTTTTAGATCTTCTTTTGGTCCAAAATCATGTTGACTGAGAACGAGTGCTGCTGGTTTCTTTTGCGCAGTGAGGCAGTCGGGACGTACCCGACGAGTTTGGTGGGAGGATGGACCCACGGTCTGATTTTTGGACGTGGAGTGGCAGAAGGTAGATATGATCGTGCGCATTACCGTTTCCGTGTAAGGGCATGAGTCAATTCAGCCATCGTCATCCTCGTCGTCCTCATACTCTACATCCTCCGCCTCCACAAACGCATCCACGTCGATCAGCGGAGCGGCTCTGACGCCAGTCTTATCCGCCCAGGCCCTCACTTTCCCCTTGCTGACCACCACGTTCCCGCTCGCCGTCTTCCGCTTCTCCATCACGTCCATCTGCACCAGCGCCGCCACCACGTCCTCTGGTAGGATCCACGTCGCATCACTGATCTCTTTGATCCCCACCGACCTCTTGCCCTGCGTTCCAAGGATCCACCTTGCCACCTCTCCGGACCAGAAGGCTAGATATCCTTTCAATCCCAATGCTGACAGCGGCCGCTCCGGCCCTCCGAATCTCTCTTCCCGCTTCCCGAGTTCGTACGACGCAGCGATGAGTATCTGCCCGAGCCCGCGGCGTTGCCAGGGCGGGAAGACGAGGATGCAAGCGACGTTGTTATTGTCCCAGCTCATCTTCTCTTTTGAGAAGAAGCCGACGACTTGGCCGTGGGACTTGGGATCGGTGGGTTCGGGACGCAGGACGAGGGTGTAGTAGAGGAAGGTGCTGGCGTCGAAGAAGACGGATTTGGTTTCGAGGAAGAGTTTGGAGAAGAGGGAGAGGTTTTGCGCGTAGAGCTGTGCCTGCAATTAGCGAGGGTTGATGTGATATGGTTAGCACAGCCTGCCTTATGGTCTTCCCCATCGACCTGGTAGATGGCATAGCCGTCCTTCTCATACACGCAGTCGCCTGGCGGTTCTTCGTCTTTCATCGGGCACACTTTCTATCATGATCAGCCCCGTGTCTGTCCACTTCATGGCTTCCACTTACACAATGCCCGCAAAACTTCATGATCTCACTGGTGTACTTGAAGCACCATTGGCACACATACAGCCAGTCTGTCTTCCTCCCGCCGATCATGTCTTCCGGATAGAACGAAGGGTACCATGGCTTCATGTGCAGGTTACCGAGCACTGCGTTGGCGATGTTCGGCGGCATGGGGTTGGAAGAGGGCGCCGTGTTCGCGGAGCGATGGGGAGAAGTCAGGACAGGCGCTGCCGGGGTGGTGACGGCCATGATGGTTGCCTTGGACTGCTTGCGCCTGCCGGCGCATGGCTAGGTGTTTGCCATACTCCTCTTTCGATAGGAGATGAGATGAAGTCGCGCGTGAAGTTCGCGTAGTGGGGTCCGCGTCGGTCACTTTAGACACGCCTCCCGTCCTTTAACATCACCCCTTGAGTACTACTGATATATACTCCACGCACCTCTGAACGTCGAGGCAGTTGAAACGAGCGAGAAAAGATTGTTTTAGCTACGATCGGGACACAGGTCTTCAACTACGCAGGGCAATCTACAAGGAGTTTCCATCTGGATAACCCGACTACGTTGCCCCTGAAGCGGCCATATCAACGAAGTGCAAGCGAGAATCCAACTATGCAGACCGGCTGGACCAAGACCTCGATTCTCCGACTGCTATAGATATGTGGTTAAACGGGCTGCCTGCCGCGAAGAGACACCACGGTCATGATAACGACGGACACCGGCGTCACGCTTCTTTACCAAGTCCGAAGGCACCCACGCTCAAGTCCATTCCCAGGGATGTCAGCCACACACCGAGGCCACCCAGCCCGCCGAAGACACTGACCGGCTTGGAAGGTTATTGGTACGGACACATCAACTTGAAGGAGCACTCGATTGTTGTCGACACTAAGACGCCGTACTCGATCAGAACGTTCTGGAAACGCATCTGTGCACAGTATAGAGTATGGACTAAATACGGTTAAGACTTCCTGGCCGAGACGGTAGATCCAGGATGGCACAAGAGAGCCGTGGAAATGCTTGGGGCCAATTTGTTTGGCCACGAAGATGAGGACTGGGAACGAGAAGTAATTGCCACTATTAGGGAGTTGAAGTCCCGTGGTATTGATGAAGAAGGTCGAGGTGAGCTTGTTCGTGAAGTGTGGGAACGGTTCAGCGTTCTGACTACTAAGGAAGCAGTGACCTGGCAGAGGTCGCATATGGCTGTACAGCCAGCGCTGTCTGCTCACGATGACGATAGCTCCGCAGGATTCAGCCACAAATTGAGGACTCCCAAGCCGACCCTCACCGTTGGCTTTACTGAAGACGCGGTGTATGGTGGAAGCGCTGCATACCGTGAAATTCCACTTGAAGAATGGAAACGATCAGCGCTGCCCATAATTCCTGTCAAGCCTACATGGGTTTTTGACGTTCAGCTGCCGTACCTTCTCGTCGAATGCCGGTCCGAAACCAACACATCACTCCTCTCCGCTCAGAACCAGGCCGCGGTTGCCGGCGCCAGCGCACTCAACATCATGCAAGGCATACCCCATCTAGCCGAACAGCATGGATGGGAACCATTCGTCTTCAGCTTGACCAGCGACGGACCCATCGTGGAGTTGTGGATCCACTTCCTGACGGGTCGGTCTGGCGAGAGGTATTGCATGGCGAAGTTGTCGTATGCGCGGCTCACGGACGAGAAAGGGACTCGCAAGATCGCGGAGGATATTGCGGCCGTGATGAAATGGGCGCATACTGAATTGTTGCCTCGTGTGGTCGAGGCTGTGAAGGAGTCGAGTCCGTGAATTTAGAAGTGTCGAGGCTGTGATACTATCGAAGTACATGAATCCATTCCCTGTACGGGCTTTTGAAGGCTCGAATCTTTCCAGAAAGTGGTACTCGACTGACCTGCTCCAAAGTCTCACGGTGCAAGACGGGCGGTGCTTAGTCCCCTAGACTTAGCGAGCCGATGTTGAACGGTCTGCTGCTTGTGTCCCTTGCAAGAGCTTCCAAACGAGCGGTCTCTGCCATAGATCTCCGAAGCTGCCTTTCGATCTTCGTGTCGCCTGGGAGATGTTGCTGCGGGCGGAGGTCAGTATCTACATATATATGTATATGTGCCGCAAGTTCTTGCCGACGTCCACCCATCGGCTTATCGACTGCTTGGCCGAGTGACAAACGCCTCAACGGCCAGTCGAGTCCGCAGGGCAGTGTGGTGAGTTCCCCAAATGCCCTTACATGCACGCACCGTCTTTCACAATCCTTCATAGGTGAAGACGGGCAATGCCAGGGGGCAGAGACTCGCTGTCCGATGCATTGCTTTGAATGGATGCAGTGCCCACCTTGCTCACTGGCTGTGGGGAAGGTAGAATGGCCGCTGTCAGGCTTATCGCAGCAAGCTCCATTCGCAGAGCCATGACAGCTGATCGTACCTCTTCCGTAGGAGCGAAGGGCGAGCTCGATTGGATGTATGTCGATACTCGTTGCATAGTATGAGTACCAAGCCCCAACGCTCCGCAGTCCAACGATTTGTCTTCGAGCTTTCCAACCTTCTCAAGTAGATTTGTCATGTTGTTCCTCAACCTGTCGACTGTCTTCAGCACCTCGTCCGCCAACGACTTTGCCTTCGGCCGATGCATGACGGCTCTATGCGGTTGGCTTTCGCATTGGCAACTGCATACTTCGCCGCGAAGATGGATAATGCTTGTGTTCAGCGTGACAACGGAACATCTGAGCTCTCGCTTACATTCTTCTGCAAGTTGTTGATGTGCTTCCCTCGCCACTGATGGACGATCCCCTGCCAGTTGCGCAGAAACCTCGTCACATCGGAGGCATAGTATGTTCAAGCGGCCAGTTGCTTCCGCAATCTGTCTCCGCCACTTATGAAGTTTCTTGTCGAAAAGACAACGGTCCTTTGAAATAGCGGCATCGCCAGAGCGACATGTATCAGCCCATGGGGTCCAGAACAAGAGGTTGTCCGAGCAGTTCGCGAGCCTATTCCTTAGGTCTGGCTCCGTCTGCTTGTGGTAGAGGTCCACCATCCAGCCTTGTATAAGGTCCTGCAAAGGGTGCCGGCGGTAACAGCACTGCCACAGCAGACACAGCTCCATGACCAGCATGCCACTATCGGTCCGAGACACCTGTGGCAGCGTCCACAGAAGATCGAAAACCTCCTCGTCTGTCTCTGGAGTCCTATTCGGTATGAGGTTACCGACAGGTCTGTCTTCCGAGTCCGAACATTCGGAATCCGTGGTCGATATTGTGCTGATGCGGTGAGCCTCCCGAAGGCGCTGTAGAAGTTCGAGCTTCGGTATGTTATTGCGCAGCACTGTGGTATTCTGCCTGTGTTCAGTAGGAGGTAGACCCGCTGTGTAGAAGGCAAAGCGGACTCACAAATGGTATTTCTTTCGAAAATTTGCTACCGCAGCCATATCTTCCTGGCTAATATCGGGGGTGAAGGCAAGCTTGAAGGCCAATGCCAAGGTCAGCCTCGCCTTTGGCTCAATCGCTTGAGGCATGCGGTTGATGTAGTAGCTTAGATGGAAGCAGCCCACGACTTTCGTGCGTCTTCCAGTGATGTCTTTGTCCATGCACTGAGGTGCTTGCAGTTTGTGCGAGTCTTTGAATCGGACGAGACGTGTGAGCTCATGGTGAGCCAGGTCTGGAGTACAGCATGTAAGCACGACATCAGACTTGATGATACGCAGGACCTCCATGGCCACGTCGAGGCAGTCTTGGTCTGACGGTGCACGAGCCGAGTCAACCTCTTTCTTCGGCTTGAACGAGAATGCGTCCAGAATTACTGTGTCTGAGATACTTCGCTTGCCGTTCGTGACGAAGCGAACCATCTCGTCCACAGCTTGAAGCGTCGCGCAGTCATTAACCAAGTCCTCGAAAGCAGCAGCGTACTTGTGCTTGTCACGAGGTCGCTCCAGCAAGACAACCATGTCACTAACACCGTGTGCAAGATCGCAGGCTTTCTCGATCTCGTCTTCTGATCTCCTGTGTAGTTTGCCGAAGGCTCTGATCGTTTGGTCGACCCGGGTGCTCACAAGTGGGCGCTGCGCTGCTGGACGTTTGGCGAGTTCGCGGAGCTCCGTGGGCGTTGGAATGCCCAAGCATGTTGTCTTTCTCCGGTCACAGTCGTCCATAGCGGTAGACGCAAAGGTGTGCAATAGTGAGTAAGAAGCGCACAAGACCCAGTTCCAGGTCGGAAGGGATACTCAGACAGCAAGAAGAATGAAGTCGTGGCGGTCTCAGTCGCAGCGCCACCAAGCAGAGTGACAGGTGACAAGTGAAGCACATAATCGCCTCAGGAATCAAGGCACTCTGCGATTGACTGGTGCAGCAAGGCGATGCGACTCGTGGTAGGCGATGAAAGCACGACGGGAGGCTGAAGATGTGAAGTCTGCGAGGAGCTCACAGGAACCGCGAAGAAAGCGAAAGGCACGGTCAGTAACAAAAGATCACACATACCCTATCAAACCCATAAAACAATCCTCACTAACATATGTTACATCTCCTTATCCCACCCACCCCTCGACAACACCTCTCCCTTCCTCTCCTCCGCGTCTGGCACAGCCACCAGCAAGCTAACCCAGCCGTCCAGCAGCCAGTGACTGACTGGTGAAGGAATCTGCAGCAGACATTATGAACACCTCCCCCCGTGCTCCCTCAACCTCCCTCACTCGCTCGCGCACTCGCAGCATCGCCCACCCACCCGTAACATATTAACAGAAAGAAGGTTGACATCAGGCATTTTCCATTGTCCGGAACCCGGCTGCAGTCAGTAGACAGCGTGAGCACCGTCCCGAAGGCTGCCAAGTCGCCATCTGTCAACAAAGTAAAGAAAAAGAGTAGAAGAAAGGACATCTGCTCTTCCGACGCCGTGGGTAACCGTGTAGTAAGTAGAAGCCGCTCTGTACGTAAACATCGTCAACTCAAAAGGAAAAGGGCGAGACGCAGCGTGGTTGTCTCAACGATGCTGCGGCGGCGCTCGGGTATCTCTTTTGAAGTGGAACTAGAGGGCCTGGCCTGGCACGGGCTTCCGGGCGGGGACGGCAGTGGGAGTGGTCGGGCGCTCGATGCCGTTCATGCTCTGGGAGCGAGGGCGTGGGCCGGGCGAGCTGGGCGCTGGGGAGTTCCTGCCGAGGGTGTGGGAGCGCTCGCGGCCGGTTGGGGTCAGCGGGCGTGGGACCATGGCGTTGTTGATTTGAGGCGACGATGGGCGGCGCATGTTTGGTGGCGGTGGGCCCATGGGGCGGCCTGGGGCGCCGTTCGGTGGTGGACCTTGGGGACGTGGCTTGACGGGGAGCTTGGACAGGCAAGTACGCGGGCAGACACCTTGTTGAGAGCGGTCGAGACGCATGCAGAGAGCCTGTAGATATGTTAGCAGTGAATCGAGCTTGGAATAGGTGCGGATACGTACCCAGCCATCGTCGTACTCGTGCACCATGCGGACAAGCTGGCCAGAGCGGAGGTCGATCTCATCTTCCATAGATGGCTTGAAGTCGAGCTGGACACGGTGGACGTTGTTGGGGCCACGAGCAGGCTGAGCGCCGTTCGGGCCGTTGGTCGAGGTGATGGCCACTGCGGCGGCGGTACCAAACTTGGCGGACTTCGGCGTCGGTGGTTCGGTGCCTTCCCAAGAGTTCTGTTGGCTGTGTCCAGGAGTCTTCTTGCCAGCTGCGACAGCACCGTCACCGTCGGCGAACGGATCGCTAGTCTTCTCGTTCAGAGCAGCGGAGTCGTCGAATGGGTTAGAGCGAGGCTTCTCAGACATGGCAGGGACGCCAAGGGTGTTGCTGTTGTTGGTGGTAGTGGTCTTCTCGCCACCGAGGATGTTGGGCAAGAATTGGGTGACCGGGCGAAGGCTGAGACGTGGAGCAGTGGCTGCGGTGCGGGTGGATTGGAAGCTCTTCTCAGACTGCATGCTTTCGCGCTGAGGACCACGAGCGGCGGCGGCGGAAGAGCCGCTGAAGAAGCTATCCTTGGTCGCACGCTTCTCGTTGAGCTGCTCAGCACCGGCATGGCTGGCCTGCTGCTTACGTCGGCGCCAGCAGAAGAAGAGGAGGCCACCAGCCAAAGCGATGAGGAGGAGGATGCCGATAGCCAGTCCAGCTTTGGCGCCCGTGGTCATGCCTTCGCTCTTCTGGCCGATAGCAGAGTCGGCACCGTGAGTGGCGGAGATTGGAGTACCGCCGACAGCGTCATGCTCACGAGTGTGGGAGAGTGGGTGGCCACCAACGGCAGCCGCGACCGCGGAGCTGGAAGCGGCAGAGCCTGAGGCAATGGCGGTCGTGCGAGTGCGCTGGGTGGGAACGGTGACAGGCGTGTGCGCAGACTCGCTCGCTGGCTTCTCACGGGTGCGCTGAGTTGGCACAGTGACAGGAGTGTGCACACTGGTGCTGCTGGCGACTGGAGTATGAGGAGCCTGAGCCATAGACTTTGCGGAGAGGTAAGAGGCCTGCTGAGCCGCAAGCTCGGACTGAGCGACATTGTTGGCGCCCTGCGATGCAGCTGCAGCTGCGGCCGGAGTGGAAAAGCCCTTGAGCTCTTCACCAGCGCCGAGTGTCTTGGTGACATAGACCTGTGAGTAGATGGTCTCTGCGACGGCCTGCTTGCCAGCCGCACCCTTGAGAGCGCCCTCGGGGAGGTTGTGGATGAAGCGCATCTTGTTGTCGGGCTTGTTCATCTTGATGCTGTCGCCGTGGCTGTCGCGCTGGTGGAGGTGTTCGTGGGCGTAGTTGTGCACCATCTTGGCGGTGGTTGCCGTTGTCGAGTGCGAAGTGGTCGCAGTGTCCAAGAGGTGATTGTTGTTTGTGTTGGGGCCGTCGAGACCGTGGAATGCGCAAAGGGGGCTTGGGTAATGAATGGCTTGCTGTTCGCGTCAAGGAGTGGATTGACAGCAAGGTGCTGTCGAAGAGAAGGCAAACGGACCAGCGCAAAGTGAGTGTGAGGGAATGGTGACTCTGGCGCGCCTACGACGACGGGAGAAGGTGCAGAAACGAAGAAGGGAAGCGCGAGGTCGCGAGCGAGCAACAGGAGGGAGATTGTGGTCCACGCTCATTAGGCCCGAACGGGATAGCGTCGACGCTAAATGCAGGAACCAAACTCAACTTCAGCGAATCACGGGGTTTGAAGACCAGCAAGGATGCCATATTGCTGAAACGACAGCAACGCTATTTCTTTCTCTTTCTCACGATGCGACTTCACCACAATTGTCCTCTCCGTGAGTTCGACACGATTGCTGGTCTCTCATTTCCAGCTACGTTCACGTGGGATAGTAACATTGGGAAAAACACGAACAAGAACGTGTAGCGACGCGAAGTAGAGGTTTGATTACGCGTGGGACCGTCTTCCAACGTCGCGGACTCGATCGGCAGCCGGGGCGAAGACAAATTGCGTGGTGGTTCTTGCAAGCCTCTGACGTTGGTTCAATCTGCTGGACCTTCATCAAATTGTTTGCTATGTTCAGCTCTATGGCCTCTTCCTCCCCGACGGAGCGCAAGGGAAAGCGACAACATCTATGACTGGAGAATGTAGACTCCACTAGATATCGAAAATGTGTCTCGACTCGGAAGTCCACCTTGCACCCCCTTGAGGACTCTCGACATTGGCCTCTCACACTGTTAAAGCTACAGCAGCAGGCGTGATGCCGCCTGGTTCGAGAGGACGACGAGACATATGGCTGCTCGTAGGCTGCTGAAGCTGCTGCCATTAAGGGGATCTCGTGTTCATTCCTCCGCTCTATTGGTAGGCCTTTGCCTGGAAAAGCAGTTTCTAGGCTCAGATTGAAGACTTCATTGAATGGAGCTTGCACAGCATAGAGAGGCAGTCAGCACGCTTCCAAAAGTACGAGTGGAAGAAGGTCAACGATGAGAGCCACGCACGATCCCCACACAGAGCAGGCGGTTCATGTGGTAGACCATGGCCAGGGCCCGGAGGCGGAGGGTTGCAGTGCATCCACAGTGGCAGCTGCCATGCGGCCATAATGGAGGCCCAGAGCGCATCCCTTGGTCGCTTCTGTTGAAGAGGTCTAAGGTAAGTCTCCGCGGAGACCTTGTTGGGGCGGGAGGAGTGGTCAAGCTTCGTCTCCCTCTACGACCATGGCGAAGTCGAAAGCAAAGATAGGCGTTCGGGGCATCAGGAGGACGAGGATGGTGAGGGAGGCTCGAAGGTGGTGAGGAATGTCGACACCAGGAGCGTGGTCAAGGGATGCGGATAGTGGCATGCAGTCCAATACAAATTCTACCATACGTCAAGCGTCTTGAACAGTTTCCTGATTCTCGATATACTGCTGCGAATGTTGTAGAGTGCTATGTTGTATCGTTCACAATGTCTCCCTTCGGCTGGCCTTCAGATCGGCCCATCGGACCCACCTCCGACCTCACCTCTTCCCGCCGTCACAGCAATCAATTCTCGAACACCACATTCGCTCCAGATCTCGGAATTCTTGATCGCTATTGGATCTTCGAGCACTTGAGTTCTTTGAACGACAACACCGAGCCTGTGCTCAACGAGAATGCCTTGACGCAGATCACCCTTGACGTCGCCCGCCAGCTAAGCGGCCTCGTCGGCAGGCCCGTCGACGAAGCATATGACGAGGCGCAACCTGTACTTCTGGAGAGCCTCTTTCTTGCGAAGCACGGCTCACTCCAGAACTCAACGGTGAACATGTCCACACCTCTCCTAGGCCAGTTTCTGGTCGCGATCAACGGCTTCATCGACGTCCGGAACGAGAATGGTCTGGCCGAATACCTCGTCCTTGAGCCGCCGTTCGGTGATCACTACATGCGTATGATCGAAGAGCTGAAGAGCGCATACCCAAGAGGCAGCGAAAATGCATTGGAAGAGAAGTGCAGCCAGAACCTCAAAGCCGCAAGAGAAGGAGCAGAGGACCAACCATGGACACCCTTCATCAAGTTCATGGTGCAGTATTTGGGATATCTGAGGGACGTGGATGCGGACCCGAATAAGTACTTGCAGACGTACGAGCTGCTGAGCGAGCTGCAAGTCCGTGCTAACAGCGCGCTTGCGCATGGAGTACTGGGATATCTGATACTGAGGATTGTGGTGGCGAACGCAAAGCTGGTGTGTCGGCTGGCGATCGGACTGGACAAGCAACCGGAACTCATACGGAATCTCAAGAGCGCGGGTGGGCAGCAAGGCGGTGGTGAGGATGATGATTCACAAGAGACGCTGCCAGAGCGAGCGGCCAATATCCTGAGAAGATCTTTCGTGACGTGCCTTAATGATAGAAGCCAGGTCAAGGATGGCAAGCCGGGAGGCAGGAAGAAGGGCATTTACATCATCGCCAATCTGTGCTTGAAGATTCTCTTTCAGTGCCGGAAGACGAGGAACGCCACGCAAATCTTCGAGAACATCTACAACCTCTCGCCTCCGCTCAACGCATACCCAAAGCGCGAACGGGTCACCTACCTATACTACCTCGGACGCTTCCTCTTCCAGAACAGCCACTTCTACCGCGCTCAGCAGGCGCTCCAGCATGCTTACGACGAATCACCATCACGGCAGGAATGCGTGAGGCAGCGACGGCACATCCTTGTCTACCTCATCGCCTCGAACACTATTCTTGGTCGCTTTCCGTCAGAAGCCTTGCTCTCCCGACCCGAGGCCCAGGGTTTGGCAGACCGCTTCCTTCCCATCTGCTTCGCAATCCGCAAAGGCGATCTTGCCTCCTTCCGCCAGCACCTCGACTTCGACAGTCCACACGCAGACTGGTTCTTGCACTTCCGCATCCTGCTTCAGCTCCGCAACCGCTGCGAAGTCCTCGTTTGGCGATCACTAGTCCGCAAAACCTGGATCCTCAACGGCACCCGCCCGACCGACGCAAGCAGCAAAGTGGCGCCCACAGTCAATATTCACGACCTCGTCGCCGCGTTTACCTTCCTCGAGAACCGCTCTACTTCTCAACCGGACAACTACACCGACCCAGACTTCGCAGGCATCACCTACGACAACCCCGACGACCCTTCCGTCGACGGCTCATCCCACTACGACACCACCTCCATGGAATCCATCCTCTCCTCGCTCATCGACCAAGGCTTGCTCGGCGGTTACTTCTCGCATCGACTGATGAAATTTGCCATCACGGGCGCGGCGAAGAAGGGCAGTGCGTTGGCGGCGGGGTTCCCGCAGCCTTGGGGTGTCTTGCAGGCGAGGGCGGAGAGGGAGGATGGGGAGGTGCCGGGGTGGAAGAAGGAGGTTAAGATGGGGACGGGAGGGGCGATGAGGCCGGGGCCGGGGATGGTGTTGAATTTGAGTGGGGCAAGGCCTGTTGGGGTGGCTGGGTGAGGATGTCGAAGATGCGCGTGAGCGGTTCAGTATGCTCTGGGCCCAAGACATTGATGACCACGAGGCCTTGGGGTGAAGATGTTGAAGATGTGAGTGGGCGGTTGAGTATGCTCTGGGCTCCGAGGCATTAATGATCAAGAGGCGGTTACAGCCAGTGCCTTCAAAATGCTACCCAGAACCATGCCCGAAATCGACGCATGGCCCTTTTCATGTGACAATGACGCCATCCTTGATGTGGCTTAGCCTGCTGCAGGAGCTGCCTGGACTCTACAACGCACTCGAGGTTCTGAATTTGCACCATCGCTTCTGCGACTCTTCACACGAACAAGTCTCCGGTGGCGCGATCATCATGGAGTCCAATGCGCCGGACGTCCGGTATGGTCTTCTTCAAGTCCTCTAGATATACTTCGCTGACAGAAGTACAGTAGCATAAGCCGCGCACACCAGGCCGACAGCGCATCCGCACCCGCAGACTCAGTCGTCCTCGCGCCGTTGCCAACCACGTCCGATGCCGACCCCTCAGCAGCACATCCGCCACTCGCACCTGAGCATGACCAAACGACCGCCGAACGCTCCGCAGGACAACGACTCTCCGATACTGTCGAGCTCCTCGAGATGATACTGTTTGGACTGCCAATGAAAGACCTGCTCTTCTCTCAGAAGGTGTGCAAGCAGTGGAACGAAGTCATTGAATCGTCGACCAAGCTACAGCAAGCGCTTTTCTTCAAAGCACCCCCAGGTGACCAAATCGGCGACCAGCTCGAGGACTCCGAGGGTCCGTTTTCCGTCAATCCGCTCGTTTGTACCATGCTTCGATCCTGGGGTCGCACCTCCTATCCGCTCACTCGGTCTACTCCACGCAGCTTCCTTCTACCTCACGAGTGGAGGGAGGTGGATAGTTCCTGGAGAAAGATGGACGTGACCTCGCCACCAACCTGCGTTACGATCAAGATGGGTATCCGCGCGGCATGCGGCCACGGCTACGACATCCGCGAGCAAGTCACGAAGGACCTTCTCACTGGTTGGCATGCAAGCTTTGTTTATGATCATAATTACTCTCCTTACGGATCCATCTCGAAATCGATGACAATCGACACATCCCGCATGGGCGATGTGTACGAAGTCATGCAAGAGGAACTGGATGTCGTGGCAGCAATGCCACCAAATCCAGATCTCCTTCTCACCCACTACCACCTCGAAGTAGAGCTGACCGGCGTGCGGGATTTTTGAGGGGCACCCATAGACTTGAGGTGTTTGCTGAGCAAGGGCGAAGACACTAAGTGTATCTCCATGCCGCCGGCGATGGACTGATATTGACGAGCGGGATGAGCTGTGGGTCACGGCGGGTCGATCATGCGGATATGGACACGGCAGAGCCTACGACCAGCAAGCTTCTGCACATCACCTCAAGCATTGCAGGGCTTTGCGGTGCATCATCGAGCGAGGTCCGGCATGAGGAAGCTACGCGCAGCAGACACAAGGCTTCAAGAATTACATCGGAGTGTTCGTTCATCGCTTCACCGCTCATACACAGGGCTGGCTCTGGTCATGACTTGATCTATCGGTCCACTTCCACCTGTCCTGCTTCGTAAGTTCACGGGCATCTCTAATTCGCCGGCCAACGGCTACTGTGAGATTCAGATCCTCCGTTTCGAAACATCTCTATCATGTGATTTCAGGCTAGTGCTACCACGTGGCACTCCCAACGTCATCGCAAAAGCACCTGCTCACCTTGCGGCACACTCCGCTCTGCAACCTCACATTACGAACCTCAAGACGCTTCCTTCAAAGACAATTTCACAGCCCTGTACAACGACAAGCTCTCCAGCGGTGGCCTACCATGGCTTCGAAAGAGCCGGACATCAGGTATGATACCTCAATTGCCACCAGCACTTGCACTACTGACCCAATCGCAGGTCCAGGCGCGAATCTGCGGCAGGCCCAGCGATGCCAGGCACGACTTCACCACCCCTCGCAGTGGGCCAGGTGAAGCACTCAGCAGACTCCAACTCCGCCCTTCACCAAAACGACAATGCAAGCGCCGGTGATGCCGCACTATGACTCTTCGACACCGTCGAGCTCCTGGAGACGGTGCTCTTCGCTCTCCCGACAAAAGACCTTCTTTTTGCGCAGAAGGTGTGCAAGCACTGGAAGGGAGTCATTGAGGGCTCGGTGAAACTGCAGCGGGCGTTGTTCTTCAGAAGCATTTCCGACAAGCCTGCGAAGTTTGGGGACGTCCGGAGGCTCAATCCTCTGCTCCACTCCTTACCATTACAGCGAGGGACATCTGTGAGCCACCCGGACCAAACCTTCTCAGGAATCTCAACGACCGGCGCTATCCTCGATCCCGCCTGGCTACACGAGGATGCGAGCTGGCGATTCATGTCGCCATCGCAGCCCTGGACAGCTGGTTCATTCGTTATGTGTCCTACACTGGACGAAGCCAGTCTCATGGAAGAAGCAGCGCGCAGTGACGGAGAAGTCATAGCTAAAGCTTGGGTGGCACGCTTTCAACACAACAAGGGCTGGAATCAGTGCTTTGATCTTCATGCACCGCAAGACGAGTTTACAATGGGTGATATTCTGGAGTCTCTAGACGAGATGCTACAACTCATACCAACCAGCTTTTGCCTCGGTGTGACGGTGTTTTCTGGCATGGATGGTACTCCGTTCTTGCAAGACAACGAAGAACTGGTCCGGCTGATTCATCATACTCGGAACTGCAAGAAAGCCAAGGGCGGCCTATGCACTGGTCCACTGGCCCGTTACATGTATTCTTTTTGGAATGACAAGGAGGAGTGGAAGGAAGACAAGTGCCTCTACCCAGGTGGTAGCTGCTCATGATCGTATGGCGGCACGCTTGAGTTCAATCTCTCAGTGATTGGACTTCAAGGTAAACAACAAGCGGACTATCTGAGGTAGGGAGCCATGAGAACAGGCAGAGAGGATCAGCAGACACTTGGCTACTTCTGTGGTGGTTAACGTTCGCTGATAAAGAAGGCAAAGACGAGCATGAGGCAAAGCCCAAAACCGACCTGGAGAGCGAACGATGAAGTAGGTTAATTCCGTCGGCAAGTGACTTCTCAGGCTCGAAACGTGTCGCTTTTCGCTTTTACATTGTATGGCTTTCCTTGAATCCGTTCACTTCCTCCGCTGGAGAGACCCGTTCCTCACTTGTCGTTGCCTCGAATCAATCATGTGAATGTGGATCCTTCGTCACACCTCACAGTCCATGTGACATCTACTGCGCTTGGGCCGCAGCACGTGCGTTCAACACCACTTCATCAACGTTGTGAGCTTTGTGCTTTGCGAACTTCACCACCACATCTGCTAACAACTGCAAGCTGGTCCCCAACACATCGAGCAACGGCACTTCTCTGCGCCGCCACCATGGCGCACACCGGAGCAGACACGAGGTATGAGCGACTTATAACCCATCAAATGCATCGCTAACGCAACGACAGTGACCCGGATGGCCTGCAATCAGCTACCAAAATGCCACTCACGACTTCATCTTCAGCAGCCATGCCGTACTCGCCAGTCACTACCACAAGCACGCTCGGAGGACAGCAGAGCAGCCCAGGTCTCCTGAAGGCAATATCGCAAGACTTCAGCATGCCACCCTCAACGACACTTGCGGTGATCTCCGCGCGCTCTTCGACAACATCAAGCTACCCACCAGAGGACGCATCCGCCACAGAAGGTTTTACTCCACAAACGTTCGAGAAGTGTCTCCAAGTGCTCGAAACGGTGGAGCTTTTGGAGATGATTCTCTTCGCCCTACCAACCAAGGTTCTCCTCTTCGCTCAGAAAGTTTCCACGCAGTGGAAGGATGTCATGGACAACTCGCTCAAGCTGCAGCAGGCACTGTTCTTCACAAGCATCTCTGATGACCTACTCGATGTCTCGGAGGGCGAGAAGAGGTATGCTCAGGTGGTCAATAATCCTCTCCTGGATGGTCTCCAGAGAGTGCCTCTTGAGTTTGAACCAGGAGACACATTTCTCGGGGGCGCCAGTGGCGCGGCTATGCTTCACCGATCCTGGTTGCACAAGGACGCCAGCTGGAAGCGCATGACACCCACACAACCTGCGATAAGCCACCACATGTGGTTGATACTAGGTCTGAGCCCAGTGCGGGTCACCAAAGAGTTGATGGGCAAAGACCCAGACCAGGCGGTCAAGAACTGGGCGGCCAAGTATGCTTACAGCCCCTTTTGGGACGACTGGCAAGAGATCAATCAAGCAGACGAGAAGATGTTCCTGGGCGACGTCATAGAAGCCATCGACGTAAAGCTGGGACTCCTTCCAACCAAGCTGGCTTGTGCTAGCACGATCTGCGACATGACCGGGGAGCTTCCGACTCTGGAGAGCAACGACGAGTTGGAGGAAATGATCGAGCATGCGAAGAGTTGCGAGCATTCGGACTTCTGGAGCAATTGCTCACACAGACAGACAAAGATCGAGAAGGAGGAGCAGAAGAGGAGGCTGGAATACAAGTTTCTCCTCGCAAAATCCGACACTGAGGAGGACGATTGAAATCACAGCAAGAACTTCGAATGCAAAGAAGTCTCTTTTGATGAAGATCAGTACTGCGAGAAGACGTTGGTCATCAACGGGCATTGGAACGCAAACCAGAGCTATCGACTCAGAAGATCGGTCTTCTACAATGCAAATTACACGATGGCAACTCGACGTCGCATTGAGGGCATGTCCTGCCACGTATCACGTACAGAACGTCTGAAGCAAGGGTCAGTTGGAGCAGAGTGCCATACGCCGAGATGGCTGTGGCTTGAGGGATGAGCACATTGCACGACCCGAAATGAGGACACAGTGGGTCTCAATTGCTTTATGCACCGTATTATGTTGCTCTGGTCCAGTCCACACTCCTGCTGCCCTCGCCGTTCCCAATCACTACATCCTAATAACCGCGAGGTTGTGGAGTTCTCACTGCTTCAGACGAACGTGACGGGGTACCCTCAGCTTAGTAGGTCGAACAAGTTAGATCTCAGCCCGCGCAAGTACACAAACAGCACACAGATGCATGATGCAATACCCTGTCCTCAAAGAAGAGCCTCGCGAGTCCTACAGCGTAGCAAGCATGCCTTTCGCAGTGCACCTTCCCACCAGCACAACAGACTTGCGCTATCGCCATTGCCACCACCAGAGGCCAAAGCAGCAAGAGCGCCCATCATCCCGATCAAAACAACCGTGAACGGACAGAGGAAGGCAACAATCTCACCCTCCCACAGCAGCGACATCGTATCCCAATCATTACAAGATTCTTTTGCACCACTATACAGCAGTTCCACAAGCCCGTTTCAGCTCGTTGGAGGACGCATCCTACCACTCATTCATAGACCAGCAGAGATGGCAGCTCGGCAACCCTCTCCCACGAAAGCGCCAGTGCCGCCGGTATTGTTCACCTACGAGTTGCTCGAGCTGATCCTGTTTGAGCTTCCAACGCGAGATCTGCTCCTGTCGCAGCGAGTATGCACGAGGTGGAAGGCAGTCATTGAGAACTCGACCGCTCTGCAGCAGGCTCTGTCCTTCAAGGCCATTCCCGGAGTTGTTCCTTTTTGTGTCGAACTCTTGGAAGGCGAAGAGGAAGAGGAAGTCGACGAGCATGGCTCCAACTACGGAGACGGAGACGACGCTGAACCTGACGACGCTGACCCTGACGACGCGGACGACGGAGAAGATGCTGAAAACGCAGACAACGCGGACGCCGGAGAAGATGCTGAAATGACAGACAACGTGGACGCTGGAGATGAGGCCGACAATGCAGACGATGCAGAAAATGCGGATGGCGCAGCAGACGGGAACGAAGGGGACGATACAGACGCTGCGGAAAAGGAGAAAGAGAAGCCGTGGGAGTCTATGTTCCTGCTCAATCCCCTTTTAAAATCCCTGCACTTCGACTGCCATACCGGACAGATCCTCCCAGGCGAAACACTGCTCGGCAGCTCTGACAGCCCCGCTGTCCTTCCACCCTTTATGCTGGTCCCGCATGCGAGTTGGCGGAAAATGGTATCAAACTCACGCGCAAGCCACCACCCGCGTTTGAGGGCGTTCGCTAACTCTTTTATCCCATTATTTCTAGCTGCCTACACAACCTCCGGTAGTGCCGAGCATCATCAGGACGGAGATTTCCGCGAACCCCGAGAAGGTGGTGACCTTGCTCCAGGCCGAAGATGCGAGCAGCGCAGTCAGAGCATACGTGACAATGTTCGGCGATGACTTCATGGCGGAGGACTGGGAATGGTGGGATGAGCAGAACGTGCCAGTGGATCAATGCAGGCTGGGCAAGATCTACGAAGCCCTGGACGAGAAGCTCGCGCTCGTCCCCAAGGAAATCGAAGAGATCCGGAGTGAAGGCATTGTGAACATTGGCTCCGCTGAAGCACCCGTGTATAACCTGGTTCGAGCACCTGGTCACAGCGAGCTGTCCTCGATCGCTGGGTATCCGAATCAGCCATTCCTGGAGAATAACCACCAGCTCAAAGACTTGGAGGGGGACTTGCGCCGGCGTAAGAGGGCCAATGGTTTTGTCGACCCGTGGGCGGACCGCTCCACAAGGGGTGCATGGGCACCGAGTTTCACTAAGTCAGAGCTGGACCGTCCAACTGATGGAGATGCTGACCATCTTTTGTAGTCGACAAGACTTATCAATGGACAGGGAACGAGGATCTATCAGAGTCGTCGGAAGAGGAGGAGGAGGAGGAGGGAGGACCTTGAAATTCTTGCTATCGTCAAAGCATGAATGCTGATGTTAAAGTCATGAAGACTCTGTTCAGCAAGTCTAGGATCTGAACCTGGTCCAGCAGTCCTTCAGGAACTTTTGCTCGGTGACTGCACTACGAAGAGAGTTAGCTTAGCCGCACGTTAGGACTTGTACCACTCACATGACTGCGGCCAACGTCCCACCAATTCCAGCGATCCTCGCCAATTCCCCCATGATGCCGTACCTCTGTAGCACAGGCAACACATCTTCCGTGCGAGACAGTATGCTTGGTACCACTGCTGCGGCTGCAACAGCGTACATGCTTGGCAGAATCTGCGTGACATCGAATTCCTGCGTATCCATATCAGCTTCCACCCCGCCTTGCAAGAGTGCATTGCTCACCATCCCACGCTCCTTGAAGAATTTTCGGATGAAGGAGAGATTGAAAGCAATTCTCAAGCCCATGTTGACGCAGTTGGCCAACACCAAGCCCTTCGCACCCAGCTTCCACACTCTCAGAGACAGCCAGGCACTGCTTGCAAACACCACAAAGTTGCCTCCCATCCAGAAGCTTTGATTGCGAAGGTCCTTCGTGCTGGCGGTTGCAGCCACAAAAGCCTCGCTGACTCCATTGATGGCGAGGAATGGGATGTAGTAGCAGTAAGTTCCGAGCACTTCGCCAGCGCCGGAGTCAGACCAACGAGAGCCCGCGACCAGCCGAAGGAGGAGTGGGGCGAGAGTCGGGCCAACGGTGAAGGCCAGTAGAGAGACGACGGCATACACTCGGAGCAGAGTGACCAGTATCTGAGACGCTGCTTTGACGTTCTCGGTTGCGGTTGATTTGGCAGCGGTCTTCGAAACGTCGCCGTTCTGCTCTTCCGACTCCTCAGGAGGCGCTCCACATAGCTCTGCGAAGAGGTTGCGGGCGCTCGTCTCGATAGGCTGAAACAGCATCCTAGCAATGAGACCGCCGTAGTTCGCAGACAAGGCGTACATGCCCTGGTCTTCAAGCGAGGCTAGAGTGGCGATAAGTAGCTTGTCGCCTTCGGTAAGTAGCCACTTGATGCCGGTTTGGAAGAACAGAGAGCCCATGAGCCATAGCAAGGGCTTCGAGAAGAGAGAAAAGAGGTATTCGATTTGAGGACTAAGGAAAGAAGATAAATCAACGAACTGTAGCTTACGCTTGGAATTCGCTTGCAGAATGCGCACCTCGACTTCATCTTGCTCAAGAAGAGGGAGAAATTGTTCGCCCTGGCGACGGGAATGGTCCACGCCCAGTAGACTGCTGTGAGGGTGAAGGAATTGACAAGCTCGCCGGCGGCAAATGGCAGAACGCCAATGTTGATACCCTGCTTATTTGCCCAGTAGAAGAGTCCAAAGACGGTGAGCGTCTTCAAGATCACTGACGACCCTTCCGCAGCTGCTCTCGCCTTGTACAGCATATTCTGCTGGACGGCGGTGTAGGCTGGCTCCATCAACAGCTCCACGAATGCAGCCAGCTGATTGACTCGCAAAGCCTCTGCAAAGTAAGGCACAGCAGTGTAGGTGTCCATACTGCTGAGATACCAATGAGCGAAGGTGAAGCCGAGAGGAATGTTGGCCATGATCGCCAGATAGGAGAGGTTGATGGCCGCCTGAGCGCCGCCATCCGAGCGTCTCACGGCAGCCACGCGCAGAGACTCCCGTGAGAAATACTGGACTCCAATCTTGAAGAGTTCCAGCTGGACCGACATGCCCAATAGCTCAGGAGACAGGAATCGAAGTAGAAGCTGATTTAGGGCGAATGTTACCGCTCGGGAGCCGATTTGGAGGAGGATGAGGATGCTGGCGCCCTTCGCCGACGCGGAGACTACGTTGTCCGGCATGTTGGCGATAGTCCTCCTCGCCCAGGATGCAATTTAGGGGTGTTGATGAGGATGTGCGTGTCAATGGCAATATCTTGGAAGAGGTGAGGTTGGTCTGTCAGATGAAAGCACGATTCAACCTCGGTCTTGGCGAAGATGACATCTCAATCAACCTCGCGTGAGGAAGATGTGTTACAACGACATAAGCAGCGACGCAGGCGATCGCGGTCATTAAGAAGTGCACGAAGAGATGAGAGACGAAAGAGTAGAACGGCAATATTAGAAACACCGAGCATTCGACCAACCACTAGCATCACTACTCCAACATGCTCGAGTTCCGCACCTCAGGCTTCAACCCCTACAGCGTCAAATACTCGCCCTTCTTCGACTCCCGTCTCGCCGTCGGGGGCGGTGCCAACTTCGGCCTCGTTGGCAATGGCCGCCTCTACGCCCTCAACCTCAACTCCAATGGCATCGTTTGCGAGAAGTTCTTCGAGACGCAGGATTGTCTCTTCGACTTGACGTGGTCGGAACAGCATGAGAATCAGATATTGACAGCGGGCGGAGACGGGAGTTTGAAGTTGTTCGATCTTGGGGTTGGAGAGTTCCCGGTTGCGGGATGGCAGGAGCATGGGAGGGAGGTGTTTAGCGTGCATTGGAATTTGGTTAAGAAGGATACGTTTCTGTCGAGCTCGTGGGATGGGACGGTGAAGATCTGGACGCCAGAGAGGAAGGAGAGTGTTGCGACGCTGCCGGTACATTCGTGCGTATATTCGGCCCAATTCAGTCCGCATCATCCGGATGTCGTGACTTGTGTGAGTCGAGACTCGCATTTGCGAGTGTTCGATTTAAGGACGAAGCCGAGCGCGCAGAATCATATGACGTTGGCTATACCCATACACGCGCCTCCAAAGGTCTCTGCGCCGGGGATGATGAACCAGACTGCTGGGCCGACTGAGTGCTTGACGCACGATTGGAACAAGTACCGAGACTCGGTCATAGCTACGGCAGGCGTGGATACGATGATCCGGACCTTCGACTTGCGAGTTCCTTCCGGACCTGTCAACATGCTCCCTGGCCACGAATACGCTGTCCGCAGGGTCAGCTGGAGCCCGCACCTCTCGGACGTTCTACTCAGCGCATCCTACGACATGACCTGCCGCGTCTGGACCGACGGTAGCAACGTGGAACAAGGTGGCACTGGCACCGGATTAGGTCGCGAGATGGGCCGCATGGACAGACATACAGAATTCACAATGGGCGTGGACTGGTGTCTGTTCGGCGCAGAAGGCTGGTGTGCGACGTGTGCTTGGGATGAACGGGTGTTGGTGTGGGATGTGAGGGATGTCATGCGCGGCTGAAGAAAAGGCAAAGTGGTATCTTGCTATATCACTAATGGTCGTTTCCATCGTCAACATCGTCAGAACGGCCTTCCGGATCACGGCAAGGGCCAATGCCGCCCATCCGCATACTGCGCAGCATACTGGGACGACCCATCTGCAGGCTGCGGCCGTTGCGGCGGTCCTTCAAGACTGCTCAAGTCCGTGCCCGCGATAAATGACATATCGTTGCTCGGCCGCCTGAACGCACCATTGTGACCGCTCGGACCCGCCACTGCCGCCGCATCACTGGGACTTCCAGGACCGTACGCTTCAGGCACGCTGTACGTGCTGCTTGCGTCGTCAGGCTGGACCGCTTTCTCATCGCCAGCCACAGCAGCTCGTCCGAGCAAACCTGGTACGAACTCTTCCTTAGCCTGCGGCTTCTCGAAGTCGAATGGCTCGAAGAACGATTTCCGGCTCGCTGCGCTTGGAGCGAACGAAGCGTATGAAGCGCGGAATGGATTCGGTGCAGGCTCTGGAGACTGGGATCGAACGCCTGCTACTGCGCCTGTCGGTATCGATGTGTGACTGGCCTTTGAGTGCTGGGAGGATGAAGACTTCAGACCAGTCACCGCAGCTGTTCCTACGCCTGCTCCTGCTTCTGCACCCACACCCGCACCTAGATCGGCACCTGCGCCGGCGTCCGCAACTTCGTTCTCCTGCATCTCGCCTTTTTTCGCGGCGTCTTCGGTCCAATTACCGGATTGGGTGGGATGGTAGCTGAAGCGGTGTTGTTCTACGCGTCGTCTGCGGCGTCGTAGGAAGAGGAACAGTAAGCCCAGAAGCAGAAGGAGCAACGGAATGCCTACTCCTAAGCCGACGCCGAGACCAATCTTGAGATCGTGAGACCGTCTGGCTGAGGTCTGGTCAGCACCGTCAGGAGAAGTCTGCTGGTTCACTGCACCGGCGGCAGCTGGACCAGGCGATTGCATCGCCGGCGTTGCGTGTTGAGATGCTCCATCTCGCGTCTGCGACGTTCTTGCAGTCCCCGGTGTCTGATTCGTCCTTGTGCTTTGTGACGCAGATGTGGGCGCAGCCCCTCCTGTCGACGAGGCAGACGCTGTACCTCCTTCTCTTGTCGATGACGGTGTGAGTGCCGGCCTTGACCTCGTCAATGAAGGCGCCCGCGACGACGCAGGCGAGCTGCCACTTTCGCTGCCTTCACTCAATTCGAAGAAAGGACTCTTGAGCACGCAGCCATCGCAGGTAATATCGTTGCCATTTTCGATGGCAAAGTACATCAGATTTCCAAGATTGCTTTGCTGTATCGTATCGACGCGCCACACGAGCGATGTGTCTGATTGCGCATTGTTGACTACATAGCCTGTCAGCCTGCTCTTCTGGAACAGTCGTCTGCTTGCTCGCCATACCAGCAAGTGTATCGAACGCCCAGTCCCCGTCATCGCCTCGCTCAAACAGAATCAACGACGTCTCATTGAACGGCGTCGTCCATGATATCCTAACGTCTTGTCCAACTGTGAAGCCATTGTCGCCAGTAGATGAGAGGTCCGGCGCAGTGAAGGCGAGGTCTTGCGCTGCTCCGGAGGCGGCGAGGAGTTGAAGTATCGCTACTGTTGATGATATCCTCATCTCAAGTTCGGCGCGCTGTCACCATCTTTTACACAGGACTGGCAATTAGACCAGCAGATAGCATCAAGCAAATGAAACAGAACAAGAGGAAGTCCGCTCAAACACGCATCAAAAGACAACCTTCTTCCCAATGCCGCGGCCCAAGAACCATCAACCCACCTAAGGTACCTCATCCGTCACTCCATCAGTAGTAGTCCAATCTAGCCTATATCAGGCCTCACGAAGCTTCAACAGCTTCCCAAAAGCCGCATCTCGGCCATCAAACCCGTCCGTTTGGAGTATAGTGATCCACGGACGAGAAGGCTTGACCTGCAGAAAGCATGATGCGCGCCAATCACGAGGAGCTGATCACCCCGCTTTGCGTAGATCTGGGGTGCTGTGGTGGAGGTGCGGGTTGATTTATATTTATAGATGCCGTTTGTCTTCCGTTCGTTACACGGCTGAATGGACGGTACGTGTAGCAGTTCGGATGCCATTGTCAATACCTCCTGGAGCGTCTGAGTAGCTGTCAGTCCACAACTTCAATGTTCTGAATAGTCTTGAACATCTCAGTCGCCATGACCTGACTCTCCGGTCCTAGCCTGCGGAACCAAGGCCTGTCAGGATGCCACCAGTTCCGCTCCAGCAGCACCGTCGCTGCAAGGTCCCCAGTCGAGCCGAACGCCCTCTTCAGATCGTGGCAGCAGGCCACGATTTCACTGTTCTTTTGACAATTCTCCGCAAAGCACGACCAGGACGGTGGCTTAGGAAGCGTCCCGGTGCCAGCGTCGGAGATGCGGTCGCAGGTGTCTCTCCATTGCTTGTAGTGGATCGCGTCACGTCGTCGCTGTTGCAATTCCTCTCGTACGCGCGTTTGTCGCTTCGTTTCGTCTGCTTCCTGAGCCATTCGCTTCTGCTCCGCTGCTCGTTGTCGCCCTGCCTCCTCTTCACGCCTAACCTCGTCCTCACGCCGTTGCTGCTCTTCGACCAAGTGACGATGCCGTTCCTCTTCTCGTCCTCGAGCCTGGATCGCCCACTGGACACGCGCTTCTTCCAGCCGGCGAAGTTCCTGTCTGGCCCGCCTCGCCCTCTGAACTTGAAGAGCAAGTCGAATAAGCGCGTATGCAATCAACGCTGCGAGGCACACGGCGAACAATCCTAACCCAATCTTCAGAGCGAGCAGCGCTGTCCCTTTGAGCCACCTTAGACTGACGCCAACAATATGAGCGACCAGATGCACCAACTTCCCGGGTGCGTGGTAGAGCCATATCACAGCACTCTTGATCGCCGCGCCACACTGTTTGAGGGCTTGATAGCACCACACCGCAGCATCACGGATCGCCAGGCCAAAGCATTTGAATGCGTCCGCGATGGTGACGAAGAGGTGCCGTATGCTCTTCAACACGTTCGACGTTTGGAGTCTGGTCGCATCGGTATCCGGAGTGGTCAATCCGCTCAGAATGCGCATGTTTGGAATCTGCTGCCTCTCTTCCGTCGTGGAGGGTCTGTTGCGGTAATGAAGTAGATTCTGGTTCAGTGAAGCTGGAGGAGGAGGTGGAAAAGAGGAAGAAGCAACGAGGCTACGTACCTCAGGTGCTGTGCCGCGCAGCCTTGTTCTCCTAACCGCCAGGCGCTCGTCCGAGCCATCTCGAAGCATCGGCGCATATCCAGCCTGAGGCAGTACCGCTTTCTTTACGCGCACAGGAAAAAAACACAAGCGACGATGGAGTAACTGTTTTCGTGGTGCATACCTGAGTAGGTTCGACTTCCATAGGAGTCTGTCTGATTTTGTACGTATGCTCAACTCTTTCATCAAAGGACGTGAAGCCACCCTGGGGCATGTGCCACTCGCCAAAACGCCTCGCAGCTATGCAACATGCTTTCTGAACCTCCCGTGCACATCTCAAACGAGCCCATCGTAGAGTGAGAGCGCAGAGACGATCGTCTCGTCGCGCTTGCTGCCCTCCTTTAGAAACCATTAGCACTCTAGCATTTCCCTACAGCAATATCAGAGGTACCAACCTTAAACTCCGCCATATCCAACGACCCATTCTCATCCTTATCCATCATCCTAAAAATCTTCTTGACCCGCTTCTCCGGCGTATCCTCATCCTCGGGCAATTTCACCATACTCCCCACCATCTTATAAATCGCCTCGACAATCTGCAGCATCTCATTATAACTAATCTGCCCGTCTCCGTCGATGTCGTAGAGCTGGAACGCCCAGTCCAGCTTGTCCTCCATCTTGCCGCGCGAGGTGACGGAGAGGGCGCAGATGAATTCTTTAAAGTCGATGCTGCCGCTCTTGTCGGCGTCGAAGACGTTGAAGACGTAGTCGGCGAAGCTGGACGGGTCGCCGAAGGGGAAGAATTGCTTGTAGATTTTTTGGAACTCGGATTTGGTGAGCATGCCGCTGGGGCAGTCTTTGAGGAAGCCTGCGATCAATCCTCAAGGTTAGCGCATGCGAATGGGCACGTCTGCGCGGGACGGTGGGGGGAGAGTCTACCCTTGTACCATTGCTGCAGTTCCTTCTTATCGAAATGTGTGGCTTTCTGGAGGTCGATGAGCTCTTGCTGGGAGAGCTTGCTCTGGCTGTTGGGGTGCAGTGTCAGTCCGGCTTCTGTAATTTCCACATGTGCTATGCGTGTGCTGGTGCTCTTGCTGAACTCCTGGTCGAAGTGCTCGTGGATGCCGATGCTCAGCGCGCATTGCAGCTTGTGTTGGAAGGCCAGGTAGCTCGCGGAGCTGGGTCGTGGGACTCTGATCGGTCGTGGACGAGCGTGGTTGATCGCGCCATTGATTGATGGGCGTCTGTGTGCCGCTTCGCTGTCGGACAAGACGCTGTCGGACATGACGCTGTCGGCGGGGTCATCCTCCTCGTAGTCCGGGTAGATGTCGTGGACTTTCTTGACTTCTCTTGAATCCATGGTGTTGGGGCTTCGAAATGCGGTTCGTAGTTGAGTGGTGGGGAGTCTCGACGGTGTCTTTAACAGGCCGTTGTATCGCGCGCATCTGAGATGGACCTCATGGGGCCACGCGTGAATCACATGGGATGGGATGGTTCGCGAGGGCGTTGTTGTTCCACCACGAAGCAAGAAACGACACATTCAAACGTAGGAAGTCGCACTCACCTCTTGCCCATCTTGGGCTACTCCCACTCTCAATGCTCAGTGTTGGTGAAGATGGTGCAAACGCTGCGTCACGGTGTGACTTGGGGGTGCTCTCAGGGAGTGGGACATTCAATTCAGGTGCGAGTGATGAGGTTAGAGAGTGCGGTATAGCAAGAAACAGTCTGAGTGAGATGTCTGGATTATCGCAACAACGACACAGAGCCCCTCCACGCTAGGAGGGGCCCGGTGGTGGCTGTGCAGCGACGGCGGGCGTTTCTGGTTTGCACATGCATGTGAGCCAGGTGTGTACGAGCAGCCTTGTTGGCCTTCTCTGCATGTCATGTTGGGATCGCGCTTATCTGGCCACTGGCGTTTACTCCACCTACCTATGTAGCTGCGTTTGAGATGGATGTTGGGCGGCTCTGGTGAATACGAAGGAAGCGCAAAGCAAAACAAGACTTCCGGATCTGCAAACGCTTCTGCAGCGCTTCGGCTTTTGTGCCTGGATTGCCTGGCACGCCTGCAAAGCCAAGGGACACCTCTACTTTGACCTCACTTCGCCTGGACGAGGCGACAAGGAAGTAGGACGGTGCTGCGCTGCAAGGTAGCTGCCAAGCACACTGCCCGTCGAACGACGTCTCGTTGTGTTGGCCATTGTGGCGACATTGGACCCTGATTTGATATAGGACTGCTGGGCTGAGAGGATGACCACCTCGTACTTCACCGAGCGGGTCAGCTCGCCAGTCAACGGCGATGCCGGATCTCTACTATCCCCAACAACGCCAGGAGGTGCTGGGCCAAAGTCAAATGCGCTGCAGAACAGAGTGACGAGCGTGCTGTCAGCTTCCTACGCTGACTTGGAAATCCGCGATGCTTTGTCAATGCTAGACGAGCGAGGCCTGCAAAACACAGCAGAGACTCGGAGAAACCTTCGGCTCGATGTCCAGCAGGAGCTGATCGAATGCAATGGCGAGATCGTGCAGGACTTTGGCAAAGTTGCGGATCAGCTCAAGCGGATAGGCACCGCCATTGAGAACCTCAACAACAGCTGCAAGGAGATCCGCATGCATGTCGATGCTGCCAGCCGCGAGTCTGGACCGATGCTGGATGATGCGACGAACATACTGTCCGAGAAGCGGCATGTCGAGACGAAGCAGCAGGTGCTGGACGCATTCAAAGCACACTTTGTGGTCTCCGACTCCGACCTTGCGACCTTGACATCCACCGCTGAGCCGGTCAATGACGACTTCTTCCGCATTTTAACTCGCGTCAAGAAGATACACCAGGACAGCGAAGTCCTGCTCGGTGCTGAAAGCCAGCGGCTCGGGCTTGAGATTCTCGAGCAGAGCTCACGGCAGCTCAACGCAGCCTTCCAAAAGCTGTATCGGTGGATACAACGGGAGTTCAAGTCGCTTGATCTGGAGAACCCGCAGATCAGCGCCAGTATCAGACGAGCTTTACGGGTGCTGGCTGAGCGGCCAACTCTGTTCCAGAATTGCCTCGACTTCTTCGCTGAAGCACGGGAGAACATCCTGTCGAACAACTTCTACGCTGCTCTTACTGGCGCTCCGGTCGACCCAGACCATCCTGTCATGGGGAAGGCCATCGAGCTGTCTGCCCATGACCCGCTACGGTATATTAGCGATATGCTGGCGTGGGCACACTCAGCTACAGTCTCTGAACGAGAAGCACTGGAAGTGCTGTTCATCTCCGAAGGCGACGAGATAGCCAAGAGCATTCAGGCCGGCATCGAGAGCGAGCCCTGGTCTCGGACAGATGATGCCGACAAGATGCAGACCTTCAATGGACGACAGGCGCTCAACCAACTGGTCGACCGCGACCTTACAGGCGTTCTTCGACAGTTGAAACAGCGTACCGAACAAGTCATCCAAAGCCACGAGGACGCCACCCTCTCCTACAAGATCGCCAACCTCGTCCTCTTCTACTGCAACATCTTCTCCTCCCTCACGGGCGAGAAGTCAAGCATCCTCGAAACCCTTCGACCGCTCTCCGACACCGCCATGCGCAGCTTCAAATCCACAATGCGCGACCACGTCGCCAACCTTCAAGCCGACGCCGCCATCGGCTCAGACGACCTCGCACCGCCCGAGTTCCTCGTCGAAGCACTGGAAACCCTCCAAGTCCTGATGAAGAGCTACGACACCTCTGCCATCACCAACGACCGCGCCAAACGCGCCGAAGGCTTCCAGCCCATCCTCCAAGACGCGCTGGACCCCTACCTCGCCGGCTGCGAAAACATCACCCGTCGCCTCCGCACGCCGCAGAAACACATCTTCGCCTTGAACTGCCTGCTCGCGACCAAAGACACGTTGCGGAAATATTCCTTCGCTGACCGCAGCGAGGAGCTCGAGTCCCGCATCTCGGAGCATGAAAAAGAGTTGACAGACGCCACGCACGCCTGGTTACTGCGCGAATCCGGCATGGCTTCTCTCGTTTCCAACATCTCCACCCCCGACGACCTCGCCTCATCGTACAAAGACCCGAAACAACTTTATACCATCGCGCAGCAGCTCGACGCTTTCCTCCCAACCGCTACGGACGACGCGCGGGAGTTCTTGACGCAGTTGGAGGACCGGGCGCTGGGGAGACGGGTGATTGAGCAGGCTGCTGAAAGGTTTTGTGAGGACTTTGAGGAGGTGGAGGGGTTGGTACTTAAAGCGGACGAGATGAAGGAGAGGGCTGTTGGGGAGGGGGAGGAGGGAGAGGTGTGGTTGAGGGAGGTGTGGGTGAGGACAAGTGGGGAGATCAGGGTGTTGTTGAGTTAGACAGCATTCTTATACAAGTTGCTGGTGCGGCCTATATGTCCAGCATGTCTGTACATGTATACTTCTTGCATACGGGTATCCTGCTCTGTCCTCAGCCCTTCCAGCCTCTCGTACAGCGTCCTGTCCCCGATGCGGCAGACCCTAGTGAAGCCGCTTCGTCTCATCTTCCCCTACTTGTGCAGTGGCTCAGCTGCTCGCCTTCCTCTTCTCCCACTCCTCGGGCGTAAAACACTTCGGCGTCCACGCGTGAATCGCGGCAATCTCCTCCTTCAACGTCGCATTCACCAGCCGATGTCGCGCGAGCGTCGTTTTCTTTGCGAACTGCGGGGAGACTATCGTGGCTTCGTACATTTGGCCGCAGCCGCCTATATCACATCACTACATCAGCATATGAGGAGGGTTGGAGGGGGGAGGTGGGATGCAGTACCGGACAAGTCGCTGATCTCGACATGTGAGGCTTCGAGTTTGGACTGCAGAGTGCTGGTGAGGTGGTCGGGGGTGATGCCGCTGGTGGACTGGGTTGAGGTGGCTTCGGTGTCTGTGCGGGCGCTCATGTTGGCCTCCGCTCAAGTATAGTCTCGATATATCTGAAGTCGTGATATGTAGCGGTCGTTATCAGATCAAATGACGTGCGTCGAAGGTGAAACTCCAAATTAACCTTTCAGCCACACCTTCCGCGCCGCGCCCCTTCAAAGTTGGTTTAGCCGCAAACTCTCTCCTCCAGCTTCCAACAAACATCAAAACAAACCTACAACATCGACGCATGTTCGCCGCGACCGCCCAACGAGCCTTTGGATTCGGCAGGATGGCGGCTCCAACGAAATCCGCGCCTTATACCAGGGCTGTTGTGAATGCGATGCGCAAATTGTAAGTCGCTTTCTCATTTTCGATTAGGGCTGAGACACGGATGGATGTGTGGATGTGTGGCAGGGTTGGATTGACGGCTAGCTGATCATCGTGCGATCCCAGGTACCCGGAGGTGTTGGCGGATAAGAGTTTTGATAATACGGGGTGTAAGTCAATACTCCAGAACAGTTATGGACAGATGTTGACGTGTTGTAGTACTGCTAGAAGCGCCATATGATCCGTTGCGGCGACAGATGAACTCGGTGATGCTCACGGTCGATCTGACGAAAGCGGTTGCGGATGAGGCCATTGAACGACAGGACTCGATTGTTGTTGCTTATCGTATGTCATGGTCGTCTTATATTGTGTTTGTGTTGATATGGTTGGATTGACGGATGAACGCAGACCCGATAATATTTCGCGGTTTGAAGGCCCTCACTCTTAACGACAGTCAGCAGTCCAGTTTACTACGGTTGGCTGCTGAAGGGATCAGTGTATGATTAAATGTTCCAATTTCGAGGAAATTAATGCTAAACGAACATCCAGGTCTACTCCCCCCACACAGCAATCGACTGCGCCCGCGGCGGCCTAGGCGACTGGCTCGCCGACATAGTCACCGGCACGCCCACCGAACTCGCCGAAGACGAACCCCCCAACGAACTCACCGAAGACGAAACCCTCCCCGACGAAAACCCCGCCGACGACTCCGCCTTCATCCGCACTTCGTCCCCGACCAAAAAACCCCCCTCCGAACCCGCTACCGACGGCGACGCCTCCTCCACCCACCTCGCCCCCAAACGCCCCATCTACATGCTGCAACACCACCCCTCCCAGCTCGACCTCAAACAGGAAGCCCTCTCTCTCGGCGGCCAGAACCACAAACGCTACCCCATCCGCTCCACCGCCGTCCCCGGCTACCCCGGCGCAGGCATGGGTCGCATCGTCCGCTTACCCTCACCCGTCCCCTTACCCGAAATCATCGACCGCATCGGCCTCGGTCTCGGCAACCCCAAGGGCTTCCCTATAGCGGTACCGCAGGGCAAGCAAGCGAGCGAGATGACAATCCAGTCCATCGGGATCTGCGCGGGGAGCGGCGGGCATCTGTTCGGCGAGATGGAGAAGGATGGGGAGGAGGTGGATTTGCTCTTTACGGGGGAGCTGTCGCATCACGAGGCGCTGGCGGCGATTGAGAAGGGGAGGTGTGTGATTACGCTGTTCCATAGTAATACGGAGCGCGGGTTTTTGCATGGGGTGTTGAAGGGGCAGTTGGAGAGTACTGTGGCGGAGGAGGTATGTCTCATTTCATCATGTCCTTTTTCCTCGAAATGTGAGACGCCGAAGCTAACGCGGGTTGTAGTGGGAGCGAATACGCAACGAAGAGAAACAGAAGGACGGGGTGGATGAGCACTTGATGGAGGCGCTGAATGATGAGCACGTCGAGGTGCATGTTAGTGAGATGGACCGGGATCCTTATGGTATCATGATCTCGAAAGCGGAGGCACCACCAGAGTGATGCTGTTGAAGTGCAATGTGTCGTTCTTTGGTTGGCTTAAAATGGGAGGGCGAGGGATACCCACTCTTGTGGTTCGTGTAAATGTATACATAGATATATCTTGAGAAGAAACGAGAGGCGAGAGGCGATCAGTGCTGGCCATATGTACAATAAGAGCTTGGAATGGTGACTATGCCTCCAGTTTGCGATAACACATGATCGATTTGAGTATCGAAGAAGTACTGTAACAGTACTGATTCAGCTAAAGGCTCGCATTGGAATGGGCATATTACAGCTAAGAAGAAGCCCCTCGTATCAACCAAAGAGCATCTGCAGAGTTTGGTGAACCTCACTCGCTCAAGCCCCCTCCTCAGCAAACTTAACCTTCTTCCCCACCCCTTCCTCACTCCCCCCTTCAACATCCCCAACCTTCCTCTTACCCTTCCCCTCCACCACCTTCTCCCCCTCCTGCCCCGCCACAGGCGCCTCCACCTCCACTTTCTTCCTCTTCTTAACCATCCCGCTCAAATCATTCGCCCCCTTCGTCACCTCCTCGAGCTTCTGCTTCCTCCCCTCCCCACCTTCCCCCAACATCGCGCCCAGAACTCCTTTTAACGCCACCCCACTCCCATCTCCTACTTCGGGGGTAGCGTTCATCCCGCTTAGCGACACTGCAGGGTTCCGCAAATCGACGAGCCGTTGCTTCATGTCAGCGACCATTTCTTTGACGTCAGCGATACTGCGTTCTTGCTCCGCGCGCTTGGAAGGGTTGGCGTCGAGAGTGGAGAGGACGGCGGTTTCTTTGGCGATGCGAGCGGTGCAGGAGGCGATTGCCAACTCCATTTCTGACGCGGCTTCGGCGCGGAGGGCGGTGTCGACTTGGGCGGTGCTTTCGTTCGCGCCATCTGCGGCGGGGGCGCTGTCCTCGGAGGTGGAGGTGACGGAGGCGAATTCGAGGGCGAGGGAGAGCTTGAAGTGGGCTTCGGCGAGGATGCTGCTTTCTTCGGGGTAGAGGGCGAGTTTCAGTTTCAGAGCGTCGCGGGTGTCGTTGATGGCGTCCGTGAAGCGTTCGTTCTCGAGGTTGATTTCTGCTTGCAGATCGTGGGTGTCTGCTAGTCGCTCTTGTATCTGTCGCTGCTGTTCTACGTCGCCATCTTGTTGTTCCAGCTTGCGTTGTAGGAGCACGCGCGCGACATCAAGGATCTCGTACGCGATGGCGAAGTCGTCTTCCTCCTCCTCTGCTTCTGCGTCTGCAGCCGCGTCCTCGTCCTCGGAGTCTTCTGAATCCGTCCAGTTCTCGTCGCCTGTGATCTGGAAGTACGGCTTATTCGCTGCCGCCGCGTCGCCATCCTCCTTCTTGACCTCCGCTTTCCCGTCGACAGCTGTCGCCCCGCCCCCCTTCATCGCGTTCCCGATCAAGCCTGTGCCCGCTTTACTGCTCCCTTCTCCATTCCCCTCCGCCTTGACAGTCTTCCTCTTCTTCCTCTTCGGCTCCTCGGAGCTCGCGACCTTGCCGCCTAGCACATCACTGTTGCTCACCGCGACGTGGTACAAGCACCGCCCATACTGATACAGTAGGTCGGCATTTTCAGGAGACATCTCGCCATGTAGCTGATCCTGTACTTCGGCCGCTTCGCTATAGAACTCTGCTGCGGCCGGGTAGTTCTTCAGAGAATACTGCTGCGTCGCGCTGGCTTTGAGGTCGGCCAGCTTGGTGGTGAGGGTGCCGAGGGAGGGGGGAGCGTCGGCGGTGGTAGTGTCGGTGGGAGGATCCATGGCTGCGTCTTCTGGATTGGACATGGTCGAGATTTGTTCACAGTGGCGTGTGGTGTGCGGATGTTGGTAGAAGTTTAGAAGAGAGGAAGTGGTGGTTGCGACGCAATCACGCTAGTAAATTAAGGCGCGTCTCCCCAAACGCGTAAAGAGATAAACCAACTTCACCTTCAACACGATAACCCAACAACAACTGTACGACACAATGGACACGCTCAAACGACCACTCGATGCCACACTATCATCCTCACCAGCATTCGGCACACCACTCCACCCCATCCCCGCCCAACGACCGCCCCCACCCCCACCAGCATTCAAGCCCGCGATACAAACGATACTACCCATCATCCTCCCGCCTGCAACACTGCGACCTCTGGCCTTCCGGACGTTCACGAAGAAGCACAACCTCACTCTCAATGCTTCGGCTCTGCAGTCATTAGCAACATTCATCGGAAGACATTGCGGGACAGGATGGAGGGAAGAGGGGACGGGCGAGAAGGTGTTGGAGGAGGCTGCCCGGTTATGGAAAGCAGAGGGTGGCGCTGTAATTGTCGAGGATGGGGAGAGATTGAAGGGCATCCTCAAGACGCTGGAGGGTAGCATGAGTGGCGGGAAGGTCGGGTTGGTAAGGAAGGGCAGTACCGCCATCAGCCGACAGAGCAGCTTTGCGTTCGGCAACGACAGTGCTGTTGATCTGACCAAGGATGGGATGCGAGGCATGCAGAGACCGAGTCTGGGCAACGAAGAACGGACCAGTAGTTTTGGTCTGAGCAAACTGCACGTTGAAGATCCAGCCGACGACGAGCACGACGACGACGAAGCAAGCACAGATCCCAGAGCATGGCTCAAAGTCATCTCAGCCTTCGACCAACCGCGCTTCACCTATGACGTCGAGAAGAAACACTTCATCCCTTCGCCCATCAAACCCAGCCCCTTTCCACCACCGTCACACAAAACAGCCATCTTCCGGGAAAGGTACAACATCATCCACCAACGCCTCCTCCGGAACGAAGCCTTCCAGGCACCCTCCTTCTCTGCTGCACTCCAGAAGTCCCGGCGAGACGGCGGCGGTGCAGCGACCAACTACAAGATCACGCCCGTAGCCAACCTTCTCGGCCGCGGCGGCTCATCCCATCTCCTACTCGGCCAGCTCATCGTCGCGCCAACCGGCACACTCGCTCTCAACGACCCGAGCGGCAGCATTAGCATCTCCCTGGAGCACGCTACACCCTTCCAAGGCGGCACCGACGAGAACGCCCAGCCTTACTTCTGCCCTGGCATGATCGTGCTGGTGGATGGTGTGTACGAAGAAGACTGGGCGGGAGCTGGCTCTTCCGGTCTCGGAAACACTGGAGGTGTCGGCGGCACGATTGGCGGACGATTCATCGGTTTCGGAATTGGTGGGCCTCCTGTTGAGAAGCGCGATGCTAGTCTCGGGGCAGGAGAGTCCGGTGGTGGGTTTGGCTGGACGGACTTCATGGGGACTGGCTCGGATCGTGCTGTCGGGACACGCATGCGTAGGTTGGAGCGGCGATTACTCACAGCGCCTGAAAAGGAGGATCGGAGGAAGATGGTCGTGATGTCCGAAGTCACGCTCAACGAGCCAGCAACGCTCCTTGCGCTGCGGAAGGTCCTGTCGCTCTACACATCATCACCGCCCACGACGTTCCTCCTAATGGGCAACTTCCTCTCCGCCGCGGCGCTGACAGGGACGAGAGACACCGACAGCATCGCCTACAAAGAAGCCTTCAACGAACTCGCCGCTCTGTTAGCAGACTTCCCATCCCTACTACGACACTCGACCTTCGTCTTCGTACCCGGCGACAACGACCCCTGGGCCTCCGCCTTCTCGGCCGGTGCGTCGACCCTGATACCACGGGATGGCGTCCCCGAGCTCTTCACGAGCAGGATAAAACGAGCATTCGCCAATGCAAAAGAGGCTGGTGATTCCTCAAAAGGCGAGGCGATCTGGACAAGCAACCCAGCACGCCTGAGCCTCTTCGGTCCAGCGCACGAAATCTGCGTCTTCCGCGACGACATTTCTGGACGTTTCAGGCGGGCAGTCGTAAGGATCGGCCAGGCGACGAAGAAGGACTCGCCCCTCGAACCGGAGGAACAACAACAACCACACACGAACCTCAACCCCAGCGACGAAGACACCGATGGCGACATCCTCATGTCCGGCGCCCTGCCCTCTTCCCCCCCTGCGCCGCCCTCACCACCCCAACCCCACCTCGCCCCTCCAGTCCAACCCGTCCAACCTCAAAGCGACACCGAAGCCTACCCCCTCCTCCTAGCCAAAAAAACCATCCTCACCCTCCTCCCGCAATCCACACTCTCCCCCTTCCCCCTCTCCCTCCGGCCAACACACTGGGACTACACGCCCTCGTCCCTATCGCTCTACCCCTTACCGCACACGCTTGTATTGGCGGATGCGGAGATGGAGGCGTACAGTTTGGTGTTTGAGGGATGTTGCGTTCTGAACCCGGGACGGCTTGTGGTGGATGGTGGGACGAATGGGAGGGCAGGGAAGGGGAAGAGGGTGGGGTGGTGCGAGTATGATTCGTGGACGAAGAGGGGGAGGGTGAGGGGGGAATGGGTTGGTTGAATAAATGCGTTCATAGAGTTGGATACAAAGCGACGTAAACATGAAGTTTATGTGGCTGATTTATGATGAATGGAGGTCGCTGTGTTCGCACTATACATATATCACAACCCCCCTCAACCCTTCCTTCTCCTTTCTGACTACCATCTATCATCACCAGCTACTAAATATCTACACCTCCTCCCAACATCACCTCCCCGCACTCCCCCTCCCCACACTCCTCCCCCTTCCGGACCCCGCCCTCTCCTCCACATGCTCCCGATGCATCCGATTTCTCAAATGCACCTCGAAATCCTCCACCACCCTGCCGGGCAACGCCGTATACAACTTCCCTGGACAATCATTACACTTCAGCCTCGGCGCCCAGAGGAACTTCACCCCCTCCGGCGCGCGCTGCCCGACTTCCAGCCCGGGGACTTTCTCGAGCGTGTTGGTGGTGGTTGAGATGGGGTAGGGGCGCATGATGGGTTCGAAGGAGGAGTCGGGGTGGGTTTGGCGGAGGGTGGTGATGGCGGGGGGCAGCCAGGGTGGGGGTGGAGGCTGGGAGTGTGGTGTTAGCGGATGTTGTCAGCGGTGGGTATTGAGGGGGGCGCCTACGGGTTCGTCGTCGGGGTGGGGCCAGCGGGTGGCTTCGGTGCGGCCTTGGTCGTCGTACTGGAGGCCTGGGGGTTGCTGGCTGGTGCCCCGGGCGGTGGAGGCGCTGCGAGCGTGTGCGCCGTTGGGCTGAGGAGTGCTTTTAGGTGGAGGCACGGATTTTGGCGTCAGTGCTGATGAGCCGAGAGCGCCTTTGGCTGGGGTGGCGAGGGGAGGTGGTTGCGAAGCGTAGCCAGACAGCGGATACTCGCTTGCTCGCTTCTTCGCGCGGTATTCATCCCACCATGACTTGAGCCTGGCCTTGCCGATGCGTAGCTTCACGACCAAAGTCTCATCTCCGATCACACCCTCGTCCCGAAGCATGCTCCTCCGCACCGAAGTGCGAGGTTCAGGAACTGCCAGCGTCTGCGGATCCGGCGTGACAGAGCGACCGTAATTCGCTCGCATAGCCGCCTGTGCTGCTGAAGCTGCACCACGCATGCCTCTCGTACGAGCAGTGGTACCAGTGTTGACCACGGAAGGCGCAGGCGAGTCAGCACCAGACTCCTCGCTGTCCATGTCCTCTGAATCAACATCGCCATCTGCTCTCGCACCAGCCCGTCGTCCAGCCCTGCCACTACGCCTCGTCTTCGTAATGCCGGTCATCTCCATCGACTCCGCAGCGCCTGGAATCACAGAATGCACAACGAGTGAGCGCACTGTACGCTGCCTCTCCTTAAGATCGGGCAGAGCAGGGCCGCCTCTCCTGTTCAGCTGCCGTTTCTGCGCGCGGTGCTCTCGCATCATCGAGGTCTCTGTCCGTTCCAGCTCGGCCTCGCTCATTTCAAACATGAACGGCGACCAGTCCTTCTGCGCTTGATGTGGCCGGAACGCGCTGTAGATTGGTGCCGGCAAAAAGCTGTCTCTGAGATCTGGATCTTCGACCGGCCGACCATCGAAGCAGTGATTTGTCAGATACAAGCTCTTCGTGTAGAGCTGGCTCTGTTCGCGGATTGAGTGAGCAATAGCTGTGGTGAACTCTCCACTGAGCGCATTCTCCCACGCCATCGATCGCGCGAACTCCTCAGGAGAATTCAGCGGGTTATTGATGTCCCACTCAAACTGATCAACCAGCGTAATCCGGCCAATGGTGATATTGAGCTTAATCAGTATCCGCATTTCATCATCCTTGTGCTCGGCATACGGTCGATGCGGTTCCAGCGGTCCGTCCTCGACGATCATATGCGGGTAGAAGTTGTGGATCTGGTCCTGCATCTCCGCCTTCACCTGCCTCGCAACCTCGTGTGTCGCCTCGGGAGGTATTCTGAGGTCTTCCAGAAGATACTCGGTAAACGTGTCCTGCGAGATGAGCTTCTCGTGTAGATTCCAGGTGAATGTATCTCGTAATCGCAGCTTGTCCAATTCGAGATCCAGCCGGATGGGTACCAACTCTTCGTGTTGTTCCGCCTGCTGCGCGTTGTCCTTCCGTGGTATGCGTATTTCTCGCGCTCTTCGGCCTTTGGGCGGTGGACGCGTCGCCTGGTATACGATCTTGGGCGGTCCATCGGTCGTGCGGTTGCCGTAGCCCATGTATCCCGGTCCAAACACTGCTCCTGGCCTTTGCTGCCGCACTTGTCGCACCTCGCCTACGTAGTATTCCTTCTCCAAGTCCTTCCACTTCGATAAGCGCCGCGTCCGGTAGGCCTGATCATTCATCGCAACGCCATGCGTGAGATCGCGCTGGACGTAGCGGTCTAGCAGAACCTCATCGTGCAGCTTCTGCTCCTCTGATGGCGCGCTCTGGCTGCTTCCAGCCTGGCTCATGGGAAGTTGTGTGCCATCGCGCGACCTTTTCCTGCTCAACTGAGGGCCACCATTCGCCTGCGGTGTCCCGTTCGCAGAGCCGCTCTGCCCAGCACTCGCATCAGGGCCGACTCCTGCTGCAGCCATGGTTTCTTTAGCTCTCTGCTTGCCCTCGCGTATGCTATCATGCGTCGTCGAGCTGGGTCGCGATTGCTCGTTCACACCACCGCCGCCATTCTCATTCGGGGTTCGCACGGCTCCAGCACCTCCGTTCCATTGGTCGTTGCTCGATTGCGCTTGCTGGAGTGATCGGTCGCTGAAAGGTTGATGGCTTGGCGTGGACATGGTCGAGGTGTGGAGAGGGGAGAGGAAGGCGTGGAGTGGTGGTGGTAGAGGCGCGTCGCATCCAGGTATCGCGCCGCATCAACCGCAATTGTCTGTCATTGTCAGCTTGAAATGATCCTTCACTCGATCTCATGCCCGCCAATGTGCGCTCCATGCCTGGGTGACACGGAGGGCCCGCGGCTGAGGCCATAGAGAGGCCGCCAGCAGCAGAGCGCCAGCGCGCATAGGGGGTCCCGAGCATCAGAAAGGCATGACTGTAGAACATACCTGAGATGAGTCGAGTGTAATTAAAGCATGTGCTGGGTCACGCGTTGCGTCAACACGGTTCTGTCGCGCCTCGACCTTGCTTATCCCGACCTCATCCACTGTCCTTCCCTTCCATTCCCGGAGCAGTTTTACCGAAGTCTTGGCAACGCCCAATTGGGCTACAACATCCTTCGCCTGATACGAGATCCCGAAGGATTGAAGCGATATCAAACGCAACACCGAAGAAGCTACTGATCATCTAGTGTGCGTAAAGGCTCTCGAGAACAAGACGTTCCACGTGGAGAAGGCGCATCAAGCGGAAGGACCGAATGGATCAGATTAAGCCACCTTCTCGATCGGGAAGGAGGAAGTTGAAAGACAATGCCTCAGAATTTTGGGATTGAAGCCACCGTGAACGCCTCGACGCCCTCGCCATGCACTGCTGGATATCACTACAGACTGCCCGTCGCTCCCCGCTCGTGAGGAAGCGTCGCGCTTCAATGGCCCTTTCTTTTTGCGCTTCGCTAATCGGCCGTGTCAACTCGTACAGGTGTTTGGCAATGTTGCACCAGTGGTGTGCAATTCCCCCCATGGACGCTTTTCCTTGAGCGAAAGACTGCACCGACCGATATAACTGAGCCTCTTCTCGTACAGTCTTAGTTTCGAACGAGGTCGATGCGGACCTGCGGCCTATAACAGCGAGTCCAGTCTCGTGAAAACACTCAAGCACGCAGCCACAACCTAAACACACCCGTTAGCGCAATCTCCGACCATCCCATCTACAATCAAACTCACCTCCAACTGCAACTCCTTCTCCTTCGCCGCATTCACCTCCTCCCGCGTAACCTGCTCCAAATTCGCTCCAATCGCCGCCCCCACACCCCCCGCTCTTCTCCCAAAAGGCCACTGCGAATACTCCGCCAGCAACTCATCCACCTGCGCAAAAGCCCTCTCCCGCGCCTCATGCGTCAGCGTCACCAGCGCGTTCTCCAGCACATTCGCGGCGTAGGCCGCACACAACATCGCGATCGTCCGCAGATACCTAAACTCCATTTCCTCGGGCAGGAAAGGCGTAGCGGGGAGGACCACGGTGCGTTGGGTGAGGGCGTTGCGAACGCGGCGGCGGATCTCGTCTTTGGCTCCGCCGTCGGCGACCGGGTGGGTGGCCATGTCGAAGAGGAGGAAGTTGCGCTTTTCCGTGCGGAGGATGCCTTTGTCGACGAGGCCTTTAGCCAGGCGTTCGCGGACTTGTTTGAGTTGGTAGCCGATTTTCATGAGGTTCCATGTTTCGCCTAGAAACTCCATGTTAGCATTTCATGTCCCCCACCACACGCCTCCGTTGCCAGCATAGCATTGACCCGGGTTAATGTGAAAGAAGCCCAACTCACCGCTCATCAAATCAATCCAACTACTCACACTCATCTTCTCACTACTCTTCATCATCTTCAACGCCTCATCCAACAGCACCTCCCCCGTCAACGTCTCATCCACCACCTCAATCACCCGATCCGCCAACGGGAACCGCCGCCTCGAACTATCCTTCTGCATACTAATCCTCCCCCGGAAAGCCAGCTCAATGACAATACACCCCCGCAGCGCGTAGCTAATGTTATCATTCCAAAAGCTCAGGTACCCTTGCTTGTCCTTCAACCCCAACAGCAGCACTTCCTCCATCAGCGTAAGTTTGGGCTGCTTGTTGCGCTCCGCGCTCTCGCTGATGTCGCGCGGGTCGAAGGCGATTTTGTGCCCGTTGGCGCCCGAGGTCTCGTAGCCCGTCTCTGGCGAGCGGAGGTCGGGTTCTTTCTTGGGGGCCGGGGAGGAGACGCGCGAGGGGTCGCTGTCGTCGGTGGTGGTGGTGCCGCCGCCGGCGCCGCGGCGGCGCGTCAGGCCGCTTGTGCCTGACGCCGAGGCCATTGTGTGGGAGGGGGAGTGGGTGTAGTTCGGCAGCAGTATGGTCTTGGAGAGGACCAGGTGAAGTTGTTCTTTAATCGAGGCTGAACATGAGATTTAGGCGGACGTTTTTGGCGGCGGAGATCGGGTGGGGAGTGGAAGAGATCGTTGTAGACTCGATCACCGTGTTTACAGCTGAGTATTAAGCAGTATAGCAAGTTCTAGTATTTCCGTCGCAATGGAGAGAGTGTCACAAGAGCATGTGAGGTTAGAGGTCACAGGCATGGGGATTGATTCACGGGCGAGCTGACCTGCGCCAAGGCGAGCATTGGATTGCTTGTGAGACCATCTCAATATTTGCTGATGAAACGAACAACGACAGAACAACATGCGCATGCGGTGGGTAGAGTTGATAGTACACGTGTATCAGACGCCGAATGGCCAGGCTAGCATGTACAAAACCGACCCTGATCTAGCCGTTTCCCAGGTCTCGCGCCTCCTCTGCTGGCCTCGTCCTTCTCCCATGTGCTCTCTCGTCTCGTCAATGCGTGCCGCTTAGTGAGCTGCTTGATGGTCAGTATATGCGTGAGGCTGCAATTCAAATTGTCGTACCATCTGGTTGCGCCATAATGTAGTCCACGGCTTGGTTGACTGCATACTGTTAGCCTGCGCTCTTGCCCAAGTCATTGGCATTCACATACCACTGTGAATCGCATCCGCCTCCTTGTCTGGAATCTCGATGCTGAACTCCTGTTGCTTTCATCAGCACCGCTTCTCCTGCGAAGGCAAGTCTTCAGCGTACCTCCTCAATCGCCATCACAACCTCCACGGTGTCCAAGCTGTCCAGTCCCAGGTCGTTGGTGAAGTGCGAAGTCGCCGCGAGCTATCCACATCAGTCCTGCACCTTCCTCTATCATCACAGCATTCTCCATACCTTAGACGGGTCATTGACCTGCACACCTCCAAATCAGCACACATCCACACCCCCATTCTTCTCCGCAACGGTACCTTATCAAAGTTCTTCAACAAATCCATAATCCTTCCCGTAACCTCCTCCTGTCCCAACCCGGACGCAGCGGCGTAGCCTCGCGCAGCCGATATCGAGATCGCCGGGGTGGATATTCTTGATGTCACGAAGGGGCTGGCGACCGCTCGCCGTATCGCGGGCTGCTGTGCTCGGGCGCTGGCTTGGGTGAGGCATCGTGCGGAGCGGACGAGGGCGGTGCGGAACATAGTGGCGGTGGTAGGGTTTGTAGAAGGTGGGAGATGTGTGATGGGGTGGGTGATTCGGGGTTTCGATGGAGCTGTTTGGGCGGAAGCTTTGGCTCTCTCTCTCCGCGGGAAAGTCTGAAGGCGAAGGCGAAGGCGAGCTAGGGTTGTGCAACCCTGATAACGAGACTGAGACAACGTGGACCTTCTACACTGGTTCTTCGTTCTTATGCCACTGGAAGTATTTGTTGCCCATCTTGATCGATTGGAGCTATTGCGATAACCTGCTCGTGAATCTTGACAGGTCCTATATTGTTCAAAGCCCATCACATCCGCCTTTAATGTCGCCCAACCCTTTTGCTCATTGATATTCTTGAGGCTAAAACCTCCAGCAGTCGAGACCACTACCACGTCCACCATTAAGACTACGGCGGAGAGCACGCAATTACGAAGAAGACCAAGGTGCCCATTGAAACAATCACTGGAAGATAAGCGGTACAAGCCGCTACCAACCCAAGCAAGGAATCAAGCATCCTGCATCGATGCACATGCACCAGCCGCGCCCGCTATGATGACTGCACCCGATAGTAAGCATGCCAACAAACCCCATCGCTAATACTCAAGCATGATCAATCTGCTGCGCCGCCACGTCTTGCAAAGGGGCCATTCTGTAGTCGGCAGTGCTGCGCTGCAATCTTGCCCCCATCTTGCGCGTGTTAAATGGACGGTGCTGACGGGTCGATTTCCTGTCAGCCAGCCAAGGGTGAGAAAGTGACTGTGTCTCTCTCGGTGTGATGTGTTTCAGCTTTGTGCTGCTGTGACACTTTTCTGCGGCGAAGTCTCAAGTCGCCGTTGGGCGGTCTGAGACACGCTGCGTCGTATTGTTTCGTAGTTTTGGAGCGAGTCCATTCTGGTGGCTCGATCGATGTGACGAAGTGGAAGACTGGCCTTCTCCGCTCATGTCTTACCGCCGGCCAGACGGCGACGGATGAGCTCCTGCAGCATCTCCAACTCCTTCCTCTGCTCTGCGGTGAGCGCCTCAGTCTGCTCAGACACCGGTGGCGAGGGAGGAATGGTAGAGCCCGCCGAGCGCTTCTTCACAGCATTCTCAGCGGCTGTCATGCCGTCAACCACGTCGCCTGGAGCTTCAGCCTGTGATGTTCGTTAGCATGCCGATGCAACCATTCAGACAGTGCTGCAGAAAAGAAGCAACTTACAATCAACGCTCCCACCAAGTTCGCAACCTGATCAGCTCCCAGAGTGAGATCACTATTCTCACTCGCGAACTGCGCAAGGTTGAGCGCCATCTTCTTGTCGCGGAATGACCGCTTGGCGAAGTTGGCTTGCTCCAGTGGGCCGGGTTCGTTGCCTGGTTCTTGTGCGATCGCACGAGCCGTGTCGTAAGCGTGCTGGCTCCTCAGCTGCTGAACGCGTGTGCTGGAACATGTGTCAGCTATCATACATCTGATGTGAAGGTGACAGACGAAAGACTGACTTCTTGACCTTGTCGATGAAGTCGAGCTTGATGCCCGACGCCGGTAGCCGATAGACCACGCCTTCATCTAGCCCTTCTTCATCGTAGAACTCGGAATCGGAGCCATCGCTCTCGTCGTCGACGACCACATCAATGACGCCGTTATTGTGGAATCCACGCTTCATCGAAGCCTCGACGACTTTGGCGTTCCTGGGCTTGCGAATGTGCACTTTGCGGGCGACGCTGCGGGGGTTGAGCAGACTGGTGTCGACCTTACGCAGCTCATGGTCGGAATGGAGTGGACACATCCAGTCGTGCACCTTGTCGCCGTCCTGGTTGCGTGCTGGCGGGTTGCTGCGGGGAGGGTCCATGCAATCGAGATGCCAGTATTCGCCACAGAAGTCGCATGGGATGATCGGGCGTGAGCCACCAGACGACTTGCCGCAGGAGTAGCATAAGATCGTCTTGCCTTTGCCATCCTTGATCTTGGTGAAGTCCGGCGGCTCATCTGAGTAGCCCGGTCGATTCCTGTGTAGAGTTAGCGATGCTGTTAAGATCTGGCCTTGCAGCTTGATACGAACCTGGTGCGCGTGTGAACCGACTCAACGAACGAGCCGGTCTTGTCGGTAGCGACGCCCTCGAAGTAGTCTCTGATATCCTGTGGAAGCGCAAAGTTCGATGGGTTGAGCTTGCGGAGACTGTTGAAGAGCGGCGCAAAGAGGCCACGGTGAGGTTTCTCCGGCGAATCGGTGATGGGGCGCTTCGCCACGCAGATGTAGCAGTACCATGGCTCGTTCAGCTCACTCGCCTCGTCGTTGAGCGGCGGATCGAGACATGCGAAGTGGAATGAGCGATCGCAGCCATCACAGCAGAGCAGATACCCGCTGCCTCCACAAGCCGAGCAAAAATCGTTGTTCTCGGAAAGCTGTTCCTCAAATGTTAGATTATACTTTGAATCAACCTTGTGCATAGAAATGGAAACAGGCGATGGAAGATGATGTCGCGGAAGATGCATGGGGTGTGTTGGGATGTTGATGCAGGAGGATGGCAAGGATGCGCATCGGGAAACTTCGTGTGCTCGAAGTCGGGAGTCCGGAGATTTAGCGCGCGTTGTCTTACCTCTTCATTGTCATCATCGGCTGGGCTCTCTCTTCCTGCGCCCCTTGCTCCTGGCATGCCCCCGTAGGCTGCCAGCTGTTTCTTTTCGGGCCTGATTTCGCGAATACTCGTCAGCGTGTGCCTTGTGAATTCGTGTTTGGTACGACACAAGGCTTTTGTGCAGCCCCGCATCTCAACAATAGGTGAGAACGCCATCGTCCAGCGTGCATTCCATCAAGCAAGCATGCAGAGAGAAAAAGCAAGGGTGACAGCAAAAGCAGCAAAGTCACTTCATGAAGTGAGGTCGCCGCTCATGGCTGGTCGCGAAAAAGGAAAAAAAGAGGAAAAGGTGAGTACTCACGATTGCTTGGTCTTTGCCTTCTTCCCGAAGGCCTTTGCCGGTGCTTTCGCTACCTGCGGCGTGCTCTGGCGTGAGGATGCTGGCGTAGAGAGCGGCGAGTCCAGATCTGTGGAGACGGCGCGGCTTGCGCTCCGACTGCCCATACGGGTGCCGCTGGTGTTCAGTGACAGGGTCGGCGGCGCGAGGGTGGTGCTCTGGCGCGCACGTAGTCGAGACGATCTGCTGTCAGCTGGCTCACGAACACTGCTCTCCTCGAACTGAGCATCGCGCGTGATGCCCTCGTTGAGCTTCTGCTTCTTCGCCGCAAGTGCCAGGTCACGTTCGTCCTCCTGCAATTCTGCCTCTGCCGAAGACCTCTTAAGGTTGCGGTTGGGTGCCGTGAGGCTTCCGCGCTCTGCAGCGTGGTCCTTACCTGTGGTGGTGGTTTGCTGTGCCGACGGGCCGGGGGCGGCGTCAGAGGCAGGCTCGTCGAGGTCCATGTCATCGTCCGGGTTCGAGGTCATGTCGGTCAGTGAAGAATCGCTGCCGTTCGGACTCCCCTCACGTCTCTTCGATGGTGACGCAGACATGGTGACGGTTTTGCTGGTGCGGTGGCGGTTTGGATCTTTCGATGGCGATTTCCAGGTGAGTGAAACTTTTGTGTCGTGATAGTTAGATGTTTCAGTAGAAGTTCTGGCAGAATAAATTTCAAGTTCACGTGGTGTGAGGTCGGAGGGAGATCGAAGCGGCAGCGAATGTGTGCCGTTTGAGTCGTGCGGGTGGTCCCGCCGCGCCTGCCTTCTGGCTTCTGCTTCCTCTTTGAGCATTTTCTTCGCAACCCTCACGTGCTGCTGGAACTGCTTGGTCTCTTCTGGTGTGGCTTTCTGTGCAAGAATCGCTTGCATCAATCGCATGAGCACACCGTTTTTGAGCGCCTGCAGGTAGATTTCGTAGACAGCAGCAGCCAGGTCAGGCTTGCCGCTCTCAAGAGCACGCATCTTGGCCTCGTTCACGATGGCACCCAGCTTCGTTCGGTCGTAAGACTTGGGATCCGGGGGCACGAGCTTGGTCTGCGTAGGAGCAGGAGTTTCACTCTGGCGCTTCGGGGCTCGTGGCTTCGGTTTGCGTTCTTTCTTTTTCCCGTTCGCCTTGGGAGCGTAGTCTGCATCATCCTCATCATCAACGACTATGCGAGGGTGCGGCGATGGTGGGGCCTGCACCACGGCACCCGTCTGCGGTGCTGGAGTCCCTTCAGGCGTCTCCTGAGCATCTAGCCCACCACCCGCAGCGCTCCGCCCCAGCACAGACTTGCGAGCACCTTCTGCCTTCACTCTTGTCTTCACTCTTGCGTTTGGCGCCTCCCCCAGTGGCTGCATGTGTTCCGACACGCCATAGTATGACACCCCTGCGTGATCGCGATAGCTTGGCTTCTGTGCCAACGGAGGCTCCAACCATGCGCTTCCCTCCATCTTCTCCTCCTTCACTTCCGTAGCGACGGACTCCTTTCGCTTTCCCGTGCTGCCGTTCGGTGTGCGAGAAGCGCTGCGGTCGCGAAGCGTGCGAGTACCGAGCATGTTGTAGCGAAAGGAGCATGCGCCGCTGTGGAGGACCGTTAGCACACCGTATACCTCGGGCGGATGATAGATTACTTTACCAAGGGCGATGCGATGCCTTCTGCGCCTACTGCAGTGTATTTGCGGTGTTTGGAGGCGTGCAACACGTAGACTGTCGCGTCGACTTGAAAGTATTGCGCGGTGTCAGAGGAAACGGGAGCACTCCCGTCCGAACTTCGAGCAGGGCACTCCAGTTTTCCGCACAAAGCAAGACGACCTCTATCACCACATCTAAGACACCTTTGCAGTCAAACAATTCTGTTTCACTGCCAATCTCACCATCAGTCAGTTACTGACAATGTCAAGGATGACTTTTGCGGGCAGCATCTGAATGGTGGTTGTTCAAGCCTCCACTCAGACTCGCCACTCTAGGCACCTCACCCCTCCTCGGCCGCTTACTGTCCGAAGTGATGAGGTATGTCTCAGGTTTTATTTCACGTACTCGCAGTGAGCTATTCATCATGCTATAGTATGCTTCGCTATGCTTTTGGAACACTCTCCTGAGAGAGAGACTCCTGTGAATTTCATCATCGTCAGCCCCTGAATAGCATGCCACTTTATCCTGCAGCACTGCAAAGAGCAGCTATGAGATCAACCTCTGCAGAGGCCCTGACGGTTCGTTGAAGGCAGGTAGAGTCGCCATCACTCTCACTCGTCGTCCGAGTCCTCGTCGGAATCCTCATCATCATCTTCTTCCTCCTGCTTCACGGCTGGTGCCTTCTTCGCCGACTTCTTCTTCTTCTTCTTGTTCTTGGGCTTCGCGCTGCTTGGCTTCGCCAGCGGCAGCTCCAGGATCTTGAGAATCTCCTCGTCGGTGATCTTCTTGTCGCTCTTCACCTTCTCGAGGTCTGGCGAAGGCGGCGCGGCTAACTTTTGCAGGCCGTTCTTCGTAATTGCTGACTGGAGTTAGCATGCTGAGTTCTTTCAGGTGAAGGAGGACATACCAATGGTCGTGTGCAGCCTACCCACTGGCTCGCCATCAGTCGAGCCGAGAACTTCGTACTGCCGCACCACGCCTCCGCGAACACACTCCACAATACCGATCTTGCCCGCGCGCTCGTCGTCCAACTGCCTCAAGCTGAACGGGAACGTGCCGAACTTCTTCTGGATCTCTGAAAGGGTGGCCCTGGAGCTTGGACGCTTGAGACCGTACGTCGTGGCGGTTCGTCTGTGGAGAGTGGCGCGGTTGTTCAGCGTCTTGACCTTGCCGGTCCCAGTACTGACGCCCATCTCCACGCCCCAGACGTCACCAACCTCCGGCAGCCCCTCTCCCTTGGCTCCGTCGCCCGGCGCCAGGATGATCTTCTTCTTGCCCTCGATGTCGTTCCGCTCGAAGAGCCAGCAGGTTGTGTTCTCGACCAGATTGCAGTCGTAGGACTTCACCAGCTTTTCCAACAGCTGCGTGATCTTTGACTGGGTGTAAGGACGCTGTGCGCGAGCCTTCTTCTGCTCTTCCTCCGATCCGGTTGCAAGCAGACCAGGTGGGAGCATCATGCGTAGCAGAAGCTCATTGGCCCAGTGTGTTGCCAGCATGAGGTCGGCCGCACGACCAGTGATCGCACTGTCGCCATCCGACTTCGCACGCGCCGGTACTGTGTCGCAGACGATCGCACCGAAGCCATCTATCTGCGCGCCCAACTGGATCTTCACGGGTTCGTTCGCCTTGAGCGTGGTCCCTGCCTCTTCTGCGTCGGATACGAGAGGGGTGTAGGGGGTGACGTAGGTGCTTGGAGAGATCGTGCAAGGGTTGGAGATGCCTTTTGCGATCTTCTTGCCCTTGTACACTTTGGCAATCTCATCCTCGAGGAGTTTGTCGCCGCGCTGGCAGATCTCGAGGACCTTCGCGCCTTCCACGCACCACCCTGGCTGCCGTTAGATGGACTTTGCTTGTAGAGGTTGATCTGCTTACCAGAGATTGTCTCGAGTGCTTTCTGTGAGATCTGTGCAGCCGTCTTGTACTTGGTGAGCACGTCGGGGTTCGACAGCGAATAGTCTGAAACAGTTTCTCGTTGTCAGCTCGAGAGTTAATTACCTTGAGGAATGTACTTGCACGTACCGACGGGAGCCTCTTCCGCCATTGTGGGCGGTGTTTGGGATGCCTTTGGATTGGTGTCACTTGCTAAGGCCGTGTCCTGGCCGAAAGGGTTGTTGAAGGAGGATGTTTGGTCACAGAATGCTTTTCGCACGAGTGTGGGGTTGCGTGCTGGCGTGGTGGGGTCTTCGAGAGTTGGACTGACCTCACTGCATTTTAGTCTGGGATCTGGAACATGTGATAGTGTTGGTATTTGGAGCGCATCACGATGGCAAGATAATTTGGCATTTCATGTAGGCTCTCGAGCTGTTATTGCATCGATTCCATGTAAACAAACTTGTCCCGTCGCTACCCAAGGGATATGGTCAGGCGTCTCGAGTTTGACCGTAAACCGTTAGACAGACTTGTTCAACAAGGCATGCATTTGTGCAAGTTTCCTCCAGGATACTTTGATAGGAGTCCATGGCTATCAATGCTCACCAGGCAATGACCAATGGCTCCATGCTTGTGCAGGCTGCGTGGCCGGTGTCTCCACAGGGGAGTTGTACGTTCGTGACCGAAAGCGTTCTTCCATCTGCTTCGAGAAAAACTGGTTTGGAATTGGTCTAAGGGCTATATGAGAACTTAGACGATGACCTTTCTTAAGCATGTGAGGAAGCGTTGCATGTGATAAACAGCGGCAGGAGCGGTCCGCACCTTCCGACGCACATCCGCGACTTTTGTCCGGCCAGACTTCACACGCTGAAAGAAGATATATGTTGAACCGGCGTTTCCTCGCGACGTGACACCTTCGCCTCAACTCCGCCGTGTCGCCTCTAGCACGTCTACCTGGGAGGATCTATTCGTTCTGGACTTCTTTGCGCGCGACCTGGATGGGCCATATTGCTTTGCTCATGCTCAACTGCCATCACGGAATATCCGGCCGCCCGGATAGGTCATCGTGAAGGCACCACAACCCTGGTAATACTGGATCCGGCCGCACACAGTGACCGTTGGTGACCACCTCTGCCAAACGCTTTGCCGTGCCTTGCAATATTGCCTGCCGCACAACCTGACAAGCCTTTCTTTGTGCTCTGGTTCTGTTAACGATCAGTCTGCTAACATACATCAAGACAGGAGCCCTTGAAGGCCTTCTTCCGGAGAGGGATTGATTTCCTCGCATGGCAGACGCTAGTGAGGATCACACGAGCAATATCGCACCCACAACAATCACACACAGTACTCCAGGATCGCAACAACATGCCCATTCAGACCCGACTCGCGGCCACAGTGCGGGTCTCACCTCACCCACCGTGTCATCGACGGTAAGGCAACCACAGTGGAACGCCAACTACATCCCGCCACCCACTACTTCTTCTCATGGCAGGAGACCAAGCTCGCCCGAGGAGGCGGTAGCTGGCGTGAGGTCACCAGAAGAGCTTCTACGCCGTCTCAGTCTGACTGCGCAGGCATCTGGCGATCTGAAAACGTCAGACTTCAACCCTCAGGTCGCCTTTCCAGAACTCCAACTGAGTGGCAATGTGATCAGCGCAACGTTTTGTGTGCCGTATAAGATCAGATATGGATCAAATGGGCAATGGGTACCTATCTGATATACTCTCCTCTGATAAGGAGATGGCTAATTCTAGCGTAGGATCTGAAGTGTCGCACGGGTACTTCGGCACTGTTCGACTCGTTTTCCTATTTGGCATCACCAGAATCGGCGTGGAAGCACACTTTGGTTGGATGGACTGGTGAGATCAATCGTCTACCTGACCAAAACTCAGGCGCGAGGCAGGCTGACGGGAGCTTGGCCGGCCCTCCGCTCAACAAAGCATCAGCACCCATTCCGGTCGACAAGAACACCAAGCCGGTGCAGCCCAACGAAGTTGCCGAGCTTCGCATTCCCCTCGAGTCGCGGAAGGCACTGGAGAAGATGCTCGAGCGTGATCATGGCGGATGTGTCGAGCCTGTCTGGCTTCCCGACCGCCGCCTCGAAGATGACACGATCGTCCTTAGGGAGCAGAACAAGTGGAGACGGTATGGAGAGCACGAGCTGTTCACACTCTTCCACTATAAGCAGAATGAGCCGTCCGATGGCCGTGCGGCAAAGAGGGCCTACGAGAACTACGTGAAGATGAACCAGACATTCGCCGATGCAATTCTAGCTGTGTACCAACCGGGAGATGTTGTGCTCATTCACGACTACCATTTGCTACTGCTCCCAAAGCTGCTCCGACAGCGGATACCGGCGATGTACATCGGATTCTTCCTGCACATCCCCTTCCCCAGCAACGAATACTACAGGTGTCTGACGAAGCGCAAGGAGATACTTGAAGGCGTTCTCGGGTCAAACATGATCGGATTCCAAGCGTTCAGCTACTCCCGTCACTTCGCATCATGCTGCAGTCGCCTGCTTGACACTGAAGCCTCACCTGCTGGTGTGGACTACTCTGGTGTGCATTCGGCTGTTGATGTGTTCCCCATCGGCATCAACGCGACAACGACATTGCAATCTGCCTTTGGCTCGCCAGAGATCGAAGAGAAGATGGCATCTCTGCGTGAGCTGTACAGGGACAAGAAGATCATTGTCGGCCGCGACCGGCTCGATTCGGTCCGTGGTGTGGTGCAGAAGCTTCAAGCTTTTGAGATCTTCCTCGAGCGCCATCCTGAGTGGCACGGCAAGGTGGTGCTGATACAGGTCACCAGCCCGACGAGTGTGGAAGATCGGGACGAGAGAGGCGACAAGACTGAGGCTAAGATATCGGACCTCGTTGCAAGGATCAACGGTAACTACGGGACCCTAAGCTTCGTGCCGGTGCATCATTATCCTCAGTATCTCGCCAAGGAGGAATACTTCGCGCTGCTGCGCGTGGCAGACCTTGGACTGATCACGAGCGTACGTGATGGCATGAACACCACGGCTCTGGAGTACGTCCTTTGCCAGCGCGACCATCACAGTCCGTTGATCATCTCGGAGTTTTCGGGAACAGCAGGCAGCTTGAGCGACGCCATCCACATCAACCCCTGGGACCTTAGTGGGGTCGCAGACGCGGTTGACAAGGCTCTCAAGATGTCTCCGCTGGAGAAGCAGATTTCCCACCACCGACTGTACGAGTATGTCAAGGGCCACACGATACAGCACTGGACGAATAACTATCTCAAGCGCTTGTTGACGAACCTTGCCGCATTCGACCAGAACCAGACCACGCCTCTGCTGGATCTGAAGGTTCTTACCAAGCGTTACCGTGCCTCCACACGGCGCCTGTTCATGTTCGACTACGACGGTACGCTGACTCCCATTGTTAAGGACCCGGATGCAGCAATACCCTCCGACAAAGTCATCCGGACACTGAAGTCGCTCGCTTCCAACCCCAACAACGCCGTCTGGATCATCAGCGGCCGTGACCAGAAGTTTCTCGACGAGTGGATGGGACACATCTCTGCGCTGGGTCTGTCGGCTGAGCACGGATCCTTCGTGCGCGTTCCCGGCTCAACAGAATGGGAGAATCTCACGGAGAAGTTCGACATGAGCTGGCAGGAGCAGGTTATGAGCATCTTCCAACAGTACACCGAACGCACCATGGGCAGCTTCATCGAGCGCAAGAAGATCGCTCTCACGTGGCACTACCGACGCGCAGACCCTGTTCTGGGACCGTACAATGCGAACAAGTGCCAGCATGAGCTCGACAGCGTCGTCACGCCGTACTACGATGTAGAGGTCATGACGGGCAAGGCGAACTTGGAGGTGCGGCCGAAGTTCGTCAACAAGGGCGAGATTGCGAAGAGGTTGGTCGAGGAGTATGGTTCGAGTGCGGAGGCTGAGCCGGACTTTGTGCTTTGTCTTGGTGATGACTTTACCGACGAAGGTAGGCCACGCCACCTCCTTCAGCGGGTGAAAAGATGTGTATGCTGACACCGAACAGACATGTTCCGCTCGCTCCGCGCATCGAAAGTCAACATCGACCACGTCTTCGCCTGCACCATCGGGCCGAGCGAGAAGCAGACGCTCGCACGCTGGCATCTTCGTGCTCCCGAAGACGTCGTCTCGGCAATCGCAATGCTTAACAATCTTGCGGACACCGACGACCTCGACTTCGAGGAGGACGGACCCGGTCGTGTGAACGGCACGGAGGCACGACTGTGAGATGGAGTGTGGTTATGCATCATGCTGGAACGAAAGGATGAACAGGGATATGTAACTTTAGGGTGACAGCATCAGTTGCAACAGAACTAGGGATAGGTTGGCGTAGGATGGACGGCATGTTTAAACGCAAGCCACGGAGCATCTTCACGGCTGATGGCAATTGCACGCAACAAAATCCTAGTTTCGTAGCGTTTGAACAATAATCCTAGGTCCTACTTGGCCTCTTTACAACCCAAGCCTTCAGCTTCGCTCAGCTTCCTCAACCTGTTCCTGCTCGGCTTGCAAACCCTGACGTTCCCTTTCCAGCATCACCTTGGCTCCGTATTTCTCCATCTGCTTGCGGCGATTGACGAGCACATCGTTGCACCGGCCCAGCATGGGTTCAAGGATCGATGGCTCCGACCAAGCCTCGTTCTTCGCTCGCGCAGCGTCAATGTCCTTGACGTCCTGTTTCAGCGTCGCGCGCATGACCTCAAGCGTGCGCCGGATATGCTTGATAGCATTCGTCTTGCGTCCAAGATCATTAACAGGGTTGGCGGAATCCTGTAGGCAGAGCAGATAAGGTTGGTACGCCCGCCTTTGCCCAATGGCCCACTGGCCTGCCCTGACGTGGTCTCCGCGGCGTCGAGCGGCGTCGATCTGGTCTTTGATCGCAAGCTCTGATCCATCGTGTTTCATGAAGAGCTTCGGTGGGGAGACTGACACGCCAAACTTCGTTGTGTCAAGTTCAGTGTAAAAGTCGAGAAAGCGCATGAGCTGCTCGCCAGCTGTGGCGGGCGGGCTGCTGCTCTTGCGCTGCAGGGCGGCGACGAGCATCATGAACAAGCCGTAGGCGCCTGTGCCACCGCTGTAGACATCGACGAGACCTCGGATTCCTAACGCAGTCCTGAGTAAAAGGTACAGCGACTTCAAATTCGGAATCTCAGCCAGATACTGAGCTGTGATCGCTTGCTGCGGTGCTGTGTCCGGTGCTCCGACAATCTGGATGTCGATGTCGCTGGGTTTGTGTGTGGCCGTGATTATCGGGTAATGCGCGGCTCGGTATTCGACAGCGCGGAACAGTCTCGTCCACTTCAAGTGTCTAGACAGACCCTCCATCCTAGGAACAAGGGAACCCGTAGGGCTGCTGGTTGCTCTTGGAACCGCCCAGGACACTCTGAAGTCGATGTCGGAAGTAGGAGTCGCCAAGCCAGTTTTTTGCGACCCTTGAACTTCAGCATGCACTTTGTGGTCAGCATGTACTTGGTGTTGCTCGGCGGAGCGGTTCATGTAGCCGGACGTAATGCTGAGTACTTCATCGATGGCCGATTGACGCGCTACTGCTTCCGTTGGCGAAAGGTCGATGTATTGCGCGAACTTGGCAATCTCCAAGTCTAGGAGAGCGTTTCCATCCAGTTCTGCGCGACTCTGAGCTTCAACAGCCCAGGGCAGCGGTGAAGGGTGAACCGACGGTCTTATGGGCGCATCGATAACGATGCCTCGATAGTCCAGGTCAAGCTGTCGTGCGGCAATGCCATCTTCCACTCTCCTGGTGCGGGAGAGATGGTGGGCATTCTCAGCTATCTCGCGCATCCGCTCCTGCCAGCTCAGAGTATTGGGTTCCTCCTGTCGATCTCCAGAAGATCGGAGGGAAGATGGCCGAGGACGGTCCTTTCTGGTCGGCCTCGCGTCCTCTTTCACTTCAAGCTTGACCGTCCTAAACATAACCTCCTGCTCTTTCGCCGCCTGCTGGTTCGCCTCCTTCCGTATTGCGTCTCGCCGTCGCCGCCATTTGTCCCTTCCCAGGGAACCATCGTGCTGTCTTGCCGAGGGCTTACTTGCTCCCTTCCGTTTCAGCCCCAGCTGTTGCCGGAATTCGTCCCTCGGGCGGAGGCCATCGTTAGATGAGTCATCCGATACAGCTCTAGGTGTGAACTTCTTCTCGGGCCGTTCGCCATTGCTCGAGTGCGTTCGTACCCTCAGCGCTTGTCTCGTGTTGGGCCGGAGCTCTGGCTCGGTAACTTCGTCGCCAAACTTTTGTCTCAGTGCCTCGTAGTTTGCGAAGAGCCCACCAGCCCCAGGGCCAGAGACTTTGTCGTTCACCTCGCGACTCCTCCTCTGAGCTGTTGCATAGCTGCGTCTCTGCTGCGATTGTGGCGGGAGACGATGGTGTTGGAGCCCAGAAGTAGATTTCGGAAGCTCATTGAGCTCACACCAAGTATGGGAGAGGATCGCGTACAAAGCTACGGAGGGATCGTAGGCATTGCACGAGTGGCATGAGCGGCGCAAGAGAGCCTGGCGAGCAGGCATAGATGTCGTGATGTGGAAGGAAGTGTACAATTATTAAGAGAGATGAAGTCGCTGCTCCAAGGGTGAGCTTCAAGCCTTGGCGCGTCCTTCAAAGGTAGCAGATTCAGCCAGATTCTCCAGCAATACTGTAATGTCATGGAGACAAGAGTGATGATGAGGCACGAGAGAAATCATCTATTTCTCAATCATTTATATACACTAAAGGAACGCTTAAACGCGCGACATCACTTCGTAAACCCCTTCCAAACCCGAGAAAGCAGAGCAGCCGCGACTGAATGCCTTCCCATCACTCGACATTCCCGTGGAATCCGCCCTTCGTAGGTCTCGTGTCGATATGATGTCTACGACAGTTCGAATGACATGGAGTAGAAGCACGGCAGACACTGCTCTCCTGGCCCCCCGCCCCTCCCACCCAGCCGTCAGGTGCTCCCCATTAGAATATCTTCGACTGTCGCCGGCATATCTCCTTCACCTTCACACTGGGACTCTGCTTCGACCATCCGCTTCCAGAGCTGCTGCTCGACTTGGTGCTCATTGGCGACCCGGCGTATACATATTCTCCGTCGACGTATACTGCACTCGAGGTGAAGGTTGTGCGCTTGTCTCGCTTGGTGTATCGCTGCTCGAGGCGGTAGAGCTCGACTTTGTTCCGCAGGTTGTCCATGAAGCCCATTGTGATGGTGTGGTGCAGTGTGAAGGAGCGTTGATTGTTTGCTTTGCGTTCAAATGTCCAATGCTTGTGCGATCGGCTTCCAATGGCTTTCGCTGTGTTCGAGATCGTACAGAGCGTTCGAGATGGAACGATGTATGCTGTGGACGGTCTTGCGGCGTCTCGTCTGTGTCCCGGGACTTCTTCTCCGTCTTGCGATCTCGTTCCGACTGATTCTGCCTCGAAGTGATTGTCGCCGTTCCTTGTTGAGTTCGAAAGGAATGAGTGTGTGTCCAGAAACGAGTGTGGGGTGCGATAGCACTATGTACAGTATATCAACAGATTGGGCAGAAGAGCTGAAGAACGGGACGAGCAACCGATAAATGCACTCTTGCAAAGTTGCATCTCTAGATCGGCTGGTCTGTTTCGGGGGGCATCGAATCCTGGTCGCCCTGACTAGTTAGCGAAACGGGCAAATTGCGCATTCGGCACGGGCGACTGTCTTTTGCCTTCCATTCCTCGGTACATTCATCGTGGCATCGTGAGGTATCGTTCAATCCAGGCTCTCCGTGGATGTGTCTTCTTGTCCGCGACACTACGTTGAGCCAGATGTTGGAGAGCGGTTCGATCAACGAGCGCGTGCCGCGCACGCGAGGACAACGTGGAGACGACGGGAGACGAAGCTCGGAATCCTTCCACAGCTTCTAGAACAACGGTCGAACTGCAGTAGCGGCTCCCAGGGTTGCAGTAGGAAAGCGATCAACAGGAAAGTTACCTGAAGAAGTAGATATACTGTCAACTCGAGACTCCGAGTCGATACAGGAGAAGCCAGAGCCTGTTGAAGGGATGAGAAGGCAGGAAGGCGGTTTGTCCACCAGCAAGTAGTCAGGTCTTCGTTTCAACGCCAATTAGATGTTGGCAATGGGACAAGGCAATAGCAAGACGCCCAGTCCGCGTTCGTGGTCGATTTGTCGATGGCAATAGCAGTGTTGTTATTCGGGGACAAGAAGAAGAAGACGTGAGGTTGTTCTAGGATTCCAAGTACGAAGAGCGCACCTTCCCTACGTCCTTCACGCAGATGCCTCCTTACTCTAAATCCACCTCAGCTCCATCATCGCGCATAGATCCCATGAGCACATGTATATGCAAGTCCCTAACACCTTGCGCATTGTCCAAGCATTGAGTAATCACTAGTTTACAGATACTTCTTCGGCATGCTGTTCCTCCGCCGCTTGTAGATGATGTAGCCGCCCGCCATCAACACCTGCACGGCGACGACAGCGAAGGCGAACATGCCCAGGCGAGGACCGTGGGTTCTCATGACTGCGGGAAACAGGTCAGCGAATGTAACTATCACCAGGACAGGAGAGGGAGGGGCTTACTTCTCCCAATGTTCTCCGGATCCAGACTGTCGCTCAATCCACCCCGGACATTCTCAATCGCAACATTCAGTTGGTTGAGATGTTCCTTATAGTCCTTCCCTTCTACGTCCCGCTTCACCTGGTCCAGCGTTCGCTCCATGTTCTCTATCCTGCGACCCAGGTTGTCGATCTTATCCGATGGAAAGCCGCCTGGCATGCTGCTCAGGAGCTGTGCATGTCGCTCCTCCTGCTTTCGCCCCAACTGCTCAAACTCCCCGAAGAGGTTGGCGATCTGGTGCGTCAGCCCTTGCAGACGGTTGTGGAGGTCTGCGAACTGCTCCTGCTGGTTCTTGATGTCGTCGGCCATTCGGTCGGGAACAGCTTCAGGAGCGCCAGGGAGCCGGTCAAGCCTCTCGAGTTGCGGTCGGCCTTGCTGTTGTTGCTGTTGTTGCTGCTGTTGCTGTGGTGGTGGTGGCGGAGGAGGAGCGCCGCCTTGCGGAGACGAGTTCACGATAAACTTGTAAATCTCGAAGCTGTCCGGTTGATCCGCCGTGGCAGCCGTCAGACCAAAGTAGTATCCTGAAGGAAGCACAATCTGCTCGCTGTTGAAGCATTCCCTCCCATCCATCGACACGCGTAGACCGTTCTGGTTCGTGACCTTCAGAGTGCTCGGCCGGCCAAGGTTCCGATAGCTGTAGTCGCAATGCCCAAACGCTAGCGTCTCGAGCGAAGGGTGTGCGCGGAAGTTTTGTTGCCCATCATTCAAGAACCCTCTCACAATACCTCCTCGCCCGCCGTATTGATCAATGACCAGCGCCAGCCCATCGAACGGGCCAGTAGTGTAGACGCTGTCCACGTTGATCGCGTTCTTGTCCTTCGCAAACCAAAATTGTAAGTTACCGCTCCCGCCTTCCTGCCCGGATGCGCGGAAGGATATTTCTGCATCCCACGTCTCGCTGTTGATCGGGTTTTCCGACCACAGTGCGCCTCTTGCGTTGCCAGGAACAGGGGGGGTCAGGACCACTCGATCCGAGAGGAACTGGATGTGGTGGTTGCTGGATGTTGCAGACCAGCCGGGTATCGCTTTGCCGTTCGGTGCTATGGGCTCCTTGTGCCCGAATGACAGCTCGTCCAATACTTGCTGTGTCGAAGCGGTGCTGGCGAGGAGCAGCCATAGGAGAGGCTGTGGGAGTGTTGAGCAACGCATGTTTGTGCGGTATATGCAGCACCAGCGCGCGCTTATTTTCGATAGTAATATGTATTTTTCTCTCCGTTCGCTAGCCTCAATTTCTCCCCGGTGCGCCTCTTGAAACGTTGTCTCGTAAAGCCCGAATGGTCGTTACTGTAATCCAGCCAGCAACAATAATTGACACGCCGAGACGCACTTCTTTCAGCGCATCAACGAGCGAGGAATCGAAACGGAACGAATGGATGTGATTGATAGCACCGCCGTGTTGTGCGTTCATAGACAGGCTGTCCATGCTGTCCGAAGGTGTTTGAGAGACAAGCTGGCCATATTGGATCGCAGTCCCTCTGGCCCAAGCTTCCATTTCCAGATGCGCTAACGCGAGCGACTTCCGACTGGTCATAGAGACCTGGAGGCGGAAACAACCACACATCTACATCCACCACCGACCGCCATCTCTACGGCGAAGAAGAGCGGTAGCGGAATCAGCAGACAAGATGGGCGATCCAAGACAGATGTGGGAGAACCTGCAGAAGGGGCTGCAGAGGGCGCAGCAGCAAGGGCAGAGGTATGTTTGGAGAACCATATGGGAGAGCTCGAGATGGCACCGGCTGACCGCGCAAACAGGTTTGGTGGTGGTGCCGGCGGTGGTGCGCCAACCCCTAGAGGAGCGCTAGGGGGTATGGCAGGGCTGTTGTTCCTGGGTGGCACGGTCTGGATGTTCAACAACGCCCTCTTCAACGGTATACGCATCTAAAGTCCGCATACTCAAAACTAGCCTAACATCAAGCAGTGGACGGTGGGCATCGCGCAATCAAGTACACCCGTATTGGCGGTGTTGGCAAGGATATATACACTGAAGGCACCCATCTCCGAATTCCATGGTTCGAGACACCCATCACCTACGACGTACGCGCCAAACCTCGAAATGTCGCCTCCCTCACCGGTACCAAGGACTTGCAGATGGTCAACATCACCTGCCGTGTGCTTTCCAGACCCCGAATCGATGCGCTTCCGCAAATATACCGAACCCTCGGTACCGACTACGACGAAAGAGTCCTGCCGAGTATCGTGAACGAGGTTCTGAAGAGCGTGGTTGCGCAGTTCAACGCCAGCCAACTCATCACCCAGCGTGAGAACGTGAGCAGACTCGTACGGGACAATCTCATCAGGAGAGCGGCGAGGTTCAACGTTCTGCTGGATGATGTTTCGATCACTGTAGGTTCATCCTAATCCGCCCCCAAGTCCGACGTACAGCTGACCACACAACAGCACCTCGCCTTCTCCCCAGAGTTCACAGCAGCGGTCGAAGCAAAGCAAGTCGCCCAACAAGAAGCGCAACGCGCCGCCTTCGTTGTCGACAAGGCACGGCAAGAGAAGCAAGCCATGGTCGTCCGCGCACAGGGTGAGGCACGCTCGGCCGAGCTGGTCGGTGACGCGATCAAGAAGAGCAGATCATACGTCGACCTGAGGGAGTTCGAGAACGCCAAGAACATTGCCAGCATCCTGCAGCAGAGCAACAACAAGGTCTACCTGGACACCCAAGGCCTGGGCCTGAACATTAGCCAGACGGGGCAGTCGGAGAGGCCGAAGCCTAAGTAGGCTGGCTAAGGTTGTTTGAAGATATGCGCATGGAAATGGGACGGAGCATTGTCGAAGCATGGCGCCGGTGAGAGGAGTCTGCTGTGTATTTGTGTATATGTTAGCAGCGAAAACAGACTCTACTTCACTCTACAGGCGCACTTCACCTTGGCTTCTCGGGTCCACGATGTGTCTGGCTGACCAAGACACTTGCAATGCCGTTGCCGAACGCTACTGCACCTATGCTTTTGCTGAATGCCAACTGATCGTACGTTGCTCGTTATCAAAAAGGTCCAGCTTGGTGTTGATACCATTGAAGACCATGCCATGGGTATACTTGAACAAAATCATGCCTTCCTCCGCTCCAACAATAACTCCCCCTTCGGCCCGCCCTTCTCCACAAACCCATCCTCCCTACTATGCACTCTCCGCCCCCTCAACCACGTCTCCCTCACCACACCCCTCAGCACCTTCCCCTCGTACGGCGAGCACTTATTCCTAAACAACATCGTGTTCGGCTCGACCTCAAACTCCGCCGCATCATCGAACACCGCCACATCCCCGTCCATCCCAACCTTCAGCTCGCCCTTCTTATGCTCAAGACCAACCTGCTTGGCGGTGTTGACGCAGCACCAGCGCTCGATGTTGCGGAGCGTTTCCTCGGTCTTGAAGCCGCGACGCATCGCTTCGGTCCAGAGGATGCTGAGGCCCAAGCCGACGGAGGAAATGCCGCCCCAGGCGGAGAAGAAGTCGCCTTTGCTGGTGTTGGAGCAGCAGCCTGCTTTTGAGCCTCCTTCTGCCCCAGGAACGTGGGACGGGAGGAGTTTGAGGTTGGGCGTGCAGGGCGAGTGGTCTGAGACGACGGTCTTGATGATGCTGTCGTTTTCTAGCATTTCGTCCCATAGACCGTCCTGATTCGATTGGCCTCGAATGGGTGGACAGCATTTATGTCTCGTGTCGCCAGCCTTGATTGATTCGGCGGCTAAGCTGAGGTAGTGGAAGCAAGTCTCCGCTGTGATCTTGACGCCGGATTCCTTGGCTTTCCGAAGCATTGGGATAGCTTCGACGGCGGAGAGGTGGACGATGTGTAGTGGGAGGTTCGGCGCCAGATGTGCCAGACTGAGAATCTCCAGGATAGCATAGATCTCAAATGAAGAAGGCCTTGAGTCGAGGAATGTCTGGTACTCGTCCAGCGGGCCAGTGGGTGCTAAGGGTGGAAGTGACCATTGCACATCGTCTCCTACTGAAGCCGTGACAGGCGGAATCATCTCGGCGTGGAACATAACGGTAGTCGGCTCGTCTTGCAGCTCCTCAAACACCTTCCTGATGTCGGTTGCGGACACGGCAGGAAACTCCTCCACGCCGCTATCAATCAGAAACCCCTTAAAGCCTCTTACGCCCTCCTGTACTAATGGCTTAAGCTCAGCAGCGTTGCCAGGTATGATACCACCGTAGAAGCCAACGTCGACCCAACACTTCCCTTGTGCAGCTGCAACCTTCTCTTTCAATCCAGCCACGGTTGTAGTAGGAGGTATAGCATTGAGCGGCATGTCCACCACTGTAGTAACACCACCAAAAGCGGCCGCTCTTGTGCCAGTCCAGAAGCCTTCCCACTCTGTCCTGCCGGGCTCATTGAGATGTACATGGGCGTCCACAAGTCCAGGTAGCAGGACGCAAGGGCTGTAGTCTTTGTATGGGGTGCCGGGAGGGAACGATGATTCTGGTAAGACCGAATGCCATACGGTTATGATCTTGCCGGTCGTTGTTGAGATCACAATGGTTGCTGAGGTGAACCTGTTCTCAATCACTGCTCTCGACGACGCCAGGACCGTGATATCGGAGGGAGGGCTGTCGAAGGAGCGTACACCATCTTCGATTGAGTGTGGAGTCGTAGTGCCAGTAGCGAATGGTGCCATTGTTGCTGTTGTAAGTCTATGAGCAGCCACGAAAGGTAAGAGAGGTGAAAGCTAGGACAAAGGAACCACGAGCTGACATATGAAAGGCAGGACGAATGACACCAGCCGTGGACTTATCTGGGGTGTACGGGGTGCATGAGAACAACACCAGAATAGCGCAGCGTCCAGAGATGCTGAGAGCATTCATCCACCACGTCGACCGCGCGGGAGATTCAAGAGCAGCGCGCTGGCGCAAGGTTGCTCCATCATGCGTGCAGGGCCGGTCGAGAGCAGTGGTTCGCTGAGCCAGCAGAGGCGACAGGTGTGTGTAGTTTTGATCGAGTCAACGATTGTAAGCTTATCGCGCGGCTCGCCCACGTTGGGACGGTGGATGGGTTGAGGTCTGATAAAGCTGGGAAGCTTGGTGTCCGCCCACGATCTCCGGCTCCGGCGGCCACTTCTCCACGGCATGTGACTTTGACTGCCTTGCATTACCTTGTCGACAACATGCACAACATCCTCACTGCTGCAGACTCGCTGCCATAAGAGCGTTCATGCGGCATGCGGCGACGGCATGAACGCATCGATTCGACCAGATCAGAAAACGCACTTCTGCGATTCATGAGTAGCATAAAAAGGCTAAGTTGTTTCTCTTAGGAAACGATTGCTCGATCAAAACTCAACTCCTTGCGCGACTCGAGTAAATGATTGCTCGACCAGAACTCGATACTTTGTGAGACAGAGCCCGAGGCCGGCGGAGCTCGCCTCAATGTCGTTGATTTGATATCGTTGTTGAGCTCGTTGTGTTGCCTCCTCACAGGCGATAGTAGGTACAAGCAAAGCAGCTCATCTCATTGCCACCTCGTAAAGCAAATGCTGATGGGGTATCACGCTGAAAGCCAGGAAGCAAAAATCAAACATTCACACTGCCCGCCAAAGCTGTCTCTCCGCCTACCCTCCAGCGATCAAACATCAGAACATCCAGGGAATGTCCGCTGTCGTAATCTGCTTTTGCGAACGATCGATCGGACCCTCCTTCTTTGGCTTTGCGGTGTTCTGGAGCAAGTCTTTGCTGTTGTACATGCTGGCCCTCAGCTTGTATTCGTTGTTCGACTTGATGTCAAGGTACGTATACGCATCACACTTGTAGTAGATGGGTTTGCCGTCACGGAAGCACACACCAAGCTCGATGAGTTCCTCGAGCACTCTCTTAACGTCGTCGGCGTCGGTGAAGTCGTACGTGTAGACACAGATGAGGTTTAATGGATCGACTGGAGTATGTGTCGCAGCCTTGGACGTCGGCCCGAGTCTGCTCTCTGCAGTTGCTTCCGCTATGACCCGCCAGAAACGAGGGTATTCTTCGTTCGAAGGGAACAACATCCACTTCCCGCACGTTGTGCCTGTCTTCACGGCCAAGGCAAGGAGATTGTTTTCGAGTTGGTCTCGATACGGTCCCATCTTTCGGGTGATGGTAGCTGGTCCCACGGATGAGTATGTGGTCTCCATTTTCGTTCTCTGTTTCAGAAGACCTTGAAGTAGAGGAATGCCGGTCTCAACAAAGGCATCCACATCAGCCTGCTTCTGCCATTTGGGCTTCATGATCGGGTTTCTAACCCAGAGCCATGGGCCTGCGTCACGCGTGTCAGTGAGTTATTGGTACTGCGATGCTTCGAAGAGAAGGCATACCCAACATAGCCGTCTCAGGATCAGTGACCGGAGCGCGTCTCATGAACTCGGTGATCGTCTCGCGCTGCTGCCATGCGGATGGTTCGCCGTAGAAGCGGTCGCTGGAGACTTCCGCCTCGACTTGCATGTCATCGCCCTCCATTGCAACATCCCGTGAAGTTTCTGCTGGGCGAAGGTCCTGAGCTTGAAAGGGTATTTCGTCATGGTGGCTGTCGTGCTTGATCTTCTCTGCAGCTGGTGGTTCGCTGACAGCCGGTTTTTGCACCTTAGGAGGCGTTTCCACCTTGCGTACAGGCGTCAGGGATGGGATAACTGAAGTTGCAAGCTTTCGCTCAGCCTTCTTTCGCAACTTCTTGCGCAGCGCTTCGTGCCCTGGAATATGTTAATTGACGTTAGCCAGCGTTGGAGGAAGGCAGATACCGTAGAAGTCGGACTCGTCACTAATCCAGCCAGCACCATCCACAAGATCCACGGCCATCTTTTCCAACCCTCTCAAGAGGGTTCGCTGTCATTCATTGTGGCAGAAGGTGGTTGGAGGTGCTTCTCGAGGCAAGAACGGTCGCTTGGGCCTGAGGCAGCCATCGCCAAATTTCCACGCTAGTAGATTGGCCCGTCAAACGCGTCGCCACGACCACCTCGACTTGACATCGATCGACATACAACATCACGACAAAACAATACATATCAAGATGCCTCACGCAGTATCTCCGTCGTCCGAAGGGGGCTCATCGTCAGTGCGAGAAGATGAGACCATGTCAGATGCGCCTGCCCAGGAGGCGGACGTTCAGAACAACGCCCAACCCGACGCGCAGGATGATGCAGGCTCGCAAGGACCTGGCGCACTGCCTACAACCACGAATGCCACCTCAACACGACTAGAAGACATGTTCGATGGTGACGACGACGACACCGACGAGTTCTCCTCCAGCGCGCAGTCAAAACCACAAGACAGCTCGCAACCTGCTCCTCGAGCAGCGCCTAAGGCACAGTACTCCGAGCCAGACACGCTCCGACAGTTCTATCAGCGACTCTTTCCCTTCCGACCGCTGTTCCAATGGCTGAACCACTCCCCAACACCCCAGCCCGACTTCCAGAACCGTGAATTTGCCTTCGTCTTGCCCAACGATGCGTACATCCGTTACCAATCATTCGCCACAGCAGACCTGTTCCGCAAGCAGTGCCTTCAAATGACGCCAACACGTTTTGAAATCGGACCACAATACAGCGTCAACCCGCGCGACCGAAAGACGATTCGCAAAGCCAGCAGTTTCCGCCCCGTCATGAAGGAGCTCGTGTTCGATATCGACATGACGGACTACGATCCTATCCGTACCTGCTGCTCGAAAGCAGCGATCTGCCACAAGTGCTGGCAGTTCATCGTCATGGCCATCAAAGTCATGGACGCCGCATTACGAGAAGACTTTGGCTTCCAACACATCCTATGGGTCTACTCCGGTCGAAGAGGTGCCCACGCGTGGATCAGCGACAAGCGCGCGCGAGAAATGGACGATGCGAAACGGAGAGCAGTGGCCAACTACCTGGAACTGCTCCGCGGAGGCGACCACGGCAAGAAGGGCCTCAATCTTCGACGACCTCTTCATCCACACATCGACCGCAGCCTGAAGCTGCTGAACCCCTACTTCCAGAAGGAAGTCCTCGCAGACCAAGATCCATGGGAGTCCCTCCAGCAAGCCGAGAAACTCCTGACTCTCTTACCCGACAAATCTCTCACCGCCGCCCTGCAAAAGAAATGGGACAGCACGCCCACCCGCACCTCGAACCAAAGATGGGCCGACATCGACAGCGTAGCCGAAGCGGGCAACCTCTCGACCCTCGACGCGAAGAAGCTGGTCGAGGTGAAGCAGGACATCCGACTGGAATACACGTACCCGCGCCTCGACGCCGAGGTCTCGAAGAAGCTGAACCATTTGCTCAAGTCGCCGTTCGTCGTGCACCCGGGCACAGGAAGGGTGTGTGTGCCGATCGATGTGCGGAGGTTAGAGGAGTTTGACCCGTTCAAGGTCCCGACTGTGACGGAGTTGCTGCGGGAGATTGACGAGTGGGATGCGAAGAACCGTGGGCTGGGGGAGCGAGAGCGCGCAAAGGTGGAGGACTGGCAGAAGACGGGCTTGAAGCCGTATGTGGAGTATTTCAGGGGCTATGTCGCTGGTCTGTTGAAGGAGGAAGGGAGGGGGAAACGTGAGCGGCATGAGGAAGCTGGTGCGGAGAGCATGGAGTTTTGATTTTGAGATCAACTTTTGATAGTCGCAAGGTCATTGCAACTGCGCTCGACTTCGTGAGGGCGATGGTATCTACATTACTTCGTTACCAGCTCGTGATCAGATTCCACATGCCGCTCATTCATGAAACATTACCTAATGCCATAGCTGGAAAAAAGCCTGGGCTTGGCAGGAGGCGAGAAGCAAGCCGTTCAGCCGTCAAGCTCGCTGGCCGGCTCAGAGCAGAATCCGTTTTTGCATGCGCGCTCCTTCGCGTAAGATCGAGACCACTTCCGCCGCAACCGTCGACCTGCAGACGTGCCGATCTAAAAACGCTGCAGCGAGCCCTGCAGGAATCGAGACCTTTTTATAGAGCCAAGGCGGTCGAATTCGCCGCCTCCGAACGCCGGTGGCGTCCAAGCTCCTTGTAACAGAGCAACGACAGAGCAAGTTCGTCCGCACTTCTTGCAGTGTGAGAGGTAAGATCACCCAACTTCCCCTCTATGGTGACGCCATCGGTACGCGGGTATCTCGAATTGTGTTGAAGTCTCGATTTTCTGCATTCCCATAAGATGGTTGGGTCGCCCACTTGCTGAGAAGCTGAATATTTGTTGTCGAAGAAAGTTGTTGCACGCCTTGGTCTGAGACGTCCAAGCAAGCGTGCACAATGGATGAGAGAGCCTTCTCAAGTTCGCGAACGCCCACGAGGCGGTTGTGGTCCACCCCTCTGCTCTCCCGGAGGTTGTCCTTGCTGCTGCCCTTGCGGTGGTGGTTGTTGCTGAGCTCCAAAAGGCCCTTGTGGTGTTGCAAACTGATAGCCAGGCGGCATCGCGATCTCCGACGATTGGTTACCCTGCCATTGCTGCTCGTGCGATCCGTATCCTTCGCCCGGCATCTGGTGGTAGTAGGGGTCGTAAGGCTCTTGTGGTGCATAGTACCCTTGCAGGGCCATTCCCGCCGATGGCTGGAAACCCTCCTGATGAGACTCCGATGACATCGACATGCTGCGACTGCCTGCTTGGGGCCACTGTTCCCAGCCGCCCTGGTCTGACGCCGGACTTGTGGTGTATTGCTGCTGCATGTAACCGCCTGGCTGTTGTTGCTCTCGTGGGAAGGATTGGTGAGTGGAAGGACCGTCAGGGAGGCTAATGTCATGTCAAATACGAAGACTGCGTGAGATTCTCGCGGAACTTACCTCATCGATGACATTGGTGAAGGCTGCGCAACACTCAGCAACTCATCGACGCCCGCGCCCATACGCATGCGTGCAAGCAGCGACGTCGCCTCTTGATCTGTACCGTTCTGTAACAGGCTGAACAAGTTCTGGAGCCTGCCGTGGTCCGCCGTCCGCGCCTCCAACTGCTGCTGCAGATTCTGCATCCTCGTCAAGCCTTCTTGCGCAACGTCATATATGCATTCGGCGCCATGCTTCCGGCAACGTTCGCAGACAGGGCGCGCACCGTCGCACTGACACGGTCAGTTTGTGAAGTCCAAAAAGACGCCACCGACACCTACCTTTGACTTCTTGCTACGACATCTGGTGCACGCGTTCTGGGTGAGGAAGGATCGTTTCGCTCGCTTGGGCCGCTCTTGAGAGTGCTCTTCCTACGTGATCAGTCAGTTTTCTCCGTAGCAGAGACAGCCTTCATTTGCGGACGGTGGATGAGGTGATAAAAGGGCTAGGGATGAATGTGAACTTACTCGTCCAACGCTACTACCACCAGACGTCCCGCCCGGCGTGGGGGGTTCCGGCAGGGCGTACGAAGCCCTTTCCTGTGTGTCTCCCATGGAGGATGGAGCGCCGGAGGCAGCGGCGAGATTGTCTGAATTCGAAGGAGGGTCTGACAGTGAGCATCCCGCCCTTACGGTGGTGAATAGCGTCGAACAAGGTGCGAATGGAGATCGATCGAGGTGAAGCGAGAGGCAAAGAGTTATAGGACGAGGTACAGCACAAAACCCACACGCCACCCTTAGGCGTAATAGGCCGCTTCCGCGTGAGGTGAGCTGCGTGAATGCCAGATCGTCCAATATTCAATGCCCTACAGACACCGATGGAGGGGTCGAGGGTTGGGTTGGCGGCAGACGGCAGACGGCAGACGGCAGACGACAGCCTCGACCGCGGCCTGTCGATAGACGCAGCCCCTGGGCGTGTGGAAGGCTCGAAGAGGTTCGTTTCAGATGCGTGACGAGGCTCTCCGTCATCGCAAAGCAGTGCATCAGAGCACCTGTAACCCATGTAAACCGCTGCATAAATCGACCTGCGATCGGAGCGCTCTCCCACTGACCGTCGCCCCGAAAGGACTGGAGTCCGCAAGAGTGTTCCAGCAGCATGATAGGGCACAGAGAAATGCATCGGCATCTCTTCACTTTAGATCGTCGGTCCCTGTTTTAGCGGCAGAGCATATGGGCCGGAGCTGTCTCCGGTAGTCTGTCTCCTCGAAAATTGGCCGGGAATGCGCTCTGTTGATGACTGTTGCTCTGCTTTGCACTCATCACACTCACGTATGCATCTGCCTCGATTTACCCACCGTCTTGGGTCTGCTGGAGTCGTTGCCCGTTATACCAAACGGCCTTCGGCAGAAGTCGACATGCTCGCAGGAGAGCCTCCCATCATCACCCATAAGTGCCTCTTGCTCTCGCGGCTCTCCTCCTTCGGGATCGCTGTATGGGCGGTCTTTGAAGGCCTCAGAACGCACCCGAGCCCGGACTATGGCTGCCCACACCACGAGCATTGCAGTTTATCCGGTCTGATGCTGCACTGCCGCGGTGGCAGCGTATAACCGAAGGAGCAGGACTACAGATCTGCCCGAGAGTTGGCCGACCGATGAGCTGGGCAAACTCACAAGTCTCTGTTCAGACGTGGCGATCGGCTTGGACCAATTCATCGGCGGCGGACATCCAAACTCGATCGGCTGCATGTCACGGGAAGATAACAATCCGGTTATTCGGTGGTTTGCTGCGTTTTGCTGCGTCTTGCGGTTGGTGCTGATTCCGTCTCAAGTAGCCTGGATCTCAACGTGCCAGAACGACAACGAAGTGTGCTTGGTACTCCGTGGAAGCCATCAATGTCGTGTCGCACCCAGTACAAACCCGTTGTTGTCCGAAGGAGGACCAGACAGGACGAAGAACTCGCGGAGGAGGAGTTGATGGCCGACATTAGCGCCTACGAAATTTCGGGAGTCCGATAGTCCCGGGAAGATCGTGAAGACCGCACCAGATCCTGAGCTCCTCTCGAGGCTGTCGCAACTCTATCTCCGTGTGGTTGGGGTGATAGGGCTTCACGACTCACCTTCTCCGGCCGACACGATCGCATGCTGAGCCTCCGCTTCGACCTTATCGACGTTCGACTGGCCATTCAAGACTACAACCGAAATGACTCTTTGGATCTGGAGAAGTCGCGCTGCCTCGAGATGGCTGTGAGAGTGGCTCCTGCGATACCACTTGTCTCCGACCTCTTATGGAAAGGAGAAAGACAAAGAGGCGATATGCGCCATTACGACCGCTATTTCCAAGCTCTTCACTGATGACCAGCAACTACCACCGCAAACCATCCGGCCCTGCTCCTGATGCGCTGGACATGTCGTTCACGCTGCTTCGACTTCCCGGGGTGCCGATGCTGTCGATGAAGCATGCCGGCGCCTTCGCGACGAAGGATGCGCCGCGACTATAACATGTACGTTCGATGGTCGTCGTACTCTGCTGTTGAGCACACACTAGGTGCTGTACGCATCGCCGGCATGGTCGCCTCCATCGAATAGTCGCGCGCGTCAGCCGGGTTGTCCAATGCTGTCTCGTCGCCGTCGGTCATGCTGGCTGCTGTGGTCGTAGGAAGAGCTGGGTTGTCCGGCCGGATTATATAGCGCAGGTGGCAACCTTCTAGAAGCTGTGCTGCCAGTGTGACGTACGATCAACCGGTGGAGAGCTGTATGTAGTAGTCTGAAGTCAAAGGGTCTGTCCTTCGGAACACGGCTGGCCCCCTCAGCGCTCGGGCCCAGATCTCGATCGCGGCGGCGGCGACAAGGTGATTCGTTGGCCAACATACATTTCCTACTCGCACATACCCCTTCTTCTTTCTTTGAGACGTCCAGAGATAGGTCAGCATTGACTGAACTAGAAAGATTGCAGCTCCAAAGACGCGGACTCGGCGTCCTTGATATCTTGTTGTGCATTTGCCACCGATGCTGGGCTGGAAGGCAACCCCACAACGTAGCACCAAGTACAGTACGGCACTCATATGTGGCCAACATGCAGCTGTGACGAAAGACCCTGGCGCCGATACCTTGCACAAAGAATCCACACGATCAAGTTGAGCTCGCGTCAAGTACTGTTGATCAATTATATACGACTACAGACAACCGCCTTGCCCCGCCACTGCTCCAAGAACCTCTCGAAGCCGGCTGACAGCTCATCAATCGGCCAACATCGAGCAGCCGCACAAGGGCAGGGCTTCACGTGGGCAGTTCGGAGGACTCCCCGACTCCGAAGCTTCTCGCATCATTATGATACAGCAACCAGCGGGACCATCGCATCGCTGCTTTGGTGCAGCCAGACTTTCGAGAATGAGTCTTCCAAGCAATTCTCGTCTTTTCAGAACCGCGCTTGCCGCGATGAGCCAGCTCGACATGCGAACACCACCCAAGTGGATGTACTTCAAAGCTGCAGGAGTCAGATCTCTTGGTCAATACCGCACTTCAGACTGCTCCTCTACACCTGGCATCTAACCCCGAGGACTGGTGAAAAGTAGTCTCTCTCAGAGACTGGGCTCAAATTCGAAGCCATACTCCCATGCTGTGCCCGCCTCATCCGGATCGTGTTCAGAGCCACCAGTGTGTCGTCAGCTCCTCGAAAATGAAATCGCAACGCTGCTCCCGACCCGCCGGACTCCTTCCTCGCCCTACCCTTCTTTTCATCGCGAATAACCGGCTTCGAGATGGCCGCATGTCAGATTTCCTGCCGATTTCTGCAGATCTTTGGCAGACGATAGAGGCCCGAGCCTTCCCGCATCACTTGCTCTCGGCCCCTTCACTACGGTGAGGTGAGGCTGAAGAGGCGGTCGAATTGGTGACCTCGAGACCTCAACAGCTGGCGGTCTGACACTTGATACTGGCACTGAAAGACGCCAAGAGTTGTTGATGCTGAGAGCATGCGGGTGGACAACACGGAGAGCATGATCCACGATCGCCTGTGAAGGCTGGAATACGTTGGAAGCGCGATTGCTGTTTGAAGAACGTATTGCCGTTGATCGCCCCGGGATCCCTCCACGCCTTTCTACGACTGATGCTCGATGTAGGACAACGGGCCCGCAGATTGGCTGTACGGCTTTTTGCTTCCAGACAACTCTTCATCGCTGAACCCACCGATGACCGTCGGGGTGCAGCAGCTGAAGACCCAGTTCCTTTCCATCCACTTTCTGCTCATCCCCTCCCTACTTGACGACTCCTATACGTACCCTGCTCGTCTCTCCGGTCCCAAGCCTGTTGACTTTCAGGCAACATGCCATCGTTTCTCTCTCCCACGCTTCCCCGAAAACTCGACAAGAGCATGCACGTCCATCGAGCGCCACGGAAGGGCACAAGCACTCAAGGTTTGCATTGGGAAAATAGGAGTGCACTGCTGCTCTTGAGAGTAAAAGGACTCCCGGTCAAAGGGGGGTCAGGTTATTCATGTGGAAGTGAAAAGCCGGACGATGGTTTGGCTGCTGGTCAAAGTTAAGTGGGGTGTTGGGGTGGAAGGTCGAGGAAATTGGTGAGTCGAAGGTTGAAAGAGACCAGACGGCAGTCTGAGCGTGTTTTCGAAGCGTGTCGAGCACAAATACCTGGATGTATAGGAGGAAGGAGGTACATGGTTGCTGCAACCGTACGAGCTCGAGAACGCCTGGCGATGTGCTATACCGTAACCGTCGCTTTCCAGCCGTCTCACTAGCAGATATGGCATGCTTAACGAACTTTGTCTTGCACAAGCAGAAGCTGTCATGTACTAAACCTGTGTATTATAGCCTCATCATGTTTGGAGAGTTAGGTCTTCACTTCGAAAGTGACTTTCGTTCCTGGTACCTGCCGAAAGCGGCGGCGTGAAGCTCGCACCTGCCTTGCTTGCCTTGCCTTAGCGGGCCGACCCGCCGAGCTCGGTGGCATATAAACAGCTTCCTCATCCCGCCGCTTTGGCGATGGGCGAAACAAAGAAACATTGAACCACGACTCCACGCGTCATCTGCCACGTGTCATAACATTCGCCTGCATCCAAAACCGTCCCATTGACCCGCCGAATACCGCTGCGACGTTTGCGACCGCGCCGACAGCTCTTCTCCCTGCAGACGGCACTTCGACCGTTCGGCAAGCTCCTTGTGGAAGTCGACGCATGTGAATGCTTCCTCCGCGTAACACTCATTGTGTGGAGAGCTCGCGACCACAACAACAGCACCATCATTGCGCCACATCCGCCTCGTACCACCCGGATGATGTGATCCACATCCACATTCCATCCCGATGCGCCTCAACACCCCCGACAGCTTGCTGTACCCCATCACAGTCACCAAGCTGCTGCGCCAGCCCGGCGACGATATCGAGCAGGATGCACCGCTGTTTACCTACGAGTACAAGAGCTCGGTGACGGAGTACGATGAGGACACAAGAGAAGATGTGGAGAGGATACGGAGCTTCTATGCCGACTTTGAGAGCGAGTTGGAGGGTAGCATTACCAGTCTGAATGTTCAGAAGGGGCAGGTGCTCAACCGACGCACGTTTGTTGCCGAGATCGAGGAGGCCTGCAAGCATGAGATCCAGTTTGGTGGGCTCTGCACCAACTGCGGCAAGGACATGACCACGATGCAGTACAACTCGACGTCAAAGAACACCGATCGCGCAACCGTCAACACCGTGCACGGGCATACGCAGTTGTTGGTGTCCCAAGCCGAAGCCAGTAAAGCTGACGAGGAGGGCAAACGGAGGCTGCTGGACACCAAGAAGCTGAGCCTGGTGGTGGATCTCGACCAGACCATCATCCACGCCACGGTCGAGCCGACGGTGGGAGAATGGCAGAATGATCCATCGAATCCCAACTACGATGCTGTGAAAGATGTGCGCAAGTTCCAGCTGATTGACGACGGGCCAGTAGCTAAGGGCTGCTGGTACTACATCAAGCTTCGGCCAGGACTTCAGCGCTTTCTTGAGCTGATATCGGGATGCTACGAGTTGCACATCTACACCATGGGCACGCGCGCTTACGCGGACAACATTGTCAAGATCATCGATCCGGACAGGAAGTTCTTCGGCCAGCGCATATTGTCCAGAGATGAGAGTGGCAGCATGACAGCCAAGAACCTCAAACGTCTGTTTCCTGTCGATACGAAGATGGTTGTCATTATTGACGATCGAGGCGATGTGTGGCAGTGGAGCCCGAATCTGGTCAAAGTCAGCCCGTACGACTTCTTCGTTGGCATCGGCGACATCAACAGCAGCTTCTTGCCTAAGAGACCGGAGCTGGAAGCCAAACCGCCCAAGCTTGCCAGCGCCGATCCAACGCCTGCAGACGGCTCCAAGCCTACTCCACAAGAAGCAGCTCCCAAAGCGGCAGGAGATGCGCCTGCATCCACTGCGACGAATGGAGACCTGTCCGCTGTTGATCGCCTGGTCACAATGGCCGGGAAGCAGGATGAAGGCAGCATGAAAGAGAAGATTGAAGAGCAGGACGAGCAGATCACAGAACAGCTTGAGAACCGACCGCTCTTGCAGAAGCAGAAGTTCCTGGATGCGGCGGAAGAAGAGGCCAAGGCTTCACCGGCTGTGGAAGCCGCGGTAGAGTTGCTGGCAGAAGACGGTCAGGAGAAGGATCAAGAACTACCACACCACAAGTACAGACAGAACTTGCTCCAGGACGATGATACGGAGCTTGAGTACCTAGCACAAAGCCTGGGCAACATCCACCAAGCGTACTTTGACGAATACCAGCGAGCAAAGTCCGGCGCAAAGGGTGGTCGAATTGCAGAGCTCCGCCCCGGACACGGCAAGAAGCGCTCCGTCGACGAGTTCGAGCACATCCCCGACGCCGCTGTCATCATGGCCAGCATGAAAGCGAGAGTACTTCAAGGCGTCAACCTCGTCTTCTCCGGCGTCGTCCCGCTCGGCGTCGACATTCACTCCCACGACATCGCCATCTGGGCCAAATCGTTCGGCGCTTCGGTCAGCGAGAACATCAGCAAGCGCACCACGCACGTCATCGCTTCGCCCGACCGTCGGACGGCGAAGGTGCGGCAGGCGGCGAAGAAGGGTGGACGGATTGCTATTGTGACGCAAGGGTGGCTGTTTGCCTGCTTCACGCAGTGGCGGAAGGTTTCTGAACACCCCTTCCGTATCCACTCGGACGCACCGCTCAACGGCACCGCCGGGCTTCCGGACAGTTTCGAGGGTCGGGATGAAGGACAGCTGTCTTCCTCAGACGAAGAGGCCGCGTTGACAGAGGACGAGCGGGAGACGCGGTCTAACACCCCCCACTCCAACGGCCGTCTGAGACTGGACACGGAAGCGGAAGAGCTGGAGAAGTTCGCCCCGAGCATGGAGCGCGCGGATAGTAGTCCCACGGAGCAGGAATCCCCGGATTACTGGGAGGATATCAAAGACGAGTTGAACGATTTCCTCGGCTCGGATGCGGAGGATGATAGCGACTCGGAGAGTGCGAAGAGCGAGGGGTTGAAGACGCCACCTAGTGCGCGGAAGCGGAAGAGAGGGGAGGTTGGTGGCGAGGGGGAAGAGGAGGAGGAGGTGGAGGGGAGTAAGTTGCAGAAGCGGAAGAAGGAGGCGCTGGGGCGGAATAGCAGTTTGACGCAGATGGTTGTGCCGGCGGAAGGGGGAAGTATGGCGGCTGCTGCGGAGGCGACGGATCCGGGGGGTGGTGGTGGTGGGGTTGGAGAAGACGAGGGGGACGATGATTTGGAGGCCATGTTGGCGGCGGAGATGAGTCGGGAGAGTGATGGGGAGGGGGCGTAGGGTGTAGAGCTTGGGCTGGGCGTATGGAGGGTATTGGGGATGGGAGGATGAGGATGATTGCATAGCGCTGGCGCCGTGGTGTGCAGATGTCTTGAGATAGGAGCAACGCTCTCAGTGGGCAAGACATGACTGTCTGCTCTGAATGCAATTCTGGCAACGAACTTTGTACGTGCTGATTGATGTGACGGTTGAAGCTCATGCTGGCAGCAGGCCAGTGGTCGTCGCTCGCTAATTGTACGCGTCGTTGATCGAACGCTGGCAGTGGAGCGAACGGGACGTCGAAGCGTGCAAAACATGTGCGTGCAGAACCTGGAGCAGCCGTTGGGCTGTCACAAGCGGTTGGTCGTCCAGTATAAGCGCTATGGTGCTGATGGGACATGCGGTATGCAGGAGACCCGTTGACCAGCTCACGAACTCGCATCTAGTCACCAGACTACTGTAGTCAGCAGGTCGAGATTCCCGGTTCTCTCCTCCTTCCCACTCCACTCCCAAGCAGCGTCTCGGAGATGGCTCCAGATTGTGTTGAAGTGGGGTTCGTCTCCAATGGCTTTGCGAGAAAGAGACGCGTTTGCAAGCTCGTGCGACCTGCAGTACGAAGACTGGACGAACGCGTTTGCCGTGCGACGTTGGAAGCATGAACGGTTGTTAAGCACGCGCTTCCCGTTTGCAGCGCTCATCAGCACGAGCAGGAGGTTTTTGTTGGATACACCGCATGTGCTCGAGCGGTCAGAGTTGGTGGTCAGTGTGTTGCAGCGAAGATCTGCCAGGTTCTTTGCGGCGGCCGTTGGGCCCGCTGCCGAGACATTTTGGAGAACCCTGGGGTGGGGATGGCGCGTTTGTCCAGCCACCAAGTATACGACTTCGACATGTAAGAGACGTGGGATCGTGATGCAGAGTGGCATGTGACAGCGTAGGTCATGCTGGCTATTCGTGTTTTCGTGGGAGAAATGGCCGAGTCTTGCGGAAACAATTGCTTGAAGAGGACAGCTTTGAGTCCCTTGACGCGAGATTGACGCGTCCCGATCGCGACGCGTTTCTAGCAAAGATGGAGTCTGCAGTAACGTCGCAGTAGGCTGGCTGTCGGCCGACGTTGAAGCTCGCCGGCTGGGACCACGTTCAACCAGCAGAACCCCAGCAGCCTCTGATCGCTGCAGTAGTTGGCATGAAGCACCCTCCTCTGTGCTCCCAAGCAGCGCTCGTTCGCTGCTGTATCCTTTCTGCACTTCTCGTTCGACGATGCTCTCCGCCACGTCTGTGGAGGATGAGGCATAGTCCATCCACGACCATGACGCGAAATCATCGAGAGGAGAGATCATAAAGCAGAAGAGCGCCCTCGATATTCTCCAAAATCTCGATTGAAGAGGACAGTCTGGCGTGGTTTGAGAAGGACGTCCGTGCGTTTTAGCGTTCCCGGGACTGCCTCGCCTCTTGTTCCTTCCTCGACCGGCTTCCGACCAACCTTCACCTCACCCACTTCCACACCTCCACCGCCGACACAACCTCCACCACCTGCGCACGACTCTCCTCCTCTTGGATCGACACCATCGCTATGCCGACATCGCTTTGAATACGACGCTGGACATCACACACGCCGCTTGTGACGCGCCGAACCATTGGCGCACTACACCGCGCGCTCAACTTGGACTTCAACGCGCGCCAGCGCTCAATAGGAAGAACAGCTGTTGTCGCGCGATCGCATTGTCCCGCCGATATTGTTACAACCATTGTCCGCCATGGCCCGACCACGCCCATCGCTGTCAATAGACCTGTCGTCGTTCGAACCCTACGGTCGCAATGAGCAGGAACAGCTGCCTACCACACCCGACCAGCGCGACGAGCAACAGCCCGCGACCGATCCCCCACCGCCACCGCGACCACAGCCATTCAAGCTGAGGAGAAGACGCGCGCCGCTTGCGCCTTTGCCAGAAACAACATTACTACCCGAGTTTGAAGGCGCCATTCCCACAATCGAGATGTCGGAGGCTGTATCCGAACTGTCTAGCCCAGACTTGCCGCCGATGACACCCTCAGACGGTCTGCTCGCGCCGATGCCAGCATTCCAGCGACTCACAACTCCAAAGACCCCGGCCCCAAAAGCGGACGACTTCTCCCAAGATTCCAGCCCCGTCCATGAGTGGGCCTTGATCACCGACAGCCGCGACAACAAGCGACCGGCTTTCCAGCGTTCTGGATCAGTGTGCTCGTCGTTTTCAGACTCATCGGTCTCGTCATGTGGCAGCTCAGCCTTCTCCGCGCCAAACAACGGCAGCTGCACCAGCCCAGAAAGTGTTGCGACCGATCCATTCACCGAAGACGACATCAACAAGCATGACTCCTTCAAGCTTTCGCAAGACACCGACCCGGCCACACCAAGCGCAAAGCGGGTGAAGCGCCATCGCCATGTGAAATGGACTCCTGAAATGGACCAGCATCTGGAGAGCACTTACATCATGTATCTGCGCGATCCGAGAGTGACCCCGTTCAAGACTCTCCCAGGCATCCCGCCACCACTCGGGGTCTGCTCACGTGTCGCAAGCAAAGCCAGACGGACATGGAGCCAACACAGAAATATCACTCCGACCTCGCTCGACACCATCCTGGAGTCCGGCAGATCCGCACGCGAAGGCTCCCCTGATACTATTCGCCCGGACACCATCGAAGCCAGACTTCACCGGCAGCCTGTCTCATGGCCATCAGATGCCGCGACCCGCAGGAGGCTGAGGAAGCTCGTCAAAGGCAAGCCGCAACTGTCAGCTCACTACCAGCGATTGTTGCGTACCCGCAGTCCGTCACCATTCGCGTCGTCGAGTGCGCCTAGCCGCTCGTCGGAACCATCCTCGTCATCATTCAAGAGCCACGAGATGAAGATGTCGCTGATCACATCTACTGCTTCTTCAATGCAGCCAGAAGGGCCACTCGCACAGCTCTCCAGCGACGACACCGCGAAAGAGGAGACGCAAGTCCGCCCGCAGTCCAGACGCACTTCCCGTCCATCGGACTGGTTCGGTCGCATCGGACGCTCTCACGCTCACCAGAAGAGCCTCTCGTTACAGTCTGAGCTGAATTTGGACCACGACATCACCCAATCTTCTGGTCTTCTGGCTTCACCCTTCGACGAAGGTCCTGCGCGCACACATCTGCTGCAGAGTATGACGGCAACCAAATCGCTAGGTCGCAGCGAGTTCAATGGCAAAGGTCGCAAGGTACCGTCCCTGGATTCCCCGATTGAGCTCACTGGAGCACCAACGGCACCTCGCTCGCTAAAGCGCCGCTTCAAGTCGGATGAGGAGAAGCCGCGTCGACCAGTTCTGGCTGATGTGTTCGGCCCACCATCAGAAGAGTCTGGCAACCTCCGCAACCGTGGCTTCACAGTGGGAGCTCATCGAGCGTCCGACAACCTCACCAGGATCTTTGAACCTTCAGTCTTCGAGCCACCAGCCGCGCCTACAGTGTCCTCGCCTGACCACGAGATGACCGAAGCGCCGCCGACATCAGACCTGTCGCATCTCGGACCTATCGGCAGCCGCTCAGCTCCTCGCCGTCTGGCAGAGCCTATCCCACGCCTCGGCTCGCCGTTCATGGAGACTCCTTTGTCCAGAGGCCTGTTCAATACCTTCCCGCGAAGCTACGTTCCTACCGCGAGCAAACCGCAGCCCTTTCAGGAGAGGCTGCGCGAACTTGCTGCACAGAACCAGAACCAGAACCAGCAGGATTGAATGGCAATACTCTTCTGACGCTCAACTTCTTGCGGTATACAATTTCGTAATCCATCATCTGCGAATCAGGTATTCAAGGCATCACAGCGGGATCGATTTTGGCGGACTCTGACGACATAGGACGAATGACGAACGACACAAGATGATCTTCTTGGTGTGTCACTTGCGGCATACCAGTATTACTATCACAGCATTATCAATCACTTCTCGGCTGCGACATCAGCTTCCCTGCTACCACTCGCACCAACACTTCACTCAGCATACAATTAGCATCGACAGGCTCTGGATGGGAGGGATATGTGGACATTGTGTCAGGTCCACGAGATGTCCGGCGGTTGTCCGCTTCACCATTTGGGCAGCAAAGGAGATTTCAGGTGTCGAGCACGCTGTACACGCGGTACGGCTTGGACTTTTTTCAACAACGTTTATGAATATATGATGCATATGAGGCGCTTCGGTGTTATTGTTCTTTGCTCGGTGGGATGGATGAAAGGCTTCCAGTCGCCTTTGGGGGGGATGCATCTACTCAGACTAGCTTCGCTGCGCGCTGCATGCATTTCGTAGGAGGCCGAATGATACCAGACATTGAAATTCTACCTTTCCCTTGTCACGCGTACTGCGCGTTGTGCGTATGAACTGTGGGAGAGACATGTAGGTATCGTGTCACGTTCGTCGTAAATGGCATCCCGTTCGTTCGTCGTAAAGTGCTGTCGGGGCTACAGAAACAACAAGTCCTTCCCAAGCTCCTCCCATCACCAAAGACAACCAATCCACCCAAGCAGTGCCTCCGCCCCCCGAGTGCCTTACTCACAACCGACTAACATACGCCACCCCCGTCTGCGGAACCTCAAAGCTCGGCCGCGGAAACCCATACAGTCTACAAGTCCCGCCGGCCTGATAGTATCCCGCGCCCCGGCAATCCGGGCCCGCCGCGCAGCAGAGCGCGCCGCACTCGGCCAGGTTGACGCTGGTGGTCGTCGAGAGGGTGTAGCCGCCGACCATGAGGATGAGGTCGCAGCGGTTCGTGTAGGATCGAGGAGTTCCCGCGTCGTCGGAGTCGGGGGGGCAGGTTAGGCCGGGGGGGCGAGGCTGTGCAGGCCTGGGGGAGGGGGGATTGTCAGTGGTGTAACGTTCTGATGGGGGAAAGACTTACGCCGCCGTTCACTTGCTCCGTCGTCGTGGTCGTTTGGGTCTGTTTCACAACGTCAGCAAGGTGGCGATGCTGCATAGCGGATCGCTGGGACCTACAACGACGGTTTTCTCCGTCGAGACCACGGTGCTTCCAGGGCCGGTTGATGTGAACGTAGACTGTGGCGGTGTTTGCTTAGCGGAACGACGTCTTGCACCTCTCGCTGCTAGACAGCATGCATACCGTGCTTGTGGTCTTCCGAGCCCTTGCGGTCTTTGTGACCGTCACCGTCGGCGCGGCCTCGAAGCAGGAGTACGCTTGGGTAACGACGCTCGCGGCGTACGACTTGAGCTTGCTGATGCTGGGCTTTGCAGCCCGCTTCCGGATGGTCTACGCGAAAGTGGTGGTTGTCTCGTCCTCGGTGGTGAAAGCGACAGAGCTTTCCGTGGTCGTGGTATCGACTACTGCACCGGGCACCTTGACGGTCGTCACTCTCGCGACCACCTTGGTAGGTGTGGTGGTCGTTGTGGTCGTCTTCTTCGGCAGGACATAACTGCAGAACTCTGATGCGAGGGAGAGTTGGACTCTTTGGAGGATGGAGAGAGCGGATTTGGGAAGACCAGAGCACTACGTGTGTGTCAATGAGGCAGGCTCTCGAAGGCAAAGGTCCATTGGTGGGGAATATATTTGTGGTAGAGCGGTCGACAGTGAGCTGAAGAGCAGTCCGCTCAAGATGACTCGCTGGATGATGCACTCGAGAGCGTGCATTGTGAGTAGTCCTTACCTACCTCTGGATGGCGGCCAGAATCGCAACAACAGGGCATCACCTTATACATGTAGATGTGTACTGTACCGTCGATGGATCTGGCCGCACGCCTCTGGGTGCAGCAGTACATGAGGCTAAGGTGGTCTATCCATCAATCATCACTGCCGTCGACCAGCCAAGGAACTCAGTCGGGTCGAGACTGGTTGTGAGAAGGCCCAGAAGGATGTAGAGCTGCCTGAAGCAGCAAAGTCGAGTAAGCCACATCGTGAGTTGAGAGCTGAACTTCGCCTAACAGACGGGAATATGTAGACAATGTGCCGTGTGTTGGCAATGGGCGTGAAGCGTTGGAAGATGTCGAGTCCTTCCGAACGCCTGTTTGCCGTGGGGGTACGAGGTCGGAACGAATGCCATCCGTTCACGCTTGCCCATATGTGCAGTATACAGAGGTGGTGTAGTCCTAGACTCACGCGACTTGCTGCACCGTGCACCTGTGGTCGTAGCTTCCGAACGTCATATTCGAGATTCGACTACCACATTTCTCGTCCTACCTAGGATAGACAGCTACAATGGACCACACCACCTCCCCCCCACCCGACCTCCTTGCCCTCCCCTCCAGCCTCCGCGTCATCTCCCTCAACTGCTGGGGCCTCAAGTTCATCTCTAAACACCGCCATGCCCGCCTCACAGAAATCGGCCACCAGCTCTCCATCGCCTCCCCACCCCCCTCCATCGTCGGCCTCCAAGAATGCTGGACCCAGGAAGACTACCTCGCCATCCGCTCCGCCACGCAAGACATCCTTCCTTACGCGAAATTCTACTGGAGCGGCATCTTCGGCGGCGGCCTGGCGATTCTGTCCAAATGGCCCATCGAAGAGACCTCCATGTTCCGCTACCCGCTCAACGGCCGCCCGTCGGCGTTCTACCGCGGGGACTGGTTCGTCGGCAAAGGCGTCGCGTGCGCGAGGATAAGAATCGGACCGGGTAGGAAGGATGTCATTGAGGTGTTCAACACGCATCTCCATGCCCCGTATGAGCGGGAACCGAACGATAGCTATATCTGCCATCGCACGGCGCAGGCGTGGGAGATTGCGAAGCTCATGCGTCACGCGGCAGAGCGGGGACACGCGGTGCTGGGGCTGGGGGATTTCAACATGGTGCCGTTGAGTCTGGCGCATCGGCTGGTCGAGGCCCACGCGCCGGTGCGGGATGTGTGGCGCGTGTTGAAGCCGGATAGCGCGGTGGGCGGGGCGAACCAGGCGGCGGAGAAGGCGAGGGGGCGGCCGGTGCCGACGGCGGAGGAGTGTTTGAGGGAGCATGGGGCGACGTGCGATAGCAAGTTTAATACGTGGAGGTGGAGTAAGGAGAGCAGGAAGGCGTTGGAGAAGGGGAGGGATGAGGAGGTGGATCCGGGGGTGTTGGATCCGAGGGCGAGGAGGTTAGATTATGTGTTTTTGGCGGATAATGGGGTGGAGACGGGGTACACGTGGGAGATTGTGGGTGCGGAGGTGGGCATGACGATGCGGCATCCGACGTTGAGGTGTTCCTTGAGTGATCACTTTTCGATTGAGACGACGCTGGTGCGGTCACAGGGGGCAGGGCAGAAGAGGCAAAGGGAGAGAATGGTGAATCCATTGCCAACGTCCATGTACGACACTATCCTCGAGATGATTACGAAATACGATGGGAGAGAGCGTAGGCAGCGACGGCATCGCCTTGGTCGCTTCGGACTCTCCATCGTCGTCTCGCTGGGCTGCTTCGTAGCGGTATGGTGGTCGCCACGGAACTACGTAGCCTTCATCCTCCTGCTGATCAGCACACTCGGCTTCGGCGGCGGTGTACTCGAAGGCTTGATGGGCGGCTTGTTCGTCGGCAGCGAGCTACGAGCGCTACGAGAGTTTCGACACGAGATTGAGCGAGCTAGAGAGCAAGCGGTAGTCGCAGCAAAGCAAAACCATCTAATATAACATCCAAATATCTCAATCCAAGGATTCCCGTAGCTTCTTGAATCCCTTCGCGGCTTCTCCCTCCCGTCCCTTGATCGTGAACACGATCTGATACCCCAGGCGACGACCGCGCGTCGTAGTACTATACGGCATGCCTTCGTACTCCATACCGTTCTCGTCGAGCCAGCGCTGGAAGAGGTAGTACTCGGAACGACTCTGTCCGAAATCCAGCCAGACGGCTCGGAGCCGGGGTATGGCTGTGAAGGCGTCCAGAAGCCCGGCAGCGGATGGTTGGCAGACGTCGCACCGTCCTTCGGAACCGGCTAGGGTGCACGCGATGGACTGGCTGAAGTTGAAAAAGTAGAGGAAGCGGGCGTACTCCAGTTTCAACGGGGTTTTGAGATTGGCGTCGGTGTGGGCGCAGAAGTCGTTGCGGGTCACGACGATGCTGTTGAGGTCGTAGAGGAGGGGGATGGCCTCTTCGTAGATCTGCCGGCTGGTGCGTAAAATGGCCAAGTTGTGGGAGCCCGGGATGTATTGGCGGAGTTTGAGGTGTTCGTTGTCGGGGAGGAGGTACTCGTAGATCTGTTGAGGGTGAGGTCAGTGGTTGGTCTTGTTGATGGGTTTGGAGGCGTACTCTTAGCCGTAGCTCTACTGGTAGACGATCCGTGAAGGTGCATTCTGCCATTCTTCTGCTAGATTGTCCGCTCGTGGCAATTGATAGATAGATGAGGTCTCTAAACGGTAGAAGAGGCGGGATGAGGTGTGGTGGCGAGTTCATTGAAGATGGTACCTCGCACAGTATGATCGATCTTACCTTATGTCGAGTTCTCCGAGTTACGATCAAGAGCTATGCAGCGTGGGGTGAAGTTGTGAGCTCGAAAATATACTGGAGACGCTGGATTCATCCACGCAGAGACAGAGCCGGAGGACCTTCTCCAAAATCGTGATATCTTTGATATCTTTTCGCGCAGCTGCAACAGGTGTGAAAGTCGTTGTCAGGTACTGCCGAATCTCGAGAAGCTACAGCCGTCTCTGCACTATGTCCGGCACGATCAACCTCCCAAGCCCCAACAACGTATGCAGCTCAACATCAAGCTGGTGAAGGAACACAGAGTCCTCGCATTCATCTAGCTTACGGTAGTCCATCGGCAACTCTTGCGGCCATATGCTCCCAATACCGACCGGCGCTGTCTAAGCTTACACACAATGGTCAGCAAAGACTGTTTCTCCGACCACTGATCAAGTTGAAAGTGAGCACCGCACAGCAACTGATTCGGTCTTGGAGAACATTGACTTAGTGCAGGGCTTAGCGTTGTGCTCGCGCGTATGTCCAAGGCTGCTGATCAGGATCGGGCACAGGATCGAGTTCTGCGGCCGTCGAATAGACTGTGCGAAGCGGTGTATCTCGAAGCAAGAGGCTAAGCTCGCTTGTTCAAGTGCTTGCAAGAAGGTATGCGCCAACGCCGGTGCATGGAAGCTGGAGGCCGGTTGGGCTGCGGGCGCCGACGCGATTGCCTGGATATGACGAGGGGTAGCAGCGTTCTCAGAGATCACAAAAACATGTCAAGGTAAGTGATATGGCCATGTGGGCTTGGTGGTCGCAAGCAGGAGCAGACTCCCCCTTCAACGCAAACACCGACTCGGCGTGGTGGTCGCATTCCAGGAGAACCTCATTGAGCCCTTTGTCAAAGCGTAGGAAGTCTTCATAGATGATTAGGTGGATCCCAGATGGGAGAACGGTGGTAAAGTAGTCGACTCTCGCGGATGTATATCGCTTGGCGGTCAGGAGGCGTAGATGATGGCGGAGTCTGGTTATTCTGCTATAGATACGTGCGAGAGCGCGTCGGCCAGTCCATTTGATACATGCGTCCATCTCCCCGGTAGTGATAGGCTGGACTGAGTGCGACAGGTGGGACAGGTGGTGATGCGTGCTGGGAGAAGAGGTCGCTGGCTGATACCGTCTCAAGCAGGAGGAATTTGTCGTGTTCTCGCAGCAAGCGACGTCCCCATGGTGATCAGTACCGCTTCCTCGTCATCCGGATCCATGTAGCTGGCTCGGAGAACATTCAGGGCACATCCAGTGGTCTTGCTCATCCTCATCGATTGACACCCCACCTGAGTATAGTAGAGGGCAACAAAAAACCAGAAGTGAGCCTTAACTTTTGCACTTACTCTCGCCCATGTGGATGACAACTGAACACTGGGCATATGAGACACACTCTAAAGGCTTGCTTCTAGACAGCAGCAATTTTTTGCTTCAGGTGTCCGATGCCTCTGCTGTAGCTTTTGATTCCGACTCGATCTCGGAGACGCCTCAAGCACCGTTTCCAGTCGGTGCAATTGCAGACATGTCTTCCTCTGCGGACACTGCCGGGTCTGCTTGACCTATGCCCACACGTTGGTGGGAACTCATGTTATCAAATGAGCGGCGATATGAGCACGAGAAGACTCTCAAGCATGGAGAAGGAAAAGAAGGGGACGCGGTTTCCTAGACGACTGATGAGAGGACCCTGAACTTCACCCCGCCGTGCCCGCCCATCTGCAACCTTTTAAGCTTGTCGACGAGTCTAAACGAACGCCCGTTAAACATTTGACACAACAAGCTGGCAATCTGTGTTGAAGCAGCAGCAGTCGGCGTTCTGGCGTACCGTTGAATCGCGCTCCTCGAGCGCTGGAGGCTCCATGGCCTTTCTGTTTGGACGCCGGCAACGCTCCGCCTCGGAACTCATCAGATCGACCAAAGATCTGCTACAGCGGCTCATTAAGGAGGACGGGCAGGTGCCGAAGGTAGGACTTCATACCGCGAGCAAGGATACAAATGTCTGACAACTGCGATAGACCGAAGAAGAGCTCGCGCGAACGCTGTCCATAACGAAGACGACCCTCCAGGGTTCACCAGACGTCGACGCCCAGCCCGAGCAAGTGTACCAGCTCGTCAGCACGATCCTAGCAGAGTCTCTGCTGCCACTTCTGGTCACGAACATCCATCGTCTCCCCTTCGAAGCCCGCAAGGACACGCAAACCATCATCTCGAACGTCTTCCGGTTTAGGAATCCGGGTAGCACGCACACCGAGCCGGATGCGCTGAAGGAGGTGCTGCGGACACAACCGGGCATCGTCGTGAGCTTGTGCAATGGGTATGAGAGGCGCGAGAGCGCTGGGGCGTGCGGCGGCATACTGAAGGAAGCGTTGAAGTGGGATGCGGTTGCTGCGGTCATACTGTACGACGAGCCCTTGCCAGACGGCAAGACGATTGACATCTACAACGATGTGGACGCGAGCAGCCAGAGCAGTGGCAATGGCGTGTTCTGGAAATTCTTCGACTGGATCGACAAGTCGTCGTTTGAGGTTTCGGCGGACGCTTTCGATTGTTTCCGCCTCATTCTCACGAAGCACAAATCGCTGGTCTCGAACTACATCAACACGAACTTCGACATGTTCTTCGACAAGTACAACAGCATGCTCGTCAAGAGCGATAGCTACGTGACGAAGCGGCAGTCGATCAAGCTGCTGGGTGAAATGCTGCTGGATCGGCAGTTCTACGAAGTCATGACCAGATATGTCGACTCGGGGGACAACTTGAAGCTCATCATGTGGCAGCTCAAGGACGAGCGGCGGATGGTGCAGTATGAAGCGTTTCACGTCTTCAAGGTGAGTTGACGAGGATCGTACTGCTTCGAACACTTCTGACACCGAATAGATCTTCGCCGCAAACCCCAACAAGTCCTACGAAGTCCAGAAGTTCTTGATCATGAACAAGCAGCGTCTGCTCAAGTTCCTGCCGAAGTTCCTGGAGGACCGTACGGAAGACGACCAGTTCAACGACGAGAAAGCGTGGCTGGTCAAGGCGATTGGAAATCTGCCGGACAGCACCAGCGCGATCCAGTCTCCCACGGGAGCTCGGCCGGCAAATGGCAGTGCGGGTGTGCAACAACAAGGTAGCACGGCGCAGGTGCGGTCATGATGAGCGTTGAATGTCTGACGTTAGGAGTTCTGGTGGCATGGTCATGATGATAGCAAGCAAGCACGGAGTTGCATGGATACTACAGCCTGCACTTTCGGTGTACTGGACTACTCTGCATATACTGGGCGTATCGTTGCATGTCTGGTCAACAAGCAGATCGAGATCGTTTAGACATCCGACTTTCTCGGACTTCGGCTTCGGCTCGCAGGTATCACGTGATCAACATCAGATACGAGTAACCAGATTAGCTGCTGACGCTGATCGACACTCGCGTGTCTCTAGTATCTGTCGAGCCAACCTGTCGGGCTCAGCAACGTGAGATACGTGCCGGACATCCGGACACAGAAGGCTTCACCTTCGAAACGAGAGATGAGCGAGGGTAGCGTCAACGAGTTCCAGAATATCTTCACAGCACCGAGATTGACATGTCAATTGCCACATGCTACTGTACACTATAACCACCCTCACCACGGCCGTCTCAGCCGTGCCAATGCATATATTCCCTCATCCATACACCGAGTATCCCAAGCACCAACTCAAATTCTCCCAACGCCCGAAAACAATCGTGTCAGAAAACACCCCTTGCGTTCAGATCAAAATCGCTCAGATGGCCATCCCAGTTGCGGCCGTAGCCTTGGTATCTTGTATCGCAAACAATGCTGAAGCCGGAATGAAGAGTCGAGCGCTAGCCTCCCAGTGTGCCGAGTGTTGGTGGTGGTGGTGGTGGTGGTGGTATTGTAGCAAAGGTGTCGGAGGAAAGGGAATGGTGTGGTCGAGGAGTGTGCCCTTGGAAACGCCGAGGTGGTGGGTAGGAAGTGTTGATCGAGCTCGCGTGCTCGGGCGTGGGGAAGAGACCGATGCGCTAGGTGCGGAGGCGCATGGGGAGGGTTTGAGTGTTCCGATGCTGCTGACAACGGGTTGTTGGAGCCGACGGTGTGATGGCTCCCCAGCTCCGGATCCGCAGATCCAGACCGCGAAGCGACGTTCTGTCGGCGAACATCGCCTGAGGCACACCCTTGTCGCTGACCAAGACGGAACGAGCCAAGCGAACACCTCGAAGCCAAACTCGTGTTGTAGAGCGACCGGACAATGGCAACCGAGAGGTTAAGAAACCTCACGTGCTATGCCCAAAAGATGTCGACGCACTCGGCGGCTCGCGCTCATTGTGGTAGAGATGCTTCTCATGCCCGAAGATCATGCGATGGATGTTCTCGAGGATCATGCAGTCGATGCCGCACGTGGGCGAGATGTTCGCGAGCTTGCGCAAGAAGGCGATGGTGCGCTCGAGGAGCCTGCAGAACTCCCCCCGATCCACGAAGTTGCTGAGCCACTTGTTGTAGTATGCGGCCGAGAGGACGAGCATGTTGCCAAATTGTCTGGGAGAAGATTGTCAGCTTGGTGCGTTCGTTTTGGAGCATGACTTGATCGGTACTTACGCGTGAGCCGTGCCGTGAATGTTAGTCACGATCAGACGGTCAGGGATGCCATCAAAGGCGACAGTGCTCTTCATGGCGGCATCAATGCAGCGCTTCGAAGCGGCCCAGACCACCTCGTCGCCCATTGACCCGATCGCGGTGAAGAGATGAATCTCGGCAGGGTCGCGTGGATTACCGTTGCAGTCCCTCGCGTTTTCGAGAATGCCCTTCCCGTCCGTGACGTGTGGCATGATGTGAAGGGCATAGTCCAGGTACGGCCGGTTGATGACGTACCGTGCGCCGTAATACTTCGCTCGCAAACGAGCCGGGAGAATCTCAGTTGGCGGTGGATCATCGTCGTCCCATTGGAGTTCAGGCGTGAGCGTTGTGCGCCAGGCGTTGAGGATCTCCTCGTGCCCCTCGAGCATGCTCTTCACTTGCCTGAGCGACTGGTTCAGGCACTGGTCGCCGTACATCTCCTTGTGGATGAGATTCAACCTTTTGCGTAGGAACATCTGTGATACGTAGTAGATGAGGATGTTGCCGTCGCTTCCATGTGGCTGGTCACCCTGCAGACGGAGGCCGTCGTAGCTTTCCGTATCGGTATCTGGCATTTGGTGCGGATTCAGCAACTTGCTCTCGAGATCGCCAATGCCGCTGGAGGGAAGATGCATCTCCGCCAGGATATCGCTCTCGAGCTGCAGACATGTCCATGAAGCCAGAACAATCAGGTTTGACCGCTTATCTTTGATTCGCTTCTGTCCTCGCTCGTGTACCTTGAGAAGGTCGCCGGTTGGATCCCAGTAGTGATCGTTGTACAGCTTGTATCGGTCCAGAAGCATCCTAATAGCTCGCCCAGCCATGAGGAACCAGCTCATGCTTTCCTTCACACGTGCTAACTGGCCTTTGTACAAGCCAGCAAGGAGAAACATCTGCGCGTGGATGAGGTCGTTGCCGTCGCCTTGGTCACCCAAGACCTCAACAGCTTTCGCGTAGTAAGCGAGCCCGGGAACCTGGTCCAGATTTCGCCTGGCCGAGTGCACGCCTTCCATTGACGGTCTTCGACTATGCATGTCCATTCGAGTGAAGCCGTCGGTCCCTGGTGGCGTAGCTTGGGCCAGAGGGGTGTTGTTAGGAGACATCTCATTCGGTTTGATGGTCACCGACATTGGCGAACTGCTGGAGAGTCCAGAATTGCCGGTCAAGCTATGCAACACTACTACGTTTGCCTCGCCGGCCTTATCTTTGGCCAGTCCTTCCAAAGGCTCCTTGTGCAGACAGATCTTCCCGAGTGCGAGAATCAGCCAGACTATCCCGTTTGTAGGTGATCTTTCAGTAGGCTCGCGACGCCAGATGTTGTGCTCTGATTGCATGGTTCCGGTGGCAGTAGAGCCATTCGATCTTTGCCGCTTCAACGGTCGTTCGGAATCCGAGTTGTTCCCAACTGCAAACTTCGAGCGAAGCGTTGGCTGTCCTGTGCTATACCGCTTGATAAAGTTATCGAAGATCTTCCGCACCTTTTGCTTATCCAGCATCGGATGCATAACATGGATGTTCTTCATGTAGCTGTCGTACAGGGTGTTGATCGTGTTGACGTCCAAGTCAAGCGTGCCGTCCGGTTTCAAGCCACCCCAACCTTGCGGTTCCGACCGTGAGATCTCGCTCGAAGGCGTATTTTGGAAGCCGGTGCCCCAAATGTTATGAGGCGGGCTAGGAGTGCTGTGCTGACCGTCGCCACTATCATCGCTCAGCGCTGGGCTCGCCGGACCACCAGGCTGGGTGCCATCGTATTCGTCTATTCCCTCGCCACGAGTCCAGATCCGCATGACACCACGGTCTTCTGCCTCCATAACGTAGCTGTCGCTGACAGGCACATTGGCGTCCTTGAGCAGAGGTTTGATGCTCGGCCACAGCAGGATGAGCTTATGGGGTGCTGTGCGGTGATCTTCCAACGTGGGCATTTGCTTCGGGAGGGGCTGTTCGGCAATCGCTGGTGCTGGCTCAACGTTTCGCTCTGCCTGTACCATGTGTTTCCTCTCAACAACCTCAGTCTCGTTCGGCATCTGCATTGGGCCATTGGTGACCTGCATGGTCGTTTGCTCGACTCCTCGCAAGCGATGCTTGAGATCTTCTACGTTCGAACTGAGCCGAGTTAGAGCTGCTGTCTGATCCCGCATATGTTCCAACAGCTTCTCCATGTTCTTGTCGGTTCTGCAAAGGCTGTCAGTCGGCTTTCCGAAAATGAGATGTTGATATCATCTTACTTTGCAGGTGGCGTGTCTCGATATTGACATTCCATATTGCCTTCTTTGCAGAACGAACAAGGATTGCCTTCGTCACATTTCTGCTTTCGCTGACGACATTGCTCGCAAGCCTGGACTAGATTAGTATTCCACAATTCTGACTGTGTACCTTTTGGTAATGAGCGCATACCTGAGTCGCTCGCATTTGCTTCTTTTTCTGGGTGTTGAAATTACTTGACGTTGGACCATAGCTCTGCGGAAAGTAAACGTCCTGCGGCGGAGGCCCAGGTGGGTACGAATGATGGTTCTCCATCATCGGAGGAGGCCCGTAGTGGGATGACGGTGGCGGTTGGTGATGTTGCGGCGGTCCGTGGGGATGCGCCGGAGGTGGCGGTAGGCCATGGGGTACCCCGTTGGGTTGTCCATAACCATGATGTCCTCCATGTTCCATTGGTTGTGACGGTGGCGGCGGTCCTTGCTGCGCCGGGTCCGGCCCAGACGAAGGAGGATATGGGCCTTGGCCGGGGTGAGCTGGCGTTGTGGGCGTTCGCTGTTGATGCGCCGAGTCGTGGGAATACGATCGATTCACGGGTGCTGGTGTGGCATGGCCGGATCGATTGTGATTGTTGTACGCGTGGTATTCAGCGCCCTCTCGTGTATCGTGTTGAGGTGCCCTCGGCGGCGGCAGAGGCGGTAGGTTGTGGTTCGTATGTTGCGGCCGCGGATCGATGGGAGGTAGATTCGGTCCCGGGGGTCCAGAGGGACCTGGCGGTTGCTGATGCTGCGGCGGAGGTGGGTATTGCTGAGGTGGAGGTCCGTACTGATAGGACTGATGTGTCGGAGGGGCACCGTTGGTGGAATGGGGTTGCGCAAAGGCTGGTGGAGGGGGAGGGCGATGGTCTACCGGGGTGTGCGGAGGGTAGTTGTGCTGGTGAGGCGGAGGGGGGGCAGCATAAGGTGTGCGTCGGCTGTCCATGTTTCGAGGTAGCGAGCCATGCGGTCAGGGCAGCAGCCGGGACTCGGGGCTATGTCAACAGCAAGGCGACGGCGACATGAGCCGGTGCGCGATGAGTGGACGTCAGCGAGGCCGCAAGGACGGCAAGGATGGGCGATGCGGTCGGGCTCTCAGGCTCAGCGCTCGCGCAGGCGCATGACAGAGGCGGATCTGGGAGGAAGGCGAGCGGGCAGCTGGGGGAGACGAGTAGTGCGTGTAGTGCCCCGATGGCAGATGCGCGCCGGAAGTCTGACCTGACTTGACTGATTGATGCCGCCGCCGGGCAATTGGGTTTGTCTTCGCTCCCGACGCACTGGCGCATGGGAATAAGCGAGGCAAGCCGTCAGCGCCCGGTGGATCGTCTATCGTCTGGGCTTCGAGAAACCCTAGCGGACGACCGGGGCCGTATGGGTGTGGAATGTGGATGCTCTTAGTTCGCGGCAGTTTGGGGGGGGAGAGGCTCGAGAGGCCAGGAACAGGACGACAGCAAGCCTGACGACGACGACGAGGTCCGCCCACGCCACCCGGCAGCGCAGATTCTTCGCCGCTGGGCGCACAATGGGGTAGACGGCTCGCTGCTGCGAGATGCGAGTCACACAAGGTGGAGAGACGACGAGTACTGCAGCGGCCGTGCCACAGAACACATCACTTGCAGCTTCTCTACCGCGGTACATCACGACTTCTCGACGACAGCAGCAGCAGCAGCAGCAGCAGGGAGCTTGACAAGCAGCCGCACGGCCCACACTTCGTCAAAGGTCTCGCAAGCTAATGCACTCCCAGGCCCATGGGCCCGCTGTCTAACTGCCTCTGGCAACGCCCATTCTGCCATGCCATGTGTGGCGGGCCGCGGCTGGCATTTGCACGCCCCATCACGCCTCGTATGCTGAGGAGATCTGGTCAGGGGACCGTAATAGATTGAGCTGGCAGCCATCGCGTCGCCACGCTGTACGGTTATCTTGCACCACCCACCACTGTACGGTTATCTTGCACCACCCACCACTGCCGGCAGTAATGATATGCCACAATGCCGCGCTGCCCGCCCGCAAAAGGAAGCTGGAAGTCTGTCACCGCAATGCGAGCTTCTGGGCGGTGGGAGCGGGCTCTGTGCGACTGGCGACGTATCATCGTGTCACTCCTCGCGCTTGCACGGCAAACGCAGGCCGGTGGTGGTAATCAAATGAGTCCTTGCTTGCGGAGGATCACGATCGAGAAGCCTTCCCGAAGCGAGTATCCTTGCACCCTGCAGGAGCAGTAGTCTGCACGGCATTTGTGTGGACAGCATCGCAAGGCGTTCATCAGCAAAGCATCACTTCTTCCACCGCCGAGGCACCCCTCATCACCCTCCCACGTCTCCAGGTCTCGCCCAGGCACGAATACGAGGCACTGTTTCCGTGTTAGTCCCGATTGCTCATTATCTCCTTGAATGTCAATCCTTTCCCCGGACTCGACTCCTTGAAACATCAATGGTCGCCTGTCAGCTGCAAGCTTCGCGAGATCTACAATTACTCTTCTCGATTCGATTTATACTGCCGAGCCGTTTGGGGGAGGGGCTAGGAAAGACGAACTTGGCCCGAGCTAAGATGTCTTTCATCAAGATTGTGTCGATGCGCTCTATCATCCCATGTCACTCCCATCATGACCATGATTGTATGCCTATGTATGTATTATCAACCATCTGCCCCCATCACCGCCGTGCCGCTCCGGCCCACGTGTACGCCTTGCCAAAACGCAGGCGCCTCCTGGGCCTCTGTGCCGAAAGGCGCCGCACGTGGCCAGCCATCAAATCTGCGTGACTCCCGTCGCCCGCCTCCTCGTAAGACCAGCTTCTAGCGCCAGATCTAGTCAAGCTTAGCAGTTTCTCGAAGCAGGAAAGGCCATCCCGTCCATCCCGCGCTCGGGCAAATGGCCCGTCTTCGAAGATAAGCCCTGACGGCATGAGCCGGTGGAAACTATATGAGATTGATGAGACTTGAATTGGAGCCCAATCATCCAGACAAGAGTCGCGAGATCGTGTTGCGATCGCGAGAGGTCTGCTGACGATGACGTTGATGGCGATGGCGAAGGTGAGGTGGAAGTGGAGTTCAAAGAGCGGTCTGATGTTGCGACCGGCTCGCCATGTCGTTTGAGAGTCGGATACAGCATCTTGACTCTACCGTTACACCGAGTATCTTGCCACTTGAACTTTCGCCACACTGCAGTGCCTCTCCATGTCACGGTCGAGACCACGATAAGAAGTGGTAGGGCTGTTGGGTTGGGTTGGGTTACAGTCGAGCTGCAGAAGACGAACAGTCGATCAGACCGCTTGATCTTCGGTCGTCTCGGTCGTGCGGAAGCTGTCTGCGGAATTTGTCCGCCGTCCTCCCTCGCTCTACTTTGCTTGGGCAGCAATCTGTTTGTGACTTCCGACGATCATCGTCGCCAATATGCCCTCATCTTCCTCCAACTCACCGACTCGTGATATCGCTCAAACACAGCAACCACCACGACAGCCGTGACACCCATGTCCTCTCACACACAGAGGATGGACCACCGGATTGCCGTTGCAGTAGCGCTCACACCTTCGCTTCTGCGCCCACGTGGCCGCCCCCACGATCTAGACGTCGCATCTTCTCCCGCCGGATGAAGTCTTCGAGAAGAAACCAACGAAAGCTGCGTATAGATGTGCTCTGAAACGCCTGCCGGATAATGTAGGTCAAAGGGGTACAGTAGCAGTCCCATCGACCTTTCATCACTGTTCTCGAACAACCTTCTACAGAAACGCAAACCCAAAGATCATGATGCCCGACATCCATGACTCTGCCCTGCAGTGTCACGACACCCTCACTGCCAGCTCAGACCGCCTGCGCGTCCAGTCGCACCTGCCAATACCAATGTCATGCATTTCGCCATGCAAGTGATTTTGACTCGAGCTCCTTACACATAATCCTCGAGCTTCTTTATCAGACGACAGCGATGTTGACTCGACTTCACGTCTCGCCTGCAAAGCGAGCGGAATGTGGAGGGCGCCTGGCTGAGGGTATATGTGTCGTCTATAACACTTCAATTCTGGTACCGAAAGTCGCTTCGCAGAGCTGAAGAAGGGATGCTGAGTCGTGGTAACAGAGTTTTGGAGTGCGCTGGCGATGCTGACCGTCTTTCCGGCTGTTCTCGACAGCACGGTGAGTCCGAACGAATATCCTCTTCGATACAGTACGCTACCTGCAGTGCATAACCAAGCTCAACAATGGAGGCGAGACTGCGTCGACTGCCTCCTGATGTCGCCACATTTCTCGCCTCTGCGCGTGCACAGCGGCTGTGAGACGTTACATTGAACGAGCGGAAAGGTGTAGCATCTACCTTCTGGAGATGTCAATCTGTGAACCATTGAATGGGCTGTCTACCAGTGCGTAAAGCCACAACTACCTCTTATCTTCAAAGATGCACATGTAAGTATTCTCTCATGGGCCGAAGGCTCTTGTCCAAATCCGTCGTCTGGCTATGAAGAATTGCAAGTCTAAATTTCCCTTTCTACGATACCTCTATCATCATCTCAGAAATTGCCTTTCTTCAAGGTCGAGACCTCTGGGAACATGCCGGGCTTGTCCTTCCGCAGCAGCGGTCTGTCTACGCTACCAGCAAATACCCCATGCATCCATGTGGTCGTATATTTGACAAGAATCCGTACCATCTGATCCGGCTCAATCGTGCCCACCACATCTGCCAACGCCGCGACGTCCTGTCCAGCCGCCTGCAACATTGTCGGAACATCCGAGAAAGTCGCGTGCGTCGCGTTCGCAATGTCGACCCATAGCTTCGGTCCTTTCAACAGCGGCCACGCTGCGAGCCAGCTGGGGTCCACCCCGTCGTATTGTCTGTGGCTCATGAGCAGTACGGGCTGGGAGACTCCTGACTGCTTCGGCAGTTGAATGAAGGTGCCGTCCCAGTTGATCGCGCCACGGATGCGGGAATCCTGTCCGGCGGCGAGGACGGCGGCGACCCCACCGAGAGAGTGGCCGAACATGCCGATGCGGTCGGTGGGGAGGGGTCGCGGCCCGCGGTGAGGAAGCAGCTCGGCCATGGCGGTTGCGTTGCTCAGCTGGTCGATGACGAAGCGTGCATCGACGGCGCGGATGGGTAGGTGCTTTTGGAAGTCGGGCAGGGTCTGTGCGATATCGTTGTTGTAGACTGCATGGCCGTCGGGGTAGGTGAGTGCGTCGGCGTCGTAGGGGTGGTCGATGCTGATGACGGTGAAGCCTTCGCTGGCGATGGCGGAAGCGAGGTGATTGTAGTAGACACGAGGGATGCTGTAGCCGGGGGAGAAGAGCAGGACCGGAGCATCGTCGAGGGCTGAGCAGCCCTCCGAACAGACTGGCAGGCGCGCTTTTAGGAACAGTGGTGTGAGGTTGGCGGTAAGATTGTAGATCGCTTGGAGGAAAGGTCCCTGGAAGTTTGCGGTCTTCTTGGGCATGTACTGGACGGGCTTGGTGGATTCACACGTTGAAGGCTGGAAGACTGATAGCATCAATGCTCGGGGTGTTGGTGTTGGGGCGAAAGGGTCATCGCGGGTGTAGTCGATAAGCGGTCCGGTCGACAAGGTGACGTTGTACTTGCCCGCCGGGCTTGGGACCAGGTAGCCTGCAGCCGTCTGGGTGAGGAAAAGGAGAGCGATCGAAAAGATGGACCGCATGTCTGCGAGTGACGACAGTACTCAGACGTGAGCAGGAAGAGGCTTGGGCGATGGGGAAGAAGCAGCTGAGGTCGATTTGTTTTACGATATCAGAGAAAGTGATATGGCAGAACGGTGACTATACCGTGCGGTTCCATCTTCTTATGCTCAGCAAATGCTGGAGCCTGCCGTCGTATGGACATTGTGTTCTAATATGAACATCGTGAAGTGGATCTGATGGCCATTGGTCGACTCGTATGCCATACCATCGAATTGCGAGTGCATGAACACAGCGCCTGGACCCTCCAGGACCGCTGGACGCTCTGTCTGAACTGTTTTCCGAAGGATGTGATCGCGTACACCTTGGTCGGACTCCGTGCTCTGCCGCCATCTCGATTGAAGACGTGGCAATGCAATTTCAAGGCCTCGCGATGTCCAGACGTCCCTAGCCCTCAATCAATGGCAGCAGAATCCAAGAAGCCTGGTTTTGGTAGAGCGGAATTTCGTCCCATCAGTGAGGAGAAAGCAATGGTCATCTTGCGTATCTGTTTCTGTGGTAGCTCTGGTGGGAACGGATTTGTTGTGACAGGGCCATCTTCTTGAGGATGCTTCGCTGCATGATGGTATTCGTGTGCCGCAGGTCGGGTCAAGAGATGGACATCTTACGAGACTGTGCGGCAACAAAAGGGGTATTTCGAGATACCTTTTCTCGTCAGATGGAGAAGACATCCAAAAGTCCTGTTCACATCCTGGGTCGTCAGCTCTCTGCCATATCGAAGCTCAATGAGCTCTGCTAGACCTTAGGCCATCACACGACGTCTTCTGTTGTGAGCGTATGCGCATCCTAATCCAGGCAATGCTACGTCGCCCAACTCTGGTACGCCGTTGGAGCTTGCGACGGGGAAGGTGTGATGGCTGTGCCACAGCGCCAACGAACGAGCTCGAAGGCGTCGTCAGCGCCGGGAGCACAACTGTGGTCGGCTTAGTATCGCCTGGTTGGTGGGAGCGCTCATCATTCTGCTATGATGCCGAACAGTCCATTGGGAGAGCGCAGGCGAAGATTCGGGGTGCTATTGGTTGCCTTCCTCTAAGACGTTGGAAACTTTATGTGCGCCTTGTCAATTCAGCCCGGAAGGCCCGGGTCGGCATTCTTGAACTCCATGGAAGGTCAGGGTATATTTGATTGAGTCAGTCAGCGATGAGACAATGTCTAGAGTTCATCAAGCACGACGTTGAGTGGAAGGGAATAACAAGTCTGGAGCAGGGAAGGGAAAACTTTGAATGCGAGCCTTTGGGCATCAATGATCAACACGACCTACACTCGAAAGAAACCTGCGGAACAACAATTTCATACCAGTCGGCAAGTTTATCTGCATTTCCTGTTCGATCTTCAGTCGATCAAGACATACGCCTTCCTACTGACGACCTTCTGGCGGCCCCTCACCACACCGTCTCCGACCTCTTCGCTCTCGGGGGTGTCCGTGTTGCGCCTGGAACTGACCACGATACAATCGTCGTCGTCTTCTTCTTCGCTGGGAGGTGTCGCCTGCTGCTGTGCTCCAGACTGCCGAGCTGCCTTTGCTCCAGCATTCTGCGCCTTCGCCACAGCCATGCGTTCAAACTCTGAGATTCCCTCCATCGTGTCCGGTGTGCTAGCATCTGACATCGCCGTAACATGCAGTGAACGTCGACTCGGAGCACCTGCTCGTGTTTCCGACTCGTATATGGGTGTCGTCTCAGGTGTCTCTGGGATCCCCCCATCGTCGCTGTAGTCGTTCAATGCACCATCCTCGGAACCATCATCTCCTCTGTCGCCAACGATCCTCATCCTCGCCATACTGCCCTCGTAGCTGTTCGTCCACGACTCTCTCAGCGCCAGACCCAAAGCAAGCGCAGTATTCCGCTCCACACTGTTGCCAATGATCACGACTTGCTGCCTCGGAGTGCCGAGTATGACATCCTCGTCCGGGAAGCCTTGCGCTCGACGTAGCTCCATTACGCTCATCGGCCTGTCTTGCGACCAATGCAGTGTCCGGCCTTGATATAGACAAGCCAAATGCTGGGTGGTCGTCACAGTCTGGCAAAGTTTGTTCGGATCGAGGCGAGAAAATGTCTTCGGAATCTCTTTGAGATTATGGAGTGCGGTTCGTTTGTTGTAGTAGTCCATCGGTACTCCGCTCAGCAGTCCTTGACGAGCAGCTTGGACGACGCCCATGCCGTACGGCCGCTTGGGAATCATAGCAAACAGACCTCTTCTCTCTGCGTTCTGCTCAGATGCCACCCGGTGGTCCGGAAAAGCAGGACAGAGCTGCACTTGCGAATCGCCTATGTCCGGGAGATCCGCAGTGCTGGCCTCGATCGAAACGTGCTGGAAAGGCGTGTAGTCGTCTCGACGATTTCCAAATGGTTTTCCGTTGCTTGATCTGCCTAGCGAATGCGTCTGGACCTCTGGGTTCGGATGGTAATGTGTATGAGGAGGAGGTGGTAGCGGCTCGTGGCCCGGCGCTGATGCTGCGATGAACACACGCGTCCGCGACTGAGAGCTGCCGTACGACCACGCATCCATCAGAAATTGCCGGACTTGATAGCCCATAGCCACGAGCGCTGCGAGAGCCTGCGCGAAGACGTTTTCATCCCTTCGCGGGCCCATGCCCTGCGTCATCGGGACCACGTTCTCCAGCATGCAATACCTGGGCGAGTAGAAGTCGACGTAAGATATGAAGGACGCCACAAGAGAGGCATTTCGCAAGGAATCCTCGCTCTGATGGTCCGGCTGCATGCGAGAGAAGCCAGGGCATGGACTGCCTCCGGATAAGAAGTCGACATCGCCGACCCCTGCAATGACTGGCGCCTCCTCTCCCGCCATAGCTCGCGCCAGATAGTCGTTGACAGAGCCGTAAAAGCATTGGACGTCATCGGGAACGTTGGCGCGATAGCTGTAGATGGCTCGCTCGGCGTAGTCCACAGCGTACTTGAACTTGACTGCGCCTCCATCTTCCAGACCTCGATCAAAGTTGCCGCCGCCGCAGAAAATGCCCATTCCCGTCAATTTCTGGAAAGGTGGAGGACTGGAAAGGTCTAGTCCTGACTCCAAAGGCGGAAGCAGGACATTATCCTCCATCTCACCGTCTTCGCCGAGACCTGACTTATTCTGTTGACCAACGATGTAGTAGAAGTCTCCCGCTCCTCCTCGGTTGTAAGGAGTGGGCAGACCTTCGGCCACGGCATCTTCACCGAAGAATTTGATATTACACTTGCGAATGACCCTGCTTGGGCCAACGTCGAAAATCTCATCGGTTAGCTCTAGCTCGTTTGGTCTTGCATCTTGATCGATCGCCTGGCGTCGACGTAAACGACGGAGCATTACCCGGCTCAGATCAAGGTTGAAGTCGACCACTTGTGCCGGCTCAAGTACTTCATCCTGAAGGTCGCGATCGAACGCACGTACCAGTACCGGGTCGCCAATGACATACTGCCGCCGGCATGTCTCGAAAGTTGATATGCGATGCGCACAGCTACAGGCGAAGTCGGCCCGCTTGAGAGACACGAAATCGTACGTGTCTTCCTGGTGTTTGGTGCGGAACTTCTGACGAACGAAGAGCGTTTGTGCCGGCACAGCGCTGGGGTCCGAAGCAAACCAGATGACATCAGCTTTGCCTGTCACACAGCTAATGTCGACGGCATGTCTACGACATTCGCAGTGGTCAGACATGAAAAGCTCATTCTTGAAGGGATAATAGGCAGCTCCGACTGTGGTGTCCCAAGGCCTGTAAAGCCACAAGACATCCAAGACTTTTTGTCCTCTGTTGTACTTGAACTCGCTTCGTCTGGTACCCTGAACGTAGGCATAACTCTGAGATGAGTGAATACGCCATGGCCCCGTGGTATCCGCTTTCAACGTGACCACGTCGCCTGCTCTCACGTCAAGCACTGGCTCTTCAGAAGAGGCCCGATCTTGCAGACTGATTGGCGTGAGTATGCTAGCGTTGGCAGGGCTTGCTGTTTGGAGTGGCGTCAGACCTAGGGCTCGCTTCCGGAACGATATAGTATTTTGGATGGAGGGGCTTGTGGCGCGAAGTTTCAGCCATCTGGAGAAATACATGCGCCTGAAGGCATCATGTACAAGAGTTGTACAAATTGTCCTGTGCTCCTTGTTGGGTTGCTGAGGAATTCCTTTCAGCCTTTGTGGATCCACCTCAGTCCATACAGAATGGTCATCAAGTCCAGACTCCTCGTCGTCGATGCCGTGGCATTCTTTCCACAGATAACCGACATTGGCTGCCACGGTAGTCCTGAAGTCCCTCCGATTTCCGCATTCTCCATGCCATTTCTCGAAGTCGAGACTGCGCTTCCTTGTTATCAGCCATGCGTAGAATGTTCGACGAAAGTGGTCCAAGGTGACATTCCTCGTCTCCAGCAGGTATTCCACGAAGTGCTTTGTGAACATCGCAAGCCAGAGGAACGGCCTATAGAAGCGAGCGTACTCCGCTGAGGGCTGCCCGAGCTTATACCATACGCCAGAAGACCGAGCATCCTTGGACTGGATGCATATGTGGTCCTTCAGCCTGGCAATATCAGGGTCACCGTAACCTTCCACTGCCATTGTGTTGAAGCGCACGCCTTGAAGGTAGTGACTCTCATTCCCCACGGACAGAACGCCATCGAAACAGAGTTCTGTGTTTCCTCGGCTGTTCTGGAGCCTGTCGAGGCTTACGAGCTCGTCAGTGTGCCTTACGCATCTAGGCATATAGATACTGAAGTCCTCGAGCACGAGATGGGCGTAGCCCGATGTCGCCTTGATAGTGCGGTATTCGTCCGAGACGCTGAAGTCGAAGAGGACTGAAGACTCCTCCGAAGGAGGCAGTGGCGGGTCATAGCCCTGGTAAGCTGATCTCGGAAACGCTGGCCCATCGACTTGAATGTGGCCGAAGGCCTTCGTTGCAATCCGGCGTTGCTGTCGTGGGGAGCTGGCCACACTTTCATCGCTGTCGCTGTAATCGTTGCTCTCAATGTTGCGCCGTTTGCGTCGCGAATAAGGCGCGGCGAGAGGCGACTGCTCATCTTGCGGAGGGTCAACCGCTTTGCGCTTTCCGGCGCGTGCAAACTGAAGAGGTATCGCCATGAGGAAAAGTAGATGCGTTGGAGGATGTCGGGTAAGAGGATGCGATCATGGCATGCAAGAATGTGGCCTTGTAGACACCATGGCGGCTGCGCGAAGGATGCTGTTAACAATGGGGCGCGTCTGAAGCAGTGAGGTTTGCTTTGCGTCGGAACGCATACGTGGCCAATCCCATGAAGTGAGGTTGAATGTGAAAATGAAGTGAAGTCGCGGTATGGAAGCGGGGCAGGAGGGACGCGCCAGGTGGCCGGGAGCGCGCCAACGCGCATGCAGAGATGCAGAGGAGGATACATTGTAGGAATCACTTAGCTTGTTCATGAAATACATCGTCCGATATGTGGTGATAATGCCGATACAACAAGCTGGGGAGATGGAGTCGGAAAGGAGGTTATGGAAGAAAGAGTACTTCAGCCGGAGCTAAGGTCCTTGTGTGACACGTGCAAGCTCGACGAGCTCCGAGTCATCACATGCAATTTGCGGCTTTCACATGCTAACTCTATCTCTCGAATTCACTGTGGCTTCACTCTTTGAGCATATGCTCGCATCGCCTGTCTGCTCAGGCTTCCCACCCCAAAGCTTCGTCTGGCCTGTCGTGAGTGAGGGCATGCGATACCGTAAAGTTACATCCCAGGGTGTGATGTTCATCCTCCCGACTGTTTCTGAATCCGTAGAATGGATGCCTCCAATATCGACATTTATTTCCTTGCCGTTCGAAATCTTCTCACGTCTCATCCATGACTTCCGGCGCATCAGGCGTCTCCACCTGCTGTTGCGCCTGCTCCAGCTTATCAACAGACACTGTCTCCGTCTCCATCTCAGTCTTCCCTTGCTCGTCTGCGCCCTCCGTAACTTGACTCGTCTGCTGCTGGTCTCCTTCCGCCATCTCAACATCGTCGAAAGGCTGAGAAGCTTGCAACACCGGCGAGCCAACGCGGCTATAGCTCCTTGTCCCCTCGTCTTCCACATCCAAGAACTTGTTGATTAGTGGAGCCGGACTTCTGCCTTCCTCAACCATAGGAGTAACGCCTCCCGTAAGCATCGGCGTCCCATCCCCACGACTCACCGGCCGCGGCGTACCACTTCCCGGCGCAGGCGTGCCCATCCGACTCCTGTCCTCCTTCAATCCACCTTCTTCCCCTTCCTCCATCTTCTCGTCGCCCTCTGGCTCATCCCTTATTCCCTTGATGACCTTGACCAAGTTCCCGCCCTCAGCAACAACCTTGTCCCACGCCTCTCTCCTCCCCGCCCACACACCTTCAAACTCACTTCCCTCCTGCTCCAGGTCCTCAATCTCCTTCTCCAACCCCGCAATATCTTCCAGGGTTTCCGCGCGAGGCTTCAGTTTCTTCTCAAAGATCAGCTTCGTGGTCAACTCATCGTACCCTTTCCTTAGCTCAAGCATCTTTTGCGCCTCCTCCAGCTGCGCTCGTAACGCGACAGTGTTTTCTCGCACCGACTGCGCGGTTTGCATAATATTCGCTTTCTCAGCGGCATAGCGCTCGCGTTCACGTGCATTGGAGGATTGGATAAGCTGGATGCGGAGGATGCTGCTTTCGAGGGCGGCAAAGTCGAGGAGGACCTCTAAACGGAACTGGGCTCGTTTGCGGGCGTCTTCAGCGGCGGTGTCTTCTGACGTAGGCGCGTTTTCGTGGGCGTCCGGGGGAGGCGAGGGCAGCTGGCGGGGAGGAGTCCATTTGAGAAGGCTGTCTTTGCTGAGAAGGTTGCGGGTTACGCGTTGGAAAGGCCGTTCTTCTACTTGGAGAAGGCGGGTCGCGTGGAGGGCGTCTATTACGGCGTGTTAGCTGCCGTGCAATTCAGCATGAACATCGTAGAGGTGTACCTTCTTGAGCTTGTTCCGGGAGCACTGTGTATGAGTGTGATGCTGTCGCCGCCATGGCTGCTCTATATGCGCAAGCAGTCGGGCTCTCTGATGGCCTTCGAATCCTTTCGAGTGAGTCGGACCCCAATAACTACACTTGAAGTTGCCAGGCCTCCTTCTTGGTAGCTGGTGAAGTCCGCGGAGGTGAAGGTCACGTGCGGGTCTTACGCCGCATCTGGCGCCTTGACACGACTCTCGAAGCTCAAGAAGCTCCAGACAACACCATCACCACAACTTCACAACCACGATAACCGGGACACATCATATACCACCTGGCCGATCGCGTCAACACCTATCCGTTCCGCCTGCTCTCCCACCACATCCTCCACCATGGACGCCCTCGTGGCCCAGTACTCGCAGCCCTCCCACAGCGCCCAAGACACCACCCTCGATGACTCCCTCGCCCTCAGCAGCAAGATCGCGCCACCGTTATCACTCAACTTCGAGCTTCCGCCCATCGACTCCCACTCAGCATGGCTACGCGCAATGACCGACGACCACAGCAACCCGCAATGTCCCATCAAGATCGCGCACGGCACCACCACTCTCGCGTTCCGGTTCAAGGGCGGCATCATTGTGGCCACGGACTCGCGAGCGACGGCAGGGAATTGGATTGCGAGTCAGACCGTGAAGAAGGTGATTGAGATTAACAGCTGTTTGCTGGGGACGATGGCTGGTGGTGCTGCGGTAGGGACAACTCATCCACTGACTACCGAAGCGCTGTCATGCTGATAAACTAAATCTCAGGACTGCCAATACTGGCTCGCCTACCTAGGCATGATGTGCCGCCTCCACGAGCTCCGCCACAAACGCCGCATCTCCGTCGCCGCCGCCTCCAAGATCCTCGCCAACCTCGTCTACAGCTACAAGGGCATGGGATTGAGCATGGGTACCATGTGCGCCGGCGTCACGCCCACCGAAGGACCGGCGCTCTACTACGTGGACAATGACGGTACCAGGCTGGCGGGCAATATGTTCTGTGTGGGCAGTGGACAGACGTTTGCATACGGTGTGCTGGATGCGGAGTACAAGTATGAGATGGAGGAGGATGAGGCGCTGGAACTGGGTAAGAGGAGTATTCTTGCGGCAACGCATCGGGATGCTTTCTCCGGTGGGTTCATCAACCTGTACCACGTGAAGGAGGAGGGGTGGGTGAAGCACGGGTTCATGGATACGAGTGAGTTCTTCGAATAAATATGCAGCGATCGGGAATTGGATCCACTAACGATGCGGCACAGATCCCATCTTCTGGAAGACGAAGCTGGAGAAGGGGGAGTTCTCGAACGTGACGTCGAAGCTGGAGTAGGTCTGCCTGGAGGGAAATGTGATAGCGCCGTGTTGTGCCTTCTCCCGTGGCCAGTAAGGCTGGGTTATGGCATAGGTCTCGATGGTGTTCAGAAGCATGGCCACTGTACTTTTACGAGCTCTTGTGATAATAGCTTTAGAAGCATAGCATGCGGTATGAGTCTACTTCAAACTTCGCTCTTACTTCGTTTCCTCTTCACCGCATACCGAATGTACATTGATTGCTTCAGCATGTGAATATCGAATCAGTGGCACAAAGGCAAGACTTCATGACACACCTTCTGGTTTGCCTGACTCAGGAACATCGACACCCCACCAAACACCACTCTGCAGCCTACCTTACCCACCTCACCTCCGATGACCAAACAACTAACATCACCTCTTCCGCCAACAACCGAAAGTCTGACCTCCCTCAATCCTAAAAAGAAGCGCATACCTTGAAGACAACCACATCACATCGTCTGCGCCGACGGTAGCAAGAGCAAGAGCAAGAGGCCAAGATGCAGATCAAGTACGCTTTCACCACCATTCTACGCAAAGCAGGCGGCGCGAATATAACGAAAACGCTGACCGCTATGCGTTCACAGAGTCCGCACCCTCACCGGCAAGGAGATCGAACTCGACATCGAGCCCGACTACAAGGTATCACCGTGCCCCGTGTTCCCCTCCTCTTCCCACTCCCCACTTGCGCAGCTCACTAACCCGACTCCCGTGACGAATAGATCTCCAAGATAAAAGAGCGCGTCGAGGAGAAAGAAGGCATCCCGCCCGTCCAACAGCGTCTCATCTACGGCGGCAAGCAGATGGCGGATGACAAGACAGCGGCGGAGTATAATCTTGAGGGCGGGGCGACGTTGCATTTGGTGCTTGCGCTGCGAGGGGGGCTGTGAATTAGCAGGAGGCCGGGAGTTTGGCCGGGTTGCTGTGGTGTGGAGGTGAAGACTGGTCATGCGGTGCTGGAAGGCAAGCTTACGGGAAGGGACGATGATACGTTTGCATAGGACTGGCGTTCAGCGCGCTGCTTCGGCGTCCACGATGAAGGTGTGATGGAGCATCTCTGCGGATAGAGCAATGAAGATACCATGGAATGCTATGAATGATAAGGCCTCAGCCAGATATGCGTCTCGCACCCGTGGACGGTCAGCCGACGAACCGAAAGAGAGCTGCTAAATCTCTTTAATCAGGGCACAAGATGAACATGACACGATAAGAAGCACGAAGATCTTGAGTTCCAAGGCTAACAGAATACTTCGCAGTCATCTAGCAAGAGCATCATACATCCAAGTCATTGCAACCCCCAAACATCCCACAACGCCATTCCCGTCACATGTATCACCGCTCACGACACCCCCGTAACCCTCCGAATACTCCTCCTCGCCCCTTCCCCCAGCACCTGCACCTTCCCCTCCTGCTCCAACGCCTTCACCGCCTCCGCGAACTCCTGCCCCTCGACCGCCACAGAACTCTGCTCGCTCAACGTCCTCACCACATCCCCATACCTCGCGCCACCACCTGCCCCACTTCGCAACATCTCGTCCAATACCCCCAGCACCGCGCCCTTGAGATCTTCCCTCCGTTTCCGCTCGCTCGCGCTCGTGCCTTCGGTTAGCAAACCCATGTCGATTAAACCTGTTCTAGCGTCGGTAGCAGCCTGCTTCAGCGCGCTTTGGATCAGGCGAACGGCTTCCTCGACGTCGTCCGCGGTGACTTCTTCGGACAACCGCATCTTCGCGTGCGCTTCGGCCAGCCGGATCATGCTTTCCAGCTGCCGCGTGGTGGCGGTGATACGGCGCTCAGCGGCGCGGATGTCCTCGCCGAGCTTGCGCATGGCGACGTAGGCGCGGACGAGTGCTTCCCCAGCCGCTGGGGTGATGGTGGGGTGGACATTGGCGCGGGCGTAGGAGATGTAGGAGGTGAGGAACTCGACGGGGAGGATTTCCTCGCGGCTGGCGTTGTCCGGGTTGTCTTCGAGGTACATGCCGACTAGATGGCGAGCGAGCTTGCGGTCGGCCGTTTCGTCGATGCGGTCGAGGACGAGGTAGACGAGGTCGAATCTGCTGAGGAGGGTTGGGGGGAGGTCGATGTTTTGTGGGACTGTGAGGTTGGTGTTGTATTTGCTGCCGATCGGGTTGGCGGAGGCGAGGACGCTGGTTCGAGCGTTGAGGGTGGTGATGATGCCTGCTTTGGCGATGGATACGGTCTGCTGCTCCATGACTTCGTGGAGGACGGAGCGAGTGGAGTCGTTCATCTTGTCGAACTCGTCGATACAGCATACGCCGCCGTCACTCAGGACGAGAGCGCCAGATTCAAGGACCAGACTTCGAGTCTCTGGGTCACGGGTCACGTAGGCTGTAAGACCGACAGCTGACGAGCCCTTTCCGGAGGTGTAGATACCTCGCGGTGCGATCTTGTTGACGTACTCGAGCATTTTCGACTTCGAAGTCGATGGGTCACCGCATAGCAGCACGTTGATGTCGCCTCGATACTTCGGCGAGCCGCCCTTTTCGAAGCTCTTGTTCGTTCCCCCAAACAGCTGCAGCAGGATGCCCTTCTTGACATCGTCCATCTCGTAGATCGAAGGGGCGAGTGACCGAGCCAGCAGATCGTAGACATCGTCTCTGGCTGCTGTAGCTCTGATCTTCTCTTCCTCTTCCTCAGACACTTTGCGCTTCTCCTCCATGCCGCCAGCTACCTGGTCGGAGAGCTCTTCTTCGATCGTCGTCGGGTCGATGCCCATACGTCGCTTGTCCACTTTCTGAACGTGTAGGCAGTCAACGTACGTCTTGAAAATATTCTTGACGCTTCTTTGGCGAGGGTTGACTCGTACTTGGTTGGTCTTAAACACACCAGTAATCTCGACACGGTCACCAGCTTTGCAGATATCAACCAGCTCATCGTAGGCACACAGGGAGACAGAGTGTGGTGTCTGTCCGTCTGGAACAGAATCTGGCGTCTCTTGCAGCTTGATGACCTGCTTGTCCGCGAAGCCAGAGCGGTTGTGGACGATCTGCATGCTGTTGCTCGCCTGGCACACGTTGCGAGGACATCTCGTCGGCTCTGCGATCTTCCCGCGATCGATGTAGACTTTGAGAGTGTGGTGGCAGACCGAGCAGCGGAAGAACGCATCCTTCATGTCAGGGATGACGGGCGTTGTTCGAATGACCAGGCCCTTCACCGACACTAGCCTGTCAATGTCGTTGGGATTGAGATCACGAAGATTGATGGTCTCATCCAAACCGAAAGGTCGGACGCGGTACAGTCTTTGTTCGCACTCCGAAACCAAGTCTTCCGCATCCTCAACCTGCTGTGGTTGGGCAGCTCCATTCGCTGGACCGTCCATATTGTCAATATCTGAACTCGGCATGGGAGGCATCGAGCTCGAATGATGCTGGTTGTTTTGTTGATTCCTGCGCGCCTGCTGAGACTGAGTAGAGCGCATTGAGTCCACCTTCTCCTCAGCAAGGGTGATGATCACGTCCTTGACGACCGTGTCCATGACAGGAATGATTTCGCTCGGACAAGACATCAACTGATGCCAAAGCTTGCGGGTCGGCGGGTAAGCCTTGAGATTGCGGCAATCCAGGTAGAAGCAGATCGTCCCAAGTTCGAGCATCGCTTTCAGCATGTTGATGTTCTCCTTCTCCAAGCCTGGATGTCCAGCTTCCAGGTTACTGGCCTCTTCGAGCTCTCCATCGGCGATCATCCGGTACTTCTTCTGGAAGTTGTTCATAAAGTCCTTCATTGCTGTAAAGGTGTCGTCGATCGAGATATTCGTGCCCCAGATGTACTGCGTTCGTGAGCCGCCGAGCTGGTTGGCCTCGGAAGTGTTTGGGTTGAGGTTGGAGAAGGTTGCTGCATCTGAGCGATCCTCCGAGACAGGTAGTCCATTCTCATCAACGAAAAGGCGTCTTCTGCCGCTGCCGGGCTCCAGCATGTCTGAGTGCAAATCATGGCGTCTATTGCGAGCGCCGCCAGCAGCGCCTGCATTCTGTGATCGTACGAAGAGGCCGCTTGAGCTTGTCCTGTCAGCACGGTTGCCGCTGGGTACGGGCTCTGCGGCGTCAGAGCTGGTGGCATAGTGGATCGGCGAGGAATCTGTACGGTTGTCAGCCCACACGCTCCTTTTTGTCTCTCATTACGGTATGCTGACCCCCAATACCTCCACCCGCTCTCGGCGTTCTCCCACCCAAACTGCTTCCCGCATCCGCCTGCTGCCTCAGCGGCGAACTGACATTGACCCCATTGGCACCCGCAGGCACGTTTAGCGATTGACTCTGACTCTGACTCTGGCTCCCAGCAGGCGACGAGCGGAAGAACAGCGGCGACGAAGTAGGCGGATTCTGCGACTGCGACTCCTCTTGCGAGTTGCTTGCGTTGGCGCGCGGTGTGGTCCGGTCGGCTTCCTGAGGATTGGGGGAGGTGGGGAGGGGAGCGTCGCTCATGGGGGCTTCGGAGCTGCGTTGGCTGCTGCGGCGGGGGGTGCCGCCTGTAGAGTTGCGATTCGAGCGGCGGGAGGCTGGAGATGACATTGTAGGCCTCTGTGTTGTGTAGTTGAATGAGTGGGAGATGTTCGTTGCGACTGAGAGGAGCGAGGGGAAGACGACGCGTAAGGTGGAAAGCGCGAGCGCGTTTGAGAGGGGCCAATCACAACGAGGAAGCAGAAGTGGTTGCATTAGCGCGAAGTGGGCATATCTGCAGCGGACTTCAGGCAGATCAAATAGAATCAAACCCAACAGACACAAGAATCAGATCACGAAGGCAGCAAAGATGCCGCCCCCATCCCAACTCTCCATCGCCACATCCGCCCTCATCCGCCTGGTCAAGGAAGAGCGCAGCTACCACAAGGAAGCCGAACAGCAACAAGCCAGCATCACCAAGCTCGAGCAGGGCGGCGGCGACGAGAATGCCGAGTTCACGTTGAAGCAGGAGGTATGTGGTTTGCAAGGCTTCTCATTCGTGTCTATCTACATCATCTGTGCCGTTCATATCGTCTTCTCATCTTCAGGTCGTTCATTCCAAGCTCGATCATTCTGCATGCTGACTTTCTGTATCTCGAATAGCGCAACGGGCTCGAGCAGACCAAGGCCATGTTTCCCCAGCTCAAGGCGAAGATCGAAGATGCGCTGGCGAGATTGGAGCAGCAGCTGGTAAGCTCCCGGTGTGTCGAATGTGGTGGTAGTACTGGTTGCTAACTCTTCTCCAGGAGCAGGATAAAGGTCCAGGTGATCAGAGCAGTCCGGAGGACATCACTCGTGCGAAGGAGGCGGTTGCTGAGGCGAAGACTGCCATTCGTGAGGCGTCTTGAGGGGTGGGTGGTGCGCCTCTTCTCGAGCTGGTAGATAGTTTTCGTGCAGCTGTCGTACCAGTCGTTATGCTGTGATCTTGTTCGTCTCGCGGAGAACCGGCTCAGACCTTGCGCTTCTTGGCCGGCATGAAGATTGATGGCGCTGGGCGCTTGCGGACGAGCGTTGGTGCCGGGCTCGGGCTGGCAGGCTTCTCCGAGACGCGAACAGGCGCAGATGAGCGCGGGCCTGGCGCTGGTACCACTTGGGCTGGCGGAGAGGCGGCGCCAGCAGGACGGCTTCGCGACCCTTCTCCGGCCGACGAAGAGGGCTGTGAGCCCACCCTCGGTGCTGCTGGCACCACTCGCGCCGGCGGAGAAGGGGTCGGCCGCTTCTTCGCCTGTTGGTGCTGATCGATCATGCTCTGTGGTGCCCGTGGGATCTGTGACTTGCTGCTGAAGAACCTCCTGGTCAACTGACCATTCGCCATCTTGCCCATGACTGGCTGCAGGGCGCGGCTGTTCGTCCCTTTCATCGTGCTTGCCAGCTTGCTCTCCTTCCTGATGGTATTGATCACGTCGCTGCCCGTCTTCGCATTCTTCAGCTTCGGTCGAATAGGCTTCGGCGGCTGGGGTGCGTGATGCTTGCCAGGCGGTAGGTCAGCACCCTTCGGGTAGCTGATGATTTTGTTGACGAAGTTCAGCTGATTGTCTTGCTTCTTTTTTTGTTCGCCCTTCATGGCTGCAGCCAGCTGCGCCTCCTGCTCTTCTTTGGCATGTGCTTCTTCTCGGACCATCTTGCGGTATACCTTCCACCAGCTTCGGGGATTCCTCGGTTCGAGCAGCTTCTCGCGCCAGAATGGGATGTCGCGGGCGATGAAGGAGATCCAGAGGTCTTTGGAGCGGTCGGCGATGTGTGGAGAGGCCTCTTCGATGCGGCGGAGTTGGTTGGGATCGGTGAGTTTGCGGAGGATTGGGTAGGCGACGTCGTATGGCATATCGCCGACTTCGAAGAGGGAAGGGAGGTCGCGGATGCAAGCACGTTGGGCCATGGCGAGGAGTGTTGGTGGAGACATGATGGAGGGTTGTCGAGGGCTATGGACCGGGTTTTATAGTAGAGAGTGGCTGGGTGAGGTGAGGTCGACGAAGTCTTGCTATTGTCGGTGTTGTCTGTATTGTCGATGCAGGGCAACAATAGCTGTGAGGTTGAAGTTTTGAAACCCGCGCGAGAGCGTAGCCTTATATATGGCTGGCGGTGCGAGGGCCATCAGTAGAGTTCGCGTCCAATATTCGAACCATGGTGGTGGTAAAGGTGAGAGTTGGACTTCATTGTTTGCTTCGAGCTGTGCCGTGGTCTCAGGTTCACATGTCTCGTCGATCACTGGCCCGAGCTCGGGACAGAGTTCAGCCCTATGGAACTCTAATGGTTAATTCGTACAACACTTCCCTTTTCGACTATACCCTGATTGTCTAGTGAGAACACTTGATCATGTAGCCTCAGTAGATTCGACACAATGGGTGACTCGTGGCAGAATAGTTTGTCGTTCAGTGACCGGGTCACAATCACCTCGAAAATGCAAGTGAGCGCCTTCATCGACGACAGCCATGTGATTGACCGCTCATGCTTCGTACAGATCTGCTGCGTACCGAGAAGCGTATCCTGATTGTGAAGCAGCCGAGGTGACCAAGTATGCGAGAAGTACCGAACAGGCGTTGCGAGGAGCGTCTTCGACCATAGTATGTTATGCTCTCTCTCCTTATTTAAGGTGTACTTGGAGCTTGATCTGACATTACACAGGAAGAGTACAGAAGACAATGTGATGAAGCATTGCAGTCTTTAGCAAACTCCAGTCCGCAGTCACGTCTTCAAAATGGCAATGCTGACAACATGGAGCCGCAATTGCACGACACTGGCATGACCATCGGCCGTTACACGCATGTCCAACACTACAAAGACGGCCTATTCTCCGAGATCTTCAAGGCCTTGGTCCCAGCGGCAGAACGCCAGCCAACCGATCCAGTCTTAGTAGCACTCAAAGTCACGACGCTCTTCGACAACACTCCACCGCACGATGCTGCTAAAGAAGCGCGCCTACTCGAAGCTGCCAAGGGACAGAACATCGTTCCGTTGCTCGAGAGCTTCCAGCGGCCTAGCGGTCGGCTGAACATGGTATTTCCGTTCATGCCGCATGACCTTGGAATTCTGCTTCAGCGAAAACAAATCACGAAGGGGACTGGCAGGGCTATCATAAGGGATCTGTTCTCGGGACTGAAACATCTTCACCATCTCGGTATTATCCATCGAGACATCAAGCCTTCGAATATCCTGCTTGCCAGCTCAGACGGCCCAGCTTACATTGCCGACTTCGGCATCGCCTGGTCACCCCACGACAAAGCATCTGAGCCGGCAGACCAGAAGATATTGGACGTTGGCACCACCTGCTACAGACCACCGGAACTACTTTTCGGCAATCAGAAGTACGACTCCACTCTAGACATGTGGGCCGCTGGATGTGTGGCGGCGCAGGTGGTCTGTCTGGATGGGAAAACACTCTTCGATGCCGGTGATTTGGGCAGTGAGCTGGCGTTGATCAAAAGTATCTTCGAGTCGCTCGGGACGCCGGATGTTGAAGTATGGCCGGTGAGTTTGTCTGGGATCCAGAATTTGGTATTAGTGCTTATGATGTGTAGGAGGCAGCGACGTTCCCAGACTGGGGCAAAATGAACTTCAAGCAGTATCCCGGGAAGTCCTGGGAGGAACTACTGCCAGGGGCTGGGCAGAATGCGAGAGAGCTTGTCAGGGGTTTGGTGGTGTTTGAGTCTGGTTGGCGGTTGACTGCTGAAGCTGCGCTGGAGCATGGCTATCTCAAGACAAGCTGAAGCTCGATCGTGCTGCTGAGACAGTCAAGTGATAATTGTATTGACGTTGTTTCACACAAGTACGAACGAGCGAGGATATGCCCTGGCTTTCATAGCGACAGCAAGATCTTCCCGGCTACTTAGGAACGTCGGGCGATTTAATTACGCGGCTTGACCTATTATGCGATAGACATCCTCTTGCAGCGCGTCCGTGGTCATATTCTCCTTCCCGTGTACGCGGCGCAGTGCTATGCAGGAAGTGTAGCCTCCGGCCAACCAAAGGCAAATGTAGTCACCGCTGTGTAGGGCGAAATTATGGCCGCCGATGACTTCGATCGCTTGCGGAGCTGTGAACGAGAAGGAATACTGGCCGCCGATGGGCGAGGGGCCTGCCTTGCTCACAGCATTTAGCGTCGCCGCGGATATTTCAGGTCCCAGGAGTGCCCATGCGGTGCGAAGCACCACCTGACCAATGCACTGGAGCGTACAGTCCAGGCGATCGGGCTCGTGGATGCGGGCGGTACTGACTTGGGCTTTGCCGCACGCTAGGTGTAAGTGTTCAAAGGAATCCATTGTATCCACAGCGGCGAAGTCGAGCAGCCAGGATGGTAGCGCTGGAAATCGTAATCTGCGTCGGTTGTCATTAGAAAGTGCTGATTGCTGAGAGCTGATCTGTCGGGAGGCTTCAGTCAGCAGACAGCTGAGATGACCCTCAGATATTAAGACACGGTAGAACTGAGTCCACAGCTGCTGCGGGGTTAGCGAGTAGTCAGGTTGCACGGTCTGACGATCGTCGAACGCCATCAAGGAGTAGATGCAGTCGCGCGGGTCCTGGCACATGGCATCATGGAATGTTCGCATTTGTGAAAGGAGCGCCATGCCCGGACCCATGTCTGGCGTTTCGTAAGTCCGAAACTCACGAGGAAAACCTTCCCTCCTCTTTTCGACGTCGCTCGGCCGGTAGGGACGCAGGGCAGGAGGGTCAATGAATTCCCATAGCGGCAGACCTGAGCCCATATCCCGTAAAAGGTCGTGGGTGAGATAGTGAGCGGCAGTGAATTGATGCCACTCCATGTGGAAGTCGCCGCAGAGGACCTCCGCCCGCGAGGCAAGACACAGCTCTTGGAGTACCCATCTTCGCCGGAAACATGTCTGCGTACACATGTGAAAGAAGCACTGCCAGAAGTAGGTTGCGATGGGGCTTCTTTCGAACCCACGGTCGTCCTTGTGGAAACAAACAGGTGCTCCGTTAATATCGGTCCAATTCGTTGAGTTGGCGTAGGACGTGATCTCGCGTACTGTTGGAACTCCTGGAATGTCTGTGAGCAATCGTTGAAATCTTTGGTCTATCCATTGGCAATCTTCTGCCCCTTTCCTGTAAGGCAAGTTTGTCTCGAACTTCTCGAGTTCCGACGAAGGCTCGAAGATGCTGCGGAAGAACGGCATCATGACTTCGGCTTCGTGGATTGGAGAATCTTCACCGAGCCAGATCGCGACCCGGCTACGATTTCGATACACTTTTGACATGATGGATACCTGATGTGATCGCTCCTCGTCGTCTTGTTGATTTATGCACAGAGCGTCCACCCAAAGGACCCTTGTCGATCTAGGAAATCGAAGGCGCTTTAGACAGTCAGATAAGTTGGACCCGACTGGCTGCCGTATGCCGCAGAGGCTGATGTGTCTGACCTCCTCGGTGTATCCGGTCAAAGCGGCGCCGTCGTCTTCTTCAGCAAGGTACGGCGGGCCCCAGGTATACGATAATGCTTCGTATGCTGGGGAACTGGCGTCCACTGCTCTGACTACCAGGTCGCATCGTATATCGGCTGTACGGTCGGACGAAGGCTCCAACAGAAGGACTCGGATCTCGTCGTGGGCAAGTCGACGGCTGTAGGAGGTGATAGGGAGCGCCATCCGCTGCACCGTTTTCTTGAAGACGAAGAAGTGGATCTGAGGGCAGAAGTGTGGACGTGTAGCCAGGCTCGGAAGATGTGTAGGGTGGGGACTGTAAGATGCAACTTTGGAGAAGTCTGCTGCTGTCTGAAGAAAAGACAGCTACAGCTGCTTGAGAATATGAATGGGATGAAGTGACACCTGGACATTGTATCGCGCTTGATGCTGGGTCGAACGTGTTCACCAGTCAAACTGATGAGAGGAGGAGGACTGGCGTTATCGTGTTCGGTGGCGCAGTTGTAGCTGCAAGGCTGGATCGGCGCGGGCCTGTCGTTCCAGCCTCTGCCATGCATCAGTAATAACCTACCTTGCATATGCGTTGAACGCGAAGAGGCGACAGTCACTACAATGGTGGTTTATAGTCGGAAAGAGCAGTAATGAAGATAGGGGATCCGTGGCCCTATTGGACGGGTTCCAACGGATCCTCTGGCGTACTCGATGTCTGCGTCGTTGCCGACATCGTTGGTGGATCAGACGTGCTCCAATGCAGCGCGTGAAGAATCTTGTCTGCAATTGTGTTCGAGATGTGCTCGTTGGTGGAATGGATTCATCCACAAGAGTCTTCATGTTGTTGTCGTGATGTTGCTGAGGTCAAAACAAGGGTCCAGCTCAGATCCCGTTCACTCCGAAAAGTGGCTTTCTCGGGCGCTCGGCGGACGTCATCAAGAGGAAGCCCTGAATGTGTGAAGTGTCGCTGCAGGGAAACGCGAGCGGGACTGGGATGGCTATCGCAAACTCTCCCACGCCCCCGATACTGACGAACACGTGAGAGCGAGCCTCCGATGCGGCTCTCTGCGATTGCACTAGGCGCGCTGTTCAACCCGTTGGATGCGTCGCCGGCTTTGCCTTGCTGGGAGAGGGAGCGAGGTGCTGCTGCGCGATGAAGACTCCCCTTCCACCGCCAGACTCGCCCGACGACGACCCGGAGCACGATGACCCCAGCCTCACCAAGACCGATGTCCCCCTCCGGCCCAAGGTGTCCGACGTCGACTCTCCCCGACGACCGCCCCTTGGCCGATCGTCCTTCAGCAGGCTGTCCGACGCCTCGCCGCGCCCGATGGAGAAGGAGGAGAAGAGTGCGAGCGCGAGCGTGAGAAAAGGGACGGAGCATGGCAAGAGACCAGCGTCCACGGCAGAGCGCAACACTCGGAGCAATTCGAGCCCCGCCAACACGCCGACCACATCTGAGGAGGAGCGTCTCGCGAATCTCCGGGACGCCATGAACGCGAGACTTCTCCTGCAGCAGCGCATGCGCCGCAGCCAGGGCTCGTTCAAGGGAGACTCGGGCATCTCAAGGGTGTCGCCGATCCAGGAGGAAGCTGCCGCAACCGGGGATTCGCCATCTCTCGATGCCGCCGTCACGGAGCCTCATCCGCCAGCGCGGACGACATCGACCATGTCTACCGAATCCACAGAATCGTCAAAGACCGTGAGAGCAAGCGTACCGGCGACACCGGCAGCAGCAAACCCTCCGCTTAGAACGCCATCGTACCCTTTCCCGTATGTCCCAGGCACGCCTAAAGCTTTGCCATCGGCTTTCCACCAGCCCTTCACCGCCTTGTCGCCCACGGCTTCCGGGATGCCCCCACGCGACGACGATACTCCCGGGAAGTCAAGTGACATGTTTTCGGGAGGCAGCACGCCAGCTGTGGACCCAAGCACGTTTATGCCGCCTGGTACTGTCTTTCCAGCGCCGGAGGATCCTCGCTTTCCCACGCCCAATCTGTACGATCTTGTTCTCCAATTGAACACCGAACCTGGCTTGGAGCAGTGGTGGGCAACGGTGACCAACGTCATCCACGACCATTACAAGGCCGACAGAGTGACTTTGGTCGTGCCGATGGACCCTACCGACATTGAGAACGTGCCGTGGGGTCAGAAGGCTACTTTCAGCATGAACGGACCAGAGGAGTTTGTCCCGCATCCCACGATCCTGGAGCAGACTGCTCACGCAAAGGCACCTCAAACCAGCACGCCACAAGGCGAATCTCGGCCGGTAACAGCTGTGGAGGGAACTGAGATGGCGACTTCTGGGCTTCAAGCTGGCAAGACACGACCTCGTTTGGAAGCTCGGCACTCTTACGCTGGTCACGGCAGGGAGACGTTCGAGAAGACTCCAGCGAAGTCTGCACGACCACCAGGACCACAACGCATGGCAACGCATGCTGCAGGGATTAAAGCCGGTCCAGGACCTACTCCGCTCTCCTCTTACCGCTTTCCTTCCACCAGCTCTGTGCGGCAAGCGTCGCTCGGCGATCCTGCGTTTAGCAGTGTTGCAGGTGACGCCGAGTCGGGACCGTATGCGGAGGTCTTTCCGACATTGCGATCTCTGGACCACGAGGTACGACCACTGATCGAGTCCGGTGGAGTCAATCGCGTGCTAGAGAGAGGTCGGGTCGTCACTGTAACGCGCGACTACGTGCCTGACACTTCAAGCTCTCAAGAAGAGACTCCTGAGGAGGATCAAACTACCAGACAATCGGAGCCAACACCTTCAGGCGCCAAAAGCCATGCAGAGCGATTCTTTGGCAACTACCGAAAAGCTTTTGCGTCTGACAACGTCACGGTCATGGCTAGAGATTACGAAGAGTACGAGCAATATCCGGCGTCGCCTTGGTCCCAGTCGCCTGCACCTTCTCCGGCCATACAAGCCGATGAGGAGGACAATCCTTTCTTTGCGTCTGACGGTCAACATGTGGAAGACTCTTTCCAGGAGGCCAATACACCAAAGGACTACTCGCAATTTGGGCAGGTGGAAGCCATTGGCGTCGACAGGGCAAATACGGTCATCCACATACCATTGGTGCATCCATCGCTCTCGCAGCCTATGCAGTCGCTGAGGACTTATTCACAAGGAGCTGACCGTTCTGGTCCACCCAAGAGGAGCAATACGCTTGATCTCGAGAGGAAAGCGCCAATTGCAGTGCTATCAATCTTGACCTCGACCGTGCCATATCCGCAGAACCTCACCAATTCCTTGAAGCTGCTAGGCCCGCATCTGGCTACCTCGTATGCCACCTCGCAGCAATTCTCTTCGACACACACTCAAACGGTCAGCATCCGACACCGTAGGACGGCGTCTGGAAAGACTTTCAGCGACGCCCCCATGACCGTCGAACCCGCGTCTCTGGCGGACCTTGTCAGCGCCAACGCGGAGCCACCTTCCGGATCCCGATCTGGCAGCATCACCAGCCCCTCTGAGTATTCTGGGAGATCGAAGTACAGCCCGACAAGTTCAATCGTCGGGACTCCAGGATGGGATCCTGCCAGCCATCACTGGACGACTCGATCTGCTGCAGGCACACCTGGCTTGACCGGCACAGAGATGATAGACAACTACTTCGAAGCAAAGAGGCGTACTGGACAGCGGACTACGAGCAACGCCAGCACTCACGCTCAGACGCCAGCACGGCCAACGCGCAAGATGCCAAGTTCCGAGAGCAAGCCAGGCGCCCGGAAGTCCTCGCCTCCAGGCAGCGAAGACAGCAAGTATCCTCAGAGTGAGCGAAAGCCGAAGGTGAAGGTGCCTCCCAAGGATGAGAAGACAACTGTCAGAGAGCGCAGTCCTCACGTCCAGCCCGAACAGACACCAGCACAGCGGCCTGCAGCAGCAATTCGGACGCCATCCAACGTGATAGAAAGCGGCGCGGATAAGCGTCATTCTCAACTGCATTCGTATGGCGCCGACTTTCTATCGTCCTTTGGAGCACCGGGAACGCCTACTGTCGAGGTGCCAACCCCTGGAGTCTTTGCACAAGGGAGGAGAGGATCTCAGTCAGAGGACATGCCTCCGCCGTCCGAGCGGCTACTGCGTACTATCATCGACTCAGTCCCAGTTCAGATCTTTACTGCGGAGCCTGAAACTGGACGGATGACATGGGTGAACCAGAAGTACATGATTTACAGAGGGCAGGAAGCTCGACAAGTGCTCACTGAGCCTTGGCAAGCTATACATCCGGACGATCGTCAGGACTTCACCTCTAGCTGGCACAGATCTCTTCGGACGGCTCAGCAGCTTCAGCAAAAGGTTCGCTTGGAACGGTTTGACGGCAGCTACCGCTGGTTCTACGTCCGCGCTGCACCGCTAAAGGACAAGCGACAAAAGATTGTACATTGGATCGGTACGATGATGGACTTCCACGAGCAGCATATGGCGGAGATGAACCTGGCTCGGCAACACGAAACTGCAGCTTCAGAGGCGAAGTATCGAGCGCTGGCCAACTCCAGCCCTCAGATTGTGTTTGCGGTCAATAAGCTGAAGGGTGTCACGTTCTGCAACTCGCAATGGATCCACTACTCCGGCCAGACGGAAGCTCAGGCGCTTGGTGTTGGCTTTATGGACCATGTGCACCCTGATGATCTTGCTAAGTGCAGGCTCCCGACGTTTGGGGAGGACTCATCCACGCCGAGCAATGTCCCAACTTCAGTCCCGCCTGACTTCAAGCGCAAGGTGTCTGCTTCGGCAAGCTCGAGCAGTGGCTCTTCTGAGACCGAGAAAGGTGTGTCGAGCACCGATGGTTCGCCAATCACTTCGCAAATGCCGCAACGGAAACTGTCGGAGCTCGCAGGTACTGGCATCCTGAAGGTCTCGCGAGATGCCGACGGCCGTCCTTCTTACTCTACTGAGGTGAGGCTGAAGTCGAAGGACGGAGAGTTCAGATGGCATCTGGTGCGAGTGCTCCTAGCGGAGCCACTGCTGCAGAGCAATCACGAAGAGGAGGGAACTTGGTATGGCACCTGCACGGACATCAACGACCACAAGGTACTTGAGCGGGATCTGAAGGAGACTATGGACGAGAAGTCACGCTTCTTGAGCAACATGTCACACGAGATCCGGACTCCTCTGAACGGCATCACCGGAATGGTCAACTTCTTGATTGACAGCAGCTTGACGACCGAGCAGCTCGAGCACGTCAACATCATCCGATCGAGCACTGAGGGCTTGCGTGGGCTCATCAATGATATTCTGGATCTTTCCAAGGCTGAAGCTGGGATGATACAGCTGAATATGGATTGGCTCTACGTTCGAGCGTTGATAGAAGAAGTCAACGACTTGACATCTACCATGGCTATCGAGAAAGGTCTGGAACTTAACTATCTGGTCGAAGAAGACGTGCCGGCACAAGTCAAGGGCGACCGCTTCCGCATCCGGCAAATTTTGCTTAATGTCGTTGGCAACGCCATCAAGTTCACGCAGAAGGGCGAGGTCTTCATCCGCTGCAGCACGCAGAAGGCCACCAACTCTGAGCTGGCCAAGAACGAGATGTACATCAAGTTCGACATCATCGATACCGGCCAAGGCTTTACTGATCGTGAGGCGGAATACCTGTTCAAGCGCTTCAGCCAGATCGATGGCAGCAGTACGAGGCAACACGGTGGCACCGGCTTGGGGCTCGTCATCTCGAGACAGCTGGCTCAGCTGCATGGCGGTGACATGAGCGCGAAAGGGGTGCCGGAGAAGGGATCGACATTCACGTTCTTCATCAAGACTGCCCTGCCGAGCCAGCGAGACCAGCCTCGAGAGGCCGCAACGCCTGGAATCGTTAATATCCCAATGCTGCCCATGCCCCTTGCTCCTACGCCCGGTGCAACACCAGTTCCCATGCCAGCAACCAAGACAAAAGCCGGCTCCATCCAAGCGCAGAGCGAAGGGCAAGCCAGGCCATCACCTAAAATCGCCCTGGAGTACAGCCAATCGCCCTCGCCATACGGCACACCACCGGAAGCTGGTCGAGACTCGCCGTCTGTATCCTCAACGAGCTCAGACCCGTCTCTCAGGTCGGCGGCTCGAACGAGTAGTCTGCGCTCCGAGCGATCATCCGCCTCATCGTATGTTGCGGACTCATCGATCCCTGCCATGCCTCCGATCAAGCTGGCTCTACCTGCTGGTCCTCGGCGCTCGACATCGGAGGCAGATTCTGCTCATTCCGGAAGCTCCGAAACCACTGCTCGTGCTCTTTCACCCGGCGACAGTCTACTTCCACCTATGTACTCCATCTTGGTGCTGTGTCCGCTAAAGTACAGCCGCGAAGCCACCGTACAGCACATCGATCAGACGTTACCACGCACCATCCCGCACCAGATCACTGCTAGGGAGAGTTTTTCTGAGTGCCAGGAGATGATTGGCGGTGACGATCCTGTCATTTTCACGCACATTGTCATCGTCCTCCATAGCGTCGACGAGATTGTTGCTCTCGTGCAGCAAGTACTGGCGTCGCAGCCTCACCACGCGACGGAAACGATCGTCATCACAGACCTCTCGCAACGCAGGAAGATCATGGAAAAGGCTCCCAATCACAACTACGACCAGCTCAGCCAACAACGTCGGCTCCGCTTCGTGTTCAAACCACTGAAGCCATCACGCTTCGCGGCCATCTTCGACCCACGGAAAGAACGCGAGATGAGCACCGACCGGAATCAGGACAGCGCGCAACAGGTCGCTCTGACACAGAAGCAAGTCTTTGACGAGTTGACCAATAGACTTGGCAACAAGGGCAAGCGGGTTCTCCTGGTCGAGGACAATAGGACCAACCAGCTTGTAAGTCTCCCCCAATCACCTCTTCCCCACGCACAGCTTGCTAATCAGATCTCGACCAGGTCGTCCAGAAGTTCCTCAAGAAAGTCTCCATCGAAGCGGAGATCGCCATCGACGGCGTCGAGTGCACCGACAAGGTCTTCGCGCACCCGCACGGCTACTACTCCATCATCCTCTGCGACTTGCACATGCCGAACAAGGACGGCTACCAGACGTGCAAGGAGATCCGGAAGTGGGAGCGTCATGCGAAGCTGCCCTATTTCCCGATCATTGCGCTCAGTGCGAACGTGCTCGGGGACGTGTATGAGAAGTGCGTCGAGGCGGGCTTCAATTCGTACATGACGAAGCCGGTGGATTTCAAGGAGCTCAGCACGGTGTTGATGACGTTTATGGATCCCAGTGATCCGAGCAAGCCGCATGAGTTGATGAAGAGGAGGCGGCAGAGCGCTGCGCCGAGATGAGAGGGACGTGTGTTGGAAAGGGTGGGCAGATCGCGGGATGGAGGAAAAGAGGATGTTTGCTGCATCGCGCGGTGTTGGAGCGCAAAAGTGGCGGGAGGGCGTCTATCCTTAATGGGAAAGCATCTGGTAGCGAAGGCGCAATTCTGTGCTTGCATGGGTGTTACGGCTGGGTCGATTGCATTGCGAGATGGTGCTGCGGGAACGGGCGCGCGCTGGAGATACCACAATCTTTGATCCGACCTAGATTTTAACTGTACTGTATTATATTCTTACTCCTAATGTGTCGTCTCGGCGTCTCCTCGTATCCCTCTCATGGTTGTCGAGTGGGTTGGGACTAAGACTGGTGGGAGCAGGCAAGGTTGTTGTCGCCACTTCCCAGACCTCATGCCCTTCCCATCGCTAATTCGCGGGAAACCTTCCACGTCTACACCTCATATCAAGAACAATACCAGAACTCAATCCCATCACGTTACCGTCCTCTCCCGCTTCGGCATCCACATCCCCACTCCCTGATCAAAGACCAAACTCATCGTCTTCCACCTCCCTTTCGGTGTCCCAGCATTCTTATTCGCCGCGAGCGCCGGGATCGCAGGCACCTCGCACAGCCTCTCCGGCGGCATCATCTCCACCGGGCTATCGCTTCCCATCTCCGGGTTCTCAGGTTCGTGTTGTAAGTACCCCGTGTAGTGCTTCGAGTACTCCGTGTCGATTTCCTTCCGCATGAGGCTGATCCGGTGGTTGAATCGGGACTGGCGACCCCATTTCTTTGCTACTTTCGTCTGGCGACGGCGGGCTATCTCGCGGTAGAGGAGAAGTGACGCTGCGGCCATGGAGAGGAGGGTGAGAAGGGCGCAGAGGGCGAGGGTGACGATGAGTGTGCGTCTGGAGATGAGGACTTGGCTGTCGCTGCTCGAGGAGAGTGAGAGGCAGAGATTTGAGGTCGTGTTGTTGCCAGCAGATGGTTCGGATCGAGGCATCAGGTTGAAGACTGTGGCGGATGTTCGTAAAGGCATCGTGGTAGATGGAGACGGGCCGGCTGTAAGGTAGTCGACGAATATCCCGTGCTTGGGAACGTAGAGCTGGAAGAACGAAAAGAAGAAGCTGAGAAGAGCCTGACGGCGAGAAAGAATGATGATACACAGAGCCTAATTTTGCCATTGATCAAGCAGCGAGACCGTATTTCATGTATCTGCCAGATTGCGGCACAGTCCTGCCTGAGCCCATACTGCGTGATCCTGAAACGCGACGTCGGCACGAATGAAAACAGCCTACCTGGTCGAGGCGGTCGCGCCAGACACTGCTGCTATATTGTTTTCGGGCGTATCCAGCGTGGTGTTTGAGGCTCTGCGAGGGCGCATACTGTTATAGCAGATGGCTGCATGAAGCTGGCGCTTAGAGCGATTCCATTGGCTGAGAACTGTCCGAAGGGCCACTGAGCGCTTCTTGACACCCGATATCCATATTTTGCCTTGCAATCGGACGGGACATTGTTGCAGGATCGCATTTGCAACATGGGGTAGCAATGGCGAGACCAAAGACGCATATGTGCGGTTATTCGCTGTCGCCCTCCGAGGGTTCCTCAAAATGCTCGCGGCCCAAGCAACAAAGCTTCTCGCCTCGATCTCTAGCCGGCGAGCAAATGTTGAGCCTAGAATCCGTGCGCAGCAGGTTTTTCGAGTCTTGAGAACTGTGAGAACACTTATTGCACAGGTCTTCAACCGTTGTGGATGTTCATATCGTCGTGTTGGGAGAAGAGCTTGAGCCGCGAGCAATTTGACCGAGCCTCGGTCACTTCTCGCCGCCAGTCTTACGACCTTCCATCACGCGCATGATATCAGCCATGTTGTTGGCATCACCCTTCCTCTTCTTAGGCTTTCTCTTCTTCTTACCGCCTCCCTTCTCCTTCTCCTCCCAGCCATCATCTGCGCCACCTTTCCATTCAGAGAGCCGCACCTTCTTCCCATCCCCATCTTCCTCACCTTCATCGTACCGGCTTCCACCAAAGCCCATGTCCATATCATCAAGATCTCGATCTCTCTGAGCCAACATATCTTGTCGTCTCTTCGCCTTGGCCTTCTGTTCTTCGTCACCTTCATCCGCATCTTCACGAGTGGAGTCCATTTTAGCAGCTTTCTTCAGCAAGTCTTGCACTCCGGCAAGGCGGTCTTGGGCTGGCTCGTCAGATGTAGAGAGGGTGTCTCTGAAGTAGTTTCGCGGCGCAGCGGCCGGCTTGGGCATCTCTGCTTCGACAGTCCGTGTGTCTTCGTGGTTGATGGCTGGCTCGGTGTCGGGTTCTGGCGACGACGCCTGGCTGATCTCGCCTTCCTCACCACTCGACTGCATAGCTTCATCGCTTCTTCTGCTTGGAGGCTCCTTCGCGGTGTCGTCTTTTGGATCTGCCGCATCGCTGTCATCTCCGCTGCCTTCGTCGTCGCTGACCTCATCACCAAGTGGATTATACTCTGTGCCAACACCCTCAAAGATGTCATCATCCTCATCCTCCTGCTTCTCAGCGACTTTGGACGTTTCGGGAATCACAGCGTCAGCGCCCAGGATCGTTTTGCTAACGTCAGGCATCTCTGCAGCACTTTCGGTGTCTTGCAAGGGCACCTTCCGTACCTTCCTTTTGACGATCCCATCTTCATCCATAGTAATCAGCACTTCCCGCCCCTTGTGGTCCATCTCCACCCTGCTCTTCTTGTCGCCCACCTTCCTCCATTTGCTGGTATCGAGAGACGGCGCTGCCTTCGCATCAGCCGCAGCCTTTCGTTGCGCCTTCAGCTCCGTCATGATCTCGTCGCGCGATCGTTTCACTCCTGCAACAGGCGGTGGCGCCATGCTGCCCTTCTTCAGCGCCTTCTCTTTCTGTACCGCCTCCACTTCTCGCTCCTCCAGTTTGTCCAGTTCTTCGTCGACGTCTGGCGGAGGCTCGTCCTCGTTCTCTCCACCACCAGTACCCAGCACATCCTCACCCCTCCGTACGCGCTCCAACAGCTTCCTGTCCAGCCCTTTGACCAGATGGGTACTGCCAACATCTCCGCCCGTAATCTCCTCCCTCAAAGAGTAGAACACTTCTTCAGGAATCTGCCCAAGCTTCATCTGCTCCTCCAGCGCCTTGATCCTCTCCTCCTTGTCGTCACCTGTGCCCTCCGCCTCCGCTCTCGCCTTTGCGCGATCTGTGTAGCCGGCACCATACTTCACGCCGCGGGGTGTGGCAGTTTTGAACTTTTTCGTCGGCCGTTCTCCTACGTTGCGCTCGCGTACCTGGCGGGCGAAGTCGACATCCATACCACCTTTGCCTACTGTTCGCGGTGTCATGGGCATGAAGCTTGACCTCTTGCCGCCAAGATTGGAGGATGCGGCGCCGGTCTGGCCGGGAGGAGTCTTGCCATGCTGATCGGTCGGCGACGTCGCCAGGAGCCGCCGGAACTGTTGGTTGTTCATCCTGTTGAGGTGGTCTTGCGCAGTGGATGGAAGCATCGATTACATGTAGAAGGTCGAGCTCGAAATGCTTAGTCATATATCAGATCACTAGCCCACAAAATTTGGCTTTCACATGAAAACCATACCTCGACCCGGCCTTCTCAACGAGCAAGACCAACGACCACATCATTCTGCAAGAATGGGCAAACCCGCACGCAAAGGTGGCAATGGAATCGCCAAATCCGATCCGTACGCCGGAGCGGCGGCACGAAAGGGCAAAATGTCCAACAACATCTTCAAAATGAACACAGACATCGGCCAGCATATCCTCAAGAACCCCGGAGTCGCGCAAGCCATCGTGGACAAGGCCGATCTCAAACAATCCGACATTGTGCTGGAAGTCGGTCCCGGTACTGGCAACCTCACCACTCGCATCCTGGAGAAGGCGAAAAAGGTCATCGCCGTCGAGCAGGACCCTCGCATGGCCGCCGAACTCACCAAACGCTTCCAAGGCACGCCTGCTGCCAAACGACTGGAGCTGAATCTGGGGGATGTGATCAAGATGCCCCAACTACCCTACTTCGACGTCTGCATCTCCAATACGCCATACCAGATCTCCTCGCCACTGACGTTCAAACTCCTCGCCACCTCGCCCTCACCACGGACCTGCGTGCTCATGTTCCAGCGGGAGTTTGCAATGCGTCTGTTTGCAAAGCCTGGCGACAAGCTCTACTCCCGCCTCAGTGTCAACGCGCAGATGTGGGCGAAGGTGGACCACGTCATGAAAGTGGGCAGGAACAACTTCAACCCGCCTCCGCAGGTAGAGTCGAATGTGGTGCGTCTGACGCCCAAGACTCCGCGGCCGCAGATCAGTTACGATGAGTGGGATGGGTTGCTACGGATCGCTTTTGTGAGGAAGAACAGGGTGTTGAGGGCAGCTTTCATTGGCACGAATAGTGTGATGGACATGCTGGAGTCGAACTACCGGACGTTTTGTGCGCAGAATGATGTTCAGCTTGATGATGGGCCTGTTGATGCGGCTGCGGCGGAGAGCATGGAAGTGGATGAGGAGATGGCGGGTGAAGATGAGTGGGAAGGGATCATGGATGTGGATGACGAGGACGATCTGCCCGACTTCTTCAAGGAGGAAGAGGCGCGGAAGGCGGCGAAACGACAGGGCAACCCGAACAGGAAAAGAAAGGGAAAGGTTGCGGAGCTTGTGCGATCGAAGGTGCTGAAGGTGTTGGAGGAGACTGAGCTGATTGAAAAGCGAGCGAGGATGTGTGATGAGGGTGATTTCCTGAAGCTACTCTATGCTTTCAATACGGAGGGCTTGCATTTCGCTTGAGACGAAGCTTCGAGGGAGTGACCTGCAAAACAAAATTGGTTTCCATTCGAAGTATGCAACAGAAAAACGCCGAATTCAATCACGTCATCACATCCATCACCGTCCCATCACCGTTCCAGCAAACATCCATCAGCTCGGGGGTTGGGCGGTCTTCTACTTGGAGGCTGTAAAAGTTAGCAGATGAAGAGACAAAAGAATGGGAGAGACAAACCGTCATCTTTATTCAGGTGTTGAACGTATTCAAACGCAATTTTCTTGATGGCAGATTTGAGAACTGAATGATGAAGAATCGCGTCTCTGATCGCAGATTCAACTGCAGACTTGACTACGGAGTCGACTTCAGCCTTGACCGCGGTGTCGATTTCAGACTTCACCGCAGCATCGACTTGGGATTTGACTGCTGACTCGACTTGGGAGTTCACCGCAGCCTCAACCGCAGGAAGGAGCACACGATCGACTTCGTCGCTGAGCGAGGCTTCGAGATGACATTTAACAGCATCTTTGATGACCTGAGAATAGGTCAGAGAACCATTCAATATCAAAGGCATATGAACCCAATTGATCAGATGGTTGATTAGAACGACACGTACGTGGCACTTGGAAGCGACGTGCCCGCTCTTCTGAAAGCACGAAATTAGCAAATAATCAATATAGGTTCAGGGCAAAACTCACGTGGCAGATTGTGCATTGGTCGCGGCGCTGTACAAGTACGACCATCAGCACATGCACTGGTATCACGTGAATGGTGCGCCAGCGAGGTGAACGTAGACATACGCGCTGCTGCTGCTGCTGCTGCTGCGGCTGACGGTAGGCGACGGGGGCCGACCACCCCCAAGGGGAGGGGCCAAAGGGAGCAGAGACGCCGTGAGAAAGCGATTATTCTAGTAGCACTTCATGTCAGCATGTAAGAGTGAATGCGAGGTCCTTCTCCGAGCTGACGACAGTTCCAGTTGCGCCGAACAGACGAAGAAGCGTTGGTCGACGAAAGCATCGGTCGCAGAGAGGAGGCGCGTCCCGGACTGCGCTACTGTGCTCCTTCTCCAAAGTGACGCAATGATGCAATAACACCATACACGGCAGGCACGCTTTGGCCACACTCGACTGCTTGGATGATGCCACTGAGCCCAGGTCAACAGAGATGGCCATCACCTTGCGCAATACCAAGTGGTATGGCGACTCGAACGGTTCACACGCCGAGAAGCTGTCCCAACGTCTTCGATCATAAAACAACCGCGTCTTGCTGCTGCTGTTCCCTCGTTGCTCAATCGTACAATATGTTGGGAGTTTGATGCATGTGATGCGGAGTCCGCTCAGTCTGCATCAAGAGAGACCATCGTCGGTGAAGCGTCCGCTATGTCGTTGAGGCTATCACGGTATACTAGTCGCGCAAGGCTCTGTTCGCTTACTCCATTGGGCTATGGCGACTGAGTGGTCATGGCCAGGTCGTTCTTGCTATTCTTGAGGTGAGGTCTGGAGAGAGTTTCAGGGTCCACAGCCCGGAAGCCGCAGGGGTCCCCTGTCCAAAACCCCAGATTCGTCCATGACTCAGGCAGTGTAATCCCACGATCTCAAAACATGGGCACTTTCGACCACGATTCTGGAGTTAAGGGGCTGAATAGAGAAGCATAGCAGCGTGCCCAATCACATCAGCAGGTCGCACGGATGTGAAGATGATTACATAACCAGCAGGGGACATCGGCAGACACGACGTGTTCTCGAACTGGATGGGGATTCTCAGAACATCTCGACGTCGTTATTGCTCTATTGATGAACAGGGTTGGAGATAACGATTCGTGATGGGACCTCGAAGCCTTCGGTCTGATTGCTCAGGCTATGCATTGAACCTGCTCTATGCTTTCAATACGGAGGCATTACATCTTGCCTAAGCATGGTGTACATCGCAACCAAACCTGTCCTTTGATCTCCTCTGCTGACTCAGACTCAGCTGGCCATCTCTCCGCCTGCGCCAGCGTGTCGTACGCATTTCGACTCGAGAATGCAGCTCAGTCGTCGTTCTCCGTGAAGTCTAAGATGGCCAGACCGATCACGAGCTGAGCCTCCCAGACGTTGCCCCGAAGCGCTACCTCCAGCCCAGAGGCGGTCTTCCGCAGCAAGGACGACATCACACTGCTCTTGGGGTCCTCCCCCTGTTTCAGCATACGCAGCAGCTGTAGATGGTCCCTGTTGGCCATGTAACCGCCCTGATCAGGTGATGGACGTGCGACCTTGTCGATGAGGTCGGACATGCTGGCGTGCTGTTGAACGAAGCCGAAACGCTCCATCGAACTTAGCAGGGCACCATCCAACGGAATGACAAGAACTTCGAGGAACTTGCGCATACCCGCACCAATCGCTTCCGGATCGCTTTCCTCAACCTTCAAGAAATGGGCAACATTGGGAGTCACGTGCTCCCGATGGTCGACGTCGTTCTTCGCCTTGACGGCTGTCATTGCACCAAGAAACACCTCCCTGATATCCTCGCGCTCTTCATCTCTGCCAAGCTCGTTGTAGCAGGTGTCAAGAAAGAATGCCAAGTTCTGGTAGGGCACTCGGGTTTCAATCTCTTCAGTGACCAGGGCGGCCTTGACGTTCAGCACGACTTGGGTGGTCAGCTTCCGGAAAAGATGCACGTATCCGTCGGGCCTTGCTTCCTGGAGGAGAGTCAGCAACGATTCCATTGAGTGAGTCGCGGCAAAGAAGAATGCTTACCTCCAGCTCTGACGCTATCGCCGCGGCGTTTGCGGTCGACAGTGGCGTTTCGAAATCGTAGAAGGACTGCACTGCCGGTCTCATGTTCGGTGGACCATGTTTGAGGTCTGGTGCTGTGACCTTCATCACATCGATCATGGCGTTGAGGGAATTGGTGTCATCGGCTTCTTCAGCTTGGGAGAATAACAGGACCGGTAGAGAGACGAGGTGATTGAGATATGGGACATGCGGAGGATCCGCCATAATCTGAGCGATTTGAGGGAACAGAGAGGCGCGATTTCGTGAGCCTGGAAACGTTTTGGATACGGAGGTGTTCTTATGGCGACGGACGATGAAGGAGGATTGGTGAGAGAACAAGTGGTCTCAGATGGGTTTGCCAACGTCTCTGGGACACTCACTATCTTCATTGTTCGGTGTCTGAGGTTTGGCCTCTGTTGGCAAGTTTTGTGCATCAAAGAACAAACTGCTTCAGTCGATAGGCCCTCTCTAATACGTGAACAGGTCCTCCTCTCGGTCCTGCCATCAGGGAAAACACGGTAAGACCTTTCTCAGACCAGCGAGTTTTCATACGTCTCTCGGAAACGCGTCTCCCAACAGACAGCCTGGGCCAAAAAGCCGTCCAAATCCACGTGGCTCGGAAAGCTTCGTAGGACAGGGGAGATCCAGGCCTACAATATGGCAGCACCTCACCAAGCGAACGGCATTCCTAGCGCGGCGACAATTCCCACACTGCCGAAAACAGGATATGGCAGCTGGCCCCAAGAAGCAGTAACACCACTACGCCGCCTGTACAAGGAGCTGCATGCTCTGCGCGACGATACCACCCGCATCCCGAAGCAACGCAAGATCGGCCCTGAAGGCACTGGTGGAGGTCATTGATCCGAAGCATCCGGCTTTGCGGAATTTGACGCCAGGGGAGAAGAAGGAGGATGACAGTGGAGGAGGTAAGCTCTCCAGGTACCAGATTGCTGTGATACGATTTGCTGACAGTCCATGAGTAGGGCCGGGGCCTTCCGCCGGAGGAGCGGGCAGAGAGGACGCTTGATGTGTGGCTTGCGACCTGGAACGGTACGAATGGGTTTCAGCATCTGCTTGGAAGGTTCGTCATGAAGCTTGTTGGGCTGGAGCGTTGTTCAGGATCTGGGAGGAGATTAGGATTGCAAACGAGGTCTCGCCGCTGGCAAGCAGAGGGTTGGTAGTACTGGAACTCATTGCATTCGTGATCACAAGCACTGTTCTGGGCGAATTGAGTCTTCATGCCGTTGTGAACAAGTCTAGCATACCCACATCAGCCTGTCCCGTCATTTACCTCATGATCGCTCGACAAATCACTGAGCGGCGAAGCAGCCGACATCGAGTCTTCTTCGTCTGCTGCCTCCCCCTTCACCCCTTTCTTACCCTGCTTCTTCTTCTTCGGAGTCTTGGCCTTCTTCTCATCCTTCTCGCGCTTCTTCTCGATCTGATCAGTCAGCCTCTGCCGCTCCGGCGCGCCTCGCTTCGCTAGAGCCTTTTCTTGAGACGAGAACTCTTCACTCTCCAGGTCCATGCCAACCATGGACTCCAGGAGCTTGATCTCGCGAGCCCAAATGCCCTTATCTTCCTTTTCCTTGCCTTTCTCGTCCTTCAACAGCGCACCGTCTTCATCGCGCGATTCGATTGGAGTCTCCAGTATTAACGGCAGACCCTGGAATCGTGGCTCGTTGACAATGTTGTGAAAGGCTCGCAGACCCAGGAAGCCGGTACCTATGTTGGCGTGCAAGTCCTTGTGCGAGGCGAAAGGTGCCTTGGAGTCGTTGATGTGCATGGCGCGGAGGTATTTGAAGCCGACAGTCGCTTCGAATTTTTTCATCGTCGCTTTGAAGGCTTCCGGCGTGCGAAGATCGTAGCCGGATGCAAAGGCATGGCAGGTGTCCAGACACACTCCCACCCTCTCCTTGTCGTCGATCAAGGCGATGGTGTCGCGGAGGTCTTCGAAGGTACTTCCGAGCACATTGCCACCTGCTGCCATGTTCTCAAGCAACGTGACGACCTTTGAAGTTGCTTTGTGAGCCTTGTTGAGGTTCGAAGCCAGATGTGCGATTGCTACTTGCCGGTCACCATTCGTCGAGTTTGCCACGCCGGGGTGGAAGTTGTAGAGCGTAATACCGAGCTTCTCGCATCGCTGGAGATCATCGAGGAAAGCATCGTAGGCCTGAGTCGTTCGTGCTTTATCGGTGTGGGCGAGGTTGACCAGATACGAGCCATGAGGGACGACATGCTGCGTCTGGTCGTAGGAGTGCGAGCTGCAATTGGAGTGGAACGTCGTACGTGCTTCGTCGGCCAATGGTGGATTGGCCCATTTGCGCTGAGACTTCAGGAACAAGGCAAAGGCATTGGCGCCGATGTGCACACTGTTGACGACGGAGTTATGGACGCCTAGGAGATGTATTAGTGGGTGCTTGTGTTCACAAGACATCGTCCTCGTTTACCTCCAGCACTGCTGACGTGTGCACCAATGTACAGCTTGTGTCCCACCGTTCGAGCAGCGAGCGGCATAGCCTCTGCTTCCTTCTCTTCCTTGGTCTTGCGCTTCCGCTTGACCTTCTTCTCGACCACTCCGCCGTTCTGCTCCTCAGCACCAGCAACGACCTCCTCCTCCTCTTCCTTCTCTTCGACCTTGCGGCGCTTCCCTCTCTTCGTCGGAGCCTTCACGTCTTCATGGACTGGTTCCTCGTTCTTCGTCTCTTTCGTCTTCCGCTTTCGCTTCTTGCCCTTGGACGTCTCATCTGCTCTATTGGTGCCTTTGACCGCAGGCTCCTCCTTCAGCAGGCCCGCGGGCGGCGGCGACAGGTCTGACGCTTCTTCTTCTGCCTTGACCTGTTTCGTGACCGCTTTTCTTCTTGCCATCGTGTCTTGAGGTCGTCGCGTCGATGACACGAAAGCACGCGATCCAATGGATGATGCAGGGACGATGGAGCTAGGCTGGAAAGGGAAGGAGCAGAGCAGACCGGGACACCTCTCCAACTGCAAGATCTCTGTTACCTTTACGGAGTACTCCCAACTACATACAATCATGTCCATTCCCATCGTGTCAAAATACCCTTGAATAGATCACATAACACCGACATGAAACAACTTGAGGACTTCCTCCACTAGAAGTCCACCTTATGCACGACCAACCAGACCGGCGGCAGCACCTGGCCACGCTTCCACGACCAACCCATCGTCTTCAAAGTACCCTTGGCCTTCTCGCTGTCGTAGAGGACAGTACTTCCCTGCATTTCGATCAGTATCACGACCACCGACAGCAACGGGGTCACTCCAACGTACCTTGTCCCAGCCACCGCCTCCTCGCTCGTAAGCCTCCGACACCGCCCACGCATTGCAGCTGTCGCCGGCGGTCCTGAGAACGTTCTCGATGATCATCTTGACGGTGAAGTTGACGCTCACCTTGAACATCCTGAACTTTCTGCCAGAAACTGTGAGCGCCGCGGCCAAAGTCATCGCAGTAACTGTTCACTTACAATCGCTCTTTCCGATACTTCTCCATCCACACAGGAGCGGCCTTGTTGAAGACGTGCACCATGGTATGCTCCTTGTCGAAAAGGTAGTTGGTGTGCTTCTCAAGCTTAGGAAGTCTCGCGACAGGCGCTCTCTCTTGTTTCTTCTTCTCCTTGACCTCAATCTCCTGCTCAGGCCCTCCTTCCTCTGCTGGCTGCTCTTCCTTCTCTTCATCCTCTTTCGATTCTTTCTCCTTCTCAGGCACGGCTGCAGGTGCAAGCGGCGGCGGCGGGGGGCTCACCCTTCCATACTCGGGTGGCGGCGAGTAGAGTCTGGCAATCGGTATGGGGCCTTCGACGTAGACGGCACCTTTGCGAGGTGCGTACTGAGGCACGTACTGCTGCGGTGTATATTGCTGCGGCGCGCACGGCTGATGGTACGGTGGAGGAGCATGCTGAGGGTAAGGCGCGTATCCAGGCGGTGGATGTGGGTTCACGTTTGGTTGCTGGACCCAACCCTGCCACCCAAGGCCGGGCATGTAGAAGAACATGACTAGCAGAGGGGCAGGTCGATGTGGGGGCGAGGGAGGCTGCGGAAGGTCTTGATACCCGCCGTCGGCTCTCCAGTACCTGATCGGCACTACTGGCATAAGATGGGTGGAGTTTTGTTTTCTGACTTGAGCTGGATATTGAGGCAGAGGGATCGACTAATAGCAAGTTGGGTTGAGAAAAGGCTGTGTGGACTTGGAGGGAGCCTGGTGTGAGCAAGCTGGACCCATGATATACGGTAGTGAACGGGCTCAGCGGAAGACTGATCAAGGATGGGACCTCATTCTCTACCGACGTGGGCCGGCACGACGTGGCGACAGTATCACATGCCTATCACGGGGAACTTATGCCGGCGGGTGTATGATATTGTCCTGCTGTCGAGCCGTGGACTAGGACTTGAGAGCGGCAACGGACGGACGACGCTCTGGTCAAGGCTAGCTACGTCCGACATGGATACACCTTGAGAACACAATCTGTGCAACGATCGAAGTAATATAGGAAGCATTGGTACTGTACACGACCCACTCGTCCTGATGAGAGACGCCCAGTGCTGTTTACTTCCGAAATAAAACGAGCGCAGTGGACGAGCATCGCGCTTTGTGGTGTTGGCTGCTTCGTGGCCACAGGTAGGTTGAGAGCCCGGCTGGCAGATGCTGAATCTACTGCCGCACGCTATGTCTCCACCTTTCACGAGGCATCGAGTGAAAAAACGGAAACACGATTTTGCAACCATGAGACGAAGTTGCCTTCACGCCAGAGCCTGATATGGGGGAAGCCACGTGGGTATGCCGCTTCCTTGACGGCAGATTTGTTCTACCTATGGACTATGCAGAGAGCGTGGGTTCATGTTGAAGCAGGACATGAACACGGCGCCGGAGTGGGGGACAGCATGCTTCCGACGAGTGCTCCATTGTCCGTCAACTATCTGCTGACAAATCTCTGCACACCACAGACCCATAAGTTCGTCTATATCGTTGCTCTGTGCCATGTTTTAGTGCTTCTGTCCGCATTCGCTGTGTATACCGTGAGTTCATGGATCCTGCCCTCCGCCGCTTTTCCGCTGAACCCGAAGTCGCTGCGTTGACGGCGTGTCTAGTGATCTTAAGCGTCTCAGTGGTAATGTCAGGCTCGATGGCAGCTGCGTGCCACGTTGTCTGGCGTTCATGGGAACTTGGACGGTGGCGCCGGAGGAGCAAACCCCTGTCGCCGGCACCTCGCAAACGCCAGCATCTTCATCAATCGACAGGCGCTCAGTTGAAGTAAGGTACATTGTGCGTGAGCCCGCTGATCGTGTTGGCTATGCTGGAGGATCCATCCTCTCCGCCCTTGTTTCTCTGGCCGTTGAGCTGTTCGATCATTAGCGATGCACAAAATGCCATTCATCGGCCGAACACTCACCTCCATGGACACCCCGCGATGCAGCATCACCAGCCAGTCAACATAACTGCTCGCCTCTCCATTGCGATCCTCGTACAGTAGTCGCGCAAACTCGAACTCAGCTCCGTCCAGGCCTTGCCGCGCCAACTGGATGGAGAGACCTTTGCTGCCTCGATTCGTCTCCATGCTCAGCAGTATGTTCCGCACTTGAGCGTTCAGATGTGTCTCCAACACCGGCAATGCGCTCAGGTTCGGGTCCAGCTTGGAGAGCTCGTCGAAGCCTTCACCAAAAAGATCTTCCAGTAGGTTCGGCGAGACTTGTGCATGCAGCCAAAGGAGCAGTATCTGCCCATTGTCCACCAAGTAAGCACCTCCCTCTTCGATTTGTGAAAACGAGGCGCGGACGGCATGCGGGACTCTGAGATGGCCATTCTCGTCTGCAAAACCCTCTTCAGGCTCCAGGCCGTGCAATGCGATCATGCGTGGGTAGAGGTATAAGCTGAGCTCGGCAGGACCCATGCCCTTCAGCATCCTGATCTCGTTCACGCGCCTGTCGGGTGGTTCCTTGCCGCCCTTCAACGCTCTCGACTTCATCAGACCAAGGACGTACATGGAGAACTCCTTGAGATTCTCAGGCAGCACAAGTTGGCCAGGCGGATGAGAGCCGGAGAAATGTTTTCGGTAGCCAGCCAGAATGTCGGTCATCTTGTCCTGCAGTTGTTGTCTGATGTCTTTGAGTGGTTTGTCGGCAATCTTGCTGGCGCTTTCTTTGGCGAGGATGCCAATGACCGCATCCTGGTCGACAAGCTTCATGCTTTCTCGTGCAGACTCGTTGACCTGGGCGACGACATTGCTGCAACGAACCCGGCGTTGACCGGACTGTGTTGTGTAAAGCAGTGCGGACTGGAAATAGGCGTCGAACTTGGTATCAAGCTGTGAGAGAAGGATCAGTATTGCTATTGCTGAGAACCAGTGCTTCCTTTATTGCAGCGAAGCGAACCGATTGAAGAGTAGACTTACCTTGCCGTCGTATGTAAAAGTCACGCACATCCCGCTGTCTTCCGTCACACTGGCCAACTCCAAGTCGGCACCAAACGTATGCTGCGTGAAGTTTCCAGAGTAATGCGACACCTGCAGGCCATTTGAGCATCGCACTTTCATCAACGCCGCATAACCTTGCTCCCTCTGTACGGTATGACTGAGTTCCTTCTCGAGCCTCAGCAGATCCCGCGGGTATGTCCAGTTCGGGTAGTAGAATGTCTCTCCGCCAGTCTTCTCGGCGACAAAGCCAATGGTGGAGATGTCGAGATAGCCACCGGATGGCGCTGCGAGGAAGAAATCAACACCTACACCGGCCTTGACCAGATCTGCCTGCATCTTCCGGAAGCCTTGATGCTCGGTCTTGAGAAGTGTCCGGCTGAGCTCATTGTCGTCATTTGACATCTGACTTTTATCTCTCATCTGCAATTTGCCCGGTCCGTACGTGGGCAGACTGCCGAGACTGCACACGATCTTGCCACCGCTTACTTCCAGCGCTGCGAGGGCAGCCTGTAGTGACGGAAGTAATGCGGGCTCAGCGTGCTTGATGTTGAAGAACATCTGCGGGATTGAGCCAAGCAGTTTGGTGATGTTCGCCTTTGATTCTGCTGCGTCGACGAACAGGTACTCTGGTGAAATCGTGGTGAAGGGCTCTTCCAGATCCGACATCACCAGCTGCTGTGGCCCTGACTGCGATGGCGCGACATTGTAGAAATGTACTTCGCGGTCAAACGTCGCAAATCCGACTTTGGCTCCTGCAGGCACTTTGCTTGGTTTTGTAGAGGCCTCGCCTTCCTCGTCGCCGTTTGCCTGCTCCTCACTTGACTCGTTACCATATAGTGCAGCGAGGATACCATCGCACATGCCTTGCACAAAGCCCCTGTTGCACGCCTCTGCACTCACATCAATCAGGAACAAGTACCGCATGCCGACTGGCTCCTTCGACCAGTACTCTTTGGGTACGAGGTATTCACATGTTCCCAGCAGGAGCTCAGGACGCTGTGCACGATCGACCCGCATACCAGATGGATCTGTAGGTGCAAAGTATTCGGCCGGAACCTCGTTTGGATGTCCGCAAAGGTTGCAGGTCATGCGGTTGCCACCGTTTGAGAAGATCATAAAAGGGTTGATGTAGGCTCGACATCTTCGGCATCGTGGTGGACCTGCCTCCCCGAAATCGAGCACCGGTATGGCTTGCTCTCCTTCCGCAGGCCTTGCCAGAGGTTGCATCACCAGACCAAGTGGGAGAGAGGTAGCGTTTAATTGTTCGTGCGAAGCGGGTATGCAGTTCATTGTTAATCGTGCATGTTTCGGAGAAGCGTTGCCTTGATCGTAGGCGATGAACGGAGTCGTGGCAGGCGGAGGTAGTCGTTGTTCCATCGTCGGGTACATGTTGCTCTTGTAGTAGTCCGCCGGTAGGTCTCGACTCAGTGGTACACTAGGTATCTGGTCCGGGTTCACCTTGCCTTGGCCTCCTCCCATCCCTCCCTGCTGTGGGCCACCCACCGCACTCATTGATATTGGAGTACCCATCGGCTGCATCGGCTGACCGAGCCCGGGCGTACCGGGTTGGCTCTGCCATGGCTGAGATGCCTGCTGCTGCCATGGTGCTGCCCCGGTCACTGCTTGTCCTGGACTTGTGCCAGGCTGTGGTTGGCCTGAAACTCCCCCGTTCAAGAATTGCCCACCCCCAGTCGCCGCCGGCTGCTCAAGCTGATGGTATGCATGTCGGTTCTTCTTCTTCCTCGTCTGCTGAGGCGCGGCCCCATCCAAGCTCATCTGGCCCATCTGCTGGGACAAATCACCCTGCTGCTGCTGGCCATATTGGCCGCCATACTGGCCGCCATATTGCTCGTACCCCTGCTGCATCTGCTACCACGAATCGAAATGCGCGCGGTGCGAAGTGTGCGTCGTCTAGCGTGGTGTTCTTCAGTCGTAAGTTGCGGGTGGAACTACCACGACTCTCCAATGTGGTTGGAAGGAGCGTCTTGGGTCGCAAAGCACACAAGCTGGACAGGCGAATACGTCTCGAGAAGGCTAGATAGAACTATGTGACTTCGTCTCGCCAGGAGAATGTTGGCGCTTGGTCGCAACGACCTTTTGAGATGGAGGTTGAACTTTTGCGGTGGACCTGGACGCGAATTGCATCTCTAGCTTTGAACAACTTTCCTCTCCACCGAGCGCTTCGCTTGCTCACCTTGGGATCGTTTCGTCTTGGGATACCGCTGGCTACGGGAGTGGACGACCGCAAGAACACATATGTGGTGTGATCGCGAGCCGTCTGGCATTGACAAGCGTGGCCAACGCAGAGTGATGGTGAAAGCGGCAACATCCTCATCAGGGCTCTATCAGCTGGAGAACCAGACAATGAGACATTATCAACACAACAGCACCAGGGATCAACGCACCTCAACGGTCAGGTAGGGAAATCCTAGGCTGGCTCCTCGGGGAAAAAGGTTCTTCGCAGCTGGACCATGGCCTTACCCATGCCCATTTCCATCCTCGAGGCGATAGGGATCGTCCAGAAAGGCGTGGCTCTCTACAAGACCATCCGTAAGAAGCCCGAAGAGATCGCAGCGGTTGGTAGACGCATGCAAGACCTTGAGTTCTACTTGTCCGAGCTTCAGGCACTGGTAGATGATAAGCAAAGGAATCCTCTGCCCAACCTCCGTCCAGAGCAGACCCAACGAATTGGCACAGTCATCAGCGACATTCGAGTTGATGCAGGCGACGTGTATGAGATTCTCTGCATATGGGACTCTGCTGGCAGTTTCCAAAAAGTCCTCTTCACCGTTGGCAGAAACCCGAGGCGACTGGATGAGTTGAATAGCAGTCTCGAGCAGCGCAGGCAGGATCTTCGGGATATTCTGCAGCTCATGGGACTCTTCGCCCTCAAGCCTCCATCGGAGACACGTCCAACTTCACCGGCTGCCCCTACGAGAGCGGACTACGGCGTGATATTCGTGGATCCCTTCAACCTGGGCAGGAGCAAGGTCGCCGAGGGCTACATGAAGCTGATTCGTGAGTGGACTGTTCGCACGGGCGGTGCTTTCAAAGTCAAGTTCGCCCACTCGGCCGGCATGCTTGTGCGAGACAGAAGCGACTGCGTTGATTTTATCGAAAGCCTTCCGGGGCGGATGGTGGTCAACGGTGTCGCGAAAGAGGCAAATGCAATGGCCATGGCTTCTCTGTTTGACAACAAGTACTTTGATTATACATTCAAGCCAGGTATCCGGGCTTCCATGATGAAGGTATGTCAAGCATGTTCTCATAGAGAGCGCATCGCACTGATGCCCAATCTCAGTCTCGCGCCCGCGGCATCACGCAGAACATCTTCAAGACGTACGACTACATTTTGGTGTTCACTGGCAGAGAGTACGAGCGCCTGCTGTTGCTTAAGAAGGGTCTTCTCCAAGCCCATGGACCAAGCATCGCTCCAGCCAGCAAAGGCAGGATCATTCATCTGGGAGCATACTTGAATAAGAAGGGAAAGCCCAACGACATAGCTGACGCCCGGAAAGACGAAAATGAGGATGTCAGCCGTGCCAACTGGAACACCACCACCAGCCAGATCAAGGTAAGTACCTCTACGGTAGGAAGCCAGCAGCGTCGGTGCTAAGTACCTTTTAGCTAGCTGTGAAGGCATTTCTCAAGAACGAGCTCGGTTGGCAGCAACCCGAGAGAGGCGCTGTGCCGGCGTACTGAGTGTTTCCACCTCGGAGAATACGATTCGAAGCAGGCTCGAGCCAGGCTCGTCCGCGTACTGGAGATACGTTTGACGACAGCCACTACTGACAATCTACTTCTAAGCCGGTTTGAACTTCCACCACGTACAGAGCGAAATCTCATGCCTCGACCGGATGTCGATTTTGAAGTCATCGGGAATAGATCGAATCTCGATGCGTTCTCACCATGGACACGGTCTGCGGTGGTTCCGTTATCTTCAGTCTGCATCGTGTTGTCGACTTTGTCGTTGTCGGAAGGGACTCACCATCGCTCTCCAGGTGTCAGGATGCAGGGATCTACCACAGCTGACCTGCTTCACATCCTGGTCCATCACAAAAATCCTGCTTTGAGCGATTGCATCACGTTGATGTCAATTAAAGAAGTCATCAAGTCGACCTTTTGAAGGCGAAGTAGGGATCGTACCTGAGTCTCACGAAGTTCAAAACCGAGAACATCGCCAACTATTGTACGCTGGGCAAATCGACCATCACGTGGAAGTCACAGCAGCGAAGCACACTATCCAATGTCAATGATGGCAACCAGCGACAACGACTTCTTTCCAATCCGGATATGCACCAGCTGCAACAATGTCCTCATCTTCACCTACACCTGCCATTCCAGAAAGCCTCTCGATCCCTCGTTCCAGCGGAAGTTGTCGGGCGAGGGATGGCACTTCATCTGTCGTGCCTGTCGATCGATCCAAATCCTGCGCATCAACGAGTTGGTATGCTCGCGGGAACAGGTGCTAAGACTTTTGAACACCCGGCCAAGTATGCTGGACAAGGTCCTACCTGAGCACCCTCGGCCCCGACAATTTGGGAAAGCTGGCAGGATCGATGTCGATGATCTTGTGCCATTGATGAACAGGCTGGGGTGAGAATTGTCAGCTCCGTTCATCTCAGCGAAGAGGAAGGCAGACCTTTCAAGCACCCGTGGATGTTATACGGTGCTGAGAGCACATACGCAACCCGAGAGTCCGCATCGAACCACATGGCATCCTGTCGCAGTCGCTACACCCTCCAGACGAACACAGGAAACCATGCCAATTCAGAATCGGCAGTGTTCCTTGTCAGAAAATGATGGCATTGAGATTGCGTCTTGACCGGGTGATCAAGGGTTAAGACGTCTTCTTCTCGGGAAGACGCTGTTGGCCTCTCCTCCTTGGTCCCGGACTTGTTTTTGCTCGTCATGAATCCATGCATTCCATTGGCCGCCTCGGGAGCAACTTCATTGGCGTCGAGGGGGACAGTCTCGCTATTCGAGTGTGACTGCTCAAGGTTGTGGTTGTAAATATGGGCTGGCAACTAACAAAGGACCACATGTACATTAAGAAAATCCATCACTTCATACCTGTTCTGCCCTGCTTCCCATCAGCCGAGGCAGAGCACGATCTCGCCACCTTGGTGAACATGTCCAATATCGGACTACTTCTTATGTACTTCAAGATCCTTATTCCTTCTGCCTCTTCTCACAAAATGACACACTTTGAGATTTCCATCGTATCTGACACTGTCTGCCCATGGTGTTACATCGGGCTGCGAAACCTACAAGCCGCCATTGCCCAGCGTACCGCGAAGAGCCCTACCGACACTTTCTCGTTGACATGGGACCCCTTTCAACTCAATCCGCAGGCTCCCCGAGGGCAGACGGTGGACAAGAGAGCAAGCTACGAAAAGAAGCTGGGCGTAGATGGCGCGCGAACCGTCTTTGAACGCTTGACCTCCGCTGGCGAGACGGCAGGCATTCAGTTCAGCTTCGATGGACGAACGGGCAATACGCTCGATAGTCACCGTCTTCTTGAGCTTGCTCGCAAGATATCAGATGTGTCGGAAGCAACTTCTGGACAAGCTACACACTCCCAGGCAGACCTGCAGACTCGCCTGGCCGAAGAGCTCTTTGCCGACTACTTCGAGAGGGAACGGGACATTACTGATCACGAGGTCCTCAAGAAAGCTGCGCTGCGAGCTGGACTGGATGAGAGGGGGATAGACATCTTAGCTTTCCTGGCGAGCGATGATCTGGTCGACCTTGTGCAGCGTGAAGCATCGGCTCAACGAGAGGAAGGCATCAATGGCGTCCCTCACTTCACCATCAACGATGAGTATGCCGTCGAAGGTGCTCAAGAGCCCATAGCATTCTTGCATCTGTTCGAGAGGTTGGCGAGAAAACGACGAGCAGTGCTTTGAGCAGTTTGACGTGAAAGAGCCTTCTGTTGGCGAACCACTCTCGAGCATCCCGCGGTCAAGGTCTTCATTTCATTCAACAACAGCACAAAATCGATTGAGGCTCGACTCTGCAGGCGGAATTTGGAAGAGATTGCAAGTAGTGAGCTGCGACTCTTACCCTCATGCGGCGAGGGCGGAGCGTGTATTTGCTCCCAATGTAGCAGCAACTTCCCCGCTTTGCCATTCGCAGGGATATGAGTGGGTGTTGCTCCTACTTCAACAGCTCTCAACTTATCTTCGGACGCACGCAAACCCCGCTTGCTCGTTCTCTTAAAGTACCCAAGTACCTTTCGAAACGCAGCTCATAAAACGTCCAGTCCACTGCAAACTTCGCCAAAACAACCACACTCTACGGACAAACGATCTACGACATCCACCATGAGCTACCAACTCCACCCACTTATCGACAATGGCATCAGCAAGGGCGACTCGAACAAGTCTGGAGGCAAGCTCTACTGCAAATGCTCGGGCTCCGGCCATGTCGAGGTAACCCTCGGTAGTAATGTCGCATTCAACCACGCCTGCGGATGCTCCAAGTGCTGGAAGCCGGACAACGCACTCTTCAGCGTCGTCGGCGTTGTGCCAGTCGACAAAGTCTCCGTTACCGCGAACGAGAACAAGCTCCAGGTCGTCGACAAGTCGGCCGTCATCCTGCGTCATGCCTGCAAGGACTGCGGCGTCCACATGTACGGCCGTATTGAGCAGGACCATCCGTTCAAGGGACTGGACTTTGTCCATGCTGAGTTGGGCGATGAGAAAGGATGGCAGGAGCCGCAATTTGCTGCTTTCGTGAGCAGCATCATAGAGACTGGGGTTGACCCGGAGAAGTGAGATGAGCTCGTCCTGACAGGCGGAAAGACTGAAGCTGACGATGTTTCTGTAGGATGGACGATGTTAGGTCGAAGCTGCAGGGTGCTGGTCTGACAACCTATGACTGCTTGAGCCCGGCATTGATGGATATGATCGCCACTGCGGCTGCGAAGAAGGCTGGAACGTTCAAGGCGAAGTAAGTCGACGCCAATCGTGCCTTAAAGTCTGGCTGCTGACGATTTTCCAGGATGTAAGGTAGCTGGTCTGAGATCAAAGCACATGGTAATGAAGTTGCTGGCGCAGCCAGAAAAGCAAATCGCTTGAAGCGCTCGCTGTCTATTGCATGTCAATTACTTGATGAATCAGTGGCATTAGCTGAGGGTATGAAGATGCAGCTCCCTCACGTTCCAACCTCCTAGGTTATTCGGTTGCTTCGATCGAGAAGGTCTGTAGTGCTACTCCGTGGTTTAGAGCCTCTTCTATGCTTTGGTTGCCTCCTCAGCCGGCGCATCCGCAAGTCCCATGCCCTTCCAGCAAATCTCCAGGCCTAAATCATCATAGAACATGCGCTCTCGCAGCTCATCACCTTTTGTAACGCCTGCTTCCTCCCAGTATCCGACCGCAGTGTCTCCGAGAGCAATAGCAATCGCAGGCGGGAATACAGGGAGTTTGGTGTATTCAGGCGGCCCAGCCAGATCGAGACGATGCAACATATGCTGGTAGGTGTTGAGTGCTGCAACATGGCCCATGTACATAGCGCCACCACATCTCTTAATGGTGGGTGTGCCTGTGGGCGGCCATGCGGCGATGTCGCCAACGGCAAGATGTGTGCCAGATGGAACGTCAACGCCGGCAAAGTGCAGACTCGAGGACACTTCGACCAGGCCCTCTGCGTCCATCGTTGCGGTGGGCAAGAAACTGCTGGTTGGGGTCGGCTTGCTAACTGCGCTGATGACATGGCTGGCATACATCGAGGTACCGTCGGACAACCGCAGGATCTTGTTCGCCGAGCCAGGTTGAGTGTCATCTGATACCTCAACAACTCTCTTCCCAAGAGTCACTTCCACACCACCTCTACATAGCAGCCGAAGTGCCTCTTCCGCGAACTCGTCTGGCAGTGGTTCGGCGGAGAGCAGGCGATCTCTCGAGTGCACAAGCGTAATCTTGATGCCAGGGTAGACCATCTTGGCTTCAGCTGCCATTTCTATGCCGACGGCACCTATTGCAGTGTCAGTACCGGAAGGCGAGTTCCGAGCCACTGCTCACTCACCACCTCCTATGACAACGATGCCGTGTTCAGCAGCCTTGACGCTGTCAATGTGGCCCCGAGCCTCGGCGAGGTACGACTCCCGGTCCAGAGCTTGCGGCACGGTAGGCCATGTTCGGCGGTAGCCCGTTGCGCAGATGAGGTAGTCGTAGGAATGCTTCTCTTGGCCTACAGCTCCATGTGGCTGAATGTACGCTGTCGATGTCTCGCAGTCAATGGCCTTGACGGAACCATGCAGGAAATGCAGCTTTGGATGGCGGGCGGCCTTCAGGTCGGAGAACTTAGTCCATGCCCTTGCCGTGTAGTCTTCTTCGATCAAAGCGAGCGGTGCGCCTATTAGATGGACTTGAGGACATCAATTGTCGCTTCATTGGTAGCGGAGTGTATCAACTCACAGAAGCCATCCCTCTCGCCCACGATTGTAACGTCGACTGGCACGTGGAATGTTGATGGATGTTCTAGATAATCCGTTGGTGACTTGCCTTCCGATAGCTTCACCATGTCCAAGGCTGCGGTCAGACCGGCATAGGAGCCGCCAAGAACCAGCACCTTGAACGGCGTTTGAGGCGGCGGGCTTTTCTCGTCGACGGTCATGGTGGACGAGTGAAGAGATTAGAGAAGTTGAGGAGGATTTAGATGAACAATATCGTAAGACTGCGAAAAGTAAGTGCAAGCAGGATCAGCTTGGCTCCTCGCCCGGTCACGGCGGCCAAGGCACAGTGGAGTCAAACAGCGCCATCACCGTGGATTCAGGCACGGGTATGAGGGCTGAAGAACAGGTCTGACTTGTCTATATAGAGATTAGACGACCAACACACAACCAAGGGGTGGCATGGCCCTGGAGGCTTGGACAGCGCTGTTGATGGCTACTCTGTGGCAACAGGACCCGGGTCAACTCCCCAGCGGCATGGCCCTGACTCGGGCGGAGGGAATCGCATAGGACCTCTGCGTCGGCGTCAGTTTGTAAGATGTCATTTGAGAGGAACACCTCGCTACATGTAAGAGACGAAGTTGGAGATGAAGTTGACTTTATTGCGTTATCAATCTAAATCTGATAATTCTCAGCACGTGATCGTCGGCTTCAGATGCGAAGGTGATGCTGAACGTCCCCAAGGTCCCTTCCTCTCTATGCTTGCTTGCAACAGGTTGACGTCAAGGTCACCTCAAAGGGCCGCAGAGCTATCTAAGATGGCGTATTCACGGACGACGAGTCTGGTCGCTCGCAATGAAGAGACTATACAGCGCCATGGTTCAGAACGTGCCGTTGATGATCAAGGAGGCCGCCCAACGCCTGCCTGAGATCGAGAGCAAAGACTTCGGCTCCTTCTTCGACTCCTTCGGCCAGTCCAAGGTCGTGCTCATCGGCGATGCGAGCCACGGCACCTCCGAGTTCTATCGTGCCCGCGCCGCCATCACCAGATGTCTGATCGAAGAACATGGCTTCAACATCGTTGCCGTCGAAGGGGACTGGCCGGATGCCAAAGTGGTCGACCGCTACGTGCGGCACAACCCGGCCAAACATGCAGAGACCAACACAAAGGAGATGGATGTCTTCAATCACTTCCCACGCTGGATGTGGCGGAACACCGAGACGTCGAGCTTCGTCAATTGGCTCCGCAAGCACAATGCCTCCCAGCCCGTGGATCAGCGGACCATGTTCGCCGGTCTGGATCTATACAGCATGGGAAAGTCAATGCGCGCCGTGCTCGAATACCTCGATCGCGTGGACCCGGAGACAGCCAAGCTTGCGCGCAGCAGATATTCCTGCCTCGAGCCGTGGGCAGACGATCCGGCTGCGTACGGCAGACAAGCCTGGCTCAAGCGTGCTGCTCCCTGCGAGAAAGGGGTAGTGGCAATGCTCAAGGACCTGCTCGCGAAGCGCCTTGAACTCACGAAGCACGACGGCGAAGACTTCTTCAACGCGGAGATGAACGCACGTCTGATCAAGGACGCCGAGGGCTACTACCGCAGCATGTACTACGGCCGAGACGACTCCTGGAACCGGCGAGACACCCACTTCTTCGACACCCTCGTGCGACTGCTTCAACATCGAAAGGGGGGAAAGGCCGTGGTTTGGGCGCACAACTCGCACGTTGGCGACGCAAGAGCTACGGGCAAGAGTTCACGGGATGAGCTGAATGTCGGACAACTATGCAAGGAGCAGTGGGGTTCGAGCTGCTCCATCATCGGTTGCGGCAGTCATACTGGCACAGTGGCAGCAGCGGACGAGTGGGACGGTCCGATGGAGGTCATGGATGTGAATCCATCAAGGGAGGACTCATACGAGCGGCTCATGCACGACACGCGTGTTCCAAGCTTCGTGCTTGACCTTCGAGAAGGGCACTTGAATCCGACACTCAGACAGGCTCTGCTTCAGCCCAGGCTTGAGAGGTTCATTGGTGTCATCTACCGTCCTCTGACGGAACGCATCAGCCATTACACCAAGGCGAATCTGCCCGAGCAGCTGGATGCTTACGTTTGGTTCGATGAGAGCCGTGCGGTCAAGGCATTCGAGACGGCTCAACCTGACGAGCCGGTGAGTGCTGGAGAGACCTATCCGTTTGGTCTCTGAATCCCCATCACTAGAATGGTTGTTCGAGGCCGGCACGGGAGTGGCTTCGCCTCTCGCGCTAAACTGGAGAGCCGCTGCTCAAAGGCAGAGAAGTAAGCAGCTTGTGCCCTAGCAGCATTTTCCCAAATGATCATTGGCAATGTACATCGTAGCTGCTGCGTCGGCTCCTGTAAAGGGCAGTTGCAGTGGTCGAGAAGGCGGCAATGGACGGAGAATCTCTACCGCTCTTTGCATTCAATGACTGCATGCGCTACTGCTCGCAAGCTTACTGCGCACCCAGAACCTGATAGAGCCGAAGCTTGTACATGTAAGCGATGTTTATCACTTCTTCTTTCACTTCCTGTCAGCAATCTGCTAGGCTATCGCAGTCGATAAGCGGGAATGTGGCGGTCTTTCTTGAACCCGATAGGTCTCTTCTCTTCGAGCAGTCCATATCGCATCCTGGCAGCACATTGCCTGCGTACAGACGCTTGTCATCCATTGACTATCGGGACGAGAATGCGGGAGCCATCAGAGTGTGGCCACCATGAGGAGTCGTGGGCCGAAGTACAAGAGTAAAGGGCGCTGCCCGTCTTGTGGCTTGCGAGCGGCACTCAGTGGTAGCTACTATGACGGGCATTAACTCCTCCACCAGCGTATCCCAGGGTGGAAGAGCGGCAGCCATCGCAATCTCTACATCAATAGAAGTTGACAGCGACTGCCATGAAAGCCCGAGCGTCCCAAACTCACCATCTGATGAATACACTTCGGACGGCAGAGACCCATCCGTACACACCGCACACGCCACAACCCCAATCACCATGGACGAGAAGATGATAGCATCGCATCACCTCCACATTGTGGAGCTGCCTCCATCTTCGGAATCTTGCGAGGAGATCAAGAAGCCGTTGAGTCGGCCATGGAGACCCTCCGTTTTCCGGATAGGACCACTCATTGGCCTTGTTGCCCTGCTGTTCGCGTTCCTGCAGGTTTTTGCGACATGCAGTATCCTCTTGGCCTCCGACGGCGATATGGTCAAGAACTGGCGCTACCAGCCGTCGGTGTATCTGGCCACTCTGACAGCCATTTCGAACAAGTGTCTGCAATTCGCAACGATACAAGGGACTGTGGTCACGTTCTGGTTGAAAGCGATCAAAGGCACGACGCTTGGACAGCTGCACCGAGATTGGGTACAGGACACACTTCCTGGATGTTGTTGACAGCGTGAACATCTGCTGACAATCGCTAGGGCTTTGGTCTGTATACCTACAAGGCACTCACCGCGGGTCGCCATTTCAATCTCCTCGCCTTTGCATGTATCGCAGCAACTTTTGTCGTTATGGATGGCCCTCTTCTCCAGCGAGCATCAACAGTGCACCTCAGTACAGTCGACCACACATTCAATTTGAGTGTCTCCATCACGCCGGAGATTCCCGCATATTGGACCGGCACAGTCGGGTTCTACCTGATGCCCCTTGTCGAAAGCTTGCAGTTCCAGAACCATTTTCTGCCGGTGTACTACGAATTTGGCGCCGGTGCACCAATGCGCGGAGCGATCGTAGGGTGTCCATCACAGTCGACTTGTCGGGCACTCGTCCGTGGGCCTGCCCTTGCTGTGGATAACTGTACGTCTGTCTCAGAGCCTAGGGATTTCAAGAGCCTCATGTCCAAGACACAGGCGAAAGACTTTGCACAAGGATGCATGTGGTGGGTCAATTTCGGTCCATTCTCCAGGTCAGCTGCTAATGATTTGTCTTCTCTACCAGGCCTGAGGAAGATCAAGTGGTTTTCAAACAAAAGTTCTCCATCTTCAACGGAACCACTGAGTCTTTCTTGTACGAGACCACAATCAGCGATGAAGATGTGGCCAGGAGTTGCGTGGGCCACGTCAATACCACCAGCTGCTACATGGTCTCCGCTGTAGGTGAATACGAAGTTGAGATCACCGACGGCGTCGTCACATTCGCGGAACCCCCGAGCTACCCTCGGATCGTCGCCAGGGCAAACAACACTGCGCTGACCGACAAGACAGTCGCAGACTTCCAGCTGGCAATCAACCATGTGGATAATGCGATCAATACAACCTTGGGAGGAATCGCTGAAGGTGCTGGCCTCGCATATTACACGAACGAGGGCCTGGTGACGATTCCTGGAGAGAACCGAGAGGTGCCTTCTCGGCCGGGACTGTCCCCTAATCCGAGTCTTTACACGTTCCAGCACATCACAAACTATGCGGAGATGTTTTCTTCTGATGCTGATTGCGCGCCCGCTTGGCGAGATCCTCGGGATGGCATCATGGCAAAGCTGGTACGTTGGGACGCCCAACCAAGCTTGGTCTCAAGTGGTGCTTACCTGCTCACATTTCACTAGAACGAGCTTATGTTTCGCACCGGAGTGTACGTGGCACAGCACTACGACGACGATTACCTGCGACCGCTCCTCGATGAGGGGCTGGAGAGCAACTCCACCGTGCCAGGATCGCTCATAAGTCCAGTCGAAGTTTTCCATTCCGACATGAGCTACTTCGCTGGCGCGGCGGCTGTCCAGCTACTTGCTATTCTGGCAATACTGGTCACGTTCTACGGCTGGTGGGATCTCGGCCGCTCTGCGACGTTGAGTCCTCTGGAGATTGCAAAGGCTTTTGATGCGCCGATGCTCGTCGACGTGTTGGGCAACAGCTCTGGCAACGAGATCGCAAAGGTGGAAGGCTGTCGGAAGGTCAAATACGGGGCCATCTCGAATGGAGCTTCTGAAGCTGGATCCTTTGAACCTTCCGAGAGGCAGAGACTTGGTATTGCAGACATGGAGGATGTGTCAAAACCGAACGGTCACCGAACCACGCTGCGAGAGCACTTCTGTTCGTTCAATTCAACGATCGCGCGGAGGCGGAAGTCTGTGAAGCGAGAGCGGTGAGACTGGCGCGCATCACAGAACCGGATCTAGTAAGGCATGTTCATTTGAAAGCGGAAGATTGTTGGAGATAATGTCCTGGAAGCCAGCCGAAGACTGCTCTGGCCGAGACAGTCTTGTAAATTCATGGGTATTCGCAAGCACGATGTATTCCTTTCTACCATGTAACCTGTGCTCTCCTGTCGCAGTCCATCAAAGTAAATCCCTTTCCTCCAATTCGCTCTGCAGCTGTGACGCTGCACCCACTCCTGCGAAGTTGCCCGCTTGCATAGCAGCAAGGACACTCTTGAACGGCGTAGCTGAATCTCCAACAGCGAAACAGCCAGGATTGTTGGTTGCGTTGAATGGCGGCTGTACTTGGATCTCGCCACCAGAGGTTGTCTCCAGACCCAGTTGGCGGATAAGATGTTCGGCATGCTGCTCGACTTTCGGATGGCTCGCGATGAATCCTTCGACAACGGAAGATCCATCCTCGAATGTCACTTCGACTTGGGGACCGCGGTCCACCAGTGAGAGTGAAGCGACCGGCCGTGTGTCGATCGAGATCTTGGAGCTGTGGATGCGATTTCTTAGAGGCTCGACCATTTCTGCTGATCGGTGCGTATAAATGGTGACTTTCTTTGCGAGACGTTTGGCCATTTTCGTTACGTGCATGACCATGTCTGGTGTTGTGTTCTGGCCTCCAGCTAGAACGCCGACTGAATCTGCACCACGCTCTTCGTAGCCGTGGCAGTAGAGGCAGTGGAAGACGCCTTTGCCCCAGCACTCCGCGTACCCCGGGACTTCATCTTCCAGTCTGTCCCTCACACCAGTCGCTAATATGAGCTTGCGGCCGTGGTAGTATTTACCGCGGTTGTCTACTGCTTCGAAGACGCCATCTTCTCGCTTCGAGAGTGTGTTGATGGAGGCTGCTATGTGCTCGATGCTGTGATACCGCTGCTTCAAGTCTTGCAGCACTTTGCCACGAAAGTCGGCGGGGCTTGCATGGTCGAATCCTGGAACGTTGTGCATGTGCTGTACGCCTGCGTTGCGGTAGGCTTTGGAATCCAGGATGATGGCTGTGTGAGCGTGTCGTGCTAGAGCGACCGCCGCTGACAGACCTGCAGGTCCGCCGCCGATGATGAGGGTATCCACAACTGCTGTTGCCATGTCTAAGGTGGTTGAGGTACTGTCGAATGCTAGATTTGATGTGAATGATCTGAGCCCTGCCTTGAAGTCTGGAGATGTATGTACACGACGTGCTTGTTCTTGTTGCCTTGCCTGGGCAGTGGACGACTAGAATATATATACCCCAAGTCTTGAGAAGTCGCCGACATGCTCGATGGAAGAATCCTTCCGAGATCGATCCGTGCGGCTCTACCAAAGCATTTTTTCGGTCATACAACACGCTGGCATCGTCCTGCATCTGGCCCCAGAGGACTATGATCGGGATGCCAGCCAGTATGGCCGATATGGGCCAAAGGCAGAGACGAGCCGCGGTCAGGCGCTTACGTTCTACCTCATTTAATGAGTGTTCACGTTCTTGCTCGAAATAATGCTTGATAGATCTCACGCATCACCGTCGCGGTTGAGATGTTGCAGTACTGTGCATGATAATGTCTTGTCGGAGCATCGATTGTCGTAGTGGTTGTTGTGATGAGAAGCAGAGTTGGCCTCGTAGGCTTGGAAGAAAATGTCTCCGAGCCTCACGCTCGCCGGATCCTTCCCACTAGAGAGGGGATTCCCAAAGCCAACGGCATCTTTGTCCAGGAATATTGTCATCCAGCCGGCCATACCGTCGACGAGTCAAGGGATTGACTCACTGCAGCAAGAGCGGGACAGGGGCCACTGGACTTCAATCACCTCCCTGATCCATCGCAACCATGAAAGAATCTTCCGATGGTCGAGAGCTATCCCATGCGGACTACTGGGACGACCGCTACGCCAATGCCCATGGCCACGAATGGTTCAAGACGTTCGCCGCATTAAGACCTTTCTTCGAGCGACAGCTGATTTCACAGCGTCCACAAGACTCACGGATTCTTCACCTGGGATCGGGAGACAGCACGATACCCGTTGACCTCGCCCGACTCGGCTTCCGCAACCAGCTGTGCGTGGACTTTTCCAAGGTCGTGGTGGACATGATGAATACAGCCGAAGCCAGACAGCTGAGCATTGAGTGGCGGCAGGGAGATGTGCGAGACCTTGTCGATCTGTCGGATGGATGCATCGATGTGGCGTTCGACAAAGGCACGCTGGACGCCATGATCAACGGCAGTCCCTGGAGTCCTCCCGATGACGTGCTGGAGAACACTCGAAAGTATATGGATGAGGTGCTAAGGGTTCTCAAGGACGATGGTGTATTCTTGTATATCACGTTTCGGCAGCCGCACTTTGTGAAACCTTTGCTTAATTACGGTGACCAGTGGGAACTGGAGATGGAGGTGCTGCAGGACGACCCGAATGCTTTCGATTACCATGCCTTCATCCTGCGGAAGACGGCGAGAAAGGATTGAAATGGGATTTTCTGCTGTTCTTTGGAGCTTCCAGCAGGCACCTTCGGGCTCTTGACCCACAGACATCGTTGTATACATCATCGATACTGGCATATATACGGCACATGGACAATGTCACGCCCTTTCCCAGGCTCTCCACCACAGCCCAACATTGGCCGCCACCAGCAGATCTAGCATTTTGACGCCTTCCGGCTGAACAATCAGCTTACCCAACTTCGCTTGCTTACCACCGAATCCACCACCAGCCCTCTCTTGACCGAGCGAGAGATCGATCCTGCCATCCTCAGTGATCATGATTGAGGAGCCGCCGTCGAAATCGTCATCATCACCATCATCCGAAGATCGCAAATGTCGATGACGGTGAAAGTAAGATGAAGGCTTACTCGCCAGAGGTGCCGGTGCGTCGCGTGAGGAAGCGGGCAAATTAAATCGCAGCTCGCTCACTTCAACAACCGCGTTGCCAATCCGGTGCCGGCACTTCAGGCTCTTGCCTGTGGCCGTTGTCACGAACTCACAGCTGCCGTCCCATGGTGTGGTAAAGCTGTAACCTTTGCTCCTCCGATCACCAACGGCACTGAAATCTACGCTGTGGCGCTCTTCCCGCATCGTGGGACGGATCGAGGAGTCCTCAGACGCGTTACTGAAGGACGCGAACTTCCGGTGATTCGAGGTGTAGCTGTGCTCTGCGAAGCGAGATCCGGGCATGAAAAGTCTGCGACGGAAAGTGCCCTCTGGTGCCGGCTCGGACGCGCTGTCTGAGGATGCAGACGATGAGATGCTGGTCCGAGATTGAGTGGCTGAGTTGTTGGAGACGAAATGTGAGTAGCCCGGGTTGGTAATGTCGAGGAACAATGGTGTGCCGCCTTTCTTCGTTCGCCTCTTCCCGGCAGGAACCAGGAACGTTGATGAGCTGACCTCAAGGACAGGCGGATCGTAGATTGATGCCACATTCCACTGCTCACTGGAGCCGGGGCTGCGTCGGATGAGGGTGAGCGAGCCCGGCTCTTGGCGGGATTCAAGCTTCAATTGCTTGATTGTTTCTGGGTGGCTATTGTAGTCACGTTGAAAAGGATTCTGGTGTTCGTCCAGATGAGAAGATCTTCGAAGCAAGCGGAGGTTATCCGCACGCAGCGACGGCTCTTCATACGGAGGTTCTTCTGGTGGAGTCGGCAGTGGCCGTGGTGGAAGGACCGGTAGACTGTGGTGAGAGTTCACACCATTAGTATTGGTGCCCTTGGAATGTACGGGCTTTCGTGAAACTCTCTGCGCATTCACTTCGAGACTCGTTGGCATTGCTTGAACCATTGGCATCGACTCTTCGGTTGGGTATGGCGGACCACTTGTACGGTCTGGTGGTGATGCTGGTACCGCACGTCTTTTCGGCAAAGGCGGCGGTACTTTCTTGGGTAACTCGGCCAGCGTAGGTAGTTGAGAAGCGTTCGAGTTCACCGAGGAAGGCCGTGGGCTGGGTTCCGGCTGCTCGTAATCCTGGTGGGTGCTCACATGCACGTAGTAGAGCGAACTCTGCACGTCTTCTGCGGTGACGACCTTCTCTCGCGGCTTCATGGGAGTCAGAAAGACATCTCTGCTGCCTGGTACCCGAGCAATATACAGGACAAGCGGCTCGGTGGCTGGCGAAATCGAAGCATTTGCATGGAGCGGCGGATTGGCCGCCACCTCGTTGACCGCTTGCAGAGACGTCGCCTCGACTATTGGAGCCATGGTGTCGCCTTTGACAATGCTGCGAGTCCAGAGTGGTCCTCTGGTAGCCTTGATTTAAAGGCCTTATCTGTTCACGCCAGGCAGGCGCATTCCGTTGGCTCAGGCTGGCGCAGTTCTGGAAGACTGCAGCACTTGATTAGGCTATTCCGAGACAGTGGCCCTGAAGACGGTGATGGTGGGATTAGTGTGTACAATGGAGGAGGACCAGGCATGAATACTTGACATATTTGTGGATTACGCGCGCATGGCGTGGCGGGACAGCGCTCAGCCACCGCGAAAGAAGACCGGCCGAGTCCTCTACGATCCAGCGAATCGCTTGCCTCTTGTCTTGGCCTGGACGTCGGCGCAAGATGCCGTGATAGACCAATGTGAGGAAATGTTCGCTCGGAGGACAAGCGGCTCCTTGACAACATGAAGACGAATAGTGGAGCAGGTGAAGTCGCGAAGATAGACTTTCTCGGAGGCCGGGGCGCATTGTTCGGCTGGCCGCCAAGATTTCAGTGGGCTTTCATCGATGCTTCAGGTTCACTTTTTCCCGCCGCTCCCATCACCGCACCTTCTGCTCGCAGCATCTCGCCTTCCCCCGACCTCCCGACAGCAACAATGACGGACTCAGCCGGAGCGGGTCACGAAGATCCCTTGGAAGGTCTCGAGGTACATGGCGCACACGGACATAGTCTAAATCATGAGCTTCGCTAACGGAACCTTTCGCACCTGAAGGAGCGCCTGCAAAGTCACAACAAAGCATTCGAGTCACTTCTGGCCCTCACGCCTGCACGAGAGTACTACGGCAGCCACTTCGTTGACGGTAAGGACCCCAGCGAACAATGGAATCGCAAGAAGCAGACCAAGGAGGAGAAGCGGGCGGCGAAGAAGGCAAAGCTCGACCCCAAGAACAACAAGAGTGCGCTGGATGTGTTGCGGGAGAGGGAGGCCGAGGCGTTGAAGCGGAAGCGCGGTGAGGACAATGATGGGGGTGACGACGAGGAAGGCGATTCGCAGAGTGGCAAGGCGCAGAAGAGAGCCAAGGGCGAGGACGATGCAGATGCTGCCGAGGCACGCCGAAGACAGAAGGTGGACAAGAGAAAAGAGAAGCGGCAGGCAAAGCAGGAGAAAAAGCAAGCAAAGCAGGCCAAAGCGGAGGAGAAGAAGGCGCGGAAGCAGGATCGCCAGCTTGATGAATTGAAGAATGACGGTCGCAAGCAGGATGCAGATGAAGATGCCGAGGAGGGCCCGGCGGAGGACAAGGGAGATGATATGGAGGCGGTTGACTTCTCTGGGCTTACGGATGCGCAAGAGAATGGAATGAAGAGGCCGCATGAGGAGAGGAGTGATGCTGGTTCCGACGTGTCCTCCGCGCCTACAACACCGCTCATTGACAGTCCGGCGTTTGACCTTGGCACAAACCACTCTGCCGCCTCGTCGTCGTCGTCCATCGTACCTCCCTCATCGATCGATCAAGAAACGACCAAACGACCCGCGAAGACCGATACCAAGGCAGCAAGCACAGCATTCAACGGCACTGATCCCGTTAAGACGGACAACAAGCCTACCAACGGCGTCTCATCCCCCAAACCTCACATTCCTAAGATCACCGACGCAGAAAAGACGGAACGACTACGGAAGCGCATCGAAGAACTGCGAGCAGCTCGCAAAGCCGACGACAAGCCTGCGAGGTCACGACAAGAGCTTCTGGAACAGCGGCGGAAGAAGGAAGAACAACGAAAGACGCATAAGAAGGAGCTGCGGAGGAAGGCGAAGGAGGAAGAGGAACGACGGAAAGATGAGCAACTGCGTGGTTCAGGCAGTCCATTGACATCCGACATCTTCAGCCCACGATCGCCACTACCTGCAGACAACGCATACTCCTTCTCCAGGCTTGCGTTTGAGGATGGTACCTCTGCCGATCCAGAGCTACACGCACTGAAAGATGCGCGCAAGAAGAAGGGCCCGCAAGACCCAAAGACTGCCTTGAAGGCAGCGCAGTCGAAGGATTCTCGCATTGCAGGGTACGATGCCGAAAAGCAAGCCGATATCGCCGACAAGGACATGTGGATGAACGCACGGAAGAAAGCGCATGGCGAGAGGGTACGAGACGACACGTCGCTGCTCAAGAAGGCGTTGAAGCGGAAGGAGAAGCAGAAGTCAAAGTCGGAGCAGCAGTGGAAGGAGAGGGAGCAGGCGGTGACGAAGGGCAGGGAGATGAAGCAGAAGAAGCGGGAGACGAATCTGGCGAAGCGGAAGGAGGAGAAGGGTAGTAAGGGGAAGAAAAGTGCTGGGAAGGGTGGCAAGGGAGCCAAAGGAGCGAAGAAGGGGAAGAAGAGGGCTGGATTCGAGGGGAGCTTCAAGGCGTGATAGAATGGTCGTCGTTCAGTGTAGATATGACGACAACCACACTGTACCAATTCGGCACGGCACTCTGCTGCTTTCTGAACTCGGAACGCCCTGCCCACTCTCCGCAATACCAGCATCAGCTTCGCCATACGATGTACACCTGAAACCTTTATGGGGCCTCGCGCGTCTGGACATGTCAGTTCTGGGTATGCATTCTTTCCAGGTATGTACAATATAAACTCAAGTAAAGGTCGTTCAAGTCCCAGTCTTTCCTTCCCGTGTCCAACCTATACGTTATCTGTACGGCGCATCCGCCCTCGCCACCGCCGCCAGCTCCGGCTCCCATTTATCACCATTGCTCAACAGCTTCTCCTTGTTGTACAGCAGCTCCTCCCGCGTCTCCGTCGCATACTCTGCGTTCGGGCTCTCGACAATCGCATCCACAGGACAGCTCTCCTGGCAGAAGCCGCAGTAGATGCACTTGGTCATGTCGATGTCGTAGCGTGTCGTCCGTCGCGAGCCGTCTTCCCGCTCCTCCGCCTCAATGGTGATGGCTTGTGCAGGGCAGATGGCTTCGCAGAGCTTGCAGGCGATGCAGCGTTCTTCGCCGGTTGGATAGCGGCGCAGGGCGTGCTCGCCTCGGAAGCGGGGTGAGATGGGGCCCTTTTCGAAGGGGTAGTAGATTGTGTATCTGTAAAGACATCAGCATTGTCCTGGCGTAGAACGAGCGGGAGAAGCACTCACGGTGGGCGGAAGAACTGCTCAAGCACGACGTACATCCCCCGCATCATCTCGGTGAGGAGGAAGTAGTTGCCGGCCTGGTCCCACACACTCTCCTTCTTCTCGTTCCATCGCGCGGGTCGCTGTTGGCGGAAGTTGGCGGTGGGGGGACCTGATGTGGTTGCTGCTCTAGCGGTGGTGGTGGAGAAGGCGGCGAATTGGTGGCGGGGCGCGGTGGTGAGGTTCTGAGTGGCGCGGGTGCGGGCGAGCGCTGTCAATGCCCGGGGTGTCGCCATAGTCGTGGGGAGGAGAAGATGAAGGTGGTTGTGTGGCAAGAGGTCCTTTAGTGGTCGAGTTGGAAGCGACGTCGCTGTGGCCAATGATGTGCTTGATTATCTGAAGTTCTGCCAAGCCATCTTCGGAGCCTCCCGTGTCCGTCTTCTCCTTGCACGTATGCCTTTCCAGCAACACGTTGTCAGTCCCTGTGGCCGTTGTGCAGAATCACGGTTTATACAGAACGCTCAAGTGGAAAGGACGAAACCATAGGGATTGGCGTGGATGAGGAATCTTTACAATCCTGCTTCCAACCGGCCAGCGTTAGGAACGAGCAGACCGGCTCCGCGGATGGCCTTTTCTCAGGAAACATGAACCCATTGGCTTGAGTACGGTACAAGGCGCACTCGACGAATCCATGCGGAGCGCGAGCAACGTGTGTCTGCAAGAATCTATCCTCAGAGCTCGAGACCCAGCCACGAGGCGACCATACCTTTCCCCTTCCCAAGCCGGCCATGCTGCTGCACATATCATGCCTGTGACAATCTACGTCCCCAAGGAGCTTGAAGATCGAGACCGACGCTTCTGAATCGGCTTTCAACGACTGAGCTCAAGTGCCGAGCCTGCTGGCCACCTCCGGGAGCAGGAATAGCAGCGTTGACTCGTACGTCCGCCACACCATCCAAGGGGAGCGCTCCGAGGGTCGCCTTGAGTGTCCAGCTAATATTTCGTGCCCAATATCTGGGCCGTGTTCTAACAGGTATCTTCGGGCCGCCTTTCAACTGCGCATTGCCTTCAAGCCTGTACCCTTCTCTCCGTGTGCCACGTTGCGGAGCCATCATGCACGCACCATCATGTACGCCTCAAGCCTGCTCTGCTGGTGTGCGGCAGCTGGAGCAGTGTGCCAAGGAGGAAGCAATATGGGTTCTGTCTATTCATGGCGCGGGGGAGCTGTGAGTCCAACAGCGGACCGTGTACTTACCCGCTTTCATCGATCCTCCCTAATCTGTACAGCTTGATTCACCGGTTCGGTTTGCCCCCAATTGACGCACTGGAGCCAGCGACTCAAGTACACTCGGGGCTCGCGGCTTGCGGCGCCGCTTCATGGCATCTCGACCATCACATTTGTGACCTCATCTTTGCGAGCTGGAGATTCCAACCTCCTTGCGGCTTTTGCCTGTCTCACCAGCCGTGTTCAAGCCTTCTAGCTGTGTGGTATCAGTTCGAGAAGTCCGACGGCCTTGCAGTACAAATTGCTTCTTCCAAGGTCTCGCCCCTACTATTCTGGGAGAACACGTGCAGTCGCTGCTCGGTGACACCGCACTTGTGGCATGCTGCGACATAGCAGAGAGTCGATCTGCAAGAACTGTACTGCATTGTGACTGTTGATGCAATGTTTTGCCTTGGCGGCATACATGAAGACGCCACTCGTCCAAGGTCAGTCACCTATCAGGCTTATGCAAACTGGTGAGAGCGGGCCAATGATTTGGTGGCAAGCCTGGAACGAATGCGATCTGACCAGGGACTCGTCATTTCAGATGTGGGGAAGCACCCGAAATACTGGGGAAGGCTGCGACTGGCCACTGTGCAGTATTTTCGGTCACAAGCAAGCTGTTTCGGGCAGATGCATTTGCAATGCACGGGCATCTGGGATTTGAGGCGTTGTGGCTTTTCCTGGCTTCGGTGTCTGCCGCGCGGGCGGATGTCTTCAATCATCCACCAGAAGAAGTGCTGTACCGTGCTGACCGACAGCTTGGACGACACGCCGCAGGATACAACATATTGCGGCGCGGTGTCTGCCCGCAATTTGGATAAATCAACCCCAGAGCATTTTCAATCAAAACGGCTGAGATATCCTGCATGGAGCATGCCGAATGTGGACGTCGCAAACACGCCAGAGCCCTCCGCATCTGTTCTTGAACCAGGCTCCCCCAAAAGACGATGCGGCTCATGCAGCTGCATGGAGTCTGGGGAGGTGATGGACGCACGCCAACGAGCTGTCGGGACACGTCGATCAGCCGTCATGGCCAACCGCCTCTTCACACGCTGCATCTGCCTCTCCACTTCACGCCGTCCAGGCCCTCGACCATGCAGGAAGTATTGCTGCAATCCTGCTGGCATGTAAGCCCCAGATGCAGTTGAGCCTGTCGAGACGTTGTTTGGACAGACGCAACATGTACAAGCTGTCCAATGAAGAGATGCTGGAAGCGAGCAGTTCCGCTTACGATGTGACTGCCGTCAGGCCATGGTCCACACATGGTAGGACTGAACCCAAGCCGACTTCTCAATGTCTTCCTCGTAAGTATAAAGTTTTGCTCCCCACCCCTTCTCATGCTGCCATCCCAGCCTCATGCTTGCAATTCTTTCGCTCCACTAAGTAACATCATTCGAAATCCACACTCGCTCCACCATCATGCGTTTCTCCATCTTGTGTATGCTTCTGGCATGTCTGATCGAGATCCATGCCGAGCCCATTCCCACGGTGGATAACCTTGTCCGCCGAGGCCAATCCACCAAGGACAAGAACAAGAATAAGAGCACCTGCAAGACTCTGACGACGACCAAAACAAGCGTGATCACGAGCATCATCTCGAAGCCCGCAACGACCAAGGTCCAGACGACCACCAAGTACTCAACAACTACGAAGTACTCAACAACCACCAAGTATTCAACAACGACGAAGCCGGCCGAGACCAAAACGATCTCCACGTGCGAGACCACGCCAACGATCACGAAGACTGAGACTCAACCAGGAACCACCGAAACGATCTCCAAGTGCGAGAGCACGCCAACGATAACAAAAACTGAGACGCAAATCCAGACCCAAACGAAACCGGCAGAAACGGAGACCATCACAAAGACCCAGCCTGCAGAAACCAAAACAGAGACTCAGTTCCAGACCGACACTAAAACGGAAACAAAAACGGAGACGAAGCAGACGACTTGCGAGACCAAGCCCGCAGAAACCATCACGAAGCCCGCCGAAACTAAGACGGAAACGAAGGCGGAGACCATCACAAAATGCGAGAATACGGCTAAGGAGACGATTACTAAGACTGAGACCAAGGAACAGACTAAGACCGAGACCAAGGAACAGGAGACTATCACAAAGTGCCCGGATTCTCCTCCATCCACGACGACCAAGACGGTGGTTTCGACCTACACCTCCTGCAAGAAGTCTTGAAGCTGAGATGCATGGCTCGGAGGTGGAAAGCATGCCGGAGGAGCCGCTCACGGTCATTTGTCGGGTGATTTGGAGGAAAGGCTGCGCTGGATTTCACGGCCGCTCTTGTTTCGTTGCGCACACACGCTCGAGGTAGTTGTTCGTACGTTGGTATGGAAGCACATGCTTTTGTCTTTACTTTCCAGCAGGCCGCCCTCTTTTGCTGGTCAGACAATATGCCTGATCATGGTCTGATGATGTCCAGGACAGTATCGATGTAGATTGAAGTGGATGTGATCCAGTATCTTACACTTCAAGCTTGCCTGGCTGTGCTACCTCTGCTCCGCATCAACGCCTTCTCCGTTTCAGTTTGCCAGACAGGAGCCCATCTTGCCGCATCTCATTTGTCATCCACAACCGACTAATGTCATATTGCAAGCATCCCGCCGGGTTGAAGCTCGAATGCATCTCAGCCGACTGTTCCCAATCGAAGATGACCATCGACCGCGCACTCGCGTCCAGGGTTCACTTTCTCGCACCTGTAATGGCTGAGAAGCACCTACCTGTTCTCCCAACGAGCGAGGGATGTGCACCGCACGTTCTTGCGCTCTGACCAAACTCGTTCGGTGTGGGTGGAGTAGTAGGAGGCATCGCAGCACAGCAGAGAGTTGCCCTCCCGATACAAGGGTTTGGTAGAGGCACTTGAAACCGACCTCGCACCGAGCTAAATGATTCATGCTACCGTGCCCGGAGCTGTGAAGACGTTGATCTTCGATGGAATCCTGAACGCCGAGCAGCAAGGACTCTTCAAGCAAGCAGCAGGAGGATGATGAAGAAGAGCACCGCGGAGACCTGCCTGTCGTTGCTGAGAGATCGGAGCGCAATTGGACAGCAGGTGTGCAGTGTCTCGATGGCCGAGTTTGTCACTGCTGGGGTCCAAGGGGCGGCTTGATTTGCGACGCATGTGGAGTACTTGGCCATCGACGAAGGATGGAGAGTTGCATTGTCGGGAATTATACTCTGGTGCCAATGCCATGTGCACAGCCTGGTTGTCTGGAAGGATTGGATGCAACTGAGCAAGGGCACGCATCCTGAGCGGTTGCTCATTGCGGGGTGGCATGTAGATGGTAGACGGCAGACAGGCTCTCCACTCGATACATTCCTGCGCGGAAGGTTGCCTTGATCGATTGAGAGATCCTGTCCCTCCAGAGACCAGGCTCGCGAATGTTGCGGTGCAGATGGTCATTGAATGACCTGAGGTTATCGGAAGGTCGGAAGTAGTGGTTTGATTAAGGCAGTTTCAGAACAACCTCACAGTAAAACTCAATTGAACGCGTCTCGTATGCCAAGTCGTGGCGTTCGGTGCCGTACCGTACACCTCCGGAATTCCTCCTCACGTTCTACATACATCGTCTTACGATTGGCTTGGGAGATACCCTCCACGGCCTTGGACGAAGAAGGATGGTACGCCACTGCTCGGTCCACTGCCTCTCGTTGTCTCGAACAACGACGACGACGACGACGACGACGACGACCAGACGTCCATGGAGCCTGGAGGACATGGACACAAACATGGCTTCTTGCAACCATCTAATGAACGCATTTCTCATTAACTGGCTCCACTGGATGCCGCGATGGCGATTCGGTACCGGTCCAGGATAGAAACAGAAGCCACCATCTCATCAGTGACCGAACCCAAGATATCGCCGCCGCGCTGCGTCACACGACACCACCACCACGAAGGATGAGGATTCCAAGCTTGGCCGACTCTGACGGTGCAGAGGATTTACAGCTTTGGTGATCCTTCTCATCACCATGAAACGTGGAGATGCGTCGATGAGTTATGGCGACGAATTGAGAGGGCGAAAGTGACTCGGCATCCCAAAGGATCTCTGGCACTGCCTCTCTTCTCGTTTTGGGGCATGGCGAAGGGTATAAAGATGGGCTTCGAGGCGCCGTGGTTCCACTACGCTCAGCATTCTGCTCGGCCTGCCGACCTCACGACCTCGCTCCCTCATGATGCGTGCCTCAATTGCAGCCCTCCCGGCCATTGTGGCCTGTGCCCTTGCCGGTCCTTTGCCAGTCCCGGCCGTGGCCCCCAAAGCAACCCCAGCTCCGACCCTCCCAGCTCGTGCTATGAAGAGACAAGATTCGACTTTCTCGTATCCGGCGTCGGGATGTGTTTCGACGAGCTTCGCCGAAGCCACGATCACACAAACCCTCTTCGATACAGATACTAACAGTGACATTGTCTCAAGCACTAGCATGATCACTGTCACTGGTGATTATGGCTGCGTTTGTGCTCCGAGCAGCATCGCAGGACTGTTCACTGACCTTGGTCTCTCTGGTACCGGATATGTAGGCAGGATGAACTGATTTCCACTACCACCGTCGTTTGCTGATGGTCCACTAGGTCTATTGCGCGACTGGCAGCCCGTACTTGACAGAAGATGCCGTGAGCACAATCACTGTGAGTGCTCCCTCAAAGTGGACTGCGCATCTTCCAAGGCGAGAGCTGATCTCCGCAGGCCGAGAACGCTGCCCTTTGCACACAGTCGAAGAACCAGAATTTCTGGAATTCGTACAGCATGTCAGACTTTATTGTCAGCCAGGCCACGGAGATGGCGCCTTACCAGACAGGCTTCTCCGACACGGTGTATGCAATCTTACCATGCGGGCTGTGAGAACATGCTGACATTGTCCTCTGTAGCGAAGAGAAGTTGCCCAACCTAAGCTCTGAGGACTACCAGTGTAGTTGGAGCTATGGCGGTACGCACTGTGATGCTGGGCCTGTCATTGACAGCTGCCCGCAAAACCCACAGTTTGCGTATATCGAGATTGCGACAATTAATCTGGTCAATTACCTGGATGACATCTTTCAAGCGTTCCAGACTGTGGTATGCATGGAGTCGACACTACTACAGCTTTTTTGGTGCTAACAAATACCTTCAGATCACGACGGTGACGCCGGCATTTGCGGGCTTCCCTGGTACCTTCAATCCAAACAATATTACCACATTACCAGGAGATGACCCAGCTGGGCTCGCGGGAGCAGCGTCGTACTTCGTAGGTAAGTCACAGCTTGCCCTTCTGGCCCCTTCCTACTATCTGGAACGACGTTCACGACGAATACTGACCGCGTTCAGGATCGTTGGCTGCCCTGGTACCAGGGTTTGGCCTTTTCGCTGAGGGATCTACAGCTGCAGCACGCTTTGGACAGCTAGGCGCCGCTGCATACGCCGCTGGCTCGGTGGCGGGCATCTCCGAATTTAGTGACGAGTCTGGGAACATTGAGACTCAGGTGAGTTTGGGCAGCACACATGTTCATGCCAGAGAAGGCTGTGTTCCTGGAAGCCATGCGCTCACATTTATCTTTAGTTCTCTGACTTCGCTGCCATCTCGAAAATGCTTAGTCGGCTATCAGACGCTTTAGCCTCGACCTTCTCGACCTTTGTCACTAGTCGTATGAACGAAGCTCCTCCCGAAGGTTTTGAGACCGACCCAACTCACCTACCAATGCTGCTCGCCGACGGCACTTTCGCAGAACCCCACCCGCCTTTCAGCCTGAGCCAGGCGGAGAACCTAACTGCAGCAATTGCTGGGCCTGGCATAAACCTACTGTGGCAGTATGGCTCGACTGTCATTGCAAAGGTGAACAGGAACAATCTGGCGGTGGACCCTTGCGAGGGAGACAATTTGTTCCCAGCCGATGTGAAGTATTGCGACCCAGAAGGCAACATGTTTGTCTTACAAACAAAGCCGGTGGATGGGAATGAGTGGGGTGGCCGAATGGACGAGGTTGGGCTCGATGACCCGACGAAATGGGCTGTTCCCGGGTTCGACACCATTGGCGATTGGTTCCTCACGGTAGTTCCCTCACGAGCGAGAACATCCCATGCCGAAGAAGTAGGCTGACCATACAACCCTTCTGTGTATAGGTGCAAGACATTACGCAGTCCTCCTGGAGCAATCAGCAGGAATTCGGTCCGGCATCCACCGGTCCAGAACCCGAGGACTTCCTCAACGACTTGATCTTGAGGGCGCCGACGACGCTCCCTCGTCAGGACTACATATTCTTCAACCTCTGGGTCTGCGACTTCGATCAGAACGATCTTACGGGTGCCGCTGGAACGAGACTCCAGGATGAATGTGGTGATGCCACCGAAGAGAACGCCCAGTGCTACTTTTACTTTCAGCTGATTGCTGTGTGTCCATGTAGGTTCTGTCGCGTTCCTGCGGGCGGTTTGACGGAGAGCTGACCATATGCAGTACAATTCCCGGATGGCACTGGTCCTTCCAAGTGGCCTTGGGGCTACGTTTGGCTGCTTGGTGGGGAAGGCGACGGGTTTACGACTCCTCCAGATGAGGAGTGAGCGTATTGCTTCAGTGGTCGGATGGATCGAATGACGAGTGATCTGCTTGAGCACGACTGCTTGCAGGTGTTGGGTGGGTCGTCTCGAGCAGGATGTTGTGCGTGGTGGTTGTTACTTGGAAACGCTTAGACGAAGAACAGCTGCCAACGGAGAGAAGGGATAGGTGTGGTGCTCCCGTTCTATGCTCCCTGAATCCACTTGTAGCTCGCATCCATTGGACACTGTCCATGCTTGCTTACGCGGTTCGCCACTCCAAAGAGTACCGGGCCACTGCATGGTAAGCGTTGACGAAGCGAATGAAGCTTCTCACGCGGTCAAGCCCACTTTCTGCAGCATGGAGTGAGATGCAGAGGCTACCAAGCCAAGAGAACTCGCTGGTCAAACCAGGCACCCTCAACCGCAGTCGGGAACTGGACAAGACTGCTTATCACTATGACAATACCAGGCCACATGAATGATCTACTTGTCTTGCTATACCATATGAATCGTGCAAGTGGTTCGTGATACTTCTTACGGCTGACGTGATGCGGCTGATAATCTCCACATTGCTTATTATTCTCTCTGCCCATCCGTACATCGTCGCCTTCCTCCGGCGCATCGAGCGTATCATGTTGCATTGTCCTTGCGGCTACGTCAAGGTGTAGCAAGCAGCTTCACACCGCGGCCCCTGGCATGGTTGAAATGTGTACGGAGTACTGTACGCTGATGTCTCTCCGTGTTGTGGAGATTGGATAGAAAGCCGAGGAGGCTGGAGCGAAGACATGCCAACGCCGCTAAAAGCTTGCCAAGAAGAACGGGCTGGACTCAATGCAAAGAACCGCAAGGCAAGGCAGGCGACCTTCTTCAACAAGACTAACGCCGCGAGATAAACTGATAGCGAGAGAATCGGCGGAATGCAGGCTCTGCGACCGCTGCCAGAGCACTCCAAAATGTCGCTTCCTCGCCCTCGCTGCGAATCAAGACCTTGTACCGGCCTCCGACAAAGCACGACCTTCTCGCCAGGATGAGAGCAACACTCCCGCCTCTCATTAATGCGCTCTGCATTCTGGCCTCATTGCCAACAGCCTCGACCGCACCGGTCAAGCCACGAGATGGCCTCCAGGTCCGCCTCTCAGTCGCAGATGGCCTGATCGCCAACCCAGTTGACGGGCGAGTTGTGTTGATGTTCGCACCTCCTGGCGTTAATCCCTTGGACAACTGGGATGTCGTCGACACTCCGGATGCCTTGTACGGCAAAAACGTCTACCACATGCGCACGCAGAAGCCGGTCACGCTCGCAGGCGGCTCAGCGCGCAATACCGACAGAGGTGTCTGGGGCTTTCCAAACACGACGCTCGACCAAGTCCCGGCAGGTCTGTACAGCGTGCAAGCTTTCGTGAACATCTATCAAACCGTCACAAGAAGTGATGGCTCCGTTGTCAAGGTGGACTTCCCATGTGGCGACGGCGCTCCGTCGGTCGATGGTTACGGAAGTCTGAAAACGCCTGTCACAAACGTCTCCATCTCTAGCGGCCCGCAAATTCTGGACCTGATGTTCAGCGCCATTGAGCCGTATCCCCAGCTTAACGGCACGGAGATCGGTGGCTGCAACCAAGGAAACTACGCCGACACGCAGTATCTAAAGCATGTCAAGATCCGATCCACAGCGCTGAGCGAATTCTGGGGTTTGGATATGTTCGTTGGCGCAAATGTGCTGCTGCCTCATGGCTACGTCAACGGTACCACGAGGTACCCAGTCATTTACCACCAGAATCATTGGGATGAGGGCAATGGAGCGTACTACTACGGGACCGATCTAGACTTCACTCGACAGTGGCAGACTGGAGTAATTCCAGGCGCCAACAACCGCTCTTCTGGACGACCGACACCGAAATTCATCATCGTCCAGTTCCGCCACGAAGCTCCGTTCTACGACGACTCTTATGCTGTGAACAACGCCAATTTGGGCCCCTACGGTGACGCCATCAACGAAGAACTCATCCCGTACATTGACCAGACGTTCAGAACAATTCGACAGCCTTACGCACGTGTGCAGGACGGCGGTTCTACGGGCGGCTGGGTGTCCGCCGCTAGTCTAATCTTCCGGCCGGACTTGATGGGCGTTTGTTTCTCATCCTACCCGGACAGTCTGGACTTTAACAGTTCGTACTTTCGTAGGCAACGCCAAAGAGAAAAATGCTAATTCGCTTCAGGGTGTGATACTCTTTGATACGCTGAGTCAAAAGCATGCTGATCAAGCCTCGCAAGACATCAAGCAATCCCTCTCTATTCATCAAGCAGTGCCTACCACTTTGACGATGGAAGTCCTATTCCTTCTATAAGGCAGCTTGCCAGGAACGGCTCTGAAAGACTTCTGGCAACCGTCGAGGTACGGCATCCCGTCTTGATGTCTGGAACATTTGCTGATTTTGACATGTGCTTTAGCAAGAGAACCATTGGTAAGAATGTCGTTCTACACCTGTCTTCCGAATGCTGACGAGCTGGTTTAGGGAACTCACCTTCGGAACTTCATCGCGAAGTCGGCTTCAGTGGTAGGAGATTGGACAAAACTGTACTGTGTGGGAAACGTCTACTAATCGTCTGCCTTTCTGCCCGCAGGGATGTGTGGAACGCTGTCTTCGGCGTCCAGGGATTTAACAACGTAAGTGCAAAGACCATCCACCACATTCAGCGATTACTGTTTCGCGGGCGCATGGACTGACCATGCCCCTGCTCATGGCAGTATCCACTCGAGCCTTGGGACAAGGTGACCGGTGTCATTTATCCTGGCGCTGTGGAGTATTGGCGGCACATGGACCTCTCACGTATGTGCAGACTCACTTACAGACAACTCTCGCCATCAGGCAAACTGCTAATTTGCCTTCCTCGCACTTAGATTACATTACCGACAACTGGGACAACGATTTGAATCTTGGCGCTGTGCTGAGGAACCGCATCTTCATCTACGTTGGAACCGCGGATAATTACTATCTCAATCTCGGCGTCGAGCAGTTCGAAGTGCGGCGCCCTGTTTCTCCCCGTCCTCCTGACAGAAAGACTCTTGCTTACTTTGCTGTCGACAGGCCAACGTGAATGGCCGAGGAGGTCCTGGTTGGGCCAACGTGACGATTCTACCCAACGAGGAGCACGGCGGCAATTACCAGCTCCGGGATACGTGGAACTACCTCCAACTCGTATCAGACTGGGTAGGTACCAATGCCGACGGGTGCTTTCAGATCATTCAAGAGAAATGGCAATTCACCGCGCTCCAAGGCCATCTAAACACTGTTCAGCCTCCAGTCATCTGCTGACCCTCTATTCATCGATCCTGTAGGTCCGAGATCACGCACCCAACGGAGCCACACCGCTCACAGCGGCTCAGACGGCACCGAGTGCCCGCGGCAACCGATGGGAAGACGTTCTTGCATACGGCGGTCACAGCGCCGCGGTTGCCCGACAGGCGGATCCAGAGGTCTCGAGCGGTGACTCGTGCAAGCCTGGATCAACCATTTCTGCTTCTCCCGGCCGATGGGATCCTGGTATGTCGCTGTCAGCTATGTGGATGATCAACAGTAGGCAGCGTGGTCGGGAGTTTGCTGTCTACGAGGACGAAAGCGTGAGCTTTGAGGTACCATCAAAGGCGAATACTGTCGAGCTTGTCGTGACTGGCAAGAAGCGTGGGTATACGACGGAGACAAGACATAGCAACAAGGTGGAAGTGAAGGCATAATCGGATTCGTTAAGATGGGTTAGGGTTAGGGTTAGGGTTAGGG